TTTTGCCGCGGGCCCGCTTCTGGGCCTGGATGAAGATCTCGTCGGGGAGCATCGGTGGGCGTCCCAGTGCCGCTTCCACGCCTCGGCGCTGTGGTGGGGCGTCTAGATAGAGTGACCTGGGGTGAGATGACGTTAATCAACGGGGGATCGACGGGACTGACGTGGGCGGCCAGCTTCTGGTGCAGATCGTCCTTGGTCAGCTCGGCTGGTGCAAGAGCTTGTGGCGGAGGAAGTGGATGAAGAACACCTTCTCCGCGTCCGTGAACCGCCGGTGGTCCTCGCCCGCCTTACGCTTCGGCGGCACCGGCCGCGTCGCCGGGTCCGCGTGCGGGATCTGCGTCTCGTCGTGGTACTCGATGATCGGGCCCCCCCGTCGCGGGCGGTTCGCGGGCGTGATGACGGGCACGGTCAGTTTCGAGGTCCCGGACGGAGATCCACTTTTGCTTGAGGACGCCGCAGCGGCTTTGGCGACGGGGCCCTTCTTGGCCGGCTTCTTGATAGTCACCTCGGCCTTCATGCCGGCAGCGGGGGAAGAAACGCGGTCTGTCTTGCGGCGCTTGGAGGAACGAGGTGAGTCATCCGAGTCGGGCGACGCAGCACGCCTTCGCGCGTGCGTCTCAGCGGCGAATCGCTTTTCGAGCTTGACCGGGACCCCCGTACGGCTGTGGGTGGCGTGAGCAGACCGCCTCACCAAGAGTGCGCACACACTGACCGGGCAGTCTGTCCGGCTCTGTGGCCGCTTTTACGGAGAGCGGGAGCGATTCGAGGGCCGACATTAGACGCAGAGCTTTCGGGCGCCACTTCTTCAGCCGCACGATCGTCGTCAGACATGGGCTCACCCAGGTAGATCTTCGGGTAAAGGCGCTCCAGGTTATCGAGGAAGTGGTTCGTCCAAGCTAAACGAACAACAGCGCGTCAGCATCAACACGACGCGCACAAAGAAAGATATGAAATGTCCACCTCTTGACGAATGACCGTGGATCTGGGTTTACACGCGGTCAGCATGAGGGACTCGCGCGTGGAAGGGGCGCGGGGGCTTACATCGTGTAGCCTCTTGAGGCCCTTGCGGGCAGACTTGTTCGCATGCTTGGCTTTCTTCAGCATACCAATCAGGAGCATATCGTCCTGCTTGTCGAACGTGTCATGCGGCTCGTCTCCTTCATCAGCCTACATGACGGGTGAGAACGTGGTCAGACACAAAGGACCCGCGGTGACCATCGCAAACTACGCACCGCGGCAGGCTGTTGCATGGCCTGCATGAGCTGCTGGTTGTGCACGTTCACCCACCCCTGCGGACCAAAATTGCCCCCCCAGCCGTTGTTGATCCCCCAGTACGCTTGCCCCGGCTGCTGCTGCTGCCCCTGCGTGTGCTGTCCGCCTGGTGGCACCCCCGGACCCGGGGTCGCACCCATCGGCACACCAGCACCCATACCAACGCCGAGGCCTATGCCCATGCCCATCCCCGGAAAGGCCATGTTCATATTCATCCCCATGCCACTGGGCCCGAACCCACCTTGCATCTGCTGCTGGAAAATCTGGTTGTAAAGCGCGGCGTGCTGCTGGAGGCTGGCCATTTCGTGGTTCATGGCTTGTTGGCCGTCCATGGCGGCGCGTGGCGGAGAGGAGATGGTGGGGAGAGGGAGAATACGAAGTGGCGGGGACGGCGGCGGAGGGAGAAAGCCTGTGCCAGACCGTTCCTCGCCACAAGGCCGAATGCCCGGCCCGGGCACGTGAATCAACCGTGACGCGCAAATTATTGTTGTCCCACACCTTCAGGCTTCTGTCAAGCCTGCAGAACCCATTCAACTACGGAACACCGCCCGTCGTCGCCCATGGATACATGCTGTTGCAGCGTTACCTTGTGGAGTACAACAACTCTTCAGTGACTCGGCTACCCATGCCAGGAACCCAAGAGGGTGGACTGTTTTTAGCCAAAACCTAAACCCTATTCATTTCTTTTTGTCTGACCTTTGTGTTCGTTCAGGACATGTTGGTCTAGCTATGAGCGACTCTTGGGCACTGCTAGCACTGGACCGCGCTCTGTGCCGCTTAGGCAGTCTGCGTTCAGCGCTTCGTGCATTCTCCCCTCCCAGAAAGCCGACCTTTCTCCCACTGAGTGGCCACGACGTCATGGATTACGCACCCCGTTCACACAGCCGTCCACGATCAACTGTCGATTGCCACCTCCCATCAAACCCCGCCCCTCTCACGCCACCTGAACGAGCATCTACCTGGCAGCTGCATCCTGCAAATCGAGCCCTGCACGCCGTCCCTGCCGTGCGCAGAGCGCCTCCGACGTCGCCCTTTCTCCACCTCGAGCCGCCACAAACGGTTGGTCTGGCGCGGCGTGATGTCAGCGCTGATGGCAGATGCCTCAGCACTTCGCCGTGGCCGCGCGCACGAGTTCCGGCCAACTTCGAGGCGCCACGGCCCCGCTCGCCGTGCCCGTTCCTCTCGGCCGCGCGCCGTGCCTTCTAGCACCCCGCGCAGCGGAAGGAGCCACGGAACTGCGCACAGAATCGTGCAGCGCGGGCTCCGACTGCGGTGGAGCGGTGGCTGGCGTTCACGCCGACGGTCGAGGTTCCGAGCGAGACTAGCGAGTACTCTCCGACTCGGAGCACTGCGCTGGCGTGGCACGACACCTGTGTCCGTGAAACCTACGCAGACGGCGCTCAGACGGCGAGCTCTTGAGCTTGAGGTGGAATATCCAGTGCCATCCCCTGGACGCACCGGTGGTCCGGTTGGACCGTCCGGAACGATCGTTCCTCGCTGTCCCTCGGTGCCTGGTCCCCCGCCTGTGACCGTATCCCCACTGTACACGATGAGTCCACAAATTTCCTGCTGAGCCTCCCCTCCAGGAGCGCCGTTTTCAGTGCCGCACGACAAGCCTGCACGAGAAGTGCCTCTCTGCGGGCCGCGCACGAACACCTCGTGGACGTGGACTCGGAATAACAACCGGTGGCGGCGGCGGATTCAGACGCCACGCCAATACTCGCGTCCAGCTCCCGCCTACATCCCACCGGTCCTTCAGATCTTCAGGCGCAGGACTCCGCCCGACTCCCCCACGCGGCCGCGTCGAGGCCGCGACGCTCCTCCGCCGTCTTCTCGACGTGTTCGGCATAGTCCCAAGTTCTCGCCCGCGGAGATGGCGCGAGGCTCTGTTCCGAGCACTTGGGTGTGATCCATCAGAAAACGTAGTGCCACTCTACAAGTTGCCTGCGCTGTGCAGGGGCAGCAGCGGCAGCAAACCGGGAGCGCGGTCCTCTCGTCCGAGACATCCCCTCCATCCGCCGCGCATCATCAACAGAGTTAATGACCCAGATACCAGATCGAGCAGGTCGGCCACACCGGCTGCCGCCGGCCCGGGACTCCGCACGTTCGGCGTTCGACCGTCGGAATGCTCTGAGGTCGGTCCGTCTGAGGACGGGCACACGAAGATCATCACACAAAACACACACCGAGGCGCAGGCCTTTTGTCTGCTCCAAAGCAACATAGCCGGGAGATACACGCATCATGCCACTCCAACAAACAACCCGCCCCGATGCCAGGCTCCGGGTCGGACGTTCCTGCGCCAACGTTGAGCGTCGACGGGATCGGGTGGCGATCCATCATTGTGCGACGACGCCACCCGAGATCCCCCACGACCGATCCCGCAAGCCCTTGGCGACGTGTTCCAGCGCTCGCTCTCTCGCGGACAGAATAATTAACGAGGGTGGCATATGCGCCAGCAACGCGGGGTTGCGGTTGTATCCTACACTAGAGTACATGGATGACAAGGGGGTTCGATGTACTGCACAACAGCTGCCCGACTGGGAGACGATTAGAGCACGGCGTGCGGGTTGGACTATCTACTGTGGCAGGGGGGGCAGTCCGCGGTCGGCGAGGGGCGGTGGCGGAAGGGGGACGATTACTACAGTCTAGGGTAAAGGACGGTGGGAGTGGTGCAAAGTAAAGCTATAGACAGCGAGGGGACTTGCAAGTAATGGTTCTATACACAGTGAAATGAAAAAAAGTTGCGAATGAGTGTGATGGTGTTACGTTGCGATGGTCAGACGGCGATAAGACTGGTCCAGCAGAAACGGTCGTGGTCATAAGAAGGGAATAAATGTAAAGGTGCGAGTATTATATGGACGGGAAGGATGCAAAGGTGGTTTGATGGTGGCGAGAACTCTTGGCGCGTCGCGCGCACGCGCGGCGACGCGCCGACCCAGGTGAAATCGAATAAGCCCCTTGGTGAACGGAACCCAGATGGCGAGCCGCTGAAAGAGGTGACGAGCGGTGGATGACCGACGGTGCTGTGACGCCACACCGCCATGTCGAGCTTCTGCCATTGCGGTTAGACTCCGCAGCCGCCTCGGGCGCAAGAGTGGTCAGGAGGTTGCCAAGTGCCGGACCAGCGCGGGCGCGCCGGAGAGCAATGGCGTCGCGCTCCGACGCGGCCGGGGCTGCTCCTCTCGCGCGACCCTGGCGCCATCACGGGCGGACAGGTGCAGCTGCTTGATTGCGCAAGCCGCCGAGGCGCGCGCCCCCGAGAGTCCCGAGGTTCAGTGAGCCTCAGGGCCGGCGGTGCGCCTCCGCGGGCTGGTGACAGGATACGTGCGCGAGGCGCGGCGGGCGCGACGGTCGGCGCGCGTCTCCGGGGCGGGGTCGTCAAGGTCGGGGATGACGATCTGCATCGCGCGCGAGCGAGGCGTCGCGGGGGGAGTGCGGAGGACGGAGCGCTTGGCGCCGGGGCTGTTGAAGGCGGAGGAAGGGATGGGCGGCACGGGCGGGATAGAGACCATGAGGAGGCTCGGAGGGGGAGGAGAGCGCGAGCGCGACTTGCTCGGGGGACGGCAGTCGATCATGGAAGCGGTGCGGCGGTGCCTCGGGCTCCGAGGGGTGCTTGGAGGGGACGGGAGGGAGAGAGTGAAGGGAGGGGGGTTTGCACCTGGGAGGCGGTGGCGGCTGCGCGCGTCCCGAACTCGTCTCCATCGAACCAGAGCTGCTTCTGAATGTTCGAGGTGAGTGCACCGGACTCGGGGGCGGTGAGCTTGTCGAGGAGGGGAGAGCCGATGAGGCGAGGAGGGATCGGGGGATCATTGAGGTTGGAGGGCAGGTGGAGGCGAGAGCGAGAAGAGACACGGCGAGGGCCGAGGGGAGGGGGAGAGGGGAGGGAGTTGTGGACGAGGAGAGGAGAAGTGGGGCGCGGGGAGAAAAACATGGGACGAGAACGGGAGGCTGTTGAGGGACGAGAGTCCAGAGGAGGAGGGAGGGGTGAGCGGGTGGCATGAGGCCGGTGTGGATACTTATACGGCCTGCGCGCTGAGGACAAAACAAGGCGCGGCGGTGGGGGCGCCTGGGGAGAGCAGGAGCAGGCCACGATCCGAATCGAGATTCGAAACGCGTCCGAGCGAGAATTGGCGCCAATGGTCGTGGACGAGCGCCAGGGTCCGTGACGGGATAGATTCGGTCGCGCGGGGATCGCGTGCAGAAGGTGCCGGGCGGGGGACGGGCGGGCCCGGGTGCTGGGAGCGAATCTGAGCGAGTGTGCTGGCGAGGCGTGGCGCAAGGGCTCGGAGGGCTCGCAGCTGCGTTGGTCGTCGTGCATCTGCCCCGAAGCCGCTGTCTGTTGCAACCTCTGCTTCCCTGAAACGCGCCTTTCTCCTTGCCTTCCTGTCAACAACGCGCTCTCCCCGCGCTGCCCTCCAGGCGCATCACTCGACCCGCTCTTCGTCCATCCGGACGGCAACTGATTGCACAATGTACAGATACCCACCCTCGACGCCACTGCGCTGGGGGCCATCCTGCCCGTGCTTCGCGGTGCAACCCGCGTACGACGCGGTCGATGTGATCCTTTCTTGAATCAAATTCTGGTGCACTCACCGCGTGTCTGCCCCAGCTGGTCCATTGCTCGATCCGCCTTCTCTGCCTCTCCTCGGCCTCTCCGCTGATCCTCTTTCTTGCCCAGGCAATCCGCTCCCCCATTTGAGCCAGCCATGGCCCTCCTAGGACCTCCATTCCACCCGCCAGCCGCAGCGGCGGACGGCTCGCTGGCCGCCTGTCAGCCTCTGTGCAGCAAATACCTTCGGCGATCTCTTCCTCGACCTCTTCCTCTCCTCCCTCGACTCTTCTCATCGCCCCGGAGGCTGCTTTTGTCTTTGCTTCCCTGCTTTCTTCGTCCTCGTGCTCCTTTATTGCGCTGAGCGCACCCAGCATCATGCGCCCGTCTTTCGCACCCCGCCTGCTGCTCCCTGCTCTCGTCTTCCACCTTCCGCTCTTTGCCCGTGCCATGCCTCCGCCCTCCCACGCCGCCGTGGTTCCGAGTTCATTAACCCTCGCCACCCATCCTGTTCTACAGGCCGAGCTCCCGGACCTCTCACCGCCACACAGTCCAGCCGTCGAGAATGCTTGTTCCCCCGTCAGCCCCCTCTTCGTTCGCCGGCCGGATGGAGTCTTCCCACCCGCGGAATGCCCCCGTAATCTGTCCTCTCCTGCTCAAGCCCTGCCTTCCGCCTCCGGCCTCGGCGCGCGTAGCACACCGGATGGTATCCTGGCCGTGTCTGCTGCCCAACCCCGCCCGCTGGTCATGGCCTATTACCCCGCCTGGGCCGCGGACGACTTCCCGCCGGAGAAGATCGACTTCGGACGGCTGGACTGGATCGACTTCGCCTTCGCCGTCCCCGACAAGAACTTCGCCCTCGGCTGGGACGGCTCCGACGACGCCCCCAACCTCCTCCGCCGCCTCGTCGCCCGCGCTCACAAGAGCCGCAAACGCGTCAAGCTCAGCGTCGGTGGCTGGACCGGAAGCAAGTACGTCCACCTCGTGCTCCGCTCTGTGCCCGCGCACCCGCATCTCGCCCGCCTGTTTATCGTGCTCTCGACTGCGTGTTTTTCACCTGCTCCGCCCTCCTTCGTCTCCGCACACCCATCCGAGCCTGGCCGCGCCACCATCTCCCGTGGCTGTAGCGTTCGCCTTCCTCGTGCGCCGCGCCTTCGGAGCTCGCCGACCCCCTCTCACGCCCGCACACCGCTAACCGCATCGGCCTCCCCCGTCTCCCACAGGTACTTCTCCGCGGCGGTTGCGACTGCGCAGAGCCGCGCGACGTTCGCGCGCAACCTCCTCGCGCTCTACCGCCAGTTCGCGCTCGACGGCGTCGACATCGACTGGGAGTACCCCGGGCAGCCGGGCGCGCCGGGCAACGCCGTCTCCGCGCGCGACACCGACAACCTGCTCGCCTTCCTCACCCTCCTCCGCCAGACGCTGCCCGCCGGCGCGGTGATCACCGCCGCGGCGCCGCCGGAGCCGTGGTCCACGCTGCGGAACGGCCCCGCGTTCGCGCGCGCGCTCGACTGGGTGCTGATCATGAACTACGACACCTGGCAAGGTGCGTCGTCCACTTTGTCGGTGCGCGCGCTCGCTTACACACATTCACACATGCTCTTGCTTCCGTCGGCCGTGTCCACCCACCCGCAGCGAGTAACCCCCCAGGCCCGAACGCGCCGCTGAGCGACGCGTGCGGAAACTCGACGCGCCCGGAGTCCTCCGCGCTCGCCGCCCTCCGCGCGTGGACGCGCGCGGGCGTGCCCGCGGACCGGCTCGTGCTCGGCGTGCCCTCGTACGCGTACGTCGTCCGCTCGTCCGCCACGCGCCTCCGGGGCCGTGCCACCCGGTCCGAGGACCTCGCGCCGGGCCCGGCCGGCTCGCACTTGCACTCGCACTCGCACCCGCACCCGCACTCTCCGCGACGCCGCCGCGGAGTCCATGCGCCCCGTCGACCGCACCGGGCAGGCCGGGTGCCGCTGGGCCGCTGGCCCGCGGGGGTCCATCCCACCGGTGGTCGACGCGACGGTCTCCTCTTCCTCCGTCGCCGCCGCCGGGCCGCTGCTCGTCCGAACGACGACGGGGGCACGGACAACGGGCAGGTGCAGTTCCGCGCGCTCTTCGCCCAGGCGCGCTCCAGCTCCAGTCGTCCTCGTCCTCCGTCCTCGTCGCGGAAGTTCGCGGGCGCGCACGGCTTCCGGCGCACGTGGGACGCGTGCTCGAGCACGCCGTTCCTGCGCTCCGCGGGCGCGCGCCAGGTCGTCGCGTACGACGACCCCGCGAGCCTCGAGGTGAAGGCGCAGTTCGCGCGCCGCGCGGGCATGCGCGGCGTCAACATGTTCGACGTGCACGGGGACACGGACGCGTGGGACCTCGTCGATGCGCTCCGGCGCGGTTTGGGCGTGACTGGGGCTCAGTGAGCGGCGGCCCCGCGCGCGCGCGCGAGCGACGGAACGCGGGGCTAGGGTGTGGATTGTGTGTTGGTGGTGCCCGGGCGGGAGCGGCGCAGGGAGGTTCTGCGGCGCACGCAAGGCCTGTCGTGTCGTGTGGCTGTCGCGGCGGGCCGCGGTATCTACGCTTAGGTTTGTGTGTTTTTAGTGTCATTATATACATCCATATGTGCTTATACCAACATTCTACTGAAAGGGTGTGGCTGCTCAAGGAAGCGATGGAAGAGGCGCTGGAAGGGTCCCTAGCCACTAGGCGCTCTGTGGCTACTAGTAGAGCCCCTCTTTTCTCCCTCTTCTGCCAGTCTTTGTGGTGGCTGCGCTGTCCGGAAACCCTCTTCGCCTCTCATCGCATCATGTTCAGCATATTCAATACCTCCGGGACCGCCAACAAGGAGAATATCCCCGCTCTGAACCTGCAGCAGGACTCGGTTGCTCAGGTGCGTTCAGTCGGGGACACGGGCTGCACAAAATGTATGTCAACATCTTCACAGCTCGACAAGCTCATACAACACTGCACCTTTGACGGTGACTATTTAGAAATGCGCCAAAGTGAGTAACATGGCACCCCCATTCTAGCCCTTATAGAATCCGCGCTCCAGTCGACCCCAGTCTGCCTGATTCCTCCGACAACAAGGGTCCTTTGGTTCTCCACCCGACCTGGCTCCCGGTCCTCAAGGACGCAGACGTGCTCTTGGGCATGTGTGTTGATTCTTCAAATGGCTCCGTCCAGGACGAGCCAGAGGATGTGGGTTTCTGCAGCCCGTCGTAGTTCACATCCTACGCACGCGCTGATTCCAGCTGCAGTTCTACACCGACGTAAAGAAGTTTGAATATGATCTCGTCATACTCCCTTCGTCATCCCTCGAGTCGGCCTCGCCCGCGAACGAAGGCATCCGAGTTGTCTCTGGTCCGCTCCCCTTCCACTTTCCTTATCACTATGGCGTCGTCTTCACGGGCAAGCAGTTGCTCGAACGCTTCCCGAACGGAAGGTTGGACTGCACCAAGTTCACCAGTCTCGATTGCGGCGTCGTTGCATACGTGGGAACCATGCTCGACATCTACGTAGGATAGGTCACGGCATGCCCACCGCCACCCTGGATGTCCTCTCTCCACGATTCGGACCAAGGCGACAAGGGCAAGAGAGTCGCTCCCGGTGACACAGGCCACTCGACGCTACCGGGAGGAGAACATCGACCTCATCCTGTAAGGTGCACTGCTGCGCCGCTCCCGGCGAAGTATCGTCCACCGTTCCTATCGGTGATGTACGTCCTGTGCGGGATTCGGTACCTGTCCCGGTGGGTTCGGTGCATGTGGCTGTGGATTTCGTTTGCCCTAGAGCAAAGCAGTGAGTAGCTTGTCGCACGGGGTGCAACTCGACGCTCATCATTGATGACGACAGAGCGTGGCATTCCGCCGCCCGCCGGACTCGGGTTCGATGATGACTAGAATCTATATCTCAAGGTGTTCGCAGGAGGCTGTACCTAGTTCTGGTTGGTAAATCCGCTGACAAAGTTGTACTGCACGTCTTCTGGTGTTGAGGCCCGGCCCGCCGGGCTGTGGGTGATGGAAGACCTTGGCCGCCGCCTCTGAGGTGGAGGACTGGGGCTGGAGCGCGCGGAACTTTCGCACTGTTTCAAGATTGGACAGATATTGCGCATCCCTGGGACTCACATTGAACGGCGCGGCTTGGGCGTCGATGGCGGGGCGCGGTGAGCGGCGGGCGCGGTGGGGGGCGTGCGTGCTTGCTGCGGTGGGGGCGGCGACGGCGACGGCGAGCGCGAGGTTAGTGTGGATATGGGTTGGTGGGGCTCGGGCGGGAGCACAGGGAGGTTCTGCGGCGCGCGTAAGGGCGTCGTGACGTGTTGCTATCGCGGCGCGCCGCCGCGGTAGCTGCGCTCTGGGGTGTTTGCAGCGTCACCACATGCATCCATTCATGCTTTCGCGCGCGCGCTGCTGACCGGATCGTGCGTCTTCTCAAGGAAGCAATGGAAGAGGCGCGGGAAGGGCTAGGCACCATGTGGCTCTACGTAGGACGAGAAGTCCACGCCCGGGACCGTTCCGTCGCGGTTCGATGCCGTTGCAGGACGACGTATGTGCTGGGGCGGGGCGAGGCGAGGCGGATCGTCGCCCGTGCTGGTCGCGGCCGCGAAAGTCGGGGTTCTGTCTCGACTCCGAGTCCGGCTTCGAGAGAGCGACCGGGTGCGGAAACGTCGCCGCTCTCGCTCCGATGTCGTTCGGAGGTGCCGCGGTGAGAAGCCTCGTGCGCTACTAGCGGGTGAAGTTGAAGGTGGGGGCGCTGCAGGTGGGTCACCTCAGGCGAGCCCTGTGCGTGGTCCGCGGTGGAGGTGGGGTTCGCTCAGGATCATTTGCGAGAACACCGCGCGGGCCGAAGCGCTGGTTTGGCTGTTGAATGTGCGGTCGGGGTCGAGGTCGCGTATGGCAGATGCGTATTCGGGTTCGGACTGGTGCTCGTCCGATGGCCAGCGAACTAACCCGAGACTTTTGTCGTTCTGTCCTGCCCACTAAGCCGTCGCGATCGACCCGGCTACGCTGCGGGAAGCCCCCGGGCCCGAACCCCACGCCTCGTACGCTCCGCGGAGATGCGAGAGACGCAGACGGCGCGGGCGCCATGACATATGCCCGTATGTCTGAAACCAAACAAAAGTAAGCCATCACCCCAGCCGCCACTTTCACTTTACGTTGTGGACCCCACCCTGAGATCCCTGCGGTCGTCTCGGACGGAGAGCCAGCGGGCACCCCGTCTCCGTCGGCGTCGTTTCCGCAAGCGATCCGTGTCGGTGCTTGCGCCCAGATGGTCCCGCACGCTGGCTTCAGAGCAGCCGAGGCGTCCGCGAGGGCTGAGTGCTTTCAGACGGCGCGCGTGGTGATGCGCCGTGGCCGCCTAGTGTGGTCGCGTCGGGCGCGTCGTGCGCGTTGGTCGGGGTGTGCTGGAATCTCATATCAGACAGCGGCGCCAAAGCAGTACTCTAGGATGTGCGCCCTAACTATTGGGGCGGAGACGGCGCCTCGAGCCCAGGGTCGTCAGGCGCGCTCCCACTGGGAGACCTTGCCAACGGGCGGCTCGCCCCCGACGGCGCGGAGGAGCGGGAGGTCGATAGGCGTGGCCAGGGCCGGGTCCGCTAGGTGTTTGCAATGGCGGTGGTGGAGGCGCCGTTTGCGGATCCAAAATTTGATCATCGGAGAGTTTGGATCTGGGCCGAAGGGCACGAATGACTTGCCGACAGGTGCTGTCGCTGGAGGAGTGCAGAGCGAATATTCAACCCTTCCGTACTACAGTATCTACAGCATACAGGGCTCGCTCACTACGCTGTTTCTTGACGGCTGCAGCTGACGAGTATATAGACTTCGCCCACGCGACAGCCGCGTGGTTAGCGCCAGTCGCGAGGCTTGGATTTGACTATTGCACGCAAATATCCATGTTTGAACTTGGATGGGGGCGATCACCATATCCCGCTGGAACGCCACAAGCGGCAAGCCGCCGAATCCACGTCTGGGCGCCTCCTCACGCGATGGGTTGGGAGCGTCTGGCGACGAGTGCTGAGAGCAGCGACGTGAGCCGTCGAGTGGGGGCGGGGAATCCGATGGGAGGAGGCACTAACCACGCGATCGCCTTGCAAAGTGTAGTTTGAACGGCGCCGGCCGCTGGCAGTCCAAGCGGACTTTCAAACCGAACCTAGCCGCTCCACGCGGGCCGAAGGGCGCCTACGCAGGTCTCCTCGCGCCTCCGACCGTCCTCCGCCTCCCTTATGTCTTGAATCCGCTGCTGGGCTTATTGGTCATTCCAAGGGTCTGCCCCGCCGCAGGCGGGGCTGCTGCCCTCCTTCTCATCATCATCTAGTGAAGAAACGTCAGTATGGAAAATTTCTCAGTTCTGTCCGAGTCATCTCCTCCAATCCCCATCTGTACTTGAATTCCCTCAATGTCAGCCGCCCTCCAGGTTCTGCTTTCCCGCCCGCGCCCAGCTCACCCACGCACCTCCCAGCTGGAATGCGCTGCGTCCTCGTGGAGCGGTGAAACCGCGGTGTGTATAGATTGCTGCAACCTAAGGAGGGAGATGCAGTCCGTCCTGGTAAGTAGCATTCTTCCTAGGTTTCCTGCTCCCATGCTGTAGGCCTCGCTCCTTCCGCTTGCGTTCGACTGCCTTCCCATCACATATCGTCCCGTTACATATCGACAACACGAGTCCTCGCCGTCCATTTCAGGCTTGGCTCTGCTCCTATGCGCGCGCTTCCCAGCACATTCCAGGCACTATTCAGCATTTTTGTGGTCGTATCTCCAGCCCTGTGTGACCCCTCGTGGGACCTTTGTTTACACACCTTTTGTTTCATCTGGAGCATGATTCTGCTGCCCAGTCTAGCGTGTATCAGCAGCCTAGTACTCACCACCCTGCGGGCAGTTGTCTAATTTCATTCTGCAGAGCTCGATTGCTAAGAAGCGAGAGGCTTCAAATGGAAGCAAGGCCGAGAGCGAGTCTGGGATATGATCCACTGCCCTCCGATTCCAACTCCCATTGACTCTCCCACCCCTCTTTTTTCATCCCATACACTACTTTCCGTTCTAAAGCTTTCAACTGCGACCGCCATTTCCCTACACGAAATATGTCCGAGATGTCCGACGATACGAAGAGTACGTGCTGTCAGTCGTCTTCCGCCCTCGTCTGTTCCACTTACGAGACTTTTTGTTCTTTTTTAGTCATTTTTTTGAGCGATGCGGATCTTACGGCTCTCAAGTTCCTTGGTCCTGGTGAATACCTCCGCCCTTTCGCATGTGTATCCCTCATTTATCGTTGCTCCCCCAGACGCTGCTCAGGGGGTCATGAATCTCATCACGTCCCTCAGGAGTGTACCTCAGTACTTCGGATGTGTGTCTCTTTTCGTGTCTGTCTCCATAGCGGACTCACCAATTTCGTCTTTAGGGCTCACTGTGGATCAGGTCGGGTGCCTCAACACCCAGCTCAAGTACCGACCACGTCCTCCGCCGCCGTCCCGAACCCTGCCCACGTCCAGCAATATTACGCTTCTTTCCCAGGCGTCCGAGTTCTCAGTTGGCGATGACAATCACATCTCGCCCTTCGAGCGCGCATACTTCTACAACGGCGTCGCCGACGACCCTCCTCCCCTCTTCCAGCGTTCCGATCTCGTGCAGCGTCCTTTCCCCATCCCTCAAAAGCGGCCTGCAGAGAGGTACTCCACCACTCCTGTGAAGACTGCCCACACCGCCAACCACCCTATCCTCAAGAACAACTTTTGGAAGGAGTCGGTTGCTCCTGAGATCATCGCCTTGTGCCAGGAGGCGAGTCGTGGCATTCGCGTCTCAACGATGCTACCTGTGCGCTTCTCTACCCTTGATGAAGACGACAAGGACGTATTCGACGACCACATCGTTCTGTGGATCTCCGTTCATCCTAACACCACCAAGGAGACCTCCTGCCGTAATGCCAATGCCCCCATCCTCGACATCTTCGCCAAATACAAGATCCACGACGTCGCTGTCCACTGGATCGAGGGCGCTGTGGAGTCGCTCGCTGGTCCTCCTGAGATGATGTCTTCCGCCAGCGACACCAACCCGACTCACTGGATCCGCCGAGCTCTCACGACCGTCCTGGGCATCCCCCTCGTTGCACAGGACATGGCGTACACCGGTTCGCAGGGCTCACTCGGTCTCTACTTTCACCGTGGTAAAGACAAACACGGCAAGAAGAGCCAGGAGGTCATGGCAATCACCAATAAGCATGTCGTGTCCAAGAAGACCGACGCGGACTACGAGTACCCGCAGGGTGCACGTAAACAGTATATCCAGAACTGCGGGCATCGTCGTTTCGGGCAGCTCCTCAATGAAACTCGTGCCCTGCTTGGTGAGAAGCTCGGTTACGCCACGCTGTTCGCTGGACAGCTCACGAAGCTATTGGCGGATCGACCTGAGGAAGAAAATGCAAGCTACAACATGGACTTGAAGTATAAGGAGCAAGACTTGCAGAGGGTGGGGTCCGACGTCTGTATTCTCAGTGACTTCCTGAGGATCCTCAAGTCCACTTGGAGCGATCCCCTTGATCGCATCGTCGCCTGGGTCGACTGGGCACCCAAGATTGCCAACAATCTCGACTCCCGCCGCTACACTCGCGACATAGGCGTCATGACGCTCGAAAAGGACAAGTTCGTCAAGAATTTCAAGGGCAATGTCGTCTACCTAGGTGCGCTCTTCTTCTAACTCTGCTTTCTCCATCTTCATTTAACGAAAACGTCACTCTTCAGCTGGCAAGTTCACCCCCGACGAGATCGTCGTCTGCTTCTGCCCCAACGCCACCAATCCCCCCGTATTCGAGTACCCCACGGACCATCTGTTCAGGATTTTGGGGTGCGTGACGCTGCAGGCCTCTCTACCCCGTACTGCCTCGACGATAACGACAACCCATGCTTCACCGTCGCCAAGGACGGGCAGGCGACCGACCTCACCTTTGGTCGCCAGTCCGAACTCGAGGCGTACACCTGTAGGGACCTCGAGGGCGAGTCCTGGGAGGTTGCAGTCCTCAACTTCGGGGGCAGAAAGCATGGTGATTTCTCCGCCAAAGGGACTCTGGCGCAGCCATCTTCAACGCAGAGGGCAGGCTGGTCGCCCTCCTGCATTCTGGAATGCCCCGTGGATCGTCCAACCATGTCACGTTCGGAACTCCTGGTCACTACGTCATGGAGCTCGTCAGGCAACAGTACCCCGATGCCGATTTCTCCCGCTGCAAGTACGACGACGACGACGCAACCGCAGCCTAAAGTCCTTTCTCCTCGACTCTTTCCTAGCCTTTCAAGCGCGTGCTTCTCCAGGGTCCAAGCGGGTGTAGTGTGTGGGTATGGAGTGGTACCGAGTAGCACATGCCTCATGCGGGAACACGGAGGTTCTGCGGCGCGCGGCGGTAATTTCTGCGCTTTTGTGTGTTCGCAGAGTCAGTACAGCACGCATCCATTCATGCTTTCAGATACGCACTAGTGAGCGGTCCGCGCGTACGTCCAAGTACTCGAGGAAGTAATGGAAGGGGCACTGTGGTTCTTCGAAGTATGAGGCACCGAGGACTAGGACCCTCGGGCGGCGTGTCGTGGTTCGGTGGTTCGGTGGCCGTCGCAGGACGACGTGTGTGTTCGGGCGGAGGCGAGGCAGACTGTCGCTACCGCGAAAGTCGGGGTTCTGTCACGACCCCTTCGCAGTCGAAAGAACGACACCGTCGCCGCGCTCGCTCCGATGTCCGTCGGAGGTGCCGCCGCGTAGCTTCGCGAGAGTAACGCTGGACCGGCGACTGTGCAAGCAGCTGAAGCTGAAGGGTGCGCTGCGGGCGGGTCGCCCTGCGCGACCTTGTGCGGGTTCGTGGTCGAGTGGGATCGTTTGCGGCCGACTTCTACCCGACCTCGACCGACTCGACGCCGAGTGGTCCGTCGATGACGTCGCGGTCCGGGGCCCGCATAGCAGATGCAGATTCGAACCGGGACCGGTGCCCGTACGTGTGGTGGCAGCGAAGGGGCCTGAGATCGAGAGCAAACTGTCAGCGGACACCCCACCAAGACTTACATAACTGTCGCGACCAACCCGGCCTCCTCGTTCGCCGCGAGAAACCCCGGCTCGAACCCCGCCAGTGCGACCGCGATGACGAACGCCCATATCACTGAAACCGAACCGAATGTCAACCATCACTCGGGACTTCCTGGCAGCAACCGCTTTCACTCACGTTGTGCACGTGCACGACCCCACCCCGGCCTGGGAACCCACAGTTCACCGCGGACGGGGGAGCCCCCGTCCCCGTGCCGGTCGTCTCCACGAGCGGCCGGCCTGCGTCGGTGCGCTCGCGCCCAAGTCGTCCCTCGCGCGGGGAGGTGGGGTGCCGATGCCAGGGCCAGGTGCCGCGCGACGTGATGCGCCGTGGTCGCCCAGTCCGGGTGTCTCGTTGCGTTGCACCCGCCGGCCGGCGCATCGAGTCGCCGAGGAAGAGGAGGACGACGCTGACGCCGAGGTGGTCCGCGACTCCGCGGACGTGCGCTAGGTAGATCCCAGGAGGGCCGTTGGCGACGCGGCGGGCGCGCTCGGAGACCGTGCGCTTGCGAGCGGGCGGCCCGCCCTCAACGGCGCGGAGGGGCGCGGGGTCGCCGGCAGGCGCGGCCAGGGTCGGGTCCGTTGGCCCTTGGGTGTTTTGCAACGGCGGTGCCGGTGAGGGTCGGAGGCGCCGTCCACGGGTCCGGAATTAATCATCGGAGAGTTTGGAGCTCGGCCGATGAGCACGGACGGGCTGATGGTTGGTGTTTTGTCGCTGGAGGAGGTCAGAGCGAGGTTCTCCAAAATTAAAGCGCAGTGTTGCCTTCGACACAGCCTGCGGGGCATATGTAGATCCTTCGGCCGTCTCAATTGAAGGCTATTGCCCGAAGCGGCGTCGCGATGTCAGAGAAGCGTGCGTCCGGCGTCGACTCGTCAACGCTGCAGGGTCAAGAGCTCGTGGGTCGTCTCTGTGTATTCAATCAACAGAGCGTCATTATTTAGTATGTTCCTGGTTCAATGCTAGAGCCTAGTGATGCCTGATAGGGCTGACGCACCACTCCAGCCGCGATACTTGGGCAAAAACCCGTGCCGGCACGCCGGAAATATCGGTGTCTTGACGGTGGGATCAGCAGAACGGAGCGCCATGACAATGAAGCCAAATTACGAGGAGATGGGTGTTCGGCGCGGTGACGGCCGTGGAAAGAGGACGCGGAGGCGGGCTATTGTTGCCGACCTCAATGGCAACGTACATCGGACTGGAAGACTACAGAGACTGAGAGGGTATGTGTGAAAAGTATCTATGGTCCTAGGCTATGCAGGTCGGTCCTGGATATGCTACAGAGGGCGAGCAGGCTGAATCGATACCTTATAGAGAGAGAGACCATTGGAGTACACAAGACGTTGAAAATAGCGGAACGAAGGCCCAGCCGACGACCGAACATACAATCGACGGTAAGTTAGTTATATGATGCGTCCATAGAATAGATACAACTCAAGGATACGATTCGGCAGAGCATTACGACGATAAGAGGGCAACATAGTATGAATACACTGGTGGACAATACAAATAAGTCGAACATCCACGCGCGCAGTGTGACGAAACAAGACCGCACCCGAATGTACTACAGAACACGGGCGTGCGTCCGTCGCGCATGCCACCGTCCGTGTCCGCCATCCAAGTCCGTTAGAGTCCCATCCGCGCCGCCAGCGACTGGTCGCGGTCTCCGAGCTCGATGTTATTCGGGTTCAGGGACGGGTCCTTGCCGTTCCGCTGGCCTCCTCGCCGGCGACGCCGCGACGACCGCTCGTGGTCGTGGTCGCGATCCTTCTCGCGCTCTCTGTCCCGGTTCCGGGTATGCTCCCTGTCCCGATCCCGGTCCTTCTCGCGGTCCCTGTCCCGGTGGGGCGGACGGTCGCGTTCGCGCGCGGGCGAGCGGGGACGCGACGAGCGGCTGTCGTCGTCGACGTCCATGCCGCCACCGACGCCCGCGCCGTTCCCTTCGCCGGTGCTCACCTTGCGGTCCATCGAGACGCGCGAGTCGCGCGAGCCGCCGCGGGGCACGGTCGCGTTCGCGGCGGAGAGGTGCGGCTTGGTCGGGATCGGGAGCGGCGGGGAGGGCCCGGTGGGCGACTTCTGCATGTCGGAGAGCCGCGGCTTTTTGTGCGCGCGGGGCCCGGTAGGCGGTAGCTTCCCGCTGCCGTTCGCGGACGGGGCGGGTGGGGCCCCGAGGCGCCGGGGAGGGCACGACTTGACGCCCTTGGGCGTGGAGGAGCGCGTCCTGGGACTTGTCGACCTCGGTGCTGCGGGGGCGTGAGCGAGTGCGGGAGGGGCGGGGACGGGGCACGCACGATAGGGATGCGATGACTTGGTGGGATTCTGGGGCGAGCCGGCAGCTTGAACGTCGTACTTGGTGGGCGATACGGGGAGCGACGCACCTCTCAAGGCCCCCTCGAGCTTCTGAACGACACGCCTGAGGACACGGACGTCCTCCTTCAACCTCCCCGTTTCTCCGGTCTTGAGAAGCTCGTATAGCTCGTCGTTCTCTTCTTGCAAAATCTTGGCCCTCTGGATGAGGGCGGTGGTGACGGAGCCGGATGCTGCGGCGGGTGTATGTGGTCGTTGGTTGAGGTGGGGGAGGAGGACGGACATGAGTGCTGGAGGAATAGTGATGGGCTCTGTGGCGGAGGGGGGCGGCTGGTTGGTGAGGAATTGGCGGAGATGCGTGACCTCATCCTGCACGCGTCGAGATGTGAATGGGGCGTATCGGTAGGGGCGGGAGGGGAAGGACGTACGGTGAGCTCGGCCACCTGCGCGTCACGCTGGCGCAGGAGGGTCTCGAGCTCGAGCTCTCTTGGCGTCGGGAGGTCCATGAGGGGAGAGAGACGGGCGGCTGGACGACCGTCCGAGAGGATGTGGAGAAGGAGCAAAGACCCCGCCTGGAACCTCCCCGCGACTGGCGCCAACCACGTGGCCGTGGCATGAACGCGGACCGAACCGCGACTTGGCTCAACATGTCGCTCTCGACTCGCCAGTTCGTGATCGCTGGCTGCGCACCCTCTGCAACCAGTTCCGTGTTCACTCTTGTGTTCACCCACGGCGCCAGACAAACAGCGTTGGCCAACACTGCCACCCGCGGCGGAGTCAAGGTCGATGATCGGTCGACAACACGACTGTCCTGCTTTCATCCATCATTCTGCAGAGGCGACGCTACGTGATCGTCCTGGGGGCGGCGGGTTCGGCAGCCACATGCGTCAGAGGAGTTCTCGACGGCAGGCACAGCTCCAGTGAACCCTCGTCTCGAGCCAAGTTCTCACCTCCGACGACGGCAAACGGGGACAATCAGCCGACAAGGATCCTCAGCCCTCTCCCATGCCTCCTCTGCGGCCCCGTGGACGTCGCGCACCTGCTCAATATTCAATATCAATCACGCTCGCCAGATCGCCCGTTCCCGGGCCACGCGCCTACCCAGGCTCTCGCCCTGCTTCCTCTTCTTCCTCCTTCGCTTGCGTCACATTGCGTGCCACATGACCGGTGTTCAGCGTGCTCGCAGCTCGAGAAACGGTGAACCTGAGCCCATCGCAGGGCAGCCGCACGAGGTTGCACGTTGTCGCTGCTCCGTCTTGATCCACCGCAGGCGCCCTGACACCGTCGCATCGTCCCCCTCCCAACGGTATATAACCCGCCGCGCTCCACCGTGCCGTCTCATCCCCCCCGCGCGAACATGCGCCCCTTCTCTCGTCTCGCCGCCTGGGCCTCCCTCCTCGCGCCCGTCCTGGGCGCGGTGACCTGGGACGCGACCCCCTTCAACCCCGCGTCCGTCCCGCTCGCGGTCCGGACCCCGTACCTCTCCGCCTGGCTCGCTCAAGGTTCCGGCACTGCTCTGAACGACAACTGGCCTCAGTTCTGGACCGGCAGCGTAAGTCCTCCCTATGTCCGCCCGGTGCCCGTCCTCATTCTGCGTTGCAGATTCTCGGCTGGGCAGGCTTCATCAAGGTGGACGGTACTGCCTACTCCTGGATGGGTGCTCCCTCCGTCCCGGGCGCGTCCTTCAACAAGGCGACCCAGAAGAGCCTCAAGGTTCGTGACGAGCGCAGAGCCGCGCGCCGATGGCTGAACACCGTCCGCAGTTCACGTCCACCCAGAGCATCTTCGTGATGTCTGCCGGGCCCGTCGACCTCACCGTCACCTTCCTCAGCCCGGTCGAGGTGACCCTTCCGCCCCCGAGGATGCCGTTCGCGATGCTCATGACGTCACCTGCAGCCCGACGACCTTCCCACGCAGTCGATTCCCTTTTCTTACGTCGCGCTCTCCGCCGCCGCCAACGACGGCGGCTCGCACTCCGTCCAGGTCTACGCCGACATCAGCGCAGAGTGGGTCACCGGCGACAACAGCCGCACCGCCAACTGGACGATCACCACCGGCCCCATCCTCACCCACCAGGTCCAGCTCGCGTCCCAGACCGTGTACACCGAGTCCAACGACCACACCCAATGTGAGAGCACTGTTACGGAGCATTTTGCTCTTGCTCACACCCCCTGTGCAGATGGGTCCGCATACCACTCCACCCCGAACGTATGTCGCTTCGAGTCATGCCCCTACTCTCCCAACTAAGGTCATCGCCCATAGACCCAAGGCGCGACCTGGCAGTCTGGTGAGGACACCGTCGTCCGCGCCCAGTTCATCAACAACGGCAAGCTCGCCAACTCCGCCGACACCCAGTTCCGTGCTGTCTCCGACCGCTGGCCCGTCTTCGCCTTCGCCCATACCTCGGTACCGTGTCCGGCCCGACCTCGCCCACGCTCTATACCGTCGGAAACGTGCGCGAACCCGCGATCCAGTACATCACGCCCAACAACGGCCGGCAGGACCGCAGCCTGCTCTTCTGGACCAATTCTCTTCCGTCGCTAATGTGGTATGTGCGCGCCACGTGTATGTACATCGAACCCCCGGGAGCGGATGCTGATGAGAGCGGACGCAGATCTCGTCGTTCATCAAGGACTACTCGAACGCGCTCTCTCGCGCCAACGCGTTCGACGCGAAGGTCGCCGCCGATGCCAACAAGATCTCCTCTGACTACGCGGACATCGTCGCGCTCTCCATCCGTCAGACCCTCGGCGCCTGCGAAATCACCATCTCTAAGAACGCCGACGGCTCGTTCAACACTAACGACATCACCACTTTCATGAAGGAGATCTCCAGTGATGGCGTAAGTGCTCATGCACAACCCTCCCACGCTCGTGATCACTGACACTGGCCAATCAGAACACGAACACTGTGGACGTTATCTTCCCCTCGTGGCCCCTGTTCCTGTACACCAACCCGGAGATCGGCAAGCAGTTGCTCCTTCCTCTCTTCCAGTACCAGGCGAGCGGCCAGTACCCCAACCCATGGGCGGTCCACGACATCGGTACGTCTTGGCGACTACTTCAGGCTCGACTGTTTTGACAGCATTTCAGGTGCTCACTACCCCATGGCCATTGGTCACAACGACGGGCAGGATGAAGCGATGCAAGTCGAGGAGTCCGGCAACATGCTAATCATGACCCTCAGCTACATCCAGAAGACCAACGACACCTCCCTCGTCACCTCCTTCGTCAGTCTCGCCTCCACCATCGTCCCCCAGACGCTTACTTTGTCCACAATTCCACAGAAAGCCTCCTCGACCAGTGGACGCAGTTCCTGATCGAGGACGCGCTCATCCCCGCCGAGCAGCTCAGCACGGACGACTTCGCGGGCACGCTCGCCAACCAGACCAACCTCGCCATCAAGGGATCATCGGCATCAAGGCCATGTCCGAGATCGAGCGCATCGCGGGAGACACCGCCAAGGCGGACAACTACAGCGCGATCGCGGCCTCGTACGTCTCGCAGTGGCAGGAGCTCGCGCTCTCGACCGACGGCCAACATTGACCCTCGCCGTCCGTCGTTTCTCTCTTTTGGTTCGGTCGCGCAGGCTCACCTTGTGACGCGCAGTACAACAACGAGGACTCGTGGGGCCTCGCTACAACCTGTACGCCGACAAGCTCCTCGGCACCAACATCTTCCCCCAGTCGATCTACGAGCTCCGTAAGTGCATCTCTGCCCGCCTCATCCGGAGGCAACGAGACTGAGCCGCATCCGCAGAGACTGCCTGGTACAGCAGCCACGCCAGTGCGTCCCCATCCCCATTCCGACGCCATCTCACCCTGACAGACCTCCGACCCCCGCAGACGCATTCGGCGTGCCCCTCGACACCCGGTGAGCGCCGTCCACCCCTCGCGCCCCGCGTGCCGCACGCTGACCCGACCCGCCCCACAGCCACACGTACACCAAGTCCGGTAAGCCCCCTCCCCGGCCCCTCGTGCGCGCGACCGGCCGCTGACGGACCGCGGACCGCAGACTGGGAGATCTGGACGTCGGCGCTCGTGACGTCGACGGAGGTGCGGGACATGCTCATCAGCTCCGTGCGCAAGTACGCCGCGGACGGCTCGAGCTCGCAGCCGCTCGGGGACTGGTACGAGACCACGAACGGCGCCGTCGAGGGCTTCCGCGCGCGGCCCGTCGTCGGCGGCCACCTTGCCCATGTGAGTGGTTTTTTTTTTCAAAGGTTTCCCCTCTTTCTCTTTTCCTTTCGAGAGGGGGAGAGGGGAGGGTTGGTGCGAAGCGCGGTTGCTGACTGATTGCGCGGCTTCCCCATCCGTATAGCTCGCTCTGCAGTGAAGGTCCTCACTGGGGAAACCGGGAATCGGGCAGGTTGGTTCGCGACTCCGGTTTTGAGTCCGCAGGGTTACCAGCGTTCGCTGGGACCGGGCAGTTATGCCGGGTCCCAGAACGTCAAATACCGATTAGGGACGAACCTGCTGTGTCTTTAACACTTGGATGGAAACATACGTTTTGCCTATGTCGTGCATTGTCCAGTGCGACCAACTCTGAGGCTCCTTCGATTGCAATCCTATGACATTGTTCGTTTCGGCGCCAGGTTCGGCTTCTCGTCCTTACCGGGGCGGCTTGCGCCACATACTGCGGGCTCTTCTGAGTAGAGTACGAGGGATAAGATAGTATGAACGACGAGAGAAGAGGTAGGTCGAAGAATATAGAAGCAGAAAAGGCTGAGATAATACGCTTCTACACCCGCCAACATGAATCACATTACAGCACACGAACTTCTAACAACAGTGCCTGGTCGCGCCCGAACTGTTGCCGTTTTTATATGCATGGATAACCTACACGCGTAGAAGCCATTAGGCATGGCAAGGTTCCACCTCAAACATATCACAGTTCTAGCAAAACCAGGATGCCGACGGCAAGAATATAATTAGATGACGTAGTTTATACAGCGAACATATACGAAGGACACATCACGGAGAAACCCAACAGCCCGGAGACCCTTCAGAAGTGAGGGGCGTTGAGGAGGATGCCCATGGTGCAGCCAGCAAGGACGCCGACGACCGGGACCGTGATCACCCATCCGAGCACGATCCACCCGAGCTGCTTCCAGTTGAACGACCGCCAGTCGCCGTTGCACATCGCGACGCCGAGCGTCGCGCCGGTGATGCACATCGTCGTCGACACCGGGATCCCGTACTGCGACGCGAGCAGGACGGTGATCGCGGCGCCGAGCTCCATGCTGTAGCCGCGCGAGGGCGAGTGCAGGGTGAGCTTGTTGCCGAGGACGGCCATGATGTTGTAGCCGTAGGTCGCGAGGCCGAGGACAAGCAAGGCCGCGCCGGCGACGAGGATCCAGACGGGCGTGTCGGTGTTCTTGCCCGCGGGCTGGCCGGAGCTCCAGATGGCGTAGATGGCGGAGTAGGGTCCGACGGCGTTGCCCACTGCACATATCTATCGTGAACAGAAGTACGCAAGGTGAGGTAAAAAAAAGCCTACGATCATTGGCGCCGTGTGCGAAGGACGCGGTGCAGGCGGTCACGACTTGGATGAAGGAGTAGAGATGCTCAGTCTTGTTGTCGTACTGAACAGCGTGCTTGTGGATCTCTGCGAGCGAGTTGTCGCGATCCTGCATCGCATGCACATCGACTATACGCAGGGTCAACACCGGATATCTCCTCCTGCATAGAACATGACTCACCAAGCACTCCGCGGGTGAGAGCCCACCGCATCCAAGGGAGAGACTTATGCCGGGCGATAATCCACAAGTTTCCAGGAAGATACCATGGACCTTCAAGAGGGTGCAACTCAATGTTAGCAAGAGCCGACGGTTCGGGGGCAACCGGCTTGTGGGGCTCCTCGATGTCGCTCTGCGAGCCCTTCTCATTGTCTGTGTCATCAAGCGATGAGAAACAACCTCATTGGTCATGTGTGTTCTCTTCTTACCTGAGCCTGCGTCGGCTGTCGTCGGCTCGTCCTTCCTGACACGGTAATCAGGAACGGCCGAACGGGCGCCCGGATCCAAGGCATCGGCAGGAGCCTCACGCCGCCACAGGAGTGGGCCCAAGAAGAAGTGGTAGAAGCGGAGCGCTTCGCAAAATTCAACAAAGCAATCGACTTTAGCATGAGATAGCACGTACTGTAATCGTTCCGAACAGTCTTGCAGTAGACGTATGGCAGCCAGAACAGCACGGATAGCACAGCGACTACTGCGCCTGTCCCAACGATTGCGGCAGCGAGCGTGGTGCCGGGCAAGTCGTCTAGGTTCAGCGTTGGAGACCCCTTGTAAACTTGGAGACCATCAGAAGTTGGTGTTGTAAGTAGTAGGAGTTTGTGCTTACTAATAACCATGGTCATGACCGTAGCCACCGTGAAGAAGAAGATCGGGGAGCCGAAGAATGCGGCGCGAAGAGAGTTCTTGCGAACCAGGACGCCATACTTCGTGATCAGATAGACCACAGAGGCGAAGCCAGCGGAGATGGCCGGAGCCTCCGCGGGTATTAGCACACTTGCCGGCAGAAGACCATAGTGCGCTCACAATGATAAATCCGGCAAAGATAGTTGCCAATCCTTTCCCGTCATTCCACCCCCATTGCACAGCATCGGCGCCGCCAATAGCAACACCGACACCGGCGATAGCAGATACAACTGAATTTGAAGTAAGCACATCAGTCACAACGGTAGTAAAAGGGACATACTAGAATAAGTTGTGGAGACTGGCCAACCGTACCGCGTACAAACCATGAGCCATGACGCAGAGCAAGTGATCGCAACCGTGAAAGCCAAGAGCTGCACCCCGGCATTCCCTTGGAAGACACCAAGTCCCTGGAGAGTATCCATCAACGTTTGCAATTCACGAAGCCAGATGTTCATACACGTACAATAATGCTGTTTTTGATCGTGCCAGACACACGAGCACCTACGAGAACACCGCCGAGGAACTCCATGACTGCCGCAGCCAGTGAGGCTTGCAGCAAAGTCAAGGATCGGGATCCTACCGACGTAGCGAACGACTGGCAGGGAATGAGCGTCAATCCCCGACTCTAGTATAAAGGCTTACATTCGCAACATCGTTCGCGCCTAGAGATTGTTTCAGCGTCACGATGGCGAGTGAGGACAGAAAGACTCACCGATATTGTACGCATCAAGGGCAGCGAAGATGGTGCCGAAGGCAAACAGGTAGTCCCACTGGTGTAGGGCCATCTTCGAGGCGGAGAGGAAGTCGCGCGCACTCTAGATTCCACCTTCGACCACGAATAGATATACAAGTCGGGGGGACGAACGTTCGTCGTTGGATGGCTGTGCAATCATCTTACTAGAGTTCGCATGCTCCGTACTCCTGGACCCGTCTTGGACGCCTGGACCTTTGTGTATCGTTCCTTGCCTTAGTTGCCGTCGAGCCGTCGGCCTGCTAGACCGCTAGTCAAACAGGTCTGCTTTTTGGACCCCCATGGTCATCCATACCGCGAAAACAATGCGAAAGGAGTCCTTTGCGCTCACCAGAGACTGCAACATATGTGCCTGATAAGTCGGAGCCGCCGGCCGCCAAGATGGCTGAGATTTACTTGGAACTTGGGTGGATCATCTGGGCTTTCAAACTTCAGCTGGGCAGGAACTTGTGGAGTTGAGGAGACCATAGCATCAGCCAACGTGTGACCTTATCAAGACTCTGCCAAGCTCCCAGAATGCCGCGTCTGGGTCTGTCTGGATTCACTTATCTGGAGAGTACCTGGGGAATTCTTAGGGAGACGGTAGATCAAATCGCGAGAATGTGCTTTACATACTGCTACATACAGATCTGCGAGGCGTGTCGAGGTCAGTGATAGTAAGAAGACAGTCATCCAAGCATAAGCACATACGATACTCGATCCGGCAGCGCTTATGACTTCCGAGAGACACCTTCCTATCCCATTCACAAGGGCAATCACTCATTGAAGAACTCCAGCGGGGTGTCGCGATTATGAACGGCGCGCCAAGTCGTAGGATGTCCATCCGCATCGCGGTTACCTTCATCCGTCCACAGCGAGTGGAACACGACATCGTCCTGCCCCTACGATCCACCGTATCAACACACGTAACAACGACATCAGATCGGTGGTATACCCTGTTAGGCGGGTCATGGATCCTACGCAGCACAGGTCAAACCAAGACATCGCGCTTGGAGCTGTAGTAACAGACGTACCTGGCATGAATGTACCCCTCTCCCTCGCTATCGTTGATTGCAGGAAGCTTTATCTTCCCTAGGATGATAGTGCCATAGGAGACAATGGCGCTGCGGATCTCTACAAGGTCCGAGCGGATGCTGAAGGCGACGAGATCGTCGTTGGGCACGCCGTGGGCGCGAGACCACATTTTGGGCTCATGCTTGTCCCAGTCATGGCGCGACTTGAGAATTTCAGACTTGATCTTGGGTTCCAAGATCTCGAACGCCTCAAAGGCTTTCTCCGTGGGCGAGTGGGGAGCGTTCAGCTCCACGATCTCGTTGGTGGCTGCGAAGAAGAGGTGGATGTTGCTGGGAAATTTGACAGAAAAATGGGCCAACAGCACTCACCCATAACTACCAGATCGAGTATGAGATGATGTGGGGAGGGTTTCGATGAATGGGGAGGCGAGGAGCTGAGGGAGATAGGTGAGATAGAGATGGGGCTGTGGCTGACTTCCGCGCGGCGCGCGCGCTGGCGCACGGGATATGATGACGTAGCTACTACAACTTGAGGCTGCCTCCAGATCTGTCTGTGGTCGGCCCCCGGCCAACTCTACGTTCCGGTCAGCCAACGCTGCCCCCTTTAGAATCGTCGTGAATTTCCACAACGGCCTTGCTGCACTAACAAAAACGTTTGACATATTTCTAGTACTATTTGTCTAAGCTACCAATTCTACCGGCGAAAGTCCGGATGTCTACGTTGCACGCCCAAGATCTCAAGGAGGCACAAACGCATATCATTGAGCATGCTTGAATCGGCCGGCTCACTTCGACCCGATGTCCTTGTAACGACGGAGAGCACGCTGTCGTGCCTCATGATGGTCAACCAACGGTCGCGGGTACCCCAGCTTGTCAGCCACTCCCGATGAAGGGTTATGGATGTCTGTGCAATCACGAACTCAGGCTGGTTTTGAAAATTCTCTGTGAAGCTGTTCGTACCTGCTCCCGACAACTTGGCCAGTTCCGGTACAAACGCACGGATGTACAGCCCTCTTGGATCTGTCTGCCATGTTAAGTCATCAGTATTGGAGCCCGAATTTCATCCAATCTCAACACACCTTCTGGCTCTGCGTGTAAGGATTGAAGATGCGGAAGTAAGGCGCGGGATCAACGCCGGTACTTGCGCTCCACTGCCAGCCACCGTTGTTCGAAGCGAGGTCGCCGTCGATCAGCGTCTCCATGAAAAACTGCCAGCCTCTCGTCAGCCACACTCTAGCCTCGCCTCACCTAACACCAGCTCACCTTCTCGCCCAGCCGCCAGTCGATCATTAAGTCCTTCGTGAGGTACATCGCTGCGATCATTCTCCCTCGATTGTGCATCCAGCCCATTTCGCGCGCCTGCCGCATGGAGGCGTCGACGATGGGGACCCCAGTGCGGCCCTCCTTCCACGCCTGAAGGTGGTCCTCGTTCGTTTCCCACTGCACATTGGCGTACTTCTCTTGGAATGGCCGACCCATAGACACGCGCGGGAAGAGCGCCAAAACATGCGTGTAGAAGTCGCGCCAAGCTGCAGAAGACGGATATTCAGTGGGTGACCGCTGAATATGAGGCTGAGCGACGCACCTATCTCCTGGATCCACCGTCCGACTCCCGTGTCCCTGCTGGCGTCGACCTTCTTTGTGCCGCAGATCTTCAAAGCATCGCGGATGCATGCGCGCGCGGATATTACGCCGGCGGCAAGGTACGGACTACATTAAAATGGATACCCGTTCAGGACGTAGTGTATGAAACCATGCTCACCTCATACGACTCGTCGAGTCGGCGTCCAATCGGTCTCTGTCGTCTTTGTACTTTCCCAGGCGACTCTGCTTCCCTGGATCTTTTACTTCTTTTGCTTCACCTTCTAATGGATTAACTGCCCCAAGCTTGGAAGCGTGAGATGCAGACTTCAAAAACTGGTGGAGCATCTGTGGAATGGTGAGTACTGCAGTGCAGGAGTTCCGCGCAATCATACCTGATGCGCCGCTTCTTCTCCTGCATGCCAGTACTTCGACATTTTCTCTTTGTCCTCAGGGTCCAGCGCAAAGCCTTCTATACTGTCAGGTACCTCGACGTCGAACAATTTGGAGAAGGTTGGATGGGAGCGAACGGACTTGTCGTTCGAGGATGGCGCTTCGGCCTCAGAGATGTGATTGTCCTGCGCCTGGTCCAAAATCGGTTTCCACACACGAAGGAAGGGAGAGTAGACCTGATATGCTATGAGAACGGGTTCGACGTGATGAAAACGGCTGAAGCTCACAGTGTATCCTCTGCCATCCTTGGTCTTAACATCTCCAGGCGCGACAACACATTTGTCGTGAACGAATTCGCAAGCGATCTTGCCCTCCTTGTTGGCGACCTGGAGAAGCGCAAGATCGCGTCGGAGCTCGTCCACTTCGTACTCCATGTTCGCGAATACGCGCGTCGCCTTCCACTTCCTAAACAGGTCATGGAGGAACGCTGGGATTTCCTTTCGGGGACTGTGCGTAACAGTGCACAGGGGGATGTCCAGCTTCGCGAGCTCGGCCTGCAACCGCAGATTGGATGATGGAACTTGGTATGAAAGAATGGAACATACCCTTATGATTTTGAGGTTTCGTAGAGTGAAGTCGATTCTCCGTGGACTGCGATCGTGCGCCACATAGTCCTGGGGACTAAAAACAAACAGAGCTATGAGCGGCACGCCTTCAAGTTGGGCTTGCTGTGAAGCCTGAGAGAGAGCTCTGTTGTCCCTGACTGTTGCAAAATTAGCATAGTGCGTCACTCGATGTCGCAGAAGACGCACTCCTCAAGTCCTCCATTCGCATCCAATACACAACGCACTCTCCTTTTGACGCTTTCTTCGGGGCGTTGCGGAGGGCGAGGAGAAGCTGTTGCATGGGCGGAGACGCGTCGGCCTTGGCCGCGTCATTGACCGTCGCGATCTTGTTGGGGAGGAATTTGAGGTCCGAGCGCGTTTTCTTCGCCACAGCGCCCCTCATAGATGCCGTGGGAGATGATGTAGACAAGCTCCTAGTGCGCTTAGCCATGTTCACGACTGTGTTTACGGTGATATGAAGTATGGCGAGAAGATGGGAGGAGGAGGGAGAGGGAGAAAGAGACGGGGAAGCGAAGCATGTCGAGGTCTTGTACGGCCACTTTGGGCGATGGAGATGGCGGGTGCCGAGGTGCGTCAGAGGCTGTCAGAGACGCGATTGAGCCGTGTTCATCGACGTCATGTGACCGCACGCCATCGTGCTGAGCACAGAGCGGCGGGCAGGACCCACAGGAACCAGCGAGTCCCAGTCACCCTATTGGCACGTCGGCGTCACATCTGACAGCAAAAGAGTCGTAAGGAGAACGTAATGTATTCCAGACTGGCAACGACAGCACGAGAGCATACGGAAACAGATAACAGTACGGCGTTCAATCGTCCAGATCGAAGTCGGAGTCCTCGTCTTGCTGCCCGCTGCGTATGCGTTGCCGCGCTGCTGGCTTCACACTGTACGTGACCGAGGGCGCGGCCGAATCGCCCTTTTGAACGACGCCTAGAACAGCGATCAGTCAAAGGGGGACCAAGGAGCGGCATGAGCGTACCGCTGTCGAGCAGTTTCCACTCCAAAGTAGCAGTCTCGAATTGGTCCGAGTTTCCAAGATCCTCGAAGCCGATGATCCTGCACAGCGTCAGCCATCGGTATCATCCATGGTGTGGAGATCCATACCTGTCTTTGGACACTCCGTCCATGAACGACATGACACACGGCAGAACCTTGATCCCCATTCGCTCTACGAGCCAGGGAACGTTCTCGACAAAAACACGGATGAATAGGGTGTTGAAATACTTGGGTGCGAGATTTGCAAGATGCTTGTCCATGATCTCGCACCGTTTGAATTTGTGGTGGAAGAAGTGGACGACACAGCGCGGCTTGTTGCTGAGCGAAAACGAATTCAACCTGTGATGCAATCACCACGCATAAAGGTAACTCACGCGGTAAGCCTGATCACTTCCTTCTCATCGGTGACCTCCCTGTACTGCCCGAATCCGTCGCTCTTCATTTGCTGAAGGTGTTCCATCCTATGTGAGCACGCAATGGACATGGAATCAGCACAGAAAGAGGAGCGCACCATAAGGATGAGGGTACGTTACTCTCGCTTTAGCTGGTCCATCCCATGCTCGCGAAACGCTGCGCTCGAGTCGTTTTCAATCTCGGCCTCGAGCTCGGCGAAGATGTCATCGTCGTCCAGCTCCATTGTCGCGCTCGTGCTGGGTTCATTGAAACGCCTGGCGAGAGACGCGACCTTGGCATCGTTTGCAGACATCGTAGAAAATATGACAGAAGTGTGAGAAGAGAGGGCGACGAATGAGGCCTGAGGACGACAGGGAGCAACTTGCGGGGTCTGAGCGCTGAGCAGAGTCGAGACAGGCGATCTCGATCGACACCTTGGAAGGTTCTTCCCACACTCGGGGAATGATGCAATCGTGGCTCGGGGCGTGCGCATGGCCAGTACCTCTCCGTTCACACCACGATGAAGCTCTCCGGTAAGCATATAGAGAAAGACAGGTCTGTAAGTATCCGGATTCACAACATTGGACGCAGTAATGGCTCACGCAGTCTCAGGGCTATGTCAGAGTCACACCTGATGACGACGAGGATATGTGGCATCTGTACAATCTCATTCATGTGGTACGTTCACCCGTCGGTGCTTTCCTGTACCTGTACGCTGATGTCCTGCTCGATAGGGCGACCGCGTTCGATCTAGTGGCGTTCGTCGGATTCAGAACCAGTCCGCCACGGGCTCGGTCACGTCGAAACGCATTTGGGTGACGCTTACGCTCATCGTCACGAAAGTCCTTTGGATGCCTTCCACCGCGTCCGGGGCTGCAGACCCAAAAGCCAAGTCTAATAACACCGGCGCTGTCGTTGAAGTAGCGGGACGGGTTGTAGATGAGAGTGAATATGTGACGCTTGGGGCACACCACACCTTCGCTTTGCAGGTCCACTTGTTCGTGAAGATTGAGAAGGAAGCCGGCGGCTGGGACAAAATTGCTCTCGGCCGTGTAGACGAAAGCTGCGTGCCAGGAAAGGGCGCAGAGGTCGCTGCGATCATTTGCGGGGAAGGTGAGCGTTGCGGTCGCGCAATCTCACTCCGTCTGACCCCGAATGTGCCGTAGGGTCTGCAATTTTCTGTCTATTATCAGAGCACATGACTGTGGTTCTACAAAGATTAGAGGTTCATATCCCCAGGAAGCTCTCGTCGCAATCTTCGGCCCACGAAAAGGTATGTAGGATTCCTCAGCGGCGACTGCAGCTTGACAGCTCTTGAACAGGGACTGGGCCGTTTCTACCAAAGCCTTTTCGCCTCGTTTCTCCGTCACATCCCGTTCTCGAATCCTACCCTTCGAGCTATCGTGATCGCGTCGCCGGGATGGGTCAGAGACAGCGTGTTCGACTATATCATGGAGGAAGCTAGTCGCACGTCGAACAAGGAACTGCTTTCTGCACGCAACAAGTTTATCAAAGTTCATGTCAACAGTCCACATGTTCACAGTCTTGTGGAAGCGCTGAAGAGTCCTACGGTAACGGCGCCTTCTGACACATGTCCCTGGGCTAATGCGCCTGCCCAGATCGCAACCCAACTGAAAGAAACGAAGTTCGCTCGCGAAGGCATCATGCTCGACAAGTGCGTGCGCCTTATCGGGATGTCGGATCTTACTAAAACGTCATAGATTCTTCAAAATGCTCGCCACGGACGAGATGCGGGCATGGTATGGTCCTGACCATGTTATCCTCGCTGCCGACCGTGGAGCCATCGGAACACTGCTCATCTCGGACGAACTATTCCGGTAAGGAGCGACTGAATGCACTTCGATTTCCTCAGTGCCAATCGCCTCACTCCAGATCTGATGATGCCACTGTCCGCAAGAGATTCGTGAAGGCTGTAGAGAGCGTGCAGGGCAAAGGCGGAGAAGCACTCATCTTCTCCAGTATGCACGAGTCTGGTCAACGTGAGTCGAAGCAGTGCTATGTAAATGAGATGCATGCTAATAGTCTCTTAGAACTCAATCAGCTCAGCGGGATCGCAGCCATCTTGACATACCCACTCGATATAGAAGTCGTGGAGGCCGAAGAGAAGGAAGCCAGGGAAGAAGAAGAGCGAAGGATAGCGGAACGGAAAGCAGAATTGGGCGAGGACTGACCCGGATTCGCATGTAATATCAACCTGGAATTCCCCTGTTGTAGCGGTAGGTTATTTGCGCGTGCTATCTCTTGTACTTCACAATTTGTTCAGTCACTGTTTCCTACTCTGATATCCCGACCCGCTCCTGGTACGCCTTCCATCCTTCAGCACGATAGCGTTCCGCCTGGGCTCGTACCGCTTCTGCGTTCGCGCCGTTGTCCTTCCCGTACACGCCCCGGCCGACGATGATCACATCGCAGCCGTCCTGGAGCACGACCTCCCTGGGAGTCCGGTACTGCTGTCCCATCCCATCGCCCTTGACGTCCAGCCCCACCCCCGGCGTCAAGATCAGGAAATCCTCATCCTGAGACATAGCTTCGCCTTCACGGAGGCCGAGCCCGTCCATGCGCCGCTGCGCAATGAAGCCAATGACGAACTCGCGGTTTGCGCGAGCCATACGCACGGCTTCGTCGGTGTAGGTGCCGACCGCCAGGCTGCCTTTGGTGCTCATCTCGGCGAGGAGCAGGAGACCGCGTTGAAGCGGGAGACCGACAGAGGCCAGACCGGAGATGATGGAGGGTCCCGGGACGGGATGCGCGTTGGTGATGTGCGACCAGGAAGCGATCTTGTAAACGCCCGAGGAGTACTGGAGCGCGACAGTGTTTCCTAGGTAGCAGAGTGAGCACCATGTCTATGAAATCCACAGGCTAAGTTATCGCGAACCAATATCAGCGAACTTCCTGTCCTCGAAGATCTGGAAGTCATGCTTCACGCTGAGTTCCTTCAGCGACTCGATGAGGCCAGCATCGAAGTCCTCGATGACGTCAACATGAGTCTACCTGTACAGTGAGACGTTGAACCACAAGATGGTCTGCCGACATACCAACCTTTACGAGACATATGTAGGGACCAACAGTGTCGATGATCCTCAAGAAGTCCGCCTTCTTCGTCACGTCCACACTGACACAGAGATTGGTACGCTTGCGCTCAATGGTCTCGAGGAGCGCCCTCGCCGCGGCGTTTGTATGCTTTTCGGCGCGCTGACCGTATGTCTGTCTTGTTGCTGAAGCCATGGGTCTGTGGATTGAGTTAGATAGCCTCTGAATTATTGGGCCAGCCTTGGTGTCTAGAAGAGCAAAAGATAAGATAAGATGGAGATCTGCAGGACCCGAACGGGATCTCGTCCCGGGCCTCCATCAGAACCCTCTCAGCTCACTTCCGGCATTCACTTCCACTCCCTCCATAATCCCCCATGTCGTCCTCGCCCAAGGTCCGTTCTCGCGACGAGCTCGAAGACGCCCAAGACGTTCCGAGTGCCAAAAGGACCAGGCTCGACGAACCAACAGGGACGGACGATGTAGTCATGGCCGACGCCCGGGAGGTCGCCGTGGTGAGCGTGGCCGAGCTGGAGGAACAGGACGATATGATCATGGACGAGCCTCAAGGACCAGAAAGCCTCCTTCCCCCCAGCCACAAGCTTCTCAATGCTCCCCCGCCTGTCTTCGGCCCAGACGGCGCGATGCAACAAGTCATGGAGACCGACGTGGGGATTTCAGAGTACGTCGGGTTCGACGTGCCGAAGATAGAGGGCATCATCAAACAGAGGTGCGTTGAGGAGTTGGATGCATCCTTTCGAGAAATTCAGACTCCGCTATGCGCGTAGGTTCACGGATTTTTTGGTGTTCGAGGTGGACCTGGACAGCCAGGTGATCCACCTGAAGTCCCTCGACATGCCCACGTCCTCCAAAAAGGGCGCGGAGAATACCTCCTCCGACCCCACAGCGGATGCTGCCCTTCCCCCGGCAGAGAAGTCAGAGGCGACAGAGGAGGGCCCGTCGGACGCGGCCGAAGATGCATCCTCAAAGGCCCTTCCAGCGGCCTCTGCAGATGCTCCTGCGGTTGACTCTGCACCAAAGGAAGAAGAGACCTCGTCTGCGAACCAGGGTCCGTGGCCCGAGCGGTTCACCGAGTCACTCAAACCATTCTTGTCCGAAAACGCCATCGCCAAGGTCAAGCAGATGTTCCTTGAGGGCCCCGAGCCGCCCTTCGTCAGCGACGGCGGCTGGGGCGGACGGCAAGCCAAGAAGGTTGACGAAGATGCGCCAGAGGCGTCGGCATCGGCACCGCCGGAGCCCCCAGCGCAAGAAGAAGCGGACACACGTGGGAAGGGGAAACGAGGACGCGGAGGTAGAGGCGGCCGTGGAGGCCGTGGAGGCCGAGGGGGAGGGCGCGGAGGCCGTCCTGGGGCGCGCGAAGACCACCGCAAGGTCTTGTCTGATGTCTGTGTCGCTACGTCCAAATATATTTCTTTTGGCCGTAATTTCTAACGCCCTGCGGTATCGCAGCCCATTGCATCGAAGGAGAAGCGCACCGGGCTGCACAAGATTGTGCGGGAGCTGTTTGGAGGCAAGCTGGACACGGAGACGGATACGACCGCAGAACCTTCAGACGATGGCTCGTGCATCGCTATCAAGTGGTCAAAAAGCGGAGGCCGGGGTGGTCGAGGAGGTGGTCGAGGGGGAAGGCCCGAAGGACGCGGTGATGGAGGTGGTGGTATGTCCCGCTCGCTACGACTTGCCGTCAAGTGGCTGACATGGCTGAAAAGGTCGCGGTGAGAGGGGAAGCTACCCGTCATACATACACTTCACCTTGCAGAAAACAAACCGTGATACTCAAGATGCTTTGGCACACCTGTCGAGGACGCTGCACTGCAATGTCAAAGATCTTTCTGTCGCTGGCACGAAGGACAAACGCGGGGTCACCGTGCAGCGCGTATCACTCCGAAGGGGAAACAAAACGGTGGAAGACATATACAAGATGGCCAACAGTCTAAATGGTCGCCGAACCATGGAGGAGGTTCTCAAGGAGCGCGGCGAACGCGGTATCCGCGTCACTGACTTCAACTACCGGAAGGCCAGTCTAGAGTTAGGTATGCTGAAGGGCAATGGATTTGTTATCACTCTCCGGTAGTTATCAGTTCTCGGCACGGCTCTTCGTATGATATCTAACCAGTCCCCTTCAATAGGAACGTTCGTGCGGACTCGATGGATACCATAGACCGTGCCATGAGGACCATCAAGGAGAAAGGCTTCATCAACTATTACGGTTAGCGTCACTGTATGTGTATGTGTGACTTGCTGACAATACACCTTGCAGGTATGCAGCGGTTTGGTACCGCTTGCATCCCCACACACTCTATCGGGCTAGCTCTGCTTAAGGGTGACTGGCAAAAGGCCGTCAGTCTGATCCTCCGGACACGACCTGGAGAACACCCGGAGGTCGCTGAGGCCCGTAACGCATGGCTTGTCGACGGGGATCTGGACAGGGCTCTAGAGCTCATGCCCCGGCGCGTTGTAGCCGAACGCTGCATCCTGGAAAGCTATAAGAAACAGCACGGTGAGACTCGTAATGCCATGGGAGCACTTTCCACCGTGAGATGATTCCAGCTGCACCTTGTATTTATTTACACCTTACACTAACGATTTTTGCAGATCCCTCGCAATCTGAGGCTCATGTATGTGCACGCCTACCAATCCTACGTCTGGAATGCCATCGTCTCCGAGCGTATCCGCATACACGGCCCTGACAAGCCTGCGGTCGGTGACCTGGTCTTCGACGAGTCTTCGCCCTCCAAGGCGGAAGACGGTGGAGAGGACGCCGAGGTTGTGGCCGAGGGAGAGGAAAGTAGCCAATGAAGAGGACGGTATGGGGTAGCCTCACTGCCACACTCGAGGCCGTGGTTAACGGACTCTTTTTAGCCAACGAAGGGAACGGGGGGAGATCTGGGAAACGGTCGAGGAAGCCTTGGCAGCCACCGAAAGTGAAAACCTTAGAAGAAGCTGATCTGGACAAGTACTCGATATTCGACGTGATCATGCCGCTGCCTGGCAAGGACGTCGATTTCCCCGGAGGTGCACTTGGAGAACGCTATCGGGAATTCCTTCGTCTAGATGGTCTTGACCCCAACAACTTCGTGCGCAAGCAGAAGTGAGTGCCTGTCCCGCATACCATCCTCAGAGCGCCAAGCTGATATTTGCAGGGAATACACGCTTGGGGGCTCATACCGGAAGATCATGCACCTTCCCAAGGAGCTGTCGTGGACTGTGATGCGCTACACGGATCCGGACGTGCCCCTTGCACAGTCGGACGAAGACAAGTTGCTTGGAATGTCCCCGCCAGCGACGGAGGAGGATGGGAAGTTCCTGGCACTGCAAATAAACCTGCAGCTGGGGACTGCTGCGTATGCAACGATGGCCCTGCGGGAGGTGACGAAAACAGAGACGAGCTCACACTACCAGTCGACTCTGACGCAGGCGTCAGAGGACCAAAAGTATCGCACGGGCGACGGCGGTGAGGGCGACGGCTCCGGGACAGCTCAGGGACGGTGACGGGCGTGAGGAAGAGGTGTACGTGGAGGTCCGGAGATGCGATGGCCGTGCAACCTGTAACTCGTATGTACACCGCCGTGTGTGTCCCAGGCTCCAATGGCAGACGTGCGGTGTGGGAGAACAGAGCTGGGAGGTGTGAGAGACTGGCATGGCGCGCTCGTCTCCGCTGCGAGCCGGCACAGCGAGCGCGAGTGGCTCTGCTCGCGTTCTCGCACGCCGATCGCACAAATGCTCTCGACACGCCGCGGCCGCCGTCCGCCGGCCTCCTCCCGACTTCACTCGCTCACACTTCCTTCGTGCCATAGACCCCGCGCGCACCCTTCCCTTCCCTCTTCTCGCGCGCACCACCTCTTCTTAAGCCCGGCTCACCCACAATCTCGTCCGTTCCTCACCCTCGTTGCTCTATCACCCATCACAGTCTACCCCCAACCCACCGCCGTCGTAAAGGCCCCCGCGCGATGGCCAAGGTCGAGCGCGTCGTCTTCCTGTCCCTGGTATTGGACCTCTTTGGTGCGTCTTGCGTCTTTCGCAGACATGCGCGAGATTGTAACTTCGCGCGATCCAGCATTCACCATCCCGCTCCCTCTCTTCCCTCGTATTATCGAGTGGTACACCAAGGTGCGTGCGCGCGTGCTCGTTGCCTCTCGTATCATGCTCAAGATGTACCATAGCGTGAAGCGTCAGACCCCAGCGGCTTCTTGTCCCAGATACTCTCCTTCGTTTCGTCGGCACGCGGGCTTCTGTACCAGCCTACGTCAAACCCGCGAAGATGGGACATCGTCCTCCTCGGCGGTCTCATGGGCTCCGTCTTCTCGTGAGTCGGTACCACGTATGCTCATTGTTGTTGCTGACGAACGCTGTCATTCACAGCTTGCTGCAGTGGTTCGTTTCCCCGCACATTGGTTCCCTGAGTGACAAATACGGACGCAAGCGAATCCTCCTGCTGACTATGATCGGGAACCTCTTGTCCGCCCTGGTGTACGTCTTGTCTTCTTACCTTTTTCTGCATTCTATGTTGACACGCGCGGTAGCTGGGTCTTCTCCACTTCATTCGCCACGTACCTGCTCTCCCGAGTGATCGGAGGTCTCAGTGAAGGCAACGTTCAGCTCGCAATGTACGTCGCACATAGTATCTGCTCATCGCGCACCGCTTTAACATTACCCCAGTGCTATCCTATCGGACGTTACCACTCCTGAGACTCGTGCAAAGGCACTGGCGCACGTTGGCATTGCCTTCGCGATTTGCTTCTGCATTGGCCCTCCCATTGGCGCGTACTTCGCATCGCGCCCTCTCCCCGCGTCCTTCACTGCGTCCGGGATTGAGCTCAACGTTTACGCCCTTCCCGCGGCACTCACCCTTGTCCTCCTCGCCCTCGAAACCGTCTTCCTCATCTTCGCTCTCCCAGAGACCCGCGGCAAGGCTATCCCATCCGTAAAAGTCGCCACGAATGGTGCTGCGAACGGCAAGGCAAACGGGCATGCCAACGGCACTGCCAACGGGAGTGTCCAAACCTCTCGGCAAGGCACTGTCACGGAACGCATCTCAATGCTGAAGACCCTCCAGCACCTTCACTTCCTGTTCCTTGGTGTCTTCTCGGGTGTCGAGTTTACGCTCACTTTCCTCACCTTTGATCGTGAGTTCACTTGACCGCGTGCTTCTGACGCTGCATCTGACGTAGTGATCCAGTGTTCGACTGGAACAACAAGCAAAACGGCGCTCTCATCGGCTCCATTGGCATCGTCAGCGCCCTCCTGCAAGGCGGCTATGTTCGCCGCGCCATGTCCAAGGTCGGTGAGGGCAAGATGGCTCGTCGCGGGATCAGCAGCTGCGCTATCGGCCTGGTCCTTTTGACCATTCTCCCCCACATGGTCTCCGACCACCCCACGATCGCGTTCCGCCTTCTTCAGGGCGCCTCGGTGTGCATGGCGATGACGTCGGCCACCGTGGTGAACGCGCTCACGGCGCACGCGTCGCTGCAGTGTGACGACGTCACTATCGACCCGGACACCGGGAAGGCTGTCGAGGAACACCCAGAGCTCGCGAAGGGCAAGGCGTTGGGGAAGTTCCGCTCTTCAGGCCAGCTGGGCCGCGCGATCGGACCCCTGCTCGGTACGTTCTCCTTAACGTCCTATGCAAGGGATTCGCTGACTGTGTCTTGTAGCCTGTGCGTCATACTGGACTTTTGGCCCGTCTCCGACGTACGCAGTTAGCGCCGTGGCCATGTTTGCCCTTGCACGGAGAATGTCGTCTGTAACTGGCAGGAGAGCGGTGAAGACTGAGTAAATTAATCGCCAACATTTGTACCAACACTCGTTACTGTAGAACAGCCTAACTTAATCCTTATTCTCTGTTCCCCGGATGACTCGTGAAACGGCTCGCTTCAGGGAATTTGTCAAGCCTGGTACATGTAGGCGCCGACGCGTGGTCGTCTTTCAGCCACCACCGCGTTTAGTCGAAAGCAACTTCCGAAAGTGTTACACCACCAGAACTTCTCAAGGCCTCAACCCATTGCTCATAAGCTCTTCACGACAATCCAATATGCCGTTTGCTACGAGGAACGCGTACTATCTTCGAATATCTGCTACAACAGTTCTACCGCTTTATGTGAGTGCTCAACGTTCGAACGCACTCGTACCACGAGCCACATGACTGACGTGAACACAATGGATTATGCAGATATACCTGGACGAGAGACACGTGGAATGGATGTCGGACCGCGTGCTTCAGCACGTCCTTGCTGACTTGCGTCCGCTGTGAGTCGCCTCGACGGCTTTCCGCTACATTCCGACCGCAAGCGAACTGAAACGACGGGTCGCCCAGAATTATCCCCAAGCTGAACGCGGAGGCCGATGCCCAGCTCGGCTCTGGTTCAGCGGCCTCGAAACGCGGTACTTTGGACGTGCACCGGGGAGGTACGGGCGGACGTTCAAGCGCGCGCATCACTCGGTGCCGATTCTGACTCGCGAACTTCAGACACTTATCAGTTTGGGTACTTCCTCCGCGGGACAGAGCCGCACGCAGTCTTGGTCAAAGTGAGCCACGTGGCTCTCCAGTGGTCGATACAGCGCTGACTTTGTGAGGCAGTCTAGGCTTTTTACCGCCGCCCCACCTGTTCAAAGGCGGACTGCGCTACCACCACCACAGCCGGAGACCAACAAAGCGACCTCGAGCAAGGGACAGAGGGCCAGGAAGGCGGCCGCGCAGAAGGCGGGCCAGAAGCGGAAACCGAAACCTCGTCCGAAGGGCAAGGGGAAAGCCCGAGCCGTTGAGGACGAAGAGGACGCCATCTCGATCTCGAGCGAGGGGGACGATGCAGGAAATGACGTCCCCGCGGAGACGATGGCTTCCAGGAGACCCAAACGCACAAAGACCGTCGCGGACGGCGGGTACCGGGAACAAGACGAGGATGAGGACATGGCCGACGTCGACGCCACTCCCGAAGCTGGGGATAACTTTGCTCCTCAGGACGACACGGCCCCCATCGTCCCGAAGCGAGAGGAGACGGAGCCTTCCCTCTCCGACCTCCCCGCTCCCCCACAATCCACGACAGTAGAGGATATCGACGACGACCCGCAGCCACCCTCAGCGATGGACGTCGAGCTCATCGACGACGAGGAAGAGCCGAAGCCGAAGCCGGTCCTCAAGCTCGCCTACCACGGCTTCACGATCCATGGCCGCTGCCTCTGCGTCATCGTCGAGCCCTGGCCTCCCGTGCGCGCTGGCACTCGCGCACCCTCGGTCGCTCCGTCTAGTGCGCCCCGTGCGTCTAGCATTGCACCGCCCGAGTTCGTGGCAAGCGTGGAGGCGCGGCGCGAGCGCACGCCGCTGTTCCTGCCGGAGTACGACAAGGAGCCGACGCCCGCGCCGTCTGGTAGTGGCTCGGGCGCGGGCAGGGTGCTGCCGCCTGTACCGCTGTTCGGCGAGGAGCCGAGCGACGAGGAGGAAGGGGACATGGTGCTGTTCAGTCAGATACTGAGGTCGGCGGGGGAGCACCCTCCTGGCATCGCGGAGGACGATGATGAGATTGATGGCGCCGTGTTCTTTGGGGACGCGGACGAGATGAGAGAACTGGGATAAGACTGGCTCATTATGACTAGTAGATAGGGTACATATTGTTGGATGCGTAATGTGTACAGCAAAGTGCGAGCTCGGACTACATGCGCCCGAGTTCCTTGAGAATCTCGATGGCCCGCTGTGACGAGACTGTTCTGAAGTCGTCGTTCGACATTGAGTAGAGGCCATGGCCGCCCGAAAGCGCGCGCAGCCTTGTCGTGTAGTCGAGCATCTGGCTGAGAGGTGCGAGTGCCAACACTGTCCGCCTCATCTTCATCGACGTGTCTTCGCCGCCTTGCCGGTCGTAGGCGAGAGCCACTGTGGGGGGATGTACGCACTCTCGTCTACGAATGGCTCCGTGTCCTCTTCCGATCCCGTATCCAAGTCGAGCACTTCTCCGCCGTGCTCGCCCAGGTCCTCTACAACGCGTCCGACGGAGCCTTCGTCGACGGAGATCTTCAGTCGAATAAACGGCTCCATGAGATTGCCTTGCCCAGCTGCGCGAACGATGTTGCGGAGGATAGTGGCACTAGCCCCTGCGAGCACGGAGGCATGGGATTCCTTGGGGTGTTTGGTGCCCTGGACTTCGATGCGCAGGCGAGAAAGCGCCAGAGAAGTGTTCGGGGAGCTTGACAGCGTACTAGCAGGCCTTTCGCGACGTAGGCGAAGGGGCTTCCGGGTTGTGATGCAATTCGCCGGGGGGCATGCGTTTCCCATCAGGGGTCAGAACGACGTTGCCGCCCCAGAGCGGTCGCCTTCTTCGTCGTCTTCAAGTAACCGAACGTTGAGCGAAACCTCGACCTTAATGGCGTGCCCTCCTAGCTCGGTGCTCCATATGTTGCTAACTTTGGAAATGTCACCAGGTCCCAGGCACTCCCGGAAGCTGACTCGTCGTCTGCCAAATTCAAACTTGACCGCCCATTCTTCGCGGAGGCGCGACTCCACTATTTCAAGATGCAAGGCTCCAAGACCGTGGACGAGCAGTTGACCTTCTTGAGTTTCCACCCGCACTGAAGGATCGGTACGGGCCAATGCGTGGAGTGCATTCTCAACAGGTTGAAGGTCGGCGTACGAGTTAGGGAGGACCGAGACGGACATCATAGCAGGGGGAGGGAGGATATCGCGCAGAGAAGAGTGATCGGAGCCACCTGCGACGGAAGTGAGGGTGTCGCCTGTACGAGTGTGCTTGAGACCCATCACCGCCCCCACGGAGCCGAATGGAAGAGCGTCGATTTCCTCTGCCTCCGCTGCATAGAGCATCATCAGCTTGCCGACTTTCTCTCTCTCGTTTCGCGAGGAATTCAAGACACCGCTGTGGGCCTTGAGGACTCCTGCAATGACGGTGAGGCACGGATTTCGTGTCCAGATGGATTACACACCTGAGTACACGCGAACGAAGGTCATCCATCCTTTGCGCTGATCCCAACCAACTTTCCAGGCCAGCGCGCGAAGAGGAGCATTAGATGAAGAGATTTTGTTGTTTTTCTCAACGTCCGCTGGACTTGGTAGTAACTCGCCGACGTAGTTCATAAGAAGTTCCGTGCCGACGTGCCTGAAGGCAGATCCACATATCACGGGCAACACCTCGTTACGCAGAGTGGCTGCTCGCAGGTGGGGGAGGATTTGAGAGGCGGACAAAGAGAGGTATGAAGAAGGGTCTTCCGGAAGGCTGAGTAGTGTTTCAAACATCTCCTCGGACACTTGAGCCAAATTGTCGAGTAACGCAATCCTGGCAGGCAGTAGATGAGGAATGAGTGGATGGGTCGGTGGGAACAATTCAGAAGCCTCGAGCTCTTCTTGAATCCGGGGTAGGGGATGAACGGAGGATACGCCCTCTGAGTCGTACTTCCACACTTCCCATTTGACGAGGTCTACGATTCCTCGAATTCCTGGTTCTGCGCGTGCGTAGTCCTCGGGGTTGAAAGATGCGACCGGTAGGGTGAGCGCCATGGGTCGGGGATGCAGTCGATTGGCGAGAACAGAAAGCACGGACGTCCGAAATGATGCTCCTGCACGGTCGAGCTTATTGAGGAACAGTATTCGCGATTTCACGTCATACCTGTGGATAGTTCAATAACGACGACCGTGAGGTCTGGGCGGGTTCTCACCTGAGCGCGTTTGCTTACCTGTCCAGTTGTCGCCAGACACCTTTGGTTTGTGCCTCCACACCTTCCACCGCGTCGATGAGAACAACAGCACCGTCCACCACACGACTGGCACTTTCCACCTCCATGCCGAAGTCCGCGTGTCCAGGTGTGTCAATGAGGTTAAAAGTCCAATCCTTCCACCTGACTGGGATGCTGGCCGACTGGATAGTGATGCCTCGTTCGCGCTCCGCAGGAAGAAAGTCGGTGGTGGTGCTTCCTGTGTCGACGGATCCGGCAGAAGACAGGTACTTGGACCTGAGCAATATAGACTCGGTAAGGGTAGTCTTGCCTGAGTCTAAGATGCTAATTTAGCCCAGCTACACTACGATGTTCGGGATTCAACGTACCTATATGAGCCACGAGGGCCATGTTCCGAAGTTTTGATGGATCATGGCTGGCATGAGTAGCATAACACCTATGACAACGCCGCTGAGGTAGCCAGACCCGCAGGTCTCGCTGTCGAAGAGCGTGGAGGACTTTGGCGACCATATGCGCGGCCGAAGCCGATGTGTAGCGTCACCTGAACGAACTACACTGCGCGGCGGGTGCCAGGGGGGGAGCAGACCAGACAAGCAGAGGAAAGCGTTGGGAAGGAGACAAAAGAGCGCAGTGTGCGAGCGCGCTACGCACCTCTCTTCTCGACCTATTGTTCCGCCATGCGGTCTGAAACTCTTTCTCTTCTCCCACCATGTCTGCGCCTGCATCGACCGACGCAGATGGCTTCGAAAGTCGCATTCAAGAACGCCTCCGCCAGCGAGTGGTGGAGCAGACTGAGCCGCTTGCTACAATTCCAAGAGAACCCTCGCTCCAACCACACGGACTCATTCCGAACACACCACTCTCGGTCGCGACCGTGTCCTTCCTCCTGGGTACACTGTTCTGCTTCGGAGTTTTCCTTTTCGCCACGGATGGATTCGGCAAATACTACTGGTGGACCACATTCCAACTGGGATTCTTTTTTGCAGCGTGGTCCGCGTTCCATTGGGGCGAATTCGCTGTAACCGCAGGATGGAATCGAGACAAATGCAGCGTAGACTGTGAGTCGCTGGATCAGATGTACACGGCTAAGCTAAACGCAATCAACAGCCTTTCTGTTGGAGAACGGGGCAATGTATCACATTGCTCACTCTGTGGCGTTATTCGAGTATCTCGTCACACTGTACTTCAAACCTGATTTGAAGCAATTCGAATACTTGTCCTTTGCAGGTGAGAGGACCGCCGAACATTTCACATTCGTGCATTGAGTCTCCTTTGACCCAACCAGGCATCGTCCTGACTCTCGTCGGACAAGTATTGCGATCTACTGCCATGATCCATGCAGGGTCCAACTTCTCGCACGCGGTGGCTTTCCGAAAACTAGACGGGCACATCCTGGTCATCGACGGGGTCTACAGGTGCGTTCTTGAGCTGAGGATTAACACTCGACATTAACGTCTCGAGGCAGATGGTTCCGTCACCCGTCTTATGCTGGATTCTTCTACTGGGCTCTTGGGACGCAAGTAGCTTTGCAGAACCCTGTTAGCTTCGTTGTCTACCTCGTTGTCCTGTGGAGGTTCTTTTACCGCCGCATCCGAGGTGCGTCCGACGTCTCTATCACTGGAGCACGACTCACCCCCAAAGCAGCGGAAGAAGCATACTTGATCCGTTTCTTTGGTGATGACTACAAGAATTATAGAAAGACAGTCGGCACGGTGATCCCTTTCATACCTTGACACCGCTATGTAGCTATACCCCATCGCCGTTTGGTGTTATTCGCGCATATTGATAATGATATGAATACAAATGTCGGCATGCTTCATAGAATGGTCATAACGTAGCGACAACATGAGTGTTTTGTACGACGAATCATGCGACACGAACAACGGAAGGCCTCAGCGAGCTCACTCCGCGATAACTGTGCTCTTCTCAGACACGTAGATACCGTCCAAGAACTTACGGATATCCTTGTTCTTGACAAGGCAAACTCCGTGGATGGATGCGGCTATGGTAACCGCGATGAGGAAAGGATGAGACGAACGATACAATCTGCTTACCAGATTGTGATACGTTCTGAATATCAGCGCCCTCAAGGATGAGCTCATCCTTCTGAGCTTTTGACTCCGAGATCGTGACACCATCGAGCATGTTGACATGTCTTACAATCTATCGCCGGTTGTTGACGAGGACCCATTGATGATTATCATGGTGGAACATACCTTCTCGCCCAAGAAGTTACGGATCTCCACCGCGCGTCCGTTGTCTTGGATAATACAGTTGATGGGGAAATGGGCGTAGACTGCGCGCATCTTGTATTGGAAGCCCTAGGGTGCACTCAAGGTTGACCATACCGTTTCAAACTGCCTAGTAGGCCTACGTACCTTCGTGACACCGATGATCATGTTGCTGATGAGAGACTTCATTGTCCGGAGGCAAGCGACGTGCTTGCGGCCCCCCTGCCACACCGCGAGACAGACTTTGTTGGACTTGCCCTTCTGGATCCGGACGTCCATGTCGATGTGACGGACATTCTTGGTCAACGTTCCGCGGGCACCGGTAACTGTGATGAGACGGGACTTGATCTCAACGGTGACTCCCTCAGGGATATTGAGTTCTTCGGTCTGGAGAACGTCCCGCATCTGTAAGGAGGGATCCGAGTATAAGCATACGGACCAGGTACATCCACAACGCAACCACCCCATCCATCCTCAAACGTCCCTCCATCTGGTGATTTGATGGCCTCCCAGCACTCGCATAGACATCCAGAACCGCGTAAACCGTGCAGGATGGCATACTCACTTTGATGGCTGGCTGGCAGAGGGCTTGAGGTTGAAGGGGAGCTTGCGAGCGGTCGAAACTTGGGCTTTCAGGGCGCTTGTGTGTCCGATTGGGCAACAGGCGCTGGAGGCAGGGTGGAGGCTGAACGTGGCTCGGCTGACAAAGACAGCATTCACGGTCGGAGTCTGAAACGGCCTAAAGGGAAGGCCAGTAGCGCCGGTACCTTTCCACTGCTTCATCATCGACCACCATCCCCTTGGACTCTGTGCAGTCCGCCCGGCTCTTTGTTAGCCACTCAGTAAGAGATCGTCTGAGCAAGGCATCGCGCCGGAGCTCTTCACCGTCGACGACCGAGCTTCCCACCGTGGAACTTCTTTCTTGCGTTAAATCGTCAGCGCATCAACACTCTCCTGCCTCCATCCCCCGCCTAAGAGGACTACGATGTCAGCGTACCCTCACGGTTCGTATACGCAGGTAGCCTACCCGACACAGGGCTACGGCGCCCCCATCCCCCCACCCCACGCCTTCCACCCGTCTCCCATGCTGCAACCGGCATACCACGTCGACCCAAACACTTTTCGTCGTGATTATGTCGCGCGGTTGGCTAACCTCAGCATAAACTCGAGGCCTATTATCCAGAGCCTGTCGATGATCGCGCAGGATTACAGTCGTTTTGCCGAAATTGTCGTTCAATGTATCGAGCAACATATCCGACGGGTGAGTGTCTCCTTGTCCCCATTCCCCTTTCACCCGTTCTTCGCTCCCCTGTCCCGGCTGTACTAGGTGTCAGCCGGATCTCCGTTGTAGTACGCATTATTACATGTACCGTAGCTAGTGGGGCAAAAGACAGCCATGTTCGCTGGGGTCGCCCAGGTTGGGTGGCCAACGGGCCATGGCCACGCCGTGTCCTGCAGGCGACTCGCTCGTGCGACAGCTGCCCTACTTCCTTCACTTGCCTTGTCTGCGCATGTGGCATGTGGTTTCGATCCGCGGAATGCTGACTCATCATTCGCCGCTTTTGGCACGCTGTTCTTAGGTGCCCGCGACGATGAAGCTGCCAGCCTTTTATCTGCTAGACGCCATCTCCAAGAACGTCTATGAGCCTTACGCCCGCCATTTCAGAGCCGTCGTCGTCCATCTCTTCAAGGACACCTATGATGTCGTCGACCAGGCAACGCGCAGCAAGATGGAGGAAATGCTCCTCACCTGGAGGACGGGTGCTCCCAACGGCCGTGAGCTGTTCGGCGTCGTTCCCCAGATTGCGATCGAAGGCCATATATGGGGATCTACTTCCTCCTCGAGTCAGAACACAGTGCGTCTTTTCCCATCACGCCGTGGCCGTGGTCCTGACAGACGTCCCCGAAAGTCCGGTCGTGGTGGCTCTGCGTCTACCCAGGCTGTGATCACTCAAGCCCGCGTGTTGAGTGAGCTCGAATTCGTCCTCGGACAGAAGGAGCGCGCTCTGCAATCAAATCCTTACGACAAAGCGTCTCAAACCCATGTCGCGGTTCTGCAACAAGTGAGCGCGATTGATTTCTCTCGCATTGATTATGCAGCTGACCCTGTTCTCAGCTACGCACCCTTGTGCAAGCCGGTGTTTCACAGAAGGAACTTGGTGAAATCCTTGCTCAGCTGCACAACCTCGCGGCATCGACACCAACACCAACACCGCCCCCGCCGACGCCTCAGCCTTACATAGCAGGTCCTCCATACGTGGCTCAACCACCACCTGCTCCGCAGGCTGTATATCCAACTCAGCCCACTCAGTCCTCGCTTCCGTCGTTTGATCCTTCCAGTATCTCTTTGATACTCTCTGCCGCGCAGTCGGCACCCGTCCCCTCGACTTCTACCGCATCGGCTCCTGTCCCCGACATCACGAATCTGTTCAACTCACTCGTCAAGGCAGGCGTAGTATCGTCAGCGACCGGAACACCTACGGGCGCCGGTGCGACCGCAAATGCGGAAGATATCATCTTGACAGATTCGGAGGGAGACGCCTCTCAGGCCTACCGGAAGGTGCTATTTACGCACTCCGTCAAGCTGTCGAACGCTGATATCACTCGGTGCGCCGAACAAATTTCTTGTTTGTCTTGCTGCTCCGACTGACGTGTGCCTACAGACACCGTCCTCCCCTCGCAGAACTTTTGTATGGTCAAATACCCACTCAATGCAAGCAATGCGGCATTCGACTTCCAGAAGGTTCTAGCGGCAAGAAGGACTTCGACGAACACCTCGACATGCACTTCCGACAAAACCGTAAAGCAAGTCAAGCCGTCGGAAGAGGCCATAGCCGTAGTTGGTTCGTTGGCTTGGAGGTGGGTATTAATACTCTACGCATACGTTCACTCGGCTGACGGTGGCTTCACAGGACTGGGTATATGGTGAATCTCACGACATTAAGGGCAAGGGTCGGGCGGACGGTCGGTCTACAAGTTCCAGGGCAGCCGTGGCTCAGGAAGCGGCTGAACGTGAAGCGGAACTGCGTGCCATGGTTGTTATTGTACCGCAGGGCGACGAGTCGAAAACGATGTCGTGTCCGATCTGTAAGGAACACCTGGCGTCAGAGTTCTTGGAGGAGGTCGAGGAATGGGGCTGGCGCAACGCGGTTAAGAGAGATGACAAGGTACGTTCTTTGGACGCAACCATCCGCCTTACACGTCGCTCACACACTGGGTCGCAGATATACCACGCGACGTGCCACGCAGAGGCGGTAGCGTCGAAGACGACACTAGCTTCTCGTTTGCGGAATGAGTCTGGAACTCGCAGCCGATCGACGACGCCTGAGAACCGCCGGACACCTCCCAGACTGAATGATTCGATGAAATTAGAGCCAGTATCGCCTTCAAGACTCGCTGGAGTGAAACGCAAAGCTGAGGATGACCGTTCAGATTCACCGAAGAGAGTCGCGACATAGCATCCGCTGGTCAATCATAATATAGAGGCACTGGGTGACCGTTGGGACTCGCATATTCGTTATGGTTTATTATGGCTCCTACACATTGTAACCTCTACGCAAGGACACATGAATACATTTGCATGCTTGATTCCGGTTTCGTCGTGTGATCAGAGTGATGAGTGAACGATGTCGCGCCCTATGCGACACAACGTGCAGGACCCACGTGCACTCTTTGTTTTCCTACCACCATCTTTCCCGCCACTCCGCCACTCCAGCAACAGTCCTCCCCTCCTGTTCTTATATCTGTCTCTCGTGCAAACGTCGAGCGCATTTCTAGGTGTGTGGCCTCTCCTCGAGCGCACCACTATCACTCCCCCAGTATTGGACAAACGCGAATTGCGCTCCAGTCACCTCACCGATAAATCATGAAGTTCTAGATTTCTGAGCTAGGATATCTTCTCACGCACCTATGTGTGAAGGTTCGCCTCCCCCCAGCACAAGCCGCGTCCGATCTCGAGGATGCACTTGTCTCACTGGGAGAAGTGCCACCCTTGATAGGTCTCGGCCGAATCACCTTTCTCAGCGCCCTCGTGGAATTCGGGGAATTTCATCCTTGCACACTTTCAAGCGTTGACTGAATTTTGAGTTCTCCGAGAGGATATGTACAGAGAATGCGTCACCTCTCAGCCACTCGATTCGGCTCGGCGGGAGCTCGTTTGTGACCTGACGTCGGGCGTTGTGACTGCGCCTGTGACGACGTGCGGAGAATTTTCGAATACTAGGGCCATTTTCAACGACTATACACGCATACCGTGGCTTCGCATCGCCCACAAAGTGCGCAGGAGTTCAGAGTGAAACAATTCAAATCGTTCCGTCGAATTTGAATATTATCGGAGGCTACCCCGGCCGGCGCTTGCGGGCCCGTTCGGACGCTAGGGGAGTGATAGTAACGTGGCATTCGCAGCGTCCACTTGTGGTTGAATGTACGTCGTCTATCCCTTCAACAGCCCCGACCGATCGGCCATCGATAATAGAATCCGGTCATGTCTGTCTCATCTACAACGGCACCAGCCGACAACACTGTCCAGCAACTGTACGATGCCGCACACGACATCGAAATGCAGGTGCGTCCGTGCCCTTAGCTTGGTTTCGCGTCGGAGCTCAAACGCGACCGATAGGACGCGTTTCCTGTGAATGATCAATCCCCCGTCTATGTGATCCTCGACACGAACGTCCTCATCGACTACCAAACTGTCATCGAGCAGTTCTGCGCCGACCTCGAGAAGACCAGGTACCCCATCAAGATCATCATCCCAAGCGTTGTTCTCGGAGAACTCGACGGGTAGGTATCTAGGCGCTCCTCTTCCCGCTCAGAACCCTGACCGCATTGCTAACTTGCTCACCCCCAGATTAAAACACAACCCGGCTCTGCAGTGGTTCGCGCGCCAGGCGACCACATGGCTCCTAAAGAAGGTCAAGGAGCGCAGGACGGTCAAGATCCAGGGCGCGAGGGAGACCAAGTCCGGAGGGCCGCGCGCAGAGGCGGACGAGGTCCGAAAGAACGACCTTGCGATCCGTGACTGCGCGCTGTACTTCAATGACAGGCGGATCGGCTTGGGCGCGGCGATGGTCTCAATGGACAACCTTCTGTGCGTGGAATGCCACAGGGATGCAGGAGGTTAGTGCGTCACTTGAACTTTGTTCTGTCGCTCGACGCTGATGACCCGATGGCGGTGACTCAGAGGGGGCATCTCGACCGTGGTCATGCCCCCTCAGCAGGGGTGGTCGAGCAGACAGCTTGCCCGCGAGCTTTGGTACCAGAGAACCTCTTCCCAGAGTTTCACGATTGCGAGACTGCCCCGCGCGATATCGGCCGTCGCGGACGCGCGCGAATCGGCGGCTCGCGCAAACGGAGGCCCCGTCCAACACCGCGAACGGGCGGAGATGGACGAGGACAAGATGGACATCGACGAGGCTGCGCCGGTGAGCCTGGAGGAGTACGAGCCAGTTCACGCGCGGGATTCCCTGCACGTGCAGATGGCGGAGCACTTCGTGCTCGTCTTACGGGACCTCGCGCGGCGGGTACACGTCGACTACCGGGACAGCACCACAGTGACAACCTCGAAGCATGCGCCTAAGTACCGACAGAAACCGCTGGAAGAGTGGTCGGCCGGTGTGCTTGGAGTATCTGGAGACGAAGAAGCGGTTCAAGTGCGAACACTGGCAGCCGTTCTTTTTCGCAATGCGGGGGCACGGGGCTGGAAGAAGGGCAAGACTGGTCGCCGCGAAGGTGGGACCTGGTACTAGATATGCTGGAGGAGGTCGGAGGCAGTTCGAGGACGGAGCGCTGTTGAGCTCCGTGGCTGCAGTGCGTCCACACGTGAAGGAGGTTTGGGAGGCCAAGGTCCGCCCTCTCTGAGAAGCCGAATGTGTATCGTACGGCGGAGCCCCGAGGCTTTGGTGGCTCACGATGCAAGCATTCTGGATTGAGAGTGACGGGCAGCGACGTGGGCGACTCAGCAGGATGACCGAGGACTCGCTCTCGCCGCCGAGCCGAGCTGGCGCTTGGCAGGCTGCGACGGGGTCAGAAAATGAATGGCGCGGGGGCGCTGCGGCGGCTGTGGACATCGGCGCGGCCCCTGCGCTCGCTGAGCCTGAGGACCTAGGCTGTGGGGCGCACGTCTGCGGGGGTGGAGCGCAGCAGACGAGTGCAATAAAGCCGTCGAGCATGGGAACAGCATCGCTGCGCGCGGCTGGGGCTGAACTCAGAATCGGCTCCTTCAACTCGAGCTCCCGTGCCTTCGGGACCCCTCCTAACACTTCTGCCTTCAAGCGGTCCGCGTCCCTTTCCTCCTCCCTCCATCCGCCCCCCGCCCCCTCCCTCTCCACTCTCGTCACGCCCGCCATGTTCCGGAGACGGACGGTCTGCACCCTCCTCTGTCTCCTCGCCACCTTCCTCGTCGGCACCGTCATCGTTCTTTCCTCCGTCTCCTTCTACCTCGCTATTGATCGTCCTGCCTACATCACCCAAGACGAGCTCGACCGCACCTTTAATGACTCCCAGCACCCCGTTCTAGAACGTGTACCGCGCATAATTCACCAGACATGGAAGTCTGACACTCTCCCAGACCGGTGGGTCAACGTTTCGCAGAGCTGCAAGGACATGATGCCCGACTAGTGCGTGTCTCCTTTTCCGTGCCCCTCTCCTCCCCCTTACCCCCTTCCAGCGAGTACATGCTGTGGACCGACAACGGCTCGCGAGACTTCCTCGCCGAGCACTACCGCTGGTTCCTCGACACCTTCGACGGCTACACATATCCCATCCAGCGCGCCGATGCCATTCGCTACTTCGTGCTCTACCACTATGGCGGCGTTTACATCGACCTCGACATGGGCTGCCTCCGTCCTATGGATCCCCTCCTCGTTTATCCCGTCATTCTCCCCAAAACCATCCCCGTCGGTGTGTCGAACGACCTCATGTTCGCGGAGAAGGGCCATCCCTTCTTGGCGCAAACAATCCACGGCCTCACGAAATTCGACTACAACTGGATCATCAACTACCCCACCGTCATGTTCTCGACCGGCCCCATGTTCCTATCCGCAGAATACGGCGCGTGGACGTCCAGTCACCCCCCGACCCCGAGAATCCAGGCGGAGAAGTTCGCATCCTCCCCAAGGCGCTGTACGGAAAGAACGCGAAGCCAGGCGAAGCCCCCAACGCGTTCTTTTCCCACTTCTACGGCAGCAGTTGGCACGCAGACGACGCCGCCTTCATTGGTTTCCTCGGCAAGTGGGGCAAAGGGCTCATGTGGGCGGGACTGATGGTCTTCGTTGCTGGCTTCATTCGCATGGTCTTGCTTCCCCGACAGCGTTCTCGCCCACGCATTGGTGGGTACGACGTCTATATGCCCCGGTGGACGCAGAAGAACGGTCGGTGGCATCTCGACCTCGGCTGGTTCTCCCTCCCCGCGTCAGGGTCAAACACTTCGCCCCCTTCCCCAATCGCGCTTCCGCGCGAAAGCGGTTCAGACGAAGAGGAAGATATGCAACTCCTACCCCTTTACGACTCGTCACGCTCAGCCTCCCCTGCCCCCTCGGACGTTTCCTTTGGTCTGGATGGTCCGGGCTACGGCGGTCACGGTGTCGTCGACCACGTGCGGCGCGCAGGGAACCGGCTCTACGACAACATCTTTGGTCCAGTCGACCCCCCTTCAACACCCTCACGTTCACGCCGGCGCCGCCTGCGCCCACGCGGCGTCATGTTCTTCCTCCCCGCCTTCCTCACTCAGGAACAAAACGCGATGGTCGACGTGCCGTTCACGCCCCATGGGCGCACGTCGTCGTACGCGGCACCCCGCCATCAACACCCGCGAGATCGGGAGGGGTCGCCATCATCAAACTCGCTACCGCCAGAGAAACAGCGCTACGCGGCGGACTTGGCGCGCGCGGGGCTCATCCCCCCATTGGATCCGTCCAGGGAGAGCCATGGGCGTGCGGGGAGCTCGTCTTCCGAGGGCTCCTTGTCATCGACTGTTTGTTGACGTTCCTTCGTCGGGCCGAGGCGCGCCAGGTGTGCCAGGGTCCGCCCGAGCTAATTACGGCTCTTGGAGGAAGGTTAGAGTTGAGCCTCGGAGAGGGTGGGGCATGGGAGTGGAAGAAGGAGATTGTGACACATTGCTGCTGCGCGGTATAGAGGCTCGACAGGCCGGCCGACGCCAGACGGCCATCCCTCGATAGACGGACGCGGAACCCGGCCATCGCATTCAAGTCAACCGTCGTTTGCATCCACTGGGGCGATGGCGTCAGGGCTGCAGGTGCCGCAGTGCATGGTACCGCCCGTCGCGTCGGACGTCCGCCGAGGTTACGCGTTGTGGTCGCCGTACCCCCGACAACACATATGGACTGACACCTCGTGCGACCGGAGGGCGCACGGGCATAGGTGTATACCCCTTCCCTCTACTACTTAACGCTCACTATATCGCGCCACCCGCCCGCGCGCGGTGGGGGTGTGAGTCTGGTGTGGACGTGGGCGCGCTCCTTTCGCGCTGTGAGAGCGACCTCTAGCGGATGCTCGCCCACGGCCGGGCGCCCCCTCCCACCGTGCTGCCCTGTGGCTTCCTCTCGCTTTCCGCGCTCGTTCCCTTTACTCGCTCGTTGGTACTTATCGCCGTCGTACGGCCGGCGAACACCGTCTGCAGGCCGGAACATTCGTACTCGCTTCGTCGTGGATAATGAACGTTCACCCCCTCGGCCACCTGCCTTCCCCTCCGCATCATCCCCACCCCGTTTCATATTTTTCTTCCTCCACATCTCATCCCGCCTCTCACCTCCCACCCGTATTTTCCGTCCTGTCGTCGTCGCCACCGCTTTCCCTTGTGTGGCGCCGGCAGATGTGCGTCCCCTATGTTTATCGTTTCATCCAGTGACATCATTTGTACGTTCGCCCTTCAGAAGTGTCGCATATCACCCCATTACTCTCTTACCCCATCTTTGCACCCGCGGAGGGTGCTGGCAGTCACTAGAATCCATACAGGCTTCCCCCTAGTACACACACGTACAATATTCCCATTAGTAGACGCACCGAATATTACATGGCCCCACCGTGCCTCTCCTGACCTCGCTACAGATCGCGTCTGACCAGTTCCAGTTCCCCTTCGCCCCTCAAGCCCAAGTTTGCTCCGCTCCAACGACCGGACTCGACCGCACCCGGGTTGTGCGCGACTCTCGTCGACCGCTCGTCGAGAACCTCCGATGATCGCCGCTGCTCCTCAGGGGGGGCGCCGCGCGCTGCCACTTCAAGCTTCGAAGTTACAAGGCTCGAACTCTCGTGGAATGCCGCCGCGATAGGAGCGCGCGACCGCCGCGCGACCACTCCGGGCCGTGTGTGACGCGCACGGTGGCGAGGAGTGTCTTGGGGTGATACGGTTGATACGCGGTAGGAGGTGGGCCGGCACTGCATGTGGATCGCGATACACAGCATGCGGAGACAAGTCCCGGAGGCCGAGGCTCGCCAAGTGCGCGCGCACTCGTCGTCGTTGGCCGTGCGTTGGCCGTGCGTGCATGCATGCGCACATGCGCAGTGCGCAACGACGTGTCCGGCTCGCCGCAGGGAACGGCAGTCCGTTCGGAGTTCGCGAAGCCGGCTGCGTGTGGTCTTCCCGCGCAGGGCCCGGAGAAGAGGATGGCTTGTTGTACAACAATTGCGAGCGATGCTTCCGTAGTCCGTACAAAGTGCTACCGCGGATCCGAACGCCAGCAGGGCTTCCCTATACAGCGCTCCGCGCACCACGTCGGCCCGAGGCGGGAGGAGGGAATCTACATGAGGTCGTCGGGGGAGACGTCGGGCCCAGAGATGACGGCCTTGATGACCGTCTTGCCGTCCGGGCTCTTGCCGTCGCGCGTGGTCTGGAAGGCCTCGGCGGCCTTGTCGAACGGGAAGCGGTGCGTGACGAGCGGCTTGAGGTCGATCTTGCCCTGCGCGACGAGCGCGATCGCGAGCTGGTAGTCGCCGGGCTGTGGGGGCGGCGTGAGCGCGCGTGCGGGAGACGGAGGGCGGGCGGGGACGGCGTACTCCGTAGCGGAAAGACCCCCTGAAGTTGACCTCCTTCGTAAGAAGAGTGGTGATCGGGATGTTCACGTTCGCGGCGCCCATGCCGACCTGCGGGCGCGGCGCGGGTGAGCAAAGTCGCAGGCTGGATATCGAGTGGTTCCGCAGTCACGACGCACCTGGACGTACGAGCCGCCCTGCTTCACGATGAGGATGCCGGTCTGGATGGAGACCTCGGCGCCGCTGGCCTCGACGATGAGGTCGATGCCGTTGGGGCCGCGCTCCTCGATGCCGAGCTGCTCACGCATCGCGGTGGCATTGCGCTCCGAGTACGCCTGGCGGGTCTCGCCCTCGTTCATCTTCGGGGGCAGGTACGCGTCCGTCGCGGCGTAGTTCTTCGCGAACTCGAGGCGCGAGGGGACGATGTCGACCGCGATGACGCGTGAGGCGCCGAGCGCGCGCGCAACGGCCATGCAGAGCAGGCCGACGGGGCCGGCGCCGAAGACGACGACGGACTGGTTCGCGCGGAGCTGGGAGATGTTCGCGACCGAGTGCACACCGACGGACAGCGGCTCCATCATCGCGCCGTCCTCGAGCGTGAGGTTCGCCGGGAGCTTGTAGCAAAGGTCGGCAGGGATGGTGTAGTAGCGCGCGAGGGTGCCGTCGTACGGGGGTGTCGCGGCGAAGACCATGTCGGGGCAGAGCTGCGCAAGGAGCGAGACTTTTGCATACTGTGCCGGGGGGATTGTTTTGGACAAAACGCACCTCGTACCGACCGCGTTTGCAGTCGTCGCAGGTGCGGCAGGTCGCGCCGGGCTCCATCGCGACACGGTCACCGACTTTGAGGTTCCTGGCCTTGGGACCGACTACGAGAAGTCAGGCCAGACAAGTGAGGGGGAAGCTGGTTGGCACGAACCTTTGTGGATAATGCCTGCAGATTCGTGGCCGAGGACCTAAACGAAGGGGTCAAAATTCTACAGACAGTGGCGATTAAGCAAAAGAATCTTGCCATCGGGTTCTCGACGACGAAGTCGCCGATGCGGCCGTGAACGAGGTAGTGGACATCGGAACCGCAGATGCCTGTGGTGTAAGACGCATTAGAAAAGATTAGATGTGTACGGTGAAGAGGACGCCCGTACCCGTCTTCTTTACAGCAACGATAACTTCGTCGTTCTGAGCTGGGGGCAAGGAGTGAGGTCGTGCGACTACGTCATTGATGCCCGATGACCTACGTTCAGGGACAGGCCTGTCCTCAAAAACGACCTCCTCGATCTTGCGGAGGACAAACGAGGGGTTGTCGGACATGTCTGGGGAGGTGGGGAGAGGGGAGAGAGAGATGGAGCAACCTCGGAAAACGGAGAGGGAGGGGCAGGGTATAAGAGGGATGGACGGCGGGACCGGACCGGGCGCCAGGTCGTCTGGCCCGTCTCATCTGACCGGGAAGAGACGGGAGAGCGAAGGTCCGAGGGCGAGGGAGATGCGCGCGATAGCGATGGGCCTCCTCACCTCGGTCTCAGTTCGAGTCCAGGGCTGCCCTGGCTGGCAAGACCCAGCTGCAGCCGGACGACCCGGCCCGTCGTGCCCGCACGCCCGCGAACGGCACCTGACCGCGTCCTGGTGCTCAAAGTTGCCGATCAGCGAGCAGGGAGAACGAGCGGGTGGCGACGCTCGTGGTTGCCGTCACTCACCTCGATTGGTAGGGAACAACCAAACGTGCACGAGCCATGCCTTGGGCACGTTGGCTCGCTTCACTCCGTCGCGCAGACTGTTCGCGACCGTGAAGCACGATGAACGTAATCGAGACGCCATCCAGGGCAGCAGCCGAGGCAGCGTTCAGTAGGCTGTAGAGCGGAAAAAAACCTGGGAGAACAGAATGCGCGCGCAGAGGGAAAGTTGCGCCGAGAAAGGCTAAGGGCCAGCCAATCTGCTGATTACCTTCCTCGACGGCGGCCGGAGGACGAATTTGCTGGTGGGCGAGTACGGCAATGGCTGGGAGTGTGTGCGGGGCAAACGTGAACGTCGACGTCGATGCTGCTCGCCGGCTGGCTGCACGATGGCCTCGCGCGAGCCGCGTTCGAGGACGCGAAGAGATCGATAAATGGCCGATTGCCTGATCGCTGCCCATTTATGTAATTCCCAACGCTCACGCCATTTCTCCAACCCTCAAAAACCCTCGACGCGCGTTCGACCCATCCCCAGCCCCCTCTCTCCCTCCCCTCCATCTCCCCCCTCCTCCCTAGTGCTCCACCATGGTCTACTCCAGCGTGCTCGGTTCCCTCGCATCGGTATGGTTCACCCTCTACGCGCGTCTGTGGATGCATATCTGATCTAGACGCCTCTAGGTGCCAACCGTGAGGTGAAAAAGGCCGTCGAGGCTTACTGGGGTGGCAAGCTCTCCGCCGACGAGCTCACCAAGGCTGCCGCCGACGTCAAGAAGGCCAGCTGGACCAGCCTCAAGGAGCGTGGCGTCGAGCTCATCCCCAGGTGCGTCTTCTTCTCAACATGTCTTGATCTCATCGAGACTCACGTGTGATCTATCTTAGCGGTGACTTCACTCTCTACGACCATGTCCTCGACCATCCGCTGCGTTCAACGTCATCCCAAGCGGTACCTCGGCAAGGGTCTCTCCCCTCTCGATGTCTACTTCGCCATGGGTCGTGGTCGCCAGGCCGAGGGCGTCGACGTCCCTGCCTGCGAGATGAAGAAGTGGTATGTCCGTTCCAAAGTACCCGTTGATTGTATCATGCTCATCTCCTTTAAGGTTCGACTCGAACTACCACTTCGTCGTCCCTGAGTTCTCTGAGGAGACTGAGTTCAAGCTCAACTTCAACAAGGCTCTCGAGGAGTACCGTGAGGCGAAGGACCTCGGTGTCGAGACCCGCCCGGTTGTCCTCGGCCCATCACTTCCTCGCTCTCGGCAAGGCTGCGAAGGAGGCTAGCGCTGGTTTCGAGCCTATCTCACTCCTCCCAAGCTCTCCCCATGTACAAGCAGCTCCTCGCTGCCCTCAAGGAGGCTGGTGTCGGCTCTGTCCAGATCGATGAGCCCGTCCTCGTCCTCGACCAGGCTGCTCTCTACGAGAAGCAGTTCGCTCAGGCATACTCTGAGCTCGCGCCTGTTTCCCCGCGTCTCATCCTTACGACCTACTACGGCCGCCTCGGCTCCAACCTCACCTTCGCTGCCAAGCTCCCTGTCTTCGGTCTCCACATCGACCTCGACCGTGCCCCTGAGCAGCTCGACGATGTCATTGCCGCCGTCAAGCCCACTGGCTTGGTCCTCTCCCTTGGTGTTGTGTCAGGCCGTAACATTTGGAAGACCGACTTTGAGGCCGCGATGAAGCTCGGCCAGAAGGCCGTGGCTGCTCTCAGCAGCAACCGTGTCGTCATCGCTACTTCCTCGTCCCTTCTCCACACGCCCGTCACCCTCGCCGCAGAGAAGAAGCTCACGCCCGAGCAGAAGGACTGGTTTTCCTTTGCCCTCGAGAAGGCGACCGAAGTTGCAGTTATCGCTGCGGCCTTGAACGGCTCCCAGGACTCCAAGGTGTCGAGGCTCTCGAGGCCAACCGGGTCTCCATCGCAAAGCGCCGCGAGTTCGAGCACACTTCCGACGCGACTGTGCGCAACCGTGTCGCCGCCATCACGCCCGACATGCTCGAGCGCAAGAGCCCCTTCGCCGTTCGCAAGGACATCCAGGCAAAGCAGCTCCAGCTCCCTATGTTCCCGACGACGACCATCGGTTCTTTCCCGCAGACCAAGGAGATCCGTCAGGCGCGTGCCAAGCTCGGCAAGAAGGAGATCACCATGGAGGAGTACGAGAAGTTCATCGAGAAGGAGATCGAGAGCGTCGTCCGCTTCCAGGAGCGCATTGGTCTCGACCTCCTCGTCCACGGCGAGCCCGAACGTAACGACATGGTTCAGTACTTCGGCGAACAGCTCGAGGGCTTCTGCTTCACACAGAACGGCTGGGTGCAGAGCTATGGATCTCGGTAAGCGGTGGTCCGTTCATTTGAAGCTCTCATCAGTCACTGATCGCCTTCATCCAGCTACGTTCGTCCCCCCATTGTCGTCTCCGACGTCAGCCGCCCCAAGCCTATGACTGTGCGCTGGAGCAGCTACGCTCAGAGCCTCACGAGCCGCCCGATGAAGGGTATGCTTACCGGTCCTGTGACTATCCTCAACTGGTCCTTCCCTCGTGCGGATGTCTCCCGTGAGCTCCAGTGCAAGCAGCTCGCCCTCGCCCTCCGCGACGAGGTCGTCGACCTGGAGAAGGCTGGCATCAAGGCCGTTCAGGTTGATGAGCCTGCTCTTCGTGAGGGTGTAAGTCTGCGTCTGCTTGATGTCTATGCTGCCACTCATCGATATTGCCCACAGCTCCCTCTCCGTAAGGCTGACTGGCAGGCGTACCTCGACTGGGCTCTCCCGTCGTTCAAGATCGCCACTGCTGGTGTCACCAACGCTCTCCAGACTCACTCGCACTTCTGCTACTCCGACTTCGACGACATCTTCCCGTCCATCCAGGCGCTCGACGCCGATGTCATCTCCATCGAGGCGTCGAAGAGCGACATGAAACTCCTCAACACCTTCAAGCACTACGGTTACTCGAACCAGATCGGCCCTGGTGTTTACGACATCCACTCGCCTCGTGTCCCGTCCGAGGACGAGATCAAGGAGCGTCTCGCGTCCATGCTCGCCATCCTCCCCGGTGACCTGCTTGTCGTCAACCCCGACTGCGGTCTGAAGACTCGTGGCTGGACCGAGACCGAGGCGGCGCTCATCAACCTCGTCAATGCCGCGCGCTGGGCTCGCCAGACTGCTGCGTAAATGCGCATGTCTCGCGCTTCAACAGCGCCCACGTTACGGCTATCGGTAACTTATCAGCGCACTCTCAACGAGGTGTCCTGTCTTTCGGCCCAGTTGTTGTGCTGCGGTGTGGCGGATAAGCAAGAAAACGCGTAGCCTTTGGGTGCCGACGCCGGTCCCGGTTCTCTCGCCCCCGACGTCCCTGTGGCGCTGCCCTCCCGCTCGCTCTCCTGTGAGTGTGCGAGGGCGCGTCCGTCGGCGCGGAGGACCGTGAGCCGGCGCGCAGAGAGCATGTCCTGCCCCTCGTCATTGTGCGGGGATGTGGGCTGCTCTCGTCTTCTCGGTTGGTGTTGGACGTTGTGGAAGGAAGGGGTGAGTGTTGGGCGGATTTCAACAATCCTCAAAATGCGCTTTCAACCGGCGTATCATGTTGTATCATCATTATCATCACGCACGCATGTACTGTACTCGTCACGCATCATTCATATCGCATGGTTGTACTTGTCGTTCTGATCATTACGAGGGCTCGTGGGCACTGGCGTGTAGACGTAAATCGTGAAGAACAAGACGCTGTGCGTGTATGAATAAGTCGTACAGATCGGCATTACAAGCAGCTGAGGATACAAGATGAGGTATAGAGGAGGTTGCGGTATAAAAGCGTCATGTCGTGCCGAGCGTGGTGAAAATAATGTGAGTGTGCAAGGTCAAGGGATTAGATCCTTTGGGTATGTCACGAGCACCATCCCGTCCCTCAAGCAGAAGGGGGGTGGGGCGGCAAGTCCTCTACGTGCGGCACTGTCATCTCCTCAAGGCCACCCACGGTCTGCGTCGACACCGTGCGCGGCACCGGCAAGGTGTCTTTGCGGACGACCCCGTCGGCGTCGGGGAGGACGTCCCGACACTTGCCCTTGGGCGGCTCCCGCCGCAGCGCCGCCTTCTCGTCGTCGTCGTCCCCGTTGGTGCTCTCCTCCGTGGTCGTCGCCGACTCGGGGAGCCCCGACGGCGGCGGCTGCGCAGCGGGGAGCCCGTCCGGGGCCTCGACGTAGATCCGCGGCGTGCTGGGGTCGGCGGCGGGCCGTCGCCGTCGGCGCTGCTGCTCCCGTTCACGAGCCCGTTCTTTTCCTCGTCGCGCTCGCGCCCGTGCGCGTGCTCCATCTCGAGCGCGGCGCGGAGGCGGTCTTCGACGACTTCGGTCCGGCGCGTGTTCTTGCCGCCGTAGTAGATTAGCACGCCGGCGGCGATCCCCGCGACCTGTGCGTGTCATATCGGGTGTGCCGCAGTGGCGGGGACGGCACGGAGGAAACGGAGAATGGGGGGAGGCACGGCGATCCGAATTTGTCCGCGGGCGGCAGAAGCGAGAGGCGAGCGGTGACGTCAGGACCACATCCAGCACGCAAGGTGATGGTGACGTACGAAGGCGGCGGGAGCGTTGTCGCTGTCGTCCATGCCGGACGTGCGAACCTGAAGGTGGTACGATGGAACAAGGACGTCAGCGCATGTGTTGTGGAGCGGGACGCGCAGGAGGATATGCACCGGTCGAGCCCCACATGCAGCCGCTGAGAAGGATCTGGAAGAACGAATTGAGGTCGTTGCATACGATGATCCAGACCGCGAGGCTGCGGGGTCGTCGTCAGCGTGTATTTCTGGCCATGACCGCAGGCATGTATATTTACCTAATGGGAAAGGCCTGAACGTCAAGACGTCAGTCGTGTCATCGGCGTGTGGGGCCAACCCAACCCACCCGGTGTGTCTGTGTTCCGTGAGGCCGATACCACGTTTGCGACAACATGAACTGGTGCTGTTCTGAGGCGGGGGTCAGCGTTGGGCCACAGCGAGGTCGTCATATATGCGGCATACGGTAATGCAGATCAATCTGCTCCTTCTCCGTGAGTACCTGCACATAGTTTGGATCATAGACGGGATCTGGCAGGTCGTCTGGATCGAACAGCTCGGGAAGGCCGGCCTTTGCACGCCTCTTGGCAACAATACGCTTGTAGTGCCAGATCTTGTAGGCACCTGAGGCTTCATGAGAGGGCAGTTGGATGGAGAGTACGAGGAAAGCGCTCCGTACGATATGAGTCCATCACGCGGAATGGAATGAACCCGATGCTGGTCGCAGTGAAAAGACCTACATAGAAGGTCAGACTCGGCTTCACGCATTCAAACGGCGAGCAGCAGGTGACGCACCCGTTTCCACTTGCTGGCATAACTCGACCCAATATCCCTGCTGGATATCGTTGTGTAGGTTGATCATCTTTGCGAGGAAGAGGACAATGCCGGTGCCCCAGAATACTGCCCAAAGTCGGTACTTTCATCGTTGACTGTGGCCCGAAGGAACTCACCAACAAGGAACCCATAAACAGCAGTAATAAACTGAGACGAGTTTAGCATGCGTCAGGGAATACCCCAATACTAGAACACTCACTCCCAATGCTGAAATGACCGATCCTCAATGTCAGACAAGAGCCAGGAAGGCCACTTGAGAGTACTCACGCGTCTTTACAAATGCCCATACACCCTTCATGATCCGCCTGAACTTGTCGCGCTTTCTGAGCACGTCTTCTACATGCCTGTCAAGAGCGTCCTCGTCGGAGTGCTCATCTATCGACGAGACATGTCCCCGTTCGGTATCCTGGGGCTTCTCCTTTCTCGAGATGGTGGGCAGCACAACCACAGGCTTTCTCGAGTAGAAAGATAATGGAGGCCTGCACACCGGCCAAAATGAGTGGGGCTCAAACTAGAAAATCTGATACGCACACTACGATAGCATTCGCAGCGTTTGTCAGCGTCGAAACCGTAGATATCTGGGGGTCTGCTCGGGGACGTTGGTCGGCCGGAAGCACTCACGCCGCGGTCGAAGTGAGGGCTCGCACCTATAACGTCTAGATGCTCCACAATGTCATCGTGGTGGTGCGTGTCCATGCGGTCGTGCGCAGAATAGGCGTCCTCCATCTCCTCGAGCGCGAGGTTAACCTGGCTGCCTTCAATGCCCCGCTCGTGTTCGTCGGGGACACGGATGTCGCCTGCTGCCCCTCGACGGTGTACGTCCGCCTGCGGCCGTGTGCGGGCGAATGAAAAAGGCGGTCTTCCTGCGCATGGGCTTGGGAGGGGCGATCCTGCGACGGGCTCCGGCGTGCGGATGAAGGAGGGACGGGGGCTGGGGCGGGCGTTGAGCATGATGTGGGTAGACACCCTGCTGCCCGCGCGCGGGCGGCGGACGGGTGGCCGTTCCTGGGGAGGAAGCTGGAGGGAACCGTCCGCAGTGGCTGCTTGCCATGAGTTTGAGCGGGGGAGCGTCGCGGGCGGGGGCTGCAGGTCGGGTTGCAGGGGATCGGGTGGGCAAAGAGGGTCGCGAGCGAGTGGGATCTCGGACGGGCTGAGGGCGCGTCGAGGGTCGGTAGCCCTTCTTACCCGGATGGAGGGCATCCTGGGCGAGCGGAGGGGGGAGGGGAGGAGGATGGAGGGCGCGCACGGAGCGCAGGCCAAAAAGTAGAGGCACGGTGACGCTAGGCGCCTGTGCTTCCAGGGAGTCCGCTGAGCGCTTCTCTCTGACGTCACCGCGGCCTGACATTCGGGTGATCTGAACCAGCTCGATCCGTCCAACTCTCGACATCCAAGCAGAGATAACGTGATTATTCCAGATTCTAGTTCATGTGTGTGTGGTACTACTCTAGGTCTCTACGGTGTAGATACAGATGCTCGCAAAATAAGTTAGCCCCAAGTGCCAAAGGGTCAGCACGCGCGTGCCCATGATACATCTAACCAATTAACTCGAGCAGCCTACAAATCACTCCTCCACTCCGACTCCGACCGAGGTCGAGCTGTCCGTCCGCAGCGACGATGGCCCCGTCTGCAACGTTTTGGTCAGCAATCGCCCCTCGCGCTCTCCAGCCTAGCCCAGTCCCGACTCACGCTTCCCGTGGGCGTGGTGTCCGTCTCGAAGCTTCCGCTGCCCCCGCTCCGCCCACTGCTTCCGCTATCCTTGCTCGCCGTGGTCACCGTGCTGTGGTTCTTTCGCCGGAACAGGCTCAGCGCCCGCTTCCGCATCCCTGCGCTCTTCGGCCCAATCGTCGCCATCCCGTCCTGCTCCGGTTCCGACGCACCCTCGTCCTCGACCGGCCGACCCATGGCTAGCCCCACGCCCTCTAGCGACCGCCGCGGCTCGTCGTGCGCGCGGGGGCGCGATCGCGCGCGCTCCTTCACCGGCTCCTTATCCTTGCGCGTGGGTTCGCTCGGCCGCGCCTTGAGCAGCTTCGGCGTGCTGGGGCGGCTAGGGCGGTCCCCGTGGTGCGCGTCCTTCTTGGACGCGATCCACTTCGTCTTCGTGATCAGCTCCCGCGCGACGGGGAGCACCGGCACGAGCGGCTGCTGGAACGCGACCTTGACCCACCCGCGCCAGTTCCGGCCAGAGGGGATGAACTGGTCCACAAGTTCCTCGAACTGCACCAAGTCCAGCGTTGGTATCAGCCCCACGAGACCGCACGGAGAGGTCAACGGAAACACTCACGCTCCACGTCTGGTTCCGGTACTCGAGGTCCCGCGTCCGGATGCGCGCGTCCGGCAGAGGAACGAGTCCTCCTTCGCGATGCTCAGCAGCAGGTGCAGGCTCGCGACCTTGACGCGCACGAACGTCTTCTGGCTCGCCCGGCTCTTCATCTCCCGCGCGTCGTCCGTCTCGTTCTTCGCCGCCGCCCTCTTTCCGTCGCTGCCGCTCTTGCCCCGCCGCCGCCTGTCGAGAGCGTCGGCCGCGAGAGACTGAGGAGCGCGTCCGTCGACTTGGCCCGCAGCGAGCTGCTCGAGTTCGTCCGCTGGATCCGCCGCGGCACCTGCAGCGAGTCCTGCCGCTGCGCCAGCGACGGTGGGGGGTTGCGCAGGTCCGAGAACGAGCGGGACGTGCCGAGCTTCCGGAGCGGCTGCGGCGTGAGCCGCCCGGCGTCGAGCGACTTGCGCGTGGGCGAGGGTATGTCGAAGAACGCGTGCCGGGGGGTGTCCGTCGTGTACGTGAGCATCGGGAGGGTGTCGGTGGTGTGTTGCCGCCCGGAGGGTCGGTGGAAGTGGCCGTTGGTGGTGCTGGAGCCGTTGACGAAAGACTCTGGGATGACGAAGGCCTCGGTCTCGGTCTCGGTGGAGCCGTTGTTCCGCTGTCTGCGGGCGGGCCAGAGGTAGTCCATGATCTTGCGGCCTACACGGATGTCAATCTGGAGGCGCATCGGGTGGAAGGTGAGCTCGAATTGTTCGTAGATGGTGATGCCGCCCACAGGGGGGAGGACGATCCAGTGCGCACGGAGGAAGGACTGTTGCTGTGAATTGGTCTGCGTTGTGAGCGCATGTGCCTTTGTAGAGGGAATAGATCCGAACCTTGGCAGAAGACTCGCTATACTTGGACAGGATCTCGGTCCACTCCGCGTCCGCTGCCCCATCGAACGCCTGCAGGTCACCCACGAGGAGGTGGTTTGACGTCGAGCTGTCGTTCCTGCTGAGCCAGTAAAAGTCCGTCATCCGTACCGCGAGCTTCGCGAGGAGCTGGTTCGCCTGGTCGAGCATCCGCCACGAGACCTCCTCCGAACTCGCGTGGAGTAGCAGTGAGCTCTTCTGGTCCGACTCTGTGTTCGCCTTGTCTTGCGCGAGTTTGATGGCATCGAAAATCAGGTTGAGCTCTTCGACGAGCAGGAGGATGTGCGCATCGATCTTGAGCAGCTCTACGCGCCCGGGGTTTCCGAATCCGCGCAACTTCTGCTCTGCGTCTCGTTTTGTCTCGAGCGCGTGTCGTAGCCGATCCTGCATGCCCGCGACGACGTCAGCGGCAGAAGAGAAGTTCGTGAAGTCGTAGCTGAACAAGAGGTTCTCAAGCTTTTCCACGCGCGTTTTGTGGGCGGCGTCGGTGAACAGTACCAGGTTCGTGATGATGTTGGACAGCGCTTGGAAATGACGGTCGTTGGCGGAGACGGTGAAGCGAGGCACATGGACACGGACTAGATCCTAGATACCCAGCAGGCTGTTAGTAACTTGTATGGCGACATGGACGGTGTACGTACCGTCTGGGTCTGAAGATGCGCATGGACTTGTTTAACCGAGCTGGCGGCCGATGTGATATCGTTGCGGAGACGCAAGCGGTTGAACTTGTCGTATTGGAAAGCGGCATCCGTCTGAGGCACTAGGCGGTCGAAATCGCTGTTGTCTGCTCGCAGATCAATCAAGACCTCGAGAGGCACAGAATCTTTGCCCGACGTGTTCGTAGTCGATGGAGAGAACGTTTGGAGACCGGTCAGCCATGCGAAATTCCTACGTGCGATGAGTTTCAGGTCAAAGAGAGGCATATTTGCACTAGCTACCTGCTCATGACCTTCCCCGTAACAGGATCGTTGATGTTCGTCTTGTCCATGATCGAGAAACTCTTCAACTTGCCCTGTACGGCTGCGAGGATACAGACGGCGTCCTCGTCTTCTGTGCTCCGGAGCACAATCTGAGGTTTGAGTAGCAGACAGAAGTGCCCTGCGTTGGCAGAAACGCCTTCAGCCCATCCTCCTAAAGGGTCCACGGTCGCCGAAGGTTTCGGAATGCTCTGTTGTGTAAGGTCGATAGAAGGGGCGGACGTGTCCTCGATAGCAAAGAACTTTTTCATAACACCGCCGACCGCCTGTGCCGCCCCTTTGTGCTTCTCATGCTCAGGGTGGGGATGGTGATGGTGAATTTCAGCAACCGCAGCCTGTGCTTGATCACGAATGAACTTCACGGCACTGCATAGAAAAGCTCAATACAAGCGATCGGATCTCATTTTATGTGCTCACCGCTGGGCCATGTGGTATTCGAACCCTCTTCGCGAACGAGAGCAATAGTAGTACTGCATTAAGATCTTCACCGATGTCAGTGTTGGCACTTTGATTCCTCTGACATCTCGCTTACGTCTCGAATCGCGTTGTCCATGATGACGTGAGGGTTGTGCATTTGGTAGACGTTATCGAAGCTTTCCCACTCTTCAGATGCCACCATGTCGGCGGGCATGAAGTAGCTGGAATTGCGATCGCCGCCCGATGCTTGCTGAGCCTTGTCCACTCGTTCAAGACTGGCGATGTAAGTGTTGAGAAGATCAGCCATCCGAGCATTGTCATTCGTATTTGATCTCTGCACAGCGCAATAGTTCGGTTAGTGTCATGCACCAAAGATATGCCGATTGGATTTCACCTTATGACCGTTGACCTGGGGTTGAGTAGTAGCCGGGGGAAGCTCTTCGGAGGGAGGTGACGCCGTGCCATCCTTGTGTTTTAAGTAATCCATACGTGCTTTCGCGAGTTCTATCTGGACCTTCAGAGCAGCTAAAAAGTGGGTCAGATATGTAAGATCTGTGCAAGCGAAGAGAACCCACATGGTTCGGTCCCAAGACAGCAACTATGAGTGGGCTCCGAACCAAACTTGGTGCGCCTTGCGAGTCCATCCATGCTCTGGCCATTAGAATTGTCTGGTCGTTTGAAGTACGTGAACCTAGGACAAGACACCGCAGGGAGGAGATGCACGTCTGGATCCGTGGGGATCTCTCCCTCGTCGACGGCGAAGTCGTCCATGTCGATCCACCTCGACTTGAGATCCGTGTGTGGAAGGTCGTTCCTGGTCCGGTAGTTACTACCCATGAGCGGAGAGTTGTCTGCAGGTGTGGCCTGTTTGAGCGGGTCCGAGAACACGGCCAACATGGCACGAAGATCGAGGCCCTTCAGTACCGCTTCAACTGCATAGAATGGCTTGTTATGAATGGTCCTCATGCCTTCCTTGGTCCTTTCGCAAGACTCGGTGTCTCTCTGATGCATGTCGACTTGGAAGTGATCAATGAGCGCCTTGACCCCGACGTATGGAGTGACGCCGTCAGACCATGCATCTTGTGAGTTGTCGATATAGACGTGGGAGATGAACAGCTGAGGTACTTGGATCAAGTACTTAAGCGTGGCCAGATGCTGTCCAAACTTGGGAGAGATGGGGCGTTTGCGTGGATAGAGGTCTCCTTGACGGATAGGCAGTGACAGCGCACTGTTGAAAAGGTGCCACCATGACCAGAAATGCGCGAATACCTCAGGGGAGAGATGCAGGTTACTGGGACTAATGCGAGCAGTCTTGCGGAGCCCAGACTTCAACGAGATTGACATGTGGATGAAGTCCGAACGGAAGCCGTTGTACGAATCCTCTGGAGACTGTCAAAAAGGTTGGTATCATGCCGGAGTCAGGAGACGAGAGAGACATACCTTGAGTTCTGGCGTACTATCCTTCTGCGACAGCTTGACCTCGTAGTGCGGCTTGAAATCCCACAGGCGACATTTGCGATCGAAAGGCTTGCCCGTGCAGGTGAGGCACTCGGGTCCACAAGCGCGCTCGAGTTTGAACCCTACACCGAAACACGCTCCAGATCTGAACTTCGCACATACGATCTGAGCTTTTCGAGGTGTTGCTCCCTTGATTTGAGTCGGCTGCACGGGACCACCGTACGTATCCTCAATGCTACCACAGGTGAGAACTCATCAGAAAACTTTGTGACCTTGCACGTACTTTGGAACAATGAGCAAGATGGTGTCACTCATGACCTGGACCAGTTCTCCTGCTTCATTGGGTTCATTGACAAGTAGCTGGGGGTTGCCCCTCCAGCACAACGCAAAGCCGCTGCCATGGCCTCTGATATCGTACGGATTGCGAGAGCCTAATGCAATGTCAGCGTATTAGCATAAACTAAGGATCGCTCTGACCCACCTTTCATGTGTAAATGAACCTGATCTCTGAACAGCACCCTGACGCGCCAATGCAAGATAAGCCTCAGCTAAAAATGACATAAGCCCTGGGCTGTACTTCACATGAAGAATGAAACGCACCTTGTCCCAGAAACCAACTGCCGGCGAACTGTCACGAGGGGCATGCGACAGAGTATCGAGCACTCTCATCATGTCCTGCGTCGCTGCCTGATAGCTGACGCCCCACGAGAAATCTGTTACGCGGTCTGTCATGACACGAATGATCGGCCTTGCATATGTCTTGACGGGCATGATTGTCTTTGGAATCTTTACGGCCAGCGGCGCGGCCCCGTGGATCCCGCTGTGCGCCTTGATGATCTCGCATTTGACCCATTGGACGGAGGCCTTGTCGCCCATTTCCTCCGCGATGACGAGGTCGCTATCGAAGTCCAATGCTGGTTGAGAGCCCTTCACAGAAGGGGGTATATGCAGCAGTGGCAGGGGGTATTCTCGGAACGTCAGGCGGAGGGATGATACGGTGAAGTTTATGTGCATGGGGATGAGGAGGGAGAAGATGGTGTCGCGAGGCAAACCGCTCCCAGCGTCGTAGAGGAAGTCGGGAATGGCGTCGTAGGAAAACGAAGGTGGTGTGACAGAGAGCAACAGCTGGTTGAAGACAAGACGAACGAGAGGCGGGGCACAGGGATGTCGTTGACGGCGGCAAGATCAGCGTAGTCCAGCTTCGGGATTCGAAGATCGCCCACTGGAGACTCTGTGTGAGCCTCTTCATGCTTGACCTGCCGTGCTTGCGCCTGCTGGACGGCCGCTTTCCATGCTACAGAGTGTACTTGGTCTAAACGATTCCGAGCATCCATGATGGACACCGTGTGTTTCGAGGTGAACTGGTAGTCCGACTCTGGCTGACGCGACGACGACGTCGTGGGCTTCGGAAGAACAATGGTGGCAACCTTGGCTTGAAAGGCCTCTTCACGCTCTTGACGGACGCGCGCTGCGTCGTAACCGGTCTTCCAGATTAGACCCAGTCGGGACTCTAGAGGGCTGTCTGCAGCTTCGACGATGAGTCTTCCAAGCTCAATCGAGATGTTGGGAACTCGCTTCGCTTCCTCCGCGGGTGGCTCCGGAGGATCTTGGAACTTGCCAAGCTTGACCATGCGGAGTAGGTTCTTGACACTCTTGATCGTCATGTTTATGTCCATGATGAGATCCGCGACCACGAAGTCGAACGGGATGCGAACGCGGCCACTGTCTCCTTTGACCCTAATCACGAGCGGGTTGATATCCGGCTCGAGTTCCACGCGCCAACGAGGCAGACGAACGAACTCCTCGAACTCCTCTTTCACTACAAGATCCTTCTTGATCGGAACCGCGACACCAACGAGGATGTGGTCCCACTGCGCAGCTATCTTCCGGTTCGGGGAGACCTCGCAAGTGAGGGAGGCGATTCGTATGAAGGCTTTGCTTGACACAGGGAAAGTCCACAGGAGCTGAAGCTGGTGGAGAGTGCAGCTGACATGTACACACAGCGTAGAAGGGGGTCGTGTAGTACGAGGGGTGGACGGGGGACGGGGAGGAACGAGCCGTTGCAGTGTGTGGGCCGCCAAAAGAGCGTTGTATATCTGGGACAGGTGCATCTTGGCTTGAACCTTCGGAATGCCGACGTCCAGGTGTAAGTCGTCCATGGAATTCGGAAGGGGGATCCCGTTCGGCCGTTGACCGGAGATGCTGGCGTTGACTTCGAGGTTGTCGACATGCAGAAACTCCAGGGAGCGATGGTGAACGCTACTCTCGTCCTGGCCATATGGATCGTCCGCGGCGAAGGGGGTTGCAAACGCATCTCGAAAAACGATGTTCCACAGAGAGAGCTGAACGAGGGCTCGGACTGGTTCGGCGGAAGACGCTCGTTGGTTTCGACGACACCCTCGATGATGTGTTCTGCAGGGAGCGCCAGCTTCGTGCGTTGATGTCCTCGGGCGAGGACCGCCCCCATTCGACTACAATGGCCGTCCCGCAAAGCTGTATAGCTTATGGAAAATCCGGTACGGACGGAAAGTCCACGAGATATGCTCAGTGAATCCTCGGGGGCGATGTCCGGTGAAGTGACAAAGACAGTGAAACGACCGACGGCGAAGGCTCCGGAAACTCCAAACGGTAGTTGGTCGAGTAAACGACGTGATGGTTTCGGGGACCTCGGCTTTGGTTTCCCTCCTATTTTCCTTGCTATGCAGGACAGCGCTCTGACGACGTCGGGCTGCCAGAGTTCTACGGCGATGTCTTCCGTGGAACACTGGAAGTGGGTGTATATTGATGAAACGTCCATGGATGAGACGTCTTCGGCCTCGTCGATGTACTCCCCCTGGCCTTGGCCCATGCCGCCGAGATGAACAGAATCAACCCGAAGCACAGTATCATTGGGATATGTTGCGGCATGGAACTCTTGGGGATGAGCGCCTCGTAGGTGTACGTCGGGCCCGAACCAAACCTTGGCGTACGACTGATTCATCGACAGCGTGTAGTTGAATTCCATCTCCAGACCAACGTAATCGCGCTCGGTGGTGCCAAAGAGCTTGTCTGGTCGTGATTTAAAATGCGACTCTGCGGATCCAGCAATGTCGTCGGTCTTCGCTTCCAAGACAAACGGCTCTTGGCCATCCTCGCTGGCAGGTGAAATCAGTCGAAGGGTTACGTCGCCGATGTGGAGTCCGAGGGAAACGCGAGGAACAGGGCTGAGCATTGTTGGAAGGAGGCTTCCTCCATGTACGGTCTTCTCGACAGACTTTTCCTTCGGCGCCAGCTTGTCAAGCATGTCAAGTCGTTCGGACAACTCAACACTACCCAGGGCAACTTCGGACACCAAAAGTTGGGCGTTCGGATCGCCGGACATGAAAGTAGGGGAGCCCATCCAAGGAGCGGGCCACTGAACGAGGAGGGAATCCCAGCTGAACGTTTTCAATGTTACTACCCGGAGGTGGTCCATGAGCTCGCCGATTCCATTCCTGTCGATTGTGAAGCGCGTAGCGGTGAGATTCACGGAATACGCTTCGGATGAGCTTGCGCCTGTGCCGGAGCCGAGCCATCTTTTGTGCAAGCCGTTGCTTCGGGGATGGCTGAGGCCCACGTGGAGGACGACGTCTCTTACAGTGGCGTATAGAACGATGGTACTCGCTCCAGGGTGCATGTCTGGTTGGAAGCCGGCGGTGGCCCGTGATAGCTTGACGTCGATGTTCCTTATGTATGAGATATACTGTGGGCGTTTCTGCAGACCAACGATGAGCTTTGGTACACGCTTCGACCGTCAAGTCAAAGGCTCACTGGAGTTAGCCGCGGTTTCTTAATATCACGGGACTGTCTTGCAGCCCACCTCCAACGCATAGAAGCCTGTTCGTGACGATGAGTGGAGTACTGGACGGACTGGATGCTCCTATAACATACCGAAAGCGCGCCCATGAAAGGGGAAGAAGGTGAGAGTGGGGATCTCCACGCACTTGACATTCGAGATCCGGCAGAAGTAGCATCTGGAGACATGATCCCGTTCGTTTTGGCCATATGCCCGTTTGAGGACCCCTGGGATGACCGTGATACGCGCAGGGCTTGCAAAATCTCATCGTATGCCCGACGGCGCTCCTTCAACTTCTTGAAGAGCCTTGAGAGTACGTCCAGTTGAACGTTCACTTTTCCCAAATCAAAGGACATCTCCACGCTGCGCGGTTCTACACCTTGATGCGGATTGAGGCGACTGGAAATGAAGAACTGGATTGCGGGGATGTCTACGAAGTAGTTGCCTCGGTGTGTCCCTGTGCTCTCATAGGGGATTGCGCTCGGAGCCTTTCATGAGACTCACCAGCAAAGAGCTGACTGCTTTGGTCAACATAACCTGTTATAGCATTGACTTGCAGGTTCACCGACACTGTGATCTGCGTCGCGCCCCACGCACGGTCCCATGTCCGCATGAAGCTGCTCTTCATCCGCGCATTCCAATCCGCGACGCTAGCGAACCTCCTGTGGCCGCTAGAGCCATTCGTATGGGCTACGGAGACCACGGTGGGAAGGTGGGCGAGCAAGACGGTGGTGTGCACTTTAGCGTACCCCACTGAGAACCTGATTCCCGGAAGTCCGGAGTGGGTGACGGTAGCGGCGTCGAGCTCAAAGTCCAGCCCGTTTGTGACCACCGGGAGTGCGCGAATGGCGACGCGAAGAGAAGCTACGAAGAACGTCCGCACCGTCGGACGAAGGCGCGGTTCGAGCAGGGTGTAGATGGAGGAGTAGAGGGCGAGGACTACCCCCCATAGGCGGCGCGCGAGGCGCGAGGGGGTGGGCCGCGAGGGTTTGCGGGGCTTGGTCCGTTGGGACATGCGCGCTTTGAGAGTATCGTCGAGTTCGACAGACAGACCTTGGACTTTGACGGAGAAGCGGCTCGCGGTGCCTGCGGAGGGTCTGTGGTAGGAGAGGCCTATCCGCTCGACCCTGAGCGTGCCTCTGCTCGTCTTCACATAAAGCCCGCGGATGGAGCGGAGACTGATGCTGCGTATCCGCACGCGGTTTGATGCCAGGCTCACGACGGTGGGTCCGATGTAGGTGCGGAAGAGAATGGAGAGCGTGAAGAGGCGGGCGACCCATACTATGAGTATATGCCACCAGGGGAGGCCGTTGAGGGAGCGAAGAAGCAGGGCATGAAGCAAGAGGTCCGCCGCGGAGTGCTGTGACATGAGCGCGGAATGCCGGAGAAGTGTTGTCCAAGGGAGGACGCCGAGGTGTCCACGAGGAAAGGGGCGGAGTGGAGAGGGATTGTGGGCAGTGGTGGAAGGAGCGTGGGCTTTACTGCGTGCAGAAGGAGAGCATGTAGTGGACGCCGAGTGTGCGCGAGTGGTCACAAGAGCCGTTGGGGAACTTCATCCACGAGTCTGCCACGAACTCGCGCTCATGCGGTGAGCGATCCGCCCAACACTCGCTCGCCGGCCCCAGCGGATCGGTCCTTCGGGCATCATGGGCGCCAGCTCACGTGTCTTCCGGTACACCTGGTCCACCTCAGGCCCTTCGCCGGTCACTGTCAGTGTACGGGCGGCTGTGCGGTCACTTCTTTTCAGTAAAGCTTGCGCTTGAGTTGAAGGGTCATTGACTTTGATAGGTTCGGGTTCTCGTACAAATTACAACTGCAGATACAACCAGCAATGCGATGACATGAACAGTCCACAACGCCCGCGATGATCATCATGAGCGGTCTCATTGAACTAACTCTCATCCAAGTCAAATTCCAAAACACTAAATATAAAATATCTCAGGGAATCATACGATGTGGCCGTACACGAGTTACTCACCATTCTTCCGACTCTCGTCTTGCGGGGGCGTAAGCCGAAAACGTGAACGAGTTGCCCACAAAGCGCCCCGGGTTGAACACATGGCATCCCTCGTAAGTCATCTGGTATCGATCGTACTTGTCCGCGAGCACTACCTGTGGGTGGGTCAGAAACCAGGCAGCACCAGAATACGCGAAACCCTACAGCTGTGGGTAAGGGGTACAGTCGAAGGGAGTGGTCGTAGTCCGCAAGTGTGGGTTGAATGGAAGTCATCATGGGCATGAGATGACTCTGGTCTAAAACCGTCTGGACAAGCTGTCGGTGAGCGTTAGATTAGTGGAGCTCCGTACGTAGAGTGACTTCCAACTGACGTATCGTTTGAGGTCGTCGTTCTTGACATCCGGCTTGACTCCTACAAGATTGCGGAGCATCCTGGACATCAAGTCCTCCCTGAAAACCACGATTTCTTGATCGAAGAACTTAAATCGGCACGGATTGGTCGCGAACTGGACGTGTGATATCCGGTTTTTGAGTCGAGAGACAAACGAGGGTAAGATTGGCCGCCGCGGTAGAACCGAGTTGATCGTCACGTCCAGCGGCCCCGGAACAAGCAGAAAGCGCGTTGTTCCGTTGATGAGGGGGTACTCAGCGATTAGATCCGCGAGCGCGTCAAAGTTGTCTACGAGAGGGGTCAGTAGATTCCGAATCAACTCAAGGATAGATCCTACCTTGATACCTTCGAACCTCCCTCCCGTTCCCTTGGGGGATTCCTACGCTAGTGAAATTCCCGCATAGAACAACAACTTTTGGAATGAAACGTGTCTCCACGCAATGGTCGAACATCTTCCGCATGCCAAGAAGCGTCTCTGGCCGGTCTAACCAAACGTCGGACAGTACAAAGAAGCGTAGGTCAGGCAGCTCCAGCTGAATACGTGAAGCAAATTGTTTCTGCAAAAATCCATGAGCACCCCGTTGTCGTTACAATAATGGAAGAATGCCTACGTCCTCGAGCAGTGTTGTAGCACCTTTACCTAAGAAGTCGATATGACCAAATATTGACCGGGACGTCTCTCGGCTCTCGCATGGAGGGTGACCTATAGCGATCACAACGAACGTTGCGTCTTCTGTGTAATCACCCTCGACAAGAGCTAGGCAACCTTCCGTGAACAGGCCTTCACTTGGTTGGTCCTAACAGAAAGGTGGACGATAATCAGTGAAAACAACATAGAACCAAGCCGTGGGCGTACGAGATGAGAAAAATCAAGTTCCACAAAGCCCTCCTGGTCTTCGAGACACAGTTTGCCCTCCTTCGAATGTGTCAACATGCCGAAAAGTAAGAATCGCTCTCCTGCTCGCCCTAAAAGCTGCTTCGTCGACCTGATCTATCGTGGACTCTGCGTGAGCTGAGCTCCCGTCACTGAAGACAGATCAAGTACCGTGAGGAGATTCTCGCGATCCTTTGAAGGTAATGTGGATGGAGAGAAGTGGTCGTTACGCAAGACACACTGCTTGATTACGTTGAGTCTGTTACGCATTGCCGTCACCCTTGACTCGGCTGTACCAGAAGACGTTAGACTGCCCTGAGCTCTAGCAATGGCCGTGAGTTGTCTCAAAAAGACGGGGAAAAAATGAAAAAGTCAGACTAACCTCTCGAATGTGCTTCGTTCCGTTGACCAGTTCCACAAAGGCATGTCGTATGCATCAATTAGGAAAAAGTGGCTATCCGGGTCTAGTTGGGCGTGTCTCTGGTCTCCGTCATCGCCGTTCTGGAACGCATCATATACCCGGCTGAGGACGTCCAGCGAGACCTTCATTTGGGCGTCTAACAACATTTAGATGTACATAGCAGCGAATGAGAGCAGCAGCACTTGCCATCCTGTTTGTTGTACTCTTTCGCGAGCCACTCGACAGAGAATTCAACGTCCTCGAGAGCGATTTCATGGCGATCGAGAACATCTTCCAGGAATTCGAGGGACTCGGGTCCCAGAGAATGTCCGTATTTTCTAAACACCTGTGATCATGTCAGCAGGCTCGGCGAATTCTGCCAACTATTAAACGACCTTGATGATAACCTGTCTTCTGTCTGCCATCGTAGCCGCTGACACGCTGTTGACAGCAGAAAAGAGCTCCAAGTAATGGTGTTCTTGTTAGTGACTGACAAACGATCTGAGCATGATGAAGCAATTGATAATCACAGTGATCACGTTACCAATTTCCTATCCCGTGTGGGGAGCCCGTTATTTGGTGGTAACAGCACTAGTGGCAGAAGACGCGTCGGACTCCAACTGGTAGCCTCAACGTCGGATTCAAGACGCGCTTCGTGACCGTGACGTCTCGCGACGCGTCGACGGTCGGGTTTCCAAATTAGGCTCTCAGTACTCCCGCACGCGGCCCGACTGAGGAGGCTGCAGCGCCGCGCCACCAGCCTGGTCTCTCAGTTACGCTCTCTCATCCTGCTTCTCCGCAATCCGGCGCCCTTCTCGCCGATCACTCACCACTGACCTCTACACAAACTTCTCGCTTCTGGGTTTCAAGAAGAGGGCGACAGACGCACGCACGTCCTCCAGTGATGTTCTCGACTCTCGATATGGATGTAAGGCCGGGGTCAGGACTGGGTGCATTCGAGATAGGTGAGCAACGGTCAGCAAGCTGCATGAGCCGATTCCTCTATTCTAAAATGATGTCAGGAACATCACTTTGGAACGTGCTTGAGCTCCTTCGGGGGATGCAGCACTTCTTCCCTCAGGTAGACGTCAAGTACGACCCCGACACCCCCACAACACCCATCATCTTGCATATTCGGCCCCACCTCGATCTGCTCTTCTCTGGATACGAACAACGCTTGCACACGATATCCGTCAAGAAGCTGCACGATCCACACCCTCCGCTGACCCTCACGTACAAACACGCTGTGTTATCTTCGAACGAAGAAGTGTTACGCAAGGTTGGCGTGAGCCGAATGTTTGGGCCGACTTATCCCGGTGACGACCTACGATACCCTGGAATATCATTTGGCTTTGAGGAAGACGCGAGAACAGAGACTCTGAAGACACCTGCACAGGCAGATGTCCGCCAACAAGAGGTCAAGCGCATCATTATTTCCCAGAAGAGCGCAGATGGAGAGCAGCGTGACATGCTCGACGACGTTGCGGAGTGTGAAGCGATGGATGGAGAGCTGTCCCAAGCAGTGGTGAAGGTATGTCTCGGTCTTGTATCAATCGTTCGTGAGACCGATCCAAGACACAGATCCATGAAGGGGTAACTCTGCACTTCCACCCATCTGGGTCAGAGCCACTACGCGTGCTTCTAGGAATAAGCACCGCTCAGGACTTGACGTGCGACCTTGGCCCACCTTTGCGAATACATTACAAGGAGGATGATCGTATGACCATCCATGCGCGAGCCACCCAGGGCGACGCCCACGCCGATGGCGATTGTAAGTACATTCGTCCGAGATCCTACGAGTGCGGTGGCCGAGTGTTTGCACAGACTTCTACAATTATCAACAGCATGGGATCGACTTCCTTATCTCTGGCGCAACCCATGCTGTTAAGAAGGTCGTTTTGCATTCGAACGTGGTAGGTCGCTCTTCATTCGCCCTGGCTAGTCTCATCATAGTTATAGCCCGGAACACCGCTATTCCAACGTTATAAGCGATGTCCATGGGAAATAGAGGGATGGCCGGAAGACGATGAGGATGGTGAGTGATACTCATCCATTGCGCTTACACCCTGATGCTCAACTACAATGGAGAATTCCCCCCGCGAAGACGCTTCACTGACAGGGTGCGTGATCCTATCAACGGTTCGTGAGCATGAAACCTACAAATTTCTATCACAGGTGGAGGAGATCCAGCATTTCATCGCTCCCGGAGGAGCACCCCCGTCTATGATTTTGAATCGTACAGATGACGAGGACGGGCTTCAATTGCCGAGCGCAGCAACACGTAAATTACTCCTTTCTCTTGCCATCTCTTCGACTGATATACCCGTCTATTTCTAGGGTTGTTCGGATATGACGGCGTCATTCTGGAGGCCACGGAATCTGCTCAAGTCGTTGCGGTCATGATTTTCTAAGACTAATTTATATGAACTAAGCTCCAGGGTGTATCATTACGTCGGGTGCTCAAGACGCTCTATGTAGATCTGGTATAGATGCTGTGCGTGCGGCTTCTGCATCTTCTGTATGTACAATTACTGTTTGAAGAGTTCGGACCAGACAATCCGCAGCTCTTCAAGTTTGGAAATAGCAACAATACCCTCGTCAGCGTCTCCTGGATATCGCTACCAATCTCTTTACGCCTGCCTCCTTCCACAGCCTGCATACCACGTTCACAGAAATGAACGCAATGGCCCCATCCAAGTTGACGAGCAGCCTTGACGTTGTTACGGCTGTCATCAATGAAATAGCACTTTGAAGGGTCAGTCAATGCTGCTTTCTTCAATGCCTGCGCACGATTATGAGCCGACAAGTCTTTGTGCCGTAGGCTGTGCACTCACATCTGTGTAAAACTGCGATTCGGGCTTGCAGCTGAACTCGGGGTTCGAGTAATCGCAGAAGATGACATCTTCCACAAGGTCATCTATGCCAAGAATACGTAGGACCCGATTGGCGTGCTGTATAACTAATTGGAATCCATCGAGTGGCCGGAAGAGTACATATCGCCATACCGTGTAGTACGCGTTGGTCAGGCCCCAAACCCGAGCCTTGGTGCGATCTATGTCTTTCAGTAGCTGACGGAGTCCTGGGTTGGGCTTCAAAAGCTCTTCTAAAGGAAGCGACCCGTCGCACTTCTGGTCAAAGTCTAGTGGATCTGTGCGGAAACGTGTTCAGTTTTCCTGCATCGACTTCTTGAATGCGAGCGGTATATTACCTATCTGATGGTGCCGCACCAGCCCCCTGATAGCCAGGCCGTACTGGGAGTAGTACTCGTGGTGCAACTTCGACGCTTCTTCCTCCGGGAAACCCATTCCGACGAAGTACGCTGAGTGAATCGATCAGCAAAGACATTACAACAAGCTAAGGCGGAATTACCGTGGATGCGAACCCCCATTTCATGGGATATTCCCGCACTGGCAGAGTAGAGGGTGTTGTCTATGTCAAGCCACACCATACAACGCTCGTCCTCTGTGGACAAACGTCAGCTGCGAAACGCCTGCAAAACCGATTTCCTGACGTTCTGCTGGAGCGGCGGGCATCTTGGGGTATCAAGCACGCGTATGGGGGTGGTAGGCAAGCTGCAGTGAGGAGACAGCGGGCATATACTCGGTTTGTGAGTCACCGGTCGGATCCTCGATGTGCCACGACGTCAGAGATCGCGCTGGGACAAGCACTGCAGTCTATAGGCGCTCGATGCACCAAGCGCCTGCGTGCCATATCGGGCACAGTAGCCGCCGGCGCCCAGTCCGCAAGCCGTCCGCCGAGATCAACAAGGCCCGTAACATCCTCAAGACCCACCTCGACGCAGTGAGTACGATTTCATGCCGTCTGCAGGCTCAGATGGACGTGTTGGAGGTACTGGATGGCATATGGGATTTTTTGGCGGGAGAGTGGCAGTGGATTGGGATGGATGGCACAGCGACGAAACGGATGCACCCTACAACACCCTCGGTGAACCTCTCTGTTTCCTTCTCGCTCTTACACTCCCTCTGCACAGATGGCCCGCAGCAAGGATCTCGTCCCCGGCGTCGGCCGTCTCTCCCGCTCCGCCGTCTTCGCCCGCCGCGGCCTCTTCAAGGGCCAGAAAAAATCCGTCAAGCCCGCCGTGGCTGAGACCCCCGCGACGAAGGAGGTGACCGTCGGCGGCGAGAAGAACGGTTCGAAGCGCATCGTCCCCACCAAGAAGGCGCCCCGCTTCTACCCCGCGGAGGACGTCCGCCAACCCAAGAAGAGCCGCAAGTCCCCCAAGCCCACCAAGCTCCGTTCCTCCATCACCCCCGGCACTGTCCTCATCCTCCTCGCCGGCCGCTTCCGTGGAAAACGCGTCGTTTTCCTCAGTCAGCTCGCGAGCGGGCTTCTCCTTGTCACTGGCCCCTACAAGGTCAACGGTGTCCCCCTCCGGAGGGTGAACCAGGCATACGTTATTGCCACCACCACCAAGGTCAACCTCGGTGATTTCAAGGTACGCATGTGTCCGCAACCTGTAGCGTTTAGCAGAGTGCGAATCTCTTGTGCAGGTCGACGAGAAAATCAACGACGCGTACTTCGCGAAGTCTGCATCCAAGGGCCCCAAGTCTGCGGAGGAGGAGTTCTTCGCAGACGGCATGCCCAAGGAGAAGGCTGCCTTCCCCGAGTCGAAAGCGGCGGACCAGAAGACCGTTGACGCGGCCGTCATCGCTGCCGTGAAGAAGACGGAGAACCTTGCGAAGTACATGAAGGCGACGTTCGGTCTCTCGAAGGGCAGTTCCCACACCAGATGACCTTCTAAACGCATCAGAGGGTGTTCTCGGGGGTTGGGAATGGATTGTCGGATTTGTGGCGAGAGGGGTTCGGCAATCCATGCAGCTACTTATGACCTTATGCCCTGTAGCATGCCATCCATACGCACATCATATGCTATCGCTGGGCGTTGTAAAACTTCTGCTAACGTGGGATGCTGCTTGACTTGTGCACGCCTTTGGTGCTCAGCTAATAAAGTATGAATCGCACCCGTAGGCCAGGCTCTAGTATCCGGCGGGCGCCTCGAAAATCGACACGCTCACCGGCGCCTGTTTGTATCGGCAACTCGCACAATGCTTTCCACCAGGATAGCGTTGTCCCCATTACGTTCATCTCTCCGACCAGTACGAGCCACACCCCGACATGTCACTGGCCGGAGAACGTTTGTCTCCTCGACAGTACACCCACTCTCTGAGGGATTCCTTGACCTGGCCGCGGCGATTCCATATCCCGCAGGCTGGCCACCGTACGCGTCCACCATCATCCTGGTCACTGTCGCGACACGGCTCGTCTTCACAGTGCCGTTCTCCGTATGGGTATGCGCGTCACATTCGATGGTATCTTTCGCAGACTAACCCGACGCATCCAGGCGAAGAACAGGCAATGGCGGAAACAGCACATCGTGGGCGCCCAAATAGCCAGCGAGATGCCAGCAATGCAGAAGCAGGCGCAGCAGGACATGAAGAGGGAAGGGTTCCGCACGAACGAGAAGGACGCCGTCATCGCTGAGATCGTCAAGCGCACGAAACCCATAGTACGTCTCCCCTCTCCGTCCCCACCCGCGCGCCCCGCCCCCGTTCTGAGCCCCTCCCTCGTTCCCTCGCTTCCTTCCCTCGACGCAGGTCGCGGCGCGGTCCAAGGAGCTCGACAGGCAGCACCGCTGCGGCTCGCTGGGCACCACGGGCCTGATCCTGACGCAGGTGCCGCTCTTCGTCGCGACGACGGCGGCGCTCAACGCGGCGTCGGCGGCGCCGACGGTGCTCGACTCCGAGGCCGCGTTCTCGCTCGCGTCGCTCGCCGCGCCGGACGCGACGATGGTGCTCCCCGTGCTCTACGGGCTCGTCACGCTCGTGAACGTCGAGAGCGCGCGCTGGTTCCTCGCGCCCGCCGCGCTCGAGCGCGAGAAGAAGGTGGAAGCATGGACGGCGGCGCGCCGCGCGAAGGGCGAGGTCGTGCTGAAGCCGCAGACGCTGATGCGGAGCGCGCTGCGCGCGCTCGTCGTGCCCCGCATCCTCTTCGCCAGCCTCGTGCCCGGGGTGAGTGGTTATTTCCGCCGGGCGGCCGTCGTGGCTGACGGTTTTCCCCTTCGCCTGCGCGCGCAGAGCGTTGAACTGTACTGGTTGACGTCGGCGACGTTCGGGCTCTTCCAGTCCTGGCTTCTGGACTACCTGTACTTGCGCCGACCTGTTCCCACAGCGGCCGCAGCGGTGGCTGAGGACGCCAAAACGAAATGATGCCGCAGACCGGGAGACCAGTGCCCATCGTGTGAGTCCGTATCCTTGGCTTGGGAGGAGGTTCTGCTCGGATGACAATAAAGTGGTAATGGAAGAAGCCGTCACGCGTCCTAAAAGGACTCTGGTTTCCGGTGAAACATCCTTGATCTAATATGACGAGCGGGATTCCTCTCTGGCGTCGACCTGGACTGATGTCTTTTTCCTCATTAGACTCGTCGCTCTCCACGATGCATATGGGACGAGGGTGCGTACAGTACGAATACCCAAGACGGATGTAGAGTACACTACCTAGATGGAGCACGATATGATAAGCACACACTGGCAGTCCGACGGACTCAACAAACGGCCTTGATCTCCCTTCTCCCGCCGCTGTCCCTGCTGTCCACGTACCGGCCGATGCCCATGTGCCAGGCGACGCGGGGCACAAGGAGGCTGAACCCGGTGAGGAAAGTGATCCACAGGAGGCTACTCCAGGTGGCGACGCGCCAGCGGCTCTCGCCGAGGGCCCACCAGGTGATCGAGATGTGGACGACGTCGGCGAGGAGGAGCGGGGTGAGGAGCGCGCCGACGATCTTCTCCTGGAGGACGGGGTGCGCGCCGAGGTACTTGCGCGCGGCACCGAGGACGAAGAAGTTGATGAGCCCGAGCAGGCCGACGACGTGCGCGAGCTGGAGGATCGTGACCTGGGTCGCGGCCGTGAGCGGCTCGGGGGGCGCGACGCCCGCGGGCCAAGGGGCCTGGTTGTCGTGCGCCTGAAGTGGGTGCGATGCAGTGCGATGCGATGCGATGCGACGTCAAGCCACAGTCAGCGGGACTCGGGGCGGGGCGGGAGCGGGTGGTAGGGGTGGGGACGGGGGCGGGATGTACACACCTTTTTGGGATTCACGATCGCACCGAGGAAGCCCGAGACGGCGAGGAGGGGCTCGTAGAGGCCAAAGATGGCCCAGTAGGCCCATGGGAGCGCGTGAGGACATCGATGTGTGTCGCGATAGGGCATGTCGCGTCTGGAGGGGCGTGAAGGACCAGAGGTGGTGTATTAGAGCGAGGAAGAGCTGGGAGATGCGCGATGTGCAAAGGGCGAGGGGGAAGAGTGGAAAGAACTGGAGAGAGGGAGCGGGAGAGGGCGGGCTTAAAGCGAGGAGGGTTATCAAACGAGCGACTGGCGACGAGCGATGAGCGCGGGCGGGAGGGGAGGGCGGCTGGTCAACGGACGAGCGTGGCTTTCATAACGGACGGAGGAGGAAAAGAACAGGAGCGAGCCCGGCGCGGAACTGCCAGTGCCAGGCAAATGCCAGGGGCTCCGTCGATCTAGGTCGCAGCCACAGCGCTGGTGCCCCAAGGGCCGGCGGAATTCGTCCTCGACGCGCGCTCTGTGCCGTCTCCTGCGCGTGGGTCCGCGCTCGCTGGAGAAGCAGTGGTCTACAACATTGACGGTGAGGTGCGCGACGGGCACAGGTGGCTGGGCGCGGTGCTCGAGCCAAGGCGGGCGGACCGCGCGTTCGCCGCCGACGCGAGTCAGAAGCAGCCGCGCGCTCGCCAGCCTCGAGATGTTGATGACCGGCGAGCGCGGGGCCCGCCGCCGCCGGCTTGTTCTCCGACCCGGGAGCGCGGCCCCGAGCGGCGAGTGGGTGAATTCAATTACGGGTAGGCGCTAAAACCACAGCCTCCGCTCCCGGCCCTAAAGTCGCCAGTTTTTGAGTGCGCGCGAGCGACGTCCTTTCCTCCATCTTACATGTCGGTCCATTTCTTACCCAGGCAACCTATACGCTCCCAGACGTCGAGTTGCTAAATGGCAGGACCAAGAAGGAGTCTATAGACGAGGGGGCTATAATGCTTGTACTTTGGGTCCTTCGAGACTGTTTGTAGGTTACAAGCTTCGCTCTTCCTAACATCTCGTTCTGTATTCCAATCCATCATCTTTCGACCTGTATTACACTTCAGCTGTCAAAATGTCTGATGGACAAATCTAGCTGGTAGGAGCATGTAGCTGATGCAACACGTAGATGTGTCTCGACCATAGCCTGCTCAAAGCTTGGCGAGACTTGATAGGGCGTGACGTCAAATCACGGCTATTTTTGTGGACCTCACGAGACCCTGCGAATGGACTCGAGTGCATTCTTCTCCCACCATTCGATGATTCTTACGCCGAGGCTACTTTCCCCTCTGCGTTCACGCACACCGGTCTCCCTGATGCCTGGCGGCCTGCCATCGTCAGTCGTCGCGACCGGCGCCGAAAAGGCCTCGGGCGACTCTGAACACGACTCCAGGTCAAGATCCAGCTTAGAACGCATCAAGTCCCACCACTCTCACCACCTCCACAACGCGGATGTTCAAAGCTCCTCAGAAGTCCCGGATGTTGGTGCCATCCTTGCACGACATTCTTCTGTCGACGATGCCCGTTCCTTGGCGTCCATTGACCGGCCTCCCTCCGAGGACGAAAAGTTGCCTGCAGCCAAGATTTACAAACCGCTATCCTTCCCCGTCCTCGCCCTGTTCTTTCCCGCCTCCATTCTTGGCGTTCTTGCCCGGCTGGGGCTGGAGGCTATCACGACGTACGATGGAAGCGCTATCTTCCACTTGCATACGTCCAAGCTGTGGGTGCTTGGTTATGGGTTTTGCTCTCGAGCTGAAAGAGCCGTTGGGTAACTTGTGAGTCTTTTCCATCCGTGCGCGACGCCGCCGGCATTCCTGCGCCATCAATTGCGGCGTTGAACACCTCCTCTTCCTCTTGGCTGTCACAGCTATGGACCGTTGTACACAGCGATCACCACTGGGTTCTGCGGATCCCTGACCACGTTCTCCGGATGGCAGCTCGACGTGTTCGAGTCCTGGACAACAGCACCGGCTCCCACCGCGACTGGTTTCGAGATGTGAGTCGCAGTCTCTCCAGTCAATCACACCCCCGAGCTCACAGCACCCGACCTCGGACCAACCTGCCAATCCTCCATCCTACACTGCTATCCGCACGCTCACACTGCTATCCACACTCTCACACTGCTATCCGCACTCTTGCACCCCCTCGCACCCCCGTACACCCTGTTCGCCCCGTAGGCGATCGACGGCATCGGCCAAAGCGTCTTCACCCTCGCCATCTCCCTCTCCGCGGTCACCTTCGGCGCACACCTCGCCTCGCTCGTCCGCCCGCGCGTCCCCGCGCTCCGCACGCCCCCACGCTGGGCCCGCTACGCCCTCTCCGCGCTCGCCGTGCTCACCTACGCCGCCGCCTTCCCCGCGTACTTCCTTCTCCCCGCGCACGTCCGCGCGCAGGCGACCGCCGCGCTCCTCTTCGCCCCGCCCGGCGCGCTCGCCCGCTACGCGCTCTCGCTCGCGCTCAACCCGCGCCTCACGCTCTTCCCGCTCGGCACGTTCGCCGCGAACGCGCTCGGCACCGCCGCGCTCGGCGCGCTCCAGCTCGCGCAGAGCGTGCGCGTCCCCGGCCCGCCGTCCCCGGCCGCGTGCGCGCTCCTCAAGGGCCTCGGCGACGGCTTCTGCGGCTGCCTGACGACGGTGAGCACGTTCGCGGTCGAGGTGCGCGCGCTCGACGCGCGCCGGGCGTGGCTCTACGTCGGCCTCAGCTGGTTCGTCGCCCAGGCGCTCCTCGCGGTCATCCTCGGCTCCGCGATCGGGTCGGGGAACGTCGCGAGGGCGCCCACTTGCGTGTACCCGTAGTCGCGTCGCGCGCGCACATACGTAGAGTCCTTGGTGTTTCCCGCACACGTACTCACCATCAGATCCCCAGCACGTATATCACAATGGTCTCGAGGCCTCATCGCTACTCTTACGTACCTACGCATACCTAGCATCGTCTTGTACAACAATCTATGGCGGGCGCCCTGCGCAGAACTGTTGCGATCGCATCCGTGCGATATCGAATGCTGCGAAGCGGATCGGTGGCTCACAAGGACGCGCCAAAACGACGTGGTGTTTCGAGTGTGTTTTATTTGTTCGAGAGTGCCGGAGCAGCGGGTTCCCTATCCTATTATACAAGTCGTTGTAGTGGGTGTGGTTTGCTACAGAGAACGGCCGACCATCGCGTGCCGGCGGCGGCGACACCCCCGCGCCCCGCCGTCCTGCCTCGACCACCACCACCACCACCACCGCAAAGCCGATTAGAAGACCAAGGGAGACGCAAGAGACAGGAAGCAGATGGGATATGGAGATGGCCGGTGAAGGCCGGGTAACGATGTGAGCACAACAGTCTATGTGCACGGGGCGATATGTGGGAGAATGCGAAGAGTGAAGCTGCGAGGGGACGGAGGACAGGACATGGTGGCGGACGAAGCTCGACACACCAGTCCAAGCCGGGGAGGTGAGTGGGTGGGCACGAAAGCAATAGAGAAGGGATAAATAAACGGTGCACTGGGAGTCGCGAGGATTGCGGGGGAGAATTAGGATATACGCGATCGATGCGGGAAGGCAGGTAAGGTAGCACGGATGCAGAGAAGATGGCGGCAATCGGTCGAGTGTGTGAGTGAGGGAGGTGAGGTGAGGCAGCGGCGGACGGCGATGGGTGGGTCGCTGACGAGGTATCGCAGGGATGAGTCATTTAGCAGGTCATGAGGTAGTGTCGTAATTAGGATGCGTCGTGGTAAGCCGTTGAGTGAAATGCGATGGGATAGCGCGAAGAATCTATATGCAAGAAAGCAGGGGGAGCGGAGAGGTTGTTTGGTGATGGGGGCGGCCGGGAGTGGTGGGTGGTCATGGAGAGAGAGCCTCCTTTTCGCGGACGAGAGCATGGAGCTCGGCCTGGGACGCGGCCCGGATGCTTGACGGCGAGGCGGACCGAATGCGCGTGCGCCATTCCTTGACCCAGGCCCAGCGACGGGCCGTCTCCTTCTCTTCGACTGCTCCGAACGAGGCCTCGGGCTCCACAGGCGCTTGCGAGGAGAGCCATGCGCGGAGATGGTTGCGGCCCAAGATGGGGGCGAGGGAGAGGAAGGAAAGGAAGGCGAGCTTCATGACGATCTCGGGTGACGTCAGAATCGACTGCACCGACATCGACGGGCGCGGGTTCGTGGCCACGGTCTGGAGGATGTCGCCAATCTGGCAGGTCACCGCGGTCCATGGCAGCGAGCCGATGAGCGCGCCGAGGAAGCAGTCCCAGACCGCGACCCCGCACACCCCACAGGCGATGTTGATTCCAGACCATGGGACGACGCCGATGAGTCGCAGAATCGAGAGACGGACCCAGGGAGCAGACCCGTCTTTGGAATCATTGCCCTCCAATACCGACCTCGTCATTGCCAGGGGCTTCGGAAGCAAACGCGTGAGGAACGGGCCTAGCGGCGCCGCCAGTGTACTTGCTGACAACGACCCGAGCGTGGTGAGCAGCGTCAACAGGGGGATCGCGAGCGCTGGCGAGAAGAGCGCCCCGGCAAGCACGTTCTGGACACCATAGCTGCTGTCAGCACCTATGGTCAAGGAATGGCGTGACAAATGGGCGCACCGTCAACACGCTCCCAGGTATTGACCAGCTGTGCATCCAAATGGTCGCTGCGGAGAGCACACCAACGATGTGCGTTGTTGAAAGCACACCGCTCTGCGCATACCCATGCAGCTCCCGGCCGAGCTGCGCAAGGTCCGGCAGGTTGCGTGGCCATGTCGCGGTGATTGGGAGCGTCGAAGCGGCCAAGAGAATAAGCGCGGTCGACAGTGGGAAGAGGATGAGGACGAAGAGCACGGGTGTATGGACCTGTAAAGCGGGCGGACGCGGGAGAGGTTTTAACAAATGATCACGCGAGCGAAGGTGATGGTGGGTACGCACTGATGGATGACCTTCCCACAGGCGAGCTTTCGCTTTCTGCTGGGGTCTCTCGAGCGTCGAGAGGTCCCCGAAGTGGGCGCGCGTCGGGGACGCGGACATGGGAAGGATGGAGGAGTCGTCCGTGCTTGCGCGGCTATGAAGCGGCGAGGACGGCGACGAGGTGAATCCTGAGTCCGCCACGGCATGGAGGGACGTCGTCCAATGGGTGAGGAGGGAGGCGAGCGCAAAGTGCGGTGCCGGGTGCGACTTGGTAGATGTGGGGATGTCGAGCGACAGGTTGGGAGTGACGGTCATGTTTGGGGCAGGGGAGCCGGGGATGGTGCCGAGCTCAGAGGGCATGTCGAGCACGGAGTTTGACGGTCGTCGTTCGAGGGAATTAAGGGTCAGAGCTGGGCGGACATTGGTCGAGGAGGCGCGATGTCTGCTGGGAGGCGGGACGGGGAGGCAGGCAGCGGACATGGCCAGGAGGACAAGAAGAGGGAAACGGACGAGGAGGACGGCCGGCTTGAAATACCAGCGAGCGCCTGTCTGTCGCCCGACTGGCTTCTCTGATTTTTGGCCGGACCCCGTAAGTAAGCGACATCAGCCTTCCGCCCAATCCGGGCACTTCCATCGCGGCTGCTCCGCCTAACAAACATGCTTACGTCCTCACCTTCCCGCACCCACCGGCCGAGGTCCGCCCCACTCGTCCAGCATTCGGCTCCGTGCCCCAACGGCCCGAGCGCCTCGTACCGTCCGCACCCGAGGCATCGCCAGCCTGCGCCGCAGAGACGCACCGCGCGCACTCTTGTTCTTGGGCCTGGCCGAGCACGGCCGCGCCCCGCCACCCTGTCCCTGCGGCGTCGGGCACAAGTATTGTAACCCAACCGCGCCGGAACAAGGAGCCAACCCACGCGGGCGACGAGCGCACACGAGTACTTGGTGACAGCGCGCCGACGACCCACGACATCCTGCTCTCGGCAAGCCGACCGAGGCCACGAATGACTCTGCCGTCTTCCGAGGTCCGCGCTTGCTTTTCCGATCGCGGCCGCCGCTGAGCTCCGTCATCGAGTCTCTTCTCCGGCCGGCGGCACCCCATCGGCTTCTTGGTCAGCGCCTGTACTAGTTGACGCAATATGTTCGGCAGTCGTTCTAACCATCAGTGCAAGGCACGAGGACAACGTTCGTCCATCTCACTCTGTCTCAATCTGAAGTACAAATGTCAGCCATGGTACTCCTTAGTAAGAGTCGGTGGATAAGTGGAGGCACTGCCTAGGCGAGTCTGGGCTGGGATAACGTCGACGTGCGGGTGCAGGTGACACTTTCCAAGCCCACCACAATTCTAGATGGTCAGGTTTTATCATATCTTGCCAGTAGATCCTATGTATACCGTATTAAGCACCACTTTGTCGCCGCGCGCCGTACTTGCCTCCACTCGAGCGTGCGTGCGAATCACAAATCATCCAACCACCTTCAGAAGCAGCAGATCGTAGGGACATGTGGAAAGGGCATGTGCATTGGGGATCCGCATTCAACATGATCGCATAGAGTTACAACGAATGCCTGTATAGCATCGTGAAGTCGTCGAGCTTGGCCCCAACATAGGATCGAGAGGGATGTCATCGAGGTGGTCCTGACAGCACCCTCTCTTTTTAGTGCGCTCTCCTGCTCTCCTGGATGATGGTGCCGAGCTCTTCGAGCTTGCGCTTCGAGCGAAGGAGGGTGCCCAGCTGTGGAAATTCATCAAGATTAACCCCCTATCGAATGCGGTAGTTCGAGGATAAACATACCCGCTTCTTCGTGAGCTTACGCGCCTTCTTGTCCTGCAAGCGGATGCGAGAGGGACCCTTCAATCTCTTGAATCGCGCCAGACCAGAAATGAGACGCACCTTGGAGTTCCTCAGCAACTCCATAACCCGACGCTCATAGGGCGAGAAGCCCGCAACCTCCCGGACGACAGAGCGCACGAACTTCGTGCGCTGGGACTGGATGCCCTTGCGCTGGCTGGGACGGACAGTCTTGGGGATGGCGGTAGTGGGGTGGCCCTTGTTGAGACCGACGCGGAGGTCTACCACAACGAAAATATATGTCAAAGCAATCAGCGTCATGCATGCATGCATCAACCAGGGGCACTTACTGCTGCGAGCCATTTTCTTGAGTCTTGAGGCTGTTGGTTGGTGGTGGATGGTCGCGGACGTAGGAGTAGCCACTTTACACGTGACACTCAGTGGTGGCTGTTGCTGCTATACAGTACCAGTCTCATTATTCCCACGCATTACGTGGGCGCACTTCCGTCTATTCATCAAGGATATAGCGTATAGTAGACGAGACAGATCAACATCAATGCTCTAGCGACGAATGAGACCACCAAAAGCGACAGAGAACGACGACACATGAAGAGGGACAGAATAAGTCAAGATCTTGTCCGTCAGAACACTTCCGCCCTGTTCCCCGAGCTCCTATCCACCCATTGGCGAATGATGCGTAGCTTTCCACCCGTTGGTGACGAGGACGCAGCCAGCTTCACAATGTCGCGAGGGGTTTGTGGGGGCCCAGTCGAAGCCGGAGAGGATGGTGGGTGGGTGGTATTCTGCGACCGCACGTCCGGCGCTTGGTTGGACACAGTACGTCCCTTCATGGGCACATCACCGCCTTCTTCTTCTTCTTCCTCCTCTTCTTCGTCGTCATCGTCTTGTGCGTCCTAAACCGAGGTCAATTTCTCACTACCGCAGATGGGTTGCGTCATCGACTTACGGCATCAAAGTCCTCCATCGGTCGGTCTTCATCTACGCGCTCGTCGTCGTCATCGTAATGCTCGTCGTCATCTATCCATCGGCCTCTCCAGTCGACGAGATCCAGCTCCTCCGGGTTTTCGGGTCGCAACCGCATCCATTGCATACGAGGGCCGCTCTTTGCGCGTTCGCTGACGCGGAAACCGTAAATCTTTGGCGTGTAGACCTTGCCCGCCGCACGCTTTTGTCCGCCGTGAGGAATTGGGTTAACGAACGGCGGCTGATTGGATGACGAGCTCGCAGATGAGCGCGGGGACGTTGACGAGGGAGAGGAAGGCTTCCAGAACGGTGCCGGAGAGAGTTCACGGTAGCTCTGGAAGAACAGATGTGCGAATGTAGTCCCAAAAAAGGCGCCTGGAAACGGATACTGCGATGAGCTTCAGTATGTCCCCGCAGGCGAGCCGGTACATACCGTCAACGCCTTGGAATCGGCTGCTGGGTGGGGTGTAAATGTCGCTGCAGTTCGGACAGAAGAGCTTGACCGTATCCAATCCTGGAAGATCAGATCGTCCGCAGGGCACTACATTGCAACCATTGCAGTATACGCGAGGGCACGACCCGAACACCCCTGCTTCATATTTGTCGACCTGAGGAGGGGAGCCTATGAGACGCTCGATCCGCAAGAAGATGAGTGCACAGATTCACCATGGCCTGCAATCCTGCCCTTGTGAGAATGAATCGTTGGTGGCACAGTCCGTACAACAGTTCGGCCGAAGCTTCCACAATTGATACGTCCGGGATTTTGGTGGTCTCCTCGTCTGAGGATCCGCATAAATCGCAGAGAACTGAAGTTGATTCTGTCACACGTACCAGGTTCCATGTCCAGAACCATCTCCATCGCTTCTTTCCAGAACGGTACCATGGCATTGAGCCCGGTCAGGTTGAAATCGTCCTCGATGAAGTCTTCCGCCACTTCGCAGAAGTATTCGTGCCCTGGGAGCGTGCAGAACCAACTGATCCATGTCAGGGTAGAAGTAGGGGTGGAGGAGCCTAAATTTCGACATGTTATGTTGCACGATTGCCATGAAATAATAGGACGGTAGAGCAGACAGTAAGCGCGAGGTATAATATTCCGAGGGTTGACACGCACTGTATCCTTCCTCCTGCTCTTCAGCGTCTTCCATATCCTCATCTCCTTCGCCCGTCACAAGAGTGTCGTCGTCTTGAGGTGCGGACGAGCCTACGACGGGGTAGTCGGCCTTCCGAGACATGCGAGAGCAGCGTGAGACTGAGTGCTGGGGAGGGACAGAGTAGAGTGGTTGGCGCGATTGGACATGCATGGCGGCCACGAGGCCGAAGCGCCTCTGTCCAAAATAGGAACACAAGGTCATACCCGAGTGTTTCCCTCTCTAACGGACCTCTGCGGAATACGTATGTATCCGATCACGCAACTCAAAGGATTTAACAAGATGATTCACCGCCCATCTCCATTTTAATCACACTGAGTGATTGAGAGCTCACAGTGAATTTCTTTGGGAGTTGAAATTGCCTTGACGTGTTCTGTAACCGATAAATTGGAGTGTAGAAATATATACGCCAGTGATGGTCTTTCGTCCAAGTTTATATCAGCTCGTCTCAATAGCCATGATCCATGGTCCTACCTTTGTTGAACGGGATGTGGTCAGGAACTTATCGGACAAGCGTTTGACAGGGACAGTCTACTCTCACGTGATCGTGTCTTCGCGTTTTATCATGGTCAGTGTATGCGCGTAAGTGCCTTCTTCAATCTTGCTCTCGACTCTGTGCGCACGATTCTGACCACCATGGATGGATCTTTCTTGCGTCAAAGACTATTCCCTCCCCCTTTCTCCGTCTCAGGACAAGACCGACAAGTAGAAGATGCCATACCAAGCACCAGAGCACGCGAGGACAACTGTGAAATCTCGCGCCCTCTTGGTCGATATTTGCCCATGCACAGAGATCAGTCTGGGCAAGCCACGCAGGAGAAAGACACGTCCAATCTTAGATGGCATCGTAACTCCACAGACACTAAACAAGTCGGCTCTACCCCTCGGGAACATCTCGTACCCCCGGGCAATCCTTTTGGGGGACCCACTCTGTTGGACCCGCCACGAGAAGAACACTTCGCAGGTGTATTTGGTTATGAGACCTCACAACCCGCTCCGCCTCGACTCCCTTCCTCCACTGCACGCCACACCGCTCTTCCCTCCACTGCCTTGACGGAAGCGGCGCCTGTTGGCAATGAGGCCCCCTTCGGCGTGTTTTCCAAACTGAAGCAAAGGAAGAGTCTTCGTCAACGCCTTGATGACGGTATGTTTCATATGAGGTTTATCGAATCTGCGCATAAACTCTGGTCTGCAGGACCCCGGGGGCATACTATGCCCTTCAGCTCCCGGGCATTCGTGAAGCCTGAACCCCCACCATCCGAAGGGATTTCCGGTGCACACTCGAGGAGCGTCTCTCACGCAAGTCCCGCTCCCGTTTTTCGAGATGACGATGACATCTCGATTATCATGATGCGAGGCGCCACGGACCTGCGAACTGCGAAGTTTGAAGTCGAAGAACAGGTGAGTCTCCCATCGCCGCATATATGCAGCCTCCAATGCGTCAAAAGCGTCGTCAAATATCGTCTTTGCAAGGTCAAGTTGAAAATTTGAAGGAAGAGAACCAGAGAATATCCCGAAAGCTCACGACCGCGAAGGACACCGCATTGCAACGGGCACAGACGGCTTCCAAAAGGCGAGTTGTGATGGCAGTCGGGCGATGGCTACACTGACATCTGTGATGCAGCCTCGATGAATGTCGCGTTGTGCTCCAGGAGCTCAAGAATCAGTCGGAGAAGGCGTTCTCTGTGACTGAGCAAGTCCGTACTTCGTTGACAGATGTCCAGGATCTACGCGCAACCATATCTAACACGATGAAAAGTCGGTCTCCGGTACGTTGAGACTGCTACCAGAACTTAACTTGAACCACACAGGCATTGAACCATTTATGAAATCCAACGAGGAATGGATGAAGACGGCAAATGCCAGAGATCTCATACGAGAACTTGAACTAGAATGCTCGAAAAGTAAGGGTGCGAAAAGATATATGCTGGTGCCTTTTTGCTGATAGACATCTAGGTCAACAAGTTGCCGACTTGCTGCGCGACCGTCTTCAGAACATTGGGAGCGAACTCATTGACGCAAAGCATACCATCACAGAACTCCAAGCTGTTCAGTGCCAAAACACGTCACAAGTGCAGCAAATGACCGGGAGGCTTGCCGTCAGGGGTGAGCCTGCAACCGAAGCGCATGTGATCCTGCGTTGACATTTGTACAGTGGACGAGGTCTCGGCATTGACGAGTCAATTATCGGAAGAGAGGAAGAATCATCGCGAAGCCCTGCACGCGACAACTGTATTGGAAATGAAGATCATGACTGCTGATGAGAGGTCAGCTTACTATTCCAGACTATTTTCAGTCACTCAATGTATGGACCGATACAGAACACAGGATCTCGAGCATTTGCTTGCACAGAAAGAGTCTTCGCTCATCGGGCTGCAATTCGTGGGACAACAGTAAGTCGGATGGGGACTGAACGTAATCTCACCTCACCGTGCTTTTATAGAAATACTGAACTGCAGAAGTTGGTTCAAGAGAAGGAAGATCAAATCGCTACGCTGCGCACAGTGACAACGGAGTACTGCGACTCATTTGTTGTGGTAAACGGCTCTTATGCTAACGAACGTCACAGGTCTGCCGAACTGAAAGCTGTCGTGGCGCAGAAAGACATACAGATTGCTCAACTGATTACTACTGCAGATGTAAATGAGGTACGAATAGCAGACCGCGACGAGAGGTGCGTCTCCCATGCTCTTCGTTGCGTATGCATCACTAAGCTCGTCGCAGAATCAATCAATTGCAGAAAGAAATTGCCTGCGGTCGTCAAACGGTTCAAGAGCTCATCAAAGACCTGAGCGTCGAGAAAACCAAGGGATATCAGCTAGCCAAACAGATCGAAGATGCCGATGAGGCGTTAGCGCGATTGCGACAAGACTTCCAAAGTCAATTGAAGGAGTAAGTAATCAGCGTCATAGAGTATTCTTCGGTGAATCATGCCGACCGGTTCAGACTGCAAGAAACTACGCTCCTTCATAAGGTGGATTAGTCCAACACCTTCTCTGCTATGGTTGACTCAACTACGCGCAGACGTTGGACAAAGAATTCAAGAACCAATCCCGTGAATTAGACCTAGCTCGTCAGTCGACGGAAGAAACACGGGTATGTAATACGGACATGGCATAGTGCAACTACCTTACGAATTGGCTTTCCAGAACCGTTTACTGAACGCCGAACAAGAGCATACGGTTAGTCTGTAGACCCAATGACTTGCACGCCGGGTCACGTAATTCTGTTATCAGCGAGCTATTGTTACCCTGGAGTCCGGGCTGCAACACAGTGTTTCCGCGCTTCAGCAGGAGAAGGCGGCTCTCGAGACAATCATTAACGAGTTGAAGGAAGTCATCAAGGCGAAAGATGCAGAATTTTTGAGTATGCACGAAGACCTTACCGACCAACTCCAACGCGATAATGTGGCACATTCGAACAAGTTGACTACAGAAGAACAGAGGCATGCTGAAGTTAGAGTGGAGCTAGATGAGGCATACACTCAATTGTCAGCCTACGAGATGCGCTGCAAGGCATTGGAAGAGCAAATAGGCGATATGCATGGCCAGCTTCAGACCGCTCAGTCGCGGTGCTCCGCCACGGAAGGCGAGCTACAAACTCTACGATCTCGAGTGGCATCCCTTGAAGCACGAGAACTCAAAAGTGCTCTGCGTGTTAGGACCATCGAATCGCGGTATCACGCTGGGGATCTCGTGTGTATCCCAAACCTGAGAGTTTTACAATATGCTGATAGTTTCACAGACAGACGAGGAGAAATCCTTCGTGCAGTCGCTTGTTCAATCGGCACAGGCAGGCTACGAGAAGGAGTTGGTTAGCAACCGCAACGAGTTGCGCCGGGTAGGTTCTGCCTCCGTTTCACGCTGCACACTTTGAACATGATTTTAGCGCGATATCGCTATGAAAGATTTGGGAGCAAAAGTGCAGCTACTCGAAGTCACCTTGGCGAAACAGGTCAACACGGTAGGCCATTCGGATATTTTCTTTGAGTTGACGACCTACTATTGGAGCCCGCAGGCAAGACCCTCTGCTCACACGACGGTGGCGGATTCTCTCATCAATCCGTCTTCATGGGTATTCTCTGGCCAGAGTAGCTCTCCCACACAGGTGCCAGACAGAGACCTGCAGGTAAGCTTGACTGAACTCCGTTGATGTTAATTCACATTTGCCATTTAGTCGACTACTGTCGACGACCCGGATCACGCCACGACGGGCCCGTACTTTACTGGTCCTAGAGCTGAGGCGACCCATGCTCGAGAGACACTCCCGGGACCCTCCACTTCCAAACTAGCAACCTCGGGGAAACGTCTTGCCAACCAAGGCATTCGGTCAAAATCGGTTAAACCAACATTCGGTCGACTGGCTAGCGACTGCTCCGACGAGATCTCTGATACTGGCGACGTTCCTAAGGCTCCTTCTCCCGTAACGCTTGGCAAGAGGAACAACCCTGACTCGTTGACTCGGCCGGCTGAGAAGCCCCCTCAAACGACTTACAAACGTCTGGTGCGAACGTTCCTATGGTTGCGAGCCTCGGTTCACTCACACACTTGTAGAGGTCTGGGAGTCGACGAGTTGCTGAGGGCGCAGCGAACAGCAAAGCCGAGACTGCGTCAGCGAAGGTAAGTTTGTTGTACGTGCTGAAGGTTGTGTGCTTCCTTGGGCACAGACTTCCATCCCTTCCCGCGGATCTAAGAACAAGGCTCGAAGGCGCCGTCAATAGGCAGCACATTTGGGAGGAATGTCGAAGCGGTCACCTCGTAACACCTGCCTTGATGCTGTCGTGCCACTTGTTGTCGTCTCTCGTTGTGCAAACATGATATTTCAATTATCACTACTGCTTGATATGGTTTCTCGCTATCTGGGCTCCCGTGTGTTAGACAGACGTGATGACCGACCACACCACTGAGCCCATGTTCGTGGGAGCCCCACCCTGCTAGAGTCGCCTCGGGCGAAGATGAATAGCACTGGAGCACGGTGAAAATACATTTCTTACGAGCAGTGAAGTACAGTAGGCGACTGAGCGCGAGAACACAACAGCAAAAAGGCTCCACGAATCATCAAAGGTACACGCCGCCATCCTCTCCGTCGTCCTGCCCCCCATCCGTACCGTTACCCTCGACTCGACTCCGACCGTTCGAAGCCGCATCGGCTGGCGGCGCCCCCTCGTCCTCGTCGTCCTCGAGCCCGTTCGATCGATTCTGACGCACGGGCCGCGCAGGGGCAGGCGTCGGGCGCGGCGGCGGCGGCGCGAGGTCGTAGTGCGCGCCCGCGACGATCCCCTTCTCCGCGAGAACGGTCTTCAGCATCCCGACCCGCTCGTTCTGCGACCCTCTGCAGACGCCCAGGGGCCGGGAGGGGGAAAACACAACAAAAACAAAAACAAAAAAAACCAGGCGTCAGCCGAGTCCTCAGAGATCTGGGGCGGGGGAGGGCACTCGCATCACGCCCTCGTTCTCCCCGAACGCCTGCGCGAGGTCCGGGTCGCCCGGCTCCTCCGCGAGCGCGTCCTTGAGCGCGTCCTGCGTGCGCCGGAGGTGCGCGAGCGAGTTCTGGAGGCGCGAGATCTCTGCGGGCCGGCGTCGCACGTCAGCTCGCCGTGGTGATACTGCTAGCGGTCCGGCCCCGCTGCGGTAGCACAAAGCGGGAAAAAAAGGAGGGGGCAAGGCCGCACCTTCGGTGATCAGCGGGACCGCGAGCTGCCGCGCCTCTTCGAGGGTGAAGGGCTGCGCGTACCGCGGTCTGTAGTCCATGCTCGCGGATGGGTCGGGGGCAACGGCGCGTCCGGTGAGTCCAGTCTTCCGTCTGACGTACCGGTGAGGTGGAAAGCCACCACGTTCTGCGGGGTGACGTATGCGCACTCGGATTATGTAAACGGTGTGTTCCAGTGTGTACGCGCGGACCGGGCCTAGAGCTGCGCGCGACGGAGGGCTGCTGGCTAGGTAGTCATTGCGGGGGTCTACACATATCGGAGGCAGGTATCTCGGGTTCTCGGGGACCACGTGTGTGTATGGGTATTAGATGTGAGTGGCAATAATATGTGGGGGGTAGGGGATACAATGCGGGATAGTGAGATGACAACCAATCGATCAATCTATGTGCGAAGGTCCACGAGCGGAGGCGGTACAAAAGCACTGCGAAAGCAAACTCATACGCCCAGCCTGCGAACGCGCGAGTCGCGAAGAATGCCATATTAGCACGGGCTGTGAAAGAAGGAGGGACGCGCGCACCTCGACTTGCTCGACTCATACACAACGTAGGAGATGGAAACCGCAGGGACGACCTGGCGACCCGCGTCAGCGCACAGACTTCTCGGGGATGATGCGCACGGTGCCCACGCACCTTCGCGAGCGTCGGCAGCAGGCCGCGGTAGAAGCCCCGCCAGCCGTCGCGCGTGTACGTCTTGTTCACGACGTCGAGGATGCCGGTGTAGCGTTCTGGGTGTCCAGACGAGCCGGAGGCCTGGAGGCGCGTGCGGACGAGGTTGAGGGGATACACGCTCGTCGCGCCGACGGAGCCCGAGACGCTGCCAAAGGCGAGGAGAGCGAGCATTCCTGGTTCCTCCTTGCCCGTCGAGCGCAGATAGGCGAGCTTGAGCGCCTCGAACGTGCTCATGTCGATCGCTGAGTATCTGCCCAGCAACGGAGATGTCAAAGGACCGAACAAGCACGCGTACGGCGATGCTGAGGCTCACGGGAAGACACCAACGAGGCCGATCTGATGGCGGTGACGGTTGCTTTGGTCAGTGCGTGCGCGACACGATGCAGGAAGGGGTGCTTACGGCCAGTCCACGGTAGAATGCCCGCACACCGCCCAATTTCCATACACAACCAGCAGCCTCGCGGAGAGATCGCCTCTGGCCTTCGGCACTGCTCATCATTTGCGTCTGGCAGAGAAAATGGGGTGAGCGCGCTGATAACAGCTGGCTATCCTCGACCGCACCTTGAGGGTCTCTATCGGATAGATGGCTGCAGCAGGATCAGTGCACGTTATCGCGTGTCGCGTCGCGGTTACGCACACAATTGACTGGTGATCCCTCCGATGCCTCCAGAAAGAAACCGGCTGACGCCGCTGATGTCTCGTGGATCCTCGACTTTGTCCCAGTACTTGGCGAACATGCGTTTCTGTGCGAGGTGTAAATCACTGAGCAGCACGGATAGGGTGAGGAGCGACGCACGGAGGACTCGTAGGACAGGAACTTGATGGCCGACTCCGGCAGGATTTTCAAGACCGAGAGGCCGTTCCCTGTCCAGAACGCGAGGACGCCGCCCTCTGCATATATCCGGGTGACCGCACCAGCAATTGCTCTCAAGCCGCCCACTGGTGACTGGCCGCTGAGAGTGCCACCCAACTCTGGTGGTCGGGTGATCAAGAAAATCTTAAGCCGGTCGAAAGGCGCAGTACATGTCCGCGAGACTGAACGCCATGAGTCGGAGACGCATTCCCAGCACGGGTGGACGTACCGGCTCCAGCAACTCCGCCTGCCATTAGGAACTTGACTGCTGTTGATCCTCCGAGCCAGGTTTGGTGATGCTCCTCCTCCTCACAATCGTCGTACTCAAGGTCGTCGTCGTCGTCCTCTGCTGAAGTGTGGTCAATGGGTAACGATGTAGGAGTTGCAAGCGGTGCATCCTTGCTGCCGAAAGGTGTAACGGGGGGATGTGGAACAGCAAGGTCTTCTGCGCTCAGGGTAACATCGCCTTGGGCCACGCTTCAGCAGGAGTGCAGCGGACAAAATGGTTGAGCGCATACCTTCCATATTCACGCGTGCCGCCCACGCCCGTCGTCGCCCATGAACTTCCGGACCTCATAGTAGCGGAAGATCTCTTGCGGCGACGCTTTCCGAGGCATGAGCAGCAGGAAGTCGCGGAATTCCGGGAAGCTGATTGCGTGCGAGTGCGGCGACGAGGTGAGGAAAGTCATGAACTCGGTGAGCGTCGACGGCGCCAACTTGATGCCTGGCGACAGCTGTTCAGCACCGAGCTTGGGGCTCAACGAGAGCGCACGACGCACCTCCTTTCTCGAGCGCGAGCTGGAGCTCGTCCGCCTCCAAGTGGCCATTCCCGTCCAAGTCCAGCTCGTCGTGGAAGATGTGCCAAAGCTCTGCAAAATCCACGCCCGCGATCAGCCCTCCTGCCCGTGCCCGTGCCCGCGTCGGCCGACAGCCCCGACCCCGACCGAACGAGAGAACGAGCAAAAAACGAGAGCACTCACCCTCCTCCTTCGCGTCCGCGTACCGCACGAACTCGCACCACCGCACGCGCTTCCCAAACGGCCCGCGCGCGAGCACGCCCATCCGGCCCATCAGCTCGTCCGCGTACATCGCCTCGAGCCTCCGCGCGCCCTCGGGCGTGAGGTCCCCGTCGCGCGTCACCGCGACCTGGCGCGCCGCGTCGTCGCCTGCGCCCTCGCCCGCGCCCCCGGCCGCCGGCGGGAGGCGCGCCCAGAGCGCGTGCAGGCGGGCGCGGCGTCGTTCCGCGCCCTCGATGGTGCGGAGCTCGCGCAGCGAGTGCGGCACGGGCGTGTACGGCGACGGGTCCGAGCGCAGGTGGGGCAGCGGCGGGTGCGGGCGCGCGCCGGAGAGGGTCTCGTCGAAGATCTGCCGGGCGGACGGCCGGCCGTGCTCGTCGGGGGCTGCTCCTGGCATCGCGGGGGAGAGGGGGAGGTGGGAGAGGGGGATGGGGAGCGAGAGGCGAGGCGAGGCGAGATAGAGGATAAGCAGCTATGGCGTGTGCGGCAGATTAGTGGTGGGTGGGTGGACACGGGACGGGACGGCGAGGACTGGCGGTAGCCGGGATAAGGCAGCGACAGCTGGAGGAGAGGAGGAGAGGGGTTGATTATCGGCGGGGGCACATGCAGGGCGTGCTGGGAGTGGCGGGCGGAAGCTGGAGGACGGGGTGGGTGGACTGGAGCAGAGAGTGCGCACCCGGGGCTGGACGAGGACGGGGAGCGTCACCGTGGCCAACTCCCCCGGGCGCATATCATCCGGCTCCTGATTGGCTGCTGCTGTTGGTCCTACTTGGGTATGTCAATCGTCATTACGCTCGCACTAGCTACAGATCTCGGAAAGTATATGCTACATGTACAGTAAGGTGCTATGGACTACAGTATTCTCTTGCTTCTTCCGTTCGAATATGCATGGTGTGCGGGAATAGGTGTGTACATACAGGTGAGTGGGATTCAACGAATGTGTTCGAATCCTTCGGTGCGGTTGTCGGTCTACCCTCGCACGTCCGCTCCACGGCGGACGCGTCCACAGGTCATAATGTAAGCACGATCCTAGGTTCTACCGCACACGCATGGGGGATTACGCATAGCAAAACGCCTACCAGTAGTCGGGTGTGCATGGGGCATATCCATCGTCATGGGTGCTTCCTCCGCTTTTGCGCGCGATCGTCCGAGTCCCAGTCCGAGGTCCCAGCCTGCGGGCCTTCAAGTATCAAGCTTCGAGCTAGCTCCAAGCCCGGCCAGGCGCGCTTCAGCACTTCGCGAGTCCGCTGCGTGGTGGCCGCGGACTCCGCCGCGGGCTGACCGTCGCCCGCAGGCGGAGGCCGAGCGCCTTGAGCGCGTAAAAGACCCCAAAGCACGTCTGGCACTGCGACAGCTGCGACGCGCTCCGCCCCGGCGCCTTCGACCGCCGCCCGGCCGACATCGCCGTCGACGCCGTCGAGGACGTGCTCCCGCTCCGTCGCCGGGCGGCCGTGCGCCGGCGCCGCGTCTCCGCGTCCGGCGCCGTCGCCGGGTCCGGCCCGCGACTCGGTACCGCAGCAGCCGGGTTCGGAAGCTGCACGTTCGCCGCGCCGCGCGAGCGCGGCCCGCCTGGCGACGGGGAAGGGTGGTGCGCCGGCGTGGGCGCGTCATGCGCAGGCCGCCCGGGCCAGCTCGACGGCGGGACTGCACCCGGGTGCGGGTGCGGGTGCGGGTGCGGGTTCGGGGCGAGGTGTTGAATCGACGAAGACGCAGGGTGGTCCCCACGCGCAGGCGGTTCGTGCTGAGAAGGCTGCTGCTGCTGCTGCTGCTGGCCAAGCAAGCGACGTCAGTCAGGGAGGCCGCTCCGCGAACCACGGCATCACACGCACCGACAGTGGACCTGGCTCTCGGAGCTCGCCCGCGAGTGCCCTCCCGGCCGTCGCGTCTTCGGGTGCTGCGCGGGCAGCGGCGGCGTCGGCGGACGATAGATCTGCGGGAGCGGCGGCGGACGATCGAAGCCGTATCAGCATCGCTCGCCAGGACCCGCCACCCAGCGGCCGTCTCGACGGGGAGACGGAGGCTGGGGGCGAACGGAAACGGGCGGGACGGACCTGGGGGAGCGACTTTTGGCTCGCGCGGCGCACAGGCGTGCTTGGGGAACGCGTCGCGCGGTCGGGCTCGCCCTGTTCTTCGTGCGCGAGCGACCTGCACTCGCGCCGGGGCGGCGTTGGCGGGGGCGTTGGCGTGCAGGGGAGCTGCAGGAACGCGCGCGACGGCCGGGCGGAGGACATGGGCGTGCCAGACGACAATGAGCTACGCGCGTCGGAGATGTGCATTTCGGGATGGGGAGCGCGCACCGTGGTCTCCTGCGGGCCGGGCTCGGGCTCGAGCTCGAGCTCGACGAGCGTGGGGGCGAGCGACTCCCGGCGGCTCTCGGAGTCGGTCACCGACGACCTGTCGTCGACGACGCCGGGCGACGGGGGCCCGTGGAAGTAGATGGCACAGCGGCGCTGCTGCTTCAGCTCGCTCTCGCGCACGGCGGTGGCGTAGTGCTCATCGGCGGGGATCTGCACGTGGGGCGAGCGCGGTGGATATGAGCATTCATCAGCGGCGCGGAGAGAGACGCGTGCTGGGCAGAACAACGGACCGGCGGCATATCCTTGTTCATAATGGTCGGCGACAGTTGACGGGGGCCTTGCGGGAGGCGGGGAGGAAGGGCGGCGGAGACCTGGGGGGAGAGGCGTGGGACGGGCTTGCGCCAAGCCATGCTGCTGTTCGTCGACGAGGTTGGCATGGCGGAGGAGGCCGTCGGGGGAGCGGGGAGGGCGAGGACGAGGACGAGGACGAGGAGAGACATGGGTCCTGGCTCCGGGCGGGTATTTAACGCGGTGGAGCAGGGACGGGAGTTGCGGGGCCAGGAACAGGAAGGAGGATGGATAGGCTGTGACGACGTCACGAGGAGCGCGGCTCGAGAGCAGTGTCGCGCGCCACCGTCGACCGAAATCTGCGCTCTGTCGATCGTGCACACCCACGCTCGCCAGGAAATGAGGACACATCCCCAGACGAGAGGGGTGGACGCACATGTGGGCGTGCGCGAAGAGCACCGTCGAGCGCCGACACCGCCGGAGATGAGCGTCGCCCCCTGGAGGTCGAGCGGGAGAGCCCGGCTGGCAGCTGCGGTGGGCCGGAGGGGTCCGGGAGGGGGTGTGGGTGGGTGGGGTGCTCGAGGAGGGTCCGGCGCGAGAGCATGGTTGGGTTGGTGTTGAAAGACGCCGGAGAGCAGCCTCGCCTCAAACACGACCTGACGCTTCATGCGCAGAAGGGGGTCGCTATTGTCAGAACTTGCGTGGGGTGGCCCAGGCCAGAGCGCGCGGCGTGTCCTGCACGCGCACGACCACATACCGGGAAGGGAGCACGGCTGCCCGCACGAGGGCGGTGGGCATGCGCCGTCCAGTCCCCGGCCGACGACGTGGTGTCCGTCGGATGCGCAGGGGCATGAGCCGGGCTGGGTCGATTCGGGCGGGCTGCGGAGGGTCAGAAGGCAGCCGGGGCTGGGAAGTCTGCACTTTCGCGACGCGACGCAGCGGGCGGGCGAGAGTCGTCCGTCGCGTTGTGCTCGAGAAGGAGCATGTTCGCGTTGGACCCGTCCGGCGCCTGGTCGTCCTGGTTGTCGATGGGACGCGGACGACTGCAGAAGGTCGAGCTGACCGCATTGGATGGATGGACAATTGGGCTCTGCCGTGCGGAGACCGTCGAGGTGCAGGCTCGAACTTGCCCACAACACACGCCTGCTGTCACACCCTCTCCCGGGGTCCTCCCCGGCGCCTCCTCCGCCAGGCCCGCTGCCGGGAACGTCCACTGCGGGTCGCATGGCGAGCCCGACGAAGCATCGGGATGACACAAAACCCATTCGATGCAACTCCGCGGCCTTCATGTCCCTCCATCGATGGTCGGCGGCGGTGTATCCGGACGTATGCACAGTACTCCCCTGCGAGCAGACACCTCTCTCCGGCGTACCGGGCCAATGGCATAGACCTCCCCATCCCTGCCAAGGGCCCCCCGCCCGTCGATCACCCCCACCCAGCAGCCGCGCTGCGGCACTGTCTATTTCGTCCCGTCCCCGTCTTCCGAGCCGACCTAGCGGGCTCGGAACCGCCCCACAGCCTAGATATCGCACTCTCTTCACTCGGTCAGGTACAACACATTACATTGCAAACTGCATTCAGAAAGCGACGACCATGCGGCAAAAGCAGTAGCGATACACTGGGGACCATGGGAAACTTATGGGAGCGGTGGAATCCGTGACGACAGGGATTACGACAGACGACGATCGACAAGAAAGCGAGGGCTAAACGTACGCTCTGCGCGCAGACACCAGTTCGATACATTCGACCCTGCGCTCAGCAGAAGTACATCAGCCTCGACGTCTTCTCGTGTAGTGGCTTGAACGATGCCCGGAACTGCTCCAATTGGCTTGCCGCATCCCTGGTGTCAGTAGATGCCCAGTCGTCTCCTGAAAGCTGCTGCGTTCCGTTCGGGTCGTAGTGGTTCTTTGCCCGGGAACAGACCGTGTCCGCGTCTGCGTCGCATAGCACGATTATAGGGTCCTTCAATGATCCGGTCCAGGCGCGAGCGAAACAGAAACACGACTCACAGTAGACAGGGGCAGGGATGGACACCGAGCGCGTCGAGCGGGCGTAAACGTGGCAGAGGGCGAACGACAACGCCTGTAGACTGTCAGGCGTGAACCCGTTCTCGTCGTATAGCACGCTGTAGTGCGCCGGCCGGGATGTGCCCAGTAGACCGCCGTGGCTTTGGAGGTAGAAGTCGAATTCCGTCGGATGTGTGATATTATTGTCGACGACCGTGCCCGCCGGACAGTTCCCGCTTCGGTCCGAGTCGCGGGTGGGGAAAAACCGAACGTGGTGTCGTTTGCCCACAACGATGATTGTGATCTTCGGCAGTGGATCCACACCAGCAGCCTTGCATGCCTCTGGAGAGCAAAGCGTGCGTTCAGTCCGAGAGGTTCGGGATGAGTATGCGGCTGAGTTCACGTACCCTTGAGCTGCGGAAGCTCTGTATCGACACGGACACGCCATAATTAGAAGACTTTTCCACGAAACAGTAAACGGCCTAGCTCACCGTAGTCCAGGACATGCTGAAATTGTCCCTCAGACACACCATCTCTGTAGAAAATGATTCTCTTCGGCGCGATGCCCGGCTTCTTCTCTGCTTTGGCGCGGTAACCTCGGTACATCAAAATGATCTTGGTCGCCATGTCCTTGAGATCGTCGATCATCTCCTGCCTCGAGGTCTGAACGCGCATGTCAGCGACATACTTCGCCGTGTCCGAGTCTACATTGCCGACGAGGGCGGTAAAAGACGGGCGGCCGTCCGCGCCGGGAGCAGGGTGAATGACGTCCGCCCTTGAGACTATCAGTACCAAAATGTGATGCATGACATTTCGCGCTCACCCCATGACCATAGTGGGATTATGAGGATCTGTGAGCACGGAGACCGAGCGGGGATCTGGTATAGCGTTGATCCCCCCAAGCTTGACATTGATTCTTGGAGTGAGGGTCGGCAAGCACGCATAAGTAGACACTGGGAATCAAGACTTACTTAAGGCAGACGTTCGCGAAGTATTGGGGCTTGGCACGCGAACTCTTCGAAGACTTCACGCACTGTGTGGCGACACCTTGAGTACAGTCGCCGAAGCTATCGGTGATGGTGAGCATCCTGCTCCTGGAGAAAAATGGGATTACGCACTGCTTGACGGCCGTGTAAAGGTCAACCGACGACTCGGGAAGAACGACGATCATGAGATCGGGGTACTTCTTGTACGTTTGGAAGCATTCAGTGCCAGCAGCCCTGAGTTGCTGCGAAAGGAGTGACATCAGACGTCGATGAGGCAGACGCAAGATCAGCACTCACTTCCGCAACCTTGTTGATAGACTGGAAGTATTTGATGACGGGTCTTGGCTGTTGCAGGGTGATACCTGTGCCAACCAATCAGTTTCTGTATGAAATGACGAGTGCCCCGGACGGACCCATTGCTGCGAAGGCACTGCAGAACCCAGCCACCATCTCTTGAGCTATCTGCGGAGTAAAACGTTGCTCCCGCTCGTAGATGACTATAGCCCACATTCCAATCGGGTTTGTACGGTAGAGCTTTTTGTCGATCCTGCACTAAGGTCAGCCGTGTTCAAGCCGACGGGGAGCACAACACTTACATATTCCAAGCTCCATCCCGTGGTCTCTACTCGCTGTCTGTCGGAATAAAGCAACTACCAAGAGCATGAAAATGAACTCACAATGGTGGGTTGCTTGCTGCCTGGGCCATACTGAAGCGTGGGGGTGTCGAGAATCCGCGCAGGAATGGTCGCGGGGCGAGGGTTCGCGACGTGCATGCCAAATTGCTGCCATCGCTGGGTCAGTCTCCGTGACAGCGATGCTGAACACAAGGACATACCCTGACATACTCCGACTGTCCATACGCTAGGACGCCCAAGGCGTTGGTGATGCTTCTGAGGCGTTGGGCAGGCTGCTGGGTCGCGAATTCCAACACGTCCTTGGTTTTCTCGGACGGGATCTGCTTGCGCATTATCTGGCCTTCCGGCACCGAGCACAACTCCAAAGGAACATAGACATCGTTCGCAAACTGTCGTGGAAGAGCATTTAGTGTTCATATCTTGCAACATTCACAACTGGGGGCATTCACCTCGGCACAGATGATGTCCGGATACCGCAACGTGTAGTTGTGATGTTGCTTGAAGTAGGCGGATACAGACACACGTCTTCCGTCACTGTCTGTGAACGACTCGCGGTCTGCTCCTAGGCTGGTCAGTTTCTTGACAACGCGCGGGGTCCGCGCCACGGTCTGCTGTCCAGGGATCTGGACGGTGACTCGGATTCCGGATATAAAACGCTGGAGCCGGATACGCTCCCTCTCTGGGAACCCCTTCGCAGGGGAGAGTATCTTGGGTCGGACCCCACCTTGTTGAGGAACTCTAGGGCCACACTGATGAGGGGTCCGGGCATGTACATCGCGCCAGTGCTGATATCGACGTTGATCAACATCTTGCCGATTGCAGGGCGCACCGACTGGAAGTAGCCCCGCCATAGATGGATGCCGCCACCGATATTCTTCATCTCTTGCTTCGTGAAGAACGAGCGGACGTTGAAAGGGTATTTCATGGAGGGTTCCATACGAATGACCACATTCAGAGCCTGCGAATATGGGTGTATATGTGAAGAGGACTTGCAAGTAACAGTGAAAACGTACGGTGATCGCGGTCAAGACGGTGTTATCATGCGACTGCTGCCCTTGCAAAAAGCGCGCGAGGATTCTTGAACCAGCAATGAGCGTGCGTATCCGAAAAGTCAGACAGAGCACGCACTCGGGATTGATCGTCGCGACGAGTGTGAGCTTCACTCTGTACGGCTTGGGTCCCTTCCCAGTGGCTTCGCCTGCCGCTTGAGGACGGTCAACGAGAGTGAAGCTGAACTGTTCGAGAGGTGAGCGCGTATCCGTGCGGGAGAAGCCGTAGGTACCTCATGCGTTCCGGAGGGTCCGAAAGGAAGTTCGCGGGCCGCAAACAGGTTCTTCCGCCCATCATAGACGGCGCGTGGGGTGAATATGTCGGGGGCAATATCGAGCTGCAGTCGCTTATGATGTCCATGTTGAGTTTGGCGGGAAGCGGCCTATCGAAGGGAGATGACTGGAATAGATGGATCAGTTGGGAGATTTACAACGAAAGAAATGGAGGATCTTACCGACTAGCGGACGAAGAAGCGATCGGTCGTAAGATGAGACGGCCAAGATCAGATGAGGACGTACCATCGTAGTGGTGGATGATGCTCTCGGGGACGAGACTCGAAGTGGTTGGTTATAACATCGGTGAGGCGACCGGCGGTTCCAAAGGAGGGCCTCTTGACGCCGACAGTGGTGATATGGGCACCCGGTTCGGGTAGGCCAACGGCGAAGGACGAGCGCCGCGGATGGCTGGGCCGCCACCACGAGCAGGACCGCCACCGCGAGAAGCGCCACGAGCGCGGCGCGAGGAGGCATAATGGGAGGGAGGAGCGGGGGGATGAGAAGGGAGAGACGGGTGGGCGTACAAGGACGGCGGTGAGGGTATATATGAGAGAGGAGTGGCGGACGCTTTGTGCCCGACGGACTGACGGCGGTTGCACGCCAGGCGCAAAGACCGTGGCCCCGCTTTTGTTGCTTCTTGTCAAGGACACGACGCGTCCACCGTCTTCGCCGTCCTGGGACCTGGGCGCTCTTGCGCTCTTCGATTTCGACGCCGTTTCTCTCGGATGGATCATCGTCGAGCCCGGCTCCGTATTCCGGCCACGCGCGCATCGTCTGTGCAGAGTCCTGCTCGGTGTCGCGCCTCCGTCCCTCTCACCAGCTGAGTGCAGGAATGAAGGGCGTCGCTCCTCCGCGGCTTCTGCGTCTTTGGAGGTGATTGCCGACGGAGTCTGGCCAATGGGCTCGCCTTCTTGGAAGCCCATGTCATCAGCTGTAGATGCAATCTCACTGCACCCACAATTGTATCCCTCATCGATTATGTCTCGTAGGAGACGCGACGACTCGACCAGAACATGGCTGCCAACTGGCGACAACGAAGCATGCAGTCCAAGAGATGCTCAAGTGACTCAGACTGTGGGGACGTGGAGGCGGATGTCTCGGCCCGGGTCATAACACACGACTGCGAGAGCGAGTGGTCTCCCCTCGACCAAGTACTGCGCACCATGTCTGCCTTCCTCCCGCTGGTCGACAGCCTGGACGACCATGACCTCCTTCGAGCCCTTGCCCGCATCGGGCCCCTTGTCGTGCCTCTCCTCCTCAACGACCCCGCGTCCCTCCCGACGGACGCAACTCGCTTCGTCCTCTTCGACTCCGACTCATCCCAAGATCAAGTCATCTCTGCACTCGATCACGGCGCGGATAAGGTCATCCTCCCCCTCGACCTCGGCAAGGAGCTCATAGGACTCCTGCCCGAGGACAGGCTCCTCCTCCTCCTCGACGTGGGCAACGTCTCTGCCGTCTCCGACAAAGTCTGCCACGGTGTCTCTGGCGTGCTCATCAAGACCCCCTCCGTCGACCCCGACTTCATCGGTTCCTTCTCCCGCTTCTTCACCGGACTCACCGTCCACGCCCTACTCACCCCCTCCTCAGACCCGCCATCGCGGTCGACCATCGTTGCCCTCCAGACCGTCAAGACCACGATCGTCGTCCCCACCTCGCAGCTCACCCTCTCCACCCCAGACGCCAAGCACCTCAACATCGCAGACGCCTTCCTCGCGCCCCTCACCTCGGACCGCAAGGACGGCCTCTTCCCCACCGTCGTCTCCTCCCACCCCGACGGCGGCCGCACCCTCGGCCTCGTCTACTCCTCCCCCGAGTCCGTCAAGGAGAGCATCCTCACCGGCAAGGGCGTCTACCAATCGCGCCGGCACGGGCTCTGGCGCAAGGGCGAGAGCTCAGGCGCGACCCAGGACGTCGTCCGCATCCGCGCCGACTGCGACGCCGACGCGCTCGAGTTCTCCGTCGTCCAGCACGGCGCGGGCTTCTGCCACCGCGAGCGCGCGTCGTGCTTCGGCGCGGGGGACCTCACCGGGCTCGCCGCCCTCGAGCGCACGCTCCAGGCGCGCCGCGCCGCCGCCCCCGCGGGCTCGTACACGCGCCGGCTGTTCGACGACCCCGCGCTGCTCCGCGCGAAGATCATGGAGGAGGCGGACGAGCTGTGCCGCGCGGAGACCGGGGAGGAGGTCGCGTTCGAGGCCGCGGACCTGCTCTACTTCGCGCTCGCCCGCTGCGTCGCCGCGGGCGTGAGCGTCACCGACATCGAACGCTCGCTCGACCTCAAGGCCAAGAAGGTCACGAGGAGACCGGGGAACGCAAAGCCCCAGTTCACCAACCAGCTCAGCCCCACGTCGGAGGAGCCCAATGAAAGTGCAAGCACGCCCCCGGTATCCACACTCGCACCCACCGTGGCCCCAGCACCCGTCGCTGCGGACGACGAGCCCATCCGCATGCGCAGCTACACCCTCTCGTCCCTCTCGCCCCCGGAGCGCGCACAGCTCCTCCGCCGCCCCGTGCTCAAGTCCGACGAGATGATCGCAAAGGTGAAGCCGATCGTCGACGCCGTGCGCACCCGCGGCGACGCCGCCCTGCTCGAGCTCACCGCGCGCTTCGACCGCGCGCACCTCCCCGACCCCGTCCTCCTCCCGCCCTTCGCCCCCGAGGCCACCGCGCTCCCCGACGCCGTGCGCCGCGCGATCGACGCCGCGTACAAGAACATCCGCGCCTTCCACGCCGCCCAGGCCGACGCCGCCCCGCTCGTCGTCGAGACCATGCCCGGCGTCGTCTGCTCCCGCTTCGCGCGCCCGATCGCCCGCGTCGGGCTCTACGTCCCCGGCGGCACCGCCGTCCTGCCCTCCACCGCGCTCATGCTCGGCGTCCCCGCCAGGTCGCCGGCTGCCGCTCCATCGTGCTCGCCACCCCGCCCCGCCCCGACGGCACCGTCTCGCCCGAGGTGCTCTACGCCGCGCAGCTCGTCGGCGCCTCCGCCGTGCTCCGCGCGGGCGGCGCGCAGGCCGTCGCCGCGCTCGCGTACGGCACCGCGCGCGTGCCCAAGGTCGACAAGATCTTCGGGCCCGGGAACCAGTGGGTGACCGCCGCGAAGATGCTCGTCCAGAACGACACCGACGCGCTCGTCGCGATCGACATGCCCGCCGGCCCGAGCGAGGTCCTCGTCGTCGCGGACCGCGCGGCGAACCCGGCGTTCGTCGCCGCGGACCTCCTCTCCCAGGCGGAGCACGGCGCGGACTCGCAGGTCGTGCTCGTCGCGGTGCGCCTCGCCGACGCCGCTGTGGCCGCGATCGAGGACGCGCTCGACCGCCAGGCGCGCGCGCTGCCCCGCGTCGCGATCGTGCGCCAGTCGATCGCGAAGAGCATCATCGTCCGGGTGGACAGCGTCGAGGAGGCGATCGCGTTCTCGAACGACTACGCGCCCGAGCACCTCATCCTGCACCTCGAGGACGCCCCCGCCGCGGTCGCCGCGGTCGAGAACGCGGGCAGCGTGTTCGTCGGGCCATACTCTCCTGAGAGGTACGTTGTCTGCGGGAAGTCCCTCAGTATACCTTTCTGACATAGTCCTGTGGTAGCTGCGGGGACTACGCGTCGGGCACGAACCACACCCTCCCCACGAACGGGTACGCTCGACAATTCAGCGGGGTCAATACCCTCTCCTTCCAAAAGCATATCACGTCGCAGGAGATCACGGCGGACGGGCTCAAGGATCTCGGACCGATTGTGGCGACCCTAGCTGATTGTGAAGGCCTGGACGCCCACGCAAATGCCGTGCGCATCCGACTGCGCGAGCTGGGCCACTTGTAACCACTGTTGCGGGCGAACGTTGGCGAGATCTATGAGGTACAGCAGACCAAAGCAAAAGTGTAGCAGATATCTAGAGTAGCAGTGCATTGATAGCAACCATATGACCAGTAATATAAAGTCTAGACACCCCATAGGTAGAGTGGTACTCTACCATCCGCTCTGCACGCTCCACCGTGACCCGCCGGTGTTTGGAACTCAGTTGCTGCGGTAGAGAGCACGCTTCACCGCCGTCAAGATCGTCGACGTGTCGGGGAAGGTCAGAGCCTCCAGGTTGGGAGCATACTGAAAACGAAGACGCGTAAGTCACGGTCACGCTGAACAGCACGACAGCACGAATGATCACGTACGGGAGTGGGAACATCAGCACCAGTAACACGCTCAACAGGCGCGTCAAGGTAGTCGAAGGCCTCGCTCTCGACGACCTGGGCACAGATCTCGCTGCCAACACCGAAAGCAGGGAATCCACCCTCGACGACGACAAGGCGGTTCGTCTTCTTGAGCGAGGCCTTGATGGTCCCAATGTCGAGAGGACGGATGGACCGGAGGTTGATGACCTCGGCCTTGATACCCTCCTTCGCGAGCTCCTCCGCAGCCTCGAGCGAGTGCGTGACCATCTTACTGTGAGCAACGATGGTGACATCACTACCCTCACGCTCGACCTTCGCTTTGCCGATGGGAAGGAGGAAGTCGTCCGACATGGCTTCCGCGGACATTGGGAAGGAGACGCCGTACATCAACTCGTTCTCGAGGACGACGACAGGGTTGGGGTCACGGATGGCAGCCTGTACGCATCCACAGGTATTAGTACCTCCGCTGATATTTCAAGACGGATCGTCGTCACGGGAGCTCACCTTGAGCAGTCCCTTGCAGTCCTCTGCACTCCATGGGCTGACAACCTTGAGACCGGGAATCTGGCCGTACCACGAGGCGTAGTCCTGTGAGTGCTGCGCGGCAACACCAGCAGCGGCACCGTTGGGACCACGGAAGACGATGGGACAAGGGAGGACACCGCCAGACATGTAGTGGGTCTTGGCAGCAGAGTTGACAATCTGGTCAATGGCTTGCATCGCGAAGTTGAAGGTCATGAACTCGCAGCTAGATAGCGCGCGAGATTGAGTAAGGGAGCCAACGGGACCGGAGTGATTGACACATACACTGGGCGGAGGCCAGCGAACGCAGAGCCGATGGCGATACCAGCGAAACCCATCTCAGTAATGGGGGTATCAACGACACGCTTCTCGCCGAACTTGTCAAGGAGACCCTTGGTGACCTGCAAGAATGGGGCGGATAGGACGTCAAGAGATAGAAAACGAGCCAAAGGCCGGAGACGCACCTTGTATGCACCGTTGTACCGCGCAACTTCCTCCCCAAGGACGTAGACGTTCTCATCTCGGAGCATCTCCTCTTCCATTGCAGAGTTGAGCGCCTCACGCACGGTCATCTAGTGCAGAAGGTGAGGGTATGCCTAGATGGCAGGGACATTTTGGACTGACGGTGTGCTCGGTCTGGGTCGCGTAGCCGCGAGCGAGACGCGCCACGGAGCGGGTCGTGCGGGCATGGGAAAGGGAGGGGGCAAAGCGAGAGAGAGCGGCGCGCGAGGCCATGGCTTTTGGACAGCGGGGCGGGGGAGGAGGACGAGAGAGAGGCGGCGAGGGTCGAGAAATGGGTGGGGGTGGTGAGGTGGCCACTGAGCTCGGACGCGCTCGGGACGCGCGCAGGATTTGAGAGGCGCCCGCGGGAGATCGCGCCCCAACCAATCTGGGCGAGCCGACGGTGCTGTCGTCCCATTCGCTCCCATCGCACGATCCGCACCGTGTCAGACAGACTGCCGATCTCACTGCGAACATGGCCGCGAAGCCCACCGTCCTGCTCACCGGCGCGTCCAAGTACGTACATACGTGCGATCCTCTACCTGGCGCGCGAGTTCGCTGACAGACATCGGCGCCATGCTCATTCCAGAGGCCTCGGGTTCGCCATCGCGAAAATCCTCCTCGGGACTTTCAACGCGAACGTCATCGCGCTCTCGCGCACCCGCGGGCCCGACCTCCAGGCGCTCGCCGACGCCCATGGCGACGCCCTCATGGCGGTCGAATGCGATGTGTACGTCCTCCCCGACAACTTGTGCTCGTCGCCTTCTGAGCGCCGAGCGTGGACCGCTCTTGCGCACACAGCGCCGACGAGGCCGCCCTCCGTGCCGCCGTCGCCCGCGGGATCGACAAGTATAAGGCGCTCGACGGGGTCATCCTCAACGCAGGCGTAATCGAGCCTCTCGGGCCCATCGCGTCCGAAGACACCACACTCGACCAGTGGAGAAAGCACTTCGACGTCAACGTGTTTTCCCTGGTCGCCGCCCTGAAGGCCACCGTTCCAACGCTGCGGAAGAGCACGTTTGGCGGTCGCGTCGTGTTCGTGAGCTCTGGTGCCGCGACGGGCTACATGCCCACCTGGGGTGCATACAACGCCGGCAAAGCAGCGCTGAACAGTTTGTGCAGGTGAGCCCCCACCCCGCCTGCCTAGCGATTGACCCAAATTGTGTAGGACGATCGCCCGGGAAGAGCCCGACGTGACTTTTGTCTCCCTCCGTCCTGGTATGGTCAACACCGCCGTAAGTCCTTTCTTTGCCGGGATCTGTTAAACCGCGCTAACATCGCACCCAGATGCAAGAACAGATTCGCAACAGAGGCGGTGAAGCTGGTATGCCCCCGGAATTCTTGGGGGTCTTCACGGGGGCATACGAGACAGGGAAGCTCGTGGATCCGTACGACGCCGGGCATGTCGTGGCCGCGCTCGCCCTCCGCGCGCCCCAGTCGATCTCGGGCGATTTCGTGGACTGGTCCGGAGACGCGTGCAAGGAGTTCCGCAGACAGTGAGCGGGCGGTGGGGGAAGCAAGCTGGAGTATGGCATATATGGAGCCAACAGAACTAATCAATCGATGCCCGCCCTTCGCGCTCGGCTGCCTTCACCCGGCGTCGACCTCCTCTGCTCCCCCCTCGTGTGCCATGCCCCGCCCGCCCTCTCGCTCTCCACCATGCCACGCCGTGTTGACATCCACCACCACATCTTCCCCCCTGGAGTCAACAAGGCTGCCCTCAGCGCAGCGGTGGGGTTCAAGACTCCACCGGAGAACCTCCCATGGACCCCCGAGCTCAGCCTCGCTGCGATGGACCGCCTTGGGATTGACGTCGCCGTACTCTCCTACCCAGCGAACATCCCCGCAGGCCCCGCAAGCCCGCAGAGCCGCGCCGCCGCACGCGAATACAACGAGTTCGCGGCGCGGGTCTGCGCAGCGCACCCGGGGCGGTTCGCCTTCTTCGCGGTCATGCCGAACCTGTTCGATGCCCAAGGTATGGTCGTGGTAGTAGTGGCAAGTGCCGTTTGCGCTCACTCGTGTGCGTGCATCGCAGGCGGTGTTGAGGAAATCCGTTACGCACTGGATGAGCTCAAGGCAGTGGGGGTCAGCCTCCCCTCGTCGTACGGCGAGGGCGCGGACGCCAGTGAGTGACGTACCCGCGCTCCACCGCGCATTTAGACGAGCATGGGCCGGCCGCAGGGTATATAGCGGACGACCAGTTCGACCCGGTCTGGGAGGAGCTGCACGAGCGCAGCGCCGTGGTTTTTCTCCACGGGGCACAGACGCCTTCCTCCACGCCGTACCCGCACCCCTGCCTCGGCATCCCGATCACAGAGGTCTGCCATCTTGTCTCTTCCCTCTACCCACGCCTCGTTGACTTTACCCCTGCCTCATTGACTTTGCACACAGGTCCCAAACGAGACGTACAAAGCCGCCGCGCACCTCGTCGTCTCCGGAAAGAAGCGCCGCTTCTCCAACGCCAAAGTCATCCTCGCACACCTCGGCGGCAGCGTCCCGATGCTCGCGCCCCGCGTCGCCGTGCTCGCGCGGCACATGGGCTGCCGCTCACCTACGAGGAGGTCCTGGAGGACTTTGCGAGCTTCTACTTCGACATGGCGATCAGCGCCTCGGAGACGACGCTCACGGCGATGGAGGCGTTTGCGGACGACGGCCGTGTTCTGTTTGGCACGGACTTTCCAGGTGCCGTCAGATCCTTCCAAGCCGTTTCGGGTCCCCACTGACTGGAGGCTCGCAGCCGTGAGCGTCGACATGGTCAGCTGGTTCACTCGCAGTGTCGAAGCGTTCTACGGTCGAGACAGTGAACGTTTGGCTCAAATCGTGGGTGGGAATGCAGGGGCGCTGCTGAACCTTCAATAAATTCGTCTACGGATGTTCAACGTCGGTGAGCCGCAGCGCAGTGATCTATGGTACAACAGCCAAGAAAGGGGGAGTTTGCAGCCTCGATACTACGTGAGTTTTGGGTATGTGATGAGTTCTACATGCGAAGATGAGCTCTAGTCGGTCCTTGCAAGAGAAGCACAACGAAGGGATGCGATGCATTAGATGGACAAGCATGCAGTAAGGTAGGGTATCGATACATTAGGAGAATCCTACTAGGGGTATGGATCCAGTCATGGCCAACAGATCGCTAAGGTGTCGTGACGGTGTGTGCGGGCTTTAACTCAGTTTTCTTGCATCCAGCGCACGATTTCGTGATGGAACGGCGAACTCGAAAGGAGGGCCTCGCCGTGGTGTCCGTTGGGGTCGAAGCGAAGTCCTTTACGGATACCGTGCGAGGTGAGGTATCTCTTGACGCGCTAGAGGCGATGTGATGTGAGTCGTCTGCTCCGCGCGAAGGCCGCACATAGGACCTACATGGGCGTCGACTATGGCGTCCTTGCCACCGAGGATGAAAAGCGTCTTCTGCGGATCACGCGCCTTCGGAATCTCTTCGAACCATAGCGAGTTCGAGGTCCAGTCGAAGTGACGCTGGAGGAAGTTCGCGACGCCCAGTTCGGTGCCAACGAAATACTTCACGATCAGATGGAAGCCCTGCAAGCAAATTCAGGTAGGTTCCTGCAAGTCGCGGGGTCACACGCACATTCTCGCATGGGCGATAAATGAAGTTGTAGCACAGATCTGTTGTCTTATGTGTGAGTGGCCAAGGTCAAAAGTGGAGGACAACGCACCTCCTTCCCACGAGCAAAATGTCACCGGATCCACAAAGCACGACCGGGTGATCATTGCGGGTGAGTCTTGAGTAGCCAAGCATGAGAAAACGAGCCACTAAACACAGCTCAGCCCTGCTCTGTTAAACAGTATATGACACTCACTTCGAGTGGCTGAGCATAGTAACCCCTTTGCGAACTCGAGCAACCCGGATGGAATTGCCATCGTCAGAATCCGACGAGTCGGAGCGGTTCGCATCCTCCAAGTGGCCCAGCCAAGCTCGTCCATCAATTCTGCGATGTGCTGCGCCATCTCTTTGCGTCCCATGGGGCGCAGGAAGCGCGGGTGCATGATCTCTTGACTAACGTGCGGTGGAGCGGGATAAGGATGGGATGGTCGGGGAGAACCCTGAACATGTGCCGGATGAAGTGGTAGTACTGGGTGAGTCCGAGCCCAAGACCGTGCATGAAGACGACGGGGCGGACACGAGAAGCTGGATCCCACTTGGGAGGAACACGGATGACATATCTGCGGTGCGTAATTGTGAGTTCTTTGCGCGCGTCAAGGGAGAGAACTCACTCGAGGTCCTTGTACGTCCTGACCTGTGCTCGCCATTCGTTTTGAAGTCTCCAACGGATAATGGCGTTGCTAATTGCCACCGCTGCGTACCACACGAATGGGCGCCACGAGACGTTGACGGGTCAGCGTAGGAGCAAAGCGCAGACGTCGGGGTTGGAGCCGTCAGGGATTTTGAGCCAGACCGATGCTCGATGAGCCCGACGACCTCGTGCAGCGCAGTGCGCTCGACGTGGGAGACCTTGTCGATGCCAGGGAAACGGGTGTTGAAGATGGACCAGTAGAGCCATGCGTGCATCTCGTGCTTGTGGATGGAGGACCATGGGGCTTTTCTGAACCTAATTTCGGCTCAGTGCGACTCGGAGAAAGGAGAGTTTACGGAACGCACCATGTCCTCAAGTAGTTCCGGAAGTCCACCGCTCTCGGATCATCAAACTCCAGGGGGACGATGTCTTCCTCCGGGCTTCCCGGTCTGTCCACGTCGAGGGACTCTTCGTCGAAGCCTTCCTCCGGCAAGTTGGCGAGCCCGGCTTTGAGCACGCGGTGGAAGACGGTGCGCAGCTCGCGGAGATCGCCCGGGCCGTTGGGGCTGGGACCGCGATGAAGCGAGCAAGGTTGAGGTAGTACACGCTGAAGAACACCTGCATACGGGTGAGATAAGAGATAGACTCGCTCGAGAAGTCACTGGGTCTGACCTCAGCCACGGCGAGGGCGAACAGCGTCCAGCCCTTCCATGAGAAGGTCCAGACGAGGCCGCAACGCAGGGTGTAGATGACGTAGACCAGGAGAGCGGGATGATGGACCAGATGGGGCCGATGGCGAAGAAGAGGACGAGGTAGAAAGACAGGTCGCGCTTTGCAGGGATGTGGGGACCTCTGCCGCGCGCGGGTCAAGCTTCTGGTCGCCCATGGAGGCGGTGGTGGGCGCCGGGCGCTGTGCGTGGGCGTCGATACCGGAGGGCTGGTGAACCGCGGGAGACGGGGAGACGGTCGTGAAAAGAGTGGCACGGCCGTAGGCACCCCGGGGGAGGCTAGGGAAGGCGACGCGGTGGGGAGGAGACGGTGTTGTGTGAGCGTCTGGCGTGCCTTTCTCAAAATCATGCGACACCCGACGTCGTCCCGTTTCCGCCGCGTCGCGGTCATGCGAGGCTGCTCGTCCCAGGCCGCGATTCATCCATAAAGGCCGTGCGCGGGCATGCCGCGCACGCCCTCCCCGCTCTCATGCTGCTCGTCGCCCTCAGCTCTCGCCGCACATGCGCACCGGAGGGTGTCGGCCGTATCGGCGCATCTCGGACGGCGGTAACGGGCCGCGGTGATAGCCATGTGGGCAATGACGCTCCCGGTGCGCATCACGGACCAAACCGCGTTTCGCCCCGTTCTCTGTTCTGCCATCCACCTCACCTCTCCTTCTCTTCATCCTATCCACTCTAGTCCCGCCCGGAGGACCTCCCGCCCGCCATGATTCGTGCCGCCCTCACAAATGTTGCTCGCCCTGCTCTTCAGGCAGTATGTCACGTCCATCGCTCTCCGTCCGTCTTCCGACTTTTTTTCTCTAGCGGTCTGCGACCACGCTCTCGGCCGGTTTCCCCAAGGTGACCCAGCGGGTACGTGTCTATCTCATGCTCAATTATATTGTGTTCATGCATATCTAATCGCGCGTCCTCAGATGCCCTCCAAGTACGGCGGTGTCTACACCGTACGTCTCGTGCCAGCGTGCACCCATGCGCGTCCTCATATCTCCTTAGGTGACCCTCATTCCCGGTGACGGCATCGGCAACGAGATTACCGACTCCGTCAAGGAGATCTTCGAGTATGTCAACGCCCCCATTGAATGGGAGCAGTACAACGTTTCTGGCATGTCCTCCGAGGGCGAGGTTCTCTTTAAGCAGGCTATGGAGAGTTTGAGGCGCAACCGGGTCGGTCTCAAGGGTGCGTCGGATTGCCTTCCGTCCGCGGATCTTGAGTCCAACATCGGTCTTGTGTCCGCGCAGGTATTCTCTTCACCCCCATCTCCCAGTCGGGTCACATTTCGTGGAATGTCGCCATGCGCCAGCAGCTCGACATCTACGCGTCTGTCGTTCTCTGCAAGTCTCTCCCTGGCTTCCCCACCCGTCACAACAACGTCGACTTCGCCATTATCCGTGAGAACACGGAGGGTGAATACTCTGGCCTTGAGCACCAGAGCTACCCCGGTGTCGTCGAAAGCTTGAAGGTGTCCACCCGCGCCAAGGCTGAGCGTATCTGCCGCTTCGCATTCGACTTCGCGCTCAAGAACAACCGCAAGGTGCGTGTAGCTCATAAGCAAAGCGTTCAATACGGAAGTTAAGACGAGGACACGTGCAGAAAGTCACCTGCGTTCACAAAGCGAACATTATGAAGCTCGGCGACGGTCTCTTCCTCAACACTTCCGTCGCGTGGCCGAGGATTACAAGGCCACCGGCATCGAGTACAACGACATGATTGTCGACAACACGTGTGTTCATCCCCCGCGCCGCTGACCGGTCCGCGCCGACTAATACACATTTCCGCCATGCAGCTCCATGCAGCTCGTCGCACGCCCGACGCAGTTCGATGTCATGGTCATGCCCAACTTGTACGGCGCTATTGTGTCCAACATTGGCGCGGCCCTCGTCGGTGGTCCCGGCATTGTGCCCGGTTGCAACGTTGGCAGGGTCAGTCCTTCACACCAGCGCCTGTAGTTTAATGTCTGCTTTTGTTGATTCGCCGGACATGTGCACTACAGGAGTATGCGCTCTTCGAGCCAGGTTGCCGTCACGTCGCTCAGGACATCATGGGCACCAACCGGCTAACCCCGCGGCCATGATCCTCAGCTCTACCATGATGCTCAGGCACCTTGGGTACGCCACCGGCCTGTCTCCATGAAACCTCGACTAACCTGTGACCATGACTTGTAGTCTTGACCATCTCGCGGACAACATTGCCAGCGCGACGTTCAACGTCATCAACACCGGCGAAGTTCGCACCGCGGACATGGGCGGTAAGCTTCATTTGGACCATGCGTTCGAGCGCTAGGGGCGCTCATAAGGGCTTTATTACTACCTATAGGCTCCGCGACGACCTCCGACTTCACCGCTGCCGTTATCAAAAGCCTCCATAGAGCGTCCTCACCTTCACCACGGCGTTTGGGATAAGGGGTGCGGAATCGGGAGCGCCGAGTCTGATTTACATTGGTCCTCCTGATGTAGAGGTATTGTACACCACAGGCTAACGTATGATATACCGCCTCCAGACCAGAGTCTGGAGGACCATCCACGGACTGGTGTCTTGGCGACGTGGCAAAAAGTGCTTCCGACTGCAAAGCATGTCGGACGCCTGCTCGCAGGAGAGGGGCTGGTCGGCTAGTGATTAGGGTATGGCGCTGAGGTCGAACTCGTCGAACAGCGCGTCGTCGTCGAGCGCCGCGTCGAACTCGTCTCGCACCGGCACGGGTCTAGGACCCGACGCAGGCCCATTCTCAGGACCCTGTCCTTCACCTGCCTGAACGTCCGCCCTGACCCGTTTCAGCTCTGGCTCGTCACCTCGCCCTGGCTCCTCCGACAAGGGCGGGGTCGACGTCCGCCCCGCAGATGACCCCCCTGAGATCGTCCTTGACCCAGGGTCCCGCTTGACGAACTCGTTGCCGTGCGCACGCCGAGCCTCCGAGGCCGCTCCGTCTCCCCCGGGTCCGCGGCCCCACTGCGCAGGCCGAGGATCGTCGCGCACCGGACTTCCCCGCGCTCGCCCCAGCCCCCCCGGCGGGCCGGAAGTCGCGGTAGAGGTCCCCGCCACGCGCGTTGAGCTCCGTGGGGAGAGGGAGGCCGCGAGGAGGCGCAGTGCGCCGAGGATGGCGGGGCGGGTCTGGCGCAGCGCGCGGGAGATGTAGGAGAAGGCGGCGGCGGGCGGGGCGGGGCCGCCTGTGGGGCCGAGGGCCCGCCAGTGGCCGTCTGCGGTCTGCAGGAGGGGGCTGCAGGGGTGGAGTGGTGCGGGAGGAGGAGTGGCGCAGGGAGGTGGGAGGGGTGCCACGCAGGGTGAGTGGCAAGGCCGCGAGCGGTTGTTGGGGGAGTTGGGCGGCAGAAAAATTTACGACGCGTTCAGAGAAGGTGAGGAGAAGGGCAGAAGGACATCAGCATGTGGTGGCTCAGAGCTGGAATGGGAACGCTTTGCCTACGTACATGCTGGATCGCCGAGTCAGACAGGAGTGCGAGGTTGCGGGTTGCCATTTGCGCGTCCAGTGCGGCCGCGGAGCGCAAAAACAGTGGTGAGCTCCTCAGTACACCATAAGGGGGTGTGAAGAAGGGAGGTTCTCTAGGCAAACCGGAGGTTCACTCACCGACGGCCCATGAGCTCAACGTATGGTTGATTGCCCGTGCGGCTGGCTTCCATGCCCTTTTGCTTTCCGTCGGCATACAGGCCAAGCGTAACGCCTCTCGTTATGGCGTTCATCTCCGTATAAACAGAGGCTGACGAAGACCGTCGGAGACATGAGTATCCCGATGCTGTGCAGAGCGGCGCACTGCCCCACTGCAGTGGAGACACCCTGCAGGAGCTGGGCAGTGGAGGGCACACACACCTACACTGAGGGCCTCTTCTCTTGAGAAGCCGAGGCGTTCTGCGACCACACATGCCCATGCCATCATGATTGGGGCACGGTTGATCACTACATATTTGGAACGGATGGCCTGAGTGAAGATATCAGAAGAAGTCAGCGTGAGTCGTTTGTGGAACAGAAGATGTTCCGGCTTGCGTGATGAAGCATGTTGTCTGCACCCAGGAGGAACAAGGCTCTCCGGATCCACGCCCGAACAAGACGAAGAATGAATGGTGCACGCACGTCTTCGTCCAGTATTTCATTGAATTCTAAACTGCCATAGGAATCGCCTTCTTCTGGAGGTCTTTCCGGCAGCAGTTCGTTAATGTCACTGTCTCGTTTCCGTTTTCGTTGCGTTCGGTTGGCATTAGTCTACGAAGGGAGGGACGGAACGGTGAAACAGCGTGAGTTGCACAAAGGCAGGAGTGCATGAGGCAGGGGTACCTCTTGACCTGTCACAGAGGCGGTTGAAGTGCTGGAACGGCTCGAAGCCGGCCGGGGTTTTTCTTTGTATACGGCCTTCCTAACGGCGGCCAGGACCGGTTTGCGGAGGTCCTTCTCCACGCCGGCAGACTCGAGGGAGAAATCGGACAGCGATGCGAGCTGCTCCCTCGTACCGTGCGTTTTGTATCTGCACCGAGTTCAGCACCGAAACCTCGAGGAGCATGGAATGCGCGCGACTGACATCTTCCCTGCGATAGCCATCGCCTGAGAAGGTATTACGTTCCCGATGGTCAGCATCTTGATGAAGGCTGGCAGTGGGATCTTCGTGTCCGCCATCGGGTCGGAGAAGTGTTGTCTGTGTGGTATGAATCGTGTGTGCGGGCGGAGTGACCCACCGCAGGATGGCAGCGGTTAGTAAGAACGGTTGTAGGCGCGAGTCAAATGACGGCCCCGGATGTTGGCCACACCTACAGGCGCCCGCGCCCGCGCCCATCGCGTGGCCGGGCCCCGGTCCCGCTGAGCGACCTGAGGTGGACGCCAACGCCCGATACGACTGTCCCGCACTCGTGTCCGACTGAGCAGCATCTCCGCTTACCCCCTCGTCTGCTTGCTGCCAGTCATGATCAACTACATGCTCCTTGTGTCTCGTCAAGGTACCGCTACTACGCGCGCTGTTGGACAACTGGTCTCTGACTTATGAGCTCAGGCAAGGTCCGTCTTGCCAAATGGTACACCACGATGCCTCAGAAGCAGAAAGCGAAGATCGTCAAGGACGTCACACAGCTCGTTCTGGCACGCCGGACCCGCATGTGCAACTTCCTGGAGTACAAAGGTGCGCACCTCGGGATTCAGTGTCCTGTGCGAACGCCTTGAAGCACTCACGTCGATACCCTCGGGGCACCCAGACACGAAGGTGGTGTACAGGCGATACGCGTCGCTCTTCTTCGTCGCCGGGATCAGTGCGGCGGATAACGAGCTTGCCACTCTGGAGATCATCCACCGCTATGTCGAGGTGCTGGATCGGTATTTTGGCAATGTGAGTATCGTCCCTTTGCCTGCGCGAGCACGCACCAATGACATCCCTACTCAGGTCTGCGAGCTTGATCTGTGCGATATCCCGTTCATCTTCCTTTCCATTCCGGGGGTCACTAAATGCGCGTGGGACATAGGATCTTCAACTTCCAGAAGGCGTATGCGGTGAGTCCCAATTGCTGCGTCCCGTCCGTGCATTGGTACCAGCGGCAATCGGCAGATCCTGGATGAGCTCATTATCGCCGGCGAGCTTCAAGAGTCTTCAAAGAAGTCTGTGTTGCGAGTGGTGCGTGGAGGGATGCTTTGTGCGCTTGAACTTCCCAGAAGTGACATGTCATGCATCCTAGGTCACGCAAGCAGACAGTATTGAGGAGCAGGAAAACAGCGAGGATACCATGGCAAGACTGGGCAGTCTGGGATCGAGCCTGACATCACGGGGATCATAGAGTGCGACGCCCTGTTCCGATGTACAGTGTATATTTCTGTTACTATACTAGTGTTCTCCGGATATTGCATTCGATGGCTTGGGGTATGGGTGTATTCGACCAGAGTATGTGCAACAAGGTAGGTCCGATATAACTACATCCTATGCTAGTGCTACATATCTTGCAGGGGGTTTCGGTCTCGGCTTGTTGATTACATGCCATCGAACGAGGTCAAGTGTGGCAACAGAGTCCTCGATAGAGCTGTGACCGGCGGCGCCGGCTGCTTGAATAGTTTGTCCCAGGAACTCTTTTGCCCTGAAGGAATGTGGGTGAGGAGATCGCAGGGTCAGCAACGCTGTTGTACTCACAGCGCTCTCAAGGCTCGTCGGTATGGATGGCCTTGTTGATGCGGGAAAAGGACGACAGTGTCGACGCAACGATGATGAATCATTCGCAAGGTTTTCAGATCGTTCTCGAGAGCATGGCCGATGATGATGGTTTCCGAATTGATCAGAGAATCCAGAGACTCGCGAACGGACTCCAAAGGGTGAACTGCAGTGGAATAGTTTTCCTCGTTGATTCCGGAGAAGCGAGTGTTGAAGTCGCTGCGACGCATACCGCATGAGTAGAGGTTCGAATGGAGATACGAAAGCCGAACACTAACATCACCTCAACGCCGTCGTCCATGCGGATAAACTTGTCCAAGACTTCATTACCAGTGCCATCGACCACTGAGACGCGGGCGACACGCATTCCGCCAGTGCTGTAGATCATCTCACAGTCCAGGGCGACTATGTCCAAAGCCGAATCTTCGTCCCCATTCTTGGGACGGGAGCTGGTGAACCCGTGACGGCTATGCAAGATATCGGGATCCGACTCGTAGAAGACGTGTGGTCCAGTCTCACAGCCCTCTTCGTCCGTTGTCCTCGAGCAACAGGTATAGACACGTCTCTTCTCGCCTGTCAGCGTCGTGGCATGCTCAGCATTCATTGAAGTGCTGCACAATGGAAGGAGTGTTTTACCGTTCGCTTTCGACGAGAACGCCTTCCCCAGTGGAAACGACAGTGGTCCGCGTTTTCTCGTCGCTTCACGATGAACCTCTGATTGCATCGGTCGCAAGCCATAGGCGATCCTTCTTCGTGCGGCCTGTCTCCACCGGGACCAGGGGTATTTCGACCACGTACTCCCACTGTTTCATTTGATCCATACTGAGGACGTAGGGCTCAAGGTGCACGGTCGTCAAACACAGAGCAGCAATTTTCTTTCGTGCTTCCTCGCGTGCCTGCACTTCTGACTCTGTGCCAACAGAAGGGTGAGAGATGAATCGGGCTTCGGTCTCTTCTTCAGCGTTGCAATAGACGATATGATCGCCTGAGGGTCATCAGACGCCAAGGCATGCGATCTCAAACGAAGTCATACATTTCGATACGTGAGCTTGCTGCTTGCGCATACACCTCTTCCTCCTGCTTCAACGCATGTTCTGCAGCGAGCGTTGGTTTCGGGCGCGTATAGCTCGTAGAGAATCACAAAATGATCGTACAGGACCTTCAACATAGTCTGGTGTGGAGTCAGTTTTTTGGTATTACGAAAGGACTGATCGAACGTACTTGACGGACTGGTATTGCTACCTGGGACATAGCTGGACTAACGCGTAGAAGGGGGACCCATCCTTCGTGGACACGAATGAAGCGAGTGCGCTATGGATACAGAATGTATGCTTACTGCGGAAGTTGCTGGGCCGGATGGGACGGCCACTGGTCTTTGAGACTTCCCTACCCTCTGGAACTTCCTTGGAGGCTCGCTCGAGCCGCCATTGCTCGATCCCTCATTGCTTGCAGGTGAGCTGTTGGGACGTTTTACGGGGAGGAAGCTTGAGGAGGCGGCGTAGAAGGTACAGATACAGGCTTGGATGACATGCTTGCGCTACAGGAATCGGGGTGACGGGAATCTGTGTGTGTTCTAGCTTGTGGCTGAAGAGGCAGTTGGGCGCGTGCAGTGGCCTTTTCAGGACAGGGAAGACTGTGGAACAGACCGAGAATCGGAAACATGTCGCTGCTGAAGTCGTCGTCTGAAGGTAACTGGGCTGTGGACACCGCAGAGCATATATCGCAGCACACCCCACTGGAGGAGGCGAAGGTGTTCGCCAAAGAACTGCCCAGGATCCGCAGATTGGGACGTAGTGTCGAATATCAGAACCAACAACGCGGGGAAAGATGCAGGACTAGGTGGCTTGGGAGTAGGACGGATGGTGAGTCAAACCAGATGGTGGGTGCAAGAAGACCGGTTGGGGGACTGCGGGAACGGTCAACGGCCCGTCCAAGACGGACAGTGCACGGCGCGTCGCGCTCAGCGCCTGGACGCGACGCGCCCGACAAGCGTTCCACCGCGTGCATCATCTTGCTTCGTCACCACCTCCTCCGACTCGGGCACCCCTCTCTCCTCTCCACTCACAACCCTATAGCCATACGATTGCGATGTCGCGTACCGCCGGCGGCAAGCGGAAGCTGCAGCACATCAAAACGTTGGAGAACATCGAGTGCGTCGGCACACCGTTCTCTGCTCCCAATCTAACCTTCCTCCAGGGGTGACCCCACTCACCATCTCGCGGGCTCATTCCTACCACAGACGTGCGTTCTCCATCTCACACTGTTTCATGCGCACTGATCCCCCACCAGTCCCTTGTTCCAAGAGTCTGCCCCGTCTTCCCCTGCGACAGGCCCTCCTCACCAAGATGCCTTCCCCCCGTAGCACGGTGGTCTTCCCAGTCACGAGGTTTCTGGGATGATCTCTTGACGTTCAGGTGGATCGTGGTGCCCAGTGAGTCGTGCTTAAGCCTGTGGCTGTGGTGTTCTAACCGTGCGGTCCAGTCTCTTCATTGAAGATGCTCCTTGTGGTCGTCGCTTGCTGGGCGAATTGGCAAATCCTGGCCCCGTACGTCGGACAATCTATTGCCAATCCGTTTGCGCCTCTCCTCTTCATCTCCCACCGCATACCTACCTCATCAGAAGACGATCCGCGGTACCAGAAGGGGTGGCTCGACCTCGCTTTCATCACCTACTATGTTATATTCTGGTCCTTTGTCCGCCAAACTATCACGATCCACCTATGCCACCCTTGCGCGCGTTACTTCGGAATCAAGAAGGCGGCCAAATTGGATCGCTTCGGAGAACAAGGGTATGCCCTGATTTATTTTGCCATCATGGCCGCTTGGGGTGTGGTGCGTTGACTCGCTTCATTCATCTATCACTTTTGACCCTGTTGCTCAGCGCGTCATGTCGCAACTGCCCACTTGGTGGTACCGTACCGAGTACTTCTGGATAGGTGAGACCTCCATGTGAATATCCGTCTATCCGTCTAAATGCCTCTGGCAGACTACCCCCACTGGGAGATGAAGCCCGAGCTGAAGCGTTACTACCTCATGCAGATGGCATACTGGCTGCAGCAGTTCATTGTTCTCGCATTGGGACTGGAAAAGCCTCGGAAGGACTTCTATGAACTGATCGCTCACCACTTGGTGACCCTTTGGCTCGTTGGGTGAGGGTCTCGCTTGCACTCTCAGCCACCCTATACTCATTCTAGCACTCCTAGATGGAGCTATCTCGTCAATCTAACTCTTATAGGAAACGCTGTATACCTTAGCATGGATCTCCCGGATGCATGGCTTGCTGTACGCCATTCCTCAACGCCTTGACTCTGCGAATGCTCACGATCATTCAGTTTTCAAAGTTACTTAATTACCTTCAAATGGAACGAACCAAAGTCGCCGTATTTGCCCTGTTCTTGTGCATCTGGAGGTGTGTAGTTGTCATGAATTATGTTGAATTGTCTAAACGCTCCCGGATTTCCAGCTATTTCCGTCATTGGCTCAACTGGGTGATACTGTGGTCGGTCTGGTTCGAATTTGATCTCATTCCGTGAGTAGCGCGCTGAACGACGAGGATTCGATGTGCTAATCTCATTATTTTAGTGAAACTGCGAGGCGATGGTACCCCACGATGGTGTCTGGTTGGCGGGTTGGATGCAGTATCAAGTCTTCATCCCCATTTTGCTTCTCCAATTCCTCAACCTGTTCTGGTATGTGCTGATTTGGCGCATTGCAATTCGGTACGTGCTTCGGCAGCTTTCGACGTGGTATGGTGTTAATGCACTTTTTGCAGTGCCATCATGGTTGAAGAAATAACAGACGTCCGTTCGGATGACGAGGACGACGGTGAAGTTGAGGATGAAAAAGATGACTAGTTGAAGCTACGTCTACGAAGATATGACATTGCCATCCAGGCTCTACACGACACGATCAATCTGTTGTAGCTACCGACTCAACACGGCATTGTATAAGTACTTAGCGTACATCTGGCAACAACTCACGACGATGTATACCAAGCATCCCCGAGTTATTGGTAAGATTGCGAGCCAGTGGGCTACAGAGGACTTGTGTTGTTAGAGGAAAGGTGCGCGGCTGTGTTTTCTGGTTCCTTGTATTTGAGGTTCCCTTACCTGCTGACCACGGTTCCACAGCTCCTCTGCGGAGATGGCACACACTATCCAGCAGATACTGTGCCCGTCAATATGGAAACACAGGCAGTGTTTACGCGTGAGCAATGACTCAGGTGCGCTCGGCCCCAAACTTGCACTACGGAGCCCGTGTATCTGCCGGGTGTGCACCAACGTGAGTCTCACTATCCCCTTTTCTGGCGCTCTCCCGAGGCTCTTGTCGCTGCCTGTGAGTAGGCTGGAGGAGTCGTCAAGGCCTGCTGCAGCTATAGTATTGGTGGGTGTATAAGACAAAATCGGAGCGTCCACTTGTAGTCGAGTAGAGTAGAACCCAATCATAGCCCCTCGATATTAGGGCATAGTCATGGGTGCACCGAGACAACGCTGATCCCGTTGCCTCATGAATAAGCACCCACTTCCGCCATGCATCGCGTCGTTCGGCCCCCCTCTTCCCCTCTCCCCTGCGCTTACTGTGACACTGGTGTAGCTCCGCTCTCCGCTCTCCCCCAGACGGCTTCCTTATGTCACTCACTCTTCTCGTCTCTACCCAGTCAATGCACTCTATGCTCTCATCGTCTCGCTCGCCTCGCTACACACAGTTACTATACCCCTCCCCATCCGGCTGCCCTCTTGGACCCTGTCTAGGCCATCACGGACATTCATTCTGTTGACGGACCGTTCTTCTCAAGCTTCGCGATCCCGTCCCAAACAAGGGCATAGTCGTACGGGCATACGGACGCCCGGTGCTCTCTGGGACCCGAGTTACCTGCAAGGCATGACGTCAGCTGTAGTGGGCTTTCCCGTTACCGTCATCCAAGCCCCGATCTACTCGACGTGTTCTCCAGACTCTCGGTATTGAGCCGTATCGTGTTCGGCAACTCGGCGTAAAACCAGGGAGCTGCGTCACCATCAAGCGTCCCACCGTACCTTCCTCGACGGTACCTCGTCCCTTATGACTTCGCCCTGCACTGGGGTCGACGGCTTCTGTGCCGTGCCTCGTTTTCCCCATCGCTTCTTTTGCGTTGCTCCGCTCTGCCTTGCGGCTGCTCTCACGCGGGCCAAGCGCAGCAGAACTCGGGTCCGTCCCGGTTGATCGTCCCGTCATCACTTCCAAGACTTTTGCACTCCCAGGGCCCTCGCGCACTTGGTCTGGTCCCCCATCCGCAAATTTCAGTGTTTACCGCGCCTCATCATGTCGCGACCCGTGAAGCGGAGGCCTCAGGCCATCAACGCCTTGGAGGAGATTGAGTGCGTACCGAATGTGTCTTTTACCACCCACCTACTGAAGCCTTTTCCCGCAGAGATGACCCCAGTCACCACATCACTGGTCCCTTCAGACCGCAGACGTGAGTTCTTGTTCGATTTATTCACGCTCCCTCGAACTGAATGCGTGGTCTCTGATTCAGCCCTCTCGGCCAAGAGTCGGCGTCTCCTTCCCCAGCCCCCACCCCTTCTCACAAGGATCCGGACAAACGATTGCTCGTTGGTCAACCGAATCGCGCGGGTTTTGGAACGACATAGTGACGTTCAGATGGCTGTGGTACCAGGTGCGCCCGCTTCTCCCTGTGCTTGTGCTCGCCGTTTCATATTCCCCGCGTCAGTTACGTCACTCAAGATCCTCCTGGTGGTTGTCTTGTGCTGGGTCAACTGGGAGCTCCTTACGCCATACCTCGGCCACACCGTCTCAAACCCATTCACACCCCTCATCTTCGTGTCCTATCGCGTGCCGTCCTCGACGGACGATGACCACGATACCAAAAAGGATGGTTGACATCGCATTCGTCGGTATTACATCGTCTTTTGGGCCTTCGTCCGGCAAGTCGTCGTTTTCAAAATCTTTCGCCCGTTTGCACGATCGTTTGGCATCAAGAAAACTGCCAAGCTGGACCGGTTTGGAGAGCAGGGGTACGCCATGGTTTACTTCGGGATCATGGCTGCTTGGGGAATAGTACGTCTTCAAGCTCTAGTAGTCTTGCCTCGGCTCTGACTGGGTCACCGTTAGCGCATCATGGGGCAATTGCCCACTTGGTGGTATTACACTGAGAACTTTTGGATCGGTCAGTGACGTCGAGTGATACACGCGTGAAGCAAGCTGACGGTTTCTGCAGACTATCCCCACTGGGAGATGAAGCCGGAGCTGAAGCGCTACTATCTGATGCAAACCGCCAATTGGTTGCACCAAACCATCATCCTTGCCTTGGGACTGGAGAAACCTCGCAAAGATGTCTACGAACTCATCGCCCATCACATTGTGACACTCTGGCTTGTCTGGTAAGCGGGCCCTGTCGCTGCGAAGCGGTCGTGTGTGCTCACGCTTTATCCTACAGCTGGAGTTACCTCGTCAATATGACTTTCATGGGGAGCGCCGTGTTTTTGAGCATGGACCTTCCGGACTCGGCCTTCGCGGTACGTCGATGCGCCGACATTGGCACGCGCATACTGAATCCCATCCTCCGCAGTTCTCGAAGCTACTCAACTACCTGCAGATGGAGAGGGCGAAGGCCGTCTCGTTCGTGATCTTCTTCGGCATCTGGAGGTTCGCGTGCTTTAGCTCCGCGTCCCAGCCCCGATTCTGACATCTGCGCACACGCAGCTATTTCCGGCACTGGCTCAACTGGACCATGCTCTACTCCATCTGGTTCGAGTTCGACCTCATCCCGTACGCACTCTCACGGCGTGTCTGGTTCGTACGCTAATATGCTCTGCGTCAACCAGTGAGGCGTCGAAGCAATGGCTCCCGGAGTCGGGGGCGTGGATGGCGCCATGGATGAGATACCAGATGTTCCTGCCCCTTCTGCTCCTCCAGGGCCTCTGCCTGTTCTGGTATGTACTGATCTGCCGCGTCGCCGTCCGGTAAGCTGCACTCCTCCCTCGGTCGTTCACATACGCATGGGGCTGACAGACGACTCCTTCTAGCGCCGTGAGCGGCCCCGCTGAAGGGTTCACAGACGACCGGTCAGACGACGAGGGCGACGGTGAAGGAGACGAGTAGGTGACGACGTGGAGCGCTGCCCAGAGCGCATGACCGTCACGATGCGCGACCGTCGGCGATATGGTGGCTGCCCTGTCCTGCTGTCCGGGAGGCGGACGGCAGCTAGAGCGTACATAGCGTATTACCCCGGCTAACGAAAATACCCAGCGGCGACTGGCGGCGCCGCGATAACTTCAACGTCGTGGCTCGTGAACGCGTGAACGGGCGCACAAGGCCCACCACAGACATGGCTGGGGTTGTGCAGAGTTCTGTTGTGCTGCACGACGAGTATGATACATACAGCGGCGCGGCGCGGCGACCCGGAGATAGGTGGCTTCCGCACGCCTCTCGACTAGCTTCCCTTCCTTGGCTTCCCCCACGTACTGTCACTGTCAGTCGAGGACTGGATCCCAGCGAGCTGGCACCAGATGGCCCCCCACGCTAAACGGGAGCGGCGTTGGCGTCAGCTTCAACCCCAGCTTCAACCCGGCGTCGACACGTCGGCGTCGGCGTCGACGTCGGGCTGGGCGGCATGTTCGCGTCGCTGGCGCGCGGGAAGCCGAAGAAGTCGTCGATGTCGTCCGCGTCCGAGTCCTCCTCCCAGGGCTGGAACTGGACCTTGGCCTGCGTGTCGACGGTGCGCCCCGGCCAGCGGCGGTCGCGCTGCGCGTCGACGGGCTCGCCCGCGGCCATCGCGATCGTCGCGTCAAGCGTGTACTGAGTGTGCGTGCATGCGCAGAGTGAGCGGAGGTCGGGGACAGCGTGGACGAGAGAGATGAGGGGACGCACGTGCGCGTCGTTGCCGGCGTTGTGGAGGTACTCGGTCTGGATCTGGAGCAGGCGGCAGACGCGCTCGAGCGAGCGGGTCTGGCCGCCGGCCTCGCCCTCGAGCGCGGCGAAGAGGTCGGCGGTGTCGACGATGTAGAGCTCGCCGCTGTGCGGGGCGTCGGTGAGCACCTCGATGCGCTCGACCGCCTTCACCATGTCCGACTGCAGGTACCTGCGCGAGCAACGGTGTCAGCCAGCTGTCGATCAGCCGGTCGCTGCGAAGCGCGAGCAGGCACGCATGGAAGGGAAGGGGGCACGGACTTGATGTCCTGGCTGTTGTCGTGGAAGACGAGGAAGAGCGGGCCGTCGGCCCGGTTCTGCGCGATGAGGTCGCGGATGCGCTGCTTGAACTCGGCGCGGCTCACGATCTCGCTCGTGCCGAAGTTGTAGTGCTGCCGCAGCGCCGTCAGAAACCAGCGCTCTCCGCGGTAGAGCAGAGCACGCACCTTCCTGTGGTCGGGGACGTACGTCTGCGAGTAGTGCTGGTGCTCGCGCACGACGAGGTGGCCGTGCTCGAGGCTCGGGCCCCCGGCCTCGAGGTCCTTGTTCCCGTGCTCGTCCCGCGGCCACCACGCGCGGCTCCAACCGAACTCGGTGAGCACGCTGTGGTCGCGGTCCCAGGCCTCGAAGTCGAGCGCGAGCCACGTCCCGAGGCGGCCCGCCCAGAAGGTGCGCACGCGCTCGAACATGAGCCGGCGGTAGGCGAGCAGGTCGCTCGTGTTCCGCAGCCGCTTGTTGTTCTTCTCGATGCTCTGTGGGCGCGGCGGGCGCGGCGGGACCGCGGTCAGCCCCGCGGAGGCGAGGGCGGGACGGCGACGGACCTTGATCGCGCGCTTGAGGACGGCGGCGTCGTTGTAGACGTCGGGCGCGCAGTTGCGCATCTCGTCCTTCTGGATCAGGTACTCGGACGCGGGGAGCGGGATGAGCGCGTCGGTGAGCGCGCAGGCGTGGATGTAGTACCGGAGGTACTCGACCTGCGCGGACGAGAAGAGCAGGCGCATCTCGCCGTTCTCGAACGTCGCTGGGTCCGAGAGCGAGGGTCAGCATCGGCGGAGCCTGCTACTGCTACGGCTGGACTCGCGGTACTGACCGCGATAGAGCTCAATGCCGTTTACGCCCTTTTGCGGAGCGGATGATCGGGGTGTACGAGCGCGTTTAGGCGATCATAGCCTTGAGGGGTTCATGTCCTCAGGATCGGGGAGGGCTTTGTGCCTACAAGTGTGGCCATCGATGTGAGCGGGGACGCGTATTACGATCGAGAGGCGCCCGATGTGCCACTGCGAGTGGAATACTGACCATTCAAAGAAGATGTCGGTGAACCTGTAGTAGCCGATGGTGCCCTGGCGGATGGAGGGGTCTCCGTAGCTTGCAGTCATGGTGGTGAGTGTCGGGTGCAGGTGGGCAGCGAAGGGGCGAGATGGGGGGAGGTAAGGAAGGACGACTGCCGCAGCATGTCGGTCGATGTGATACGGCCATGACGTGCCACTGGGTACGAGCGCCGGCTACGAAGGCTGCAGCACGCAGGGCCCACACTCTCAGAGTGCTGCAGGCCGTCTCCAACGCGACGGGCACAAGAACAAAGCCGACTGTGAGATGAGCGAAGAGCGCGAATGCGTAAGTATGGCGCGTAGGCGCGACAAAGCCCGATGGGATCTCAACCGCGCTTCCGGCGCCTGCCAGAGCGCAAAGCGCGTCCAACGTCTCCTCGGACCTGCCCCGGCAGCCTTTTCCACATCTCTGCGATACCCTCTCAGCCCGGTTCTCTTCCCGTTCTCCTTTTCACGTCCTCCGGACATCTCCTTGCTCTCGTCCAAGCCTACGGCCGTCTCCTTGCTCTCTTACATTCGCGGAAGAAATGGCAACATCACAGCGCCGGCGCAGACCACAGGAGTCCGATTCCTCTTCATCTCCCGCAGCTCCACCCCGTAATCGTAACATGCCGAAGGCACGGAAAAGCACAGGCGGTCGCCCACCACGACAAAGTAACGCCACCGCTGGGCCCTCAAATGCCGGTGGCAAAGGAACCGGAAGTGAGTTCGCGTTTGCCCTGCCTTCATGCTGTCCTGTCCGCGCGAACGGACGCGTCCTAGGCGGCGCGCTGCGTCCGACGCGCTAGGCTCATGCTTGCGCAAGCCGATGCGCGCGGCACGGGGGCGCGTCTGCCTCGCCGTTCGCGTCCCCGGGCGGACGTTTGGGCTCGGAGCTTTGAGCTGACGGCGCCTTGTTCGTGCAGAGAAACGCTTCCGTCCGGGGACGGTCGCGCTGCGGGAGATTCGCAAGTACCAGAAGAGCACGGACCTGCTCATCCGCAAGCTGCCGTTTTCCCGCGTGGTGAGTGCCATACTCGCCCGATCGTGTGTGGCGAAACGGATGCGCCTCGTTCTCCCCGCCCTCGCCCACGCAATCGCCCGGGTGGCGTGTTCTGCAACTTTGTTTTTTTTCCCCGCCCACCACGCCCGCCACTTGTAGCTGCCGCAACGGATGCGCCACCCACTGCAGTAGGGAGGTAGGGAGGCGGTCCGGCGGACGCAGCGCGGGGCATCAGGGTGGGCCCTAGGCTTTTGGGTGCTCTGACCGCATCCATCCGCCTGGGTTACCTCGGGCGGGGGACGTGCTTCTGTCCAAGGTTCCCGACCGCGGGGCCGGTCCGTCTACGTCCTCAGTGGACGCGCGTGGTCAGGGTCGGTGGAGCGCCCGGGGGGCTCTCGTCTGGGCAGCGGGATCGGGGAGAACGCAGGAGGAGAGGGTGGTGTACAATGTCTGGGGCGGGGGATGGGTTGCGTTGAAAGCGAAGGCTGACGGCTTGGGACAGGTGCGAGAGATCGCGATGGACATGATCACGGACACGGTCGAGTACGAGGACAAGGGCCTACGGTGGCAGAGCAGCGCGATCCTCGCCCTCCAGGAGGCGACCGAAGCGTTTCTGGTCCACATGTTCGAGGACGCGTGAGTGTCCGGGCCGTGTGCGGAGAGGCGGCATGCTGACTTGTGTGGCAGGAACTTGTGTGCGATCCACGCGAAGCGGGTGACGATCATGCAGCGCGACATCCAGCTCGCACGGAGGCTGCGAGGGTCTGCAGGCGGGCTGGCGTGAGCGGACGCGGTTCGGGACCGTGCTGGGTGCTGGCTGGTTGGCGATGGCGGGGATGGACCCATGTGCTTTGTGCTGTGCTCTTCCCCGTTTCCCGGTGCTACGATCTCTACGGACCCTCCTTGACATCCTCCCGCGACACCGACCCTTCATCGAACCGATCTCGACTACTGCGACACCCCCTTCCCATTCTTCCATGTGCGCCATCGCGTTGGACCATTGCGAATCGATGCATGGCCCCGTGTGATATCGAATGACGAGTGACGGCCGAGGGGCGGGCGCCAGAGCGGGAATGGAGTGCGTGGACAAGAGCGCGGGGGGCGAGTGACGCGGTCGGATCGCAAACGTCTGCTGGGGAGACCGATCAGCCGTCGTCGGGGCGAGCTGCAGGTGCGGTGATGTCATCCGGGCAGCCCCAGAGCCCAGCACGGGCCCAGCCTGCGAGTGGTAGCGCGACGACGAGGCAGACCCAGCGCCGCCCGCCCGCCGAACAACGCGAGCGCATACACGCAGGCAAAAATAGAGGCTTGCGCTATGTTCGAACGTGGCTCGCGCGGCTCGCGTCTCGCGGCTCGCACCGGGTTTGGGCGTCTGCGGTGCCCATCCGCGGCCTGCGCGAGCCGCAAGTTCGCGCTGACTTTGGTCTAACCTGCCTCCATCCCCGGGGCGATCCCCTCCCTCCGGCCACTTTCTTCGGCCCCTCCTCCGTCCTTCCTCCCCCCACATCCTCCCCTCCGCCACCGCCACTTCTTTCCCCACACGACTCACGACCACGCCCTCTTTTCTCCCGCCCCCCGATGCTCGTCTTCCCAGCCTGATTCTCCCCACTATCTCTATCTCTTCCCGCCAGCCCTCGCTTCCTCATGCGACGCATCGTGGCCGTCTTTGCCTCCAGGCGTTCAGACAAGTCCGACTCGGCCTCCACCGCTCCCTCCACCCGCACCGAGAACACCACCCAGACGACAAAGTCCAACAAGGCTCGCTTTTTCCGCTCCATCTCACGCAAGAGCAAGCCCCTCGATCCCGTCGTCGGACGCATCAACAGCACAGACCTCCACCCCCCCTCCTCGTCCAGTTCCTCCAGCGGCGCACCCACCACCCCCGACGATGATCTCCGCTCCCTTCATCGTGGCCCCAAGGCTTGGATATCCACACCAGCCCTCGATTCCCGTCTAGGTTCGTTCCACCACCTGAACTCCTCCCAGGACGCACGATTCGCCACCGCTGCCCGCCCCTTCGCATCCTCCCCCTCCACGTTCCACACCGACACCGACGACGACCTCTCCGAAGAGTCTTCTCTCGCCCCCGATCCCTCCAGGCCTCCGGAGCGCTCGCCTCCCCTCACTCCCCCCGCTTACCTCCTCGCGGTGACTGAGAACGCGCTTGGCCCTCCATTCGCACCCCCGCCGCTACTTGACGTTCCGGGCCTCCCGGCCTACCCGCGATCGTCAAATCCTCTCCGAGCCCTGCCACGCGTCGAGAGCTTAGAGTCCACCCTCCATCGTACCCGCCTCAGACGCCGTCTTCACCGCGATCTCACCCCAGCCGAGACGCATGAGATTGGTCCCTCTGCCAGCCGTCGGTCCGTCCCTTCGCCTCGCCCCTCCTTGCAGCTCGACGACACCGCGGTCCGCACCGGCCACCCCAGCTTCCATTCAGCGGGCCTCCGCCGCTGGGCTGACCGTCCGTGTTTCGAGGACCGCTTCCGCGTCTTGGTCGCCGAGGATGTCCCGGCCCCGAGCACGAATGCAGAGCCCCTATGGACTCGCGTTGTCCCCGCGACGTCCTGCGGTATTGCCGCCCTGGAGTACTCCATTACTCTGGAGCTGCTCTCTGGGTTCTATGAAGAAGACCTGCCGAAGGATCAACAGCCCGTCCCTGCGACGCCCCGGATCGCGATGCCGTCTCTCGATTCATTGCGCCTCGACACGCAGCCTTCCCTTGGCCTCACCCTCTTCCAGTCACCGGTGGCCCTCAGCCCAGTCGTGGCGCCTGCATCCGCGCCTGCGGCCATTTCTTCGCACCCGCCGTCAGCTCCTGCATCCCCCACGCAAACCATCAAAGCGGCTGCCCCTTCCGGTGAGTACTTCGTTGCGTTCACACCATGTCCGTCGCCGTTGACGACTTGTTTCAAGGCTTGTCAGCCTCACAGTCACGCCCCGTGTCGTACAAGGCGTCTCCCTCTCCGCTCCGGATGGAAGCAGTGTCGGCGTCGCCGCCGGTCACAAGCGCTGTCCCTTCCCCCTCAAGTCTGTCGCTTGCCACGAGCGTGTCCCAGTCGTCCACCGTTTCTCCCTCCTTCGCTTCCCCTCCCGTATCGGCCGCATCTGCGCCTCCAGCCCTCAAGTCAGCGATGAAGCAAGGTGTCCGGTTCGCGGAGGAAGAGAAGGAAGACCAGATCCCTCTCGGGTACGTCATGCGTATCAAGCAGAAACGCGAGGAGAAGGCGCGCTTCCTGCAGGCGGAGCGCGAACGGCGGAAGCACGAGGAGGAAAGAGTACAACACGAGGAGGAAAAGCGGAGATGGGAAGCGGAGCGGTCCAAGTGGGAGCGAGAGAAACGGGCGATGGAAGAGGAGCGGAAGAAGCGGCTCTACGCCGACGAGGTCTCGGCCGCGCGCAACCGTCGGGAGAGCCAGCGGATGGGGTTCAACGGCAACATGACGGGCGAGGGCCTCGCGACCGGCCAGTGGGATCGCGAGCGCAGGCCCTCGGTCCCGGAGGTGATGACGGGAGGTTCGTACTCTCGCGCCGCCTACGACTCGTCGCAGCCCCACCCCCCGCTTTCCTACCGCCAGCAGTCGGAGTCGTCGCTCTCGATCCCCAAGCAGATCCGCCAAGGGTCAACGTCGGGCTCGGGCTCTCCTGGAGACTCGCGTCCGAACAGCGTGTATGGCTCTCGCCCGCCGTCGATGCATTCCAACGCGCCCACGCCGTCATCGTCGCAGCAAGACTTCCGGGAGCGACGCCAGAGTGGCAGCCAGAGCCGTCGGTCGTCTATGATCTCAGAAGGCGGTTCGCGACGGTACTCGCAAGCCGTGCCTATGCCTCTACCGCCGACGATGTGGGGCATGGGACCGATGCCGATGAACATGGGGATGGGCACGATGCCGATGATGCCGATGCAGCCCATAGGGATGCAACCCATGGGGATGCAGCCCATGTACGGCATGGAGCCTCTCCTTCCGCCCTCTCCTCCGTTCATGCACGGCCACGGTGCGCGCTCCCCATCGCAGAATAGCTCGCGCGGCTCCCCGACCCGCTCGCAGTCTTCGTCACCGACGATGATGCGCCAGGGCCTGCCCTCGTCAGCAAACAGCAGCTCGGAGCGCGTGAACTGTCTCTCGACCGGCCCTCACTCCCGCGGCTCATCGGGCTCACCGGCGTCGGCGCGCGCGCCGAGCATCCCGCGGTCGGAGTCGAGTCCCCGCAGGCACGGCCCAGGTCATCAGCGCACGTCAAGCGGGGAGATCCTCCCCCATCGACCGACTGGCCACCCTCGCGTCTCAAGCCACGGCTCTGGGGAGGACCGCGACCGTGACCGCCGTCACTCGCGCGCGGCTGTGCAGGCGAGGCCGTCTCCGACACACAGCCAGTCGATGCCACTGCAGCCGTCCTCTTCCTCGCTCTCGGGACGCCCGCCACTGTCGCAGCACTCGGCGTCGCAGCCGCCGTCGTCGTTCGGCGTGAACCACGCGCGGTCGAGCTGGTCGACTCCCCGCCCGGGCTTCGAGAACGTGAGCAGGCCGGGGCCGGGGAAGCGGCAGACGGTGCTTTCGTGACGCGCGCTCTGAGCGGTGGTCACCGAGCTCCCATCCGTTCGTCCGTCTTCCTATCTTGCGCTGCTGTTCCCGTTTCTGTATCGTGTGGTGGTCTCTGCCGACGATCGTACTCGACGTTCAGTCCTTTACGGACTTTACCATCACTCCCCAGTCCTTACGGACCTCATCCCGGACAAACTACGCCCGGACAAGTAACAACTATAGCATTCATCGTCCCCGCCTGCCTCGCATACGTCCCCGTCCCCCACACACACCCGCATACAATCCAAAACCGCCGCCTAATGATGGACGTTGGCACCGCTCGCGCCGCACCCACGTCGTTCATTGATACCTGACCGCCCCGCGTTCGTTACGTGCCTCTTTCTCCTTGTCCTCTTGCCTACCCGCGTTACGTCTCTCTTCTTGCAGCCGGACCCTCTGGAATTCACTCGCATTGTCCGGAGGTTCCCATTCATGTCTCGCACATTCCGACCGTGTACCCGCACAGGCATTCGTTCACTCATTCATCCATTCGCCCCGCCACCTTGCAGCATTCGGCCTCCCAATTCTCGCACCGCGTCCGGCCCTGGGACTACCAGGCCGGGCGAAAACCCGTACATGTACCTACGTCGCGCGCACCCTCAGCGCGCCTCAGCCCTCCCGCCTCAGCTTATCAGCAGTCGCTCGTCTTCCATGTACCCACCCGCCCGCCGCATACATCTACATGTCCCGCAGCCCCGTCAACGACGATCAGGCCCTGCATCGCGACGCCCAGAGTCTTCAGTCAGCCGCGGCGGACGGCCGGCGGTCGGGCGCGCTCACGCTCGCAGATCGACGTCATCGACGACGTCCTGGGACCTGCGTGCCTCTCCGCCCGTGGCGCGGCGCGCGGTAGGCGTGGTCGACGACGTCCATCAGCGTTGCCCGGGTTCGCGTTCCCAGCGCGCGCGACCCAGCTCTTTGCCGAGAGGTTCGCGCTCCCCACACCGTGTCCCCGCTCCATGTGCGCCCGCCGTCGAGGGCTCGTCTCGTGCGCACGTGTCTTCGTCTTCCTCCGCGTGTATATATAGAGTACTGTATACTATAATACAAAGAGCCGGCGCGCCGACGAGGCTCGACCCCAGCATTCTCTTGTGGACGATTTGGACTTTGTTGGACGTCGCATTTAATTCGTGTTGTCTGCTCTCCTGAGTACAAGCTGTCGATCTCTCCGGAGGGAGAACGGGCGCGCCCCTCCCCCATGTTCGTGAATCACGATGCGCGTAGAACAAGTGGCATTTCGCATCTTGTTCTCGGAGCCATTATGCGCTTGGTGCCGGCAGCAGGAACAGTCGACCTTCTGCAGCCTGCTGGCGTTGTTCGAACAAGCTGCGCCCCGGGGCCCGTGCGTGAGACAGCCTGTGTCCGCCCCCTCACGTTGACGAGGATTGGTGGGGCGGTGAGTCATCGGGACTGCGTGTACGCCGCCGGCGAGCGCGTGAATCCCGTCGCGCGGCGCGGGCGTCGGGCGTCGGGCGACGGGCGTGGATCCCGCAGCGTTCGCAGCGTGCGAACCGACGATCGACGGACCGCGATCGCGCGCCTCGCGAGGGGCTGGCTGTCCCCAGCCTCAGACGTGCTGACGCGCGAGGCCCTCCGACTGGAATTGGAACGGAGGAGGAGGAGGACGCACGGAAATCAGGTCGACGGCGACAGCGGCGCGCACGTGCCAACCTTGCGCGCGTGCGCGGCGCGGCCCTGGCGGAGCTAACGGAAGGGAAGCCGTCCGCGCCTTCAAGCTTCAAGCCTCAAGCCCGCAATCAGCTGTCTTGGAAAGTTCTCCCTGCTGGTTGGGCTTGGTTGGGCCTTCGAGAACCGTGAAATTCAGGGCCGGGCATGGCCCTCGGGCCTCACGGGTGCGCCGAGGGGCGTTTGCCGCGTGGACCCACAACCACCCACCAGCAGGCGGGCGGCCGCCCCTGGGGTGGCTTGGCGGCTCGGTCGATCTCCCGAGCTCAAGCACGAGCCGAGTGGGATCCATGGCTTGTGCGGCACGTAAGTCTCTGCGAGAACCTGACCACATCATTCCAGAGCCGTCGCGTGTCGAGGAGGATCTGCTCGGGCGGGTCCACCGTTTGGACGCTGGCAGGTGTCGCTCCGGCTGGAATGCTGATCCTTCCCAAGGCTCGTCGCACGCATCCGAAGACACTTGGCTTTTCGACCGTTTTCCTTGACCATTCTATTTGATTGGCTTGTGTCGGCAGCATACCTGCGCCAGCAGCATGCCCCTCAGCCAAGTCGTTGGATGTCGACACGGTACCACGAGGAGGTCGACATCCATACTTTCGATCCTCACTCCCGTCAAAGCTGCAACTCCAAATCGTGCACCGAAAGATCGGCCAATGAGTGTGCCAACGTCTGCACGAGGCTGGATTTTTACGGAGATGCGGAGGATAGGTACGTACCACACTTGAGCTCTGCGGCACATGGCTTGACTTTTAAGACAGGAGAAATGCTTTTGGGAAGTGGGTTGTCGATTGGTGAGGGTTGGCGGACTCGTCGGTTCCGCATGCACACCACGCCAATGGATGCTCGAAAGCAGATTATGATCATAACAGATTCGTAACAATAATGTCCGTTGCAGCAGCGTGAAAGTCCAATAGGTCATAGTAGTAGGCTACAGTGAATGAAGTCCATGAGGGGAATTTAATATCAGATCAAGCGCAAGACACCCGCAGAGACCGGCGTTTCACCAGCGGCGCGTCCCTCTCACGAGTCGTACTTCTCGTCTGTGGGCACGCGTGCGCGGCCCGCCATCTCGGGGCGGACGTAGAACCGGTTCGCGCGCGACTGTTTGCGGCGGCCCGCGATGTACACCGCGCCGATGACGACGTACCCGAGGCCCATGACGCCGACGACGGCGCAGAGCGCGATGAGCACCGTGTTCGAGATCCCGCCGGCGCCCGTCGCTGCGTCCGAGTCGTCCGCGAGCGCGCCGAGCACATTGGCGGTCTGCTGCGACGGGTCGCGCGAGTTGTGCGTCGAGGTCGAGGACGCGCCCGCGCTGCCGTACACCTTCGTCGAGCTCGCGGGCCACGTCGACATCGAGGTCATCGACGCCATCTGGTTGGGGAGGGCGTTGCCGGACACGCGGGGCTGGCGCTGGTTCGAGAGCTGGCCCTCGCGCTTGATCCCGCACCGGTCGAGGCACTCCTGGCGGCCGAGAGCGAAGTTGTCCGGGATCTGTGGGAGGGGATGAGGACGCGCTTCGACATAGGTACGTGAATCATAGCTCACCTGGCTCTCGATCCACGCGACGTTCTCAACACCAACGTCGCCAAGAGAGGCGGCGACGACATCAGGAGGAAGACCAAAGTAGCGCTGAGCAATGGACTCGACGCCGGGGTCCTCGCTGTTGAGAGCCGCTGGGGGAGGTCATTCAGTACGTGTGTTCTGCAGCAACTTGATCCTGAGCAACTCACCGACGAACATGACCGGGTCACAGAGCTCGTTCTGCTGGTAGTGGATCGAGCCCTGAAGGAATACCTGTGCGCTCCCGGTCTCGATCTGGTTGAAGACGAAACGCGCGCCGTTCTCCGCGATCATGCCGGTGGTGAGGGTGCCGTTGACGACATAAAGCATCTCCGTAGCACGGGGGTGAGTGTGGGGAGTGTTCATCCCACACGGCTCGAGGAACCCGATGGTCATGGCAAGGCCTGAAAGTGAGAGTCACGCAATCGTCAGCTTCTGTGAGAGTTATGATATCTCATAGTCGCTTACCATTGTTGACGAGTACAGGAAAGTTGGAGACAGTAGCACTGAAGCTGCTGCCACCCGCTCCCTTGGCCGGCGTCGCGTTGAAGAAGTTGAACACAAACTAGGGCACATGTGATGTCAATCATGTGATAGAAAGAAGATGCGCTTTTGAATTTGAGTACTCACGTCTGAGTCCTGGTCCAGGATCTTGATACGGTCATTCTGCGTAGGCGCGCTCTTGAGCGAGGCAACCTGCTCCGCGGGGGAAGCAGCGAGGACACCAGCAGCAACCGCGAGGGGCACAAGAAGCTTAGACGAGGCGAACATCGTGGATGGGGGAGGGGCGTCGAGAATAAAAGAGAAGAAAGGAGGAGGAGGAGAGGAGGGGAAAGTGGAAGAGCGGGATGCTGAACGGTCTCTGCGCGCGCGCTCTTTATAGTTGCGACAGAGCGGGCGAACGTCCTTACCAGTGGTTTGGTAGGCCTCGTGCAGAGGCTGGTGTGCAGAGGCGAATACTCGTCCATCCAATAGGAGCGTCGACGCTGGCCGCCTGGGCCCGGGGGCGCTGTCGCCGCCCGGTGGGCCCTGCGCCGGCGCGCATCACCCCGCGACAAGACTCGCAAGGGCGCACAGGGTCCGTAGCAAAACGCGAGTTCCCCGAGCGAGCGCGCGAGAAACGCGATGCACCAGTCTAGGGCGCGGGGGCGCCCATTCCCGAGCAGTCCGAGTGCTGTGAACATCAAGGGGGGTGGAATGGTGAGTGTCGCACAGGTGCGGATGTCACGAGGCTCAATTCGAAACGTAGCCCTCAGCCGCATGGAGTGTCAAGAGGAGACGTGGGCGGTGGCAGCCCAAGCGCTCAACTGCAAGACAAGGTATCTTTGAAGCCGGGTCCACCCCCTCATCAGCGAAGAGGCGTATCCTGCTATGGGCGGTGAACATTGAACGCCCAGCGCCGAAGCGTGATCTCGTTAAAGAATGAATTTGATTTGGAGTTACACCCATCGCCTTCTCCGATCGGGGGAAAGATTTAAGAGAGAGTTGACAGCCGCCACTAAATCTGCACCAACAGAGTTCGGCGGTGAGCACTGAGAGTGGGCGGAAAGCTACACAAAAGGCACCGAAAGCTCACAGGACGAGTGTCTTGTTTGTTCTGTTGTGCGCTCATACCAAATGAGGATTGTGAGACGCACGCGCGTTTGGAAATGCAGAGCTACGCGCCGAAATCCCCGGAGGCGCCGAGTACGACAGCCGCAGAGCCTTGGGTTACGAAACGCCGCACCTCGAGCAAGGTAGCGAGGCGGTAGAGCGTCTCGGGTTTCCCGGGCTCATTCGTACCTGGCCGATTTGCACCGTTTCGCGATCTTCATAAATCGTGATCAGCGGACGGCCCATGAACGTAAATACAACCCCGAACCATTCACTCAGCGCGCATCAACGGTCTTCGCATTTTCCAGTTCTGCCCGGCGTTCTCTCTTGCGAAGGGTCTCCCACCAAATTTCGAAACGTCTTTCGACACGTTCTACGACTCCGGACACGTAGAGCACATCGACACCAGCCCAACGCGCCGCAGACGAGACGACGAGCTCGAGGTCCTCCGGAAGCGTGCCGAGAATGTCTTGTGTGTGGTAGATCGTGTATTGTTCCCCGGGCTTCCTCGGGACCTCCGACGGATCCTCCGAAGGCACAGCATTTGGGACGTATGGCTGGCGAGGCTGTGCCTCTTCTGGCTTCTTGTTCCGTGATGTGGTCGCATTTCCAACACCTTCACAGAGGGGGAAATTGTCTGTCGTCGCATTGCGCGCTGCGGGGCTCAAAATCAGACCCATACTGAATGACAAGGCAACACATAGCATACCAGGCATGCGATCCTCTCGGGGAAGCAACGCCCGTTGACAGAAATCCAGATACGCGTCCATCATGGCTCCGTCCATGTCGAGCGCCGATCTGGGACGGAGGCCCCCCCGGGCCTCGTCAGGGGGGTCATCGAGAGAGCGGATCGTGCAGGGGAGACATACGTGCTAGTTCCCATGGAGGCCGGGGTGGGATGTTTCGCCTCCTCCAACTCCGCCTCTCGGATAGCGGCCAAAAGCTCTGACAGGGTGGGCAGCGCATTCGCGGGGTCTTCCGGCTCAGAAGGACGTCTGATGAGCGCCGTCAAAGGTTCAGCACAATGCGCACATTTGCTATACATACTCACCTCGCGTTACCGTCCAAGCCATACACGAGCTTCAGGACAACAATGGCGCAGGCGATAAGCGCAACCTCGGGGACGGCGCTATCGTGTATATGGTAGGTCGGGTCGCGCTTCTTCTGCTTCATGAGAGCGGGAGATAGCGACCTGTGTAGAGTGAGAGGTATCGAAAGGATATGGGCCAATCTCTTGGCGAGAGCATACAGTACCGCTGTGGTACGTGATCAGCTCTGTGCTCCAAGCGAAGACATAAACACGTACGCGTGCCCTGTAGAGAGCGCACTGCTCTCCACAAAATCGGTGCGGCATTCATTTCGGGAGTTAGGATTCCATACGAAGCGTAAAGAAGTCGCCCTAGACGAGAGCAGAGGTGGTGAAGGGAAAGCGTAGATGGCACATGCTGTTATAGGTAGTTAGCAAATCGTAATATGATGGGATGTGTGGCGCTGACGTTGGGTGACAATGCTTGTGTGGTTTGTCTGGTGAGATGACTGGTCATGCTTTCAGATAATAGTCGCAGAGTGTCCAAGTATGGGACCTCGTAACCCTCCACAAGTCTGGTTATGGATCAGTCCAGCTGATGACCGAGCGTTAGATCGGGCGTACACACCTTAGCAGATCGTTGTACATCACGGGAATTCGAAGTGTCCAGCAGGCGACCACTAGTATGGAGAGTGTGCTCACGGGAGCGTCCGATTGCACAAATTGTCGCGCTTTCCGACGCATGGATTCAGAATCTTTGCGTTGCGCACGCTCTTCTGCGCTCTCCTCTTCGTCCGTAGAAGACGACTCTGAGTTCTCTCGCATGAGTGCCTCGAGGTCGTCGTCTCTGTCTGATTCTTCAGACACTGACTCGGAACTCGAAGACGACGAGCCAAGAGAGACGTTCTGTGCGCTGCCCTCGTCGGACTTGCTATCGCTGTCCCTGCCTTGTGGAGTATCGCCCTCCTTCGGTTGCCGTGTCTGAGACCCATTGGCTCCGGCACCTTCCTTGCCTTGGAGGTGCAACAGGGACTCGGCAATAGGAGGGCTGGATAGTAGCGACAGATGCAACGCCCACAATTCTCGACAGACCGTCTAAAAGAGCCTCATGAATCCTGCTAGCTGCACGGACACAAGACGGCCGACAGACCTCGAACTCGGGGGGTAATTCCCATATACGCGTGATGGCCTCGACTTGCATGCACAAAATGAGCTGTAAGCATTGGAAGTAGTGGAAGCGTGCTCGTTCCCCATGATAGACTGCATTGAAACGATACATTAGTCACAGCCACGACATGTATACCAGCTGGGTGAACGTACACTTGGGGTCGGCTTTACTCAACTTCTGCTTCTTTTGCCTCTTATTCAGCGTTCGCTTATGCACAGCATGTGGCCCAATCTCAGTTATCTCCCTGGCACTGCTCTCATTACGGTAGTTCTGTCGAACATGAACACGTCGCTTCAGAGTGACTTGAGAGTGCCGTGCATACCTGTAGAACATGGCCTTCGCTGCAGGTCACCACGCCACTTTGAGGCTCTTTGTGCCACTGTCTTGAGCCGCATACAAGGCACTCGCGACGTGGTGCCATCGGAGGTCGCTGCTCGGAGTCGTGGAGAGAACGAAAGATGCGTGGCGCTGGAGCCCAAGTTCACGACGATTAGATAACCACGTGGGGACGGCAGCAGGCCTTGATCGGACCTCGTCGGTGCGCGCTCGCTGCCAACGCTCGTTTTCCTTTCCACTCATTCTCCCCTCACGGCGGTTCAACACGCCCGGGCGCATTCGCAAGCATGCGCTTGATACACCTTCTCCTCTTTCTAGCGGTTCTGGTCACCACGGCTCTCGCGTACGTCCCCTGTTGGTTTGCGGCGTGGCTTTGTCGTTGACGTGGACGTGTGTCGCTGCTCTACGTACAGCTGGACTAAGGTGCGCATACCTGCTGTTTGCTTTGACTTCATCCAACCGAGCGTCGTTACAGGAAGACCATGAGATCTTCGACCTTGTTAGCGCACTCGAGGCTGCCGAGGGTGCGTCTTAGACTTCCATTGAATGCTTAAACCATTAAAATGTTTACAATGCGGATGCGCTGGCGACAGGCAAAGGCACGACGTTCTACTCGTGGCTGGACATCGCGCACACGTCTTCTACGTCAGAAATCTCAAAGGCATACAGGAAAAAGAGTTTGCAGCTGCAGTACGTCTTGCCACCCACCACCCCCTCTTTCCCTTCCACTTCTTCGGCGCCTCGCCCTAACACGAGCGCGGTCGCAGCCCTGACAAGAACAAGGGTGTCAAGAACGCGCACGAGCGGTTTGCAAGACTCGGCGTCGTGGCTGCTATCCTCCGGAACGGGGAAAAACGTGAGCGGTGAGTGCGCGCATCATTTTGCTTTCGCGCCGAGACGCGCCGAGACTGATGTATTACGGCTGGCTGCACTAGGTACGATTTCTTCTACAAGAACGGCGTTCCGGTATGGCGGGGTACCGGATATTATTACTCGAGGTTCCGTCCTGGGCTTGGGGTGAGTATATCTGAACAGATACGCCGCATTTCGGACGCTAACGCGACGCTGCTTGATAGACGGTGGCTGTATTCTTGATTATCACCACGTCCGGGGTACAATACGTTGTTCAGAAGCTGAACTATAATCGGGACTTGAAGCGCATCGACTGGATCATAGAACAGGCGCGGACTGCAGCCTGGGGATCGAAGATGAGTCCGCAGGACGGACAGCGGAAGGTGAGCACCATGGTCGTGTGAGGCTGGGCCGTCGAATTAATTGAGCCGGGGTCACATTCGTAAGGTCAAAGTGAACCTTGGCGGGCATCCCCGGATGGACCAAGACGGAAACTATGTCCCGGGACGCATGGTCGACATGGTCGTGGAAGGTGGCGATGTCTACATGGTGCGTGCTTCGCCCTAGCGACGCTGCTTCTAGTGACCTGTTCTCCCGCAGCTCGAGAAGGACGGGTCCATGCTCCCGGTGGATTACGACTCGGCGGTCGCACCATCGATGGGCGGGACGTGGTTCCTGGCCCTTGTGGCTGGGCTGGTGCAAAAGGCAGCTAGGCGCGATGGATCTGCGACAGAAGAGACTAGGCCGGAGACGGAGACGGAGGAGACGGAGGGTTCAGATGTGCCAGGGAGCGGCTCGGTGACTCCGAAGGAGGAGGGGGCGGGGCGGACCGGGCGTGCTCAGGCGACGACCATGGCGGGCGGGCGGCGGCGCAAAAATGTTAGGAAAAAGTAATCTAATGCGGAACGGAGGGCCGGCGGGTCCCTTCTTGCGGACGCCGTCGTTTGGGCCAGGTTGGAACACGTTTGGCGGTGCCGACACAGGCGGGACAGCACAGCAGGTGCGATGGGCGGCGCGTCGGCCGGTAGGGGCCCCGTTGTCGGTGTGCTCGAGGAGGAGGAGGCGGGGAGCGGCCGCCGCGGGCAGGGCAAGGCGCAGGGCAGAACAAGTGACAGCTAGGGCGGCCCCTGCTGGCTGCGATCGCGGCTAGATGCGGTCCCCTCCCAGCGATAAGAAGGGAGCCATATAAGTCTCGCCCTTGACTCGATGCACTCTCTCCCCGACTCCCGCCCATCCCCACCAGCCATGTCGAACTACCACCCCGAGCTTCTCGCCCCCTTCCTCGCCCTCCCCCAGGGTGACAAGATCCAGGCCGAGTGTACTCCTCAAATCCATTCCCCGTCCCGCCCGCGCTCACCCTTGCGTCCTCAGATGTCTGGATTGACGGCGATGGTGGACTCCGTTCCAAGACTACCGTACGTGTTCTCTTCCGTCGCGCATTCCGCGCACGTCCATTCTCATGCTTGACGCTCATTTCCCTTCGTAGACCGTCACAAAGAAGGTGACTGACCTCAACACCCTCCGCATCTGGGACTTCGATGGCTCGTCCACCAACCAGGCGCCTGGCCACGACTCCGATATCTACCTCCGCCCGGCTTCCATCTTCAAGGACCCCTTCCGCGGTGGTGACAACATCCTCGTCCTCGCCGAGTGCTACAACAACGACGGCACTCCCAACCGCACCAACTACCGTCACCACGCGGCCAAGGTCATGGAGGAGGCCAAGGACTTCGTGCCCTGGTTCGGTCTCGAGCAGGAGTACACCCTCTTCGACATGGACGGCACCCCGTACGGCTGGCCCAAGGGCGGTTTCCCCGGCCCCCAGGGTCCCTACTACTGCGGTGCTGGTACGTCGCTCCCGTGCGTTACCGTGATCCGGGGAGTGACGTAACTTGTCCTCATCTCCCAGGCGCTGGCAAGGTCTTTGCCCGCGACCTCATCGAGGCCCACTACCGCGCCTGCCTCTACGCCGGCGTGAACATCTCCGGTATCAACGCCGAGGTCATGCCCTCCCAGTGGGAGTTCCAGGTCGGCCCGTGCGAGGGCATCTCCATGGGCGACCACCTCTGGATGGCCCGCTACCTCCTCGTCCGCATCGCCGAGCAGTGGGGCATCAAAGTCTCGTTCCACCCCAAGCCCCTCCAGGGCGACTGGAACGGCGCCGGCTGCCACACCAACTACTCCACCAAGGCGATGCGTGAGCCTGGAGGCATGAAGGTTATCGAGGAGGCCATCGAAAAGCTCTCGAAGCGCCACAACGAGCACATCGCCGTCTACGGCGAGGACAACGACATGCGTCTCACCGGCCGCCACGAGACCGGCCACATCGGCCAGTTCTCGTCTGGCGTCGCCAACCGTGGTGCCTCCATTCGTATCCCCCGTCACGTCGGCGCCCAGGGCTACGGCTACCTCGAGGACCGTCGCCCCGCCTCGAACATCGGTGCGTGCCACGGCGATCACGCGACTCCAGCGCGGGAACTGACCCAAACGTTTCAGACCCGTACCGCGTCACCAGCATCATCGTCGAGACCACTTGCCTTAACAAGTAGATGGCGACGCCGGAACTTAGAGTGTTGGATCGTAATGGAATGTGTTTCGGCGCGGGGACGTAGCCCTTTGCGGGCTTGGAAGTACAAGTTATCAGACACGCAGTTCATAGCTAATGTAATACAAAGATCAAGAAACGCCCGCTTGAACCGTGGGCATGATATACATCACGAGCCTGAGTGCAAACATACATGTGTAGGGAGGAACGAAAGGTACAGTTTGTCCGACGGGGGCGGGAACGACATCGGACCGTAGCTCCGCAGAGCCGGAATTGATACATGTTCTGGACGGAACTTCTTCGTACAAACGCGAGAGGTCGTATATGAAATGTGTGAATCAGTAGGGAGAATTGACAATTCCGGAGCGGCTGCTGCGGCTGGGCGCGAGCGACGTCCGTGTAGGCCGCTGTAGCTGCTTCTTGTTCATGGCGTGCACGTTGTTCGTGAGAGCGACGATCTGATGACAAATAGATGTATGTTAGATGGAATGCGCAACGATGGTAGAATGGGGAGAAAACATACGATTTGCTTGTCGTCGTTGAACTTGAAATTGTCTTGGACGACCTGCTCTTCGTACCTGTATACCCACACCACAGCACTGTTTAGCGAAAGTCACGGAAGACCAGGTGAGGAACGACAACGTACTGCTTGATCTCGTATTTGTCCAGGTTGCCCTTCTTCACCCGCTTGAAGTCCCACGCGATGACATACTGCCCGGACGAGGTCACAATCGTGTTCTCCTCCTTGCCTGAGCCCATGTTGAACCTGTGCAAAGCAGGCGACGGCACGTTAACACTGAACGCCACATTCAAGAGGGAGCGCGAACCTTGCGGGCGTGAACGACACGCTGCCACCCATGTACTGGACGTGCTCGGGGCGGACCGTGAGCCGACGCGGGATCGGCTTCGCGTCCGCGGGGAACGAGCGATCGAAGCCGAGCTGGCCGGTGTACCTGCCCTCACCGATGAGGGTGTCGATGAGGAGCAGGTACGTCTTGGTCGTCGCGACGAGCCAGCGGCCGTCCGCGGTGACGTCGATGCCCACGATCGGGTCCCCGAGCGGGGGCAGCGCCGTCTTCGCGTTCTTGCCGATCGAGTCGAAGAGGCGGATGTCGCCCTTGGTGCTCGCGACGGCAAGCTTGCCGGACTCGGTCGTCGTCACGCCCGAGAACGCGTTCTTGCCCGCGTACTGCTTGTACTGCGAGTCGACCAACTTCGTGCCGGACACGCGCGGGTCGATGCGGAAGAGCGCGTTGTGCGAGATGCCGACGACGGTCTGCTCCGGTGTCATCTGCGCGAACTTGTTGTCCGGGGCGATGTGGTCGACCTGGATGTCGTCGTGCACCTTCCACTCCTCGACGATCTTGCCGGTTTCGATGTCGAGGTGGAACAGCGCGTGTGGGTCGTTGGGCGACTGAAGGATCATTTTCGTGTCTTGATCGTGGAGCATCGCCTAGGGTTGAACGGTCAAGTCAAGGAGCGAAGTAGATAAGAAGCGGGCGCATACATGCTTGGGGTTCAGAGCCTTGCCCTTGGGTGTGGCAAGCTTGCTGATAGTTCCGGAGTATCTCACGTTGTGGTCGTCCATATGTGCGAACACGCCAATCTTGTCTCCACGTACGACGTACGAACGATCGCCCTTGTAGCCAACAGCAAGTTGGGTATTGCGGCCGCCCGATTTTACAAGGGGATTCTCTTCTTCCTCCTCAAACTCTTCCTCTTCCTCTTCTTCATCACTCTTGTCTGCTACATAGTTAGCTCGAATGCAGCACATACGTATAGTTGAAGACACTCACCTAGCTCTTCAGCCACTGCATCTTCCTCGTCCTCGTCATCTTCGACATCCCTCATCTCTACATCTTCCGCGTTTGAGCTCATAACATAGTTCTGGTCCTCAAACTATTCAGGAAATTAGAAATGTACTTGGCATACGCTCAGACAAGCCGAAAACATACCTTCGCCTTTGCCCATGGAAGTTGGTTCCCACCTTCCCACAGCGCACGCGCAAAAGCGGCCGTGAACTCCTTGTACGGCTCCTCCTCCTCGAACCGCACACACCAGCTCTTCCCTATCCCGTTCGAGTCCTGCTGGTTCCACGTGAACGACAGCACCCGCGCCGCCAATCGCGCGTTCATATCCGTCGTGACGTCCTGCGCGACGAGGGGTCGCTGGTGCTCGTCGAGCGCGACGAGCTGGTAGTAGTATTGCCCGCGCGCCGTGTTCTGCGCGATGCGCACGACGACATCCGCCTCCTTCTCGTACGTACTCTGCTCCGGGTCCCACAGATGCAGCTCCGCGACGCCGGAGAATATCGACGGCATGCTCGGGTCCTCGTGCGCGGCGAGGGCGTGGAGGTTCGAGCCAGAGGAAGTGGCGACGGGCTCCGGCTCCTCCTCTTCTGTAGGCGTCTCTTCAACTGCGGTTGTGGTGGATCTGGACGCCTGGCCCTGTGACGTCTTCTTCGACTTCTTCGTTGCGGGTGGCCTGACGTCGCGGATACGGTCAGGGGTGGGTGGGAATCCGAGATGGGAAGAAGGAAAATACGCACTGCCAAATGAACTGCTGCAGCTCCGAGTCCAAAACATTGTCCGCACTCGCGCGGTACTTGATCTCGTACATGGCGCGGTACATGCATGTCTCGAAGAACGCGCGCGTGGGCTCATTAGTGCCTGCGGCAACGAACTCGAAGAGCTCGTCTTCGTCGCCCTCGACGTCCCGCCAGATGAACGCGGGCTCGTTGTCTGCGGACTTGCCCGAACGGAACTCGAGGGCGTCGCAGATCAGGAAGACGCGTTCTTCGTCGGCTGGAAACAGTGCGTGAGTATATGCGAGCTAGGCAACGGGCGGACTGGTATCGGAGAAGCGGGATAACCCATCTCTGCATCTGCGCGCAATTGGGCTCATCCAAAGACCACAACCTTCGGTGCCCCCGTATTTCGAACAGCAGGATGTGACGCAGTGTTCTCATGCTCCCCAACAAACTTGCACGCTGCTCCATCCACCCGCAGGCGGGCAGCGGCGATGGCAGGGGACGCATGCAGGGCCGAAGACGAACCACTCACTTTCCTCCTCGTCCTCGAGCAGCTCCTGGTCCCCGTCCTCGTACACCCGCGTGATGACCAGCTGGAACGTGTGCTCCATCGACGGCACCCTCCGGATAGTCGCCATCGCGTCGTTGTACCTGCAGCAGACGTCGATGAGTACGTCCCCTCGGGCGCATCGCGCACTCGCCCGGGGCACTCACAGACACTCGCGTCCGCCGCGCACGGACTCGGTGCGCGTGAGGAAGAGCTGGCCAGCGGGGATCTTGACGACCTCTGCCGCGTTCGGATCGTCTGCGATGCATGCGATGATGTCAGGGCGGGCCGTATCTCGCGCACCGGCGAGCGCAGTACGCACGCCAGACTCGGCCTATCACTGCGCGGGGAGGGGCGGGCGGTTCAGCAGACGGCGACGGGGAGCAGGACACGGGCGGGGGGCGCACGCACGGCTTCTGAAGATGTTCATGGTGGCAGTGGGCGGAGAAGGAGCAGAGTCGTCGGCATGCTTGAAAGGACTGGCGGCCCCGCGCCGGGCCACGACGTCACGGCATTACGTGACCGCTCGCGCGTCGGTCACGTCGCGTTGGCCCATTCGAAAATCACGCTAGCCCTAGGTTGGCTCGTGCTCCTTAGCTGCTTGCCAACGCCATGTCGGGTCTACGCTTCGCCACGCCTGACCGATCGCAGGGTACGTACTATTATTGGTCGAGTGTCGGCGTGCACTCACATTGTCGAGCTCTTTCCCAACCAGCAGCCAGGGGGCCTGTCACGCCTGAAAGCGTGTTTCGATCACGCACACCGCGGAACGAGGTTTGTCCACCATCGCGTCTCGAAATCTTCATGTCTCTCAGCAATGTCATACCAGCAGAACGACTCGCCCACGTCGTCCACTATGTCCAATGGCACACCAGGGCTCCTCGACACCCCTTCAAGGTCCTTGTACCGTCCCATCGGTTCCACACCCACTTCGGCTCTGGGGACACCGTCGTGCAAAGTCATAATCCGCTCGGATCCAGCCATGTTTACGTGCTTCGACACTGCAGACAAGGAGCTGTACGATCTTTGGGCGCCAAACACATAGAGACGTTGTTTCTGAACAATGGCATTGGTGGCATACAAGGACTGCAGCGCCTCGATGTGTCTAAACGTAACAAATACAAGGAGCGGATTACGCGTAGCCAGAGCGACGCCCGAGTGACATAAGTAAGGTCTAGGCGCAATGATGATAATGATACAGCAAGAATGCCAGGAATGTGGTGAAATTATGTATGCAGTCGAGAACCAGTAGGAGAGACGTGATGGGTCATGATGAAAGAGCATTAAGCCAGACAGAATCTGAAGACGCGAGCCATGGGGATCGTGATGGAGAAGACGGTTTCATAGGGGATTTTTAGATCCAGTTACCAGTAGGCCGCGGCTTCATCGTCGTGAATGGACTCTTGCCAGGACTGCCAGGTTTCAGAGCAATCCGGTCCTTCGACGACGACGACTGCCATAGCGTACCGTCCGACTCAGCGCTGCCCCCGCTCCTCCGCGCACCAGCCTCGCCGCTGGCGAAGCCCGAATCGTCCGACTTGCGCTGCGCCGCCTTGCTCTCGGCCAGCGAGGACGGCTTGGACAACTGCGACTGCTCGGACGCTTCGCGGAACACATGGACGGGAAGACTCCTGCTGCTTGCGCTTGCGCTGCTCGTGCTGAACCCGCGCATATGCAGGCCGAGCCCCATGCCGGCTGGGGCGGGGCTAGCTTGGCGATGCCGGAGCTCGTCCAGACAGAGCTTCTGGAGCTCATCCAGACCGAGATAGCAGGCCTCATCCCTGAGTTCCAGCAGGGATTCCATGCGCGCGCACAACCCGTTCAACCGCACGCCATGTGGGAGGCTGGCAGGGGTTCCGGGTGTCGAGGGGGGTGACCGTAGGTAAGAGAGTATATGGACGTATCTGTCAGTGAGAACAATCGTCAGCACGAGACGAGGTGAGAACGACTGATCAGAAGCTTACGGGGCACTGGGCCTGTCCAAGAAGACGTGTAGGTTTGTTGATACTTGAGACATGACACCCGAGGAGACGAGATGGTGATTGAAGATTGAGTTGAACGAGACGTCCACATCACTTGTGGTTGAATACACGGACAAGGGCTCTCCATCCGATGCTGGGAATAGTCCCACAAGGTACGACGCGAGACGGGAGGGTCGCGAAATGAGGGTCGCCATTGTCGTCCTCTGGGTGGCCGTACTTGTCTCAAGCGAGACGATGATCTTGCTCGGGTCCAATGAACTTGTTGGAGCGGGTGAGACCAAGATGGCGCCGAAAGGAGGCTGTGGGGATGGCGGAAGTACGTTCAAGGGAAGAGTGGGAACAGGCGGGAAGAAATCGAGAGGCGACTTGTTCCTGCGGAAGGGACTTGTTGACCTCCCGCGCATCTCGGGCGTGGCCTCGGGGGTGGTGGGCAGGTCTGGCGGCGGGCGCAAAGGTGCGTGGGGACGAACGGGTAGTTCTGCCTGCAGCTCCTGCGCGTCGACCGTCTCGGAGTCGTTCAGTTCCCCGAAAGCTTCCATGGACTCCAGTATGTCGTCTGGGATGGGCGGGAGAGGCGGACTCGCGGGGGGCTCACTGGGCGCCTGATCGTCCTCCCCGCACTCAAGGATGGCGGAGTGGGCGGGCGACGGGCTGCGTACGCGCGCGTGGAGGTCGGAGGAAACGAAAGCCAACGGACCAGCGAGGGCTTCCTGGGGGGTACGGACCACAGTCGCGCCTGTTCCGAGGGTGCCTGTGCGCGGGTGCGCGCGGGCCTCGGCGGGGTCGGCGAAGCGGGGCTCGGAGATGCGGACGGGGCGCGAGGGCGCGTACGGCGCGGACGAAGTGGACGCATTGGAGGTGGTGCGCGCGAGCCAGGTCATTGGGCTCGTCACCGACGGCCGACGACGTGCACGGGCGCCGGCCACGGCGCTGGGGCTGGTGGGCGGGGAGACAATGGGGCCAGGGTGTGGCATGGGTTTGGAGATGGAGGAGGTTTGGCGGTGGTGTGTGCGTGTGGGGATCATCGTGCACGGCGGCGGCGAGCGCGGGTGCAAGATGGGGGACGGAGGAGGGAGTGCGTGTGGGTGCGGGTGCGGGGCGGGCGGGGAGCGAGCACATTTGAGTCTGAGAGGGAGACAATTGACTTCGGGAGCACAATGCGTGCCACACGCGGGCCCCGGCGCCTCTTCCAGACCTGCCTCTTTTGGCGCGCGCCGTCTTATTGTCCGCTGCGCACCCGCCGGCGCCTCGCGTTCGCCTGGCCTCGATGCCTCCTCCTGCCTCGCCCTCGCCCCAAACCCTCGCCCCGCCCACAGCCGCCTTCCAGCTCGCCCTCCCCTTCGTCCTCGCCTCCGTCGCGCCCGGTCTCGCTGCCCTCCATGCCGCCCGCGCCGCCCGCCTCTCTCCCGCCCCGTCCGCGCTCGCTGCGACCCATTGTCCCATATGCGGCGCCGGGCTAGTCCACACCCGCGTCGCCCGCGTGCGCGCGAAACGCCATCGACAACCCCGGAGCGGGGCTCGCGATTTTGGCGAGCCCCTCGAGCCCTCCACGCGGACCCTGCGCCGATCGTGCCCGAGCTGCGCCCACACCACGCACGTCCCGCTCACGCCAGGCGCGGGTCCCGGGGCGACGTCGTTTCCGCAACCCCGGCACCGCGCGCGATACAGGCCCGCGCAGGGGGACGCGATCAACGAGCCTCATGCAGACCGTGCGGGCACCCTTCCTGCCGCTGCGCCTGCTGCAGCTCAGCCGCGGCCGCGCTCGCGAGGCTCGGCGCAGTTGGGTCCGGCGCCGTCCAGGACGACTCCGGCGGCGGCTCGTCCTCACACCGAGCCCGGGCGCGGGCTGTCGGTGCTGCCGGCCCATCGCGAAGCTCACCGTCAAACGCAGGGCGATCGAATACTGCTGGAGGCGATACCCGGAACAAGGCGCGCCCCAAGAAGAAACCCGGGCTGCAAAACATTCTCGCGCGGAACAGAGAGAGGCAGGAGCAGGAAAAGGAGCGCGACGGCGCACAGGGCTTGGGTCTCTCCGCCTTCCTCCACGGCCTGTGATAGAGCCCCGCCCAAGGAAGACGGGGCCAGCGTCCGGATTCCGATGGGGTCGTTCGCTGGTCCTCCGTACGTCTTCGTCGATCATCTTCGGCCCCCGATGCGGTCATAAAATCTCATATTGCGCTCCTATAGCTTGCTACTCTCGCTGGCCTCTGTATCGGGATGCGCCCTCCGTCTGCTATTGCGGATCACCACTAGCGTTGAGGTGGTCTCCGACGGATCGGATGACTTCCGAGCTCCTAACGAGCCCACTCCTGGGCCTGAACGTTGAATGTCGTGACCCTTGTGGGGTGAAGATGTAGGGTGGAGATCCTTGGGCGGAGGGCCAAGTTCTGGGACGCTTGCGCCGTGGTAGCTATTCAGTAGCCTCATCGTACACGCACCCAGTTGGCGAGACCTTCATTTGCCATCGTATCTTGCACCACGACCGTGCAGCACAAGGAAGATCACACGTGCGACAAGAAAGACAACGAGATACACATTTCGAACGATCCACGAGCAAAACACTCCCCAGAGTACAAGCAGCTATCCGTGGGCACATACGTGAAGACGAGGGGTGGGATGATCAGCCGATGTAGTAGCGTATTGTGGGCAGGGGCTACAAACAAGACGGTCAGAAAGCAGAGGACGTTGAGTTGTTACATTCGGAATACAGGGAAGAAGGGGACCAAGGGGACGAAGAAGGGGAGCGCATGAGGAACATCAGCCATTATCGTACACACGACGAGAAGAAAGAGATCGTTCTGAGCATTACGGAGAAGAGCGCCGCACAGGCAAATTGTTCACGCCATCATCCGCCTCTCTTCTTGAGCGTACGGGTTGACGCTGTAGACCTTGATGACAGGAGGGCTCTTGGTCAAATCAGCGGTGACGATGACCTGTGGGAAAGTAATCGGTGAGCTTCAGTGGCGCTTGTTGTAATACTGCAGAAACTCACGGGAACGGTCATGAGCTCGCGAATCTCCTGGATCTTGTGGCCGGACGGGAGCGTCTTGAGGCCCTCGAAGTGGGGCGGCAGCTTCTGCTTCGAAAGCGAACGCTGCTTGGACAATCCCACATTGTCGGGCTCCTGGTTAGTGCGCCCAAGCACAATCTCATCCTCCTCGTTGTCGTCCTCGTCGAAGAGCGCTTTCTCATCATGAACCGAGCGAGAGGCGACCTCCATCTTGAGCGCATGCTGCTCGGCATTCTGCTTGACCTTCTTCAGGTGCTCGTCGTCGCTGTTCTCGGCGAGCCAGGTGATGACATCGCGAGTGGACCAGTAGATCTGGAGCGCGTGCTTGTGCTCGTCGTAGACATGGTTTTCGATGGGCATCTGGTCGACGTGGACGCGCTTCTCGATGCCAAACTCAGGGATGAGCACATCGAATGCCGCGTCGAGCACACCGATGACCTTCGCCTGACGGACAACGGGGCCGTAGCGCTGGGTTAGGTCCGAGACCAAGACACAGAGGTACAAGTGCGCCGACTGCTCTTGAGCGAGCTTGGCAGAGTCACGCTTGCTGCACAAATTGTGAGTCATTCAGAACGTACTCAAGAGGGGCAAGAAAACGCACATGTTGCACTGCTGGGCGATCTTAGCGACGGCGTCGCGGTCCATGCTGAACTTGGGCTCGGAGCCACCCTGGAGGATTGCGTCGAGCTGGCGGTGAACAATGATGTCGGCGTAGCGACGGATGGGTGACGTGAAGTGCGAATACAACGGCACATTGAGAGCGTAGTGGCTGTATTTGGCGATGTCGAGCATACCTGCACAGAAGTACTTCGCACGGGGAGATGCCTTTTGGAGCAACAGCTCGAGAATGGTCTTGGCGGTAGGGTCCTCGACACCCTCGAGCGACTTCATGAGAGCCGCAACAGAAGACGTGTCAACGGTGTACCCGAGACGAGCGGCGCGCTCGACGAAAGCGTTCAGGCGACGCTCAATGGGAGTGTCGTGGCGACGGAGCATAGCCTGCTCCGAAAAGTGGACTGCGACTTGCTGGGCAACGGTGATGTTCGTCATGAGCATGAACTATCGAAGAATGCGTCAGCAGGGTATCGACAAGGTTTCGTGCATGCCAACCAACCTCCTCAACAAGGCTGTGAGCCTCGAGCCTCCCGTGCTCGCCGCAGTCGATGGGCATGCCACTCTCGTCAAGCGAGAAGGTCAAACGAAGAGAGCGGGTTTTGACACAGCCGGCCTGGAAGCGGCGGGCACGGAGCTGTGAGGCGAGATCATCGAGAACCTTGACGTCGTGAGCAATCCCAGCAGCGTCGTGCTCAGGGATGACAGGGAGATCGCCGAGAGTCTTGCCGTCAATGACCGCCTGAGCGTCGCTGTAAGAGAGCTTCGCCGCAGACCTGCGATGCACCTGATGAGCTTCTGCAGGTGGGAGCGATGGCCACACGACTTACTTGATAATAGTCCTGCCGAACCATTTCTTGACGATCTTGGCGTCTTTCGACATCGTGAAAATGACGGAGAACGCGAGGCGCTCCTGGCCAGGCAACAGACTGCACACCTGCTCGCTGAGGGTAGGCGGAAGCATCGGGACGGCACGCTGCACGAGGTACACGCTCGTCGCCCTCTTCCTAGCATCACGATCGAGGGCAGTGTTCGGCTTGACGAAGTACGAAACGTCCGCGATGTGGACACCGACGTCGTACGTCCCGTCCTCGTTGACCTTAATGGAGAGGGCGTCGTCGAGATCCTTCGCATCATGGGGGTCGATGGTGAACACACGCTCGCTACGCAAGTCCTTGCGGATGTCGAACTCGCGCTCGGGGACACTATCGAGAAGATTAGTCACATGGCGGCATTGTGGCGACGGGGATTAACTCACGTCCAGGGCGTGGGAGGGAGGCACTTCATCACATTGTCACTGAACTCCTCCGTGGGGAAGTTGCAGTCCTTGAGCAGGGCAGAGGTTTCAACCTCGATGTCGCCAATCGGACCGAGCTCCTCGACGAGGGTACCGAAGGGATGCAGCGAGGAGATAGGCTGACAATAGCGAGATGAGTTGCACGCACAGAAGACGATCGTTAAAGATACGTACGTGGCGCTTGATACAGGCGACGAATAGCTTGTTGGCATACGCCTCGGAGTTCTGGACGAAGTCCAACGGTGCCTGCTCGGTGGGAATAGCAATGAGGGGAACGCGCTTGTCAGTTGGCTTGAACCACACGATCTTGGGACGCTCGATGGGACGACGGGGCTCGTCACCCTTATCACCCTCCCTCTCACGACGCTCCGCCTCTTGTTTCTCCTTCGTGGCTGCGGACGACGGACGGAGCAGACCCAGCGTTCCGGAGAACAGCTGGCCGGGCATGCGCTCGACGACCGCAACGACATGGCCAGCGAATTGAGGCTTCACTTCGTCGGTCACCCTTCGCGAGCGCGTTAGACTTCGTGCATAGTGGAACAGGTACGCGGAACTCACTCCTCATCCTCGAAAAGCATCAAACCCTGGCCCTCGACCTCGACATCATCCTTCTTCTTGTCGTTCTTGCGACCAGCCGCGTTCTTGAGGTCGTATGCAGAGTTCTCCTCCTTCTTGCGCTTCTTCTCCTCCTTCTCCTTCTTGGTTCCCCACACCTCGTCGACGTCGAGCAGTTCAACTGCGACGATGTCTCCTTCGAGCGCACGGTTACGGTCCTTGGAGCCGCAGATGTAAATATCGGCGTCCAGGACTTCCGTGGCAACGTATGCATCCGACCGATTACGTTTGTTGACTCGTAGAATACCTACAACAAGCTTGCCAGCCGCGAGGAGCGGAGGGAGAGAAGCCTGGGGGAGATAAGGAGCGAACAGCGACTTGCGCTGCGGTTGGCTAGACTGCTGCTGAAGCTGAGACTGGAACTGTTGCTGTTGCTGTTGGAGAAGATTGATGCCACCGAGCCCGAGGCCCATCATGTTTGCGGCCATCATGTTTGGCAGCATGTTCGGGAAACTGAAGGACTGCATCTTCTGATGATGGCCGCCAGCCGCCGCGCGGAATTGCTGCAGGCTCTGGAGCTGAGCTTGAGCCTGTGCGAGATCGGCCGCGAAGTTGCCACCACCAGGAAGGGCTCCAACACCGCCATCTGAAGTGGGATATCAGTTCAATGTCACCACGACGTCAAAGCGATCTACTCACTGAGACGCCAGGTTGAATCTGAGCGAGAGTGACCTCCACCGCCGAGGCTAGCAGGAGGCATGAAGCCGTCATCGAAGCCATCAGCGCTCTGAGAGAAACCAAGGCCGCCAAGCTGCCCGCCAGTCTTGTTGAGAACGTTCACACTGTGACGCCTGCCATGTCCGCGAGGGACAGACGACGGCTGCCCGTCGAGACCCATCCCAAGACTGCTCATGCTGCCGAACTGACCCATGGCGCTCTGCTGGCCACCGAAAGCGTTGATACCCCCCATAGACATGGGAACTGTGCTGTGTACGCGACGGTGCACATTGCGTCCAGGGGCAAGGCCAGCGGTCTGGAAAGAGAGGACCTGGTTCGATGCGAGCTGATGCTGGTAAAGGGCCTGCTGTTGTTGTTGAAGAGCCTCGATCTGGTTTTGGATGGCGATCTGCGCAAAGCATGGGTACCTGAACGACGAGGACACTTCACGGTACTCACCTGCTCGGCCATGATTCCAGAGATGTCCCCACCCTCCTGCTTCCTCTGGCTCTCGTGACCCTCGAAGACACCATTGTTCTGCACTTGCTGAGGGAAGCGGAAGTCCGACTCGTCCTCGTTAATGGGTGGGCCCATGGCAAGGTTACCCTGGGGGCGCCTGCGCGCACCGAACATAAAGCCAGGGGCCAGCTGGGGGCGGCCAGTGGGACCCATGACATCACTCTGCTCCTGTTGCTGCTGCTGGGCGAGAGCCTGGAAACGAGGTGCGGTGAAGTTCTGCGAGAGCGAACGGCGCGGGTGCGCCTGCCAGGAGGGGTCCGTAATCTCTCCCTCTTCGATGATAGGTGAGTCTTCCGGAGCTTCCATCATGGCACCCAAGTTCGGCGAGTAGCCCAACGAGGGTCCGAGGGCCTGCGTGCCAAGCGACGCGGCCTTACGGTGACGCGGGGGTGGCTCATTCATGGTGTTGCCAGCGGGGAACGAGACGGCTCCGGGCTGGAAGACGGGGGCGTTGGCGGGGAGGTTCGAGTTGGCAGCGAGTGAGGTCACGGAGGGCATAGGGGGTTGCTGCTGCTGGGGGTTCGGGGGCGAGGTGGTCTTCAAGTCCGCGATCATGCGTTGCAACGAAGACAGTGCGTCACTGCTCTCGCCCGTGGGTGGGGGCGGGTTGGGGGAGCCCGATGGCTGGCGCTGTCGGTTCCCGCCATTGCTGCTCGCGGGACGTCCGCTGGGCTGGGAGGTCGACTGACCGCCCTTGCGATGACCGCCGCGCTGGGAGCCGGACTGAGACTTGCCGCGCTGGCGTCCTTCTCCCTTCTTCGTGTTTGCAGATTCCGAACCAGACTCCGTACCTTGATTACCTGGGCCCCGACGGCTCGTAGAGCGGTTACTGGAGCGCGAGGAGGGGCGCGGATTCCCCGCACCCTGGCTCACGGAGGCAGAGCGGCCGGCAGGCCCACCCCTCCTCGAGGGCTGCCTGTTCCCTCCTGGCAAAGCGGTGCCATTGGACGGCTGCTGCCTCTTGTCGTCCTTCTGGGGCAACGTCTGAGTTGTACTTTCGTCCGTCATGTCGTTCGTAAACGTGTTGATCGCGTGTAGTGAGTGAATTTTCCAGGATTATGCGATGTTTTTGATGTTCTGATGTTTTCTTGAGGCGAGACAGAAGATGACGAAGACTAGGTGGGTGAGCGCGCGCGAGAGAGAGCGCATATAGGAGCACTTACACAAAGTTGGGTTGGTTATTCGTGATGGTAGGCGGTGCCCTGTGGGGCGAGTGGGGGTTTATGGGAGTGGTTGCCTCGCTAGGCGTGGAAGGGGATTGTTTATCGTCGCAGAGGAGAGGGCGTCATCCAAGAAGGCTATAAGGACAGGCAGCGCGGCTATACTGCTTTCCCACGCCCCTTAGTCACTGATACGCACCGCTGTGCGGAGTCTCCTGGCCCGCTTTCGTCCGCCATGCGTCGTCTCACAACAATAAGGGCCACACGCGGTGCCTTCCCGGCTCCCGCTAACGATGTATGTGTCCCAGCCGACGCATGACTACGATTCTACAGGTATAGTGTGTAGAACAGAGTACAGTATTCTACCCAAGCGTTCTAGAAAGGATCTATAGCTTCTCGATGATCGCGGACGTGTACTCCTTCGTCGACGCCTTCCCGCCCAGGTCACCGGTGATGGTCTTGCCCTCGGCAATGGTCTGAGGCAAGTGTCAGTAAGTGGAGCAACGGCAACAGGCGGTCCGACACCCACGGTGAGAGCAGCGCGCTCAATGCGGTCGGCGTACTGGTTTAGGTTCATGTGCCTACACGCGAGGTCAGTTTCGCCCGATATTCATCTTACTGGCTGCTCACCTGAGCATCATGAGAGACGAGAGAAGAAGCGCCGTAGGGTTAGCCAATCCCTTGCCTGTACAAGGACAAGTTACGACAAAATTTGCGAAAACTGGTCCAAGGGCTACGCACCTGCAATGTCAGGCGCCGAGCCGTGAACAGCCTCAAAGATGGAGGCGTCCTGCGCAGTACATGAGCAACCTATTGAGGGGCAGCTATAGACGGACAATGACACGTACCCGACCGATGTTGCCGGAGGGCGTAAGTCCAAGGCCACCGATAAGACCGGCACACATGTCCGAAAGGATATCACCGTAGAGATTGGGCATGACCATCACGCGGTCCGAGAAGGGCCTCGGGTTTTGCACGATCTAAGGCACGCCCATCAGCCACGCTCCGTACTAAACGAGTAGCCGAACGAACCTGAAGGCAAGCGCGGTCAAGGAGGTCCTCATCGTAGGTGATTTCGGGGTAGTCCTTGGCCACCTGACGGCAGGCAGACAGGAACATACCATCCGACATCTTCCTGTAGGCAGATGTGAGGGTGCTTCCACACGCGAGGAACATTGCACGCACATGATGTTCGCCTTGTGAACGGCAGTGACCCGCTTGCGACCGCTGGTCTGAGCGTAGTGGAACGCGTAACGAGCTACACGCTCAGAGGCATCCCAAGTGATGAGCTTGATGGACTGCACAACACCGTCGACAACCTGAAGGAACGTGTCAGTATGCAAAGCCCGAGTACAACCCATCCAATGAGGTGTGTTTACCTCGTGCTCAATACCCGAGTACTCTCCCTCCGTGTTCTCCCGAATAAGGACAGTGTTGACGTCGTCATAAGCAGTTTTATAGCCCTTGATGGAAGCGCAGGGACGAACGTTGGCGAAGAGGTTGAAAGTCCTGCGAAGCGTCAGGTTCAAGGAAACGTGACCCTTGCCAACTGCACGTGAGGTTGATGTGTGAGGGTGTGTCTAACGGGAGGAACGATGGAAAACTAACTGGGAGTAGCAAGGGGGCCTGCAGGGCGCGTCAAAAGAGCACACCACTCGTAGGAATAAACACACACCCTTTAGCGCGACGGTGTTCTTCTTGACCGAGTTGATGGCAGCGTCAGGAATCACGGTCTTGCCACCCTTGAGGATCGGTGTCACGTCGACCTCCTCCCATTCGATAGGCACCTGTGACGCGGTCAGGGATTCTTCCTCTGCTAGGCATGCTCAAAGGCGTACCTTGGCTGCAGAGTAGATAGCCTTGACAGACTCGCTAATTTCCGGACCGATACCTAAACGACCCGTCGCGTCATGCCCTCAACCCACTATAGATGTTGCTCACCGTCACCGGGGATTAAGGTAACCGTATAGTTTCCCTGATACCACAACTCCCATCTATTTCCCATCCTCTACAGAGAAGAAGGGAGGACTCACGTTCGCGCCTTTCTGACCAGCGAAGGCGGCGGTAGGAGCGGCAGAAGCATAGCGACGGAAGGCCTGAGGTGGGCGGAATAAGCACTTGACGAGCAGAGTATCACCAGCTTCGAGCATACCTGAGGGGCCCGTGAGGCGACCCGCGCGCTGCCGGTGAGGGTACGGGAGGCAAGCATTTTTGCAAGCAATCGGGAGACGACGGAGGAAAGAGGTGGCACAGCCGGACGTGCTGGACGGCGAAATCATCATGACGCACGTGATGTATGATGTAGACCCGCGTGGCTCGGGTTCTTCGCCCGATACGCTCCGGCCGCGCTCCGAATTCGTCATTAGACTCCGAGTGTAAATTGGCTGGTGGGTAACGGTGGGCCGCATGTGGACATGGCCATTCGCATCCTCGCAATCATTAGTAACATTGATTAGAGTGGGCTTCTCCTGAGACGACACGCAAGAATCGAGGGCGTACGGTCCGGTATAGCGAGAGGTCTATGATAGCTAGCGTCCGGGCAAAATTTACAAACACACATAATATGATACAGCATGTATAGTGACAGTATACCTGGTAATCATGGGTATCATCCGCTGAGAATTCCATTGAGCTGTTGGCGGTACTGCTCCATCGCTCTCTCCGTCTCTTCGTCTTCGACTTGGTCCTGCAATGACTGAGGACGCGTGAAACACGCGGACAGAGAGCAGCATGTCTAACACGCACCGGAAGGTCTTCTTTGACGGCCCCAGCCTGCCCAAGCTTCCCCTCGGTAAGGTCAAACAAGACCTTATCGACCTCGGCGTCAGCCTCGTCCTCTAGTTCCTCGTCATCTTCCATGGCCAGTGTGTCTTCCAACATCTCCTCCATGATACCAGCCTGGGACGCACATCACTCTATGATTCGTTACAACCCCCGGAGGACATACCTTCGTCATTTCCATGCTCATCTCGCGCATTGTCGCGCTAATTTGTGGAAGCTTCATGAGGGAGTTCGAAAGCTTCATGATCTCAGTCGACTTCTGTAGCGCTCCGGTAACCTTGAGCATGGCTGGATGCGATGTTATCGAAATGTTCAGACAATGAACCGAAATGTTCACGTACAAAGCTGCTGCTGCAGCTGATTGTTGATGGAGCCCAGCCGGGCCTTACTGACAGACAAGCGGTCCATCTGTTTGTGACTCCGGACGACTTCCTTCGCCATAATCCGCGCCGACTTGACATCACCTTTCTTAGCCAACTGCTTCACCGTGGTCTGGGCCTTCTTCGTGGCCATGTCCAACTGTTCCCAGTCGAAGTGTGGCATAAGCGGATGGGTGCATGCACAGGCTCGCAAAGGGCGGACCTGCCTCATCTCGCGGTCGAGTGACCGCTGCTCCCCACGGATTTTACCCTGCCATGCGCGGACCCTCTCCTCTGCAGACGGGCCGTACAGAAATCGGTTGATGGTCTGCATTGGGCGAGATGGGCGAAGGAGGGTGGAAGGGCAGAGGAGGGTATGTGGAATGTGGCTCTTGGCAGAGCGGACTGAGCAAGTTTAGCGCGGCGACGCGGTGCATGTGACTGGAACCCACGGGGAGGAAGTGTTGCGGCGGCGCGGCTGGTCCCAAGTTGAAGGTCGTCCTCTGCCCTCCCCTCTCAGTCTGCTTGCAAATTCCCGCCATATGGAGGCTGACCGGCATGCGGCTCACCATGATGTGTACTCGACCTCCTTTGGATCCGCTTCGACGTCCTCTCTTCCCTGTCTCCGCTCAGGTTCTCGATCCTCAGGCTCTTTCCTGCCCTCCACTTTTCCTTCTCGCCAGGCTACGTCGTTCAGATCCTGACGAAGCTCAAACACACTCTTCTAGCCGTCTTTATTCTGGAGGCAATGGCTAGCTTGACACCCACTGCGCCTGGTCCTGGAGACTCTTTTGCGGCTGGCTCCGCGTGCACTATTCATTGGAGTGTCGACACATCTGGACATTGGAATAACGTATCCATATGTGAGTTCCGACGCATATCATGCCACAGACATCAGCTACAACGCCCACAGATCTCATGACTGGCACGAACAACAATATGACAACGCTACAGACCGTCGCGTCAGGCATCGACGGCACCGACGCCTCGCTTTCGTCATTCAACTGGACATGCCCAGAAGTCGATCCGTACTCGGCAATATACATCTACCAGGTACCACGCTCCCTTAACCATCGTCATATCAGGTTGCTCACATATAAATAGTTCACAAATGGCGAAGACATTCAGGAATCGCAGTGGACGACCCGTTTCACAGTACGCCTTTCATTTCTCAAGTTCACCGGCTCGTTTCCCAGACCGAACCCGCTCCCAGATCACCTCGCCCACCGGAGAGAGCGTTCCGCCAGATAACGAGAGCCAGCCCAACGGAGACGCTGTCCCTTGGGGTGAGGGTCGCCTGATCTCTGCAGGCGATGTCGGGTCGAAGGACGACAAAGACCGGAGTACAAGCGAGAGCAGCGCGAGCGCTAGTCCTAATTCCGACGACGACATCGCGCGAGCAACCACAGAGCAAGAAAGTCATGACAGGCACATTCGAACACACTCCAGGCACTCCCACCACTCCTCTCCAACTCCCACTCTTCAGTTGGCTTCCACGGACCTGCAGCCTACTGCTCACGCCTTCGACAGCCCTCGTAGTGGCGATCTGACTCATGGGACTCCTACACACTCCGCCTCCCATCTCCACTCTGGCCCGAAGGACACAACAACACCATTTGTCAGCCTCGCGAACTCAGGTGCCTCCCAGTCAAGTACTCGATGGATGGGCGCAGCGGTGTCGATCACTGTCTTATTCGCTCTGCTGATGTGATTGGGACGTGAAAGGGTTCTTACCCCAGGTGGTGTTTTCGTTACTCTAATCTATGGATGGAGCTCCGTCTCCGAATTCCATGCTGTTCACAGTCAACACGAATGGCGCGTGATCGCTGTGCCACCTCTCCTGCGGATCCTCGAGGTATGTCATCTCCACGACGTTCTCTTTTGATCGAGAGTCCACCAGAGCGTAGTCCACCCTGGAGCGGTCGCTACCCTGAGGTTTGCCTTTGGCGAACCAGCTATAGGCCTTGACATTGGGGTGCAACTCTCGAAACACGATGTTGAAGTCCCCGACGAGCACGACGCGGAGCCCCCGCGCGCGCAGCGCGGCGCACTCGTCCGCAAGGAGCCTGTTGAACTCGCGCTTGCGCCCGTGGCGCGTCTTGGGCGCGATGGTCCCGAGCGGGTCCCGCCACATGTACTCGCTCCCGTTGAGCGCGTACACGTTCACGAGCGCCCAGCTGGCCTTCATCTCGAGCACGAGCACCCGGCCCTCGTGGTCCCAGTCGACCTCGCGCGCGGCTGCAATCGCCGTCTCGCGCGGGGCGCGCACGAAAGTCGCGACGCCGAAGTTGCGCTGCCCCCGTGCAGCGCGGTTCAGGCTGTGGAACATCGTGTACTTCGGCTCTGCTGCTGCTTTCCCTCTTCCTGCCCCCGCTCCCGACGACGCGGACGGGGACCCCCACCCAGGCGAGACGGAGTCGGCGAGCGTGCCCATCCCGTGCGTCCCGAAGTTGGCGGCGAGCCGGAGCGCGGCGACCCACTCCCGGTCGGTATGGCGTGCGCGGACCTCTTGGAGGCAGATGAAGTCGGGGAACACGTGCCGCCGGAGGAGGTCACGCAGGAGGGCGGGGTGGCTGCCGGGGACTGTCCCCGGACTCGTGCTCGCCGCAGAGCGCTGCTTGCTGCTCGGGAGCTGCAGGAAGGGCGCCGGCGTGTCGACGTTCCAGGACAAGATCCGGATCTTGTCGGGGAGCTCGGGGAGGGTCTGTGAGGCGGAGGAGGGCGCGACGGGGGCGTCGGTGCGGGCCTTGGTCGAGGAGCGGCTAGGAGGGTCCGCGGACCCTGGACTTCGGAGGCGTTTAGGCATGGTCTGCACTGATCTGCAGATCCTCGAGGGACGTCTCTGGGCACGGAGAGGAGGCGGAAAGGTCTGGTTGTTCCGTTCAGAACCGTGGTTCGTCCAGTGCAGCGGAATGACGTACGTCGAAGGAAACGCGTTTGATGTCCGAAGCTTCTCGGCGGTAAATATTGCAAGGAGCTTGTGCTCAGGATGTGGGCAAGCCGTGCACCGACGGCGAGGTAGCTTCGAGGGTAAGATGGCGGTTGAGCGAAGGGTTTCGCGGCGGCCTGCCCTACAATCTCACAGAGCAGCCGGATGAGCGTCATGCGAGTGGAGGAATGGAACATATGAGCAGGGATGAGGTCATCGCTCATTCACTCTCGTGGTACTAGTCTTGGTGCAGAACACTCGGTGCGGACGTTTGATTATGGGGTCTGACGCAGAGTACAGTGCATGTTATTGCAACAACCTATAGCACGAGAGCGAACTAGAAATACGATGTGTCTGAGGGGTGATTCTAAGCGCAGACTTTACGAGGCCGATCCGCTGGTGCGAATCTGCTCTACTAACGACTCCCAGTAGCTCCAGTCCGCTCCATCTACGCCCGCAGGTGGCATCACACCTTCTCCTCCAGCCACTGGTGTCGCTATTATCCCATTGCCTCCTAGCCAGCCGTTCACGTCCACCAACCCCGGAGTCGCCCAGGGCAGCCCAGTTCCACCAGGATGATCGTCGACGGCTGGTCCGCCGCTGAAGATGTTGCACCACTGGTCAAGCAGCGTCTGTGCTGTCTCGTCTTCTCCTTGAGGGCTCCCAGTACCCGTGCCAGGCGACGAAGTCTCGCTCGGCTGTAAATACCGCATCTGTTGGAGGGGAGATGGTCGCGGGAGCTGTGAAAACGCAGCGCGAGGGGATGTAAGGGGGAGTGAGGCGACCGAAGGGAAAGAGTGGTCCGAAAGGAGGTGGACATTGCCGTTCGCGTCGGGAGAGGTGGCCGGTGGAGAAGAAACAGAGGACACCTGCTGTTCGGCGGCTCCATCAAATTTGCGCTTGAGAAACTCGATAATCTTGATTTCTCGCCGAGCGATCAGGTCGATCTCTGTGAGGTGCTTATTACGCTCGAGGAAGGTTTCCAATAGGCTGTGCATCCTCTCGACGTCGCGACCTTTCGGGTAAAGAGCCAAATAGATGCCGGCGATCATAGCGGCTTGGAACTCGCGGTACGCGCTCGCGGCAGGGTCGCGGCCTTCCCGTATGGTTGTCGCGATGTACTCCTGTCGGGTTTGATGGTCCTTCAACGCAGACTCAAAGCATGCGTCGCGCGAGCGGGAGTACTTGTTACCGTCAAGCTTTCGTAGCAAGTAAGGACGATGTAAGGAAATCCGGACGAAGAGGAACTCCGTGACCAGTAAGAACCGTTGGAGAGGGATGTAAGGGTGGGAACGATCGAGTGAAGTGTCGGGATCGAGGGAGTAGTAGGGGGGTAGGTTTTGTCTCCAATTGAGAAGTTCGTCGTCCAGCTCAATGACGTCGGAGTAATGTCTGGGTGAGTTGACGTTTTGGAAGAAATCCGACATGCGGCCCATAATGATAGCGAGGGAATGTCGGAGGATGTGGAAAGTAGTACGAGTTGGCTGTGATAATGGCAAAGATTTGAACGTCTTGCCATCGAAACTCCTCTCGTCAGCATTGGTGGGGGGCCGAGTGGAGGTGTGGCTGTCATGGATAGCGACCGGTCGTCCTAGAACCAATGCAATAGAGCGATCGGCATGATACAAGTGGGCCCTGTCATGAGGTCAGTAAAGCGCTCGAAGGTAGCCACAGAGCTTCATACCATATGCGGCGCCGTCTTTCGACTTGCAAAGGCTCCATGCCCTGTATACGACACATTCAGAAACAGACCGACTGGGTGCAATCATTCAAACACGTACCATATCTGCTCCATCTCTATGTAGTCCGATAGCCTGTGCTATGCGAACTGCAGCACCCAATTGGCTCCAGGATTCAGTCATACGTCGGTCGAGTACGAGAAACCGAGCACTCTAGAGAACAAGTCAGGATCGGATCGGTCATCTAGTAGGCGTCAACGCACCAGCATTCGCGTCAGCACGATCTCAAAACAATCCGGCTGAACGCAAGCAACAATCAACATAGCACGACGACCTGGCAATTACCCCATAAATCGCTGAACCACGAGACCATGAAGCTGAGAGGCTCACAGCACCAATAGTAACGAGATGCAGTAGTCTTCCGTGAGGCCTCGGTAGTACCTGGTCTAGAAGGCGCAGATCTGACTGCAGTGGCCAAAACGACAAAAAGCAATGGCAAGAAACGGATATTGCTGGGCTTGGAGGGGTTGTGTTCGTTGGCCAGAAACGAGGCGTACGAGTCGCGAAACTCGTTTTCTGAGATAGGATAACGAGTCCAGTTACTACACAGATGTTATCAGCATGTCAAGTGGTCCTGGAAACGAGTGCTACGCACATGACGTTGAAGTAGTGGCTGACAAGCTCATCACGAAACTTGCGAGGAGGCAGCTCATCGTACATGTTTTGGAGCCGCTCTGTACTATAACCGCAGTCTTGCATGAGCCGTTGGAGGCGCTCCGTAGCGCTTTGTTCCATAGGCGTAATATTTGGTTTTGACTCTTCTTCTAGAAGCGCATTGTGAGTCACCGGGAAAGTGCTGCCCCCGGACCCGCTATCAGGAGTTGCAACCATGCTTTGAAGCTGGCGAGACTTCAGAAGCGCGCAAGAACTGTGGGTCCCACACACTCACCTGCTCCAGGACAGCCGGTGCGGCGACCAATCCAGCCGCGCTCTTCCCGTACCACGTCCCACTCTCAAATATTCCTCCGCTAGGGTCTTCGTCCTCGGCTTGGGAATGACTGCCGTCGTCCATAGGCGATACCGACCGCTGCTTGTCATGGGGCTCAGGACCGTCGGAGACGGGCGTCAGACGGCCTTGAGCCCAGTATTGAGGCAAAGCAGTCTCGACGATTTGTTCAAGCCTCGCGAGACGGACATGTATGTCCTGGTCGGACTTGCCGGGGGTGTACGACTTGCAGAGCTCAGGAACCTTGCGTGCAACACACTAGGCGGTCATGAGCATATTTTCCATCATTTGTGGCATACGAGCTCACATGCGAACAAGGCACTTGCCTGTCGCACTGAAGGAGGAATAAGCGACGGACAGATAGGAGTGGCAATGTGCACGCACCTTCTGTTTACGGCGATGGCATTCCCCACAGGAGTAACTGATGAAAATGTAAGCTCGGAGAACGATGAGGCTGGGACAGCAGCGAACCTGACTCGAGTGCGCGGCTTCTTGTGCGCGCGGTTTGAGTCGAGATCTTCCTCAGACTTGCGCCGAGCGGGGGTAGCGCTGCTTGAGTCTGTGGTGGCCCTGACCATGCTGGGGCTGGGGGCGGGGGTCGAAATGCGATGAGATGCGGGCGCGCAGTGGGTATATGTAGATGAGGGGGTCGACGAGGATTGGACAGTACAGTCGGCGAGAGCCGGTGAGTTGAAGGTGTCTTTGTCAACCCACGTGTTCCTCCGTACGTTACACCCGGACCTCGGACGCGTTTCCGTTTCCGCTTCTGCCGCAGACGCCCCCCACCATCGCCGTCTCACTTCGACACTCCGCTTTGTCATCCAACCCACATCATGGAGGACCCACCCTGGAAGAAGCTCAAGCTATCGCTCGAGCGCCCCTACAAGGACGACAACGGCGAGCCATTGCTGGAGTTGCTTGATATCACCCCCGACGGGCAACACATTTACCTTCCGTGTGTGATTATCTGCGGTTGCACCTACCGCCGCTCATATCTCTGGCGGTCAGGCGTGAAGACCCTACAGCAGCTGTTGGGACCAAATTTAGGCGTATATTCAGAGAGCGCGGTTTGGACTACTTCGACGCGGAGAAGGGCTCGCGGGGAGCCGCATCTGCTGCGGAGTTAGCATCCGCGAAGGACGAAGAGCTGTCGAAGGATGAGGATGCCGTAGAGCCGTCTCACCATATGACCCCGGAGGAGTTGTTCAAGATGCGAGGTGAACTGATGGCCCAGCTCTAGTGAGTCTATGTCCCAATACGAGTAGCGTTGGGATGAGTTCATTGGGCTCAGCACTGCGCAAGGAGAGATGTCCCAAGCTAGGGATATGCTCGCTCTCTTGCTTGCTTCGTCGCCCCCTGCCGAGCAACAGTCGACCCTACCACCCAACCCCCTTGCTGCGACCCAAGTAACAAAACCTTCGCCATTAGCCTCGGTGCAAGCATTCAATGCCCAATTAACCATCGGCGGCAAGGACAAATCGCTCCGGCAGGCTGCGGATCTGTTCAAGGATGCGGCGGAAAAGATGGAACAAAGCAGGCAGTCCGGAGAGAAGTACTGGATGGACGCACTGAAGATCCGCCGATGCAACTGGGGGCTCATACCAGCCCCCTTGCCTCTCGGGTCCGCCACTGGCAAAGGGGCCGAAAAAACTGCGAAGGATTTTTTGATTTCGTTTGGACTCGAAGAATGTGTGTGCTTTACTTCATTAACACCATTGAGCCACACTAAACATATCTTGCAGCGCCAACCACATTTCGCCAGCGAGCCATTGGACGCATGTCTGCATTCGATGCCGACAAGGCAGTAGAGTTCCCGCTACGTCAGCGAACTCGTTTGCGTGTGTCGATGACTAGAACAGCCCAGGACGGCACCAGGCTAACAACATACAATAGACTCCTCGAACCAGACAACGGTTCATTGGACGGGGCCCTGCGAGCCGCCCAAACCGAGGTCGTCGAGCAGGAAATCTTCGCCGCATTAATTAGAGAGGCGAGCAGCCTGCCTACGGCATCGGCGGAGGTGTCGGAGCGCCTCATTGTCATCGAAGCAGCACAGACCACGGAGCTGCGATTCGAGCTGGTGCGTCCTCATGGCCCCGTCGTTCTTCTAGCCTCACCTTCGTCTCTCAGGTCGATGGCGACAGCCTATACGTCTCCAACGACAATATTGACCCACAATGCGACCTCGTCTACTCTCTCCTCTTCGTCCTCCTCTCCCGTGCCCATCGCATCTCCAAATCCGCCCGCCTCGCTCGCTCAAGCATTGCCCCCGTCGCTCCCACCTCGCCGCCGCCGATTCTGCAACCGATCATCGACGTGCTCCAGTACCGCGAGTTCTGGGAACGCGTGCGCGACGAGATCGACCGCGTCGTCGACGCCCTCCGCCACGCTGGAGTTACAACCAAGGTCCACTACGACCCCGTTGCTGACGGCGGGGCAGCGCTCGCTCAATCGTTCATCAGCGAGAAGCCAGCACCAGTCAGCGGCTCTGCGATTCTCCGCATAGATGGCAGGTGAGTAGCGCGCTGGATCGGCCGGCGGTGGACCTGATTGCGATCGTGCAGGCATACGCTAAGGTTCACTATGGCTTCGCCATCCACTCTCGTCGTCCACCTTCCGCAAGCGACGCTGCCCATCGCTTCAGTCACGCAGCTCGTGCAATTGCTCGCCGATGAAATCAGCAGTCGCCTCCTCAATCGCATATGCGAAATTGGCACCGAGTTGTGTGAACGGGTTAACGGAACCTGGTTCGTTGATCTACTCAGTGGCCGGAGTGTTGGGAGGTGGCAAGGATGCACTCTGTAAGTGGCCATACCTATGCGTACTATCAGGCACTGAATTCAATCCTTCCCTCAGCAATTTCCACATCCATTTCACCAGTGATGCAATTTCTTGTTCTGCATCGAGATCAGGGCGAGACAATCGACCATCTCATGTCGAGGCATATCATCCAGGTGGCCAGCTATCTCTGTTTGAGTGGGTACAGCATACCATCGAATCATCGTTAGGGCGATAAACCTCACTCTGAGCCTTTGCGACTTTTGGACTGCGAGGCACGCTCTTGTACACTTGTATGCAGTGAGAGCATGGCAATGACATAGCCTAATTTTGAGGTCATAGGCGTAAGAGCGTGTGGGGTGTAGTACATGCAAGGGAAAAGATGGTGGTAACACAAACAATCGTCTACTCGTCGTCGGCGTGCTCGGCCTGGAAGGCCTCGATCTTTTCCTGGATACGCGCTTTGCGTTGCGCGTGAGTGAGCTTGACGGTCATGTATTTTTTGCTCTCCTCCGACCAATCCTGGCCCTTCCGGTAGGCTGGAAGGTGGGGTCTTCACGGATGGCGGCGTAAGCGTTAGTGTAGATCTCCTCGATGTCCTCAGAGCCAATGCCATCCGCAAGGTAGGTCGAGAACTGCTTCTTGAAGCTACGAAGAAAATTGAGTACGCCATGACTGAAAAGTCTACGGCTCAAAACACATACCGCTCGTCGTCCTCCTCCTCGAGGGACTCCATGTATTCCGCAACGTGACCACCAAAGATGTACTTCTTCAGGACCTCAGCGTCAAGCTCCTTGGCCTCAGGGTCGTAGCCGGGGAAACGCTTGTCGTTGTGGGGAATGAAGATACCGCCGTCGCTGGCACCCTTGAGGGCACCGAACACACGGGATCCAGTGGAAGTGCGCTTGAGACCGACATCAAGGTAACACTTGAAGGGACGGGGGGCATCCTCCTCCTCAAGGGCCTCGGTCATGGTGAGTGTACCATCGGGCTCCGCAACACCCTCGTACTTGTCCGCGAGACCAAGCTTGGTCAAAGCGCGACGGGCACAGAGAAGACCAGTCGCGTAGGCTGGTATACGAGTTAGGATGCACCACGCTAACTTGCACCAATTCACCCACCGGCAGTCCAGTTGGTGAGACCGTGGTTGATGCCGTAGCGGGGGAGCTCCTTCGAACGCGCAGCGCAGAAGACGAAATCACCTTGGAGGCGAGCATAGACGATCTGCACGATCACTTCACGGTTGGTGAAGCGCACGACGAGGCGGTACTTCGGCGCGTTGCTGTTCACATATAAGAGGGTGCAGCGTGGTCATATTAGCATATTGGACGTACTACTTGTTCTTCGCCTGGGTCACCAACCGCTTGCGCGCGTAGTCTGATACAAATGTCAGCTGAATCTCGCGGACAGTCGAAACGGCTCATACAGTCAGTCTTTCCCTCGCGGCGACGACGGTACTTGACTTGGAAACGGGAGAAGTACGCGCCGGACTTGACCTTCTTAACAAACGGCATCTGGAGGGGAAGGAGGTGGAAGTGAGCACTTGGTCTGGGTGGCCTCCATCCACAAGCAAAGAGTTGCATCCATCCTGACGAGGCTCCGGTATGCAGCCCATTCCACTCCAAACACGACCAGACCGCTTCACATATTCACGTAGACGCATAATGAACAGAAGCTCACCTTGAGGGAAGGGGGGCCTTGAGGGGGGAGTGTTCGTTGACTGGTCTGACTGGCGTTCTCAGATTCTTTGGGCGGTGAGACCCCGGATCGCCCTCACGCATCCGGGGTCCTGCCCTGTCCCCGTTCCGGCCACTTGCCGCGCGTGCCCCTCGTCTTCCTCTCGACCTCATCTTGACCTAGCCTGACCTCCTGCCAATCGTCTTCTCCTGTCGGTCAATTTGCCCTCGGCGCCGTGCTCCCCAGTTTTCATCATGGACCCTTACTCCGCGCAGAACTACTATCAACAATACCAGTATCAACAGCAGCAATCGTCTTCTTCCTCCGATGTCAACCCCTACCATCAGCCCTATGCGGGCCCAATGTACCCTATCCCCGGCTCATCAACCTCTGCACATAGCGCACCTGTGCCTGCTAATGCGTACGAATACGACGTGGGAATCTTGGCTCAGCAGAGTGTCTATGTTCCCGGTGCCATGCTCGACAAGCGTGGTGGGGCAGGAGGCAAGCTAGCTAAAGGTGGAAAGCGTACGACCGTGCTTCGCAAAGGGGGAGGAAAGGTCTGGGAAGACCAAACGCTGCTGGAGTGGAATCCTTGTGAGTAGTAATAGTGTCTAACGAATTCGTTGATAAGCTGACTGAAATTGCAGCCTGGTTCCGTTTGTTCGTTGGCGATCTGAGTAATGATGTCTCTGATGATGTGCTCTCGAACGCCTTCAACAAGTACACGTCCTTCCAGAAAGCACGGGTCATCCGAGACAGGCTGAGCAGCAAGGTCGGCACAACAGATGGTCGTAGTAATTGGTCTGACCTTTATCACAGGCTAAATACGGCTTTGTTGCGTTTTCGGACCCCGAAGACTTCCTGAAGGCCTGGAAAGAAATGGACGGTCTGTATATCTGCACCTCGTCATACTCTGTGAGCTGTTCTCATGGCCTTTCAGGCAAGTACGTCGGAAACAGGCCCATCAAACTGAAGAAGGCAGACAACACTGTCAATCCAGTGGAGATCGGTCATCGCAAGGCCAAACAGCTCGAGAAGGAGCTTAAGAAGAACAGGCACAAGCCTTACTGAGGACGTACTTCCAGTGACGGCCCAGGTCAAGTAGATATTGGATCACGTAGAAAGCTTGACGATGATTGTGCCTACTAGTCCTCGGCTTCCCCAATGTTATATGTATGGCTAAATGACTATTGAATTTCCTGTAATCTGGCGGACCGCGGCCGAGTCGGATGAAATGAGTAGTACCAAAGTTCGTACGTGGCTTGCGACGAGCGCCTAATAACATACGGAGTGACGCGCATAAGCTCAGGTCGCGCGTGCGCCGTCCGAACCGGGTACTAACTCGGCCCTTAACTCTGCACCACTCACTCCTTCACTCTTTGAACGCGTCCGTTCAGAGCCTCCAATATGGAAATCGACAAGTTGTTCAAAGTAAGTCAAACCGCTGTGAGGTTCACCTGCTCCAGAACTAGACCTCACACATGCACCAGGTACCCAAACTGCCTGTGGGAGGCAACAAGAGGCGAATGCCCGACAACCCCACGCCAGAAATGTTGAAACGTATGAGGATGGGCGAAGAAGGTCCGCGAGACATCCCCTCACCCCCTACCAACGGTTCCGGGCCCAACAACAAGGGCAAGTCTAGGGCTGTTGAAGACGAGGATGAAGGAGCGGACTTGATGGACTTCGCCCCAGGCGGTGATGCAGATTACTTCGAGGAAGATGACGAAGAGGGCCGATTCTACGGCGGCGGTCTGACCAAGGAGCAAAAAGACATCCTGAACATATTTGACAAGGCAGGCGGAGATGATGTACGAGAAGATGTGAGCATGTTGAATGCGACCGTGACCTCTGGCTCATTGCTGAGATCAGCCTATCTCAGTTGGACGAGATGACTTCCTCGGGTGTTCGGAGGCTGCTGACACGCTTTGAACGCGCCGCGAACAAGAACCAAGACCAACGGTCGAAGTATCCTGACGACCCAACCAAGTAAGTGGGCCACCTGTGTTTCGTGATATGTTCTCATCATCTCGACCACCTGAATAGGTTCATTGACTCAGAGGCTGACCTTGACCTTGCTCTCAAAGCACTCCTACCCCTGGCTCAATCACCTGCGCTTGCGTACTCGGAGGTCATCAAGTCCGGTACTATAGAACGCCTTGTCGGTCTTCTCAGTCATGAGAACATGGACATTGTGATCGACGTCGTCGAGGTCATCAACGAATTCACCGACGAAGATGTTGGCAATGGCGCGGGGGATGAAGAGGATGAGGATGATGAAGAGGGATCACGGGAGGACGCGTTGAAGCAGCTCATGGAAAGCTTGGTGAGTGCAACTTATTGCCAACACGTGCGGCTATCTCACAGTATCACAGCTGGCAAACTCCCTGTTAGAACTTCTTGTGGACAATTTGAGTCGCTTCAATGAGCAAGAGGAGGCTGACCGACAAGGGATCTTCCATGTCTTGGGTATGTCTCCGGTCACCGTCTGATTGTCCATTTGCCTGAAATGTCAACAGGTATCTTCGAGAACATGCTTGGATTCAACACCGAGCTGCCTACACAACTAGTTTCAAAAACGAAGCTTCTGCCATGGTTGTTGACTCGAATAGAGTCGCCCAAGCGCGAAGAGAATCGAGGATACGCTGCCGAAATCCTTTCTATCTTGCTTCAAAACAACCGAACCAATCGACTTGAATTAGGCAAGAAAGACGGCGTAGAAACTCTCCTGAAGGTGCTCTCAGTACGTTCTGTGGTACAATATGTGATATTGCTCTCGCTTATGGCAGGGACGATATAGCGGTACCGCAAAAAGGACCCGGTGGATGCGGACGAAACAGAGTTCATGGAGAATCTGTTTGATGTCTTGTGCTCCGCCCTTGCAGAGCCCGAAATCAAGCAGCAATTACTCGATAGCGAAGGAGTCGACTTGATGGTTCTCATAATGAAGTGAGTACACAGTGCTCATCCTCTACCAAATGTACTCATGTTCATTTTTCAGGGACAAAATGCAAGCACGATCGCGAGCCATCAAGGTCCTTGACTACGCAATGTCTGGTCCGGCAGGAACGGCCGCCTGTGAGACGTTTGTGGAGGCTCTCGGCTTGAAGAACTTGTTTTCAACGTTCATGGGCAAGGTTCGTACTGATTCTAGTGAGGTTCAGAAATCCTGTTCACTGGAATATCTCCACAGGCCAGCAAAAAGCAGCAGAAGGCTAACCTTGGCCATGCAGCGTCCGAAGACACCGCCCATACACTTGGCATTGTCTCTTCACTTCTGTCCAATCTGGCGTCAGACTCCCCCGCGCGTATCCGACTGTTGACGAAGTTCGTGGAAATGGATATGAGAAGCCGGAGAAGCTGCTCGAGATCAGAGATTCGGCGCAGGCGCGTCTGAAAGTGACGGAGAAAGGGATTGAAGATGAGAAGAAGGTATGTGAGACATACTCTCGCCTCGCAGCCCATCTGAACCGCCTTTAGCAAATGGAACAGGACGGTGAAGACGTGGCGGACATGGCGGACGTCTGGTACATCAGGCGCCTCGATGGCGGTCTCTTCACTCTGCAAACTGTGGATTACATCCTTGCGTGGATCACCATGGAAGACGATGGGGTGCGTAGAAAACCCAGCAGACCCTGCGCGTCGTTCTGACCATATTACAGATTCGCGCCCATATCCAGAAGCTTTTGGATCGCAAGAACCAGACCTTCAAGGATATCGTCAAGACCCTCCGCATATACTATGATAATGTCGATGACGACAACGCCAGCGTGGACGGCTCTCTGTCACAGCGGGATATCCTACAAAACCTCATCGCATTCCTCGATGCGTGCTGATATCTATGTAACAATATGAAGTACAGTACAGGTAGCCATAATAATGATTTACGAATGGGCCACGCTGAAGACATCATGCAGAGAGCGCTGCTGAAGCCAGGATCATGTCGAGAGCGCCCTTGGCTTTCACCAGCTCTTTTTGGAAGCGTATTTCGGCCGCGACCTTCTTACGAAGTCGTACGAACAGCGTGTCGATTAGTGGTGATTGACCCAGGACCGGGGAGTACATCTCTGGAGGCGACGGTTAGGTTATGACGCGTTCGCGGCGGTTGAGGTGACGTACCAATCACAACACCCGCAACGTCGCCCACCATCTCGCCGAACCGTGGATCCGAGACATGCTTAAGCAGCAGACGGAGAACCGGTTCAAGCAGAACATCGTCACGACCTGCCAGCGCTGTCCGTAGCCCGTCGCGGTGCACAAGTTCTTGGATCAGCGAGAACGTAGTTGTTGGAGGCACATTCTGTCAACGAAGCCAGTCGTTACAAGCGCATTCCGAGTTGGATAAACAGATTTACCTTGCGCAGGACTGCGTCGAGGGCAGCAGAGTACCTGAAGTTCTTGAGCATTTTGTCGTAGTCGCGTAACCTCTTCTTCCGCTTGCTCTCCACTTTGAGTTCGTCTGTGTCGCCCACAGGTCTTGACTTCTTCTTTTCCTTGGTACGACCCAGCCCGAGGTTCGGTATGGAAGCACCAAGAAAAGACTCGAACGCCCCTGACCGTAGAGAAGCAACGGAGAACAGATCTTGCGAGGCGGGCTCCGAGGCTTTGGGTTGTCGTCGCCGAACTGAGAGCGTACCGTCCGACATGCCTGCAGCGATGTGCGTCTCGTCAGGCTATACACGGGAACGTCAGCATCAACTCTCGTAAGAAGCAAACGATGCTCACCGAGAGAGCCATGCAGAGGACAGGAGCCGGGTAGCGCATCGTGTGCACGACGCGGTACGTGCTTACGTCGTAGACCTTGACCATGTGGTCCAAGCTGCCCGTGAGCAGCCGGCTGGCGTTGGAGTTGAACGCGAGCGAGGTGACCGTCTTCTGATGATTTGACATCGCGCGCGTGCAGCGTCCTCCGGCGACCAGGTCCCAGACACGAAGGATGGGTCCCGACGCGGACAGAGCGACTGTGCCGGAAGGGAACATGAGGACCTGTTCTACAGGTGCGGTGTTCCGTGTGCCGCCTTCGCCAAACGCGTCGCCCATCACCATCTCGCACACGCCTGTTCTTGAGTCGAAGAGCCTGACGGTGGAATCATACGAACCGGTGAGGACGAGATGTGGGTTGGAGGTGGAGAATTGTCCTGTGCGGACGTAGTCGGTGTGGTCGAGGAAAGTGGTGACCGCGGTTTGGGAGGGAACATCCCAGACCTTCACTGTAGTGTCATCAGAGCACGAAAGGATTTGCGTCTGGTCGAGAGCAGAGAACTTGGTGACATGGACTGGTTGTTTGTGCGAGTCTAGAGTCCGGAGAATGGCTCGGGAGTTGATGTCAAAGACCTATCACACAAGCGGTTAGAGTCGTTCCATGAGCGGGACGACGGCTCGTTGGAACGTCCACCAGAGGAAAACTGGCTTACCTGAACGAGTCCAGTATCGTCCCCGGCCACTACAAGCTTTCCATCCCCGCGGATACATCCACTCCGTGCAATATCGTTGAACCGCGAAATCGTCTTGGTGACTTTTTGCGTTCTAGGCGCGTATATCTGCACACGTGTGGCCGCAGTGACAGCATACCGGTGTGGCTTGGTGGGGGAGAAGTGGACGGAGGTGACCGGGGCGTACTCCTTGATGAAAACTGGGTGTTTGTACTGCCGCCAGTGCCGCGACTCCGAATTGTGTTTTGTGGACGCGGGGCGCGCGTGCCTTTTGACGACGACTGGCTGATAGTTCATGGGAGCAGGAGACGGGGGAATCCAAAGAGAGCTCGGAACGTCCAGACCAGCGACGACTCCGACGCGAGCGGCCAGAAAAAGTTCCAAAAAGGCAATACGCCGTCGGGACGCAATGGCGCACACGTGACTGGTCGATAACAGATCGATTGATGCACCGAGGCGGTATTTTCCACTGCAAAGTGTTCAAAGCTCAGCTCTCCATCTTCGCATCCACTCTCAGTCGCTCCCTTCCCCCAGCACCCTCCTCCGCACCCTCTCACCACTAAAATCCGCTATGTTGCTCTACTCTGACGTGATCTCCGGCGACGAGATGTTCTCGGACGCCTTCCCGGTGTACGTCCCGCTTCAGCGCGGCGCACTGCGACGCGACTCATGGTCTCTGCAGCAAGGAAATCGACGACGTTGCGTACGAGGTCGACTGCTCTATGATCACCACCAAGTCCGGCGCGGATGTCAATATTGGTGCGTGGACAATTGATCTACGCGAGCACGAGGGTACCGAACGACCTGCACAGGCGCCAATCCCTCCGAGGACAGCGGCGAAGAGGCTCTAGAGGATGGTGTGGAGACCGTCAACAACGTCGCTTTCTCCTTCCGTCTTCAGACAACCAGCTTTGACAAGAAGAGCTACCTCACGTACCTCAAGGTCAGCACCCGGTGCTCGCCGCCCGTAACTTAACTTCATTTGCGGACATCGATACAGGGCTACATGAAAGCGGTCAAGACCCACCTTCAAGAGCACAACCCTTCTCGCGTTGAGGCATTTGAGAAGGCTGCGCAGGCGTTTGCGAAGAAGATCGTCGGCAACTTCAAGGACTACGAGTTCTATGTTGGTGAGAACATGAGCCCCGATGGCATGGTCGCGCTCCTGAACTACCGTGAGGATGGTGTTACCCGTGAGTATTCCTTTCGCACCAAGGTTACCTTTTGCTGAACGTGCATGATGCTAGCCTACTTCACCTTCTGGAAGGATGGTCTCAAGCAGACCAAGCTCTGAACGACCATTCACCACACACTCTGTCTATCTCTTTATTACGCGCATTTGTCGTTGTCCCTGCGGGTAGCTTGTAGGAAAAGAAGTCACAGCATCAATTGTAGCCCCAGAAAACAACTCACCCGTTCCCTGCCATAACCTCAGATCGAGAATGTATTGAACAAACGATCGATCAAACCAGGTGCAGTCCGAAGAAAGCAAGAGAAAATTTTATTTCCAGACGTGCGAGAGCTCGACTAATACGATAAAACAGGCGTGGACGTCGTGAGCTGCTAGCGCATGGAGGAACCTATAGCTCCTCGTGGTGATGATCGTGGTGCGTGTCCATCACGACCTGCTCGCTGTCGGCGGGCGCGGAAGTGTTGACCTCCAGAGAGTTCTTTGCGTTTTCCTCGACGAAAGCAATGAGGTTCTCGAGAGAACGGTCGCCGTCGTAATCGAGGAATTCATGCGAGCCCGCAGGCTTGAACTTAAGGGTAGGGAAGCCAGAGACACGGAACGGAACGCTGGGAGGGAGATCGTTCTCGGTTGCCTCCATCTTGGCACTAAAAGACGAACTCTGTCAATCGCATGAAACTGGTATGAGAAAATTTTAGACGTACATAGTGACACGGTCGCGGACAGGAGCGAAGTGCTCGCCAAGCGAGTCCCAGGTTGGCTTGAGACGCTTGCAGTGACCACACCTACACAGCCAATCAGTGTTGTGCAGAAGCACAAGTACGCGATCGACATACCAGCTAGCGTAGAACTCTACGAAGACGTCACGGCTGTCGTCAAGTGCGACCTCTTCGAACTGCTTGCCGACGAGGTTGAAGACGGGCTCGTCCTGGACTTCAGGGATAGGCTGGCTCTTAAGCTGAGGCTCGAGCTTGTGATCGAGGTAGAGCTCGACCATCTCATTGACAGCCTCAGCAGTGACGTCATTCCCCTGATCGAAGGGGTATTTGAGCTGCTTGCCGAGGTCTTGAATGACGAAGCTGGGCCACTTGGGCTCGACGAGGTTCAGGGCACGCGCATGGTCGCCGTATTTGACGGCGTCGATCCAGACGAAGTTAAGCTTGCCCTTGTATTTGGACGCGACAGGCTTTATCATGTTGACGTGCTCGTCGTGCTTCTCATCGGTAGGGTCGAGGAAGAGGTATGCGAGCGGCTTGCCACTGGAGGCGTATGCCTGGTAGTTGTCTGCGCCGACCTCGTCAATGACGGGAATAGAGAGGTCCTGGATCCAGTTTTCGATGTCATGGACCTTGGCCGAACCGATGGGGTAGGGGTACTCGGTCTGGGGCTCGTCGAAGGAGCGGAAGACGACGATGGCGGGAGGGGTAATGCCAGCAGCTTCCGCGACAGACTTGTCAGTCGCCAGACCGAAGAGGTAGTCGTCGCGGTGCTTGTTCGCGGTCGCGCTGAACTCAGCGGCGTGCGCGTCCTCAGTCGAGGATGCGAACGCTACAACTACGATCCTGTCCGCGCCTTTGAACTCCTGGAAGTTGGCCGAGTTGACCTCCGAGACAGCGGGGAGAGATTGCCTGCATGGCGCCTCAGAGCTTGAAGCGACGCCACAAGCTCAATGCACTCACTTGGTCATGTAGCTGATGATCCCATCCGCCTTACGGGGGCCGGTGTACTCGGAGTGCTCCCCTTTGCGGTACACGCGAACGGTACTGCGAAACGCGAAGTAGTGAGACGGGTAGCACGAGAGCGAATCTAACACGGGACGCACGGGTAGCCTTGAATGCCGTTGGACTGGCAGAAGTCCGCCTCATCCACACAGTTTACCTTGGCGAGCTTGATGTTCTTCGCCTTGAGCTCGGTGGCGGCCTCCTCGTAGTGGGGCGCAAGAGCCTTGCAGTGACCACACCTAGACCCAGCATTAGGCACCGCACAAGATGAAGGGCGCATGTCACTTACCACGGGGCGAAGAACTCCACCAAGATCAGGTCCTCAGGGTTAACGACGCTTGCGAAGTCGGAGGCAGTCAGGTCGAGCACATCGGACGCGAGGGCGCCGTGGAGGGCGGCAAGCGCGGCTGCCGTGGAGAACAGGTGCGAGAACCGCATCGTGAAGGGACGTAAGGAGAGGAAAGGGAAACGTGTGGGCGGTTGGGAGGACCGCGAGGTGTTTATAGGAGGGGAGGTGGCTACGTGTCACTTATAGCTTATATATCCAGTGCCCTTCGCTAAGCGAGCCGAGACCGACTGATGACTGCCAAAGGCGGCAGAGTCCTGGCGTCTGTGCCATCTAAGTCCGTCTGCTCCCGTGGCAAGTGACAGTCTAGATGCCACCTGGCCGCCGTCTGCGCGTCCGCGGGCTTTGCACGGACATTCTGCGCGGTATCCGACCGGCTTCCTCGTTTTCTCACTTTTTTTTCGCCGACAGATGACGTCCATTCTAGCGGCGCACTACGTGGCAGCCCGACCATCTGCATCATTCCGTCTCTTACATCAATGCTCCGAGCAACCAGTTAGAGTTTGTTGTTCCCCCGAGCTCTGCACCTTGGCGGCGGGTCACGTCCGGACGGCAAAAATGAAATGCGGTCGTTTCGTCTGCTGGCGAGGACTTCCCAGAATACAGCAACCTCTTGACGCAAGAATTCGCGCGTTACGCCCAATAAGCTAACGAAACGGCTTATCCATCCCCGAGCCCTCACGCAATTTCGAGAGGGTGCCGATTACGTTATTTGCGTCGGAGGGAAGCCATGTTCAGACGTGTTCGTCGCTGGTTCGATGATCTTATGCTCTTTAGTATGTAGCGTACAGGATCAAATAACGTCAGAGGCTCCCGAGATTAAATGTGCACCCCTTTTGCCGTCCACCTGCATATTGCTTAACGCTCGGAACGAACGGCCGCGGAGGAGGGAAGCCGTCCACAACAAAAGTGTGTGGCCCAACGTTGGGAGGGGGAGTTGGAACTAAAAATGTGAGCGTTAGCACAAGTGGAGGGCGAAGCACTTCGCAGTCGACTCACTCTTCCTGCCCGCCGCCCCGTTCCCGTTCATCTGGGGCGCCAGGTTCGACCGCGACGGAGGTGCCATGGGTGGACGAAGGGTAGAAAGCGTAGGCGACGATGTCGTCCGCGAGCGAGCGGGGGAGGGGCCAGGAGGCGGAGGCGGAGGCGGAGGGGCGGCCGGTGCAACGCTATTGCGCGTCGGAGGTGGGGCTGGCGGGGCTCCAGTCCGCGCGGGTGGTGGCGGAGGAGCTGCAGGTGGGGACGCAGGAGGGGATGCTGCGCGCGGCGGGGGAGGGACGGCCACGCGTCGTGCGGGCGGCGGGGGAGGCGCGGACGGCGTCCCGACGTCTGAAGCCGAACGCTGACGAGCGGGCGGAGGAGGCGGAGCCAAGGTTGACCTGCGCGCCGGAGGTGGGGGAGGTACCGCGCGGCCAGGAGCTGCCGGGCTGCTTTCCGTTTGCTGCACGGCTATGGATACAGGACGAACGGGAGGAGGCGGAGGGGGTGCCCTGCCGAGACCAGAGGGCGGTGCCGGGACCGCGCGTCCAGGAAGAGCAGACGAGGGGCGCGGCGGTGGAGCAGGGGCTGCTCGTCCATTCGTGGCGGGGGAAGAGGTCCGTGCAGGGAGCGTTGGAGGCACAGGCGAGGAGCCAGGACGAGGCGGTGGGACCTTCCTCGGTGGGGGCGCCGGGGCACTTGGGGTGGTGGGGGGAATGAGGACTGACCGTGCTGGAAGACTCGGTGCACTCGGAGGTATTGGAACTGATCGTGCGGGTAGACTTGGTGCACTTGCAGGTGCTGGGACCGAGCGTACGGGGAGAGTTGGAGCTGCACGGGCAGGGGGCGCCGCGGGAGGTTTCGCAACGGAAGACCGATTGGGTGGCGGAGGAGGAGCCGCAGACGAAGAAGTCGCGTCACGTCGAGGTATGGATGGCGGTTTTCCTAGAGCAGGTGGTTTACCTGTCCATAACCGTGAGCGGGCTGGTGAACCAAGGTTCCAATGCACATACCCAGAGCACTCTGGCCTGCGGGTTTGAGTTTCGGCATGCCACCCGCGAAGAGCCCACCGAGTTGCGGCGGGCCACCCGCAGAGGCTGAGGCACCCATGGGAATAGCAGGAGCACTCATGCCAGCACGTCCACCCCGCCCCCTCCCTTCGGTGTTTCGATGGACGGCGCACTGCGGTCATTGGTGGCGGCTTTCTTTAGTTTCCTACCAGCCTGGATCTGCGCCAGAAGCTCAGAGGAGGCCATAGCAAGAAGCGCGGGCGATTGGAGGCAGGGGTGAGCGAAGGTGTGGGAGGAGAGACGGATGGAAGACGGGAAACGATGTGGTGGCCAAGCGGCGGGCGACTGAGATAAAAGCAAGCGCCAGCAGCCACTCCCGTTGACATCACCGCACTGGTTTCCCCGCGCAGCTCCGATCGCACGCAGCCGCAGTCAGTGCACAGACCATGTTCATTTGTGTAGTACAACACTCTTGATATGTAGAGTCCATGAAACTATCCAACAGGAGTTACATTTGACTACTCCTCTCAGCCATTGCGGGAAAGGTACAAATGTATGCCTCAATTATATCTGATCGCATCTGCCGCAACGATCCATTCAAATTCTCTCACTGACGCAGGGGCCGCAAGGTCTGAGGCGTCAAGTCAATGGGCGGCAGCTCTGGGCAGCTACCGCTGCGCCTGCGCTCCCTGCGCTTGTCTCCCTGAGGTGACGTTGTGTCAGGCCATCCTGAGCGCAGGTTGGGAGTCGAGGACGAGCTTGGCATTGGAGGAGATCTTGGCCCAAGAGGCTTGCCAGAGCGTGGTCCCCGTGCGGATGTAGGAGGAGCCGGAGAGACGGGTAGGGGCAAGTTGGGGGGCACGACTCGTTGTGGTGGAGAACGGATTGTTGACGGTGCAGAGGAGTCAGGGGATGAAGTCCAAGCGGAGGGTGGTGGTGGTGGGGATGGAGGGGGCTGGGGGGAACGCGGAGAGCGGGGAGGAGGAAAACGGGGCGTGTGAGGAGTGCTAGGAACTGCGAGGAGCTGCGTGGAGGGCGGTCTGGCTGGAGAGTGGTGAGGAGGAAGGTCTTGCATCGACGCTCTTGGGCGCAGAGAGTGTGGACGGCTGATCACCGCTCGCTTCGCAGCCAAAGATGTTCGGCTGTCTCTGGTGGCTGGAGGTTCTTCACGTCCACCAAATGTTCGGGCAGACGCGGCGGAGGCGCGAGGAGCGCTGCGAAAAGAGAGTTTGAAAGACCCGTCCTTGGGCGAGAATATCTTGCGCCTAGTGCTGGACTGCCGCGAAGCTCCGTTAGAGATCGTCCGCGAGCGACTGCTTGTAGACCGGCTGTGGGGCGAAGTCATCATGGACATGGATGACTCGCGAACGGAAGACCGGGATACGGGGGTGTATCTATCGTCGACGCTTCTCGCACCAATGTAATCAGACGGCGTCGGATCCTCAGGCGACCAGGGCTTCGCCTCTGTCTTGGCGCTCGTACTTGCAGAGCGTGCCACTGGAGTCCTGCGCAGGATATCGGAACCAATGAGGCTCGTCTTCTTCATGTTAGACCGCCGCGAATGCATAGCAGGTTCTACGTCTTCGATGACCACTTGAATATGGGGGCGTACGCGTCTCGACTGTGGTCCGATGATCGGCCCAGTGTGAATGTGCCGCTCCCATCGTTCAGCGTACTGCGCTTGGAAAGGCAGAATCTGTCGATCTTGATGTTCGGCGAACACTGCTGCGTCGCCGATGCGAGGAGGTGCACTTGACGGCACAAGAGGGAGAGACGGAGGAGGATGAGGGATTGTAATCGGTCCAGTGTAAGGGAGATAATCGTCTTCAACGTCGTCCTCGTCCTCTACAGCCGCTGTGGAAGCCATGAGCTGAGGGTGTGGTCCAACCGCCAGGGATATAGCAGAAGGTGCAGTAGGAAGGGTAGTGATTGGCAGCGGAATCACGAATGCAGACTCGGCAAGTTCGTTCTTGACACCGAAGTTGAACACGCCTGAATGGCCACGCAGTGAGCCAAGTTATAACCCGAGAACCACACCCACGTACCGAGAGCAATCAAAGCCCCGACACTGAATGGCAGAAAGCTCGCCAGCTGATTCGTTTGGAACGCATTGGGTGCTATCGTCATGACATCAAGGAGTACAAGACTGGACGCTCGCCCAAAGTGACGATTGACCGCCGTTTTGAGTATACGACCAAGTCCAGCGCCAGACTCGTGCCACGCAACGAACCGGGCACCGATGTACAATTCCATGATGATGAAACCGATTGATGAAAGGAGTGCAGTGGGCAGGGATCTAAAGAAAGAGGATTGCTCAGTTTCTGGACTGCAACGTAAGCTCAAGTACACTCACTGGTTCTGAAAGCAGAGAAAAGCTTCCAGAGTGCGCACGGGAATGATCAAGCCCGTATTGGTTGCCGTGAACGCCAAAATCGATGCTAGCAACAGTCAACACATGGTCGTAGGTTTACAGGGCTGGCGGCACTCACATAAACCGACGAGGAGGACTCCGCAAAGCACGTAGAACTCCACATTTCCAGCGCTCCGTTGGTGCAACTCTAGAACCAAGATAACCAGACCTATGAGACGTGTGGCTTGAGCGGCCATGCTGCCCAATGCTACAGTGAAAGCTTCGAAACAACATGGTTCGTTAATCTGTACACTTAAGGATTCTGACGATACGTACCGCAAGCAGCATCCCCTTGCCCTTCATATGCCAGAAGGGAGGTGAATTGGGCAAAACCGGCCAACGCGAAGCTTAGGTTAAGGGTGAATGCGAGCGCCGCTTCGTTTGAAATGCGATGGATAATGGACAGCCTCCTTTCGCTACGTATACGTCGGGCTCTTTTTTCTGGCTCTGGGGACGCCTGGGCTTCAATGTCGGGGGAGGAAGGTGATTTCCGGACAAAGGTCCAACAGATGAGGCCTAGTTGGTGGACAAAGTGAGAGCTGCAAGCATACGAGAAGCCACTCCAGAACACAGTGCCCAGGAAGAAGGACGCGATGATGCGACTTGACGCGACAGAACGTGAATTTGGGCTTAAAAACGAGGCGGGATTTACTTACTAGTCCGGATGTTGAAGGGTCTCCTCCACGAATGAACTCCCAGCGTCCTGAAGGAATGGCCCTGTGTCGTCTGACATCCGTCGTTCCGAGTGCGCCAAGGTTCTCTTGAAGCAGCATGAACGGTCCAGCCGAGGAAAGGGGTGGAACAGCCCAGCTGTACACGGGAGAGACCAGCTCGACAAGGAATGGACTGAGAAGGGAAGAAGCCTGGCGAGTCGGGGACGACGTCAAGGGGAAGGACCCATGGGCGGGCACCCGGGAGCACTGGGTGCTAGTGCCTGGAGGGTCGGCTGTGGTTTCACATCACGGTCATTGGTGATGAAACAGCAGTTTTGATCGAGTCTTCAGGTAATCCCGACAGAAAAGTGATACTCCACCAGAGCAGCAGGTCGACAAGTGCGACTCCGGGTGCCGGTTGGACTCAACTGCAATACTACTTACGGGTGTGCGCACTCTGACAGGACCGTCGATCGGGAGCCAAGCCCAGAGCTGGAGCGCCGAGCCGCCGCCGAGTATGCCGACGAAGCCAACAGACGGGTCGCAGTTGGTGGTGGACAGGACAGACCGACTGGAAGCTTCTCTCCGCACGCGCGACGTGACCCTGGCGGAAGGTGCTACTCGAGCTGAGCCCGTCGGTGTTCGACGTCGGTCAACATTAATTAACTTGGAGTCCGAAAGCTGCGCATGCACAGGCGCTTGATCATGCACATGGGCGTGATGGCGCGTGTCTGTCACAAGCGTGATTCCAATCACGTGGTATGCGCGAGGAACGCTCACTCGCGCTCGCTCTTGTGGCTTTCCACCACTCCCCGCGTCTCGCGGGCCCTTCAGCCACACCTCCCCGCCACCCGTGCATTCTCCCCCGCCTTCGCTGCCGGATTTCCTCTCTTCTGTAACCAGCTACCTTCTGCTCTCTATGCCATTGGTTCACAATGGATAATCCTCCTCCGTCCCACCTAATCAATGAGCTCGAGTCGCGCGCCGCTCGCGTTCTTGATCCAAGTCTTGGTATGTTCTCGCGTACTAGGCAAAGTGCACTGCGCATTACGACTTGTTTCACCAGACCTCAAGTCAAAATATGCCGTCGCCTGCGAGTTGCGCGAGATGATAGACACGGTCAGCAGGGACTCCGACCTGAGAGCCTTGCCGCACATGATTCCTGTCCTCGTCGAGAACCTCCGCAATGGCGAGCCCTCTTTCCAGAAGGACAGTCTTGAGTTCCAATTCCGCCGAAGCGTCCTCGAGATACTACACCGCATCCCCTTCCTAGAGGCCCTCCGAGTCCATTCTGTCAAGATCCTCTCTGGCATGCTGCATCTCCTCCGCCACGACAACGAGGAAATGGGCACCACTGCTTGCAAGATTCTCAATGACGTGCTGCGTTCAAGCAGGGTGTTCCACGAGGAGATCTTCAATGACTTCATGGCGATATTCCAACAACTCTTGGAAAACCTCAAGGTTGTACTCGTCGAAGTCTTCTCAGACGAATCCCCAGAGCTCGAGTCAACGACTTGCCTCCAGGCCATCAGGAGCTTCAAGGTCCTCTCCGAGGTGAATTTGCTCTTGATAACCTTCTTGCAACTCAACCGCCCTGCCGTCGTTCCCCATATCCCCGCCCTCCTTCCTCGTCTCCTCGAATACAGCGAGCTGCAACCACCCGCCCAGCAGAAAGCACGGGAAGACTTCGAAGCAATGGGCGGTGTATGGGCCGGTCTCGCGCCTTCCATCAAGAACCAGCAATTGTATACGGACTACATTGTATCCCAACTCAAGGTCATTTCGTCCTCGCTGTATCTGCTCAGAGTGTTATCCGAACCACAAGAATCGGACGGAGAGAAGCTTGCTCTTTCTCTGCTTAGGTTATTCCAGGATTGTCCGGCAATGGCGACCTCGGCACGCAAGGTGTGTTTTGTCGAATGCTCTTAAACGTCGAACTAATCCAGCCGCTTTAGGAGCTTATCCCCTTGTTGAGACACCTCACGACGACCGTTTACAAGCGCGCTCTCCTTCCACACATCGACAAGCTGTTGGATGAACGAGTCCTGCTCGGAACATCTGTCGGAAGCCAGGAGATCTTTCGGTATGTTCGCGCACCTTCATTTCAAGCATGATCTCACCTCAAGGAACTTCGCTCAGTGCTACTCTGTTCAGTGCTGTGGCAGATTTACTACACCATCTCCGCGCAGAACTCACCCCCGCCAATCTTTCCAAGGTTTTCGCGGTTTACGTGCGACACTTACACAACCCATTCTTGTCCACCCATACACACCTTCTCTCCGCCAAGCTCATCTTTAACTTGGTGGAAGTTGAAGTGAACAAGGATTCTCATCAGAACGCAGCTCAAGTTCTCAATGCGCTTCTGGAAGCCGGTGTAGACAAGGTCGATTCTCTCGTGTCTGTCCAAGTGGAGAAGATTGCTCGCGGTACGAAGGACAAAGATGTGGAAAATGACTTCAACGACTTTGCCATCATTGAGAAGTCGAGGCCGCTTCTCGGCCCTTGTTACGCTACGGAAAAAACTGAGGACAACATGGGAGGTGAGTGTTGATGTCACTCACAGCGAAAATCCCTCACTCTCCCTTCAGAGTACCGCAATCTCCTACGCACCCTCTTCCACGGATTCCAGACGTTGGTGTTGTCGTTGAAGAAGTGCGACGCCCCGGTTCCGGACGGGGCACTTATAGCGCGGATGTTCGATGGCGCTATTAGAGCAATGGCCTTCTTCGACGGGGAAATGAGGGAGGCTCAGGACGCATTGGATCGCATTGGACACGCCTTATCCGAGATCGACCTTCACGTTTTCCAAGAAGTCTGGACGCAGAAGATTGGCTTCTATTTCACTTCGGCTGAGAAGAGGCCAGTTCTAATGCACCTTCCCTCAATCCTCTTTGGTAGGGAGGCCACTTCGCCCACGCTGGTCGCTATAGTCTTGAGGTACCTCATCGACCGTCTTCCGGAACTCGGGCAATACGATGACCAGGCTGCGGCGGTCGCAATACGGATGTTCAAGATGACATTCCAGGCCGTTACCGGCTTCCCCAACCTGAACGAGTCTATCCTTGCAGCTCATCTTGGCAAATTGATCATGGACTGCTTCCCGCTCGCTGCAAAGGCCGCCAAGCCCACGAATTACTTTCACCTTCTTCGAGGACTCTTCCGTGCCATTGGCGGAGGTGGAGGCAGGTTTGAGCTCCTCTACAAGGAGGTCTTACCCCTTCTTCCCGAGATGCTAGAGTGCCTCACTCGCCAGCTTCACACTTCCGACGGACAGAGTCGCGACATGATCGTCGAGTTGTCCCTCACTGTGCCGTTACGCCTCACGCACCTCCTCCCCTATCTTTCGCATCTCATGCAACCCCTCGTAATGGCACTCAAGGGCACTCCAGAGCTGATTAATCAAGGCCTACGCACTCTGGAGCTCTGCATCGACAACCTAACGTCCGACTTCCTCGACCCGACGCTGAACGGAGTGCTTCGAGAGTTAATGGAGGCGCTGCACGACCTCCTCAAGCCGTTGCCAGCCAATCACCACCAAGCCCACATCACTATTCGTATCTTGGGGAAGCTCGGAGGCCGCAACCGCAAGCTGTTAGAGAAGGAGCCGTCTTTCAAGTTCACTCAGCACATTGAGCAGGTCAAGGCACGGTTCTCCTTTGGGCCTCAAGTTGGCAGTATCGAGTTAAACCCGGCGGCCACCGTCGCAGCGGAGACATTCCGTAATATCAAGTCCAGCCCCTCGCAGCACCTCCACGCCTACAACTACTTGGAACAGTGTTTGAGTCTCATGCTCCATGAGGTACGATTTGTGGTTGGTGTAGAACGCACAATCTAACCATCCTATAGGGAGTGAAAGGGCGCGAGCGCGAAGATCTATTCATGCTTTGTCTAGAAAGTCTCTATGACGCCCTTCATCTTCCCGAGCTCCAGGAGAAGGCCGAGAAGAACCTCATGGAGGTCTCCCGCTTCTTGTTTTCGTCGGAGGTTCGGCGTTGTGCGGTCAAGGACGTATCTACTCGTCGCTACCCAAGCCCAGTATTCTCTTGCTACTTGGACGCCCTGCAACATGGTCTCGCCAGAGACAAGCCGGAAGAGGCCAAGCGCGTGCTCGACCTGGTGGCAATCTCTATACGCGAACTAGTGGCGATGGCGACTACTACAGAAGCCTCTGTCAATGATGTGGTCACTACTCTGCACCAAGTTGCAAGTCGGTTCCTCTCGCTGTGTCTGGAAGAAGCCTGGGTCAAGAGGAGTGCCGGATGCGGTGGGATTAAGGTCATGACGGATATTACCGATCTCGGCGTCCGATGGGTCAACGAGCGTGAGGTGGACCTCGTCCGCATGCTGCTTCATGTTCTCAAAGACATGCCTCACGACATGCCCCATGATGCCGACTCGGTGATCGACGTCCTCCATCGCGTTCTGAGAGTCAGCACAGAAGATTCCCGCGCAAACGACATCGAGCAGATCAGGGACAACAAGACTATGCATGTCGTGGGTCTCTTCTTTGCCGAACTTTCTAGCTCCAATCCCATCGTACGCAAGGCTGCTCAAGGCTGCATATCTCTCCTCGGAGAACTCAGCGGAAAGTCCATTGTCGACCTCCTCATGCCCCACCGCGACCGGATGCTCGCTACCATCTACACGAAACCTCTGCGCGCTCTTCCTTTCCCCCTTCAAATTGGCATGATAGAAGGCATCCGCTATTGTATCTGTCTACAACCGCCTCTTCCCGAACTCAACGATGAACTCCTCCGATTGCTCCACGAGACCCTCGCTCTGGCCGATGCCGACGACCAGGCTCTGGTGAGCCGCGGTACGCCCCGCCAAGGTTCCGCGGAGATCACGAAGCTACGCGTGGCTTGCATAAAGCTCCTCACCGCATCCATGCCGATGACGGACTTCTTCTCAAAGCAGTCCCAGACCCGTCAGAGGTTTGTCTTTTCGTGATTGACAGTGCGTTCACATCACTCACCTTGCTTATAGAGTAACCGGGGTCTACTTCAAGTCTTTGTACTCGCCTATCCCCGAAGTCAAGGACGTCGCGCACGAAGGACTACGAATGGTACTGACCCATCAATCGAGACTTCCCAAGGAGTTGCTACAGACGGGTCTTCGACCCATCCTGATGAATCTCGCCGATCCGAAGCGTCTATCCATCCCTGGACTCGAAGGTCTCGCGCGACTGTTGGAGTTGCTCACCAATTACTTCAAGGTTGAGATAGGTCACAAGCTCCTCGACCACTTCCGCATTGTCGCAGACCCGCAGATGCTCCAAGCGTCCTCAAGACTTCCGCTCATGGAGAACGACGGCATCAAGAAGCTGGTGTGCCTGGCGAACATCTTCCACCTGCTGCCCTCGGCCGCCAACATCTTCCTCGAGAATCTGGTCAATGCCATCGTCCAGACCGAATCCGCGCTCCATTTTTCGGGAGAAAGCCCGTTCTCTGCGCCGCTCGCAAAGTATCTGGATCGGTACCCCTCCGACGCGATGGATTATTTCATGCGCCACCTCCACTTCCCCATGCAGATCCGAACGCTTCGAGCCATCCTCCGAGCCAACCTCGCGCCGAACCTGCTTCGAGAGCTGAACGGCAAGTCAGGCGCCCTCGTCAACAAGTGCCTCGAAAGCGGCGACCCAACCCTCACCATGCCCGGACTCCTTCTCTGCTCTGACCTGGCAGAGCTCATCCCAAGTTGGGTCTTGGAACACAAGCATGCGGTTGACGCCGTCGTTGCTCTGTGGAGGGTTGATCTTACTGAAACAACGTCACACATTCCCTCTGCTGAGTCACTCCAGAAGTACACTCTGATGCTCTCCATCTTCAAGCAGGCGCTGGAGCAGTCCCCGCGGGTTGATGTCGTCTTCGAGCTGGTGAACGTGTTCATCCGCAGGCAGCCTTTGGACGTCGTCAGCGTCATCCAATTCCTCTATCGCCACGTCGCCCTGAGCAAGAGTTTGACCTTCCGTCGCAACGTTCTTGTCCGTTTCCTGATCTTATTCGAGGATACGTCCTACACAACCGCCCAAAAGTCGCTGTTCCTCCAGTACATCGTCACCCCCACCCTCCTTATACATGCGACGCATTCCGCCGACAAATCTGGCATCCTTGACAACGACATGGTCTTGCGAATGCACCGACTCATCTTCCAGCCAATGTCCTCTGCAGAGAGTATGACCGCCGCATTCCCGGATGCCGACGACACGTTCAAGATTGAGTTGTTGCGTCTCGCCACAGTCATGGTTCAGCACTATCATGACTATCTGCAGGAAGTGAAGAAGGATATTATCAAGTGCGCCTGGGTGTTCATCTCAAGTGAAGACTCCCTCGTCAAGTGCACCGCCTACGTCCTCGCAGCCCGCTTTTTCGACGTAATCGAGGGGCCTTCGAAGTTCGTGCTGTCCCTCTGGGGTGGGCTACTGAAACTACCCAACGCCGAAGGCAAGCTGCTTGTACGCCAAGCACTGGACATTCTCGCTCCCATCCTCGCGCGCCCCCACATGCAGATCGCCGAAGCAGGCCACCCACAGTGGGCGAGGACAACTCGACGACTACTGGCAGAAGACGGTGTAAACTCCAACCAGACCAGTCTAGTCTACTACCTTATCGTCGCCCAACCAGCACTCTTCTATTCCGTTCGTGCCCTCTTCGTTCCGCACATCGTCAACCACCTCCCCAAGCTCGGACTCGTTCAATCCACCAACATCGAGTCTAAGCTGCTATCTATTGAGATCATTCAAGTCGTCTTCGACTGGGAGCAAAAGGGTCTTCCCGCGCCGCCAAATGGAGCTCCCGCGCCTACCACCACCACCACCGACGGATGGACCACCCCTCTGAGTCTGCGCGAAAGCATGGTTAGCTACCTGATCCGTCTTGCTACAACACCGCAAGACCCGCAGTCGAGAGCCGTGGTTGTGAACCGGGCGCTCGCGCTTCTCAAGACCGTCATTGCGCCCGGTGGCTGGACCGACGTCAACATGAAGCTCAACTTCTTTTCTCGTGCGCTAGAGCAGGTAAGTTACGGTTGTATCAGAACGATCCTATCTGATCCCGGTTAAGAGCGACCTTGCGGACGACCCTCAAAGGGCTCAGGCTCTCAGCAATGCCAAAGTGCTGCAGGTAATCTCTGCTGAACGTGACGACGCCTGGTTCCAAGCCAACGCTCCCATCCTTACAAAGCTCGTCAAGAAGGGCATGTTCTACGAGGATCTGGCCCTGCAAGAATGCCTTCATCCGGTCGTGGACCGCTTGTTGCGCCTCTTCCCGCTGCCGAAAGAGGAGGATCAACAGCCGCAAGGCGAAGTCTCCGAATTTCACGCAGCCGTGTACAACGCCATCAGCGACAGCCTGCGGAGTTCTGAGAGCTTGCGGTCTGTCCAGCTTAGAGGGTGCCTCATGGTGCTCAAGACCATCGTTCAAGTCGCCCCGGAGCGTATTGAGCCTTTCTGCTCGAATCTCATGAAGCTGTTGAGCAAGCTGGCCAAGGACCACATCCAATCCTCAACGCCTACTGGGAGCGTCTTCGAGGGCCTCGTGCGACTCCTCATCGCTATCCTCGAGGTCTGCCACATCGCCGTCGCTCATCTCGGCGATCAGCGCAAGTGGCTCCTCAGCACGTTGGTCGTCCTCGTTGACAAGTCCAAGAGCACACCGCTCTGCCGCTATCTCCTGGAGATTGCAAAAGACTGGGCCGTGAACAAGCGTGACGCCTACCCGACAATGAAAGAGAAGGCTAGTCTGCTGCAGAAGATGGTGGTGTTCGAGAACCGCGGCGACCGTGGCGAGGTGTTATTCAATAACTACCTCGAGCTCATCTACGACATCTACACCGACCCCACGCTCCGTCGCAGCGATCTTACCACACGCCTCGAGCAGTCGTTTTTGCTGGGATGTCGGGCTGCGGACTCAGCGATTCGCGAACGCTTCATCGACCTCCTAGACAACAACACGCCGCGCTCCCTCTATAGTCGCCTGCTGTTCATTTGCGGGAGTCAAAGCTGGGAGCCATTGTCGGACCAGAACTGGATATTCCTCGCTTTGCACCTTCTCCTCGGGTCCATCGAGGGCGACGTGAACATCTCCCCTGATCGCAGAGGCACCTTTGACACTTCATGGCCGCAACCTCCTTTCACCCTCGCCCGCGCCGTCGCGCTCATCAAGCCCATGCAGCGGTTGCTCTACACGGACCGCCAAGCTGCCCATGACGCGTGGGTATCCGTTTTTCCTGCAGCGTGGGCTTGTCTATCTCGTAGGGAACAGTCCGAAGTAGGCAACCACATGATCAACCTCCTCAGCAAGGAGTATCACTCGCGACAAGCCGACATGCGCCCCAACGTCATTATGAGCCTGCTTGCTGGCATCCACGCCTGTTCGCCGCCTATGGCTCTCCCCCCTCACCTCGTCAAGTACCTCGCGAAGACCTACGGTGCATGGTATATAGGCACGGAGATCCTGGAACTGTCCCTCAACCAGGTTCGAGAAGACGAGCTCGTCCTTCGCGACACGATCTATGATGCCCTCGCAGAGCTGTACGCCGAGCTTGCCGAAGAGGATGTCTTCTACGGTCTCTGGCGCCGTCGGTCGCTCTATCCGGACACCAATGCCGGTATCTCGTATGAGCAGTCGGGCATGTGGGATCAAGCCTCCATCATGTACGAGTCAGCGCAAACACGCGCTCGAGCAGGCATTCTCCCGTTCTCTGAAGCCGAGTTCTGTCTATGGGAAGACCACTGGATCCTCGCCGCCGAGAAGCTGCAGCAATGGGACTTCCTCTTTGAGCTGGGCAAGTCGGAGAACAACGTCGACCTGCAACTCGAAAGCGCGTGGCGCGTCAAGGATTGGCACGAGCAGCGTACCGACATGGAAAACTACGTCTCTCAGCTCAAAGACGTTGCAACCCCAAGACGTCGCGTGTATGAGGCATTCCTCTGCCTGCTGAAGAACCCCGGTCTCTTTGATAAGAACGTGGAGTTCCAGAACATCATCGACAACGCAATGCAGCTGTCACTCCGCAGATGGGTCACCCTACCTTCTCAGCTCTCCGCCGCGCATGTCCCATTACTCCAACACTTCCAACAATTCGTCGAGTTGCAAGAGTCTTCGAGCATATTTCTGTCGCTGTCTCAGACCAATGCGCAGAACTTGGAGAAGAAGTCTTCCGATCTCAAGCTCATCCTCCAGGCATGGCGTGAGCGCTTGCCCAACACCCACGACGACATCACCATCTGGAGCGACCTGGTTGCATGGAGGCAGAATGTCTTCAATTGCATTAACAAGACCTATATTCCACTCATCACTCCTGCCAACCAGGGTAGCGCGGCGACTGGGAGCACGAACACCTTCGGCTACCGAGGATTCCACGAGACGGCCTGGATCATCAACAGGTTCGCTCACGTTGCCCGCAAGCACGAGCTTCTCGACGTCTGCTTCACTTTTCTGAACCGCATCTACACTCTGCCGAATATCGAGATATCCGAAGCGTTCCTGAAGCTTCGGGAGCAGGCCCGTTGTCACTACCAGAAGCCGGGGGATTTGCAAGCTGGTCTCGAGGTCATCAACAACACCAACCTGATGTACTTCTCCAACGGGCAGAAGGCCGAGTTCTTCACGCTCAAGGGGATGTTCTTCGCGAAGCTCAACCGGAACGACGAAGCTAACGGTGCATTCGGACATGCCGTCCAGATGGACATGTTCCAGGCGAAAGCTTGGGCAGCCTGGGGCAAATTCAACGACAAGATGTTCAAAGATTCTCCAAGCGAGATGAATCACGCGTCGAACGCCGTGAGCTGTTACCTTCAAGCCGCTGGCCAGTACAAGAACAGGAAGAGCCGACCCCTCCTCACCCGAGTTCTATGGCTTCTCAGCATTGACGATAGCTCACTCACCATCTCGCAAGCTTTCGACAAGTACAAGGGTGACGCTGCGTTCTGGTACTGGATCACGGTCATTCCGCAGCTTTGCCTCTCTGTATCGCAAAGAGAGGCGAAGCAAGCCCGCTACATCCTGCTCAATCTCGCCAAGCTGTACCCTCAGGTATGTCGTCGTGTTTAGTGGCAGTTGCCACAAATAAACATTTTTGTAGGCACTTTTCTTCCCTCTTCGGACCACGAAGGAAGACATGAACCTACTTCGGCGTCAGGCACAAGCACAAGCTGCTGCGGCCGCACGCGCGAACTCCGCGGAAGGTGAAAATCTCCCCGTTTTGTGATAACGGTGAATGTTGACAATGGTTATAGGGGCGAAGCTAGAGGATGGAAGCGTCCCCACGCAGTCATCTCCGAGCAAGGATCCTAACGCCGCACAGCTGCCACGACCTGAACTTCTTGTACCCTCTCTGACTCGCCAATCCTGGGAAGTCATCGACGAGATTGTTCAGATCCTGAAGACGGCTTTCCCTCTCCTCATCCTGACGTTGGAGACGGTCATTGAGCAGATCGCCCAGCGGTTCAAAGCATCTCCAGAGGAAGAGATCTACCGCCTAACCTGCATGCTCTTGCAGGATGCAATGCAGGTATGTTGGATGACCACGCAATATGCGCGCGGTGTATGCCTCTCTGATACGAGCTCGATGCAGCAATACATGGTGCGCATGGCCGCCGACGATGATGGTGCAATCAGCCCTCAAACCGTGAACACGTTGACTCGCCTCGCCGTCAGTCTGTCAGGGAATGCTCGAGTAAGTCGCCCGATGATGTTTGGGTTCGTAGTGTACTCATCCTACGGGTAGAAGGAGTACGAAGAAGACTTCATCAAGAGCAAGCCCTCGCTCAGCGAGTACATCCGGAAGTTGCAGCAATGGCGTGACAAGTACGAACGTTTGCTCGATGTCCGCCCGAGGGCGCAATCACTGGACAACCTCAGTCACTATCTTATCGAATTCCAGTACACCAAATTCGATGAGGTCGAAGTCCCTGGCCAGTACACTGAGGTGTGTGCTCTGATCGGTCTTCCATTGTGAAGTACGGTAGTAATTCGTGAGCAGGACAAGGACAACAATCAGAGCTTTGTCCGGATCCGCCGATTCGGCCCACAATATGAGAACTGTCGTTCTCACGGGTACTGCTGGCGACGTCTGCTAATCAGGGGCCATGACGGGTCGACTACATCATTCGCCGTCCAACTTCCCTCCGGTAGGCATTGTAGAAGAGAAGACAGGACATCGCAAGTCTTCCGTACTCTCAACGGGTACTATCATCTCCGCGTTACAGGTGTCATTTGTCTGACTATCACCTTCCAGCACTCTCAATCGCAAGAAGGAGAGTCGAAAGCGGAACTTGCATTTCCATCTACCCGCAGCCATCGCGTGTGCTCCAAACCTTCGCCTCTATCAGAATGACGCGTCTTATGTTGCGCTCGGGGACATCTACGATCAGCATTGCGAGGATATCGGCATTGCGAGGGAGGAACCAGTAATCATGATTGGGGAGAAGGTCAAGGTTGTCGTGCGAGACTTCAAGCAACGGACTGGTCGAACGGTACGCCGCCTGCATATGTGTGATGATTTGGAGCTCATCTATGGTATAGCCAAACAAGGGTGAATTCTACTCTCTGAAGAAGGAGCTCATGGACGATGTTATGGCTAAGGCCGTTCCCGAGGATGTTCTCACCAAGGTATGCGACATGAAATTGTCATCGAAGGCATTTGCTCACTAGGCCGCCAGTATATCATTCGCACCATGAAAACCCCAAGCGACCTCTGGCGTATACGGAAGGAGTTTGCCCTGCAGCTGGCCGCCACTAGTTTCATGACATACTTCGCATGCATGGGGAGCCGACTACCTTCGCGATTTCATTGGTCCAAAGCGACAGGTCAGATTGCTATGAGCGAAATTATGCCTGGTCGGTGCAGTTCCGGTCCCGTCTATCACGCACATCATATTGATATCGTTTACAGGTACTATCCCCTCCTCCCCTTTGTTCACTTCATCGGACGCGGTACCCTTCCGTTTTACGCCAAACTTCCAGCACTTCTTGGGACCAGTCTTGACCGAAGGCATATTTGCTTCTGGTATCATGGCAATCGCTCGTTGTTTGATCGAGCCCGAGGTAAGTAGTTCAGGACTGAATCAACGAACGGCTTGCTAACACGTGATTGGTAGTGCGAGCTCGAACAGCAACTGTGTTTGTTCGCGCGTGACGAAGTCATGACCTGGCTGCACAATCATCATCGGGGCAGGGTGCCGCCCGTCGATGGGAATTTCAGACTCAACGTCACGGCCAACATCGAGGCCATGATCAAGCGTACAGAGTCCATGTCGTGCAAGCTTGAACGCGAACAGGTATGCAGTCTAACCCCCCTCTTCTCGCTCGGGACTGACGGCAGAGGAAGGCACTGGTGCAGCAACCCTCACAAAACATCAACACCACTCCTGTCTTCCAGACCGTCGCCAACCTGATATCGCATTCCACCAATCCTATGAACCTGGTGAAGCAGGGAGAGGTTTACGTACCTTGGTTCTGAAAATTTGCACCCATACTGTTGTTGTCGCTGATGTTGTAGGAAGTGTACTTGTATCATCACGCTCGGTAGATTGTATCATCACATAATATATAGCTCCTATTGTCCAAGATCATACAGCCTCGGCCCTCCTTACATACGGTGGAAGCCTTCCGTCTGTCGGAACGCGTTGATATCCCTCTCACTGGAGACCATCATCTATGAATAGGAAATGGGTAAGGTGCTGCAGGGGGTCGTCATATAACAACATACCTCTTCCGCCATGTTGTATATCTCGGAACCTGGTCTGTTGTACATCATCGCGTTTGCAAACATGAGGAAGATGTCGCGCTGGAACTCTAGTGAATTTGAGATTACACCATCTTTGAAACGAGCTTTTATCGTCTTCAAGTCCATTGGCCGTTTGACTATGTCATGATAGTCTGGAGCTTCCGACTTCTTAATCGGATTATGGAAGATATTCCCGTATCGATGCTGCGATATTTGCGAGTGAAGCATCCCAATCATGTTCTGGAAACGCTTTGACACCACGGGAGGTTCGCTGGTGCCCGTTCCTCCACGTGTGTTCCGCCTAAACCTTGTCGCGCCCGGAGGCTGTGTATCTGTGGCGGAGGGCGTCATCGAGGCAGACCGACCTTCGTCCCCGTCGATGGACTCGTCGTCGGCAGACTTCGATTCTTCGCGCAGCCGCTTCTTATCCCGTGCGTCAAGCATAGTGGTATCTTCGTCCAAAGCTTTCCGCTTGCCTAGTTCATGGTTTAATGACGCTGTCGCGATGGGTCGAAGAAACATACCTTCTGCGCGACCTTGACGGCCTTCAGAGTCTTCGTCGACCTCGTCTGGGGTGTGTGGTGATTCCTCTGGTGAGACTGCGTCGGCCTGAGGAGAGGCCGCAGGCAAGGGTTCGGGTCGCATGTCATCGTCGTCACCCTCGCCTTTGATCGTCTCGTCGTCGACTTGCATGTCATCGGCGGCGGGCGCTGGAGATGTCGCTTTGGGTGTCGGGGTGGTTTCTTCGCGCTCCAGTGCTTCCGGGGGGCGGTCGGACCCGAAGTCGTCGATGAGTTCGTTGACGGCATCGTTGTCGGAGCGTTCCTCCTGAACATAGCATGAGCACGAGGTGAGAATTATGGTAGTACATACTAACTTTCTCCTCATGTTCAGTGACTATAAGAGCTTCGGGTTCTTTTGTCAGCACGACGGGCGCAATCGCACTCTGGTCCTGAATATGGGTGAGTCTCGGTCGGGACCAACTCGGACAATACCCACCGCATCTAGTTGCTCGATGGCGTTTCCTTCCTCGCTGTTCAAAGAATCTTGTCCCCTTTCTACTTCTTCGGCCTCCTCCTCGATACTCTTCCCTGCATCATCAACTGCCTGACTGGGTGGCTCGCTGTCCGGCTCTACGACAGCAGCGGCCGTTGCGTCTTGAACAAGGGCATCTCCAGATACAGATTCTTTGACGACGCCCATAGACGCAAGGATCTTTCTATCCCATGCCCCGCTACGGATTTCGTCTATTTCAGAGGCTATCTTCCTGTCGACGAGATGTGAGAATGTGTGCAAAAATACGCCACAAACGGGCTACAGACTTGAACTCGGCCTCCTCGTCAGCAATCAGAGAGCGTAATTCCGTGACACGGGCGACATAGAAGCGCTGCGCCAATCGCAGGTGCCGTTGAGCTACGCAGTGAGTTCGCACCTAGCATTAAGTAGCGTATAATGAACACTCACACTTCGGGGCGACATCCTCTTCAGACCTTCATAGTAGCACCTCTAAGTTTGCTCGTAGGCATGATACTACCATCATAGACTCACCATTCGAGTCCAGCTTCGTCCATTAGATTATGGTGAAGCACTGAGCATGACTGCCCGGCACAATGAGATGTTGCCAGCGTGGATAGAGAAGTGTCTTACTGACTTGTGGCGTAAATGTCCCTTTCGGTTGAGACACAAGAGGATGCTGGGACAGCAGCTTCGAGACTTCTTGCCACGCGTTTGCACCAAACTCGTGGACTGCTTGGGCGAAGATGAGGCGTTCGACGTTGTTGAGTGCCGATGCCTGGAGCTCTGGGGTGGCCACGGCCTTCCTCGAGCGGGCTCCAGAGGACATGATGGCACGGAAAAGGCGGACGGTGCTTAAGCGGACGTGGCGGGTACCATTAATGTGGGGATAAAGACAAAGACGAGGAGTAGCAATCGCTTTCGCTGCGTCGCGCGACGAGACGCGTCTGGTCCACTGGGGACGAGCGTGACACGTCATCATGGGATCACGTCACCTGGGCGTAACTGGGGCTCCATTCACGTCACCGTAACACGTTGTGGTGACAGGGTGTGCCAGGAGACGGTTACAACCCCAACTGAGCTGCGCTTGCGTCTGCCCCAAACCACCATGTTGCTCTCCAGACTTGCCCCCCTAGTCCTTCTCCCCTTCACCGCGGCCGCTGGCGTTCACAAGCTCAAGCTCCAGAAGGTCGCTCCTGCAGCGAGCAACCCCGAGCTCGAGAGTGCCTACCTCGCCGAGAAGTACGGTGGTTTCGCCCAGACCCCGCTCGTGGGCTCTGGCACTGGTCGCAACGTTCGTGTCTCGCGTCCTTCGATCAAAGACGGCGAACAGCTCTACTGGACTCAGGATGAGTTCAGCGTCGAGGGCGGTCACAATGTTCCTTTGAGCAGTGAGTTCGTCCACATCCGTGCTGGGTCCCCGTGTTCATCATGGTTGCTGCCAGACTTCATGAACGCCCAGTACTTCGCCGAGATCTCTCTGGGAACTCCTCCCCAGACTGTAAGGATTCCTCCCTATTCACGTCGCGCATTTTCTGATGACGTCCACAGTTCAAGGTCATTCTCGACACCGGGTTGGTTGCGCACGTTTTTGGGATGTCATTTTGTTGCTAACTATCCGCAGGTCCAGCAATCTTTGGGTCCCTAGTGTGAAGTGCACCTCTATCGCTTGTTTCCTACACACCAAGTTCGATTCGGGCGCGTCTTCGACTTACAAGGCGAACGGGTCCGAGTTCAGCATTCAGTACGGCTCGGGTTCTATGGAAGGCTTCGTCTCGCAGGACACCATGAGGATTGGTGACATCACCATCCCCAAGACTGATTTCGCGGAGGCTACCAAAGAGCCCGGACTCGCCTTCGCTTTTGGAAAGTTCGTGTACTTTCATTTGAGGTGTCTGCTGCGTGCTGACTGCGTTATGTAGGTTCGACGGTATCCTGGGTCTGGCCTACGACACTATCTCAGTCAACCACATCGTCCCTCCTTTCTATCAGATGATGCACCAGAAGCTTATCGACAAACACGTATTTTCGTTCCGTCTCGGCTCGTCAGAGGCGGACGGTGGTGAAGCCATCTTTGGTGGTATCGACGACAGTGCGTACACTGGCAAGATTGACTACGTCCCGGTTCGCAGGAAGGCGTACTGGGAAGTCGAGCTCGAGAAGGTTTCTCTCGGTGATGACGAGCTTGAGCTTGAGAACACTGGTGCTGCCATCGACACTGGTTTGTGTTGTTCAAAGACACAATGTTGTTATCCCACTGATTGGTCCATTCCAGGTACCTCTCTCATCGCTCTCCCTACCGACATGGCGGAGATGCTGAACACTCAGATCGGTGCCAAGAAGGGGTGGAATGGCCAGTACACCGTTGACTGTGCCAATGTTCCTGGACTTCCGGACTTGACTATGTACTTCGGCGGCAAGCCGTACGTGCTCAAGGGTACCGACTACATTTTGGAGGTCCAGGGCACTTGCATGTCCTCATTCACTGGCATCGACATCAACATGCCTGGCGGTGGTTCCCTGTGGATTGTCGGTATGTACTACCCGCCCTTTCCGCTCGTTTCATGCCATCTTGACACTGGTTCAGGTGACGTTTTCCTTCGCAAGTACTACACCGTCTACGACGCGGATCGCGATGCCGTTGGGTTCGCTCTCGCGAAGTAAACTCGGCCAGCACATGGACATACATGCTGCATCCCTGGCTCCACGCTCTTCGCATCCTTTCCTCTGATACCTGCATGTACACTACGTTGACTCTGGAACGACTGTTTTGAGATGATAATGATTACCGTGAGAATCGGATGATGTCATGCACAAACCTGTGGCGCCAAACACGGTTGAGACCTCTTCCGAGGGTGCTCTCTTGATGCTCTGTACTCTCTGGGCTTGACTGCAATCCGGTGCTGGAATCCCCAACATGCAACCTACTCAGGTCATTCAGAACAGGCCATATGTCGCCTCTCTTCAACGTAAGGAGACACTTCTTTCGACATGCTTCCGGCAGGGACAACTGGACAGAGTAAACGTGCTCGGAGACGACAAAAGCGGTCACACAGGGTAGGTGCTCATTGCTTGTACAGTGTCTGAATCATGAAACCCTTTGTTGCCAGGTGTGTGAATGCTCTTTCGTGGGGCAAAGGAGGGGAAGTCTTGGTCAGCAGCGGGGATGACACACAGTGGGTGATCATAATCGGTCCTAGTGTTCCTTACTTTGACGAGGGTGTCCACGAGCATCCGACTATGGCGTCTTAGCGAAAACAACTTGGAGCAGGAATATCCTTTCACATGCGATGCTGTCATCCACACAGGGCATCGAGCGAACGTGTTCAATGCTCAAATGCTTCCTCACTGTTCTCGCATGTACGTTGCTAACTTGCCTTGCATCCGCCAGGCCCCTCGAGCCCACCCTGGTCTCATGATCTATCATAGAGTCACGGTCGCTGGTGACCGTCAAGTACGCGTGTTCGACCACGAAAAGGCCGGTGGGTACCCTCTTCACACCGGAGAGATGGAGTACGGTACGCGAGAGGCGGCTATAAGAATCATCAAGTGCCACAAGGGACGCGTAAAGAGGATCATCACAGAGGACAGTCCGGACCTCTTCCTCACTGTGGCTGAGGTATGTAGACACTCAGCGAAATTCAGCAATTAGCGGGATGGAACTGTGCACAGGACGGAACCGTTCGTCAACATGACCTCCGCGTCAGCCACTCGTGCAGAGGAGATTTGGCATGTTCTGCGCCTCTCGTCCAACTCAGTCACGAGCTGTCATCAATATCTCTCTCTCCAATGACACCGTATCAGTTCGTCGTCGCTGGTGCATCACCCTATGTGAGTGAGACCCTCCTCCTCCCCAGTTTCCTGACCGAAGTTGTTACCAATAGGGCTATCTGTTTGATCGTCGGCACTCTGGAAGATTGCTCCAAGCCGAGTGGGGTCAATCCCCAGCAAGCGACGAGCTGACGACTTGTGTGCGAAGGTTTGGAAGGAACACCCGAGGTCCGCACGAGAGAAAAGGACACGAGCATATCACAGGGACCCGTATGGCATCAACCAATGGATTCGAGGTGTTGCTCTGTGAGTGGAAGCAATCCATCTTAGTCTATGATTTGGTCTCACAACTCTCCAGCTTATAGCGCAGATGCCATATACCTGTACTCAACCTTGGATGATCCGCCGCCCACCAGTATGGCGCCACTGGATTCGTCTGTCCTGCGTCCCAACCGGAAGCGCGACTCTCGGCGAACATCGGACGGAGCCTCCAATACTTCCGACGTCGGGATATCACAATCACGTCGCGATGCGATGATGGAGGAAGACATCGAGCGAATACTGGCCGACAGTGGTAACCACTCGAGCCGTGCGGAGAATGAGTGCCTGCCTCTACTCGAGGACTCAATGGAGGAAGATGATCCAGATGTCCGTCCAGAAAATGAAGAAGATGATGATAACGACGACGACGAAGATGGTGAGGAAGAGGCGGAAGGGGACAAGCGATACAGCGGCGTAGACACTCTGCTTCCTCGGTCGCGGTTCTCGGGTGTTTGCAATGTCGAGACCGTCAAGGACGGTGAGTGCATTCTCTTTCACGTTACCCCTCAGCTCATGTACAACTTCTAGTAAACTTCCTCGGCCCTCGAGACGAGTATATTGTCTCGGGGTCCGATGATGGCAATTGGTTCATGTGGGAGAAGTCCACCGGAAGACTCCACGACATTCTAGAAGGAGACGGTAGTGTTGTGAATGTCATCGAAGGCCATCCTTACCTGCCCCTAGTGGCGGTTAGTGGCATAGACCACACGATTAAGGTCTGTGGGAAGTTGCTCGCGTGTACAGGGTTTACTCACCGCCTCGTAAGTTGTTTGCCACAACCCCCGAGCCCAGCAAATTCTCCAGGATGGAGCGAGCTGACGCGATCGTGAAACGCAACACTGACGCCGCCGCCCCTCGAAGGAGTGATTTGGCGAATCTGCTGTTGTACTATCGGCTCACACGACGGTTGGGTCGTGAGGGTGAAGGCGAAGAAGGAGATCCTGAATGTAATTTTCAATGAAATCGGGGGAAATACTCAACTCGTGCTCGATCAACTCCATTTCTTCGCGGCGTCGAAGTGGGATTGTCCTTGTACTTATCGTACCCATTGCAAACATGCCATATGTGCATGTGTGCCTTCAGGCGCGTCGAAGATCATACGGTCGTTGTACACGTTGCGTATGCAGTAACCAGTTGCGCCACCGATGGATATTGCCGCACGTGCAAGCCTGCGGAGTTTGCAGTAAACCGCCATCCCATCCATGCATCTGGAGTTCGACTGTGGCTGTATAGCCTTCTCTTGGATTCTAAGGGGCGAGTTTACTCCCTAGTGGCCCGGTTTATGATGGTCTGGCCGAGATTGAGATTGAAGACAAAGTTCCGCATCCTGGGCAGTGTCGCGTCCTCGCTTTCTCTTCTTCCGCGACCACGGTCCGCGGAGTCTCGATCTCCTCCGCCCCCTCCGACTTCTATTGGCACTCGCAGTAACTGGATATCGGCGGCGGATAGCTACCACCGCAACGTCTATTGAAGTGCCGCTGTTCCTTGTAAGTAACCTTACGTGAATCGACTCTGTAGCTGATACTAACCGTTCGGACAACTGCTTCACCGACTTCTAATGCTCCAGCCAAGGACCAGCGCAACGCCTGTCTTCCTCCTGAGTGAATTTGTCTGAAGCAATCAGGCTGTATGGTTTCAATAGTGCTCGTGGAGCATTTTGACTCGACAGTGCCATCCGCCACAAATCCGAGCGTGCGCCGTTCAACATCGAAAGTCACCAGACCCTTACCCCCAATCATCAAACGACCGCAACGCAAGTCATTGTCCCAGACATCAAACTAGAGGAAGACATTCAAGTGCGTTCGTCCTGTATTCGCATTGCCGAGGACCCCAACCAGGTTTGGCATCAGGAGTCTCTGTCACCTGAAGCCGCTCACGCTCTGTCCCACACCAACAAGACTGCCATCTTCTTCGCTCCCTACCACCATCTCGCTGCTCATCGAACCCCTTCATGCGGCACGACGATCACCATCCCCGCGGCCGGCATAGCGTTAACGATGGATGGCGAATGTCCGACAACTACCTCGACCGTCGAGAGGCAGAACAGCGACGAGGAGACCCACGCGACAGCCGTGACGCGGAAGGCTGGCCCAGACATGGCCAACATGATGTGCGAGTGTATTCTCTTTCCTTCCTGCCCATGCATATCGTGTGCCGCTCCCCCCTCGACATTCACTCAACCTTCTTGTGACAGGATGCTCTCGGTTGGACGCCCGGCTCTCGTCATGATGAACATCCCGGCGCTTTCTCTCGAAATTCTCGGTTTGACAAACCCGACTGGCAAGAGGATCGAAGAGAAGGAGTGGGTCGGGATACGAGGGAGTGGCAGAGAGACAACGGGTGGGAGTCGAGAAAGCAGTCTGTTGCTGCTCAGCACGAGCCTCCATCGAAGGACTGGTCACGGAGCGAGCCTTCTCATCGGAGAATCGTTCTTGGGAGCCGTCTGCGTCGTGGCAACCTGTCCGACGTGACGGCGGCCCCGCTGCACCTTCAAATCAACGAAACCAGAATGGGGGCAAGGCAAAGTCGAACAAGAAGAGCAACAAGAAGAATGGGAACCACAAGCAACAGCAGAAACGTAACTGGCGCGATGACGATAGTCAATTGAACAAGTCAGTGCCTTGTGCTGGCGTCGCGTTCACGACGCTCAACACCTCCCCTGCTCATTTTCCAGCTGGACCCGTCGAGAGCCCTCGTCGTCTAAGAAAGGCGGTCCTCCCTCCAACAAACGGCGGCATCGTCACTCTACGTCCCCAGGGCGTTCGCGTTCTCCGGCTGGTTCCTATCGTTCTCAACGTTCTTGGCGAAGTCGCTCAAGGTCGCTCGACACCCCTAAGCGACGACGGAGGGATGTCAGTCCCCCTCGTGGCGGTCGAAGCCCTGGCTACTCAGATACACCACGGGGACGCGGTCGTCGGGACCAGCGATATTCTCGTTCGCCTTCTTCTTCGCCTCGGAGTGGGAGTAGGAGTGAGCGAGGCAGGCGCAGGAACCCGTCTGCTTCCAGCTACAGTCGAAGCCGGAGTCCAACTCAAAGTCCTCGAGATCGACCCAAAGCTATCCACAGACTTCCTCAGGCGACGAACGTCAAAGATGTCTCGATGCCAAAGTTTCGCAATGGGCAGAATCGCAAAGGCAAGAACAAGCATCATAATGGCAAGCTAACAGAGGTGAGTCGCTTCCAGTATCATCGACACTCGTCGATTGAACAAACATGCAGCTCTTCCCGTCGAACACACTTCCGGAGCGTCCTGACGCATCTATGCTCCCGCCAAGGGTCTCTTCTCCCCACCGAGGCAACCGGTCTCCTCCCCCCACTCACCGATCCCCTGAACTGCGGAAGTCGGTTCTACCTCCAACGTCTGGTTCGACCAGCAAAAAGGGCTTCAAACCCATAGGTCAAGGCAACAATTCTCTTAAACGATTCTTTCCAGGTGACGAAGACGACGAGCATCCTCATTCTGTATCCCAGCGAGAGCCTAGTCTCCGTGCAGACTCTCCTGAGCTGCAAGCTACACACCTCAACGAGGATACACCATCCTATGGGTGGTCACGAGCTCGCAGCCGCAGCCGCAGTCCGCAGGAGTATCGCACACAGCGACCTCCGTTTAGACGACGACGCAAGGCCACACTGCCGGAGCCCCCTAAAGAGAACCTATACGTCGTGCTTGGCCATGTCGGCACCGGGACCTTCGGTAAGGTGTTCAAGGCCAGTCACACCATTTCTGGGAGGATGGTCGCCCTCAAGCAGATCAAGATGGAAGGAGAGAAAGAAGGTTTCCCCGTCACTGCCATGCGAGAAGTCAAGTTGCTTCAATCACTTCGGCATGACAATGTTGTCCGCTTGTACGAAATGATGGTATCTCATGGTAAGCATATTTCGTAGACCTCTGTGACGTCCCCTTGTTGAAAATGTTCATAGGCACCGTATACATGGTCATCGAGTACATGGATCATGACCTGAGTGGCGTGCTCCAGCAGAAGGAGTTTGAGTTCACAGACGCACATCTTAAGTCGTTCTGTCGGCAGATGCTCTCTGGACTTGCATATCTGCACCACAAAGGGGTCATCCATCGAGACATCAAGGGTTCGAACATCCTAGTCAACAGTCGTGGGGAACTGAAGCTCGCGGACTTCGGTCTGGCCCGAGTGTACCAGAAGCGGCGCAAGAGTGACTACACCAACCGCGTGATCACTCAATGGTACCGACCACCGGAACTGCTGCTTGGTGCAACTGTCTATGGCCCGGAAGTGGACATGTGGAGTGCGGGGTGAGTCTCAAAGTTCGCGCTTCAATCATTCATCACAGCTCAACTTCTACGGCGCAGGTGCATCATGCTTGAACTGTTCACGAAGCATCCCGTCTTCCAGGGCGTAGATGAGCTTCAGCAGATCTACGTGATCTATAAGTGGATGGGTACTCCGACGCTTGAAGCTTGGCCAGGCCTTACAAGTCTCCCTTGGTACGAACTCTTCAAGCCCACGGAACCTATTCCCAATCGCTTCCGAGAGGGGTTCAAGAAGTATGCCACCTCTTGACTTACATCTGTCCCTGCTCATAATCATAACGTTTCCTATCTAGGTGGCTCTCTCCTGCAGGACTCGATCTGGCGGAGCAGTTGTTGAGTTGGAACCCCGAGACCCGTATCACGGCCGCGCAGGCCCTGGAAGCGCCATACTTCAACCAGGAATCGCCGCCTGCTGTCACACCTGTCGGGTAAGTATCTTTAGCTCTGAATTTCTCGCAAATCATTGAAGCTGCTCTCCAGAATGTCCGCATTGGAGGGAGAATGGCACGAGATGGAGAGCAAGCGGGAGCGTGACAAGAGGCGTCGGGTCGAAGATTGAAGACACATTCTTGTGATATGGTTGTAACATCACGCAGTCGCCATACATCATTCGGCACGGACCTCTTGTACCCGCAGTCGCTATCGAAGTACATATCTTACAGTGCAATCGCAGCTCTACATGTTCAACCTCGCACACTCACGAGTCCTTTTTCCGTCAAGTGTTGCACGATAGTCTCGACCTGTGTAAAGCGCTTGGTAAGAATACAGGTGTGCAAAGAAATGACGTACGTTGGCAGCGGTCAAACGAATCTGCATGTCCCAGCGTTTCGTGAACGGCGCTCCCGTGTCCTCTTCCACTTGCTCGACGTCTCCGAGACCTCCGGCCTTTCCTTGTGCATCATCGTCCTCTCCCGTAACATCGAAGGAGATCAGCTTCTCCACTTGGTCGATAGAACCCTTGAGACGGCCCTGCTCAATCATCTTCCGCGCCATGGTCTCTGCTGCGCCAGGCGTTACGTCCAACAACGCGCCCAAGCCTTTGAATGTGATGTTGTTGTACACCTTCGAGCTTGCGAGCAAGTTATGCTCCATAACCGCACGATCGAGCACCGTCGACGGGCCCTTGCGCGTGCTCGCACCCGGACCGGCTGTATCGTCTGCATCGTCCGCGACGACCGCAGCAAGACGGTCGTTTGCGGAGACCTCGATGCGTGCAAGCTGGTGGGCCTTCAGCGTGCCCTCGAATTCCTTGATCTCGCTTGAGCGCAGGATGCGGTCGCGGAACATCTTTTCGAGGATTTTGAACGAGGAAAGATCCTGCGTGCGCTCGTCACGGCAGAGCGAGGCGAGCACGCGGGAACGGTTGGGGCCTGCGGGCGCGAGGATGGCGCACGTTATCGCTGCAGAACTGAATGTGGGTGGCGCGTGAGCATAATGCGAGGATGAAGCAAAGGTAGCAGATACGTGCAGCATGTGTCTCCGCTCCTCTTCGTCGATTTCTGGTACCCAGCTGAGTTCGTGATATCTGCCGGCTGCTTCGAGGAACTTGCGGCTGTAGTCGCTGATGCGGGCCTGGCAGAGCTTGAAAGAGAGAAGGATCTCCTTGTCTTGTGTAGAGTGCGCGACAAGTGCTGCGCGGTTGTAGAAGCGCTCCGCTTGTACAGAGTCTTCGTCCTCGAGAAGTAGACGGACGATGCGTACATACACGCGCAACTTCTCTTCGTCTGGGAGAGCTCTATACAGGAGTGTGAGGGTGGCGTTCCTCAGCTGGACGAAGGAGCTCACCTCTGACCCGAATCCAAAGAGATGCCCATGAGCACCCGCGCGGCTTCACTCCATTCCTCCTCCTCTTCCAGAATGTCGGCGAGTTGGAAGCTGAGAGTGTTCACCTAAAGGAGACGAATGGGCGCCACAGCGTCCTCAGATGAGGGATCGTACGCACCTGCTCCTCGTAGCTGACGATGCGAGGGCGGATGATGTTGAGCGTATCCTCAACAATAGCCTTCTTGACTGTGGCGTCCTTGAAGACGCTCTCGGAGAGTGCCTTAACGAGTTCGGAGAGGATCTGTCGGCCGATCACGAGGCCGACGTCCTGATTGACGACATTATCGACCAGGGCATGGATGTCTTGGGCGATGTTCGCGTGGTCATCGCGAGAGATGAGTTCTGAGAAGAGGGTCTGATATCCGGAGGCTTTGTCTTTCTGGCTCAGGGGGGCAAGCTGGGCGAGTCTGCCTTCCATCGTGCACGGAACCAAGGACGCGTACCCAGGTGGCGCGAGCATTCGTCCCCCAGGCACGTGTAGACGGGCCGGGAGAGCCGGTAAGCGCGCATAATATTGAGTATCCGCGAATTCTGACGCTGCGCAGGGAAATAGGCGCCTTGATGCCATGGGCACCGGCTACTTGGCCGCGGTTTATGAGAGCCGTCCCTGCATACAAGCGACCCCCAGCCCGGCCGTCTGCTCTCCCACTGCCGCCGCACTCTCTGTGAGAGGAGGCTCTCTTTCTGCCTGCTGCCCTTCTGCCCTCTGCGCCGCGCGGTCGCCCTGGAGATTGCTAACGTCGTAGGCTGTCTGATGCTGTGATCCAATCACAGCTCTTCATCCAACCCGCCGTTCAGCTCCTCGCCTTTAAACTACGCTGGCTCACAGCCCAGGCCCGTCTCTTTCGCTTCCTCCCTCCATCTTCGCTTTCGCCAGCCCCGCGCTGCCGCGGTCCTTCTGCCGCCCGTTCCTTCAGCTGCAAGCCAGCGGTCACCTTCTCCCAGTCCGGTCTGATCCCCGCCTCGCAGCCTGCCCGCCATGTCCCACCTCACTGCCCCAATGCCGCCCGCCTCAGGCCATCACCAGAAGCCTGTTTTATTCGACCTCCCCCGCCCCGCCCACCCCCTCACCCCACCAGACACGGACTACGAGACGCTATCTCACCAGGCGATCCCGCCTGCGCTGAATTCGACCGGACTGGAGTTGGATCCGTCTCAGGCCCAGCTTCCCCCAACCATGATGGAGTCCACCTCTCCTTTCGCATCCCCGTACGCATCCTTCCACCGGAAGAAACCCTCGGTCACATACGTCAGCTCGGGTCTGCGGGAGGCAAGGGAGCGTACAGTGCAGCCGCGTCTTAGATGGCTGGTCGTCGTCCTCCCCCCCGCGTCAATCACCAAGGAGCACGGTCACCTCGGACATACCCTGTCGTCTGGGCCTCAACGCCGTCTGTCTAGCGGATTGCTCATGCCCCTCTATCCCACGGTGTGTAGTAATTCGCTCTCTCCGCACCTGCAGCTTACGCTATGCCGATTTTCAGTTGAGCAGTCAGCTAGGCGCCATTGCGCGCGAGTTCAGCTTCCCTAGCATCTCCGGACTGTCCGTCTATCTCCATACAAACCACAGTGGGATCTCACTCGCTCCGCGTGTGTCCGACGAATCCTGGCCGATGCTCTGGGGCCATCTTTTCGACCCACGGAGTCCGTCCCTGCCCGCTCAGCAGCTTCCTATCAGCGGACACATCGAGTTTGACATCGACATACACCGGGCCCGTTGGTACGACACTTGGATAGCTTCCTCCCGCCGCGACTTCGCGGACGTCCCCCAGTCTGTTGCTCCCTCCCGTGCCCAATCCATCTCCCACTGGCGCCACGATAGTCAGACTTCAATCAACGAACCTGCGGACGAGCAATTGGATGCCATTTCGCTGGCGCAGCAGCAGATTGCAGCCAGGGGTCAAGGTCGCAACATCAAGAAACTATCACTCCTGGACCGCTTTGACGCCATGTCGGTGCGCTCGGGGTCCAAGCTCATCCTCAGGGACGAATCTCCGCCCAGCGTTACTGGGAGGACAACCATTCTCTCGCCCATCGTCCAGGAGGATGAACCGATGACCGCGAAGAAGGACTTCGACCACCGAGTCAACTCATGGCGCATGAGTGCCAGCAATGCCGCTCGCAGCCCTTTGGCCGCCACCGGTCAAACCAGTCTGGACCCTGTCAACATGCCAAACACGATTGAAGACCTTCCGACGGGTACCGCTTCCGGCTTCGAACTCAATTTGGACGACTACACCTGGTCAATCTCCTCTGCGGGTCCTCTGGACTACGAGATGGAATCGGTGCTATCCTGGAGTCGCGTTCCTTCAGTACATCTCGACCGTCGCGGAGAGGGTTCGGTCTGCCTCACACCATCCGTTGCAACGTCGTTTGGACCTGACTACGATTACAACGAGTTGTCTCCGCTTTCGTACACGTCCCGTCTCCCCTCACCGGACATTGCATGGCGCATGTACGAAGACGTTCCTCCCACCCCCACCACGGCGACAAGCTGGGGTGCTCCTTTGGAGTATCCCCCCTCTCCTGCTGCATGGTCATACGCTCCGTCGATCGACATCGCTGAGAGAAACATGTCTAGTCGCCCCATGACTCCTACCACGGCGACCAGCTGGGGCCCTCCTTCCGAGTACCCGCGTTCTCCTGCTGCGTGGTCATACGCCCCATCTATCGATATCGCTGGTAGATATATGTCAAGCCGCCCTGTCACTCCGACAACGGCTACGTCTTGGGGTGCACCGCTCTCGTACCCTCCATCGCCGTTCGTATTCTCTCGTCCGCCCTCCCCCGACCTCGGTGATCGCCACGTGAGTGAAAGCGTTCCGGCCTCTCCCAGCTTCCTTCGGTCTCGCGGTACAACGCTCGCCACTACTGCTCTTGTCGCCAACGAGCCGTTCCCATACGTTTTCCCGTACTACGACGCACCTCGCGCGTCATCGTGGTCTCATGTATGGGCGTACAACGAGCAACGTCCTTCAACCTGGCAACATGTATGGCCTTACGCTCAGGAAACCGAAGTCGCCCATGTCGAAAGCCAGACGTGGTCTGCGCACAGACACAGCCTGGTCTCCTACGATGCTCGTCGGGTCCCGATTCCATCGGTCAAACGCATCAGCGAAGCTCCCGGAGTGGTGCTTGGATATCCCGTCATCGACCTCTATCCCGCGGTTTACCCCTCCTTCGATATTTACCCGGCCCTCATCTCCATCGACACCCATAGGCTTCCTGTCCCCGCAATCCCATCCGGGGCTCCGTACCCCATCTTCGATCTTTGTAAGTGAAACAGGATTCTATGGAGATCTCTTCGCTAAAATTCTCCGTAGACCCCGCGAGCTATCCGACGTTTTCCATCTATCCCGCAGCTGTCATTCTTGAGACCCGTATCGCGGAATGCGTAACCCGTCTGTCGGCTTCTTACCCCGCCATAGAGATTTGTGAGTGGCCATGCTCTTCATTACGATGATGTGGCTTACATGGTATATTCTGTAGATCCTGCTGTCTATCCGAACCTGGTCATCTATCCCGCTGTGTCCCACTCAGTCCGCAGTTTGACTACTGTGGTGGCTGTGAAAAAGTCTGTCTCTACTCGGTCCACGGAGCTTTCTTTCGGCTACCCGGATTTTAACCTTTGTAAGCAACCCTTCTAGATGATAGAAACGTGTGCTGACAGATCACAGATCCTGCTGTACTGAACGTAGACTACTCTGCTTACCCTTACTCCTTGTTGGCAATCTACCTCCCTGGAAAGACTGAGTTGTTCACCGAACAAACGGAATTTGCTTTCGGCTATCCCGACTTCAACCTCTGTGAGTGGCAACTAATTGATGTTGTAAATATGCATGCTCATACCTGTGTCTAGATCCGGTTGTACAAGATGTAGACTACACAGTGTATCCGCACTCGCTCAAGAACATCTATCCCGTTGTGCTCGGCGTAGACTTCACCGCGTATCCGCACTCTCTGTCGATGATTTACTCTCGCGTAACCTCAACGTCCTCTGTGGCAATTTCGGTGGCAACCTCGACGAGTCCTAGCGTCGACAGGCTTCAGGCTGTTTACCCTGCATTCGAAATTTGTGAGTGTCTTTGTCCATTAGTCTGCACATATGCTCAGCTCTGTTCAGATGCGCCTGTATATCCTCACAACCTGGCGAGGATTTACCCGAGCGTTGTTGCAGAGATGAAGTTTGTGCCAACTGGGGCTATTTCCGTCGGTGTCGAACACCAGTATCCTGTCTTCGACATCTGTAAGTCAGAGTTGTTTGGACGTGAGCATGGTACTAAGTTTGTGTAGATCCGACGCGCAGGTCTACCGACCAGTCTAGTTGGCCAGCAGTGGTTGTAGAGTTGGTGGCTGGCTACCCTGTCTTGGAGATCTGTGGGTATGCGTCAGAACCTTGAAGGTCAAGTTTGCTGATTGTTCTGTAGATCGGCCGGTTTACCCGCACATTTCCCTGTACCCTTCCACGCACACTGCGGAGCTCTCCTTGATTGAAGTGAGCCTAACAAATGAGGACGCCCTCCCGGTTCGATATCCGGGCTTGGTCATCTGTGGGTCCATTTAGAATTCACTTCGGTACATGTTCTCATACCACATCATAGATCCTGCGGTCTACCCAATCATTGAGATTTACCCGGCCTGCAATGCGGAACCACGCCCCCTCTCGACACCAGTTCATCAAATCAAGCCGAGGAACAACCCGACTTTTACGCACACGGAGATCCAAGCTCAAGCTGTGAAGGCCACTTCGGCATCTACAGCTAGCCAACGTCGGAAGCCCAGATTCACGCACATGGAGATCCGGGCTCAGGTCATGAAGATGGCAGAGAAGCGGGCGGCTGCTCAGCGTCGGAAGCCTATGTTCTCCCATATGGCGCTGCGTGCTCAGGTTCAGGACGCGTTCGCTGTGACCCCGCAAAGGGTTCAAGATAACTCGAACGATTTCCGTGGTCGCGTACGGACTGTCGGACGTGCACCCGTCTCTCCAGCGACTCCCAATTCGATCCATCATCGTGCTCCGCCGCCTTCTACTCCTGCTCCTGCGGGTGGTCTCCCGTCAGTTCCCCCACCGCCTACAGGTGGACTGCCCCCTATCCCCCCTGTTTCGCTTTCAGCAGGTAGCAATGTTCGTGCAGCGCCTTCGTCGCCGGTTTCTGGACGCGCTCGTTCTCCCTCTCCTTCTCCCGTGGGTATTCTCAAGCGTCCGTCATCAGCGCACAGGCGATCAATGTCACCGGCTCATCCGCCTGTACCTGCGATCCCACCAAACATGCTTCCAGAGATTGCTCCAGTCCGGGCGCCGAGTCCTACCCAAGCCTCGGTTGAGCGTTCTGCATCCCCTGCGCGGGCACCTTTTCAGCGCCCAAAGCCCATGAACCTCCCTGATCGGAGTCAAGAACAGCACATGGAGATCCCGACAATTGTTGCCATAGAGCCGAGTCCCACCAACACGGACGACACTCCTGGCACTCCCATGATGTTCGAGATAGTTACTCCTTCCACGAAGTCCCCCGTGGTGCCTGTCTCTGCTCCACCGAGGGCGCCGTCGCCTCGAGTCTCTGCTCCTCTCCCTCAGGTCCCGTCACCCTCCGGCGCTGCCTCGCCTCAACCTCGTCTTCGCACCCGGTCGGGCACAGTGAGCTCCCGCCCGACGTCGATGGTTGACTCCGCTCCCCCACCTCCCCGTTCTTCAGCTACACGACCAATGTCCCTCTACCACGCCGGCCCACCTCCGTCCTCGGAGCTTCCTCCTCTTCCTCCTATGCCTCCAATGCCCGAATCTCCGGCTCGAGCACCGTCTCCGCAGCGCAACATGAAGCGTCTGTCCGGCCTCCCCTCTCATCCAGCACAGCACCGTCGTCCTGGCAGTATCTCTCAAGCCCCGAGACCGATGTCAGCCATAGAGACAGTTACTTCCGCGCCGGAGGGCCGTTCACCCCCGGTCGGTACGTCTCTCAGTCGCTCGTCGTCAACGTCGGCAGTACAGCCATTGGTGCGCCGTAAGGTCACGCTCATGAGCCCATTGGCGGAAGAGCGTAGGTCTCAGGTCAACGCGGGATCGCCTAGGGTGCCTTCCTCGGGGGACGTCGCAGGCTTCCGGACGCCGACAGATGGGCCGGGCGAATCACCGTTGAGGTCGGCGGACTTGAGCAGGTCGAAGACGCTGCCGTCGCGCACGATGGGGCCTCGTGGCCCACGGAGTAGCGTGCTCGTGTCCGAGAGGTCGAAGGCATTTGTAAACCCTAATGGTATGTCGGGATACAATTCCTTCGTGAATGGTCCGCTGACTTCATCCCACAGTCGTGCCCAACGACGACGGGCCACTTAAGCTGAGCATGTCGTCACTGGCAGACTTCCCCGTCCCGCCCCTCCCACCAATGCCCACCTCTGCGTCGAGTCCCAGCCGCCCAGTGTCGAAGCTTGATAGATCGAAGTACCCTTTCCAGTGAACGGTAGTGTGGCTTCTCCGCGCTCAGGATGAGCATCCCGTCTCCCGAGCATACAGTATGGTGTTGTTGTCGTCTATAATATTATGCTTTTTATATGTCAACCAGTATTTTTCTCTGTCCTTTCATGCATGCCTAAGGGGATTACCAAAGGCCTAAACTGGAGACCAATTGTTGAGTTAGTACACCGCGTCAAACGCGTACCACGTGATCATGCAGTGCCTGACCGCGTCGCGACGCGTCCGAGACGCGGCGACTATTACTTGACTCTTACACCGACCACCTCCCTCTACGCTCCTTCACTGCGGACCAATGCCTGCATTTCAGGACCCTACCGCTTCTGGGAGTACTAAACGCAAATTTGACGGCCACGACAACGCCGATGGAAGTCGGAAACGACAAGCACTAGATGATGGCTCATCCGGTGGCATGTCTGCGATGGAAGGGGATCAGTATTGGATGGTACAATGGTACGAATTCAGAATTTTTACCCTTCGTCTGATACGTATGCGTCACTCCTAGGCGCAATCCCCAATACAAGAAGCACAAGACCTGGGATGGGGATGCAGTCTTGGTCGTCAGTGGTCACAGATGTGCGTTATACGACCCCGAAAGTCGACAGTGAGTTGCTTGAACATCACACACTCTTCCTTTGACGAAACATGCGCATGTATTAGGATTGCTACTGGGAAACCTCACGGTATTGAGGGCACACACAAGCTCGACGAAGGCGTCGAGTTCACTTTGGGAAGCAAGGAGATTGAGATCGACCACCGGTTGTCTCGGGAAGATTTCTTGTCTGGGAGATGCTTTGGGAATGGTGGGATCCCAATCTCGACTGAGTCGCGGCCTAGCGCAGCGAAGCAGTTCGTACCTCTCAAACCGAAGACTCTGAATGGCAAGGCTCCCGCACACACCCCTTCATCCGTTCCAGATAAACCTAAGCGGGGGATTCCACTGGAGCCAGTCAGTCTGGTTGCCTCCCAGCAAATCTCTCAGCGGGCTGCTACTGGAGGTTCATGTTGGACAGCGAACTGGTGAGTCTGCATTGCTCTGTACACTATGAACTGGAGCTAAGACGCGGGTAGGCGCAAGCCTCAACAGAAGAAGCATAAGACATGGGATGGAGATGGTTTTGTCATCTTGGAAGACGATAAGCTGACATTCCTGTCGGATGCGGGTCTCATGTGAGTCGACTACCGCTCTCTATGGATAGAGATGTTGACGCTCGTGTATCTAGCCTTGGGTCTCGCAAATGGGACGGGCTCCCTCTATATAGCAGTTATCGGGCGTTCATAGGCAACCGGGAGGTTGAGCTAGATAGCGAAATCCCTCGTTCCCAGCTCCCAGCAGTCGTGGGATCCTCCAAAGAAATTCCAGTCGACCCTGAGCTCGGCCACCCTCCGGTTTCCCAGCAGTCACCACGGCCATCATATCTACTCAACGCCTCTCGCGAGAACGGTAGCGGGTCTAGTCCGCCTTCAGTCAATACTCCATCGTCCACAGGGAGGTTCATCTCACCTGCCTCTTTCTACGGCGCGCCAGTGAAAACAAAGGAGAAAGGACCTCTGTGCGTGCTGCAGCTTTGGTTCATAAGCTATACATCTGAAGCCGAATGCGTTCAGTCACAACCCGGATGCTCCTGGTGCTGTCGTGATGAAAGCGCCCACCAAGGAGCATCAGACAAAGTTCAACAAGAAGTTAGTATCTCTTCCTACTATGCCCGGCCCTCGCTTATTCTCTGTCGCAGGAACTTGTCAGTCGTGCCAGTCGTTGTAGATCCCGTCCTTTGTCGCCATTTGCGCCCTCACCAGAAAGAAGGTGCGCAGAGGTTGTTTCGAGCAAAAGCGTTGTGTAGATCTCTTTTGCAGGTGTGCAATTCCTCTATGAATGTGTGATGGGTCTTCGAAAGCATGAAGGACAAGGATGCATTTTGGCGGACGAAATGTAGGTTTCTTTTCATGGGGTTTTAGTCCTCTAACGTACTTTGTGAAGGGGGATGGGAAAAACACTCCAGGTCAGTGAACTTCTTGCACTCAACACCGCCTATCCCTAAGTGCATCAGCTGCTAGACCATCACCCTCATATGGACGCTTCTTAGTAAGTCTGCAAAAAGGAATGAATACTTGTTCCGTAGCTTATGTTCTTCCGCAGAGCAAAACCCATATGCAGGACCTACCCCTGTCGTAAGCAAGGTTCTGATTGTATGCCCGGTGACCTTGATCAACGTGAGCATCACCCCGACTTCACGAAAGCGTGGCGCTGATAATAAAAAATAGAACTGGAAGAACGAATTTCACAAATGGTAAGTGTATGTCTCTGCATTGGAGTGGCTTGGAATCGTTCTGAGGTGTACTCCCAGGCTGGGCAAGGATCGTATCGGTGTTTTCGTAGGAGATAAAGACAAGAGAGCGATCAAGCAGTTCATGAACTCGTGAGCGTGCACCCATGGGATCCCTCGCTTTGGAGTCTCATCGTAGGCGTAGGAGAGTGCACCAAGTGTTGATTATTGGCTACGAACGACTGCGCACAGTAATGTGAGTTCTATTCACAAGCCTTCATCTATCACACTAACCTTCTCATAGCTCAGATTTGGCGTACTGCCAGTACGTGCTTTTACCGGACCTGGCTCGGGTGTACTTACTCATTGAACTTGTAGACCTCCCATCGGGCTCATTATATGCGATGAAGGTTGGGCGGTTTGCCTCACTCCGATCTTCATTGCGACTGAGTATCCCCTGCTGTATCCTCAGGCCACAGGTTGAAATCTGCCAATAACAAGACGTCGACCATGTTCGATGCCCTTAGGACACCAAGACGGGTCATCTTGTCTGGTACCCCCATCCAGAACGAGTTGAGCGAATTCCATGCTATGGTTAGCCCTCTTTTCATTTTATTGGATTGTGTCTGATTGCCAGTGTATCAGGCCGACTTCTGCAATCCGGGTCTGCTAGGTTTGATAACGCATGGCTCAAAACAATCTTGATGCTCATGTGTATTTGTAGACGACTACTTGACGTTTAAGCGAGTTTACGAAACGCCCATCTTGAAGAGTCGCGCACCCGGATGTACTGCTAAAGAGGCAGAGCTTGGTGAAGCTCGTTCAAACCAGGTAACTCGAGCAACTCCCTACTGATTCCACGCCCAACTCAACCGATGTATTAGCTGACAGCAATTGCCAAGAGCTTTGTATTGCGCAGAGATGCTACCATACTCAAGAAGTACCTGCCTCCAAAGCGTAAGTCGTCTATTGCTACCCCTACCATTTGTTGCTCATTAGTACTTATTCAGATGAGTACGTTGTGTTCGTTACACCCACGCAGCTGCAGCTCTCGATCTTCGAGAAGTTCCTGTCTCCCGACAAGCTCGACAACCTTGTCCGCAATTCGACCGCAGAGTCACTTGCTCTCATCAACATGCTTACGAAGATTAGCAATAGCCCTATTTTGTTGAAAGCGACAGCAGATCAAGCTCGAGAGAAGGCCCGACAAAGCGGCAATGTGGCCAAGCGCCACGCAATTGAAGAAGCTCTCAAGCTCCTACCAGAGCGCGCACAAGTCGAGGATATCTCGTTGAGTGGTAAGAGACACGATTACAAACATGCAGACAACATCCATTGATACATCATACAGGGAAGTTGACCGCCCTTGCCACGCTGCTGCGAGCACTTCATAAGGTGAGTGCCTCTGAAGATGATTGGTTTGCCGAGCTCATAATACATACAGCATACGGAAGAGAAGTGTATAGTTGTCTCCCATTATACCTCCACCTTGAACATCATGGAAGCATACTGCAAGAAGAAGGCCTATACATACCACAGGTTGGATGGGTGAGCATCCATACATGACAGACGAGGATAGATTCCTAATCAACTACAGGAATACCCCTACTCCAAAGCGACAGGAATTCGTCAATGATTTCAACAGGTCCTCTCAGGCGAAGCGATGTCGGTACTCTCGTACTAGTGGTGAATATGTGTTGATATCTTGTTACAGTTATATTCCTTCTTAGCTCGAAAGCTGGCGGGGTGGGCCTTAACCTCATCGGTGCATCCCGGTTGTGCTTGATAGACTCTGACTGGAATCCAAGGTGAGTGTGATGAGCGATCTCACCCCGCGTTCGCTGAGGCACTGATTACGGATCATAGTCACGACTTACAGTCAATGGCCCGTATACATCGGTAAATTAGCAGTTCCGCATATGCCTCGACATGGTGCTGACGTGCTCTTGTAGAGACGGTCAGAAACGACCAGTCTACATCTATCGCTTCTTGACGACAGGCTCCATTGACGGTGAGATTGTCTTCGCTAGACAGTCATGTGTCTAGTCTAACGCGTGGACATTTCCCAGAGAAGATCTATCAGCGCCAAGTTACGAAGCTCGGTTTGAGCGATTGTGAGTTTTCACCTGTCCTGTGATGCTTGAGTCCGATTAACATGCTATTCCAGCGCTGATGGGCACTGTAAGAGTTTGATGCGTTCATGTCGACATGGAGGAGCTCAAGTTCGTGCACAGGGTACATCTGATTCCAAGTCGGACTCGTTCAGTCGCAAGGATGTAAGTGCGTCAAGTCGCGGCTGTATACTGCCGTCTGACAGTTCCACAGCTTCTCGACATCTTCAGAATCCATCCGGATACAGCATGCAATACCCATGACCTCCTTGACTGTCCCTGCGGAGCCTCCGCGAATGGCGCACAATATGTAGACATTGCTGACATCGACCTAGACAAGGAGCTCGAGAGTATCGACAACGACGACTTCGAGGACATCAGCAAAGGTTTCACGTCCGCGTCGCAGCTCAAAGATGATGATATCAAGAAGATGGATCGAGCTGCGAGTATACCTCACCTCTCCGGTCTTGACTTGGACTGACGTGAAACCATGTGCAGTACTTGAAGCAGAAGCGGGCCCAACTCGCTTCCCTGGGCGAATGGACACATATCAACTGTCTTTTACCGGGAGCAGTCGATCGGGTGGACGACGATATGTTGACCCACTTGATCTGCTCTCCCGACCGAGCACAGGACGGGAGCGCCAAGACGTCGCTCTCAGCTTTCGGTTCTGCGGAGACTCTTGGTCGTCAAGATGTACCCGGTGGATCAGTGTCGTTCTTGTTCGAGCGCACCACAAAGGTGACCGCAGAGGAGAAGGGGGGTGACAAGGAAGACGTTTGAGAGGGCGATTGTTTGCCGCGCCGCTTTTGTACTCTTTCTACAGTCAATCGATGTAATACTGCAGTCCTACGCATGATCCATAGGGCCCTCTGAACGATGTATCATGCTTAGGATGTACATGGATTCGCATCGGATCCTTGAAGTGTCGCAATCTTGCCTGGTTTCACAGTTCCCGAGCGGGGAGGGATGCCTTTCTCGTATTGACCGGACTGTCGCTCCCGCTGAACTCTGGCACGGACAGATATCCGGTCATCTTTGATCTGGGGTTTTGAAGCCAGACGACGATGAGTGACTAGTACTGGAATTCGGTTGTTGCGGTACTGACCTTCTTCAGCAGAGTCTCTACTGCAGCTTTCTTTTCTGCCTTTTCTTGTTCATGCCTGTGTTCATCAGCTGATTGCTTGGGTCCCTCGCACTCCAGAGTTTCCTGGAGCATGGTGATACCGATGCGGAGGTTCTTGTTGAGAGTACCGCCGGCATGGCTGAAGTACTCATCGTTGTTCTTGACCTGGTACATTGCGTCAGCACCGTCATCATGGCGTTTCTTTCTGGCTTACGACGCTTCGAAACCCCATCTACCAACACCTGTTAGCACACGCAGATCACATACATACGCCGCACGGAGATGACTACACACCTCAAGGAGAACTTCAAGCACACCGCTCGGCCTCACAACTTCCTCGGAAATGCGGTCGTTGTTGCGTCGGAACTGACGCGTTGGGTCCTTCGCGGCGTCACTCGCGAGTCGCTGTACTGTCTGCACTCGGACACCCCAGGGGAGTGGCTCGTCTCTCAGTCCCCACGATGCCGAGTAACTAGATTGATAGCGTACCTTTAGATACCGTATCCCATCGTCCCGCTTGTGCGTAGAGACGACATTGTGTATGATCTTGCGGAACGCCTGGCGGATATCGTGATCTCCATCGTGCGGCATGTAGAGGCTGCTGCACGACATGGGGACGTCGCCCCTACGCTTCTCTGCCGCCTTCGCGGCCGCCTGGGCTCTCGCCGAGCGATCCATAGGCTGAGGGTTTGGGCTGTTCTGTGTGGAGAGGGAGAGTGTCCCGTCGAGGCGACTTCGTGTGTACAGGGCTGATATAGCTCGCGCCGCCGCTGGCGCAGATCACGCATTCAGTTGACTGGACGGTGCGGGAGTCGAAGGAACCGTACCTGCGGTAATCCTGGTGTGCTGCGGTAGTGTCACGTGGCAACGGCACGCAGGTACAAGGCTTGCAAACGTTGTACATTGCGCGAGCATCCGCACAGACTGACTACAATTACACCCAACATCGTCTGGACACCACACTTCGGCGGTCCGTAGCAGGCGGCAAGGCAGACCGCCGCGCTCCCGCCCCGTCTACTCCTCGTCTTCTTCCTCATCCTCATCCTCTTCGTCATGCATTCGCATTCCCGCCGCATCGTCGTCCTTCGGGGCTTCTCCCGACAGCGTCTGCCCCGTGCCCGGCATCTTGCGCGTGCGGTGAGGCGACAGGGCGGCGGGCTGCGGCTCAGGCGACAGTCCCGCCGCTCTCCGTGCCTCTGCTGCCGCCCGCGCGGTCCGCTGTCGCTCGTCGAGGATGGACCGGCCCTTGCGGTCGTCGTAGAACGCCTTCTTCACCTACAGCACGATGTCCCCGTCAGCATCCTGCGAACCGCCGCGGGCCACGGCCGTGCGCCACGCACCTGTTCGACGGCGGCCTCGTGCGCCGCTTTCTCCTCGACCCGCCTGCGCAGCGTCTGCTCCTCCTTCACCGTCTCGCGCTCGAGAGCCTCCTTGATGATGGCTGCGCCGATCTCCAGGTCTTCCGCGTGCCGCTTGTTCCACACGTAGAACGGCTGGAACTTCTCCACCTGTGCGCGCGGACCGTCAGGGACCCCGGGCAGAGAAGGGACGCAGCCGCGGAACTCGGCACGCACCTCAGGGGCGAAGCCCATCTGCGAGCCCGTGCGTGAGCCGCCGCCCGACAGATCACAACGCGGAGAGCACGCTCGCCACTCACCGCGCGCGCGTACTCGAGCGTGCCCTTGGGGTCGATGAGCGTCCGCTTGATCGTCGCGTTCGTCGACTTGAACCGCTGGTACTTGGCGTTCTCCGGCTCCGCGAGGATGTTGTCCGCGAGCTTCAGCAGCGTCTGCACACAGACACGCGCGTGAGCCACTCGTCCTCGTCGGAGACGCACCCGCCGCCGGCGGGGCGGGAGACGCGCGCACGCAGCGGCGCACGCAGATGGGAGGAAAGCATATGTACTTGCAGGGACTCCAGAGCGACGTTCCGCGGGTTGGGCCTGAGGATACCGGGGTCGATCATCCGCCTGAACTCCTGCCGCTCTCGTGGTTCCCGTCAAAGTTCGCCATCTTCTTCGCGGTCGCTGAGGCCGAGGCCGCGGTGCTGCTGTTCCTGTAGCCGTCTCTCTATGGCTGCTGCTATCGCGTTTTGGTCAGGGCCGGAACCCCCTACCGCTGCGGGGGCATGAGCAGGCTGATCTTCCATGTTGGGAGACGACGGCATGATTAGAGGAGTGAGGGAGTCAGTCGAACGGAGGAGGAGTCAAGATGGTAGTATTCTCTCAAGCCGGTGCAGGGGAGGCACGCAAGCTCCTCCCGCCACTCCGACGACACGGCGCTTCGACGCCCAAGTCACGGGAACGGCTCGACCACGGTGAATATCTGCAAGTGCACAATTGGTACAGAGTCCTTTGCGAATACAAGACGCACGTAGATTAATGATATATAAAGTACACGTCGCATTAAACCAAACTCAGACGAATCAAACGACGACCATCCTAGCTATCCATATCTTGGTCCAACTGCGCCTGCCCCGCGTCCAGATCCAAGTCGTCGTCTTCCGACGGCCCCTGCCTCTGTGCCTGTCCGCCATCTCCGTCCGCAGCTCGAGCGCAGACGGATACCGCATGCTCACGCTCCGCCGCCGCGCAGGAACGACAAGTCCTCGTCGTCCGACGAGCTGTCCCCGGACCACGTCGGCTCTGCTCCAGCTCCGCCGAGGGGGACGCGCGCGACGACCGCCGGAACGAGTTGAACGCGGACCGGAGACTCGTCTTGCTGAACCGCCGGAGCAGGCTCGACGAGTGGTGCGTGTGCGGCGGCGGCGCGGACGGCGGGCGCCGCTCCACAGACCCGTCCGTCTCGCCCCCCGACGGCGGAGGGGCGGGTCGGGCGTCGCCCCACCGAAGTCGCCACTTCCGCGGTGGCCAGAGCCTCGGTGAAAGCGGTGGCGCGGTGTGGAGGCGCGGGTGTTGACGGCAATCTCTTCCAGTACACCGTAGTGGGAAGTCGACGCGAGATCACCTGGAGACGTCCGTCCGTTCCCGTTGATCATAAGAGTTTCAGGTCCGTATCCATGGGCAATGGCGATTCATCCACGTTTGGAACGGACAGAAACGTTGGCAGTTTCGTCCCAGTCACAGGGACGGGGACGGCACGTTCTTGTGGCGAAACTTCGACTTTAGCGGTGGAACGGTCGACCAGAGAGCCGCGACTCTGTAGTGCACGACGACAGCTTGACGGCCAAGAATATCTGCTTCTCGAGGCGATGACGGTTCGCGATCATGTGAAGCTGTGCGTGGAAGCAATTGAGCAATCGATAAAGGCGTGGAGTCAGTATAAAACTTTGCTTTTACCTTGGGCCAGGTCACAAGTTGTCCGATCCTCATCATCCTCTCCAGTTCCGGAGGGTCTGGGTCACTCAAAATGTGAACCCAATCCTGATTGATGAGGTTAGCATGGGAAAAGTGTCCAGTAAGTTGAAATGAAGCCCACCATGAACCGTGTGCGCGGCCAAATGCTGTGAATAACAAACATAAGAGAGCAGTTCTTGATACAATGGCAGCATCCACTTACGTCACAGAGCCCTCAAACCGCTGGAGGAATACACTGGACCAATCTTGGCCGAGCAGTTGTGGCAGAAGATCAAGATCCCGAATAAGCTGTCCGTCGTGTGAGCTCACTGACGGCGAGGAAACAAGTCCCGCGAAAACGGCAAACCTTGAAGTTCTTCGTGAGCTCTAACTTCAACCACTGTTCGCCCGCTGATAGAAGGAAGTTGCCTCTCCATCCTGGAATAGTTTCGATTAACGAGGGGGTCTTCAAACCTGGACAAAATGACTCACCTTTACCCTTGCTGTGAGCCACAGGCTTTCCCGCAGAGCCTTGAGGCGCAAAGAAGAATAGGTGCACATGCGGATTCACTTGTGAAACGATCGGGTGCGTGACTGTCGCAAGAAGGTGAGAGCGATGACAACCGCTCCAAACTTTTCCCTCACCATTGAAGTAGAGATTGAGTGCCTGGACCGGGATGTCCACCCTAGAGAATCAATGGACCTCAGCGCGCCGCTCACAACCTCGAGGCTTCCACGGACCTCAGAGAACCATCCTTGAACTTGCTACCCCAATTCCAAGGAATGATGTTCCCTTCCCTCGTCTTCTGCATCAAAGCCACGGGGTTGAGGATGCCGGGAACAGCGGCAGAAGCGAGCAGTGCGCTCCAGATAACAGTATCAGGCGCGGTGATATAATTGAGAAGCTTCGTTGGTCTGGCTTTCAGTGAGCACCCCTGGGACATAGCATTCGATCGGACCAATGCAAACTTACGAATGACGCTCGGCGGGTACAACAGAGATGTTGAGAATGCGCCCCGTTCGCATGTACGCTTCCCTGAACGTCATCGAGCCTCGAGTGAAGAAGCACGCCTAGATGGCGTAGCAGGGACGGGTCAGTGGGAATCGCCGATACGGTCGGCGTGATTATGTGCGTACCTTCCTGGCCCATGCTGCACTATCGAACCTGGCGCCTGTGCTCCAAAACCTGTGGAACCAAATGTTGAATGAGTCCTCGCAAGCGGTGATGCGATTTGCCAGCTCCGGAACTAGAAGCTCCCTCAATTCGGCATCGGTACGAGTGCCGATGAGAGCCGCAACTAGGCCACCGGCGGAGGTTCCAGAGATCACACGGGGCAACAGATCCTGATCTAGGAAGGCTTTCACAACGCCGAAGTGATCTAGGGAGCAGACAGCCGATCAGCTTGGCATGCCAAAGAGCGGCTGGTGGAGAAAAATCACAGTATCCAAACGAGGCCCCGCCCGAGAGGCACAGAGCAGATGTTCCCAAATTCGCATTTGCACTCTTGAAGAAACGTTTCTTCTCTTCATTTGAGATGTCAGCTGCTTCTCGGATATAGACCAGAGCCTGTTCGACTTCGTCAATGTAACCTGATGCAATTGAGGTCAACGATCATGGGCAGGATGTGTATGCTGAAACCACTCGCTCTCAATCAATGTCTTCGTGCCGTAGAATGTCTGTAAACGGGTCAGTATTTCTTGATGACCAATGGCTTGTTGCAGACACACCTCGCTGTATAACCTGAATCGCAAGCGTCAGCACGCCAAAGCGACACAACCCTCTCTCGCCAGAAAGCCTCACCTAGCAGACTCTACGCCGGCAAAGTTGGTCCGAATGCAAGTCTCGAGCACCCCCAAAAGCCCACGAGAGTCTTTCTTCTCTCGCAGAGCCTTAAGGGACCGACGAACCTGAACGTGCCAGTCGGGAGCTTGAACGCCGAGGAATGCGGGACAGAGTGGAAGCTTACGCACCTTCCTGACCAGTTTCCAGTCGTAGTACATGTCCTCGTCCATCAACTTCCAATCATCGAAGTGCATGAATTCGTCCAGAGCCAGTGCAGCATCCTTCCAGTCCTACTCATGGCGGTAAGAAGAGGTGCACAAAGTGGAAGCAGCTATTGTCTTTAGTACTTACCTGGTATGACCGAGCATGGCGCAATCTCTTACGGAGGACACCGCGCCGGCCGCGCCCTGCACATAATCAGTCTCGGTCCGATGGGCAATGTGCATGACATACATGCCGATGCCCACTCTTTGGCATTGACCAGCTGTCGGATTAGGACGTACATGCCGAATTGGACGGAAATGAAGAGCAAGATCAGGCTCTGTAGAGATGCTCAGAGCTGATGAAGTGAGACAAACACAATGTGCGCACTTACTAGCAGCGGCCATCTTAGAATGAGATAAAGCCACTCGCGACCCTTGCGCGGGGTTCGCGGGAGACGTTTCCGCCTCAAGCGCGAATGATGAGCATGCGTGAAACGATTAGGAAGTATATGAAACACTCACTTCTTGACCTTCAAGTTTACAGGGGCAAAATCCGAGAGGGCAGACACCTTCCTGACGCGATGCCCGAGGATGGTGGCGGAGACAGGTGCATTGGGGTAACAACGGGACTGTTCGGGACGGTGAGGTCGAGCAAACTATCGTCATCCCGCAGCGCCTCTTCGAACTGCTGCATATGCCTGTGAAGATAGGGTTATATACGCGCGCATGGCTGTCGAGTGGGCGAGAACATACTTGACGTCCACATAGTCGGCGTTGAGGAGAGTTGCCTGTCTGCTGGAAGATGAAGGTTGTGTTGAATCGCGGTGGCTGCGGATAGACTGGGGCATAGGGGTGTGTGTTCCTGAGATATAATACAAGAGAGAGAGATTGAGTAGACTGGGCCAGCAGCTGGAGGGGACGAAGGAGGGTTTGGAGTAGGACCTTGTAAGACACGCAAGGTCCGCGCCGCTCGCCCGGTGCACATGCCCATGCCTGGTCCCGTGACGTCACTCTCGGCGGCTCACCTGCGTGGCTGGCAATAAGCAACCCGGCTTGGCGGTGGACTCCGACGGCCAAGACTCGGACAGTCACGACATCCAACTTCTCCGTGCTCTCTCCAGCCGTTCCTACGCAGGACCGACGGATATTTAAATCGCACGGACGTCATCGGTTCATCTTCCGCTCCCGTGAATTTGTGTCCCACTACTCACGGCCTTGTTGTCCAGTACACCCCTCCGATTCTCTCGGTCGCTCTGAAACTCCGTGGCTCTATCCCCAGTTTGTCGAATCCCGCTGACCGCACTCGATCTGGGCAGGGGTCCTTGAACGTGCGTATGAATACACGCGTTCCGGCTTGGCAAAGACATGCTGCCAACAACGTTCGCACGAGATGAAGTGAACCACTGGTACTTCCGGGCCGAGTGTATGTACTTGCCCCAATCCGTGGACTGTTGTGTGCGACGCTATCTGATCAAGTGCAGACAGATCCAGCGTTCCACCTTGTAGGCTTTGACCCACAATGCCCGCTGTCGAGTGCGACGGTGCGCGGACCGGCTGCACAGAGTCGACCGTCGCTGTCGCCAGTAGGTCTCGCAAATGCTGGCAACCAATGCATCTCCATCACATGGGACACGACTACGCTTGCTCTTCCGATGCGCGGCGATCGCCACCTCCCATCCAGTGCCGTCGGCGGACGTGGAGCAGCGAGGGAGACGATGCCGACAGCACACAGCCGACTGACGACAGAGCAATAATCGACCCGCCCTAACGCCACCGCCCACGACCGATAAGCTGCACGGCAAGTTCCTGCGCTGTGTACAGTTCCCGCACTGGTCCTCCGTCTCTCCTGTCGCCTTGGAGAGTCCATGAATGTCGCCATCGTGGGCCGTCTCGCCTTCGACAGCGCGCAGGGTGATGGATATATCTGCGGCTGGATTCCAATGCCGGGTTGCGGTGCCAGTGACGAACGAGGTTGGGCTTCCGCCGTCCCTGGGGCACCGACCGCCAGGCCCCAGCGGCGGCATGTGATGATCCACGACTGCGCTGCTCAGCGCGGTCTCGTCCGCGTTGCGAAGTCGGGAATGGGGGTGCGCTAAAAATAGCCCTCATCCATGCCCCTGGCAGAGATCTCTCCCGACAGCATATAACCTGCCCTCCATTTCCTGCTCTCCCCAGTTCCCAACTCACCCCCACTCGCCTCTCATCTTCCACCACTACCACACTATACGACACCATGGGGTTCTTCCACCACGAGTCCGACGAGGCCCAGGCTTACGACCAGGTTCGCATCTCACGCCGCCCTCAACCCGCTCCGTACTCACCGCCCTCCCGTGCAGGTCACCAACGCCCCCCACAAGGCTGAGCTCTCGCACGAGCTCATTGCCGCTGCCGCCTCCTACGAGGTGCGTGCTCTCTCCTCCCCACTGCCCTCGTTCCATGCTCACCGTTCCCCCAGGCCGCTAAGGCGTACGAGAAGCACGTCGCGGCGAACGGCAAGCCCGACTCGCACGCGAAGGCTAAGGAGATCATGGCCGGCTTCGCAGGTGCCTTCGTCGACCGCATGGTCGAGACTAAGGGCGTACGTTCCCCCTTCTTCGCCGCATGCCCTTTCCGGTTTCTGACTTGCGCTTTGCCCTTCAGCTCGACTTCGTCGACCGCGAGCGCGCCAAGCGCCACGCGCAAGAGAAGGTCGATGTCGTCGTTACCGACAGCAACTACTAAGTTGTGACGAACAGTTGAAACGGAAGCTTGTAAAGTTATAGTGTAATACAACGTTCTGTCTATCCCCTCCGGTCCCCTCGCGTGCCCTGCGTTTTCCGGACATCATGGGTAGTGTGCTCTACTCTGCACATTGAAATGGGGTTGAGGAGTTGAGACCAATGCAGAATTCCTTGAAGACAATGAGGTTGGCTCTGCCACGATCGGATTGATGTTGGGGAGAACCACTACTCTTTCGTCTCTGTATGCGTGCTCTCCACCGCACATTCTGACGATGACTCTGTGATGCTTACGGCCGCTGTGCGCAATACGCAGGACGAAACAGGTAATCCAGAAAAGTCACGTAACATCTCTACCTCCTCTACATAGTAGGTGTCTCGAGGATCAGTCCGTCTGCTAGACACATCCGAGATACGATCATGAACCGATATGTACGACACATCCCCAGCGCCGAATCCGACCGCCCTAACTTACTGCGCCTGCGCGGCGTCCCGCTCCTCCTTCGCCTTCGCCGCGGCCTCGAGCTCGGCGAACGTCCCGCTCTTGAGGCACATGCTCCGGAAGATGCCGCCCTCCTTGCGCAGCAGCGCGCGGGGGTGTCGAACTCGGCGAGCGCGCCCTTGTCGAGCACGATCAGCCGGTCGTAGTCGATCACCGTCCGGAGCCGGTGCGCGACGGTGAGCAGCATCGAGTCCCCGAACTCCTCGCGGATCGTCGCCTGGATCTTCGCGTCCGTCGCGAAGTCGATGCTGCTCGTCGCCTCGTCGAGCACGATGATCGCGCTCCGCCGGAGCAGCGCGCGCGCCATCGCGATCAGCTGCCGCTGGCCTTGCGAGAAGTTCGTGCCCCCGGGCGAGACCTGGGTGTCGAGCGTGATCACCGTCTTGCCCTCCGTCTCGGTCGCCGTCGTGGAAGCGGAGGCGGGCGTGACCGGGCGGGAGGGCTCTTCGCCTTCGTGAATGGAGGCCTCGCGGGAAGCCTCGCGGGAGGCGCGTTGGGAGGCGAGCTGAGAGTCGGTGAGCATTTGCACACGGGAGAGGACGTCGAGGCATTCGGCATCGGTGTGCTCATCTGCATATTGGTCAGATCGTGCCCTATAGCTCATCCTGTCGACATCACTCACCGAAGGGGTCCAAGTTTTCACGCAGCGTTCCAGAAAACAAGGTTGCGTCCTGAGGGATGAAGGTCTGTGGTTCCAGTCAGAGACAAGGCAACGAAGCATGACGATCTATCGAACGCACAATCCGAGAGCGCAGGTCGTGAAGCCCGATCTTGCTGATATCGACACCGTCGATAAAGATCTTCCCACTCGCCGGGTCAACCTGGCGTGGAACCGTCAGCGTGAAGTCGGACTGCGGAGGGAGAAGGAGGGCGACGCACGAAGCGAAGGATGCTCATAGCGAGCGTGGATTTCCCACTACCTGTCCTTCCAAGCAACCCGATACGTTCCTTGGCTTTCAAGGAGAACGAGATGCCATGGAGTACGGCCGGGAGGTCAGGAGCGTACTTGATCACGAGGTCATCCACTACAAGCATGGAGTCCTTGTTCGAGCTCGTGGATGACGGCCAGTACGCAGGAGGACGGTTAGACTCAATGACTGCTGAAGGCTCCTGAGGGAGGTCGAGATACTCGACCACACGTTCGACAGAACTACGAGCATGGATGTTAGCCCGCTACATTTAGCGTTTGTATCAGGTGACTCACTTCAGGTCGAGCTCCAGCGCAGTCCAGAAGCGGCAAGCCCAGTACACGCTCATGGTGAACGACATGGCCGACGTGATACATACACCCGCCAATCCTGCGTCAACATATCCCGAAAGCGCGAAGAGAGTAGTGGCCAGGATACCCGTCGCACCGAGGAAGTCGAAGGTGAGGAGTAGCCAGCGGTTCGTCATCCAGAACGTGTACCACATGCGCGTCGTGAGGTCGACCTTCGTGAACAGGTCGTTTAGGAAGCGCTCCTCGGCGGAGAATGCGCGCACAGTCACGATGCCCTCCAAGAGCTCGCTGAAGTTAGCGAAAATAGGGCTGCGCGTGTTCGACTCCATACGACGAATGTCGCGGCCGGTGTTGAGGTAGGCAATTGCACAGCGCCGGTAGAAGAAACCGAGGCAAACCGCAGGGATTATGAACCCAGGGAAGACCACACTATATAGGAAATTCTATCAGCTGCATTTCCCCCGGCAAGAGAATGAAGCGACTGACATGACGGTCAACATAGACACCGCAAAAAGCGCCAGAGATTGGTTGACCTGCTGCAATGTCGACGCCAAAGACGAATCAACGGTCTCGACATCCTAACTTCATGTTAAACAAGATATTGTACTGCTGGTCATGGTGGCATACCTTGCTGAAGCGGTTGAGCATGCGTCCTTGCGGGGTGACGTCATGCCACCTCATCGTCGCACGGACAACAGTGTTAAGGAGCTTCTCAAACAAGATACGGGAGGCCCTGAGAGCGCCGGTGTATTGCGTGATAACACCAGTGATGTTGACAATACCAGCGGAGAGCGCAATAGCCGCGTAAATGCCGATGTAGAAGTACGGATGTTCTTGTGCTGAAGGCAAGTGGGTCGTGGCCGTCAGCGATATGGTTGGTGTGTTTGCCATGGAAGTGTGGTGGAAGTGCGAGAGTCCGTCGTCAAGGACTTGTTGGTTCTCCGCAAACGGGCTGTAGGAGTACGACGAGGCATGGACTGGCGGGGTGGTGCTGTTTCCAGTACCATACGCCTCACCCCACGTCTGCAAGCGGCGTATAAGCGAGTGCACACAGAGAGATGCGCTACCTACTCACCTTAATCCAGAACTTCTCACCGACACCAAGGATCTGAGTTAGTATGATGAGGAAGAAAAGGATCGCCCAGGTATAGTAAGATCTGCGATAAGCGTCAGGAGAGTAACATTAGCGTATGACGGAAACCACATACGAAGCCTTCAAGTAGGTGTTGTAGATGCTCCACTTGACGCTGCCCGTTTCACGGTGCTCTTCCTCGATCAGTTTCCTCGGCTTCTTCTTGTCCTTCGCTGGAGCAGCATCGTCTGCTTCGGTGGCCTCTCGGTCGATCTCGTCATTGGCGTTCTCTTCCTCTTTTACGGCTTCAACAGCCTGCTCCTCCTTGTGCGCCTCGATTTCCTCAACCTGTGCGATGTCTTCGAGCACCCCACTGGCGCGGAGATCGGCAATAGTGCCTTGGGTGTCAATGCGGCCGTCGAGCATGCGGATGAGGTAGTACGATCCGGGAAGAACGAGCTCGACATGATGAGTGACCAGGATCTACATAATCGGGAGTGTCAAAAACATCGATGGATGCAAGCGCAGCTGCTTACCACCGTACGGTTGGCCAGAAGAGGACCGCGGAAGAGCTTCTCGAACAAGAACCGGGCAGTGTGGCTGTCGACGGCGCTGAGCGGGTCGTCTAGTAGAACATATTTGGAACGCTGTGCAGCACACGTTGAGATAATACAGGTATGGGGTTGTTTCCAAGGCTTACAGCATATACGGCGCGAGCAAGCGCCACTCTATAGACATGCATCAGTAACCTGCATACGTATGAAACGTTATATTGCTCACCGAGCCTTTTGACCACCAGACAAGCTGACTCCACTGCAAGACTGCATGTCAGAGTATGCCCTATGCAAAGCGGAAGTTGACTGACCGAGCACCAATCTCAGTCGCGTCTCCATCTTCCAGCATTTCTAGGTCAGGGGTCAAAGCGCAGCACTCGACGACTGCCTTGTACCGTTCCTCGTCGAAAGGATAGCCAAACATGATGTTGTCCTTGATGCTCTGGTGCCGCAACCAAGGCGTCTGTCCTGCGTACGAAATGGTATGGGAAAAGCCATTTTCGTCCACCAGCGCCGAGTTCTTCGTCATGACAATCCTGCCCTCGAGCGTCGTAAGCTCGCCCAGGAGCGCCATGAGGAGCGCGGTCTTCCCGCTCGCGGTGGGACCAGTGACGACGGTGAGCTTGCCCTCAGGGAAGCGGATATTGATGTCGCGCAGCTCGAACCGGTGGTCGGTCGCTGCCGCGAGCACGGACTCGGTCTCGTCGACAGCGGTCGCGGTTTCATCGGAAACGCTGCTCGCCCCATTCGAAGGCTCCTTGGCTTTGCCCTTGCCCTTGTCTTCCTTCTTGTCTTCAACTTCGTTCCACTTGAACGAGCCGTTGACGATGCCAAGGCCGAGCTCAGTCTCAGCTGAAGGAGGGACACGGCCCTTCTTGATAGTAGAAACCTGCTCGTCGACCTCATCTTCGTCGAGGTAAGTAGCAATACGGTCGAGGGCAACTTTTGACTGCGAGTTTGTCAACAATTGCTCCTGGTCACGGAGTAAATACATACCTGCAAAATCTGCACGATCCATGCGGGTATGACATTGAGCGGAGCGCGAATCATCTGGAAAAGTGCAATGGCCTAGGAGTACCGTAAGTGGGGATCTGGTGGCAATGATTATACGACCAGCATACCGTGAAGGCCGTCCCAATGGTCAATTCGTTACCCTGGGCGATGTACACCAAGAATGCCGTGACGGAGACGAGGATGGGCGCGCATGTCCAGATGAGCGAGAAGCACACGGAGTTGACACGTCCTGCGTATACAGTTAGACGAGTACCCAACCAGGCGAACGGACGCACCCTTGATCATCCACTGCATCTCGACCTCACGGGCTTCCATCACGCGCTGGATCCAGCGGTCCTCCCAAGCGAAGAACTTGATGAACTTGACGGCACTGATCAACTCGTTGAGCACGCCCATGCGCTTGTCGCGCGCAGTCGAGACGCCCTTCTGGATGCGGATCGCACGGTTGGCCACAAAGTTGTTTAAGGGCCAGCTCAGCAGAAGAACGACGAAGCCCGCGAATGCAGACCACCCGAGCAGCCTGCAATGTCGTGTAAGCCGCACAGAAATAGCGACGAAACGCGAAGGACCCACTGATAGAGAAAGATGGACGCGATGACAATTTCAAACGGAGCTGCGGTCGCAAAAATAAACGAAGGAGTCTTTTCAGAGGCTGGACCAACGTACCTCCGTAGACGAAGTACATCGCTGAGACCGTCATCGCGATGCGGTTTGCGTCGCCTGCCATGAGGTTCACAATCTTGCCAACGTCTGCGCCTGCTTTGGGTTCGTCCGCTTTGGGGTCCGCCTTCGCACCAGGAGCCTTAGCCTTCTTGTTCGCGGCCGCGTCCTTGTCCACGATGCCGGAGAAGTCTTTGCGCTTCAGGGCCTTGTCGTAGATAGACGACATGAGCTCCGTCCGGATGCGCGTGCACGCGCGGCGCCCGTACCACAGGTGCTGCAGGTCCGTCTCGGCCTTGCAGAGCGAGCTGATGAACGCAAGGAACGCGTACACGAACGCGAGCGCGCGCTTCTCTGGAGAATGCGTCTTGTCGTCGAGCGCGTCGAGGATGCGCTTCAGGAAGAACGGCCCGGCGTAGTTGAACACCACAGAAGTGTAGGTCAGGGCGAAGTCGAGAGTCAGGTCGAGCGCGTTGGCCTTCAAGAGTCGCGTGAGGAGCTTGCCGGACGCGGAGCGCGACCACTTGGCGTAGAGGGGGCGCGCTTGCATGGTCGGACTGAGGGCCCAAACGTCCTCCTCGTTGAGCGTACTGTACGTCCCCCTCTCAAGGAGCGGCATGACCCAGGTAAAGGAGAGCCAGCCCCACACAGAGGTGTAGTCCTCCGGCGAAACGGTCTTGCCCTGCGCATGGCATTCACCAAAATGCACGCGTGAGAGGAGATGGAAAGACTCACAATGTCTTCCTTCTTCACCTGACTGCTAGGAAGGTTCAAGGGCATCTTCATGACTAGGAGGAGCAGCCCGGCTACAGCAACGAGGTTGACGATGTACACAGTGGTGCGCAGAGTACCGGGAATCGGAATCTCATACACATACTGGTCATACAGCAACCCAAAGAAGGTGACGATTCCGAGTACGAAGTGGATGAAGAATAGGCAGACGAGGTCGAGGGGTGCCGTGGCTGGCGGGACGACGACTGGGCGGAGCGCAGCAAAGCACCATGTAACTGCAACGAGGAAATCGCGCACACCATTCCATGTCTCTTCTTGGTTCACGACGAGGCTGTAGCAGCCAATTCCAAGCCACAGAAGGGTTTCAACGAGCGATACCGATGAGAGGATTAAAGTGCGCCAGAGCGGGACGCTCGGCGACTCTTCTTCTTCCGTGGTCTTTTCGTCCGATACAAGAGCTTCGGCTTCATGCACTGTCAGGAAGTTTGCAAGCGGTGCGGTGGCTGCACGGAGCAAAGCTTCACAGGGGGAACGGCAGCAAGTAGAAGGAAGCCGACGAAGGCGAAGGGAATGACTGCGGACCAAAATCCACGGACGCATGCGTCGGAGAGGTCTGAAAGACCCGTTCCTCCACACAGGGCCATGCTGTTTGGTTGGCGCGGTGCGCGACGAGCGTGGGGGGCGACCTAGGTCGGAGGTGATGGGAGTTTGAGAGAGGGCCGAGAGCGCTACGGCCGACGACGGGCTTATCTTCAACGACAGCGTGGGTCTCCCATGGCCACCATCATCGCCTATTGAACATGACACTGCGTCGCAAACTTAGCATTGCTAACATGCGCGCTCTGAGCGCGATGCTGACATTTGGGCGGTTTGGTCTAGGGGCCCGGACTGACCGAGCGCTCCGCGCACAACTGTGTGTGCGACGCCCCGACATTGAGGGCCTGATTGGGAGGCAGAAGGCCGGATAGAGCAGGGAGGACGGGGTACGTAAAACATAGAGATCCCAGGGGATCGGACTTTGTGGACAAGGTCAGGTCGAAGTCTCAACGACAACGATGACATGAAGCCACTATCCACCAATATGCAATGCGCATACTTTACCAATCTACCTTGCCCTTGAATCATACCCGAGCATCGAACAGAGCATGTGGAGAAGAACATAAATCATGAAGTCGTAATCGTAATACTAAGCTAAGATACAAGACTACAGAACATGCGACATAATCGGGGGGCGGATATGGACGACACACAGCGACAGAAGTACACATAGTGAACAACAGCAGGAGGGAGACAGGATCGACAACCGACGTGCTCAGAGCTCGTCGTCAGTGACGTCCTCGCCGCGCTTCTTCCGTGCCATGCGCTCCTTCTTGAGCTTCCGGGCCTCCGACGACGTCAACTTCTTCTGCTTCTTGGACTCGATCTTGTTACCCATAGCATCGTACTGGACATCCTCCTCTCCGTCCTTCTTGTCGATGCGGGGGCCAGCGCCCTGACCTTCCACCCAGTTGTGGCCTGAAGCCTCGAGACGACCATCGCGCATGGCCCAGACCTCAGTGCAGAGGGACTCGGAGAAGTCGCGGTTGTGCGTGATGACGAGCACACCACCCTCGAACTCCTTGAGCGCCTTGATGAGTGCAGCGAGCGACTCACGGTCGAGGTAGTTCGTCGGCTCGTCGAGACAGATGACGTGTGGCCTGCGCCAGGTGGCGGCGCCAGCACGACCTTGACTTTCTGACCACCGGAGAGACCACGCATGGTGTTGTGCGACACGAACTCAGCCTCGAGACCGAAGTCCGCGAAGTGCTTCTCGATCTCACGACGAACGAGAGGACGGAGGAGACCGAGGCGCTGAGCCTCACGGGTGTCAACCTCGAGGACTTTCTGTAAAGCCCAAACACGATCAATAATTGTCGGATGAGCCAGGGAACCGCCACACGTACCTTCTCGAAACCGCGCTTGATGAGCTCGTCGCGGGGCATCCAGATGTTCTCCGACGAAGACATGCCCTTGAAGGAGATCTCGTACTCGTACGACTGCTTGAGCTTCTTGCGAGCGAGGATCTCGTCAATGAGACGCTTCTGGCCCTCGATGATGACGGTTGAACCCTCCTTCATCTTCTGCTGCTCCTCGTCCGTGATCTGACGGCTCGCCTTCATCATCTCCTCGAGTCCTCACCCGTCTGGTAACGCCACAGCATGTAGTCGAGCGGCGTCTTGTCGAGGTGTGGTCGATGTGGTGGAACGCGTGCTGGGCGACGTAACCGATGACCAGATTGGGGTGCTTCCAGACCTCACCGCCACGGTTCGGCTCGTTGTCACCAATGAGGAGCTTGACGAGCGTCGACTTGCCGGATCCGTTGGGACCGAGGACGGCGACACGAGAGGACAGAGATACTTGGAGGGTGATGTCGTAGAGCTGCTGGACAGGAGATGTGGGGTATTGATAGCCGACCTTGCGCATCTTGAGGAGAGACTTCTCCTTCGTCTTGACACCCTCGAGGAGGGGAGGGTCAGGGAGCTTGAATTGGTAGTCCTCCTGCGCCTCAAGCGTGTAGTACGAACGCGCCTCCGGGACGGCCTTCATGAACGCCTCCAGGTTACCGCGGTAGCGCTTGAGCTTGAAGCGGTTGAGGTGAAGGACGTCGGTGATGACGTTGTTGAGGAAGCCAGAGTCGTGCGAGACGATGATGGAAGTGCAGGTCGTGAGGCTCGTCAGGTAGGTCTCGAGCCACGCGACGTTGACGACATCCAAGTGGTTGGTAGGCTCATCGAGGAGCAGGATGTCGGCGCGGAAGAGCATCGCACGAGCGAGCGCAAGCTTCATCTTCCAACCACCAGAGAGGGACCTATCGCCTGGCGCTGGCGATCGTCAGAGAAGCCGACGGAGGCAAGGGTCTCGATGATCTCCTCCTTGTTACCCTGGACGCGCTTGTCGGACACGATGAAGTCGAGAACAGAAGTGTCTTCCTCCGAGCCATCGATGTCGTGCTCGACGTAGAACGTGCGGACCTCGTCGGGTGACGGGAAGCCCTCAACTTGGCTGTGGATTGTCTCAGTCAGCAACGAACGTCTCATGTTTGATAAGTAAGATTACATACCCGTTGGTGATGGCGCGCATGAGCGTCGACTTGCCGGTACCGTTACGACCGCAGAGACCATAGCGGTGACCGCGCTTGAGACGGAGACTCGCGGTGTTGAGGAGGATCTTGGCACCGTAGGCGAGAGAGAACTGGCAGTTGCACAGGTCCTCGCCCTCCTCCTCGTCATCAGCGGCTTCGTCCTCGTCCTCGCCAGCAGACGCCGACTTGACAACCCACTCGTTGACGATGGGGACGGGCTCAGGGGAGGAAGTGAGGAACGCGAGGAATGGCGTAAGAGACTGCCACTCTGACACGTCGAAGTTCTTGTTGTTGACGAGGTTGACCGCGAGCTGCGAGACGTACATGGTCGAGACATCCGCGACGGAAGGCACCGGGGAAGCGCCGGCCTTCTTGTAGATCCCGATAAGCGAGTGGGCGAGCTGCTTCTCGTCGGCGAGCTTGATCGGCGGGAGGTCGGAGCCGTCGCCGGTAGGGACCTCGCCAACTTGACGGAGGGTGGCAATCGCGCGAGCGACGACGCTGCGGGCCTCGGGGTCACCCATGGCCGACTCAACCTTGATGAGACCAGGGAGTAGCTTGGGAATGAAGGGGCGGACGGTGACGGCGGAATCAACGAGCTTGGCCATGTTGTCGATGATGACAGCGACCTTGCGCTTGGTAGCGGTGAGCTTCTCAGTAAGACCACGCGACAAGAGAGGGACCATGAGGGAGAGGGTGGGGGAGTCGACCTCGGAAACGAAAGTGGTAGCCGACAGGAGGGAGATAGTATTAGGGACCTCCTCGACGGGATTAATTAGAGCCTTGATGAGAGCAGGAATAAAGCGTTCAATGTCCTTGTTCGAAACCAGGGCGGTGACCTTTTCGAGCGAATCGCGCGCAGCCTTCTTCACTTCCGCCTTGGTGTCCCAGATCGCCTCAGCCAGGACAGGGACGATCTCGGGGGTGAGCTTCGCGACCTGCGTGGAAGCGGAGGCGACGAGCTGGTTGAGGACGACAATGGAGCCGGTCTTCAGCTGCCATTTGCCGGCGGTCTTGATCTCGTGAAGGAGGGCGGGAAGAACGAGACCCGCCGCCCAAGGGCTCATGGCTGCGACGTAGGTCTTGAGGGCATCGATCGCGGCGTTGCGCACAGCGGGCATCTTGTCGGCAAACGCCTCGAGGAGGGCGGCGTAAAGGCCTGAGTCGATGAAGTACGGCTCGAGCGCACGAATGGCGGGGGAGGCAGCGACCGCGGCAACAGCGGTAGCAGCACCCTCGCGCGCCGAGGGGGACTTTTTGTCGGCGAGGGCCTTGACAATCGCATCGGTGAAGCCGACGGACTTGACAGCGGAAGGGCCATCCTTTTGGACGAGCGCGACAAACGCGGCCGCGGAGGACGCGCGAGCCGCCTTGTCGGCGACGAAAAGTCCCGAGACGTCAAACTGGCCGGCGGCGGGGGCAACGGCAGCCTTGAGGGATGCGGGGTCGGGGATGGAGGGGGTAGCAGCAGCGGTGGTAGCGGGCATCTTGGGAATCTGAGACGCAGGCGGGCGGGATGAGAGGACGGTGGAGGGGGTGAGTGGGATTGGGACTCACGTTAGGGGTGATGGGTGCGGATGTGGACGGGGGTCTTGTAGAGCGCGGCGAGACGCAGGAAAGGTCGTCAAGGACGGAGATCACTCTATTTCTATGTGGCCAGAGGGGCCCTGAGGCGATCGTCAGCACGGGGAGCAGCGGGAGGAAGAGACGGATGCACGACAGACCTCTATGGGACAAAGAAGAAAGAAAGAAAAGAGCGGGATAGGGTTCAGTCTAGTCGGCCGTCGGTCTTATATAGCACACGGATTACGGGGCGGAGTACGAAAAAAAGAGCGATCTCACGTGGCGATGTGGCTTTGATCTTGGGCGGCTATCGCAGAGGCAGCGAATGCGGGGTAGTAACGCCCCCCCGCACTCCGGAGCGCACTCGATCGCCCACGGCCGGCTCCTGCTCAGTGCCCCGCCCGACGTCCGATGTCTCCCCGTGCTCTCCCCCGCTCGGGGGGCCCCAGAAGCTCCGGCGGGCAGCAAGCACCGACGCCGGCTGGGTTGCCCCCGTGCCAGCTTCTCCGCAGGGCGACGAGACTGGCCCTGCACGCGGCCAACGCCCCCAGGCGCAAGGACCTGTCCGCGGAAGCACCCCAGACCGGGCTGATCACAGGCCGTGCAGGACGAGGCCCAACTGTAACGCCCATCAGGATCATCTCGGAAGCAACGCCCTCTCCACGGCACGCCAGCCGTCGCTCTCGGCGGGGACCGCGGGCGGCCCCAGCCAACTGCTCACACGACGAGCAGCTCAGACTCCCGTCCAGACCGTCCGCACCTAGCACTTCGCGCCAGTGTCCGATATCGCTGGGCGGGAGGGCGAGAACTGGAGAGGGCTTCCGAGGCAGTGGGCAACGGACAGCCCTCAAAGAACTCTATCGTTTGAATGGGCTGATAGACGACCGTCCTCGTTCACGCTACGGGGCCCTCTGAATTGGAAGCCTGAGCACCACGAATACGTACACAGGCCGACGTACCCCGTTCTCCCCGGCTGGAATAGCGTTTCCGCCCTGCAGTTTTGCCTGCCTCCGGTCTTCCGCGTGTCGGAGGAAGGCCGCTCGCTCCGAGCCCGCTGGGATCCTGGCGCCTTGGATCTTCCCTGGCTATTGAGTCTCGACTGCCGCTACCGGAGGGCGCGCGAATGGGCAGGCGAGAGATGCCACATCTGCATGCTGAGCATTGCAGACATGCCGCAGGCATGCTGGTCGGGGTCAGCGTCCGAGTGAAGGAAGACGAGCAAACGCACGAACCGATCTACGATCCACGCGCAGATCAGCGAAAGGCATTCAGTTCTTGCGCACGCCGGAGACGTTTGAAACGCATGATGCTCCTGCACCTGGAGACGTGGGCGGCGACGGTCATCTGCCTGTGGTCGGGAGTCCGCTTCAGGTCAAGTGCGAGGTAGGGCCGCTCACATGCCCCTCCATGCCGTGGAGCATCTTGACGGACAGAGCTCTGTGTCAGCATCATGCCAACCAGGCCCGATATTGAACTCAATGCTCGTGCTGGGAATTGCCGCCCCGTTCGGCTCTCCCATTCAGCCAAGACCCCCAGTAACCACGTGAACACAGATGCATATACAAGTACTCACAGACATTCTTGGATACAACTATCCCCGTTGTTCTGAACCATCTGCGTGTAACACAGGGTCATCGGTGGAGAGGGATTGTACAAGTTCTGCAGTGTGCACAGGAAAGGCGAAGTCTGCATGTTGTTACCGATTGAGTTGGAACCTGTATATAGCCCCGAATAGCCGACACGGATCGCAACAACATGGAAAGTGGGCCCCATGAATGTGGGTGGTTCGTAACATACGCTTCAGCACTGATGTCCGGACAAGGTTCTTGATGCGGTGGCTCAGATAAATGACCTTGCGGTGAGGTGAGGGAGACTAACGGGCCGCAAAGTAGCATCGTGGTTCCAAGCTGTTTAAAGAGTCAAAATTGAATCCGGATCCATCAAGCTTGAGATGGAGGAGTGGCATTGGGGATGAGCGAAAGTGGACTCACCGGAGTAACCGCCATTTGCGCCACGTTGGCATCCTGGTGAGTCGCTCATCCCTTGACTTGTTGAATGAAAAGCTCCGTATTGAACTGCACCAAGTGTATCTAAAGAATCCGTGCGTCACCCTGCGCTTCGACTATAATGCTGAACGAACATTGAGAGGCTTCTGGACAAGCCTGGCCACGTCCATTCAGGAACTCAAAAAGTCATCGAAGTCCCGCCGGCATTTAGTGTCTTCAGCCAGAAACGGCATAAAGACATCTGCCCTTCATTCTTGCTAAATGGCGAGGATGTGGTGTCGATTGAAGGCGGCAGAAGGTCGTGGTGGCAGAGACAAGAGAGCAGTGGCAGGCGAGTCAGGCCAACGCCACCGAGAAAGATGATGGTCACGTGAGCGCGTAACACCACCCGAAGTTGGCAGATGCGGCAGGTGGCCTGCGTGAAACGACCATGACTCCCGCACCCCTCCAGCTTCCATTCTTGCTACTCTAGGTCCTGCAGCCTCTCTCCTTGTGGCACTGCCGACCACTGTCTCCCGCATGGCTCAACTCCACCACGCCGTCGCCTCCCGGGCTCTCCCGGCTCCTCTACAGCAAGCCCTGTTGGGACAACTTTGCCCTCAAGGTTCCCGGGGGTCTCATCGGCCGTTCATTTCTATCAAAACAAACAGCTTGAAGCCTATGCTGCTAAGCCGGCCACGCGATTGACACTGCGACAACTGGTATGTCCACCGGTTCGTCGCCCACTGGTTCCCCCTTAGCGAAAAGGGCCGTAGGTCTTCTTCGGGAAGTCTATGAACGAGGACAGGTTGATTAAGGTGCGTGTCATATGAACGCCAGCGGCCGCCCTTGGCTTAACTTCCCGTGCAGAGCGCGAATTATGTGCGGACAGAGCTCCCCATCCGAATTGCCCACAGACTGCGAGACATGCAAGCGCTGCCATATGCAGTCGTGACGCAAGAAGGTGTGGATACCGTGTACGAGGTGGGTCACTCAACCTAGAGGGCGTTGGTGTGAACTCAGGTCCGCTTGTTTTGTTAGTTATACCGGAGCGCGTTCGACAAGTATGCCGTCTATCCCAGCCATGTGACGAGCGCCGTAACACACATGCCAGGTTTCGCCGATATCCTCAAATCACTACGCTTGCGGAGAATGACGCATTCTGCGAGTTCTTGCGGAGAATTCTAACGGAGCAGTGAGTGTTTTCATGTGCTGGGGCTATGTGAAACGAATGAACCCATCTTCAGCAAATCCGTAATCCCAAACCTCTCTTTGGGCATGTCGCTGTCATCACCATACCTTCAGCCAGACCGATTGGATTCATTCATGCGCCGCATGCTGGTCTCACGAATATCACGCCGCGTGTTGGCGGAACATCATATTGTACTCACCCAGTCTGTCCGTGAGCGGGACGAGTCATCACCGTCAAGAGACAATGTAGGCGTCATCTGTACACATTTGAAGGTCAAGGATTGTATCCAGAAATGCACGCGCTATCTTCAAGACCGTCCACGCGGCATGGAAGGCAGCAACAGCAAAGTCTCTTGGTCCCAGGTTCTAATAGACGGCCACCTAGACATCAAGTTTGCATACATCCGAGAACACTTGGAGTAAGTTCTAGCTCGTCTTGATATATGCCAGCACTCGCATATGACAATCCAGGTATATAATTTATGAACTTCTCAAGAACGTACGTGTCTTCCTCATTCGTCGCAAGAATACACATCTGATCGACCTCCAGTCGTTCAGGGCAACACGTATGAAACACCCACATGCGCAGACCCTCCCTCCGATCCGCGCAACTGTAGTTGCCAGCGACGTTGACGTCTGCATCCGTATCTCTGATCAGGGTGGGTGCACTGTCCGAGTACATCCTGACCGACCGATCCACCAATATTCACTTCATGTTCGTAGGCGGAGGTCTAGTGTCGCCTAATATCAAGTCGCCCTCGGATCTGTTCTCGTTTTCTCACCTACGGAACGCAAGTAGATTAACCGATGCCCGCCTGGGAGCGTTGCGCACCGCCAGTTCCAGCGATCGTGGCTTGACAGCGACAGTGTCGGAACAAATCCGAGGTTGGTATCCCAAACCGACAGGGGACATGCATGCGGCGACCCCCCATCCGCGGATTGGAATTGGGCTCCCGATGAGCAACATTTACGCGACGTACTTTGGAGGCTCGTTGGAGATGGTTAGCATGGACGGATACGGCGAGTGGACGATCTGAACGCGCACTGGAGCTTGGCTGACTTGGTGGTCCCGCCAGGAACGGACGTCTTTGTTCGGTTACCGAAACTGGTAGGCCAATTTGCAACGACTGCCACCGATGACAGCCAGGCTGAGACCGTGCACAGGGCACGAACCTCGAGGGCATCGAGCTGTAGCCGCGGGCCGGCCGATCCATAGCTACCGCACACCCCTGTACTACATAGCTTTCACGGCCGTGCGTGCTGGAGAGAGGAGGGGATCAAAGAAAGGGAAGACAGTCGATCAATGTGTGATAACGCCAGCTGCAGCAGCCAGCGCTCCAGAATGACCGGACATCCCCCGCCAACTTTGCCTCTGCTCCTGCTCCCAGGCCCGCGCACGATCCCGCTCTGCGCGCGCAGGGCGGTCTGACTGCTGGGCTTGTCACCACGCGTGTGGTCGAAATCTGACACACGCGCGCGCGGTGCAATGCGCTACGCGAGCAATAGGGATACAGCACTGTCGGGGCAGTAGCCTAGTCGATGGCGCTTGAGGCGATGCATATGTCATTTAGCTCATCGCGGCGTGGGTGGGGGCAGTTGCCACCTTCCCTCTCTTCCCCTCCATCATCTCGCCCCGTGTCCTTGCTGCTCTCTGTCTTGCGCTCCGTGAACCCTCCATACGTTCTGAACGGTTTCGAGGGACTCAATGCCGTCCTATGAATACAACGACCTCGCGCCCTCGGGCTCGCCACCCCCACCCTCCTATGAGATCTCCCAGCACGATTTCGACCAAAAGACCTCTCATGTTATCGAGCAGACCGCGAACGGGCCCCCGCCCCGCAGAGTCGACGACGAAGGCTTTGAGATCTGGGATGACGCTCTTTTCGATGCCGCTCGGATTGGCGTAAACAACCTCTCGCTCAACGCCGGCCAGTCTTCGCGCTTGTCTGCCGGCAGCAGTTCAACCTCTCCTATCGCCCCTCCCTCGTTCCCTGATCCAAAGTCGCCCTATGGATATCCACCAGAGAAGGGCCGTGCGCCGCCTTCCGCGGTGCGCGCGCTGCCCTCCATGACCACCAACATGGGCGCTCCTTCCCACCCTGGGACCAGCTCTGGATCACACTCTTTCGCCGCATCTTCCCAATCGCCCCCTCAATATGCCGCCCCTCCTCTCCAGCCCTCGCCTGCGACGGATGTTCGCCCGCTGAGAGTACAGAAAAAGCCGGCGCGCCAGCAGAAGGAGCGTCCTGCATGGTACCGCGAGGCGGGGCTCGGTGGAGGCAGCCCCCCGCCGTCCCCGCTGCAGTCGACCGTGGGCAGCTCGTCCTCTCGAAGCGGCGTGCCGCCCCTTCGGCGCGGTCTCACCGTGTTCAACGCGACCGAACGCGACACCACGCCTCCCCCCGAATTCTCCGCGGTCGGACCTACGCTCGACGGCCCGCCGTACGAGGTCGTGCTCGCGTACCAAGGCTCGCAACAAGGACTTGACACGGAGCCTGCTCGGCCTCTCTACCACCGCGCCTCGCCTGCGCCGCCTGCGGCGAGGGTGACCCCTACTCCGCCAGAGCTGTCCCGGACACCGCACCCCCCTGGGCATGGGCTTGTACACTCGCAGACTGCCCCGGATGCAGGGCCCCAGCCGCGACACCTCTCACACCACCCCACCCACGCCCAGTCATACCCCCCTGTGCCCGTCCCGGCCCATCAAGCGATTCCCCGTCCGACCGCGGAGCGCTCTGTGCCGGCTGTTACCCGTCCACCCGTTTTCCAAACACCACAGTATGGGCCCCGGGTATCTTTCAACCCGCAGTCAGCGTACCCCAAGCCTGCCTTCGCCATGATGCCGACACACTCGGAAGACGCGGAAGCCCCAGTGACCGACGTATCGGCGTTCTACAGGTCAGCCTTCTGGGTATTGGGTGTTGCACGGGCTCGCACTGATGACATCCATCAGCAACGCGGTTTCTGCGCAGTTCTCGTTTAACGTGCCGGCTCGTATGAAGCGAACCTCATACATGGAGCAGTGAGTGCATTGCCTCTGGATCACGTACATCGAGACTGATGTTGAGGGTGGTTCCAGACCACCTTCTGCCCCGCGCCCTGCTTCCCAGTATCAACAACCCGTAGGCATGGCTGGTCCTCCCCCCACTGCATATGACCGGGCCAGTATCAAGTCCAACGATTCGAAGGCCCCAGTTGCTGCGCCACGGCCGAACTACGGTTACAGACAAGCAAATTTCGAAGATCAAGGGTACGGGTCAGGCAGTGCATGGGGTCAGACGACTGGAGGGGCGTACAGATAGTCACAATGGTGATATCAGGGTCGAGTTTTGAGATATGCTTTCGATCTATAAGGCGGATCTAAGTACCGGAATCGGAGACTACTTGTATACCAGGGCACCATCGAAGTACTCGTAATGTTCTCGACAAACTGTACATGCAGGCGTTCTTTATTGCAGACCTGTTGCATCTAGCAGTCGGTGGTTTCAAACTTGGCGAGGAGAAGCCTGGGTTGCCCTGGGGCCTGGGTTGCCAAAGTGAGATCTAGCGATGAAGCGACCATCACGTGAGCTGCTGCTGAGCGCATGCCATCGGCTCGAGTCTGCTCGAGCCCGTCAATGGCAACCACGTCCAACTCTCCCTCTGCGATGCAGCAGTCCCCGTCCTCCACGAGCGTGAACAGTGCGCAGGGCTCTTCCAACACCGGCAAGCCCGCCGACTACGTCTACTTCGAGCGCACCACCTCCGGCTTCTCCGACGATGCCCTTCCCCGCTCCAAGACGGCCCAGCTCAAGCTCGAGCACTACTACAAGGTCGCCGTGGAATCTGCCATCGAGCGCAACCAGCGGTACGTCTTCACGAATTTGCGCAGCCCACACAACGCCTGACTGTCGGCGCAGACGTGTAGAGCTCGAGAAGCGGTTAGCGGCCGACACCTCGATGTCCGACGAGCGCAAGCAGCGCCAGCTGCAGCAGCTCGGCAAGCGCGAGTCCGCCTTCCTCCGTCTGCGGAGGACCAAGCTCGGCCTGGACGACTTCCGCACCGTCAAGGTCATTGGGAAGGGAGCGTTCGGAGAGGTGCGTGCCCGTCGCCGTCGCCGGCACGCCGCCCGCTCACTGTCGCCCGTAACGGCGCATGACCGCAGGTCCGGGTGGTGCAGAAGACGGACACAGGGAAGATCTACGCCATGAAGACTCTCCGGAAGGACGAGATGTTGAAAAAGGACCAGGTGCGCACCCCCGCGCGGCGGGTCCGACCATCGCGCTCACATCGTCCCTCGTCGTTGCCGTCGCCGTCGACCTCCCCCCTGCGCAGCTTGCGCACGTCCGCGCGGAGCGCGACGTGCTCGCCGAGTCGAACTCGCCGTGGGTCGTGCAGCTCTACTACTCGTTCCAGGACCCGTCGTACCTCTACCTCATCATGGAGTTCCTCCCTGGCGGCGATCTCATGACGATGCTCATCAAGTACGACACCTTCTCGGAGGACGTTACGCGGTTCTACATCGCGGAGTGCGTGCTCGCCATCGAGGCCGTCCACCAACTTGGTTTCATTCACCGGTGCGTCCCATGCGTCTCCGGGCGGCGTAGGGATTGGGATGAACGTTGGTTACAGTGATATCAAGCCGGACAACATCCTCATTGACAAGGACGGGCACATCAAGCTCTCCGACTTCGGTCTGTCCACCGGCTTCCACAAGCAGCACGACTCGAGCTACTACCAGCGTCTGCTCGACTCCGCCAACGGTGTCACGTCGCCGACGGCCGCCGCGCAGGCGTCGAGGAATAGCGTCATGGTCAACGCCATCCACCTCACCATGTCCAGCAAGGACCAGATCGCGACCTGGAAGGCGAACCGCCGAAAGCTGGTGCGGCGCTCTCCCTGACTGCCGCAAATCTTCCGGCGAGCGCTGACGACTCATTTGCGCGTGCGCAGGCGTACTCGACGGTCGGCACGCCCGACTACATTGCTCCCGAGATCTTCCAGCAGAAGGGCTACGGCAACGAGTGTGACTGGTGGTCACTGGGCGCGATCATGTTCGAGTGCCTGGTCGGCTACCCGCCTTTCTGCTCGGAGTCCACGCACGAGACGTACCAAAAGATCTTGCAGTGGCAGCGCTACCTCCAGTTCCCGGACGACGTCCACCTCAGTCGCGAGGCCGAAGATCTCGTCAAACGGTACGTGCTCGCCATCCGTATCAATCGCGCCGAACGTCAAGCTGACTCCGACCATCGTTTTGTTCGCGCAACACCGCCGTGCTCTTCTGTAACGCAGTTTGATCACCTCTCACGACCGCCGTCTGGCCGTAGAGCAGATCAAGCACCACCCTTTCTTCTACGGCGTCGACTGGAACGCGATCCGCAACATCGAGGCGCCCTTCATCCCCCGCCTGCGCTCGATCACCGACACCTCGTACTTTCCCACCGACGAGCTCGAGGAGGTCCCGGACGAACCTGTGGGCGCAGATACTACAGGGGCGAACAAGGACCTCGCATTCCTCGGGTGGGTCTCTCCTCCCTCCTCGTTCTGCCGGCCTCGCGGACTGACATGCGACCCCGATCCAGCTACACGTTCAAGCGCTTCACGGTCTCCTCGCAAGGGTTCTGATCGCGCCCGCGTACACCCTCGTCCGCGCGCGGGCCTCGACTCGCGGTGCTTCTGCGCTTCGGTGCTTCGGTGCTTCCCGCCTCGACCCCTCCGCTCCTCCCACACCCCACATCGCGCCCTGCGCGTGGCGCGCCACCACCCATCTCTTTACGTTGCCCTATGACACTCTTCACGAACTCGCTCTTTTCTTCTTCCAACCCGTCTTCCATTCGATCGGTCGCATGCTGCGGCCTCGCCCAACGCGCCGTGCACCAAACTTTATCGCTGTCTTTCACGCGTCCGGCCTCGGCGCGGCCGCGCTCGGAATCTACATTTACACGCGGGCCTAGGGAAGGGTGGAGGGGGTGGAGGGCTCGCGGCCCAGAGAACATAAATGCTTAGAAGCAGCGCGTGGGATAGGATTGTGGTACAATGTATCGAACGAGCACAAAGCAGTCTACAACACGCCGGAAGAGGACGCGACCGAGGGCGTGCGCCGGCAGAACTAGTCTGGGAGATTATGATATAACGCAGGCGACGAAACCGTCTCTCTTCTAACCGTGACGCGCGGAACGACGCAGTCCGAACCAAAAAGAAGACCAGATCGTGACAAGTGGGTGGGTCGTGCGTTCATCGTTGGACAGGGACTTGGAGTTGGGTTATGAGGCTCGGGCGCATCTGGGGGCGTTTGCATTGATATGAGAGTACATCTAAGAGGCAAGCGACCTGCTTACCATCTCCACGAAGAGCGGCAGGAGCTGGGGGATGTGCTCCAGCTCTGGCGGTTGGGCCCATCGGCGCCTTCTTGGACTTGGGCGCGACACGAGGCCTCGCAGGCCTCTTCTCTTGCTGTCGCGCGGACTGCTGTTGCGCAGCCGGAGGCGGAGGAGGAGGCAAGTCCTTGAACCGCGACGCTGCCGCCGTGGACGCCGCGAGAGCGAGAGCGTTCGGGAACGCTTGCGCGGTGGTGGCGGCGGCCGTTCATCGCGCGGCTATCTGCGAGTGGCGGACGGGTTCAGAATGCGTCAGGCGCGATGGCGAGGGTGCGTGGCCGTGTGCGAGGCGATATCGGGGAGATTGTGGGGGGATCGCGAAGGCTTCGGGGAGACAGGTGAGTGACCGATGGTGTTGGAGCGGGTGTGCGGAGCGGAGGGTCGGTGTTCGGGATGAGGTGTCGCGTCGCGCTCGGTCTCGCCACCGTCACTGTCATCGTCATCGCCAGAGTCGCTGTCGGCTCCGATCCAGACCCGAGTGCCTGAGCCGGAGCTCGTTTCGTACTCGTCACTGGAGTCGTCGTCGTCGTCGTCGGCGTCCTGCGCTGCTAGGTCTTCGGCGTCGCCCTCTACCACATCCCCGAAGCTGAGGTCCCGAACGACACCATTGACGAGCTGGGCAGTAGCCTCGTCCTCAGCGTCGGCGTCGTTCATGCCTTGCGTGCGGCCAAATCGCCTACGGAGCTTGGCCTCATAAGCGACCTTCAGTTTGTAGTGGTATAACGCGATCTCGTCGACCTCCTTCAGCACAGTCTCGCGCTCGTTGCCGGCGTGTGGAAGGAGAAATTCCAGCGATATACGGTCTCCGATGCCATCGCGCATAAGATTGAGGAAGAGCTCGATCCACCGCATCAGGTTCGTGAATAGACCTTCACCCTTGGAGTGGACCTTGTGAACGAAACTGTAGAACGATTGTTCGTGGCGTTGGATCAGATCAATGAAGGTTTGCACCGTCTTCGCGGGTCGGTCTGGCTCACTAGTGCATTCATCTATGGGTCAGCGCAAATCACATCCATCAGTGAATAAACTACACACATTCTTCTGATTGCTCCACGGTCCGTATGAGGTCGTTCATGAAGTTCTGCATGTCCCCCAAGGAGTCGGCGATGCTTGCGGCGCGGTAGACTTGGGCGAGTGGGGCATAGAAGATAGTGATGATGTCCTTCAACAAATCGGCGGTCGTACCCTGCTGGACAGTTAGAGACATGTAAATGCCAAACAATAGGGCACTCGCACCTCGAAGATGAGCTCAATTAACTGTTCGCGATCCTTGAGGCGTGCATACAGCTTTGCGAGAAGACTCAAATCCTCAAATAACCAGGCCTCCTCGTCTTGCGGACCTTCGTCATCATCGGAATCTGCCAAGGACTCGGTATACTTGGTATACGCTTTATGCGCCCGGTGGGCGTACATGACGCGTTGAAGTTGTGCCCGCGAGAGTGGCGGATGGTCTCCCGCTCGCAGAACAACGGCGATAACATGCATGTTCTCAGCAGCTTGATATGCTTTAGTAATGACTCTTCTGGTGCAGAAAATGCATACCTGCATCGGCTTGTATACAGCTTGGATCTCTCGGGGCGCATAGACGTACAGACGGACCTTCTCACACATGACGGGGTCCTCAACCTTTTCCTTGACGGCTTCAATGTCCTCTTGCAGAGCACGGACTTCTTCCATGAGTGATCCCGTGAACATGCGCTGCAACAAGCTGCGGCCGCCGAACGGCTGTGCAAGAAACAGATCAAGAACACCGCGAATCATGGCCATTGGGTTGCTGATCTGAGCGCAGTCTTGAGCATAAAGTACGGCATAAGACCGTGGATGCGTTTCAGGCCTGCGAAGCTTTCGGAAGCGCTATCTGCAGCCACAAAGTGGTGGAATACTGTCGATGCCAGCCTGGGTTCCGCGCGCTGGCGTAAGTGACTCGGAATCTCGCAGGTTGCTGCGTATAGGGCTTACGAGATTCGCGCCCACTCAAGAACGGCTTGGTAGCTTGGAGGAAGGTTACGAACGTCTGGGTTCTCCTTGATCGTAGCGAATATGTGTGTCAGTCCATCTATGCACGGCGAATTAACGTCAGCCGCCAAATGCAGTAAGCTCGCGAAGCGGTAGCGAGGCTCACCTCGTCCCATGAGCTCGCCCTTAACACCGCGTACGGTGTCTCGCAGACTGTCTACACGGGCGGTTATCTCCTTGGCAAAGCGCATGCGTCCATCTTCCCTCATCCTGTCGGCTTCCTCGCGTCTTTTAGCGTCGGCCAATTCCTCCTCAGACAGTCTCGTCGGGCCGCTGAGCAGGAATGACTTCAACACGGGGGAGGACGAGAAAGTGGAAGACGAGAGTAGGGTGTGAAGGTACGACCGCAATGTCAGCCTGTTCTTCTCTCTCGACAGTCGTGCTGCTTGTTGTGCCATGCCACCATTAGTACCGTTTGTACCGTTACCGAAGAAAGGGCTGGTGGGTGAGCCTACACTGAAAGAATCGCTGCTGGAGTTGTGGTCGGTGTCGTAGAAGTCGCCGACCATCCTCTGCCGAACAGTCCCCTTTGTGTTACTGCGTCCCAGCTGTGGCGCATGTGGACTGCCCGGGGGTGGTGGTCTGAACCGAGACTGCGATAATGGTGATGGTGGTGGTAGGTGGGAGGCAGTTGATGCGGTAGGCGGTGGTGACGGATATCCGGTGGGATACGCCGGCGTAGATGGTATGGAGGAAACGGTGACATTGACGAAGCTGCGGTCCTTCGCAGGAGGCTGAGGAATGACTTCGTCGGGGTAATGTTTGTGTAGCTCGTCAGCAAGAGTCCTAAAGTCGCCATAACGGCGAGAAACGAAGACATCTGGTTGTGCTCTGCGGCGAGTGCGGATGATGAATTCCTGATGGATCCCAGGTAAGCGAAGGGGAGAGGATCAAAGTTTCATTGGGGCGTGCCTCATGTGCCTTGCTCCGCATGCGTTTCCTCTCGGTCACAGTCCGAACGCAGATCACATTCACATCGAAGCTATCCTTGAGCTTCCTCTCCCGAGCCAAACGCTTCTTCGCCAGAGCCTCGAGACGATTTAGATCGGCTTGGGTGAGACGAACGACCTCCTCGCCCTCGATGAGCTTGGTCGCGCTTGTGAGCAACATGGCCAGGTTGCGCTCCACCCGGATGAGCATTCGATGGCGGGCGGCCTCTTCGGAGTCTTCAGGATTATCGTCGAGGACGGAGGTGGGGGAGAGATTGCGGGAGAGAAGAGAGGCAAGGAAGGCTGTACCTTGTCCGGGAAGAAGTCCTTTGGGGCTGAGGCGAGGAAAGGGAAGGAGAGGACGAAGCGGCGAAAGATGAATCGGAGGAACGGGAGGTCGAGATGGGGCGCATCTTTCGGTGGTGGGTAAATGGTTTGCCAAGGTAGGAGAAGGTGGAAATATTGTTTGTAGGCGCAGTGACGAGTGCGTCAAGCTCCCGCCGGAACTCGAGATGGATGAGCTCCTTCTTGAGATAGTGCGCGCGTGTGGGGGTGAGCTCGGTGTTGAACGTCGGCGTAGCGGGGAGGGGAATGGCCGCGGCAGCAGAGAGAGATTCGTCGTCGGGCGGTGCGTCCTGGATGGGAGATTCGGCGAGCGGAGAGGCGAGCGGAGTGGCGAAGGGGGCGTCATCGAGTTCGGGAGAGGAGAGGAGATCAGTGGTGTTGAGCTGGGGGAAGTCGGGGACGGCGGGGACGGAGCGCAAGGGACGGGGCGGGCGAAGGGTGTCAGGTCCGTCCATGGAGACGGCGGTGGGGGGGGGGAGAGAGTGGACGCTCGCGGCGCTGAGGAGAGCGCAGGCGTTGGGCGGCGAGCGAGGCAGCCGATTGCGTCAGGGCTCGCGGCAGTGGCGGCACGTGCGATGACCAGGGCGCTCGATCCGATCCCTCTCGCGGCCGTGGACGGTGTCCAGCGGGAGAGGCGGTTGTAAGAATGTACATAGCTCACGGCACGTATATCGTCTGCCCTCGGTACGTCTTCCCGTTCCGTCCAGCATCCCCCGCAACCGACCCGCGATCGCCGTCACTCCCTCCCGGCACTCATCCATCTCCCGCCATGACCCGGCCACCGTCCAGCACTCCGAGCACGCCATCGACGCCGTGTTCACCGTCTCCACCTCCAGCTCCTGCCGCGAGTGCAGCGCGGCCATCACGTCCACCAGCCTGTTGAACCCCGACTTCCATGACCGCACCCCGCCCTCCGGATTCATGGTCACGTCCGTGATGAGAAACGACGATGCTTGCCCGATGCACCGCCGCAGAACGCCTTGATCCATGCGGCCCGACGTCCGCGTCATCTCCCCCAGTGTCTTGAGCACAACGTCCGCATAGTCGGTCGGTGGCGACATCTCGCTTGTCTCCTGTGATGTCCAGGTGAGTCTTGTGAGCCCTTCTCCCCTTTGCGCGCGCCTGGCATATCCCCGACGGAGGAGAGAGGAGGCGTACCCGACAAAGACTCTGCCATACCTGCGTAGTACGGGCGTATTAGGATGGAAGGGTGCTGGTGTGTGGGTGGGCAACAAGTTGAAGCAAGCAGCCTCTGGCAGAAGGGCTATCCGATATGGCTGACTGCAGGTGTCAAAGCCCTCCCGGGGTCGGCTAGGTCAATTATGTACCCACTTTCGCTCAGGAGGCTCTCCTTTCTGACAATGCAGTCTGTCCCGCATTTCCTCGCAACTGCATTCCCCAGCATGTCTGTTCCTGTGGGAATACCGTGCGCGCATTCAACCGCAGAAGGTGCAGGCGGTGATTAAAATCGTCGGGGCGGCCTGCTCTTCGTCCGAGCCTATTCGAGCCCATGGACTTGATCACGCCCACGTGGCTACGACCAAGCTGCTGCCCTGGCGCCTCTCCTAGTAACGCGCAGCGAACTCTCATCCGCTGCCAACGCGTTCCTCACCCCGGCTCCTTTCCCTGGTATCGGCCGGTCATTGCCCGTCATGGCCACCTTCCTCGCCAAATATCTCACCCCGCCTATGCCCAATGTCACCCCCGACTACGACGGCGTGGAGTATCGCTGGAAGTTCCTCACTTTCCGGCCGCTTGTGAGCCCCACTCATCCCTACTTCACGTATCAATCCCCACATCTCGTTCGCAGACTTCCAGTATGAGATCTACTTCCTCGGCGCCGCAATTGTGTACGCGTTATTCTTCTTTTTGGGGAAACAAACCAACAAGAGGAAGGCGTACAAATGGTGGGTGGTCCTTAGCTGGAATTTTGGCGTAGGATCTCACCAACCTTTCAGGTTGGAGGCCCATCTCGATCTTTACAAGTCGCAGTTCTCTGCACCGACAAAAACTGCAGAGTTAGTGCAAGGTATGTACTCGTGTCTGGGGCCGACCACAGACAGCTCACAGCTATACCCAGATGGGTACAGCGACTTCTTCGTTTTCTCCACCGGCAGACGCGGTCTCGCGTCCCTGCACACCGTCTTCACTCTCCGTCCGCGGCACGACCTTCTTCAATACGTATACCAGGTCGGACGCGGTCTGGTTGAGCTCGACTTCAAGGTCACGGACACCGTTGAGCTCGAGTTCACCTTCAAGGACCCCATCGGCGGCTCGGTTGTCCCAGAGTGCGTGTGGGGCATCGTGGCCAAGGACGAGATGAAGAACGTCCGGAACGACCGCTGGGACCTCGTACGTCCCCTCCCCCGCGCTCCCTTCCCCCGCGCCCGCCTCTCACCTCCCCGCTCCCCTCCCCGCAGACGTTCACCCGCACGACCGAGAACAGCGCGCTCCCGCCGACGATGGTCGTCATGGCCGAGTTCGCGGACGTCACCACGAACCTCCTCAAGCCGTACGGCGGCCTGAACCTCGCCGCGACGCTCTCCCTCCCGCGCTCCAGCCGTACTTCAAGTCGCTCACGCTCACCGACCAGCCCCGCGCGCGCCCGCTCGCGCCGCTCGAGCCCGCGGAGCGCGCCAAGCGCCTCGTCCTCTCCCTCGCGCTCCCGGACGACCCCGCGGCGACCGCGCCGCTCGTCGCGGCCGCGTTCCAGCTCGTGGACATCATCGCTGGCGAGGGGAAGCTGCCAGGCACGCCGCGCGGCGGGCTCGCGGGCGCGCTGCGGCCCGAGACGCGGACGAAGCTGAAGAAGACGCGGGAGGATGTGCAGAAACAGATCGCGGAGGAGGTGGGGCGCGAGAAGCTCGAGGAGGCGGAGGAGGAGAAGGCCGCGGCGAAGAAGAAGGCGCGCGACGAGCGGGTGTCGAAGCTGAGCGCGGCGGAGCAGCAGAAGATACTCGAGCGGGAAAAGAAGCGGATGATGCGCAAGAGCCAGGGCAAGGTCAAGATGAGGTAGACTGCCGGTTTGGTCTCGGCGCCGGTGGTGTTGTGCTTGGAGGCGGAGGAAGGCGTTGTTGCTTGTCGTGCTCTTGGTTTCACTTGCTTTCGGTACGATACTGTACAAGAGCTGTCTGGGCTGAGATAAATTAATTGCGCGTACATGTACATGCGTGACCAACTATGTCCTCCAGAAGCGTAACGTAGATGGGACCCAAGATCGAGAGCAGATAACAGTAAGAGTCTAGGTCGTGATTGTCCTGTGTAACGTGTGCGAGCGAGCATCGTTGGTCGACAGCCCAACAGAAGTGCTCTGCCCAGCGATCCCCTCACTGCCGCCGAGCTGCTTCTGGTTGGAATCGGAAACCTGCTTGGTGTTCGCCTCAGAGACCGCCGGGGACTCCTGCGTCTTGCTGACAAGCCTGCCACCCCAGTAGTTGAAGAACCGGAGCAGCCACGTCGGCTTCAAGTTCTGATGCTCCACCGCGTCCACCTCCTCACCCTCCGGCTCGTCCAGCAGCCCAGGCAGGTGCATCCCTTCCTCTTCCTCCTCCGCCTCGCTCTCCGTGCGTCCCAGCCGGTCCACGAGCCGCCCCTCCCCGTCGAGCGTCCACTGCACGTGGCTGAACGGCCCGTGCGCCCCCCTCACGCCCTGCGGCAGCCGCCTCCCAGTGCCGAACGCCTTCTCGCGGAGGGCGAGCACCCGCGCGCGGGGCTGCGCGGCCATGTGCAACAGGTCGCCCACCTGGAACTGCTCGCTCTCGTACGCGAGCGCGTGGGTCTCCTGCGCGAGCGCGTCCGCCTCCGCGCGGAGCGCCTCGACGCGGGGGAGCTCCCCAGCGCGCGCGGCGAGGAGCGCGAGCGCTTCTCGAGCGAGCTCGTGGTCCGCGTGCAGGCCCGCGTTCTGCGCGGCGAGGCGGGCGGCGAGGGCGGCGAGGACGGCGGCGACGTTCGCGAGGTGCGCCTCGCGCCGGCGCGCGACGAGGAGCTGCCCGCAGAGCTCGACGTCGATCCGCATGCGCTCGACGGGGAGCACGACGTCGTCTGCCGCGTCGGCGAGCGCCGCGGCGTCGTCGAAGCTCCGCCGCCGGTCGGACCCAGTCGCGAGCATGTGGTGCAGGGAGCGCCGTTCGGCGGTGGGGTCGCCCACGGACGAGCCATCGTCCTGGGGTGGTTGGGAGGAGGAAGAGTCAGCCTTTCCTAGAGGGCTTGGAGGGATGTGGTTGTCTCTTGAGTCCTGTTCGGTGTGCATGCCGCGGGCACTGCGGGTGTCGGACCAGCTGATGATACGGGATTGGGGGCGTGAGCCTGGGGGGCGCCGTAAGTTGAACTCAGAGACTCTGCGGTCGTATTCTGAGAGTTCGCTGGCGGATCGCTCGGCACCGCTCATTGTGCCAACACCGAGCATGAGAGGATTGGGGGTGTCCGCTACGGAATTGGTGGGTGCATGAGTGTGACGAAGGACGGTGTTACTTAAATACACGTACACACGGGCGACTGTTGACCGCTGCTCAGCATGTCTTCTTCGTCCACGGGCTCTCTATTTCAATTGAATCAGGTGTAAGCATGGAAATAGGGAGAAAAAACCAACCTTGAAACCACGACGGAAGGTACCATCGGGGATTGGCTAGACTTCTCAAATGGGGCTCGTGGAGATTCTGGCGAGAAAGCTTTTCCCAGTGTACCAAAATCGACGCTGAGCTTCTTGCCCTTCAAACTAACACGGTCGTTAGCAAGATTAACATCGCTGGGAGAGCACCACGTACGCAGCCCAACTTTCTATCTTGCGTTGCATCCTCCCAGACCACAAAGGCCGCTCCCCCTCATCACCGGACCGCACCAGGTTGCCGTCCTTGTCCTTCTCACGATCCCTCTCGTCTTTCTCCCGCCCGTCTTTCCAGGCGCTCTCTTTCTCACCAATTTTATCCTTGTCTCTATCTTCGCGCTCGCCGTCGCTCCACACCGCCTCTTTCTCTCGCCGCTTCTTTTCCGCATGTCCAGGGCGGCCTGTCCACAGGTATCGCAGACTCGGCGGCGCGTCCTTCGAAGTGACGGCATTGCGGGCGAATGCAGCAAGATCCGAAGTCACGCTGAGGGAGGTCGCTGTCGGCCCCCCGCTTTCGGTCGCGGTTGTCCGGAGATCGGTGGTGAGACCATCGAACTTGTTCTTTAGTACGCGGTGGACTTTGTACGACTCGCTCTGACGCGCCTTCTCGTAGTGCGTCTTGATGGATTCCATCAGGGCCTGCGAGAGGAACTTGACACTGGGGTTGGAGGTTGGGCTGGCTATGGCTGTGCTCGAGCTGGCCGTCGAGGCCGAGGAAGGGATGGGTGAAGCCGGATGTGAGAGAAGGTGTGGGTATGAATGGGATTTTGCGAGATTGATCCCGGCCAGTGCCTTCACAAATGCTAACGGCTCCAAGAATGGGTCCCTAGGAACGACCTAAGTTTTATTCAGTACATCTGCACTATATTCTGAGTCCAGTCTGGGAAAACGGAGCGGTCTCGAGCCAGTTTCAGTCGACTGGTTTTCAAAGGAGAGCACCCTGGAAGAGAGATAGAAAGACTCACGTAACCAAGCGCATGCAGCCTGCTGCGCGTACTCAGAATGAGGCTGAAGAGAGCCGCAATGACGGTAGGATCTGCGACTTTCTCCGACAGCTGGTTCAACGATAGGATGAAATAAGCCAAAAACTACCCCATCCGCAGAAGAATAAAGGTACCTCGATATCCAGATATGGTTCGCCGATCTCCGCTACCCATCGTTGAATGCCGTCGCATGTAACATCGCACAGCAGGCCGTTGCGCTCTTCCGCTGAGAACTCAAACATCCCAAAGATCGCCAATGAGGCTTGAATGACTTTGACCAGTTCGAGTATCGTAGAGTTGAATAAGTCGCGAGACCTTGCCGGTGCCTTGTCCGTCACATGGTACAGGGCAATGAATCGATCTTTCGTCGCGTCACTGATCCACGAGGTTAAGCCAAGTGGATAGGAGGGGGACAATGTTTCTCACCTTGGTTCCTCCAATGTCAGCGCACTGCGTCCACCGAGGCCCATACGGAGGATGTCGATATTTGCATACAGCTGATCCCTTACGTCCAAGAAGTTGCCAGACGGAATGTGCACAATAGTATAGTCCGAACGAAAGTTGGCCAACGATGTGACCATCAATATGCCCTTCTCTGTCTTTCGTGATATTATATGCGATCAATAGTAGGGACATGTGGACAACTCGTGATGCGCACCTCTTTCGGGCGGGCACCATCCCTACGCAGATTGCGAACTGCCTCGTCCCATACTATTTGGGCTTCGGATGGTGGCAAAGAGGACGACGGGCTGAGCGCTGTGACGGTGATCTATCTCATGTTACTAGTGCTGGGTCGGGTGTATTGACGGCGAAACACACCTTGTGTCTGGGATCTCCGGTGTATACCGTCACCACGAGGACGGGGCGTTTCCGCGCGACGACCCTTAGTCAGAACGTGCCATTGGACCGTCAGTGATAATGCAACAACAGGAGGTGGCGTACCACTTCTCCACGGCGTAGATCTGGCAACCTCCCAACTCGACGTACTCCTCCACTATCTCGAACTTCTCCCCGCCTGATATCCAATCCGATGCCCCGACCACTGCACGCTCTGGTACCTCCGTGAAAACTGACAGAGAGCCCGTCCTTGTCCGGCCGAGCTTCGATGGGGAAGGCTTGGAAGGGGGTATGCGCGGAGAGGCAGGAGTGTGCCTTATAGGACGAACGGTGGGTACGAGAAGACGTTTTGCTGTGCTGAGTACATTAACCGAAGAGACCTGGGGAGAGTAAAATGGCGTGGCGGGGACAGAAAGTGAGTTAGTCGAGCCATATGTGTGCGACCTGGAATTCACAGGTTGTCGAGGCGAGGGTGGGGAAGGTGGTGGCATTGACGGTGACTTAGACCGAGCGGGAGGGGAACCAGGCACTGGTGGGAGAATAGCGAGACCAGAAGCTTTGCCCTTGGAGTTTGGGCTGTACGCCTTCATTGCGAGTGTCTTGCAGTAGCTCTGTCTTGAAGGGGAGGTAGGTCGCAGAGCTGTGCTCTTAGTTAATGGAACTAACGCATGTTCCAGAGAGGACAGATGGAAACAAAATGCTCAGGGCCACCAGCAGCAGTGAGGTCGAGGTGAGAGAACAGTCGTGCTTGTTGTCTTCCGCACTGGTGAGCTTGGCCGCAGAGAGGCGGAAGTCGCCCGTGGCGGGAATGCCGCGCCGCGGGCGTTCTCACGGGCCGCTTGCCAGTCTCATTGACACTGCGGGAGACTTTGTGCGCCTCGTGGATTCGGCCCTCGCTGCCGCTTGCTTCCCCACTCCCTCGCATGTTCCCCAGTCGGCGTGCTCCCCCGTCTCCCTCGTCTCCGGGCTTCTCTCCAACCGACTCCTCATTTACGATACTCTCGGAGCGTTCCACGGTTCCTGGTATATTTGCAGCCAACGCCCTTGCCCGAAGACATCCTGACGCCCTTCTTATTACCCAATTACGATGGCGAAGATGAAAAAGAACAAGCCAAAGGGCCCCGATCAGGCTACCAAACCCCCGCAGACGGTCCAGTTCTCCGCTGTGCCTTCCGTGCAACGTGCTTCGGCCGCGTTCCATCCATCTGCACATGTTGAACACGCGAGTTCGCCGAACGCTCACACAGCGAGCGCGCAAGGTTCGTGTAATGTGTTCATAAGCCGCCTCGTTGTCGAAGCTCAACGCGTCCTTCACGTTCCCTCCCTTCTCTACGCGTATCTCGCGCGTCGGCGACCTATCTCTCCGTATGGACCGTCTTTCCAACCTTGTACCTTTTCCAGCAGGCTGGGGTCCGACACATTATGAGGACGAGGAAGAAGAGGAAGAAGAGTATAGTGATGATCAAGAGTGGGGAGGGGGCACGGACGCACCTGCGTCCGACCGGTGGGGGCAGCCCGCTTCCACGGCGGAGGACTGGGGTAGAACGGCGAACGACGTTGGGTGGGGCGAATCCGCCCCTCCCGCGCCGGTAGGATGGGGAGTTCCTGCTCAGGCGAGTCACCATGGAGGACAGTCGTTTGGGAGCAGCGGACCTGGGGTCTACAACCTGGCGCGAGGTCGCGGTGGCGCGAAACAAAGCGGTGCGCGACATCCCTCGTCCTCGGCGACCCTTGCCCAGGCGCTCGCACATCCCTCCACCCTCCATCCACCCGCAGCCTTCCAGCACATGTCTCCCGCCCAGGCTTGGGGAACTCCCGCCCCCGCCCCTGCATGGGGCGATCCATCCGCCGCAGCTACCTGGGGCGCACCGCAAGCAGCACCGCACCATCCTTCTAGAACACCCGCATGGGCGAATTGGGCGAGTGAAGCTAAAATGGTAAATACCTCATCTTTTCTTGCGACCGCCCCCACGAGTTCGAGAGCGTCTCTGCCAGCGGTAGGACTCACCGGGTCCTGTCCGGCCAGCAGCAGCACTCTCAGATCTTGAATTCCCTCTTAGACGCCCGTGAAGCAGACTAAGGATTCCTTCTCGCAGTCGCCTCCTAAGCAGAACGGCTACCACGGACAACAACCCCACCCCCCAGCTGCACGACCACGACATCAGTCAGACCCAGGCTACCTCGACAATCACCTCTCTCCGCAGCTCATAGCGGCCCAAACAGGTATCTTGCGTAGTATTCAAGAACACAATGCTCGGCAGGGGAACGGTTATGATCAGTCTCAGAGGCCCCCCGCGCAACCGTCAGGTGATAGCTGGAAGAACTGGGAGAGAGAAGCGTATTCGCGGGATCGTGCATCAACGATTCCCGAAGAAGACGAAGACTATGAAGATGAAGATGACTGGGCGGACGACGGTGATAACTGGGGTCATGCTGGTTATGATGCGCCTCAGCGGGTTCACTTTTCGTCTAGCGTCTCATACAAAACGCAGTCTTCTCATTCTGCAACTCGAGCGCACCATCCGACGGCCGCTGGATACCACGACGTCTCCAGTCATCCGAATCAAGTCTGGGTACCACCTTCCGTCAGTTCTCGGACGATGAAGATGGCCAATGGAACCATACCAATGCCGTCTGCCACTGCTCATACGACTGTCTTTGATCTCGCACCCCCTCGAAACGGCCTAGGAGAGAATGCATTTGTTGACTCAGGTGGCGAAGCTCTCGTTCCTGCCAAACGTGCTTTGTTCAGCCCCGACCGACCGGCCAAGGACCGCTTCCGATGGGGCTTCAATCCTGACAAAGATCCTCGAGTCGGGTCGCTCCTGAAGTGGATTCACGAGATGTCGAATGGGCTGGCGACCATCGGGGTGAGCGGAATCATACCGCCCTCCGCCTACGTTCACTCATGGATCATCATTCCAGCTATCTCAATTTCTGCGTACTCGTCAACGAGGAGCGCTATTCTCGAATGCTGATTACCATGCCTCCTCGGCTGTGGGTGCTCGAGTGCAGCCTGCGTTCGACTGGTTGAAGCTCTCTGAACTTCAAACCACCCTCGATTCGACATTGCAATCATCCGTCACGCTTTACGACCCCGCCTATCAAGTCGTTGTCTTCGTATTCCTGCTTTCACCCTCAGGAAACAGTATGGCTGTCTGGCGACGAAAACTCAATATTCCGGAAGCGATCCGTGATGCTCAAATGAACCATATTCTGGAGGTGAAAGCGAGTCTCAAAATCAGCTACCCTGTGTATGTTGACGAGTGAGTTGAAACTTGGGCTTGCATCATGAACAGTGAAGCTAACTCCTCAGGGATAGGCTACCGGTGGAGCCCAATGCGGCGACACCGTCTGTACCAAAGAAGAAGAAGCGGTTTGCGTTCCTACGCAGGTTGTTTGGACGTAAGAAAAAGGTTGATTCATAGCCCCCGTCTCGCCCACTGCGCTACCCCCCTCCTCACCCATACCCATGTCTGCTTGTTTACCCGTTTTCGTGCTGTGCTCGCTTTGTCGGTGCTGTATCGCTGCTTCGTCCACTGGAAATGTTGTCGCCTTCTCGTTAGTCAGTCACTTATTACTAATCGTCGATACCTTGTTTGTAGTTTTAGTCCTCTCCCCTCATGTGCGTACATATTACGAGTATTCACGAAGCTATCGAAATCTCCCATTGCTCTGGGCACGTGTGTTGCGACCCGACAACACACAACGCGCGCCTTCGGGTCAATTGCTTACTCTTCATCCACCATGTCCTGCCCTCCTCCCTCTTCGCCCTCCTCAACTCGTATCGTGCCCGCGCCGTCCCCCACAACAAGCGATGCAGAATTCCCGGCCGCATTACCCGTGCACTGGGACGTCCCGCCAGAGCCATCGCGGGAGCCCGTTCGGACGATGTTCCTGTCCGCCGCGGTGCTCGTCTGCGTGCTCAGCCCTTGGCTCCTCATGCGCAGCCGCCTCAGCACACTGCAGCGCCAGCTCGAGCAACTGAACTCCACCACCTCCTCCGTCGCCCGCGAAATGCGCGCCGGGTTCGCGCAGATGCCACCCGGCGGGGGCGCCGCCCGCCCGCCGCCCTCGGCGATGGTGGCCGCCCTCACGCACTCGTTCCAGACCGCGACCGCGACCGCCGCCGCCCAGGCGCAGAACCAGAACCAAGGCCCGGACCCGGCCGCAACGCCCGCGCCCGCGCCTGCGGGCCCCTCGTCCACCGAAGCCGGGACGGGGAAGGGGGAGTTCGTGGAGAACGACCGGTGGGAGCCCGGCGGCGGGATCCCGGAGCGTCCGTCGTCGCGCATGCTGTCGTTCCTGCTGTCGAACCAGAGCGCGACGACGGAGGTGCTCCGCGAGGACGTGCTCGCGGTGCAGCGGGAGGCGCAGTTCGCGGGTGTGCGCGCCACGAAGATGGGGAAGGCGTTGGAGGCGCTGGAAGGGCGCACCCTCGCGCTGGAGGAGCGGCTCCAAGCCGGCGCGGCGGGGGCGGCGACTCCGATGGACGGGCGGACAAAGTGAGTCGCGATCTGCGGGGTGTGGGCGGAGACGAAGACCGAAGTACTGACGGTTGGGGGTCCCCAGGGCGGGCATGGTCACGATGAGTGCGGGTGATGTCAGGGATTTGGGGCGTGCACTTGGGGACGTCGCTGCGTTCATCCATGAGATGGAGATGCGCGAGGGCCTTTCACAGCGGTCGGATGGACGCGGCATCGAGAGACTGCGCGATCTTGGGAAGAGATTCCAGTCGCTTGCATCGGTATGTCATCCACCTGTGCTCAACGGTGGCCGTTGCAGTTGATCTCGTTTACAGACGGCAGACCGGAAGGGTTCATGAGAAGAGGACATCACAGCACTTGCCACTATCTTCACTAGCTGGAACGCAGCACTCGCTGGGTACAAGACGTATGCGTCGGATCGAACCATACATGTATAATACACATCGATTTCTCAAAGAGTACATCCAAATCAGTCATCCAACGGGGTATATGGGACGTTATTTGTCGCATTTATTTTCGCCTCGTATCTTCGTCATTGCAGGGTATATCAGCTCCCACGAGTTGCACACACTAGAAAGCGCATGGACACTACCATAGCGTTTTTTCTGATTTGGAACAAGGAACTCCTCCATCAAATCCATGTCCACCCGCCCCCAGCCTGCAAACTCGCCCTTCCGCATTTCCTTGCACCGCCTGGAGAAAGAGGCGAGATGATAAGATAGCACGGCTTCCCATTCATACTGCGCGGCGATTTTGACAAGGTGGCTGCTGTACCGGAAGAAGTGGAGCGGGAGCATCGGGGAGGAGCTGTGCGCGAGCCCGTGCACACAGAGGATGGAGAAGTAGGCGTTGAGCGGGACGAGGAGTGAGTCGAGAGTGGCGTAGGTCTCCGTAGGCGAGGGCATGGCGTGGAGGGCGAAGACGCTCTCGTCAATGTCGACGTCGATGAGGTTCCATGTGGACTCGAGGATGCGGCGAGAGTCGAGCTTGAAGATCTCCGTGCCCGAGAGCTCGTGGTGGACGATCGCGGTGATGGTGTCCTGGTCCACGTGCGGGAAGAGGGTCGCGATAGAGCGGATGTCTTCCTGGCCGGGCGGGAGCATCTGGCGCTGATAGCGAGGTCAGCGTAGGTGCGAGACCACATCGACAAAAATGGGGGCCGCGGAGAAGCACTGACTTACTCACTGGGCGTGGCACGGATTCGAGGGTGGTATCTGTACCCGTATCGCGATTACGGAAAACACGAAGAAGCGGGGAGGGTATCGGAGGAGGAGGAGGCGTGTTGGGGTGTGCACGACATGCACCAGCGGCCAGAGAAAACGAGTGAGCAAGCGGGAGTGAATCAAGCAAACCTGTTCCAGATGACGCATTGAATGGGTACAGCCGCGCTCACAAAGCCCGCCAAATGGAGCGACCTCGCGGACGCATAGACGCCTAGCATCAGGAGCGAGGTCGACGACTCAGTCATCCAGCAGGCGGGCGGGCGAGACGGCGTTCGAGACGACAGCTGAGTCAAGCAGGCAGGCCAGGATAGCATTCCCAGCGCGTTCACGCTGCCGAGGACGACGAGGACGGGCTACTTGCCAAATATGGCAGGCACCGCTCATGCGTGGGAAACGGGTGGCTGGAGCAACTACACAGTTCATCGCAGATCGTCCCACGCTCCTCCTCCTCCTCTCAAGCGCGTCCCGACCATCCCATACGACATCCCTCAAGGTGAATACCCCGCTCTCCTTGCTGCTCATCTTCTTCGGGGTCGCGTGGGCACGGCTGTCGTCGCGCTGGACGCTTCCCCCAGTCCGCGCGATCTCGATGGAAGCCAGCGTGTCGCAACATCCATTCTCATGAGCTGCTTGCATCTATAGATCCTCAAACGACAAAATGCCCGGCAAGGTCAAGGCGTACGAACTCCAGTCCAAGTGCGTACATGTGGGGTGTTTCTTGCAGGCTCTCCTCACTGGTTCACACTACGCAGGTCCAAGCTCGACTTGACGAGGCAGCTTACCGAGCTCAAGACTGAGCTCCTCAGTCTCCGGGTACAGAAGATTGCTGGTGGCTCCGCGGCGAAGCTCACTAAGATGTATGACGTACCGTATATTCTTCTGCGCGACAAGAGAGCTCATGGGTATCACCATTCAGCAACACCGTCCGCAAGTCAATTGCACGCGTGCTGACGGTCACGAACCAAAAGCAGAGGCAAAACCTGCGCGAATTCTACAAGAAGAAGAAGTACCTCCCCCTTGACCTCCGCGCAAAGAAGACTCGCGCGATCCGGCGGCGTCTGACGAAAGTACGTACCGTCTGTTGTTGCGATCGCGCGGCTGGAATTCACGGGTGCTGCGTGAACAGCACGAGGCGTCGTTGAAGACGGAGAAGCAGCGCAAGAAGGATCTTCACTTCCCGCTCCGCAAGTACGCGGTGAAGGCATGAGGGCTTTCGCTGTGCAAGAGGATTTGCGGAGCCGGTTGTCTATGTCCCTTTGAGTTCGTCCACTTGCCATTTGTATGCTATTCGCTACCACACCACCATCAACATGCCATGCCGATTCATGCGCACATGCGACGGGACGGAGAATCATGAGGGCTTTCCACTGCTGGCCGAGGAGTTGAGTGGCGAAGAAAAGTAGCGGTGACCGGAGTGTTATTCGAAGATTGGAGTGGTTCGCTGCTGTTGCGGAAGGATGTCGGCTTGTCAAACAAGGCTAGCCATGCATCTGGATTTGCACAAGCGTTGGCCCTGCCTGTACCCTGTGGTTGTGGTGCGAGATGAGCGTCACGAGTGTCGGTGACTGTAGTGGCATGCCGCGATGGTGCCGAAGCCGTTGAGTGAGATGCACGGCGTGGGCTCATATTGCATGCGAACGCTGGGCGGGCGAAGCAGGGAGAAGGCCAGAGGAATGCAGTGGTCCGAGGCCGCCGTGTCGTGCACGCTCGCTGCTGCTGGCGGCGGCGGCGGCGGCGGCGGGCACAATGAAGTCGGCCGAGGCTGCGGAGGCCGTGGGCGGGCGGAGGGCCGGATCGGGCGTTGCGAGCGGGGGAGGCAGCGAGGCGGGACCTGTGTCATGCTCGCGTCAGTGACGTGCGGGCCAATGGGCGCCGGGCTCGAGCTGCCCAAGGCATCACGTCACCCGCCACAGTGCCAGTGCGCCCGCTCGGCCGTTTTGGCTCTTCCCCTCCCCTTCTCTCATCTCCCTTCCGAGCTCGCCTCGCCCTCGCCGCGAGTGTGCGTGCGTGCTCCCCCGCTTGCCCCCTGGTCCCATCAGCAAACCGTCCAAGAGCGGTAACCACCGCCCGCGCCAATCTCCATCTTCCGCCGGTCACCACGCGCCCTCCTCCCGGCGTGCATCGAACGTTCAACTCCACTCCGCCCGCGCCCACGCCCTACAGCCTCGCTTGTCTCCCTTAGTTATCGCTCTATTTATCCCTATTGCCTCCCTAACGACCTTCACGAATCATGGTGAGTGAACCTTGTGTCATGAGCATTGATTTTCGTCATTCCCCGGGCCCTATCATCCTTCCAAGTCATGGGAGATGCGCCGTATTCGCCCGTTCTCACCTTGCCGCATGGGCTTTCCCCGCCCCGCTCTACACGTGCGCACTAGAACTGTCTCACTCCCCGACGTTCGTGGCCCCCGAAGCCGCTTCCGGTTTCCCCTCAGTCGCCCACTGCGACCGCTCGGCGCATCTCCCCCTCCCCTCCGGGTTTGATACCCCCTCCTGCCCCGCCATGCCTCCCGGGTCCCGTCTTTTGAAAAAGCATTCGTCGTCGAGCTCGTCTGACAGTGGTCATCGTTACCAGCCGAAGCAGCTCACCAAGTCTCCCCCGCCCTCTCCCGTCGCCGAGCGCAAAGTCAAGTCCCCAGAATCATGGCCATATATACCCAGCACCAACCCCGCCAGCCAATACACTCTTCTTGAGAAACTCGGCACGGGCAGCTTCGGCGTCGTCTACAAAGCCATTCACAATGAGACTAAGCAGATTGTGGCCATCAAGCAGATCGGTGCGTCCACCTCGTGCATCCTGGTCCCGTGTCACTCACCATCCGCCCTAGACCTCGAGGACTCGGACGACGATATCTCCGAAATCCAGCAAGAAATCGCGAGCTTGGCCCAGTGCGATTCCGAGTACGTCACCCGGTATTATGGCTCCTTCGTGGTCGCCTACAAGCTGTGGATCGTCATGGAGTACCTCGCTGGTGGTTCCTGTCTCGACCTCTTGAAGGCTGGCGTCTTCACCGAGGCCCACATCGCTGTCATCATGCGTGAGCTCCTCCTCGGTCTCGACTACCTTCACAGCGAGGGCACGATCCATCGTGATATCAAGGCCGCGAACGTGCTACTATCTGCATCCGGGAAGGTCAAGCTTGCCGATTTCGGAGTGGCAGCACAACTCACCAGTACCCTCCGCCACACCTTCGTCGGTACGCCGTTCTGGATGGCGCCTGAGGTCATTCGACAAGCAGGATACGACGCGAAGGCCGATATCTGGAGCTTGGGTATCACCGGCATCGAGATGGCGAAGGGAGAGCCCCCGTTGGCGGAGTACCACCCGATGCGAGTCCTCTTCCTCATCCCCAAGGCGAAGCCTCCTGTTCTCGATGGTTCCTTCTCCCTGGCTTTTAAGGATTTCATCTCGCAGTGCCTAACCAAGGATCCGCACTCTGTGAGTTCATCCCTCGGTCCGCGTAGCATAAGCTCGCTGACAAGGGGATGCGCGCCATAGCGTCCGACCACTAAGGAGCTCCTACAGCACCGGTTCATCCGGGGAGCACGCAAGACGTCTTACCTCACCGAGCTCATCGAACGATACCAAGATTATCGTACACGCTCTCCTGGCCGGGCCCCGCAATATTACCAGGCTACCATTCGTAACAGCGGTGCTTGGGACGGTACGCTGCGCAGCGATTGGGACTTCAATACAATCCGGACCAACTCCGCAATGGGGTCGCTGCGAAGTATGGCCAAGGACATCATGCCACCCGGTATGGTACCTGATGACGACTACGAGGATGGGGGAGACGACCAGTCGATGTTCGACCCGAGCACGATCAACACGACTGCAGCCACGACGAAGGGTAGCGATGTGCCTCTCTCCCCACAAGTGGGCATGGGTGGGATCGGGATGAATGCAGAAGCGGGCCACTCGACCGTTGTCATTCGCTCGCTCTCCAAGGGTGCAAACGGGGACACAGACGCGACATCGCTTATGACGGACACCGGGTCGGATGAGACTACATATGGGACGCCAGTGACGCCGTCACAAAGTACGGAGAGCGTTGAGACCAAGGTCGGTGAGGCGAGTGAACCGCCACCGGCGTACAGGGGCTCCATGCGTGGAACACGGCGCTCATCATACACGGCTCGTCAGAACGTCACCACAGGCACCGTCCTCGGTGAGGCGGACATCGGCACCGGGATCGACACTATCCGGCCTGTGAAGAAGGTCGACACAGTCAGGTCGCTGAGGTTATCAGAGGAGTACGTGGGAAGTCTACGGGCAAGGGAGGGGAGCACCTCGTCGAATCCGGCGTCGCCCTCTACTGGCAGTCAGAAGGGCTCTCACAAGCGTCTGGCGAGCGAGGTACAGAAGGCGGGCAAGTCGCTGGTGGACGATGTCGTCTTGCCGTTGCTCTCAAAGGTGATTTCCGTCTGGCTGTCGTGAGCTCTCAACATTCTGACTGATCTCGTTCCAGGCAACAACAGACGACATGGACGCAAGGGAAATCGAGTCGCTGAGCATGATCTCTCGTGGGTTTGAAGAGCTTCGGGACGTGAATCCGGAGCTCGCCTACAACATTATCATCGATCTTCTCGCGGGCATCAATGAGTACGTTCGAGATTACTTGAACCCTGTTTGGCATGCTGATGGTGTTGGTTTAGGAACACGGCCGTCCGCAGTCATATCCAGACGGCGCGCACTCTCTTCCCACACAAACGGATAATACGCAAGAGCGAGATGACTGCGAAGGGCCTCATTGTCACCGAGGAGGAAGAGATCTCGGGTCTTCCCTCATCATCGTCTCCCATACCGACGCCTGTTGCGCCCGACACAGGGTCCCCGGTCCGCAAGTCGCCAATTTCTGAATTGCTATACTTGCGTTGGCTCGAAGGCCTCAAGCTCAAGTGGCCAAGTATCCTCTAATCGACCGGTGGCGCTACGCCACTCCACCTATAGAAGACCTTCCGGCAAGGGAAACCATCAACCCGAACTACAGCATTTGACTTCCCCAGTCAGACCCGGGTCTCATTTCTTGCCTCCGTAGAGGTTTAAACCCCGCGCCCCCCGTGCTTACTGGCTCTGTCGACGTCTTTCCATTGGTACTGGCCTTGTAAGAGGTCGCTCGCGCCGTCCAAGGGGCTTGCTTGTGCCATCCCTTCGTTCTACTCCCCATTGCGCTGCCATATGCTTACTCTCCGTGGAACACTTCAGATATTGCTTTTGCACTCCCTCTGCTCCATACCCACACCTCAATTCTCTTCACCGTCATGCTCTACACTCATGTTGCGGTCCTCTGGTACAACTCACTAACTTACTGTCACATTTATCTCGCTGTCTCATCCCGCATTCCTAGTCGCACTTACTGGTTTCTGTCTACACATCCTCGCCTCCCAACTGCGTGGTGCACTGGCATCATGCCCTGCACGACCGCCACATCCTCCCCTCCTCATTCTTGACACGCCCGCCCCCGGACCCGCACCGCGCACTGCGTCTCCCTCGCTCGACCGAGCCTTGCTCCCTTGTGCCGCACGTAATGACTTCACGACGTATGACCTTACGAGAGCCTGAGCCCGTTCCCCGCCGTTCCGGTTGAATGTATGCGCCTTTCAGTTGTACATGACTGCTTGTTCATACGGCGCCGCCGTCTGTAATCGGCATATACTCTTTTGACGTACGGTGATGCAGGCTCAGCGTCAGGACTCAATCGAGAGCCAAGCTCGCAAACATGGTCTCCGTGCTGATTTGAGCACCCGAACGAACGCTGGACACGGGGCTACCGTCTTCCTCCCCATCGGCATCCACAAGCTCGTGAAGGGATGGGGCCCGACGGGGATCAAGGTGGGTGGCTCACACTTCACTTGGAGGATATCGTGCTCCTATATGCTCTCTCTTGCAGCGGGTTCTCTTCGAGTTCACTCCCAAGGTTGAGCAGGCACTGCTCGAGCGCGGTTCCTCCGCGAAAGGGCTTGACCATCTTCTCGTGGAAACACATCCCTAACGCGATCTCTCCCGATTTCAGGATACGCACCGATGCTCATGAAAGAGCACTTCGCCGAAACCAATCCATCTCGAAGGGGCCGCAGATCCCCACGCAGGATCCGAATACGCATGTATCAAGTGAGCTTCTCGCTGCCATCGCCTCTTCCTCAAGGTGGATTCATTGTATCACATTCGTGCAATGATAGTTCGGCGGCCTACGTGCGACGGCACGTGTGCCATACATGTAGTAAACTGCGGCTCATGTACATACTCCTCATGATACGCCTTCGTGGCCCAGCCCCGCCGGCTTGATAATGGACGCAGATCCGGTTAGTTCAATATCACCGGTCTTTGGCCCGTCGCTGCTCGATGTGTGGTAGGTGAACGTCGAGCTTGAGTTCCAGTTGCGCAGCGCGCCCGTGCTCAGTGCCGAGTCCACGTCGCTATCCGCGAGGACAGGCAGTGAGGGAATCTCCCGCGCGTCACGTTGTCGTGCATGGTCATTTTAAGACAGACGAGAACGATGATCACGGTCGGATGCATTCCCGGCATGGGTTCAATGCAACTGAAAGAAGGTGATGAGGAAGTACCATCACATACCGTCAGATGGGTGAGCATGCCGGTGGCGATATGCACGCCATTGTCTTCGAGAAGGAACGGTATGACGACGACGATCTGCTCGAAAAACTGGTTAGTACCGCCCGTGGGGAAATTAGATACACTTGTTAGAGCGATGCAGTACACTGCACCAGACTCGATGATGATCAAGAGCGCGATCCAAGATTTTGAATTCCCGAGTATTTGGATGTGGCTTTTCTCAGCTCTAGACTGCACGAGGAGGCGAACAAGGCATTCCATCATGACGAAGAGGCCCTGCGCGCGCACAAGCTCGAGTGACGACCTAAATCATCGAAACATTGCTCGATGACCAAGTCAGCGAGCTGAGACAAGGATGGTACAGGGGACCGACCTCGGAGTGGCACCCGGTGCATCCGGACTCGTCTTGTTGGTGTCTCCGCGGCGCGGCGCGGTTTCATCTTGTGCGCGCAAGACAATAGAGAGAACGCCTCCCCGTGCTCGGCCGAGGCCACCGTACTTCTGGTTCAGCCACCCAGCGGTCGTAGACAATAACCTCCTCCCAAAAAGGGTAAGCCAGGCGTGGTGAGGCTAGCTTTTTGAGGACGCCGAGAGACTTGGCGTCGATAGCGCCTTCATAGGGTTTAGAAATTAGCGTTACGCGATCAGGCGTTCAGTAACCTATCACCGGGTATGGGCGTCCACACAGCAAGAGTCATTGTTTCGTTCGCCTTCGAGGGCGACCTGCGTCTTGGCCGCCCGGGAATGACGGCCTTGGTGCGCGGCCGCCGCGCCCATTCGATGTGCCGTGCATGCTTGGATCTTGATATCGCAGTGTGTGACCGCGGGCCGTGTGCTTCTCCGCGGGACCCCTCCCCGACCGGACAGGCCTAACGGACGAGGGTCGAGAAGGCGCGCTGTTCCTGAGCGGAGCCCGAGGCCGCAACGCGGTCTCGAGCAATGTCGCGCCGCAGTCCTGGAAGGGCACATGGTGCACAGTGAACTTCGAGCTAAATGCATAAAGAGAAGGCAGGGAGACGTCGGAAGGGCAGGGTCGCCTCCCACTCGACAGCTTCCTTCGACCGCTTTCCCTGTCTACCACTCACCTCCGCAATGGACGCTTACTTCACCATCGCTGCCGTGGTCCCCGTCGAGGAGCCCATGGACATCCTCGTGTCCCTCGAGACTGGTGACGGCAGCGGCGACCACAGCCAGTGCGTCATCGCTTGACCGCACAGCGTCCCTGCACGCGTCTCGTAAGTGTCCTTTCTCTCCTGTCTTCCACACGGACACGGACCTTGGATTGACCTGGACGAGCAGGCAGCAACGGCTCCATGACCACAGTTCGGCGCTCCTGCACAACGCGCTCGACCTCCGCCTTCGTCCCCATCGCAGCACAGCGCGCGCCTTTCGTTTTCACCGCAGCTATCGCTCGCCACGACCACCTTTCGGACATTCGTATCGATTAGCGATAATTTATCGCATTTGTGAGGGGGCGGATTGCGAGGGAAGGGGAGGGGAGTGGACATGCGGCGGATAGTGTTTTGCTGGTGTATTCGTCCTGGAAGCCCCAGAGACACCCGTTGTATGATCATCGTGATGGTCGTCTTTGTGACGCGCATTACCTGCCGGGACGGAGGGCACAATGTGAGAAAGTACAAGAAATAGAGGCAACACATTGCTCTCATCTGTGGTTAGAGCCATGCATGGGGGAGCACGCGTTTGGTAGAGCCGGATTCACTGGATCATCATGGTGGTGCAAACTTCAAAGTCAAGGCGACAAGAGCGCTCGTCACTACGCGGTGCTCCAAGTCTGCATCTAATCTAATCTTGCCCTCGGCACAGGACTGCTGCGGGTTCGCGCCGTCGAAGCCTTGCACTCTTCCACACGCTCCAGGCAACGACGAGCTCGCATATATTAAGATGTCGTCACAAGGGCCGCCCTTCTTGCCCACCCGACGCACGCGCTGAGGGGCCCACACTGACGTCCTTGGCTCAGGTACGCCCCCGCTTGCCGCCCTGCGGTCCCACGTCGCTCTAGCGTGCGTCCTTGGCCGCTGTCTCAGGGCTGTGCGCGGATCCTGGTGACACCACTCCCGCCTTCTCACGGCAGGGTACACAACTCCACACAACCCCTGCAGCAGCACCCGCTCGCGACAGTCCACACAGGGCGCGTCCGGCGGGGCCACAACAGGCGGTCGGCATCGAGCTCGAGCAGCTGGTGTCTACACGCCGCCGGATCGCATTCGAGCGGGATACATACAGCGGAGCGTACTGCCAAGCGAGACACGAGCGACTGCGACTGCGGCCGCTTTTTCGGGAGAGAGACGGTGCGCCGGCCACGCGGGCTATTATAACGAACGGGTATCGGAAAGGAGCGACGGGGGGGCTAGGTGGGTGGTTCGGTCTCGCGTGTGCGAGCACCGAGGCGCGTCGTTAGTATGTATAGCGGAGGTCCAATGCGTGCGCCTGTGCTGACGCGGGGAGTCCGGGACAGGGCAACGAGAAAGCAAAAGATAAACAAGCAGCTGGGGAGGGGGGAGGGGCGGCGCCCGTAAGTGTGGAGGCAGCGTGTCCGGGGTGAGGGGTGCAGCAGTCTTGGATTGTGAAGCGATTAGGAGGTGCGTGTCTAATCTGCCGTCTGCGGACTACTAAAGCGAGTAACTAGCCTGTGCCCGGGAGCCCTGGAGGAGAGACGAGAGAGCGGGTCGTGAGTTCTTGAGAGGCCGTCAGCGAGTCGCGCGCGCGGGGCGCTGCTCATGATGAGAGCGCGAGCGCGGCAGAGAGGACGCCGGCAAAGGCAGCGAGCGCAGCGGACACGGGCGACACGCCCGCGAGCGCGCCGCTCGTCTTCGAGCTGCCGTCGGCGGACTTGGTCGACGACGCCGCGCTCTTCGTCGTGGTCTGCGCGACGTTGTTCTTGCCGCTCGTGGCGGTCGTCGCGGGCGCGCCGGAGCCGCTGGACGAGATGGGCCCGACGGAGCCGGAGAAGGACGCGCCGACGACGCCGGGGAGGACCTCGGAGTCGGGCTTGGAGTCGGGCGAGTTGTGGTAGACGTCGCCGCCGTCAAGGCGGGCGAGGGACTCGAACTTCCAGCCGTTCTGGGCGATGAGCGGGAAGGCCTGGATGAACGCGCCGGTGGTGTCGTTGCTCAGCTCGTGCTCGAGGATGATGAGCCCGGGCGACTTCGGGCCCGTGATCCACTTCTGGAGGTTCGCGTCGACCTGGGGGCGGGTCGCGCCGCCGGCCTCGCCGATGCTCCAGTCCTCGGTGCTGGGAGAGTTGGAGATGAGCATCGCCGTGTGCGGACGGGCTGATCTGGGGCACTCACTCCTGGTTCCAGATGACGGTGCGGAGGCCAAAGACCTCCTTCGCGATCGCGCGCACGCGCTCGTCCGAGTCGCCAAAGGGCGGGCGCCAGTACTTGGGGAGGCGGCCGCTGGTGGAGTTGTGGATGAGCTGCATGGTGAAGCCGAGCTCGGCGACGACCTGCTCGTCCGAGAGCGTGGTCATGTACGGGTGCGTCCATGTGTGGACGGCGATGTCACCTGGAGGCGGGGCGGGGGATCAGCGGGACCGAACGCTGATGGAGATGGAGATGGAGACGGGCGCGAGGCGGGTGACTCACTCTGGAGGGTCTGGAACGCGAAGAGGAACTCGGTGGGGTAGGAGAGGATGTTGACACCGATCATGAAGTGGGTGGTGACCAGGTTGTTCTCGTGCAGGAGGTTGTAGAGCGGCATCGAGGTCTGTCACCAGGCGAAAAGATGAGACGCGTGAGAGAGGAGGATGGGTGCGGAAAGAGGGCAACGCACATCGAGCGGGCCGTCGTCGAAGGAGCTGCCGAAGACACCGTCGGGGGCGTCCCAGAGGTCCTCCGGGTTCCTGCACTTGTACGTCGCGGAGCAGACGGGCATGTTGTTCGGGTCCTGGCCGGGGTACGTCGGGTTCGTGTACGGGACGGCCTGCGTCGAGGGCGCGAGGCTGGGGACCTTGCCCGCGGACTTGGCGGCGCTGAGCGCGGTGAGCCAGGCCTGCGGGATCTGGGAGGTCTGGATGGGGACACCGGGGGTCGGGAAGCTCGCGCTCCATTCTGCGTGCGCGCGACCGTCAGCGAGCGGCTATCTCTGGCGGGACGAACGGGGACGGACCGGGGGTGCCGACCTGCGCGTAGCTCACGCCGTCGCCTGCCTTCTTGAACAGCTGGTGCGCGGGGTGGTCGCGGGCGTGGAACCAGCTGCTGGGCAGGGCGCGGCCGTGTGCGCGTGGTCCGCGTGCGCGTGCGCGTGCGGGTTCGCGAGCGCGGCCGCGGCGAGGAGGAGTGTCGAGAGGACGGTGGCGGGCGCGGGCATGGCGGGCGCGGGGTGGGGGTGAGAGAGGACGGAAAGAGGGCAGCGCGCGGGGCCGCGAAGAAGGCAAAGGGCGAGGGCGAGGATGTACGAAGAAGAAAGGCGGGGGTCCACGACGGCCGAACCGCTCGTTTTATCAAACCGACGCTGGTTGGTGCTCCCCAGCGTCCCGGTACAGGCGCCAGCCGATCACACTCGGCCATCCTTGCCGTCTCGCCCCCAACTTCGCGGCTACGCACCCCGCACTGACCCCCTTGTCGCCCCGCCCTCCTCCCGCAAGCTGGGTGCTTCACCGCGAGCGTGTTCGTCTGCGCGCGACGCCCGCCCCGCGCAGGTGCCGCCCTCGACGCCCAGCAGACGAGCGGAGGACGCGTCCAGACCAGGCGCCGCACCCGCGCGGACACCATCCACCATCTACCATCTGCCTGGCGCCCACCGCCTCCATCCTTGTTCCGGCAAGCGTTGCATGTTTGCGCGCGTCCATGATCGCCTTCGCCCTCTATTTTTCGCCTCCTCATGCCGCACCCGCTCGGCTGCCTGTCCCCGACTTTCGCGCGAAGCCCCGCGGGGGTTGGCCACGTGGGCTCTGGCGAATTCGGAGGGTCTCCCTCGTGCGCATCCCGAGGGCGGCCGTGCCCCGGCAGGAAACAGGCCCAGTCATACGCGTGCGCTGACGGCCTCGAGTGTCAAGTCGTCACCGACCGACCAGCTGGGAGCAGCACCATGCGACCGTCGCTCATGATGACGGTCGCGGTCGCGGTTCCCATCAGGGTGATCAACTACGGGCCGCTCCGCGCTCAGGAGCACGACTTGCTCGACTGGTTCGCTGTCTGGACGGTGGCGGATCGTCGGGGCTGACGTCCAACTCATCTCTCACGATGGAGACTTCAACCTCGGAATCGCTACTCTCCTGTACTACGGCCGCCCAAGCCCACGGCTGGGCTAACCAAGCGCCTCGGAGCGCAATCAAAAGTTCATAATCTCCCCCAAACGGCCATGCGGTGTGCACTCCTCTGTCGTGTTATTTTTGTAGTCGTCTTAGCCTACGGCAGCGGCAAACAACACATGCCGATCGTCGAGCCATCATTCACAGTCATCCACTCGTCCTCCCATCAGCACTGTAAACGCCCACCCTCGAACCGACAACGTCCGTTGCACCAAGCCAGCCCGGCGCACGACCGCTCCAGAATGCAGTACATGTACAGCACACGCGCGGGTCTTACACGACGAGCCCGAAAGAACGTCCTCTACACTCTACGCGGCCGCGGCGGCAACTGCCCCCCGATACGCAGGCCTGAGCACGAGGTGCCCGTTCGAAAGCTGTGCGATCTCCTTCACCAGCGCCGTGAACCGCGTCTTCTTCGTCTCGTCCGTCAGGTATCGGTTGAAGTGCTGGATGCACTCCCGCGTCGTCGCGTTCTCCGTGCTCCTCAGCCACTCTATCACCATCCGGTCCTCCAGCTCCCCCGCCGGGGGTGGCGCCTTCCGCTTCTTCTGTCGAGGCGCACCGTCGGGCCCGGTCGTATTCCCCCGTCCTCCGTGCCTTCCGCTTCAATTTCATCCCAGGCGGCCCCCCCGCCAACGACGATACCGCACCCACTCCCGGCGCTCCGGGCAGCGCAGACGGGCTCGTGGGCCGGCTCGTGGGCGGAGACGCCCCGGTGGGGCTTGCCAGTGGACTTCCGGCACGGCTTGGGATGCCCGCCTTCGGTTTCGGGACCTTTGGGCTCGTCGCGCGTTTCGCGACAATAGAGTGCCCGCCGTGGCCCGGACAGGCGATGTTGCGCGCGAGTGGGCTCAGTCTTCACAGTGGCCAATGGTGTTCCATTCGTTGCCGGCTTCGTCCCAGCGGGCGTAGCGGCGTAGCGGGTGGAACTTGTGCCGGTGGGCGCATGCCCGGTTTGGGTTCGGGAGGTAGGATCGCAGGGCCAGTGTGCACTTGTGGGGCCTCTTCCTCCTCCTCTTCCTCCTCCTGACGCCGCGCATGAGCGACAAGACGAATATGATTGCGAGTGAAACGCATACCGAGCTAGCGTAGGGGTTCTTCTCGTCGTCGGACTCGTCATAGCCACCTCCTTTCTCGAGCTTCTTCAGCGTCTTCTGCAGGTTCTTGCCTGCGCCCGTCAGTTTGTCGTCGTCTTCCTCTTCGTCGGTGTCAGCATCGAAGCCGTCAAACAGCTTATTCGCGTTTTTGTATTCTCTCTTGAGACGCTCCTGCATTGCCTCGTGAGCGAGACGTTATGGATTTCGGGACGATAATGCACACCTCGAGCTCCTTCGTCTCTTCATCCTCTTTATCGTCGTGCTCCATCCTGTCCTCGTCATCGGCGAAAGTCTCCTCGAAGTCCAGTTCGTCGAGGTCGCCTCTCCATCGCGTTCACGCTTCACTCTGCGTTTGCTGTCCCCACCCTCTTCGTCATCCCCAAACAGGTCGGACGGCCATTTCCACCGTCCTGAGCTTGCGACCCCTGGCCCGAGGCTCTGACCCCGCTGTGAACCAGTGACGACCGCTCGCAGCGGCCTGTTCTGTCTTCTGCCGAAGCGTCCATTGACTCGCATCTTTACGTTTCTGCAGCTTCGACATCTAAAAATACCCAGTGCCCGACACTCACGGATGAGCACGTCGGAAGCATGGTCACAGTGCGATGTGGACGCACCAAGGACTCCGCCTCTTCGAGGGTCGGCACATGGTGGCTCGGCTTCTTGTGGAACTTGTACCACCGATGGGCGGGCACGAACTTGAAGATGTCGTTCGCCGCGGGCATGAACATCGCGTACATATCGCTCTTCGACACCTCCTCCATCGACGCGACCCACGTCTCCTGCCCCAGCCCGTCCTCGATCACCCACGGGAACTTCTCCTCGCGGCGGAGCTGCCGCGTCGCCTCGGGCACCTTGAACACCTGCTTCGTCTTCTTCTGAAACCGCTTCTTCTTGTCCTTGTCCTTGTCCCCCTCCTTGCCCTCCCCGCCGCCGTCACCCGCGCGCACCGGCCGGCCCTGCGCGTCGACCATGACGATCTTCCCGTCCGCGCCGATGACGTGCTTCCCGTCCGACCCGACCATCGCCGTGACCGCCCCGGCCCCAGCGCCGCCCGCGCCCGCCGCGTCCTGCCGGTGCGGGTCCTTGCGGTTCAGCTTCACGGGCGTCGCCCACTCCCGATCTCGACGTGCTTCCGGCTGTCGAACTTCATCACGTCGTACTTCCACCCGTTCAGCTTCGACGACATCAGCCTGTACTCCGTCGGCACGCCCTCCGGCACCGTCGTCGGCGCAGAGGTGGTGGAGGAGGAGGGGGGGAGTGGGGCGGGCCGCCGCGCGGCGGCGGGCTGGCCCACGCCCGGTTTCCTGGGCGTGCCGGGCGCGGAGTGCGTCGACTGCGTCTGCGACGGCCCCGGGGAGGGCGTGTGCACCGCCGGGGCGGGCTTCTTGGTCGGCACCGGGCGGCTGGGCTTGGGGTTGAAGAGGGTGGGGCCGCCTTTCTTCGCCATGGGGGGCTGGACCGGATGCGGATGCAGTGGCGGACGGGCGAGACTCGAGTGGCGCGAGCGCGATGTCAGAGATTCGGCCTGTGCGGGCGGAAGAACGTGACGGCAACACGCAGCGAAGGTGGCCGAGACGTAGAGAGGGGGAGAACAGCCCTGGGCAGAGGGGGGTAGATGGTGGTAGAGGTCCAAGCCGTGTGTGGCGTGCACTGTAGGCGCGGGGCCGAACGCGCTTAAAGTTATGGCACGGCCCACGCCTCTGACTCTGGAGTGTGGTCCTCGCCCAATGCATGACTCCCGGGCTCCAGCATCGCAACGCACACAAGGCCAATCACAGATCCGGCGAGTGTGTTCGTATTTATCTACATCGTATTCAAACACGATGTCTGTCCTCTCTAGAGATATATGAGGAGATATGTCCATCGGGGTTCCCGACCACGCCTGTACACCCTACCGGCGGATTCGCACGGAGCAGCAGCCATAGTAAATAATATGCAAACAAAGAGAACAGGGATAGCGAGTCCACGGAATCGTACACTGCAAGGCATCCCCCATCCCTACACGCGATCCCTGATCTCATATAGACATGACGGAATGCCTGGAGCACAACATACGCAAGCGACTATGAGGACGACTGCGGGATCGCGAGCATCAGAGATAGTAAGGCTACAAATGGGACCACGAAGCGAAGCCTATGAGACGTCCGTACGCGCTGGTGACGGACCACCATTCACGACGGGAGGTTGGGGAGGAGGGGCGCCTCCTGGCGGGTACGTGTTGTGTGAAGAGCCTGGTCTTGAGCCCGGCTGCGGGCCTCCAGCATGAGGCCCAGCGGAGTGGGGGTGATGAGGGGCAGATGGGGGAGCCGTGCCTGGGGCGGCTCCTGGGTGTACATGGGGTGGGGGTGGAGGAGCGCCTGGTGGAGGGTACGAGGCGACCCCGACGGGATAGCCGTGCACAACAGAATGCGGGGGAGCTCCGGCAAAGGGTGGGGGCATGCCTTGGCGGTAGCCTTCGACTTCGTGGCGCAACATCTCAATCTGGTTGCCCATATCCTGATGGCTTTGTTTGAGTGTGACTATGAAGTCAATGGCTGAATAGGCGCGGAGGGACTTTAAACCCGGGAACTTGACGAGAAAATTGGGCAAGGGGCGCACCTTTGCTGAGAATTTCCCATTTGCTCGCTTTCATTCCCCGGTCGGCGGGAAGCTGGTCCCGCAGCTCGTCAAACAACTCCTTCATCTCTTTCCTGCGCTTCCGTTCCGCGAGCTTGTGGGAGACGCGTAGCTCCGGGGAGCGCGAGTACGGGGTTGAGCCTGAAGGCTTGTCGGACATGCCGCCGTCTTCGGGGTTGCTTTCGCCGGGGGAGGCCTGGCCGGCGGTGGGGAGTGGTCTGTGTTGCGGACGCGCGATGGCGGGCGGGAGCGCGAGCGGAGAGCGCGAGAGGGCCCCGAGGCCGGGGGGAGGGCGTCGGAGGAGATGTTGGGGGCCGACATTCGACGATCTGGGGCAAAGGCGACGGGAGGCATGGCGGTGGTGAGAGGGTCGAAGGAGTGGGGGCCGGGCATATTAACAGCAGGCTCGTGCTGCATGTTTGTCGGGGGAGGTTGATCGGACGCAGGAGGATTAGCAGGCCACGCGAAAGTTGCGATGCCGCCAGGAGGCCGGCCATGTGGCGAGTCGCCGGGAAGTGCCGAGGAGGGCGTCGTATAGCCCGTCGTAAGCGGCGTGTTCGAGTTGCCCGTGTATGCCGACGCCGAGCTCGTCGAGTCCCGTCGGTCTGTTGTCCACCACGGCGAGCCCGCGGAGGCCCGCGCGTCGACCGAGTTCCGACGGTCGTACAGGCTCAGCTGCGCGATCCGCGCCGTGTCGATCGCAGAGCCCCGCCGCTTCGGCGCAGGCTCGTCCTCTCGCCCGCCCTCAGGCCCGACCAGCTGGGGATCGATGTCTGGGCTTCGCGGATACACGCCTTTGTCGGACGACATCTTGCGCTTCGTGCCTTGAGGCGAAACGTGTAAGCGAGCGGTCAAAACGTCGTTTGAAGAGACCATTAACCACCTGCTACGACCGACTGCCGGCGCCCGCTGTAGTGGATGTCCTCCATGTCGCGCGGGCCATGATCCGGACGCGCGTGTCCGCCACGCTCCTGGCCATGCTGTTGCGGGTTCTCGTGCTTGTCCACCTCCATGTGGTCGCCGCCCTTCGCCCTGTCCGGCGCTGCTCATAAAACGGGCCGTCAGAAGCACCGTTCGCTGAGACACCCTCCCAACACGCGTTCGAGTCAGCTGCGTAGAACTCACCTTGGCTTCCATTGCGCTCCCCGGGACCGACCTCGCGTGAGTTGGTGTCCACCGCCATGGCGCGTCTATCTCCTGGCTCTGGTGTTGGCGACCTGAGAAGCCTCCTGAAGTGGGCGCTGGGGCTTCCAGAGGAGTGGGTGGAAGCGTCCCCAAACCTGTAGGGGGAGAGCGGACGTGATTGGGAAAAGGACCGTCTGGGCTCGTGGGAGGCAGAGGAGGGGAATGAGGGGGGTGGAGACTCGGGCCGTCGGAAAGGCGATGCTACACTCGAGGAACCGGCTGGGCCGGGAGGGAAGGAGGGGGTGCTTGCAGCGTGCAGGGAGGGGTCCGTGATGGATCCACGGCGCTGATTTTGAAGATACTCGAGAGGAGCGAGGGGGGTGACGGCGTTCTGGCGCGAGGTGGAGAGCGGAGAGGTGGGCTTGGGTGGGAGAGTGGAGGCGGTGGGGGCGCGACCGTAGGGCGAGGAGGCGCGTTTTGAGCTGGAGTGGTGTGTGCCGCCGTCCGGGGCGACAGAGGACATGGCGGGGGGGTCGGGGGGCGGGAACGCAGCACGGCACGGCGAGACTGCACGAATGGAATGGGCGTACTGGCCAAAGTGCGCGTGGCTGGGTTGATAACCACGTGGGGGAAAACTACCGCGCGCGTTCAAAAGAGGATAGATTGACTGATACCAATCACTCAGCGCGCACCCGGCTCTCCGCCGCCGCCCTCCTCCTCCCTCCTCCTCCTCCTCGACGACCGGGCTGTCGGGGTGGAAACCGCACGCCTGCCATTCACCGCCGACTCAATGCGTCTGCTCGTCCACCATCAGCCTCCCCCACCCCGTCTTCCCCCCATCTGCTCTCACCCCCCAAGCGACTCGTCCCTGGCGATCGCGTTCGCGCACTATCACCGTCCCCGCGTCTTTTCCCAGCTCCTCGGTCACCTTGCTGTCTGTTCCCACTCTTCCAACGATTGGCGTGTTACCTCTAGCCAGGGTGACGCCGAGAGAGAGACAGAAGCCATCTGCTAACGACACAGAGCGCAACAGCTCTCAGGGTTACGAGATTGCCCTCGTTCTGCTTCCGGCAGCGTCAGAGGCCATCTTCCCCGTCTGATGTGCAGCCGCCATTTCTCCGGAGCAACTCAACGCTTGTACCTGCTTGCACAGGAATCGGCCCCCTCGAGGGCTGTGAATCGCGCGACTTGGGCACCGTGCTTCTGGACCAACGGGCGGCTTGACTCTTCTATCAAGCGTGTATTCTTGGGGTGGAAAACAACGAGGGTCTCATTTTATTAACAAAGTACTCGAAAGCGGTCTTGCTCGCCACTGTCTATGTTCAAGGCTGCGCATTCCCATTTCTGGAACTTCACCAGCGGCTTGGACAGGAGGGTGTGTGGGGGAAGTAAGCATAAGGAAGTGTAGGCAGCCAAACATATGTTTCAGCACGAGGGCGCGATCGTCGCAGCACTTCCGCATATATTATTATCTCGCAGCAAGCACTTACCCGCCCGAATGCTACGGTTCAATGTGTCCCTGGTACCGTCCTTCCGTGAGAGCCTCAAAATTTGACAGTCATTTAGAGGACGTCGTACTCCGCTAGACTCTGCTGTTGTTCGTGCGGTCATTTGAGCGCCTATTCCATTAGCCCTCCAAAACACGTGATGGGTTCTCTATTTTTCGGTGCGCGAGCAACCACCACTTCCTTCTCCACCTCCCGCACCTCTTTCCATCTCTACCCTTGTGGTCACGTAACGCCATGGCGAAAGACAAGTCTGAAAAGAAGGATAAGAAAAAGAAGGAGGAGGCCGTCGAGGATGTTGAGATGGACGATGCAGAGCCTGTAAAGGTGTGTCGACTCAAGAATTTCCATACGTGTAGGTGCCAATTCTTGACAGGCTGAGAAGAAGGCGAAGAAGGAAAAGGAGGAGATTGTTATCCCAGTGGAAGACCTCTCGCCCATCGCGCAGCCACTCGCGCAGAAGAAGATGCTGAAGAAGCTGCACAAGACTATCAAGAAAGGTACGATGCCCCGTGCTTGCTGGTGCTGTATGGCGCATTTAATGTTCTTTGTAGCGTCAAAACAACGGCAAGTGAAGCGGGGTGTGAAGGAGGTCGTGAAAGCCATCCGAAAGGGCGAGAGAGGGTGTGTTCTGCCGTCTTTCTGAGATACAGGCGGCAACTGACATCTCATTCGCAGACTGCTCGTCCTGGCCGCGGATATCACGCCCATTGACATCATCTCACACTTACCGGTCATGGCAGAGGACGCACAGATCCCGTACGTGTTCGTGCCCTCGAAGGAGGAGCTGGGGCATGCGAGCGCGACAAAGCGGCCAACAAGTTGTGTCATGGTCTGCCCTGACCAGAAGAAGAAGGGAAAGCCAAAAGACGGCGCGGAGGAGAAGGACGACGACTACCGGGAGACGTACGACGAGTGCTGTAAAGAGATACAGCTCCTGGACCAAAAGCTTGTCTTTTGAACAGACTGTGCCGTCCCCCTCTCGTCCCGTAGCATCTGTACTCCTCGCATTGTCCCGTCGCTCATGTATCGCTTTCGCTGTATATACCTCCTCCACACTGCGCGCTCGACACCCGCCATGCGGCGCCGCCCTCCGCCCCGCGCGCGCTCGCCCAGCAGTCCGGCAATCTGATTCTGCAGCATGAGCGGACGTCTCGCAATTGAGCCACGTCACGAGAGTGCGCGAGTGCCCCGCGCCGGTCTGTCTCACACTCCCGCCCTCCTCTGCACCATCCCACCACGCACCCCTCTCTTGCTCCCGCCCGTGCTCCTCACTTCCCTTTCCGCACACCGCAAGCGCAAAATGGCTCCCAAGTCGAAGTCCGCCGCGACCAACGGTGCGTCCAAAAAGCCCTCCTCCGCCGCGCCCTCGGGCACCGCGAGCCCCGTCCCGCCCGCGGTCTCTGCGGAGCCCCAGGAGCTCGCTTCCTACGGCTCCGGCAAGCCGGACAAGGCCGTCTACGACGCGGAGCAGAACAAGATCAAGACGGAGATCGACGCCGTGCAGGCCAAGCTGGTGCGTGCTCTTCCGCAGGCCGATGGTGACGCGCAGGACCCGCGGTCTCACCGCCGTGCTTCGGGCTGCAGAACGTCGTCAGGGACAAGCTCGGTGGCGGCAAGGGCGGTCCCGCCCAGGAGCGGCGGAACAAGCTCCGCGCGGAGCTGGACGAAATCCGCGGCCAGCAGTCGACGGGCAAGCTCGCGAGGGGGAAGCTGCACGAGCAGCTGGACGCTATGCGCGAGGCCACGAGCAAGAGGGTGCGTTCTGATTGGTCCCTTGTGCATTGTGGGTGCTGAACGAAGAGCATTCCAGATAAAAGATCTTAACGCTCAGAAGTTGAAGATCCCGTACAAAACTGTGGTCGAAGTCGAGGACCGCATCAGGTACGTTTCTCTGCGTGGACTGTGTCAGTCCTTCGTCTAATGCGACGCCATTCACCAGGCAGCTGGAGAAGCAAGTTGAGTCTGGTAGCATGAAGCTGGTGGAAGAGAAGCGTGCCCTACAGGAGATCAGCCAGTGGAAGCGGAGCCGGCGGATAGTCGAGGGTTTCCAGGCCGAGCAGGACACCATCGACGCGGAGCGCGCGGCGGCCGAAGAGCTTCGCAAGCAGCTCGACGACCCTGTGGCCAAGGCCGCGTCGGAGCGCTACGACACGATCAAGAAGGAGCTCGATGAGATCAAGAAGGAGAATGACGAGGCGTACGCCAGCCGGAGCAAGCTCCTCGACGAGCGGACTGCGTTCCAGACGCAGCTCGACGAGCTCTACGGCCGCAAGCGCGACTCCGCCGCGCGCTTCAAGGACGCGAACGACCGGTTCTACACGAAGCTCACCGAGGACCGCGCCCGCCGCGCAGAGCGCCTCCGCACGCAGCGCGAGGAGCAAGAGGCGGCGAAGAAGAAGGAGATTGTGGACCGCATCCGCGACGAGGCCGACACCCCCGCGTTCCAGGCGCAGATCGAGGACTGCCAAACGCTCGTCGACTACTTCTCTGGCAAGTCCACCGCGAGCACGCTCTCCACCCAGAAGCCGCTCATCGAGCGCGCGGACGTCGCGGGCGTCGCGAAGCTCGACATCCGCAAGGTTGAAGCCAAGCCCGACGGTGTCGTCGTCCGCAAGAAGAAGGGCGAGGACGAGGAGTCGTACTTCATCGGCGCCGGCAAGAAGAAGGGCGGCAAGAAGGGCGGCGCGAAGCCTGCCCCCTCTCCCGCCCCCGCCCCCGCGGCGGACGCGGAGGCAGAGGTTGCCGCTCCCACCGCTGGCGGCCAGCTCAACGTCCCTCTGCCCATCCTCACCGCGCTCCTCTCGCTCTCAATACCGCCCCCGACGTCCACCACGGACGTGCCCCGCGTCATTGAGGACCTGAAGACGAAAAAGGCGTGGTTCGAGGCTAACCAGACCCGCCAGACCGCTGAGAACAAGGCCAAGGCTGAGGCCGAGATTCGCAAGCTGCTTGGCAGCAAGGCTGTCGACGCGGACGTGCCGCCCAGCGACGGCGCCGAGCACCCCCCAGAGCCGGCGCCTACCCCCGCCGCGGCTGACGCGCCCGCGGTCGCAGTCCCCGCGGAGTCGGTCGCCGAGAACCTGGAGGCAGTCGCGGAGCAGGAGGCCGAAGCATAGTGTCTACCGGTGTTGGGAGGGTCTCTGGGAAGTACCTGTTTGGACTAATTAAACTGTAATCGTCGCCGCACACTTGCATATCCTACGGTCGCCATCACTCGCCATCACAATCGTACTCATTCTCTGCGCTGAACAGACGGGCTTGCACGCGTGTTCGAATGGCCCCAGTGTCAAAGAGTGTGTGAATGGTATCACGAACAGTAACCGGGGCGTTTCCCGGCGGGGATGAGATACATGGACATTGGATGCTGCCGAAACCAGGAGCGATACCTATAGAGGCTTTATACGGAGGGAGGGAGAGTAGACGTCAATACAGCGCGGGGAGTCAAAAGTCAATAATTAGTAGCAAGTGAGAGCAGACGACACAGGTATTAGTCGGGTAGTAGGGTATAGCAGTAACGAAAGTCATTCAACATGGCCCAAGGACAGATGATTACTGGGACGTTCCCGTGTTCATGATTCCGACTTGACAGAGTCGGTCGCCTCGTTCTCCGGTTCACTGCTCGCGGATGGCGGCGTGCCAGACGCACTGATGCCGAGGTCTTGGGGTGTGAAGGGGACGTCGAACGTGCCCGAACCGTAGTCGGCGAAAGACATACCCGAGGCGTGGACGGGCAGGTCGTCCTGCGACGACGAGCCGTCGAGGTAGGTGAGCGAACCGAACGCGTCGGCGCCGAACGTGGTCGCGGACGGGTCAAGGGTGCCGGACGAGAAGGAGTCGGCCTGCAGTGCGGCGAGCATGCTCGTGGTGGTCGGTGTGTGCGCCATCGAGGTAGTGGTGTTGTGGAAGCTCTCCTGGCCCGGCATCGGTGACAGCGAGAAGAATTGTTGCTGCATGACGGGCTCGACCGAGGCCGCGACCGAATTTGTCGAAAGCGCGACGTTCCTGAGGACGTTGAGCGCAATCCAGTCACTGAGGTTTGCGAGCAAGAGGGTAAGTAAGGATCTTCACAGAGCGCTATCACCGACTCACTCCAAGAACAGCTTGAGGATCTGGAACGCGCCAAAAGCAGGATCACTCCGAATGGTCTGCCCGGGGAATCAAGATCAGCCGCAGGCGCAACAGCCGATTGTAACCAGATACTCACCAGATCCCGCATAACCTGACTCGTCACGTAACCCCAACGGATCAACACACTTCGGGAGCTCATCGTCGACCGATCCTCGCTGCCACGGGCACCCATGAGGCGCTCGCAGCACTTGTCCGCCCAGGCCATGACGTCCCTGACCGGGTCTTGGCTCTTGCCGAGGCTCTCGAGGAGGGCGACGAACTCGCCCTCCAATAGCTGAACGAGGTCCTCGTGCCTACAGTTGCACACCAGCGCGGACTGGTTGCGCACCGACTCGAAGTCAATCTTCTGCCATGATCTCCGCATCTCCAAGAGCTGCTTTTGGTTCGTGAGGACCGTGTTTAACGCCTGGGTCACCTGGTAGATGTCAAGGAACCGCACTGAAAGGATTCTGTGAGTACAATAGCCTGGCGATCCCGTGCGCGGAAGTACGCACAAACAAGGTGCCCGAAGCGTGCGCCAAGCTCGACCTTGGGCTCCACAAACGTGTTGCCGTACGAATCGAGCGCCACCAGGAGGATCTTCTCCATCTTGTCAGCCAGCTGTCGGAGGCCGGAAAGGGAGGCCGGAGCGATCGGTGAGAGCATCTGGGCACGCAGCATCTCAAGAATTTCCTATAAGGGGATGGGTCCATCAGCGGACAGGCGGGAGTGAACAATTGACACAAGAACTCACGTCGTAAACGATCGCATCCGCCTTCGCCATCAGGCCTGCGACGGCCGGAGCGTGGACAACCTCACGGTGCGCGCCAGTGAGCGTCGACCAGAACGAGCGGAGGTGCATCTCGAACTGGTCGAATCGGAAACTGCGCACGGAGTCGAGAAGCGCGTCGAGGTGGTCCTGGAACCAGTTCCACACCTCGCGGGCCGCAACGCTCTGGGGTGTAGTCGAGTTGGCACCGACGGCCTCGTCGATGCTCGGGAAGTTGGCGATCTGGCGCACGGACGACGTCGCGGAGCCGCTCAGCATCGGCATCGCTGGCGGCACACTCCCTGACGGGGACGGCTGCGAAACCTGGAGGCCCTCCTGGCCTGTGTGCCTGCGGATGGGCGCCTGGACGGGGAAGCCGCTAGCGGGCCGCTGCGTGGCCTGGGCCTGGGAGAGCAGGGTGGCTGCGGTGGGAGTCTTCTCATCCGCAAAGATGGCGGGTGCCTTCGCGCCGCCACCGGACAGATTGAGCGAGTTGCGTTTGGAGGCGTTGGCAGAGGCGGGGCCCTCAGACTCGTCCTCGTCGTCCTCATCGGAGCCGCCCCGGCCGAGGCCCTCGCCGCCCTCGCTGGACATGCGGGCGGCATTGACGGCCTGCTGTGCGGCGTTGTTGTTGGACTTGCGGATGTAGTCCTGGAGAAACTCGGCCTCGGCGGACGTAGCAGGGCGAATCCCGCAATCTGTCAGAAGCGGACACAGTGGTGGCGTCAATCAGTCAGGGAATCATGATCGAAGGAGGACCAGACGCACAGTGGTACTTGCTATTTCCTCGCACTCCAAGCCGGCGAGTCTTGATAGTGGGGAAGCAGAGCCGGATCGCCTTCCCTAGCGTAGCCGTGTTGATGTGTGGGATTCCGTACTGGTCGCACACCCGTCGGTACGAGAAGTAGAGCCCTTGACGCGGCACATTCCCGTCTGGGTACGGAGAATAGTTGGCGGTCAACCTGTGCACCCGACAAGGAACACGTCCGCGTGGCGGGAACAAGGCGGATGCGAGCATCAAACAGGTTTCGGATGGATGGCGAGATCGAAGCGCGGACGAACAGGGGGACCGGCGGGGGATGAGCGGCCGGTTCAGTGGCGGGGCGCACGAAACAGACAGCGAGAACGACGCACCATGCCTGCACGAAAATCTGCTTTGCCCTGTCCGAGGCACTCGTCGTCGTCGCGGCACGCACGTTGGCCGCGAGCTTCTCCAGGGCGTGGTCGGGACTGAGAGTCATGCGGGCATATGCGCCCGATGGGTGCATGGCCTCCATTGGCGTCGGCATCATCGCCTGCGGGGGGCCGGCGTACATTGTGTGGTATTCGGGGCCGGAGGCAAGATACATGGAGATGTCTTCGGTCTCGCTGGAGGAGGAGTGCACGCTCTCCGCGTCGCGGGGGTATGGGGAGGCCGATACGCGGGCGCGGATGTGGGTCTGGCGGAGGTGGCCTTTGAGCGCGGGGTTGGTGATGTTGTGGTTCGGAGGCGAGTCAGCGGGCGTGGCGAGGTCGAGCGAGTAGGCAGAAGAGAGGGATGCGTCGGAGGTGTGGCGGGCGTGGTCGAAGGAGTTGGTGGTATGGAAAGAAGCGCGATAGAGGTCTTCCGCCGTGGGTGGGAGAATGGGCGCGTTGCGCAGGACGCCGCCACTACCCTGGGAAGACTGAGGGCGAGAGCCGGGGGAGTGCGAGGAGGAGGAGGAGACCGAGTTTGAGCGCGAGTGGAGGTGGGCCTGGGGGAGGAAGTCGAAGGGGACGTTGGCAGACATCATCTGGAGGTTGACGGCGGCCATGCAGATAAGTAGGGATAGATAGGTAAGGACTGTGTTGTGAGCGGGTGCGCGATCCTGAAGCGGCCCAGCCGTGCGCGAAGGAAGAGATCAAGGAGAGCGGGCGAAGGGAGCCTGGCGGGGGCGGGGGAGAGAAGAAGAGGCAGCGGGCTTGGGCGATGATGAGGGATCCTATCTCCTGCCAGTTCGCCGGCCAGAGAGCAGGACGCGGAGAGAACCAGCGGCGAGCGAGACCCCGAGGCCCTTCAGGTGCGAGCGTAAATACAAAATGAAGCGCGGTGGGCCGGGAAGGAGTGGAAAGTTCAGATGGCAAGAAATGCGCGAGATGGACAACGTCGTCGGTGGTCAAGGCAACTGTCCGGCGCCTGCCCCCGCCCCGGGACGGCCCCGCTGCAGCCACCGCGCGCTCCCACCACGCCCCGCCACGCGGATGCCGCAAGACTAATCATACACCCGCAAGCACAGGCCCGTGCTACGTGCTCTATGCCTCGGCCCCGCCCATGTACATCAGCTCCTTGAACCGCTGCCGCAGCTTCTTGCCCCCCGCGTGCCCCAGCTCTCCCGCCAGCCTTGTCCACGCCCCGACCGTCAGGTCCTCCAGGCCATACGGCGCGTACCTCTTTGACCTCGACACCGTGCTGTTCCGCAACGAACGCGGCAGGTGCCGCCGCGGTATCGGCCATTCTGCCTTCTTGGCTGCTCCCGCCGTGTGCCTGGTACCATCGTCCCCGTCCCCGTCATCCCCGCCACCGTCATTCCACTCTGCATCCTCCGTGTCTTCCCCGACCCCCGCCCGGGTCTCCCCCGATGAGTCCGGGTGGAGTGTGTGCACAGGCAGCGTCGTGTACTCGAGCTTGTACTTCGGGCTGTCCCCCTCCTTCGCCTCGTCCAGGTCGGGCATGAAGTACTGCGAGCATCGATCGGCCCACCGCGCCACGGTCAGTGTCCGCGACAGATCAACCGATCAAACTCGATCCCACCTGAGCATAGCCGAGTGGCGTCCACAACATATTCCTCCTTGACGGCGAGTGTGCGTTTGAATGCCACACCTGCGTCAATTTGCACCGCCATGTATTGGCGTACTCCATGTCATCGCAGAGAGGCCCCACGACGTCCTTCATCGAATGCGACCGCCGTCGATGGCCACCTTCCTGGCGCTCGGCGCGGCCAGCCTCGTAGTGTTTGCCCGTAGTGTTATACACGAAAATCCGGAAGGACGGGAGGTATGTCGGGATAAGAGAAGGCGCCACGTTGACGATCCCGAAGTTATCAAGGTCCATGTTTTCAGCCTTGGGCAGGACGGAGAATGCCTGTACCAAACTCTGATAAAGCTCCTTCTTCTTACTTTTGAGGATGGTGACCTCGTGCTCAGACGTCATTGACACGTTTGGACGATGTGCGAGCTGCTCAGCATCCAATAGGAAGAACTGGCCAAGGACTGTCAGCGGCGGATCTGCGATGAAATCACGGCGTCCTTACGTGATCCATATTCATGTGCTATGCTCGGCACCGAGTGAGAGGGAGAGTGAGCTCGTGGTTGGTAGACATGGTGGACCTACTCACACCGAAGAGGTGGCCCACGATAGTATCCTGGAATCGCAAAGAAAGTTCGACGTATCGCACGTACTGGCAAAAGTGAGCACGCGCATTCATTGTAAGACCTCGTCAGGGGAGACTAACGCATTCCGGAAAGTAGTTGCGGGACGACGGTGGGACATGCCCTGAGAGCCACACCTGTGGGTGTATTCAATTTAGTGGCAGCTCCTCGACCAGGGACACGGACCGAACCTGCATATTCCTCTCCCGGAACATCTGCAACTGTACTTCTAGCCAGTCGAATTGTAGGTTCCCGGGGTCTTGAGGATCGGAGTATTTACAGCCTCCCACAGCTATGATGTTGCCAAGGCGACAAGTCAATTTAGAGTTTCGCTTGTACCAGTGTGGGGAGATCTTACCTGCGTTTGAATCATAGAAGTACATGGTGTTGAGGCTGATGACCGCAAGAGAATTTGGAATCACCTCCACGGAGAAGTAGCCTCCACGCTGGAACACCTGATATGCGGGGAAAGGCACGAACGACCGCCAAATGCTGGATTGTTTCACATGAGCCCGAGAAGGCCATACCACGCGGTACAGACCCTACTTACGAAGAATACTCTGAAGTAATACTGTTGGGACCTTGCGGACTGTATCAGCTGAAGCTATTGACTGCATCCGCTGATATGACACACCTGGCATCATGATATTCTGCGCATTGGTCTAAGTTTTTGAGTTGTGTGCAATGCATACATATCAACACTTACATGGGCTGTCCAACACTGGTTAGCTGCGGTCAGAGGGCCGTAGAAGGAATCCACCTACGCCATACATCATTGTTGCCTACGAGAAGTTCCCCATGCCCGAGATTTGGATTAACGGAGATTCTGACCGCACCAGTGAACGACCCACCGATACTAGGGACCACGGGTATCCCTCTACGCCCAAACACCTCCTCCATCTTCTTCGCGATTACACGGTTTAGGCCGTATATCTCCGCTGTCGTGCGGGGCCGCTTGCGATCGCTGTCATGTCTACCGCCCCAAGACGTTCGTGACTGCCTACACGGAATGGATGATCGACTTTGCGCACCTCGCACTATCTCCCGTCCCTGCGAAGTTTGTAAGCATATATGTCGTAAAACACAAAAGACACATACATATTACGAAGTCGATCTCGTCCGCCCATTCTCGCGATAGATAGTCCAGTGTGTAGTTGGTAAGGGAAAATGGCGAGTCGCAGTCACTGCAGATTGGCCGTTAACTGCACATTCAGCCCGCATACGAGGCAGTAGAATATGGAGAGATATGATATAACACGACATACGGCCAGCCGCAATCCTTGCTACCGTAGCCCGCGCCAGTGACCATCCAGGTTGGTGTGCTGATAACTGAATATATCTTGACGAGACGGCACGAGCTTCAGTGTTCACACAAGAACACGCCGAAAGCACGACGCATCCTCGAGGACCACCGAGCCCCAAGTCCAGTCGTTGGCGAGACAGTGCAGTGCTTGAAACTCCATGAACAGCATATAGATTGATCTCCGCGAATGCTGTCCGCTCATAGTCCCGACCGCAGTGACGGCGCAGCGTATAGGCGCAGCTTTATCATAGACGGCCATTTCCCCAGACGGTCCAGCTACACCTTCACCGGATCTTCCAACCCTAAGCCCGCCCACAGCCTGGTCGAATTCCTGCCTCACAGCAAAGAAACACGCACCTGTACGATAGTCCGAAGTACCCCGCCGACGGCTTTCCTGCCTTGGGCTTGCCCCGGTGGCAAGCCTTCTTCTCCGACGAGCCGACGCGGTAATGTGGGTCTGGGTGCATGTCCGTGATATGGAGAAACCGCCCATGGAGCTTGCGGCGCGCTTCTGAGAGTTCAAGGGTAGGCGGACCACAGTCAGACGACCACGACCACACGGGCCTGGGGAGAGACGAAAATACGCACCCGTGTATACACCGCGGTCGGCATCGTCTCCATACGCGATCTGGAGAGGCTGTTGGGCTGAGGGCGGGGCGGCCAGGCCCTCCGCGACGAGCCGGAGGCAGAGGAGGGGTAGGATGGAGACGACCTTCATGGCGAGAGGAGGCGAGAGCAGACTTGTGCAGGCTGGAGGACGAGACAGCGGCGATCTAGACAAGGCCCAGCATGGCAGCGAAGGAGACCAGAGGGAGGCGTTTGGACGACGCACGTTCGTCACCAACTTGTCGTCACCGCCGCGACTGTCTCCGCTCCGCGCCGGTGGCAGGCCCGGGCGTCTCGGCGTCTGCCGCGATCACGCGTCACGCAAGACGAACCGACGCGACGCGTCTTTCTGGGCGCTTCATGCATTTCCCCGCCCGCGATCACACGTCCTCCGAGCCCCTGGATGTGGGAGTGCCGGAGGTTGGGTCTTCCACGTCGCCTATCGTGAGGCGCTTTGGGACGCACAAGTCATGGTGGAGGTGCGGTCGCGATTCACTGCAAGTAACCGATATACTACAAGTACAGAATTACATGGGCTCAGCCGATACTTTAGCTTCGACAATCTCGACAATGCGGGTGATGGTACAGATGCGAATGGACAGGTCGGTGGACGATAATGCGACGACAGTGACGATAAGACGGAGATGAGTAAAAGGACTCGCCCATTACTTGATCCGAATCGACCGCGTGGGTGTCGCCGTCAAGTCGCCTGCCATGCCCTCATGTACGGGGCGGTGGAGCTCAAGTAGGGAAGCCGCATTGTCATTCTCGTTCAAGACCTTGTCAATCGAAGCCTCAACGAGGTGGCACATCTGATCGGAGAAAGACGTGAGTGGGGAATACATGCAGTCGGGATAGAGAATACTCACCCTGCTGTAGCCTCCGCGCTCAAGCTGAGAACGGGACTTGGCGATGGTGTTGTGAATCGCGTCATACGCATATCTGCGCCTGGGGTGGCGTCAGCTGGTCCGGTCACCAAAGATAAACACGCATGGACTCACAGCACATTCTCCAACTCCTTCCTTGACTGAGGGACCAGATAGAGGTCCGCGCCGGTGAGGTACCTCTTAAAGGCCTCATACGTCGCGCAGCCGGAGGTGAGGGTCTCATTGAAGGAGGGGTGATCCTGGTCCCAGGTGAACCAGTTTTCGCTGAAGAGAAAGAAAGTGGCGGTCAGGCTCAGGTGAGAGAAGACACGAAGTTAAACAGACGTACGTGAGATGGTTATGGGCCTGAGCCTCGGGACTGTGGGGCGCGAAGAAGCGGTCCATCATTGGGGTAGGGTGGAGGCGGGGGTTGAGAAGAAGACTGAGAGCGGGGGGTGGCGTGGGGGGACCGGCGGATGACAGTGGGGCTATATAGGCCGGGGGGCGAAAGCAGATAGTGTAGGATAAAGAGGCTTCTGGGCGGGGTGGAGGCGCAGAGGACAAACGTGAGTGCAGTGCCCGAGCAGCAAAAAAGTGGCGGGTAGAGTCATCGCAGCCACTGGGTTATAAGGCGATGGGCGCTCAAAGGTTCGCACGTTCGTGCCGACGCGCTCTATCCGCTTATGCCCGCCATCTGCATCACAGCCGCCCATCCACTCCGTCCGACGTCCCATCTCGGCCATTTGTCAGAGTGGTTCGAGCACTCAACGGGGCGTTCGCAACCGTCTGCACACTCAACAGACACCTCTGGCATCCCCATGGTACGAGTGCGCTCCCCCGATCGCCTCGCGCGCATGGTGTCCCATTGGTTCGAAGGGTGAGTAGACGCCCTCGGAAGCTTCCACCCCGCGCGTCTCCCGCGACCGCGGCTCTTGGGTCGGGCGACGCGCCTCCACCGCTCCTCAACGCGAGTCTTGGCCTCCGCTGTTGTCCTCTCAACCTCTCTCTTGCTCTTGGCTGTTCTCGCTTGCTTCACACAGTGTACCCCGCCTCCCGCGCTGCGCCTCTTGGCACCCACTTTCGGTTCCATCCGCCCTGCAGCTTCCCATCTCCCGCAATCTCACCGGCCCATCTGCGTCGAACATCCACGCGGCGCCCTTGCCTTCTCCTTTCCTTCCGGTGTCCGCTTCCTGTCCTTCCCAGGGTCGCCCTCGATTCAACATCGGGCCCTGTTACCCCATCATCTGACCTTCACCTCCGCCAACTCCCCCGCATCCCGCACCCACAATGGCCCTCTATACCCCACACTCGCCTGCAACAACGCATACCATCCGCTTTCTCGAGCGCATAAACGCCGACCATCATCTCTCGCTCCAAACTTATCATGACCTCCACAAATGGTCCGTAGATAACATTGACAAGTTCTGGAGCGCCGTTTGGGACGACACCGACATTGTTGGCATCAAGGGCTCCCATGTCGTCGACACCCTAGCCCGCCCTCCTGAAAACCCGGATTGGTTCTCCGAGGCTCAAGTCAACTATGCTGAGAATATGCTTCGCTGCCGTTCGGAAGGAAGATTGCGCTCATTCAAGCCAGTACGTTCCCTCTGCCCTCGGCCACGTTCGTCAGACCTTTGTGACCTTTCTCATGTATCAGTCGAGCCTGAGCCTAACCATCCTACGCCCGAACTCCGACGTGTATCGTACGCCCAGCTGTATGCGCTCGTCGCGGATCTCGTATCGGCCTTCCTCGCCCGCGGCCTCAAGCCGGGCGATCGGATTGCATCATACTCTTCCAACTGCGTTGTAAGTCTATTCTGCCTCGTTCGCTCTCGTCTCAGGCGCTTAACGATGACCAACCGGCTCGCCGACAACCTTTGATTCTGGCGTGATGCCGATATCTTGTCGCAGGAGAACGTTGCTGCCTGCTTGGCCTGTGCTGCGATTGGTCAGTTTCCGTTTGTCATCTCCGACCCGAACAGGAACTCTGAGAGCACCCGTTCCGGGGCGAGGCGTCAGCCCACTCCGAATATCCGCGTCCCTTTTGCGAGCTTCCGTTCCACGCGGCTTCCGACGCAGCCACCGCGCAGTGATGTGGACGTGTCCCGGTCGCACCTCCGCCGCTCCAGTCGAGCTCTCCACCACTCTGCACGGCATCGGGGCATACCCCCGACGTGTCCGCAGATACACTTCCGGCCGACGCTCGTTCACCTTTCGCCCGACGCATTATCACCGCACTGGTGCCTGCCAGCCGAGATCTCGGTGCACTTTCGTCTCACGGCAATGACACAGGTTCCACACAAGGACAGCATCATTCGCGCGAACGAAGCATCTCCGCTCGTTCCATGTGATTCATCATCAGTACGACACTCAGTAGTGGCCTCGTGGATTCCTTCACCCTCAGTTTTTAGCGTTTGGGGACCGTCTGTAACTTTCGTTTTGGCTCATAGGATGCATTTGGGTGAGCGCCGCTGCGGACTTCGGGCCTGAAGGTGTCTTCGAGAGGTGAGAACAAGAGCACGTGTCACGTGGTGGACACTCACACAGAACCTTCACAGGTTCGACCAAGTCCAGCCCCGCCTCATTATCTCTGTCGATGCTGTGGTGTGAGTACGGAGGTCCAGGCTCTCGGGCCCAGCTCACGACTTCCCGTCAGTTATAACGCAAGGTGCACCTCCATACTCCCAAGCTCAAGACACTGGTAGACACCGTTGCAGACAAGTCGGGGTTGCGTCCCGAAGTCGTCGTCATCCGCCATCCGTTTGGAGTGACCAAAACCGATTATTGGAATGCTGACTGGACCGACTGGGATACCCTTGTCGCCGACGGTGCGACGAAGAAACTCGGCCGTACCGCCGACGGCGAAATTGAGTGGAAACGCCTCGATTTCAACTGGCCGCTATGGATTCTTTTCAGCTCAGGCACTACAGGTGCGCTGGGTGCGCTATGTTTGCTCTTGTCTGCGTTTCCTGACCTCCAAGGCTCGTGACGTCGGTGTGAAGGTCGCCCGAAGTAAGGTTTCCGTGATTCTCCCAACCAGACTGCGCTGATCTTCCGAGTTCACAGGCCCATCGTCCACCGTGCTGGCGGGATGCTCATCCAGGCGAAGAAGGAATTCGTTATCTGTGCCGACCTACAGCCTGCAGACGTCTTCTTCTACTATACTACCACGTCAGCTATATTTTCCCCTTCGTTTCACCACCGACTGACTCATTTGCTCGATCAGTGGATGGATGATGTGGAACTTCCTGGTTAGCGGGTTGAGTGTCGGCTGCACCCTTGTCCTCTATGACGGCAGTCCACTTTACGATCCTGCGTACCTCTGGCGCCTCGTTGACGAGCTTGGGATCACTATCTTCGGGACCAGTGCGAAGTACATCGATCAACTGGCCGTACGTTTCTCAGATTGCCTCACGAGATGGGCTCGGCTCACCGTGAGCCCTCTGCCCTCCGCATTGGACCCTGGCGGTTTTCCACAGAAAGTTCACAAGCCTGCGGAGCACCACGCACTCACGACACTGCGGCATATATACTCCACCGGATCTCCGTTGGCGCCGCACCTTTTTGACTTCGTGTACGACCATATCAAGAGGGATGTGCTGCTGGGATCGATCACAGGTGTGGTCTATCATCTCATTTGGAAACGATCTATAAGTCTAGAAGCTCATGGGCCCAAACGCGCACCACAGGCGGAACGGACATTTGCTCGCTGTTCGCGGGAATGTGCACCGCGCTCCCCGTCTTCCGAGGGGAGATCCAATGCCGCCTTCTGGGAATGGCCGTCGAGGCGTTCACACCAGCCGGCGCCGCAGCGGGCCCCGATGAAGCCGGTGATCTTGTGTGTCTGAAGCCATTCCCCTGTCAGCCCGCAGGCTTCTGGCCCCTGCCCGGCTACGGAAATGCGGACGCAGTCGAGGTGGCGCGCAAGCGCTATCAGGACGCGTACTTCTCAGAGTTTGAGGGCGTCTGGTGTGAGTGGATGTGTTTGCTCTTCTGTGTCCTTCTGTGTCTTGTGCGGCGGCGGGGGCGTGGCAATTCTCGCACAGACGGCCGCTACATGGACGACGATTTGTCGTCCCGATCGCTCGCAGGGCGGCCTTTGGCAGACATTCACGTTGACGTCGGATGTGTACAGATCACGGCGACCATATCATGATCACGAGCTCAAGAGCTGGCAATGGCGGTGGAATTGTCATGCTCGGGCGGAGCGACGGCGTCCTGTGAGTACACACGATCCCCTATTGTTCTTGCCTCGTTTGGGCCAGCCGCGCGCCTTCTTCCATCGGCCCTTGGGGCGCTCCGCCCGAGATGTCACGCCAAAGGAACGTGCCCGGCAGGCAGTGCACCCCTACGGCGTGTTCTCTCCTTCTGCTTATCTGTATTCTCATTTCAATCTCTCCCTTGCAGGAACCCCGGCGGCGTTCGCTTCGGGTCAGCTGAGATATACGACGTGATCGAGGAGTGTTTCGCGCCAGCGGCGACGCACGCCGCGCACGCCGTCGCGGACTGCCTCGCGGTCGGTCAAAACATCGCGAACAACACGGACGAACGCGTGGTGCTGTTCGTCAAGCTGCTCGAGGGGCAGACCCTCACCGAAGAGCTCACGAAGCGGATCAAGACCGAGGTGCGCACTCGACGCAGCCCCCGCCATGTTCCCGCACGGGTAAGTGCAGTCGTTCGACTCACTTGACCAGTTTTTTTCTTCATCTTCGCTGCTTCTCCTTCGAGAGCTCTCCACTTGGGCGGAGCGGCGCAGCACTCTCCACTCTGCCGGCGCAAATTTTGCATGCACGGTCCCATGGGTGGCTATCGGGATATTTGAACGGAGCTTGGAGCGCGGCTGGACGCGAACGCCGACCCTGCGCGCTGGACCCCGTTCGTTCTCGCGCGTCCGGCTGACTCAACGTTTGACGCGGCCGCGCCTTGCTCCCGGCCGTGCCTCGTCTGCTTCGTGGCTCTCGGAACGTTGTTCGCTCATGGGCCGGTGCGGTGCAGATCGTGCAGGTCGCGGACATACCCTACACAGTGAACATGAAGCGGGTCGAGGTGCCCGTGAAGAAGGTCAGTGTCTGTCTCTCGTCTCGGTCGCGCCGCGCCGGCCCGGGCGGCTGTAGCCGTGGCCCGGAGCGGGCTGGGTCAGGGCAAGGTGGTGAACGTTGAACGCTGATTCCTTCGCGACATCATGCTGCTTGACGGACGGGCGCCGGTATGGGTATATAGATCATCAACGGCGCGCCGGTGAGCAGCGTGAATCCGGCTACATTGCGGAACGCCGAGTGTTTGGGGGAGTACGAGCGGATTGGGGTGTTGCTACGGGCAGAGGCGTAGCGAATGTAGAGAGTCCCCGTCAGGTGATGCCTTAGGTGTGAGGCAGATGGGCAATGAGCGGGGTTTTGGGGTGGTGGCCAAAGGTACTAGAAGAGTAATAGATGGATATCTGTATGTTAGGCTACGCAGGAACCACAGAAACGGGTACGCAGGTAGAAGCGCTCGAGGGCGTGGATTGCTTCCGGGGGTGCTCCCGCGCGGGAAAGTTGGCGGGGCCGGGCCGCTGCGATTGGACGCTGGGGAGTTGGGATGAAGGGCGCTTGTGATGATCTGCCTCGTGTCGCGTCGCCTGGGTCCGCGGGCTTTGGTACCCTCGTCGTACACAAACAATGGAAAATTTGGCATCCCCAAAACCAGCGAGCTTTGCCTTTTCTCGAGCCGCCTTCTGGTCGCCGGACTCCTGCTCCTTCCCTCACGACCACCCCCGGCCCTGGTCTGCCTCGGTCTGCCTGCTCTGCCCAGTTCCCGCCTCGCCTCCCGCGTTCGTTGGACTCAGCAGCACCGGCCGCGCCGCCCCCCATCCCGTCCTGCACCGCCGACCACGACCAGACCACGAGCACGCCACGATAATCCCAGGGCCACGTTCCGCCCTCCTCGCTCTGTGATCCAGCTCTGAGCGCCCCCGCCCCCGCACCTCGTTCACGACCGCCGTCCCGCGGCCTCGTTGTTTGTGCCCGGTCCCCCGCTTGATCGCCGCTCCTGCATCGCTCGCGCCCGCGTGCGTGTTCCTCTTTGCATCCCGCAACCTCGCCCTCCTTCTCGCTTCGTCTGCGCTGTGGCCATGAGTCCCTCAAATACCCAGCCGGCCAGCCGTTCGAGGGCCCATTCCCGATCGCGCTCCACCAACCCACCCACTCCTTCCAAGCGGTTCACTCCTGCTTTCTTTTCCCGCTTCCCCCGCATGCCTCCCGTGTTCAACATCGTTCGGGTGGTCGTGTACGGTGCGTCTCAACTTTGCCTGCCTGCGCGCACCCGCAGTGCTGACCTGCTCGATCGCGCGTCTCTAGTGGCGGTCCTCCTTTGGACTGTCGTTTGTCTTGCCATTGCGGCGCATTTTCAGAGCATCTTGTTGGCCTCGGACCTCAGTGAGTACCCACGTTTCCAGCTCAGCTGGGCTTCATGCGCTGACGCGTGTGCTGCAGCTCGTTTTGTCCCCTTCGCGATTTTTGTCTGCGCGACCACCATGCTCATAATCGTTGCACTGTGCGTACCTTCGTTCGCCTTGTCCCGCCGCCAAAGTGCTCAGTGGGGCGTAAAGGCTAGCATTTGGTTTGATGAAGGAGAGGAACCCCATCTCCACCCGGATTGAACTCGGATGTCTTGGCCTCACCGGTGTCCTTTGGCTTGGTGCGTCTCCTTCACAAAATTTCGGTGATCGAGCGTCTCGCTGACTGGGCGGCCCGTGCAGCGCTCTCCGCGTTCGTCGCATCCTCCGACTCGGAGATGGCGGACGTCGAGTGCTTCTCGTCCTCGGATGCTAATGCACAGCCTATCGACATCCCTGGCTGTGAGTGATTGTGGCCCTCTGTCCGAGATTGCGGATGCTGACGATGGAGCAGTCAACACGGAGATGTACCAGGCTCAGTACCACGTCCTGGAGGCCTTCTCCTTCTTCAACATGATACTCAGTGAGTTGCCCTCCCGCGCTCGTGTACCGCCCGTCTGACAGGGTCCCCCAAAGTTCTCGGTTTCTTTGTGCTATTATTGGTTCTCGCCCTGCGTCAACAGCGCATGGGCACGAAGCACGTCTGGATCATGCCAGTCGCAGCCATTGCGTGGTTCGGCCGGACGGACAAGCCCTCTGGCAAGCTCCCCGCGCCGGTCACGCACCGCTCGCGTTCCGTCTCCCGCCGCCCGCGCGCGGAAGAGAGCGAGAAGGAGAAGCCGTCCCGCACCCGATCCCGGTCCCGGTCGCGCCCCGCGGACGTGCGCCGCAATGAGTCGCAGCGCGGCCTCATTCGCGACGCGTCCTACCGCACGACGGACTCCCGCACCCTCGGCCGCGAAGATTCGTACTCCCGCCCGCTCGCCCGAGAAGACTCGTACTCCCGTACACTCGGTCGCGACGACTCGCGGAAAACGAACGACTCGCGCCGCGCGCTCCTCCGCGACGACTCTCGCCGCACGACCGACTCCCGTCGACGGGACGTTAGCCGGGATGACTCGCGGCGGACTGCCGACTCGTCGAGGCGGCGCGGCCGCGACCGCGACCTCTCCCGTGACGCGTCGCGGCGGACGAACGACTCGTCTAGCCGGGCGCCGAGCCGGGAGAACTCGCGGCGGGCGCCGATCTACGAGTCGCACCGGACGAAGACGTCAACAGACCTCCGCCGACAGAACACAACGCCGTCGCGGAACGAGGAGGGGACGTACGTCTTCGAGACGCCGTTCCACAGGTCGCCCCAGGAGGCGCACACGCGCGAGACGCGGACGCCGGCGACGGGCGTGCAGACACGCGCGCCCGCGCGCGACATCGCACCCCGGCGGTGAGACCCCGGCGCGTAGATCGCGCCAGGGCGGACGGCGTATGAGCCCGTCCCGCCCTCGAGGTTTCTTCTCTTCTCTCTTCTCTCCCTGGGAACGATCCAGACGTATGATTATTCACGATTGACCCTACGAGACCGACGCATAGAGACGACGGCCTTTGCTGTAGCATTTGCCGCCCCCCTGTATTCATTTACCAGCCCATAGCCACTTGGGCCACCTACACACCACGACCAGTATCATTTAGGGCATTCGCTTGTTTTGTACCAGTAGTGTTGGCGGAACGATCGGGAAATAAACGATTGTAATTAATGGAACACGCGCGTGCCGGTGTGCACGACGAGTATGGCTCTTTGCATGGGCGCAGCAGGACCCTCGGCGGGAACGAGGGCCAGAGGACGCCGAGATTGATGATGCGGGGGAATGGGGCGGTGACGATGGCCTTGGGGCGTCCGGGAGCCGGGGCGGGGCGGCCTGCAGGCGGGGCACGCGGCGGTCACGTGGGAGAGTCGGGAGGAGGTTGAGTTTGCTCGACGGCGCGGCTTCGACGGCTTCGACGTCCTCGTCCGTGCGCTGCCCTTTGCCCCCGCTGCGCCTCTGCCACGCCCGCCCATATCTCCCCTTCCTCCGCGACACACCCCTTCCTTCACGCCCGCCGCTCGTTTCCCAGGTCCCAACCTCCAGGTTCGCGCCCCTTCCTTGCGTCTCTCGCTCCCGAGCTCCTCCCCTTGTGCTCTCCGGAAAGGGGACTGACACGCGTGCAGGATGACGCAGCTGTTCCGGGACATGCGCCTCTACGGCAACAGTGAGTCTCTCCTTCGCCCTCCCATTTCTCCGCGCGCAGCTCAGCTGTCTGTGTATTTCCGCGTGCGCGTGACCTGCGGTTCCCAGTCATCTTGCTCCTCCTCTCAGCGACGGTACTCGGAGTCGCCGCATACTGGGCGAGCATCTTCTTGCCCGACGTCCGACGTACGTGTGTTTCGCCCCTCTCTGTCTGCCCGCGATCGTGTGTACCCCGCGATCGGGCACGCTCGATTGCGCCGGGTGTTGCGGGTGGAGCTCACGCCCCATTGCCTCCGCGACGTACTACAGATGACTACTCGATCTTCGCACTCATAGTGCCGTCGTTGACGGTACTGCTCATATTAATTGGGTACGTCCGTCCTTGCTTTACGCAGAGCGAACGTGCGCTTAGGTGCTGCTCGCGCGGTAGATTCCAATGGTCGACGCCTCGCACCGAGGCCATCTTCCTCTTCGTCTGCGGCGTGCTCTGGCTTGGTGAGTGGGCTCTTGTTGCTGTCTACGCCGTTTTTGACTGTGCGCCGGCCACCAGCCCAAGCTTCGTGGACGACGTGAGTCTTTCTGCCCCTTACGTTCCACCAGGCGCTGGTACCTAACCCGACGCGGCAGTGACATCATCGGCAGCATCCAGTGCGATGCGCTCACCTCCCAGTCCATCCCCACCCACAGTGGCTCTCGTGAGTGCTCGTGAGCGAGGCCTGCGCGCGAGTCGCACTAACGTCCGAGCAGTCTCTGAGCGCAGCTGGTGCTACGAGATGCGCGTCGTGCAGGCGTTCTCCTGGATGCTTTTCTGCTCTGTACGTCCCCTTCCGTGCCTCTTCCTCGCGCCTCCCGACCCATTCTCACCGCCCTCTCCCTCCCGTGTCTTCGCCCTCGCAGATGCGATCTTCCTCTACATCCTCGTCGCGCTCACCAGCCGCGCCAAGGTCTTCGGCCGCCACTACGCCTGGGCAGAGCCCATCATCGAGCTGCCCTGGTTCGGACAGTACCCAGGGTACCCCGAGGGCCACTACCCGCAGAACGGGATGATGTACCCCGGGGGGATGCCCCAGGGGTACGCGTACCCCGCCGGGCAGCCGATGGCCTACCCCATCGCGACGACGAACTCCGGGTATGTCGTGCAGCAGAACCCTGGACACTCTGTAGTGATTCAGCCCGGCGTCGGCGGGCAGCCTCCGACGATAACCCAGATCCCGGGCACGGTCACCTCGATCTGAACGGCGCAGCCCGCCGACGCCAACGCCGGCGGCGAAGACGCGCCGCACTGGCCCCTACTTTACTCTCGACACGCTCTACGCTCTACGCCTTTTTCACGCTCCTATAGACGAACGCACGACGCGAACGCGCGAAAAACGAACGAAAACGACTACCTAGCTAGCTAGGGCCGGCGCCCTGCCCGTGACGATAGAGAGACGCGAAGGCCGGCGTGTCGCTCGTGCATACGTACGCACGTACGCACGCTGTTGTTGTACTGTACATAGTTTCCCCTGCCGCTGGCGCGCTTGTGTGTATGTAGCATGCGAACGAAGTATGGACTGGTCCGTTGTTGTGCTCACGTACCGCTGGAGGAACGTGCATCAGTCGTCTTCCGATGGCCGCCGACAAGCACACCCCCGCTCCGTGCGTCCTCTTCACCACCGTTTCTGTCAGGTGTTTGAGCCTCCTGGCCTCAGCGCAGGCAATTACGTCCGCTTTGCCTTCATCACGAACGCGGACGACACGCTTTGGGCGGGCAATGCAGACGTATCTCAGATGCCGTCTCTGTAAGGTATAAACACGCCCCGAGAACGCGATGGCTCTTCGTGCGTGCATCTGACCCGCGCGTGCACACTGCGACGTTGACACTGTCCGCTGATCCCCGCCTCGCCTCGTGGCTGCTGCTGGCACGCGCCGCGCGCGTGGCCGACGACCCCAGCGGCTCACAGACAAGCAGGCAGGCGGACGGCGCCTGGCGCAGGACGCATGGATTCCCGGGGGGATGGGGCTAAGTAGGTACAGCGTCCGGATGGCGCGATGAGCGAGCTATCGAGCTTTGCATCCTGAACGTCCGCCGCCTCCCCGCTCCGACTCTCTAACTCCCAGCCTGCACCTCTGGATATCTGGACGAGCAAGCGGCCATCCACGGACCCCAGCTAGAATTCGCGAAGCGTTTTTGTTGATATCCGGATGCCTCTGTTTGAAGGACGTACCGGACGCTCGGCGGCGTATGGTGCGTGGAGATGTGTGGGTGGGTGTACGACTCAGGCTCTGATGCAGCGGACACGCAGCCGTCGGGGCGGCTGTGGTCGCCCACGTAGTCATGCGGCTCGTGCCGTACTCCGTGCGTGAGTGTCCCGCGGCCGCTCTGCCCGCTCGTGATGCTGACATCAGGACGGACGCGCAGAGGCGTACAGCTTGATGCAAACCGCGGTCGCCGTCCTCGCGCTCGCGTCCCTGTCCGTGCTGTGAGTACCGGCGCACAGCGGCGCAACCATCGACACTCACACCCGTTTTCCGCACAGGATCGTCACCCACCACAGAAGACACGGCGAGCTGCTCACCGTCGGGCAAGAAGAGGCGGCGCTCATCGCCGCTTCGGGCTCTGTGGTTCGGTGCGTCGGGGCGCGGCCCGTGTCCATGTCGAGCCCCCAGCGCGCCCACTCACAGACACACGCACGTACAGCGATCCTGCTCGGCTGGCGCGCGATGCAGACGCGCACGATGTCCCCGGGGACGCGGCGGGCACGGACGTCACGAGCTCGGTGCGCGGCGGCCACAACGCGAGCCCGTACGGGGAGGGCTTCACGCCCGGGCACAGGCCGTACCGTGCAGCAGCGACTCGGTGTACTGCGTGGTCGAGGAGTGGACGTACTGGTGATTCGCGGCTGCGGGGCGGGTCGGAGGAGACGAGGTCGCGCGTGGCGCGGCTTGGCTGAGCAGCCGGAGCGCTGCGGAGAAGTGTACGATAAGTACCAGTGTTCGCGTTTGCAGACGTTCGGACGGTCCAGGTCGACCGACGTAGTATTGGCTGCTTCTAGTGCGGGATTCGAAAGCAGCTGGACGTGCAGGGGCCTTGCATCGGGCGGAACGCACGTTGGTGGGTCGATGTGAAGACTCTTCGGAAGTTCTAGGACGAGATGCGCGGAGGGTCTCGTCGCTGGGTCGTGGACCAATTGCGCACCGTGTCGGCTGAGCGTAGATCAGGAGCGGGCCACCCTTGTGAGAACGGGGTGACCTCGCGGCGGCGATAGGGCAGGCGAGATTTCAGGAGAAGCTCGGGCGCGCCGGGCGAACGCATCGCACGCTGCACCGGGAAGGCTGAAGGACGGGTTGAGAGAAGACAGGTGCGAGTTGGGCGGACGAGGTCGACGTTGCGGACGAAGGCAGGGCTCGGGTAGATAGCGAGGGCCGAACCCCGGTGCCAGATCGACGGGCGCCGGGGCCGCAAGCACTGTGAGGCTCAGTCGCCGTCGGGACGCGGGCTCGCAGCTTAACGTTAACCCTCGTCTACCCTCGTCTGCCATCTCCCCCATTCCTCTCCGTCGCCGTCGCCGTCGGTGCACCCCTGTGGCTCTATATCTGCTCGCCTTTGGCTCTTCACACCTCGGACCGTACACGCACCAACACTCCCGCAAGTACTCAGTATCATGATAAGTGTTTCCTTCGGCTGACTCGACTACGGAGAGTGGGCTCGCTGACATGCATGTGCCGGTCTATACGCTACCCTAGCAAGCGTCGGATTGAGGTTGATGTCATGAAGCTGTGAGTCTCCATCCCTGGTCGCTATGTGGGCTATCGGGGTACTGACCACACATCCCGGTGTTCGCAGGCTGATGTCCGACTTCGAGGTCAACCTCGTGAACGACAACATGCAGGAGTTCTACGTCCGTTTCTACGGCCCCACAGAGAGTACGGTATAGCTCATATCTCCCGTCTCGTCGTCTGCTCACCAATGCCCGACGCCACCTCCGCTACAATTGGTCTTGTGATATCACCTCGGTCGTACAGCTCCCTTCGCCGGTGGTGTGTGGAAGATTCACGTCGAGCTCCCAGAACAGTATCCTTTCAAGTCGCCGAGCATTGGTTTCATGAACAAGATCTTCCATCCCAACATTGATGAATTGTGCGTTGGCATGCCTCCATGCTTGCGCGGGACTGATACAAGAGTACTGCAGGAGCGGATCGGTCTGCTTGGATGTCATTAACCAGACGTGGTCGCCTATGTTCGGTGCGTCCCCTTCTCTGTGCTCACGTCTCCAATCACATGGCTGAACAGTGTTGTTCAGACATGATGAACATCTTCGAAGTCTTCTTGCCTCAGCTTCTCCGCTACCCGAACCCCAATGACCCGCTCAACGGGGAAGCCGCGGCCCTGTTGATGCGCCATCCGAGTGAGTACGAAGCGAAGGTCAAGGAGTATGTGCAGAGGTTTGCGACCAAGGAGGCCGCAGACGCTGCCATGGACGATGATGAAGACGGCAACGACGAGGAGATGAGCGATATTGGGAGCATAAGCGACGACGAGGCTATGGAGTCATGAGGACCCTCGTCACGACGACCTCCGACGTTCGACTCTCCCTTCTCTCCGCATACCTCTCGCTATGATTCCTTGCTGTAATACGTGCTGTTGCGCGCACGGTTGTACTTGAACTTCGTGTACTATCACCCTTCGTTATCTGGACTCCCGTCATGCCTCCTATTCTCGTCTACCTGGAATATCAATAATGTAAATGTGTACACCGCACCAACGCCGCGTCTCCCTTCCCTTGTCCCTTTTGTCCTCGTAGCCACTAGGCCCACTCTGGAAGAACTTTATCGTCCCTGTGGAGGCTAGAAGACAGGCAGCCGTTCACCTGAGGTTAAAGCCATTACAACGGGCGGAGCATGTGCGCGTGAATGCTATGTCAACTGAGGCCAGGGGTGCCGTAACCGGGTCATGCACGGCGAACAGCGGTTGTGTATGTATGAGGACACAGCTCAGCTCGGGCCTGGAGTGGAGACCGCGGGTGTGGGTTCCGTTGTTGCGGGCGTTGTCTGAACGAGGTCGTTGACCTTCTTCTGAACATCGCTTGCCGTCTGGAGGATAAGTGGGTGAGCTCGGCGATTGGCCACTCTGAATGAGACAGCATGTACGGACCTTCATCAAGTGGTCTATGTGATTCTTGACGCCCTCCATCGTGACGAGCTTAGTCTTGCTCTCCTTCAGCAGCGTTTCCTTCTCCTTCAGCAGCTCCTTGCGTTTCAAATCGAGTCTGAGCGGCCGGCATGTGAGTGGGTGCGCCACCAGAGGGTATCCCTTGGCCTACCGCTGCCGTTCCGAAAGCTCGAAGCTGAGGCGGTTGAGCATGAGCTGGTGCTCGTCCGCCAGCACCTTCTCGGTCCGCGCTGCCTCCGGGGCGAGCTGCATGAACTCCTGGAGCGAGTTCACAGTGATGTCCTGATACACGGACCTAAAACGGACACGTTCGTCAGCCAAGCGCCCCGGCGCCGCGGGGCACAAAGGAACGGGTGGACGCAGGGGGGGAAGGGAAGAACGAGCACGCACGCGAACTGGCGGCACTTCTCGATCTCGCGCTCGAGGTGCCTACGCTCGTAGAGCAGGTTCTGGAGCCCGAGCGCGGTCTGGTCCATCTCGTGGCGCGCGTCGGCGGTGGCGTGCTTGTGCGTGCGGGCCGCGGCGTTGGCGGCGCGATTGAGGGCCTTGAGGCGGGCGAAGAGCGCGCCAGCGCGAACGGCGACCGCGGCGGGGTCCGCGGCGGCGGTGAGGGGCGCGGCGGGGGCGTCGACGAGGGCGCGGAGGGCCGCGAGCTCGCCATCGGGGGAGGGCGGCAGGCAAGCCGCGTCGTGGGTGGGAGAGCAGGCCATGGGGGCGGGCTCGCGCGGCGAGGAAGGGGAGCGGGGATGGGAGAGAGGAAGGTGAGCGTGAGTGGGTGGCGGAGGGGCCAATCGGGAGGGTGCGCGCCGGGCCGGGCTGGGACGGCTGGGATTGGTGATCATAAGCGCTTTGCATCATTGCGCGCCTGCTCGTTCAGCACGACGCGCATCTCTATCTCGCCCCTCACCCTCACCCTCTCTCTCTCGACCCCATCGCGCCCCGCCATGGCCACCACCGGACGCCCCCGTGCCATGTCCGGCACCATCCCCTCCATGGAGTCCGCCGGCGAGGCCCTCAAGGACAACACCGTCATCGTCGGTACGCTTCCCGCCCTGACCCCGCCCCGATCGCGCATGCTGAGATTGCGCGACATTAGTCCTCGGTGCCTCCGGCGACCTTGCAAAGAAGAAGGTTCGTGCCGTCCGCGATCTGTGCGACGATCCCCCTCACGCCCCCGACAGACTTACCCCGCCCTCTTCGGCCTCTATCGCATGGGCTACCTCCCGCGCGATGTCAAAATCGTCGGCTATGCCCGCACCAAGATGGACACCGCCGAGTACCACAAGCGCATCACCTCCTACCTCAAGGTCGCCGACGATGACGAAGAGGGCCAGGCCAAGATCGCCGAGTTCAAGACCTTTTCGTCCTACGTCTCGGGCGGCTACGAGGACGGCCCCTCGTTCGAGAACCTGAACAAGACGATTGAGAGCATCGAGGCCAACTACCAGGGCCCCGAGAAGAACCGTCTCTTCTACTTTGCGCTTCCCCCTAGCGTCTTCATCCCTGTTGCGCAGCACCTCCGCGAACAGTGCTACTCTACCAGCGGCAAGAACAGGATCATTGTGGAGAAGCCGTTCGGCAAGGATCTCGAATCGTGCCGCGTTCTCCTCAAGTCGCTTAAGCAACACTGGACGGAGGACGAGACGTTCCGCATCGATCACTATCTCGGAAAGGAGATGGTCAAGAACATCCTCGTCCTCCGCTTTGCCAATGTCGCCATGGGCGCCGGTTGGGACAAGAACTCGATCAGCAATGTGCAGATCACGTTCAAGGAGCCGTTTGGCACTGAAGGACGTGGCGGGTACTTCGACGAGTTCGGGATCATTCGTGACATCCTCCAGAACCGTGAGTAATCCGTTCGGAGATTATTCATATGCATTCTATCGGCATATCCTGGGGTCATTGACGCTGATGACATATCCCAGACTTGCTGCAGGTCCTGTCCGTACTCACGATGGAGCGCCCTGTGTCCTTCTCCGCGGAGGACATCCGTGACGAAAAGGCAGGTCCAACCTGACTGCAGGTAACCGCACGTGCGTTCTCACGTACGCTGCCAATCAACAGGTCAAGGTGCTCCGTGCGATCCCTCCTATCGAGCGCAGCGACACGCTCCTGGGTCAGTACGTCTCGGCAAATGGAAAGCCCGGTTACCTCGACGACGATACCGTCCCGCCGAACTCGGTCTGCCCCACGTACGCTGCGACCACGCTCTGGATTCACAACCCCCGGTGGGAAGGTGTCCCCTTCATTCTCAAGGCTGGCAAAGGTATTCTGCCTTCACATGTCGGTTTCTCAGGAGACCTCACGCCCTTATCATTTCATTAGCCCTCAACGAAGCGAAGGTGGAGGTCCGCATCCAGTTCAAGGACGTCACCCAGGGCATCTTCAAGGACATCTCGCGCAACGAGCTGGTGATCCGCATCCAGCCGTCGGAGGCCGTGTACCTCAAGCTCAACACGAAGATCCCTGGTCTGAAGACGCGTGCGATCCCGACCGAGATGGACCTGACATACAAGCGCCGATTCACGGACGCGAAGATCCCTGAGGCGTACGAGGCTCTTATCCTCGACGCGCTCCGTGGTGACCACTCGAACTTTGTCCGTGACGACGAGCTGGACGTTGCGTGGAAGATCTTCACCCCTATCCTGCACTGGATAGAGGGCAAGAGCGGCCCTGCGCCGAAGCCGGTCCCGTACCCGTACGGCTCGCGCGGTCCGAAAGAGCTGGATCCCTTCATCGGAAAGTACGGCTTCAGGCGGACTGTGCAAGACTAGTACGTGATCACACTGGCTAGGACCGATGGGAGTCACTAACCCGCTGCGACGCCAGCACCTGGCCAACGTCGAACATCTCCGTTTTGTGAAAGATGCCACGAACTCGGATGTACGAATAGCGTAGTCAAACGGGAACTGCAGTAGCTCTGACCGTGCGTCGCGCGCGCTTCTCGGGGCCGGCACCGGGGGAAACGTGCAGCGGATTGGAATTAGGACCGGTCTGCTGGGCGTGGATGGCCGGACGCCGGACACACGGGACAGTACTTTGTTGTAGGCTGTTTGAACGGAGAAAGGAACGCAACGTAGCCAACGCTTGTATCTCGTCCACTGGAGCGTGTACTTGTGTGTGAATCTAACGATCCCCGACTTGGATGGCGTGGACGCGGATGGCCATCAGGCGCACGGCGTGCTGGAACCTTTTCCTAGAACTGCAAATGCGGATGGCCAATGCGGATCCGAGGGTATCGACGCGTTCTTCCAGTTGGCGCTGCACGCGATCGTGACGCGATCACAGGATCGTGTCTAATCACGTGTGCCCCCAGCCGCCGTCTGTGCAGAATCGTACCATGTTGTCGTGCTCATGCGCCGATGCTTATTATAAAGCGCTGCACCGAGTATGCATCCGAACGAAGTTGACCTTCAGACACGTTCAGACCAAGTTCAGTGCACTCAATGTGGCAAGTGCATTCGCTACCTGTCTTCTCCGACGACATCTCAGTCCAGAAAACCAACCAGGCAGCCCGTTTATGTCGACGCAAAGCGGAGCTAGCTCACAGCGGACTTCCTCTTTGGTTTGCATCCGTCCTTCTCCCGCCCGGGCGCCTCCTATACTCACCACTTTGCAGACATGTCAGCCGCCTCCGTGTCCGTTACGGCGTGCATTCTCCGAGTAAGGGAACCCGCCGGAAGCAACAGCAGGACGGAAGGCGAACAAAACCCGCTTACCGCGCGTCCTCGCGCCCCCGTGCTGCCTGTTCAGCCTCCGCCCTCTGCGCCAGACTCGACCTGACTCTTCCTATGGACCCGACCACGAACGCCCCCGACCTCCCGTACGGGACCTCGCTCAGCCTCGGCTCGCGCGAGTACCACATCCTCGAGTGCCTCGGCTCTGGCAAGTCGGGCTCCGTCTACCGCGCGCTCGAGCACGCCCACGACTCCGCGCACGCCGTCGCGCGCGCGATCAAGGTCCTCCCGCTCGACCCCGCCGTCGGCCTCGAGGGCTACCACGTGCGCGAGGCGGCGCTCCAGGCGCGCGTGTCCGCGCACCCGCACGTCGTCTCCCTGCACGACGTCCTCTACGACGACCGCCGGGCGTACCTCGTCATGGACTACCACCCCGGCCGCGACCTGCACCGCTTCCTCGCGCGCTGGCGGCCGCTCGCGGGGGACACCGCCGCCGTCAAGCGCGTCTTCCTCCAGGTCGCGGACGCCGTCGCGGCGTGCCATGCCGCGGGCGTCTTCCATCGCGACCTGAAGCTCGGGAACATCGTCGTCGACGACGAGAGCGAGCTCGGGAGCGTGAGCGTCGCGGACTTTGGGCTCGCGACCGACGTGGAGTTCAGCGCCTCGTTCGGGGTCGGGACGCGGCCCTACATGAGCCCCGGTGCGTCTGCCCGTCCTGCCGCCGCTTGGTGCACCCTTTCCTCGTCTCCTTCGGCGCTGACCTCCTCCCCCCCACCAGAATGCTGCCAGCGCGCGGTCGGCCGCGACACGTACGACGCCCGCCGGAACGACGTCTGGGCGCTCGCCATCATCCTCCAGGAGCTCGCGTTCGGCCGGCGGCTCTGGGAGGCCGCGCACACCGCCGACCCGCACTTCCGCGCGTACGCCGCGGACCCGGGCCTCTTCGCGCGCGTGTACCCGATCGCGCCCGCGTTCGAGCGCCTCCTCCGCGGCGCGCTCGCCGTCGACCCGGACGGCGGCGGCGGCGGGGCGCTCGGCCTCGACGAGCTCCGGGCGGGCGTCGCGGCGCTCGAGAGCTTCTGGGCGCCGGCGGAGGAGCTCGGGGGGAAGGTGCCGGCGTACGTGTGGGACCGCCATCGGCGGGCGCCGCCGCGCGCGCTGCCCACCGGGTGCTCGCTCGCGCAGGGGGGCAGCGAGGGTGGGGCGTGGGGGCGGGCCGTCGCCGCCGCCGCGCGGGAGGAGGAGGAGCGGGAGCGGGGGCGGCGAGAGGAGAGGGAGAAGGCGGGGAGGCGGAGGGAGTCGGTCATCGAGTTCTTGTGCACGCTCGCCGACCGGCTCGTGCAGGGGGAGAGGCCGAGCGGGAGGGGCGCGGAGAAGGCCGCAGAGGCGAGGCCGGGGCATCTGCGCAGGCTGGCGCTTCGGATTCAGGCGTAGAGTCGACGAGGTTGGAGGTGGTACGGCTATCGGTCCGCGCCAAGAAATGTATTGTCCGCAATCGAAAGCCCACAGGCCTGACTAGACTTGACGAGCTCGTCGAGGCGATTGGGCGGGATCGCCCCGTCGTCGTAGCCAACTACCACCATCCCGAGAACGCTGCTTGCGTTACCCCCGGAGACTAGTAGGACGGTGTCGGGAGCAGCATCCCATCCTAAGCACATTCTTCCGCTGACGGTGACGATGGGTGTCCATGCGCTGGCTGGCGACCACCCCGTCCAGGGAAAAAGCCTGTACATCTTGCTCGACGGCGTATAACACCTCCCCGGTGGACGGATCGGGACAATTTTCGCCTCGAATGACTCACTTGAGGTCGGGAGACAGTGTGGCTTCTCGAGCGGTTTCGTCGAAGTGGAGGTCGCGGACGGTGACGGCGCGGCCCACGACGCGGCCGGGCCCGATGACAGGGGGGCAGTCTGCTCCGTCGGAGTCGGGCACAACGGTGGCCTGGAAGACGTATTCAAGGAACGGAATGACGGTGGGCGCACAAGCTCAATGCGGAGGAAAAATTAGGGATCGTGTTGTATGGTCATTTGGGCCTGGAGGAGGTGAGTCGGCAGAAAGAGAAAAGAAGGCGACGGAGGAGCTTGCGAGTGTTCCTTAGATAGAGGGACAATGTTTCAACAGGGCGGTATCCCGCGGATGTACCAGTCCTTCAGGCAAGGGAGGAGATCGGTGTCATCCATATGCAGTTGTTGAGGTGGGTGTCGTACTGATTGGAGGGAGGCCTAGGTGTCCATATGAACAGCTTCGACAGGGGAACGCAAGGCATGCTCCTACCATGGCTTCCGCCAGACGTCAATGATCTGCTCTGGGCAGCAGTAGACATTACTGGCGCACCAGACGGTGGTTAGTGGACCAGGAGAGATGAGAGTCTGAGTTTAAATCGAATGGCGCCGCCAGTAGGCGCACGAACCTAATACACTTTAGGTGCGGGCAAGTCGGAAGTGAGAGTCAGTTCGAGTCCATTGCATAACTTAGGGCAGTAAGGATGTGCATACGGTACGAACACAACATGAGAACGGGGGTATTCTGCAGAGTACAAGGACTTGGCGAGGAGAGAGTGAGTTCGAGATAGCGGTGTATGAGACGACGGGCGCGCACGGACAGCGGACAAACACAAAGACAGCAAAGAAATCGAGGACGAGAGGTCGTGTCGCGTCGTGAGAGCTGGGGTTAGGCTGGAAGGGACCGCGCGGGAGGGCAGGGGGGTGGAGCGGGAACACGTCTGAGGCTGAAGTCCCGCCTCCAAGACATCGGACAAATCAACGAAAGAGGGATGCACGGAGGGATAAAAACAAAAACGACCATATATCGTACGCACGCCCACCAGACTGCTCATTTCCGCTCACCGCCAGGTCGGCCGCGACCCGCCCGCCGCGCTCCCGCTCCGGAAGCTCGCGTCCATGCTCGCGTTCGGGTCCACGGCCGCGACCGCCTTCAGCCGCGCCGACGACACCGCGAGCAGGCTCATCCGCTTCGGCCGCTTCGCGGGCGAGTTCCCGAGCGCGACCCGCCGCGCGCCCCCGCTCTTGCCGCCCCCGACCCCCGCGCCGCCGACACCAATCCCGCCACCGCCGCCGAGAGACGCGCGCGCCTGCGGCGAGAGCTGGGGGATCATGCTCGACCGCCGCCGCGGGCGCTCGCTGCGCATGGGCCCGATGTTCGACCGCCGCCGGCCGCCTTGCTCGAGCCGCCGCCGGCCTTGGCGTCGTCGGCGCGCGCTTGCCCGGGCTGGCGTGATGGTGGTGGTGGTGGCGCTCGCGCTGCTTGCCGTTCGACGAGGATGCGCTCGACTCTCCGAGGGCGACGGGGCGCGGTTCAGGCTGCGGTCCGTGAGCGGGGAGGCGCGGCGCGGGGAGCCGAGCGCGACCCGGTTCTCTTCGTCGTCCTCGGCGAGGCTGCCGAGCGCGGAGGTGCGAGACCGCGTCTTGAGGAAGCTGGGGTCTAGGCGGCTTGCGCGGGGGCGTCGGCCGTGCGCGCCCCGGAGCAGGGCGGTGGCGGATGATGAGGCGGAGGAGGAGCTTGCCGGTCGAGGGGCCAGAGAACACGCTGAGGTCGAGGCTGTTGTCCGTCTTCTCGTCTTCCCACTCGCTCTCCGACCCGGCCGCCGACATTGGGCGCTGCAAGGAGGTCGACACGGGGAGCTGCGACGACGACGAAGACGGCATGGAGAACGACGCGGAGCTGATCTCCTCCGCCGGCGTGACAGAGATGACGACGCCGGCCATCGGCGCCTCACCCCCGTCGTCGAGCTCGCCCTGGCCGGCGTAGTCGCGCCACTGCACGCCCTTCTTCTTCGCGCCCTTGTCCTTGTCCGACACGCGCCGGTACGGCACTGCGGGCGCGAGGCTCGACCGGAGCGACTTCCGCGGGCTTTTGTGCGCCTTGCGGAGCGGGGACCCGCCGACGCCCGACGCGCCGTACGACGACGACCGCCGCGCGAGCTTCGTCTTCGCCTGCGGGGACGCCGTCGGGTTCGACACGACGCGCTGCACGCCGAGGCTGCCGAAGCCCTTGAAGCTGTTGAGCGCGGACGCGCGCGGCGCGGGCGCGACGGTGTACGACGCGATCGAGTGCCCGAGGAGCGCCTGGAACGCGGCGTCGTTCCCGTCCGCGACGCTCTTGAGGGACGCGCCCAGGCTCTGCGCCGTCTCGCCGAGGCCCTCGCCCCCTCGGCGGCGGCGGCGGCGGTCAGCACGCGGCTCGCCTCTCCGAGCATGACGGTGCAGCGCCCGACGAGGCCGATGAGGCCCACGAGCGCCTCCGTCTGCGCCGTGACGCCCTCCCGGAGGGCCGCGGTCTGCGCCTCGGCCTTGGCCTGCTCCATTTCTGACTTGCGCACGCGGGCGGTGAGCTTCACGTTGTCGAGCGAGACCTCGTCGAGCTGATCCGACGAGCGCCGCTCCTGCATCGCGCGGAGCGTGGCGTCGAAGAGCGCCCCGGAGTTGCTCGCGCGCTGGACACGCACGTTCAGCGCGCTCTCCGCGCGGAGCGCCTGCTCCTCCGGGCCCGCGAGCGCCTGGAGGAGGGTGCGCTCGGTGGCGAGGTCGGGCGGGAGCGGCGCGGACGGGTCCGCGGACTGGGTGTCGAGCTCGATGAGGCGGGCGCGGATGACCTTGAGCTTCGCTTCGGCGACGGCGAGCTTGCCAGCGCACGTCGCGCCGTCCGCGATCGAGGGCTGCATCTGCTCCGCCTTGAGCTGCAGGTCGCTCTTCGCCTTCTCGACCTCGAGGACGGCCTCGCGGCGCTTGCGCTTCTCGGCGTCGCGCTCGGCGTCGCGTCGGCCGGCGAGCTTCTCCTTGAGCTCGGCGACCTCGAGGTTGAGGCGGTTGATCGCCTCGACGTACTGCCCGACGTGGCGGTCGACGTTGACGACGTTGCGGGTGACGACCTTCGTCTTGATCCTCGTCGCGCGCTCGGCGTAGATGAGGGTGTTGTGCGTGTCGTCAAAGTGGATGCTCGTCGGCGCGACGCAGACGATCATCACCGTCTTGCAGTTCCCCCCGAGCGAGAACTTGAGGAGGCGGGTGAGCTTGCTGTTCCGGTACGGCACGTGGCGGATCGCGCCGCCGCTCTCGCAGAGCGCGTTGATGCAGTTCCCGAGCGCGAGGAGGGACTTGTTGATGTTCGCGCCCTCGACCATGCGCTTGCCCATGTTCGTCGTCGCGGCCGCGCGCTCGCTGCCGGCCAGGTCGATGATCGAGAGCGTCGCCATCGTCTTCTGCTCCGTGAGCGACGCGGTGTGGGGCGACTGCGTGATGTGAACTTGGAGCACGGCGTGCGACCGGGAGCTGGTTTCGTTCGCGTGCGTCGGGCTTTGGGTGCGGCGCGAGTTTCCGAGCAGGACGATCTCCTTGACCTCCGCCGCATTCGATGGCCGCAGCTCCGTCAACCCGACGACCTTCACCGCCTTGTCCTCCCGAATCTGCAGGCCGCCGCGGGGAGAGGGATTGCTTGGGTCGGCGAGGAGGTCGCGGATCTCCTCGTTGTAGATCTCGAGGAAGGTGACTACGACGTCGACGTTGTAGTCTTCTCGTCGGTCGTCGATGTCCTGGAACAGGTCTGCCATGGTGAGGTAGATGATCCCAGGATCGGTGTCGGTGCCGCTGATTGTGTGCGTCTTGCCGCAGCCGGTGGCCTGCATGCAAAGAATGAGCCGAAGCGCCACTCACACGGACGAGACGAGCGCACTCCGTAAGCAAATATCGTCGTGTTGAACCCGTCAAGGAGGTTCTTCAGCAGCGGCCGCGCAGTCGCCCCGTACACGTCCGCCTGGGAAGCGTCGTGCCGGAATACGCGGTCAAAGATGAACCTCCGGTCCTTGTAGCGCTTCGTGCCGGGCGGAACGAAGCCCCTCTCGAAGAACGCCCTTGCCTGGTCCCTCTCCACCGGATCGAATGTGAGGACGCGGTCGTCGACGACCTGGATGATTTCGCGGAGCGTTGATGTGTTGGCGACGCGGCCAGGTGCAGAGAGGGCGCCGTCGCCCCGAATGCATGCGTCGTAGACTTGCTGAGGCAACCTTGCGGCCTCGGATGTGGTAGGAGGGCGCACCCGGACTGAGAGGCAGAAGGAGGAGGGGCGGATGTGAGCGTCCAAGCGCTTCGCGGCTAGTGGCAGGCGAACAAAGTAGAGGTTGGCGTACCTGCGACAGTGATGGAGTCCGCGGGGCCGACCATAGTCGATGGTGTTTTGGGGAGCGCGTGAGGAGGTTAGGGTGGAAGCCCTTGCTGGGGGAGCGGGCGGGCAGGGATGGAGGTGGCTGGAGAAAGGGTAGTTCAACTTGCAGCCTCGCGACACAACTGAACATGGTGCACGCGTCGTGGCACGTGACCGTAGCTGCGATATGAGCGCCTAGATAATAGATTGCATTGCGCAAATGGGCGCCTGCTGGATTATCCAGCCACAAGCGCGAACCAAGACTTGACAACATCCACCATGTCTGCACCAGCGGAGACTGTCACCGTCGCGTCCCCCGCCGACTTCCACGTCCATCTACGACAGGGCGAGATGGCAGAGGTGGTGACCAAGCACGTCCGCCACGGCGGGTTCTCTCTGGCCTATGTTATGGCATGTCCTCTTCCGGCACTCTTGCTCCCGCCGCTGGGATGGCTCATCGCCGCCGACGGTCATTGCAGCCCAACCTGAAGCCGCCGATTACGACGACGGAGCAGGCGCTGCTGTACCGCGCGCAGCTGCAGCGATCGATCCGGGAGTCGAGTACCTGATGACGCTCTACCTCTGCCCTGAGCTCACTCCGGACGAGATCCGGAAGGCGGCGGGGGCAGGCATAGCCGGTGCGTCTCCGTCGCTGTCTCTCCCACCCTGACGCCGCGCGGGGCAGGCGGGCGCGATGCTGATGGTGGCCGGCGCGGACGGGCGTTGCGACAGGCGTGAAGTCGTACCCGCGCGGGGTGACGACGAACTCGGAGGGCGGGATCGAGTCGTATGAAGCGTACTACGGCATCTTCGAGGCGATGGAGGAGGTCGGGATGGTGCTCAACCTGCATGGGGAGGTGCCGTCGGCGGCGGGGACGAACACGTGCGTGCTGAACGCAGAGCCGGCGTTCCTCCCGCACCTGCGCGCGCTGCACGGGCGATTCCCGCGGCTGCGGATCGTGCTCGAGCACGCGACAACGCGGGCGGCGGTCGAGTGCGTGAAGAGCCTCGGGGAGACGGTCGGGTGCACGATCACCGCGCACCACCTCGCGCTGACGGTGGACGACTGGGCGGGGCAGGCCTGGCACTTTTGCAAGCCGGTCGCAAAGTACCCGGACGACCGCGCGGCGCTGCGGGAGGTCGTCAGCGAAGGTCCGTCCGCGCTCTCGATCTCCCCCAGACGGAGGCGGCAACTGACACGGCGTGCCGGCTCTCTTCCCCCTCCAGGCCACCCTCGCTTCTTCCTCGGCTCCGACTCGGCGCCCCACCCGTACGAGAGCAAGGCGGTCGCCTTCCCCACGCAGTCGTGTGCGGCCGGGGTGTACACCTCGCCCATCCTCCTGCCCCTTGTGGCGCAGATGCTCGACTCGTTCGGCGCGCTGGACAGGCTCGAGGGCTTCGTGAGCACACACGGCAGGGCGTTTTACAAACGGCCCGTGACGCAGGGCGACAGCGCGGTCGTCCTTCGACGTGGGGTGAGCAAACCGGTAGGGATCGAGGGGTACGGGTCGGGTGCGACGCATGTGGTTCCGTTCTGGGCAGGAAAGGAACTGAACTGGGAGATTGTGCGGGAGTAGGGGACCGGCTCCTTTCGCTGACGAGGGGATTTCGCTCGTTGTCGACGGCTAGATAGACGCACAAACTTAACCAACGGTCCATCTGTTCGGCAGGAACCCCACATAGCCGAGCATGCATTAACCTTGCTCGTCCCCGGCGCGAATGCCTTGCTTGGAGGGGGGCAGGATCTGACACGAGATCGTGGCTCGAGGCGCGTTCCGTTGCTGGCGGGCCGCACGCCATCGAGCTTCTCTCACGCTGCGGGCTCAGGACATGGGGCAGGCAGGAGTGGGTACGAGTAGCAGCAACGAGGCCGGGACAGAAGGCCACGTTTCCGATGCGAGCCTGAGGCCGTCACCGCAGCAGGTATTGCGGGAGCTTTGCGGGAGTCAGCTGGGCCGCACAGACGACCCCGGGCGCGCCCCGTCCGCCATACGGGCCGCAGTTGCCAGCGAGGGTGAGGGCGGAAGGAGAGAGCGGATCGAGCACACGCACCGGCGAGATTGAGTGGGCGATCTCGCGGAATCGGGGAGATCGTGTGCGTGGCACGTGGCCAGCGCCGATTGAGGCACGACGATTGACGGGCGTCTCTTGCAACAGACGCCCGGGGAGTCCTCCGCCCGCTGGCCGCTGACCCGACGGACACGGCTTGGTCGTCCAAGCTCAAGCTGGCCTCCCAGCTCTCCGCCAGACATCGATGCCTCTCGCCGCCCGCCCATGACCGACGAGCACTATGCCCGCCCTCTGTCCCCTCCGGCCCCTGCCGGCACCGTCCCCCCTGACTCCGGACGCGACAGGGCAGAGGATCGAGCGGGGGTGCGCCATCCAGCGGGCCCGTCGGCCGTCCATCGCGCTCAGGACGACGACGCGGCGCCTCCGCCTGCGGACGAGCAGGCAACCCATCGCCCATTCCGCCGACCGTCTCCCACACCCAGCTCTCCGGATCGCCCGTCCTCCCCCGCCCGTCCACGATCCCGCACCCATCACCGATTCCCCCCCGCTACATCTACCCCCCACCCCGGCCAGCCTCTCCTCCCCCGACTCCCCGCCATGGACGACTCCCCGCCCCCCTTGACCCCCATGCTCTGCTCCCCCTCCTCCACTGTCCCCTCTGCCCCCTCCGCCCTCCTCCGCGCCCCCGTCACTCTCCGCTGCGGTCACTCGCTCTGCTCCTCCCACCTCTATACTCCGGACATTCCCTCACCCCCTCGACCTCTGCAGACCCTCCGTCCGCCCTCCCTGCTTGTCCTCTCCCCAATTGCTCCCCCTCTCTCTCCACGCAGCCCCCACCGCGTTCTCCCGCCCCCCACCCGTTGACGTCACAGCGAATAAACTCCTTGATCTACTCCTTGCGGCTGCCGCTGAACGCGAGAGCACACCCCCCCTCCACCGAGACACCGACGAAGATACAGCCTCAGAACGCGACGTCGACTCGGATCCAGAGCTCGAGTACCTCCCCTTGTCCCCCGCGCCGCCGAGCCCGGGCGTCGGCGCGGTCGCCCCTCCTGCCGCGCCGTCGGAACCGTTGGACGACGAGCACCACCGCCCGCATCCTCCGCCGGCCGACGGCCCACCTCCACCGCGGCGCAGGGCACGCACCTCGCAGTCCGATCCGAGGCACCACCCGCGAAAGCGCCGTCGGCGCATACACAGCCGTGCATCTCCCACCCCCTCGCGTTCCGAGCATCATCCCAACGACCACGACCGACGTCCTGGCCTGGAAAAGCAGCTGCTCTTGGAGCTCACTTGCGAGATCTGCTTCGGGTTGTTCTGGCAGCCGCTCACCACACCATGTCAACACGTGAGTCCTGCCTTACTTGTTCTCGCTCGAGCATGGGGAATGTCGGAGATCAGAGAAGACGTCATAGTCGCTGCCGTCGCGTTAGTCCCTCAAGCGACGTGCTCCCCGTCGGCAACATTGTCGCTTGTATTCACAGGAGTTGCATCACGCCCAGCCTTGTGTCGGACGTAGTGCAGTTCCTGATACACGTCAGGTAGCAGTCGTGGACGGGGTGAGAGCGCTCGCGATCTATGGCCAGCCGACGTCACACTCGGTGAATCGGCGGTCGGTCGGTCGGTCGGTAAGATGATCGCACGCACACCCTAAGTCGCGGACAGGTCACCCTCGCCACCGAGTGCGCTCATGCTGGAGAGGCCCCGAGTCCAGAACTCGGAGCGTTCGACAGGGCCTGGCTCATTGATCGCCCCTCAGCCCCTCGTCGCGCTTTATCTGCGAGCACCGCCTCCACGTCTGGTTCCGCCTAGGGTACGATATGCTCGGAAATAAATTCACCTGCTACTTCTTGTCTCAGTGAATAGATGTTGAGGGTTACATGTGACACTTGGTACTCAGCGGTACTGACACAAAATCCCTTTCGCAGACATTTTGCACTCGTTGTCTGTTTCGCTCCCTCGACCACAGCCAGAACTGCCCCCTTTGTAGACAGACGCTCCCCGGATACGTCTACTTCCAGCAACACCCTTACAACAAGACCATCCTGTCCATCCGTGCGTCGGGTCATAGTATTACAACTTGAACCATCACTCACGAGCCATCGCGCAGTGTTGAAAGCCTTTCCAGATGCGTACACTGAACGAGGCGCAATGGTGGAGGCCGAGGAGCGTGACTCACGTTTAGATACCCCCATCTTCATCTGCCAGTTGAGCTTTCCGGGCATGCCGACCATCCTACACTTTTTTGAACCGCGGTATGTTCTGCGGTCATTCTGCGGGTGACCCAAGTTGAATTAACGTCACTTGAATCCAGGTATCGGCTAATGCTTCGAAGGTGCCTGGAATCAGAGAATCCGTGCTTCGGCATGATTCCTCCTCCACGTGCGGCACCGACGGCGACGGCGAACGGCTCTAGTACGGGCAACGACTACGGCACGATGCTGGCGATCCGCCAGGTACAGATGTTCCCCGACGGGCGCAGCATTGTCGAGACCTGGGGCACATGGCGCTTCCGGATTATGGACCGTGGCATGCGTGATGGGTACACGGTTGCCCGGGTGGAACGCATCGAGGACTACGAGGACCTGGACCCTGGCGGCAACACACCGGTAACTGGCGACGCAGGTCCAAGTGCTACGCCCGCAACCACGGACGGTGACGGTTCGCAAGCCCGATCGGCGAGAGCTCATGAAGACCCTGTCGAAGCTACGGTACGTGCCGAGCTGGGGGACCTCCACGCTGGCGCCAGCACACCCGCGGGTGATCCTCCTTGGCTCTCTTCCTCCGCCCCCGTCGCCTCTTCCTCGCGACTACTGCCCTCTGCCCCCACCAGTGATCATCCAGTGCCAGTGCCAGGGTTGGCGTCCGGGCCGAGTGCGCCGAGGATCGTTCGCATGCGACCTCGTCTCCGTCGGCCGCCACAGCGTGCGGGAGTGGAAGCGGCGGGCTGCAGGACGCGGATGCTCCCAGCTCGCGCCGCGCGCCCACGAACGCAGAGCTGATGGCGACATGCCACACCTTCATCGAGCAGACCCGTCAGGGCACCCCATGGGTTGTCCAGCATCTCAATAACCTGAATTACATGCCCATGCCCACCGACCCTGCCAGCTTCAGCTTCTGGATGGCACTCGTACGTAGTCTCTGATGTCTCTCTTCGCCTCGTGCTGACCGTCTGCATCGTGTGCAGCTCCTGCCGATCGATGACCACGAGAAGGCGAAGCTCCTCCCGATTCGCTCCCCTCGCCTGCGCCTGCGGCTCGTCGTCCACTGGATCGAGCAGCTCAACAGCCAATGGTGAGGATCTCTTCCACCCAACATTCCCGCTCCACCCGCCCCCGTCGCCCCGTTTCCCTTTCTATTCACGCGTGGCGAATCCAGGTCTGATGGAAGACTATTTGCCCCTCTCCGACCAAGGGCCGATGCTTACGCCTCTGCGTCCGCTTTCCAGGTGGTTCTCTGGCGGGTGCGTTATCTCATGATGCTCCCTCGCGCCGTCCGCGCCTGGGTGATGCTCTTCGCCTACTCGGCACTCCTCGCCGCCATCTATTCGGCCAGCACATCTCGCATCACCGCGTCGGCGGCCAGAGCGAAGGGGCTCGCGGCGGAGACCTTGAGCATTGGCATGTGCAGCGATCGTCCCGCGGCGCACCGCTTCCATCCACGCCTCTCCATACCTACATCCTTCCGCACCCGCATCTGTCCTCACTGTTGTCGCCCAGGTCCCCTCCCTTACTCATCTGTAGCCCGCGGTCCCCTCGCTTCGCTCCGGACCAGCGCTCTGTAGCCTTCTCTACCGTGCTCTCTGACTCGTTCCAACCTGACGATATCTAATCCGACATACATACGTGTACATGGCTCTCCGGACTGTGCACCATCTCCTGCATCTTTTACGTGCGGAACATTCTGCCCCTCCATTTCAGTTCCTTTCGCACAACGCCCGACGCGCTGAGACTCTTCATGCAGCGATTGAAACTGCGCGTACCATGCCCGTCGCCTGACGCACCGGCTTCCACGGTATGTGTCGTGGCATCGTGGGCCAAATCTTCGATGAGTGAACTGAGGCGATCATGTCCGCGCGCACTCGAACCAACTGCGTCGCTGTGCGCCCCAAGCTCAACTCACGACGTTGGGTCTGAAAGAGGCAGCATGCTAGAGGAGGCCCTTTTCCGACAGAAAAGGGAGTTAAGCCAGGCTCACAGGGCACACGGCCCTAACGTGTATGGCACTGCAGCGGCTGCTGAACTTCTATCGCCATTGGGCTGAGAATCTGGCAGGTCGCGGCCACAGGCGGATGGCACTGATGCAGAGGAAAGAACAATATGATAAATTATGCAAGATGTCAAACGTCCCAACTCTAGAACGCCCGTTTGACCTCGAAGAAGGACTGCGTCGCAGGCGTTAGCCACGCGACACCTCAACATTAACATGCGCGCTCACCTTGAGATAGTACACCTGCCAGGCCACCACGGCGAACAGCACCAGCACCTGCAGAATGGACCACCACTTCACGCGGTCGTTCGAGGACTCGGCGGTGTTGCGGTGCGTCCGTTCGCGGACCACGATGTACTCCTGCTCGTCCTTGACGGACGCCAGGCCGTGAGAGAGCGTGCGGATCTCGCGTTCGATGGGCGAGACGATGTCTGCGAAAGGGCGCGTGAGCGGGGCGCGGGGCGGACGAGCGAACGGGCGCCACCTTCGTCGTCGACATAGATGACTCCGTGCACGTTGAAGCTGCGCAAGACACCCCAAGAGGTCTCAAGAGGCCCACACTGAACGCGTTCGCAATGCAACGCACCTGACCATCTTGTCGATGACCGTCGACATGTGGTTCGAGAAGCAGTACTCGTAGCGGCCGTCCTTTTTGGCGGTGATCGCGGCGGTGCCTTGGGACTGCTTGATGTGCTTTGCGAGCGCGGTGTTGCCCGGGTCCGCGAGCTGCGTGCGGGGGACGGGTCGGGTGCGAACGAGGCGGATGCGAGGGAGACACGCACCCAGAAGTCGATGTCCAAGTGCCCTCCACCGCCCACTTGGTAGGTCACTGTCATCTGTGGGCCTGTGAGGACGTGGTCCTGGCGAGAGTGAGGCGAGGTCGTACTTTGTCGTTGACATGGAGGTCCTCGAAGAAACACTCCTTCTTGCCGGCAGACACCTCGATCATGTGCCCTGAGACCAGGAGAGGGAAAACTAGGAGAACGGCGAGCCACATCGCGGAGAGCACAAGCATAGGTGGTCGTGGCATGGTCGTAATGAGGAAAGGTTCCGTGCGCTACCTGCCGTGGCGAGTTGTCCAGCGCAAGCAGTCACGTGCCTGCAATCACACTCGGGCAGGACCCAGAGCACCGCTGATTGCCATCTCGGGGTCCGCGTGCAGATCTAGCGGCGGGGGATGGGGATGGTCGAGCTCTTTCTCTCTGCATCTCTTTTTCAGATCCGTCTTCCCATCTCCGCCGCCTCTCCTTTCTCCCTCTCTTTTGCACGCACGCCATCCACGATACCATGGCCGACCCATCCGACGCCCTTGCGCCCCGCGTGAGTGGTCCTTTCTCAGTGGCCGGTCGGACGACCTCCCTCTCCGTACTTGCATCGATTGCGGTGCGAGAGAGCCAGATCGCGCCACTCGCCCTCCCGCCGGTGACGGCCCACGCTGACGGCGGCCGCGGTTCGTAGCAGGACGACGAGCACGACCCCCAGTTCGAGCCCGTAATCAAGCTCACGGAGCAGGTCGAGACGAAGACCTTCGAGGAGGACGAGGTGCCGCTCTTCAAGATGTGCGTCCCGCTCCCCCGAGCCCCTTGCGCGCTGATCCCTGACCGCAGGTGCCGTCCCGCTTCCCTCTCGACTCTTGAACCAGGCGTGCGAAGCTCTTCCGGTTCGCGACCGAGTCCTCGGAGTGGAAGGAAAGAGGCACGGGCGACGTCCGCCTGCTGCAGCACAAGGAGACGAAGAAGATCCGTCTCGTGATGAGGCGCGATAAGACGCTGAAGGTCTGCGCGAACCACGCCAGTGAGTAGCGGGCGCGCTGTGTTCGGGCAGGGTGTGGCTTTTGGGTGCTCAGCACGCGTCGTCGTTCGCAGTCACTTCGGACATGCGTCTGCAGCCCAACATCGGCTCGGACCGCTCGTGGGTGTACAAGGTCGCCGCCGACTACGCCGAGCAGCCGCCTACTGCCGAGACCCTTGCCATCCGTTTTGCGAATGCCGAGAGTGAGTTTTCACGTCGTGGTTGTGCATTACGCTGGCATTGACGATTGCACAGACGCGGGTCAGTTTAAGGAGGAGTTCGAGAAAGCGCAACAGAGCAACGTAGACCTGGCCGCTGCCGGTGCCCCCGCGCCAGAAGCGCCGGCTACCGAGGAGACTCTCGAAGCCCCCGCCCCCGCCGAGGAGGAGAAGAAGGAAGAGGAGCCTGCAGCTGCCGTCGAAGAGGAGAAGAAGGAGGAAGAGAAGAAGGAGGAGTAAAAGGTGTCCTTCGTTGCACCTCGTACTCTTCTGCTCCTAGACGGTCCCCGTCCGTGGCGCACACTCCCGTATTCCACGAGAAGTCATTGCGTGTGTAACTTTGGTAGAGGCGGCGCTGGGGCTTGTATCCAGTAGGGTGTATCTCTTCATCTGTCCCACTCCGCATAACGAGTCTAAATGTGTAATGTGCTTCTACATTCATCCATCATCCATCTCCCACCCTCTACAATACAACATGGTTTATGAGTACTTGTTAGGAGACGTGCCACCGAACGGCCGCCGTCAAGAAAGAGTGGAGACGTAGTCTTCTTCCTCCTCGGCCCACGCGCTCCAGAATTTGGCCGCCTCGGTTTTCCCTGAACCCCAATAACGCGGGATGCCCTGGGCAGAAACGGCAGCTTCGTCGATGAGGACATACTTTATCCACTAAAGTTGACTCAGTTCGAGTCACTGGTAATCAAGTGGAATGGAACCGTACCGAGCCCCTAGGATCTAAAGCATTAGCTCTCCATTTACGATGGTCAAAGACAGCGATACTCACGGAGCTTCATACATCGGCTCCAATAGGATGGTCTCCTGTGGTTAAGACGCGTAATGAGCTACTCTGTCCAAAAGGAAATTTGAAGCGGTGCATACCATGATTCCCCTCAAACCTCTCGCACCTCCCCCGCGAGCGGCTGCCCTCTTGCAAATCTGGTCGAGCGCAGGAGACGTAAACCGTATCTCAATCCCCGAGTAGCCGAACAGAGCGGTATACTGCGCGACCAGCGACCCTTTGACCTCAGTCAACACTCGGCGGAGATCCATGGGTGAAAGCGGTGAGAGTGTCGTGATTGAGGGCATGCGGGAGATGAACTCGGGGATGAAGCTGAAAAAACGCGGGTGCCACACCGGTGTCAGCGAGAGAGAAAACGGCATTTGATGGCCCCTACCCAAATTTGACCAAATCTGTGTGCACAATGTGGTTAGTCCTTCCCATCTTGTGGGATTCGCAATGCGTACCTGCTGGCTCCACGTCGTTGAGAAGATCCCGCGTGGCCTGGGCATTGTCACTTGAGCCGCTGTTTGGAGTGAAGAACGGCATGCTAGTAGAAGGTGGTCGCCTTTCAGAATTCGATAAATTAGCTGTAAAACCTATGGACTGGGATCGTCAAATCAGTTTCAATTCGGCTGTTCCGAAGGGAGAGCACCTTACACCCTTCGATGTTCGCTGGCGTATGATATTCTCCAGACCAACGAAAGCACCACTTAGGATGAAAAGAACATTCGACGTGTCCACGGAATACGCATCAGGCCATTCTGTCGAGAAAACGTGAGTCGGCTGGCATAAAAGATGGATAATGAATAAAGTGCTTCAGTGACTTACGAACCGGGGCAGGCATCGCCTGTCCTCTACTTGCCCGTGCGCCTGTTGGCGCAGGCATCGAGGGCCCTTTGGCGGGTATGTTGACGATGGAACCTTCCATCATGCGCAACAGGGCTTGTTGAACGCCTTCGCCGCCAACATCTCGACTTGACTCGGGACCAGAAGACTTCCGTGCGATTTTGTCGACCTCGTCGATGTAGATGATGCCCATGCTTGTTAAGTTGAAAATCAGAGACACGAAGCACCACGTAGAGCTGTGACTCCATACTTTGCTTTGTATGGATCCCAATTCGCCGCTTGCAACTGTAGGCCCAATCAATGATTTGCAGGTGAGTATAGAATGGAGGGCTTCACCAGACGCTGAACACATGTGTCGACGTCGTCTCCTACGTCTACACGGCGCGTTTCTGATCAGAAACGTCATGAACTTCAAAAGAGCTACCTACATCCCGCCTGGTTACATCAGTCTAGTGTATATATGCCATGCAAGAAGACACATACTTGTGTGAAGGATGTGGCATCGCTGACGGAGAACGGGACATCCAGGACATTTGCGAGGGTCTTCGCTAGTAGTGTCTTTCCTACACAATTTGAGGATATAGGTTTCTCACATAGGAGGAAGTGGTATACCAGATCCCGTTGGCCCTCTGTAAAAGCGTAAGTCGAGTATCGGGTTTATTGACGGCATAGCGGGACCCACATCACCAGAACATTGCTCTTCTCGAACATGGGTATCGTATTGGTCATTCTATGTGATGGCTCTGGAGATGGAGAGTTGGACCCTGACCCAGACTTTGCTGCATTCTTCGATTCAGGCTTATTCGCAAAACAGAATGGATGCGGAAAAGAGCGTACAGTTGTTGCTCAAGTTCCCTCCAGAGAGATGAGGCGGTTCATCGTAGTACATTGCCCTCATGTTTGCATGTACGCGGTTGTAGTGATTGAACACACTGCCATGCGTAATCCGTCAGCCCATCCAGCGAGGCAAGAGGGAATGTTGGATTGACGTACGCCACGGAGAGAACCTTCTTCGCAGTCTCTTGTCCGACAACGTACTGGTCCAAAAAATTCACCAGCTTTCCCTCTCATAAGTTTGGCTCCCCCATGCCGACAAACTAAAAGGCACCTCTCGAGGCGTCGCGAGCCCAGATGGCCTCATCCTGTCGTCTTCTTGAGGCGCATATCGAACCTGCGTGCGTGCTCCACGGGCAATATTTTGAGCTGATGAGATCCGGCAACACTTGTAGACACTGCTGGAGCCACGCAGAGAGTTTGAACAGCCAGAGAGCATGGTACAGAGACAAGCCGCATGTCTTCGCTTACCGACGAGCTCATCCGAGACCGTCCGCCACCGGCAATTTCGGCCCGGGACCATGTCCGTCGGCGCTTAGTGAGGTCACGTCAGTGGGCGCCACTCGAGTCGGAATCCTTGCTGTTGCCTAGCGCGGACACCTCGACACACTTCCTTCGTCCCTCTCTGCTTGATCCCAACTAGCTGCATAAACCATGGGAAGGGATCGTCCTGCAAGTCCGGATCGCAGAGATAGAGAACGAGGACGCGACAGGTCCAGGTCTCCTCGTGACCGCTCCCGCGACCGGGACCGACGCAAGGACCCCCGCAAGCACAACGACGACGACGGCGACCGGCGTCACCGCGACCACAAGAGGAGCAGCAGCCGAGATCGCGACCACGACAACAAGAGCAGGCGCAGACGCGACCGCAGCGAGAGCGCTGAGCGTGACAAGAAGAAGTGCGCCGTTCTCTTCTCTATGGGTGGTTCGTGAGTTGACTCCCCATAGGCGCAAGCGCGACAAGTCGGAGGAACGGAAGGCTCGCAAGGCGGAGAAGAAGCGCGCTCGGGAGGAGGAGGAGGCCCGCCGTGTCGCTGAGCTCAGTGTGTACAGCGCGACAGACAACCCGTTCCACGACGTCAACCTCGACCAGCAGTTCCGTTGGCACAAAAAGAACGAGAAGGAGCGCAAGGAAGGCCTCTCCATCGCTGAGTCGCAGCGGCGCGATGCTCTGAGGAGACAAGAGGCCAAAGAGGAGCTTGAACGTCTCAACAAGAGGAGGGCAGAGCGAGAGGCAGAACAGCAGCTTAGGGAGGAGGAGGAGGTGCGCATGCATCGATTTGCCGAGTCTGCCCAAATGGCGGACTGGTTATCGAAAGAGGAGGACTTCCAACTCGAACAAGAACGCAGTCGAGCCATCATCCGTATCAAGGAGAAACGGGCGAAGGCAATCGACTTCCTGGCACTCAATCTGCGCTACGTGAACCCCATTGACGAAGAAGAGGGCGACGAGCTTACACAAGAAGGCTTGGAGATTGATCTAGACGAGCCTTATAACATTGTTGACGTACGTACACATCCCCTACGTGTAAACTGCTTGACTTACTGTCCTTCAGAGCTTGACGGCTGAGCAAGTGGAGGAATTGCACGACGGCATAGAGCGGTACTTGCAACTGGAGCAGTCAGAAACGAACATTGAATTCTGGACGGTAAGCATTTCGGTGAAGCGTGCTGTTTGTCGGTCGCTGAGCGTCTTCCAGAACATGATGGTAATCACCAAAGACGCACTGGAGCGCATCAAGGCCTCTCAGCGACTCGGAGCAGAGGCTGCCGCGGCGGTAGAGGCAGATATCACCGCGCTCCTGCGCGGCAAGTCCTATGACCATCTTGTCCAGCTTCAAAAACAAATACAGGCCAAGCTTGGCAGCGGAGAACCCATCGACGTGGAATACTGGGAAAGCTTACTCAAGAAGCTGCTGGTGTGGAAAGCTAAGGTATGACACTCAGAGGCAGTAGTTTTCCATGTAGCTAATGGCACTTTGCAGGCGAAACTCAGGACGCTGCATGAGGTCGTGGTTCGCAACCGGCTGGAGCAACTCCGGAAGCGGCAGCGCGATGAAGCACTGAAGGCTCAGGAAGAACTCCTTGCTGGTGTGGCGAAGTCAGCACAACGTGGCGAGGCACGCAACATGGTCCCGGCGCAGACAGAAAATGATGCGGTCGAAGAGACTGAGCCATATGACCGCTCGATGAGTCCACCACTCATCGACATTCGGAAGCTGCATCACGAGGAGCGTCAAATCGACATTTTGACTGCTATAGAAGACCTCCGCATGTTGGTATGTGATCTGGACGCATGTATGCTCTGCTTGCGCTGATATTTGGGTTTAGATGCAACAGCGGCACACTGTCTCAGGCACACGATTCATTCCGAAGACGGTCGAGGTTGCAGCTGAGGAGCAGAAAGTTGAGGCACCCAGCAATGCAGACTTGGCAGAGGCAATGTATCGGGCCGAAGCAGAGCGCGATCTCGACGAGGAAGAAGAGCTGTTCAACGTCGAGGAGAGTATCGCTCGCCCGACGTCGTACAACTGGGAGGATAAGTATCGGCCGAGGAAGCCCAAGTACTTCAACCGGGTGCATACAGGGTACGAGTGGAACAAGTACAACCAAACGCACTACGAGTAAGTGTACCAAAGCCCCTCGTCACGCAATAGAGACTGATAGCCTTCCTAGCACCGACAACCCTCCTCCCAAGGTCGTGCAGGGATACAAGTTCAATATCTTCTACCCGGATCTCATCGACAAGTCCAAGGCTCCGACTTATAAGATCATCAAGGAGCCAGGCAACGATGAAACGGTGCTGCTGCACTTCAGTGCTGGACCTCCTTATGAAGACATCGCCTTCCGCATCGTTAATCGTGAATGGGAGTTCTCTCATAAACGGTGCGTGGCGTCGTAAATATCCTTACAATGTCCTGTTAGTGATACTGTTACTGCGCGTAGTGGCTTCCGAAGTAGTTTCGATCGGGGATGTCTTTCCCTGTGGTTCAACTTCCGACGCAACGTGAGTGGTCTTATAAGGTCGATTTGGCGTGTACTCACCTCGTGCGTAGTTCTACCGCAAGTGAAGACTTCGGCGGACCATTGTTGTGTGCTGTATTGTAGGATGGATGTTATGCTATCTTGTCCTGTCTTCCTGTATCGTTATACCAATCTACCAACGGGTCCAAGAAGATCCGCAACCGTTTGTCAGTCCTGGATAATAGCCGCCGGAGGGGACTGTCCGAGGCGACGATCTGGAAAGCGCGACAGGATTACGGGAGAAGCAGCACAATGGATGGCTACGACACATGCGCTCTACCAAAAAGCCGCCGGATCACTTGACTCGATCGACCTCGCACGAGATAATCTCTTCGATTCCGTTAGCGCTCTGTACTGTACTTACCTTCGCCTCCCGCCTCCCGCTCTCGCTGTCTCTCTGCTCCCTTCATCATGCCGACGGTATCGTGCGACAAGGAGGAGCTGTTCAACAGGCTAGGCCGCACTTACTGTGAGTTTGCTCGCGCGGCGCGCTCCAGCTTGCTGATTTCGAAGAACTCAAGCCGCGGAAGAGTTCGACCACCTGCTTTTCGAATTCGGCCTCGAGCTTGATGAAGATGTATGTCAGTATTGTTCCTGCTAAACGCCGTTTCCAACACACCCTTTATCCCAGACTACGGAAGAGGTGGAGGCGCTAAAGGCCAAAGGACTCCCGACCGAGCGTCCGGTGTGTCCCTTCACGCCTTCTACAATCCTGGGCCTTGACGTGCTCGGTCCTTGACGTGCTCGGTCGAATATACAGCAACTGAAGATTGAGATTCCTGCCAACCGGTGAGAAGGAAGGAAATGGTCGTCCGCACACTACTCACTGTCCGAGCACAGATATGACTTGCTTTGCATCGAGGGTATCGCTCGCGCCCTTCGTGTTTTCCTCGGTTTGGACAAGACTCCCCATTACCAGCTCGTCTATCCTGCTGGAGGAGAAGCGGATCTTATCACTGTGACCGTCGGCAAAGAGGTGTGTACCTCGCGTTCGAGCGTAAAACAAGATGCAGAACCTATGTTCTTCATTCTCGCAGACCCAGCAAATCCGTCCATACTTTGCGAGCGCCGTTTTGCGCAACGTCAAGTTCACAGAGCGCTCGTATGAGTCCTTCATCGATCTGCAAGACAAGCTGCACCAAAATCTCTGCCGTCGGCGACAGTTTGTGGCCATTGGTACGCACGACCTGGATACCATCGAAGCTCCCTTGCGTTACGAGGCGCGTCCACCCAAGGACATCAAGTTCGTACCGCTATCGAAAGATAAGGATTACAATGCTGAGGAGCTAATGACGATCTATGAGGTACGTTTGTTTGTCGGATCGGAGTATGTGCATCCCTCACTGGCCACCAGTCAGAGAAGCACTTGTCGCGATACCTCCACATCATCCGAGACTCGCCCGTATACCCTATCATCTACGACAATCAGGATAGAGTAGCGTCAATGCCGCCTATCATCAACTCCGAACGCAGCAAAATCACGCTTAACACCAAGAACATATTCATTGACATCACCGCTACGGACGAGACTAAACTCGGCATCGTGGCTAACATCATCTCGACGATGTTCTCTGAGTACTGTGCGGAACCCTTCTCGTAAGTATGATGTATTCTCGTGGCGATTATTCACTTAGCAATCCCTAGCATCGAGCCTGTCAAGATTGTTTATCCGGATGGCAGCACTCGCATTACGCCCGACCTCACGTACCGACCGACCACGGCGCATGCGTCCTACGTCAACTCATGTACAGGGCTCGCACTCAATGCAGAAGAAGTCGCTCGCCTGCTTGAGCGCATGACCCTCACCGCGTCCGTGTCTCCAAACGACACCGACGAGATTGTGGTGCAGATCCCACCCACGCGTCCCGACATCCTCCACGAGTGTGACCTGATGGAGGACGCCGCTATTGCGTACGGCTTCAACAAGCTCCCGGACGCCTTCCCGTCCACGAGCACCGTGGCGCAGCCGCTCGCGATCAGCAGGCTGACCGACATCGTGCGCACCGAGTGGGCGATGGACGGCTGGGTTGAGGCGCTGCCCCTCATCCTCGTGCGTTTACCTTTCCCCCCGCCTTTCGAGCGCCCGCGCCTGACCGCTCCCCCTCCGCCCGCAGTGCTCGCACGAGGAGAACTTCGATTGGATGAACCGCAAGGACGACGGGACGACGGCGGTGCGCATCGCGAACCCGAAGACGCTCGAGTTCCAGGTCGTGCGCACCTCCCTCCTCCAGGGCCTGCTCAAGACGATCCGCGAGAACCGCTCGCACCCGCTCCCCGTCCGCGTCTTCGAGGCGTCCGACGTCGTCTTCAAGGACCCCGCGCTCGAGCGCCAGGCGCGCAACGTCCGCCACGCCGCCGCGGTCTGGTGCAACAAGACGGCCGGGTTCGAGGTCGTGCACGGCCTGCTCGACCGCATCATGGCCATGCTCGAGGTCCCGCGCATCGCCGCCGCGGACCCCAAGGCCGAGAGCGGGTACTACATCAAGGAGCGTGAGGGTGGGTATCTCTCTCTCTTTGTGCCCCAGGCTCGTTCGTCACGCTGACTTCCGCTGCAGACCCGACTTTCTTCCCGGGGCGTGCAGCGACGATCTACTACCGTGCGCCGAAGGAGACGACGGGCCTGACCGTGCTCAAGCGCACGCTCAAGGCTGCGCTCCACCACCCAGACGACCTCGAGATCGGCGTACTCGGGATTCTGCACCCGACCGTGCTCGAGAAGTTCGAGATCTCGTACCCGTGCTCCGCGCTCGAGTTCACGCTCGAGCCGTTCAAGAAGGAGCTCCAGACCGTGTGGACGTAGGAGGGCTGTGGTCGCCGACGGACCGGAGGGGAACGAAACTGATTAGAAGTATAAGTAGCCGCGATATGTACCTCGACGAACGCAGCTGTTGTAGCCTTACCTGTGCACAGATCGTCCGTTCGTTCGCTCGCGTGGGGGATATACGGTGGGAGACGCAGGAGCTCCCGCTGGTGTGGTGTGTACATTTCAAGCTAGTACACAGACGATATATTACAGAAAAGATATCCGAGCACGCCGCCAGCTCAACCAAAGATGCAGCACGGGACGACGGAGCTATCTGACGAGCGAGCCCGAGACGCGACGGCAAGGTGCGTGTGTGGTGGGAGTCCAGGGAGAATTAGATGGGAAACGTACGGAGACAACACATCCGAGAGCCTACACAAAGCGCCGCCCCCCTTCACACATCTACAGCTTGACCAAGACAAGGCATCACCGGCAAGGGCCCGAGGCTCATCAGAGCAGGCCCGCATTGCGAAGATCCGAGTGCAGGCGCGCCTCGTCTGCGTACGCGCGGGCGATCCGCTCGTTCTGGTCCGGATTCTCCGGGTCGAGCGGGAGGACGTACGCGTTCCGCCGTTGGCGCTCGTCGGGCTCGTCGTATTCGTGGTCGTCTTCGCCGTGGAGTTCGCGATGGGCCGCACCGGGGAAGCCAAGGCCCTGACGAAGGAGGGAGCCGTCGTGGAGGCCCTGAAGGCCAAACGCGCGCTCGATTGAGTGCACAAGGGCGGCGGACCGAGCGGACGTCGAGGGTGCGGGCGTGCTGTCGTCCTGAGAGGCGAGGATGCCGCGCTCCCAGCGTTTGACGCGCCAGAAACCAAGCAGGGAGGTGAGGAGGATGAACCATCCTGCAGAGCAGGGACAAGGGGCGTGAGAAAAACGAAACAAGGAGTGACGGACGGGAACAAGGAAACGCACCGACGGTCATGAGCAGGAACGAGAGCCACTCGGACGTCGCCTCGCTTGCAAGGTATCCGCCGTCCATGGGCACGGTCGCGGTGGGCATCGTGTTGTTCGGGTTGTTGTAGTACGCCTCGGCCTCCGCCGCGGTAGCGAACGTCGGGCGGGGCTGTTCGGGCTTCCACGCCCATACGTCGGCCTCAGCGCCGGAGAGGTCCTCACGGCCTCGCATGGCGAAGCCGTACTGGATGAGGGTGATGCCGAGCCCCGCGCGCGAACCGAGCTTGGCGGCGTGGGTGGTGTGGAGGAGGTAGGTGAGGAGGAAGCCGACGAACTGGAATGAGATCGAGACGAGCATGTTCCAGAGGAAGGAGAAGACGGAGCCGGTAGGAAGCGAGTCGATGATCACATCTCCGGGTACGTTAGTGTGGGAGGGTGCGTGAATCGTGGTCTCCCAGTAGGGTGGGACGGCGTCGGCCTGCGCCTGGGCGTACGTCGGGGGCACCTCCTTCTGCACCTCCTCGGGGACCATGAAGACCTCGTCGCCTGGGTGAAGTGGTCGTCAATGAGCCATGCGTACAACGAATGCAAGGGGCGGCAGCCCGCCAGACAAGAGGGGAGAGACGCACCGTCTTGTATGCGCACCTGGCGAGCGGGCTTTGCCGTCACGTTCGCAAACACCCCATCGTTGCCCGTTCCGCCACCAACAGGTCCGTGCGGCCTGCTTGAGCTGCCCAAACCGAGTCTCTCGGCGTAGTGGGTGGGAAACACCGACGCTGCCGTGCGTCTGAACCAGCCGCTCCTGGGGGTAGCATCGGTAGGGATCGCAGTGAAGGACGGCACGAGCCCATTTGAGTTCCCGAACTCGTTTGGGAGCGCCCGGGAGGAGGGACCAGGCGGAGAACCGGGCGGCGGGAGGGTGTAGTCGTAGTCCGAGTTCTCGAAGTCGTACGCGGACGGGGCCGTACGATCGTCAGCATCGTGTGCTGGGACGGGCTCAGCGTTGAGGAGGGAGTGGTATCCGTTGCGAGCGGTCGCTATCTGGCCGGAGTGGGAGCGATCGTCGTCGTCGTCTGAGTCATCAAATGCGGCCTCCATCTCGTCTATGGCGTCCGGGTCGGTGTGGGGATTCGGGAGGGGGGCATAACGAGCAGACATGGGAGGAACGGGGAAAGGAGGCGGGCGCAGTGGGCGCGGTCGTCGTCCACGAGCAGTCCAGATGTCTAGACGCCCAGGTGGCAGATGCGGTGAGAGCTGAGTACTCCACAGGCGCCCGCGGAGAGGGGCGCGCGTGGTTCGGCATTGTTCGGCATGTCATTTAGCGCACATTGCTCATTTGCCCGCCGAGATGGCCTCGCCATTGGCCAGGCGGTCTGGACTGCCACAGACCGTTCCCGATCAGGCATCTACGCCCCTCTCCCTTCCACGAACCCCTGGACATGGCCACCTCTCGTCGCACGCTGTTATTCTCGCACAAGGTCATCCTGATAGCATTGCTCAAAGTACATATACCACTGCCAATCCTTCGTCCCTCCATGTCGGTGACTACGATCATACAGTGTGTGGACGCGACGCTCTACTTGGACGACCATAACTCAACAACATCGCCGCTCCGTCTCGCGGGGGTGCGGTTGGCCCGGAAGGCGTCTTGCAATGGGGCGGGCGGGCAGGCGTCCCAGCGCGCGGCGAGCAGGCTCGAGCCGCGGCCGCGATCATCATGCCCAGTCCGACAGGATAGATGCGGTGGGTCTGGCGCATCGAGGTCAGACGATGCCCGCACGCCGCCCGTCGGGCGGAGGAAGGAGGTGCGTACCACTCGACGGCAACTAACGCATGAACAGGTCGGCGCGGTTCGCATTGCGGACGAGCCGCTGCACCCGCCGGCAGCTCTCCATGCGCGCGTCCATGAGCTCCGAGAACATCTCGAGGATGCGCGTGCTGGGCTCCGTTGGCGGTGCGCGGTGCGGTCGCCGCTTGCGCTGGTGGATGGAGATGCCGTCGATTTTGAGGCGCATGATATTCTTCCGCCGCAGCCACGGCGAGTGGGGCGAGAGGGGTGCGGCGGCCGACTCGGACTCGAGCTTGACCATGGGGACGTCGACGGCGGTCGCGTCCGAGGCGGTGGATGATGCGGGGGAGAGCGCGCCCTCCAACGAGGATGCGGTGGTGGTGGGCGCGGCGACGGGAGAGTGGGGAGGAGCGTCGATGCCCTTGGTGATGGCGAGCTCGAGGGCTGCGCGGGTATGGTGGACCCAGTAGCGCTCCTGCTGATAGAAGCCCTGGAGGGAGTCGAGGAGGGTGATGGCCGAGTGGGATACGTCGGCGGTGGGCGACTGAGGGGGAGTGGGGAGGGCGTTGTCGGGGGAGGGGGAGCGGTACTTCATGTTGAATGGAGAGGACGGGATGGGCGAGTGAGAGCGGGGGAAATGATACGGGGGGTGGAACAGCTGCCGCGGGCTGGCCGTCGGGCATTATATGAGCGATGGACGAGTCTCGACTGTCTCGAGAACCGACCGCAAGGGAGCTTGGGTGGATGTCCAGACCAAAGGCGTTCTGGACCAGGGCCAGTCCGCCAATAGGAGCCAGCGATCCCACTGGCCAATCACCGCCCGATACCCATCCTGATTGGCTCCGCCGCTCCGCCCGCCATGGGTGGGCGTGAGTCAAGCAGAGTCGACCACCGCGCAGGCCGAGGGCTCGATGGAGGAGGAGGAAGGAGTGTACGACGAGTAAGGCCTTTGCTCGAGCGGTGTGGGCAGCACACGCGACGCACGCCCGCGACTTGCAATTCCGGATGACGCCATGAAACAAACGCAGCGTTGGTCAGCTGCCAGGCCCGGCAAGCCGCGGGCCAATCGCCTCTCCCGGCGCCCGCCCGGCCACATCCAGGCGCCTTTCTCCGCCCGCCAGCCCGTCGCCCGCGCTGATTCGCTCCTGCCGTCTCCGTCATGTTCGCCCGACTCGCTCCCCTCCTCCTCCTCGCCGCCCGCCCCGTCTTCGTCGCCGCAGCGGGCGCCGACCTCCGCATCCACCATCGCCTCTTCCACCCGTCCCTCCAGGCCGCGCCCTTCTCCGAACGGGCTGCGCTTTCCATCTCTGGCTCTGGGCTCACCGCCGCTGCAAGCCTCGTCCCCTCCGAGGCCTTCTCCCATGACCTCCTCCAGTTCGCCGCCGAGGCCGAGGGCCTCCCCGGCGCACTCTACCAGGTCGCGCTAGAGCACCCGGATGATAGAGACCCGTCGCGCTGGGCGACCTCGTCCGTCCTCGCCGTAAGTGTCCCGCACGCTGCCCCCGCCCCGCAACCACGCCTCGACGCGTCCGTGCAGGGCGCCTCCGCGCGCCCAGTGCGCACTCGGCCCTGCCGCCCCTCTTCCCTCCTCTGCCCGCAGTTCGTCGTGACCACTGTCTGACCGACGTCGCCGCGTCACCCGCGCGCCCCGGCCACCCTGCCACAGTGTCATCTGGCCGCCGGCACGTCCGAGGCCTTCACGGTCCACCTCGACCAGGCCGGCGCCCCGTTCGGTCTCGACTACTTCGTGGGGCCCGTGCCGCACGACGGCGCGTGCCCGAAGCCGCGGCGCCGAAAGGCCAGCGCCAGCGGGGAGCCCGGCCCCGTCGAGGTTCGGCTGGTTGCTGCCAACGTCACCGTCGCCCTCCGCGCGCCGTCCTTCCCACCGCTGTGCGTCCATTCTTATGCCTCGTCCGTCGTTCACGGTCGCTGAATCTGAATTGTCAATCTGAATCGTGTGCTGCACGTGGTGCTCTCCTTGCTTGTACCGCAATCGGGAGGTGCTTCCAGGCCGGTGCTCCGCGTACCGCCGCCGGTGACGTCAGAGGGCAAGCCGGTGGAGGCGGCCAAGGAGAAGTCGTTCCTCGAAAAGTACTGGATGTACGTCGTCATTGCTCTGCTCGCGATGAGTACGTGTTTTCCGCTCTGCTCCTCCGTTGCAGTACGGGTGATTGACTGCTCCTTGGACAGTGTTCGCGCCTGCGCCTGCCGAAGAAGGCGGAAAGTAGTCGTATCCCTGCCATCCCTGCCAATACACCGGGCTGTTGTTCTGCCACCTGCGCACCGGCTGTGCCGCCGTGCACATCGTCCGCCCGGAGAACAGACCGCCGTTCCGCCGTAGACGCACACAACCGCCGACGTCCAGGTCGCTCCAGGTCGCTCTCTCGATCGCCCGCGTGCTTCGGGTTTCTTCGCCTTCCCTTGTGCTGCCATCGATGCCGACGCCTCCGTCTCGCAATATTGGCCTTCCGCCACTGCCGGCGCGGTCAGCGTGCGGGTGGGCAAATGGGGCACGCCGGGCGGGCGGGGAATCCACGTTGACGGCGGGTCTCGTCGGGGCTGGCTGCTGCTAGACCGGCCGAGGGGGGCGAGTCGATCTGCAGCCGTTACCATACGTGCACTCGTGCGCGTGAGAGATCCGCCGGGGGCCATCCGTCCATGCGTTCGGTAGTCCCTCCCGCCGGCGCGCAGGGTCTGCCTCTCTCGTAAGTGTGCTGCCGGGGAGGCGAGTACGAGGGTCAGGTCGCGCCTGGAGCGATCCCGCGAAGGCCTGGCTTGCATGCGAGGCTGCTCGGGGCGCCGCGCCCCTGCACGCTCTGTTGGTGCCGTGCGCGTGTGGGTTCTGGGCCTCGCATCTGCCCATCCAGATATCCCGAAGCCTCGGGGAGGCCACCTTCGCGAACGCCAGTTCGTGGCTTGGGACACAGCGGCGCGTGCACGGGTGGAACCACCCAAACATGCGCCGTCACGCGTGACGCGTCTGTGCGGCCGCCGGAAGCCCGGCGAACGGCGGAGCCCGGCGACGGTGTGGCCGCCACGTGATCCTCATGGAAGGCTTTCTCAGCCAATCCGCGCCCACCGGGTTGGACCGGATTCCGTCCGCGTTCCCCGACAATTTGCGATCGTTGTGGTTTCTTCTTCTCTGAAGCTCCCGAGTCCGAGCCAAAGGTTTCACCGGGGGCGGGGAGCACTCAGCAGAGGTTTCACTGCGGGCGAGGTCGCAGTCGAGTCCGCGGCTGGGTCGTGCGCTGACTCTTCGCAACACAGCACCGCAGCAACCTCAGCCGCACGTATATCGAGATACGCAGATCTGCCGCCGCAACCCTGCACAAACCCTGTCCAAGTGATGACGCACGCAGCGCGTGCGAGGGTGCCTCGGGCGAGCTGGATACACAGGCCTCAATTTACGAATACCCCCTTGGCCTCCCATTCGCTCGCGGGCGAGGAGCGCTCGGGCGGGCCGGGGTCGATGAAGGCCGACGCGGGGTGGAGGCTGCTCGAGACTGTGATGCATGTGATGGTTGCGGTGCCCAGACTGGAATTCCCGGCGGGTGGCCGCGGAAGATCGTCCACAGGCGCCCGTCGGCTGCTGCGTTCCCATTGGCTCGAGTCCTCTCGCGGCTTCTCGCGGAGGCCGGGAGGGAGGAGGAGGAGGCGGGTGATAGTGCGGCCAGGAACGCGATCGAGCATCCAATTGTCGTGGCATGAGAGATGGCTCGAGACTTCGAATGGCGTTTGGAGATGGGCTCGGCATCGGGCAGATGGCGGATGGGAGTCCGCGGTTGGACGGCGGCGGGACTCGTCTCGTCGGGTTCTACGTTCGCGTTCTGTCCCGTTCCAGGATCGTGCCCTGTTCTCGCCGCGGTGAGACGGCGAGTGCCGCTTTGGGACGAGGGACGCGTCCACCGGTCGGAGACTGGGACTCGGTCCACGGGTGCTCGTTGGGCATGTTCCGTGCTCGGGACAGGAGAGTCGAAACGTCCGGGTTCCGCGTCCAGACTCGCCCCAACTCGCCCCCGCCGTCGCGTGATCAGGCTGGCCGTGCGGCGCGCTAATCGACTCCCGCCGACGCGATGGCTGCGATGCGATCCGGCTCACGATTGGTCGGGGACGTGGAACGGATTCCCGCCCGGCCTACAGCAGCTCTAGACCGCTCGAGCTCCATCGAAATGTTCGCAGCCCTCTCGGATGGCGCGACACGTGAAGCGGGACGCATCCAGTCCTCCTCCTCCTCCCTGACTACCATCTCGGAGGATATCAATTTGGTATCGCATTCACGCCCCCAAACCCACAGACAGCCTCCAGCCTATCACAGCCCTCCCCTCGACTCAACGCCTGCCAGATCGCATTACGTAAGCACGCCCTACGCCGCGCCCTTCGACAGGTCCGCGAACTCGAGCCCGACGACCCACTCCGGCGCGTCGGGGATGTGCTTGTACCCGAGGCGGGCGTAGAACCGCGCGGCGCCGTCGTTCCGGGCGTCGTAGCCGAGCCAGAGGCGCTCGAGCCCGTGCCGCGCGCGGAGGTGCTCGACGGCGTGCGCGATGAGGCGGCGGCCCCACCCGCGGCGTGGTACGCGGGGAGGAGGTTGACGTGCATGTGCGCGGGCGAGAACGCGACCGCGGCGGGGTCCGCGGCGGGCAGGTCGGCGAGCTGGGCGATGTAGCGCGCGTCGGCGGGGAGCGCGGTGGGGCCCGCGGGGGATAGCGCTCGAGGAGGGGCGGGAACCAGGTCGCGCGCGCGGCGGCTTCGTAGGCGCGGGTGTCGGCGGTGCCGACGATGTAGCCGACGACGGCGCCTTCGGACGGGGAGGAGGGGGAGGGGGGGAGGGAAGGATCGGGCGTCGCGGCAGGGTCGACGAGGACGAAGGCGAAGCAGCCGGGGAGGTCGTGGAGGTAGGGGTCGGCGTAGACGAGGCCGATGAGCTCCCCGAAGGTGTGCAGGCCCTCGGCGGACTGGCCGGCGTCCCCGGTGAGGAGGCAGATCCGGTTCACGCCGGCTGGTCCGCGGGGCCTGCGGGGCGGACGAAGAGCTCGGGGGCGGACATTCGGGTGCGGGTGGCTGGCTGGGAAGGTGAGCGGGATCGTCTGCGTGCGTGCGATGGGACGTACTCGAGGAAGAAGCAAGGGCTCGGGGCGGCGGGACAGCGAACGAGAATCCTTATCGATGAGCCGTCGCAGGAAAATCGACTTTCCGGCCATCATCCCAAACTCATCCGCTGGCCTGGCACGAGACCTATGGCCAAACACTGCCTGCCATGCTCGAATCGCGGGACAACAGGCAAGTGCAACGGGCGAGTGGCAAGCGCAGTCCCACTGGACGGATGACGTCACAACATCGGAACGATAGAGTTCCAATCCGGACGGCACACCATCGGTGAGTGCAGCTATTCTCCTCCAAGGGTCGTCCCACGCCCAGGCGCAGCGCTGGCATCCGGTCGGTCGGCCGCAGAGGCCGGCTTTGTTGGTGCGGAACACCTCATTCACAGGAGAACTGGCCAGCACCTGTGTCTGCTTTTAGGACGATAAAGATGTCTTCCCAGCCCGCCGTGGAACCAGCTCCGGTAACCCGAACAGCAAAGGCTCTCTTCACCTGGCACTGGACAGCTCAGCTATATATCTGAGCGCGACGCTCAACCCTTCTTTTTACCCTCTTTCGTCCCTTGTCATCTCACCATGTCCCCTTCAGATCCCCCGAACCCCCGTGGTTCCTCGCTCGGCGACGAGCACAGCAGCCATGTCCACTTCGACGACGGCCATGACACCAACACAGACACCGCTCGTCGCCCCGCCCCAGTCTCGGTCTACTACTACGACGATATCCCCCCTCCCTTCAGCACCAACCCTAGCACCATCCTCTCAGCGCCCACTTCAGTGCCAGACCCCGACCGTCCGGACACGCCCCACTCCTCCCTTCGCGTTGCTGAGATGGTCCCTGCTCCCCCGCCTGCCCACCACCCCGCGCCCCTTCGTCCAGGCGTCGGCGCCAATAACCCATACATGCAAGATCGCCGCAGTACCAACCCTTTCGATGATCCTTCGGAACAAGGCCGCGAAGGTGTGGACGACAATCTCCCTGTTTTTAACCCTCTCCTGCCCGGAGCCGGATGCCTTTGCATCGTCGTTTGCATCGTATCGCCATCCCTACGAAATCCCTGCACCACAACAGGCTCAAGGTGGCGGAGCACCTCCACTCCAGTCTTCTACCTCGCCCGCGACCGACCAACGGAGCAACATGGATGCGCCTCCCGAACTCGACCAGACGAAGAACCTCTAGGCAGCAGACATGACCGTAGGCGCGGCCATCTGTCTAACCTGATTACCCTTCTGCACACGGAGTCACAGATCTCTTCTCATGCAGCGGACAGGACATAGAAGCAGGCCTCCTAGTCGAGACCAACACTCGGACCAAGCGCGGACGACAATCGCCCATCGTTCCATCACCTGCAATCCTTTGAGTCGCACATCACAACTCGACCGAAGCAACGACGAAGGACTCGTATATCTCCACTGGCTCAAGCGACTCCGACGCCCTCGACCCCGACGACCCGCGGGTTACAGGAGTGCGAAAAAATCAACTGGACGACCCCGAGGACCTAGAGAAGGCGGCGATGAAGCACATGACGTATAGAGCCAGAAGGAAGCTTCGCGCGCGCATTCGCATCGAGTTTAACATCACCTGTAAGCCATCGCTTTCTCTGGCGTAGCATTTTGATATTCAACTTTGCCTCAGCAATCGCCAATCGGCATCAGTTCCTCATGCGGCTAGCCAAAGCGTTGATGACCTTTGGCGCTCCTTCTCACCGCATCGAAGCTCAACTCACGTCCGCCGCACGCATCCTCGAGGTCGAGGCCGAGTTCATCCACATCCCCCGTGTCATCATCTGTCGCTTCGGTGACCTCGGAACCAAGACCACCGAGGTGCATTTTATCAAGTGCGACGGTCGTTTGTCGCTCGGGTCGCTTCACGAGGTTCACCAGATCTACCGCCATGTGGTCCACGACGAAATCAGCGCTCGCCAGGCACGGTCAAGCTGGAAGCACTGATGACCGCCAAGCCTCTGTACAAATGGCAGATTCTGTGCGCATTGGCGTTTGTCCAGTCAGCGCTGATCTGCCCCCTCGCTTTCGGTGGATCCCTGGCAGACATGTGGGTTGCCGGTCTAGCGGCGAGCTTCCTGTCTGTGATGCAAAACCGCCTCGCGGCGAAGAGCCAGGTCATCTCGAACGTATTCGAGTGAGTCTTCCCGCCGCTCCGAACGTCGCATTGATGCTTATTGTGTTTGCAGGACTTTTGTCACATCGTCGTGTCCGGTGTAGCTCGTGGGCTTAGTATCATCAAGGGCGATATTTTCTGCTACACTGCGATCTCTTCTGCCGGAATTGTAGGCATTCTTCCAGGGTATCTCATTCGTGAGTTTCCCCTACAACATCATGTGTTCCATGTGTTCACGCGTGTATATGCCTTAAAGTGACGAGCTCTCTTGAGCTAGCTTCCAAGAATATCGTCTGTGGAAGTGTGAAGATGGTTTATTCGCTCATCTACACCTTATTCCTTGTGAGTCAAACGGCATGACAATTTTTCCAATCACTGTCTTACGACGTCGAGCAGGGCTTTGGACTTCAGATCGGCTCGGACTTGTTTCTCCTCTTCGTCCCCAAAGCCCACGATGACCTCGCCATCCTTGCCGCTCAGCTCTCTTCGGCCGCCACGATCAGCGGCACGTTCGTCTCCGACAACACGACGTTCGCCAACCTGACCAACAACGGCCAGCCGCTCTCCGGCACGTTCACGTTCACCCCCCGCCTGCCGCAGAACCACAACGACATCGTCAACGGCTGCTTCCGCCCCCGGGCCAATCGTGGCTGCTGCAGCCGTTCCCGTTCTGGACGCAGTTCCTGATCGTGCCCACGTTCTCGACCGTCTCCTCGCTGAACAACATGCAGCCCTTCTGGCGGCGCGAGCTCGTGGTCATGGTCACGATCTCCTGCCTCGCCTACGCCGCGAACAAGACCGCGGACCACTTCATCTTCAACCGGTCCGACGTCGTGAGCGCGATCGGCGCGTTCGTCGTCGGCATCCTCGGGAACGTGTACTCGCGCCGGTTCGGCGGCACCGCGTTCACCTCCATGGTCACCGGCGTGCTCTTCCTCGTCCCGGTGAGTCCCTCCCCCGGTCCGTCGTGGTTCGAGCGAGGGGAGGGGCTGACGCCGACCGCACTTGCAGTCCGGGCTCTCGCAGGTCGGCGGGATCACCGCGCAGGGGAACGGGATCGACATCGGGGGCGCGATGATTGCGGTCACGATCGGGATCACCGTCGGGCTGTTCATGAGCCAGGCGTTGGTGTACATGTTCGGGTCGCGCAAGAACGCCGCGATTTTCTCGTTCTGAGCCGTCCGTCCCGTGTGGCCGAGCGCCGGAAGGGTGGGTTTGTATAGTAAGTACGGGCGCATCGGACGAGGATACCCCATGTAGCATTATGCCTTCCACTCGGCGGCTGTAGTTGTAATTCAAGAATCCTCCCACCCCTTTCACTTGTGCTTGTCTGGTGCATCGCGCTGTTCCCGCTTGGAGGTTGAGGTGTTTACAATTGGTATGTCGTTACAACATGAATACAGACGTCTAGACTTCTCACCACGCGTACGCGCGCAACGCGCGGCCGCGGAACTCAGAACCGCACCGCCGGCGAGTTCTCCACGCTCTCGAGCGAGACCTTGTGGCCGACGAGCGTGCGGATGTTGTTGATCCCGTACCTGACGCGGATCCTCGCGTCAGAGTCGCCCTTTGCCGCAGAGCGAAGGCGAAGGCGAGCACGCACCGGATCATCGTCGGCCGCTCGAGCGAGATGCCCCAGCCGTGGACGTGGACGTCCTTGGGGAAGCCCATCGGCTCGAGCATCTCGGGCCGGAACATGCCGCTGTTCCCGACCTCGACCCACTTCTTGAGCTGCGGGTGGAAGGCGAAGATCTCGAGCGACGGCTGCGGATGACGAGCGGACGTGCGTTAGAGAACAGCCGTGCGGACAAGGACAGAGAGGGGGGACCGACCTCCGTGTAGGGGTTGTACGCGGGCTTGAAACGGATGTTCTCGATGCCCATCTTCTTGAAGAAGACGCGCATGAAGCCTGCCGGCGTCGTGTCAGTCGGACAGAGGGCGGGAAAGGGAGGGCCCGCGCGTACGCACCGATGAGGTCCGCGAGCGTGAGGCCGCGGTCGGCGACGACGCCCTCGACCTGGTGGAACTCCGCGAGGTGGGTCGCGTCCATGGTCTCGTTGCGGAACACGCGGTCGATCGAGAAGAGCTTCGCCGGCCGGAAGCCGTCCGCGCCCTCTTTGCTGAGCCCGGGGCCGCCCGCGGCGTGCGCCCCAGCGGCGTCGATGGCAGCGGCGCGGCGGGGGTGTTCTCGCCGCGGCAGCGGGCGGCGAGCTGCCAGAGCATAGAGACGGAGGAGGCGGTGGTGTGCGTGCGGAGGAGGAGCTTGCGGGACTCGTCGTGCGACCAGGGCGCGCGGTAGCCGGTGGAGCCGAAACCGCCGTGTTCGTGCACGCGCGAGACGGTCTCGTAGTATTCCTTCGGGGAGGAGGGAGACGGCGGGGTCGGAGAGGTAGAAGGTGTCCTGCACCTCGCGCGCGGGGTGCTGTTGCGGGACGAAGAGGGCGTCGAAGCACCAGAAACCTGACTCGACGAAGGAGGAGGTGGGCATCTCGGCGAAGCTGCGACGTAGAGACGTCAAGGACAGAGTGAAGTATACGGAAGCAGCGGGCGTACCCCATCTCCAAGAAGATATTCCTGATCTCTTCTCGCACTTTGAGAAGTGGGTGCAAAGCACCGCCGTTTGGTGGTACACCATCGGCCTCGAAGTTGTACTTCTTGTACGTCGCAGTTTTCCACGCTCCCTGCAGTACGGATTAAACAACGGCAATTGCGCTGAAATGGGGGAGACATACGATGTGAGCATATCCGCCGTCAAATCCGTCTCCGGCTTAGCGGTAGATGTGCTGAATTGTGATCCTTTGTGTACAGTGAACCACTGCCCTTTACTTCGGCAGATGTCAGTAAACCAGAATCCCAAAAATGGAGCAAGGCGCACCGTTGCATGATGAGCTTGCGTTTCCTAAGGTCGCTAAGGTTTTCTCTCCCGCCTTCAGAGTCCCTGTTGAATCGACCTCCCGCATCATAAGCTGGGTATTATCTGTACGGAGTCTACCTGATAGAATTCTGAGCTTCGCGTCATCCACAGACCTAAGGGCTCACCAGCTTTACGAGACCATCTCCCTCCTTGCCAATCCACTTGTTTTTGAACGCCTGGCCCTGGCCGACCTTGGCGATGTCCGCCCCAACCTTCTCTTGAAGATCTTTTGGCGTAATAGGCTTGCCATCGCCCTTGCGGGCATGCATTCCACACTCGCGCTTCATGGGATCCTTGCAGAGCAATCTGCGCACCCTCCTGGGTGAGGACATGAGAAAGTGTCTCTTGAGTAGTATATGTGATCATCTGAAAGACGCGTGGGTACATGGATGAGACAAATGCTAGAGAGGCATGTACATCACGACTGGACAGCGAGTTCAATGCACCCAAAACAATGATTTGGGAATCATGGGTAGCTGCAGGCTCCTTGTAGCCGGGAGGAAGAGGGTGCGGGTGTCCTTGATGGAGCCCTCTTTGTCGAGGGTGTCGAGGATGAGTTGCTGAATCGCCTCCGCCATGGTAGAAGCCGGAACGCGGACGGCGGGAAGCAGGGAGCAGGCGGGCACACAGAAAGCAGAGGCGGGAATAAGAGATAAGAGATGAGGTCCAAAGATCGAGATGGCTTGACTCGAGAGGCGCCCGAGAGGCGATCGCGTCGGCGGAGCACGTGAATCGCGCCCGCTTCGCGCTCCTCCCTGCCGGCGTCCACCATGTCTCCTCCGCCCCATGTCCTCCTCCCCGCAGCCCGCGCCCCTTCCTGGCAAGAGGCGTGGCACAACGCGCAGCCGGAGCTCTCAGGCTGCGCGCGGATGTCGCGTCTTCCCCCTCACCTGCTCCCCGCATCACACGAGTCGGCAAGGTCGATGCGGAGTTACTGGATACAGAGCTTGTGCAGTTGCTCAAAGACCCTCTCTCCAAGGCAATCGGGCTGGTAGACGTGAGTTCTGGAATGTGAAATCATGTTTCCCCTCGCTTACACAACGCGCAGTCCACGCTGAAGGGCAAGTTTGACCCAGAGTTCACCTTGCTCATTCATCTCGTGCTCTACAAGCTGTCTGTGTGGGACCAAGGTGCTAGCTATGGCGCGAAGCTACAAGGCCTGCGGTTGCCCCCATGCGCGGAGTAACTCGGCTGTGCTACACTGGTACGCTCTCTTCTCTTAACTTCGGTTATCCTGTAGTGAACAAGTCCGCAGCCGCTGGCCTTCCCCAGACCACGCTGGCGCTTCATGGCGCCCTGACGATCTTCGTCCCCTACTTCCACAATCGAATACGCGCGCACGCTCTGTCGAATGCCTGGCCTGACGCCCCCTCTTCCGATCGCAGACGGCGAGCTTGGGAGTTCTTGACGCGACTCGAGTCGATACATGCGCTCGCCGCGTTCACCAACTTCGTCGTCTTCCTCTGGAATGGACGGTACGGTCTACTTGTAACTGGTCAAGCGCTGTGCTGAAACAGCTCTGTAGATATCGCACACTTGCCGACAGGCTTTTGCGCCTGCGTTTGATCTCTGCGCGGCGCATTTCCAGCGTGAGGTGTCATTCGAGTTCATGAATCGCCAGATGGTGTGGCATGCGTTCACTGTACGTCATCGCATTGATTGCAAATGGCTGTACTAAACGAATGCCTCCAGGAATTCCTTCTTTTCTTGCTGCCTCTCATCGACACACGGGCCCTCCGGCGACAACTCACGACGTTCACATCCCATCTGACACTGTCGTCAATCCTCCCTGCACCCTTACGCGCACTTGCTGGGTCGCCTGCGGCTGAGAAATCTGAACAAGCAGCTCCCAGGGGCAAGTACTGGGCGTTATCCGAAGACCAATGTGCCATCTGCGCAGACAACGCCTCGACGAACCTCAACTTCTCCGACCCTGCCAACGCGCTGACATCGCTCGCGCCATGTCCCCGTACACAACCGCGGGCGCCTCATCCACCCACGCGGACGCGGACGACCCAGACTATGTCCCCCAGTTCCCGATCCATAACCCGTACATCACCTCGTGCGGGCATGTGTTCTGCTACTACTGCCTCACGGATCGCATGATGCGCGCTGCGGACGAGCGCTCTGGGGTCGGGCCCAAGGGGCTCCAGTGGAGTGCCTGCGCTGCACGAAGGGCGTCGTCGCGGCGGACCGGCTGGAGGCGGAGGTGGAAGGTCCTGAGTACGAGAGCGGGGTCGAAGACGAGGACGAGGAGAGCGCCTTCAGTTTCGACTATGGGAGTGAGACGCTGAGTTTACGGACATGAGTGGGAGCATGGCGAGTTATGCGGACAGCGAGTCTGGGTTCTCGAATCGCAGCTAGCACAACGCGTTCTTGTTTTGTTCTGCAACCGTCTGCTTATTCCGTATCGAACTCGCTCGTGACATATACATACACCCATCGCTCCAGTGCACATCTTCTATCTACTTCTCACGCCTTCAAGAACCCACTCGCGCGCCATGCCGCGACCCACCTCTCTGCGTCCTCGGTCGTCAGCGGCGACATGTCCTTGAGCGTCGGCGACGCCTCGCATGCTCGTCCCGTGTCCAGGATGGCGGTCCCGAGCGGCTCTCGGCCCTCGCGCACCGCGGCGCGCGAGCGGAAGAAGTCGAGCAGGCGCAGCGCCGGATTCGCGCTCGCCGCGTCCGCGTCCGCGCCCGACAACTCGAGCGCGGCGAGCCAGTCGGCGTACGGCACGAGCGGCGCGGCGAGCGCGGAGGCGATGGGCACGACGAGCGTGCGCCAGGGGACCGGCCGCGGGTGCACGAGGTGCAGGAACGGCGCGGGGGAACGGCGCATCTCGACGAAGGCCCGGGAGGCGGGGTGGCCGAGGATGAAAGACACGTCCTGTGGGAAGGGGGGTCAGGCCAGGACGCGACAGGGGAGAGCGGGGACAGGAGAAGGAGGACGCACTCCGTCGAGATCCGGCAGGCACTTGGTGAACTCGGCGGACTTGACGAGCGCGGGGAACCACTCGCGCTCGTTCCAGTGTCCGGTCTTCGCGCCGCTGATCTGACCGAGGCGGACGACGAGCGCGGGGAGGCCGGCGCGCGTCGTGGCGTTACGGAGAATCTGTTCGGCGACCCATTTGGACTCGCCGTAACCGGTGCCGAGGGGCGCAGAGGGCTCGATTGGGATCTCTGGGATTGGAGGCGGGATAGTGCAGTCTGATCAAGAGGCGGTCATTGGGTTTGAGTAGTATGAGGATGCTGTACCCAAACACACGTTCGAAAATGCCGATGGAGCTGACCAGCTGCAGCTTGGAGGATCCTTGAAGGGAGAGCTGAGGCAGAGATCGACCAAGTTCGAACTGCCTTGAGATCGGGCTGGAATGAGGCGAGGGACATGTTGAAGTTCACAGTCCACGCTAGAGCAGTTGTCAGTCTTATCACCTTCCACGTCGGAACGAGATTGACGTACCGTTATGCATGACGTGCGTAACGGATCCGCGGATCTTGCCCCCGTTCAACGTTTCAACACCGTACGGGTCACTGCCGAACTCACCTCTTCGAGCAGGGCCGGGTCGATGCCAAAGTCAGGGGCTTCCAGGACCGCCTCCACTGCCTTGAACCTCGGGGTGCCCAGCAAAGTCACGTCCAGTCCTCTCTCAACAAACCGTTGTTGCTGCCTGTCTACTTGCCTCCCGAACGCGTACACCTTCGCGATGCTCTCGTCAAGCAACAGGTGCTCCAGAGCGTCGCAGCCGAAGCCTCCCGTCGTGCCGTGATCACCACGACGTCTTGCGCCCCGTCGGCCGGGGTCGCAGCTGGGACGGGCGTGCGGAGAACACCGAGTACTCCTCTGCCAGGCGCTCGAGGTCGGCCGCGGCCGTCGCAAAGGGAGAAACGGTCGAAGTGCGGTTGACGATAGCGAGCACGGCCTCGGCCAGGGCGACGATGGTCGGGGCTTGGTAGATGAGGTTGATAGGAACCTGCTGAGCCGCTGTGGGGGAGAGCTCGCGGACGACCCTAAGGATCGTGTTGCGGATCCACGTCGCCTGCAGGCTGACAGAGGTGGTGTAAGCATGACTACGATTGCGGCACAGGATGCGCACCTGTCACAGCCGTTTCGGAACAGATCTGCGTCGTCTTTGAGGGACCGATTGGTAACTTTCTCGACGGTGGTTCGGATGAACGTCCGAGCGCCGTCTGCGTTCCAGACGGTAGGAGCGGCGATGTCCATTTGTGCGCTTTCTTCCACTTGTTTGTAAAGGGCCTCGATTTCGTCAGAATATAGCTTTAGGATGACGGGCCGGCGAGGGTAGCCTTTGATGTTGTATGTGAACGGTTTCGAAGACAAGGTGACCATAACCATCTGATGGGTGGAATGAGATCTAGCTCTGTTGAACGTGTTTCGCTGTCGTGCGCACCTCTTTGAAGATACGGGAATGCTGCGGAGCCTGCCCATTCGCTCGCTCAATGGTCTCCCTGTGGGATTATAAGCGTTATTCGCGTAGATATACACACGTGAACGACATACCAGATCTTGTTGCGGAACTCCTGCAGCTTCTCTTCGTCACCGTCAGCGAATCTGAATTCGGGTTTGGGTCCACTATCACTCCATTCTGGAATTTCCTTGTCCGAACATCAAGCACGCCCGATATGAGGGTCATCTTTGATGATATCCTCTAATCGTCGGGGTGGTGTGAGACATCATCCTTTGTACGTGAAGGTGGAGATGCCTACCCAAGGGAATCGGATTCGTCTAGCACGCGCAAATCAGATCCATCCCACACAAAGATGCAGTGGCCATACCTTCTCGCCGTTGGACAAGACGATCTGGTCGTCTAGACGTCCATAATACTTGTACAAACCTGGCTTTGTCGGATGAAGCTCGACTAAATCATTTGTCGCGTAAGCGTTCCGGCCGTTGATCTGGGTATTTGCCTTGGGAAGCGGCATGGCCGGATCTTCCTGTAAACCAATACCACTGACTTAACCGATCCGGTTGACTATGCGGATCAGAGAGAAACGCACCAGAACGATGAGTTCGTGAAGACCGTTGCCGCTTCGACGGCAATGGTGTTGTAGATCGGATTGAAAGGGAAGTAAGGCCAGTCCATGCCAGGGTCCCCTAGAAAAAGGTAAATACTGAATTCGCCAAGGCACACAAGCGAACCGCATACCGACAAAGAGCATCCCAAGGGCACCCACTTCAGTGCTGACGACGATGTCAGACGACGATACGACCATTGATAAATACGACCTACCATCCAAAGGTTGTGCAAAGGGAAATGCCGAGAGAGGCGAGCGAATCGCCGACTTCTTGTGCCAACGGGGCGCCGCCGAACATCTGACGGAGTGGTGGAGGGTCAGAAGTAATCCCGTAAGCGGCCGTGTCCACTCACTACTGCCTTCATCTTCGTCATGTAGGCCACTTTCTCTTGATCACGAGCCCATGACTGCAGTTACGTGTCAGTCATTCTCGTGCTCGAAAGCATGCAAAAGCGCACTTCAATGAAAAGGGGCGCCGTCATGACGTATTCAGAATCTGTCTTCATGGTGGCCTCGAACACATTGTCTGGCGTTGGAAAGATTGGAGGTGTTACGGGAGGGAAAACCGTTAAGATTGCACCCGTAATAGCCTGGAAGTGTTTTATGATTTGGTGCGCATACATGGCGCCAAGAAATCCATACCGCCATGTAGTAACACCACACTCCCATTCCGTGGAAGAGGGGAGTACCATGTATCGCAAATTTTGCCCCGTTGAAGTCGACAGTGCCATACCCTGCGGGAATCATCAGTATGAGCTTGCGCGATGCGTTATACAAATGCGACCTACACGGTGAAGTCGCCCAGGTCATAAGCCTCGCATGTGTCCAGTAGATTGGCTTCGGGTGATTCGTGGAGCCTGCGAAGGTCAGACGAATGAATGAAACCGCAAAGTCTACTACGACGGACCCGATGAATGCATGATAATTGGGGAGCTATGCATATCAAATTCCTTCGGGAGGTCGTCTGACTGCGCCAGGTCGTCCTCGGGCGCACTCTCCGGAAATAGCTCCCGGTAGGATGGCATGGGAATAACAGTGACATCGTCCATCTCTTTCAGCACTGCGGCCATGATCGTTTGAATGGTGCTGTCCGACGAGGCGAGCACATGACGGCAATCGGTCTTGCGGAACATGTCCACCAACGCAGCAGGTACGTTTCTCTGCGATATGACGAACTTGGTATACCCTGCTCGAACGATACCCAGGCATGTGGTGGTATACGTGATGGAATCTGGGAATGTGGGGTGAGCGTCCACCGCCAGAAGAGTTCCTGATCAACGCTCACCGGCCAGTGCCACTACCGCCACGGTGCCCGGCGCCGGAGGCATTCGTGCTTTGACGTACCGCGCTGCACGTCGAACAGCGGGTACTATCTGCTTGTAGGTGATGGTATTGACTGTATTGCCGTCATGGAACAGGAAGATTGGTCGTTCGGGATTCTCCTTGGCATGCCACTCATATAAGGTGGAGATATCGATCCTGTTGGCAAGAATGTCCTCGCGGGGGATCCGGAACGGAGGGGGCGTGGACATGGTGAAGAGGACGCTGTCCGCCCGTCCGCGTCGGATGACGGTTTATAAGATAGGAGCGATCAGGGTTCTTGGGCGTGACGCCCGCAGAACAGTCCGCCTATGATACTTATTTGCTGTATTGTGAGCGTGCGGGTGTTCGTCGGTGTCCCGGCAGACTGCTCGGAAGAGAGGCCGTGCGATCGTCTGGGGGCGGGTATCACGAAGCTAAGGGCGAAATCAGGAGGTGACAGCATAGGAAGACCGACGCTGACATAGCGTGGTGACCTTTCTCAAGGCGATGGCTTGTCGACCGAACGAGCACGACGACAGGGTTGATGCAGGAGAGACAGAGCTTCTAGGATCCGTGTGGGCGGATAAGAGAAGCCTGTTTGAGTGGAGCCGTTTCCAGGACGTCTTGCTGCAACCCATGGCCATGACTTCTTCCTGAATCGCTGGCACCGTGTGCGATGAGTGTTGCCATAGGGCGAGTCCATACGCGAGCGCACATGCTCACCTGGTTCGCCACGTCGACGGCAAATGGCGTTGCAGACACGCCGGACTATGTTTAGATGGAGCGGGTCCTGCCATCTGGTCAGCCTATCGATTGAATCCGAAGGCCCCGTCCCAGACGCCGAACTGTGTATGTGGAAATGACAAAGGCGGGAACTATCGTCGGGCGCAGTCCACAGGCCTCAGGCCTAGTCAGGCCTCCACCGCAACTTGGGCGCACACAGCAGTGAGATTTGGAGATGTGCGATTTGACAAGCGCCAGGCGCCACCTGGCGCTACCAACGCGTCCTTCAAGATCACGTGCATCGCGTTTGACGCGCACGCATGGCCAGACGCGTCGCTCTGGCTCATTCGCTCTGCGTCCACTCCTCTTGCACACTCCTTCCTTTCAGTCACTCCTCCGCCAAAAACATGTCTGATGTAGAGAACTACTTGACTAAGCAAATATACATCGAGAAGAACGTCGTAAGTGGCCATATGGACACGTCTTCCTGATCTCCGTGCCGACCTCTGTTCTTCAAGGTGACCTTCAGGTCGCTCAGCAGGCAATTTGGCCTTCATGTGAACGAGGCGAAGAAGTGGGTCCGACCCAGCATTTTAATTATTCTATGACTCTGATTCGTACGTTCTGTAGCCGGCTTGCGAGCTTTCACGCCAACGCCGTCAATGCCGAAACGCGATCTTTCGCCACCTACCTCGTTTCCGGCGAGCTCTTTCCATCCTCACGTGCTGAAAAGCCGAACACCACTCAAACCGACGATGGAATGGACGTGGATGTCGAGGAAACCGCGGGCGTTGAGGAGCTCGACGACGAAGAGATTCCCCAGACGGTGATGACTTTGGTGGGCGAGGATTCACTGGAGTGTGAGTCGCGTCTTCCGTCCATGCTCAACCTCCCTTGATGGACCAACATTTGAAGACGCGAAGGGGAGGTATGCGCGCATATTTGCGACCCACATTTACTGCCTCAGCCCATCCCCTCTTACCGTACGTGCTCAGCCCAGTACCGCGCTCCCAGCCATTGACTGTGCAGGTATTGCAGGACGCAGGCCTGATATGCGAACCTTCTGCTATAGTGTACCAAGCCGACGCGAAGAATGCGCCAGCGTCCTCTGTGGCCCTTGGTCGCGTCGTCGGACCCGATGTCAAGGTACACGCACAGAACCCGCCGAGTGCCGTCCAGTTGTTAACGATGTGGTCCAGATTGGCAAGCCGCCCCCTCCAGTGGCGTCGAGTTCTAAGGCTGGACAGCCTGTATCGCGCCAACCTACCCTCAAGGTGAAGGACGAGGAGCCCTCCAAGCCCGCAAAGAAGGACAAGTCAACTGTCATCAAGCCGAAGGCGTCAGCGTCAGGGAAGCTCGACTGGAGTAAAGCTAAGAAACCTGATGACAAGAGCAAAGGCAATACGCCGAAGGAGGAGGTGAAGAAAGAGAAGAGCGAGTCTCCCGCACCAAAGCTCAAGGTGAAGGATAAGGCGTCCACCAAAGACGAGACACCGAAGGACGATAACAAGGTATGCATTGAACTGCTGTGAGCAATTCCTTCTCATCAGTGATGTCATTCAGCGGGGAACGAAACGCAAAGCTGCCACCAAAGTTGCCTCAGACTCGGAAGAAGAGCCCGCTTCAGTCCCCGTCAAGAAGCAACCTTCACCACCTGCAAAGAGCGAAGTCAAAGTGCGCAAAAATAGGATAGTTTCCGACGACGAGGATGACGACGCGCCTCCTCCCACGATGAGCAAAAGCAAGCTCAAACTCTCCAAGACCGAACGGTTGCTGGGGGACAATCACGAGAGAAGTCTACGTGCGATGATGGACATCGATGACTGTACGTGTTTCCTGCCTTGTTACGTCGCCGCGAAAGTCCTGACTTGAGCGCGCTCAGCCCTGGTCGAGATGGCGTCGAATAAACGTCCGCAACCGAAGGAACAACCGAAGGATGAGGACGTCGAGATGGAAGAGCACCCGGACCCAGAACCAGAGAAGCCAATGGAGGCGGATGTGGATGTGGAGATGGACGAGCCGAAGGCCAAGCCACGGAAAAAGAAGGAGAAGAAGGTCATTCCTATCGGAAGTAATGGTCTGAAGAAGAAGAGAGTGGTCAAGTCGCGCATGAAGATGGACGAGAAGGGCTACATGGGTACGCATTCCTCGTGCATACTCCGTTCCATCCACTGAAATGATGTCTAGTTACCGAGGACTACTCTTCTTACGAGTCTGCCGACGAAGACGAAGACGAGGCCCCAAAGAAGTCTAAGGCGACGAAAGCAGCCTCAACGACCAAGTCGAAGGTGAAGAAGGAAGAAGACGATGGCTCGAAGGCAAGTAAACCTGCACGTAGTGGAAGCATCAAAGCGAAGACCGGGAGCGTGAAGGGCCAAGGCAGTTTGAAGGGTTACTTTGAGACGAAACCTAAGAAGTAGGGCGCACGGATGTGATTCATCAGGCATGTACACTGCTTCACACCACTTAATGACGAGGATCCGCACCTCAAGCGTTCGACTGGTTCTCGTTCCACCATTACTCAAGTTCATCCGCGTCCCCTCCCGCTTGACCTTCATCTTTTGTCCACCATTATTGTGTGCACGATGTCCTCCGGTTCAAGCTTCTCTACGCCGTGGTTTCGGCCTGCTTCCCCCCTCAAAATCGGCCTCTGACTCCGTACTTTGCAACTAAGAAGAGGGCGAAAAACTCCCCGTCATCTTAGGACACTGGCAAAATGCATTGCACAATAACCGGAGTTGTCTGCACTCATAGACGTCCGATTCATCCTGTCTAGTTGGCTTGGTCTTGGGGACTCCAGGAGGATGAAGTTGGCTTCGAAGCCACAATAAATGGATTCGTTGGTGAGCTGTCTTGAGGATTCATATTGGTGTGCTGTCATCTCGTAGTACTCGATGGTCCCCATGACCTATGGGTACTTGTCGCCGATGACGATCTACACATCTGGGTCAAATTGGATGAGTGACATATGGCAGGTACGTCGGTATTCTATGTTGTCTTTCTTTGTCACCTTCATAACTCGGTGCACTCAGCTCTACGGATCTTGCCAGACGTTCAAGTATAAAGTGATATCACTCCGCGAGGTGCCCAACCCTCCGCTCACTCTTGGAGACAACATGTCGTTGAAACCAGCCACTCCGGGGCTCTCAAGGCGAGGGAATGAGAGACATAGATCGTGCGTCGCTTTTATTTCTTCAAGGATGATAGAGAAAAATCTTCCGTCGCGCACACCAGAAGAGAGAACGGAACAATTGCCATATTTCTATATGACAGGTGAGATGTTGTCAACCGCAGTGGAAGGCGTGCATGTTGTACGTGCTACCGCTTGCTCTTCACTCTTCCTCATGACCTGGGTCGAACTAGTCACACATCAAGGACCACCTCAGATCAAGTTTATTGCACTCACCTCATCAAGATGTTCATGACTCCAGTGCATTACGACTTTGTCCAGGGACTCTTCCGGTATCCACCATTCCAAGACCATGAAGAATAGACAGTCGACGACAAACATGATAGCGAAGATAAGACCGACCACAGGCCCGAGATCGAGTGTTCTGCTCGACAATCAGCATAACTGGTGAGCAGAGACTTCACAGACCTACTAACCTATGAATACGCGTCCAGAATGTGTACGGAGGGCTGCCCATCACGGCTTCGTATACCGTTTCTGTTCGACGGGTGACCTGGCTCCAATCGTAGAAATCCTTGATCCTTTCATGAGCACCAAAGGGATCGTGTCGACCCGCAGAAACCACGCGAACAGCTTCTGATACGGCACGAACTACGTCTTGAATATACCGTCAGCTTTGCATCAATCTTCTGAAGAAGAGCGAAGCATACCATCCTCGTCCGGATTCGCGAACGAAATCATGTCTTCTGGCAGGATCTCTGGTACGCCTCCGACCCGTGTGGAGACGACATACAGCCCGGCACATGCCGCTTCTAGGATTGCAATCCCGAAAGACTCCGTGAGGGATGTGTTCATATAGATGGTGCCTTGAACAAGAACCTAGCGGTCGTAGTCAACGGAGATGTAGAGCCTGGGATTATCTCGGTATAGCACCCACGTTGCGGACGTCGCTATGTTGACCGGTCCTAGTATCTCGATGCGGTCCTGTAACATGTTTTTCTCCCGCATCTGAAGAAGATCAACCATCTTGGGACCATCTCCACCTGTGTCAACTCGAATTCAAGTGTTGCTGACGAGTCGACAGCTATGCACCGTACCAATAAGGAAGCGAACATGAGGGAACAAGGCACAGATTTGAGGTGCCGTAGCGACCAAAAGATCTACCCCCTTCCTGTATGCCAGCCTGGAGACCACAACAATAGTGACTTTGAAAATGGTGTCAGAACCAAGGGAGAGGAGCAGTGAAGGGTACACGAGACGCACTCGTATCGCGCGGAGGTTGTATATCTGAAGGCCTGAACTGGTCGGCGAGGAGTGCGTTGGGTATTACGTATACTTTGCTTGGGTGTATGCGCGACCTGAGCACGGTGTTTTCTCGTCTGTGCCAGGAGAGGAGCATCAGTCCTTGACAAAAACCACGAAGGCAAATTGAATACCCAGTATGAGATACGCATATGGCGGCGTCAACGTTGCGTAGTGCCGCCTCAAGGAGCTTGTTCGTTAAGATGCTTGCGGCATCGTCAAATCCGAACAGACTGTGGTCTGTAAAGACCGTACGCACTCCCATGTGATGGGCGTGCAAAATTGCCTCGTGCGCAAGGGACGAAAGTCCCGCGTGGCCGTGAATGAGCTGGACGCCTTCTCGGAGGATGATGGAGCGGAAGTAGGGCATGAAGGTAAAATAGTTGGGTAGTGTCGCTGAGGACGCAATCGTCGGGAATGGTAGATAGTACACCTTTAGGCCGGGGAGAAGCCAGCGCACGCCGACACGGTCGGGTGGGTGGCTATGGGTTATCACTATAACCTGGGAGGCGGCCAGATGGAATGATCAGCGCGAGTGGAGGTAAGGACCAGAGAAGGGCATACACGATGACCCCGGTGGATGAGTTTCGTACTGAGCATGTAGATGTGGTTTTCTACGCCCCCTACCACGGGGTGAAAGAAGTCTGAGATCATTCTGCAAATGAGTTCAATGCGTGAGGGCGAAATGTAGGCGCTCCTGTCAAACGGTGAACCTACGCTATGTTGAGCCCCATTGCACTACAACTGGTGTTGTTGAGCGATTATCCATAAGAGTAGACAGTAGACTTTGGCGCTGCAACGGCAATCCAGATGACTTCTGCCTCTGACGTGGTAGTAGTCGCGCCCAAAGCGCTGCGTTGGCCTTAGCGCGTGCACATCCGAAAAGGGCAGTAGACGCACATAGCTACGCGAAGTTGTTTCCCACAACACAACATTACGACTACCATAGGGCTAACGTTGACTTCGCGCGATGCCGTGCTGAATGCTATCCAATATACAAAAGATCATTACTCCCCACTACGTCTATGGCTTTCTCATCGCCCGACCTCACGGGAGGTTTCCCATCAGAGCATCCGTGATCTGCTTCAGCAAGAGGGGCTCCGCTTTCGCCAGGTAACGTGCTTGCAGCTCAGCCGCGCCCCCACAAGCAGCCTCCGCCTCTTGGAGCCGTGCACCGATGTAAGCAGTCAGAGGCGTCGTTCGGACCACGTCGTTCTCGAAGAGCTGCAACGGGCGCACGCGGATCGTAAGCTCACCGGACGTGGGTATGAAACAATAACCGGCTTACTGTCTTCCGGCGCTCGTACTCCAGCGTGCCTTCCGACTCTGTGTAGCCCTCCTCGAAGGGCCGGTCCCAATACAGAGTGAGCCCGTCACTGCAGAAAAGCGAGGTGGTTGGTATGCCGCATTGATGAAAGGGAGTGAACAGACGCACTCGGCCTTGCGGCTGTCCTCAGCTTCCTTTATCTCGCCGAAGACGTCAATCCATAAGTTGCAGATCTCCGTGGCTAGACGATCAAGGATTTCCGTCGACCAGTAGCCACCAGGTTCGCGATGCCCATCGCCGTCAGCTTGCGATGTCTGGGTTCCGACATGTTGTCGAACTGTATAGAAGCGAGTGAGCTAAGTCTGGTTTCGGGCACAGCGACACATACCCTCTGCCACCATTGATTTAGGATCGGCTCCCACACCACGGACTCGGTGACGGACTCAGAAGCCGCCATGGCTGATACGAGTTGAAGGAAGAGCTGCCTGTCGGCAACGGCAATACGCGCAAGGATGAAGACGTATTCCGTCAGAATTGTCGTCTCCAGCTGTGATGAGGTGGTCAGTCTCCTACATCAATAAAGTATAAACGGGTTTACCTTCTCTTCTTCGAAGCCCTTGACGATCGTGGTGAAAAGCCCAGAGACATGTATCGCTTCTCCCCACATTCCCGACGGAGCAAGCTGCAATAGGGAGCACAAGGCTACTGTCACCTGCTTCGCGTTGGCGGAACTTGTCGCCATATTAAGAGTCGCATTACACGCGCGGAAAAGGTCGACGGCGGCGAGCTGGAGGATTTGGGTGGCTCCAAGGAAAATGTAAGACTCGAACACCTGGACAACAGTGCCCAGCAGGTCGAGGTTTTTCGCTAGGTGTTCGAGGATCAGAGGCACGAGATCAATCAGACCAGGCCCTCCGTCGGTGCTCTGAATGCTCGAGACATTCCGGAGGGCACTGAGCCATAGCGCGAATGCGTCTTCATCAAGCTGCAATGCTGCCTGAAGGGAATCCTCAGTCGAAATTCGTCGTGTGGAGCACACGCGACTCACAGGAGGGGCGAGGGATTCGCGAACGAGCGGCACAATTAACATGGTCAGTCGACTGGAATGCACCTTGGTGGCCTAATACACAAAAGCATGAGTCTCTAGCAGTTACGTAGCCTCATGTCAGACTGACCTCAACCAGTTTGGTGATTGTCCCGAGAAGGCAGGCTTTGAAGAGCCAATCTTCCTCTGCCGACGCCCCTGTTCAAATCAATTAAAACTATGCCTGCAGTCATTATAATGGAACGAACTAACAGAGCTGAGGGATTGGTTGTGCCACCATGTCCATGAGTGGCACAATGCGAGCTTCTGCACGTTCAATTACAGTATTGAGACTGTCAGTGATCCGCCTCTTGGCCTCAAGGGTGTCTGCTTCGGCAGTGAGTCGAACGAGCGAAGCCACAACTGGCTGTAGGAATGGTGCAAAAGAGTCGGCGTCGAAGTTGAGGCTCTAATGAAAACATGAGCCAACTGAACCAGAGGAGGACAGTAAACGACGTACATCAACGCATTCCCGGATCGCGATGGCAGCCGTCAGACGGACGACTGCGTCCGTGCCGGGCCCTTGATCTTGCAAGAGATGCACAAGAACTTGCCACAACTTCTCATTGTTGGCCACCAAACACTCATCGGAAACCAGCTTGCCCAATAGCCATGCGATGCGACGCTTGACGATGGGGTAGCTGCACATCAACCCGGGTTCAGAACACATCAGATCCACAGCGTGAAAACACTTTACTTCTGATTTGTTTCTTGAGCTTCTGAAACTAGCGAATTTTCTAGCCACTGCTGGAATGGGATAGCGTCCTTCAGCCGGATTGCACATCGACCAACCGCACAATATAGTGCCTCCTTTTGAATAACGACGGACAGCTCCGCAGAGCGCTGATCTAAGAGGTATTAAACAGATGCGATGGAGGCCAAGGGAGCATACGTACTGACGAGATTGTGGAAAGTGGTCTCGATCAATGGACGGACGAATTGCGGATATTGAGTCGCAAGAGTCATGAGCACTCTCTCTCCACATGGCTTGGGTAGTGCATCAGTGATATATAAAAAGATGATCACACGAAAAGCTGACCCGTAGCTCGAACTCCCATTGGTCGTTCTCTTTTTCTTCAGTGTTCACCCATTCTTCCGGGTCTGCCATCCAGTTATCGAGGTCGGAGGGGTTCAACGGGATGAATCTCGTCACAAGGATCTTGACGGCGTCTTCGACGAAGTCTTTTGAGAGCACTAGAAGAGCCGAACTGAGTTTTCGATGGGGTGTCTGATGGCTCCACATACCTTTTTCGTTCGGAGATCCATCTTTCCTGGTGGGAGCCCATTGAGCCAGGCTATCCTTGAACAGTGCCATACCCTGGACAATGAATCGGACAGGGAAGACTACAAGAGAGGAGTCTATTTGCGCAATTCAGTCGTCGAACCAATGAAGTTGGGTAGAGGGCTGAAGTACCTGCGATTTGCTCTGAGGGACCGGAAGTGGCCTGCACGACTTTGCTCCAGTAATAGAGAACGAGGTTTCCCGCGGTAGGAAGAGTGACAAAGTAGGTGGGGCGATCGCGTTGCATTCTTCGGAACAGCTTCCCAAACACTCGTACATGCCGAGTGAGCAAGTCTAAGACGCGCTGCGAGGTGGGTCAATGGGTGCGCTGCCCAGCGTCGACACGAGGCTGATCCGCATCTCCGAAAGCCTTTGCAGTTGCACTGCAGAGCTCTGAAAAAACTCCTGGACCTATACGGCAGTCGGTAGTGTGCATGTCTGGTAGTGACGGAATAACATACCCATGGCTCGAATTCATGATAGTCGTTACTGCAGGTAAACCGATGATACGCCCAGAAAGCCATCTTTACCAGACACTTGAACACAAGGTGGGCCAGCAATATATCTTCTGCGACGCTAGGTTGGTTGAGGGTGACAGGAGATATGGTGGGTAGCGCGACCGCTAAGCGAGCGTAATGGGCCTGCATTGGTGCCCAGATGTCCTCGATCATCTAGGACATGGGTCGCAATTAGATCAATTTGAAAATCTAGGACACCCCACTTACCTTGCCCATTGTTTTCACTCCGGTGAGCATCTTGAATGCTGCATACTCCTTGAGTATCGCGTTGAGGAGCTGAAGACAGCGTCGTAACACAATAGTTGCGTTCGGTACCGTGTTACTGGCTCGACCTTCAAGCGAAGTGCTGATCGCGTTCCCCAAGTGCGAAAGTAACGTCGGCCTGGACCACAAAGTCAGCGCAATAATCACCACCGAACGTACTGGTCTTTCAGTACCATGCTACTGGGTAATCCTGCCTTGCGATCTTCGCGACGATCAAGGCATTGCATTGTGCCACCTACAGTAGATCGCGAAGTTGAGGGGAAGAGAGTACAAAGGCAAGCATACTACTCACAATATCGTCTTGCTCATCAAGAAAAGTCAAGCAGCGATCCCTGATGCGCTGCTTGCTCTCAGGAGGGAAGAGCCTGTGGCATATGAGGTCCAACTCCGTGGAAGGACGACTGACGCGCTCACTTTCGAGATCGCCAGTGTCCGGTCGCGGCATTCTTGAATTGGATGATGGCCTGCTGCCTCACCTGCAAGGGGACGGTCCTCTGAGCAGCAATCTCATGCAGGATATCATATGCCCCGGGAATCTCGAGGAGCTCCTTTAAACGGTCGTGGATGCTTGCACCTGGGCAGGATTCTGTGATGCGGCACCGCAGACAACGTTATAGAGCTCCTCTGGAGAGACTTGCTGTGGCTGAGCCTGGCTGGAGAGCTTGTGGCTCATGGCGGGAGACGGCAAGGAGCACACCGTGCAATGGGGTGCGATTGGGAGGCCTCGTTCTTAAGTACAGGGAAGGTTTGGAAAAACGTCCGGGCACGTTGAGATGGGGTCCAGCGTCGAGAAGAAAGGGTAGAAGGCCGAGCCCCAGTGCACCTCGCGCTTCAGCCGAGTCCATCAGGCGCCCGTGCCAAATAACGCGTCAACAGCGCGTACTTAGCCGGGCCCGCGACGCGCCTTGCTCCTTGACGCTTCCCGACCCGCGCATGAGGCGCACCTTGCCCCACCTCCTGGCCTCAGCTACACGCTCGCCGACACTCCAAGGAGTCTTGCCCCGGAACACTTATCTGCTGCCGTCTCCCTACCGCAGCACAATTCCCATGACTTCTCCCGCAAGCCATATCCCCGGGCCTGCAAGGTCGACCCCTGGATCCTCCTGCAGCCGGAGTATGGCTTCCCAGATCACAAGCTCAACTACGACCGCCGACTATGTGGAAGACTCTGAGCCGGAGAGGGAGTCGCGCCGACTTTATGGTAAATCTCGTCGTTCCAAAACACGCCCCAAGCAAAGACCACCGTCTCCCCCGGCAGTAGAGGTCATCGAACTCACCGACAGTGACTCCCCTGGTGTCTCGGTGAACATTGCATCCGCCAGCGTGCACCACGTACGGCAGCCGGTCGTCATAATTGATGTGTCTGGTATGTTCTGTTTCTTCTCGAAGCAGCAGCTGTCCATTGAAGTGAACGCCACTTCAGATGCTAGTAAAACACCGCAAGAGGAAGCGCCATCAGATGTCCAAGTTGTAGTGCATCAACAACCTGCACAGTCGAACGAGCTGTACGACGACGTCGACCAAGGTACGTTAGCTCTTTGTCTTCGGGTCGGTATCTAATAAGCGGAATCTCAGACTTCACGGAGGACGATAGCATGCCCTCACTCAGAGAGATATTGGGGTTACGTCGCCCACCTACCGCAGCCTCAGCTCCTTCTGAGCATCCATCACCACAGCAATGTGAGGAGGTCCAGTTGCAGGCGTCTTCCCCCGGTCAACTTGCTCTGTCCCCCACGGACGAACGAATGGAATCCGTGGCCGAGAGCGAGGAAGAAGAAAGCACCCATCGCCTCAAACGGGGTCTCTCGGCATTTGCAGCCCCGGGCATCGTTTCTCGTGCTGTCTCTACGGCAGCTTCATCTGTCGAACGTGTCTCTGAACCTCCGGAAGCTCTACCTAAAATCGCAATCAAGCGCTCCGCACCTACTCATCGTTTCACGGAAGACTTTTCCGAGAAGGAACTTTCGCAAGTGCTCACCTGTGTATCATGTGAACTCAAGTGGACGGCCCGAAAGAGTGTGGCACAGAAGATGAAGCATATTCAGACTTGCGCCAAAAAACACGGGCTGACGGACGACACTGTGCGGACACTTCTACGGAAGGAGGTCAGCAGCCATCCCCCTGCGACTGTTGCGTCATCTTCGAAGCGCACTTCTCGTGAGCCTGCTCAAGACCCGGCACCCACAACGCTGTTAGAAGAAGCAGTCAAGGACGCCAAGAAGAAGAGGCAAGGAAAGAGAGCTCAAGTAGTGCAGACGATCGAGAGCGTGACGGACACGCGAGACAAGATCCTGGACAAAGCCCGTCTCCTTCTGAAGGACACCCATAATATTCCCTCAACGTCGACTCGCAACACGACGTCGACTTGGACCCATATGGACATGGAGCTACCTCCACTGACGCAGATGTTTAGCAGAAGCACCGTAACGAGTCGCACGTCTGCGCCTGTGCAGCCTGCCGACACAACATTGCATTTCGGGCGCAGCAAGTTAGGCGGCGATGTTGCGCGGGTTTCGACCGGTATCGTCCACGCGGGTGCCATGATTGCTGGCCAGTCTGACGTTACGCCCGCAACGCAAGTCACAAGGGACGACATGCGTGCAGCCAAATCAATTGGAGAAGAGCCAGATACTGGGCCTCCTGCTACCCAAGTTTCGCCCCATGCAGGTTGTCCGGATCGTTAGGGGTCACCCGTTCGATAGCGAACCGGACCGGTATGTTTATATCCCACCTTCTCCGTCGATGCACAAGACCCACTCATCCTGTTCAGATGACCCACCAGACGACCTCATCTCGCTCCACGACACGTCCTCCGAGCACGCGCCGCCCTCACCGCCTCTCAGACCTGTGAGTGCCTCCCTCGTGTTCTACGCGCCAGACTGATAACGAATAGCCCTCGCCCCTGTCCCCTCCCAGCTCAAGCGAAAAACGTCGCCGGACTACTGCGAGTCCGACGGCGCGCGCCCTGCGCTCCCCGTCTCCGCTCGATCCGCGTTCGTCGAGGAGCCGGTCGTCCGGTGCTGACGTGGCGGAAACGGCGGTGCTGTCGGCGGCGCGTGCCCGTGTACAAACGCAGGAAGGAGGGGTCTACGACTTCGACGGTTGGGACGACGACGAATGGGATCAGGGGTTCGACGACGACTGCGGCGCGCACTTGCGCTACGATCCTGAGGACGGCACGGCGGGACCGTCGCGAGCGACGTCACTGACTGCGCTTCAAGAGCTTGAGAGGGTAGCACGCAAGGGCAAGGGGAACGCTTTCTCTCCCGAAGCCCTGAATGCGGCCGCCCCGAAAAAGAAGCCCCGAGGTCGACCCAGGAAAGTAGCGAACATTGTTGAGGTCGAGGTCGGAGCCGCCGAGTCGATCGCCACGGACAAGGGAAAGGGAAAGACTAAAGCCTCTCGCAAGGGGAGCTGGACACCCAGATGACGGCCGTCATCCTCGCGGACGATACGCTGTATTTGCGTATCTTGCGGTACGAGGTGAGTCTTGTCGTTTGTATCGAAGGAAAGTATTGACATTATGTGCCGCGCAGCCCATCCACTTCGACATTTTCATGAAGCTCGCGACGAACTTGGGGGTGCCCGAGAAGCGGTCAGGGAGGATGCAGGTGCGAGCATTCCTCGACTCTAAGGTGAAGGACGTCTGCTCCTGGGATTGACGCACTCGCGCTGACCGGACGCTCAGGCCATCCACTTCTACGGAGAGACGGCAACTAAAGATAGGACAAAGCGGAGACATCCATAAGACAACATAACTCATGATTGTTCCATTTCACTTCAGATAGCTACGTACATTATGCGGTAAATTAAGGTCGACCTGTTGAAGGTGATACATTACACTCTAGTAACTAAGCAATGCGTGGACGGGCATGGAATGAGACGAGCTGATCAAGAGCTGGTGAAGCTCTTCAGGGAGACAAGTACGAGCTGATGAAGCCCTCTAATGGCCGGCGTTTGGAGTGTTTCCAATCTATAGGGCCACATCTGACAAACCGGCGACCTCAATCAGACCCCCAACCAGGTGCAAACTACCCGCAACTAAAACGTCCACTTCTTGGTCAGTTCCCAGGTCGTTCACGACGTTGACAGCGTGCTCGATCGATGGCAACACATGGACGTGCTCCTTCGGGAACAAGGGAACAAGGGAGAGCCAGGCCGAAGCCAGCTCATTCTGGGTCTTGAGCTGAGCGAGGTCATCGGTCGCGATCGCCTTCGTAGTGAGGTCTATGAGGAATCTGCGTCAGCGAGGAGCGGTAATGGACGACAAGAGATGCTCTACAAACCGCCCTTGAAACCACCGTTCGCGTATGTGACGTTGGCGCAGAATATTACGCGGTCGAAAAGCACCTTCGCATCCAGATCTTCTGCAAGGGCCTTTAGCTTCTCCGTGGCTTTTGCAAGCATCCCACCGAGGAAGTCGCCTCCAGAGCGTCCATTGGTGCAGTTGAAGATCAGCACTCTAGTGCGGCCAAGGCTATAAGACGGTACATCAGAGTCGGATCTGTCATAAGACAGAAGTTACCGACGTTGTTTCCTTCGCGCGCAACACTGTGTCTGGGCTGACAAACCAGTCCATGCAGCAATCGAGGCTTTCACGGGTGTGTGCACCATCGAGGAACCACGTTACCCGGGAACGGGCGGGATCGAAGACCGTCTGGCAGCGACCGGGCCACTTAGTCTTCTGAAGACCTTCCGCGAGAATAGCGGGCAGCTCGGCCTCATACGACTCTGATGTTTGGGCAGTAAGGAACCTTTTGGCAAGATGCACAGCCAGAGTAGCATTCTGATATTGGTGACTGCCAGAGAGCCCTGCACTGGTCTCAGATACGCGGTGCATAGCTGGGACAAACAGCCTACCAAGCTTGACCTTCGCGACAGCTTCAGACTTGGGGACAACGAAGAATTCAGAAGCCTACGAAACATCAGTGGTATTATCGATAGTAGTGAATAAACACCGACCTCCAGCTCAATAGCCTGGCCCTTTAAGACCTCTAGGGCGTCCTCAGGTTGCTCTACAGTCAGGGCCGGTACGCCTTTCTATTTGGTGATAGTGTCAACGAGTACACACCAGGCAACTCAGATGATTGCACTAACCTTGAAGATGCCACCCTTCTGCCAAGCGATTTCTCTCAACGTTTTGCCCAGAACGTTGACGTGGTCGATACCGAGGGCGGTGATTCCGGTGACGATCGGTTTGGGGACAATGTTTGTGCTTCATGGCGGCCTCCGATTCCTACTTCGAGCACGGTAGCATCAACCTGTGCGCAGGAATCAGGGAAGGGACAACAGTTTCCAAGCGTATGTTCTCACCTTGAGGTCAAGGAAAGTGTGATATGCCAACAAGGTCAGGAAGCGGAAGTAGCCAGGCATAATTGGCGTCTGAGGATGTGCCGTCTGGCAGTGCATTTCATTAGCATGCGGCAAGAGAAATTATGGGTGCAACCATACCTTTGTATTCGCCTTCAGTCTGTCCCAAACTTCGAAGAAGTATTTTGTGAATACATCCTCGGACAGTGGGGCGCCACCGACGCGTATGCGCTCGCGCACCGCGACCAGATGAGGAGATGTGTAGAGTCCTGGGTAATGCATGCATGAGAGATGGACGACATGCAAGCAGAACGTCGGACTCACCGACTTTCCATTCGGGGTGAGCGGTGCGCAAGAGTGAGTCGACAAAGGCGGATGTGGAGCCTTTGCCCTTCGTGCCGGTGATGTGTATGACATTCAGCTGGTTCAAGTCTGTAGTCTGGAGAACGATTATGACGAGGCCAACAGTAAAGAGAGAGAAGAGCAACTTGCACTGTGCCCTATCCTCTGGAGGTACTCAATCATTTCGGGGATGGCAAACTCGCTGAGCCGTCCACCTGAGGCGCGAACGGCTTCAAGGGTGGCGGCATTGGACTGGAGGGAGTTGAGGCAGTCGACCGCGTCCCGGTACGAGCGGGAGGTCATGGTGCGGAAGAGAAGGGGGCGGGAGAGTATATGTACAGCAGGACGACGAGAGAAGCGACGAGAGACGAGGAACATCAAGGCCGCATCGTATATGAGGGCGATAGCCCTGGGCAGTCGGACGATAGAAGCAGCCACCGTGGGCTCAGAGTCAGACCAGCCGGCGCTCCCGGTCCGCCGCGCGCGTTTCGCGTTGGCCCACGCGTAGCCGCCCGACGTGAGCGGTCACCGTACCCCCCCGCTCGCTCTCAGCCTTCCTTGCTTTCCAAGCGCACCATGCTGCGTAACGCGACAAAACCACTTGCTTCTGCTGCACGATCACCTCAGCTCCTTATCCGTGCTGCCTCTACCGCCTCTGCCACGCCGGCCAAGACGCGTCCATACCGTCAGAAAGCGAACGCCGCTTCTCCCCCCTCGTCTCTCCCTCCCTCCTCCCGAACCGGGAAAAACCAGGCTTTCCGACGGAAGAAAAGCAGCACTGGTGGAGAAGAGATACGGCTCCTCTCTCCCTACGTTCTTTCTCAGCGGTTGAGACAGATCATCGGGGAGAAGGGACTGGATGAGGCCGTGGCGTACCTCCAGTCAATGCCGCGCGACGCGCAAAACACTCCCGTCTGGAACCTAGTAATAAAGGAGGCGGGCGCGGTGGGACGATGTAAACTGGCATACAAGCTTTACATTGATGTGCGTCCCATACCCTCTTCTCGTGGCTCGTCAGTCGCATTAACCTACCCTCTAGATGAAAAGGCGCCATTTCAAACCCAACACACGCACGTTTTCTGCTCTTGCCGCCGGCCTGGCCACAGTCACAGACTGGGAGAATCACCCCAGTTTACTTGAACTTGCACACTCCGCATTCGACGATTATTGGGCCTTAATGCAGGAGATCAAGACGAACGATTCTACCAGCCCAGAACTCGCCTTGAACCCGTTCAACGCCTTTCTTCGCCTGTTCACCAAGGCAAAACAGTGGCAGAAAGCTCTCGACCTGTACAACTCTCTAGACGACGAAGGCCCACTATCCCCCACTCACTTCACTTACTCTGCCGTGATTCTCGCTCTGGAAATGCGTGCAAAGGATCCATCCACCTACGCTCCAGAAACAGCAGGCGAACGACTTGCCGCTGACATACGTCACCTATGGCGACAAATCCAGAAACGGATTGACAACGGCGCGGACACCCAGCTGGACGCTCATGTGCTCACTCCTCTCGTTTCCGCTCTTACCGGCGGTCGCTCTGCAGACCACATCATGGCCTTCGACATTGTCCGAACGTATGTGGGGTACGCACAGCCCGGCGACCAAGTGCCAGCAACTCCACCAGTCGCCTTAAGCTCGCACCTATTCTTCACGATCCTCACCCTCTGCTTCGAAACGCAGAAGTACAGACGCTGCATACAGTTCCTCCGCAAAGCCATGGTCAGCGACCAGCGCATCATCGACTTCCGCCACCTGAACTTGGCCCTCCGCGCGTGCCACGCGCTCGCCATGCAAGGCTCCCTCTACGACGCCTCCGACGCGCTCCAGCTGCTCGAGTGGGCGTACGAACGCAGCGCGTCCTTCCCCGCGCACGACCCCCGGGACGAGCTCGTGCGCACCGCCCAGCACACCACCACGCTCGCGATCTGCGCGCACACCACGGACTGGCCCGCCGCGCTCCGCGTCTTCCAGCTCATCACCGGCCACGCCCCCGAGGACTTCGCGGACGGCGCCCCCGCGCGCCCGGCGCGCCCTTCCCCGCCGGCGCGCGGGCACCTCCCGCGCGAGGTGTACCCGCAGGGGCTCACGTACTTCGTGCGCACCGCGCTCTCGACGGACGACCCCGCGGTGGCGCGCCAGTGCCTCCGCCTCGTGGACGCGGTCGGCCTGCGCAGGGTGCTCGGGCGCGACCGCGTCCGGCTCGCGGGCGGCGACGAGGGCGGCGAGATGCAGCAGACCGCGCGGTTCTTCGGGCAGCAAGCCACGATGGCCGTCGTCGCGCTCGCCAACGCGGCCCTCCACGCGAAGGCGGACGTGGACGTGGACGCGGACGATGCGGAGGCCCGGCGCTGGCGCACGCTCCGGAAGCTGGCGCACGATCTCGTGCCTGCGGATTCGAAGAAGGAGCGGCGGCCGTCCTCGGTGCTTGAAGAGCGTCCACGGGTGACCACGCAGGAGCTCAAGGCGATGGACCAGGACGTGAAGTTGGACATGATTACCCGAGACTCGAAGATCCGGAGGAGCTGAAGACACCGTTGGGAGAGGGATACCTGACCAAGGAACTCTTGTGCAACTGACAAGTACTTTACACATCCGCTGTTGCTTCTGCACGAGCCTTAATTCGCCGCTATTCATGACCATGATGGAGCCCGTCACGCGCGGTTCCGAGGAGCAAGGACCGTGTTGGAGAGCGAGCGTATTTTGTGCATATGTACATCCGAGTGCACAGGCGCACATCGCGAGCGTACAGGACACCAGATGAGCGAGTGTGAGCGAGACAATAAAAAGTCCATTGAGAAAGATATATATCGAAGGTCCGGTTGTCGTCGACAGCAACACAACATGATGACGGGGGAGGAGAGGCAGGGGTGGATGAGGGGCGTACGGAGTGAAACGGCAGGTAGTGTAGGGTAAAGAGCGAGGGGGAGGGGGAGACGAGCATACCGAGTACGTGCGCACATGACGGGCATAAAACGCGCCTCCTACGAGTCCGCGAACAGACAGCGAGAGCGAGGGGGAGTGAGGGCCTCACGCGACCGACTTTGGCCGGTCGATCATGTTCGGCGCGCCCAGGCCACTTCCGCGGAGGGAGTTGCCTTCGAAGCCGGGCTTCGAGAAAGCCGGTGTTGGGGGCACGAACGTGTCCTCGGTGAGCGCCATCGAGACGGGCTGATACGTGCCGAGGTTGTCGGCGGTGTCCGCGCTGGTCGTCGGCCCAAAGGACGAAGTGCGATGGAGGGGCATGGGGCTCGAGCGGCCGATTGTGCGTCGTGCGCGAACCTTGGTGCGGCGCTTGCGCAGGAAATACACGAGCCCGGCGATGAGGAGGATGAGAACGACAAGCGCGTTGAGGCCATGACGGCGAGCATCACCGGGATGTAAGATGCGAGCTGGTTAACGGTCTTGGCAATGTCGCTAGTCGTGACAGTCGAAGTGGAGGAATCACCCGATGCGTTGGCGGTAGAAACGGCGACCGCTTTGTAGGCGATGTTACTAGATGCACTGCCGCCACGGGCAGCGTGGAACTCCTGCGATGCTTTGTTTGGGTCGACGAGAGAAAGGAGTTGCATGTACGGATTTCCCATCTTTCCGGAGGAGTCGAAGTCGCCGAAGTCATATACGGTATACAAGGACCTCATCACGTTGTCGCCGATGAGCCAGTCGCTGGGGAGAGGGAAGGGAAGGAATCAACGTTCAGAGTGAACATACAGAGACTGGAGACTCACAATTGACCAGCCCCCACAGAGACCGACTGGGGAACGAACGAGCCGACACACATGGTGTTATCGTTCACGTATAGAGGAGACACGTCGATGGGATGCAGAGGGTAAACATCATTCCTAGAAAGCGTGGCATATGAGCAAATGCTTGTGAGACGGCGAGGAGATTGCTCACCCAAATTGCAGAGCAATGTCAATCTCTGCATCACACGGAACAACCCACTGGCCCAATGACGCATCGTACTTGGCACCTGAAATACGTCCGTAGATAGTGTCACAGATGTCCACAGGTGCATAACTGTTCGAGAAGAGTGAGATCCAGCCCAACTCTTGAGGATAGATGATACAGACGTGTACGAAGTGCCACTGTCAAGCATCACAACAGCCTTCCCGGACGGAGCACCAGACACAGTGCTGGTCAACGGGGTCACCGTGTCATTGTTTGCAATCAAAAGAGCGTCCAACAAGACCGTCCATCGAGTGGGGTCACTCTGGGGGAATGTAGAGATCTTGTTGCTCTTTTGGACATCAGTGTACTCGGGCTCATATTCGCCTGGTGTGGCGCATTTCATGGCAGGGAGGTTAACGGTACTCGCATGGTGTCAGAAAAGGACGCACCGATGGTGAAGGACCCGTCAACATCACCGTCCGCCTGAGATTCGGTTGTCCTCTGTAGCGAAAACGCTATGAAGTTGGGCTCTGAGGGGTTCTCGGAGAACATGTTGTAGAGAAGGCTCTTCCCGTCGGAAATGCCGGCGGTGGTCAGTGCATGATCGACACTGGAGAGCTTGGTGAACCCAAGGCCGACGATGCCATCGACGCCATATGAGAGGATGGGATTGCTCGCTTGATTCGCGTCAATGAAGGCCTGGTTAGTGACGTTGATACTGGGGACAACGACGGCTGTGTCAATAGCGAGACCAACGCAACGCAACAGAAGAACGTACCCCGCGAACTCTACATCAGCGTAGGCAATGTGACCGTACGTATACCCGATGCCGTACTGAATGAATAACGCGTGAACGACAGGTCGCGTAGATCACTGGAGAGCGGCGGCTTACGGTGATGTTCAGAGTGTACGACTGGACAGAAGAAAGGGTTGAGCATAACAACACAACCACCGCGAAGTAACTCACAGTATGGTTGGCATTGGCAAGGGGGTACGAGTCGCCCTTGACCCAGAGGTCAGACGAGCCGGTATCGAGTTGGAGAGAGTGTTCTGGGGAAACGATAAGGCTTGGCACGACTAAGGGCATACAGATGCGTACCAGCGCCGGCGATGGTAACCTAAGCGAGGCGCAGGATTATTGGCATGGAAGAGGAAGAGGAAGGCAAGACTCACGTTGGCAATGTAGAGCAAGTCGTGGAAAGAACTGTGGGGGGTAAGTAAGGTAATGGAAATGCAAGGGTGAATTGGACGAACCTGATGTCAATGTCGCCGTCTCCGTCGTCGGTGTTGTCGGCCCTGGGGGAAAAGGGCGAGAGGAAGTCGGGTGTGGGGGCTCTCCTCGGCAGGCCAGTCGACAGGTGCTTGCGCTGGGTGACCGGTATCCTGATGGCTCTGGAGAGCGAAGCAGAGAAAAGCAGAGCCAAGGGGAAGAACCGCATGCCGTCAGAAGGAGGTGGGTAAGGAGCGACTGGAAAGAGAGTCGGACGGGGCGGGAAGGGCGGGACCGTCGCGGCGAGCCAGCGAACGGGAGGGACTGGGAAGAGCTTGCAAGCTCAAGGACAAGCCCGCGATAGCAACACTTATGATCGCTCCCGGACCCCGCGAAGCCGCCCGCCGCACGAGCGCCCGCTGCCATCCGACGTCGACCACGTGGCGGTGCTCGTTTCGCGTCGACCGCGACGGCAGCGTCCGCAGCCGTCTTCTCGATCCCCCCGACTTGCAGGGCCAGCTCGCCTTTTCGGCACGCACCACACCTGCCGACGCCTGCCCCGCGGCGACTGTGCGCACGTACGGTCGAGCACTCTGCCTCCAGCGCTCCCGGGCGCTGCGCCGAGCCCTCCGTGTACCCCCAGGGACAACGATCACCTGTGCCTCGCCTCGACTGATTGATGGCTTGAAGCCTGAATAGCTCTGAATAGCTCGGCTGGAAAGACTGCAAGCCCGATTCGAACAGACCGACGATCGACTGTCCCTCCCACGCCGCCGGTGGCTCCTGGTCGCGTGTATAACTTGAGCACATGAGCAGACTATGCTAGAGCATTGAAAAGTATATGCACCGTAACTTCTCGGAGCTCAGGAGAGCATCATTTGCAAGATCGCGCGCCTTCAACCACCTATCATTGTTACAACCACCACATTGCAATTTGCGCAGCCCCTCTGCGCCAATTACCGGCTCCGGGTTGAGGTCAGTCAAACGGTACAAAACCCGACGGTCACCGAGAGAAACAAAGTCGGGTACCTGCACGCGGCCGAGACCGTCGCGAGTCGCCCGTGTATGGTGTCAGCCTCTCGCGGTCACAGGACGTGGGCGCGCAGGGCTCTCGTGACCCCGCCTGTGTGCCGAATTGGATGGTGCGCACACCCACGGTGGTATATACCCCCGCCACGGGCCCCCGCCCCCCACTGTCCCCGCCTCTCGCACCGTGCTCGATGTCGTCCGCTGTAGCCTCCAGAAACGTCGTGCGGCGCCTCATCAACGCCACGCAGCACTCAGCCTGCCCTTGCCACGGCTGCCGGGCCGGCGGCGCACACAACCCCATCCAGGCTCTACAGCAGATGCGCAAGTACGCGACCCCCGTCGAGGCTCTCCCTGTCGAGAAGGAGTATGCGTTCGAGGTGCGCCCCTCCATCCCCCTGCAGCGTTCTCCGACCCCTGAAGATGGGCCCGTAGGTGGCTGCGGCCAACCTCCGCTTTGGTGAAGGCGTCACCCGCGAGGTCGGCATGGACTTCAAGAACATGGGTGCGCGCAAGGTGTGTGCCCCCCCCCCCCCCCATTTCATCGCTGGAAATGCGTGGCCTCATCACGGTCTGCCAGGTTGCCGTGTTCACAGACCCCAACGTCGCGAAGCTTCCCCCGCAAAGATGGTACGTAAAGAACGAACATGCGTCTCCCCCACGGCGCTCACATACATGCGCCCAGGCCATCTCGTCTCTCGAAGCGCAGGAAGACTTGCCGTTCGAGGTGTACGACCGCGTGGTCGCGGAGCCCACGGAAGAGAGCTGGCGCGACGCCATCGCCTGGGCGAGAAAGCACGACTGCAGCCACTACCTCGCGTGCGTGCGTTCTCGCCTGTTTGCCTGCACCGTGCTCATACCGGACCAACAGCGTCGGAGGTGGGAGCGTCATGGACACTGCCAAGGCAGCGAACCTGTCAGTGCGAGCTTGGAGCCCGCGTCTTCAGCTGACTGACGTCATGCTTCCCCAGATTCGCGGTCTACAAGGATGCAGACTTGTTCGATTTCATCAACGCGCCAGTGGGGAAGGGGCTGCCTATCAAAGAAAAGCTCCGGCCTCTGATCGCAGGTCTGTTTTGCTTCCCGCGTGTGTCGGAGGCGAACTGTGCTGATGATTCGCGGCAGTGCCCACGACTGCGGGGACGGGTTCGGAGACGACAGGAACTGCCATTCTTGACATCACCTCAATGGCCTTCAAGACCGGCATCGCCAACCGAGCCATGAAACCCATGCTCGGTATCGTGGACACCCTCAACACCCGCACATGTTCTCGAGGTGACCACATCGAGCACGTCACCCACAACGCATACTGACTGGGTGCATCACAGAACTACACATTAGCGCGGGTCTTGACGTCTTGTTCCACAGTCTGGAGAGCTACACGGCAATCCCGTTGGTGATCTCCTTTCTCTTGATGGGTTCACGTGCCGATCATACTACAGATACAACGAGCGTACGCCTCGTCCTGCCAACCCTATTCTGCGACCTGCCTATCAAGGTAGCAACCCGGTCGCTGACATCTTCTCGATGTGGGCTCTTCGAACCACCGTCCAGCACTTGCCTCGGATCTCCAAGGATCCGGGTAACTTTGAGTCGCTCTCCCAAATGATGTGCGCTTTACTTGGTGAATTGTTGTGTTGGGTTTTGCGTTGATCCTGCTCTCAGGCTGGCTGCTTCCTTCGCTGGTATCGGATTCGGGAATGCTGGCGTGCACTTGTGCCATGGTATCAGCTACCCTGTAAGTGTCGGCTCCCCGTTTGCGTGAAAGCTGTTTTGACGTCGTAACCGTTAGATCTCGGGCCTTAACAAGAAGGGACCCAAGTTCAAATACTCGGGCTACAATGTCGACCATCCGATTATCCCTCACGGTGTCACGTACGTCCTGTTCGAATGACGTCGGGCGGCATAAAGACGTCTGACTGCCCGTGCTTTCAGTGTCGCCCTTCCCGCTCCAGCCGTCTTCCAGTTCACCGCCCCCTCGTCTCCCGACCGGCACCGCGAAGCCCTCGCCATCTTCCAAGGCGTCGGCACGTTCGACTCGTCGATCACCGCCATCCCCGACCGCGATATCGGCGCGCACCTCTTCGAAGCCATCGCCCGCTTCCTCGACAATCTCGGCGTCCCGCGTGGGCTCAAGGCGGTCGGGTACTCGCGCGCGGACATCCCTGCCCTCGTCGACGGCACGATTCCACAACGGCGCGTGCTCGACCTTGCGCCCGGCATCGGAGACATCGTGGGTGAGGACGGGAGGGAGCATTTGACACGCATTGTGGAGAACTCGTTCGAGTACTGAGCACTGAGCGAGTGGATTGGGAGTGTGGTCCTTGGAGTCTGATGTAGAGTAAACATTGGATCTCTTGTAAATTTATCAGTTGCATGCATGCTTTCGAAGTATACGACTCATGGCGTTCTATGTGGGGGTATGAGGACTGGCGCTAGCATGATCTACGTGGCCCGAGTCATTGCGAATGACGTCGATTGCAACTTGACGCAGCGCACTCATCTCGCAAGTTCATCGACACACATGGCGTCCGCCCGCCGATCCGCGTTCAGACCGTGCATCGACCTGCACAACGGCGAGGTGAAGCAGATCGTCGGCGGCACCCTGAGCGAGGATGCGCCCGGCGGCCTCAGAACCAATTTCGTCGCAAGGCACGCCCTTCTCCTCCTCCTCGCGCCCGCTGCGCCGCTTCTGACCCGCGGCCGGGTCTTCCTTTGCGCTCGCGCAGCCAGCCGTCGTCGCACTTCGCCGCGCTCTACCGCGCGCACGACCTCGAGGGCGGGCACGTCATCAAGCTCGGGCCCGGGAACGACCGCGCGGCGCGAGAGGCCCTCGCCGCTTGGCCCGGTCAGTCTCTGCACGTCCACCTGTCGGCGAGGACGGTGGCTGACAAGGGGGCCGTCATCCAGGCCACCTGCAGATTGGGGGCGGCATCACCGACCAAAACGCGCGCGAGTGGCTCGATGCCGGAGCGGGCAAGGTGAGGACGGGAGACGGCTCGCCCGCGGTCGCCGCTGACGCCTTCGACTTCGCGCGGTGCGCGCATGTACAGGTGATCGTGACGTCGCACCTGTTTCCCGACGGCAGGTTCTCGCGCGAGAGGCTGCGCGCGGTGTCGGCCGCCGTCGGGCGCGAGCGGCTCGTCGTGGACGTCAGGTTTGTGTTCCCTGAGGCGAGGTGCACGGCGACGTGTCACTGAAGCCTCTCCTTGCAGCTGCAGACGCAGAGGCGACAAGTGGCTGGTCGCGATGAACAAATGGCAGACCATAACCGACATGGAAGTCGGGAAAGGTGATTCGGGTCGATGCTGAGTCCGTACCCCTCGTTCGCTCACACGGCCGTCGACAGAATCTCTGGCCATGCTGTCGGAATATTGCAGGCGAGTGCGCGGGTCCTCTGACTGTCTATGCGAATGCTCAGTCCCCACAGCGAGTTCCTCATCCACGCAGCTGACGTCGAGGCTTGTGCCAGGGCATCGACGATGAGCTTGTGGCTAGTAAGCACACTTCTCAAGGTAGACCTGGAAACGCTCACTTGCTTGTTGCCCAGGCTCGGAAGTGGGTCACCATCCCTACAACGTACGCCGGAGGTGCCAAAAGCATATCCGATCTATCCCTGGTAGATCGCTTGTCTGGCGGAAAGGTCGACCTCACCTACGGCAGGTGCGTGTCCAAGTCAGTATCGGTATAATGATTCTGACATTTTTGGCCACAGCGCTCTGGACATCTTTGGTGGCACTCTGGTAAATTTGAGGACTTGATAAAAGCTAATTCCGTGGCACAGAATGAGAGGACAGAGTGACGGCGATAAATGCTCATGTAGCTCTGTACACCATCCTGTAGCGATGACCTAAATGTACTAATACACATCCACTTCGCACGAGCACTGTTCATGCCTTGAAGAAGTCAGAGACGACTCTCATGTACCTCTCCCTCTCCTCCATGTGTGGCGTGTGACTGGATTCTGCGAAGGTGATCCACTTGACCTGAGGGATAGTTTTAAAGTACGGGGCGACGGACGCCTCATCGACTTCATCGTATCGGCCACTGATGAGAAGCGTAGGGACATTGATCTTGTGGGCCTGCTGGGTGATGTCAAAATCTTTGATCGGACCCGTAATGTGGAATTCAGACGGGCCGTTCCTGGAGGATCCATGAGCTCTTACACGGGAGCACAGCGTCTGCGTCTCTCACATCGCATGGTAAACCACTGAATCAGGATCCGCTGCAAAGCTCTGCTGTAGCTCCTCAGGGTAAGGATCCACACGGCACAGATGCCTCTTGTAGAACACCGTCATGGCATCTTGGTATTCTTTCGCACTCGTCGTCCCCTCCTTCTCATGCTTCAAGATCGTTTCCTGCAATAAAGATGGTGTGATCAGATTATTGGCGCATCCTTGTCGGATTCAAAATGACGAACCGCGATATCAGAGGGCAATCCTGGGACGAGCTTCTCGTACGCGATCTTGACGAACATCTGGATGCTCGCCGGGCTGTTCGCGAGCACGAGCCGCTTGAGGCCCTTCGGCTGCTTGACTGCGTGGAGCGCGGCGAGCATGCCGCCCCACGACTGGCCGAGGATGCTGTAGTTGTCCTGGATGCCGAGGTGGCGGATGAGGTTGTCGAGCTCGTCGACGAAGAGCTCCTGGGTCCAGAACGACGCCTGCTCCCCCGTCTTCTCGGGAGGCGCGTCGAGGCGCCGTTGCCGAGCTGGTCGTAGAAGATGACAGGGATGCCGTAGAGCGCGAAGAGATCGACGCAGGCCTGAGGTAGTGGTGCGTGGACCCGGGACCGCCGTGGAGGACGATGACGGGGGTGATGCCGGATTTGAGGTCACCGTAGACTTCGTACCAGGTGTAGCAGGGCTTGCCCGCCTTGGCGTCGAACTCGGCGGTGCTGGTGAGAGTGGGGATTGGTCGGGTGGCCATGACGAGAAGACGAGCTGAACTCTGGAGTGCTGAGATGCTGCCCTGGGGGAACGTATCTATGCTTCGAATGTGCTCGGGCGCGATAAGTTGCGATGCTGCGTACGGCTCCTGTTCCCACTCCGGGATAGTGCGTCAAACTCAAGCGCCTTGGGGTACCTTCTCGTGGGCACTAGAACCTGCGAATGTCCCACAAATACTAGAATGATCCTAGGAGATTATTGTTTCACTGAACCTCCCCAATAGGTGGTCGGGCTTCGAAAGGACGCCGTTACGTCTAAGAAACATAAAAGAGGACTCTGATCCGTACAAACAAACCACTCACAGGTCGTGTCCACAAAAAACTCCTTCCGGTGGCCAATAGCACCATCAGCCCTCAAGGCCCCACAGATCCACGGCAAGTATGAATGAATTTGTATGCAATGGAACCATTCTGAGCAATACAAGACTGAGGACAACGTTAGCACTTGGCCCGTCATCAGGAAGGGGACAAGACAGAATCTCAGCCAATTGCGGGCCGCGATTGGACTTATACTCGGCGCTAGCGAGCGCTTAGTCAGCAACCCCTCGGAGCGTTCGGGAGGGTGCGGTGGACGTGCAGCTGCCTCTTCCACACAACCATGGTTTCCCTCCAACGGACCATCCGGTCCATTCAGCGCGTCGGCCTCCGGGAATGGTGGCGCCAGATGCAGTATATCGGTGACGCCAAGTCTGGTCGTCTGGTGGGGAAGGACCAGTGAGTTTCGTCGCTCGTGCTCATACTTCTCTCGACGTGCTCATTGTGTGCAATGAAAAGGTTCGGCAACCGTTACTTCGAGAACATGAACGCGGAGGAGGAGGTTCCTGGTGAGCTTTTACGGCTGTGACGAACGTGCAGCTTTGGATGAACATGTTTCCGAAGGCCGTCATCGCTGGGTGGACTTTGCTCAGGTGCGTTGTGGCCACATAGTTCCCTATTTGCATACCCACCCTCGCACTGCCTGGCATCCCAGCACGACAACAACGCCACCCAAGTCCCTCCCGAGTGGCACTCATGGCTGTCGCACATCCGCAAGGACGCGCCGACTGAGGACAGCGTCATGCAGAACTTCTCTCCGCCCTGGAAGTCTGTGAGTTGTGTTCGCTCGTTCTCTATAGCTCCGCGACTTACCTGTCGACTGTGCAGCCCTGGACCGAGAACCTCACCGGCACTCGCGGCGCGTTCCGCACATATAACACCACCCGCCCCAAGTACGAGGCCTGGCAGCCCAAGGTCGCGGCGCGGGGAGTGTCTCCTTAGACTTGTCTATGGCATGTGTGTCTACGAGTTTCTACCTCTATCCACGCGCTCCTTCCATCATCCCATCCACTACGTGCTCCGCGATCGCAAGACCCGACGTCAAGCCAGGGCTCTCTATCCCCAAGAGACTGATCATCTCGCCCTCCCCGTGCGCAGTCGCCTTATCCTGGCGGAAGACGAAGTCCTCAAAACCGCTTCCCGGACCTGCCAGCTTGGGGCGGATGCCGCTGTAGTCAGGCTGAAGTCCGTCTTCGGTGATGTTGGGCAGGTACTGTCTAACTGCCTCAAGCATGGGTTTTATACGGGACTCGTCGGCGACGAGGTGCTTCTGCCAGAAGTCAGGGTTGTTGTCGCCCTCCGGGGGACTGAGCCAGTCGAGGTCCGGCCCGAACTTGATCTTGCCTTGCATGTCCAGCGTAAGATGGGTTCCCAGCGACTGGAAGGCGTGCTTGTCCTTGCCGACCGCAGGGCACGGGTATATGAGGTGGGAGACGTTCTTGACTCCCGGTCCGCGGTACGAACCATAGGAGCCGCGGGCGAAGAACATGGGTATACGTTCCTGCTCAGGGAGGATAGAGTTGAGGACGAGGGGGGCGGAAAGGCCGGCGCAATTGATGATGGTGCGAGCGAGCAATGCGTCGCCTTCCTCCGCGTCGCCGGTAACCAGCTGCACGACCCACCCAGGCCCGTCGGGGTTGCGGTCGATGCGAACGACCTTGGTCGAGTACACGATCTCACTTCCCGAGGCTTCGCCGATGTCCTTCTCGAGGCTCTCCATGAGTGCGTGCGAGTCGACGATACCAGTCTCCGGGCTCCATAGCGCGGCCACGATATCTGGATGGAGGTCAGGTTCCATCTCTAGGGCTTGGGAACCGGAGATAAGTTGGGTGGGGACAGCAGGAGTGCCCGCCGAAGAGGAGTCCGGCCACGATATCTTCTGCGCTTTTGCGTGTAGGCTCTCGATGTACGGCCGCTGCTCTTCCCGAGCGACGACCAGCTTGCCGATCTTGTGGTGCGGGACGTTATGTGTTTTACAGTGCTCATAAAGGAGTGTTCGTCCACGTATACACAAACTGGTCTTGAGGGAATATGGAGGGTAGTATAGGCCTGCAGTCGCTAGTCAGTCTTGGGCATCAGAAGAGCGTGGATACTTCACACACCGGCATGTATTACTTCGGAGTTTCTCGAGCTGTGGAACGTTCAGAACGGCTCACATTCTGGGTGCATAAGAAGCGAACCTTGTCTCTTCCCCGCAGGCGTTGTGCCGCTCCACAAGGTACGTAGACTTGCCCGGGAACTTTGAGCCGAGACGCTTAGCAACGGAGAGGCCAACGATACCTGTATAGCGCGAGTATATGAATATGCTGCTAGGCATACAAGAAAGACGACAGCTTGCCGCCTCCAATGACTAAATGGTCTGCGTGAAATTCTGGTTTCTGGACAAGCGTGTTAGTCCAAGCAAAGCACGATCAGCCTGCAAATTCTCACTTTGAGGGCATATTGCTTGTTCGCATTCAGTGCGGTCAGGAGCGGACGAACGCTCATTTCGAAAGCTGGTCGTGTGCGAGGGGCAGAATGGACCCTGTTCCTACGTCACTGCAATGATGGGATATGCTCGGACGAAAGGTGGTGGCAGGCTGTTGCCTTCCCTGATCACATGTAAGAAGGGCTAGCAGCAGTCTATGATTGTATTACGACTCGAAATTCACCTTCAAGGTCCTCAGGAACTCTAGGCAGCAAGCGTCGGAGTCAAGCCGAGGCGGTCTAAGTTAGAGTCGACACTCGATGAGTCCGCACTGCGCAAGTTCAAGCGCACGTCATCGCATGTGACCTGTTAACTTTATCGTCCCAAGTTTCGACTCTAGTCGGGCTTGAACTTGGCCAGCTGCCTCGCAGTACTGTCCTTATTCCCTCACCCCTTAACGCTTGCCACCAGCTGTAGCGGTCTCGTTTCTATCTATGGCAGCCAGCGCAACCCTTCAGCTTCCCCAGCCTGCATCGGTTGATGACGTTCTGGCGGGGTGGGACAATATCCCGCTGTTCATGAAGTCGCTCCCCGATGACCCTTCCGACGATGCGACGCTTTCCGCACTGCAGAGTCTGGCTCACGAGGGGACACCAGATGGTGGGTAAGCATCGTTCTGTGCTTGTTTCTTGGGCATGCTTCACATCCCTCCGATCGCAGAGGTCGCACAAAACTTTAAGGAGCAAGGCAATGACTACTTCAAGGGGAAGAAATACCGCGAGGCTCTCGGGTTCTATGCGCAAGGCGTAGATGCGCACCCCGATGACAAAACCCTTTTGGAAGCGCTGCTTTGCAACAGCGCGGCGTGCAACCTCGAACTTCGTGCGTGCACTCTTCGACTTCCTCTGTACTCGCCTGAAGTTGTCCGTGAAGAGAATTATGGCTCCGTCTTGAAAGACTGTTCAAAGGCTATTGGGAACAACCCGAAGTGCTCCAAAGCACTCTACCGGTCCGCCTTGGCTCTGGTTGCCCTGGAACGCTACGCCGAGGCGATCGATTGCTGCGAACGCTGTCTACAGTTCGACGACGGCAACCAAAGCGTTCAGGGGATCTGCGAGAAGGCACGGAAGCTGAAGGAGGAAAAGGACCGCAAAGAGTGGGAACGGCAGGAGAGGCTGAAGCAAGAGCAACTGAAGCAGCAGAGGCTCCGGGTCGCTTTCCAGGTGTGTAATGATCGTCTGTCAGTGGTTCGTAACTCACGGTATTCTAGCAACGCAATATCATTATCAAACCCGTTCCCGACAACGTGAGCCGCAGTCCTTACGAGCCGCACTTCGATCCAGAAGACAAGACGAACAACACGATGATCTTCCCCGTCCTCTTCATGTATCCTCAGTATGCCACCACAGACATGATCTCGCACTATCAAGAAGACGCTCCCTTTGTTGCGCATATAGGCGCGATGTTCCCTCCAAACGCACCCATGCCGGAGTGGGATAAGAAGGGCGAGTACGTCAACGGGAATCTGGTCGTCTTCGGGTGGACGAAGAGAAAAAGGTTACTCAAAATTGGGAAGAAAATGACGCTCCGAGACGTGTGCCAGGCGGCGAAAGCGAAGGACGGCGACTTGAGGGATGGGTTGGAGATGACAGATGGGACACTGACATTCGTGGTGCTGCCGAAGGGACCGGAGGAGCAGAAGTGGGTGGAGGACTTCAAAAAGACAAGGGAGTCGTCGGGGGCATAGCATCCCCCGCACGCTTGTACCTGGTGTCCGCATCTATGCCCACGACGGTTGATTGTTGACCGGTCTCGACCGATCTCACTCCGCATGCTTCCCAGAATCCTGCCCTCAAACCGCAGCCTGCGCCCCGTTCTACCCCAGAGAGGTTGACGCGCGAGCCACACCGAGCGACGTTAGAAGGCACCGGCGGTGACATGCACCTCGCATCTGTATCATGTTGTGAGTATGCGCACTCCATTATTCGCCAGCACGTAGCTCATCTGCAGCAGTCCACCTGTGGCGGCGGCGGACGTCTGAGATGACCGCGCTTGTCCCTACCGCGCGCTGCGATTGCGTTCCGAGCAGTGGGTGGCCGGTGCCGTATCCTCGCTTCGATGGCGTGAGGCGCATCTCCAACGGGCTTTGGGGGGCTCAATTTCCCCTGCCTCGAGGTACTGCCCCAGTGTGGGCAACTTCGATCCTCACGATATATACTCCGTGCTCGAGACCTCGAGGTCTCAAGGCCTCGGCGCCGCTGACTTCCCTACCTTTCCGCAGGGATGCCGTCACTTTCAGCTCAAGACGTCCTAGATTTGCATCAGAGGTACCACAAGGCGTACGTACTATTCTGTGTCTTTCCGCTGTTTTACTCACTAGCTTGGGATAAACAGCAAAGTGACTAGCTACTGCAATATCGCAACCTCAAGTGACTATGCCAACCATTTGTCTCCGTTCGAGCTGACGCCGTATGTTTAGCTCTGTTCATATACGAGTACTTGCAGACACTGGATCAAGAAATCGAGTACTTTTGGAGAAAGAAGGCCTCAGGGGCCACTACCCTTTTCTTCATGACCCGATACATGTGCCTCCTAGCGAGTGTATACGATTTCACCATTTATATCCCCATGTCTGATTCGGTAAGTCGTTTTCGTGTTCAGGTGGGACAACGCTAAGATATACTTACCAGAGGTAGATGAGTTCTCATCCTCAAAGATATAGCCACTTACCACACACGCAGCTGCTCGATGACTGTGCACACTATGTTCGCGATGACATTCATGATGCAGCTCTTCTTTGCCGCTGGTGAGCGGTTAGTCGGCATTTTTGGCCAACACTCATCCTGCAAATGCAAACAGTTTTCGCGGCACTACGTGCGTACGCGCTCACTGGGAGGAATAGAGTCGTCGCTTCCACAGTCCTGGTCCTCGGTATGCTTCCGATAGTTTCGGACTCGGTGAGCGTGGTATATCGACGGCTAGCTTTTGTCATTGACCGTTTTGAGCAGTTGTACTATCCAGTCCTAGGGCTCACCGGGGATAATTTGGAAGGCTTCGGGTGCAGCGCCACCAGCCACCCCCGGATTGCAGGGACTGCTCTCCAAAGGTCGGCTATGCGTGTCATATTCGCTTGAATTTTTCTCATCCTTGCGAATTCCACTCACAGCTGCTGTCAGTGCATAGCACCTTTTTCGGATCGCATGGGCTTCGTTTGCTGACCCCGAACATAGTGACCTACATAAGCCGAGCTTGTTTGATCACGGTAGACTGCACTCTGATCGTGATTACCTGGTCTTATCTCCGTCGGACGCGAACGGGTGCGGAGTGGCAAACCTGGAATCTCACAACGTTCCGACGGGTGATCCTCGTGGACGGTAACCATCTTATTCTCTCCGCGGAAACCACCTCGCTGACATCTCTCAACTCCAGGTACTCTTTACTTTGTGTGGGTGAACTCGTAGCACGATTGAGAAAGACTTCACTGACACGGGGTGCGCAGAGTACTCTTGACCCTGAACCTCGTGCACTTGGCGCTGTCGAGAGTCGCCGCAGTAAGTTCGCTTTTACATCGTTGCAATCAGTAGCAACACAAACAGTAATCAGACGCAGGGAACTTATCCGGGAGCAAGCTACATCACATTATTCTCGCAACCGTGAGTCTTCCGCTGGGTTTTTTTTCTAACGATCAAACTAACAGTGTTCGTGGCTCAGGTTGACTTCCATTTTGGTGTTACGGTTCTTGTTGGATCTCCAGAAGGCTCACAGAGGGACGAAAGAGTGCGGATCGACTCAGTCGTCGCATCAATCCACTGTCCTTGTGTTTGAGCATATGCTCGGCAGGCTGCCCCCTCCTTCCGTCAAATACCCTCCCAGCGACACAACTGACGAGGAGCAGGCCATCGAATTAGCGATTTTTGTCAGGCGCGAAGTCATTCGTTCTTCTCCATAAGACGACGACGACGACGTGCTTTGTGCATCCGCCACACGTGCGTATTTCCGAACCAACTTGCCTTAGGCGCATCGCTTTAAGACATGTTCACTTCCAGATGTCCCGTTGTTGCTTATCTGGGCGACTTCTAACGTATGCGCCGCGGTGGTGGGGGACTGGGGGCGAAGGATTTGTAGGCTTTGATCGAATATCCTATCACCTGGGGTTACTTTCAAGCCGGCGAGCATGCAATCCCTGCGCGGCTCGGTGGAGTGCTTATTTCTCGTCGACAGCTTGTATCCATACAGACTGATCTGCTTCTACGATGTATATACGGGGCCCGTCTGCCACAGGCGTAGTTCAGTCTCATCTTCCATAAAATTTAACTCATGACGGATGTGATCTCGTTGCGTCCCAACTTGCCACCCCGCTGAGTCTTCCACGTCACAGGCTAATGACTGCTCATATAACAGGTTCACAACTCTCCTCGAGTGTTGCTTCCTGAGTCATCCTGACGACCCACCGAAGTGCATTCAATGTGACCAAAACGTCTCTGTATTCAACTGTAGGGACGATTAACCCTCCAGTTTCTCCTGTTCAGCCGATTTGCGGTTCAACGTATCTGATATACTACATGTGAAAGACATATGTACGTTGTATGACTCTGGTAAATACATCACACCTTTTCTGCTCTCTGTCTGTCGAGTCCTGAGGAGTATCCGGAGTAAATCTTGATCGATTGATCCCCTGCACCTTACCCCCTGTAGTAGTAGTACTGTACTAATTCAAACACTCCGACACCCCTTGTGATCTGTGACGCGAAAGTTCCGGTTTCGACATCCGACAGGATGGTCCGTGAGCCGTGACATGTCCGAAATCTCGACAGACTGAGCAAGCCGAACCAACCTGAACATGCGAGAAATCCGTTCACACAGTGTCTGGGTTCATTGATGGTCACACATCTTCTTCTACTACGTGTGTGCATGTGTGCGACAAGCATTGCCTACGGCGCTCTCTCCCTGGCCTGAAATCCGGCTCACATGGTTTTGTTTGCGACTTTCGACAGATGCACCGGTGACGCGTGACAAGCGCCCAAATCTCGTCCACCCAGCGGGCTGGTGACCGTGACGTGACGGAGTGTTTGAATTAGTACAGTATACTACGAGGCCATGTAAGCGCCTTATGTTTACACCTATTTGGTGTATTTCCCACCCGAGCCTGTCGAGCGCTCACAAAGTATAGACCGTGAAGGCAAACAACGGACACACCATCGACGACGGCAACAGGCACGGTGAGTACCATTATGCTGCTTCGACGGACATTGAGGACTGGAAGGGCACTACGGAGGTTTATGTGAAGTGATTGGAGGGTTGGAAGTGGTGGAATGGGATGGATGGCGTGCACGGGGAACGGATGCTGACCAGGTGCATCCCCCGACTCTCAGTGCCTCCTCAAGAAACAAGATGTCCATCCAACACAAGATCGTCCGCACGGCCAACGCGCCCAGGACCAACCCTGATGAGACCGAGACGGCCGTTGCGCAGGCCATGATCGACCTCGAGAACTCCGCGCCGGAGCTCAAGAGCGAGTTGCGCCCCCTCCAGATCTCTGCTGCCCGTGAGGTCGATGTCCGCGGTGGCAAGAAGGCCATCGTCATCTTTGTCCCCGTCCCCCAGCTCAAGGCGTTCCACAAGGTCCAGCAAAGGTATGTACCCTTCTGATGTCTCTGCGATGTGGGGAGGATAGGTCGCGGGATAGGTCGGACGCTTGTTCGCATACTGAACGGGTCCTTCCGCATCACAGGCTGACCCGTGAGCTCGAGAAGAAGTTCTCGGACCGTCACGTCGTCTTCGTCGCCCAGCGTCGTATGCTCCGCAAGCCGACCCGCACCTCGCGCGTGCAGCAGAAGCGCCCCCGTTCCCGCACCCTCACCGACGTCCACGAGAAGATCCTTGAGGACCTCGTTTTCCCCACCGAGATCATCGGCAAGCGCACGCGCGTGGCCGTTGACGGCTCAAAACTGCTCAAGGTGTAAGTGTGGCGTCATAATTCTCCGATGTGCACGGCGTCCTGACTGCCCCGGGGTTTCAGCTTCCTTGACTCGAAGGATGCGACATCACTGGAGTACAAGCTGGACTCGTTCTCGTCTGTCTACCGCCGTTTGACAGGGAAGGACGTCGTGTTTGAGTTCCCCGTCCAGGCACAGGAGTAGAGGACTGCGGCTGGGGCGTTATGGGTGTGTGTAGCACTATGCGATGTACTGTCTGAGCACGATCAAAAACTATGCGCGCATGCCCTTCTTCATGCGATGTACCTGTATATGGGGTTGTACGTGCGAGAGGGTGAGGAATGCAGCGAGACACTGGGCGACGCCTGCAGCACCGCACTGGACGTTTGAACGGAGCTAAGCTGGTCGCAGGCCACAGAGCGGGCGCCACCCGAGCGCTGGCCGCACCGAGCAGCCGGAGGATAGACGCACGTGGCGAGAGTGGTTCCGCATCTCAAACGGCTGGATAGAGCATCAGCTCTTCTTCCCTTGCCTCCCTCTTCTTCTCCGGGCCACCTCCCCGGCGGCCACCCTTCCTCTCCCCCCCGCGCCTCCCCGGCACCCCCTCCTTCCTCCCTCACGCCACCATTCATGCCCGACTATCCTCGTATGGACCCATACCGCAAGGCCAGATATGACCAGGGCGTCGATGCGAAGATAGTTATCATGGGCAACACAGGTCAGCACACGCCTATCTGGACCCTCTGCGGCCCACATTTCCGCTTCTGTCGCGCGGAGATCTTGACACGTCGCGCAGGCGTTGGCAAGACCAGCCTTCTTCACCGGTACACCCAGGGCAAGTTCGATCCCAAGAACACCACCTCTACTACCGGCGCCTTCTTCGTGACCAAGAAAGTGAGTGTGGACGGGACCAAGGTCAGGCTGCAGCTGTGGGACACCGCGGGCCAGGAGCGATTTCGGAGCATGGTGCGTCTCGTTCGCTCGCAACCGTCCAACAACCGCTCCCTGACGCCCATGTGGCCAGGCACCCATGTACTACCGCGGCGCGAACGCTGCCCTGTTGTTGTACGATATCACGAACGCGTCCAGCTTTGAGGACGTGCGCGGCTGGCTAGAAGGTGCGTGTATGCGAACCTGCACTCGCCCCTTCGCGGGACGCGATCGGTTCGGTATCCAACTGACTGTCGCTCGTCGCAACGACAGAGCTCAAGAAGAACTGTTCTCCGGACCTGATTATCTATATCGTCGGCGCGAAAGCCGACCTGCACCAGCATCGCCAAGTGACATCCGACCTCGCTCGGCTCTCCTTGCACACATGGTTTCCACCACCGCGGCCGCCAACGCCTCCCCCGCCCCCCGCAACTCCGTCAACGTTCTCTTACATCCGCCCTCGTTTCACCTCATTTACGAGTATTCGATCGGTCCCAGCACTGACATCCCCGAAGCCGACCTCCCCACCTCCCGAACTGGAAAGCTCCTATAACGACCCAAGGTCGACCGCGATCAAGCGCTCCAACACCTCCGCTTACACTCGGCCCCGCGCGAAGAGCGGAGATCTGCTGCTGCCTCGATCCAACTCTACCAATGGTGGTGGCGCACGACCGACGCCATCCCGGCTGGCATATCGACCGGCGTGGAACGAGCCTGGGGACGGGAGCAGCAATAGCGTCCCAGAAGACGAGGACGAGGCGGTTGACGACGAGGAAGAGTGGGGCCTACGCAAAGGGATGGAACTCTTCGAGGTCTCGGCCAAGGATGACTACGGTGCGCCGCTTACGCGCGTTCTGCATGGATCCCGTTTCTGATGAGGTCGTCACGCAGGTATCCAGCACCTATTCGACTGCCTCATCGACGCGATAATCCAGAAAAAGGACATGATCGAGCAGGAGAATGAGATTAAACGGCGCGATAGCGTGTTCCTCTCCAGCAGCTCGACACCAGTCTGGGCAGCGCAGGCCGACCAAGAGGAGGCCCGCGAAAAGGCTCAAAAGGCCACTGGCTCCTCCTGGAGCTGTTGTTCGACATAGCGCATGTTATGTTTCCTCCCCGCCCCATCTTCGGACGATTCGTGCACCCTATCGTCTTCTACCCCCGCCCCCTCGCCACCTCGACCGCCCTCGCGGCTCGACACCCGTGCGCAGTGACACACTGCGCTCGGCCGCATCTCCGCTGCTAATGCTTTTTGACTTTATGACTCTATGTTATTACATTTGCCTTACGCCGTTTTATGACCCATGTCTGTCCCCGCGCATCTTACCCCACCCGTCCCCTCCCCATCCCACCCCAAGATATCCTGTTTGTCTGGTCGGCTGATCTCATGTTCTCTCCCATTTATCGCTCTTCACTGCACATCGTATCGTACAGACATGTCCATAGTAGTACAGCCCGGCTGGATATCCTCGTACTCATGACATCCAATGCACTCTGCTCTCTCTCGTCTCTCGGCGTCTGTCCGCTAGCTCGTCCCGGAGTCCGTGGTGGCCACCCTGGCGCTCGTGGCCGAAACGGTCGTGCTTCCCGCACCCACTGCGCCCCGTATCTGCGCCTCAGCCGAGGCCGGTGCGTCTCCCGCCCTGCTCCTGCCGCTGCCGCTCCCCTCCCTCCCCTCCCAGCCGCTCGCCGCCATGTCCGTCCTCGCGCCTGAGCCTTCCAAGATCCTCGGGGAGGAGGACGAGCACCGCTGCGTCCCCGAGCACGCCTTTCACTGCTTCGACACCCTCTACTGTGCCCTCACTTCTCACCAGCCCGTCGAGCCCCAGTTCGCCGAGTGGAAGTGGTGCGTTTCTCACCCTCACACCCCCCGGCTGCATGCCCTGCTTCGCTGACCCGTGGCCTCCTCTGCAGCCCCCTCTTCGTGACTTGGAACACACGCTCGCGCCCCGGACGGCCGCTCAGGCTGCGAGGCTGCATCGGCACCTTCGTCCCCGTCCCGCTCGCGGAGGGCCTCGCCAAGTACGCCCTCATCAGCGCGTTCCGCGACGACCGCTTCCGGAAGATCGAGCTCGGGGAGCTCGAGTCCCTCGAGTGCTCGTACGTCCCTGTCCTCCTCCCCCACCCTCTCGTCCTGGATCGCACGCTGATGCGCCTCGATACGTCACACCCTCTGGACCTCCACGCTCCCCGTGCTTCGTAAACGTAAACCTCCCCACCAACGCTTCCCTACCTCCGTGCCTGCGCACTGCGGGCCTGTTCGGTCGCACACATGCCTCTCTATCGCGGCCCCTCCGCCACGGCGCCCCGCGCCGCGCAGGGTGTCCCTCCTGACCGACTTCGAGGACGCGGACTCGTACCTCGACTGGACCGTCGGCCGCCACGGCATCTCGATCACCTTCCCGCACCCGGACCTGCTCCCCGTCGCGCCCTCGCCGTCGTCCGCGCCCTCGCCCCTCGGCTCGACGCCCGCGCGCACGCCGAAGCGGAGCAGCGGCGCGCCGAAGCACACCTTCAGCGCGTGCTACCTCCCGCACGTCGCGCCCGAGCAGGGCTGGGACCGCCTCGAGACGATCGACAGCGCGATCCGCAAGGCGGGCTGGGGCGGGCGTATCTCCGAGGACCTCCGCCGCGCGGTCCGCGTCGTGCGCTACCAGAGCCGCGTCGTCGACGTCAGCTGGAAGGAGTACGCGCAGTGGCGGACCGCGAGCGGGGGTGCGATGTAGAGCGCGAGGGCGACGATGTTAGAGCGGGCGCGAGACGGCCGCGCACACACTGTGCGGCTCGCTCTGGCTACCAGGAGAACGGCGACTGCCCATAGAATGGCTTGTCACAGACCTTCACGACGACGAACGCAATGAACCAGAATGGACTGTACTATATAGATCATGTAAATTAGGCCCCCGCATCGTGGCCGTAGCGTATGGATCGAATGCGCACCCACCAACCACGCCCACTGACCTCACCATAGCATCCCGCTGCACTCGCCAATAGCCCCGTTCACCACACACCTTGACCCCGCGGCCTCTGCCCTCTGCCACCCTGCCGCACCCTCGCGAAGAACTCCGCGTCCATCTCCTCCGCGTAGATCTTGTCCCGGAAGCGCTGCACGCGACCGTCCCACTTCCGTGCCCCGAACCGCGCCGTCAGCCGTGCCCACACGTCGCGCAGGAGCGCGCGATCCGCGCCGCTCGTCACCGCGAACGCGGAAAGCAGCCAGTAGACGATGCGGCTATTCGGGCACACCATGTCTCGCCCATCCGCATCTGGCTGTGCGGGAATCGCGAGGAACTCGTCGAAGAGCGCGCTGAGCGGCTCCAGCATCCAGGCCGACTTGATGGGCCGCTCGCCACGCTGTGCGAGGGCCAGGGCGATATGGCCGTGGTCGGGGGCTTGGCCATGGCGCGCGAAGCCTAAGAAGATGGCGCGGAAGAGGGGGAGGGCGGGGTTGGGAACCAAGGGTCCATCGTCCTCACCCCGCGACCGCTCGGGGCTTGACATCATGTCACGGAAGACAGAGAGGCATGGGCGGAGGTGGCCGTGGTAGGCGTAGGCTTGGACGAGGGAGTAGTAGGTGATGGCATCCGCTTCGAGGTCAGCAGGTATTGTGATGCCTTCAAAATCCTCGAGCTCTTGAATGTCCTCTTGGGGCTGGGCGTCCGCAGGGAGGAGACCATGGCGAGCGAGCATTGGGTTTCGCAGGATACGATAAATGAGCGCTGCGACGGAGAGTCTGCCATTTCGCGCGTAGGCCCACAGGCACGCGTTAACAGCGGCGATGTCGAGTTTCTGACCGCAACCTGAAGAGCGGCAATATGCCTACGGACCTGCGAGAGGTCCCCTCGGGTAGCATAGTGCGGAAGGTAAGTCGAGAGCGTAACGTGGTTCGGGGTGAGTCCGGAGGAATGCAGCAGCTCCTCTGCTTCCTGGATGAGGTGTTGCCTGCGGGTTCGACGAGCGTTACTGAGCAAGGTGGTGTAGGTCACGATATCCGGCTCTACGGGTTGAGTCCTGGGCGGGGTGTCATCATCCGGCGAGCCGAGGTCCATGTCGGTCAGAGATGCTCCTGGGGCTCGGTTCGCGACCATGTCGTGATAAATTGCCATCGCCGCTCGAAAGTCATCCACTCTGATCCTCCGGAAGCCCTGCCCCGCGTAGTCAATGAGCGCATTCCACTCCCATGCTCGCAGCTGTGAACCCGAACGGTACATTGTGTTGAGCACTGACAAGAGACGCAGGAACACTCGTCGAGGATGGGGCTTGCTTGAGGGCGACGTGTTGCTGCGTTTGATAAGAAGTGCTGCCAGACCGTGGAGGTATTTCCCAGGTATCCGACGCGTTGGGCCATTATCACGTAGCGCTTTTTGGTACGCCTCCCAGGCTCGTTCGATGTTGTCTGGCTGGATCATTTCCTCGTACAGACGGTGAATTTGTGGGGGAGTTGAGTGTTTGCGAGTGCGGTGGGGGGATATGTCAGACGACGGGACTGGGAGGGCGTGCGAAGGCGACGTCAAGTTATACTTCCAATGGCCTGCCTGTTGACGAGCGTCGTCACTGGGGCCATGTCTAATCTTCTTGGGTGGACGTCCGAGAGATGATATACTAGATGGGGCCGAACCGCGGCCGGATTCCAGTACCGCCTCTGCCAGTTCACTCGTCTCTGCTGGATGCGGATGCGAGGAGGTATACTGATGATGGTGTGGAGGGCGTGCCGTCGTAGATCTCGACGAGGAGGGGGAAGCTTCCATTCGTGAGGTGGGGATGTTTGGGGAGTCTTCGCCACTCTCTTCGAGGAAAGAGTGAGGAGGGTTTGACTGGCTGGGAATGGACCGCACCTGTCCCGTCGCGGACAAGTGAGGTGGATGGGCACGGGGATGGGATGGAACGGAGTGCAGGGAAGTTGCCGGCACCGACGACGCGACTTGACTCCTTTTCGTAGAATGGGAGCGCAAGGTGCGACGTACATTGTACGTGAGTTCATGACCGAGCTGCTGGAGCAGACATCGGTGACGTTGGAGATATGTGTGGCGAAAGTTCCCATGAGTGAGGCCCGGAGAGGACACTCTCAGCATCAAGACAAAAGCCAGTCATCCTAGACCGCGCATTGAGTGGTGAGCCTCTGAGGCTGGATAGTAGCACTCACCGCGACACGGCAAGCCAGAACACGCACGAATGGAGACACGGTGACGCGCCAGCGTGCCTCGGCCACCTTCTGCAGTCTGGGGCGTGGGTCAGCAGGGGGCAACGCGGCTGGTCATGTGCGGAGACATACTCTGTGCGGCCCACGAAGAGCAGAGGAACGCGTCTGGAGGAGGGTGATGGACGCGTGCGGTCGAGAACAGGCCACCTCGACACCGGCGTCTCTACTTTGAGCCCGCGCCTTCGGCGTCTATTGGCGACTAAGCCGTCCATTGGCTGCCCGGCTCTTGCAACATCTTCGCACACAATACTACGCGGTACGCTCTCGCTCGGAGCGCAGCTACACCCTCGCATGCACAACGAAAAGACTGGTGTACAACCGCGAATGCTTCGTAGCCTGCATGGTGGTCATGGGATGTGGAGTACAAAACATAGTAGCGTGGACAATGCAGCATAACAGTAAAGCGAGAACGTATAGTAAAATCGCACATCACGCACGGGCCTTGAGCGTCCCCAAGAACGCGGCCTTTTCCTCGAAGGTCTGGAACGCACCGTGCTGTTGACAGTCCGAGGTCAGCATCCGCACCCAGGGTGATTAAGGATAAGAAGCTTACACCGAACTTCGACGACGTATCGATGAACTTGAGCGAAACCTTCTCGAGATCACGGCGAGAGGTGTGGACCATCAGCGACTTGCGGATGGTCACTACGCGCTTCTTGGTACCGGGGATCGAGCCCTTGAGCATGACGAAGTCGTTCTTGACGACACCGTAGTGGGGGAAGCCACCCATCGGAGTGATGGTCTTCTTGGTGATGTCGTGCTCAGTCGACGCGTTGCCTTCGTCGTCGCTCTTGCCCATACGGTAGATCTTCTTGTTGAGCTCCGTACGGTGGTGGTAACCGTCTACATGGGGTATCAGGCTTTGATGCGGGGTACGGGGCGAGTGAGAGGGAATACGCACTTTGACCAGCACGCGCAACGGAGAACATGACCTTGGAAGGGTGCCACGCTCCGATACAAGCAACCTTACGAAGACCCTTGTGCGTCTTGCGAGGCAGCTTCTTCGTACCCCAACGATGGGTGACACCCTCGAACCCGTGGCCCTTTGTCACCGCGATGATATCGACAACCTCGTCCTGCTCGAACACAGAGCCAACCTCGATGGGCTTCTCGAAGAGACCCTGGGCGTACTCGACCTTGTCCGCGACAGAACCACCGTTGATCTGGATCTCCATGAGGTGCGCCTTCTTCTGGGAGAGACCGGTCTTGCGGATCTGGGTGTGCGCGAGAACACGGACGACGGTGCAGTACTTGCGGATGCGCTCGACTTCACGAGCGATGGACTTGCCGCCGTCCTCGGCGTGCTTCTTGGCGTAGCGCGTAAAGGCCTTCTTCTTTGAACGGTACCAGTTCTTGTAGAACCGACGCTTGAGCTCATCAGAAAGGTGGGAGGCCCAGACGGTGGTGAGGGTACGAAGGCCACGGGGAGTTTCAACGTAACCAACGACACCAACGACAATCATCGGTGGGGTCTCTACGACAGTGACCGCCTCGACGACTTCACGCTTGTGCATTTCTGGAAGGAAATTCGAATTCGCTTATACAATGTGCGCTGAGAAAAAAACGCACTGGATCCCGGACGGTCAAGGTCACGAACGATGTGGGTCATGCCGGCCTTGTAGCCCATCACGGCCGTAAGGTGCACCGGCTTCTTGGGGTCATCCTGCGATTTGAAACCTCTTTCACTCCTTGCGGGCCAGCAACATAACAATGCAACACACCTTAGGGAACGACTTGACCTTTCCGCGGTGGCGCGCAGCACGCTTGCGGGGAAGGAATCCAAGCGAGCCGTGGCGAGGTGCTTCGTACTATAACCTTGGTGTGAGTGAGCGCGACACCTCATGGGAATGGTCCTCAAACCTTGCGGTGACTGCAAAAATGTCAGAAACAGTGCACGTGTGGAAGAGCAATAGCGCATACCTCATTTTGAGGGGGTCTTGAGGGCGTCGATATCGTTGTGCTCGCCGGCGATGGATTCGTACTGGCCGCGAAGCGGGTGGCTGAGCGAACTGTATAGTACCTCCCATTTTGGCCAGAAAGACGCATTGGGCGCCTACGGAACTACTCTAATATTTATTATCTCAGTCTGCTCTTGATGTGACACAGTGTGACATTTCCCCAGGACTAAGTAGTAAGTAATGCCCTATGAATGTGAACAACGTATTACGGCTATGTGGTGGATCGGTGATCAGTATTGTTTTTGCTTTCCCGGCACTTCTAATGGCGCTCCACTTGATTCAAATCTCCTGTAGTGCCTTTGTTTGGCGTGTATTCCCACTTTCCCTTCGCCGATCGCGAAGCCCCACGCGTGACTGGCAGGGCTTTGCTTGCACACGGAAAAGCAGATGATATGTTCTGTCATCGTGAATTGTTTCTGCGCACACTGACGTCATGTGGTGGTGTATTTCTGTCCCGGATCTAGACCAGGCTGTAGAGTCCAGTGTACGAATCTTCAAAGCTTCAGTCCTCCGCGCTGAAGCTGCGTCGCCGCGACAGTACTTGCTCGCCCTCAACATCCAGCACTTCGGTACCTGCAACACAATCGGGTTCAGGGTCGTGCACTCATGGCCCTCGCGTGCGCTGGCTCGCGTTCGGCGCGTGGCACCGACGCCCGCCCCGGTGCCTCCATCGCGACTGTTCATGGACACGCGGGGTGCGGCGGCGGAAAGGACCCGCAATTCACGGCTGTAGAGGAGACGTGGCGCGCGGACCGCGAGGTCCATCCGGTTCAAGAAGTCTTATAGCACCCACACCTTCCATCGTTTCTCATGACTTATTGGGCGACCTGGCTACCGACGAGCCTCGGGTCGACAGCACAACCGGTGCGTGACAAGCGTATAGCTTCTCGGCCTCAATCAGCCATAGTACATGCGCTCATCTCCACGCCGCGACACCATTTCATCACTTCGAACGCCTGTCCCCAGGCAAGTACTTGTGTCGCCGCAGTCCCCCGTTGGTGCTAGTACGCTGACTTGGACGTCCTGGCGTAGACGTCGTAAAGCGCCGCGAGCTCCGTCCAGTAAGGGCTCCCGCGGGCCTGGGTCGTCTGGTGTCCGTTCTGCTCAGTCTGCCATGCGACGATCAAGCCATTCGTCAAAAACGCACCTGAGTCGCGTCGTCACCGTCTGCTTCGAGTGCAGTGATACGGTCCCGGATATCCTCTTTAAGCTGCGAGCATAAATCCTCAGCGACAAGGGTCGCCGGCATGTAGGAGAGCGTGCGTACCTCGGACCCCGGCCGATCGAACACCTCACAAAAGAGCGCCTGCTGTTGTTTGAGCTGGTCGCGCACATGCCTCACGTCCTTCGCGACATCGTCCATGAGGTCTCGCAAACGCCTGGCATCTTTGCCTCGAATAGTGAACGCACACTGGGGGTGCGCCGGGGAGTCTTCAGGTTTGTCCGCGACAACTATCGCGGAGTGGAACAATCGTAGTCTCGACGTCAGCAGTTGCGCGGGCGATCAGATTGAGAAAGACGACTGACCAACGCGAGGCACTGGGTCATCCTGGTGCCAAGTCGAGCCGAACAGACTAACGAGGGACTTTTCAAGGCTGAAGAACACCCTGAGAAAGCTGAACATGCTACTGTTAGTACGACATCCCAGTTACGAACCACGACTCACATGTCGAAACGGGTCTGCTTGTAGTACACGCTCTCGTCGTCGTCTTCGAACACATTGGTGCTTTGTTTGAGGATATCGTCGACGGCATGTTGCAGGTCGTTTGCGATGGTCTCGGTGGACTTGAGAGTGGCATCGATACCGTCAGATAAGCTGATTGCATAGAACGATTCAAATCCCTGACAGCGAGGCAGTCAGAGATGCAGACTACACGCTGATGGACAAAGGAGATAACGGTACCTCAGCATATGCCGACAGCCCGGCGATCGTCTTGTTGGCCGGAACAGAAGCTCCAGGATCTATGATGCTCATAAAGGAGGCTGCTGGGAGTCAGGCATGCCGGACCCAAGACAAAAATGTTTCGTACAGCTCAAATACGTAGAGACGCGGAGCGCAAGAAAGTCTGATTGGGTGATAAACTTCTTGTACGCCTGCGCGTCCGGTTGCGTGTCAGTGTCGACAGAAAACGTGCTCGAAATATCGAAAGCGCACGTAGCAGGCTTCAAACCACTGCTTGATATGTTCTTGTTTCCCAAGAATCCCGTCGACCCGGCTGACCTTCTCCCCGATATCGTAGAGAGTGCGGCTCGAGTCCAAAACTTCGCGCTCGAGCTGCTGGATTTGTTGAGCGGGAGGGACGGCCATGATGTGGTCAAGTCGGAGGGGGCGGTAGTCGGGGTAAGCGACGTAGGGGGCAGTTAGGCTCGATCATCCACTTAAGCAGGGACGACGAAAGCGGATGGATGATCGAGCCTACGTACTTGCGCTCTCCGAGATCTCTCTCAGGATGGGTTACTAGCATTCGACCGGGAAGTCCGGGCGGCGGCCATCAGGGTCAATGACGACGTACATGCCCTCAAAGAGGAGCTCCTTCCGTTCGAGTCATCACGGTGAGAATGTTGTCCGCCATCGGTTTCGTGTGCTGACTTGGCGTTTCAGACCCTCCATGAACTGCAACAAGGCAGCCTCGAAACGAGCGACAAGTTCAACGGCCTGGCGTATGTTATGACGATGTTCGCGCGTTCGCTGCAGGGCATTCTGCAACTCCCAAGAAATTTCCGCCTGAAACAAGTACTCAAAAACTCACAGAGCGCACGGTGCATGAGGCAGGCACAGTGCAGATGCCAAAGCGTCGAAGGAGTGTCACCGATGATGTCTAAATATTATGCGCAAGCCAATTGATGGCCTACGCCTGGAGCTCGCGAGGCTCGGCCAACCACGAGGAGGCGGAGCCCTGCCCGAGACGGACACAGCGGTCGCGCAGGCCGCGGGGGCCGGTGGGTAGGCGTGGAGAATCGTGCGGAGAAAGCGACAACAAAGAAAGTGGGCTCGACGTACGTTGGCACTCTGGCAGGCGGGCTCCGGCATGTAGGACGTGAGCGGTTTCGACCCAAGGGGGTTGCAGCCGCCGAGGCAGAACTGTGCATGTCCCGAGGGTGTTCGATTGTGGGTTTCGCAGCAGACTGAAGAAGAGGACGTACGTTGTCGGGGCCGTAGAACCCGAACTCGCCTGCAAGAGTGGTGGTGGCATGTCGGACGGTCACTCACTGCAGCACGGAGCAGCCGTTCCACGCTGCATGGTAGCATTACTGCAAACCGCAATCAGTCAGGTAGATGCAGAACGTGAGATTGGGGGTGACGTGCCATGTCTGGTGGGCAGAGACGACAGACGGGGAAGCAATGGGACCGAGAACAACGGCAGCGGAGAGCTTGAAAGACATGGTGAGTAGAGACAGCGTTGGTGAAGAGAGTGGGAGAGATGAAGACCAGCAGTGGCCAGGTGGAAGGAGGAGAGACCGTGACGCGACCAGGGCTCGGAACTGCTTCCCCACTGCCCAGCAACCTCCCGCCGCATCGCCCACGCAACAAAAGGAGACAGGGTATATGATGCATCAAGTGGAATCGAACTCCCAGGGTCGATGGAAACGAGTTAAACGACTCAGTGTCTTTATCCAAAAACGCGTGGCGTCACGGTGACATCACGCATCTAGCACCCGTCACACAAGTCTATGGTCATAAGCGCTGGTGTGCGCCCCATACACCCCACCTCACCCCGACGAGTGCCCTCAGCGACATATCTTCGGACTCAGACTGGCCTCTACGCTTGTTTGCTTGACTATCATCGCCTTTCATGTCTCGTTCTCCGTCCCCGGGTCTCAAGCGGGCGAAGAGGACGTATGGTCGGCCCGGGACCGTGCTGGATACGACAGCTCCTTCGACGCCGCAGCTACCAGTCTCGAGGTTCGCGAGGATCCCGACACTTCATTCTCAAGTAGTGCATTTGGCGACCTTCCACCAGACTCTGATGACCGCGACGCGTCAAACGCGTCGCCCCTGCGAGAAGACGGGTCGGACGGGGAGGGTGGTGGAGGCTTCACAACGGCGCACAAGTATGAATGGCAGTCACGTCTGGAAGAAGTGGATCGTCATTTTCATAATGACGACGACATCTTTATATCGGGTTCTCCCTCTGGCAATACGCGAGCCAACGGGTACCCTCGCCTACCTTTGCTGGCCCCAAGGAAGTCACTGCGTCCGATGGCCTCTCGGGCCGTCTCCCTGCATCTCCTCACGAATCACCCCCCACTGTTGCTGTACGACAGCATGCCGAAGCTTCAAGACCTGCCATTCCCTCAGACGACATATCCCCTACGTCCTCGCCACACCATCCCATCAATACGCCCAAGACGCACTCTTCATCTTCACCACCAACATCTGCGGAGGCACCACCGGCGAAAGGCAAACGACCAGCTCGAAGTGCAATGCAGATACATTCCAGCTCCGAGGATGATGCTCCCAGCGAGGCCAAGCCCACGTATAAGACAAGACGCGCGAAGGCCGGTGGGAACAAAGAAGCTGCGAAGCGTACTAAAGTTTGTCTTGCACATTCAGTGTCTGGCAGCGTATTTACCTCGGGCATGATGTAGGCTCTTTCAAAGAAGGAACAACTGGAAATGCACAAGGCATCTGCACGAATGACCGCCGAGCAGACCACCGCCATTCCGCGTCGTCAACAGAATAAATACTCAGTGTCTCAGCTTGGACATCGGTGTGTAAGCTACATTCGTCTTGACGACTTTTCTGAGCTATATCCTTAGATTCATTCCTCCAAAAGCACCCGCGTCCGCGTTCAAAGAACACACTCGTTCTCCGCACTTACCCACCTCCGATCCCATTCAACCGTTTTCGTCGCCTACGAACACTCTAAGCGCTCTAATGGATCTCCCAGTCCCAGCCTCGCCCACTACTCCCCCTCCTCCTCAAGCGAGGCTCTCCCAGACACAGGCTGAGAAGCTCTACCAGGATCCTGGTCACCACTTGTCCGCATCTGACGACGACGACGATCTTCCCGACGCGAAGGATATTGTTGAGGCGCAACTACGCGCTAAAGATCTGCATAACTTGAAGATGGGCTGGGTTCAGCGTCAGCGTCAACAAACCCCTCCATCTGACGAAGGTGACGACGACGACCTCCTGATTGAGGATGAGCCCAGGTCTGCCATCCGAGACGCCGCTCAAGCACGCCGTCATGAGCTCGCCTTGGGCTTGTCCCCTTCCAAGGGCCGCAAACAGCAGCTCAAGCAGGCGGGACCAAGCGCTCGCAAAGGACTCATCGCTGGCGGAGACGAGAAACGCGTCTTGGCAATGCTAGCTACATCCACGTTCAAGAGCGGCAGCCTTCCTTTGGAAACGAAGAACATGACGCATCGGCAGCTGAATGAGTTTTTGGCGAAAATGATCGAGAAGGACAAGGTACAGGAGCGACGGAGAAAAGAGGAAGACCACATCCGTCGTGGGGGTCGACTCAAAGAACATGCTGAAGGAAGTACGATCAAGAACGCTTCGGAGCCTGTTCAGGCTCTGGAACAGATCAGACAGCGTGCAGCGAAGAAACGACGAGAGGTTCGCGTCATAGAAGACAGCGACGACCAAAGCGACGGTGATTATCAACCCGACACTTTGGCCACTGATGACGACGAGGGTGGTGCGGGCGAGAACGACCCTCCACGCGCGGACACCAACGAGGAGGCTGACGACGAAGAGGACGACGACGAAAACCCTTTCCTCCCCCCTCGACATCATCGGCGCACACGTGTTCCAGCGGCAAGGGTGGTGGGCTCCGACGACGAAGAGTCCGAAAACCGGCCCGTGCCCCCAACGGCCGGGAGCCGCGCTCGCAACGACTTCGTTCTCAGTAATGCGTTCGACCTCATCCCCACAGAGCCTACAACAAGTGGAAACACGGCTCCACGGGGCTCTGTCTCATCAGCCGGAGAACACACAGACGGAGCACACACCGAGGATGGGACGGACAAGGAGAACGATGCCCGACTCAGCTTCGACCGCGGAGACGACAAGGAGAACACGCGCATCGCCGTGCAGCGGTCCCTGTCGCGCCCCCGTCTCGGCCGCGGGGCCTCCTTGTTCGCGGCGGAGATCGAGGCATCTCCTTCCGGGCGAGGTACACCCTCGAGCGTGCGTTCGCCGCTCAAGGCCATCCCGACCGGGGACGACGACGTCTTTGGGCCGTTCCTTGCGCCTACCGCCGCGAACGCGGTCGGCAGCCTGCAGGGGAGCCCGATGAACCTAGATGCAGGTGCGGGTTTTCTCCTTCTTTCTCTTCGCGGAAGGGCAAGGAGCGGGCGCGAGACTTCAGCCCTACGCCGCCCGGCGGCACTCTAGACCTCGGTGGCGGTCTCGGTGGTGGGTTTGGCGGCGGCGGCGGCTTCTCCCAGTTCTTAACACAAGACGAGGTGAGTCTATGATATCACCTGAAGCCCGAACGCTGTTGACATCTGCCCAGAACGCTCGAGGTTTCGATCAGCTGAAAGCTGCTCCGGGACACGACGATTTGGAGCTCACACAGGACGACTCTCTGCAGCCTGCACTAGACGTCAGCAGCTCTCTGAAGAGGCGAGTCGAGGATGCGTTCCTGAAGGAGCAAGAACAGGTGGCCGAGCTTGGGCAGAAAGAAGCCGCTGCGCTCCAACTGCAGTCCCCTGAATGTTCGTGAACCAGAACGGGTGAGTGACGTGGTGTTCTCTCTGAGTGATCAAAAAACGACCCTTCTTCGCAGCTTCCTCACCCAGACTCGGCCCGTGGACACGAGCCCGTTACACATGAAGACCCCGTCGCAATTTGCCAAGGGCATGAAGTTCTCCTCCCTGGAAGCATCTTGGCCTCCTCGGTCAAGCGAGCCCCTCTAGGCACGCTCATGTCCCAGATCCCGGATGAGGATGAGGATGAGGAGCGACCGAGGAGACTCCGGAAGCGCGACCACTCCACGTCTCCTGTGCGCGGGAGACTAAGCCCTCCCAAGTTCAAGAACGCGTTCGACGTTCTCGGCAAACCGCCAACCAAGGGGAAGAAGCCGCTTCGCTCAAGTTCATCGAGGGAGAGGCCGAAGAGTCGGACGAAGACGTCGGATTTGGCTACTACGGCGCGAAGGGAAGGATGAGGACGACGACGATGACGACGAGGAGCTGGACCAGATTGACAAGGCGTTGGTTGATGATCGGCATATGACGGTCGACGAGGTGAACGAGGACGGGGTCTAGAGAAAGTCCGGTCAGTGGCTCCGTTGCTCACGAGGTGGCGATAGACTGCTCACTGTTCCGTGCTGCACAGTGAGCATCAGGAGTTGGACGACCAGGCGAACGAACGGCTTGCTCGGGATGCTGCCGAGGGCAAGCTCCGCACGAAGCGGCGCGATCGCGGTGTTGGTTTTGACTCCAGCGACTCTGAATATGAGAACGATGGAGGACCTCGTCGTGCGAAGAAGCGAGGAAAGACAACGACAGCATTGCCGCCCTCAGTGAGTAGCTTCGTATCCACGCTTGTCCTTGTGAACTGACCGTTCTGCAGGGAAGAGACCGGAGACGGCACCATTCGCGCAAGAATACGACGCTCAGATGGCGGACGACGACAATGAGTTTGCGTTCGTGAAGAGAGAGCATGACCTTGCCGGCTTGACGCCGCCATTGAGGAAGACGCGGAGTCTGGTGAGAAGGACGGGGGCCAGCAGTCGAACACCGTCACTGTCGCAGAGTTGGACCAGGAATTGCGCGAAGTCGCCAACAACAGCAAAGAGTTCGAAGAGTTCGATCCCAATGACCTCTCTTATCTCGAGGAGAACGACGTCGAGGACGACGGAGCGAGGGAGATGTCGCAGGAGGAGATTGAGCGGCAACGTCTGGCCACCCAGAGAAGCTCGCACGTAAGTTGTCCATTTCCCTGCGGAGTGTGTAACGGGTTGACTTGACGTGTTATCGAACAGACTGACAACATGGCTAAGTGGGCAAGCCGAGAGACCTCGTCACGCACAGCCGGCGTGGTCGGACGGAATACGGGAGGATCCGCTGCTGTCACGGGACATGCCAAATCGAAGGCCTCCGGCGGTGGCTCCTTCAAGTCCGCCTCTTCGGCCTCTGCCAGCGCGGGTCCCAAGCGGGGGATGAAGATTGGCAAGGCGCCCAGTATGCTGACCGCAACGACAACGAGCAGGCGCGCGAAGTTCAAGTCAACAGACAGACCATGACTTGCTTGATTACGCAGGGCCAGCTCATTCCCGGAATCCTCGGACTTTGGATTGGGTCACCGCTTCGGACATATCGCCCCTCTGTTCCTCTTGTGACTTCATAAGGTGTAGACTACCGCTTCCGTCATGGTGTACTCCGGTTGTTAGCAACCATGTTGATTATGCGCATTTGCGAATCTTGTGCGATCTCAGCGGCACGCGTGTGAGGCAAAAAAATCCAGGTCGTTGACAGTGCTACCCGTACGGTGCGCCATTAGCGTAGCAAACAACAGGTATTAGATCATCTCGGGGTATAGAGCGCAGCGAGAGCATCTAGTAATGAGAAATGGTGTACAGTCAATAATTTTGCTTCCCGTACGCCCGCCCGAAACGAGCCCCCCAAGAAACGAAACTGCGTGACGGCCGTGAAGGGGAGACACTGAAGGTGCGGGGCGAGCGGCGGGAGTGGGTAGCATTGCTGGTACGCCTCGAAGTCCGTGAATTATCTTGCTGCAGCTGCGGAAGCGGCAGTCAGCACCCGGGCAGGGGAACAGAGTTGTGGAGCTTGGACCGGGGAGACATGCAAAGATAGAGGGCTGCTGACCTTGTGCCTGAGCATGATGAGCTTCGCCATGCACGCTGGGGGACCGCTCTCGCGGAAGGGGGTGCCTATACGGGGCGACGTCGGGTTCAGAGACGTGGGAGGCCCACGAAGACGGGGAGAGAACGCACGGGACGCCACGACGGCAAGACCGGCTTCGTGGGCATCGAGGAACTCGTCTCCGCCAGTAATGGACGCCCAGACGGAGGGGAAGCAGAGGCAGGAGAGGAGGAGGGACGCGAGGAAGGAGAGGAGGACGAGCATGCCGGGCATCGTGCGCGACGAGCAGCGCGGCCGTCAGGCGGGCGGGCTCTCCTCTGGGGCAGACGGCGGGCGGAGGCGAGTGTGGTTCGGCGCCCGTGTCTATAGCCCCGTCCCCGGAGGGCATCATTTGTCAGCGCTCCGCCCTCCGATTGGCCCCGTCAGTGCCGGCATCGCGCAATGATTATGCGTGCGCGATGACCGGGCGCATCCAGCGTGATCATGTACTGCCCTGGAGTCTGCGCCGCAGGATACTGCATGTGTCATTGCTGGAACACACCCAAGTGCTCGGAATTTGTTCCGAAAGCACGTGAACGAGTATGCCTCTGCATGCACGAGCATTGGGTCGAGCTCCTCAGAATTTGACGACAGTTCATCGTCGGGTGTATCGGTCCCGTTCTCGGTCTCAGTTATGCGCCACGTTGTCGTCGCACCGTGAGGTGGAGGGAACCCATGCATGACTGCTTCTGGGGGAATTGATCAACGATGACAAGTGCTATACGGCGCGCTTCAATATCACCAGCTTCTCGCTCTTCTTCATCTCTAACACTTTCGTAAGCCCCGCCAGCCTCTCCGCCAGGCCTGGCCCTCGCCACCGCGCACCACGTCGAGATTGAGCCGCCACCCGTCGAACCCATCGACGGACGCGACACGTGTCCACGAGCGCGACGACGGTAGTGCATCCGCCTCCGCGATGAGGTGCGTGATGCGAGTGTCCGCAGTGAGATCGGCGAGGGAAAGACCCTCCGTCTTGTCATATGTCCAGTTCTTGTGCGCGTAGACGGAGTCCTGCACGGAGGGGAGGGACAGGTGGGGCGAGGCGTGACTCTGAAGGAAGAGGGATGCGCCGGTCTGCGCAGCTAGGTTCGAGATGTGTACATGCACTGCGCCTCACGGGTGAGCTGGGTTGCGAAGGAGGGATACGAAGGAACGCACAGTAGTCCTCGTGTTCAAAGAACTTGTTAAATGCAGACAACGCGGCGCCTCCAGGATAGTTCGCGAACGACGAGCGCGCGAGGAGGGAGGTCGCAACGCAATTCGCTGCGAGCATGCCCATGACGGCTAGAAAACAGAGGCGGCCAAAGAGGGTGCCCTTTCGTCGGCCGACTCTATGGGTGATCGTGAGCGAAGGTACCTCTCTCAATAGAGCAACTGCGAAACCTACAACCATGTCGCGCCTCGCGCGGCGGCGACATTGAAAGCGGGAACTGTGTAGATCACGAACCGCCATTCCTTGTGACCCAATCCACTGATGAGCGCCACGAAAGCAGCGTAAGGTGCCATGATGGCACGTATCCGCCTGTCTATGAGACAGGCGAAGAGTGAGAGAGGTAGTGACGATAGCAGCAGCTTTGGGAGGAAGGAGGAGACGTAGACGTGGAACGGCATGACACCCCACTCGGAGCTTTTGCCTCGAACAACGTTGAAATAAAGGCTGTAGAGTTCAGGCCATAGGGGCCACTGTTGCCAAAAGTACGAGTCGACGGCGACAGTGAGGGCTCCGGGTGAATCAGTGCAAGCGTGGTGCAAACAGGCGAGAAGACGTACCAACAGATGCTGATCCGGCGAGGAGTCCAGTCTTGATCACGTCAAGCAAAGGTAGGTACTGAAAAGCGGATTGCAACGCCACGGGTCCCACTAGCAGCAGCAACTCCGATCGGAACACAACGGTGGCGAAAGTAAGGAGCGCGAGTGCACCGCGCACGGCTCCCGGAGACGGTCGCGTAGAGTTGGGGGCTCTGTCCAGCATGAGGCACAGTGCGACGTTGACTGTGTGCGCGTTGATGCGGGAAAATAGACGCAATAAACGTTCAAGCACTCACCTGGAAGGAGCGCGAACATGTTCGGCAGCGTGCGTCCCATCCAGAACGGCAGGTGGAACTGCGTGCACGATAGCAGGGCGAACATGACCGATGTTAGCCGTCCGAATCGCCGACTGACGGCACGACGCAGTAGACAGAGACCGATCGCGTTTATAGACGCAAGGACCAGGCGCACTAAATAACGATCATGTTCATGAGAACGAGCCCTTGCAGTGGGAAAAGCAGCAAGGCCCGGCTGACAAGTACTCACGAACAACTTGCGCATCAAACTTGCCCGCAGACACGCCCATCCATTCCCCAGCGTTCAAACACAGCTGCGTTGCCCATGCCAGTACCACTGCTCCTATGAATGTCCGTGGAAGTGGTCCGGAGAATGTGAAGTGATCGTACTTGAAACAAAGACCGGAGGTCAGGACCACGGTCCAGGAGAAAAGGACGTGAGGCGCACTTTGGGGAGGTTTGTGGGCCCGACGCCATACATGAGCACATCGTGGGTCGCGTGGAGATTGAAGGACTCTTCGACCTTGGTGTAGGGCGCGAGGGAGGCGTAGGCGAAGCTAGTAAGGACGATTAGAGCGTCAAGAGTGAGGCTCATAGCGAGACGTAAGACATAGAGAAAAGACTAAGGTCTCTGGAGGATGCGCTGAGATGTCGGGTGTGAGTGTGATGCTACTGCGAGAGTGCGTAGGTATAGAGGACTCAAGTCGGAGGACGAGTGCGTTCTCGGTCACGTGGACCCTCGTGTCAGTTCGCCGATCGCGTCTATGTCGGCGCACCGCACTTTCCCCTTTGTAAGTGCCTTTGTACAACGATAACACTCCGGTAATGGTCAACCTGCGGCACTCCGTGTCTCACAAGTGATGACATCAAGGTGTGCAAGTCGGCCCTCGCTCTTGCTGCGTTCTTCGCTTCGGCGGCGGCCCACTGTGCGTCCCTCCTCCATTCTCTACTCACTCACCCCCACCTTCAGACGCCTTCCCCTCACTCGTCGTCAATGGCACAACGACCCCCGCCTGGGTCAACGTTCGCCAGACAAACAACTTTAACAACCAGGCGCCCGTCACCGCGATGTCACCCTCGACTTCCGCTGCTGCTACGACTCCGAGACGAACCCGACGCGGGATCGCGTGAAGGAAATCGAATAGGTCCGCGTTCATGCACTCGACTAACGTAGTAGTCTCAGCAAGTCCCTGAACTGAATTACACCCCTGATGCGTCAATGCGAAACACACGAGCCTGGTATTATGGGACAAGAAGGAGAGTATGTGACAAAAACGAGTGTGGGTCTAACATTATAGACAGGTAATGTAAAGCATATACTTGTGAGACAGGTGGAGCAGTGTGCGCGTAAAATCACTTTTGAGGAAGATCACCATACAGTGCAAACGTTCCCCGAGAACGAGCGGTCCGCATCTCACAAGGAAGTAGCGGCCTTGAAAGCGCGCCATGCCGTGTGCAAAAGCAGCACAAAGGACTGACCCTCGGGACTGTAGACGCCAGGGGGAGAGGGGGTGCTGAACGACTCAGGGTCGACGGTGTTGAGCAGCCAGCCATCATCCGTCAAGCTAGCCTTGATCAGATCAAAGGCGCGGTTGGCGGCAGGGATGTGGGTAAGGTCGCCAGTGATCGTCGCGTAACGGTAGGAAGAAGCCGCGAGGAGGGCAGTGCTCGAAGTGTCGCCAAACGAGGTGGCCGGTTGATCGAGGTAGTTGAGCAGCGTGCCGTTGGATTGCTGTGCAAGCGGTTTATCGTTAGCCGTGCGCCTAAGTACGCTAGTCGCTGCACCGACTAACCTGGAGCGCCCAAACACTGGTCAAAATCTCGTTGACCCAGGAGGTCAAGTCAACCTGCTCTTGGGTGAGACTGGAGGAGAACTCCGAGCGAGCAAGAGTCTCGAGGACGCGGAGCATCCCAGCCGCGGCCCATGCGTTGCCTACACGGTCACAATGTAATCATTTAGAGTGAACTTGAAACGTACACGACACTTGACTTACCGGTGCCCCAGTGGTTCTTGTCCGACCAACTACCCAAGGTGATGTGCCTCCAGAGCGTACCGTTATCTTGAAGGTACTTGCGGTAAAGCTTGCACTGAGTGTACGATTCTTTGAGCAATGAGAGACCCTCATCGCCGCCCTGGAGAGCACCGTAGTAGGCGATGAAAGGAGGAGCCATGTACACGAAATCCGCCCTGATGGCGTGTCATTTTTAGACTCAGGCAGAAACATCGAGAATAGTCACCAAAGCTGGACCTGCTCAGCACGATGAGAGATGGCACCGTCATCCGTGTGGGGAGCGACGTTCAGCAGGTAGTTGAGTTGGTTTGCGGCGGCAAGGAGAACGATTCGTCGCTGGTATTGGTGCGCGTCCAGTTAGCGAGAAGAACGGCTTGACCAATGCCTGAGAAATTGTGAGTCTGGCAACGTGCGCACGTACGACTATCTGACATACTCGCTGGGTCGCCGACGGCACCATCACCGTCGATAAGGGGACCATCGCCCGTAATGTTCGCCACGATGCTGAGGAAAGCAAAGAGTAAGTACCACTACTCGCGGGTCAGATCGAAGACTACTCACGCAGCTGCGTAGTCGATCACATCGGCGGCCTCACCAGATTTGAGCGTGGTGGGAGGGGGGAGAGTGCCCTCGAAGACGGCCAAGGACGGCCATTCGAGTTCAGTCAACGTCTCCAGCTCAGTGCCGATCTCCCAGCTTCTCGCGTAAAAATGATCAGCGGAAGTGACTGCGAAGATTACCGAAGAACGCACCTGTGAGTGGCGATGACTCGCAGGTTGGCCTTGACTTTGGCAATCATGGCATCATCTAGGCCGGTCGGTTCAGCCGGTGCGGAGAAAACAGCAGGAAGTGCGCAGAGCGCGAAAAAGAGAGAGCGAGAAGAACGCATAGTGCAAAGACCGGCGGGAATGGTGTTAGACCGAGGCGAAAGGGAAGCCAGCGGAGGGCCAGGGATGTGCATGAGGACCTTTTATACCTAGTACCAGACGTGCTATCGCCGTGGTGACCGTGCAACGGTCATTCCAACGTACCTGAAACATTTCACCCAAGCACAACAAGCGACTATAGCTTCAAGTGAGATCAATACCGCGAGGCGGATGCTGATTGGGCGCTCGGCGTCATGCCGCTGAGGGCTCATCAAATGAGGTTAAACCCTTCGACTCTGCTGAGTATTCCTGTGGAATACCCGGCGGATATCATTCAGCATACGACAATCATTGATGGCAACCCCGAGGGCACACTGGAACTTGGAAGTGACAAGCTGCTGATGGTCTCAGTCAGGAGGTCGCCGGTATCCAGACACGGGTACATACCCCTCCCACGTTGCAGCCAAGATGTTCGAACTCTGCCCAGGCCCGAGGCCGAGGGGTCCAAAGTGCCCAAGTTCGCCCTGATGTGGAGCGCGATGACTACTGGCGATAGGAGCTCTGCCATACCTGTGCAATGAACGCGTAAGATCTATTCTTGACGCCTTCCAGGGGACACCCCCATGCGGTTGCCCATGGCGGTCACGCCGCCGTCTCGACGCTTGTTCACCTCCTGCGGATCACTCTGCCACCACACGTCAATGGCTCTGTCATGCTCCAATGCCCAATGCGATCTGTGCCGCGGCCCGCGTAGTCAGCTACAACACACCTGTCGCCTTCCATGACGATGCTCACCATCGCGGCGGCCTCATCCTGGAGCATGGACGTCTGCCACTCCGACATTCACTGTGCTATTGACACAACAGGAGGCGTGGAAGAGGCGACCCCGTGGCAACGACGGGCCCGAGGAGGATGACACCTCCCAAAAGGACGTAGATGCATGCTGCACTCTTTTTTGAATCCCCGTTCATTGCCCTTGAGCATGACCTACATACATATGTAGCTTATGTAATAAAATTACATAGACGTGGGTGGAAGTCGACTGCGCAGATGCCCTCAGTCCTTGGTCCGAATTTCGAAAGCGGGAGTACGAGAACTTGCCGGCGGGGGAGCCGGCGTGCCAGTGAGCATACTTATGTAGAATGGACTCGAAAGTGGTATGAGTGGCCGAAACTGGTAGAGTAGTGGTATGGTAATGCATAGTAAGAGCTGGGACGAAGACAGCAAGGGAGGAGAAATAAGAAAAGAGAAAAGAGACCGTGACACGTAGTATGCGGTGAGGATCTCCGGCGCGGGGGCCGTACAAAGCAACGAGCCAAAAATTCCATACCTTTATCCGTTTCCTGAGCTCCTCCTGGGTGGGACGATCCCTCGAGCGGTGCCTATCTTCGTGCTCACGCAGCTGGGCCATCTCTTCGCGGGGCACGCTTTAGCCACATGCGGGGGTCATGTCGGCGGATACTGCAATGCTGTGCGTTGGAGCGACTGCGTCGGTCACCTTGCTCGACATTGTCCGAAGGCGTGTGCGTTCTTTGTGCATTTGCCACGCGTATTGGGGAACAATCTAAGACCTTCGTTTCGGGGAAAGGGACCGTCCGAAAGTGTTCATAACGTTTCGGGCAGTTTCAGCAGGGTTGGTGTATGTTTCGATTGAAGGTTTGGTAGGATATGACATCATATTGCTACATATGGTACACGCTGACTCATCCATATTGCTCCCCCATCCGCGCTCGCAGTGTGCCTCCAGCCCGAACCAGTGGCCACGAACTTCGCTGCTCGTTGTTGCGACCTCCGCACTGCCATAAATCTGGCAGCATTACCCTTCGACCGGCGGTGCCACAATCTGCGCATTGGGAGGACATAGTTGGAAGGATACTCATCTGGGTGTGCAACTCCTGCACGCGTAATAGATTTTGGTGTGGTTGAGTAGAACATCGCTGCGAATGGAGACGGTCGTGGAGTCAGGACGCAGTGGCAGCGCCCTCCCAAGTCCGCGTCTATGCAAGTAGCCAAATACGGCACAACAGCCGCTTCCGCCACAGCAAACTCAGTGGTTGTGCGTCGGACTCATTCCTCCCCTCCCCCTCCCCTACTCGCCATGGACGTGCTGGAGACGGCGCAACAGTGTCTGGAGAAGTGGGAAAATGGTGGCGACGTGGAATGGTGCGCATAAGGTACTCTATGTCTTCTCTCGTTCGCTGACCGCCGCTGCAGTCGCAACCTACTATCCGCATCTCACTCAAACCCCTACGACCCCGACTGCAATGCAGTCCTCACGACGGTGTACCAAGCCCTTCTATCCTCCACTCTGACTTCTTTCTCTGCCAAGAAGACCATCTCTGTGGACTCCGTGATTTCCTTCATTCGTTCCGTTCTGGAACACCTCCCCTCCTCGTCTACCGGTAAGGACAAGAACCCCAGCATTGCTGCCATTGGAGATGTCCTGGTGGATATCATATGGTCCATTGACGGGGAGCTGGAGGAGATCCTATTGGACGCGAAGAACATGGCTACCGCTGCGGACCAGGACACGCTCTCTCCCACCACTGTCGCTCAAGCCGTCACTTCCAAGGAAAATGCAGAGTCTGACAAGGCAACGTTGGTATCACTACTCCGAAGGTTTCTGGTGAGTGGCTTACGGCGTGTTCAAGTCCGACCACCCTGTTGAGCCACACAACAGGTCATTGGTGTTGTCGACCCCAATATTTGCCGCGAGCGGCTAGACATCAATTTGGTTGCCACCGCAGGGCTGATACTCGACAAACTCTCTTTTGAGCGCAAAGAGATTCGGATGCGCACGGCTCTTTTGTGAGTGTCGCCACTGAGTACGCCACCGTTGTGCGCCTAACACTTGAACAGCTACAAACAGAACAAGTTCAACCTGCTCCGTGAGCAATCCGAGGGCTACAGCAAGCTAACTGCCGAGCTCACGGGTAGCTTGGGCCCCGCGCATAATCCTTCTACTGGGTATCCTGTGGAGACCGCTGCTGGGATCGAAGGCCGTGCTCGTCCAGCATGGGAGCGGGCTCTGAGCCTCATTGGGTACTTCGATCTTGACCCTAATCGCGCGCTCGACATCATCCTCGACGTGTTTTCTGTCCATCTTGCAACGCACCACTCATTCTTCTTGGCCCTGTTATCCTTCTCCCCCTGGGGAGGCCAAACGCGGCAAGGCGTCAAGCAAGAGGAAATGGCTGTCGAGCCAGATGTTACACAGTACAGGGGAAAGACGCTTGACGAGATTATCTCGATTGCCGAGCAACAAGCCGCCGCTCCTATCATCGCCACGAACAGCAGCAATGCTCGCGTGCTAGCGCAGGTATTGGGATTCAAGTTCACCTACTATCAGGTGCGTGCTCTCCTGCCTCCCTTGGACTGAATCTTACTGTAGTGAAGTCCCCGGATGTCTTGGAAACAACTCCTCGCAACTTGTACCTAATGGCGGCCGTACTAATCCGCGAAGGGTTCTTGACGCTGGAAGACCTATACCTTCATGTAAGCTTGTTCGTGCCTCACAGGCGGGGAAACGCTGATGTGTTGCAGATTGGTCCCCTGGACGAGAATATGGTTGAACTGCACAAGGCGTACTTGGCCAATGTCGATGCTCGAATCGCAGGCGCTAAAATCAGTCAGCTTGCAATGGCTGCGCCATTGGAGTCTGGTGGGTCATCCAGCGGAAAGCCAAAGCCCGCACCCGAGCCGAAGAAGGAGGAGAAGGTGGAGGAGACTCCCAACCAGAAGCTCGGACTTGTTCACGCACTACTCTCCGTTGGCGTTCTACGGCCGGCCATCTCCATACTGTCCAAGTTCCCTTGGATGGTAGACGCGTACCCTGAGCTCGCGGACTTGATGCTGCGAGTTGTGCACCACTCTTTTGGTCCGCTGTACGAAACGGCTGTCGAGCTAGTGTCTCCGAGTGCCGCCAATAAGACGAAGCTTGCTTCGTTTGCGACGCCTCGTGCACGGTATGGCTCGGCGGGAGTTGTCCCCGTTCCTGAGCGAAAGCCTCAGCTTTCCCTCGTGGCCCCGACACCTCCCGTCACTAGTACCACTGAGTTTGTGTTCTTCTACCCGGACTGGACCTCGCGCGTTCCCATGTGCTCGTCTTACGACGATCTTATGGACGTTGTTGAGCCGCTGATGCGATTCATCGGACTGCACATCTCCCGAGACCCTACCTTCCTCACCAAGTTCGCACGGATCGGACGTCAACACATCTCTACAGTCGTGAGTAATGCTCGTTGTATGCGCGGCGTCATATCTCACATTACCGCTTCAGTGCGAAGTCGATCCCGCTACAAAGAAGCAGATCGGCCTCCCAAACCCGGAACATCCTGTCATGCGGTTCTGGCTCAAAGTCATCCGACTCTACTTCTTGCCCTCACTCCCGCTCATCCGTGGCAATGCAGTGTGCACTGTCGACGTGTGGAGTATTGTCAGGCAGTATGAGACGACAACTCGATGGCAGCTATATGGGGAGTGGAAGTCCAGCGTCTACAAGTCGCACCCGGAGCTTCGAATTCGTCAGGTCCAAGCGGATCGTGAAGCGAAGGGGATCATGCGCCGACTTTCTCACAACACGGTTGGGACTCTTGCAGGCGCCGTCGCCAAACTCGCGAACTCCAACCCCTGCATCTTCTTCACGAATGCTGTCAACCAAGTCATGGCTTACGACAATTTGGCCGGTGTTGTGCTCCTGTCTCTGAACTTCGTCACCATCATGGGCTTTGATGTCTTGGTCTATGTCATCCTCGACGCGCTTTCCAATCCCCACAAGGAACGTGTCAAGGACGACGGCGTTAACACGTCGGATTGGCTATTGAGTAAGTAATCTGTTATCTGTTCTCGTCACACGCTCATGCTCGTTGTAGGTCTTGCATCCTTCACTGGCATGCTCTATCGTCGGTACAGCGCGGACCTGACGCCCATCCTGAGCTACATCGTCCACCAGCTCAACAACAGGCAAACCACGGAGATCATCGTCTTTAGGGAGCTCATCTGGAAGATGGCGAGCATTGAACCACTCCCCAGCCTCTCCGACTCCCAGGTCGCAGCTATGGCCGGTGGTCCTACGTTGCGCATCGAGGCTGTCGCGTCCGCGGCCCGTGGTGCCCGCCAGGACATCAATGACACTGTCGGGAAGGCACACGCTCGTTTTGGCTTCTCCCTGATCAACTCAAAGCTTGCACTACCGCTCCTCATTCAAGTCGCCCAGCAGCGGCAGTCATGTGTCTTTCAAGCGCCGGATGCACACCTCAAGTCTCTTGCCAGCCTATTCGACATGGTTTGTCCTTTCATCGGGCTGTTTTGTACACGTTTTCACCCGTGATACAGACACATGGGGTTCTCTTGCAATACTTGGAACTTCTCACCACCCCTACCGTGATCCCTGCCGAAGACTACGCCAACAAGATAGTCCCTCCGCTGGCCGAGCTCCATGAGAAGTACGGGATCTGTGCAGCGATCTGCATGCAAATTTACCGCCCCATTCTCAACAACACGCTGCTTGTACGTCTCTCATATAATCAGCACGGAAAGCCCGGACCTCACGCGCACAATATAGGCCGCTGCCCTGCAGTTCGAAGAACAGGAGCGCATCGCGAGCGAGGAGGCGGAGAAGCGTCTCAAGGCTGCGCTCACTGCGAAACGTGAGCCTAACCCGACCGCGTCTCGCGTGGCCTCGCCCAATCCCGGGGCAGAGGGCGCTGCCAATGCAGACACTGCCAACGAGGGGAAGGCTTCTTCCGAGTCCAAGCCTCCTGCCGAAGCGAAGCCCACAGTGTCCGAATCTCCGTCTGGCGATGTTGTCATGGAGGTGGCCGATCCTAAGCCTCCTTCCGCTCCTGAGGTCTGTGGATCCCCTCACCATCGCCTCGGTCGAGTAACTGACCTATCCGCGCAGAGTCCATGGCTACCAGAGCTGATTCCTCTTCTTGACGACGTTAAGAAGCTCATCCCGCCGACCGTTTGCGACGTTATTGGGTAAGTTGTTCCCCTCTGGATTCGTAAGATGCCATTGACCGGTACTTCAGTGCACCGTTTTACTTGACCTTCTGGCAGCTGTCTACCTACGATCTCACCCCGCCCACCACGAGGTACGACGAGGAATACGGCTCGCTCAAGGCACTGCTTCATCAAGAAGATTCTCTGGCCAATTCGGCTGCGCGTTCCCCAGACAGAGCAAAACGCATGACCGCTGGCCTGCACAGGGAGAAGCACAGGCGCATCGATATCATCATGAGCACCCTCCGTCGAGAGCTCAAGCAGCAGACCGCCTCGAGAAAGTTCACTCTCAAACGACTGGCGCGAGAGAAACAGCACTGGTTTGCTCACAGTATGTCGGACCGATTTTATGACCAGTACGCGCGACTGACTCGCAGTCCAAAGATCCCCCCCGGCCAACACTCGCGTCGTACATGATCGAACACTGTATCCTTCCTAGATGCTTGCTCTCCCCCATGGACGCGGACTTCTGTGCCCAATTCATCAAAGTGATGCATCTCCAAGGCACCCCGGGATTCTCCACCGTCATGTGCTACGATAAAATCTTGAGTGACAACGTGAAGGTTGTTCTCTTCTCCTGTAGCGAATATGAAGCCCGCAATTATGGTATAGCCATTTCTTCTCCCATGTTTATGGCCTCTGATCACTTTTCCCTAGGACGCTTCCTGCTTGGTATCTTGGGTGACCTCTACAAGTGGTTCCAGAACAAGGAACTTTTCCGTCAAGAGAACCATTTCAAGACTGGTGGCAATACAACCCCCTTGCCGGGCTTCCAAAATCGCAACACGTTGATGGGGTGGAACGACTTCCAGCAGATCCTACGGAAATGGCACAAACGAGTCGCCAAGGTATTCCATCTGTCTTCCGAGGGATGCACATCTCATACTCACACATCCGTATTCCAGTGTTTGGAGGACTCAATCAAGTCCGGCGAATTCATGCATGTGTACAACACGATCATCCTCTTGAAAGAGATACTCCCTGTGTTCCCTGTGGCCGCAATCCACGATATCAGCGGACTTTGGGTCAGTTCTGCGATCGAGAAGCTGCTGGAGAACGAGACTCGTGGTGACCTGAAGATTCTCGCTCGCGCGTAAGCAGCTTGTGGCCTTGAGTGTTGGTATTTGGTGACTGATCAGTTCTTCTAGGTACCACGCAAGCTTGAAGAAGCGTGAGTCAATATGGGCACCTCCTGTACGTCCCAAGCCCAAGGTGCGTGATACATATACGAGGCCAAAGCGACGCACTCTGAGTTTGGCCCAATAGCCCCCAGCTCCTGCAGTCCAGCCGGACCGGTCTCGGGTGGGTACCCCTACGGCTTCTGGTGCTGCCGTTCCGCCTGCCGCGGACACCCGGCGGCCTGCTCCTCCCTCGGTGGCCCCGTCGGCGCCCAAGTCTCACGCGAACAGCGCGTCCACAACCTCACCTGCTCCCATAGAGCGCAATGGAACACCAAACAACACCAAGTCGGCCATGGAGAGGTGCGTGAACAGCCGAGCCCCTCCAATTGTCTCTAAATCATGCTATGAAGTGTACCACGGCCTGAGGTCGTCAAGAGGGTGCGTCCTGAAGCACGACCGACGGAGAACGGCAAGCCCGCAGTCGAGGTCAAGAACGATGTGATGGACATTGACCAGCCTTCAACTCGCGACATGCCGTCCAAGGTGGCATCTCCCATCCCTACATCCCTCAGCCAAGAGTTGCGCAGCTCCCGACCGCCTACCCCCAATCAAGCATCGGCGGCGCGCTCGAACCCGTCCAAGCCGATGCCAGGCTCTCCCCGAGTACCGCACGGCATCCCCCCTCGCCCAGATCTGCAGCAGCACATGCCGCCCCCTTCCGAGCCGAGCCAAACCGCCTCTGCGCAGGAGCTCCGTGAGACTGCCAAGCACTCGAGGACCACCAACGGCGACAAGAGCGACGTCCACCCTCCCACGGAACCGCGCTCCCAAGCAGCCGCTGCGCCCTCGCCCGCCCGCCGCCGCTCCCCGTCGCCGCCGAGCCGTCCGGGAACACGCAACCCGAGCACGGAGTCGCGTGCGAGCGGAGACCGCCGGCTCACACGGGACAAGCCCGACGAGAAGCGGCCCGAGCGCGACCCGGCGCGGCGCGGCGACCGCCGTGCGGCGCGCGAAGAACGGGACAAGGACGGCGACCGCGATCGGGATGCGCGGCGCGACCGCCACGGGGACCGCGAGCGGCGCGACCGCGACAGGGACCGCGAACGCGAGCGCGAGCGGGACAAGGAGCGCGAGCGCGAGCGGGGGGACCGGCACGGGCACCGAGAGCGCGACGGGGAGCGGAGCGACAGGGAGCGGGACCGGCACCGGCGCGAGGACAGGTCGGACAAGGAGCGCGAACGGGAGAGCCGCAAGGAGCGCGAGGCGGCGGGTCGGGGCTCGTCCGCGGGACCGCCGCCGCCGCCGCCGTTGCGGCCAGCAGCGTCCCGGCGGACGAGCGCGGCTGCCCAGCAGGCCAGACACGGGCCGGCACCGCGCCGACGACACGCTCGGGAAACGGAGGAGGGGGGGAGACGACGAGGTGAGCGGTTTCGCGTGCGGGTGCCGCCAGTGCATGCTTATGCTGAGAAGCCGGACCGGCCTTCAAAGCGGTCGTCGCGGAAGGAGAGCCACCACGAAGACCGGAGCCGCCGCTCGTCGGAGAAGGACGGCCACGACCGCAGCGGGCGCGACGGCGACCGCCGGCGGAAGGACCGGGACGGCGACGGCGACGGCAAGGGCCTCTCGATCGACACCAAGGTAAAGTCGCCCCGCGATGCGTAGGGGCCCGAGACTCACGCGACGCGCCGCAGCTCGGCGAGAAGCGCATCCCCGACGGGCCTGCGTCCGCGAAGACCCTCCCGCCCTCGACGCCCTCCGCGCCGCGCGCGATGGCCGGGGACGCGCGCAAGCCCCCGACGGGCGCGACCGCGACCGCGACCGGGAGCGCGACGGCTGGAAGCGCGGGGAGCCCCCGCACGTCGTCTCTGGACGGCGTCCGGCTCGCAGGCGGAGCCCAGCGGCGGGAGCCTGCGCGCGCGGCTCGGGCTCCAGCCGGATGGCGGCGGCGGCGGCGGCGGGAGGAAGGCGGACGACGAGCGCGGGTCGGACGGCGGGCGGAAGCGCACGCTCGCGGACCGCGACGGGGACGGGGGCGGGGGCGGGGGCGCAGGGGAGCCCGCGGCGCAGGCCCCGAAGCGGCCGAAGATCATCCGGGACCGGTATCTGGCGAAGGCGTTGCCGTCGATGGACGGGGAGAAGGCGAGGGCGCGGAGGGACTGAGGACCGGGTGGATTGTGCTGGTGTGGCTGCGGTAGTTGCTGGATCGCTCTCCGTGCTGTGACCTGTCTGTTGTTGTTACTGTACCACTGATCTGCGCGAGATGTCCTCGCTCACTATTGCATTACAAAGTTGTGCTCGTCGGCGATGTTTGGCGTGGTTGACAAGTGTCACGCCTGAATTCTCCGAAAGCCGTAAGGACTTTCGTAGGCCCTTAGGGGCAGCGGTACTATAGGTATGGTACAAGTACGTGGGCCGTACAAGTTGAATTGCGTTAGGACGGTATCGATGTTGGAATCGAGCGGTGAGTGCGTGCGAGTAGAGTACAATGTTGAAATGCGGAGAGACCATGCGAGTTGAATCGAGAGCGCGGAGAATATGCAAGATGATGGCCGACACTACCGTCTGATGAGGGTGAGGAACTCCTCGCGGGTCTTTTGCTGCGTGCGGAAGCAGCCGAGCATGCAGGACGTGACGGTGACCGCGCCCGGTTTCTGCACGCCGCGCATGGTCATGCACATGTGCCTAGACGGGAATGAGAGGAGAGTGAGCGAGGATGCAAGCGAGGAGCGCGAGTCGTGCGAGGAGGGACTGACGTCGCTTCCATTACGACGGCGACGCCGCGGGGGTGGATGGCCTCCTGGACGGCGAGGGCGACCTGCTTGGTGAGGCGCTCCTGGACTTGGAGCCGGCGACCAAACGTCTCGGCTATCCGCGCGAGCTTCGAGAGGCCGAGGACGAGCTTGTTTGGGATGTAGGCTATCGCAATCTGTACTTTCACGGTGAGCGCGTTCCCTTGTCGTGCACGAGCGGGCTCGGGCGGCGGCGGCGACGGCGGGCGCGAGGCGCGAGGCGCAAGGTGGCGAGGAGGGAGGCAGAGGGGGGAACGCGTGCGCACCTTGCCGGTGAAAGGCACGAGGTGATGCTCGCAGAGACTGGAGACGTCGATGTCGCGCACGAGCACCATCTCGTCGTGGTCCTCCTCGAAGACGGCGTCGTTGATGATGTCTGTGCGCGGCAGGCAGGTCAGCGTCCGGGGAACGGGCGGCGGAGGACGGGACGGGGACGCACCCGCGAGCCGCTCCTCGTACCCGCGCGTCATCCAGAGGAGGGCCTTCGCGTAGCGATCCGGGGTCTTGAGGAGGCCTTCTCTGTCCGGATCTTCGCCAATGCACTCGAGGATGGTGCGGACGGCGGCGGACATCTTCTTCTCGCGCTCGGCCCGCTCTTCTGCGGTCGCATTAAGGCGGAGATGGGTGGACTTCGCTTGGCGGGCAAACGGATCGTCAGTCCCACATGGCGTCGCTCCGTGCGCGCGGGCGGGGGCGGAACGCGCGGGAGAACGAAGCGGGCGGGGGAGCAGACGCACCAGGCCATCCGAGTCCGTTCGAGTCAACGAGGGGGGTGCTGCCGCGGACGACCGCCTTGGAGGTGTAGAGCGGGGTGGAGATGCCGGACGGACGGAATCCGTAGCCTTCGCGCCTCAGCTGCTGGCTCGGATGGGGCTGGGTGGAGGAGCCAGCGGGGGAGTGCGGGGGCTCGGGGTCGTGGCCGTTGAGTGCGGGGTGGTCCTCCTCCTCAGGGATGACGTCGCGAGCGTCCTGGGCGACCTTGAGCCTTTCCAGACTCTCGGAGAGGTGGTTCTGGCTGGCGGGGTCGTCGAGGGACATGGGGCGAGGTCGGGGGCGGAGGCGGAGGAAGGGCGCGCTGCATTGCTCGAGGCGGGTGGCCCGACGCAAAACTTAGGCACGTGCAGGCCGCGAGCGCCGGGCCGGCCTCGACGTCGAGCTCGCCCGCCGCTCAGGCTGGGCCACGCTCCGTTCCTCGCGACGACCCGCGCTGTGTACGGCAGGCGTGGCGCGCACTGCGGCGAGTGGACATTGACCTTCGCGCGCTGATCCGCGCCCGTGCGGGGGAGATTGGGGCGAGACAGGGCGCGCCTGGGGCAGGCCACCGGGGGCTGGATAAGGAAGGCGCAAAGGGTGAGGCAGGGATCAGCCCGCCAGCCGAGGACGTCCCAGCCGGTGCTGAGCGCGGCGCGGGCCTTGGCCGGGCGATCTGGCGTGCGAGATGAGGGTGTCCGGGCGGGGTGCGCAGGCGGAGGGAGGAGGATGGAGCAGGAGCGAGCCAGCGCGCGGTCCTCGAGCGGTGCGTTCTACGAGCCGTTACCAAACAGTCTCACCGGCTTCCGGCTCGCGCTTCCCATCTCCGTCTGCGAGCAGAGAGCGCCGAGGATCGAATCCCGGCCAAAGACAATAACGCGACCGCTCCATCCCGCCCTTATATCCCCCGTCCCAGCCCCGTCCCCGCCGCTGCCCGGTCAGCATGCCTCCCCCTCCCCCCTCCCTCTTCGCCCACGTCCTCCGCGGCGCAGGCTCCTTCGTCCGCACCCTCCCCGGCTGCCACGCCCCCACCGCCCCCGATGCCCCCCAGCCGCCCAAGCCCTCGCCCGCGAACCCCGAGCGCCACAGACAGCCCGCTGCGCACCCACAGCCGGACCTCTTCCAGCTCTGGCTCGCGTCCCGGCGGGCTCCCAACGAGCCGCTCTCGCCCGGCGCCCACCGTTCTTTCTCTTCTCAGAACATTACCTTAGCATCTACCCTAGTCCGCACCTGCTCCGCCGAGATCCTGTCCCAGCTGTGGAACATGCACCCTTACCGGATATCCCTCATGATTTCTCTAGACTTCCTCCGCGGAATCCTCCCCGCCTACCGAGGCTATTCTCAAGCCCTCATGGTCGACGAGGCACGCAGCCTTCCTGCTCTTCCCCGCTCCACCATCGTTCCTGACGCCTGTCTTCTAGCTCCAAAAACTTATCCTATCAGGCGAATTCACCCTCGCTCCTATAATTTACCAGGTTTCTTCCGAACTAATCCGCATGGCCGGGGACAGCGCGCTCGACTTCTTTGCGTACGTGCCTTGCGCTACCAAACACACGCGTAGGCTGACCTCCGTTCCCGCATAGCACATCTAACGAGAACATCGTGCATGACGCTGCGCGGTTCTTGGTCGAACGCCGGCAGATGGAGCAGCGGCTGCGGCTCGACATCCCGACGCTCGCCGACCCCCACGTCCGCGACCTGCTCCAGGAGTCCGACATGTTCGTCCGCTCTTTCAACGGCCTCTCCGCCTTTGGCCTCTTCTCTCCCTTCGACTTCCTCCGCCTTCTCACACTCATTTCGGAGCTCTCCACCCACCTCTGGGTCCTCTGCTCGCTCACTTTCGGAGGCCGCACCCCTTACCACGTCATCATGCTCTCGCTTGCGCTTTCTGCGCTCCCCACCATTCTCTCCTGGTTTAGCGGTCAGAGCCGTTACTGGGACTGTCCCGTGTCCCAGCGGGAAGTAAAGCTCGCCGCCAAACAGGAGGCGATGCGGCGCCTGGCCCACAGCGACTCGTACCGGCCTGAGGTCCTGCTCTTCGACCTGGGCCCCTGGATTCTCGACGCCTGGTCACGTTCCCGCAGGACGCTCATGAATCTCGAGCGTCGCAAGACAGGCACCCACGGAGACTGGTCTTCCCGCATCGCGTCCCAATTTTACTTGTCAGGTATGCTCTCGGCCATTAACAATGTGAGTTCCACATGCCTCCGTCCGTCCCGGAGTCCACTCACGCTTGTCACGTTTTAACGACGCAGGTGCCGCTACTATTAGTGCTCCATTCGACTTCAACTTCCATCGGTTCCTTCACGTTGTATCGCTCGACGCTCCAGTCCCTCTTCGTCGCCACGGAGGCCCTTCTCTACACCCTTCGCATGGCCTTTCAAGGCATCTTCCTCATGGGCGCGTTTTGTGCGGCCTCGACGCTCAAACCCCGTCTACAACCCGAGGCCAAGATGCACCTGCCTTATCACCCCTCCGGCCGGGGCATGTCGATAGACGTCAGGTGCGTATAGCCCAACTCCCCCGAGCCTACCGCCGCACCGCCCGCACCTGTGCGATTCTTGTGGCTAATTCTCCTCTGCTTTGTCAGAAACCTGTCGTACACCTACCCGGGGTGCCCGCAACCCGCGCTGCGAAACGTGAGCCTCTCCATCGCCGCCGGCGAGACCGTCGCCATCGTTGGCTACAACGGCTCGGGTACGCACACCCTCCCCGCCCCAGGCCTCGAACGCTAACCACGCCCCTCTCCCCGCCCCGCAGGCAAAACCACGCTCGCCCACGTCCTCCTCCGCCTCTTCGACTTCGACGACCCCCCGCGCCCGCCGCCCCGCCGCGCCCCCGCCGCTGCGCCTGAACGGCCGCGACGCGCGCCGGCTCGCGCCCGCGGACGTGCACGCGCGCGCGTCCGCCGTCTTCCAGGGCTTCGCGCGCTTCCCCGGCGCGTCCGTGCGCGCGAACGTCGGCGTCGGCTTCGTGCCCGCGATGCGCGCGCCCGGCGCCGTCGACGCCGCGCTCGCGCTCGCCGGCGCGCGCGAGCTCGTCGCCCGCCTCCCCGCGGGCACGAAGACGCGCCTCGAGGGCGACGGCGGGCTCGGCGCGTGCGCGGGCGCGGACGCGTTCGGTTGCGGCGGGGGCGTCCATGGGCTTTCGGGTGGAGAGGTGGGCGTGTTCGGCGGTCCCAGGCTGTACCGGGGCAAGTGTGCTGACATCGGTTTTCTCCTCCCCTGCAGTGGCAGCGCATCGCGATCTCGCGCGCGTTCATGCGCGCCCGGAGGCCCGAGGTCGAGCTCCTCGTGTTCGACGAGCCCGTGAGTCCTCGAGTCCCGCCCCGCCCGCCCGTGCGATCGCCGTGACTGAAGCGGCCCCGCCGACAGACGTCCTCGCTCGACGCGCACGCGCAGAAGCACGTCTTCGACGCGATCGACGCGATCGCGCGCGGGCCCGACGGCGCGCGCACCAAGACCGTCGTCTTCATCACGCACCGGCTCGCCACCGCCCGCCGGGCGGACAAGATCGCGATGATGGAAGGCGGGGTGCGTTCCGTTCCGTGCTCTCCGCTCCACCTCGTCGCTCGCTCACCGGTGTGGTATGTCGACAGACGATCATCGAGTACGGCACGCACGAAGAGCTCCTCGCGCGCGACGGGCGGTACGCTGAGCTCTACAGGGCCGCGGTCTAGATTCTGGCGGATGGTACTTTGCTACAGGTTTCTGGTGCGCTTCTTGCTCGTACAGGTTCGTGCGTGCGTATGGACACAACGTAGAGGGCATGGAGGTCGGGGGCATCGGACTCAGGGCCGTGGCTGAAGCAAGGTGCCAGGGATACATGGATGGACGGATAGGCTGAGGGACGGCTTGACTCGGATATGTAAGAAAAGTAGAGTAACTAAGTGTTGTACGTATATGACCGTGTACATAATGCCAAGATGGCACTACCTGTAATGCAGATGGAGCGGGGCGGGGCGGAAGTATGGCGTAGCATGCATGGATCTCGAAAATACCGATAATAATATTGTGTGTGCATAGTCATGTTGTACGTCGCCAGGAGGTCACAGTCCCTGGAAGCCGCGTTGCCTGGGGTTGAAGTACGTGAGCACGCCGTCGTGCAGCGCGGCGTCGAGCCCGCTCGCCTCGGCACCCGTCGACGTCGGGAGGCGCTCGATGTCCTCCCGGACGCCGAACGTGCCGACGAGCAGCCCGAAGTCCTTGACACCCTGGATGAGCGACGGTGTGCGCGCCTGGTGCGGTCGTTGGGGCGGGGAAAGAGCGAGGCGCGAATGGAAGGAGGGAGCGTAGAAACGTCGTTAGCGTGAAACGTTCCCGCGCGGTCGGGCCGAAGGCGGGCGGACGCACCAGGAAGCTGGCATCGAGCAGGACGCCGAGCAGGTTGTTCATCTTGCTGAACTCGACCGCGGCGTCGAGGCTCCAGAGCCGGAAGTCATGAACGTCCTCCGTCGTGAGCGCGATGGCGCTCGGGGCCGCCCGGCTTGTCTCGCCGCACTGGGAGGCGAAGAAGACAGGATCTGCGGAGACCAGAGACGGTTAGCATGGGCGTCCGGGGCGCGCAACATTTGCCTGCAAGCAGCGCATATGACCCGGCGGAGCGAGCAGACGAGCGACCGGCCGCGGGAGATGGGCGTTCGGACGGTGGTCGTCACGCGGAGGGATGGGAGAGTCTAAATCGATGGAGTGGAAATAACGTACAGTTTGGCTGCTTCCAGTTGAGCGCCGCGCACACGTCCGGGGCGAAGGACGTAAAGACGACCGGCCTGCGGCCCATGTGCCCTTCGAGCGCGGAGCTATCGTACACCGTTCGCAGGACGGAGTTGACCATGTCATTGAGGTCGACCTGGTGCCTGAGCGAATGCCGGTGACGAACGCGCGAGGGCGCGTACGCGATCTCCACACAAATCCCGAACGACGCGGGTACGGTCTGCGAGCGGGCGGGAGAAGCAAAGGAAGAGGCAAAGCGAAGAAACAAGGTTGAGTATCACGGAATATGGCGCGATTATCGGAGCGGAGCACATACCCGCAGCAGCTCCTGCAGCGTAACCATCGAAGAAGCTATCCACCTTGACCACAGCGACGGAGGCGACGACGAAGGATCGGGTGTGGGTCCGCCTCGGCCTAATCTGGCGGCCAGGGCCTGGAACTGGGCCAGGGTCGCATCCGCGACGCCTAAATCGTAGTGTTCGTCCGGCAGCTTCCAGTCCGCGAACACCACCGGGTGTAGATCTCGAGTGACCTGCACGGTCACATAGATATAGCTACCCGTGACAGACGAGTGGGTGAGAGAATGGCCGGAGGCCTGCACGAGGGTAGGGTTCGTCGGTGACGTCTGCGCGGACCCGCCGAGCGCGCGGCCGTGTTGCGGCGGACGGGGGGACAGGAGCTTCGTGCTGCTGCTGCCGCCGATTACGGGCATGGCTAGCGACTTCCAGTACGTCTCGACCGCGCCTCCTATCTCCAACTTCACGCCGCTGAACGGGGTAATGACATTGACCTCGAAGGAGACCTGCAGATGTGATTAATCTGCCGGTCTGACAGCCGGCATGCATGGACGCGGACTCACCTCGCCGATGATGTGCAACCTGGGGTCCAAAATAGGAAGCACGAAGGCTTGGCTGTTCTGGATGTTCTGGAACAAGCATGGGAGGGCAGTCGCGCGCCCTATTGTTTTCGTGCCAAAGTTGGGATAGAGCGAGAACTCGAGGGACAACGCGCTGGGGGAGGTCACCTGGAAAGCGAAGACGATCTTCTGATCTCGGATAGGCAACGGTATGCTGTAAGGAGCGGAAGTGACCACTGGCGCCGCGGTCATGACGAGCTTGAGAAGCGGAGATGCATGGAGGTACCGGTCATCGTACTGCGGACCAGCCAATGGGTGACGTAGCCGAACGGCAGTGCCGTCTACGGAAGGATCTCGGTAATGTGACGCCAAGTGGCCGATGGTTACTTGAATCAACGACGTGCGGTCCAGATAGTTGTGGCCATACACACGGTAAGGCATCATCGGAGGGGGGAGGTATAATGATGGGATCGCGTCGATATCCGAGTCTGTGTCTGTCGATCGTTGAGTGTTCGTGAGAGGGGATATCCGGGATGGTGAGGCTCGGGCTTGAGCTTTTGCGGCGGCTTCAACGAGCAGAGCGACACACGCTCGATGCCCGTACCAAGCCGCGTAGTATAGAGGAGAATTTTCCGCTTCGTCTGTGAGATTGAAGCGGCACCCGACCTCGAGCAAGACCTGGAGAGAAGCATCTCGTCCAAAGCGGGCGGCATGGAAGACCGGAGTCCAATCGTTGTACTTGTCCGGGACATCCCAGCCCTCATGGTCTGCGAGCGTCCGGCAGACCTCCGCATGGCCCGCCTGAGCCGCGAGATGGATAGGGTACTCCCCGTTCGTGTTGGGTAGACTTGGGGCGCCGTGTTTCAATAGAAGGATGACAACGTCCATGTGACCTGCCCTTGCGGCAAGTGACATTGGCATCAAGTCGCTATTGGAGTTGGGGGATTGTACGGATACCCCGCCTTCCTCCAGGAGTGCCCGGACGCACGCAACGCAGCCTTTGAGGGTGGCGTAGATGAGAGGCGTGCAATTGTCGACATCGACAACATCAGGGGGGAGCCCGACCTGGATAAGCCTGCAGCATACATCTCCGTGGCCATGCATGGCAGCGTAGTGGAGCGCAGACCTTCCGTATGCGTCCGTCTTGTCCTTCTGTACACCTCCGGCTAGACAGAGGTCGACCAGGCGGATGAGGCCAACAATGGCGGCCTCGTGAAGGCAGGTCCGGCTGTTGATGTCGTCGACGAAAGTGTAATCAAAGTCCCCGCCAGAGGCAGCCAGCATGAGGTCGGCGAGTTCTCGTGGCGCGTCAATGATGGCTTTCCAGAGGATACGAGTGACGTGATTCCGGGATTCTCGGCTTTGCGACAATGACGCGGAGTAGGTGACAAGGTCGGTGATGGCCTTGCCGTCGTTGTCGTTGATCGCTTTACGGAGGTTGCTCTCGAGATCATAGAAGGGGGTCAATTGGACGTTCCGGTCTATGCTCAGCTGGTGACTAAGGATGATGTCTTCTGCCACAGCGACGTCGCTGCCCAGGCCAACGGACAGATCTGTGATATCCAGCAAGCATGCCGCGACGGTGTCAGCCAGCTCGGATATGAGCTGCATACACCAGTAAGCGAGGGGCTACGATTCATGGCAGCCGCACGCACCTGTCTGTTGAATACCGGCTGGATCTCGACTTGACGGGCGAGGTAAAGCTCTTTAGTGGTCGATCGCGACCGCTTGTCCCACTTCTTCAAGATCTTGCGGAAGCCCATGGCGTTGATCTCCACAAATTGCTGTCGGGGAAAGCGGGGGAGGGGTGTATGTGATGAGCACGGAGAGACGCAGGCGCGATCCCATCTACCTGCAGCTTTCCGATGTCACGCTCCAGAAGGCGGAATCCTTCCTCGACTGCGCTCCACTCTACGTGGTTCTTAGTCGGGTCGTCGAGGTTGTCCGGCATGACGCGCGCGGCGGCTGCGCGCCGCTTGGAGAGAAGGGTCTCGAGGCGGAGTTTGAGCTCTGCCTCTTTCTCGAGATAGAACGCATTGATCTGGCGAGGGGAGGGGAGGCGTAAGGTATCGTTCGCGATTGACGACGCATACACGCAGGGAAGCAAAGGTATTGGACGCGTGTGCGCACCTTCTCGAGCTCTCGCTCCAGCTTGAAGAAGAAGGCGGCTTTGTGAGCCTGGAAGCTTGGCCCGCGCTCATCGTCTTGACCAAGGGATGCGTAGAGTGGGGGACCGTCTGACTCGTGTGCCGCGGTTGGAAGCGCACGGGGGGTCTCGGGGAGAGCGGGAGAAGCGAGGATGTCACTCGGGCGCGCGCCAGCGGTCGGCGCGAATGCCAGGACGTCGGAAGGAGGGTGGTTGTCGGAGAGCGCGGAGATGATCTTCTTGAGAGCTTTGTAGTCGAGGTAGTAGGCGGACCACCCGGGGACCTGCTCAGCCTGGATCTGCTTGCCGAACTGTCGGGCGAAGAGGGGCGGCTTAGCACGCGGCGGGCGGGGAACGGGGAGGGCGTGCGCGGACCTTCATCGTGCGCGGCGGGAGCTCGCTGTGCAGCGGCGAGGGGGCGGGGCGATAAGGGCAGCGTCAGTGAGAGCAGAGAGGACGGCGTAGGGCGGCGAGGGCAGGCGAGGGCAGGGCCCACTGGTGGCCGGTCGAAGGCTTTGCGCGCGGGCGAGCGCCGCGTCTGTGCATTCCGGCCCACGTGCCCCGAGGGCTGTATCTCGATTATCTGCTCTGTTCGCCGTCGAACGTGCGTCCATCGCAGAAATCACATTGGCGGCTAGCGTACAGGTGGAAGACATCACACCAGGATTTTCCTCAGCTGCCAGAGCGACACTTCCGCCAGCGTCACAGGGCACCGCCCGTGCTTCTCCACCCAGTCGTGTGCGCACCGGTAGCAGAAAACATACCCCGATGGCAGCCCTGTCGCGTTCGCAAGCCCCTCCCGGCACAGCGGACACGTCCCGTACCCCACGTCATCCACCCGCACCCCCTGCGGGTGCGGCGCGTGCAGCCCTGGCGGCGGTACCGCAGGGCCCAACGGTGATGTCGACAGCGACCGCGCCGGCGACGACGGCGAATACCACCACTCCAGGAACTTGATGAAGAATATCGCCGTCGGCAGTAGCACCTTGAGGGAGTCGAGCAGCAGCCGTGGGGATCTCCATAACAGACGCTTCATCAGCTCCAACAAGCCCCGGGGCCGTGGTGACGGCCCCGGCCTGCGTACCGCCGCCTGCGCCGCCCTCTGGGTGCTCGTCAGAACGTCTCCCGCTAAAAGCCATCACGTGAGGCGTACCACATCGTCTATGCTCAGTCGTCGTAGGTCAACTCCAACCCAAGACAGCCATGGTCGGTAGTACGCCGTCCGCTGGAAAAGGTACGCGATGTTGTAGACCAGCAGCCAACCTTCGAATGCCGCGTTCATCAAAGGGTACATCTTCTTGTATGCACGCCGCATTCGACCTTTCAACGACTACAATATGGTCAGGAGGTCAGGCAGGGCGGAGAGGGAAGAAAGCAGTTCCCACTGACCCCATCTACTGCCGTATGTCGCGACTCTTCGACGACGTCTATTTGCACGCCCCCACCCAGTTCCTCGAAGTAGTCTTGCGCCTTCGCACGCAGGTATGGGAGCCCGACCTACACATTGGCGAGTTTGGACCATGATGCGGAGAAGAGATGCGAGGAAACGCACCAGGAAGACCAGCGACCGCCATATCTCCCTGTCTCTCAGTTTCTCCTCCGCGAACACGCCGCCCACAGCACTACGCGCCCGATCGGTCTTGAAGAGCGGCGCTCTTCTCCTCTTCAACCCATAGAAGTTCTCCGCAAATGATGCACCTGCAGTTCGGTCAGCTACATCCCTACGTCACACCGCGCCCGACCCACCTTGGGTGCGGAGATAGTGGCGTTCGACAAACAGCATAAGGAGCGCATAGAACTCCTCATGCTTGTTGACTATCCGGAGCAGATAACGGGGGTATGATTGCGCAAAAACCTACGACCTCATTAGTTCTGTGAAGTGGGGACTGGGTGGGAGACAACTCTCACCGAGAGAACGTACTTGAGAGCGGGTTGAAGCAGGTCCCTTAGCTGTTCTTGGGCGACCAGCTCGAACAGGGTGGGCTTCAGAGGATCATCTCCTGAGTCATTGAAGAACTCCATGGCCGGTCCCGCACGAGGGTTGAGCGCGGCGGGGATCCAAGGCAAGTAGTGACTGCTGAGAAGTGGAGGGAAAGACGACAACCGGAGACCCCGACATTCACGGACTACGCGACACGGCGAATCACATGCTTGCTCCCGTCTCGTATTATCTCTCTTCGAAACATTCGCGCACTGTGTCATCTTTGGCCTCGCCGTGTCGATTGTTCCAACGAAAACTATGTATCTCGTTGCTCGTCCCACACAAACGCCGTCCGAGCACACCATTCTTCGCCTACCTCCAGAGCTTCCTCTCGCCATGTCCACGTTTCCACCTCGCGTTCGCCACTTCCACCACACCTGGAAATCCTGCAAGATCTATGGCCCTCTCTGTCTTCTCTTATGTCCCCAGCGTCGTTTTCCTCACCTATGTCCGCACACGCGTCAGCCTCGAGAAACAGCCCATCCAGTGGACCACGCACCCTTGCCCTTCGAGAACTCGACCTTCCACTCCATATATCGCTCAAGCAGCAACGACAGCGCGCCGCGATGTCGTGCGGCCGTGCTTCCTTCTCCCTCGGCCCCGCCCTCCTCGAACGACAGCGACTTGATGATGGGCAGCTTCAGCGCGCCGAGTCCCGAGTCGAACACCACCAGCCGCGACTTTGTCGTACTGTAACACTCGTTTCGGTCGCTCGGACGCGACGTTGAATCCCAGAGGATGCGTACCATCGGGGTGACCATGCCTCCGCGAGGGACAATGCCGAGGATACGACCGACAGGTACGCAGACACCCTGCGGCGGCGGTCGTCAGTCAACGCTCAGCTCCGAGCCCCCCTGAGCTCGGTACGCACGTCGCCTCGCCCGCCTCCGCCGTGAAGTACGAGGACACCTCGTGGAGGACGAGCATTCCCGGCGCGGTGTCGAGCGTCATCTTCGCGTCGTGCAGCGCCCCGTCGTACTCGTGCAGCATCGACAGCAGCAGGCGCATGTGCGCCAGCGACGGCGGGTAGCTGCGGCGCGCCCGAGTGCCGGCCATGGGTCAGGTTCCTGGCTTGGAGCATGTAGCATTGGGTGAGGCACTCACAACATCTGGATATGTTGGGCTACCTCGCAAGCTGACCCGTGCCCGCTAGACTGGTCTATCCATTGGTCGTTGAGCTCCACAAGATCCTTCTTCAATGAGTCTCGGCGAGGGGTGAGGAAGACAGCTCTCGCGTCGGGTTTCTCAGACGCGTAGGAGAACAGCAAGTGGACGGGTGCGGAAGGGTGGTAGTCATCCCGGACGAGCAAGGAGCTGAACACGGGGAGCTGAGGAGATGGTGCTGGGAAGAAAGAGACCATGTCATGTGGTGCACACATCCGTCCGTCCTCTTTCAATTCGTTCGACGTCAATGTTTCTTAAACTGTTCGACAATAAATGGAATATTCGGACTACTTCATGGCAGGGGATCCAATGATGGTACAGTGAGTATACAAGGCAGAGTATTTGCGAGGGGCATAGCGAGGAAAGGGGCACGTGGGTACGATCTGGAAGAATGAATGACGGACAGGATGATGTTCGCGAATGACCTCTAAGCCCACATCGCCCGGAACTTCTCGTCGAAGTCGGCCGTCAGCGCGTTCAACACCTCGAACACCCTCCAGTCTCTGTCCGACACCCCGGGGGGACGCTTGAACGCCCCTTCCGCGCTGCCGTCCAAGTCCGGGTCCGCCTCCGCCGGGTCCGCGCCTGCGCTCATCGTCCCGTACCCGCTGTCGAGCTCCGAGTACTCATCTCCCGCAGCGGACGCCGCCTCCGAGGCCTCCGAGGCCGCCTTCTGGAGGAGCTGCACGAGCCCGGTGCGCATCGCCTTGAGGGTGAGCGAGAAGTCCTGGAGGACGTACCACATCTCGCCGTCGCGGATGCCGTTCGCGACACGGAGCGCGGCGGTCTGGCCGTGCATGAAGAAGTCGTACAGGTACGCGTTCAACGCGAACTCCTCCGAGGACGCGCTGCGTGTCGCGGTAAACTGCTGCATGGACGGGATCGCGTACTCGTTCAGATGCAGGCCGTCGCGGGCGGTCGTTGTCAGCTCGCGCACGGAGCTGAAGTGGTCGCTGTGCCCGGACGTGGCGACGAAGGGTGAGCGCGCGACGGGTTTGACGGCGATGCGGCGTATGTTCATGAGGAAAGGGGTGTCTGCAGCCTGGCTGCTCGTCGGACAGAGGGCCATTCGACTGAACGGGAGCTTGTTGTCCTCTCCTAGAGCCTCTGCGTGACTGGACACGTAGGCCGTGGCGTACCCAACGAAAACGCGCATGATGTGATCGTCATGTTGAGCGAGGACCTTCCGAGCATCCTCCGGTAGAGGGGGGAGTACCACAATGGAGGGCGACTTATGAGTGATGGTCTTCAAGAAGCTTGGAGAGGCGTAGGTCCTGGGCAGGTAGCGTCGACCAAAGAGGTGGGACAGTAGGATCATCAATTCTCGTTCCGCGGTGAGGAGGCCGCTTTGGTTGCAGACGCGATGAAGGACTCCATGACGCATGAGCGCGACCAGAGCGAGGTTGCTGGGTTCAGTGTAGTACAGGTGGGCGGCGACACCGAAGAGGTTGATAGGGCTTCCCTGCGCGTTCAATAACCCTGCGCGACGAAGGTAGTCGATAGTGAAACGGATATGATGGAGAATCTGCTCTCGACCAGCCTCCGACACAAAGCTGACATGCGGAAGACGCAGTATGCTCCGAATGGCATCGCATGCGACAGGGGCGTCGTTGGATCCGTGAAGCAGGCTGAAAAGTCGGAGGACCATGGTTGACGTCAGAGGGAAGTTTCCGCCGAGAGAAGGGAGCTTTGACAGGACAAGACGTTGACATCTATCCATGGGGAGGCCATAGAAGACGACTTTTCCTAGGAGATCGAAGCCTCGGCGTCCGGCTGTGGGTGACATCGATATCAGTACGGACTTGTTCCAGAAAGAAGAGGAAGACACTGACCACGTCCAGCACATTGACGGTACTGATATGATGAGTTAGTGGCTATTCACCGCCCGTTGTACGAGACACAAGGGGCTTACCATCAGCGCAGTAAGGAAAGGCGAATCTCCGCAGAATACAGACGTTTTCGTTGGGGCATTGATTCCCAGAGCCAGAGTACCTTCGTATATGCGTCAGTCAAGCCCTCTAAACGTTATGAACCGAGTATACCTGTTGCGATGACCACGCGAAGGTAACCCGACCGGTACAAACTACGAGATTACGTGTCAAGCAACAGTATCTCACCGGTTGATGACAGCGTACCTCTCGACCAGCGTCCTGTAATGCTTGTTCATACCAGAGTGGTGCACGCCGATACCTCGTCGCAGACCGTTCAACGCCCACTCCGGGGCCGAGCTCCAACGACTCAGACTCCGAATCTCGTCGTCGAGGTCTTCTTTCGTGAACGCCGGGGAAGACCCAGCAAATGAGAATTGCGGAGATGGTTCGTCGGGATTGAACGATGCCTCCCAGCTGGCGTCGGGCGAGTCCGCCGCGGACCCTTTGTCATCATCCTTCTTGACCTTCTTCAGACGTTCCGCCAGCCGTTCCCGCTCCTTGGCTCTAGCGACCCAGGCCTCCCATTGCTTGATTTTCCTCTTCCATTCAGGATTCTGTTCGCGCCATGTCCCCTCCGCTTCCTCGAGGACCGTGAGCAACGCCTGAGCCATCTTCTCACAGACCTTGCGGTCAAAGTTGAAAAGGATAGCGGGCTGTAACGGGACATCAGTATACCTTCTCCCTGTGGTACACATGTATCATAGAGACTGACCAAGTCTCCGCCTGCGTGCAAGTCGGATATGAGAGCGATGAGGTTACGGAAGAATTGTGTAGCGTCCGGCACGTATCGTTGATCCGCCTTCTCCAGAACGGGATCGGAGACCTCCTTGATGACGGCGTTCAAGGAAGAGTTCTGATCCTGAGGGTCGATCGAGTCAATCAATTCCGAAATCTGCTTCGTGAGAATCGCTTCATAGCGGAGGATGTCCTTTTGCCTCAGCAAGGTGCCATGGTCGTCCTGGAAGAATTTGATGGGGTCCAACTGGTCTATGTCGAAACCAAGCCTGTCCTTGTGGGCTTCAAATGCGCGATACAATGATAGACAATCGGCAGCCTCGAGAGAGAAGTCCGGAGGTAGGCGTCTTGCACCGAAGGCAAGCATCGAGATTGGATGAACGAAGCGCATTCTTTCAGTCTGGCGGTAGAGAGGCAGCCCAGGGAAAGGCTCGGGTTGATGCTTCGGTTGGAGGAGGTACTCAAACTTTCGAAGATGCGAGTACCTGTGAGGATGGTGAATGAATGTATGCTTGAACCTATGGGCTTCTTGGACTGATGCTAGCCATGCATTGAACTTCTCTGGTTCTCCGATCGTGGCGGAAAGGCCACTATGGTAATGTTAGGACTGGGACTTCACTACAGGTACGACCAACATACATCAGTGGGCAAGGGGCCAGCAGGATGATCTGCTCCCAGACGGCACCTCCTTCTTGTTGACCGATTGTGTGAATTTCGTCCAGGATGATGCTTGAGACGAGTCAACAAGAGTTGACAACACTGAATTCATCAACAAACCGTTTGATCTTTGGAGTCCAAGTTCGAGCTAGAGGCGGAGAAAGAAGCATCGTCGCCAGCATCTCAGGAACTGTGACAAGAATTTGGCAGTTCTGGGGGTTGTGGACTCGATAATCCCTCGTGTGTATCGCCCAGCACGCCTCTGAAGATAATGTCAGTGCAGGTACGTACAGAACAGAGTGATATTTCTTACTGCTGCCTAACTCTTTCCTGAAACGAGCGTAGACCTCCGCCGCAATTTGGCTGACCAGCGCTTTCGTTGGTGCAACGTATACGAGAATGTCATCATCCGAAGTCCGCAAAATTTTCTCCATGGCGTAGTACGAGATGAATGTCTTTCCAGCACTGGTAGGAGCTGTAGAAAGTCATCAGAACGAGCGTACACAAGAGAGTGCATGAAGTCTGCTTGCCTGCGACGAGGACAGATTCATTCCGGTCGAGACAGTCCAGTACCTTTCTTTGCCACGCGTCCGGTTTGAATTGTACGCGAGGATCCGGCTGACTGTCCATGCTCCGATCCAGGAATTCTCCGAACAGTCGCAACTGCCACACGACGGGAGGCTCGATGATCTTCATCCACTTGTGAACGGCACTGCCTGACTTTGATTTGACGAGCTTGACGAAGTCGAAATGGAGCGAACGATCTTCTGACGAGACTTTCGCCGCCGACTCGAAGGTATCCAGGTAATCTGCGAATCCAAGTGCGGTAAGACAACTGGCCAGTTTCACGGCCACTGTGGGGAAAAGCTCCTTGCAGTCGTACAAGTCTTTGACCATGCGCATCACAGAGACAGTGGAGCGGTCGCGCACGATCGCAGTTTCGCGGGCAGGATCTTCCGTCCAACGCTCAAATTCGAGATGAATGCGGTAAAGCAGCGATTCCGCTGTGAGCCAGCCATCCTTCGTGCGTTTGTTGCGGGTGAGCACGTCGTATGCGGCAATTTTGGCTGTAGTTGATTTGCTGTCCATGGAGCGGAGCTGCTCTTTCCACCAGACGGCGTTCGTGTCGTCCTCCTTGGCTTGCTTCTTGGCCTGGTTTGCAAGGCGAATTTTGTCCGCGGATGAGACCACCTCTTTCTTTCCCTTCTTACCAGTAGTGCTTTTAGATTGCTTCGCCGTCTTCGGATCCTGCAGGAAGTAATATGAGTAGGAGATGAAGTAGATATGTAAAACCATCTACCTCAATATTTCCAATCGATGGTGCCGGTTGATTCGTCCTCGATTTGCGAGAGGCCGCCGCGCTGGGGATGACGATCTGCTGAAGCGGTGTGCCAAACGCGCCTGTCAACGTTTCCGCCTGCCATTGAAGTTTCGACATGAACCGCTGCTCGCTTCGCAGCTGCTTCTTGCGTTGCCACGCATCTTTCGCTGGAAGTGTATCACTACCGCCAAGATGGGCCGGTAGGATCGCGCGCTTGTGATTGTGCCAATGCTGAGTGTCTTCGTATAATGTGTTGAACTCCAATTGACCATCCTCCGTGTCTTCGCTTCTCGCCTCATCCGCGTCGATGCGGATGGTGGAAAGCTCTTCGTCAAAGAGGGGGTGGGTGAAAGGAAGCATGCTGAGAGGATAGTGGTCGTCATCGTCATCGTTGTCTTGACTTGGGGAAACCGCGCCCGCCGTAACAATGTCACGAAGGGCCGAGATATTTGGCAAGGGGAGTTACATGATGTCCAAAGTTCGTGCAACTGCCCTGCAACTTGTACGCCAACGTAAGGTCCATGTTCGAGTCGGTCGCCGAGAGTGTCGCCTGCAGGAGAGCGCTGAAGATCCTGCCGTCCAAGTTGGCCGAGACGGCGGTTCCTTCGAGGAGTAGGAGCATCCGCTTCAGGAAGTCGACGAGAGTGGTCGTACATTCCCCCGAGAACTGGATGGAAGGAAGCCCTCGTTCCCTGAGCTCGAGACTAGGAGTGTAGAGCAAGTGCGTCACGAAAACGTAGAGAAGTGACGAGAAGGGTTCACGCTTCATCTCCTCCAAGCGCATGGCGCTACGTAAAAGTTCTTCGACACTGGCTGTCAGAGTGATATCGAGAGCTAATGGCGCCAAGGGGACGTTCGTCCGACATTGAAGCTCTCGTTCGTAAAGCGAAGCGGATGCACTCTGGACGGCCTCCCAAAAGCTCGGTTTAAAGCGAGACCTAGGATCTGCGCCAGGGCGTTGCTCATAAACGAAAGACATGATCTGCGTGATCCATCAGTAGGGTGGTTTGAAAGCACTGCCATAACACACACCTTGGAATCTTTGTATTCTGCACCTCGTAGAAGTGTCACCGAAACGCCTTGAGACAGTAGCAAATACAAGAAGACACGTTGGAGCAGCACTCGCTCCGTAACCGCATTCGAGGACTTCGATCTAATCACACCGCCATCTGCGGTCATGACGAACATCGGCTACCAGAGAAGAGGGGTGAACTTCAAACCTTGCGAAAAGCGAGACAGCACTGACCTTTTTCAAGCGCTGATACGTTAGCCAAGCAGGATCTTCAATGTCGGCGAAGATATGCAGGGGAATGTCCAGTGTTTTTAGATGATTGAACAGGACCTGCCTGGCAAGTGATCTCGAGGAGGAGACATATTCGTTATCGTCGTAAGCAATCGACTGGAACCGTCGATCTGAGCGATTGGCTTAGCAGCTGATAATGGGCTTGAATGTGAAGGGACATACCATGCCAAAAGACGAGCTCGAATGCGTCTGATCGTCGAGAAATGTTATGAAGGACACGCTCAAGCGTATAAATTGCATGGATGCTCTGGAAGCTTGGATCTTTCCAGCAGTTTTAATGCCACAGCATCGTTGCTCAAGTCTGGTGTACACACCATCTTTGCGACCTAGAGCCAGTAGCGGGTCGTCCAGAACGAACTGGATGAGCGCCTCGCCTATGAGGCTTTAGGTGAATACACTGCACATCATGCACATGATCAAGGGCATGCACGCACCATCGACGACAAAAGGTTCACTGCCCGCATAATCCCCAATCAGGTCCATCCACCTGCCTCTCCTGTTTACTAGCGTGTACCATTCCTGATCGATGTATGCAACGGCGTCCTTTGCGGTCTGTGTGAGCAGAGGGCCGTCATCGAGAACGAGTGCGGAATCGAAGTCGTCTAAATCCATGTTGAGCGAGGAGACCTCCGGACGGGGCACAAGTGCTCCGTCGTGTGGCGGACGAAGGTGGAGGGGAGAGGAAGGGGATCGAAGGTTGGTCGAAGCTTAAGGGCCTTTGCAAGGCTTTAGGAACGTGGTCAAAATACGGTCGCTAACGCTGCTGCGGTATGTAGTGTCCGGCCGGGCCGGCACGCGACGCGATGCATTGTCGTTATACGCGCCCGTTGTGTGGGGAAGCGCCAGTGAAGCTTTGAAGCTTGCTGATCGTGGCTGTAGCGGACCTCCCTCTCGCCAATCCTCGTCTCGCTGGTTGGCTTTGCCATGCACCCCTTTGCGTCCTATGTGCTCCGCAGCTACTACAAGGAGTCTGGCTGGAATGAGGACAATCTCTATGCCAACCTCACCCGCTCTTCCAATGGTGAGCACTGTCTCGCTCTCCTGCTTCAGACATGAGCCGACTGTAGCAGCACTGCTCGATTTCAGTGTACCCAGAGGGCTGCATTTTGGAATATCAAAATCGCCCAACCCCCTCTTCAAGACCACGTACTCCATGAACGCCCTTCCTTCCTTGAATGGCTCTGTCGGGTACATTTTCACAAGCTGCAACCTGGATGTCAAGGGCTCTGGCGACGTCCGCTTCAAAGACATGATCGACCGCTTCAAAGTCTTTGATCAGCCAAGAAAACCTGAGGGCAAGGCGGAAGAGTGGCTTGGCGGAGAGCGCACGGACACACGAGGTGAGTGCTTCCGCTCGCGTTCTCTCCGCCTCATTGACATGGCATGCAAGATTACCTCCTTTACGGGCGAATATACATCCCTACCGGCCGTTTGGATGGTCTGTACTCTACGCGTATTACGCCAACTCTGCAAGGCATGATTGCCGCTATCTCAGACCCACGTATGCCACTCTCGTCGGAGAAGTCCCGCGGGCCCGCGCCGGGGAGTAATGTTATGTTCAGCCTCCAGCACGACACCGGCAAAGTATGCACCGAATATACCTGGAGCGCTGAAGACGGCATGTGGGGCGTGCGCTCGCTCTACAACTTCGGAAGAGTTGGTCCGCACCACCCCGATGCTACGGCCACACCTCCACCTTACTCACACGACGACGGCGACAGGCATGGCCATACATCCGCGCCTGCCGGACGCCGGAAAATCAAGCGAGTGGACGAGGAAGACGCGATGGACGGCGGGTTGAGGGGCCGAGTGTCAATAGGTGGAGAATTCTATTTCAGCGCAAAAGAAAAGAGTGCTGGAGGTATGTATTCCCCACAATATAATCAACCTTACTCATGGATCTACAACAGTGTCGACTGGGATCCGCTTCACCACCTTCCCCGACGCGACCCCGCCCTCTTTCCAGGTACCGACTTCGGCTGAAGCCGGTCCCTCAGCCGTCCGTGGCCCACCTTCACAACCTCCCACAACCATCACCGCACTTTTCAACCCAATGCTTGGCCATATTTCGGCCGCATATGCGGCACGCGTCTCACGAGACTTCTGCATGGCGTCTCGCTTCGACTTCAACGTGTACAGCTATGAGAGCGAGTGGTCCCTTGGGGCCGAATGGTGGCAGCGGCGGGGTATTCCCAGGGAATCGCCGTCGTCATCCCAAGCCGGTAATGGGGAAGACATGGTGCAAATGGCCTCGTCGGGGGCTGATCTGGCTGACGAAGTGCAAGGGGTTGTCAAAGCCAAGGTTTCGACGACCACTGTGAGTGTTCTCTACTTGCGCCATGCAGTATTCTTATTTTCATCCAGGACGTCTCCTTGCTATGGGAGGGTCGTTTGCGGAATATTCTCGTCAGCCTTGGTGTGGTTTCCAACCTGTCTAACCGCTCAAAACCAATCAAGTCAATAGGTCTTGAGTTATCGTACTTCTCCTCCGGCTAGCAACATAACATATTGTACTTGGGCGGATACAATCTCTCCATGTCTCAACGGTTATGGGACTGCACATGAAGTAAACACTTTTAAATGCATAATGAAGCAGATTGAAATTACGGGTGTCCCTCCACGAGCAAGCTTCCGCGCAACTCATGAGTCTCTCGGCGTTGCCTATCAAACCATGTCGACGCCGACGTGTTCAACGACATGGGGTGCGAAGCACTCTTCAGCTAGCAACGAGCTCGCCGTCGCACGTAACAGTGGTAGGCCCAGTTTCGCAGGTAGTGGAATACTAACACCATCATGTCCTCGACAACCACCTTAGATCCCGATATCGGTGCGAATGGCTCACGACGGAGTAGACTAACGCGATATCGTCTGGGAGGGCTCTTCTGCGGGCCATGATGGTGGTGCTGTCGACCAGGTTCGGGAAAAGCGGAGGGGAGATCGCTGAAGCGACGAGGATCGCGGCTTGGGCGGGTCTTACCACGCGAGCAGCTGGCTAGAGCACAAACAAATGGAAGTGGTTCCCATGGGCACGTCGAGTGATAGAACACATATATCGTTATATCATTTGGACTGATAGTACAAGCTCACCAGCAGCACCTAAATAGATTCAGCACGGCGACAGCGATTAACACAATAGCGTATACAGGCACAGCAGCATTCCGTGCTCGAAACGTTGGGGGTCGTAGAGGTGTTGGAAGGCGCGGAGACTTGGAGATTTAATTTACGAATGAAGTGGGGGAGGGAGATATGGCGGAGGGGTATAAACAGCACGGGGAGCATATGAAGAGACGTGGGAGCAAAGCATGACGCTAAAACAAGCAGAGTGGGTAAACTTCCAGATACTTTGGTCGCAGATATGGGGGTGGGGGTTTACATGGCAGACACCGCTCACTCCTTCGCAGCAACGGCCTCAGTGGCGGCAGCAGGCGCGGGCTTAGGGCGTGGGCCAGGCGCGCCACCGAGCGTCCGCGCGAGCTTTGAGAGTGCGTCACCAGTGATGACGGGCCGCACCGTGTGCACAGAGCGCGAGTGCCCATGTCCTGGCCCCGCAGTGGGTGGGCTCGAGTGCGTGCGTGCGTGGTTCACGCGCTCCCGGCGCGTCGCGCGCTCGTCACCGTTGCCCACGCCGCCGTCGAGGAACGAGTTCTGCGAAGGGCTAAACGGCACGCGGAAGCCAGGACGGCCGACGGTATGTGCACGACCGTGCGTCGGGTGGAAGGATGGATTCGGCTGGTGGTGCGTGGTGATATGGCTGGGGGCCGATCGAGCGGGAGCATGCATTGAAGCAAACACGCCCTGGCCGCTCGCATCAGAGTCGGCGTTAGGACCGGGGGTTGGGTCTTGTGGTGCTTCCACCGGCACAACCGAAGTGACACCGTCCGGCATCGACACATGCGCCAACTCCAAGACGGGTGGAGCGTCGACTAGGGCAGGAGCCTCTGGTGCTTCTGCTGATGGCACTGGTTTCCGAGGGAGCGATGGAGGAAGCGCTTTCATCGCGTCGACCGGCTTGGCGGGAAGTGATGGGTGCAAGAGAGGAACTGACCGCCTCCCCGGGGACTGCTTGGTCGCGTCCTTATCGAACGGGAGAGTCTGAGAGTCTGTAGTTGAAGCAGCTTCAGCAATAGGCGCAGCTTTTTTGCCATTGACGACCTTCTTGTTATAAGGAGCTTTGTCAGCCAAGCGAGACTTGCTTGCTCCGTTGGCACGAGGCTGCGAGCTAGGTGGGTCCTTCTTCGCAGGAGGCGCGGCGCTGGGCGGATCATCCTCTTGACCCTCTGAGTGCGGGATCACGAATGACGCGACGAGAGGAGAGCCAACATTCGGTAGAGGCTTCAAGGTGTCCGCGAGCATAGGAGAAAGCAGGTCCGGCTGAGTCTCCAGCGGCTTGTCCAAACTGCGCCCCGGTACGCTCTTCACGCCCCAATCGTCCAAGTCGGGTAAGCTGTCGTCGTCGTCACCGGCCCAGTCAATGTGGCTGCCTGGGGTGTGGGGTCGGTCCATCGCCACGGCACGAACGCGCTCCACGAGAGCATCAATGTCGTGCTTGATGTCGAAGGACGGCGTTTCGGAAGAGGCGGGGGCGCAACAAGGTGAGGAGGGAGGTCCTTCGCGATCACGGGAGACTTCTCTGGCTTGAGGAAGCTCGTGCTCGACTCGGTCGAAGGGGACTTCTTGGAGGACATGGACATGGAGGATGTGCTCCGGTTTTGCGCCCGTTTCTTGCGAGTACGGTTGGGAGTGGTAGCGGAGGTGGGGGACGCGGTGGAGGCAACTTTGGGCGGCTCGATGACGATCGGCGGGAGTTTGCGTGGTTGCTTGCTCTCCGATGCCTTGCGGGCGTGTGCTTTGGCATCCTTGGGCCTGCTCGCCGCGCTCTTGGAGGTTGCAGAAGGGGACGCATCAGCAGCAGGGGTATTGCGAGTGGCGAAAGACGGAGCGGGGGCGGGAGCGGAGACAGACGACGGTGCAGAGGTTGTGGTAGCGGTGGGAGCAGGTGAGGCTGACGAGGTAGATTGGGCAGTCTTGGGATGGGCAGCGTTCTTGGGGCCTTTGTCGTCTGTGCGCAGAGGGATCACGCCATTGCCGCGTCCTCCGCCGCGCCCGCCGCGACCTCCACGTCCTCCCCCACGTCCAGACCTGCCCCTTCCTACTCCGCGGAAGGCCGATCCGGGCTCGCCGTTGCTCCTCCATCCGGGTTTGCTGCTGGGAGGTTGGCCTGCCCACATCGACGAGTTTACTCCTCCAGACGGCGCAGGGGACGGTGCAGCCGAGGCCATGAGCGATAGAGATTAGGATGTGTTGAAGGAGGACCTGTGTGGACGGCAGGGCGGGATGGAATCAGCTGCGACAGACGACCACGACAGCGATCGAAATGAACGGACGAGACGGATAGCGTGCGGTGTTCCACGGCGACGGATAGCAAGAACCAGAAAAAAAAGGGAAAATAGTGTGGAAAGATGGCCAAAGATATAAAGGCGTGAAGCAGGGTGTAAGAGAAGAAAAGGGCCGGGTCGTGTTGTCCTGGAGGTCCTTGTCCGGCCAGAGCCCGCATGCACCTTTCCCACGTGGCCGTTCGATCCGCGGCGCGTCCTCCAGACCGTCTTTTCCTCTTCCCCCCATCTCGTCCGTCATCATGTCCAAGGCATCGCAACCCGAGCTCAAGAAGGTACAATCGCTTTTTTGGCGTGACCTCTTCTGTAGCTTACCCCTCCGCGCAGTTCATGGACAAAAAACTGTTCGTCCACCTTCAGGGCGGCCGCAAAGTCAGCGGGACCTTGCGCGGATACGATCTGTTCTTGAACCTGGTGATCGACGACGCGTTGGAGGAGACAAACCCCGCACAAAAGCACCCCATTGGGACCGTTGTACGTTCTACTTGCTCCGCGCACTATTGCCGATTTCCAAAGATCCTGTTTTCATGCCACCCTCCACAGGTTATCCGCGGCAACAGTGTCACTGCAATGGAGACACTCGAGGCCATCCGGTGACCGGATCTCTGGTATGTGGGACATTGGACATGTCTTGTAACATATCTGTACTCTTACCTCTGTCTGTTTGGTTGCCCAATGCATGTCACCTTGCATCTGTCTTGCTTGTGCCGGTGTATGCTGCGCTACATTAGATCTATAGATCAAATTTACACTTGACGATATCCATGATGTGCTTCGTAGATGGTGCGGCCCAACGATTTCGTATTGTTATGTGCCGTGCTTGTTGGAATGTAGTGTTATGATCACACGAATTCCTTGGCACCGTAAATCCGCTACTATTGAGTCTATTTATCGGAGCGCTATTACAGGACATTGCTATCACCTGAATAAGATCTAGCCAATATAATAATAGCGTCGCCTAACGCTGCCCACTATGTCGCTGCACGTGCAACCTGTTGCACTGGGGTTAGGGTTAGAACAATGCAGAGGCCAAAAAAAATGGCCCGCCCAGCCCGAGGGCCGAAACGGGACAGGGAAATATTGAGACGGTGCATGAGCCGAAGCCCATACAAACCGCAGGGTCCCCCTGGGGACAGGGTCGCCGTGCTATGAGAGGCCCCCACGGCCCACAGACCCAGGTACGTGAAGGGACCTGTGCCATCAAGGTAAGTATGAGTTGTAACGGTGCCCGTCGCGCCTTCTTATGCAACGCGCGTCGCGCACGGGCCACTCGTGTGATTGTACTTGTTTGTCCCATGATGCGCAACCGTGCACACCAGCGGGTACTTACGAAACTAATATGGGTGAGGATGAACATGTGTTCTAACCGCAACAGTTCTTCTCCATCAAATGGGATGTGTGAAACATCTTCCCAGAGAATCCATATTCACTTTACGGTGCCTAACGATACAACGTGGACTTGACTACATACATAACGTGACTCGCCCAAATCCACCCGAGGATACATCGTTCCGAACTCAACCGGTCTGGACGTCGCGATTATGGAAAGAATGACTTTGACGATTCCGTCAACAAGCTTATATCAACCCCATGAGCCCTCGCCCTAGCACCAGAAGGTCACCACAAGACACCAAGAAAGACCGTCGTCGCAGAGAGCACAGCGAGTAGTCCCGAGACCCAGGAGCACCCGGCTTCGTCGCGCGATTGATGTCCACGCCGCTGCTGGTCTTCCCGTGATGAAGCCGTCGACTCTTGCCGCTCTCCCCGTTGGACGTAGCGAGCACCGCCGGGTCGACGGTGAGCGTGTTCAGCGTCTTCGTTACCACAGACGTCGAGAAAGTCGCGGGAGCAAAGATCCAGCAGTCGCCTGAGCCGCGTTCGATAAAAGACGAGAGCGGCACCTGGCGCGGGCACTTTGATCTTGCAGGAGCTCGTCTCCACGTCACATTGCACGGCGTGGATGTCGAGATCGCCATGCCAACGTCCGTCAGCGTTGTAGCGTCCGCCGAGAGTCTGCGTACGAGATGCTAAGTGGGATGAACAGAAAGACAATGCGCTCTCGGCTCTCACCTGACCAGCCCAAGTGATATTGTCCTTCTCTGCCACCGAAGGAGCGACCAGATACTTGACCGTGACCGAAGCGGGTACGTCCCCATCCATAGCAAACGTCGCGGTGTAGTCGTGCGCGCCACTGGGATCCGTCAAGTAGTTGATCAGAACCGCCCGCGCGAGCTTTCCCTGCTCGTAGACCGCGTACACGGCCGCCGTGTCGCCGTCGATGTCTGACGAGAGGTCGACAACTTGCGCGGTGCCAGTTTTTCCCAGAGCCTCCGTGACGGCGATCGCAGAGTAGAAGATAGGTCCCACAGTCCAGTCCCGGAAAGCCGATACGTTGGTCGGTGACGCTGTGAAGGGCTGGACACACCAATCCACATGAATGGAGTGAGAACTGAACGTGCAAATTGACTTACGTTGTAGGCAACATCCTGGCCACCGAAGTGGAAGAGCATTGAACTGAAGTTTCCGAACGCGAGCTGCATGGCGTAGTCGATGCCCCACAGAGAAGCGACGAACGCGTCACTGATTCCCGGGAAGCCTCCGCAGGAAGCCGTGTTTGTCTCGAACATGATCAGCGGCTTCCCATATTGCTGGCAAAGTGCTGATGGAGCGACGTAGGGCGCCAACAGGTTCGTGGCCGCCTTGTGGGACAAGTACTTTGGAAGCTCCGCCAGCGGATCTTTCGGCTCGTACCCGTACTGCGGGTACATGGCTGCACAGTTGTCGTTCGGATAACTGCATGGGGTTAGTTGACTCGTGTAAGCCTACAATGTCAGGGCAAAACTCACTGCTCGACAGAGACCATGGACAAAACGTCCGCGTAAGCGTCGAAGAAACCGGTATCCCACACGTCTTGAAGCGTCCATCCTCCTGAGACACTTGGGGCGATGAGGTTGTTCTTGACGGGCACAAGCATGTCTGCATTCCAAGCTTCGGTCATGGTGCCGAACTCTTTGAAGAAGTCAGTAGGCCCCCAGCCCTCAGGTCGATGGTTGTGCCTAAGCTAGCACTCAGACCAGGTCGGAAACCGCCACCACTATCACACTCACTTGACATAGAAATCAGGCTCGTTGCTGGCTTGGAAACCCAACAGCGAATCTCCCAGAACAGCCTCGGCGACTTCGGCTATGTTGAAGCGCCAATTCGTGTCGTTGAACGGAATACCTGGGTGCGCGTTCTGGATACGCTTCTCCTAATGTGTGGTAGGAAATACTCACCGAGGTACCACTTCAGCGGAAGGAAGCTCGACGCGTTTCCAAGCATATAGATCAGGTCAGGAGTGATCGCAATAGTTGGGGTATACGTCTAGGAATTCAGCGTTTGTGAGCGAGCTGACACACATGACGAGTGCATGGATGGTGCGGCTCACTGGGTTGTTCGCGTCATTCTTGTCTTTGAGTAGGAACTTGCCGTTAGGAAGTGAATCAACCATGTAAGCGGTCTCTTGTGTGTTGCCGCCTACTCGCACATGAACTGCTCCGGCGCGTTCCGCGATGAGGCTCATGAAGTTCAGAAAGATTGGCTGTAACACGACGCTACGAGAGAATAAGCAAGGGAAGTCTAGTGGTTGGAACGCCTGACGTACGGGCTAGAGCCAACTGCAAGACTTGTCAGCCACTCCGACGCACATGGTGAAGCAGGCCGACGCGGGAAAATGAGCACTCACTCAGCTGGTTCACGACAGACATCTCGATCGAAAACCCGAAGAAGGTCCCATTGAGCATGATGGACAAACCAGGGACGTCCGCGGCTTCCAGAGCGACGTCCACGGAGAATGCATTGGCGGGCGCGGTATCAGGGACTGCAGGAGGCGCGAGATAGACCTGGTTGTATGCGGCGGCTCCGGTGAACTGCGGCGGAGGCCCGTTGGCCGTGACGAAGGACGTAGTGGGCACCGCAGTCGTGGTCGTCGTGCCTCCGAGTTGAATGGTTGTTGGGCCGGCGAAGCCGTACACCGTGACCTCCGCGAGCACCGTCGAGGAAGAGAGGAGGCAGCTTGCGAGGACTGACACCAAGAGATGTGGACGCATATTGGTAGAGGCTGTCGACCGCTTCCTGAGGGGATGGGAATGGCAAGCGTGAAGTGGACATGGCAAGAGGTGACCGCGTTTTGAACAGAGCAGGGAGAGGCTGGCGGCACGCCTTCACGGACAGCGGCGAGCACGAGAAGCGAACAAGTGCTACGCGTCAGCCATTGTGGCCCATAATAGACGGGAGATGCCTCGAGGCAGGCGAACGAGAACGAGCAAGACGAAAGCAGCATGGTGGACAGAATGTGAGTGCGTCAATGGCACGAGTTGACGATGAGACGAACAGACTATCAACGATTGTACAGCGAAAATAATGTATGTCGCAAACTATGGCAGACGATGGTAGGGCCCCTACCGCCCACCTCAAACAAGGACTAGGTACTCTACCACAGCAGATAGGCCTCAGCACAGGCTGGGTGCGCCTGCGCAGGCGAAGGACATCGTTGTGGCTTGGGTTGCTCGCCCCTTTGCCTGCGAATATATGCTCCCAGCCGCACGTGGCGGGCCGCGTGGCCGGAATTGCGTCACGCGCCCGTCGCGCCCAAAGTCTCCGCCGGGACACGACACCATTGCCGCACCCCCGCAAAAGCCTCGTACTCACTCGTCGTCCCTATCCTCCACTTCCTGTGACCAGCCTCGCTTTTAAGATGGCTGTCAGCGCACGCACATCCGAGTTCCGCCAGGCCGTAGATGAGAAGGAGAGGGCAATCCCAGAAGCAAAGCGGCGGAAGCTCTCTCGATCACCCAAGCGCCTGACACCAGAAAGTGAGAGGTTGGAAGCGTTGAACAAGGAGTACACAAAGGAAGCCTACAACGTCGTGAGTATGGAGCACCGTCATACCCCGCGCGAGCCATGGCGAACCGACGTCGTCCGGACCAGCTCAGCCACATCGGCACCCTGAGCCGGATGCTCTCCTCCGTGCGGAAAGCGTATCTGAACGTCGACGCCAGGAACCCGCCCATGCTGCGCCAGACCAGTCGCACCATTGACCTCGCAGGCGTGGAGCAGTCGTGGGGCGACCTCCGCAACCTGACGAACGAGGAACGGGACAAGATCGATCTGCAGGCCCGGGTCATCCTCTCGCGCTGCAAAGACAGGGTCGCGCAGCTCGAGGAGCTCGAGAAGCGTGAGTCCCATCTTCCCCCCTCCCGCCCTCTCGCCTTCTGACGCGCCAGCCCAGGTCGTACTGCCCTCGCCGCGTCGCAGCAGAACCCGTTCACGCGCTTCCTCCCCGCCCGCCTGCGACAGGACGACGCAACAGCGACGTCCGACTTCGTCGCCGCCCACCACGCTTCCGTCACCTGGTTCCTCTCCCGCCGGCTAGCGAGGCCGGCCAGCTCCTGCGTGACATGCAGGAGGAGCGCATGCGCCGTCAGCTCGAGCGCACGCGCACGCTCGGCTCCGGTGCCGCGCGCGACGCCGTCTTCCTCGGGGCGCACCCGCACCCGCCCGCGCCGCCGTCCCCGGTAGAGTCCACGGCGAGCGGGAGCTGGCTAGGGGGGGCGTCAACGTACGCGTCGAGTCTCATCGGGGGCAACGGCGGAGGAGGGGGTGGCGCGAGCGCGCTCCCGGCACGTCGCTGCGGGACGAGTGGTCGGAGACGGACGAAGAGGAGCTAGAGCTAAGCGCGTCGCAGATCCAGCAGTTCGAGGAGGAGAACGCAAACATCCTCCAGAACGCGCAGGACACGCTGCAGTCGGTGCAGCAGGCCGAGGCGCGGCTCATGGAGATCAGCGCGCTACAGATGGAGCTCGTCACGCACCTCACGAAGCAGACCGAGCAGACCGAGCAGCTGTACGAGGACGCGATCGCGACCGCGGCGACGGTCGAGAGGGGGAACGAGCAGCTGAAAGAGGCGCGTCGGAGAGCGAGGGACGGACGGCAGTGGATGTTGTTCTTCCTCATTGGAGCGAGTTTGTCGTTGCTATTTTTACATTACTACTAGGACACTGCTGTGCTCATGTCTCTCATGTTTTAGCACTGTAGGTATAGAGGCACTCATTACAATCATCCCTCGAAACGTCGACGGATCAGACTCATATACATGTCTATGCATTATGGCCACATTCGCTCTCTATCAGATGTGCATTGGCTAAGACACCGTTACAACAGTAGACTACAACTCAAGCTTCACTAGACTTACACTGGATGACCTATTTCCTGGAGCTCGACTGGATGGCCCTAAGCCCCGCTATGATATCTCGAACTCTGCCACCTTTTGTCCCTCTCCCTCCGTCTCTGTCCCCGTATCAGTAAGCCGACTGCTCCCGAAGGAGACGACGGTGGTGCGGTTCTCGTCGGCTGGCGACGGTTGCAATGCGCGGGGAGTGGGCGAGCGACCTCGGCCGGGCTTTTTTTCGAGCGCGACAATCTCGAATGAGTGCCCGTACGGGTACGGATGTGCCGCGGCGGGGCGCGAGAGAGTGGTTGAATGGGTGGGGTCCGAAGGGAAGACGGACGAGGCCCCGCCCCGTTGGCAGGCCACTGAGGCGGAGCAGAGTGAGCCCGAAGAGCGCGTCCACGCGCGCCGTTGAAAGACACGGTGGGCGATCATGAGCGGGGAGATGACCTGCGCGGGCCGGCCGGCGTCAGAGCGGGGACAAGGCCAGCAGAGGGGTCGGAGTGTACGCACTGTGAACATGATATAAAACGAGAAGACGTACGCGATTTCGGCATCGACCGCGTACGCGACGAGGTAGGTGAAGCTGACGATGGTGAAGGGGAGTGCGCTTTCGACGATGATGGCCATCGCACTAGTGTACGTCCGAGCGTCTTCATCGTTGCTGACCCCTGCGCGACACAACGCAAGCCATGCAGACACGATGCGGTAGCAGATGAGGCCGGTGACGATGACGTTGAACGCGAATGTCGAAGCCGTGTAGGTGTTCACAAAAGATGGTGCGATGCCATGAAAGTAACTCCCGCCTGGGCGCCCGTACCCGTACAGGATCCCGATACCAGAGGCTTTGCGCGAGCATCGCGGTGAGATGCTGTTGAAAGCGAAATATTTCCAAAGCTCACCGAAAGAAACAATCCACAGAAGTGCAGGAATGATGACCGCTCGTATGCCGTTCCACACAACATAGCAGCGGTACGCCTTGGCAGTGTTGAAGTTAGGCCAGTAAGATACATCAGAGCGAAAGATATACTCACCAGTAATGCATCGCTCATGAGATTGCTCATAATGCACGCGGTCGTGCCCAAGATATGATACCACACGCCCTGGTTGAGAGTCCAGTACACTTGAATGCCTCCAGGATAGTCTGCATGAACCACGAACATCCTCTCCCCGAAATACGTTTGGGGAATCCACATCATGGTACTCAAAATGATGAGGACTGTAGAAAATAGAAATAGGAACTTGTCGGATCGAGTCCGTGGATGAAGATGGTGGACGGCCATCGCCACACTGTAATAAAGAGCCAACGCGATTCCTGGCAAGTCCGCGAATCAGGCGCCAGAAACAGAAGAGAGAGAGAAAACGCTGACCGAAGAGGACCGCATCGATGAAGTTGACGATGTAGTATGCGCGCAAAAACAGCGTGCCCATGGCACACTTCTGCCAGCTTTGAGAGCTGCACACGACGGAGGAAGGCAAGTCTTGAGATTCTCCTGAGCGTACAAGTTTAAGTATGCCTTGAACCATGCACCCCTAGGGGAGTCGCATCATATGGCCCCCAACTGCAAGTTCCAGCACCACATACAGGGGCAAAAGGGGTCGCGGAAGAGGACAAGTTTTGACTGCATCGCTGTCCAACCTACCGGCGTACGTAAGCAGAGCGCCAGCCCTTTTATGGAAAAGTCTCTTATGTACCACTTACTAGGCAGTCCATGTATCTCTTGTAAGATCCGAAGACCTTGGATCAATATGATCCCAACACCACGCAGTGGCGAAGTAGTAGGAAGGGCGCCTTGCTGAAAGCCTTACTACGGAGCCGAAGCCGGTCGTGTTCTCCGTTTTACGTTTTTAACCGTCGTGGAGTTTTCGAGTACAACGGATACGAGAGGTTGGGCAAACTTCCCAAAGACACCCTGGCCTGTTCGACGCCAAATCCAGTGTCAATAGCTTCCTCCACCACGTCAGAGGCCTTTTCTCTTTCTTGACTTTTTCTCCTCAGGCGCACCGATACGACAACTTTCATATAAGACGCTGGACGCACCATTTTGGAAACGGTTGAAGGATTGGATTGGGTTGCTTCCATAAGTGATCGGTAAATTGGCTCTATTAGCTCATAGCCCTGTTCATCTGTTCAACATTCTCGCCTCTCCGAACACCGCACACTGATTCCACTGTATAGATGCACTGTTCTCTAAACGTCGTCTTCACTCCAGCTGGACATCCCAACGTACCGTTCCAACAAGTCCAAAGCGGCATGTTACAAATGGAAAAAAATGCGGTCAAACGGTAGAATCATCGTACCTTGCCCTCGAAGCACTATGTGGTCCAAGAAGCGGAGCACCCTCAGCAGCCTCTTCAACAGCTTCTTCAGCGAGCTCATCCACCTCTGGTGGAACTCCGTGAACGTGGAGGATCTCCCTCTTCATCAAGCGATAGATGATCCTGTACGCCCGGGAGGTTAGCCCTAGCGATTCGGAGTACTTTCATACCAAGTACTTACCAGCTCGTAATTATGGTGATTAGGACACCGCCGATGGATATGGATATGTTCAAGACCTTGGTGGCTGATCTCGGGTAAGCCATGAAGCTCAGATTAGGCAGCGTCAGACATACCGGTGTCCATATGTGATCGCTGCTCTCCATCCGAGAGTGAGGCAAGTCGAGACCCCACGAGCACGAAGATGGCAATCTTGGGGAACACTACGAAGGTGGCAAGGAAGAACTGCCACAAGGAGACGGATTGGACGGACTGTGCAACAGCACATGAGCCAGTGCTACTGTGGCCTTTGCGGGACTCACGGCAAACAGAGTATTCGAGTAGACCCATGGCGGGAACGGCGAGGCACGGATAAGCATAATCAGAGGGAGCCCTTTGGCGGCCTGAAGGAGGGGTGGATGTCGGTTATAAGCTTGTGCACTTCGAAATGAGGACGCAGGCGTACCACGACAGCTTCAAGTGCCTGCCATTTCTCGTTTGACGCGGACCAATTGCGCAACCTGTTGCTGAAGAGGAAACGAAGCACAACAAACGCGAATGCAGAGCCGAAAAGGGAACCCGCCGCGGCAATGTAGAACCCCTTCATTCCGTAGGCATATCCACATAGGGTGATGACAGTTGTGTGGCCCACGGCCGGAGGGAAGGAGACCGCGACTGAGAAGAACTGAGATGTGGCAGCGCGGAAACCGAGTGATGCACTTACAGAAGACGCTGTGAGGATGAGCCAACCTAGTGGGTAGTTGCTAATCTTCTGGGCAGTGTTGTACATGGCCTGACCGATGCGGTCCGGGCCGATGACAAGGAATGTGGTCCCCAGCGCCGTGTAGAGGCATATCGTAGCCCACAAGAACAACTGAGAGAAAGGCAGCGCTCAGAACGCGTAGCAACTTCGAGGAAGATGGCAGAATGACCTTGTATCGTGGGCTGAGCTTCTTGTATCTCTGCAGGGCTGCGCACAAGAACGTCTTGAGGTGAGAGAAGAGCAAGCCAGGAGCGGACTTGAGGTCCATAGCTGCGTCGGGGGCGACGGGCTGGTGGGAGAAGAGGGAGTGGAGAGACTAGAAGGGCGAGTAGAGTAGGGCGAGTATGCGGTCTGGGAAGGGATGCGAAAGGACGGGGGACGGAGGGCGAGGTGACGTACGACACCCACGCAGACGCTCGGCAGTCCATTGCGCGGTCGTCCGGGGCGCAGTATTCGGAGTTGCACGACCTCGACGCGTCGGGGCCGCTTGGACATGGCGGGGTGGCCGAGGGACCCTCGCGCGCACCAATGAGACTGCGAAGAGATGGAGCGGCGCACAAGGGGCGCACTCCGATGCGAGAGTGTCGCATCCGGGAGTCGGTCAGAACGTGAGAGATCGGGATCGGGCACACGCAGCACGCGCAGGACGCGTCGACGCCGCGCGCGCTCTCGTGCCACCGTGCTCTCCTCGACGTCCACGATGGAAAAGTTCTCTGCGTTCAGGGTACGCCGGGCTCCACGCATCCTGCTGCATCTCTGATTTTCGTTCCAGGACCCGGGCACAGGCATCCAGGTCTGTCGTATCCTCTGCGGAGTCTCCTCCACGCTCTCATCAACTGTGTCTACAGCCTTTCTGAAACCCGTCCCACCGTCTGGCACCGATGTCCTCGCTACAATATTGCTACCCGTGGATACGTTCTAGGTGCTGCCAGGTCTATGCTGTTGGTTGCTCTCGCCGTTGTCTACGTGCTTGTGCAAGGGGTGTGCCTTGTCTTCGTGAGTGTCCCTCCTCTTTACGCTTCCTCGTCCATTCAAGAGACCAGATATCAGTACCCAGTAGCTCCACTACACAGGAGCGTCTCACATATCTTCACCGCTATACTGTCTAGAACAGCGCTCTTCCTCACGGGCCTCTACTGGATCCCAGTCGAAATTGTGGCCAGGAAGCGATCGTGAGCGGGGCACTTCTCATCTTTTCGCCTCGGGCCTGATCTCCTACTAGTCGATCTGCCCCCCGCAAAGAAAACTGGTCTCCACGTGCAGGAGATCTCATTGTTTCTAACTGGGCCTCTTGGGTCGAGCTCCTGTGGCTGGCTTACCGGTGCGTCTTGTTGGCCTCTCCCCCTCCCATCTCGGCATTTCATCATTGTTTAACCGCCCTAGTTTCGACCCTGTGTTTGTCCTGCCCATATGCGAAACACCCGCATCCTCCCCCCCTCAACGCCGTCGACTCCCCTTGCGCGCGCCCGCACCCCCGGTCGCCGCACGGGCACCGGCTCCGCCGCGCTGTCCAACCCTGGCGCTCGTGCTCCATCTGCTAGGGTCCCATACGGGTTTCCGCCGCGTCGGCCTCCTCCGCATGCTCGCCGCCGCGGCCATCTCCCGCTCGTGGCACGTCCTGGGAGTGCGGAGCCGGAGAGCCTGGAGGCCATCCGATCCGACGCAAGAGCCCGGTGGTGGTGTTCCCCGAGTGCACCACCAGCAACGGGCGTGCGCTTCTGCGCTTCGCGGAGGTCTTCGCTGGCATTCGAGTGCCTGTGATGAAGTTCAAGGTGTTTGTGATGTGTGTGAGGTGGGTGAACGTTTCCTCTCTCTTTACTTCAGCTTGTACTCACCAACGTACTTGACGTGCAGATACGACCCTCCCACAGCCTTTGCACCCTCGGTTTCCCACTCAATAGTCGGTGCACCTTTCAACCCGCTCGGGCACGCTTTTGCTCTAGCGAGCTCGCTGGCCCGCTCACTATGTCTGTCCGGCTGCTCTCACCCGCGGAGTCGCCAAGCTCAGGCTCGTTCCTCTGTCGGAATTCCTCACCAACGGGGTCTACAACGACGAGCTTGGCGAGTGTTGCGCCGCGCTTATGTCACAGATCGGCCGTGTCAAAAGGGTGGGCATGGGCTGGGAAGACAAGGCGGCGTTCTTGAATCTGTATAAGGGCAAAAAGTAGGCATACAGGGAGAGTAATTGGCATATAGTCATAATCAGGGTATATCACATGGCCGAAGGTCCGTAGTTCTGCTGTGAGCCGCCGCAGCCTTCATTGCAGGTCATCAGATGGATCGGGCTCACTCAAGGTAGCTCCTCCCAGTGGAACAACGCGCCCTGCCTGTCGTAGGTCGTCTGTTCGATGGCGCTCACGAGATCGTTTCAGTCTTCAAGATGGCGAGGAGCGAGGAGATGTATGCGGTGGTCACATCCGCGCCGAGTAGTTTGTGCATGAAAGGGGCATCATCTTGTTGGTCATGAGGGGTGGAGGGCGGCTTGCCGAGCTCGAAGGTGTCACCACCTCATTCAACTCCCCCACATGGTGGGCGTATGGCATTGGGCGGTCAGACCTCGACGACGTTACTCGCGGAGGCAAAATTGGGGACAAGGGCGAGTTGCGGTATGGTTCGCATTCGCTTGTTGACTTTGGGACCGTCCACAGCCTTTCGGCTCGTGGTTCGTGCGTTGTCGCATCAACAGGTCGTCTCTCCGGCTGTCTACCCTCGTTGTGTTGTGCCCACTAGCACCACGTATATCAGCCGTGAGCCCGTCGAGAGAGCTCACTGCAGATACTCACTGTTCGTCGGAGCCGAAGGACGCTGCCGTGCAGGTTGAGACCGGCCAGCCATCGTTCAGCGTTGAGTGCATCTTCCTGATTGGCGTACGTGATAGTCCTGCCAAACATGAGGAGTTAGCTCGTCGTCAAATACGCTCTCCGGCTCTAAGTCGGCGCTTACCCTTCTCGGTAGCCAATGGTGCAACCTACTACATCCCCACCAAACTGAGCACCAAATCGGATCAAGTCCTGTCGTAGCGTCAGAACGAGTTAGGATCCTTCCAAAAGCATAGGCGTACCGTTTCTAGGGTGAATATATCTAGGTTTGTCACAGAGACGGACCAACTTTGGCCTTGACGGCTTGCGGAACACGGGTAAGGTCCGTAAGCCCGCCTGCCTTGATCTTCCCGTCGGCGCAGGGAAGGCGGACGCGCAATGGCTACCTTAAGTTTTCCTGTTTGCATCATGAGGCGCCTCATTTACAGAGCGATGACGGAATAGTTCAACGTACTGAGGCCAAGGAAGCGTTTACGGTGAAATGCTTTCACGACATTCTGCAGAAACAGTCAGAGCAGTGAGCAATATGGCATGAGGAAGATATCGACGAAATGGGATTACATGTGCAGCCTATATAGGATCGGCGTAAGCGAGAAATGGGTCAGCACTCTCAGTTGAAGAACAACGCCACCGCACCCGTTCAGTGTCAAATTGGACCAAAGCGATACCTTCGAGAACAAAGGTGTCAGGACATTCGTGTTGCACAAGGGACTTAGATGCCAAGGAGACTGACCACCAGTCTTTCGCGTGATAGTAGAAATGTTCCCATACGCGGATAGGCACTGGATGGGGTGAGACAGAATCTGGGCTGAGTCCTACCCAGACGTACCTGATCGATCTCTGAAGTTTGAACCCTGTCAGGAAGGTCTGAGGAGAGCGTGTCTCAGCGCAAGCGGGTATCTGCAGACTGAGCCACTGACTTCCTAGGAATACTGTGGTGAGCGACATGGCGGGGGAGGTGTACACTGGGAGGACAGTTTAGTAGCGAGCGCAGCTTGGGGGCCGCCACGATTTATAAGGACACGCTTTCCTAATGTGAGCTGTATGTGGGTCGGCTTCTGGGTCGAGGTGTGTGGGCGCACATGTTCGTAAACCCGTGAACCGGTCGGTGCGGAGACGGGAGGATTTGGGTGAAGAAGCACAGCCTCGGACACAATCGGGTTCTTGTTCGGTGAACCTGTAGCTCATGACTAGAGCATGTATCCTATTGTCTACATTCGGATAAATGAGATGGAATGTCTGAGCTGCTGTCTACAGCTTGGCTTTGGTCGACTTGACAATCGCCTGAAAAGCCTGTCTCAGATCATCCTTCAAGTCCTGGAGGAAAGTGAATGATCAGTCATCAAATCCGCCTTCCGTTCGCGATGCGCCACTTGCCTCCAGATCCTCGGCGCCCACGCTGATGCGAATCAGCCTAGGGTCTGCCCCAGGGTCTGAGTGCACACGTTGCTCTATCAGGGACTCGACACCGCCCAAGCTTGTCGCAGGCTGTAAGAAGCGCAGGGTGAGTCAGACGGCTCCGTGGCTTCTAGCCGAATTTGGGACTCACGATGAAGTACTTGAGGGAATGCGGCAACAACGCCGCGTACTTCTCGTTCGTCATCTTCACAGGACATCAGCAGATATCCAGCATGTCTGGATCTTCTACACTTACAAAAATGGCAAACGTTGGGTTCCATCCACCCTCCAGCTGCGTCTGGGGGTCAAACCCACGGGCGTCCCTGCCTTGCAAGCTGGAATGCCACACGGTCTCTATTACCTCCGCTGGTATACCGTCGTGGGACTTGCCCTTCAGGAAAGTGAGATCATGGCAGGAATGGAAAGTGGTGTTGCTCATACCCCTGCGGCCTTGGACAACCATTGAGCCAGCCCAAAGGCGTTATCGGACTGTCTCGGGACGCGAAGGTGGAGGGTGCGAAGGGAACGGAGCAGGAGCCATGATTCAAGCGAGCCCATCATGTTACCAAGGAATGTCCGGATGGGCCATAGCTGCAGCCGTTGTTTGTTAGTTGGTGCTTCGAGAAAACGGGGACGAAACTACCTCTTTCCACTGCTCCAAAGTAGGAACTATCAAGACGCCACAAAGCAAGTCAGAGTGTCCACCGAAGTATTTGGTTCCTGGATGCATGCTCTAGCTCGAGAGCATGTCCGAAGTGTCGACATGGAGCTCACCGCTGTGCATAATCATGTCGGCGCCCCACTTGAATGGGTACTGCAACGGAGGCGGCGCAAAAGTAGAGTCCACGACCAAATGCCCTCCGGCGGCGTGGACTTTGTCGGCGTAGTACTTGATGTCCCTGAAGGCAGGTCTTAAAGTGTCCTATTTCGCTGAATATAGAGCATACCTTGCCACACCGGTGGGGTTGAGGGGCGTCTCGAGCCAGCACAAGTCGCCAGGCTGGAACTCGTCATCGATGTCGATGATGGGCATGTCCTTCCGACCACGTTTAAATACTTCAATGGTAGCATGGCATCCGTGATAGCCCCCCGTGATAGCCACGCGCTTGGGCGTGTAATAAACCAGCGCCTGGGATTGCCCTGATGTGAGTAAGGAGAAGGAGCAAAGGATGGGAGACAACGGACGGTATAGGTTGCCGAGAGACCCGAGGCCACGGTCAGGGCATATCCACCCTGGAAAGCCCACTTGAGTGTTTGTCAACGCCTGGGATATGTTTTCGCCCCTCACGTTGATCTTACTGAGGACTCGCTCAGCGCGACCGCTCACATTCTGGGTGTAGCGCGAGTAGATGTGCTGTGTGGGATTCCAGGTGTCGAACTCGGCCTTCGGCCCGTCGTGAGGTTTAGGAGCTCGGAAGGCTACACGCGATCAGGTGTGCTGATACACTGGCAAATGATGGAAATGCGTACTGGTGGACACAGACAACGACGGCGCAACCTCTGGACCGTGAAGCTCGTCGTCGGCATGGATGAGGTCCGTGCCGCTGAGCGTGTTCTTCTTGTCTGTGGGCTTGCCAGTCATAGCTTGAGTGCGACGTCGACCTGTCTGCTGTCGGTGGAGGACAAGGAGAGCACGTTCAAGCGCGAAGCGAGCCCGTGCTGCTGACTCGACGGCCTCGGACCGTCTCCGGCCTTCTCACCAGTCATTTCCATCGCGCAGAACGCGTCCCAGACGCGTCGGATAACGGGCCACGGCGCCGTGCGGGTGAGGGTCTTCCCAGCACGTGCTTGCCCGAGCAACGCCAAAGGCCTCCGCGTTCCCTGGAGCCTCGTCCCCTTCCACCATCTTCTGCGAGTATCCCTCACTGCGTTGGCACCCCCACTCTTTGCCTATCGTCCTGTCTACCTGCCAGCCATGAAGCCCATCAAGGTCTTGCGAGTCACTTCGGCCCTTCTGGTGCTTTCCTTGTTGGGTTCCAAGATTTCTACCGTCTCCGCCGCTAGTATGGATGCTGCCCGCGTGGCCCTGGAGCGACGCTACACTACGCCTCACTCTCTGGGCGACAGTTACGTTTTCGATCCTCGTGATGGCTGGGAATCCGTCAACACCACCAACTTCCTGTACAAATACGACCAGACTTCCGAACGCTCGCACATGCATGAGTCTTCTTTGTCGCATTCTAGATCTGCTCGCATCCATTCCTCGCGGTCCCCCAAGAAGTCTGCCTCCTCACCCAAGTCAGCCTTGAACGTGGCTACTGGCGCGATCACGAACACCCTCACCAAGATCTTAAACACTATCAAAGGGCTTGGCAAAGCGGAGCCTGTGACAATCACCTGGTGCGTGCCCTTCGAGCACTTGACACTTTCACTCGCATTGAACGTCAGCTGCAGGTATACCGGTCATGACCTTGAGAACCCGAGCTGCTGGTCGAAGAGTGTGTGGACGCCCACGGTAAGACACGCCTTGTATGCGCGAAGTTTCATTCTGGTCTAACTCAACACTCAGGACAAGTCCTTTGCCGCGGCTCTCACGCTCAAAGGGTGGTCGACCAAGCCCAAGTGCTTCAAGTTCCTCGAGTGTATGTCCTTCTTGGTGCCAGTGTACGCGGAAACTCATTCTCAATGCGCAGTGTGCCATACATCGAAGAAATGTGTGTTTGTGCGGGTCGTTGACTCGTGCGCCGGCTGTGCAGCCGACTCGAAGCATGTAGACCTCACAAAGGCCGCCTTCTCATCTCTCGCCGACCTTGATGAAGGCTTGCTCAGCGTACAAATGCGGCAAGCGACTGACCCGAAGGAGGGATGGCGAGTCCATTTTTCTTGTCATCTCGCAGGGCACGTTCTGACCGGCGTGCAGGCTCGAGGACCTCTGGGGGCCGAAGTGAGCTTGGGCTTGATCACATCGTCGTACGCAACATTCGCAACACGAGCTACGAGCATCTGCGGGATCAGGTGCACACACTATTGTATCGATAACATCCTGTCACCGTATCTCTGCATGTACAACACAGACTAACCTCATGAACTTTCCTCTTTGACTTGAAAATTTGTCTGCGTCCGATGAGAAGCATCAACGGGTGCTATCTGAGTGACATATGCATAATGGCATTGTGCAGGAATACACTAAAACTGCGTACAGTTTACGCCTTCACGTTCACCCTCTTCCGTTTCTTTCCACCCTCTGCGATCTTCGCACGCACCTCTTCCTCCGTAGGTGCCTCCTCACGCTCAAAGAACTCGGCCGTCCTCCGCGCGTCGTTCTGCCGCTGCACGAACCGGAGCGCGGCAAGGTTGTAGCCGATGGTCTCTTTCTGGCGGCGGAGCCCGTCGCGCAGGCTGCGGCGGAGCGGGATGAGCGCGGTGCGCATCACCCGATTCGCGACAATTTGGTGGTGGTGCGTCTTGAGCAGGAAAAAGATGATACGCGCGGTGAGGACGATGTTCCACTCCTGCCAAAGGACAAAACCGCGGTCAGCTTCCACTCACACCGACGCAACTCACGACGGGTTCACCTTCTGCGCCCAGTGGTTCAGATACCGCATCAGGCTCACCACCTTCCCGAACGGCAGCACGAGCAGCGCGTCGTATAGCGCCGTGCCGTTCACGCGCTCCACCACCTTCAGCACGTATTCCTCCGGCCGACGTCGTACGCGGCGAGGATCGGATGGCGGGGCGGCGGGGCGGTACCCGGCGCGAGCCCGCCCTTGTGCAGAGCCTCCTCGTACTCGCGCGTCTGCTCGAGCTCGTTGTCCGCGAGGTCGAGGGCCTCCATGATCCGCTCCCCGGCCATGAGGGTCTCCGTCGTCTGCTTCGACACCGCGCCTGTCTCGGCGGCACCTGCGGCGGCAGGGTCGGCGCCGGGGGCTCCGCTGCCGATGGGTGCGTCCTCGCGGTTGAGGGAGTCGGCGATGCCGGTTTCGTACAGAGCTTCGAGCTCGCGCTCGCGCTCTTCTTCGAGGAACAGCTGACGATCAGGGAGACGCGCCGTTAGACACAGCAAATCGCACACAGACTAGCACATACCGGCTCGTCGAGCTTCTCCCACACGCGAATGGACTTGTCGTGCGACCCGGTAACTACGAACTTGCCGTGATGGCTGACAGCAAGTGCCCACACTTCACTGTGGTGGCCCTCGAGCTTCTGGATGTTCTCGAACCTGTCGCCGTCCCAGTACTTGACCATCTTGTCTTTGCCGACGGTCCAGAAATAGTGCGAAGGCTTCGTGTTCTCCAGATCTCGCGTGTCGTTGCGCTCGAAGGCGACTTGCATCACGCTCTCGTCGTGCGCGAACAGAGACTTGTGGCAGTCGCCGAAGTCGAGGCCCCAAATTTTGACGTTCTTGTCGGCAGAGCAGGTGACGATGAGCTTTGAGTCGCCCGATATGTCCATCGACAGCACAGGGAGCTTGTGGCCGTACAGGGAAAGGAAAAACTTGAGGGTGTCTTGGTAGAACACCTTGACGGTGGAGTCGAGTAGTGCGACTGCAAGCAACTTGCCATTCGGGCTATACCGCACCGATAGCACGTCATCCGTCATTTTGAGGGTTCGCACATGAACCAGTGTGAGGAGGTGTGTACCTCGAGGCTGTCATAGAGTGTTAGCATAGCTAACATGCCGAAGGCGTTGTGCATACGTTCTCGCTATTGGCGGGCTTGCGCTCGAAATCCCAAAACTTGACATCCTTATCCGCGCTGCCGCTTACAAGACCGGTTTCGTCTGGACGAACATGGATGGACCATACAGTGCCGGAATGCGCCTGCAGAGTGTCGACGAGCGTGGACGAGGCTATATCGTAAATCAATATCTCGCCTGACTTAGTGCCGACAGCTACTTGACGGTCTCCTGGGAGGAAGGTGCTGCATATGGCGTATCCACAGTCCATAGTGCGAATGCATGCAATGGTCTTCATATTCCATATCTTGAGCGATCCTGTTAACAGCTTCAGATTTGCGCTAGCATGAATCAGATATAACTGTACCATTGGAGGCGGACGCCAAAAGACCGTCATCGGAGCTCAGACATAGCGTTCGAACATCTGACCTGTGTCCGGGAATATCTACCGAGAAGATCCGGCTCGCTTCCGGAGGGTCGTCTTTTGATTTGGTCGGCGGGGGAATGCTGTAGACTTCTAGGGCATTGCTGGAAAGAGCGACAAACAAGTGCACACTGCCTTTTGCTGCCGAATCCTCTTCGTCGAAATGGAACGACCTGACCTTGCCGCTCGCCCGTACGATCACGTACGGTTGGAACAGGTTGGCGATAGCCACTTCTGGCTCGTCTTGTTCTCCCTCCATGTGAATATCGGTGTCTTCCCCTTTATGCTTGCTTTTGTCTTTCTTCTCCTGCTCCTTCTCCTTGGCACGTTTGCGTCTCCGGGCCTGCTTCTTTTTGATCTCGTCTTCAGTACGGATTCGGAAGACTTCCACAGACTTGTCATGAGACTGCACGGCAAGGAAAGGCTTGTGAGGGTGGAAGGAAATTTGAGAAACTTTGTGGGAAGAAGCGAGAGGAAGCGTGGTTGCCGGGTGGATGAACTTCGAGACCTGGACAAGGGGGTCAGCACAGAATTAACGAAGCGTGGACGATGCGTACCCCTCCATTTTCAGTTTCGCGGAGACCCTGAGCCAGCGCTTCATGGTCAACCTTCCACACTTTCATCTCGCCATCCCCGCTGCCCGTGAACGCAAGATTTTGTTCGGGGTCCAGGTCTAATGTCCATAGTTCGGAGCGATGAGCGACAATGGTTTGAATACAGTGTTGCGTAGAGAGGTCCCAGAGCTTCATGAATGTATCCTTGGACCCGGTGAGAAGAAACCCGGGCGCGACTCCCGTAGAAGTGGAAGGCGCGGACTCCGCGACGGGGCGAAGGAATCGAATGGCGGTGATTTGGTCCCGATGACCGCGTAACCTTGAATGCGCTTCAATACGCCAAACATGTGTCCAAGGAGCGGACGACGTACCGATACAACCCAGCTTCTCCCACCACATCCCACAAAATGAGGTCAGTGTCCTGAGAACCCGAGGCCAAGCGCGTGCCTGACTCGTCGAACGCGAGGGCCGTAACGGCCTTTTTGTGCCCATTGAATGTTGCTAGGACCGACGCCGAAGACGCACTCCAGAGCCGGACAGAGCCGTCGGCATACCCGACCGCGAAGTGGTCCTTTTGAGGGGAGCGGCCAATGCATGTAACTTCTGCTCGATGTCCGGTTTCGTGCCACATTGCAAGCTGCAAGGGTGTAAGAGGAAAAACAAACGCACATATTCATGACGCACCATCTGTCCTTTTTTCATGTCCCAGACGAGCACATCCTCGAGCGTGGGGACATATGCGAGTTTTCCATCATAGTGCGAGTTGGAAGACGAGCTGCACACGAGCCCGAATGCCTGCAAGTCATAAGACAAGCCATATTGCAAGCCGGTAGACGGTGCGCACCTCTGTCGGGCCGTGGCGTAGATAGCTCTGCACCATGGTGCAGCGGGAGGGGGAGGGCTGGGCGGAAGACGGTGGGGCGGACGCGCCTGGACTCTGGAGCCAATCAGAGCGGACGAAGGGGAATATTTCGAGGGTTCCCACGAGTGCTATGTCGTCCTGCTCGATGTCTGTCCGCCCGATTGCCCGGCACACGCTCTCCTTTCTGCGCAGGCCCCGCTTCCCTCGCCCGATCCCGCGTATATATCTCTGCGTACCCCCTGTCTTCCTCCGCACGATGACCATGATGACCCGGGAAGGTCCTGAGCCCGCCCACCGCCTCCTCGATTTCGTGAACGCGTCTCCCACTCCCTTCCACGCCGTGGCTGCTGCCTCCGCCCTCCTTGAGAAGGCCGGCTTCACCAAGGTTTGTTGGCCCATCTACTCTGCAATAACCATTCTCATCGTCGCTTCAGATCCACGAACAGGATGACTGGGAGAAAGATGTGAAGCCTAGCGGCAAGTACTACTTCACTCGGTGAGCTACAGTCCTGCACCATCCCGCGTCTCAGGCGTTCATTTCGATATCCCTGCCAGTAACCAGAGCGCCATCCTTGCCTTCACCATCCCCAAGGGATGGCAGCCTGGTGCTGGTCTGTCCATCGTCGCTACGCACATCGATAGCCCCAACCTCCGAGTCAGTTCAATGACATCGCCTTCCTCTGTCAACCCGCGTTGAACACCATCGCAAGTTAGATCAGGCCTGTTTCCAAGCGCTCTAAGCTGGGTTACATGCAAGTTGGTGTCGAGACCTACGGAGGAGGCACCTGGCACACCTGGTTCGATCGCGACCTCGGTGTCGCTGGGAGGGTCGTCGTTGCAGACAAGAGCGGAAACTTCCATACCAAGCTTGTCAAGATCGACAAGCCCATCATGCGCATCCCGAACCTTGCCATTCACTGTGAGTCTCACGCATAGTCGTAACATATCGCGCTGACGAGGGCCAGTAGTGGAACGAGGGTCCGCTGACAACTTCAAGTTCAACATGGAGTCCGAATTTGTTCCAATCTTGGCACTCGAACACCAGTTGAATGCGAAAGGTGAAGATACTCGAAGTTCACAGACGTCTCCAAGCGCGTCAAGCATCCAGGCCAACCACCACCCTGCACTCCTCAAACTGCTAGCCACCGAACTATCGGTTGCTCCGGAGACCATTCACGATTTCGAGCTGTTCGTCGTTTGCTATCAATACATCCAGTTCATCATATTCATCCAGATCACAGGCATCTCTTCGACGTCAACAAATCGGTTCTTGGTGGTCTCAACAGCGAGTTTGTTTTCAGTCCTCGGCTTGACAACCAGTTTTCATCGTCAGTCAAAGTGCACACCGTCCAGACTACGTTCCCAATTGACGCGTCACAGGTACTGCGCCGTTGAAGCCATCGCCAACTTTGCTTCCTCAAGCCACTTCGCCGCTCTTGAGGGCAACGTGGCATGCATCTCGCTCTTCAACCATGAAGAGATTGGTTCAGTCTCGACCACGGGAGCGGAGTCTTCTCTCGTCCCGTTCCTCTTGCAACGCCTCTCACCAGCCCCGGGAGCATACGCCCAGTCTGTTGCCCGGTCTTTCCTCATCAGTGCCGATATGGGTCATGCGGTGCATCCGAACTACGCAAGCAAGCATGAAGATAATCACGCACCAAGGATGAACGGAGGAGTTATAATCAAGACGAACGCGAAACAACGCTACGCAAGTGACTCTGTTGGCAGCTTCCTCGTGAAGAAGCTGATCGAGAAGAGGAACGGCAAAGTTCAGGAATACGAGGTCCGGAACGATATGTGCGTGGTTCGTTTCACCACATGTTCAAACTTCTGACACTCCTATAGGGCGTGTGGTTCTACTGTCGGCCCCTTTTTATCGAAGATTGGGGTGCGAACGGTGGACATCGGTTGCGCCATGCTTGCTATGCACTCCATTCGCGAGACGGCAGGGTCATACGACGTTCAGAACTACATCGACCTGTTCGAAGAGTTTTTCGCTGGGTTTTCGACACTGGATAAGTCGCTGTCTTTTGAGTAAAAGTGGCGACATCGGAGCAGTATCACTTACCACCACTATCATGTCGGCCCAATGTAAAGTTCACTTCAAAATTTGCCTGCCCAAGTTCAAACTTTCTTGATGTATACTCATGGCTGATAGTGGTGCAGTGATGGAGTGAGCATCATGACTCCGCTTTCCAGGACCGGCTGCATGCGGCATATATTGAGTGGACACGCAGATACGGGTCCCTTGACCGAACATTCAATCATGGAAACTTCAACAAGACGCGCTGTTCGTCGCGAGTCAATGCGTTGACGAATGGGACTGCAAATATAGTACATGTTCCACCGCGAGTAACGACGGATACTGGGGGATCTACGAGCACTTGGGCTTCACCCGGACAGCGTCGAAAATTTTCGCAGACAGCAATCAGACATGGGACGGTGGACCCATCGTATGTCACCTTGTAATTCTGGGAGTCTCGCCTCATGGTTCCCATCTCTAATCTCATTTACTCCAGATGTATCATGCCACCACACTACTTACTAAAGCCATGGATTCGGCGTACATGTCCTCGCGAACGACTAAGCCTTGTGTTGATGCATCACCCGATGACTTCTGTCACCGATTGTTCAATATAATAGTGGATGTGGCTCTGGTGCCGCACGGCTCGAAACCATGTTGTAGGCCTTCTACGACTCTTTTCATACGCCTCCATAACCACCTGGTCATCTCACAAGCTGAGTTGCTTTCGCGACATACACGGTCACGAGGCTTGGGGAACGCGCCCTTCTGTAGTTTATATATGGCCGGGACAGCGCCTCGCAGGGATCAAACTTTGAATGTCTTCTTTCATGCTTGATACTGCCCTGGCATCCTCTTCTCCCATGCTTTCCGTCGGTCCCCCGTGTCTCTGCCATCCTCAAAATGGCTGCTCAAGATGGCCACAACCTCCCGAGTGATGTGACACCTCTCCTTCAAGAGAAGGTGAAGGTAGTAGTTATGCGATATCGTACATTCGTCTCGTTCACATTTCATCGGACAAAGGAGGCTAATGTTTCCGGGCTGGGCAGGTGACATTCCAACAGCGCACCGAGCGTATGAGAGGGCGTTCACCACCGACTCGCTCATGCCCTACTTTGTTGTGCGTGCCAAACCAGCAAATGTCATTCGCAGCACTCCGCTTACAGCCGACTAGTCAGCAGACACGGCGCCGTTCTACGAGGCCCGCACAGCCCTCAACCATGCTTTGAGCTGGGGAGGCGCGATCCACGACGGGCGCATGCTGACCATCGAGCGGGGTGCAGCCACGATGAAATAGTACGTGCTCATTGAATCCACTTCAAACAGAAGTGCCGACACTTTCGTCCGTTCCCTTAGCTCGTCGCCGGGGAACAACTCCGCTCCATGGTGGACTAAGAAGGGCCTAGCAGTCCTCAAGCGCTTCGCTGCCCCGGAAGCCAACGAGGTGTGCTCACTGCTTCTTGGTTTTGCATCTCTCGAGTGTTGAACATCGGTCAACTCCAGCGCTGGGGTGAGTTCGGCCTGAAGATGCAAGAGATGTTGCAAGAGTCGGGATTGAGTGAGAAGGTGGCGGACATGCACGAAATCCAGGCCCTCTGGTGTGATCCGTCTGCCCAAGGCAAGGGTTATGGGACTGCGCTCGCCCGATATGTCATGGCATTAGTATGTTCAAGCCCCCATTCACAGCTGCAGGAACCTATCTGACTCGGACCCGACATACTAGAGCGATGTGGACGGTCACGACGTATGGCTGGTCACGACCGACGCGTGGACATTCTACGACTATCTTGGATTCACCAAGGTTTGCTCTGGCGTGGTGGCGGCAATAATCCAACTTGGGACGGCGGGCCTATTTCTTGTCACATCGTGAGCACGATTTTTCGCCACAACGTCTAAACCTTTGCCGACAAGGTGTTCTCACAGATGTACAGACCGTCGAAGGCGTCACAGGTCCGGGCGTCCGCACCAGATCTGCAACAGTCTTACAATTGAGATCCACGTGCATTTCTGGGGCCACTGAGATAGTGAGCGTCGTCAAGAATGGATCCAAATACAGTATATGTCTACAATACAGCCGACTGGCGACGGTCCGAGTCCGAAGCACACAAGTGACCCAAAGACGACGCTATGATCGCTTTGCGCGTTTCTTTGGGTTCTTTTCCGTTTCCTCGGTGTTGACCGCGGATGGACGTGGCGGAGGTCCGCTGAGCATGCTGCGTTTTTTGGCCGTTCTTGAGTAGTGCGCAAGCACCCATTCGCGCTCAGCTTCCGATTGTTCGATCGTTCCTTGACGAATCTCGTACGCTGTTCAACGTACCAGGTCATCATGATGCCATAGCAAGCGCATCGCGAAGAACTCACGCTTCATCTCAAATCGCGGCCCAACTTCGGCGAGCTGAATTTGCTTTGGGGGAATCTTCATGAAGACGTGGTGCCGGAAAGAGATGAAGTCATCCTCATTCGCGAACGTCATGACGCGTTTGCTATCTTCCTTTGGCACTGGGAACAGATGCTTCAGGACGTCGCGGATGCGCTCGCCTAGCTCGACGAAAAGTTTTCGAAGATGATGTGGGGGTATTGCTCCGAAACGGTAGAGGACTTGTAAGACGCGATGTCGTGCCGCAGCTGCACGTTGTGTAGCGTAAAGTATACGGTCGGTCCGTGCGGGAAGTGGGAGACGATCATAGCATCTTGAGGGTGGCATGTTGAGATCGTGGATTGACCGCGAACGGAGGAAGACACGCACCTGGCACACCACGGTGTTCATGCAGGATAACGAGGTCTGTGACGTCGTTGGCTCTACATGCCTCCGCCAACTCTTTCACGACGTAGTTTCCTCGGTTTATGCGATGTGAGTTGGGGAACACGAGACGCATCTCCTGGAGGGGTAGCACTGGTATGAGAACCAACACATCGCAAAGGGTCCAAGGCGACACATACCTTCGAGAACTGCAGAAGCTTCGAGCTAGGATCTCGCGAAGTCGTGACGATGATTTTGGGGTCCATATCCCCGCGCGCGAGTACTCGTTGTCGATGTGCGAAGAAGGGTCTGAATTCCCCGCGCACGTTTGAGCGACCCGAACCTGACACTGACGGCACCCTGACGCACCTGCTTGCGCCTCGTCGAAAGCCAAGTCCTTCCCTAAAGTGCCTGCATCCTTCTTTAGCTCCGTAGGCAGCGCCTTTCCGTTAGCAAGCGCATCCTTGATTTGCTGCTTCCGAGCGTACGTCTGCCTCTCTTGGCTTCGAGCGACTTGGCATAGATGTACTGGCGGCGCTCGCGTGCTTGTCTTCGATCTATGTTGAGTGTCAGTACGACCGCAGAGCGCAGATATCCAGTACAGACGAACCATTATGGATAACGGAAGTGCATGAAAGGGTTATAAGGCCATAGTGAAGAACTATTCGCAAGGACTGGGGAGCCGCACAGTCAGCGCCTAGCAAAAATTCGATCAGGTCGTAGATTAGATTAGATGGAAGCAAGTTCAGCCATGATTGGCATGTATACACCAACAGTAACGACGGAACACTGATATATGCATTATTCAATCCTTGCTCACGAGATACATGAAGATAGTCGGATGAATGCCCATACAAGCCCGATAGCGCAGTATATACTGGTGAGCATAAGAGGAAGAAACTCGTAGCCCGATTCTGACGATCCATTCGCAGAGAAGCGGCGAGCTAGCAGAGGAAGAAGGGTGACCACCAGTTGAAGTATCGGAAACCCAGCGATGTAGATGCGTTCTACGACATCCATCACAACGAAGGGAACGCCTCGTGGGAAGCTGCGCAGGGTGATGAAAACAGAGTACACAGGAGGCAAAAGATTACGCACGTGTAGACCTGATGGTGGATAGGCCTCAGGACAAAGATGCACCACAGAGCAGAATAGATGATCTTGACAAGCGTCTCTGGAGCGGAATCAGCTATTACACACGGCTGTCAGACGACCTACATACCTGCAGGCGTAAACAGTAAAGGGAACAACGAGAATATTCCTGCCACAGAGGCTATTGTAAACGTACGGAAACTCTCATTGTCATCTGCGGCAAGCAAACTGCGGAATGTTAACGATTGTGCAGTATGACAGAGCATCACATCGTACCTCAGGGGAACCAGCACAAGCAAAATCGCTTTCTCGTGCACATGCCAACCAAACATGTAAGACGTGAAGCCGCACAGCGTCAGTGCAGTGACGAACGATTTGTATGACATGTTGGTCCAAAGCTTGCCCATGTAGATCTATCGCAGGGCGCGTCAGTTTTGGATGGCTGCAGATCAAACACCTAAACACTCGCCGTCTGGAAGGCAACAGTAATGGCGAAGGTGTGAATAGGCTTCACGTTTGGGATTACCGCAAACACTGTGTCCCCGACGAGACCGCGAGAGGTGGAGGCAACGCCTGATTCATTGACCGCCAGACCACCGAGCTGTCCGTGACCGATAACTACGAAGGACGAGGAAATGAGACGGATAAGAAACCAAGTTCGTGGACGGACCACGTACGCTTCAGTAGGATTCGGTCAGCCGCAGTAACTAGAGCCCAAACATTGGGGGCCCAGTAAGCGTGATTCAGTCCACGAGTAAAGGGGAAAAGCCTGCTAAGCAGTTGAGGGAGCTGCCCCATGAGTAAGAAGGGCCCAAGAGACACCAGGAATGTGAGAATGACAGCATTGGCGAGGGCGAGGAAGCGACCCGGAAGGAGTGTGTATGATGGCGACAGGCAGTACGAACGCAGGAGGTATATGAAGTAAGCAGGCTGTAGAGGCGCATGAGCACATTGACAAACGTCGTGAGCAATGAACTGACTGCAAGGTATAAATAGATGTGCTTGAAGTTGAGCAGAACAGCGAACAAGAACCCGCTTGCCAATTTGCGATCCTGTGACGGGGATGGTCAGCCCGAAAATTCACTCTAATGCCCACAAGGTCCGTACATTACGGGCCATGAGTAATGACCAGAGAAGGATGCCGAACATGAACCCGTTGTACTGGAAATGTATGTGGTCCACGATGAGGAACCCTGGGTGCAGAAAGAGTGACGCTGAGATGATAGACTGCATCTTGGGATTCTCTGCTCCTCGGGTGAACCTGAGCAATGATGTGAGTAGAAAATACCGTGGATGCAAGAGGCACACTCACTTGAGTGCAGCCGCCCCAAGCACCAGCTCAGTGACAATGACTGTCGTCCTCTGATATGCAACAACAGACCACGCGCCGTAGTGCAGATTATTGAGGTCGACGATTGCAGGGTTTACGAAGTAAGCTGGGATAGACAGCAGCTTCTCAAAATACGCGAAGAATGGGGGGTAGTCGAGTGCTACACTTTGGTCAGCGTGACCGCATCATACCTCAGACGGAACCAATACTCACTCCATTCCGATGTTGTCTACGGCCGACCAGTTGTATGTTTAGTGAAGGACTGTATTGGGCAGAAGAGGGGACGCATACATCGTAGTACCATTTAGACACAGGTAATGAATGGGTAATGGCGAGCCAGTTACGGTGCACCTCAAAGTCGGTGGATCGACTGTAAGCGGACACTCAGCGGGGGCGCGGAAAGGAGGTTGTAGACAGCACACACTATGCAGGAAAAAGCAGCAACTTGAGGCATGTCGACGCGACGAGAACCCCCCACTCAGGCTTCGATAGATCTACCCATGAGGCCCATCCGGTCTTGCCCTGTGGGGAGGCCGCCTTATCCTCCTTTTCAGCCGACACGCTCTCCTCCGGTATGGAGTCGGGCAATAGATGTGGCTTCTCCGGGCCTGTAAAAGTCGAGGACGAACGCGCCGTGACTGGCGACAGCCGAGATTGGCTCATCAGCGGAAATGGTTCAGAGATACGAACAGTGGTCTGTGGCAGAGCCTGGGGGACACAGAGGGGTGGTGGTAGAGCTGACGATGGAACCGGCGGGAGGCAGCTGGCAGAGGCCGCAGCACGGGTGCCACATCACATGATGCGGGGCAGTCGGACGCGCCGTGGCGAGTTGCGGATGTCTTCCGTACCACCACTACACCCCCTGCATTATCACTAGGGTCGACAGAAAAACACAATGAGTGATCAAGCAGCCGCAGGAAAAGTGGTGGCACATCAGGCCGAGCAACGGGGGTCAGTTCAACTATTACTGTGAACCCATGAGTGTGGCTCATTTGGTGCATTCTACTTGACTAGTGGAGTTCTCATGAAGCTCGTCATATTCGCCGTGTCCCTGGGGCTCGTACCAATATCCTCATACTTCATTTCTCGAGATCACCTTTGGAAAGGTTCGTTCGTCTGCTTTTCTATCGTGAACTGTGTCTCACGAGCTTCACTTGGCTATAGGGAATACAATATATGCTGCCATCACAGCGATTGTCGCAGCGAATTTGGTGCTCGTTGCCTACATCGTAGAATCTGTACGAGAAGAGTCCCGGGCCAGCGCGCGGGAAAAGCGGGCGTCGTCGGAATCCAAGAAGGATCGGTAGCCCGTCCTCCTATAGTACATATCGTCTGTCTCGTTCTACACTATATTATTCTTTTGCTCGTGACTGGCGCTACTGTGTTATTGCCGTGATTTGCACTGGACCCGCGGATGCTGCGAAAGCCAATCCTCTAAACTGGTTGGGCAATGGTTAACGCCCATACGTTGCAAAACTACGAGTGCCTTTCAGACACCTATATAAAGGAGATTCGAGAAATTAAAGCACTAAAAATACGGTAAATCAGCTAGTGAGCTACAGTGTGGTGAAACGAGCGTAAGGGTGGGCAGTATTCGTGTGAGGGGCTATCGATACAGTGAGTATAAAATGGAGCGGAGGTATCCCGAAAATGTCTCTGTCTCAGTCAAGGGGCGCGTGGTCCCGAGTATCCCGACGTTATAATCATTCAAACGATGTCGTCGCCAGGATGCAGCGACAGGAACGATACCGACGCGAACGACTGGTGCCGCACCGACTGCGGCACATCGGCCTCCGAACGCTCCGGCGTGGAAGGACGACTGTGCACTGGGCGCGTGTGCGCTGGCTGTGGTGGCACCGGTAGCGAAGGAGGGTTCATCGATGTTGGTTCTTCTTTCTTCTCTCCCAGGTCGAAGGAGTGGTCGATTGGTGTATTGATGAACGAAGGGATGCTTCCGATTGGGGTGAACGGCAAGGGCTTCTCATCGTAGTCGTGATCGGTGTCGATGGAGATGTTCGACGAGAGCCGACCCGAGAAGCTTTCGAGCGAATTGCGCCGCACATGACTGCGCTGCACGAACGACGGGATCGTGACCTCAGCGTCTCCTGACTTCGGTCTGCGATTGGAGAGGTTAGCGGTGAAAAATGATAGGGATTGTGGCCATGCTCACCCGAAGGACGACGAAGAATGGTTGCTGCGCCCGAGAGTAGTGAAGCCAACGCGCCTCGCGACCGACTCGAACGCGGACCTATAGTGCTTGCGGGCCTCCTCGGCAAAGCCGAAGAGGAGGAAGAAGGCAATGCCACATCCGACTGTAATCCAGATGCGGTACGCAAAGGCGCTTTCGAAACCAGGGATCTGGCGCCAGACAATCGCCGGGATTTGGTCGATGCGTGAAAAGCCGAAATGAAGGTCGTCGAGACCCGCCCACTGGTAGATCGGGGTTAAGCGCAGATTGACAACGATGTTGTATACGGAGAGAGGGACGCTGAAGAGGATCTCGGTGGCAGCGAGGCCCATGAGCCGGAAGTAGCGGTTGAAGGATAGGTTGGGGTTGTTCAACATGAGTTCCTTGAACTGCCGTCGCCTCTTGAAAAAGGCATGGAGGGTGAGACTGCAGTATGTTGCTGAAACCAGACCAATGGGAATGGGCCAGGCGACATAAAGGAAGTACGAGAGAATCGTATTAGGATAGGCCTCCATGCAGCCGAAGCCTTCGTAGATGTTGTAGCGGTGACCCTGGTAGAACCAATCTGTGCAACAGATTAGCCATGTGAAAACTCCTCCCAGCGGACACTACTCACAGAGACAGATAGAGACAACAGGAATGCCCAAGCCAATGGCGAGGTCGGTAATCATGTTACGGCGCTTGTCGGCGCGAGTGATCGACACTGCAGAGACACTGGCAATGTGATAAAGCCGGCGATTGATGACAAGGGATGCACAGCACACGCCGATGGATGAACCGATGACGAAGTGCGTTGCTAAGTGAGAAAATATTATGTCGCCTTTTGAGCCCGAAGATTGAAAGTGAGAAACCATTGGCACTAACTGATGTCACACCAGACGGGCGCCCAGTCGATTGCATTGTCTCTCCAGACTACGAGGTTGATAAAATTGATCAAATTCTGGGTGCCCATCCAGAAGATGTACAGCAGACACCCAATATTCCATGCTGTTCAACCGACGTCTGTACGTCAGAGCAAATCCGCTTCGGGGACTTTTGTGACATACCTTCTAGGTGCCAGTAGACTGGAATGGTGACCAAGACGAAGGCAATGAACGAGAATGCAGCCTCGACTTCGACCAAGGCAAGGAAGGAGTTCGTCATCTTGCAGACGAGCCTCGCGCTCTGCGACTTGAGGCTTAGATTGTACGGAAGAAGGGAATTCGAAGGGAGAAAACGCGAGGGTGCGCTTCGAAGGCGTCGCGCGCGGTCTCGGGCGGAAGGGAGGGGAGAGGGGATGAGTGGCGACAGTAGTCGTCGCGGTACTCCGCTTTGATTTATCCTCCCGTACGCATGCCGTTTTAGGCCGGTGTTGTACTTGGCCACTGGAGAGGAGACCGGTTACTTGCACCTTCCGTATTCGGACGCTTGCTTATACTTCAAAAGCGCGTAGGGCGGAAGACAATGCATAGGTCCCGGCGTGGCCCGGGACGTCGGTGTCTCGAAGACACTTCTTCCGAGAGATGGCTAGAGGAGCGTGAAGGGGGAGGCCGAATTGGGAAGGCCGCGGGTGTCCACCGAACAAATCCTTCTTGTAATGAGGGACCGTATTAAGGCGCTGAGCGCTGAGCCTCCAGACTCCTTCATTGGGCTGTGGCGCATACTTCGTTTCAACTGCGCATCCTACACTTGTTCTCCGGCCGCCGCCCTGGCTGCGACCGCGTTATTGATCATTCTGCAACATACAAGCCCGCCATATAGAGTGCCGAGCCGAGCAAGTTGCAACAGACACGTGAGTGGCTAGCTGGCCAGCTGGACGGTTGACATTATTAGTCACACTAAGTCGTGGGGATAGTGCAAACAAATGAATCATACTGGAGTCCGATCCTCCTAGGCAGTTTCCCGTTGACAGTCGAACGTCGTAGATCTAGCGGGAGTCGACACCCAAGCCCGAGTCGGATGAGCTAAAAAGGAAGGGAATTTTATCAAACGCCGGTGTCGTTCCCGGCACACGATGGCGCGCGCTTCGGTCTGTACAAGCCACGAAATTGCAACAGTTCTTTGATCAAGTTAGAAAACACCATGGATGCTGTCGTCAAAGGGAAATGCGTGGATAGTGAGGTATAACTAAGGGAATACAGGAGATAGTACAGCGATGATGCTAGTGCGACAATTCTATGAGTAGTGTACGATGATGCAATGCGATAATAAGATAGCTCCACAGCAACGACCAGAAATCAGAAGTCCTCGTCGAGCGAGCTGATGAAATTGTTAGTCATGAGAACAAAAGGGGGCAGAATAGGTAGGCACTCACAAAGTCTTGCTTGTTGAGACTTCCGCGGTCGTGCTCTGCGCCGACGTGCTGACACCTGCCTTTGAGTAGTCCGACACACGCTTCTCGAAGAAGTTGGTCTTGCCCTGCAGCGAGATCATGTCCATAAAGTCGAAGGGGTTGGTGACGTCGTAATGCTTCTCGCCGCCAAGAGCAACAAGCAGGCGGTCCGCGACGAATTCGATGTATTGGCACATGAGCTTAGAGTTCATACCGATGAGCGCGCATGGCAGCGCATCGGTGAGGAACTCCTGCTCGATCGCGACGGCTTCCGCGATGATCTTGCGGACGGTTTCGGGATGCGGACGTCTCTTGAGGTGGCTGAAGAGCAAGCACGCGAAGTCGGTGTGCATGCCCTCATCGCGAGAGATGAGCTCGTTGGAGAAGGTGAGGCCGGGCATGAGTCCACGCTTCTTGAGCCAGAAAATGGACGCGAAAGACCCCGAGAAGAAGATACCCTCGACCGCAGCGAACGCCACGAGACGCTCGGCGAACGTAGAATCCTTGTCGGAGATCCAGCGCAAAGCCCAGTCAGCCTTCTTCTTGATGCACGGAATTGTGTCGATGGCGTCGAACAAGTGCTCGCGTTGAGCAGGATCCTTGATGTAGGTGTCGATGAGGAGGGAGTATGTCTCGGAATGGATGTTCTCCATCATGATCTGGAAGCCGTAGAAGCAGCGGGCCTCGGCGGCCTGCACCTCGTTGGAGAAACGCTCAACTAGGTTCTCGTTGACGATACCATCTGACGCGGCAAAGAAGGCGAGGACATGGGATACGAAGTGGCGCTCATCGTCGTTGAGGCGGTTGTTCCAGTCGTGGAGATCCTTGGAGAGGTCCATCTCCTCCGCGGTCCAGAAAGACGCCTCAGCCTTCTTGTACATTTGCCAGATCTAATGTGGCTCAGCACGACTGCGGCCGGGAAATACGGAGCTTACACACCTCATGGTACTGAATCGGGAAGAGAACAAACCGACGTTTTGATTCCATGAGGAGGGGTTCCTTGTCTAAGCAGGCGGTCAGGACGGAGGGTCACGCGCGGCCGACGAGCAGACTCACGCTCGGGGAGATCGATATCGCCGACCCAACGTTTCTTGGGTGCTTCCTCCTTAGCCTCCACCAGTACGATCTTCTCCACCTTCGGACTGACGAGAGTCATGTTGTGCAGAGCCATCGTAGCCTAGTACAGTCAGAGGCGGCCAAATGGGACTCGACTAGGCTTGAAAACAGACCTTCTTGGAAGGAGTGATGGGAGAAGGCATACGAGGAGGGGTGACGAGACCGGCAGTCATGGCAATGATGAAATAGATTGTGACAAGAAGATCGGGGAAGAGATGTAGGTGGAGGTCGTCGTTGAAGAACGAAAGAAGCGAACGCGAAGTGGATTAAATACGTGGGTGCGTTCAACAGCGCGTAGCGACGCGTTGTTTGTCTCTGTTGACGCGTCGACGCGTCTCATATATAAGGGCTCCCCGACGTGCCCGTGAGAATCTGAGCGGCCCCGCCAAGTAAGGGCGCTTCGGCAGACCTCGTCATGTGCTCAACATTGTCACAGGACGCGTGACATCACGCGATTCATTGCCGAGCACTGAGCGCCTGTGCGTCACGACGAGCTGGAGCCGCCGGAGCGCGCTCCGTCATCCTCCTCGGGCCCGTGCTCTCTTCCGCTTCTGTCTCGCACAGTGTGCGCTGGCCGCCCGGCCCTATTCCTCTACCATGTCGACGCTCACCACAACGATGTGTGCCCCATCCGTTCACCCACAAGATGAGCTCTCCCGCTACCTCCCCCAGGCCGCCAAGAAGTCCTATTGCCAAACACCGTCATTCAATGAGCACCCCGGATGCGGATGCGAAAACGACGAAGCGACACACCACGGACCCCTCGGAGGACCTACATGAACGGTTCATTGGCGAAGTCGAACTGCCTGAACGTACGTCTACAGTGATTTTCGCCGTCTATATGCCACCTCAGCGCAACCTCAGATCTCGAACCTTTACTGATGGAGACCGACCGACGGTTCGTCTTGTTTCCCATACAATACGATGAGGTGCGTCTCTTTCTACACGACCCATGAGTCGGCGTGACCGTTTCGCTCCAGATCTGGCAAATGTACAAGCGTGCACAAGCATCCTTTTGGACTGTCGAAGAGATGACCTCTCCCACGACTTGTGGGATTGGAACGGGAAACTCACCAACAACGAACGGCATTTCCTGTCTTACGTTCTAGCGTTCTTTGCGGCTTCGGATGGCATCGTCAACGAGAACCTGGTCGAACGTTTCTCCAATGAGGTGCAAGCGGCGGAAGCCAGGTGCTTTTACGGCTTTCAAATCATGATTGAAAACGTCCATTCCGAGACGTATTCTCTCCTCATAGATTCATACATCAAGGATCCTGCCGAACGCGCTTCTTGTTCGACGCCATGGAGACGATTCCCTGCATCCGCAAGAAGGCTGAATGGGCCCTCCGTTGGATATCGGACGAACAGTCGGCGTTTGCCGAGCGTCTCGTAGCGTTCGCTGCGGTTGAGGGTATATTCTTCTCGGGGTCTTTCGCGTCCATCTTCTGGCTCAAGAAACGCGGTCTCATGCCTGGCCTCACTTTTTCCAACGAGCTCATCTCCCGAGACGAGGGAATGCATACCGACTTCGCGTGTCTGCTATTCCACCACTTGCGTCGGCGGCCCCACCCGAAGCGGGTGGAGAAGATCATCACCGAGGCAGTTGACATCGAGAAGGAGTTTTTGACAGGTATGGCCTGCTCGTTTATGGTCCGGACACCACCTGACTCGCACGTTCACCTCAGAGGCTTTGCCTGTCTCCCTAATTGGGATGAACGCGGACCTAATGCGTCAGTACATCGAGTTTGTGGCCGACAGACTCCTGGTGTCGCTCGGCAATCAGAAGCACTACTATGCAACAAATCCCTTTGACTTCATGGACTTGATCTCTCTACAAGGGAAGACAAACTTCTTCGAAAAGCGCGTGTCTGAGTATGCAATGGCCAATTTCAACACGGCATCTTCAACAGAGTCGGACGCACCCTCGAAGGGGCCGGTAGAGCGAGTATTGTAAGTGATGAATGATCAGTCATCAGGAAGTTCGCTAACGTTTGTGATAGCACTTTGGATGAAGACTTTTAACGCGATCTCATAGGTGTCGTTATGCGACTAGATGTACCACAGCAGTACTCCAGATGCTTTGTACCTTAGTACCGGACTATACCGTAGACACCGTAGTTATCGAGTTGCTAGATTACCACTCCGTACCACTCACCTCAGTCGATGTACACTAGTCGCCGAATACTCACCCCTACTCATTGTATAATCCATGGAATCATGCTGGAACACTGGATGACAAGCATATGTTACGGCACATCCGCGGCCGTGATCATGTCGATGAGAGTCAGCCTTGGGATACAACACAGGTGGATAAGACTACAACAGTGAGTACAAGAAGTCCAGCGCGTCACTTCTTCGAAATATGAACAACTACAGTCAAACCGGTCAGCGAGCATTTATAAGCCAGGGAGAAGGAACATGCCATCTTCATCCTCCAGAACATGATCTAGTCCGACCTTCTGACCTCGTGCGTGCTTGGCGCTTGCTCCCCACACAATCGCGCTGAAGGCGGAAATGTGTCAGCCAACGCCCTGAACCGTGGTATTCAAGACAGAGAAAACCTACTATTTCATTTGCTTTGCGATTTCCTTGTGGATGGCCATGCAGAAATCTTCAACCGTGCATTTCCCGCGTCGCAGGACGACGGGAGCACTGTAGTCTGGTGCCAGACCGCGAGGTTTGGTATACACTCGAACCAGGTTAAGCGTTTGCCACATCATCTCGATGAGCTCGTCGATGTTCCACCATTCACGGGATGAGACGGGGACGCTCATCGGGATGCGGTAGAGCAGATCCAGCTCCTCTATAGAGATAGCGTCGATTTTGTTCAGGACCTGCAGACCGCAAGAGTGATCCATTAGATTCCTCCAATCCGTCGGGAGCACGTTACAACGGTTACTGACGTAGATGGCTGGGATATACACTCTTCACACAATGTCAGTATGCGATGTGATAAGGCAAGGCAACCACACTTGCCTGTTACCCTCGATCACGTCCACCAAATCATCAGCGGTTGCACCTGCTTGACGGATGGCGACATCTACATTGTTGATACGATATTCACTGAGGACAGCTTTGATCTCATCATGATCAATGTTCGTGAGAGGGACAGTGTTCGTGATCGCAATGCCACCCTTGTCCTTCTTGCGTACAGTGATTGCTGGCGGCTTCTTGTTGAGTCGGATGCCAAATCCTTCCAACTCACCCTCAATGATGGCTTTGTCGCCGAGGGGTTTTAGTACGTCGAGGACGATGAAGATTAAGTGACAGGTCCGAGCAACTGCATAAAGGCGGCGTTAAACTATGGTCCACGGGAACATGCGTACGACATCCATACCAGCGATGACTGAAACAGGCAGATATCTTGAGTGAGCGCGCCCAGTGATCTGAACAGCACTTAACATCTACACACCTTGTCGTCCACGACCTCGGCCATCATTTGCACCCTCGATGATTCCGGCTACGGCTCATGAGTTCCAGCTGCCAAGAAGAAGTCCAAACGACGCACGTAGGTCAAGGATTTGTATCGGCGCTCCATGCACCTTAACCGTTCCGGGCACTGTGGTGAGTGTGGTGAAGTCGATCTCTGACGCCTCGGAGTGTGTGCCCGTGAGTTTTGACATCAGGGTCGACTTGATGTGGAATTTGGAATGAGCAACTGGCATGCACAGGCCCAAACCACGCACCTTTCCCACTGATGGGAAGCCGACGAACCCTACTGTTGCAATCCCCGTGCGCGCGACGTCGAAACCCGGGCCTCCCCCACCGCCTCCGCCGCCCGTGGGTCCGAGGAGCTCGCGCCGGAGCTTCGCGAGCTTGGCCTTGAGCTGGCCGAGATGGTAGCTCGTGGCCTTATTCTTCTGCGCTGCGCGGCATGATGGTGTTCAGCCAGGGCACGATCGGGGGACGGCGCGCGAAACATACTCCTGGCCTGCGGAACTGAGCACGACTGCGGCGGTAAAAAGTGCGGGCGGACTCACCATCTCATCTTCGACTTCCTTTGTTGGGGGGAGGGCGGGCGGTGAGCACAATAGACGGGCGGCGAGGGTGGACAACTACCTTGATCTTCTGGACGGTGGTCATTGTGGCTGGTGGAGAATAGACGGCGGGCGCCTGTGCGCGAGAGTGCCCATAATGCACGGGCGTCTGACGGCGGTTAGGCGGGCGCCACAGAGAAACGACGGTCGCGACGGACCTGCCACGGCCTCTCTCGTGCTTTCACGACCCCAGCCCTCTCCAGACTCCAGCCCGCCCCCCCTCCGCCGCCCATCAAACTGTCCTGATCTACAGACCGCCCCTTTCCTCAAAGCCCAGCATCGTCTCGGTCACCGCTCAGGTTCGCCTCCGGTCGTTTTCCCAACAGCCGCTCCTTCCCTCCGCGACTTGGCTGGCCCGGGCGCTGCTCTCTCACATCGAGGCTGCCCCCACGTCGCACAACACTCTTTTGCCCACCATCCTTCCCACCCGCGAACCTGTGACCCTCCATGTGTAAAGGCGCAACATGGAAACGTGAGGTCGTCCCCGACCACAAGGTTCGTTCCCCCACAGTCGTCCATGTGTCGCTCGTGCTGAGCTCCCGCTTCATTCCTAGTTCGACTTCCTCGACACTCGTGACTTCAGGGACACTGGATTTGGCATGCGGATGAAGTGCGTGGCTCGTCTTGGTGTTCACCCATTATCGCATGCTATTTCTATGAGATTAACTTGGGGCCCTCAGGTACCTCTGGCTCTACATCGGCGTGCTTATCTCCTTCCTCGTCTACGTTTCCGACATTTTCACAGCGATCACCATGCTCACAACCACATCATGGTCAAACGCTATCTTCAACAGTTGTCCCAAGAACAACAGCAACGGCTGTGTTTACATTCCTTTCAGCATTGGTCGTTGGTTGTTCTTCGGATGTGTCATTGCGTCGTTCATATTGGTGCGTCGGTACGCTGTTACAGTGTCACCAGAGGGTTCATACTCTCTGCAGCTTGCGTATGATTCATACAAGGCCAGGAAGATCATCCAGAGCCGTGATATCTCCTACGCCTTCACCAACGTAATGGCCAACAAGTACTACTCCCTTCGTAAGACTCCTTCTATCGTCTGTCTCCTTCCAGCTCTTCATGCCTTCACAGGGTCTTACGACCACTTCTGTCTCTTCGATCACATCTCGGCCTCTACGAAGCGGATGGATGACTTCGCTTTCTTCGTCTTCTTCACCTTCAAGAGTAAGCACCTTGTATTCAGCTCACTCTCCTTCGGCTAACTCGGCACAGGTTGGAAGCGAATTCTGTTTGCCGATGGCCCTCGTCAGTCTATCAACGCCCTGACACTCTACGCCTTCTACCTCTCCAAAGAGGATGATGGCGACTGGTACGACATCAAGAAGTACTTCCAAGGCACTTACATCACCTCGGCCCTTACCGTGTCCACGGCCTTCACTGTCACCGTCTTCGCGATCTCCCTCCTCATGCTCATCGTTGCCGGCATCTGCTACATCCCCCTGCTCATGCACATTCAGGGTAACCTGAAAGAGTACTGTTGCTACAAGGTTGACAAGGTAGGCGACCATGTTGACACGTTAGGAGTGTGGTCTCACTCTGTCACTCTTCGCAGCGTATCGCCGAGATCATCAAGCGCAAGAACAAACAGCGTCTTGCGAAGGCCGCCGCTCTTGCGAAGAAGGAGGCTGCCGGCGACTACTCTCACCTCAAGAACAAGAAGGGAGATCTCATTGCGAAGCCACTTCCTCAGCCTACCCTTCCGAATCTCTCTGTCGACGACGACATCAACGACACTGCCTCCATGCGCACTCGCGGACCGGCCCCAAGCACCACTTACGCAGGTACCGACTACTACAGCGAGTACAAGGTACCGATGGACTATGCTTCGGAGTACCCTACGGACTATCCCCCCATGCCAGCATACGCAGGAGGCTACCACCAGTATAACGGTTCAATCGGCACGCTCCCCGAGCACGGCGGTCCGCGCTACGACGACGACAACGCCAGCCAGGTCCATCTCACCTCCTCTGCGGCGCCGTTGGGTCATGCCGAAGGCGCGTACGGAGCATACGAACAGTACGACCAGTATCGCGCTGCCAGCGCCGCTCCGGATTATCGTTCGCAGAGCACGGCCCCCGACTACCGTTCGCAAAGCACGGCCCCCGACTACCGCTCGCAAAACACAGTGCCCGACTACCGCACGCAAGCCTCCGTCCCCGACTACCGCTCTATGAGCACTGCGCCAGACTACCGCTCTGGTAGCACTGCGCCAGACTACCGGTCTGGTAGCACGGCACCAGACTACCGTTCCGCTAGCACTGCGCCGTATGGCTACCAAGGCCAGCAAGAGTACATGAACAACCCGTACTCACCCTCCGCCCACCAAATGCTTGATCACCATCGGCAGCCCGATCCCTACGGGTACCAGCAACAGAGCGGCGGCGGAGATCAGTACTACAACGGTAGTGGACACGGTCACGCCATGTAGTTGTATCACAGCCGTTCGACATTTCCCCCGTAGTACTTTCGCACCTTGTTACGCTTGCCCCATCTACGTACCCGTTCCTCCGTCATCCCCTGCTGCTATCCTCCGTCCCTCCTTTCACCTTCCGGTCATTCCTTGCATGCGGCAGTTCGTTTCCGTCTTTTCCTCAGATCGTACCTTCACTCGCGTTCACTTATTCTATTGGTAGTGAAGGACGCTGTAGCATCGTAATCGCCTCGCGGACTGTAGAAATCGACTCGTGCCCCCGGATGCAGCAGGCTGTCTTCCCCCCAAGCATTCATGTCGCATGCCGAGTTTCAGCTGTCCATGCATGCACCGTCCGATTGTCAACAGAGGGCGACTGCGGCGGCGTAACCTGCACCCTCGAAGCTCGCCATTCCGCGCGTTCTCGGTCCGCCTGGCTGCGTCGCCAGCCTGGGGTGCCCGTGCGCAGGTCCGCGTCGGCGGCGAGGGGCTGCCCGAGCGGTCCCATACGGTTCCAGGGCCACAAGATGAATGCCAGCCGGGACTTGATCAGGCCAAGTGAGACCTGTTGCACGCACGCGTCCGAGGACCGCGTCAGCCTCAAACCGCTCCAGCTGTGGATCGGAGGGGAAGGGTACCCACCGGGCCGTAACGATTGCTGTCTTCAGTGCGAAACGGCTCGTCGCCTGGGTTTAATACGACCGGTGGCCGGTGATCCGCAATGGCAGATGGCGGTGAGGTGGGTACGGATGTGGGTGTCGACGCGGCAGAATACGGGCGAGAACGAGACGCACCTTCGACCCACGCGTGGCCCTGGGGGACGCACACCTCCGCGTGTGGGTATGGCGGCAACGTTTTGACCTGCCCCAAGAGGAAGGTAACAGGTACGCGGGATGGCAGGACAGTTAAGTGACAGGTGGACGCACCACGTCTCCTTCGAGCGCGACGATGCGCTTCACCACCAGTTTCGAGTCCACAGGTGACCTGTGCGGTACGACGTTAGAGTGCGCGACCAGTCCTAGGTGATAGTAGTACGGACTTGAGGGCGACGACATCCCCGCGCTCATACCGCCGCGCGTACGCGACCGAGAACCGGTCGAAGAGGACGACGTCTCGCCAGGGCGAGTCGTCCGGGTTCAGCGTGGGCTAGCTGGCCGCGCGGCACGGTGAGCACTTCATTCCGCCCGCCGTGAGGCCGGTGGAAACGTACCTGCATGCTGCGCCCGTAAACAGCCTTAACTGTGAAGCCATACTGGCTGACACAGGCGGCGAGCGGGAGCCAGAAGAGCACGGCGAGCGAGGTCTTGACGACCGGGCGCGCGTCGATCCAGGCGCGACGCGCCTCGCGGTGTGCGCGGAGCCGCGCGCGAGCGGCGCGGAGGGCTTGCATGCAAGAAGGGAGCTTGCGTCAAGTCGTGACGGCGAGGCGAGAGCCAAGTGGTGAGTACTTGAGTACAGAGCGTCGACGAGTGAGGATTCGGGACGGTAGGAGACGGTCGGAGCGCTGGTGTCGCGACCCCGCAAGCCGACGCGCGCAGCGCTGGAATTGGGGCCACCATCGTCTCCGACGTACGCTGTGAAGCAACGGGGCCTGCCTTCTCCTACCCCATGTTCAGACACTCACAGGGCGCGCTTGCTGCAATGGAAGAAGACCGTTCAGCAACGATATTGCCATACGATGTGATACTTGGTATCTTGGAGGAATCAGATCACTCTACCCTCTACTCTTGTTCCCTGGTCAACCATATGTTCAAAGAGGCCGCCGCCAAACTCCTGTATCGCACCGTTAGGTATTTGCCACAGACGGATGGGTGCGTCGCAGATAGGATCCAGGTGAGTGCCTCCCCTTTGAAAGTCCAGAATCGTTCGGAGGGATGCTCACATTCCTCCGGCAGGTTGGTTTATTTACTTCGGCCCAACTTCCTCATAATGCACCCTTGGTCAGACATTTAAGATCATAGGTATGCCCTGCAAACATTCACTGTATCGTTCCTGAGCACGAACACATAGGATATTTCATCACATGGCCGTCAGACCTGGTCACGAGGCCTCGGGATAGCTTTCGACATCGATTGATATCAGCGATGCCAAAATGGTCCTGTCTGGAGACTGTGGTCCTGAATCCGGGACTTGACTATTTATGCCTGATGGCCGACGCTCTCCCTGTTCTGATTCGTTTGCCCCGCCTCCGAGCTCTCAAGCTTCGTGATGAAGACATGTCTAGGATGCCAACGGGTGCGAAGAAGGGGCTCGTGCAACTCCGCGGACTCGAACAGTTAATCATCGTGGATCCTTCTCGCACTGTGACCAACCTACTGCCGGCACTTTTGGCCAACTTACATTCGAAACTGACGACATTCCGACTGCCTGTACGTCACAATCCCGAAGGTCTGCCTATCAAATGTGTATTCACCCGCAGGCAACAGGGTGGATGTGGATCCGTTACGCCTGATATCCTTCAATCAATCGTCGGGTACTTGAATGGCGTTACTAATTTCGGTCTTGGGGATGCGCCTCAACTCAATCATGACCAAGTGTTCGCATTCGTCCGTGCCTTCCTAACTGGTCTCGTTCAGATACTCCTGCTGCCTGGAACAACTTGTAAGCATGGCCGCCGGCTCGTTACCGGCCGACTCTAACGAGTTACGAATTTCTAGCAACCAGAGCAGCACTTCTATCCCTTTCTGCCACATCTTCAGCATCTCATCATCTACTACCATCCCCGTATCGAGATACGCTCTGGAGCCCTGTACATGTGCAAAATGATCCGCCGCCTGATATCCTCGAGCTCGTTGCGCACACTCCGTGTGTACCCTGTCCGGTGGGAAAGCTACATCTACCCTCATTCGACTCTCTTCTCGAACACCTCTTGGCAAGACATGCGACCACTCTCACTGTACTCGATTTGCGAAAAATCTTGTCGGCAAGTGCGTACTCCAGAAGTCGTGTTCGACATACACCCGGCTAGAAGAGATCCGGGTATTTGTTACTCCTGACGTCGTGGTGAGCTTGTACTTGCTTCGCGTTGCTACTGCTGTGTGACATTAGCCCCTTTTCAGCATCTCCTACCTTCTTTTATAAAGAATATGTCGCGTCTCCACTCCATTCACATCAGGATCAGAGCTGGTCGTAAGACGCTGCGCCTGATGGTGTCTTTGGAAACAGCGGACTTGTACTTCTCCTCCAGCCGGTCTCTTCGGAACGTACGGATTGAGAACATGGGATGGAAGGTGAGAAAGCATTCGGACCTGCTTCTATCACCGTTCAATACATCCATTCTTAGAAAATCCGGGTTCCTCCATCGGACGAACATCCAGCCCGAATGACTATAGTGGAGGTATCCGAGGAAGTTGATTATGAGACGAGTAACATATCTTGTCAGTATCCTCTGACTTGCTCCCTCGCTTTACGTCGACCACTGACGCGAAACCATACAGAATTGTCGATCCCTTCGGTGTGTAGATACAAGCCGATTAACATCACTTCACTGTAAGCGTTCTGTACCAGACTCAAGAGATCAATCTAGTTGGAGGGTCACTCGCGGCGATAACTTCCAACCAAGCGCTCCGAGAGTGCGACAAATGGGCCCCGACTGTCTGTATGCCGCTCTGCCATTCAGGGGAGTCCTGTATCGTTGATGATCAGCCTCACCTCCGAAACTTTGTGCCACATACATGTTACCTTGAGAGAATGGAGCGAGAACCCGTCCGAACCCGTACTTGCTCGACGATCTCGTCTGGTACGATCGGTGGGGGATCTGAGGGTCGTACTTCATGAGCTCCATTTACCAAAGCGCGCAGGTGGTGACCTTACCCGCTGTTGGAGCCCGTTCAACCATGGAGTGCTCTGGGGTGGAGAAACACACATAGCGATACTTCTCCAATAGCGGCCTGCATCTCTCCAATGGGTGCCATGTATAGTCTTCGTAGTCGGCCAGATATGACGGCGCGTACTCTCCTTTGTAGCGCATTTTCACACACGAGTGGATATAGAAGCCTGTTGAGAAGTCAGCGGACTGCTGGCGCCTGACTCTGAAACATATAGACCCATGTAAAGATACTGCATGCCGGGCACACCGGCTTCGTGAATCTCACGCGCCAATGTGATTTCACGCATGGCGCTGAGCTGCAGACATTACTATAAGACAGGTGTGTCGAGGAGGGTGCAAACCACTCACTTTGCCCAGTGAGAACTTCTCAAACTCTTGTCTCCATATGAAGTAAACGCTGGAGACGCAATTCGGGAGAATGTCGATGACACCCATGGCGACGAGCTCCCATCTAGGCGGTATAGTTGGTGATATGCGCCGTAATGACTAGGCAAGTGCGCTGGCCGTCCAGAGGGGTATTCGATCGGCTGCATCTGGATTTATCCGTGTTCCAACGGGGTCAGCCGCCTTTATCAGCACAGGCATAATCCACCCACTATGAGATTGTTTTCACAGAGGAACCGTTTGAACGCCTTGGGGGTATTGTCGTGGTCCTTGTGGGTATCTTCCTGGTAGCTGCAATACAAATCGTACTTCTCTTCAGTATACGAAGCTTTCTCGAGGGTCACCTGTCGTCGACAGTCGAGCATCGAAGTGTGAGCGGCCATTCCGACACAAATTTCACTGGGAGACCCCACTTCAAAGCTCTGAACAGCTCGCTGCCCTCCGAGGGAAGCCGTTTCCGCCGCATGTATGCCTTCTGTCAAGCTGAAAATATGGTTGTCCGAGCCTTTACTCTTCTGCTTTCCTTTGCCTTTCTGTTTGTCATCGCAAGAAGGCGTGCCATCCATAGATATGTCTTCGGTCGCTTGATCTCCGTGGACGACAAACCGATTCCACCTGCAAAGCGATGCCAGATCAGCCGTCGACCCCGCAGATCAATCCGGCACGCCTACTTGTTGACCAACTTCCGCTGGCTCTTGGAGGGCTTGAACGCTAGCGCATCCAGCCTGGAGCGAAGAACGCGAGCTCAGTCATAGTTCTGCAAGTTATGAACATGGCAAGAGTCGATGCTCACCTGATCGTGTACTGGGGGCAGCATGACCGCTTCAAATCCGGCTTGTAGCAGTACGTCCGGACCGGCGCCAGCCCCGGTCGATCATCTCCTGGTATGCCTGTGGATCGCGATAAGTCGATGTGAGAGACACAGCGAAGCAGAGAGAGCGTGTCAGAACATACCGCGCATGAGAGCAGCGCGACGCACTCGGCTGCGTGGTAGTTGTGGTGCTCGACGCTGCGCTGTCCAGGGCCGCCGCAGTATCCGCAGGAGCGACCACCGGAGGGGTCGATGGGGATGATGATTGTCTGTGGTTCAGACATCTATCCGCATTCGAATGTAGGGCAGAATGGGAGCGACAGGCAATGTGGTCGCTATGGGTCAGCAGTGTGGTGGCGGTCCAAGTAAAGGACGACGCGCGGGTCTATGTGGTTTTAGGTTCCGACACTCTGCGCTTGCATCACCCCAGAAAGCGCCGCCAGTCCTGGCAGGTTCTCGCCAGTTTACGGGATGCGTCCGCTGCGTGCGGGCTTGTCGATTTCGGGGCGGCGCACACCGGGACACCAGGCGCCCGCCGGAACCTTGCGGGCAGAATACAAGGAAGCAAGATTGAAGCGTGCGAGGTGTGGTAATGGTACACATGTCATGCGGGTCGTCGCGAAAGCAAGGGCAGGGGATGCGGGATATAGTACTAGGGGTGGTCCGTCCTAACGCGAAGGAAACGAAACGGAAACGAAAGACAGGGGCAGGCATGTGTGCATGGCCTGGGTTTCTACGACCGTGTCAGCCCCACCCGTCCCAGCGCCCGAACCGCCGGTACTCGCGCAGGACGCACTCCCGGCCAGGCTTCTCCTCTCGCTCTCGCTCCTTGCCCTTGTCCTGGCGGCTGGTCGCGAACGAAGATCCGCTCGACGATCGTGGGCGGGCCATCGATATCGTTCTGGCGCTTGGGGGCGAGGCTGACACCGGGTCTCGCAGCGAGGGTGCCGGTGAGGCGACATGCGGTTGCGGGGAGGCAGACGAAGCGGGCGTCGCTGAGGAAGAGGAGCTCGAGCTCGGCAGAGCTAATCGATACCAGCCACCGGTGTACGTCAAGGCCACTAGCTGGTATTCGAGCGGGGCGGCGCCTGGGGGCATGCGCCTGGGCTCGTCTTGGTCTGAGGAGACCTGGATCCATGTCACCACGCACTTCTCCTCGTCGACAACGTCCGCAGTAGGCGACTTTGCCGGCTGTGCGGATATCGAGATGTGGGCGGCTTGCGATGGGATCCGGTACTGCGCGTACGACCATTCGGAGTCGAAGTACTTGGGAAGCGGGAGGAACGGCGTCAAAGGAGAGAACGTGGACTGTCGATTGCTGAGAACGATAATCCGTGAGTCATGAGAAGACACTTGGGAATAGAAGGCACTCACGCAGCGCCCGATCCTGCTGTCAGGGCGAATATGTGCACCGTCCCCTTATCGCTCCAGACGCACACTTCACGCTCGTCAGGACGGAACGCGACCCCGTAAATTTCCGCCTTGTCGGATCCTCTCCTAAGCTCGCGCACGAGCTTCCCTGTGTTGGTGTCCCATATTCGAATCAGAGTTCCGCGCGACGAGGTGGTGGCGAGCAAACGGCCGGAAGGTGGCACCGAGACAGTATTCAGCGCGGAGGTGTGCGCGACAATGATCGGTACTGGGTGCTTTGTCGGAGCAGGTGGGGGGCGTGATGGTGGTGTGGCTGATGGAGGGCCGATGGGTTGTGGGGGTGGGCAGGGGGGAAGGTGGATGAGTTGAATATGTCCCATCTGCCGGCCAGGGATCGCTAAGAGTGTGGAATGTGCGGCACTTGCGAGAGCAATCAGCCCTACAAAGTTGCATGAGCATCAATCCACACTGGGCGCGCATGCGGGGGCAGCAATTCACTCACCACGCGGGTTGTCACAAGTATCCCACTCGCCGTGCCGCTTGACCTTCTCCCCCACCTGAAACACCACGACCCGTCTGCGGAGTGCAACCGCGAGCCAGCCTCTGCGGCACGCAATGTTCCTGACCCTCTCCCTGAACTCTAGCTCGGCGACTTCCTGCTGGAGCGCATCGTCCCACAGGACGACCTTGTTCGGCGGGTAGCGTGGGCTCCTACCGCCACCAACGAGGAACAAGAGCGACGACGTGTGTAGGGGCACGACGATGGAGAGCGTGCCCCCTGTGATTTCTGGAACGACATTGCGCATGAGCAAAGTTCCTCCTCCGCGCACGATCACATAGACGCACCGCGTTTCCGAATGAGCTGCAGTGGCCATGTACGGTAGATGGCGAAGCCGGCGGGGGTGGAGGTCGTGAAGATGCGGCTCTCTGGGTCGAAGCGGGCGTCGAAGATGAGGACTGGGGCGGTAGAGCTGATCGAATGCCGCGCAAGATTCATCCAGCTGGTGGTGCGAGACAGAGAGCACTGAAGCGGCTCGTCCAGTCGCGTATAGTCGCGTGGAGATGACGCTGGTGGTACCATCGCGTTACCCTATCACGTGAGAGGCGGACTGAAAAGGCCTCCTGTCCACACGAGCCTGGGTCGCACACATGCACGAGAAACCGGGAAGATGAGCATGCGTAGATTGTACATCCCGTGCGGGAGTGAGTAGTGACCCATGGAGACCGATGCAGTTAAGTAAGCCATACATACGTTGGACTTTGTCAGTAGGCTACAAGTGACGCCTGATACAGATGGTAGATTGAGCATGCCATACATGCGCTCCGAAACCAGTGTCCCTCCAACGTTATATCACCGTACACCTCTGACCTCGTAAGCTGATTATACACATGATCATCATCCACGGGAGTGTGCGGAAGCTGCGCTGGCGGCGTAGGCAGGTGCAGCGAATGCCGACTGACCGAACCCCGCCGAGGTGCGGCTCGTCGCGCTGACGCGAATTTGCGAGCGTGGCGTGCTCTGGACTTCGTTTCCGCGCCACGACTTGGGGGGCTGAAGATCGACATGCGCGAGCTGCTGGCGCGCGACCCTAAACTCTTGCTCCTCCATGTGGTTTTGGGCGACGATGGCAGCTTTCAGCTCCGCCTGCCTCTGGAGCTCCGCCTCGGACTCGTCAGAGAGGTAGTCGGTAAAGCCGCCGTCGGAGGTGACGGTCATATCGGAGCTGCTGCCGCTGCTGTTGCTCGACGCGCTCGACACGCTCATTGTCGCCACTTTCTCCGTGACCTCGTCGACGACGCTGCCGCCGCGCTTGGAGGCGGTGTCTCCGGCCCGTTCGACCGAGCGTTCCGCCGAGCGGAGGGCTGGGGGCGTGATGGACGTCGCGGTTCCAGTGCGACGTCGCTGTGTTGTCGCGTCCGTGGGCGATTTGCTGATCGTCGCGGCGGCGGCGATGGAGGTAATGGACGGGCGACGCTCGGTGCTGCGGCGAGAGACGGAGCCCGAGAGCTCGGCGTGCTTGCGCCCGGGCGAGTGCTGGCTGACGTTCGACGGATCCGGTCGCTTCTCGGCAAATACGTCCATCGCCGACCGACGGGACGCGGCCTGCATCTGGTCCATGACGGAGGCATTGGGGAGGGACGAGGGCGAGCCGTCGCCTTGGCCACTGCGGGTCGCCCCTGAGAGCGAGGCGAGGAGCTGAGGTGGACTGCCCCCCGATCGCTTGGCCGGGATGGCCACTGGATTGCTCCGCGGCAGGGTGTCGGTACGTGCAGGATAGCTGGGGCGGCGCGTCATGCCAGGTGCTGGGCCCTGTACCGAGCGTACACTGCCGGTCGGGCTGCCAAGAGGGGGGTGCCACCGGTGCGGGTGGGGCTAATGGTGATGCTGTCGAGTATCGCCTTGATCTCGGTGGGGATGGGTATATGATGCACGATGGAGACGGCATGCCAGTCGGCGGGGGAAATGTGCTTGTACTCGGCGGCAGTGGGGGAACGGCAGCAGCCAGGCCAGCCAGGGTTCTGGTAGCCTGCGCGGGTGGGTGGCGGGGTGGTCTTGGCCCACTAGGAGAGACGAAACGGTTGAGAAAGGGGGAATAGGATCGGCAGGGCATGGACGTTACCTTGCAGAAGCCACATCCATTAAACGTTTGTACTTTGTGTGGCCGATCAAAGGTTAGCTCGCGGCGATAACGGGTGGGGAGGGCGACGGACCTTCAGCATTCTTGAGGAAGATGACGTCGTGGCGGGGGTGGGCAGCAGCATTGCGGCAGACGTCCTTGATGTGTGGACACCTGGGGCGGGGTGGGCGCCCGGACGGGGAGGCGGGCGGATGAAACGCACCTGGCGGCGCTCGGCCTGAAGACCTTGCACATCGGGCAGGTGCTTGTGGCCTGCTGGAGGGAACCAACTGCATAACACATCTTGAAGGGGGCGTCAGCGAGGGCGGGGCGGGGGCGGGGGCAGGGGCCAGGCGGCAGAGAGGCGGCCTGAAGGAGACGGGGAGGTATTTGTACTGTGAAGGAGGAAGAAGGGCGACGCGTGCGGTTCCTGCTCACGGAGCTGATCAGGTCCGTTTAGGCGAGCCATAATCGTCCGGGGTGATAAACGTCTTGAGGAGAGCCTGTGCGTCGCTCGCAGGCCCGCCGAGTATGTGGACGTCCTCGCAGCTCGCCGCCGTTGTGCTTCCTTTCTCCCCTGCCTCGAGGCAGCTGCATGCTCCCGCCAGACCATCAGCCTCGTTCCCGCAGAGACCGCACTGGGCGCCTGCGCGGTCCGGCCCAGCGCCGGCGCAAGGGAGACTGCGCGCCAACGCCCCTCGCCAGGCGCCCATCGTCCATCGGACGAGTGCCTGTGACGACGGGCGGCTACCGACGCGTGCGTCCTTGGCGCCTGCCACTTCCCGACACCGCCTCCGCCTTGGAGTACCCGTATATCGCTCCTCCCCGAGCCTGCCATCTCCTCCTCCCGCCCCTCGCCCCCACCATGGGCAAGTCACAAAGCAAACTCTCGCCAGAGCAGCTCGCCGATCTCCAGAAACACACATACTGTGCGTGTGTCGTCCCGCGCAGTCGAGCGGTCACTCACAAGACTCCCCAGTCGATAAGCGAGAGCTCCAGCAGTGGTACGTCCGCGCGCGCCTCCCCCTCCCGATCGCGATACGGCCTGCCGTTCGGCCTTAAGAGCCCCCATTCCTTTCTCTCGTGCCGATCGTGCTTTCCCAGGTACAAAGGCTTTCTCAAGGACTGCCCCTCCGGCCAGCTCGACAAAACCGAGTTCGGCCGAATATACAAACAGTTCTTCCCCTTCGGCGACCCAGGCGAGTTCGCCGATTATGTCTTCAACGTCTTCGACGAGAACAAGAACGGCACCATCGATTTCAAGGAGTTCATCTGTGCCCTCAGCGTCACCAGCCGTGGCCGGTTAGACGAGAAGCTGAAATGTGTGTAACGTAACCTTGACGTCGTCGACCCCCAGGCGCTCACGCCTTCCCTGCCTCCTTCGCGTCCATAGGGGCTTTCCAGCTCTATGATATCGACGGCGATGGCTTCATTACCTATCAGGAGATGCTCCAGATAGTGCAGTCAATATACAAGATGACAGGTCAGATGGTGAAGCTTCCCGTGGACGAGGACACGCCGGAGAAGGTCAGCTCTGTTTGATCGCTCCCCGCTTCCATGTCTGTGACCGCCCCCACTCCCCAGCGTGTCGACAAGATCTTCCGGAACATGGACCGGGACAAGGACGCCAAGCTTACATTTGACGAGTTCGTCGAGGGAAGCAAGCAAGATCCGACCATTGTCCAGGTGCGTGAACGCCTCTACTGCAGCGCGTGATCAGAGTCATTTAGACGTCACCGCAGGCTCTATCCTTGTACGACGGACTGGTATAGCACACCGTGGCGTTTCTGTTGTCTCTCATGTTGCGTTCTTCCCGTGAGTTTCTTTCCTGCACGCACTTTCGCGCCACTCCATCATGTGTCCCTCAACCTACGTGCCTTCAAGGTCCCCTCGACGATAATACCACATACGCGCCACCCCACCACGGACCACCGTCACCGTAGCCACAAAGTCGTACGAATTGCCCAGATGTATTCTGACCCCGGGGAAGTAGACGGTCAAATGTTTGTTATAGCATTATACGATTACGGGTACAACTCGCACAAACGCTGCCTCGCACCCTACGTCGTCGCGGGTAGTCGCCCGTACTTCTTCAGGATCCTCGTATCCATGTCGGCGGCAATCCATGCGTGTACCCCCTCTGAGAATTCAAGGTTGTCGCGCTCGGTTTTGAAGAGCTTGCCGAAGTCCTGCGGCTGCCCGGGTTGAGCAGCGGCCATCGCGCCCGCGAATGGCGTGGCCATGTCCCGCGATGAGTCGGCAGCTGACATCATCGACAGGTTCGTTGGAAAAACCGGTGCGCGGGTTAAGTGCAGAAGTACATATGAGAAGAGGGAGAAGCGGGGCACAGCTCCTCATCAGCGCATGTCCGGCGGGGAATGGGAAGGGAAGGAGAAGAGACGCACAGTTCTCGCCGCCGAGGATGAGCCGGTAAAGGCCATTCAGACCGAAGAAGTTCAGGAAGTACCAGGAGAGCGAGGACACCCAACGCACGTCCATATCAGGTGTCTCGACGCCGCGCTGGAGCATGCTCTTGAAGCCAAGTGTGAGCGGGAAGGGGAGCTTGACTGAAATAGACAAGAGCAGAGTTAGCCTCTCGGTGGGACCGGCACATGGGGAATGCAGCGAGAAGATAGGGAGAGCCTATAGAATACGCGCGAGGGTGAAGAAGGACCAAGCACTCACTGAGCACAAAGCCTTGGAAGAAGAAGTTGATCCATCCCATAATGACCATCTGCGGGACCATCATCACCATCTGCGTCTTCATTCCTGCCATCATCCCATCCATGGCCGCGGGGTCGGTGAGGGGGTTCGGGGGTGCACTCTGTTGTGCGTCACCCTTGGGCGGGCCGTCCTTCAGGTACGCGCCATCTGCGAAGGCTTTGGACAAGTGCTGGGAGATTGCCTTGTAGTGAGCGGGAGGGAGAGGCGAGTTTGCGGACGTCGCGCGGAGGATTTGTGAACGAACGAGGGCGCGCCTGTGGGCCCGGAGGTTGGGGAGGGGGCAAAGTCGTTAGGCACGCGTCGGAGCGCGTCGAGGGCGAACGTACTGTTCCCGAATAGCGTTTCTCGGAAGTTTCTTGGGGGAAGACTGCAAGAGGAGGACAACATAGTGCCGCAGAATACCCACGAGGATCTGCAGCATACGTGCATGGTCAGACGCTGCCAATGAATGTAGCAAGACGCAGACGGACCATGACCACGGTGATTGGGAACAAGACCCAATCCCGAATTTGAGGGTCGAGATACAGTGAGACTCTGGGTGCCTCCGCGTCAGATCGTCGTACAGACAACAAGGAAATGACATACGTAGAGCTCGACATGATGGTAGGCGTGGACAGAGACGATGACCGACGCTGGCACCGAGGCCAGTGACAGCCACGCAGACGCGTCTAACTTACGGTCCGCTATATCCGTGCTCTACCATCTTGAATCCGCTCTCCGACTCTCCTGTGTCCCTTGAGTCCCACACTCACACTGCGGTAAACGTATGTTCAAGCAGCGAGTACACCTAGTGGAACATATGCACGCAGAACGTGTCTCGTTGCTGAGGGCACGTGCGCCGTGCACTCACAAACTTTAAGGCCTGACGGTGACGTTACTCACCACCTTCGCCTCGTTCCACAACCACAATCCTCCCGGCGAGTCCGTTGCAGCCCGCATCGAGATGCCCAGCGCCGCGTCTTCTGATGGCGCACAGACAATCTGTGCTCTCCCGGCGTGTGCCGCCCCTGCATCCACGGATGTGTTCTGCCTCACGTGCAAGTCGACGTTCTACTGCCACCGCGGCCATGAGCTCGAGGTACTTGAACGTTCTTCCCGCTCTCCTTTGTGCGTCCCGCGCTGATGGCAATCACTCTGCTTTCTTCTGCACGCGCGACAGGACATCCCGCGGCACCAGCGGGAAGACTGCCCCTCTTCCTTCGTGGGCTCGCCGCGGACGCGGGACTCCAGAAGCGGCGCGCCGCCTCCACGCCCCACCGTCGTGATGGCCTCCCCAGAAAAGAGCGGCGGCCCCGAGGCTGGGCCGACCGCGGCTGCGCGCCGCGTGGACCATCCGGAGGACTCGCCCGAGGTCGCGGCGGTGCGCGCGATGGTCCGGGCGGAGTTCGACGCGCAGAGAGAGGAGCTCGAGGAGGCGGTTCGCCGCGAGATTCGCGGCGAGGTGTTCGTGTCCGTCGTGCAGACCGCGCTGCTGGTCGCCGCCGCGTGGGGCGCGTGGACGCTGGCCGTGCGGCCGGTCGTGCTGTGGCTCTGGAGCTGGGTCGAGCGCGTCGCGCCTTCGTTTGTGGTGCGGGTGCTCGGGTGGGGAGGGCAGGCGTTCTTCTACTTTGTCCTGGTGATGACGGCTATGAATATGCGATGACTGTGCTACTAGCTGTTTATGCTTTCGTGATCCTGCCGATGAATCCCATTCTGTATCGTGTCTCGCGAGAACCCCTCAAGTGCGGCCACTGCGAGCAGTCTTTGGTCGTTATGGTAGACATTACATGGTAAGGTTACGCATGCCACGGGGTTCTCTAGTCTTTCTTCGGCGACTGAGCCTCCACGTCCACGGCTTCTACATCGTCTTCAGCTTCAGCATCCTCCTCGGGAAGGATGAGGTTGAGAATCATGGCCACGATGCCGGAAACAAGAACTGCAGGACCAGTCAGCCAGAGTATGTGACACCGAGATGAAGGGCTTACATGGAGTCTTCAGCACAATGGTAATAGAGTCAAACAGGCCCTGGAGTCCGCTGCTGGGGTCGTTGACGGCATCGAATAGGTGGGTAAAGATTGTGGGAACCAGAAGGTCTCCCACGCCGAAAGACATTGCAGCAGCGAGGATAAAGCGGTCACGGCGGGTGAACTTGTTGTATGCAAGCACCCGAATGCCCGACGTGGTAACAGTGGCAAATAGGAACGTCGTGACACCGCCTAAGACCGGGTTGGGAACTAGACAAAGGCCTCTCAGACTTGCACCTAGCCACGCAGCTGTGTTAGAACCTACTGGAGAGAAAGATCCCGGATATTTTGCCCACAACTCCAAACAAGAGGAGGAAGGCACAACAGAAGCGACCGGCGGTGCGGTTGGCACAGCGCGTAATCGCAATCACGCCATTATTCTGCGCGAAAACGGATAGTGGGGCCACAGTAAAGAGTGCCGAGAGGAAACCGCCAATTCCGTCGCTCTGTGTCAAGGAGTATACGTCAGAGAACTGCTTAAACGTGATAGAATCTTGATCACATACGAGGACACCACCCTGGATGCGAGAATCGAATTCTTCACCAACGACTGGGACGCGTGAAACTTCCGCGGAGGCCGTGATGTCACCAATCGCCTCCATGGCAAGAGAAACTAGAGAACATTGACTTGAGATAGGCATCTGCTAGAGGAGCTGTGCAACTCACTGTATACTGCGAGCATGGGTAAGACGGCAGGGCCATAGAATCCGATCTTGAACGTATGGACCCACAAGAAAGTAATTGCGGGAGCACTCGTGATGTTGCTGTTGTCGATATAGCCTGCCGCGCCGGAGACAATGCACCCCACCGCTAGTCCGACAATGACAGAAATGTTCTTCAGGAACGGGGATCCGAAGAGTTCTGTGAGAATAATGCTGACGAAAGAGAGGAAACCTAGTCCGATGAATTCTGGCGAGCCCCACGGCAGTGGACGGGGAGCCAAAGTTGTCGGGCACAGTTGGAAAATGCCCGAGGTGGGGCGATCCATACAGTTATTCGAGCCTCCACCCCAGTTGGGGATTCCGGACGCGCCGATGAGAGAAGCTCCAATCATAACGATTACAGTGCCTGTCCGGGGATGAGGCCACTGGAGTACGCAACATGCCGAGGGGACATACCGGTGACCATCGGGGGGAAGATGCGCTTGAGGATGCGAGCCGGGACGAATGACAGGAAGATTTCGAGGAAAGCGCAGACCATTGACGTTCCTGAGTAATGGTTGGAGGGACTAACGGAACGCTGAACCAAACGAAATCGCACCAAGCATCTTGCCATATGCCTCTGGACACGCGCCGCGGGTCACGGTTCCGTCAGCGGCAGTCGTTGAGGGACATGTTCCATCGTTGTACATGGCGTTGAAGATCTGTACGGTACGACGTCACACGAAGGTCCGCGCTACGCACAGGATATCGGACTTACCGCGTTAGCCGTGCTCAGAGTCGCAAAACTTGTGCCCACGACGGAAATAAGACCGGTACCCAAATAGTACTTGCCAAAGAGCCGGATGCGAGACATCTGAATCAAGCTCAGGATTGCTGACCATTTGCGTGAGTGCAGGAGGTGATTGAGTGAACTCTGAAGACCCACCGCAACCTATAAGGGAAGCAGAAATCATGTACGCCGACGTCTCCGCATCCAGGTTCAATGCGCTAGCGAAGATGATGGGAGGTGTAATGAGACCAGCAAGCATCGCGAGTGCATGCTGTAACCCGCTCGCCGCCGCAAGCAGAATAGGCAGCTCGGATTCGAGGGCATAGAATGGTGGCGCAAGCTTCCTGCCCTTACGACCCCAAGGAAGAGTAGGCATGCAAAGCCAAGCGTAGCTGTAGTCGCCGAGCCAACCGTGTCTGCTCGTGACTTTGCTCTTCACCGCTCCGACTTGCGTGCGGACATCCCATTTACGCAACGGGACTCGGCCGCTGCGGGAGTGGGAGAAGGTGGGGGTATCTTCTCCGGCTGCGAGGTGACCGAGGCTGACTCGAGCTGGGACATAGCGGGTGGTCGCGAGTGTCAGACGAGGAGAGAGAGTCGCGGAGAGGGGATCGCTCGCCGGCTGCGCCCCCCGGAGGACCGGTATATATTCCGCGCGAAGAGAGCATCCAGACTGTCAGAGATTTGTTGTCGAGGAGATAAGAGCCGCAGGGGAGAAAGGTCCATGCACACGAAGATAAGTACGCGACGCCGGCGTGCGCGCTCCGACCGAGCCCCATTGCTCCGGGCGTCTGCAGTCGATCCGGTCCCGCGGCGGTGGCGCGTTGACTCTCGTTCGTGCCGGCCACTGTGTCGACGGGCTGCCTCAAGTGCCTCGGCTTTTTGCCTGCGTTCGACCACCTACGACCCCGCTTTCTCTCCCCCTCTCTCCTCCCCCAGTTCTCAACAATGGTCACCACTCTAGCCGCTCATTTGGAAGACCTCGTAGGCGGTTCAGAAGATTCGGCAGATCGTGGACGCCGTCTGCTTGATGAATGGGGCAGGTCAGTATATGCACTATGCGTACAGTCATTGTATCGTTGATTCGATTGCTATTGATCCCAGCGTTCCTAAGAACAGTGCGTGCTGAATGCGCACGCGGTCATCTTGCTTAGCTCACGCCGAGCCAGCTGGTCGTGCAACCTCCGATCCCGAAGAGCTGGACGAGAACATACGCTGGGCCTCAGTGGTAGATGTCTTTGTTCAAGGATCCTCAAGTGATGGCAATGTCCGTGATCAGGGTGCTCTCCTCTCGGATATTCTTTCGTGTGTATTCTTCGAACGAATATATTTCTTTCCATTCATGAACATATCCCCTGCTCGTCCACAGGAAGCCCGCCCTCGAGCCGCTCCTCGAAACGTTGCTATCTCTTTTGATTTCTTCTCGCTCGGACGATGATATTTCTGGGGAACTGGCTGAGCTGGTCGGATTCGACAACATTGACCTATCCAGTAGCTTGATCAGCAGCAGAAAAGAGGCGGCACAACAGATATCAGAGTATCTTCATACCCCCGCCGATGCCATACCTACCGGCGCGCAAGTCAGTGGGCGCAGAAAAGGCAAGCATGTAGAAGGTCCGCGAGAATGTGATGCTCCTCATTGCAGAACGCGCGGTCTCATCCATCCTGTGAGCTCAGGTAACACATCTGCGATTCAAGTCCTGGACCCCGAGGAGGCACGACGACGAATGGAAGACGCTCTGCGAGCCAATGCTGCCCGTCCTCTATTCACGGGAACTGCAGTGAGCGTTTTCACATCATTCATTACAGGAAGGCAATTGAGCTCGACTGCGGCAGCACGATGCACCGGAGATTCTCCCTCATGTGTATACTTCGTCTTCAATCACTCAGGGGAACATGCTGTCTCATACAGGTCAACGATACATGCTCCCTTTGGGTACCACTCGCAACCACTTCGAGGTGTGTAGATTTCCTCGTGCTTAACCTATGCATCTCTGAGAGCCACGCAGGACTGGGAAGAAGTCACTATTCCACCTGCTAGGATGGTTCCGCCGCGAGTATCCGAACGGTTAATACCCGTTGCCGAGTTGGATCCTTTGGCACGGAAGTCTTTCCCTGTCCGTCGTCTACGAGTTCTCCACGGCATTCTGTCACTTATTCAGTGTTGACACGCAGGGATATGCGTCGCTCAACAGGATTCAATCAATCGTCTTCCCCACCGCCTATAAATCAAATGAGAACATGCTTGTCTGTGGTGCGTTCATAATTCGGCGTAAGCTACGATTCATTTACCATCACGGTTGATTCCAGCTCCAACGGGTGCTGTGCGTGAATCGTCGTCTACGGAGCCTATCTTCCCGGCATTAACACTTGATGCAGGGTAAAACAGACGTCGCAATGCTCACTGTACTGAGGGTCATTGACCAGTACATGGACCGTTCTGCGAATCCTTCAAATCTGGCGGCAACTATCCACCGAGACCAATTCAAGATCATCTATGTGTATGAAAGATTCTTAGTGCATGATAAAATTGACTAAAGCTGTCTTCAGAGCGCCGATGAAGGCCCTGGCGGCCGAAATTGTGCGAAAGCTAGGAAAGCGCTTGAAGTGGCTGAACATTTCGGTGCGGGAACTAACAGGTATGTCACATCTGATTACACGTCCACACGCCGCTCATCTCGTAACAGGTGATATGCAACTCACGAAGCAGGAGATCAATGAGACCCAGATCATCGTAACGACCCCAGAAAAGTGGGACGTTGTCACCCGCAAACCTACGGGAGAAGGAGAGCTCGCATCGGTAAGAGATTTCTGCACCATCACACCCTTCAGAGATTCTTATGAATGAACCAGAGGGTGAAGCTTTTGATCATCGATGAAGTCCACCTCCTCAATGACGATCGAGGCGCCGTCATTGAAACGATTGTGGCGCGTACATTGAGGCAGGTAAATCTGGTAAGCAGATTTTTGGTGGACGGTTATTGACGGGAACCCAGGTCGAGTCGATGCAAACGGTCATCCGCATAGTGGGTCTCAGTGCACCTTGCCGAACTACGTCGATGTTGCGGACTTCCTTAGGTATGAGGTCTTCTCTCAGTCTAAGCGATGCGACTTATGTCGTCTTTTATCAGTGTGAACAAGCAAAGAGGTCTCTTCTACTTCGACTCGTCCTTCCGTCCCGTCCCTCTGGAGCAGCACTTCATCGGTGTTAAGGGGAAACCAAATAGCACGCCCTCGAAACGCAACCTCGATCGCGTCACATTTGAGAAGGTTAAAGATATGGTGCTCGAAGGCCACCAAGTCATGGTCTTTGTCCACGCTCGGAAGGAGACCGTCAAGGCCGCGGAAGCTCTGAAAGAGGCTGCCCAGGCGGACGGCAATTTGGACTACTTCAGTTGCCAAGAACATCCACAATATGACTTCTTCCGCAGAGACATAGGCAAATCCCGCAACAAGGAAATGAAGCAATTGTTCGACCTTGGATTCGGTATCCATCATGCTGGTATGCTTAGAGAAGACCGAAATATGATGGAGCGGATGTTCGACGCACGTGCGATCAAGGTAGGTTGTGGATCAGCTGGCTAGTTATCGGGTGTATGGTGAACTTTCTTTTCAGGTTCTCTGTTGTACTGCAACGCTTGCCTGGGGCGTCAATTTGCCAGCTCATGCAGGTACATCACATTAGTCCTATAGTTATGATTGTCGCCCACAACCCGACTTCAGTTGTCATCAAGGGGACACAAGTGTACGACAGTGCAAAGGGTGCATTCACCGATCTGTCTGTGTTAGATGTCCTGCAGGTACTTGGCCGTGCTGGACGTCCAGGTCTCGAGACCAGCGGTGTCGGATTCATCTGCACTACCGAAGACAAGCTCAACCACTACCTCGATGCTGTAATGTCTCAAGTAAGCATCACATGTTGGTGTCTGGACTTCCGGACTCATGTATTCCTGATCAGGTCCCGATCGAGTCGAGGTGAGTCGACTAGTTTCTGCTAACCCTAATGTCCTTACGGGTATACAGGTTTGTTACTGGAATCATCGATTCCCTCAATGCCGAGATCGCACTGGTACCGTGGCCAACGTCAACGACGCGGTGAATTGGCTGGGCTATACCTATCTGATGGTCCGCATGCGCAAGAATCCGTTCCAATACGGTAATGTGCGACACCTTAGTTCATCTCAGGCGCGCTAACACTTCCACAGGTATCGGCTGGGACGAAATCCAGAACGACCCTCAACTACAAGCAAAGCGCCGCCAGCTTATCACTGCTGCCGCCAGACAACTTGCCGAGGTCCGGATGATTGCTTTTGATCAGGCCGCGGCGAGCATGTTCATTACCGATCTGGGGCGAATTGCTGCCAAGTACTACATCCGCTACAAATCCATCGAGATCTTCATCAACCGCTTCAAGCCAAAGATGTCGGAGGCGGACGTATTGGCGATGCTGAGTGAAAGTACAGAGGTATGCAAGTTGTCCTGCGTCGGAATACACACTGAACTACTTCATATAGTTCGAGCAAGTCAAAGTCCGCGAGAACGAGAGGTTGAATTGAAGTCGTTTGTGGAAGCGATCCCTTGTAAAGTGAAAGTAAGTAAACAGAATTTCGTACGAGAGTCACCGCTAAGCGATGAATCAGGTCGGGAAAAACGGTAGCATTGACACCCCCGCGACGAAAATAAACGTCCTCCTTCAAGCTTACATTTCACAGTATCGCCCAGATGACTTCGCGCTCGTTTCCGACCAGGCGTACGCGGCGCAGAACGGCGGTCGCATCATCCGTGCTCTCTTGGAAATCGCCATCTCCCGCAAGTGGGCGAACGTCAGCGCTGTTCTCATGGGCTTGAGCAAGGCTATCGAGAAGCGCTTATGGCCCTTCGACCATCCCTTGAAGCAGTTCCAGCTCAAGCGGAGACGATGTACATGCTTGGGCAGCATGCAGACGACTACGCCGTATCGGAGCTTGCTGAAATGAGCGCAGAGGATATCGGCAAGCTCATTCACCTCAACGCCATCCAAGGCGCCGCGATACAGAATGTGGCGAAGGAGTTTCCTACTGCTCGCATCACTTATTCTCTTCGACCTCTCGGGCCCGACGTCTTGAAGATCGTCGTCAAGGTGGAGCCAACATTCAAATGGAACAGCAGACAACATGGCTCTGTGGAACCTTTCTGGCTCTGGGTTGAAGACCATGATGGCGCAAATATCCTGCAACTCAGTCACCTTATCTTCCGGCAAACAACAACCTGCATCGATGTCGACTTCGTCATCTCGGTTCCAGAAAAGAAGCTGCCTCTGTCTGTCACTATCCGCTACGTTTCAGACCGATGGATGGGCGCGGAAGAAGAAGTGACCGTACCTCTTGAAGACCTTGTCATGCCTTCATCTTCGGAGTCTCATACCCCCCGTCTCGATATCCCCTTTCTTCCTCTCTCTGTGGTACAAAACCCAGCGCTGCAAACAGTCCTCTCTCAAAGGATGCACGGAAGCCTCAACGCTATTCAAAGCCAGGTCTTCTGGAGTATAGTGAGGTCTCGTCAGCATGCGCTGCTGTGCGCTCCGACAGGTTGTGGCAAATCCATCATCGGTCAAGTGGCGATATGGTGCATGCTTTCACACTCGATGCAATATCACACATACTGACGATACCCTAGGGAGACGCTGAAAACCTCATCAAGCAACTCTTGGGCTCTTGTTATCGTGCCACACCGGAGCATCGCATACGACATTCTGTCAGAGATGCGACCAGCGTCGAAGGCAGCAGACGCAAGTGTTGAGCTCAGTACTACAGGGGTCTTTGACTTTTCAAACCGCAGAACCGTCCGAATCATCACCGCTTCTGACCTTCTAGCCGTCCTCTCTCGGCGCCCTGAAATGAAAAAGTCCTTAATGCAACTTCGCGTTGTGCTCTGCGAGAGCCTCGAATTCCTCGACGACGTCTACGAGCTCGTCGTCTCGCTCCTCCTCCACGCCACGCAGCCCCACCCCGTCCGCTTCATCGGCCTTTCCTCCTCGCTCAATGACCCCGCGGATCTCGCCGCCTGGCTCAACGTCGACCCGCTCGCGCTTCACGCCTTCCGCCCCTCCGACCGCGACCAAGCGCTCTCCACCGCGACCTTGACCTTCACGATCCCCCAGTCTACCGCGCTGCTGAAGGCGATGGCCAAACCCGCGCACGCCGCGATCCATGACGCCGAGCCCGCGCTCGTCTTCGTGCCCTCCCGCGCGCAGTGCGCGTCCGTCGCGCGCGACCTCCTCACCCAGTGCGCGCTCGCGACGGCGTCCAACGGGTTCCTGCCCCGGGACGCGGACGCGGCGCGCCTCGCGGACGTCCTCCGGCGCGTGCGCGACCGCGAGCTCGCGGACCTCCTCGCGCGCGGCGTCGGGCTGTGGCACGACGGCCTCGTGCGCCCGGACCGGCTCCTCGCGCTCGAGCTGTACGCGGAGGGCCTCGTCCGCGTGCTCGTCGTCCCGCGCGACGCTGCGGGCGCGCTGCCCGTGCGCGGCGCGACGGTCGTCGTGCTCGGGACGCAGTACGTGCACGCGCCCGCGGGGGCGGACACGGAGCGGCAGCTGCGCGAGTACCCGCTGCAGGAGGTCGTGCGGATGCAGGGCAAAGCGGTGCGGCACGACGGCCGCGGCCGCTTCTTCCTGTTCTGCCAGGCGGAGGGCAAGGACACCGTCACGCGCTTCCTCGACGACGGGCTCCCGCTAGAGTCGCGCCTGCTCGAGACGGACGCGCTCCGGCGGTGGTGGAAGGACCGCCGCGCAGACGGTGGCGGGGTGGCGGACAAGCAGGCGGCGGTAGACGTGCTCTCGTTCACGTTCCTCGCGCGGCGGCTGGTCAGCAATCCGGCGTACTACGACGCGCGGTCGACGGCGGTGAACGACCTCCTGTCGCGCATCGTGGACGACTTGGACAAGTGAGCGCTGGTGCGGCGGTGAGGTGTGGGATAGGATTGTATGTATAAGTATAGGACTCCGGTACACATGTAAAGATAACGCGAGCACTGTAGGTAAGAGAGATAGCGCACTGTGTTCACCCGTCAGCCGATGTAGTTCTACAAATTTCCGTTTCTTCTTGGTGCCGTGACCGTTCCGAGGTTGGGTCATGCGAGGTACTGCTTCATATTCTGCAACCGCTCGACCGCGTGCTTGAGCGTATCCACGTCCTTGCAGAACGCGAATCGGGCGTAGGACTCTCCGATAGAAGTGTGTTCCTCGCAGTAGAACTGCGTCCGAGGATATCAGAACAGGACCGCATGGCTACGGAAGGAGTATGACGCCTCACCTCGCTGACGGGAATCGACGATACTCCGATCTCCATTGCGATAAACCAACATGCCCTAGACCAACGAAGTGAGTGGAAAGAGCCAAACTGCGGGTATGTGAGGGGCTCACCGGAAGTCCCTACCGCGCCCGAGCACGGTCGGCGGGAAGGGGTAGTCTTCTGGCCATGTGAGGTTGGAGATGTCCTGAGCACGAGACGGAGATCAGCTTCCACACTCGACAGTCCGCTGCACACGCTACACACCAGCAGCGTGAAGTACGCCCCCTGCGGGTTAGTGTACTTCATCCCGAGGCTGTCGAACGCCGACGTCAAGATATCCCGGCGCTCCTGGTACTCCTTGCACTGCTGGGTGAGGAAGCCACGGTTTTTGGCCTGCTCAATGCCGACGGCAGACGCCTCCTGCAGCGGCGAGTTGCTGCAGAAGACGATGCGCGTGGTGGCGGCAAGCGCGGGCTGAATGATGGATGGGGGCCCAATAAGCCAGCCCACACGCCAGCCCGTCGCGGCGAACATTTCTGGCGGGGAGCATGCGCATTAGCGAAGGGGGGCTCCTCTAGAGAAGCGGGGCGAGGCGGGACGCACTGCCTGCAGAGCCGACGGTGACGGTGCGGTCCCACATGCCGGGGAGGGTTGCGATGCGAACGTGCTGCTCGCCGTCAAAGACGAGGGTGTCGTACTGGCTGGCTGTCAGCGCCCGCGCGGGGATCTCTAACGCGGGCAGAACTCACGACTTCGTCGGACATGATGAGGAGATTGTGCTCCTCGGCGATGGCGGCGATTTGCTCGAGCTCGTGCCGGGTGAAGACCTTGCCGACAGGGTTGTGCGGCGTGTTGAGAATGATCATCTTCGTGCGCGGCGTGAGCGCGCGACTGGGGACGGGGCACGAGGGGTGAGACGCGATAGAAGAGGTGCGAGAGAGGAGAACTGACCGGAGCTCGTCGAAGTCGATCGTCCATTCGTGGGCACTCTGCTTGCCGGCGCCGATGGGCGGGTGGAGGGGGACGTAGACGGGGACGCCGCCGTTGAAGGTGACCGAGGGCAGGTACTGGTCGAAGAAGGGCTCGAACATGATGACCTCATCGCCCTGCTCGAGGAAGGCGACGAAGACGGAGTACTGGCCTGCGCGCACTCAGCCCTGCACACGACCATCACCGCCGCCGCACTCACCCTCGTTCGCGCCGCTGGTCACAAGGATCTCAGACTCGACGTCCAGGCTCCGGCCCAGCTCCGGCTCGTAGTGTGCCTTGAGGGCCTCGCGCAGCCGCATCCGGCCCTTGGGGTGCGAGTAGTGGTTCGTCGCGACCGAGTTGAGGGCCTCCTCCGCTGCGGTCTTGATCCACTCCGGGGGCGCAAAGTTCATGTATCCCTGGCCGAGGTTGATACAGTCCGCGGGCAGGTTCGCGGCACTGAGGCCGGTCGGTCAGTTCCGTGGCCACCAAGATGGCAAGAAGACGCACTTGAAGATGGACCAGACATCCTGGGCCAAGGCTCTGCCCTCCTTGAGACGGGAAGAGAAGGGGATGAGATTGGAGCGGTCCTGGGCGGGGCGGTTGCCGTTGGCGGACGTGCCGTTGGCGGTGGACATGGCGCAGGACGATGAACAGGTCAACACTCGGAGTGGTAGAATTTGGAAGACCCCTGCCCCCTGGGAGCGAGTCACTGTTGGAAGATGTATTCGAATTTCGCGACGCCGTCTCCCCACACCTTCGCCCATCTTCTCTGTCTCCAGGCTCGCCATCTCTGACCCCAAGAGGGCCCCAATCTCATGCACATGTACGAATCCTCCTCCTCCTGGGCAATACAGCTGGCTGCCATCGGACCCTTCAATCCGCTCGAGAGTGGGGCTGAGCACGTTGGCGGCTCCCGGTCCGAATCCCTCGGAGTTCTCCCGGCGCCCGACGGCAAACCTCGGCCTCTCTCCACGCTCAGCCACTAGTTCCGTCCCCTACCGTCGCTCACATGCCTCGAGTCTGGTCTCGAGCTTCCTAGAGGTTGTCACAGCACGCAAAATCATGTCCTGAGCTCCTTCTCGGCCACACCATCTCGCTGTGCATGGCGCGATGGCTTCCGTACTTGTTCTCCAACTACTCCGCTCCGAGATCCTGATCCATGTTCTATTCTGACGTGCGCTCGTCATCTGCACAGTGATCCCAGCAGGTCCATGTGCCAATCCAATCTTGCTCATATGCCCTGGCGCCTCGTTACCATGCCTCAGTGATATTGCTGGCACGCGCAGCTACCGTCGACCTCGATACACAATGCTACCTCCAACGCGAGGTCAACACCGTCACTGGCATCGCCTTTTTCTGCGCGTACGTGGGGTGTGAGAGGTGTGTGAGCAACTGCATACCAATCGACCCCCCTTTACGGGGCCCGCCGCTTCTAACTGTCCAATGAAGGTCGTCCACATGCTGTTGGCGTCCGTCATGCTCAAGACCACGGTTCCACCATTGCCACCGTTGATTGTGGCCATGTGCCATCTTCTTCGATGCATATTTCCTCATGCCGACATTCCGACAACATACCTCCGGTCTGTCCAGCACACCTCTCACCCACGGGATTGGCTCGTGGCCCGTCGCCTTCGATTGACTTCCGAGCCGAGCCTTAACCGTCCACATCCCGAGCCTTCACCGCCAAGTCGAGAACGAGGCCGAGATTAGATATTCCGCCTCGACTAGGGATAACACGTCCGCTGGCCGCCATACTGAACACGCAAAGCTCCAATTCATTTACCCCGCACTCAAGTGTATTGTGCCGAGCATTTGGAGACCATTACCCCGGATCCTCGGCTGTCCTCTGAGGTGCCTGTTCTTGGTACGCTCAGCCGCTCCCCGAACTCGTTGGTCTTAGTCCACGAACCGATAGGAGGCCAAACCCGCCGTGCTCGGAATAGCCCCCGGTTCGTGCGGTGCCTGTCAGCAATCACGCGGTTCGCGATGGCTCTCCTACGAGACGTTGGTGGCCATATGGAATCCCCGCCGCAAGTCCTACTGTTCTCCAGCCCAATATATAATGAGGCTGACCGGAGGATGACGACAGCATCGAAGCGACCTCGAAAGCTCGACGACTTTGCTGCTTCACAGTCAGTCCTCAGCCCCCTGCCACGATGACTCTGCCAGCCCTCGCCGTCCGCCTCCGTCCTCGCGGCTTTGCCCCCACCCCCGCCGACATCGCGCTCAAACGCGTTCAACAGACCCAGGCGGTCAAGGAACTGTGGATCGTCATCGCGTCCGTCGTCGGCTTCCTCTTCGTCGTCCGCGTGCTTCGCTATGCATGCTCTCGCCTCTTCGGTCGCCGACCGTCGAACGTGACGGGCTCGGCCTCCAAGAACCTCGAGAAAACGACGGACTCAATCGAGGGCCCTTCCCTGGCCAGACTGGCAAGGTGTCGTGGCGACGGATCCCCGCGGCCGCGGCCGCTACCTTCAGGATCGTGGCGTTCCGCGTCACATCCCCCTGCTCTTCGGATCAGCCTCTGGGGCCGAGTTGGCGTTCACCTGGGGCTACATCGGGACCATTCTCGGTCTGACCTTTGTGGACAGTGAGTTGTCGGTAGTTTTGTCGATGCACACCTGCTGACCCCTGCTCAGCCAAGGACCTGACCACCTGGTTCTACGAGGACCGCGCGGCACATCTCGCTTCTTGCCAGTTGCCGCTGATAGTCGCCTTAGCGGGCAAGAATAACATCATCTCATGTGGGTAGATTAGTGCACGCACTGTGTTCCCATCTGATAATAAGATGCATTCAGGGATCACTGGTATCGGGCATGAAAAGGTCAGCAACATCCTCACGAGTTCGTATGTGCTACTCACGCCTCCTCGATAGCTCAATGTGCTTCACCGAGCGGCGGCAAGGACGTGTCTTCTTCTCCTCTGGCTGCACGCCCTCAACCGTGCTCTTGGCGGGTGCGATCTTTCTGATTCATTGCAAGCGGCTTCGACTGACGTTGAGCCAGCCTCACCGGGAAGTTCAGCTTTGAATCGAATGTGTGGATGCACTGGGAGCGGTCGGATGACCGCGTTCACGTTAGCCACCATCCTCTCGCTCCGTTTCATCCGGAATGCCTTCTTTGAGTACTTCCTCATTTCGCACATCGTCCTTGTCGGGTAAGCAATCGCGTCAATGTGACATTTGCATTGAATTCTTACCCCGCACTCCCAGGCTCTTCATCATCAGCGGCTATCTCCACGCGCGCGCGGTCGAGTGAGTGACCATACAATGAATTACCAGGCACGACCGAGGCTGACACCCCCGCGTGCTTGGGCAGGTACGGCGACTACTTCTGGCCAGCTCTCGTTGTGTGGGCGTTCGACCGCCTCCTCCGCGCCTCACGCCTCGTCTGGAACAACAGGGCACGGCGCGGGACGCACGAGTACGGCTCAGCGCTCGTCGAGCTCATCTCGCCCGACACCATCCGCCTCACACTTCGCCGCAAGATGACCTGGCGCGCAGGCCAGCACGCCTACGTCATCCTCCCGTCCGTGAGCGACCTCCGACCGAGGCGCACCCGTTCTCGATCGCGAGCATCCCCCACGCTCTCGACGGCGCGCATGACGGCGGCGAGCGCGACGTCGTCTTCCTCGTCCGCGGCCGGTCCGGGTTCACCGGTCGCCTGCGCGAGTTCGCGACGCGGAACCACGGTACCACTCGCGTGCCCGCGCTCATCGACGGCCCTTACGGGTGCCCGCCGAATTTGATGCGCTTCTCGACGTGCGTACTGATTGCGGGTGAGCTTGTCTTCTTCAGTGCACCCTCGAGGATGTGCTGACAGTGACGTAGGTGGATCTGGGGTGTCGTACACGCTTCCGCTTCTCCTCGACATCGTTAGGTGCGCTGCGTTTCCCATCCGATCGCCGTGGCATTCAGTTGCTCATCCGAGCTTTTCCAGAAATGTCCGCGACGGCAAGTCTCTCGTGCGTCGCGTGATCTTCGTCTGGGCCGTGCGTCAGTCGGGTTAGTTCCGAACATCCTCGCAGCTCGTGCCGTGACCTCATTCTCACTCCTACTTGCCCCTTTAGAGCATCTCGACTGGATCTCCAAGACGCTCAACGAGGCACTGGCCGTCGCGCAGCCCACGTCCCTCGTCGTGGAACCGACCGTGTATGTCACGGGCCCAAGCTGCACGATGCCCACGATCGCGCGGACTCCGTACATGCCGAACATGTCCCCCGCATCCGACTCAGGTTCGACCAAGTCGTTGGAGGCTAGCATCGACAAGACCCTGCCCTCGTACTCATCTCTCAAGGTCATCCACGGCCGTCCGAGCATCCGGCGCGTGCTTCAGGACGGGATCAACTGCTCCGCCGGCCCCGTTTCCGTAGATGGTGAGTTCCGCGTCGGATGCAGCTGGAATCGAATGGGGGCTGACGTTCGCGTCCGTCGCAGTGTCTGGTCCGACTGCTCTCACGCAATCCGTATGCTACGCGCTCTCTACGGATATCGCTAGTCCTGCAAGCATTTTGAAAGGCTCCCAGCCCGTGACGCTCCACGTGGAGACGTTCGGCATGTCGAAGTAATAGCTGGGTTTGAAACTCAGCTTGCGGCTCATATTTTGGACTATTCTCGTTTCTCTCTACCCGCTGTATCTGTAGTAATGTCCTCCGGATGCTCTGTGTACCTCAAACTGTTTTACAAGTTACAATCTAGAAATGCACAGCTGTTGCTCCAGATCCTACACGTGATCGCGAACTGGTTAAGCGGACTTGTCGGGCCGGCACGGACTAGTCGCTCTTATCTTGAAACTAACTCAATCACAGCCTTGCTTAGTAGTCATGATGCGGAGAACATCGTGGAGAGGATGACCTAGGATGACCCGGCGAGACCGACGTCTGAGCACTTCAAACAATGAAAGTTCGGGCGTTCAAACGCACTGCCTGTGCGGATTAGAACTTCCCGATCGGTACCTTCACCTGAGGAAACCATTATGGGCAGTTGCTCTCCACTCGGGTGTATTCGTGTGATTAAAAGGAATTGCATCTCACGCAACGCTGGCAGTGACATGGGCGAATGAAGGACAGATAGCGTGTCGTACTTATGTCTGAAAGCTTGAGAAAACCTGCCACGTGATGGTTCCGTCATTAGCCTCGAACCTTTTGCCGAGGGCCTTGCGGACGCCATCGCCCTGGCCCCTCGCTCGCCTCGAGCTTGCTCCCTGTGCTATGAGTAGCGACCTGCTCCATCCTCCACACTTCCTCTCTACCATCGAAGAGTGCGCGCTTTCCTCGTTCGTACGTCCCGCGCCTCCGTGCTGACATAACACATCGTTCCGTCCTTGTGCCACCCAGAGTAAATAGCACCTCTCCGTCCCCCGTCTCGAACTCGCCCCCCATGCACGACGACTCCGACGAAGAAGAGTTCGTGTACCCCGGCTCCTCCGAGACGGACGCGTCCTCCTCCTCCTCCGCCGCCGCCGCCGCCTTCGCCGACGACGTCTCCCCTTCGCAGGCGGAGCCCACACCCCCACGCGCCGGGACGCCGACCCCGAGCCTCTCGTGCACGCCCTGCTCGAGCACGCCCAGTCCCCTGCGCCGTCCAAGGTGCACCCGTCCGCGGCGCAGCTCGAGGCCCTCCACGCCGCCGCGGCCTCGGGCGACCTCCGGCGCGTGCAGACCGAGTTCAGGAAGACCGTGCGGGCGGATGACGTGGAGCCGTTCGAGCTCGCGAACGATGCGTCCACGCGCACGGGGCTCACCGCGTTGCACGCGGCCGCGAGCAGGGGGTGGCTCGACATTGTCAAGTGGCGTACGTTTTTCCTCTCTTCTGTTCTTCGCATTCCTGGAACGCGTCTGAACGCGGATCCCGTGCAGTGGTGGAAGAGTGCGGCGCGATACCCGACATCGAGGACAAGGAGGGCGAGGTGCGTTTTGTTCTTTGCTTTTGCTTTTTGGTGTTGTGGAGAGCGAGAGATTGACGGGACGCATTGATAGACCGCTCTTCACAAGGCGGCGCTGAACGGCCACCTGCACATCATTTCGTACCTTCTGCCGCAGAAGGCGGACGTGCACGCGAAGGACGCGGACGGGTGGACTGCTTTGCATAATGCGTGTTCCAAGGTAAATTTAGTTGTGGGAGCGTATAATGTTTATCTTACTGCTCCTCAGGGATACCTGGATATCGTTCGCTGGCTCTGTGAAAGTGGAGGTGCGACCTCAGAGTCGGATGGAGCCCCCGGTGTGGATGTTCGAAGCAAAGGCGGATGGACACCCCTCAGTGAGTACATACGCTGCGTGAGCTCTCGTGTGGATTCTCAGCCCTTTTCCCAGTGAACGCTTCTTCTAAAGGGCATCTCCCAATCGTCCTGTATCTGCTGAACAAGCAACAGGCCGATCCACTCGTCAGGAATAACTGGGGCGAAACTGCGTATGATGTCGCGGCAGCGGTCTTTGAGGTTTGGATATGTGAAGTGAGTGCCACTTCAGAGTGGGCCGTTGCAGTCGCTAATGTATGGTGCAGTGCTTCAACGCATTGAATCAGAGAAATGGCGGGATTCCACGGTCCCTTACAACCCCATCGGCGTTCACACTTCGGTACCACTTGTCCTCTACGAGAACCAGCGGCTGGACGTGCGTCTCAAGACTCTAGCTGTTTCTGGAGGGCGGCCCAAGTTTTCAGCGTCGGGGCTAGGCCGACGAGGGCGACAGGCGCCTTTTGAACTTGTGCTTCCCGCACCGACCGAGACCTCGGGCAAGAAGATCGGTGCATGGCGCAGCGATGTGCAGCTTCCTCTACGCGAGGATGCATTTACCCTACCGAAGCCTGGGTCGTCTCGTGAGGGGTCGGAGAGAAGTCATTTCTGGCTGTGAGTAGTATTGATATCACTCCAACTCTTCGACCCTGATGATGAGCAGGTCCGACTGGACGCTGGATGTCACCCCACCTGGGGTTGATGCACAAGAAGGGTGGCAATATGCTCACACATTCTCAGATCCCGACGACCAGTGGGTCTCTGAGCCTCCACCACAGCTAGCACGCCTTCTAGGAGGTAGTGGTGCTATGACAGCGGGCATTGGTGGAAGCAGCCGGAGTCACAGCAGCAGCCATGGCAGTTCTAGCACCAGTTCTGCCCCTCCCCAATCCTGGGTTCGGCGCCGGAGATGGGTGCGCGTCATGCGGCGCAGGCTCGATATACCCCCTCTACCGTTCCTCATGCCGGACGGTGCGATGTACCATCTCATCGATGGTCAATTGATACCCGCTCTCGAGCACGACGACAGCGAATTTGGAGGCAGTGACGGGCAGGAGCTCAGCACGATGCCGAGCTCCGGATTCGCATCGCAAGACTATGTGGCCCGAGCGCGTTATTTGGTTGGCACACCTAGTCTCGATGACATGGAGGTACACTCTGCATTGGATGCCCGTCGAATGATCGCCAAGCTAGAACGGGCCACCACCGAACTACGACAAGGGCTCCTTGGTGAGTTCTCTCGACGCTGTAATACAGCGTTGTGCTGATGTCAATATCCATAGGTGACGACGACGACGAGCGGAAAATCCAGGCCGAGGTTCTGCTTAATGTATACAATCGACAGCTAGAACAGAGACGGTTGGCTGCGGGGGCGCAGGGTCTGCTGATTTCGGGCGAGGGTATGCAGAACCTCCTGTCTCTTCATAACCACTGGCTCACATCTCGCGCAGATGACGTCGATTTGGATGATGACGAGGACGAGGATGAGTTCCGCTACCCTGGCGCCTCTCCTGTTGAAACCAACCGACCGCCATCGATTCGCTCAACGACGACCCACTACACCGATTACTTCGGGCGTAGCGTGAGCAGCTCCTCGCGAGGCCCCACTGATCTGACCCCGCATCTTTCACAAGCACCGGAGTTCCGTGTACCCACACACGAGGCCCCCCAGAAGATATTGACCCCGAGGTGGTCAACGCCTACTCCCCACCAGGTTCACGCCACTTGGGAGAGGGACGAAGTTGTATCCGAGTGTCGCGAGTGCCGCAGACGCTTCACCTTCCTACTCCGAAGGGTGTGTGATATTTATTTACATCCTCGAGATACTGGTGCTGACGCCGTGATTACAGCATCATTGTCGGAAGTGCGGCCGTATATTCTGCGACCGCTGCTCGTCATACAGGGCTCTCCTGGACCCTTCAGACGTCGTCAGCGATCCCGCCTTCCCGGATTCGCCGCCCACCGCCAGTCAACAGCGCGTGTGCGTAGGCTGTCACGAAGAGGTCACCGCGTCGATCCCGCGCTCGTTATCCGCCTCGCGTACGAATTCAATGGAGCGCATATTCATCGACCAGCGACGGTTGAACATCCCTAGTCCCACCCGGGCGCAGTCTAGCTCCCAGCTGAGCGATCTGGCAGAGTGAGTCACTTTTCCATGTATTGTGATGTAGTCTAACATGGCCGTTGCAGGTGTCCTGTCTGCAACTCAGGTCTGTCAGACATGGGCCCACCTCACGTTCAGGAGGCCCATGTCAAGAACTGTCTCGAAGGTGGCACCGGTACAGCTCCTCAGACCGCCAAGTACCTCGTATACAAGCTTCCAGCGGAGAGTTCGCTCATCGGCCACGAATGTAAGGAAACTGTTTCCTCTCTCGCGGTGAAGTGTACTCACCTCGTATCCCTAGGTGTGATCTGCTTGGAGGAGTTCGTCACTGGCTCAACGGTCGCACGGCTCAGTTGCTTGTGCAGCTTCCACAATGGTGCGCATACACGGCTGGGCTCCTCGGTTGTTGCTGATACTGAAGTTTTCCAGCTTGCTTGTCATCCTGGCTGCAACGAGGCAAGAGCTGCCCTGTACACGCACGATGATGATCATGACTTCGCAGTCTATGCAATGTCACTACGTAGATGGGTTTCCTCTGGCGTCTGTAACGTGTCCCATTGCTGCATTATTGCGTTCCCGTCATGCTTTAACTATGCGATAATACCACACATTAATCGATACATCGTGGATATGATACACGGTCTGTCACAGACTATTCCTCCGGTGGAATAGCCCACGGAATTCGTGCTTCGTCGATACGAATTATGTTCGCCATGTCTTCATAATCTGGCTCGACAATATCCTGGCCCTTCACACCGTCGTCTTGATCGTCTTCGTCGAACCATGTCGGTTGTCCGTCCTCGTCATCATCGTCGTCATCGTCGTCGTCGTCGTCCTCCATATCTGAGTCCGTGGGTTTGTAGTTCCTGCACAACGAAGTGAGTGGAAAGACAGGATCTGCATCGCGATCACGTACAAGAAAGCCAACATCCTCGCGTTCTTCTCCGCATATGTCAACTGTTCGCCTGGTAGAATGTCCCCTCGCCTCCGCTTCTTGTCCATGACTTTCTGCTTGTGCTCCTGCTCTCGCTTGAACGTATTGCGCAATATCTGTGCGGCCTCGTCTGCAGACATGCCTCTTGCCGGTCCGGTCTGCACGGCCATCTTCGCGTTCTGTACCACAGCGAGTCACGCTCAGCTCCCTCCTTCCCCAAAACCCCGCGAGCAAAAGTGAAAGCACCCACCCATCGTGCCAGCACCTGTTCCTTCGCGCTGATGGGGCGGGGCTCTGATGGCGGCGAGGCGGAGGTCGGCGAGCGCGGGTCGACGCTCATGGCCTCGGGCGCATCTTCGATCGTGGTGTGCTCGAGCCGGGTGCGTATGCCCTCGACCCCGACTTCGGCTGAGCTCAAGCGCTCCCGGATAGCAGCCTGCTGGTCCTCGAGCTGGCGGATGAATGCGGAGCTCGATGCGGATCTGCGGGGGGCGGAGCGTGTGTAGGCGGAGGCGGAGGCGGAGGCGGAGAGGCGTCAGAGTCGCACTCGAGTATGGATATGGAGAGGGTCGCGGGCGGGAACGTACGTCTCGGCGAGGATGCGCGCGTTGTGGTCGAACCGCTCCTGGAGCTCGGCGGGGGAGAGGCCGCTGATGTTGGCATGCGCGAGAATGGTCTTGACTCCATCCGGCTTGGGCGGACGGCGGAGGAAGGAGGGCATCTCGCCATTCGTCGCTCGTCTTGTTCTGGTGGGCGAAGGGGGCATCGAAACGGTACGGGGGCTTCTGTGCGGCGTTCGAATTGGAAGGAGGCAGGGGGAAAGGCCTATGGTGTTGTAAGTATACGAGCGTGCGTAGGTGCGTTAACTCGACAGTGATCAAGATGCCGTACACAGTCACGCCAGGACAATTGAAGATGTGATGCGTGACTCTCACAGTGATGCGCAGCAACCTGTAGATAGTACGCCTCCCAAGCACCCATGTACTTGCATTACGAGCAACATCCATGGTACATATGGGCCGAACATTCCTGACACAAGATGCTGTCCTCCGTTCCTAGTGGTCCCTATCCTTTAATGGCAGACGATATCACCCCCTGGGTCTTGACCGACTGTTTTCCACTCGCACTTTATCAGCTACCGCCATCATGGAAATCACCGTCGTTTTGCTAGAAGTGTTATGTACGTCTCTCGGAATGTGCCCCGTGCAGCCAACGCGTCTGCAATCCTCGATGTATACAAAAGCAGCCTTAGGAACGAGAGGATATCACTGCGGAAGGTATGCATTTCTTCGACGTGCCCATGCCTCTCTCTGCTTCAGAACCTGTGAGTTAACGAAAACCATCAGCTTCGCATAGCCTACTCCGCCACGCGCAATGGCCTGCAGGCACTTCGGAACGATATTGCTGCCAATGGATTCGAGGCTCTCTGCGAGGGATTCGACCAGGAGCAACCCCTCCAGACATTCACAAAAGGGCTAAAAGACGGTGAGACTGTCTTCGTTGTAGACATCAATCCTCCAGGTGAGCAGCGTTGCGTCCGTCTGACATGTTGGCTGTCCTGGGGCTAACCTGAGGCACGCCTCGCTGAAGATTGGGTTCCCTACGACTCTATCGCCTGGGCGAAGCTCCTGCATGATAAGATACGGATTGATGGGTTTGACCCTTTGGAGTCTGGCAAAAGAGAGCATGTCCGCAAAGAGATCATCGACATATTGAAGGAGGGTCGTGGTCATGAGCTGCCCAACATGATAATCGTGCGCAACGAGTACAAACGTATGTGGGAGGAGATCGAGCGTCACAGCGACCAAAACTTCTTCATTGTCGGGCAACCTGGTACAGGCACAGATTGCAGGATCAGTCTTGGACACAGCACTGACTGTTGATCTTGTAGGCAAGCCTAGCATATTCCTCATCTATGCACTGCTGAAAGCCCTCAGCACGAACAAGCTCCTCTTGTACTCCATCGCCCCAGGCGAATTCATCCTTTTTCGACCAGATGGGATACAATACACCACCGATCTCAGCGACGTTCCGAGCCACGCCCTTGCACACTGGTCGATGCCCTGGCATGTACGGACCGACCCCGCAGGGCGTTCCGACGGTTCTCCACTGCTGTCTTTGCTTCCTTCCCCCAAACAGAGGCTATGGAAGAAGTCCAAAAAGGACGTGTTTTATTTGGTGAGTTTTGCCTATGCTCATTCGGCGCGTACTGATCATTCTATGTCAGAGTCTCCCCCAGCATCGAATAGTAGAAGGCGATGTGTCCGGGTCTGACATCGGCTCCCGCGCTCTGAAATATGTCGGAGGTAAAGATGATGTCGAGCTTCAGCCTCGAGGCCGAGATGCAATAGCAACAGCACGCAGGAGAAATTGGATCAACGACGCATAGTCACATACACTACGTAAGTATCACTTTTGGGCACTTGCGTAATTTGTTAGGCTAGAATGGGATGCATTGAGTGCTGCCTGATGGGTATCCACAGCTGGAATCTTTCACACTGGTGGTGATAGCCTGTCGACTCTGAAGACATGGGTGGTAGGGAACAAACAGTTGTCGCACACTTGGCAGCTTAAGCGATCATTCAACCTCGAGTCTTAGTGAGTATCCGTTTGTGTTCACTGCCAATCTTGTACTGATTGTCCTGGCCGCGCCTCACTGTGGTAGAAGTTCCTTCAGTAATGGATCTCAGCACACGTGGTGGACCTGGATCCGACGCGTGATGCGAGGGCTCAGGTGTCGGTGTCAGAGGCGAACGACGATGTCGAGATGCCAATATTCCTCCATGACTCCGTACCCATCACCGCCACCTCGCGGGCCCACAGCGTGTCTGCGACGAGCTTAATGCTCCCCGTACTCCGCCAAACCACGTCACCTCGCGGAATATTCCATTCGCTGTCTACCCCGTACGTCTGCCCTTCCCCCATCCCCGCAGCTCACATCTTCACACACTTTCTATGCTTTGGACATGTCTGTGAAACCGTCGCCGGCTGCTGTATGTCAACGACGGTCGGTTATCGTCTCGGTCACCTCGCCGACATGTCAACGTTCACAGCTTCCCTCGCCCGTTCGAGCACTCGGCGACGATTCTCCGGGAATGGGGGGGAGCCTGGGGGGCATGGACATTATTATCGCCCTCGCATCCACTGCCGCAGCACCCCTGCACCTCTGCACGGACTTTTATCCACCGTAAAGCAACTTTCCAACCTCCTGACCGGCGCCCACTCGCCTCATACCATCGGGAATCACTTGGCGCGGACCCTGGATCCAAGCCGCTCCCCCCGTCAGATCATCGGCCTTCGATGGAGCATGTGCAAGCTCACACCAACGATTAACTCGTGCAAGAGCCAATGCGACCGTCGATTTCTACGCTTCAAACTCCCATCCCCTGCCCATAGCGCCCTCTTTCCGTCTCAACGTTCTATATGGACGACTTCATCCCATACTGCGAAGGGTACTCCTTCGGTGGATCCCGCTTGTCCGCCTTCGTCGACTACTATCTTCTCGTCCGCGACGCTATCTCGGCCTTCTCCTTCTATCTTGTGTACGACTGCTGCCCACTTTACACCTGGAGCAGCCCCCCGAGCCGGGCCACATCCACATGAAGACCACGTCCTCTTCTTTCGTCGCCGATGCACGCTCCGGTCGCACAAGGTCCATTATCCTGCCATCGGTCGTCAAACTGCCGGTTCAATATGTTCATTGGTTAGAGACCGCGCATCACGTCTTCATCAAGTACCCACGACTGCCGCAGCACTCGGCGGCGTCCGGTTTTCACGACGCCGAGGTCTCGCGGGTGGTCGGAGAGAACGCCGGAGCAGTGGGTCTCCGGATCCTCTCGATCACGAGCAACCACGGCAACCACTGGTCAAGTATTTGGCACGCCCACGCGGTTCACTTGCAAGGTCGAATTTGGGGTATGCAGAACTACGTTGTCCACAGATCACGACGAAGCGTGCACTCCCCGCACCACCTGTTTCTCCCGTTTTTGTCCTATGAACTTCTTGCGTTCCTGATATGCTCTTACATAGTATATAGTCTGTAATAGACCCGTCACGGCTGCTTACAACCTGTCCCTATCTGCATCTTTGGAGAGTCCCCCACCGCAGTGGGCGGGTACACGCTTGCCTGTTCCATCCACGACACGCACAACACGATAGACAATACATCTGAACTTCTGCTACAGAGTATACAAGTACACATCCTTGACCATTAATCCCTACATGAACATGTCGCCCTGCGTACGAGTCGTTAGCGCACTTCGCGTGACATGAACAAAACAAGTTCTTACGTAGCCGGGTGGTGGGTGTTCGTCATTATCAGGATCGCCTCCAAAAGGGCCTCTGCCTCTACCTCCAGGACCTCTGGGGAATCCGCCCGGTGGTCCAAAGCCAGGTCCCACGGGATCGAAGCGAGCACCTGGCGGTGCGCCCATAGGCGGCAGGAATCCATCACCGCCCCAGGGGCCCATCCCGCCCGGTCCTCGTCCGGCCATACCAGGCCCAAAGATGGGGTGATTCGGGCCGACAAACATACCGTCGCCAGAGCTGTCGGGGAACAAGGGCGAGGGGGCGAAGGGGTTGGCGGGGAATGGATCCCTGTCACGACGTCCAATCTCAAGCGGGTTCCGGGGAGGCGCAAACGGCATGTCCCCACGCGGGGGGTAGGGGGGTTGCTCGGGATGAGGGCGAGCGGGTGGTGGATTCGCGTTTGGAGCTCGTGGTTGGCTGGTTCCGACGTTCGTGTCCGTCTGCTCAGAGTACCCATCCTTACGCAACCCAGGCATCAACTTCTGCACCGTGGTGAGCTTCAGCTGGGCGACGAAGTCTTCGACGCGATTGGAGGAAATGAATCCATGTACAAGAGGTGTCGAACTCGAGGTGTCGAGGTCATGAGGGAAAAACGACGGCGAGGTGAAATCGTTGGTAGAAATATCAAGCGTAGCGGCTTTATCACTCTGGTTGTCAGATGATCAGCTGCAGGTGGTGACGGACGGGCGGATTTGTGCAGCTTACCTCGATCGCGATCGAGTTAACAAGGGTGCGACTGCCCAACTTCGCCACTTTGACCAGGAACTCCAAACTGCTCTGCTCATGTCTGTACCTGAAGGTGTAGTTGCCAGGACCATGCTGGTTCCATTCGTCCGGGAGGACGTTGCCCTCAAACGTGTGTACAAGTCCGCTCTCGTCGATTCCAACGAGCCGGAATGCGAGGATGGTGAAGACGGTGTGTACGAGCGCAGCTATCGCGTCGTGAGGTGATTGTAGCGATTTCTTGGCCGAAGGAAGGACATTGGGAAGAGCATGGATGAGAGCAGAGGCGTCGAGTATGCTTGCGACCATGGTGGCAGAGGCAAAGAGGCTCTGAACGCGCGTCGCGCCCTTGACTGGCCCCGGCAGCCGTTACGCAATGCGGTTCCGGTGAAGCCAATCAATGGAATGCTCTGAATGGGTTACGTCAGCGCTTTCCACGCCTCGGACTGCACCCCGTATCGCTGACACTCGTCTGCCTGCAAACCACTCCTCTCATCCCCTTACCCCAAGTCGCTCTTTCATAGCGACCACACTCCTCCATCCATCTATCATGGCTAGAAGGGACAGGTCTTACTCGCCAGATTCGCCGAATAAGAGGGTAAGGCCGTCTCACCGCTCTTCACCGCGGTCTCCGTCGCCGACCAGGCGCAACGCCCAAAGGCCCACTAGATCGCGGTACGACGACGACCGGGACAGAGACGGACACCGGGACAGAGCAAGGGACCGTGACAGGGACCGCGACCGTGAACGAGAACGAGAACGGGACCGCGACAGGGATAGAGACCGATACCGCGACGACAGGTATCGTGATGATCGCCGCCGCGACCACCGCGACGACAGGAAGGACGACCGCGACCGCCGACGTTCTCGTTCTCCCCGCGATCGTCGTGAGCGAGAACGCCCCGCCTCTCCCCCGTCTCGGCCCCCTCCAGCTGTCACTCCCGCGACCACCGAAAGTAAGCCCACGACACCCCCTGTTGAGGATGAGAAGTTGAAGGCAAAGCGCGCGAAGCTCGAGGCGTGGAAGAAGGAGCGCGATGCCAAAAAGGCGTTGGATGAGGCGAAGGCGAAGGCTATGGCGTTAGCCGGGAAATCTGCCGCGGGTGAGTTCCGTGTATGCGATCCAGGTACGACGTGATTTCACACCACTTGGTCCTATCCGCAGCCCCAGCGTCGGCCAATGGAGCCGCAGGCTCGCAGCTCAACCGCTCCGCTCTGGGCACTCTTGGGCTCAAGGGACTGCCACTGAAGCCGGAGCTGCGGAAGACGTCAAAGTCCGCGCTTCTCGATGACTCTGTTGAGACAAAGAGGAAACTTCAGACTCTTGACCTCCCCGAGGTTGACATGACGATGAACGATGGGCAGGGCAACATTGGCGACCTCGAAGCCGACGATGACGATGACGCTGGTGTGGGCACTCAGGCCAAAGCCGAGGCGATGGATGAGGATGACGACGACGTGGATCCCCTGGACGCTTTCATGAGCGGGGTTAAGGAAGAGGTGAAGAAGGTGAACATGGAGGATATGAAGAAGATGAAAACCACAGCAGCACTCGGAGTCAGGCTGGATGAGCGGGAGGGCGAGGAGGGTGAGGAGGAGGGGCCTGAACCCGATGAGCTCGACTCCACGAACCTCAACCCTGAAGACATCCTTGCGCTGGCGGCGAAGAAGGCCAGGAAGAAGGACCTTGCGGCAATCGACCATTCACGCATCCCGTACGAGCCTTTCCGCAAGGAGTTCTATGTCGCCCCGCCGGATGTTGCAGAGATGACTGACGAGGACGCGGAGTTGCTGCGGCTGGAGCTCGACGGCATTAAAATCCGAGGCGTCGACTGTCCTCGCCCTGTCACGAAATGGAGCCACTTCGGACTTCCTGCAAGCTGGTAAACATATCGTTCACCCTGCGCTGTTTGTGTGTCACTGACTCATCTACAGCCTGGAAGTGATCAAGAAGCTGAACTATGCGGCACCCACGCCCATTCAAGCACAAGCCGTTCCCGCAATCATGTCAGGCCGCGATGTCATCGGCGTCGCGAAAACCGGTTCGGGAAAGACCATCGCTTTCCTCCTCCCAATGTTCCGGCATATCAAAGACCAAAGACCTTTGGAGCAAATGGAAGGGCCCGTTGCGGTAGTCATGACTCCGACCCGCGAACTAGCGGTGCAAATTCACCGCGAATGTAAGCCATTTCTCCGGGTCTTGGGCCTCCGCGTGAGTGTCTTCAGATATGTTTTGCAGAATACGCTTTGATACTCCTTCCTCAGGCCGTTTGTGCATACGGCGGGTCTCCTATCAAAGACCAGATCGCGGAAATGAAGAAGGGCGCCGAAATCATTGTCTGCACTCCGGGTCGGATGATCGATCTACTCACCGCGAACTCTGGACGGGTCACGAACTTGAAGCGAGTGACATACATGGTCCTCGACGAGGCTGATCGGATGTTCGACATGGGTTTCGAACCGCAAGTCATGAAGATTGTGAACAACATCCGTCCGGACCGCCAAACGGTGCTCTTCTCAGCCACGTTCCCGAGGCAGATGGACTCGCTTGCGCGCAAGATCCTGAAGAAGCCTCTCGAGATCACCGTCGGCGGGCGCTCCGTGGTGGCTGCCGAGATCGACCAGATCGTGGAAGTGCGGGAAGAAGACAGCAAGTTCAACCGCCTGCTGGAGATCCTTGGGCAGACGTACAACGAGGACCCGGAGTGCCGGACGCTTATATTCGTCGACCGCCAAGAAGCCGCCGACAACCTGCTTCGGGAGCTCATGCGCAAAGGGTACCTTTGCATGTCACTGCACGGTGGCAAAGACCAGGTCGACCGCGACTCGACGATCGCGGACTTCAAATCCGGTGTCGTGCCGATCGTCATCGCCACCTCCGTCGCTGCACGTGGTTTGGACGTGAAGCAGCTGAAGCTTGTGATCAACTTCGACGCCCCGAACCACATGGAGGACTACGTGCATCGTGCTGGGCGCACGGGACGGGCGGGAAACAAGGGGACGTGCGTCACGTTCATCACGCCCGAGCAAGACAGGTATTCGGTCGACATCTACCGTGCCCTCAAAGCGAGCAATGCCACGGTTCCGAAGGAGCTCGAAGACCTCGCCAACGGTACGTTCCTCCTCGCTCTTATACCCTCGACAGCGTACTTGAACCGTCGACTGCAGGCTTTTTGGAGAAAGTCAAGTCTGGGAAGGCGAAGGTGGCAGGGTCCGGGTTCGGAGGCAAGGGTCTCGACCGTCTCGATCAAGAACGCGACGCGAAAGAGAAGGCGGAGCGCAAGGCGTACGGCGAGCCGGAAGAAGAGAAGGCTGCGGCGGAGGCTGCGGCAACGACAGAGACCAAGACGGGGCCGGACGAGATGACGTTCGGCAACATCCAGGTCGAGGTCAAACGCGGGCCGGCGCCGGACTCGTCGAAGGGCATGCTCGGGGTGGCGGGGGCTGCGGCTGCGGCGCGGCGGCTGGCGCAGGCGAAGGAGGAGGAGAAGCTGCAGAACTCGCTCAAGGCGGCGCAGGAGGCGGCGGAGCGGGCGGGGAAGGACACGGCGGCGAGCAAGCAGGCGCTGAGCGTGGTGGCGAAGCTGAACGCACAGCTGCGCGCGCACAAGCTCGTCGCGCAGTCGCAGATCCAGCACGAGGAGCTCACGTCGAAGCGGCCGGCGATTGACGCGACGGAGTTCCACGCGATCATCCCGATCAACGACTACCCGCAGAAGGCGCGCTGGCGGGTGACGAACAAGGAGACGATGGTGCAGGTGCGTGGTCGGCGGGGTCGCTTCCTTTGCCCACTGTGGGTGGGTGTGGCTTGCTGACGCTGGTTTGCTTCTAGCTGATTGATATGACGGGGGCATCGGTGACGAACAAGGGTGAGTGTCTCGTCGCTCCTTGATGAGAGCGGAGCAATGCAGCTGACGGCGTGGTGGGCAGGTATCTACTACGAGGCGGGCAAGGAGCCTCCCGCGGAAGGTCCGCCGAAGCTGCACCTTCTCATCGAATCCAACGAAGAGTGGCGGGTGAGTTCCTGCGCTTTGATTTTGAGCGATTGCGAAGCGCGAGACTAACGCTGATGCGGGCGGGATTTAGGTGGAACAAGCGGTCCGGGAGATCAAGCGGCTGCTGGTCGAGGCGTCCGCGGCGGCGTTGCAAGCCGAGATGCGGAATCCGACTGCCACTGCGGGCAGATACAGCGTGGTGTGAGGGGCCACGCGGGAGAATGTGGGCTGTTTTATGTAACGTGTGGTAGCAATCGACGGGGGTGATGTGCCGTGGATGATTAGACTGGGGCCATTACGCTCGACCGAGGGGGACGGATAGACAAAAATGGACGAGGGATGGACCGTCGTCGGTGGCCACGCCTGCAGAGACGAGGCTGGAGCCTGGCATCGGCCTTGGGGAGGAGAGCGGCCGTGGGATGGCGTCGAGGTGAGCAGACCGCGTTTGGGGAGGGCCCACTCGTCGGCAAGCGGCGGACAGGCGAGGATGCGTTCTTCTGCCCTTCGTTCTGCGTCCCACGCCCGCGACAAATCTCGAATGACTGTCCGTGCTCGCAGGCTATATACTCCCGCCGGCTCGCGTCCCCAAGTCGTGCCCCTCCGTCTCCTCCCCCGCCCGGTCAACGTCTCAGCTCGCGCTCGGCCGGCTGTTGCATTCCCCAACGTAGACCGCCGCGACCATGGCCACGGAGACCGTCGAACCCTCGCGCACATCCACCGTCTCGTCCGACACCCACGTCCCCGCGATGGACGCGGCCGAGCGCGCACTGGCGTACGACGAAAAAAGGCCGGCCGTGGTGGCCACAGGCGGCGAGGGCGAGTCTGCGATCCCAGAAGACAAGAAGGTTCGTCCGTGCACAGTTTCTGGGGCCTGCAGGCGCCGCGCGCACCGGCTGGAGAAGGGCGAACGGCTGAGGACTGGTCTGGCACGCAGGAGGAGCCGCTGGAGAACGCGGAGGAGGACTGGACGCACGACCCGATCAACCCGCGCAACTGGCGCGCGCGCAAGAAGTGGCTCATGATCGCCATCGTACGTGCCCGTCCTCGGCCTCCGCGCGGACCGCACTGACGCGGGCGCGGGCGCAGGTCTCGCTCTACTAGTCCGACCCCAGTGATGAGAAATGCCCCCAGTGTTGAGAAATCTGGTCTGGCGGTCCCGTCCCTCGTCCGATAATGTTGAAAATTCACACGCTGGTAGGAACATGTTCTCACTTTCGTTTTCAAAAAGAACGACGTCGTTCCGTGCAGAAACAAGCACGATCTTTCGCAAACATCTCTCAAATGAGAAAAGTCGAAGATTTGATACCCGTCGGCTACGATCCCATGACCAGCGCTTAGGTTGAAGCTGCGTGAGGGGTATTGGATGAAGCGTGGCTGCCCCAATTCGAATTCTCCGGCATGATATCTGTGGGAGGGAGGCGAAAACGCACTTTGGGTCAGTTCAAGCGTGACTTCGGCCACAGAACGTGAGTGAATTTCAGTCTCCGACGTTGTCGTTGGGGAGGATGCTGTCATCCCTGGACGTATCTGACAGCCTAGCCGAGCGGAGTTGATGTCGGCTGCGTGACCCGCACTGTGACTAAGCCTCGGCGAAATTTCTCAACTCTAGGGTCCGCGGCCGGTTCGTCCACTGGGGGCGCAATACGTACCAGTTTCCTTTGAAACTTTGCACACTGATTTCTTATGACACTACCAATATGTGTACGAAATCCGAAGACTATCGCAACAGAGATGGTTGAGATTCTCATGGTTTGATCTTGCGGGCGCTCCCATTTCTCAACTCTGGGGTCATGCTAGTACACCTTCGTCGCCCCGCTCGGGTCGTCGATGATGGCCCCCGCCCTCCCGGACATCGCGGCGCACTACCGGATCACGAGCGAGACCGAGGTCGCCGCGACGCTCAGCGTCTTCCTCGTCACCTTCGCCATCGGCCCGCTCTTCCTCGCCCCCATGTCTGAGATCTACGGCCGCACGTGGGTGAGTGTCGCTCGCGCTCAGGCCGCGCGCGCGCAACGTACTCACCGTGACCGGCAGGTGCTCCACATCGGGAACGTGCTCTTCCTCGCCTTCAACTTTGGCTGCGCCTACGCGCCCACCGCCGCGTCCCTCATCGGCTTCCGTATCCTCGGTCCGTCTCTCTCCTCGCTCGTCGAGAGCGCCCGCCGCTGACACGCACCCCAGCGGGCTTCGCCGGCAGCGCGTCCATCGCCTGCGGCGGCGGCACCGTCAGCGACCTCTTCTCCGAGCGGGACCGCGCCTCCGCGATGGCCCTCTACTCCGTCGGGCCCCTCATCGGCCCCGTCGTCGGCCCCGTCGCCGGCGGGTTCATCGCCGAGACCGTCGGCTTCCGGTACATCTTCGTCTGCGTCGCCACCCTCTGCGGCCTCGCCGCCCTCATCGGCATCCCCCTCCTCCGCGAGACCTACCACCCCGTCATCCGCCTCCGCCGCGCCCGCACGTCCGCCGACCCCGAGCTGGCTGCGAGCACCCACCCCCATCTGCTCGAGGAGCACAGCAGCAAGCTCCGCCGCATATACCTCGACATGACCAGGCCGTTCATCCTGCTCACCAGGAGCCTGATCTGCTTCCTGCTCAGCGCATACATGGCGCTGCTCTACGGTACGCCCCCGTGAGCCTGTCCAGAGAGCGATAGTTGACGTTCGAGTCTGCGCAGGGATCTACTACCTCATGTTCTCCATCTTCCCCGGTTAGCCTGCTCGCTGCTCATCACTCGTGGCCCGCTGACGTCTCGATGTCTAGGCATCTTTACGGGCATCTACGGCTTCAGCATCGGTATCGGCGGTCTCGCATACATCGGCCTCGGCGTTGGTTTCCTCTCCGCGACATTCTTCGGCGCATGGTTCGCAGACCGCATATACGCGTCGGTCAGTCTTCCTGCGACGAACTTGCCAACAGGTTGCTGATCGCCGCTCCAGCTTTCGGCCAAGAACGGCGGGAAGGGCAAGCCGGAGTTCCGTATCCCTCCTCTCGTGTTCGGCTCTGTGTTCGTGCCCATTGGCATCTTGCAAGTCGCTCCCCTCTTCGTACACTTTCGTTACTAACGCGCTTGTTGTCCACCAGATGGTACGGGTGGTCCGCCCAAACCCACCAGCACTTCATGATGCCCATCGTCGGGACCGGCATCTTCGGCTTCGGCCTCATGGCAGCATAGTGCGTCTCTCTCTCTCTTCCCCGCGCCACACATGTGCCTCATGCGCCGACCGCCTCTCCGCCATCGCCCCCAGCCTCCCGATCCAGCTCTACCTCGTCGACACCTTCACCTACGCCGCCTCCGCGCTCGCCGCCGCCGCCGTCTTCCGCTCCATGCTCGGCTTCGCCTTCCCGCTCTTCGGCACGCAGATGTTCGACGCGCTCGGCCTCGGCGGCGGCAACTCGCTCCTCGCCGGGATCGCGGTCGTGCTCGGCGTCCCCTTCCCGATCCTCCTCTGGTTCTACGGCGAGCGCATGCGCGCGAGCAGCTCCCTCGCGCGGTGACCCGCAGGGCTCCAGCCGCCCGCTCGCGCCTGCCAAATGCGAAACCCCCCTCCCCCACCCACCCATCTCCAACGCGGAGCCGACTGCGCTCACGAAAGGCCGAGCCCCGCGGGACCGCGTTGGTCCCGCGCCGCGCACGAAGGCCGCTGTCACGACACGGCTAACTACTTAGCCACGGTTTTTAAACGACGCCTCCCACTCACACCCGTGTGGATGTAGACAGACCGGGCCGCCCTGGTTTTCTCTTCCGGATCCTGCGGTCTGCGGACATCCCCGCCATACCCACGCTTGTACGAGACATACCAGGACATACCCCGTTGAAGCTGTGTGTTGGAGGTACAGGGACGCCCGCGGGATACCTTACATGCTGTAGTCGCGTACCATATGCTCCAGCCCCACTTGTTTCGTAAAGCATTGCTATCTTCGTCATCATTAGATGTCCAGACGTCACTCGCGGCTGATAGGATCGTGGACGGTGTATGCATGCGTACACAAGCTAGAAACAGACATGAAAGCCACAGCGAGACAGATGTACATTTTACACGGCGCGGGCCACGCGGGGTCGGCCGCTCAGCGCAGGCCGTACCCGCGCGACTTGGCGAGCCCGTACCCGTCGTCGGTCGACGCGCGGACGCGCTGCTCGACGTCCGCGATCTTCGTGTCCAGCTCGCGCACCGCACCGTTGATCCACTGCAGGCTCTCGAGGTGGCTGCTCAGGATCTGCGCGATCTGGCCCATCGCGTCCTCGGCCGCGTCGGGCCCCGCCGCGCTCGCGCCCCCGCCCGGCGCGAGCGAGAGCACGTTCACCGCGTCGATCATCTGCAGGAGCGAGCCGGAGAGGTCGTCGAGGTGGCCGTGGAGCTCCGTCGCGAGCATGTAGCTGTGAGCGGTCGGTCGGTGAGGAGAATGAGGACAGAGGGAGACGGGAAGAGGGCTCACTTCTTGTCGCGCTCGGTGTCCGCGGGGCCGGTGTCGAGCGCACGGAGGCTGCTGCCCTGGCCGCCGAGGATCTCGTCCACCGACTTTTCGTACGAGTCGAGGGTCGCAGAGAGCTCGCGCTGCTGGCCCTCGATGTGGTCGAGCGCGCCGTCGATGTCCGTTTGCTCCCGCTCGGCGCCGAGGACGGTGGCATAGAGTCGGGCGAGCTGTGTGATTGTGAGCGGTTGCGACCGTCGTTGAGAGCGGGAAACGGTGCTCACGTTGTTGCTGTTCTCGATGAGCGCACGGTCCCAGACGGCGACCTCGCTCGCGAACTTGTTGAACTCGCGGATGTGAGTGTCGAGCTCCGTGGACCACCGGTTGACGATCTCCTCGATCGTCTTCCCGCGCAGCATGGACGGGGGTGCTACCGCGATAGCGGCTCCCAATGTCGATGCGCCAGCCGCGGCGGTCGTTGCGCCCAAAGCGGGTGTCGTAGTCGTCGCAGCGGCGGCCGGCTTCTTTTCGTCCGCCTTCGGGGCGCCAAACAGACTGCTTCCTATGGTAGTGGACGCTGCGTACACTCAGATGAGGATTCTTCAGCAATCTAGCATAACACTGACCTGCAGGTGCATTAGAGGTCGTAGCGGGCGTGGTTGTGGCAGGGGGCTTTCCGAACAAAGTGCCTCCAAATAAACTGCTGGAGCCAGCAGCGGTTGTGCTAGTCCCAGTTGTGGCGGGTGTTCCAGTAGCAGCAGCAGCGGTGGCTGCTGGGGCAGCGGTGGTACCTTGGGGGTCTGCAGGCTTGGGTGGAAGGCCGAACAGTCCGCCACCCGCTGCAGGAGTCGTTGACGCGGCCGTGGCAGTAGAGGTGGCTCCACCGAACACTACAGCGACTGTGAACACGCTACCTTCTAACGATATGACGGTATGACTCACAATTGCTTCCTGATGCCGCAGGGGTTGTAGTTGCAGCAGCAGGGGTGCTGGTCGTCGCCGCAGGTTTGCCAAATAACCCTCCACCACCAAACAGACCTCCACTAGGAGCGGCTGTTCCCGTTGTTGTGCTTGCTGTAGTGCTAGCAGGGTTTCCAAACAGCGAGCCGGGGGCAGGGGCAGGGGCAGTTGTATTGTTGGACGTTGCTGCCGCACCACCGAAGAACGAATTGGCGGCAGGAGTAGCAGTTGTCGTGTTCGTGCCACCAAAAAGGGGATTGCTGCCTGAGGCGGTCGTCCCGGTAGCAGCAGGAGTGGGAGGCTTCGCCGCGGCGCCGAAGATCGAGTTGCTACCCCCAGCTGTAGATCCACCACCGAAGATCCCTCCGCCGGCCGTTGCTGGAGTGGACGTACCGGCAGCTGGGGTGGTAGTACCGAACGCACTCCCTGCTGGTTTGCCAAACGCGCTACCCCCTGTGCCCCCGAAGAATCCTCCCCCTGCAGTAGGGGCGGGTGTCGTCGATGCCGCAGCGTTCCCGCCCCCAAACAGACCACCTGTAGGAGCAGGCGTCGCCGAGCTCCCGAATATGCCACCGGAAGCTGGCGCAGCGTTATTCCCAAAAATCCCGCCCGAGGGAGCTGCTGGGGTCGTCGAGGCGTTGTTGTTTCCGAACAGCCCGCCAGAAGCTGGGGTCGGCGTGCTCGTCGTGTTCCCAAATATCCCACCTGTCGCAGGTGTGGACGTCGACCCGAATATGCTGCCACCAGTGTTGGTTGCGCCTCCGCCGAATGCGTTTGTACCAGTTGGGGCCGCTGGGGTTGAACCAAACGCGCTGCCCGATGCCGGAGCTGAACCAAACACACTACTCGGTGCGCCTGGCGTTGTAGCGCTATTCCCCCCAAACAACCCTCCCCCACCTGTGCATGCAACGAAACATTAAGCACAAATACCGCCGTAGAGTGCGAATCTACATACCGCCAAATGCTGAGCCTCCACTGAAGGCTCCAGTCGCACCAGGTTGTCCACTAGCGGGTTGGCCAAATATTCCGCCGCCTGGCGTCGTGGTCCCCGTTGCCGACGCGTTGCCGTTGTTCTGCCCAAAAAAACTCATATCGCCGAGCGGGAGCGGGAAAGAGCGAGAGGAGGGAAAGAGGGAGGGAGGAAGAAACGTTGAGCTTGAGCCACCTTGTGAAGTTGTGCCACAGCCGCGAACACGACGCGCGATCTATCACGTGGCCAGGTGAGCTCCGAGCACGCGCGCCACCCATCCTGACCTACGAGGATGGAAGTTGTATGCCTTAGTACGCTACACTAACTTATGCCGACAGCGTCGAAATCTATGCATTGCAATATCATGACAGAATGGGCGTAACGGTCGTACAGATGGTATCGATTACTATAGTAGAAGATATTACGACAGCATGAATTTCCCATAGGGGACCTGAACATCCGACTTTCATCCCTGGGTATGCATCTTCCGTCTCTCTGGATGGTGGTAGTATGTGCTGTATCGTTTCCTCGATGGGGACCCGCTAGGACCTGCCGATATCAATGGACTGCTCTCGCTTGGGGCCTGTGAGCCGGCCAATGTTGATGCGGCCATCTCTCCATAGTCGTCCGAGTCGCTATCGTCGCCGAGCCAGCTCCCATCTTCGGGGAGAGCGATGACCCCTGACGCGGCGTCGAAGCTGAGCCGGCGGACTATTTGCGTGTTGCTCCGCCCTTCCTGTCCTCGAGGACGTGGACGTGCGGCGGGTGTGCGATCCTCTTCCCAAGGATTGCGATCGAGCACAGAGCGGTCAGAAGGCTCGACGCGTTCTGTTGTTGGTGGCGGGCCCCCAGGATCTGCGGCAGTACCAGAACCCGAAGGGTCGCTTGAGCCGGACTCGTCGCTTGCTTGACTTTGCGGGCGTTCACGGACGACGCTGTACTTCTTGCGGAGGGTCAGCACGACGCCAGGGCTGCCCTCGTCACCCGTATCTCTGTGCCTATTGATACTCTGGCCCTTCTTGATGGGTAGCCAAGGGTACGGCAGGACTCCGGTTAAGGCTGGATGACCATAACGCCGTTTGCCGGTGCTACATAGAGAGGTTAGACACTGATATGCGATTATGTAACAGCTGCCGCTTACTTGAGAACACCACTGTAGAAGTTCGACATCGGGGGTTGCGACTAGTGGCTTTATGAGTCCAAGTAATGAGAAGGGATGTCTCGAGCACTCACATAATCTGTGCGCTCATCTTCAGGTGCAACATAGAGAGTCTCGTCGTTCTGTGCGTACCGTCGCCGGTTGAGGTTGCTGAAAAATATCATTTATATCAGCCATATAGAACACTCTTGACCGATCTGAGAAACTGACCTCTGTGACCATGTTACTGGATGACCAGCGCGTAGCCTCACGACGTCCGCACTTTCCTCACCGCGTTCCACCTCGTGCACCGAGTGGAGACTGACACACTTGCTGAGGGGACGGAACTGCTTATCGGTGTAGTACCACCATAGTAGCGTCCCCGCGAGCAATGGTGCAAGTAGAGTGGCGAGGATGAACGATTTCTTGATAATAAACATGCCGATCATGAACCCGATGAATATGAGCACCCCCCAAATGAGGCGGACAAATGTGATCGGCCAGGCTTGTCCCTGAGATTCGTATGGCTTGTAGAAGACTAACCCCGTGCAACTCAATAAACCGAACAGATAGCTCCTTAACACGACTCACCAAACAATAGCTTGTACTTGTAGACAATATATGCAGCACCGAAGTAAACCGCTCCGAACACGAGGATAAGCGGTTGCATGACACTGTAAAGCAAGGTGATGACAAAAACGAGGATGGCTTGAGGGTACACGATGCCGTAGTTGATCATTGGAGGGGCGTTAAGCTCCGCGAAGTCTGAAGCACAGTGAGAACGATAGTTCTCAAACTAAAGCCAATGTGACTTGCCTCGAGGAGTACGTGTAACAAAGAGGCGAAATATTATTCGTGGAATCACGATCCCAAGGTTGAGTAGCTGTAGCGGAATCAAGGCGAAACCTACATGATATATGAGTGACCTGTAGGGAGATGATGGTCAAATATTTACACACCTTGCAGGATGACGTATGATACGAAGAAGTGTCGCGCGTTACCGGCGTTAAGTGCTTGTGCTAGCTTCTCAATACCCTTGGATGGAGAGCTTGCGAGATCTCGGATGAGCTGCCAGTATGTACTAGCGACAAGGAAGATGAAGACGACGTTGATCAGCAAGAACAGGAAGTATCTGCAAATATTCAGGTATGAGTAACGAGCATGCCAGACGGGGGACTGCACGTACTTTTTCATCACTGAATATTCGATCCAGCTGCGTGCCGGGAACGCTTGGATGTACGTCAAGCCTACATAACAACGGTCAGTATCAGCACCAGACGGACGAGATCTTTAGTTTACCTTCGAGAAGAAACGGTAAAGTGGCATTCAAAGTGACCATACCCAGCGACGACAAAGTCTGCATGAGAGCACCCAGATGTTCGTTGCGGTCCATGAGATCGGCAAGCCAAGGCAATGTCTTCCTGATCTCTTCCGGACTCAGCAGACTGGCCAGCGCTGTAATCGGAATGAACCAGAAGAATTGGAGCAAGACCATTGCGCCCATCACAATCCACTCGCGGACAAGGGCGTTCAACGGAGAGTACGAGATATTGGACCAAAAGATGTCTCGTGGTTCAGGTGCGAGATGCGTGAGGCCCTGCATGGGGTGTGGGGCATGCACGGTCTGTGCTGCGATTTGCTGATAGTCCAAGAACAATCAGCCTTGTTCACACGCAATGCTCTCATAAAAGACGTACCGCGCTTGACATCTTCTCAAACGTTACGAACGCAACATGGGTGGGCTTGAATCGACCCATACGGCGCCTCTTCTTGACAAGCTCGTCGGCTTCCCTGAACTTGTCTTCGTAGTACTCGATTGCATCCACTTTGCGGGAAAACCATCCGGGTCGAATGGTCGGCCGTTTGCGATTAGGCAGCACCAGCTGCTCGGGTTGGCTCTCGATCGATGCCGCGTCGTCAATATCGACCAGAGGATATCGGATTGATGTGTTCGGTGCGACAACGCTAGGGTTCCCGAGATAATCGACCCAAGCGTGCTCCAGCTTGAGCAGGGCTTGAGTCCGGATATCGAGGAGTCGCTTGAGTGAGACAACCTCCCTGCATATATTGACACTCTCCACGCTGAGATCCATCTGTTCGAAGTAATCTGCCAGCGCGGGTTCCGACTGTAGATGCGGCGGGAGGTGGGTGACCATCACAGTGCGAGCTGGGACCGAATGCACAAGTTCCAGAGAGAATAGCTGGCGAGACCGGACGAACCGCTTGAAGTTCTTGTAAAGGGCGCGTAGCGCCAAGATAGTGAACAAGTACGTGAAGAGGAGATGAAGAGAGAGGTAGCTGTTGGCATCACTGATGAGGTCGAACCAATTGTCCCATGTAGAACGAGGGATGGTCGGGTCTGGTGGTACAGGGTCATCCAGGTAAGTTGGTATAGTGGGTGCGTCTTCCCGTCCGTCTCCAATGTCGATGTTGTTCTGCCCCCTCTGTGAGCATCGGTACAACACGAACTCACGATTGATAGACGTACCTTCAGATTTATTGGCATGAGGATGGCCGCAGCTAACACGGAGCAAGAAGAGAATAGCCAAAAAGACATCTTGAAAAAACTGAGGAGCTGTTGTATACGAAATGTTAAGAGAAACGCTGGTTTACGCGATGCATGGAGGAACTCACCACCGCAGCATCAAGACCTACGATCTGAAGGACAGTGAACTCCGACGTTCGGATGGTTGGAAGGATCCAGCCGAAAAAGGCCTGGTGCGCATGTGCTTCATGGGGGGAGAATCCTGCGAGTTTGTGAGACTACAGCGGGCGATAGGGTGCACAGACGATACGTACCCTTGAGTTTGGTACGCGGCGCGAAGAGAATTGGCCATCTCATGCGTGCATAAGAGAAGATGATGAAAGACGCCAGCCCGATGGTCGCCGAGAGCGCAAGTTGCGTAAAGAACCACGGGCCTTCGAACTTCACTGTCGACGTGTTCATAACTGGATCAGACGACAAAGGAAGGGGGAGAATATGAGTGAAGACATACTCTTCGGAGGCGAGCCAGGAGGGGGGCCTTCAGGCTCGTCTGAACCAGATAACGCAACGACGAGCAGCTGAAAAGCATGCCGGAAATACGATATCATGGCTGGGAGGGGTTTCCGAGGGAGAGAGAAGATGGAGGGAGAGTGGCATCCGTGGTCGTCTGCGGAGAGCAAGGCCTGTGGCCCGCGGGCCCGGACGCCTCTGAGCACGGTTGGCGCCCATGTCGCGATGCACGTGAGAGACGCGTCCCAGGCGCCGCCGTCCCTCAGGCCTCAGGGCCCCAAGCGCCGTCCCGCCGCTCCTTTCTGCAACTGCCTACGGGCGCAGGCCCGTTACATAGCACATGTACTCAAACGAATGCGGGATACGTTCTTAGCTGTGTAGTTACACGCGCATATGTGACACATAGGGATAGAATGATAATAATAATAATAATAATAAAGCCGTCCCGCCGCTCGCCCTCGCCAGTGCTTACATAGCACTCTCCGATGACGGCTTCTGACCTCCTCGTCCATGGATCCCACCTCTGGCCGCATGTCATCGAGCTCGGTGCAGACGGAAAGCAGGTATGTCATTGGTATTCCTTTCCTAGACGTCCGCATGGTTCTGTCTTACGGAGTCCTGTGCACCAAGCCCGCCGACCGAAGACGCTGCTCCCTACATTACACTGTCCTCTCTGCGCAGTGTTGCTCCTGATGGCTGGAATCTGTTCGTTCATCCCCGAGGCTCCATGTACTTCCGACACAAGACCTGCCAAGTAGTCGTAGATGAAGACATCCGCCTTCCAACCCTCCTCGCCAGCGCAGAGGCCTTCTGCGCCCTGCACGCGCCGGTCAGATCTGGGAGCGAAATAGAAGCTTACATGGCCGCAGGTGTAGAGGCCTCTGTCTGCCTGTTCATCAATCACCACCAGTGCATGGCAAGCTTTGACTACCACAAGCTATCGCACTCGGCTCTCATGAATATCTCCGTGGATGTCTGTGAGCTTTTTACATCGGTGTCTTGGTACTGCGTACGTGTCTGAAAGCAGGCACCGTAGTTTTGCGTTACAGGCGTCTGTATTGGAATTTTGTCCTCAACCACCCCTCCCATCGTCCATGCCATTCGCGCGGACCGCAAGAGGCGATCGACGCTTTGCGTTCATACTTGCATGACCATCTCATTTATGGTCGACGCAACATAGCACCCTTTTCACAACCCGAGTGCCAACAACTTCTCGAAATACTTCAACCTCTTGAGAGTGCGTAAGCTGCTTTATTTTTGTTTCAAATGCGCTAAGTCTACCGTCTGCAAGATTCTGCTGAGCTTTCGCAGCCGTCTGTGTCGTGCCTTGTGGGTTGGGTATTGAAGGACGTTTGTAAGATCGTGCGCTATATTTCCGCTCTCCCGCCTCACAAGTTCCTATAGACAGCTACCGATCTGGCCTGCGATACGGTCAACTAACTTGGCCAGAGCTCAGATCTTATTTGCGAACAATGCACGAAGGGCCCGGGTTTGCAAAAGAACCGCCTTTGATAACCGCCATATTCCTGCGACTTATTATCAATGGTCTTTGTTTCGGGATTCCTTCTACCTATTTAGCTCACGTCAAGAAAGCTAGTGAATTCCGGGGGCACCTCGTCGGCCTACGCAAAAGCTGGGAAGACTATACGCGCCAGCTGGTCCAAGAATACTCGGATTTTGTCCTTGTCGTAAGTACAGTCTATTCAACATGTCATCCAAGTAATCTGAAGTCTTTCCAGTCTACAGTGCTGCTTTCGTAGGTGTCGCTCGGTTGGATTTTATGACCAGTCACTTAGGGTGTGATTACAGAGCGACTGTCAGTCTGCTGTCCATCGGCGACATTCAAGTCGTCGCACAATCCGCAACGCTTCTTTCAGCGTTTGCTGCTTTGGGAAGTACCACGGTCGGCGTTTTCTTCGTGTGGCGACACCAACGGAACACTCAAATGCCGTCCTCGGTGAGACTCCGTCCTCCTGTGAAGGAACCAATACTGAAAACGAGTTGCACAGTTCACATATTTGCATAACGCACGGACTAGTGCGTTAGGTCTTTCAGGACACGCTATCATTCTCAGCCTTCCCCCGGTGCTGCTGGTATGGTCAATCATCACATTCGCCGTGGCCGTACTGGCCTATACACTTCAAAACCTCATTGAAGTTCCCGCGTCTTCATGGGTTGTCATCTGCGGGTTCGTGATGGTAGTTGTCGCCATCATAGTGGGTGTGTATACATTCTCTACAATCTGGACATGGCAAGGACAAGAACCTTGGTGGAGATATTTGTGTTGCTGGCCTCGACATCGACGAAAAATATGACCCCCTACTTCTTTCAGGCTTTGCTGGTGTACCTCATGGTTTTCGGAATGCATACGCAAAGAAACTAGATACAACAATGACATGATGCTCATCATGAATCCTCCTCCACTTTCACGTCTTGGCGCGCTTGTGAGGGGGGACGTCCCAGGCTGACGTCGAGCTTATGAGCCATACGCATGACCTGCGACTCGATGTAGTCGATACGGCTTCTCCTGCGAGTCCATCAATACATACCGACAAAAACGAAAAAAGCAGGATACGCACTCGTCCATGGATCGCTTCCCGAGTTCGAAAGCCTGCGAGAGCCCGATGGACTCCCTGCTCTCCACGACACTTTTTCGCCGAGCAGTCTCCTTATCTTTCATCTCCTGCAAGTGCGGCAATAGCCTGTCCACTTCGCGCTTGAGCTGTGACGCACAGAAGTTAATACCAGATGAGCCCCTCCGAGCCAGAAATGAGTGAGCACATACCATCTTAGCTCGCGCAGTCAGCGACCTGTCATCGTACTTGCCCGCGCCCGCGACCTCCTCTTTCATCCTCCTCAGCTCCTCGAACCACTTCGCCTCGCTCTCGCTGAGTTCCGGCGTCGCCTTCTTCGTCAGCGACCCCAACACCCTCTCCAGCCTTGCCAGCAAGCTCGCCTGCTCGGTCTTGAGCCGCTCCAGCCGCGCGCTCACCGCCTCCTGGCGCTCCACGCGCAGCTTGCGCATGCTCTCGAGCATCTTCGCGCACGTCTCGCGCTGACGGGCGAACTCCTTCTTCTGTAATTCGGCGCGCATCTCGGCGCCGCGCTGTGCGATCTTGACGTCGTCGATCTGCGCGGAGAGCCGCTCGACGGCGGAGCCAAAAAAGCGCAGGCCGTCGGGGGTGAGCATCGCGTCGCGTCTACTCGCGGAAAGGTTTTGTGGGAGGGATACGCGGGGGGTTTTAGGCAGGCCGTTGGCCTGCGCGGCGATGGGGGCGGGCACGGCCCATGGGGTTTTGCCGAGAAGAGAGACGTAAGCCGGGGGGTCGTCGGGAGAGAGTTGTAGGATGGAGGAAATAGGTGGGACCTTCGATAGTGCTATAGAGGAATCGGATGTGGTGGAGGTGGAAGGTGGAAGAGCCAGCTGTCGTTGTAGCTTCTCAGGTGCAGCTGGCTTCGACTCAATAGAGTACGAGGTATCGGAGCGAAGGGTCAAGGGGAAAACTGACATCCGCATGGAAGATGTGAGGAGAAATATGCTGTAGGTCAAGTAAATATCGTTGGGGACTGCGACGCCTATGATAGGGCTGGAGCATCTAAGGTATTGCAAGTTAGCTAGCCTTGCCACGATGATGCCAAAGAAAAGTACAAACTGCTGCTCCACAGAAAATGTCAGCAAGATAGGCTGAACTTCAGTGCTTTGCACAGTCGCTAATTTGTCCCCAATCACTTGACTGCTGTCTTCTTCGCTATCGTGAATCAGGGAAATAATCCCTCTCAATAACGGTCCCAGGTTGAGAACATGCACCCCGAAGGCATGATACACGTAAACGGTGTCGCTGTGAATTGGGTCACAGAGGAAAACTGGAGAGTTGCCTTGAAGGAGATCCAAAAGTTTCGACTCCTCAGATTCGTTTGGAACTTGCGGTAGATCACTGGCTTTCTGAAGACCAGCGATAATGCCGAGATCAATCGTCTCGTAAGTGACAAGCATAGGCAGCCCGTCGGAACGGCCCTAAGCGAGAGTTTTAGCAAAGTGTGTGTACGAGGAAAGAGAGCACTGACCTCCTTGTAATTCCATCGCGCTTCAACCTTCTCCACGTCAAAGAATACGTCGACAGTCCCACTTTGATGAGCGACAAGAATCCCACCTAACCGTTCTCCGTCTCCGTCGCTATCTCCAGCTACTTCATCTGCGAATGATACGTAGACGATGTCTGTTCCATCGTCGACGTCTCGCTTTCGAACCAGCAGGGGCTGCGGTTGAAGCAAGAAGGGCCCTTGGCGAGTACGGGGAGCCTTGATAATGTTTGGGGGGTGTAAGGGCACCATACGAGTAGTGGCGGGCCAGGTCGTGCCCGGTGGAAGCTGCTTCAGCAGAGCATTGACGAATTTGTGCTGGTGGTCGTACAAAACCGAGAGAGATTCGGCGGCCTTAGCCTCTTCAGACGAATGGGAAGTGCGACGAGAGAGATACTCTTGCTTGGCCGCGACATAGCACTCCAGCGCATGAACATAGGTGGATGGAATAGTGCTATACCGCGGCATCAGTCACCGTTCCGACCAGAAATGATACTACGCACGCATTCTTGGGCAAGTACGGGCATATTGCATATATGTCACTGCTTCGAGTTAATGCATACACTGTGAGAGGTCCCCAATCTGCTCGTCCCTTCCCCAGGGTAAAAGAAGTGATTTCTCTAACAGCAGAGTCGTCGGCGCTGTACGAGCGGAAGGTCTTTTCCGGCATGAAGGAAAGCACCTGCTGAGGCTCTTCGGCGTCGACTGAGACGTCGTATTCCCTATTTGAGGGTTGATTGTTTGACTCGGGATAAACGTAGCAGAAACATACCTAAGTTTCCCATCCGTTGTCATAACCAGCAATGTTGAGCCACCCTGACCCCAGGGGTGCCAATCTATTTTGGCAATTGGTGTAGAACCCTCTACTGCATGATTGTATTGTCCTACTTGGAACGACCTTCTCTCTGTAAGTCCGCATACACATGACGCATGGCATGGCTTACTTACTTGCAGTCGACTGTAGAGGTGACCAGTTTGCTGAAACCAGACCTAGGGAGTACAACGACTGCTACTTGAAACGCGCTTGCTACAGCAAGCAGCTTTCCAGTGGGATTCAGGACAATTTGATGGATGTCAAACTGGATGTTCGGCGTGTGCAAAACCTGGTACTGGCCCTGAGCACAAACAACTCGCGATCCGCCACACTACGTACCTTGTATGCCCTGTTCGACGAGCTTCGCGCCGTCTTGGAGTCACCAAGCTGAGCAATGCGAAGCTCGGATCCCGCGGCAACAATGAGGTCAGCATCTCGAATTGCGATTGCTTGCCGTCGTCCGGAGGGCGTGGGCTTGTCATCCAAAGGGTCAAGGTCCACGAAGTCCGGCAGCGAGCTGAGGGAAAGATGGAGAGAAGCTTCGCCTTTGCCTGCGAGGCCACACACGCTCTTGGGTAGCGCGAGCACAGGGTGTTCGTCGAGCAGCTTCTCCCAATCGTCGTCGTTGGCCATGTCGAGAATGTGGGGGCAAGGGGCGAGAGCGAACTGCTGCAAATGAGGCGTGCAGACGCGACTGGGGAACGCGGTCAGGCGCCTGAACGCGAGATCGCGGAAGAGGAAAGTGATTCGCACGCGCACGCGTCGATGGCGAGGGTTGCGCGTCCTGCTCAGTATACGTACTCCTCGCCATCTTTCCGCCACACACCTCCTTCTCTTCTACCCACTCTTGAACATCTACCATGACCTCTATTGGAACCGGGTACGATCTCTCGGCCAGTACCTATTCTCCCGATGGTCGTATATTCCAGGTGCGTTTCGAGACGCGCATGGAGGCATTGTACTGGGCTTACACCTTGGCTCGAGTAGGTAGAATACGCGAACAAGGCAGTAGAGAACTCTGGGTGCGCTTAGTCCCGGGCCTTGGCCCTTTTTCTTTCCCTGACTTCGCCTCCACCTCAGCACCGCGATCGGCTTGCGCGTCAAGGATGGTGTGGTTCTCGCGGTGGAGAAGCTGGTACACTCCAAGCTCTTGGTACCGGAGGCGAACAGGCGGATACAGACAGTAGACAAGCATATCGGTTTGGTGCGATATGCGGCCTGAATTCTTTATGCATGGAAGGCTGATATGAGTATGCCCAGGCATCCGCTGGTTACCTCGCGGATGGAAGGCATCTGTCGAACCGTGCCAGAGATGAAGCTTCAAGCTACCGCGAGAACTACCGCGCTCCCCCGACATTGCAGGCATGTCCCATCGCATTCATCATCATCATCATCATCATTAAAGCTCACCATGGGTATGTAGTATGTCGTCGACCGTGTGGGATTGTACGTGCAAGCGTACACCTTGTACTCCTCCGTACGGCCATTTGGATGCAGCACGATTCTTGGTGCTGTGGACAAGAACGGGCCCGCACTTTTTGTTGTCGAGCCCAGCGGTGTATCATATGTGGGTTCCATGCTTCTTCTGACTCAAATGTGGCTCACTTTATTTCAGGGTTATCGAGGTGCTGCGGTCGGCAAGGGCCGTCAGCTCGCAAAGACTGAGCTTGAGAAGCTCAAGTTCGCAGAACTGACGATGAGGGAGGCTGCCGTTGAAGCTGCTAGGATGTGCGTGTCGTGAAATGATCTACCGGTTCACGAACTCACCTCAGTGAACAGCATTTACCTCGTCCACGACGACGCGAAGGAGAAGGATTTCGAGCTCGAAATGTCCTGGATTGGCGATGAAAGCAATGGCGTCCACCTGCCTGTCCCAAAAGACCTTTTTGACGAGGCATCGAGGAAGGCGAAGGAAGCATTGGAGAACTTCGAGTAAACTGTGGCATACCAACTATTGTATTCTACGCGGACTCGTCATCGACTTTTCACTTGGAGTGTATCAACACTGCATCGTTGGGATCTACCAGGCCCCACGTGAACGTTTGAACACCGCATGATACAATACAAAAACGCCATATTGTCCCAACTGGTAATCTACACAATCTGCTCTAGCTCACGCGCATACTGAAGGTTCGCTGATATGAGCTTCTGCCTCGGTATCTCTGCCTTCTCTTCCGTTTTCTTCGCAAAGGAGATCCTTCCCCCCGTCAGATCCACTTGCCAGCCTCGCTAGACTCGGCACGAGCATTCAGCGCCATACGTTGGCAGAGCATGTGAATAATCATACCTGCTGGGCGAATTGCAGAAGCTCGTTTTGGCTCTTGAAGAAGAGCAGTGTCGCGGCATCTTTCAACGGCAAGCTATCATAGGCAACTTCCTCGCAGCTCGCGATCTCGTTCCTTCAGAGAACAGGTCACGTGAGCGGATGAATACGCTAGGAGGCGAAGAAACTCACCGAATAGTACCCATCAAGCTGTCTACGAAGAACTTATACTCCTCAGTGGGTGCCTCTTCTCGTGCGTTCCAAACCTTGCTGTAGCTGCCTTCCATGAGCCACTGCTCCAGATTAATTGGGTGTGCAATGAACGGGTTCGAGCTACGGGAGTCAGCGGGCAAGGGTAGGGATTCAAGGGTGGTGTGGAAGTCAGCAATGCGGTTCTGGGTGAGGAGGCGAATAAGGTTGAGGCCTCGAAGGGGGTATTCGCGAGGAGAAGGAGGAAGAACGGCGCTGAGGGTACAAGCGGGTCAGTCTCATGCGTGCGCACAAACATGGGAGAACGCACCTGTAGTCGTTGTAGAAGGCCTGTAGTTGTGAGAAGTATCGGTCAAACGAGGGTATGTCCTTCGTCCGTATACTCCAGAACGCGCCGACTTCGAGGACATCGCCTGATTGGTGGAGAGGTGTGGTTGGCATCGGTTTCCCATAGTATGAACCTGAACGAAGAACTTACGAGCGAGGACAAGATCCTGGAAATTCGGGTTGCCCATAGGAACGAGCAGCCCAGCTTCTGTGAGGCCAATCTAATGCATCCATACTGTGTTCAATACTAGAGTACAGAGTCGATCACGGAAAGCGCACCTTTAGCCGTGCAAGCAGCACTCCAGTCTGTTGCAATTTGCCGGATAGGAAGGCCTGTTGGAGCTCCTTGTAGAGCTGTACTACGGCCGGTGGGGGTGCCATCTTGTGCGCGTGTGGAATGGGAGGAGATTGGGTGAGGTGGGGCGGAAGTCGGAGCAAGGGGGGAAGTGCGAGTGCGAGACGCTCGCGACGCGCGTCAGGCTCGACGCGTCACCCTTTCAGCCACAAGTACCTCGCGCGGCCTGCATCTGTCTTCTTACCCTCTTCCTCCTCCACCTCGCCCGTGTCTCCCTCCTCATAACATCCTTGACGACATGGAGACTATTGATATCTCGCGCCTCAAGTCTGGCGAGGTCAACCTTGGTGTATGTTCTCTGTAGATTTCTGCCACTCGTGATTATGCTTATAGTCTCGCATACAGACCTCGATCATGGCCGTTCAATTCAAGGATGGGGTTGTCGTCGGTGCTGATAGTCGCACGACAACGGGGAGCTACATCGTGCGTCCTGTCGCTCTTCACCGAATAAATGTTCATGCTGAATGTCTTCCAGGCTAACCGTGTTACGGACAAGCTCACGCACGTACATGAACGGATCTACTGCTGCCGGTCAGGCTCGGCTGCAGACACGCAAGCCATTGCGGATCTCGTTCACTATTATCTCCAGATCTACACGTATGTTCACTGACCTCCACGGCCCGATTTGCTCTAATACTCTCGTCAAGCCAAACGAGCGGTTCTCCACCACCCGTCCACACCGCTGCGACTGTGTTCCAGAAATTTTGTTACGACAACAAGGACGCGCTTTCTGCCGGCATCATCGTCGCGGGCTGGGACAAGGAGGTCGGCCCAAGTGTCTACAACATCCCTCTCGGCGGTGGGCTCTTCCGGCAGCCATGGGCGATTGGCGGGTCGGGTTCGACGTACGTGTATGGTTACTGTGACGCAACATACCAGGAGGGCTGGGACCGCGACCAAACGGTCGAGTTTGTGAAGAATAGTGCGTCTTTCTCTCGTTCTCTCTTGCGCGGCGAGGCCTGAGACCCCGGGTTGATAGCGCTCGCACTGGCAATGTCTCGAGACGGCTCATCCGGCGGCGTCATCCGCATGTGCGTCATTACGGAGGACAAGGTAGAGCGGTTGTTCGTTCCGGGGAACGAGCTGCCAAAATTCTGGCAAGGGAAGGAGGTGCTTGGATCGGATTCGAAGAACGCCGATCTGGCATCAGCAGTTGCGATGGCTGTCGATGCATGAATAGGCTTCTATATGGTGTACGAGACTCGAGTGGACGATTATTGGAAGCAATCGCTTTTGTACTGGTATAGTCACTGCTGAGAATATGGAGGGTGCACAGGAATTGTTGGAACGTGAAGTGGTATGTTCCTATCTGGTGATCCAGTCCACCGGAGTGTCCCTAGGACCTGTCTCGTCCACCTCCGTCTCCCATAGCCGCAACCTCCAAAGAGCTATAGCCAGTGGTACCGTGTCGCCTCTGAGAAGTGTTGTCTCGTCCGAACAGATGACAATCGCATGGCTGCCTTTATCGTGACCTGAGAGGACTGGAGTCGAGGGTAGCTGGGCGCGTTTCGTCGCAGCATGCTCGGCAGCAAGGACCCGAAGGACCGCGGAATGCAAGGCTGCTCGTTGTGAACGCGAGGGGAAAAGCGGAGGGCCATTGTACAGAGGAATTTGGGCCCGGGGAAGAATATCCAGTTCGTCTGCTTCTGCCCACCCGTCATTCCGAAGAACGGGACGAAGCTCGGAGGGGGGGAACTGGCGCTGGAAGGTCCGTGGCTCAGGTTGTATATCCTCTTCTCTTGGCAAAGAGGTGTGGTTCGGCTCCGGACGTTGACCTGTGGATGGGTCCGTGTTCACTGGTGGAATCACCAAAATTGCGACGGCATTTTCAACAGGCAAAGCCCCTTGAGACTTGAACTCCGTCCACTCTTTGCGAGTGAGCCGTCTGAACAGAGGTGGGCCTTGGGCGGAATCTCCGCGCCGTATCTGCTTCGAAAGAACATGAAGCTCTTGGATGACACGGACGCGTAGGGTATGCCCGATCTGTAGCAACACGCTCGGGCGCATGACATGATGGAGAGATTGTATTGGTTTGTGACGCTTGTAGTGTCCTGTCCATGAATACTGTCAGTGCGAGGATGTGTGGTATAGGGATGCAAACCGCACCGGAACCCATCAAAGCGCGAACAGCGGTCTTGGAGCACAAGATATAATGCTTGAGACCACCTTTCCGACGACGGAATCTTGGATGTTCAAGACTCGCAGGATGCACAAAGGTCGCGTTCGGGTCGGCAACGCGGCCCACAGTGCCCAGTGAAATCAGGAGGTCTAGAGGTGGTATGAACGCACGAAAGATGGCATAAGACCAAAGAAGAGACTGACCTCGAGGTATTCGCCAGTTGCTCTCAGTACAATATCGCAAAGGACTAGCTAGCATTCGAACTAGCCAGAAAGTGAGTATCACCTATGACCATGACGACTCGTACACGCACGGTACGGGTTCGCCCAAAATGATCTCTCCTCCTTCGACATCTCCCTTGACCGCGCTCCAGGGCGCACACTGGGGTCAGGCTCTTTCATTGTTCGGTACTTTACATGTCGGAATATTCGCTGGACCGTCTGGCGCTCCATGAAGATGGACGATCTGCGCCCATGCGTAGAAAGGTTGACAGGTTCGGGACGTGTGGGGTTGATGAGGGGAGGTCGCGGTGCTTCGCGCTGTGGCGGTCGCAGTCTTCGCGGTCTGGGAGAACGAATGCGAGCAAACTCAAGAGCGCGAAGCAGTCGAGGAATGAAGCGAGGCATGCGCGTCCACGTCGTCGCGGTCGAGAGTCGCGCCTCGCGTGCCGCGCCCCCGTGCGAGCTGGCCGCCCGCGTCGAACTGCTCGACCTCCAACCTCCGACTCAGCCTGCCCCTGCATCTACATGCGTAGATCAACAGCCTGCGATCGTTCGCCGCCGTAAGGACTCCCCGTGTGTTGTGTGTCCCGGGCGCTTCGTTTCCACGTTTCACAGGCACGAGCGGACTGCAATCGCGCAGTTCTTGTTGGCTGGCCAGCTGCAAGCCGTCGATCCCAACGCCACCTCCCCCGGCCGCTCGACGGCGCCCGGTCACAGCAGGACCATACCACTTGGCGCAGGCAGAGCTCACATCCGCTATCAGGCGGCGTGCCTAGTCGCGGTGGTGGGCCCCAGCTGCCAGGGCCTAGTACCAATCTAGTGCAAGATTGAAACGAGACCGCCGGACCGCGATGCGTTTCGCAGGGGCGGCCAAAGGCGCATGGCGTCGCTCCCTCAGGATTCCAGCACTCTCTTCAGCCCCCACCATGCCCCACGAGTTCGGTAGCTTTGCACCCAGCACAGAGCCCCTCACGCTTGCCATCGTTGGATGTGGCCAACGCGGCAGGGTGCGTCTCGCCGTTTCGCGGTATGTTGCATTGACCGAGATCCCTCCGCCAGGCTTATGCTCTGTATGCACTGGAGGACCCGTCGGCCTGCAAAATCGTCGCCATCGCCGAGCCCAGACCTGTTACCCGGAAGCTCATGGCGGAGACGTATTCTGTAGACAAGACCCTAGTCTTTGACGACTGGAAGGATCTCCTCAAGGCATCCGCAGACACCCTCCAGGCGATCGGCAAGCGTCTTGCGGATGCAGTCATCATCGCCGTTCAGGATCAGATGCACCTTGAAGTTACTCTAGCATTCGCTGCGCAGGGATACCATATTCTTTGTGAGAAACCCATGGCGACCGACATTGAGTCTCTCCTCAAAATGGAGCACGCCGTTAAGAAAGCGGGGATCATTTTTGGGATGGGACACGGTTCGTATTCCAATCCAACATGCGCCCACCTCGAGGTCTTAATCTCCTCCGACCCAGTGCTTCGGTACTCTCCATATAGCCAAGCTGTGACCGAGGTCGTACGTTCGGGACAACTGGGCCCTCTCATCAACGTGGTGCACATTGAGCCCGTGGGCTACTTCCATTTCGCCCACTCTTATGTCCGTGGAAGTTGGGCGCGCGAGGCCGAGAGTTCCTTCTCGCTCTTGACAAAGAGCTGCCAGTACGTCCACCCTTCCTTATCTAAACTTCAGGAGCAGAAGCGTTTCAACTCAATATTGACCTATACGCGCCCGCTCTAACAGCGACGTCGACATCCTCTGTCACTGGCTCGCCCCCGGCAGCCCGACCCGGGTCTCGTCCTTTGGATCGCTCCAGCACTTCCGCAAAGAAAGCAAGCCCCCCAAGGCTGGTGCTGCGACGCGCTGCCTCGACTGCGCCCACGAGCGCGACTGCGCATATAGTGCGAAGAAGAGTGCGTGCACGGCCCGAACGCCGAGGAACTGTATACCGCCTGCCCAGAATCTGACGCACTGTGCTTGCAGTCTACCTCGACCCCGTCGCAAGTGGGGAGCTAGGCTGGCCGGCGGCGATCCTTGTCGACGGTGTGCCAGACATCGAGAACATCACTGGCGCTCTCAAGAGCGGGCCGTATGGCCGGTGCGCGTACGAATGCGAGAATGACGTATGCGATAACCAGGTACGCCCGCGCATGTTGATCTGCGTCTGTTTATGCATGCCCGGTCCCCGTGCCGGCAGTGTCACGATTTCTAGACATTTAGCGGAAAACGGCAGGAGGGATCTAAATTGTTGGAGAGATGGAATCTTTGGGTTTCTACTCACGAGAAATTCCTCCGGGACGATCCTCCATCATTTCTCGTGTTCAGAAGCCCAAAGTTCCGTGGTCCCCAAAATCCAAGTTCCCGAGTTCATGCTTTGTCGTTGGGAACACAAAAGTTCTCGTGGCCCCGAATTTGCTTCGCGTCCCTACGGAACCGGCAGACCGGCTCCCTGGCACCATTACTCATGAGTGCACGCCTAGGTCGTCAACTTCGAGTTCTCGAGCGGCGCGACGGTCTCGTTCACGATGATCGCAAACACGCAGCTCATCTGCGACCGCCAAACGCGCCTGCACTTCGCCTTTGGGGAGCTCATCGGCGACATGGACACGTTCACCGTGACCGACTTCCGGACGCGCAAGACGACGCACCACACCCCCAAGAACGAGGGCGGCGGCCACGGCGGCGGAGACATGGGCCTGATCCGCACGTTCGTCCGCGCCGTGCGCACGGGACAGCAGGAGCAGCTCGGCACCGACGTCACCGACGTGCTCAACAGTCACCTCTACGTGTTCGCTGCGGAGAAGGCACGGAAGGAGGGCGTGGTTGTGGATTGCCAGAAGTTTGTGAAGGAGCAGCGGGCCAAGTACCCTAACGTTTGAGAGGGATACTCTGGGACCTCCGACGATTTGTATACCAAATGCCATTCTTTGTATGGGGCATGTACAGCACTACTACATTGACAAAGCTATGTGTAAAGTTAGAGTGACAAATCGAGCGACAAATTGACGTGCGAGAGACATTGACATCATCGAGTTCATGCGAGACAAAGTAGCAGCTAGCGGATGATGTAGCGATGGGAGAGCACTGTGCTGGAAGACGATCAGTACGACAGAAATAAAGCAATGATAAAGATGGGGGTGAGTAGTTTCACTGTGCGCCTCAATCGACGCTCTCGAGCTCCTTGCGAATGCGCTCGCGCACTTCGCGCAGCCCCCCGTACTCCTTCTTCACCCGCCTGGGGCTCCGGGTGTGGACCTCCACTGCGCTCTCGTCCCTGGCCTTCAGCTTCCCAGGGCTGCTCGGAACCGCGGGCACGACGGGAGCAGCGACGTCTTTGTCGTCGTCGCCATCGGCGTCCGTGGAAGTGGCGGGCATCTCAAGCCACTCCTCACCACCGACGTCCATCTGGCGGATGAAGAACGGACAGAGTTTGACGAGCATCTCGAGCGACTCGCGCGCTTCCGCGAGCGAGAGCGGGACGGGCGATGACTTGACGACCGCCGTGGCGACCTCTGAGACGGGCATCGCGCGGCGCTTGCGCGTCCCGGGCTTGACGGAGGCAGAACTCATAGGGTTGGAGAAGAACCTGGGGCAGTACGCACACGGTCAGCATGAGGCACAAGAAGGCAAGAAGGACGCAGACGAAACAGGGACGCACATCCAGACGCTATCGGCGACCCCGGAGAGCCGGCCGAGGAGGCAGCGCCGGCGCATTTCCTCCTGGCTCAGACGGAGCAGTTGGTCCTTCGACATCGACGCGCCGGTCGGGTCTGCCTTTGTGGGAGTGTTTTGAAGCGAGCGCTGGCGAACGCGCTCGTACAACGCCTGGCGGCGGGAGCTCGTCGGCGTCTGGGGCACGGCAACAGCATCTGGCCCACGCTGGTGGGTTGGCGTAGAGGGCACAGAATCATCGGAGGCGGTAGGAGTCTCCCGCCCAGATAACGATGGAGTCTTGGAGGCGGTGGGCGTCCTAGGATCACTAGCCTCGCTGGTGGTCGAATGACGTGAAGACGGCGTCTTTGGAAAGAGGATGCGGTTCGTCGAAGGGGTCTTAAAAATACGGTTCGTGGTTGGCGTTTTGAAGATACGATCCGTGGTAGGGGTCCCGTGCGGAGTTGTGAGTCGACTAGAAGGGGTTACAGGGAAGGGGACAGCAAAGTCGCGGAGCGTCTTCGTAGGCGACTTGGAGGGAGACCTCGAAGCACGCGTCGGTGAGCCAGGCGGCTGGGGAGCAGCGAGGATGGTTGAAGAGGAGGGAGATTTTGGAGACGCAGAAGCCAGAAGGCGTGTCAGGTTTGACGGTCTGGCTGCCGAGGGGAGGGTAGGCAGGTCGGCCATAGGGACCCTAGGGATAGCCGGCTCCTTGGAGTGAAGCTGAACACAGAAGGTCAATCTTCCATAAATGACTGATGATGGAACACAGGAATGCTCACCTTAGACCACTTCTGCAACTTCACGAAGAGCTCTTTCCGCCTGGTCTCGCTATCCGCGGTCCAACGAGCAACCGCAGCCATCCCGCCCTTCATGTCCTTGTCGATGTCCATTTCGACCTCTATCCCAAAGCCATACACAGACACGCGCGTCGCCGCAGACTTCACGTGGTGGGTGGTCTGACTGACGACGAAACCCATCCCACCCCGCATCCACTCTTTCGGCTTCGCATCCTCCACGGGCTTCGCGTCTTCCAAAAACGGGTTCTCGTCCTCGTCGTCGACAGCGACAGCGTCCTCCGCTTTCCCCTTCCCCTTCCCCTTGCCTTCACCAGCATCGGTGTTGGACTCGGGCTTGGCGCTCGCTCCATCCCACTCCCACAACCAGCAGAGACGCTTGAGGTCGTCCAACGTGATGTGCGTCGCAAACCCGGAGTACGCCCCGAGGGACAGATGGTTGAGCACGTTCCGGACAATGCCCGTGTCCTCTGACGGGGCGACGGCACATGTCGCCAGCGCGTGCGACAGGGCTTGTTGGAGCGACGTCTGAATCTTGTGCAGCCGCGCGAGATGTTCTGGAAGGGTGTCTGGTCCGGCCTCCGCCGTGTTAGTTTGTTTGCGCCTCGAGGTGGAAGGAGTGGGCGGGCTGCAGGTGGGGAGCGAGGTGAGGCGAGATTCGCGCGTGCGCGGTCACGGTACTCACACCGTGCTGTTTCGCCGGAGACGTTTGGGGGTCAACACATCTTCGTCGTCTGACGACGGAAGCGTGCGCTTCTTCTTCGGCGAGACATGGAGGGAGGTGTAGAGGTCGGCCATGGCGCACTCCGCGGGGGGATGGGGGGACAAGGTGAGAGACTGAGAGAAGCCCAGCGCTCGACCGCCAAAGTTGAACTCAGGCGCTTCGCTAATCTACGCGAAGGGCGTCAATACACGCGTATCATCTCATCACGTGTTCGCGATCGTTGTCTGAGCGCGATTAATGTCCATTGTCTACTAGAGGGCCGATAGGTATCACATTGAAGCAAAGTCAAATCTAGTGACATAAGTAGTTCTGCTCTAAATTTTATACAGCTGATCATAGAATCTAGCAGCCTTCAAGCTTCGAGTCAGCACGGACAGAACCCTCCGAACGGATGCCGAGGATCTCGTCTGCCTCGGGTGATCCGGCGAGAGGCAGGTCCTTCCTAAGGGACACCGCAACTGGGGAGACACCTTCGTTGTAGGCGAGAGCAAATACGACGTCCATATCTGTGCACAACCATCAATACTATCTTTGACCAAATCACCAGCGCAAACGCACCTTCCAACGAGCGACCGGCGGTCTCGGGGAAGAAGAAGTAGACGACGGGGATAATCAGCGCGTTGAGGGAAGCAAAGACTGGAGGTAACAAGTCAGCCACAGCGACGCTCGACAACTCACTGCCGCTGACCAATGTAAGTTCCCCAGCTGATGTTCGTGAACGAGGGACCTGTGACCATTACGACCATGAAGTTAAACGTCCAGTTTGACGCTGTGCTGAGGGCGTTCGCCGGCGCGCGGATATGGAGTCCGACGATCTCCGCGGGCTGTTTGGGAGACGGTCAGATGCAAAGGCGGCGTCGAACGGTCCCCGCAAGGACTCACGTAAAGCCAGGTCATCCCGAGCCACCCGACGGCGAAGAACGAATTGAACACAAAGAGGAGCACCGCAGAGACGATTTGTGATGCGGGGTTGTCGATGCTACCCAAGATGGCGAGCAAGATCATGGTGACCATCTGCCCCGCTGCGCCAAACAGCATGAGGGGCCGGCGCCCGATGCGGTCGATGAGGAATATGGCGATGAGGGAGGCAAGGAAGTACTCCGTCCCGTTCGCGGCCGCGATTATACGAGACCTGACGTCGTCGATGCCAAGTCGCTCGAACAGCACGGTCTAAGAATAAAGAAATTGTCAGAGACCTCAACTGACTGGGGGTAATGTGGAAGACACATACGGCATAGTAGGTGATAAGGTTGATTCCAGTAATCTGCTGGAAGCACTGAATCACCACCCCGAGCATTGCGCGACGGAAGTTCTGCGTTCGGCCCCCAGTGAATACCTCGCGGAGAGGTGAGCTCGCCTCGCCTCGGTGGGATTCGGCCGCGATGGCTTCGCGGATGCCCAAATATGTTTGCTGGACTTCGCTATCTGTGTGCGGCTTTCCGTCAAGCGCGGAGATTACAGCCAGAGCCTCCGCGTTCCTGCCGTGCTTAGCAAGCCACCGTGGGGATTCCGGCAACTAGGGGGCACCGCGAGTCAATGGACGACTTGGAATGAAACAGCCCAACACTCACGAATCCGATGCCAATAATCATGATCATGGCAAAACCGATCTGCATGGCAATGGGAACTCGCCATTGCGCAGAGGAGCTGCTGAGCCAGAAACTGCACCGACGGTGTCAGGGATAAGTATGTCTTCACAAGAAGAAGACCATAGAGCTACTTACAAAGCAAAATCGAGCCACTATCGTTCGGCGAATAGTAGACAGCATCGTCAGCCCTGGTAGACGTGAGACGCTCGAGGAGACGTACGTATCTATGGAATAGCATAGGCAATGTAAGAAGAAACCACCGAGGCGCGCATGGTGAGATGGACTTACGACACCATGATACCGAAGGTGATCAGGCTGCCTTCAATCATGATCAAACTCCCTCGACTGGCAGCTGGAGAACATTCCGCGTGGTAAGAGGGCACTGTGGAAGTCTAACAGAAAGACAGGAGTCAGAAGCAGGATGCATTGCGCCGATGAAAAAGACATACGTTGAGACCGTTGCCCAACCCAGTGATGATACGAGCTACGACCATTTGCGCATAGCTGTAAGATGTCGTTTGAAGAATCGCGCCGACGATCATGATCACCCCACCAAGCACAATTGTCTTACGCCGACCTAGGAAATCACCCACCCAGAGGTTCGAAAGGGCTCCAATCAGGCACCCGATTTCCTGAATCACTGTGAGATATCACGCGATATGCAGAAGAGCCATAAGACGAACGTAGACAGCGACTACGAAGCTCTGAAGGGTCGCGTGGTTCGGGTGCTGATCATCGACGACGACTTGAGGAAAGACGTTCTCAAACTGTTGAAACCGTGAGTTCCGAAGCGTCGTAATCGTGTATAGAACGACGCTCGAGACTTTGACGCACCTGCTTTGCTGTGAGCAGCGCGGACATGACGCCCTGGTCGTAGCTGAGCCCGACAGGTGAGCGCTGTTCCGGGGGGACGACAGGACCAAACCACATGCCCAAATAGCGTGAAACCTGTGCCAGCCACGAACGCAATCGCTGCTGTCAACTTGGCCCCGTTCAGTCGAGGTGCGGCCGCAGCGACCTCCGCTTCGAACTCCGGGGTGTAGTGAGACACATAGCCCTCCGACTTGTGTGGAGCATTGTCCTCGGATGGTAGGGGTGGAGTCGTAGAAGTATAGCTGGCCATGTTGGAGGCGGAAACCGGAGGAGAGAGCGGACGCGGGATCGAACGATGCCGAACCGCTTGAAAAAGCTGAGCGGGTTGGTGAAGTGCTTTATATGCGCAGCGAATGCCGCTCTCACGTCATGGCAGCTGGTCTGCAGAATGACGGCATACCCCAATGGCAGAAGCTGCAACGAAGCGGTCGGTGTGGCTGGTTCGACGATCACGAGGCCACAAAAAGCGTTCTCCCAGACGTGACACCACGCGCCCAACCGGCTACCAACGCAGGCGGAATCCACGGTTCAAGCCGTCGGCGTAGGACATTTTGGGAGCGATGGTAGTTGATGGGAGTTTCTGGCGAGCGCGCACCAAGGACAGCGAGAACATATGGTGCGTGCACGGCTGCGAGAGGGAAACGCTGAGGCACTGGCGGGATGGATATCGATGAGCGCTTGCACAGCGCGTCCGACTAGGCGGAATCAGGGAGCACCGAGTTCAAGGACTGCATGTGGACATCAACGAGGGGAGCAACATTCAGTCAGTGCATCGGACAACTCACCCGGACTCCCGAGCGGCACTTTGGCTACTACGAAATGGGGACGTTTCAGAAACCGTGGTGCGTCCAGGGCCGGTGTGCAAGTACAACCAGGGGGAAAAGCTTTACAGGACCATGGTATTCGTATTGGAGTGCGGAAACCATTGCAAATGGCGGACCGAGAAGGTATGCGCATACACAGGTCAGCGAAGGACCGACGAGGGGTACGAGGTCTGTCATGAAAACGGTGCAGCACCTGGTGAAGGTAGTTGCGGGTGCTACACAAGGCCCAAGAGCGCATATATGGACAGAGGGAGAGAAAAGGGTGTGTGCACGGGCGCTTGACGGGCGCATCACCGACTTTCGGCGTGCGACGGCCGCTTTCCCGCCCCCGTGCTTGCTCTCCTTCCACAACAATCTGGAGACTCGGGCTTACGGTTTGCGTGTTGGTCGAACAGCAGCGCCCGTCAGTTCATCTGCTGACTTGTGCGCCCAGTTCAACTGTTTCACTTCTTGAAACCAGGCATGCCCTCATAGACCGCCGGAGTGTAGGCTCGTCGGTACCTATCTCATCCACTTCATTCCTGATGCTCGCTCCCGGTCTAACACCTTCACCCAGGCCCGGTACGCTGGCAATGCACGCCTCGCTGAAAGGTCCTGTCAGTTTACGCACGATCAGATCTTGAGGCCTTGAGGGGCCTCCACTCTCATGTCAATCATTCGAGAACGTCAAGTCGCTGATCTCCATCCATCGACCTCATTGCCTGCCTGCGTCTGACTTTGTGCCATCTGCCGTTCCGGACTTGTTGGCTCATGTTCGAGAAGGACCGCCGTCCTGTTCACCGAAGTTACCCCTTGGCCTCGCCTCATCCACACGAGAACCAGGACGCAGCGCTGCGACTTGACGCCCAAACTGTCCCGCGTCCTGGGCGGCATGCTCGAACACAGACCGTCCCAGGCCGAATGTTCTCGAAGGGCGGAGATACGGAGCAGCCGCCGACAGCCCCCTCTGCGTCGCAGATGCCTGTCCGTGTCTGTATTGTACGTGGATTCCCCCAGTGATGATTTCTTGTTCTTATCGAGAACGTTGCGCAGCCCGGCTTCGCGACATCAACGAGTGTGGTCCAGAGGGAACGAGGTGACTCAGTGTGGGCGTGCAGCGCTCCGGAAGCTGGAGCACTCCTGGAGACCCCAGCAGCGCCCGCGCGCGAGAACCGCGCCCAGTTACGTACGCTGGCCGCATTATTCTCCGCCCTCCTGGTCCTCTCCGGACTAAGGCGGGCATGCCGCGGCAGGACACGTCCGTCATACAAACGGCCGCGCGCGACTCCCGCCATATCTCCAGGAAAGGACCGTCGAGCCGAGCTCGAGGCTGTGTTCTCCTCTGGCCTCGGGCCGCGCAGAGGGTGGTTCGGGTTGGCGTCCGCCGTGACTCATGGCCGCATATCCTCCTGAACACGAGATGCTGCGGCAGTCCGGTGACCGTGCCGCAGAGGCCACACACCAAGCCACTCGCGCGCGGGGGTTGCATGCCTCGCCACGCTTCCTGACAGGCTTCTTGGCCGGCGCACCGGGCGCACGTCGGGCGAGAGGCGCGCGGCCTGATTCGGCTCGCCCTCCCCTCGGCGGAACGGCCGCGGGAGGGTGGACGTGGGCGGGACACGACCGGGGGCGTGGGCGACAGCAGCGGACCGAGCAACAGAAGACGGGCACCGCACAGGGCATCAACACCAACAGATCCATGGCTCTGCCCGTGGGAGCCCAGAAGCCCACAGGGTTATCGCCCAAATTTATGGCTTCCCTAATACGCGTATCCGGAAGGGCATCTAATCTGCTCATTCCCGCAGTGCAACGGCCACCAGGAGGCATCATGCTTCGGGAGTTATAAGTACTTCGCTCAGCCCGCCCTCCCCCTCCCTCCTCCATCCCTCCACCCTCCTTCGGCTCGCCTTTCCTACGCCCCCATAATACCCCGACCCACCGCCCGCATGGCCGTCACGACTGAGGTGCTCTGGTGCGTCCCCGCCCTCCCCCGCGCCGTCGCACTCGTCACACTCATAACACCCCGTCAAATTCGCGTAGGGAGAACGCCGTCACGCACCTCCGTGGTCCGTTCGCCCTCTTGCCCCGCCCGCCCGGTGCTCATCTCGGTCACACAGACCTCTCCAATGCCACCCTACGCCAGAAGAAAGAGCTAGAGGATCGCGTGGCAGAGCTCGAAGCCGAGCTCTCCGCCGTGAAGAGCGCGTACGCGGCCGCCACTGGACTTGCCGCCCGTGACAAAAAGGCGCATAACGCGCAACTCTCCTCTCTCAACAAGCAGATCATCTCTGGCTTGAACTGCACGCAGGTTGTGTCTCGTCTCCAACTCTCGGAAAGGCTGTCCCGTGCTCAGCCCCAACACGTCCATCAGATACAGGATCCCCTCGTTCTCTGTGTCATCGACGGTGACAGGCTTCTCTTCCATCCATCTCACATCGAACAAGGCTACCAAGGCGGCCGTCAAGTTGCACAGGACTTCACAAAGCTCATCGCGCAAGAGCTCGTCTCACAGGGCTTGACCAACTTCGCCCGACTCTCGTTTTGGGTCACCATCTACACCAACAAACGGGCTGTCCTCACTTTCCTGCGCGAGAATGGCGTTGCCTCTCCCGACCACTTCGAGGCGTTCCTCACGGGCTTTAGTCAGGCGTCCCCGCGTTTTGCCGTTGTCGACTCCGGTCCCGGCAGAGACAGCACCGAAGTCAAAGTGAAAGGTATGTCTACTCGCCACCGGCAGTCTGCGCTTGCTCACACCCGGCCGATCGGCAGAGCACATTAACACGTACATCCGGTTCCCGCAAACACTCCGTGTCTTCTGCGGTGGTCAGTATCTCACACCCACCGGCCTCCGCTCTCTTGGCGGCTGACGCATTCTGCCCCGTGATGACAGGCATTGACGAGTCGTACTTCTCGATGGTCGACACTCTCGAGCGCGACGATCTCACCGGGAAGCTCGTGCTCGTGCAGCCACCTCTCGTCGCGCGTCATCTGGCGGTCAGGCCGATACACCTCGAAGGCCTGTTCAGGGAAGAGAAGATGAACGCCATTCCCATCCGGCGTCCTGGCCCTCTCATCGGTCTCTCAGAAGCTGGCATCAATGTGAACATGGGTGTTGTCACCAACGGCGGACTCATCAGCCCTCGGTCGGAAAGCCAGAAGTCTATGCCCTCCCCTCCACCCTCACATGGATCGCCGGACGGTCTCAAGCAGATTGATCCGAGCAAGCCTCTGCACAAGCGTAGGTCAAAGGAATAGTTTTCCGCAGTACTACCTCCTGATGAACCCGCAGAGAACCCACCTCCATGCAACGAGCATTATCTCATGAACTGCTCTAAAGGGGTAAGAATACATATTGATGGATGCGATCGCAAAGTTGAACCATCCCTGTTTCCAGGCGAACTGCAAATACTCGCACGAGTGGCTTCTGAGTCGGGACCAACTCGACGTCTTGGCCCGCAACGCGAAGAAGGCCCCTTGCAACTATCTCAAAAACGGTACGCAAAGTTGGTTGCACCTTACCCGCACGTTCTGACGTTCTTCTTTTTCTATACAGGCATCAACTGTCCTTTCGGTGACAAGTGCTGCTGGGTGCGTTATATCTCTGCTCAACTTCAACGAGCTCCGGTTCACACGATATGCTTTAGGGTCACGTGTGTCCAAGCGGTGCGAGGTGCTTCCATCTCAGCAAGGGCAAGTGCTGGTTCAAAGGAGGTCAGTCTACCTCGACGCCTCCGAAAGGAATATCCCAGCTGATTCGCTTTGACTGCGATAGATGGCATGCATCCTGCCGCAACACCTTCCCCTGGAGTCGAGTCCGTTTAAGGGTTCATCGGACGCCAACAACTCCTATCGTCGCCATCGACCGTCTCGCCTTACTGCAACCTCCTGACTCTGCATAGAACACCGCTCATCCTTCCCCTCCTTACCGCCATACCCATTATCGTCGCAGTCGGCGTGCGCACCCCGTCCCACCAATGTGGATTTGGTAATTTATGCGATGGCGCATAGCCCCATCCCTGCGATGTCCTTAACTCCCCTATCTACGCGGAGCATGTTTTGTTAGATATCATGATGTAGCATCCCCTCTCGCCTCGACGCCCGTGTACTCTCATCCTATCATATGTGCATATTGCGATTTTGGTTCATTTTGACTTGCGTGCCGACAGAGAAGCAGCTCGCAAGGTCGATTCTATGTGGAGAAAACGGATGCAGCCTACCTGGCAAGTGCGCTACGAACAGATCTTGCGGCTGGTGGCTCGAACCCGGAACAGAAGAAGAACCCCTGCGGAGACTAGAAGAACTCGAGAGCTGTACATCGTTCAACCACGTGATGATTGCACTGATGGTGGGTACTAGCCGGCAACTGCCGGCCCGCCGTTATAGCAGGCGTGAGAAATCGATCGATAGTAACAGGACAGCCATAACGAGGGCACTCCGACGGCGCACCCGAGGTCAGTCAGCTTCCCCTCATCGACTACCCATCCCTACTTCTCCAACATGTCCCAGGTAGGTGCTTTCAAGCCTGGTGTCCTCCGCCCGGCCGTCGCTCACGGAGATTCTACAGCAGCACGAGGAAGATGATTTCGCGCCCAGCAGCACACCCGGTAATTCCGTCCCCCCAGCTCTTCTGTCGGAACCTGCGCCGCTCACCGGGCATGCCATTCTCCCTGCGCAGGCTACAAGGTCGGTGCGGCCAAGTCTGCCGACGAGTATGCCCAGCTCGACGCGGAGGATGAGAGTCTTGCGCGCTGGAAAGCGAGCTTGGGTATCGCCCCTGGTGCTTCGGGTCCCGCGGCAGGTCCCAAGGTGCGTTCTGTATCATCGACCGTGGAGGTGAGAGTGTTGAGCGGGCAGCGGTTAGGTCACCATCCTTACACTGGAGCTCGCCTCCCCAACCCTTCCTCCCGGCAAGCACCTCGTCATGAACCTCCAGGACCAGAACGCGCTCGTGAACATCAAGAAGAACCCGATCACGATCAAGGAGGGCATCGAGTACAAGTGAGTGGTCACAGGACTTCGGTCGGTCGCTCTCGATTGAGCGGTGTACAGCGTCCGGATTAACTTCAAGGTCAACCACTCGATCATCTCTGTGAGTTATCGCGGCCATCTTTCCGTGCGCGCTCCGTCGAGCGTTTCTTTTTGGTAGGGCGTCCGGTATATGCAGGTTGTGAAGCGATCGGGTGTCAAGGGTATGTACCTTCCCCTGCATATTCGCCGTGTCGCCCATTGACACGTTGGCCCCCCAGTCGACAAGATGGAACAAATGCTCGGCTCATACGGTCCCCACCCGAAGGGTGAGGCGTATGTTAAGAACTTTGACGCGGAGGAGTCTCCTTCCGGCATGATCGCTCGTTCTGGAACCTACCACGTGCGGAGTCGGGTTGTTGACGATGACGGCGAGGTTTACGCTGGTGCGTTCTTTGCATGTTTTGGTCACAGCGCAGCGATTCATGGATCTACCCCGTAGATTGGGAATGGTGCTTCAAGCTTGGAAAGGAGTGGTAAAGAAGGCTATTGAACCTTTGCATGTACTTGTTTAGTCGCATCTATATTCCCTCTCTGCATACATGTATTGCTTGCATTTGACGTACTGAAATAAACAAGCTGAAAGACACATCGCTGTAGCCTGAGATGACGTCCTCGCAGATGATCTACTGGGACTCTGGGAATCCAAAGCCGTCGAGTGACTCGATCCTCACCTCAACCGGGCCAGCGCTTATATGCCCCGAGTGCCTCTTTACCATGAGCACCTTGACTCTTCGATTGCACCCTCATCTCCTTGTGCGCACAATACCTGGTCAAACACGCTCCTCTAGCGCTCTCCTCTCTCTTCATAATCTTTCTCGTCATGCCACACTCTTTCGGTCTCCGCATACACCTTTGCAGCGCGGAGGGCTGAGGTCCTCTTGCCGTCATTCTGGATCACTCGCGGACGCTACTCCCGCACCAACACCAACAACATGGGTAGACCGGCTGCCAAAACCCGTCCGGCCATATCTCTATCTCACGCGGATTGACAAGCCCATCGGAACACTTTTGTTGTTCTACCCTTGCAGTGAGTATGCGAGCCTCTCGTAGCATGTGTGTGCTTAGTATTCTTTGGTCGCGTAGCATGGTCCATCAACATGGCCTCGTATGCCCTGCACACACCGTTGACGGTGCCGCTCACGTACCTGAGCCTATTTGGACTTGGTGCTTTGGTCATGCGAGGAGCCGGGTGTACCATCAACGATATGTGGGACCGGGACCTGGATAAAGGTGTCGGTGAGTCTCGTTCGCTCCGGCTTTTGGGATAACGCCTCATATTCGACGCTCTCTTCAAGAGAGGACAAAGGCCCGGCCGCTCGCTGCTGGGGAGATCACGCCTACTCAGGCATTTGGCTTTCTGGGTGTACAACTAACAGCTGGGCTGGGAGTACTCACCCAGCTCAACTGGTATAGGTATGTGACCTGTTGTTGTGATGTTGGCCTCGCTCATTCGAAGAAGTATCCTCCTGGGGGCGTCATCTCTGTCTGTTGTCACCATCTATCCGTTCATGAAGCGCATCACGCACTGGCCGCAAGCCGTATTGGGTGAGTCTCGCTGTTTCACGGTTCACGGGAACGTTAGCTCATTTCAACATCTCCGCTCCCCCCCCCCCCCTCCAGGACTTGCATTCAACTGGGGTGCCCTCTTGGGCTGGTCGGCCGTTGCTGGGGTGACAAATTGGAGCGTATGTCTCCCTCTTTACGCCGGCGGCATTTGTTGGACTTTGGTCTACGACACTGTCTACGCTCACCAGGTCAGCCGGCCCTTCGACCCTTCAACGAGACTACATGGCTCACTCTCCTTCAGGATAAAAGAGATGATGTCAAGATGGGCATACGCTCTACCGCCTTGCTGTTTGGCGAGCGCACCCGGCCCGTCTTGGCTGTCCTGTCTGCGTCTTCGATGTCCTTCATCACATATGCGGGATATATGAACGGCCAGAGTGCGCTGTTCTATGGCGGAGCAGCTCTTGCGGCCGTGCAGCTGGCACGCGTTGTGTGGCGGACGGATTTCAACAGTCGCCCTAGTTGCTGGAAGGGCTTCGTGGGCTGTGGATGGTCAGGGTTCTGGATCTGGATGGGCACCCTCGCGGATTTCCTTTACATGTGGGCATACATGTCATAACGTGTAGAGCTACTACGTATTTCCGCAGATCTTTACGCCGCAATGCATCGTCTTGCGGTTTGGTTACAGGTATAATATACGCGTCACAGAGTTATAAAATAGCGCGTAAACATCAAGACGCGTCGATCATGTGACCGAGTCATATTTTCCTTCCATCGACACTCTTCTAGTAGCTCAGGTGGCTGACCGTAATCTCCATCTCCTTTCACTCACTGAATCATGGATCCACCTCAATACCTCAAACAGCTGCTTCAAGTGCAACTAGCCACGGATTCGGCGGCCGTACTTCACCTCCCCTTCATCCTTGAAACCCTCACGAGAGAGCATCTCGCCATTTCTCCTCATACGGGGAAATGGACGTCTCGCGTGAACTCCCTCATACACGCGAAGGATTTTGCCGCGAAATGGTGCGGTCTGTGCCTCGCATTTCAGTCCGCAACTCTCTGCAAGAGCGTACTACTTGAGCATGGAGAAAGCTGGCTGAAGGCAGCGGTACCTCTGCTTGGGGTGCGTTTATTCAACCAAACTCCAGCAGTATTTGATGGAAGACTCTTGCTACAGACCTGCCCACGCCCCACTTCAAATGCTGCAATGCGCTTGACAAGGCTCATAGCTGTCGGAGCGATGGACGTACCCGAGTTTCAACGTTTGGTGTGCGTTCCTAACGTGCCAATAGTCGTGAAAAGACTCGTCGCAATGGCGGAAGAGGACGGCACCACAGAGGCTTTGGTGAGTAACTTGTTGTGCTCTCCCCCATCCCCGCCAATCTTGTGTTCCAGCTTCCCATTCTGGAAACAATAACCCATCTCGTATCGTTCCATCCTTCACTGTGCCGCCCACTCCACACCGCCCTGTCCAACTTAGCCTTGCGCTCTTTGAACGGCTCTGCTCCCACAAACACTCCGCACGAACTTGTTGAAGCTTGTTCGAATCTTTACTGTGTTCTGCCTCTCACTGGCGGTAAAGTGAATGCGCCGACCTTATGGCGCAAATCTTTGGACAACACCATTGCATTCGCTTGGGGTGCATTCCTAGGTATGCGCAACACACTTGAAAATCGTACGCATATTCCAGCTACGGCAGTTTTCCTCTCGATTGATCCCCTCTGCTGTAATAAACCAGCCTACGCGAACGTCGGGAAACCAGCATTTTTAGCGAATGATCCTCTCATCGGAGTCTCGCTGGGACTGGATCGTCTACGAGCAGCCATGCGAGTAGTTGATGACCTCTTGAGGTGCATAACCTCGTCTGTCTATTGCTGCTGTGGTTCTTGACGCGCCTTACAGTTCGCCCATCCCACGACCTGTTGTTCTACCAGTCGGTTCACTCGTACGGCTTTGCCTGGCCCTTCTCCAGTGCTCTTCTAGCGAAAAGGTGAAGATGCTCGAGCTTGTCTTCAAAAGAGTACCGCTCACAATCAATACAGGGTCTTGCAGGGGCCGATACCATTGTCGAAACGATGGAGCGCGTCATCGTCCCGACATTGCGGAAATTAGGGTGTCAACTCGTAGTCTCCGTGTCCAAGGCGTACGTGATGTGCTCTGCGCCACGATTGAAGCTTACCCTGTCCTCTCAGAGCACGGCATCATATCACGCCTCATATGCTGACCCTGCTCACGGTTTTGGCATACCATCTAGAGCAGAAGTATTCGACTTCGTATGTGTTCCCTCGATCCTATCCTGTCCGCATGAGCACCGATGCTCACGCTGGTCTCAGGACGCAAACGCTAGACTATATGCGAGCTTGCAGGTGTCTACTGGGCGATGGCGGCAGCCTTGATGACGCAATCGTCGCATCGCGTCTGACCCGGACGATTGTTCCTCATGTTGCCGTACTGTTGTCAACGCGTTCGCAGGCCAATGTCGAAGAGGAGCACACCACTTCACAAGGAAAGTCCAAGAAAGGCAAGAAGCGGGCACGCGATTTCGAAGGGGATGAAGTGTTCAAGCTGGACCGCGAGATCATTTGCCCGACAGCTACGGAAGGTGACATTTTGCTCATCTCGCTTGATTGTGAGTTTCTCCCAGTCTTCACAGTCTTTGGCGAGGGATGCCTAAGTGACTTCGCCTATCATCTCATAGTACTGGAGATACTCTTAGTGGGAGTGCAAGTTTCCCCTTCGGTCTACTCGATTGGGTGCAGGTCACTGCTCGCCATTCAAGCCTCATTTTCGCGGATATCTCCGGCCCTGTTGTCGCCGGATCTGTCACTCTACCGAAAACTACAGGGTAAACTGCTTCGCGTATGCGTTCACCTGGCAATCGGTACCTCAAGCACCATGAGCAAGTCTCTCGGACTCGTGCTAGGCCTTTCGGATTCTACCAGCGCAGAAACTGTGAGCTAATTATTGACATGCGCCACTGCCGATAGAAGTCTCACAGGCACGATTCCTTCACTAGGGTGAACTGACCATCCCCACCGAGCTGGACGTCATCCTCCACCCCCGTGTTCCGCCAATGGTTCGCTCCCTGCCTCATGTCGAGGCCCTGTCGCTATTCCGATCCGAAGAGGGCCGAGAAGAACTTGACGCTCGCAACCGCATGGGCCTTGATTTGGTTGGCGAGCTTCGCCTCAACGAAGCGACCGCGGTCGCCACCGAGGCCGCGAGCTTGCAGCCGCAGCCGACTCGAATCGGGGTGGCGATGGAAGAGGCCGTGGCTCCGGAAATGGAACTGCAAACTTTTAAGCACAGCACACTCGTTTCAACCACGCAAACGCCGATGCAAGTGGAGGATCCACCGTCCATCACACCGGCAGCGATCTCGTCGCGAGCACCAGCACCTGGCCCACCCACAGTTCCAAAATTTGCGGCTCCTCCTGCCGAAGCTCAAGTCACAAGCTGGCATGCTGAGCCACTCCTAGAACCGACGTTCCGCACTACGTCGTCTTCAGGTACGGTCGCGTCAGGGTCACTGTCGGCGGCGGCTGCGGTGCCTCCACCTGTGTGGCAGGACCTGTAAATACACCGATGGACGAGGAAGATGACGAAGACGAACCCATGCCGACGATCGATATGAATTCGGATTCTGAATCCGAATAGTCGAGTAGCCAAGTACATCAACCTATGTTCCGTGCGCAGGGTCCTATGCATCGCGTGCCGCGCATCCGGGAACAGTCAGGCCCGCACACGTTTGCGAGCGTGAGAGGAGCCGTCGATGGCCATACTGTCGTCGTCAGACTCTGGGGCATCGCGATTGTCGGCAGCGGAGGGGCCGCCGGGCAGCTTATGCGCATAATGTCAAAGGACGTACGTTAGCGAAGGTCTAGACAGCGTGAGCATGTGCACGGATGGCAGACTTGCCTGGCTGAGAAAGGCGGCGGCGACAGCGTTTGACGGGTCAATTGCCCGAGCCCGTTCGAAGTGCGCTTGGGCGTCGCGAAGCAGAATTGGGTCCCAGCCGCGTCCTGTGTATGTACGGGGCGGCACCCGCCGGAGGTCAGCGATGGACATGTGGAGGCTTATTGCAGGGCGCAGACGGACCGAAAGTCGTCTCCTCGGAGATTGCGGGCTCGCTGCTCGGTTGGGCGAGGTAGAGCGCAATCATGCCGGCGTAGGTGTGCAACGCGGGATTGTCTTGGTATGGGTACGAGGGCAGGTAGCTGGGCGGATGCAGTCTCAGCCGGCCGCGGCACCTGGGGAGAGCGCGCTCGAGATGGCGTACAGGTCGAGTTCTTCCATCGCGCGCCGGTGTGCGCCGCTCTGGATCAGCCGAAGCACGAGTTCCTTGAGGATGGACTCGCGCTGGCGCGGGAAGGTGCTGTCAGCGGCAGCGGGTGCGCCCACGGCATCCGGTAGCCTCACCTCCTCCGGGTATTGGCGCATCATCACGCTCAGGAATCGGATTCGTTCCGCGTTGTCCTGGCCCTCGCCCAGCCCCGCTTCGGGCACGTCCTCGCCGAGCAGGAGGACACTTGTCGTCCACATCGTCTTCCATCCCACTTCCCCGCATCGCGCAAGGATGGCCCATGCCCGTTTTGCGCGGGGCCAGTCGTGACGCTGGATGCAGACCTCGAGGACGTCGAACAGGCGACGGATGTGGGTCTTGCGCGAGCTTGAAGGCTCTTTGGAACCCAGCGACGTGAAGAGGAACGCTGTGCTGCCGCGGGCCATCAACAACGAGAATTTGCCGGCGGAGGTGTGGAAGAAGGTAGCTCGTCGCCGCGGAGCTCGATGAGTCGTGCAAGCGCCGTCTTGCACCGATCATCTTGACTTCCCCCCACCACGACCACAAGCCCCGCGAGCCTCGCGTGCGGCCGACTCCCTTTTTGCATACACTCTGACGCACCGATGGATGACGACATTACATTCGGCGCATCCGTCTGGGGCGCCCCGGATGATGTTCCACCTCCACTCACTCTGAAGCCACCGACTCTCGCCCCATCCCCCGGGCCGTCCACGGCACAAGACGATTTTGACGACTTCGACTCTTTCAGGACGCCTGCGGAGACCATCGCTGGGTCAGGAGATGAGGGTGAAGATGATGATTTCGGAGACTTTGGAGATTTCGAGGAAACAGCCCAGTTACCCATTACGCCCGGGTTCTCGTCCTTCGGAGAAATGCAATACTCTGAGCCGGAAAGTATCGCTGGTCCATCTATGAGCATCGACTGGAAACCACTACAAGTCGCTCCATTACCGCGCCGAGATGAGCTGCAAGAGCAAGTGGACGACATTCTGGGGCCGCTGTGGGCGCAGGACGATACATCATCCTTAACCGAAGAGCCCATACGAGAAGTCGGCGGCCTCAACCAAACGCTCGTCACACCACAAAGGTACTTCTGCTTTCCTGCTTTAAGCGACCTGTATCTCAGTTCACAGATGGTTCCAGTCGTCAGTTGTATAACGGTCTACTCCCTCCAACCCCTCCCTCCTTCCAACCCGTCAACTGGACGCGCTCGAGAATACGGCGGCAACATCTCATCCACCTTGGCATCCCCATCAACTTAGACGAGGTGCTGCCTCGGACCAATGGAGCATTGCCAACCCTCGAGATTACCACCCGCCCCATGTCCGCACCTCCTGGGCCTCGTGGTGGTATCAGCAAACTCGAAGTTGCAATGAATGGCGCGCGAGCCGGATCGCGTCCGGCCACCCCGCCATCGCGAAATGCAACCTCGGCTGCTGCAGAGCTGCGTTTGGGCCCTAGACCTGACGTAGACGACCAGAAGATCGAACAACTGCTCAGTCTTTCTCCAGGTGCGTGCTCTTCCCATCCACAATTGGTCAAGCGATGCCAATAGGATAATAGATCAACTCTCTCTAATGCCGCTGGCGACGTTGGAGGGTCGGCTTGTAGAAGTCAAGGAGCAGACTGCGAAGTCATCCGCGCTGCTGACATACCTCCTGCAAACGCGAGACGCACTGCAGCAGGATTCGGAGACATACAACAAGCTCATTGGAGAGCTCATTGGAGAAGCGCAGAAGGCGAAAACGGGGAAGCGGAATGCTGCAACACGACGAGGGAGTGGGATGGTATAGATCATCGCCCGTGTACTATTATAATGTGTATCCATTCCGTGCATTTGGAAGTGAGAGTGGCATCACCGAGTGTGCAGGACAAGAAGCGCCCATCGTGGCTCCGGGCCGTGTCATTTTTTGGCGAATGCGTTTCGATCACCGACCAAGTCCCCTCCTCGTTCTCCTCTACTCTCCTCGGCTTCTGGCTGGATTTTGTCTGCGGGTGACCGCATCTTACTGTCATGAACATCTCCCACGCAATTCCATCCACGGTCGAGAGCGTTTCCTTCTCGTTCCTCACAACAGAAGATGTCCGGCGCATTTCCGTCAAGCAAATCGTGAACCCCGTTCTCCTCGATGACCTCGGACGACCAAATGTAGGAGGTCTCTATGACCCTTCTTTGGGGCCAAGTGACAAACAAGACATGTGAGTCTGCTGTGTCCATGAGCTCGCCTGTATTCCTCAATCCGTTGTGTAGTTGCGCGACATGCCGCTTGTCCTACTTCACATGTCCGGGACATTTCGGCCACATCGAGCTCCCCGCCCCGTATTCCACCCTTTGTTCATGATAAACGCGTACCATTTGCTCCGAGGGACATGCTTGTTCTGCCATAGGTTCAAGCTCAGTCGATTTGTGGTATGTGACTATTTCCCTGCCGCGGTCATCCCGTACGGATCCATCTTTGCAGCTGTGCAAATTCGTCGCGAAACTGCGTCTGCTGGAATTCGGGTTCTTGGTGGCTGCGAAGGCCCTGGACGATATGCACTACAGCACCAAGAGGACTCGCAACGTTGAAGACGGCGATGATGAGGATCCTACCGAATCCTACGATGCTTATGAGCAGCGAATCAACCTCTACGTCGCAGCCCACCTAACTACGGCTTCAGGCAGCAAACGCGATGCGTACAAAGATGGTCTTGTGTACCAGGCAAGGAAGGACGTGATTCACGACTTCGTCAAGGCTTCAATGACAAGAAAGTGCCAGAACGAGAGCTGCAGAGCGTGAGTGACAATGCGCTATATGCATATGCTAGGATTGACATCACTCCAAGTTTCGGCTACACGTTCCGCAAGGAAGGGTACACGAAGATCATCGAGTACGACCTGACCCCAAAGCAGAAGCTGCAGCACGACGCCGCCGGGTTGAAGCGACCTGATGTGATGCTCGACCAGTCAAGAACCAACACCGCCGCGAAGTCGAAGTCGCAAACCAATGGTCGAACAGGAGACTCGTCGGATGAAGACTCGGACAGCGAGGAAGAGGAGGCCGGCGACGACGTCTTCACAGACAACGACGAGGAAAGCCCCGTACATGTTAAGTTCGGTCCTGCAAAGTCGGCCAGCGGCAAGGTTAAGGGCGCCCGTGGCCGCAACGAACGTGTCATCACTCCTGAGGAGTGCAGGGCTCACCTGCGGCGACTGTTCGCCAACGAATCCATCATGTGCTCGCTCCTGTTCGGGCGGCATGGCCCATTTGCCCCTCTCACGCAGCACAATCTGTCCCTCGCTTCCGCGGACATGTTTTTCATGGAGGTCCTCCCTATCAGCCCCACACGTTTCCGTCCACCTGCAAAGATGGGCGACATGCTCTTCGAGCACCCTCAAAACGAATTGCTATCAAAGGTTCTCTCGACATCGTACCGGTTGCGCGATCTTAATGTCAACCTCCGGGCGGCGTCGGTGAAAGGTTCCGATGTGACGAAGCGGGGCGGCGGCGGATCCTACAGTCCCTCCTCGATTCCCTGATTCAGCTGCAGGTCGACGTCAACAGTTACATTGACAGCAGCAAGAACCCTCAGCCCATCCGCCAGGGTCGCTTGCCGCCCGCCGGTGTTAAGCAGGGCCTAGAGAAGAAGGAAGGTCTATTCCGGAAGCATATGATGGTTAGTCCGTCTCTCCACCACTCTCGCGGAGTTGAAATCATAAAGGTTATTTCAGGGGAAACGTGTCAACTATGCCGCCCGATCTGTCATTTCTCCCGACGTCAACATCGAGCCGAACGAAATCGGCATACCTCCAGTGTTCGCCCGGAAGTTGACCTTCCCGGAACCTGTCACGCCGAATAACCTCCAGGAGTTGCGACAGTATGTGATCACTGGCGCTCGCGGCTACCCCGGCGCTACGATGGTGGAGTATGAAGACGGTCACCTACAGTTCCTGGTACGTCAAATTAAGGGCAGTGAGAACCCTTTTGTTGATTGTGTTTCAGGACAAGCTCACGCTGGAGCAACGTACGGCCATTGCGAACCAGCTATTGACGCCGCAAGAAGGGTCGCATGGGTCGAGCCAACAGCATGGATTGTATACGTCAACCCCAGCTATCAACAAGAAGGTCTACCGACATCTGCGCGACGGGGATATCCTTATCCTAAATCGACAACCGACGCTCCACAAGCCCAGTATGATGTGTCACAAAGCGCGGGTTCTTCAGGGCGAGAAAACGATTCGTATGCATTATGCCAATTGGTATGTAAATCATGGCCTGGTCGAGATTATATGCTGATTTCTATTGCTCTAGTAATTCCTATAACGGTGAGTCTGTACCACCGGAATGAGAGCAGACCGCTAATATTCCAACCGATCTCCAGCGGACTTCGACGGTGATGGTAAGCAGATATTGGGCTCTTTACAGCATACGCTCATACCTCCTTCGGCAGAAATGAACATCCATTTCCCTCGTGCGTAACATATATCGGCATTGACCCGACTCGCAATCTCTCTGACACAAGCTGTCTCCCAGAGAACCAAGTGGCGAGAGCGGAAGCGTACTACATCGCGAATACCGACAATCAATACCTCGTTCCGACGTCGGGCAAGCCTCTCCGTGGTCTCATTCAGGATCATGTCGTTGCCGGCGTTTGGATGACCGCGCAGGATGCGTTCTTCACCCGAGAAGAATATTTCCAACTTCTTTACGGCGCGCTGCGGCCAGAAACGTCTCCCGAGCAGTTCAATGGTCGTCTGGTGACACTGTCTCCAACCATATGGAAGCCAAGGCCACTCTGGACGGGCAAACAAATCGTACGTTATGTGCACCACACGGTATTACGATTTGCTGTCTGACACGATGCTGCAAAATGACAGATCTCGACCATCATGAAGAACATCACGCCGCAATCCTTTGAAGGACTCAATCTTCACGCTCAGGCAAAAGTACCGGGCCACCTGTGGGGCAAGAATTCCAAGAGGATCAAGTGGTTTTTATGGATGGCGAACTGCTCTGCGGCGTCCTGGACAAGTCGGCATTCGGAGCCTCCGACTTCGGTTTAGTGCACTCCGTGTACGAACTCTATGGCGCGGACGTTGCGGGAAAACTTCTTGGAATCCTCAGTCGGCTGTTCACGAAATTCCTGCAACACCGCGCATTCACATGTCGGATGGACGACCTCGCCCTGACACCCGACGGCAACGCCCGGCGTGCGGACATCCTGGTCAAAGGAGCGAATCTCGGCACGGAGGGCGCCACCGAGAACTTCCCTGTGCTCAAGACCACAGCCGAAGAAGACAAGGCCGCGGTCCTGCGTTCTCTCCTGGAAGACGTGCTTCGAGACGACAGCAAGATGGCCGGTCTTGACGTAACAGTAAAGGGCAAGCTCGCGAAACTTACCAAGTCCATCGCGGATGCGGTCATGCCACATGGTCTGCTGCGCCAGTTCCCCCACAACCACATGCAAGCGATGACAGTGTCCGGTGCGAAGGGGAGCGCCGTCAATGCGCAACAGATCTCCTGTGCTTTGGGTCAGCAAGAACTGAAGGCCGCCGTGTTCCTGTTATGGTCAGCGGGAAGACGTTGCCGTCCTTCAAGCCGTTCGAGACTCGTGCCATCGCGGGCGGCTACGTTGCGAGTCGCTTCCTCACTGGCGTCAAGCCCCAGGAATTTTTTTTCCATTGTATGGCGGGTCGTGAAGGTCTCATCGACACGGCTGTCAAGACGTCGCGTTCCGGATACCTCCAGCGCTGTCTGATCAAACACCTCGAAGGCATCCGTGTCCACTACGACAACACCGTCAGGGGGAGCGACTCGTCGATCTACCAGTTCAACTACGGTGGCGACTCCCTCGACGTGACCAAGCAGAAGCACCTGCTCCAGTTCGAGTTCATTGCGCGTAATGAGCGTTCTTTTGTGCAACGGCTCCGCCCTAAGGAGCTCCACAGCTTCATCAACGAAGATGCAGTCGACTACATGAAGAAGATCGTCAAGTACAAGGACAGGAAGGAGAAGCGCGACAAGATGGCTATCACAATGTCCAAGTACCCCCCGCAACGCTGCCTCGGCAGCACCTCAGAGCTCTTCGCTGACAAGGTGCACGAATACATCATCAAGAACCCGCACGGGCTCATCAAGGACAAGGACCCCGCCCGCTTCCGCCCCAAAAGTAGTAGATTGACGCTCACTAAGAAGCAGTTCCAGGTCCTGGCGAATGTCAAATACATGCGTAGTCTAGTTGAGCCAGGGGAAGCCGTCGGTCTTCTCGCATCGCAAGGGTGGGTCTAGAAGCTGGTATTTGTATTCGATGACTAACTAGCTCATTGCTTGCTTGCGACCAGTGTCGGCGAGCCATCAACGCAGATGACCCTCAACACTTTCCATTTCGCAGGCACGTTCACCGCACGCCGTAATATGACTGGATTCTGATTTCTTATTCTAATAGGGCACGGCGCCGCGAATGTTACCCTTGGTATTCCTCGCCTTCGCGAGATCGTGATGACCGCGTCCCAGAAGCCAAAGACGCCCTCAATGACCGTCAAAGTTCCGTCGGGAGCCCGGCTGTCAGACCTCCAGAGCTTCTGCAAGCAGGCGAGCCGACTCGCTCTCTCACACGTCGTCGACAAGGTCAGCGTAACCGAGCAGCTAGTCCTCAAGGGGGAGTCTCGGAGCAAGGAGTTCACCATCCACCTGGCGTTCTTTCCCCGCGCCGAGTACGAGGAGGAGTACGACGTCACACCCGTCGAGATCATGTCCGCGTTCGCTGTCAAGTTCCCGAACATCTTCAAGAAGGAGCTCCAGATGGAGCTCAAGAAGCTCGACGCGGACCTGAAGAGCCAGAAGTCAGACCTGGGCAAGGGCCGGACGGTGCGCGATCAGGTCGGCGCGGTCGCGGGCGACGAAGATGAGGACGGCGAGGAGCCCCGGGTCCGCGGGCGGGACGACGACAACGACAACGAAGGCAGCGAGATCGGAGACGGGGACGCGACAAGCTCGAAGATGAAGCTCCAGCGGAAGGAGCAGGCGACGTACGAGGACGAGGACGAGGATGAGGAGGACGAGGAGGCTGAGCGGATCGGCGAGCTCGACGCGGACATCGAGCGTGACTATGCCGAAGAGGGCTCAGACGAGGAGATGGACGTGGACGAGCCTGGACCTTCGCTCTCGGACGAGCACGAACGGGTGGAACAGAAATTCATGGAGAATCTGCCCAGCGCCACGTCCTTCACGTTCCGTGAATCGGGGTGCACAATTGGCCTCCAGGTGGGGATCAGCCGCCACGATGTCATGAGAGGTTCTAGCTGACGACCATCCTCAGTTCGGGTCCACCATGCCGAAATTACTCCTGGTCGGGCTAGTCGAGCGAGTCTGCCTGAAAACGGTCGTCCGAGAGATCCCAGGCATTAGCGACTGTTTCATGAAGGAGGATGAAGGGAAGAATGGCGAAAAACTCCATTCTGTAGGTCCATCCACCGACCGTGTGGCAAGTGGCTGACAGACACCGCCCACTTCCCGCGGTCGCAGCTCCTGACCAATGGCTCCAACATCCCCGGCCTCTGGCAATTCGCTTGCGGACGTGGCGAAGACATCATCGACCAGAACGGCATCTACACGAACGATATCTACGCGCTTCTGTGTGCATACGGCGTGGAGGCCGCGCGCCGCGCCATCCTGCAGGAAATCGGCGGCGTCTTCGCCGTGTACAAGATCGACGTGGACATGCGTCACTTGGAGCTTATCGCCGATTACATGGTGCGCAATTGCCTCGGCTCCGCTTGCTTGTTCGTCTGCTCACGGCCGCTCCCGCACCAGACATTCGACGGCGGCTACAAGCCGTTTAACCGGAAGGGGATCTCGACCAACCCATCGCCGCTGCTCAAGGCGTCGTACGAGACCACGGCGGCGTTCCTCTCGGACGCGACGTTGCACGGCGACTTCGACGACCTGACTACGCCGTCCGGGAACATTGTTGTGGGCCGTCTGAGCCACACAGGGACGGGCGTGTTCGACGTCGTGGTGCCGACTGCGCGCGTGACTGGGGCGATGTCATAGCGGGGGCGGTCGGAGTGCGGTCGGACGCTCTCTCGGTCGCGCAGGAAAAGTACTGTAGGATCCATATGTAGCTACCACGCTCAGGACAATTCGTCGGTCTTCCGTGCTAGCACGCGGCGCGCGGGGTGTGTGGGCGATGCGTGAGAGCCGGCGGGGCGCACGAGTAGGTCGCCGGGATGGGTCGCAGCGGCGGCCACCCTAGGCCACCGAGCCCGCCAACACAAGGGTCAGGAGATGTGTCGCGCACACGGCGGCCGTCAATCGCTCGCCGGGGCCGAGCAAGCTTGTCCGGGGCCAACACGCGCACAGCCCGTCGAACGCGACCGTGCACGACGCCCGCTCAGGGTCGCACCCCGTCGTCTCCTCCCGCGCGTAGCTCCTGGGAGTCAAGACCAGCCTCAGAAGACAGAAGACGCGCGTAGCCGTACAGTCCCGCGCGAGATCCGGTTCCCCGATCGCGCCCGCCGCGGCCTCTCTGTGCGGCTGGTCGCAGATTGCCTGGAAATTGCCCTGTCGCGAAGGGCACGCCAATGCCATCAGACCCGGCGGGACGCGTTCATCTATCACCTCGGCGGGAAGCGCACCGAGGGCCGCGCACGAAACGGGCAGGAGGCGCGGGTGGATGCCGCCGCCACCGCCGGGCCCGTCCTCCCGTTTTCCTCGTCCCCCGAGTGCGCAAGCAAGCGCTGCGGGTCGCGATGCGGCCACCCTGTTCGGGCTCCATCGCCGTCGCGAGCATGCACCAAATGCGGCCAAGTGCGTGGCCAAGTGTGGGTGTCCCTGCGCGCGCACGCACAATGCCGAGCTCCGCGGAGGAGATCTCGCGACGGTGGTACCCTCTGCGATCTCGCGTCCTGGCTCTAGCGCACCTGCACGAGCGTGAGTGACGTACTGAGGGCATGGATGCGAGCGGCTTACATCGCTCTCGCGTATATAACCTCCCCTGCGATGCGCATCCAACACATACACCTGGTCTCTTCACAAGTGTCTCGATTCCTCTGCTTCCTACAGCATCTACTTCGACTCGTACCCCTCGCTACACACGTATAACCATGTGCAGACGTCGTCAGTGAGTTGACGGACCCATGCATGACTATTGTGCTGTGACGCTGACGGCCTTGGCAGCGTTAGGACTGTTTACAAGTCAGTGACCGTCGAGGGGCTCTAGAGTACGCGTACTGACCTCGCTGGACATAGATGCAGCCACGGTTTCACGCACCCCGAGGAGGAAGTACGTTCGCACTCTCTCGAGTCAAATCGACATCGGTCCGAGCTGATGCATCGCAGGTCAATTGCTACGGCACGAACTGCATCTTTAGTCCAAACCATCCCAAGGATTGCACTGGGGAGCGATGCAAGACCAAGTGCTGGCAGTAGTAAGTGCTCCTCGTTGCTAGCAATGACGCCGACTTATCTGGCATGAAGCCACACGTACCCTCAGCAATATGGTGAGTGACTGTTCACTGAGGCCCCCGACGTGCAAGCTGAGCCGTCGGCACTCTTTCTAGTGGTCAACAAGGACCATGACTGTCCGCAGTGCGCTGCGGCGCGGCGCTGAAGGAGGCGAGATGTTAAACAGAATGCAGTGCTTGGGCTCGATAATATTGCAGTTACTTACGAATACACATTGTACGCAATGGAGGCAGGGAGAAGGAGTAGGCCTCGGATCGATAATCCTGTAATGACACCAATGTTGCGGATAATCACACTTGGATTGCGCCATTCCAGATGCGTGATAGAGTAAAACGACAGCGTTGAAAGCGTACTTGTACAGGCATGACAAGGAAGGAGCAGTGTCCAGGGGAAAATGCTGCAAGAGAGCGACGGGTGACGTACGGATGCCAAGGGCCTAGTCATCGTCCTTAATGTCATGCGTCTGCTTGAGCCGCGCCAACTCTTCCTCTCTCCTCGCAAGCTCAGCTTTTGCCGCGGCCGCGTCCTGTTTTGCGGGCATGTGGTACAGCACGACGATGTAGCGCTCTTGCAAATGGAAACCGTTGAGGTGGTCGAGCGCGTTCTTAGCCTGCGGAGGGGTTAGCAACGCGCAAGCAAGCAGCGCACGAGCACTCACCTCCATACATCGTCAAATACAACAAACGCAGTACCCTTAGTTTTTGTCTCACTCCTATCCGAATCTGGCGGATACTTCCGTACCGTCCGAACAGGTCGTAGAGATCTTCTCCGGTGATCTGGTAGTTGAGGTTCTTCACGAAGAGGATGCGGTTGGCACCAGGTGGAAGTTTTGACTGCAAAAACGCAGCATACAGTCAGATGTGTCCCCGTGACAGAGGTATGGGACGCACTGTCGGACGCTGCATGGCCATTTGGGAGGTGGTGGTCGAAGACAAGCTCTGGCGCCACCGCGACCCGCGCACAACTCGCGTCTCGATCGGGAAGTCGCACGCCTGGCATCCCGCGGCCCGACGGCCCGCAACGTTCTCGCTCGATTTCCAAGTCATCATGGGAACACAGCAAGTATCGTACAAAAGACTCCACGGCTGCCTTTCTTCGTTGTACAGTCAATCACAGCATCAGCGACCCAACGAGCACGAGCCCAGTCGCGATTCCCACCACGCTCAACTCAAGCTGCCTCATCGCGCCACCGGTGTTCCCAGAGGTAGAGCCGGAGCCCGTGTCAGTTGCGGCTGCCGTGGCGGAAGAGGAGGCTGCCGTGCTGGACGCACTGGAAGTGTTGTCGGGCCCGGTGAGGAAGAAGTTGCCCGCGACGGGGTCCCCGAGACCGACTGCGGCGGCAAACTGCGAGATGTTGAAGTTGCTCACCGCCGTCGACGCGTTGACAAGCGGCGCTGCGGTGGCGTCGAAGCCGGTCGGCTCGACGAAGAGGAGGAGGATATACCTGCGCCCGGACGGCCGTTGCCAAAGCGAGGCGCGTGGGGCGAGACCAGGTGAGCAAGACGATGAGGTTCCTCGCACGCCCGTGAGAGCGCTAAGACGAGAGTACGCACCGGTGCGGGTCTGAGCCCGCGGGAGGCGTGGGGCGGATGAAGTTCGAAATGGCCGGGGTGTTGTTCACCAGCAGGGCGCCGTCCGCGAGGCTCCCGTCGAGCGTCATCCCGGGCGCGAGCATGTGGCGGATCTGCGCCGACGTAGGCATCTGGGGCGTCGGTGCGTCCGGATCCACCATGGCGAGCACGAAGGTTGTGTTCGCAAAGCTTGTCACGTTGCTCTGGAAAGAGACTGTCGGACGCAGGGCGTTTTCTGCGCGGCCAATCATTTCAGTTCCACAGGCCTTGTTTGGACTCTTTGTGACTTACGCTCCCTGGTCATGCTAAGACCGGGTGTCACCGTGACATTTGTGTTCGTGGTGTTGTCGAAGAAGACAACATCCAAGAGGCCCATCGGAGCGAAGGTCGGCAGGACTGAAGTGGAAACACGTCAATGGCAGATTATTCAAGCCGTGATGGTACTCGCCATCCGGAACAATGCTGGCATTGTCGAAAGCTTGAGTGACGGAATCAATCGTAGTCTGCGCGGACGCCGAAGTGACCGCAAGAGCAGCAAAGGCGAGCAAAGGCGCGAACATCGTGGCGTCGACTCTGGGCAGGAGATGGCGGAAGCTTGGAAGAGCGAAGAGTAAACTTCCATCGCACGTCGTTATGCTTATATACCTCACCGAATCTCGCACTCCACGCACCTGGAGACTGACGGCGTCGTGGGAAGCTGGATTGCGCATGTGAGAGGGATGGCCGGGCTTGGGATCATCCACTTCCAGTGGGAGATGCCTGGAGCCAAGCGGTAGTAGCCGCGTCGTCAGTGGAGAATATGGAACAAACTCATGGAACATGCTCACCACCCGAGGAACTAGGTCTCCCACCGACGCTGAGGAATAGCACAGACCGCTCGCATGTGTATTCTCCTGCCAAACAGCACAAGTAAAATGCGAGAACGCTTACATAGTCTGGTTCACCTGCCGGCTATGGTTGGTTGAGGTTCGGTTCGTCCCGTCAAACAAGCGAACGCCGGAGTAGCTTCCGAGTCGCAATTCTCTTTTTTTTGGGCATCTGACCCAGTTCTAACCACTACGGAGTTGAAGCGACCTTTGTCTAAACCATGTGTGACTAGTAATTACATGACGTTACGTACTAGACATGGTTCAGCACAACATTGCCGGGTGGGAATGTCCGGCACACCATACGTTGCATAGTAAGCGAGTGTGCTTGACAGTGGGCACCAACGGATCGTGGGGCGGTCTTGTTGTTTTGAAGCGGCTCTTATGGTCTATTTTCGTATCGGTGCGTAAGCTGATTCGCGGGTACCAACTTGCGCCAATCCGGATTGCGAACTGAGAGGTCCACGCCTCGGCCTGAAACCAGTCGATGAGCATAAATATCTCTTACAAACTCGGTCAGCATCATCTGTGAAATGAGGCTGATTTAGCAGCACGATCAGAAACGCGGAGGTGGATCTTAAAACGGACGAAGACCAACGCCATTCACTCTTCGCCACGTGCGCGACGAGAGGAATGCAAATCATCCGTAGAACCGGCACTTCCAGACGTGTCCGACTTCGCGGAAAGTCCTTGCAGGGCCAGATTTCGACGGAAACCCGGGCTACAAAGCGTCGAGCTCGTGCAGTCAGTCCTGCACATTCGATATAGCCATATCGAACGCGCATTTAGCCCTGCTGGGGTGCTGTGACACATGAACCGAAGCTCGTCCACTGCGGACGTCATATTTCGTAAAGGCAATAAGGACGTACCATCAGAAGAATCACGGCAACAGAGGAGAACTTCACCAAATGCGCAACACTGCGGTATACTCGCAGCAGGGCGAAGATTCGGAAACAGGTCGAGACCTAACAGAGGCGACAATAAACCAACATCTTCATTCAGTTGCTAAGTCCCGAGCGGCGGCGTTTTCGCCTATGTAGGGTTGTAGTCATCTAGGCACCGACATCCTCATCTCAGATTCGTGCTTGCTGAGAATGTCTAGGCCGCGTACGTTAATTTGACTTCGCTAACAAGAAGGGTACAACCTACTTGCGCGAACCACTCAATATCCGAGATACGTCGGATCTAAGACAGTGTGAAAGGTACGCCGGGGACTCAGTCCCACGGCGGCCTGGGAAGCCTACTAAACAACGTTAGGAGTACTTACGTACAGCGATACCAGACCGCCTCCGCGACTGTGCCACCCTAGCAGGAATAGTAACTCCGCTTCCGCGGGTGGTGCCAAGTTGGATTAGACCCGCAATCTGGCGTTGCCCGTGGCATTTGTGGACAGAATTGTGCAAACAGGCGATAGCGTATTGTCATTGGCACAGTCTATAGGGTACAGCGGGCATCTGTCGGGGACCGAAAGGACAAATGAGCCTTCTGGCTCTCAGCCGACGCCACGGTGAGGTACTCGCCTACGACACCTCATATTCTCCTTGATAACCGCTGCACGTCCGCGCACTCGTCCTGTCCGCGGACACAGAGCACCGTAGAGGACCCATGGTCCTGGGCGTCGGAGAGGAGACACTTGATGTCTTGCACATCGGGGCAAGGGCATTCCGACGGAGCGGCCACACAGACGAGCGTATCCGGGCAGAGGTATGTCGAGCACGGCACTGTGCATAGAGAAAGGTCAGCGGTGCGCCCGCGACTTCTTTCGGCGATTAGGACAGTGATAGATTGAAAGGTGTAGGGCTAGGCCCCACTTGTCTTTCTGGGCTAGAAGGGCGAGCTGGCCTAGGCGTTTCTCGCTACCGCAGCAAACATGGATACAGACTGCATACACACCTGAGTCGGAATGGGCTTGCCACTGCGCCATGCCACCCGCTGGCTTTTGCTGCTGGAACTGTTGCTGGTGGCCACCAAACATCTGATCGAAAAAGCCGAACTGGCCTAGGGACGCCGAGACATGAAGAAGGAAACAGAGCAGAAGAGTGTGGACAAAATGCATGGTGGGTTTGAGGTGGTCGGTAGCACGGTGTAGTCGACCGTTCAGCGCTCAGGAGTCAGCAGCTGGATGGCTGCCTGCTCAGTGCTGGGACACGTGACGCGGAAATGACACGTCAACATCGTCAAATAGCGCGTCTGTGGCTCTTGGATTCACCATGTCCTGAGGCACATCACGGATATCATCCACATAATGGCAATTCAAGGCATATCATAAGGAGACTGATGGTACAAATCCATTAGTACTACACGAAAGACGTCCTGTGTCGACAGGGACTAAGGGCCGACAGTGAAAGAGGCCGGGTCGCGCGTAGTAGGTACATGAAAGCGAGTAACTACGCAAAACGTATTCAAGCGAGGTGCGAGCGGAACATGAAGGCAAGCATACGAGGATAGGATGGTGGGGGACGGGTGAAGGAGCCAATATCAAACATGAAAATCCGGGTGTGAATGTCGACGGGTTCAGGCGAGTTGATCGTCGTCACCTTCGCCTTCATCGACCTCTTCTTCCAGCGCAAGACGCATCTTCTTGCGATCGTCTGGGGTCAATGCGATGCGAGCGGGGGTCGAAGCTGCAAGGCCAGTCGCGGCAGCGGCGACAGATGGCAGCTTGCGATCCTTTGGGGTCTTGATAGGACGCGGAGTTGCCAGGTAGTCCTGCACATGCTTGGGGTGCGGAGAAGGGGGGACCACAATCTTGGAGGAACCAACGGACGAGGGAGAGGCCAGACCAGCTTTGAGCCACGCTGCGTCTGAAGGTGTCCCGGGCTTGGACGCCTTGGACGTCCTGGGACGTGGCGGAGCTGCGTTCTCCTTGTTCACCTCCACATCAGGGGTAGAGTGGTCTTCACCCAAGGCCACGGCGGCGAGTTGGGAAGAGGAAGGGAGGGCGATATGGGGGTCTTGATACACCACAAAGCCCGGGTAGTGGACAGATTGAGGGTCGGGGGGCACCACATCGCGCGGGATGAGGATCGGCGCGGACATGGAAACGCGGACGGCGACGGAAGCGGCTTCCGTGCCAGTCTGTCCATCGATGGGACCCGCAGGGGATCCAGAAGGAGCTTGAGACCGATGAACAGACGTACGAGGAGAACGGCGCAGAGGGCCTGACGCCGTGCTCTTGGGGCTCCTCCGCGGGGTCCCAGAACCACCCACTCCTCGTGGACTCTCATGTGCTGCCGTGCTTGTTGCTTCAGAGGAGCCGAAATCAAGCCGTTTGGCGGGGGTATTCGGGCCTTGAAGCATCGCGTGGAACAGAGCAGGGGCGAACCTTCCTCCTGTGCTGGAACCCGACAGGGGGCTCTTTACCCGTGCAGGCGTTCGAGCACCTCCCGCATCCTTCAGACGACGCTTCGTGGGTCCATCCAATTGGCCAACAGAGGGTGAATGAGACCGTTTGTTGGGCCGTGGGTGGCTGGGAGTGCCAGGAAGGAAGAGAGCGAGGTCGTAGGACTCGAGAGGGCCGGGGCGGGCGCGAGTGCGGGGAGGCATTGATAGAGTGCAGCGATAACGAGGTGGGGTGTGGTTTGTGGTGAACCGGGGAACGAGAGAGGGGAAGGGGGGCTTTTAAGGTGGGCGTTCGAAAGCAAACGACGAAGCATGGCGCGCTCGCCACTTTCGCGTCGCGTCAGCACGTGCCTGTCACGATCACGGTCACATTCGCCACAGACGCGTTCGAGACAACAGTCGACGCCTCCCGAAGGGCCCAGAATGGAGCTGACTGGCCTTGCCTTGTCCGCGGACAAAGCAGGGTGCCTGGAAGTTCGAATTATCGAGCATATCATTGCACATAACGCACGGAGAATAAAGGAGAGAACTTCCCGACTGATTATGGTACAGATACATCGTATGCGTAGCAAGGACAACCTAAATAAGCTCTGCGGCGTTGACGGGCATCTCATCCTGCAGCACACGGTCAGTGTGGACGCCAGAAACACTAATACACTGATACTTACAATCTGGGTACCGTAGTATTGCTCTGTGCGAAGATGAAGATGTGATGAGCCGCGCTGAAGCGATGGAGAAATAAAGGACTTGCCGATATCACGCAGGATACGAACGTCATCAACTGTGACGAACTGGAGCGTCCTTCAGCATCTATCAGTGGGTCACAAATGAGGGAAAGAACCCACGTTGATAGCAACACCCTTTCGACCGAACCGACCTGATCGACCGATGCGGTGGATGTAGTTTTCGCGGTTCCTTTGAGTGCATATGAGCATTGTGCGTGAGGCAGACGTGAAGAGAAGGCTTACGCGGGGAGATCGTAATTGATGACAAGAGAGACCTGTTGAACGTCGATTCCACGTGCCCAGACGTCTGTGGTGATGAGAACCCGGCTATGAAAGCGTCAGCATGCATGCGCAGTAGCGAACAATGAGGGGCTTACGAGGTGCCGCTCCGGAACTCTGCCATGATAGCGTCACGCTCCTTTTGTGCCATATCACCATGCATGGAAGACACTGTGAAGTTAGCATTCCGCATCTTCTCCGTCAACCAGTCCACCTTTCATTGCCGTCAGTCCACTGACATCAGAGTCAAGGAGTAAACACATACCTTTCGTCTCGTGTTACAGAAAATGACGGCTTGTGTGATCGTCAACGTGTCGTACAAGTCGCAAAGGGTGTCGAACTTCCAGTCCTCTTTCTCCACCGCCACGAAGAATTGCTTGATACCCTCGAGCGTCAACTCGTCACGACGAACGAGGATGCGGATTGGGTCGGTCATGAATTTTGTTGTCATCTCCAGAACGTCGTATGGAAGTGTGGCACTCAAGAGAACGACTTGAGTTGCGGGAGGAAGGTACCGGTAGACGTCGTAGATTTGATCTTTGAAACCCTTGTTGAGAAGTTCGTCGGCTTCATCCAGGACCAACATCTTGATGTTCCGCGTACGGAGGCTGCGACGGCGAATCATGTCGAAGACGCGTCCAGGAGTCCCGGAAACGACGTGTTGACCGTAATCCAGCTTACGGATGTCTTCACCAATTGAGGTGCCTCCAATGCACGCGTGGCATTGGACGTTCATGTAGTCGCCCAACGCAAGCACGACTGACTGGATTTGCGTGGCCAGTTCGCGAGTTGGGGAAAGCACAAGCGCTTGGGTCTCCCGAATGGACACGTCGATGGACTGGAGGATGGAGATTGAGAACGTCGCGGTTTTTCCTGTACCCGACTGTGCTTGCGCAATAACATCGCGTCCCTGGATGATCGGAAGGATGGCCCGCTGCTGGATCGCGGAGGGTTTTTCAAAGTCTAAACCGCAACTCGTTCAATGCAAGAGAGTGGGAAGAGGAAATGGAAAACGCACTGTACGCGTAGATACCGCGCAGAAGGTCCTCCTTCAACCCAAGGTCATCGAACGTCGAAACAACGGAGACGGCCTCCGAGGACTCAAAAATGAGTTTCTAGGAGAAGTTATCAGCATGCGGCACCTCGGTCCACCGTGCATAAGACGCTCACGTCGTCACCGGCGTTGATGCCAGACATTGTGGGAGGGGATGTGGGGGAGGGAGAGGAAGGGCGGAGTTCAAAATCTCCCGGACGCGCTCAGAGAACAGTGACGGACGTACCAGACGCCCGCTACGGCTTCACGCGAGTTGCCGCGCTCAATTCCGTCCTCCATCCTGCTGGATTCCGTGCCTCTCGCCACCCCTCGACCATGGACTCTGTCGTCGAACTCCAGCGCCAGACACATGAAGAGATAGAGCACCTGGAGCGAGCTCTTTACACCACGCTCTCGAAACCCCAGCTCACGCACCAGGTCCGTCTCCAGAACGAGCACAAGGCCATCCAGCTCCTCGACCGCATACATTCACGGGTCGTCACGCTCAACAACCATTACGAAGATGAAGGCACGAGAAAATCTGAGATTGAAAGTCTGTCCGCACCTGTGAGACAGGATGATCTCTCGGCATTCTACGCCCGGCTAGCAAAGATCCAGGAGCACCACGCGAAGTACCCAGATACCACTGTTGGTGGATTTGAGATGGAACTGGCAGTATTTCTGGATGAAGCCGAAGAGGTGGAAGACGAGGAGTTTGAACAGGATGACCGTGAGTGTTTCAGCACGGTTCCATTGGTATGATGTTGAAGCTTTCTACTCGAAGCCATTGCTCTGCTTTTCTCTGGCGAAGAGGGCTACGGAAAATATCTTGACCTGTACACGAACCACACCACCTACAACAACCTCAAACACATTGGCAAGCGACTGGCATATTTGCAGTATCTGGACATTCTTCTTGCTGCTCAGTCAGAACCTGTTCACGCTGAGCTTCTGAAAGAATGTCGTCTCCATCGTGATTATGAGCTGTAAGTCATCTATCTCCTTGATGTGCGCTACCACTAATGGAACTCATTGTGTTTTGCAGGTACATCCGTGCGCTTCATACATATCTCATCTCTTTCATGAAAAGATCGCAGCCGTTGGTCGACGTGGACTCACAAGAACGCGAAGCGGAGAGTCAGTTTGAGAAGGTATGGGAAAACGGGATGGAGGACTGGCAGGACTCGCGACAGGCGGCAGCAACTCATGGAAATGGAGAGGCGGGCATCTGGTGTGCAGCTTGTGAGTCGCTTTCCACAATACAGTCCTTTGTGTGCTCAATTTGGACCTCCGCGCAGGCCAGAAAATGTACTCAAAACAAACGGTGTACGACGCTCACCTGGGCTCGAAGAAGCACGTCAAGGCTGCTCAGAAACAAGCCACATCCGATGCACCTCCTGCCAATCCAAATGGTCCTGCGCCTGCGAATGGTGCAACCATAAGCGCAAACGGGGAGTCTTCAAAAGCCTCCGACAAGCATCGAACTGCCGCGCTCCTCACCCATCTTTGTACCCAAATGCTCCGTGCTCTCGCACCAGCTCTCAGTGAAACCAAGTCGAACGTTGAGCGCCGATTTTCCCTCACTGCTCGCGAACGCGAACAGGAGCTTCTCGAGCAAGCGAAGAAGCCCGCGCCAACCACGAAAACGCCGGCGAACGGCGAGAACGGGGAAGAGGAGGAAGAGGAAGAGGAGCGCATCTACAATCCCTTGAAGCTGCCGCTTGGATGGGACGGCAAGCCGATCCCATATTGGTTGTACAAGCTGCATGGATTGGGTGTAGAGTATCGTTGCGAGATTTGCTCAGATCACGTCTACATGGGCAGGAAGAACTTCGACAGGCATTTCCAGGTACATCTCACCATTTGGGGGTAGCAAGGAAGTCTGCTCACCAATGGACTTCAGGAGTCACGGCACGCCTTCGGCATGCGAGCCCTTGGGTTGCCTAATACGAAGCACTTCCACGAGATCACTCGTATTGAAGACGCCCTAGCCCGTATGTCCCATCTTCTCATCCATATCGCCTGCCATTAACATCCATGTAGTTGCGGAGAAGCTCAAGCGTGAAGGTCGCCATGAGATCTTCGAGCAGGAGACCATGGAAGAGCTTGAGGATGAAGAGGGCAATGTCTACAACCGCAAGACGTACGAGGATCTAAAGAAGCAAGGACTGATTTAATCCCCCATGTGTCTGCACCGTTTCCTTTCTATGATATGTATCTTCCAACCCACATACGGAGTGTGGCTGTTATGTGTAATATACATCCATATGACAAAGTCCAATTGTAGGCTATTGCTCGTCTGCTGGTTCTATAGTGGGTTTACTCGCTCGGACGGGTGGAGGTGGGGCAGGTCGACGTTGAGCTGTCGCTGGGACAATAGGCACAATGGGTGCCTGTAGTGCATGGTATAACTCCTCTTCCGAAGACGACGGTGATGAGGAAATGGGCGACTCGCTGTCCGAATCGAATGGATTCGTCTGCCCTGCATGTCCACCATTTTTGACGAGAGGTACGACGATTCCGTTTAGGTGATCTGAGGTCGCGTCAGAATGGCTAAGAGTACGCAGCTTTAGGGTAACCTACCGTCCCCGTCCCACCATGCGACCTCGTCCGTGCTAGGAGGGGGCACTGGTACACAGGTGAGCAATTTGCCTTGAACACAACCAGCACCCCGATCACTCACAATCCTGTTCATCGGAAGTAAAGGTAAGGGATGCTAGCTTCTCATCGAGTTTTTCTCCGGGAGCAGTGGTGGTGACGTTGTCCAGCAGCAGCGAGCGCAGCGCGTCCCGTTTCAAATGGTCGATTATGCGTACATCCGCTCGGAAGAGCGCGAACACTGCACAGCAGCGGCTAAGCATCTCTGTGGAACGGGCGGGAAAACATGGGACAACAGACCTGGTCGATGGTCAGACGTCTTGAGCTCCGCACGGGAGTACACTGCGAGGTCGAGATTTGGCCCTTTGAAGAGGATCCGGTCTATAGTGCACGGTTCCTCAAAAAAGCCGAGCAGGTCCCATGAAAAGTCGCTTCTTACCTGTCCAAGCTGGGATGCGCATCTTCTCGCTGGTATCATACTGGTCGGATTGCGGGTCGTACTTGTACGTCGGACGGAATAGCAAAGGGCCTTCTTGGTATCCGACGAAGACTTCACGGTCGTCCATGACACGTCTTAGCTGGGAAAAGCTCAATGTATGCTGGGAACGAGAATCAAAAACCTTACTAACCTGGTCTGCGGCGACAAGTGCGTCGAAGTCGTCGATTTGGGAGAATGCTCGGACGCGCTCGTTATCAAGATCGATACGATAGTTGGTGTCCGCTAACCAAACCACGTTTCTGCCCGTACTCGATCAGAGCCGTTGAAATGATCCAATATTATACACTCACTGATGGCTATCGATGGTCTTACCCTTGAGGAAGTGTAAACCATTCACAATCGTCCGATAGTCGGCATTGCGCTCCGCGAAGTTCGAATGACCCGCCGCAAGGTGGGCAGTCAAGAAGCAAAATGTGGTGTCATGGTACTCCAGACGTATACCAACCGCTCCCTTGTTCCCCGACATGCCTCGCAAGCCAGTCTGCAATGATCGTCAATGTTTGGCGGACTCTCATATCGCTCGTATAGCATACCTTGTGAGATGCTGCTTCCACGTTGCGGATGACTGCAGTCAGCTCTTTCTTCACAAGTACCAGGAGTGCTGTTCCGACCAGCTGTTTTGCGACTGTCAGCAGGATGGCTTCGAAGGGAGCCAAGTGCATACCTGGTGGCTCCGGAGAAGGATGTACTCGCTTCTCTTTTCCGGCCGCTTTTGTAGCGCATCCACAATTTTCGCTTCCCATACCCGCCTACTGCCCGTCAGTCATACTCATACCACAAGACCAGTGCCAGGACTAACCTCTTTTCAGGATCCGTCTGGATTATTTGTTGAGCTGTCAGTGGGACGATCTCCTGGAAGCCGATGGCAAAGATATCGGGACTATCTGCTGTGAGAGAAAGAACCGGCTCATAGATCGTTGACTTACTCGGGGGCATCTGCAGAGAAGTTAGACGACAAGCCTGCTAACAAAACGCTCGTACTCACTTGGCCTCGGGAACAACCAAGGTAATAATGATTCGGTGGACGGAGGCTGCATTTTTGTTAGCAATGCATGCCCAATATCGATGCCTATTGGCACTCACCCGTCCGTTGACGTTGTATGTACCAGCAAATATGCTGCATTGCTTGGTTGTCGAATACTCAGCCAGTCTGCACTAAGGTCAGTCCAAAGAAGAAGAAAGTAGCAAATGATCCATACCTGTTCTCCAGCGCCGCACTGACGGAGTCGTGTATAGGGTCGAAAATCGTCACTGGGTGTTGACTGCTCAGGTTGCCCTGCAGATCGGGATGTCTAAGCGACTTCCACAGAACGAAGGCGGCTTAACGACACACCACAAACATGTCGATGGCCACCTGCTTTCCCTTGTCTTGGAAGTTATTGATGTACGCGCGCGAGACGCTCTTCGTCGCATCAGACAGAAGGCCCCCAAGCGTCCGCTTTCCACTCCGGGTGAAGCTGGTGTTAAGCGCGCCAGTGCCTGCATAGATGCGGGACAGCGCGTCGCCGTTCTCCGCCCAGAGCTCGGCGTGGTTGGACCACAGCGTGGTCGCGTGGATCCACTCGCGGCGGACGTGCATCAAGTACTGCTCGAGGGACGTCCGGGAGAGGATATCTTGCACGAAGTTCGTGCGGTCGAGACTGGTCGAAGCACGCGTGAGCCGGTGTTCATTCCCCGATCGAAGAGGACGACGAACCAGTCGAGGCAGTTCGTGCGGAAGATCCCCTTCTGCTCCGTGATGATCTCGCCCGAGCCGGCATCGGCCATCGCGAACCCGAAGCGGTCGATGTTGTCCACAACCGATTCCAGGCGCCTGGCAAGGGGAAGTCGGCATCCTGTGGGCGAAAGGAAAGGACGGCGCGACAGACCTGATCTCCCGAAAGACGCTCTCGTGCCCGCCGTACTTGACCGCGGCGTGGAAGTCGAAGTTGGTGATGCCCACGGTGTCGCCGACGGAGTTGCGGGCGATCTGCATGTGGCGGGCGTACGCCGCGGTCAGCGTCGCTTCATTCTCCTTCTGGCCGAGCAGATTGATCGCGTGTACGGCGCCGTACTCCTCGACCAGCCCGTGGAAGTGTCGGTCAAAGGCGGGTTGTGAGGCTTGTGGTCGGGTGATCTGGATGCGCTGTCCGAATGTCTGCAGGCCTTGCTGTTCCCAGAACACTGACAAGAGGCGCGAGCACAAAAGCGGGGGCAGCAGCAGCAGCAGAGCAAGCGGAAGTGAACAACAGCGCATGCATTGACGATGGAAGGAGAAGACATACAAGGCACGCTACCTCGTACTTGTATGTAACTATAGCAATGTTGGTCCGTGCTGAATATCGTTTCCGTCTCGGATGGAAGTCAGCGCCCGACTCGAAAGCGTGCATCTGGCTGAGAAGTACCTCCACGAAGTTGGCGCAGTTGCCGTCGTCGTCGACCCCGCGGGTGTTGAACCGCGTCCCGGCGCGCTTCCACCCGAGTCGCGAGATGAGGGAGATCGTGGCGACAGTCGGCTGTCCGTTGGTGGGCGGTGCAGAGAGCGCGAGCGTGCTGACGCCGACGTATCCCTGAATGGCGAGTACCTACAGAAGAAAGTATGGTGAGGTGGTCGCCACGGGGAATATTCAATCTACAGGCGAACAACTCACAATGAACTGGCACTGGTCCAACTCCATTCTTTCAACTGCATCCAGACGCTCCCGGAAGTCGAGCAGGCTCCGCACGATGTACTCGTTCCATACGAACCGGTCGTCGTATGTCGCCGCATCCCACGGCTCGTTCCTCGACAGCCGACGCTGCAGCCGCGAAGAAAGGTCCCACTGCGGCTCCATCGCATAGTAGAACGTCCCCCCGGACATGATTTTGCGCAGCGGCTGGCAAGGGTGCTCTGGGGGTGGGGGCGCGCCTGGACCGGACGCATGCTCTCGCATATACGGGTCGCTCTGGTCGCCGTAGCCGGGGCTGGGGACGCCGTCAACCATGAGATCGTCCCAGGTGGAGGACGAGAGGCAGTAGAAGCCGACGTCGTGGATCTGCACCACCGTCTCCGCGGTCGCCGATGCGGGCCTCGTGTTCCCGACCTCGGTGGCGGACACGATAACCGCGAGGAACATGTCTGCATTGAAGGCGTTTGGCATGCGGGGTAGGAATGCGCATCGGGAGGAGCACGACGTACCGTTCGCCACGGAGATCAGTCCCAAACATCCCTTTACGATGCGAGTGGTGAGCTTGATGGCATTGGAGAGGTCCACCTCGGTCTTGGGGAGGAATTCGACGATGGCTTGTGAGGACGACCTGGGTGCAGCACGGAAGACGAGCACTCTTGCTGGGCAACCGCGCCTTTCATCCTGCGAGCTTGTGACCAGATAAAGAGTGCGGGGGTTTTCGCCCAGAAACAAATTCATAGCAGACGGAGGTCAAGGAGGGGGAAGAAGAGAGTTTGAGTGGCCGATTGCTGTGAGCCAGGCGTGAATATATGCGGATGGCTGCGGCTTTACGCCTCGTGCAAGTCGTCAAGGGTCGTTACAAGAATGCCGAGGGCTCCGAAATAGCTACCAGTCAGTTCATGGGAAGTAGTGGGAACCGTGTCACCTAGGAAGGATCGTGCTGGACGGACGGTAAAGCGCAAAGTGGGAGAGCAGAGGCAAGAGGCTGCTGCGCCCCCAGTGGTGGCGCAAGGTGGCGTCTCCTCATCGGACAGTGACCTTCACCGCGCAAGTGCGTCTTCCAAGACGTAGATCGAGAGGTCACAATGATATCTATCGAACACAGACCGCTGATATAGAGTGTTTGCCTTGAGACTAGTTAGGTACATCACCGACCCAATAATTTAGTCGAACTTCCTCCATCCGTCCCCGGCGACGGCAGCGGCGTTGGTGCTGCTCGCAGTCCTCCTCATCCCGACCCTCCTGCCTCCCATCGAAGCCTCCCTGCTGGCGTCGTCCACCAAAACTCCCGATCGTTTTGGTGGAGGGCTCAGAGAGAACGCCGACGGCGAGCTGGGCCGGTAGATCTCCCCCGAGACTCTCGGCATAAGGTTGGGCGAAGGCGGCGCTGAAGCCGTGGGCGAGCGGGGCGCAATGAGCCCTTCGGTCGTGTCGCGTCTGCGCGGGCGCGGGCGGAGGCGAGGAATGTACTCCAAGGGGAGCGTGTCGTACAGCGCCTTGAATAAAGAAATACGGTTTCCTGTCGCCACCGGCTTGGTGGGAGAGGATGGTTCGCCGGCTGCTAATGCCACACGGGTCAGGACAGGCATACGAGAGCAAGCACAAGGGCACTCACAGGCCTTGATGGGGAGCGCATTGTCGTTTGCGCTGAGGCTCAGGAAGAGGAATAACGGAGCAAGCCACACGCATACCCCGAAGAACGTCGCGATATCGCCGAAGTTCGGCACGGCGTGCGGCAGAGGAGAACCACGGTAATGGCGGTTGGCACGGTGTCTTGCTTCTTGTGTGAGACGAGCGAAGTAGAAGAACCACAGGAAGTGGTCCGCGACGACGAGAACACACGACCCAAGGAAGCTCGGTGATGTTAGAGAGATGAAAGGCCAGCTTGAGGTGAAGTTCTGCAAATACACGACATGGCAGAAAACGGAGAAGAGGATATGCTTGAGGGGAGGGCATCATAGAAATACAGGAGGAAGTGGACTAGTATGATGGCCTATAGTCGCTTGAGCGACGCAGCGATACCACAACTAGACAGGACTCACGTATATGCTCCTCTGACCAACTACTTTTGCGAGACGAGAGTGCTCCTCAATTACTTCTGAGATCCATAGAAGACCGCTAGCTGAAGTATAATCAACATGGAGAGACGCGACGGCTACATGGGCCCTGCAGCTCACCCAGGGACAGAGTTATGAAAACAAAGGCGGAAGCAGCCCCGGCGTAGCTGATAGAAGGCCCAGTGAGCAAACTTTGGTACCAGAATATGATGCAACGCACCTGAGTAAATGAAGTAGTGTCATGAGTGAAGCAAGCCAGCACTTGGAGTGATGTGGGAAAGGCGATTATCAAATATCACGGAATGAGCATGCCAACTTTGCTAGGATGAAGCGGAAGGCAGGTGGCAACCGGATGAGAATAAGGTCGTGTGCACAGTGTGGCACTCCAGTCTGGGCAGTCACTACTAGCATGACCCCAGAGTTGAGAAATGGGAGCGCCCGCAAGATCAAACCATGAGAGTCTCGACCATCTCTGTTGCGATAGTCTTCGGATTTCGTACACATATTGTTAGTGTCATAAGAAATCAGTGTGCAAAGTTTCAAAGGAAACTGGTACGTATTGCGCCCCCAGTGGACGAACCGGCCGCGGACCCTAGAGTTGAGAAATTTCGCCGAGGCTTAGTCACGGTGCGGGTCACGCAGCCGACATCAACTCCGCTCGGCTAGGCTGTCAGACACGTCCAGGGATGACAGCATCCTCCCCAACGACAACGTCGGAGACTGAAATTCACTCACGTTCTGTGGCCGAAGTCACGCTTGAACTGACCCAAAGTGCGTTTTCGCCTCCCTCCCACAGATATCGTGCCGGAGAATTCGAATTGGGGCAGCCACGCTTCATCCAATACCCCTCACGCAGCTTCAACCTAAGCGCTGGTCATGGGATCGTAGCCGACGGGTATCAAATCTTCGACTTTTCTCATTTGAGAGATGTTTGCGAAAGATCGTGCTTGTTTCTGCACGGAACGACGTCGTTCTTTTTGAAAACGAAAGTGAGAACATGTTCCTACCAGCGTGTGAATTTTCAACATTATCGGACGAGGGACGGGACCGCCAGACCAGATTTCTCAACACTGGGGGCATTTCTCATCACTGGGGTCGGACTAGTAGTCAAGCTTCAAGCTTCAAGGACAAGTGACACGGCCACTCTGACGCGTGAGAAATTACTGCACGCCGGCCCTCGAGGCGCCTATCTACGTCATCAGCAAAGTAGGTGCAGAAACGATAGCGTATGATCGTGCACTGCACGAAACCGGGGAAACAAGGATCGGGGGGCGATCAATGCTGGCCAAGGTCTGTCAGTGTCGATCGTTGCTGTCTGCATTGGTCTGCTGCTGGTAAAACCTGACCAAGAATCGTCTTCTGAGATCAGTCATGGCCAATACCTGCTGGCGGGTTGATCTGGCCCGGCCGTTGACAGGCGCAGAGTTGATCGGCACCGGTCGGAGCGCCAGCGGCAAATGGCCTGTGCCAGTCATTTGTGAGCTTGTAATAGATCATATCCCAAGGGGATTTAGATCGTTTACCAAGCACTGAATGATCATGGATGGACGAGAACAGACCAATACAGTCCGGTAATCAAACCTTGGATACAGCCAGTTCGAAATATCACAGATTCAGCTTTATAAACAAATGATATATTGAATAATCAAAGCGACAAGCTCGTATATGACATGAGGAGATACGAAAATAGACATCAGCATAGCAGAAAGCATGAAATGAAGACGAGGATCCTGCCATGCCCTGGCCTGTGCCAGGAGGAGCAACAGGTGGGAAGCCGATGGTCGACCTTGGAGACAACGAACGTGCCCCCGAGCGGGACCGTGTGCACGTTCGCGGTTATGCGCCTCCGCCCGCCGACGAGGTAGTACTCGCGGAAGACGGTGGGGAGCGCGCAGCCGCAGCCCACTGGCACGAGGCCACACCCCTGGGACGGACGCAGCCGTAGAGCACGTACACGCGCCAGGCTTGCGCGCATCGCGCGGGGGTCTGTGCGTGCGTGCGTGCGTGCGGGGATGACAAGGGAGGAGCGAGGTGGGGAGAAGAAGAGGCGAGACGGCGGAGGAGGAAGGGAAGAGTCGGGGCACCCACGGGGTCAGCAAAGGAGAGCGGACGGAGGAAAACACGCCGCCTCACCAGTTGTCTTTGATTCCAGTGCACGTCCACTCAATGTCAATGTTTGGGTCTGTCGGGCCCGCCGCGCGCGAGTGCGCGTCGTCCGGCTCATGCTCTTTGTCGTCCTCGCTCGATACTGCGTCGATGGGCTTGTCGAAGTCCATATCGAGCCCGTTCTGGACCTGCTGACGCACGCGGTCGATATGCGTTGCTCCGTCTTGTGCTTCACCCATCTCGTGGTCGTAGTCGTCCGCTTCAACGTCCAGGTCCGCGCTTTCGTCTTCGTCGCACTCTGCTGCCCTCTCGGCCAAGAATCCCGCCACCCGCGCCGAACCGTGATGGAGGTAACTGTCTGTCGAAGGGAGTAAAGAGGTGGGTTGGAGAGAGAGGCGAAGACCCGCGGGAAACTTTCGGGGACCTGCTGTATAGCAGCTCAAATAAGGTTTGACACGGACGAGCACATACGTCATAAGCCGCGACAGCCAAAGGTTTCAAAGACACGCATGGCATGTGTCTCGGACAAGGACCTCGCCATTGAAATATTGAAGCGTTGGGTCACTCGGACTAAGACAGTCAACAGTAATATTGGGGGCTCAGTGAACATGACTAAAACATACGAGTGGGACAAATATACCGCGGCCCAGTGACCAGACGGGCACCTCGTACGGAATTCTCACAACCCCGCCATGCCCTCACGCTTCATAACAACGCCCACACTACAGCCCTGCAAGTGCCGATGCGAATTTACGGTCAGGAAACGGTCGGTTCTGGTCAATGTACAGAATGCAAATGATCAACTGCGATCTAGCCTTGATCTTGGCACGGTACTGATTAGATCGCGACTGGTCGAGGGTCGGTCGTAATAGCCTTGTGCAGACAGAAACGATCTCTGGAGACGAAAACGATCCGCAGGCGCTGAGCCGACGGTTCTCGACCGGCTGCCGATCGGTTTCCGTCGGCACCGATCAGCTTTGTCGGATTTTCCCCGGTTTCGTGATGCACTGGGGCATTTGTAGTGTACGATAGTTAAGACTGGGGTCATGCACAAACAGCTATCTCACGTAATGGACGCCCGACATAGTATGCGCGCTCGGGCGCGAGTTCGCAGAGGATTGAAGGCGCTACTCATTGCAAATCTATCAGAGAATGTTGTGTCCATATAACACCTGGAATTTTTCCTAGAAGTTATAGATCTATTGTATCCGCATGATTCTCAGGAAGCACATTTTTCGATTTGGGAGGAGGCGAGTCTCTGATACACTCGGAGTGAGCTGGCGGCAAGCATAAGCGCCATAATTCTTCGAAATTGCGAGGAAAATATTCAGGGCTTACAGAGCAACACAACAGAAAGATGGAGCCGTATAGCACACCTTTTGAACTCCTGTCATGGCCCCATCTACGAAAAGAGCTCTTATTGCTAGACAGAACCTGGGATAACACCTTAAGAAGAAGAGAAAAACAAGCACTGAACGGGAGAATATTGTAAGTGCGCATCTGTGGGCTTTCATCTGCATAAAGCTGATATTAGAATCAGCCCCCCATTCCTCCGGCGCCTGTTATATGCAGTTAGCTTCGCGTGTATTGAACGAGCAGGTGCACGAGACAGAAGACTGTGCGCGGCACCCCCTCACAGAGACCTTCCAGTCTAACACATCGCCCGAAGAAGACATGTCGGGATCGCGTGGGCCGGTAGTCTCAACGCACATTCCTCCCGTTCACTCTTCCCCCAAATCCCGAGTGAAGCGACCACCGACCCGCGTTGACGCACTTGCGGCTCCGCCAGGTTTTGGGCATGGAATGTCGAGACTCGAGGGTGTTCAAATGTAATAATCATGATAATTCTGCTCTGTTATCCTCCCTCGGAGCGCTCGGGCGAGCATTTAACTCGAATGACAAATCTACAGACGCCTTCCGCAGCTGATAGCTGTTTGTGCATGACCCCAGTCTTAGTGCTAGCGAAGACAATAGAAGATAGATTAGTATCCAAAGAATGCAGTATCTCGTATTGTACGGCTGTCTGCTTCTTCCGCTATCAAATGATGATCGATTCTCGCGGGCAGGGCTATCAAGTCTGAGTGCGCGCGCGACCGTATACATATCATCGGAGTTGGTCGGGCAATCATTTCGGAAACAGCTGTAGGGCTCGGCCCTTCAGGCCTTCAGGGCGTTATCACACCACTTCCCCAGGCGCGCACACGCACCTCATATGGGCGCCCACCCGTGCTCGTCGTCCCCGCCGTCCCTTCCATAGGTGTACTAGTTTATTATTAGAGATGAAATATATTTAATGTATTCTACTACAACATGGAGGTAGCGCGGCACGGCGGTTGGAAGTGGAAGAGGGCGACGCGGGCGGAGGCGCGCGAGGCGCGCGCAGCATGTAGAAAGATGGCGTGGAGGCGGCGAGGCAGAGAGCTGGGACGAGGCAGAGGGCGGCGTGGACGCGAAGGAGCGCGAGGCGGAGGGCCGGGACGGGGTGAACGAGGCGGAGGGCGAGGCGGGCGATGATGGGCGACACAGAGGGCAGGGACGCGGAGGCGGAGGAGGTGGACACGGCGGCGGAGGGCGACGCGGAGGGCTCGTAGGAGGAGGTGGAGGGCTCGTAGGAGGAGGTGGAGGGCTCGTAGGAGGAGGTGGAGGGCTCGTAGGAGGAGGTGGAGGGCTCGTAGGAGGAGGTGGAGGGCTCGTAGGAGGAGGTGGAGGGCTCGTAGGAGGAGGTGGAGGGCTCGTAGGAGGAGGTGGAGGGCCAGGACGAGGAGGAGAAGATGGGTGACGCGGATGGTGGTGGGCGACGTGGGCGACGCGGAGGGCTCGCGGGAGGAGGCGGAGGGCCGCAACGCGGGCGGAGGAGGAGGGTGAAGCGGGCGCCGGGCAAAGGAGGGTGATGCGGAAGCGGAGGACGAGTAGGACGAGGACGGCGAAGTGGGTGGAGGACACGGAGGTGGAGGAGGGCCGGGACGTGGCGGAGGAGGGTGACGCGATGCGGGCGACGCAGGGGCGGATGCCAGGGGCGGGCGACACGGGCGGAGGAGAGCGGCGCGGAGGAGAAGGACGTCAGTGCGGACGTCCTCGGCCTGTCGTAGGCAGGGGGCATGAGTGGGTATCGGGAGTGCAAGAGGACGGAGCGGAGGACTCACCAAAAACAAGTGCCGCGGTACATCGCCGCGGCCCCCATATTCCGATCTCCATACTGAGGACGTCCCTATGGACGTCCTCATGTGGTGTTTTTGTTGTGAGTGCGGTCGGGAAGGTGGGTATAGGGCGGGATCGAGGTTGAGGATGAGGTCGAGGTTGAGGATGAGGTCGAGGTTGAGGATGAGGTCGAGGTTGAGGATGAGGTCGAGGTTGAGGATGAGGTCGAGGTTGAGGATGAGGTCGAGGTTTAGGATGAGGTCGAGGGAGGTCGGAGGAGGGAGGTCGGTGTCACCTGGTGACACCGGAGTCCAATAGCAGACGACAGTCGACCATATGGTCGCTATCGTCTGCCTGGGCAGAGCGGGGAGACTGGGGGCGGCGAGGGTGGAGAGGAGGTGGAGGAGGAGAGCAAGGACGGCGAAGGGGACGCGTGGCGTGCATCACAGCCACGCGTTGATGCGCGCCATGCGTCCTTGCCGCCCGCCAAGGCGCATCTCAACGGGCGCGAATCACGGATCAACGGCTGCATCTGTAGCTGCCGATAGGCTATGGCAACAGATGCTCCTGACGATTCACTGCTGCTCGAGCTTCTTCGCGACGCAGGACGTGCACCGGGCGCGGCTCGTGCTCTAGAGCAACGGCGACCTCGGCGCGAACCCGAGCCTGCAGAAGTGGGTGGCGCGCTTCCCAGGTGCGTTCACGCTGCGGGTCGTGGACTACGCCAGCCTCGCGCGGGGGACGCCACTGGAGGGGAGCCCGCTGCTGGACGTGTCGGATGCAAAGGCGTGGATCGACGGGGACCTGGTGCGCCTGCTCGTGATCTGGGCGTACGGGGGCGTGTGGGTGGACATGGACTCGCTGCTCACGCGCGACCTCGCGCCGCTGCTCGAGTACGAGTTCGTCACGCAGTGGGACCGCTACGGTGCGTCTCCCTTCTGTCGTTCTTCTCGTGCGTGTGGACCGAGTTCCACGTTCTCCCCCCGCAGACAAGAAGTACGTGCCGATGAACGGCGCACTCATGCACTTCCACAAGCACTCGCCCTACCTCTGCGAGGCCTTCCACGTGATGACGACCTCCGCGCCCCCGCGCAAGGGCACGACCGACTGGAGCGCGACGCTCTACCTCAAGCTCCGCCACCGGCTCCTCCACGGAGGGATCCCGCCGTTCCAGGTGCTCCCCTTCTGCTTCACCGACGCGCGCTCCTGCCAGCTCGACGACCGCCTGCCCGACCCGTTCGTGGCCAACCCGGCCGACGGCCGGTGGGCGATGGGCTTCGGGCGTGAGGACGGCGGCGTGGACAACGTGCTGAAGAAGGTGTTCTCGGTGCATCTGCACAACCAGTGGGAGAAGCCATCCTCGAAGGGCGGGTGAGTCGAGATGTTGCTACTAGGGGTTTACCGGTAGTGCAAAGCGTGACAGAAGTGCAAAATCGCGATCGTGCCCGTCCCTCCTGTACAAGAAATATTGGAAAATTCAGAGTACTCTTTTAAGACACATTGAAGAACATGTGCCAAGTTTCAGAGGGAGGGGATGAGAAAGCGTCAGGGAACGGAGAAAGTGTGCACTTCTGCCCGCCTCAAAACCGGTGTGGATGCGCGCGTTCATCCAGATCTTGGGCGATCCTCATGGAACTGTGGGATACTCATGATACATAGCCCCCGAGTGTAACTGTACGCTCCCGAGGTCAACGCCCAAAGATTACAGCGTCCACAGCGTCCAGACGTTCTGAGCGTGACTATCCGCCATGAGCGCTCGGTCGGCTCAGGCTGGCGGCGTGAGTTTTGCATCACTCTGCGTGCGCGTACAGGGCGCTTCGTCATTGCCGGCGTGACGTTTCGTGACAACGGCCTTTGCACAACTGTGCTCCTCTCGCTCTCCTGTACTTCTCCTCTGTTCGCTCTGAAAAAAAATGAACAAGGTACCTTCCATTATTTAAAAACTATGTACCAAATCCGAGAGGGATCGAGAGCGGGACGGACAAGATACAGCTTCTGCAAAATAAGTTTTGCACATCCGGTAAACCCCTAGTACTGAGAAGATACGACGTGGAGCTGGAGAAGGAGGAGTACGGTTGAAGATGTCGCATTTTTGATCCGGAGTCTCATCGTCTGCCACCCGCTTACTCCCTGTTCCGCTGCGACGGCGTCGCGTATAACCGAGCCGTTCGACACTCCTTTGTACGAGCGCCCCTGCACGGGGTGGGTGGGCGTAGTACTACTTGTACGTCCACCGACTAGGCCTGGGCAGAGTCTCTGCTGGTTTCGTGAACTTCGTATGTTCCGTACGAAATCGTTTCTCGGTGTAGTCTCAAGGCATGTACGTCGCTTGCACGCCGCACATTATCGTTGTAAACATGGGTATTTAAATACATACTCCGCGGTCCTGACGTTCCGACTCTTTCTGAAAAATCCGTGCCATTCGTTTAGCATTACGCGTCTGTCCGCCTTGAACGTTTGTACCTTGCCCCGTCCCGAGTTCGCCAACATCCCACTGCAGCATGTGGCATAAGCCGGTCGACCGGGAAAGTGATACGCATTGACTTCCAAGCTTCGTACAGCTATAGTACATCCATCATGAAAAGAGTGCAGGATCAAGGATCAGCAATCGGTCACTACCGTCGCTGTGCGGCACTCCACGGGCTTCACTTGTTCGTCATGTGCGTCGCTGCAGTCTCCTGGATGGCGGGGTAAAACCGCGCCTTGTGTGCAAAACCGTAGCCGCCATAAAGCACCGCGAGCTCTTCCCAGTAATTTACCGCCTTCTGGGTCGTGTGATGCGGGTCCTGCTCAGCCTGCCATGCGGAATCGTCAGTCTCCTCGTTCTCCCAACCAAGCCGCTCGGGAAAACGAACCTGAGCAGCGCAGCGCCGCTCGGCTTTGAGTACAGCGATGTGATCCCGTACATCTTTCACGAGCTACGAGCATAGATCCTCAGCGGCAGTTTTCACAGGCAGGTAGAAAAGACGGGTGCAGACCTCAGACCCCGGTTGGACGAACACCAGGTTGAAGAGCTCCTTGTGTTGCTCGAGCGTGCTGCACACCTTCCTCGTGCCCTCCGTGACATCGGCCATGGAATCTCGTAGGCGTTCGGTCTGTTGTTTAGCAGTGAGCGCGAGCCGGAGGCGCGCACGGGGGTCTTCAGGCTCCTCAAGGACTACTGTGAAGTGAAATTGCGGCACAGTCGACGTCATCAAATGCGCAAGCGGTTAGGTCGAGAGGAGACGGACCGTCGCTAGACACTGGGTCATGCTGGCGCTCGCTGCCGAAGAGAACACCGATGAGCGAAGACACGCTGCTGATGTAGCTGCTGAAGGGAGCACCGATGAGCGACGACAAGCTGCCGATGTAGCTGCTGTAAGTGCGATTCACAAAGCGCTTGAACTACAACTCACATGTCGCGGGTGCTTTCCGTGGGCAAAGCATGATGCGGGCTCTCGACGACAGCCTTCACGAGTGCATTGATATCTAGATTAAGGGCATCGTCGACGGTGTGTTGCAAATTGTTCAGACAGGTCTGGAAGGACTTCGTGATGACATCTACTTCGATGGGAAAGTCGATGGCGCCATAAGTCGTTTCAAGTTTCTGAGGGCAAGGCGATGAGAGATGTATGCGCCAATGGAGGAAGGAGAGAGACGTACGTTAACTTGGTTCTCCAGCCAAGCGGGTGAGCGAGGGCAGACGCGCTATCAATGTGGACTTTCGAGTAGACTGTGAGGAACTTGTGAGACCCCACCCGAGAACAGGGATGACATCGTACCCCTCAGGAACACATGGAGGGTGACCGCAACGTCGTCTGAGCGGGAAATCAAATTGGCCCACGCCTGTGTGTGTACGTTAGTGTCCACGGGAAACATGCTCAGGAGACTGAAATTAGCGCACATCCCAGGCTTTCATCCACTGTTTCATGTGCTCTTGACCAGGAAGGATGGATTCGATGCGGCCGACCTTCATCCTGACGCCGATAAGGATGGTGCTCAACTGAAGAGTCTCGTCCTCGAGCCGCTTGATGTGTTCAGCAATGTGGGCGGTCATATTGTGGTCGGTGTAGAGAGCGGAAGGGGTGGGACTTGCAACGGAGAGGGGTGCCGGCGAGAGAGGCCATGTGATATACTAGCAGGTCGCGAGCGCGCGCCACCCCGGCTTCGAGTCACGCCGGGACATGCCTCTTCGGCTTTTCCTTTCGATACATTGACCCTTCATGCTCCGTAAGATCGAGCCGGAGGGGCGGGCCAGCCGAGGAGCGACTAAATCGGGTTTCGTGGACAGGTCGCAGTGGCGGTGGCGTGGGGGCGCTGGGAGCGTGCGCAGCTTGACTGTGAGGGCTAAACGTAAACATGTATTGTTGAAGGTGATTTATCTACGACATGCACTATAAATGCTCGACACACTGATAAGCACCGCATCCCCGAACTCGCGCTTCATCAAGCTGTGGTGCGAGATCCGCCGCCAGCGCTCCTTGTCGGGGTTGAGTTCCATCCAGCAGGCGGCCTCCTGACCGACGCTAGGGATGTTAAGGAGATGGAGAACAGCACCCACGTCATCGGCACCAAGAGGCATCTCAGCCTCAGACGACTGAGGGCTGTCGTCAATCCGTGCAGGGGTTGGCAACACCGCAGCTGATAGGTGATCGGTAGTGGGAGGATTCGGGGACGAAGAGCGAGGGGTGTTGGAGGCGAGCAGGTTGTTCTTGGCAATGGCGGATACCGTGAGCATGTTGCCTGTCGAATGAGTGCCTTCTGACGGCCATCCAGTAGCGAGACAAATCGCCGAGAGCCTCAAGGAACGGCCTGCGGTATTGCGCGAAGTTGTGTTCCTCAATGGGACCGCCGTGGAAAACATAGGTGTAGTTAAGGAATTGCTAACAGACAGGATGAGAATGAGCTTTGAGCAGTAGAGCATGCAACTTACCTCAAGGTACTCCAGAGCTACTGGCGAGCTTGTTGGTTGACGAAGCGACTCTAGAAGATGGTAGAACACGTGGGACCATAACCTGATGATTAGGTTGTACTTCTGCGGGATGTTCTTGAGTGAGGCGGGCACCGTGGGCGCAAGCGTGAGAGCGAGCATCTCGCGGATGCATTCCACGAGTCTGACGAGCAGCATAAGCCTAATGATACCCCAAACCGAGACACAGATAGGGTTACTTACTGCTGGTGCTCCGGTACGAGCTTTCGCCACCGCTCAGACTCGCCCTCATTGGTGGCCGCCGTACTTGCGAGAGCGTTGTTGCTCGCGCGTCCCTTGATCGATACCCCCCGCGATCCACGCTCACCATCCTCTGCCCTATCCCGATCCTTGTCACTACCCAACAGCTTGGTGTCCAACCCACTGATCATTCGGCACAGCTCCTTCAGTTTCCGAGAGAAGGTGTTCGCGCTAGAGGCGCTGTCCTCGGACCTCCGGCCTGCGGGATTTGAGGAGTCGAAAAGAGCGGATGATGCGGAAGTAGAGTCGGTGGTAGAGGAGAGGGTGAAGTTGGAGGAGATGGATGAATGGGTATACAAAGCCGAAGAGGTTGGGGACGCGGGACCCAGTCTCCGGAAGACTTGGGTGTAGGTGTTGGGCGACCGCTCGGCAATGGGGCGACAGTGGCATTATGTCGGTTCTGCACGGAGCACTGGACCGCATCGTGCTTGCGATGATCGAAAATCTGTCGGCGTTCGACGAGGTTGCGGGCGCCCTGAGAGGACTGGTGCATGAGGGAGACTCGTGGTGAATGAGAACTGGAGGCGGCATCGGACATTGCGTCGGGCTTGGCGGTGACATGGGGGCAGTCTTGCAGACCATGTCAGTGTTGGGATCATAGAGCTTACCAGGACTGCCAACGGCAGCAGGGCGCGCGTGCGGGGGCGTCTGCAGGACGATTGGTAGGGTAGACCGGGGCAGGGTCGGGTATTTGTGGGGCGGCGCGCGCTGTCTAGGAGAGCTTGCGGAGGGCCCGAAGGACAGGGAGAGGCGGTCGGTGGCGTCAATGTACGCGTCGAGGTGGGGGAGCGCGTCGGGGTGGGAGAGAAGATGACCTAGCTTGCCGCTTTACGGCCGAGTTTGAGGTGGATGTGCACATGCGCTCCCGGGAGTACGCCATGCAGCGCGGGAAAAAGTGGGTGGCCGTCTCCGCGCCTGTCGGTCTCCGCGCGACGGATCCGACAGAGGTGTGCATAAAGCGGAGCGTGGCCAGCGCAGAGTCGAATGAGGAGGTGGGGCTGCCTGCGCGACAACCAAGCGATGGGGTCCATGGAGGATTTTGACGGCAGGACGGGGTCGACGGTCTTCATGCGCGCTGCGAGGCGGGCCTTTCCAATGCCGAAGACTTCAGCTGGAGAGCGGCAGCGTGGGCAGGGCAGGGCGGGGCGGAGGGCAGATGCGGGGAGTGGCCACGTGGCTTGAGGGGCGAGGTGTGGGGTGCCCGCGCGCCGGTCTTCGGCTTGCGGCGGGGGCACTCGGGAGAGTACGCGGGGTGTGCGTTGGCGCACACCGCGCACTTCGCGACGTGGGTGGTGGGACCCGGCAGCTTGGCGTTCAGTTTGGGAGCGGACCACGGTGTGTAGCAGGCGCCGTCGCGCACCACCACGTGATGTGCAGCGCGAGTCCGAGCGCGAGCCCTGCGCGCATGCGGAAATATCTCTGTATGCACTGCAGAATACCCGTGCGCATTTTAATTGCGTGCGAGGAGTCGTGCCCAAACTTCTGTCAGGACCTTGCACCGGGTGCAGTGGCCATTCCACGATACGATGTCATGCTATTGCCATGCCTTGCGAGGCTCGCACGTGGGGAGTCTGCAGTGCACGCAGAGATATCGCCACGCGCGCACGGTGCTCGCGGCGGTGCACTCACGACGGGCAACGGCCCAGCTTCAGAGCCCGAAAACACATAGAAAAAGCCTGTCAAAGGTGTCTTTTCTGCCGCCTTTTGTGCACATGTGAAAAAGGCACTAAAATGTGCAATTTCTCCGAGTGCTTTGAGGAGTGCCGAAAAGGATTGATAAAGAGACCTTTGGTACCCATTCCAATAACACGTGTTACTTATCATTCGTGCTCACTTGTTTGTTACTCACATACTATACACGTTCTATTACCTTTACTACCAATTCTATTGTCTTTGTTCTAAGCACAGTTTTCTATCGTGCCAAAACATTCGCCCAAAACGTCACCTTTCAGGATACTCTACGACACACACAAACTTGACATAAGAGTTCGCCTTTCCCACCCTTTTTCTCCCCTGCAAAAATACCTGCCGAAAATGACACCTTTGACGGGCTTTTTCTACGCGTTTTCGGGCTCCGAAGCTGGGGTCGTTGCCCGTCGTGACTCGGACTCACACTGGTGATGCGACACCGTGTGAGAGTGTCACGTGGTAGGTGTATGTCGCCCCAACAGACGCCGTTGACCCCGGCATCACCAGCCCAGTGGTATAATCGCTTGAAATCTCGCAGAGAGAGAGCTAGAGTAAATGGAAGTCATGCCTCGCATTTCCGGAGTTCAGGATGTTTCCATACTCTTGATGATATGCCATTTAAGTTTGCTCACACACTCGGAAATGCGAAAACATATTCTCATGATTTCAACCAGCTCTGGAATCAGCCGGGATCATTACTCTAACTACAAGGTGCGTCGTTGTGCACCGAAAGACCATTTTTTCAATAATTGTAAGCTTGTACAAGAGGAGTCCTCCCAGTCTGTCTCAAGGACCCGTGGGACACTGTAATGGTAATGTGTCGTGTGGAGTACCCACGAACTGAACGAGCGACGAGTAAAAGGATCTGTACGAACGAGAAAGTAGGATAGTACCTGAGCCTGCTACAGGATAAAGAACATAGAACAAACTCCGCACAAGTTTCGTCAGACTCACGAAATCTCAACGATACCTCCTCTTCGGGAACACTTCAGGAAGCCCAGCACCATGCGAACCATCCATTCGCTCCTTCGCCGCGACTTCCCACACCGACGGTGCACAACCCCTCGCAGCGTCTGCCCATTCCTGACACGGGTTGGTATCTGATCGCGGGGAAAGCACGACATGGATGCGCTTGTCGCATTTCTGTGTCCACTGTACGAGCTTGCGGAATGACTCCCTAGGAGATCCCGCGGCAACCTTGGCGCTATCGCCCGAAGCGTTGGGACGCGACGTTTGATAGTATGGATTGTCGAGCCACTTGCGTTCGTCCACGGTGAGTACGACAACACGCAGCGACGGATGCTTGATGATTCCTTCGGGGAGGCGAAGGGGCCGAACCAGGGCGCCTCTATCTTGAACGCAGGAGAAGTCGTTGCCGAGGTCGAGGTATGGTAGAGCGAGGTGAGTGAGGCTTGTTAGAAGGTTATGGGGACAGTATGCGGAGACGGTCATGTTATGTATACGGAGATGGGTGATATTTTTGAGGAATTCGGAACCGTTGCATAGGCGAAGGCCGAGGAGGAAGTGCCACTCATACCGGAAGGTGTTGGTAATGAGCGTGATGGAATGAAGATGAGTGAATGCGTCGCTTGATGGGTTCGACTGGCCCTCAACCAACTGACGCTGATGGCGAGCGACATGGGTGTGGATAGAAGAGGCGAGCATGCGAAGGGACGCGGAGAGGAGGGCGACATGATGGACGCCGTGGAAGGCAGATAAAAGGAGTTGCTCGTTAGCCGAGTTGCTGAGACCGCTGCTTTGGATCCAGAGCTTGCGTACAAGGGGAGACCAGGAGTCGAAAGCGGGAGTACGCATATGTGGAGACGCGGTTGAGCCAGATGACATTCCTGCCGCGTACGATGGTCTGGGGCGATAGAGGACTGTTGAGAACAGGTGGGGACCACCGCTTTGCGCGTCCAAGTCGCGACCAAGGAGAGGGCGAGAGCGGATGAATGGGCGTCTCTGGCAGCAAAGTCGAAGATGTGGATGACGAGTTCAGTCGGAAGGGGCGGAAAAGGCGGAGTTGGTCGGTTGCGGGCGTCGGAGGATGGCGGGCGTTCGTTGCCGCATGAAGGGCCAATATACAGTCCGGAGGGAGAAGCGGCGCAGTGTTTTGCTTGCGACAGAGAGGACCTGCTGGAATTAGGAGGGGATGGGAGGATGGAGCGGATGAACACACCGAAGACTCGCTGGGCCGGGATTTGTGGCCGGGGGAGTGAGGACAGGCGAGAGTGGCCTCTGAGTTGCGTCGGCGGTGGAGAGAAGCAAGGATCATGACGGGCGGCGCACGTCGGAGCGGTGCGAGGTTATTGTCACTGTGCGGAGTCGACTGCACGTCGTGCAGCCAGCGCAGACGGGTGGGACAGGCTCCGTTGCACGTGAGCGCGGATTCGGACAATGAGTCACGGAGAGGGTATAGACATGAGAAGTGCAGAAGAAGGTCCCGCGCCCAGGGTGAAGGAGAGAGTTGAAGGCGAACATGGCGATGGGGCGGAGGTGGTCCAAGACGCGTTAGCGCGTCGCGTCCAGAACGACTCGCGCCGCGCGGCTGTCGGGCCGGTCTCACGCGCCCACCTCGACGGCTGCGACTGCGAGGGTTTGTTGCCAACGAGTGCTCTGCTGTCAGCGTCCTCTCTTCTCTCTACTCCTTGTCTTCGCTCGGTCTGCGACCGCCCTTCTGTCCACCTTCCTTCCCTTGCTTCTCCCACCTGCCTGCCATGGATGCCCCCGAAGAGTCCGTCAACACCGTCCAGATCTCCGACTTCTGGGACCCGCTCTATGACTCGTTTGACGTCGATCTTATCATGAAGGTCCTTGCCCACACCCTCTTCAGTCAGTCCTCCCTCGCCGCACCCTGCTCTCTCTCACCCTGCTCTTCGTCCAGGCCCCTTTTTCACCTTCTTCGTCCCCATCTTCTACATCTTCCACGGTGCTGGCTTGACCGACGCCGTCGTCGTCGTTCCCGCTCTCTTCAACCTCTCACTCTGCGCCTTCTGTGAGCCCGTCGTGTGCACAAGCACCGCCACTCCCTCATACTCCCTCCAGGGTTCCTCAAGTGGTACTCTCGCCTGTACCGCAATCAGGGTAGCCTTCTCTTTGGCCCTCCCCGCCTCGACTGGGGCGACGAGCTCGTGGTCATCACCGGAGGTATGTCCCCCAGTCCTCGTCTTCGTCCGTGGTCGCTTACCCCTTCCCTCCCAGGTTCATCCGGCATCGGAGAGCTGGTCGCCAACACCCTCGCCGTTCGTCATGTTTGTGTCGTCGTCCTGGATGTGAACCCAATCATCACCGAAAACAGTGAGCAGTTTGTTCTCGTCTCATCCCTAGTTGGGCTCACCAGTTGTCGCCTGCGCTAGACAACATCACGTACTACAAGTGTGATGTATCAAAGTGGGAGGACGTAGAGAGGGTATCCAAGCAGGTCGTTGAGGAGGTGAGTTGATTGTGAAAGCCAGTCACTTCCAGATGCTCACAGTCCTTGCAGCTCGGCCACCCAACTATGCTCATCAACAACGCCGGCGTCGTCCAGGGCAAGCCTATCCTCGACCTCTCTCCGGAGGATGTCCAACAGTATGAACTCTTGCCATGGCGTTACTCTCTAATGCCAATCCATCCTTCGCAGAACCTTCTCTGTCAACACGCTCGCTCACTTCTGGACGCTGAAAGCTTTCCTGCCGGAAATGATCAAGAACGGCAAGGGCCACATTGTTTGTGATCATGCTTGCCCGAAAGAAAACTACTAAGGCGAATGCAGGTCAACGTTTCGTCTGTTGCTGGCATGGTCGGCATGGCGCGCCTCAGTACGTGAACATTTGTATATGTCTGAGTAGTGCGCTTACTTCTCCCTCTAGCCGACTACGGAGCGTCCAAGGCTGCACTCGTTTCCCTTCACGAGTCCCTGCGTTACGAGCTTGACCATGTCTACAACGCCAGGGGCGTTCGCACGACCCTCCTCATCACTGGTCACATCATGACGCCACTTTTCTCGTCTGTCCGCCATCCGAAGTCGTTATTCTACAAGTTTTTCTTCCCTTCCATGGCCCCTGTGGACGTCGCCAAGAATATCATCGCGGCATTGGACGAGCAGCACTCGCGGGTGCTTTACATGCCGTTCTACGCGCACTTTGTGCCGCTGCTGCATATAATGCCGAGCTACATTCGTGATCTCGCGCAATGGGTACGTCAACTAGCATCTCTTAAGCAGATGGGTTTTCATGGCCATTCTTTCAACAGCTCACACAGTGCGACTACTCGATGAAGGATTTCGTGAAGGTATCTGGTAGGCGGCCCGAAGAGGGTCCCGCTCCTGTCGTGCCGACGCTGCGGGGTAAGAGTGACTGATGAAAATGCGCCTTGAGACCAACCATCGGGTCAGAACTGGGTACATATGGGGTCGGTGGTAATGTATCGTTGTAATTTATGCACACATATTTCTTGCGTACCGTGGGCCGCCGTCCTCCTTCGTGATATTCGGATCGGAGTGACAGCTCCACTTGACAGCCTCCCTTCACTCTCGTCAGCCCAAGTGCGATCCATCTCTTCGTCCGGACCCGTCAGTCCTCTCAACTTTGTCCTGCTCTTCCACCTGCTTTGCCTCCCCTCGCGATACCTTCATCATGCTGAGCAGAGTCCTTTCTCGTACTTTCTTCCTCGAGCGCGACCGCCAGTCCCGTCGATTCAAGTTCGCCAAAGCGCCGGCGCCTCCAGCAAACGACCACGATGTTGACGAGAAACAAGTGGTCATCGACGCCCCACCGCCTCAAGAGCCGCAGCCTTCCCCTCAGGAACGGGTCAGTACTATTCATGTTCCCTCTCGTTTATGGCGCTCATCGGAACCTATGACAGAGCCAAGGCGGCGAAGAGACACCATGCGATCGCAACCACACAGAGGGAGGCGAGTCCTTCATGCTTGTTGACAAGGCCGACGCCGCTGTCGACATACGGCATGAAGACTGCGGTGCCAACGAGGATCGGCCGTCTCTACTCTCAGGGAATGATATTGTCGTAAGTATCATGCAGCTGTCACTCTGTGTACTCGGGGGTCTTGACCAAAGCAGCAGCCCGCCTCTTCACAACGTCTTTCCCCGATCCCAGAAAGCGACACATGCGCGTCCTTGAGAGACGCGGAGGCACCTGTATCCCTCTCCTCTTGCGCAGCACTTCCCCCCACACCTAAGTGTCCTACGTCTTCATCCTCATTCGAGCATTGCACGTTCTTGAAACCCGCTCAATCCCTTTCTATCGCTCTAAGCCCCCAGGTGTCCCGGGAGAGCCATTGGGTCCCTTTGGGATGAAGCAACGACCACTTCTCCCAGTTTGCATCTGGATATCAGGCGTACCCTCTCATTCTCGTCCTTCGGCTCCTCCTACCCTTGCACCCCTCGTTTCGAGACAAGCGCATCCACGACAGAGTTCCCCCTTGGGCCCATCGACTCCCCTCAGTCCTCGCCACGCTCTACAAACTGCGAAGAAGACGCGCCTTATGTCGGTGGACCGGACCTCGGTAACGTGGACGCTCCCCGCCGACGATCTCTCCGTCGCTTTCTGCACCCGCGCGTTCCCGGTCTCAACTAGGCCACCTTTGACTCTCTTTTTCTCCGGAACCTGAAGTCGCAGTGGTCTCTTCGTGTTCGTTGGACACCGTCCACCATTCGCGCACATCTCAAGCGCACACAGCAGAACATCCGAACTGGGCGCTGGCGCCGGACGAGCCCCCGAAGACTCGACGCAAGGGTCGCGGCAGAGACAGGACTCCTAGGGCTCTGTCCGCTTCGCAGTCGCTCCGTGACGAGGTCGTCAACAAGGGGGTCTCACCGACACGACTCCCGCCGATATCCTCACGACGCTCTCACCGAACCCAAGCCCAGCGAATTTCTATCTAGCACAGCAGAGGAGAATCACGCGTCAGCAACTCCGGACGAGGCCACCACCCTCGACCTAACGCATTGGGACGAGCGCATCAACGTGTGGCTGGGCGATGCTAGGGTGGCCCGGCACCTTATGAAGACCTCAACGACGACCACGTTGCGACCAACTCTTCTGACGCCGCAGCCCAGTGCCAGGACATCCCGACCGTCCAAGATCGGCTCGCGCCCTCAACCCGCTCGCGCAGACCTGGCGCCCCCGCCTCCACGCCTCCACCGTCAGCGGCGACGCCCCCGTCCTCGTTGGCGCCGGGGACCTCGACCAGCTCCGTGACGCCTGCGCAAGGCGGGCATCGCCCCGTCGCGAGAGCTCCACCGGCACCCCGCCGACGCGAACGCCCTCCCCAGCCACGCAGGACTCTCGACGCCGGTCCCCGCCCCCGACGGGCGCACCTTCACGAGGGCCTCCTGGGCGCCCAGGGCGCCGTGCACCTTGCTGTCCCCGCGCTCGCGCTCGAGCACCCCAGTCCAGCCGCATCCCGCGCCCCGCGACGCCTGACCGAGACCGTTCGAGCCGAGGCTCGCGCCGCCGGCCGTCCCCCGCGACGCCCCCGGCAGCTTCCACTTCCGCGCGCGGGAGCCCGGCCGGGAGCGCACGGACACCCCGGTGCTGCCTTCGCCGCAGGCCTTCCGGCGGGCGTACACGGGGAGCCGTGGATCCGCGGGACGTTCGCGACGGCGGCGGCGAAGCCTGCAGGTCGGACGGCGAAGGCGCAGAGTGCTGAGCGTGCGCAGAGTGGATCGGAAGAGGCCAGGCCGTGCCCGAGCATGGTCCTACGCGATTCACGTCAAGGTCGCCGAGAAGAACGGCATGGAGTGCGGCGGTCGCAGTCGCGCGGGCAGTGAGCGGGTAGGCTGTCCGAGGCGCATAGGCATTATACGCCCTGTGTCTCGGTTTGTGGTGCAGTGTTTGAAGTTCGTTCTGGATGTTGGGTCATTCTTCATCTCGACACAAACTAGATATAAGGATCTGGATATAGAGCATAGAAGCAATTTGCTACGTCTACATAGTTACGCTCGATACACACCACAAGCGATCCGAATGCGGTTATTCTCAGACCTTAGACCTTGATCACGTCGACGAGCTTCTCGATGAGTGTCTGCAGCCTCTCCGCCTCATAATCTGCCAGCGTGGCGTTGTTCTCGATAGTGAATGCCTCGGTGAGCGCAGGGAACGTCGTCGCCCCGTAACCTGCACGTTCACTTATCAGCCGCACGAACACCATACACACATACAAAGCACAGCCCACTCACCAAGCCACTTCCCCGGCGCGACGTCCAAGTTCCGGTACCACTCTCGGTCCTTGATCCCGTCCTCGTGCACAAACCCGCGCTCGAACGCCTTCAACTTCTGGTTCACCGCGCGCACGCGCATCGCCGCCTTCCGGAACTTGCGCCACGGGAACCGCTTCCGGTCAAACGCGGCGACGGTCTCCACCGCGAGCCCGTTCGCGTCGTCCGCCTCGCGCTCGGCGCGCCGGCGCCGCTGATCCTCCCCGAACTTTGCGGCCGCGAGCCCTAGACGGGGCGGAACGGGAGCAAGCCGCCGTTGCTGCCGGTGCGGGTGGGCATCGACGCGCACTCGAACGCCTTCTCGTGGGCGGTGGTGGCTTGGGCCTGCTGTTCTGGGGGGACCCCCCATGATGTTGGGTCAAGTGGGCAGGGAGAGGACGTGAAGGCGGCCCGGACGCGGCAGAGCGCGGTGCTCCAGGTGCGCCGCCAAAAGTGCCGGTGGGCGAAGCGGCGGAGGAGCTTGCGGAGTTTGCGCTCCGCAGCGGCTTTTTCGACGTCAAGCGCGGTGGAGGCCTTTTGGAGGTTGAGGATCGCGTCGCGGAGACTGCTGAAGTCGACGTCGAGGGTGCTTTTCGCAGCGATGCCTCGACTCTAACAAGAGAGTAATATAAACATTTAGAAAGGTGTAGATATAAATCGGGCGACATACTTGGTCAGGTACTTCTCGAGCTCAAGCGCGTGGTGGGTAGTGTTGATGGGTAGAACAATCGAGTCTGCCATACGCACAGTCTGCAGGCCGAGGTGACGAGCGACCGCGAGATGGCGGTGGAAGCCAGGATCGCAGTACATCTCCTGCCATCGCTGGGAGTCGAAGACGGAATGGTAGTGATACACTGGATCTTGAAGGGTGGGCCCAAATGCGGCGTTACCGGATGCAACGCCAGTGCGCTGGACGAACACAGTGTAGTCGCTTCCAGACCCCAGAACACCTACACCCATGCCCGAGGCAGCGAACTCGGCTTCTTGTGCCTCGTAGTTGCGAAGTGTCTCTTCATCGGTATGATTCCCCAAGAGCGTGCCGCTGTCTTTCGTCGCATCCCAGAGGGTCTTTCCAGCCTTTGTCGGGTGAGGCAGCTCCTCGGCGGCTGAGCGCACGAAGTGCGCGAGGGACGGCGTAGCGGAGGCTCGGAATCGCGACCCCGACACTGAGCTATCTGTGACACACAATAGGTTTCTGCGGAGAGCATGAAATAACAGGGTTTAACTTACCGAGGTTCAAGTATGCTACGACGTGTTCATCTATCCAGTCAGCGAAGTCTTCTCCCCACTCTGTACTGCCGATCAGGCCGTATTCCTCCGCGTCCCAGCTCGCAATCACGATGGTGCGGAGCGGCTTCCAACCTCGTTTGAGGAGATGTCCAAGGCCACGAACGACCTCGTGAATAGAAGCGGTGCCGGACGAAGGGTCAGTTGCTCCCATGACCCATGCTGCGATAGGACATTGTATGTGGGAGTAGGTTCGGTGTATGTATGAATAAACGCACCGTCGCGGTGGTTGCCAATGACGACTACCTCATCCTTGATATGACCTGGGATGACTCCCATAGTGTTCCAAATCGGAATGACCTTGTCGTCGACTTAATGGATGTCAGAAATCATTCAGTTGAAAGGACAGGCATGTTTACCGTTATTCACAACCCTGATGGTACGGTTCAAACCAGAAGACTTGATCTCCTCCAGGAGAACTTTCGCATTGTTCCAAGAGATGGGAAGACTGGGGATAGATGGGATGTTGGTGCCGTTGGTGCGTGTGCTATTCTCGTACGACGGGTAACCAGGCGTGGTAGGGTCTCTAGACAATGGTGAACGTTCGTAAGCCGGGTGTGCAAGCAGGGGACTCTATGGCCGCGTACCCGGGGTAGATAGACAAGAATTGAGTACTGCCCCTTTGCACCGAATTTGGGTTGCGAGCAGGTCCCCACGGGTACCTATCAAATACAAGACATTGAGCTGACGGCGTTCAACATTGCCGACAGCACGTACGGCGTGTAGCCATTGTCAGTCGTCACAGTCCCGTCGTCACGAGGGTCGTTGTAGATAAGACAAGCCGCAGCCCCGTGTTCCTGGGCTCCCTTGACCTGTAACAATCGTAGTTAGCATATGCAAGATACACCGGTCAGATAGTCTTGTACCTTCAACCCTCGGAATATACCACCATATCGAGTGATCACAACAGCGCCGGTCATGTTCACACCTGCTCAATGAGCACATGTACTGTCGGAAAAGCTTCATACGTTTGCTCACCTTGCGCGACGAGCGCGTCAAAGTCCTCCTTCGCGCCATAGTTCGCATACACGAGCTTCCCAGCCGCAGTACCTCCACGGCTGAGCCCGTGCCATGTCGTGATGGTGTCATAGTACTTGCCCGCCTCGGGGTCCGTGTCGTCCGCGACCTCCTCAAGGTTTGCCTTCCAAACGACGCTCCCATCTTCGCCAATAATCTCAAGGCTGTGGTCGAGCGGTGTGTTCATAACCGGGAAGTACTTGTCGATCCACGCCGTCGGCGAGTTGAGCATCGTGATCCCGAGCGTCGCGTTGCGTGACTCGTGCGAGCCAGCGTCGAAGATCGGTAAGGCCTGCGCCGGGATCATGGGGGCGACAGCGCCGAGCTCTGTCCGGAGCAAGTGTAGGAAGTCCTTTGCGGTTGCGAGGTCGCCCGGGGTGCCAGCCATGTGTGGGGCCATCGCAAACTGGCGCGACGCCGCGAGCGCGCCCTCCGCGGTCGGCACCGTCCTGCATACATACAGTCGGGTCGGCACTCAGGCAAAAAACGAGGGTACGAGATGCGCAGGGAAGAGGGTGGGGAGGGAGGGACGTACAGGAAGAGCTTCTCCGCTTTCTTGCCGAAGGGGACCTTGTGCGACGACCACGCCCCAGGCTCGCCGAAGGCCCGCGCAATCCAGCGCCCTTCGTGCACGGCGAGCTCCCGCTCTGTCATGGCGCGGGCCCAGCGTGCTATAGTTACGGCCAGCCATCCTGTGACGAGAAGCTTCAGAAGGAGACCGACCCAAAACTGGGCACGGGTCTTCGGCTGCGCAGGGGGCGGGACGGAGGCGACGGGGATCGGGATGCCTTTACGTTTGGTACTGCTATCTGGATGAGGCCTCTTGTCGTCGTAGTAGGAGGCCATAATGGGTGGTGGGGATTCAAAAGAGACGGCCGGGCATGAGCTGTGGAGATATATTGGAACGCTCTGTCCAGAGTCGGAGCGCGGACCCACGGGAAGCTGAGGAGAAGGCTCGTCGTGGGAGCAACTGACGCTGAGACTGGATGGGCTGGGTGCACTCCTACCGGTATACCGCGAGCACGCCGCACGATCGTGCCTGGCTAGTGGCAGTAGAGGGACGGAGAGACGAGAGTCGCTGGCGCGAGCGAACGCCCGTCGCACTTGTGGCAGATATAATAGACGCCACGATGATGTCAGTCCCCATCTACTCGTCCGTTCTGACGCTTCAAGAACACTACCAACATTCTGCACTACTTTACAGGGTTCCGACTTTACAACTAAACATACAAGTTTCCCCTTGCCTTCCAGTTCCACAAGACGGTATCACACATCCAACCATCTAAGCTGTCTTCAACGCGAGCACGATGCAAGTACGCGACGGGATGTACACCTGCATCCGACATAAAGTTAAGAGGTACTTCAATTCACGCACTCCCGCGTGCACTTACCTGAGCAAAGTTCTTCCGCCCATTCCACTCCAGGTCCGTCGTGAGGAAGGACCCGCCGGGCAAGGCGTTCTCAAAGCCGCCGAAGCGCTTCTCGTCGCTCGAGAGGATGGTCGTGTACTCCCCGGGAACGTCGACCCCAACGCGGTAGTCGGTGAACGACTCGGTCGGGTGAAAGTTGAATACGAAGAGCAGACCGGCGCGCTCGTAGACGATCACCTTGTCGACTTCGTGTTTCAACGAGACGTATGCTGGCTCCGCCCGCAGCCAACCATACTGCTCTTCGCTATGGTTCACCGCCTTGTCCCAATCGTTGAGATACCTGTACCTCAGGAGGGGGTCGTCGACGATATTCCATTGTCTACGAGCGTATTTGAAGGAGTTCTGGTTGCCCTCTCGGGGGAAGTCCAGCCACTGCGTAGGAGCCCTGTGAACGAAGTTCAGGAACAAAGATATGGCATACGCACCTCAGGGTGGCCGAACTCGTTCCCCTCGAAGTTCAGGTATCCTTCACCACCCAACGAGTGAACGAGAAGCCTGGGAGATAGTGAGCGTAAGTCGAGGGATAAGTAACTTTAGCACTCACCGGATCATCTTGTGCAAGGCGATACCTCGAGCGATAACAGGGGTGTACTCTGTGATATCAGACATGTTGGTGTACATCTCCTTGTCCATCAACCAAAAAGCGAGGGTCTTGTCGCCAACGAGAGCTTGATCATGGCTTTCGGCATACGCAATGCTCTTCTCCCCGTAGCGGCGGTTGGTGAGCGTGTGACAGATAGTGCCTATGTCCCATTGATCGTCACTCTTGTGCTTCAGCAGCTTGATCCACATGTCCGGGATGGCCATGGACAACCGGTAATCGAAACCGACACCTCCCTTAGAGACTGGCGCGCAAAGGAGAGGCATGCCAGACACATCCTCGGCGATGGTTATCACTCCGGGGTACAAGGTGTGGAGCATATCGTTTGCCTGTATCATGAATCAGCTTCAGTTACACTCCAAACCCAGATTAAACGACATACCAGCATCAGGTAAACTATCGCTTCCAGGTCCGCTGAGTCTCCGAAGTACTCGTGGTAGCCGCCAGAGAAACCGGCGCCGATACCATGGTGGTGGTACATCATGCTCGTGACACCGTCGAAGCGGAAACCGTCAAACTGGTACTTGTCCATCCAGAATCGAAGATTGGAAAGGAGGAACCTCAGAACTTCATGATGGCCATAGTTGAACAAGCGACTATCCCAGAGTTCATGGCGACCGCGGGGACCCTCGTGGAAGTAGAGATGATCGGTGCCGTCGAAGAGGTTGAGGCCGTCGAGGACATTCTTGCACGCATGGGAATGAACCATGTCAAGGAGCACTGTAATTCCCATGCCGTGAGCAGTATCGATGAGCTCCTTCAACTCTTCAGGAGTCCCATAGCGAGAGCTTGCGGCGAAGAAGTTAGTGACCTGGTATCCGAATGCTACAAAGTCGTGAGTCTAGAGCGCAAAGGTAAATTGTGGCCGCGTACAAGCGTAGTATGCGTGCTCCATGACGGCCATGAGCTGGATGATGTTATAACCTAGGTCCCTGATGCGAGGAAGAACGTTGGCCGTGAACTCTTTGTAGGTCCCGACGCGTTCCTCAGAGGTGGAGATGCCGACATGGGCTTCGTATATACGTGCACTCTTCGGAGGCGGGGGACGCTGGTTCTTGAACTGATATACTTGTTCTGCGGGGGGGTTCCAGAACCGAGCTTCGTACACCGGGGAGACGGAGAGGTCTTGAGTGACGCGCTTGATCCATGCAGGGATGCGTTCGATTCGTTCACCAGAGGTGAGGATCATAGAGATCTATAGAGTGACGGCAATATCGTTCAGCCATCACTGTGACGAGACTTGACAGAAGGGACACACCTTGATTTTCGAGTCGTGGGGAATGGCGCACTCACCGTTCTTCGAAGGAATGGTGATCTCCCAAACGCCATACTGGTTCCTTGTCATGGAATGAGAGATCCTGTTCCAGTTGTCTTGCAAGGATATAGGTAAGGGAGATGAGTGGACGGGTCAGATCTAGTAGGAAATCTCACTAAAGTCACCGATGAGAACGACCTCCTTTGCATTCGGGGCCCATTCGCGATAAACAACGGAACCATCGGGCTGAGCGTTGAAGCCGAACTTGAGGTAGCCCTTGGTGAACTGGTCGTAGCCGCCTTCGGCGTCGTCTATGGTCTCCTTCCACTTCCCGAAGAGACTGTGACGATAGATGAGATGCTCGGTGTTGTCCTTGAGGTAAGGGTCAACATCGAGGATGGTCTTCTTGTCGAGAGGTGCGGTGGACATGACCGCTGGGGGTGCGTGGGGGAAGGGCGATAGGGGACGGCGCGAGACGATATGAGGGCGACGGAGGGAATATCTTTGGCTGGGGCAGGCTTGCCCGGGTGCTCACCGGGATTCGCCTGGCCATTCGCCCCATTCAGAGACGCGTCGAGCATGTTGGCTCTCAAGACGTCACTTGTCACGTGCCCGTGCCTTCCCGGAGCATCCCCGGCCCTTCCTCGCTGGCGCTAAGCATCTCCACACTCGTCTCTCCTCCGTCCTGTATGCGCTGTCTCTGGTAGACGCGGCCATAGCTCTCCCCGCACCCCCATGCCCGCCCCTGCCCCGCCGCACAAGGCGAGCGTGCTCCACATCGTACTCACTCGTCTCGCCGCAATCAGCGTTCTCCTCGGCCTCTCCCTCGTCACTTGGACTTACCGTCGCGCTTTGGAGCCTCAGTATGGCTCCGCGCCCACCAACTTGCACCTGAGCAAGGTCGTCTGGTCATCCGCCATTCTCGGCAGTTTTGCTCCCGCTGTCCCGCTGTCCCGGGCAACACTTGGTCTAGGGCTTCTGTTGTACGCATTTCCGACTGCGACCTACTGGAGTGCGGCATACACCGCGCGGCTCGGTGACGCCCTGTGGGGACCGGTTGCGACGCACCTCATCGTGCTTTTGCCGGTGCTGTCTCTAGGAACGGCTTTGGTCAAGGCACTGCAGGTACGTCCATGTTAGCTCCAAAGCACATACCAGTTTGTTGATCGCCTCTTGCAGGAAGCACCATACGTCAAGAATGATCCGAATGCACCTCAATCCGCCATCACCCTGCCTGTTAGCGCAACCGCCGTCAACGCCCTCCAAGGTCTTTGGCCGGCCGTTCCATACATTGTCAACCTGCCCAATGGTCAGGTCGTGAGTGATTGATGTTGATGTGCATGTCCTTCTGGCTGACTGGGTCAGGCTCTACAATTAGGCACGCTAGTTGTCACCTTGTGGGCAATAGCACCATTCCTACCGAGTATCAGTCCCCCGCCCGCGAAGGCACAAGCCCCCGCCACGCCCACTCCGGAGCCTTCGAAGGGGAAGAAGAAGAAGGGTGCGACGGAGAAATCTACCCCACTCCGCCAATCATCGCCTCCGAAGCCCCAGAACGACGGTCGTTTCGACCGAATTCGGATGGCTCTCATCCCCGTACTTCCGTTCCTGACCTCGACTCTTCTGCAGCCTCCTACTCTCCCGCACCCGCTTCTGCAGCCTTACGATCATCCATCCTACCCATTGCGGATCCACTCCGCCGTCGACTCTGCCTACTCCAGCATCGTAGTCGTTGGTGAGACAATAGCAGAAGGCATGGACGCGCTCAATGGTATCAACAACATGCGTTTTCTCAGGGCTGGTCACTCCCTCCTCGGCGGCGTCTGGGTTGGGCCCAAGGCCATCACATTCAATGAAGACCCCTTGCCAGAGGACGAATCGGGGCAGAAGCTGGGAGACACAATATACAGCGCGTTCGTCCTTCAAGAAGCCGCTCTGTTGGCAAAAGACAAGCCCCAGGATGCCCTTATCATGTAAGGCAGCCACATCATAAGAGCCTGTCTGCAAATGCTAACGACGATCTAGTGGTCTAGGCACTGGTGTCACAGCGAGCTCGTTCATGCGGCACGGAATCTCGACTACCATCATCGAGATCGACCCCACCGTGTACGACGCGGCGCGGAAGTTCTTTGGGCTTCCAGCTTCAGAGCCTGGACAAGTATTCATCGAAGACGCCAGAGGCTGGGTGCATAATCGTAGCGAAACCAACGTCGCGAATCCTTCCGACGTCACCGAGCAAACGCAATACGACCTCGTTGTACACGACTGCTTCTCTGGCGGCGGAATCCCGGCACACCTATACACGGAAGAATTCTGGAAAGAGCTAAAGGGCATCGTTCGCCCAGATGCAGTGATTGCCGTTGTACGTGCTCTTCTAGACTATGACGAATGCAATCTCTCACCTTCGATCTGCAGAATTTTGCTGGCGTCTTGGAAAGTGACTCCGCGAAGGCCCTCATTCTCACCCTCAAAACTTCCTTCCCACAATGCCGGGCGTTTTATGATGCCATCGAAACTCCTACTAATATTACCACTGAGTTCCAAAACTGGGTCAGTCTCGTTGTGTACCTCGCCATCCATCACATGTCTTACCTGTTCTTCCGAATCAGGTCTTCTTCTGCACGCCTTCATCGGAACCCTTGACATTCCGTGCGGCCCGCGAGTCCGATATCTTCGGGTCGCATCTTCGCCGTCATGTCTTCACGGGCCTGCCAAACCGCGAGAGCGACATATCGGTAGTCGGCGACGATCTCCCTGAAGATAAACGCAATCGTTACATCCTCAAGGACACCCAGAACCCGCTGGGAGAATGGCAAGCGGAGGGCGCCATGCATCACTGGGAGATCATGCGTCAAGTATTGCCAGATGTCATCTGGGAAACATACTAGATATAGGCGAGATTGTACTTGTACCTCGTTGTGACCATACTGGACCGTACGCAGGCTTGACGTGGATCTATTTCCGTATTGGCCGCCGACCGCTCCGGCACAAGCATGCCTCTGCTCGCGCTTCTATGTCGACTCCCAAAACTAGAAGATGACTTTCAAGTTAAATTGCCACAACGGAGAGCAGCACGTCTCAACGGCCCGCTCTCAAAGCACGCGGGAGGAGTCTGACGAAAGGGGCGGGGTCACAGGCATTGACAACACGCGAAGACACAGTTCCGGTAGCAGCCGGCTTTGGTCTCCCATAATATGCAGCCTATATGGAAACATAGGAGGGCATGTGTGAGGATCGAACAAACCGCCGCGGAACGACTCGGAAGAGCATGAGCGGGGGAGCGGTAGATGTATTTTGAAGTGCGCCATCATCGCCATCATCGAATGGCTGTGGATATAACTTGTACCAGGTGAGCATCCATATCATGATATCAGAGAGAAAGCTGGGGGGAAGAGATTAAGAGGTATGCTTGGCTGTCTTGAACGTGAAGATTTCGAAGAAGGTGAAGAGGTAGGTGAAAAGCGTGAGGTCGTAGATGTTGGCAACGGTGCCAATTATTTTGCAGACGGACGACTTGCACATTTTTGATACCACCCTCGCTACGATCGATTTGTCCCATTCCGTCGTTTCGTTCAGGGAGGACTTATGTAAAGACTATCACATGACGGCTGCGCGATGCACTTAAGACTCCCTGGGCTTGACGGGTTCCCTTCAGTCACGCGCAAACTCACCTCAGTCGTCCTACTGATTCCGCCATGAGTAACGACAAGATATCGAGACGGCGCCAAACTGCCTTTCAGGTGTTGGATTCCTACAAAGCCTGGGATCTGGACCAGATACTAGCCTGCAGGACGGAGGATTGCATCCAACAAATTCTGCCGAGTACGTCGGTCAGCTTCCAAAACTGACCTCAATGTTGATGACTGCGCAACATAGGATCTCTGAACCGCCCGCCGATGGACAACACCACGTATCGCACCTTCTTCGGCGGCGTGATGCCGTACTTCAAGAACTTCACGCCCGAGATCGACGACATCGTAGAGGACGAGAGGGCCAACAAAGTCGTGATCTGGTGCCACAGCACAGCGGACACGGCGGTCGGACCATACAAGAACGAATACATGCTCACGCTGCACTTCAACGAGGAAGGCGACAAGGTCACGAAGTTGTACGAGTTTGTCGACGGGGCGAACAGCGTCGACTTCTGGCCCAAGTTCTGGAAGTTCCTCGAGGGTGAGAAGGCCAAGAGCGCGGCGGATGCAACCCAGTGAGCCGGGGATCCAGTGTTGGGGGCGGATCTCAGGGCAGATGGGGTCAACTTGGGGTCAACGGGCGAACTTCGACCATCACAGAGAGGGTTCAGGATTGGCGGAGATTGTAGCCTCTGAAGCTGTATGTTGTATGGTGAATAGTCGATCAGAATTCAGTCATGGCGCAGACAGTGGGCAGTAATATGATCACCGGCCTAGCGGCATTATTGGCAGGACGTCAGCAGAGCGTGACCGCGGCTTAAACTCGCTGTGGAGTATGAGTCAAATGTTTGCAAGGATGAATGATCAGTACTTGAGTGGGAAAGCGGAGAGAAACATACTCGACCTGTTCATACGATCGGCCTCGAGCGCGTGGGTCTCACGACAATCACAAAGGGCCCCCTGCCGCCCCTTCCTCGAACCCGCTTCCACTCGCCCCGCGCACTCTCTCCCCATGTCTTCTTCCTCTTCGCGCCCCGGCCCCCAGACAATCGCCCATTCCCCCGGCCGGCCCTCCCCGCTCTCGCGTCCGCACTGGCCGTGGTCGACGTACTCGCACCGCTCCTCCGTGTCCTCGGCGTCCGCACACTCTTCGAGCAGCTCCGTTCCGAGTACGCACACGTGGGACTCGCGTGCATCCGTCGCCACATCCACCCCGAGCACGGTACTGCTGTCTGCTGGCCCCATCGCCACGCGTATAGCGAGTGCACAGAGCCAGGGCTCAATGGCGGACGATGTAACGACGAGGCAATGGAATTACAACGTGCGTGCGCGGTGCGATCTCTTTCTTTGTGTGCGTGCTAAGGGCTGGCGTCCTCCAGGCATTTGAATGGGTCATTCGCGATGTTAGCAGACTGAGAGACCACATTGAGAACCCTGCGTTAGAGGCGGCAGAGGACGTTGAGGTGGTCGAGGATGATGACTTCGAAGTGCTGAGAGAATCGCCTGAGCTTGGTGATGGCAAGTTCAAACTGGAGATCAGTGAGTACGCTTCAGTCATTGCCGTGCATACTCTATTGAACGTCCGGCATTGCAGCGAAGACGACAATTAACGAGGCAGAGAGCGCGTCTAACGCGTCTTCGCCATCACTGTCATTGTACCTCACTTCACTCATGGTCGACTATGCACACACGGACTACGAGACCTCAGCGACCATGTTCGCCGCCATCAAATGCCAAGACGATCGCGCGGGAGAGCGTGGTGCGCGCGCAGAGTGGGCTTGGGAAATCTGGCAGAACAACTGGGTGTTCAGACAGGGCACTGAAGTATGGGGTGAGTACAATGACATGCTGCCCGTGTAAATACCGTTGACATTCCATGTCGCAGAATGTCCCCTTCCACCGCTGTCTACACTTCTAGAGAATCCAAGGATACAGGAAACAGACTCGTTTGTGATTTGCGTACAGATTCACTCGCCCGTGGGGCCGTTCTATCCTCAGCAGCCATCCGCATACTATGTCCCTCGGGACCTTCTTGACGGGTTGGAAGCTTCTTTGGACAATGCCAGTAAGTATATCCGAGTTTTTTGTTGCTTCGGAAGGCTCAGAAGTCCAACAGATACCGGGGACGTTCAATTCATCTGCCTCGAGCGTACCACCCGCGACCAACTTGAGTACGATTCCGCTGTCCCAGCTTCTCCCCGCTCCACTTCCTCCTCCCAATCTTCCTCCTCCTCCCAGACTCTCGCCCGGAAACGTATCCTCTACGCCCACTCGGACATCCTCGTCCGCCGCTCCGAGTATTTTGCCACCATGCTGGCCTCGTCCTTCAACGAGAACGCCCCAGCGCAACCCGGCGGTCGTCGGCTATACACCATCGTCGTCGAGGAGGCCGACTTCGTCACCATCTACTGGCTCCTCAAGTGGGTCTACGCCAACTGGCTCCTCTTCCGCGCCGTCGACGACCCGCGCCTCGCCGTCGACGGCGTCGGCGCCGGCTGGTCCGCGCGCGACTGGTGCGCCCCGGGGGTGCCCGACGAGTGGGGCTGGAAGGTCTTCCACAAGGCCGGCCACCTCGGCTCGGGCATCGGCATCGGCGCCGCGAGCGCGTCCGACACCCCCAGCGGCGCGGTGAGCGACGCCCGCAGCGTCACCAGCGGCGCGAGCGGGCTCTCCACCGGTCCAGACGCGCTCGGGCTCGCGCACGCCCCGCGCGACGCGAAGGGGGCCAAGCCCGGCAGCGGCCAGGTCCGGGCGGGAACGGCGACGGCCGCCAAGGGGCCGCCCTCGCCATCCGCGTCGCGTCCTCCGGGCACACCGACGACGCCGCGCAGGGCGTCGGGCCCCGCGCCCGTGGGGCTGTCGCTGACTCCAGCGACGGGGGCCGCAGCGCGCGGCGCGAAGCCCGTCCCCGTCCCCCAGCCGCTCTCGCCCTCAGCGGCGGCGCACTACCCGGCGGGCCCGGGGTCCGCGCACGGCAAGCAGCGCTCGCGGGGGTCGGGCGGCGGCGCGGGCGGCGGCGGGCTCACGGGCGCGGCGGACCCGCACGCCCACCCGACGCGGGCGCCGCCGCCGGCGAGCGCGCTGAGCATGTACCAGCTCGCGCACCGGTACGGGATGCCGGGCCTGGGCGCGCTCGCGCTCGAGCACGTCGTCGCGACGGTGACGGCGCGGAGCGCGTTCGCGGTGCTGCTCGCGAGCGCGGCGTGGGAGGAGCTGCACGGGCTCGTCCAGGACTTCGTCGTCGAGCGGTGGGAGGAGGTGAGCGTGTCGGACGAGTTCGAGCGGTGCTGCCAGGAGGTGGCGAGCGGCGAGTGAGTGCTTTGATTTGTTGCGCTTGTTTGTTTGAACGGTCGGTGCTCACTGCGCACTTCATTCGCAGATGGGGTCCGGAGGGAGGGAAGACCTTGATGGCTCTTTTCAGGCGGCTCCGTTCTCCAAGCGCGATGGGTTATGCGCGCGGCTAGACTGTGATTTACGATTCCTGGCCTTCATCTCATGTTTACTGGGTACCATTGGTCTTCATACACGGAACACACACTGCGGTTTGTACTACTACACTCGACACCCACACCGGATCTCATACAATACAAACATAACAGTCATCCCATTATCATAAACGCGGCGAACCCTGTTTGATCTAGCGCTGGCACCGAAGGTCTGGCACTTGCCATACACCAGTCCTCCCGTCCTAGAAGTGATGTGAGCCAGGCCCATTTGCACACGGGAGACCAAACAGACCTTGTCTTCACAGACAGTTGGATGGTCGAACTGGAATCCATGAATGATTGCAGGGGCCGTCTTGCACATCGCGTCCCAATCGTCTCCATGCCGAAGGTTCATGAGTCTGGCCTCATATCGCTGTCGTGGTGGTCAGCTTTGTCACGGCTGAATTTCCGTCGTGGTTCGCTCACCCTGGTTCCAGTGTCGCTATCCGTACATCCCTGCCAGACCAAATACGCATCAGTCGTGCTTGTAAGACACCCGTAAAGCTGACTGACCAGATCGAGAAGCGGTGCCCAATAGAGAGTGCACTCCGGCTCATCAAAATCGATCTTCCACATCGCCCACACACGACCGTCCTTCTAATCAAATGTCAGTAAAAGCTCAAACCGAATGGTTTTGATGCACTCACATTGCGTTCACAGTGAGGGGGCCTATTCACACGACGTCCGTGGAATTCAATCGGCATGTCTTCACAAACCTCTCGCCAGTCGAGATGCCCAGGTATGTCGAGGAGTTCGGCTTCATACGTCCTGGTTCCGAAGGCCGTGCACTGCTCGTACCGCCGCACCTGGGACCAGTACACGCCCAGCCGCTGCCGTTCAACGTCCTGTCGGTGCTGTTCTTCTTGTTTGCGCTCTTTCGCCCACTGCTCCTTGTCCTGCTCGAACGCCTCGCGCACGGCCTGGCGCCTGTGGTCCTCTTCCTGCCACTCCTTGTTGAACTTGTCGCGGGCCGCCCTGCGCTCGTGCTCTTCCTGCGCTCGCTCCCGCTGGAACGCCTCACGCAGCGCCTGGCGCCGGCGCTCCTCCTCGGCGCGCTCGCGGGCATCCCGGGCGCGCCGCTCCTCCTGCCCACGCTCAAACTCCTCAGCGGCTTCCTTCGAGCGGTGCGCCTCGGCCGCCCTGTTGCCCTGGACCTCCTTGCGCCACGCCTCGCGGTCCCACTCCCACTGCGCGAGCTCGACGCCGTGGGCGGTGCGCTCCCGGTCCCACTGGGCGACGGCGCGGCCGTGGTCGGCGACCTCGAGCGCCCACTGGTGCCGGAGCTCGGCCTTCTCCTTCATGGAGACGCCGCCGAGGTCGGCGAAGGGAGGGACGACGGCGAGGTTTTGGAGGACGAGGATGCAGACGAGGAGGATGAGGAGAGGGCTTTCGGCGAGGTATGGAAGGCGGAGGCCGGTGCTCAGGGATGTGCGCTCGTCCGCGCTGGGGGTGGGGACGGGGCTCGATAGATCATTCTGTGATCTGGGCGAAGTGGACGCACCGCGTAGGGGCGGCCCCGTAGCCTCCCATTGTGTGTTGCTCTTGAGTCGCGGGTGGACCGGTGACGGGTGGGCCGGGCGGGGTGGGAGTTGGGGACGAGGAGCAGAGGGAAAGGGGCAGGGGAGATATGCACACGCCCAAGTTGGCTCAAGCTCAGCGCTAGGCAGTTCGCTTCAGCTCATGTATACCCTCACGATTCACTCCGCCTTTTTAGCACCGGCCGGCGTGGACGTAGTTCTCTGGGCGCTGATCAGACGCTCAGCAGCCAGCTGCTCGTAAACGGTGCCTCGTTTCTTACAAAACGCACCACCGTGCACAGGCACACGCCATACACGTGCTCTATTCCACCCCTGCTTCGATTCACGCCGTCAGTCATCGACATCCTTCGCCAATGCAACATGCGCATGGCTTACCCTGTTCTCGCAGAGCGTATTTGCACATCGTCGCCAGTGTTGTACTGCACATATCTCGCCAGTCATCGTCCGAGGACAGACCCATTCTACCCGCTGTGTGTCCGCAGAGGCATCCAGCATGTGGTCAGATGGTCGTCACCACCGCAACCTTGGACGCACTTACTCCGGTTCCGTCTTTTTGCCCACGTACGCACTTGTCAAGTTGCATGCCAGCGTAGTCTGAGCTTTCAAGATCCGAACGTGCGCTCTGCACAATATTGGTAGCCCTGGCACCAATCTACAAGGGGAAATACACATCTCATATATACTGGCTGACTTTGTACTATATATTATGCTTTGCATTCAAGTTGTTCGAAATTGACCTGACTCTCTGACTGCAAGCTAATGTCTCCACCTACTCATTGAACTCAAAGACACCGGTGCGGCCGTCCTGTGTCGCGATCAGCCAACTGAAGTCATGGCTCTAATAGACAAGTGCATACCCTGTCCTCACAGGCGGTGGGATGCTCGAAGTGGCGACCGCGGAAATCTGCAGGGCTGGTCCGACACATGTCGTCCCAGGTGTCTCCGTGGCGCAGATTCATGAGGCGGGCCTCGTAACGCTGAGGACAATCGCGGTGAACATTACAGTGGACCACGGAAAGGCCGAACTTACCTTCTTCCCGGGAGCTGAGGCCTGTGGAGGGTCCGCGCCATCAGCGAAAGACAGACCACAGGGACCTGGGAGACGGAACTGACCACTTCCCTGAACGCACCCCAATAGGTAACGCACTCAGGCTCTCCAAACCCGATGAACCACGTAGCCCAGACCTCGCCTCGGCCCTATGAGCTCACAACGGTCAGTAATGTCCCAAAAGCCCGTCGAATACTGAGCAGCGGCACTCACCCCGCGCTCGCACTGGTCCGGCTCGACCCATCGCCCGTGGAAGTTGTACGCCGTGTTCATGCAGACCTCGTACCAGTCCGCGTCCGCCGGGATGTCTCGCATGTACGCGCTGTACGCGCGCGTCCCGTACGCCGCGCACGTCCCCCCGCCCGCGTGCCACGGCGGCGTGAAGTGCGCGCCGCCGCGACGCGCGGCGACCTCCTTCCGCCACTGCGCCCAGCGCGCCTGCTCCTGCGCCCACGCCTGGCGCTCGCGCGCGATGCCCTCCTGCTCGTGCGCCCACTCGAGCCGCTCCGCGTCCCACCGGGTGCGCTCGTCGCCCCACCGGGCGCGCTCGATCGCCCACTTGGTGCGGTCGGCGGCGTGCGCGGCCTCCTCCGAGCGCCAGGCGGCGCGAAGAGCGAGCTTCTCGGAGAGGGGGACGTCGTCAGCGAGGGTGGACACGAAGCCGGCGTTCTGGAGGATGAAGGCGGTCACCGCGAACACGAGGAGGGCGATGCCGGCGGTGCGAGCCCAACGCCAGAGAGTAACGGTGGAAAATTCTTCGCCATTGTACTTGCTGCCCAGAAGGGATGATCGGTCGCTGACTGAGCTGTACAAGTAATCACACGTCAATCAGGGCGGCATAGGATGGTAGGACGCGAGGGGCTCACTGAGAGACACTGTAAGTGGACCGGTAAGAAGGCGGCGGATCCCGGGAGTTCATCGCGGCCAGTTCACGAAGTGGAAGACTCGCTGTGAGTGGGACTAGGAATGGAGGGTGGTATCTGGGGCCGCGCACCCTAGGAGAGCGTGGGTAATGGAAGCCCGCTTACCGCAGCAGCTAACAAAGTTCAACGTTGTTCATGCACATGGGTCGCTGGATTCAGCAACTGCCTCCACAGGCAACCGCTCGCTCGAAACCGGAAGGACACAGCAAGTATACCTTCGGAAGCCGACGGGTTGACTGGCGATGATAGAAGGAGAAAGCCAGACTCGTTATAGGGGCCCGGGACTGGCCGGGAGACATATGTGACGTCAAGCCGCACGTTTTGTTCAGAGAGACGCCTGCGAGGTCGGCTCACGAAGGACTCAGGAGAGGGTCGAGCGAAGAGGAGAGAAAACAGGTGAGTCGGTGAGTGGAGGGCTCACGCGGCGCACTGCGTGAGGGCGCGACAGCTTCATGTGCTCAAGACCGTCGCCTTGCGCGGTCTCAGAGCTCACCGGCACCCCGCCCCGCCTCCTTGGAACGACGGACTCGACTACACTAGCTACTGCACGGGGGATGAGGAGAAGACCAGCTTGCGCGTGGCAGAGGAACACTCGGTTGCACTCGCAAAGCGGCTGGGGTGGTCGTACAAGCAGATGGCTGGAGGCTGAAGTCACCAACCTCCTCCTCCTCCTCACCAGTGTCGGTACCTGTTACTCCACGACGCGACCGCCACATTCACTGAGAAACGTCTACTTGTGAGGCCGCTGTGCTCGGTTACCGCGCTGGCGGACATGGCGAGGCGTGTTGATGATGCACACCTCTTGGTTCTCATCGTCCTCGCGACTCCTCAGAGAGGTTGATTTTATCGTCGGCCATGACCCACACAAGCGGGCGGAAGCCCAGATCGAAGTTATCCAACTCCTCCTGCAGCTTCTCAGCCTCCTCCTCACACACTCCTGCTCCCACATGAGCCTGGTCCATGCGTAGCGGCAATGGACGAGCCTCCTGATTCTGAAGCATTTGCACTTATTAGTCCATATCGTATGTATTTGTTGTTGAATTGCATGTGCGAATGTGGAGGCTCGCAGGAAACGCTTGGCCTGGGTATAAGCCGGCTCAACTTGTTCATCAAAGTAACATGCAAAAGCGAAAGCGTCGTTGAAGTTCTAACAGACGAGAATAAGCTGGAACAGGGGAACGACACACAGACATGTTGCAATCGCCCATAGCCGGACCGGGATTGCCTAGTTGCACTCGGTTCGTTCAATATCCCACATTCCAATGACGCCGGAAACAAATCCCTGCATTGAATGTAAGATTTTGCAACGAGAACTGGCATGAAGAGACGCACCTTGTCTTCGCAGTGAGTGGGATGGTCATACTGCACGCCGAGGAGCTTGGCGGGAGTGGTCGAGCACATGTTCTTCCAATTATCGCCATGCTGGATGCCGAGGAGACGGGATTGCAAGCGCTATTCGTGACAAAACATGAGACATGTCTATATCTGCTGAAGCGCTTTGACGTACCGCCAGCCCAGTGGAAACACATCCCTAGTCACTTGCCTCAGTCTCTGCTGATAAGATATGGCAAAGAAAAGAAAGCTTACGAGGTCAGTGACTGTGCCCCAGTAGGGAGCGCATGTCGGCTCCCCGAAGTCCACCCTCCAGATACCCCAGACCTGGCCGTCATCCTGGACAGTATCGTCAGCTTCGTGGTCAACTACAAACGGATGATGGAGGACGCACCCTACGCTCACAGCGGTCCGGCTTTTCGAGCTGGCGTCCATGGATGGTCATAGGCATGAGATAGCAGGTTTCCAACCAGTCCTTCTCCAGAGCGACGGAGTCATCACTCCTGAGCCTGGCACGATAGTATCGGACCCCGAATGCGCCGCAATGCTCGTCCCCGGCGGGATCGGTCCAGTACGCACCGCGTTTGAGGCGCGCGACTTCCTGATGGTCCCGCTCGCGTATGGAGCATGTACTGGTTGAGAATAGGGTGGGGACGATGCCGAAGTTCTGGAGGATGCAGAGGAAGATGGCGGCAGTCCACAGAATACGGACGTGGAGTGGTTTGGGCTGGAAGCGGCGGCGGGGTCGAGAGGCGACAACGTCAGGCTCTAGAGGCTGAGAGTCTGCTTGAGAGTACTGGGGACTAGAGCGTGCTCGCTGTTAGCGGCGAAGGAGATGAGAGAGAGGGGAAGCGTACGGGGGATGGTCAATCTCGAGAACGACGTGGTTGGAGGCGGAGAGCATGGGTATATGCTCCTCCTGGAGGGTGTCGGGGGCGGTCGAGGCAGCAGCGGTATGCTTCACGGGGTTGTGCATCATGGAGGGAGGATGGAGAGCCAGACGGCAGCAGTCGCGGGCTATTTGGAGAGCACGGCATGTCTCACGGGAAATATAGACGGTGTCGGACGCGGCGGGTGACAGGAGCTAGCCTGGCAGCTGGAGGGCTTCTGGGTCGCGCCTTGACGCGTCGGAAATCTAGGCGCCTGCGTCCACGCCTGCTCTCTGCTTGTTGTTGCTCTTTTCCCCTTCTTGCCCTCGCGTAACGCCTGCGAACATGGTCGTCTTTCCTTCCACGTCGTCCGTTTCACCTGCCGTGCGACGCTTCCTCTCCGCCCCTTCTTCCTCCCGAACACCGGTGCGACCCACCGCCCGCACCTTCGCCACTCATGCACAGGTTTGCTCCCACTGGCCATCACCTCCGTGAGCTTCCACCGATGCTCGCATCCTCCTAGGACAACTTTCGCATCCCGATCATTGACTTCAGCAAGTACCGTCACGCTACCTCTGCTGCGCAGAAGGCGGAGACTGCGCAGGAGATCGTTCGCGGCTTCACCGACGTCGGCTTCATCTATCTCACCAACCATGGCATTCCCGACGAGACCGTCAAGGGTGCGTTCCAAAAGGTCAGCTCCGTACTATCCGTCCATGCTTTCCCCCTTCGTGTCTCACGCACAACACCCCAGAGCGCCGAGTTCTTCAGAATGCCTATCGAGAAGAAGACTGAGCTTGCATGGCGCGACCCCCGCGCCAACCGTGGTTTCGTCAAGGTCGGCCGTGAGCGCGTGACCCAGTCCGCGGATGCGGACGAGATCAAGCAGCTGCGCGAGAAGGCTCCGGACTACAAGGAGTCCATGGAGATCGGCCGTGACTGGGACGCGACCTACAAAAACTACTGGCCACAGGAGGCCGACGCGCCCGGGTTCAAGAGCACCATGCTCAACTTCTTCCAGACGTGCCATGACCTCCATGTCCTGGTGATGCGCTCTATCGCGTTAGGGCTCAGGCTCGAGGAGAGCTTCTTTGACAACAAGATCAACGAGCAGTATCACAACCTTCGGCTGCTCTCTTACCCGCCCATTAAGACGTCACTCCTGAAGAAGGAGGGCACTGCGCGTGCAGGCGCGCATTCCGATTACGGCACTCTTACGCTGCTGTTCCAAGACCAAGTAAGCAAACGCTGCGGACTGTCAGGTTGACCGGATCACCCATTAGTGGCGCATAGGTCGGAGGTCTCGAAGTCCAGAACCCACACACTGGTCAATTTCAGGCTGCGACGCCCGTCGTAAGTGTTCTTAGCGCATCCTGTGACGCCTTTTTAACGCACTCGCGATCAGCCTGGTACCATCGTTATCAACGCCGGTGACCTGCTTGCTCGCTGGAGCAACGATGTGCTCCGTTCGACCCTCCACCGCGTCGTCGCGCCACCCGCAAACGCGGTCAGCGACACCGAGGCCATCACTCCTGACCGCCAATCGATCGCGTTCTTCTGCAACCCGGACCAAGGCGCAGAGATCTCCTGCCTCCCGACGTGCCTGGTTCCCGGCAGCAAGCCCAAGTACCCGTCCGTGACTACGGAGGATTACATCGTTGGGAGACTTAAAGCCACGTACACGTAACGCACTAAACGGACTCTTGGATTATATGGCCCCCGCGGTAATTTCTTCCTTGTACTATGCATGGTCAGAGGGTGGTCAACAAGTACTGCTATGAATATATGGCTATGGGTCTGTAGACGCGATATGTAACGAGGCACGTGCTAGGAGTCACACTTGGGATTTGTTCTCACGGAAGGCACCGTGACGCGCAGGACGTTCTTGACTCCAGAATTGCTCACGCCAGCCGAGAGACATGCATGCAGCACTTGACCAGCACCGTCGAAACTTCTCGAGTTCCGCCTAAAACACCGGCCAGTGCGACAGTGCCTATTTGAAGGAGGCATGTTGGGCGATTGTGGTCTGCAGTACCCAAAGCTGACATATCTTTGGACGCGCGCGGCCAGCGCATCACAATTGTTTAGGAACGTAACCTGCTTTTCCTGGCACTTCTCGCTCGCGAACTACAGCGAACCCGATTTCGCCATGGCACTTCACATGAACACCGTCATCTCCCGCAAAAGTGCAGATATCCTCGCACACCTCGCGCATCTCAAGCAGCGAGTCGCCGGCCTCCCCCTCCTCTACACCATCTCTGCCTCCCAACACACGCACCCCTCGGACCTCGGCGCGCTTGTCTCCGCTGCGCAAGGCCTCTCCCCCGCCTCCGTCGGGTGCCTATCCGCCCCGGTCTCGTCGTCGCGGCCTGGGTGGCAGCGAGACACAGCTGTGAGCGTCGCGGCGTTCGACGCGAGGACCGCGACGCTGTTCCGGAGCACCGTGCCCGGGCGGAAAGCGGTGCAAGTTGGGCGATGGCACGCGCCCAACCAACACGGGAAGGAGGTTGACACGCGGGACTACGAGAGCGAGGTCGATTGGGAGAAGTCGATGGCGCAGTCGTTTGACGGCGCGGCGCTGCCAGATGCTCTCCAGTCTTTGCCGTACGTGGCGGCCATCGTAGGTCTAGCTTGGAAGCGCACTGACGCCATCTTCGTTGAACAGCGCGGAAGATGTGGACAGCATCGTGTACTTGAGCGACAACGCACCAGAGGGCCTGAGCAGCGCGCTGTCACGGTTCTCGACTGCGAACAAGGTGTGGGACTTCCTGCCCTCACTTTGGGATTTCGCGCCGCTGACGACGTCCCGCTTCGCAAGCTAGGACTCGTGGCGACCTCCACGCCCTTCGTGACCGGGCGGCCGTACACGCTCTTCTCCGGCCAGTCCGTGCACTCAGACGGCGCCGTCGGGATCTGCCTGTCCTCGCCCGGGCGGTCTGCAGCGTTCGGTGACTTCGCAGGCCTCGAACCCCTGACGCGCCCGATGATCGTGTCAAAGTGGGTGGTATTCGCCTCAGACCGGCCCCATGCGCTCACCACACGCCCGCACGCAGCGCGGAGGGCAACCTGATCAACGCGCTCGACAACGCGAACCCGTCCCGCCTGCTTTTGAACGCATCCAGAGCCACCCGGCGCTCGCCGGGCTCGCTGGAGCAGCATCTCGAAGGAGCTGCGGGTCTACATGGCAGCTCCGGCAGACGGGCGGCAAGTACGAGGTGCGCCGGACCCTGCTTCCTGCTTCGCGGCGGCAATCTGACCAGAGCTCTATATGTAGCTGAGCCAAGTCTCGTACGTTATGTCCGGGGACCCCTCGCGGGGTCGATCGCGCTCGACAGCGACGCGGCGCCCGTCGAAGGGTCGCTGGTGCAGATGTTCTTCCTGCCGTCCACACGGTCGGACGTCCTCGCCTCCGCCCGGTCGCACGAGAGCCAAAACAAGTCACAGCCTGCTCTTCGCCACGAGCTCGTTGGAGGAGCTTGAATCTGATGCGGCTGTTGAAGAAACGGAGGCGGGCACCGTGGTGCTACCGAACGTGTTTCTCGCGGCGTCGGAGAACGGAGCCTGTGAGTCGGGCGATCGCGGGGAAGGCCGAGCGGCCATGGAAGTGCGGCGTGGTCGGGAGCTCGATGGGGTTGCAGTGGAAGTGTAGGTCGGACGACGCGTTTGCAGGGCGCGATGTGTGGATATGACGAATCACATAGTTGATACATTAGGCAAAGCCATCGTTCAAGCACCACTACCAACATCGGGTTGATGACCTTACGACCGGTGACCCTCATGGACCTCAACTCGTCGAGAACTTGGTTGACGTTCTCGAGAGGTTCAACGGCTACCACTGGTACACCACACCCTGAGCGACCGTGCATAGTCAGTTGCTGGTGGAAGATGTAAAGCGGACAGGGACGCACATCGCTGAGAAGCTCCAAGCATGCCTTCAGATCGTCCTTGCTACCGTAGAGCGAAGACAACACTTGATTGGAAAGAGGAGATACGTGAGTCTGAGAATTTCCTGACGTATTTTGAACTAACCGTTGGTGCGGAACGTGAGAAGCGCGATCTGGTTGAAAGTCAAGTTCTCGCCTGAGACGCCAACCTAGTCCCTGACTGTCAGCGACGATCGGCCGTCCTGCGCAGGGATGCTGCCAGAACAATGAGCCCATGCGGGCCGTCCAGACTGAACCCGCTGAGCTTGACGGCCTCCTGGCCAATCTGGAACGCTGTGATATGCTCCCATGTGAGTCGCAGTGTGCCATGACTTGGGAAACTATCGATCATGCTCACACTGTGCGGTCGCCACGAAGTCGATAACGATATCAACTGCGAACCGGTCTGGGCCGGCGTTCTCAGTGGCGAAGAGCTGCGCGAGCTCTCCTGGTGGAAAGCCTTCGTAGCCCCGAGGGAAATCGCGAGCTCGCGCGCACAGGTTTAATATCGACGGCGAAGACTGTGGCGCCGTAGTGGAGAGCGAGTTGACCGCTTGGTGCCCGAGCCCACCAATGCCGTAGATGAGGACGCGTTTGCCGTGACTGCCCGGTCGGAGCTGACGTTCGTCGCTGTGGGTTCATTGATGCAATAGTACACGGATCAAACGAGCACACTCACCCGGCAACGTTATGCACGGCGTTGTATGCAGTGATGAGAGAGTCCGTCGCGAGAGCGGCCACTTCGGGAGCAAGACCCTCTGGCTGTCAAACAACCTTTCAAGTAATGGGGCAGCGATAAAGGTTGCAAAGCGACACCAACCACTGGGACGAGCTCAACAGAGTCAGCAAGGATGTATTCGGCGAAGCCGCCGTTCTCGCCGATGCCGATGCTATCCGTCAATGGGGACTGGCCAGGTGCAAGCGGGTGGGCACCGTGAGGTACCAGGTCGTGAATCGCGTAGAGTTTACCCTTTGCAATGTGGCGGACATTGACCCTAGTCTGGAACCCAGCCGAGGTCAGTCAAGCAATCGACAAGGGAATGGAATGACCCCACTCCACCGCATATCCGACGTTTTCGTGGCCCAGCACGTAGGTGCGCGAATCGTCGAGAACGTCGGTGAGAATAGCAGTGTCTGAGTGGCATACGCCGGCTGCCGCGACCTTCAGAAGGACTTGATTGGGACCTGGTTTAGGGATAGGGATGTGCTCCAGGACGAGATTGTTGTTTCCGGGATGGAATACTGCCGCGCGCATAGTTGACATGTTGATAAGATCGCGAAGGAGAGGCAGCTGAGAACACTGGAAAGGTGATGAGAATTAGGCGCCTCAGAAGTAGGCTTTTATATACAGCATGGTCCTTGAAGGCGCCATTACTCACAAGCTGGCATACCTCTGTGTGTTGGGCAGTGTTCTCCATTGCAGAGACGAAACATATCATAGTGTTTGCCCCTGGTGCACACCGGGCGCATCAGCGAACACAATGTCAAACACCTAGCATTACCGGACTTTTTGGCCTAGATGAGCGAGCTTCCCTCTGGGAACGGTCCGATCACGGAGCCGAGACGAGTTGTTATGCAAATCTAATGCGCGAGGGCCTGCGTGGAGCCCTTATGTCAAGTTTCAGAGTCTATAGGCTATGCAGCTCACCTCGCTAAAGGGTTAGACTGTAGAAACGGTATCATGCACGACTCCTTCAGGAAGACTCGACGGTCATGTTACCCACTGGCGCTCCGCATACGTCCTACGAGTGGCGTTTCATTGCCCAATCTCAATGAAGATGAAGCATGTCTTGCGCTACCCCATCATGTCAGTGTCTGTCTCCTCACGAATGGGCAGCGAAGAGTCAAGACGCGACATAGGAAAGAGAACAGCTCACACGGGGGGCATGCACTGCGGCCTTTTCGAAGGGCCTATCCCGCTAACTCAGTCTTGGTGCGTCCAGACGCTCGGCAGGCACGCGGAGCGGAGCGCTCGGGGTCTGGGCGCCCCTCGCGAGGCGCTCAAACTTCATCTTGGGACCCACTGCTGTCTGAGATGTCAGTGTATTGCCTCCGGTGCTCCGGGCTTCGTCATGGACGAGAACTCTTGCGAAGGGCCCTTCCGAACAGTTCTAGTCCTGTAAGGAAAGCTTCGTGCACCTGTTTCAGTGTGTTATGCTTGCCATGATCCTTATCATCGCCGACGCCCACAAAAGGACGCAGACCTCGGGGCTGAATGGCCCTCGTCCAGCGAAACAGTTGACGAGGGCGAGCAATAGCTTCCATGAGGATTAATCATCAAGTCCGGATTAAACACTAGTGAGTATACGTAACAAGAATCTGAGGGTGCCCCTCACCCGATCATGCAATTCGCCGCCTTGCACATACATGCGGTTAGGCACTTGAGGCATTCCGCGTGCTCGAGTTCTATCCGTCCTGACTGTTCGGGGTCGTACTGGTTGACTCCTCCTGGGAGTCGGTATATTCGTAGAGTCGTCGACGTCAGTGCGTGTGAGCACGGTCGTCGACGCCGAGTCTGTTGGGCAAGCGTGTTGGGTCCGGGATGGCTGTTAGCGGAACGCATCGGTTCTATGTAAGGCATCGAATCAACGCTGAGTAAATGGTAAGATTACTGCCTGTGGCAGGAAGAGGGCAAGAGGCTAGTCAAGTACTGTGAGAGACAGCCCAGAGTCGTGCGCGCAGCGAGCCCAGTCATCGAGCCCGAGCGCTTCACTTGGACACTTGCCTCTGGACACCCATCTGCGTCCTCTTTCCGTCACACGTCTTGCCACTTCCACCCGTCTCCCCGCCATGAACCGCATCTTTGGAACATCCAGCAGCAAGAAGCCGCGCCCGACGCTCCAAGATGCCATCTCATCGGTCAGCGCGCTCCCAGTGCTTCCCCGGGCGGGATGAGGCTGAACCGCACGCCCCGGCCCCGCAGACAGACACCCGGATGGCGTCCATCGAGGTAAAGATCAAGAAGCTCGACGGGGAGCTCGCGCGATACAAGGAGCAGATGGGCAGGCTTCGGAACGGGCCTGGAAAGGTGCGTGCGAGCCCTCTTTGCCCTCCGCTATGCTTGTGTTGATGCACTTTCTTCGCTCCGCATTGATGATGCCGACACATCAAACGTCGCGGATCTTGCTGTACGTACTGCTGTAACGACGCGGCGGTGCATGCAGAACGCGATCCAAGAGCGCGCCCTCCGGACGCTGAAGCAGAAGCGGATGTACGAGTCGCAGCTCGCGCAGCTCACGCAGCAGACGTTCAACATGGAGTCCGCTGCCCTCGCGACGGAGAACCTCCGGAATACGATGGCACCGTCGACGCGATGAAGCTGGCGAACAAGGAGCTCAAGAAGCAGTACGGCAAGATCGACATTGACAAGATCGAGGTTCGTTGCTGTATGTCCGCATTTCTTCACCATACTGAGTCAGATTATATTAGGCCGTACACTACGACATGGAGGATCTGCTGGAGCAAGCGAATGAAATCCAGGAGAGTCTTGGGAGGTCATATGCCGTCCCAGACGAGATTGACGAGGCGGATTTGCAAGCCGGTGAGCAGGATATACGTCTGTCTTGTGTAATCTCTGACGCGCCGCAGAACTGGATGCACTGGAATTGGACGCTGAGGAGGAAGGACCCTCGTATCTCAGCGATCTGAACAAGATGCCAGATTTTGTCGACGAGCCACCCGTAGAAATCGCAGAGGTATGTTTGTGTTTACTTCTGGACACCTGGCGTGCCTGACGATGTCGACGCTCCGCTGCAGACCCCAAGCGAGCAGAAGGAGGCGGTCAAGACTACCGTATAGACGAAGAGCACTGCACTGCGAAAGGACTTTTTACATCATTATACCCATTCGCTACCATGTATCATCAGGATGTACAGCGATGGTTTGTGGGGGCTTGTATTCTATCGGCGGGGTCGAACAGCGTGAAGGGGTCGTGTAAGATGCCAGGGTATTCGTACGGTACAGCTCTCCTTCACCAGAAATCCAGGAGCAGACCCTACGGTCAACCATACCTCTTCTCCTCTTCATCTTCAGCAAACCAATCCCCAGCTCTGGATTCTTCAGGGTACGCCGTGTTGACGATAATAGACTTGGACTGCGTGTCTGCGCACATCCATCACCGGTAAGCCGCTACTTTCACTGTGAAGGAGGAGAAAACATGCGACGTACAAGCTTCGAACGCTTCGACGCCGTTCTCCCTGCCGACGCCGCTCTCCTTCATGCCGCCCCTGCCCCGTCACCGTTAGCCTCGATCGACGGACATGAGGACCACCCGCTTGCGGGGATACGCACCACGGCGAGCTGGGGTCGTTGCGGTGGTGCGTGTTGACCCACACGATCCCGGCCTCAATTTCGTCCGCGACCCTGTGCGCTCGTGCGAGGTTCTGCGTCCAGATCCCTGCACCGAGCCCGTACTTGCATGCGTTTGCGAGCATCACGCCCTCGCCGTCGTCCTGCCGTCCGCCGCGCGTTAGATCCGGCTCCGTGAGTGCGTGCACGCCGTGAATGTGACGGGAAGGGGACGCACCGAGAAGCGCTTGACGACGACGACAGGGCCGAAGAGCTCCTCGAGCCAGAGGTCGTCCTCAGTCGGGACGTCGGTGACAACGGTAGGGGGGAAGAACGCGCCCTTGGAGAAGTCGCAGCCGTCGAGGGTGGAGGTACCGGTCATGCGCTTGCCGCCCGCGAGGATGGTGCCGACGCCGCGCTGGACCATGCCCTCGATGCGCTCGAGGTGGCGCAGGGAGATGACGGTGCCCATGGTCGATTTTGGGTTCGAGGCTGGAGACCACGGGGAGGTCGTTAATGAACCGGACAGCAGGGGAAGAGGGGAACAGCGTGCATACGGTCGCCCATCCGCCTCGTGATGCTCTCGACCTTCTGTAGGAAGCGCTCCATGAAGGCGTCGTAAATCTTGTCCTGGACCAGCAGCCGGGTGCCGGACACACAGGTCTGGCCTGAGGCGATAAAGCACCCGAACGCGGCGCCGTCCACGGCACTCTGTAGGTCGGCATCGTCAAAGACGACGATGGGAGCCTTCCCGCCGAGCTCCGCGGTGAAGTGGGACAGGTTGCGGCCCACGATCTCGCCAATCGTGCGACCTGTGCTCGTGCCCGCCTGTTTGATACTTCGTAAGAACACTCGCTGTGCGCGCGAGGTTGGAACACTCACGGTAATGTCCACTTTCTTGACGATGGGGTCAGAAACAAGCATTTTCCCGACCTTATGGCCGTATCCAGGTAGGACCTGCAGCACTCCCGGAGGTACTGCAATCGCCTCGATCACTATTGTAGACATTGGCAACGGCGATATTACTCACCTCCCGCTTCGGCGGCCATCTCTGCGAATTCCAGTACGGATGCCGGAGCGAGTTCGCTCGGTTTGACAATGACCGAGTTGCCTGCTGCAAGTGCGGGAGCAATCTTCTTCACGGCAATTAAGAGGGGGTGATTAAAGGCTACGAGGTATATGCGTTAGGTGTGCCGTTGATGCTGAAGGGGATGAACATAGCGCACCGTGATCTGTGCAACAACACCCAGAGGAACTCTTTGTACATAGTTGATCAACGGACCGGATGTTGGTGCAATATATGAAGCATGAGTGCGAAGAAGGGAGGCGTAGTAGTCCCTATGAGCCAACATCAGCATGCGCGTTGTGGTCGGTGAAATGAGCAGCCTCGTACAGCCATAGGGGTAGCCTGCCGATCTTCCTCGACAGGTTACTAGCATGCGCGCACAGAAGTGAACGACACGCACCTGAGCGCGCATCTCACGGATGGCACGTCCAGTCTGAAGGGTCTCATATGCGGCGAAGTTCTCGACGCGGGCCTCGAGCGCGCGTGCAAGATTGCTGAGGACTGTCGCACGATGTGCTGCTGGAGTTTTGGACCAGATCCCAGCCTTGAAAGCTTCGTGTGCAGAGAGGATAGCGGTCTGGACGTCTTCTTCATTTGCACTCACTACCCTGGGAGGCGTAGGTTAGGCGCGAGAGAATGGAGAACAAGCCTGGGGTACACTTACCTAGTGAGCTCTTCGCCGCTAGCGGGATTGCACACTGTGATTCTGCGCCAGACATTAGAATACTGTCTGGGGGTAAAGGCGAAGAAGCTGACTCTTCGCGACCATCCGTAGACCCGTCCTTGCCAGGGTGCAGACAGTAGGGTGCGTATCTTTTCTGCAGAACAGAGGTCGTCTGCGCGCGGATGAGTATGTTGTAGCAGGCGAGGTCGGTATTCCGCTGACCATTGCCACGGTGTTGCCATTGGAGAACACAACTCGTGTGACCGCTCTCATGAGTCAAGCCCGACGGTTGGAGGCCAAGATGGAGCAGATATGAGAGCCTGAGCTGGAGGATGCAGTTGCGCCGAGCGCGCGGAGAATAGGCGCCAGTCGCGGCGTGATCGCGACGGGACGCGTCGGCCGGCTGATGGGCTGCCTCTCTCTTTCGCCCTCATCGCGCCTGATCTCAAGCAGCCCGTGCAATGGCCGACGCGCAGCCTGATCACGGCACGCATCCCGCGCCCACTACCCCTTCAGGGTGAGTGTGCTCGATCGGAATACCTGCTCTTCCTCCTTCAATGCGCGACAGCCCAGCACTCCCGTATGGAGCCGACGCTTTTCCCGCCAACACCTACGAACAGCTTATCGGTCTTCTGGCAAACAACGCCAATCGCGCGATATCCGAACTCGGCTACCATCCCAACATCAGCCAAGAGAATCAACAGCTCCATGACCACTACCGCATCGCTCGCCACCAAAACGGCAAACTCCTCCAGGACAATCACACCCTAGCACAGTTTATGAAAGTCCAGAGCAACGAGATCGAAGGTCTCAAGGCAGAGCTCAATACCGTGAAAACATACGATGCGAGCCTTCGAGAGTCCCTCAGGCTGGTCACCAGAGAAAGAGACGAGCTGAATGGCAGACTGCATGCAGCGTACGTCCGTCCCTCTCCGTCTGCCGTATCCTATGATAGTCATCCTACTCCATAGCTTGAACGAGGTTCAGTTCCTTCGCCAACAAATTGCGCACATTTCTTCAGGTTCACAACTGCCACAAATGTCACCAACTCCCCCATTACGAGCACAGCATATTCACCCACCGCCGCAAGGACAACATATGCCGCCCCCGCCACAAGGGCAACACATGCATATCCCGCGTTTGCGTCAATCGCTGTATTTACATATCTGTCTCATGCTCATTTATTCTTTGTCTAGCACCACCTGCGTCGCCGCACCATATGCAGATACACCACCCTGCACCTCCCCAAGGGCATTTTGCACCTGGACATCACATGCAACCGCCAATGGTCGGTCAGGTTCCACCAGGAGGACGACTGTCTCATCCTCAGAGACTCCCTCAGCACAGAGCTTCGGTCCACGGCCTACTACCGCTCAACACTGCTGTCACTCCGAACACCATAACGCATCGTCGGTCCTCTGCGCCCGCCACGCACATGGTCGGCCCGGGCATGGGCAGCCCTATGACAATGTCTCCTGTGACCAGATTCGGTGGCATGACACTTTCCAATTCTCCCGTCGGTAGTCGCCCAGGGTCCGCGGCAGGCCCGTCCTTCTCAAGACCGCCGTCCTCTGCATCGAGGCCTCCGTCATCCAGAGGAATGCATCCGCCTCCGCCTCCGCCACATACCTCATCCCCGAGTTCTCTTCACGGTGCAATCATAGATCTCACTCAGGATGATCCTCAATACGGACCGAACAAGCGGCTCAAGCTCGAACATGGTGGCTATGTTGTCGCATCGCCGCCTGCTTCGGTTGTTGGGAATGCGCCGAAGCCTCCCAGTCCTCCGTCTCTCGCTGTAGCTTCAAGAGAAGATGCTGTTCAACTTGGCGAACCCGCTCCTACTCCTCATGTGGACCTTCCTACTTCTAGCGCTGCACCCACCTCCAGCAATCTGACCCCCGTTGATGCCCCCGTTGCCGTTACATCTCCCGCTTCTGCGCCGCCCCCAACAGATTACCAGCCTGCAGTAGCACAGATGCCGACCCAATCTGAGCTTCCGCCGGCAGGCACAGACGCATCCATGGAGGATGAAGCATCGACAATTGAAGAGGACTGTCTGGATGCCGGCTTCGACGAAGATAAGAACGACGATAACACACTCTGGTGTCGCATGTGCAGGCGAGCGCGGTTCGCTACGCTTTGTTTTGCGCGTCTGACACCTCGCTATCCTAGGTTGCGATTTGAGAAAGGGCACACCAGCTTGCAGCCAACCCCTTTCGTCAACGCGACACAAGACGTGCTCCTCAGGCATTGTGAAAGCGTTCATCCCTACGGGTGGGAGATCCTGCGAAACAAAATAATTGAACAGAGAGCTGCGGAGGAAGCTCGCAGAGGTCAATTACCAGAGGATTGATTGCGTCCTCTCGAAACATCAGCTCATCTGTTATTGCTGTGTATTGCTCACTCTGCTCTTACATATGATGTCGCATTCACCTTGAATCGTCGCTCCCTGCGCATGTAAACTTGCGCCCCAATGCTTTTGTGTATACAAAACCGAGTTCCTACGTCTCTCTCACAACTTCGTATCCTCGCTCAGTGCAGCAGGTGTGCTGCGGATATATTGCCGTAGCACTCGTCCTCCGTATGTGGCCGTTACAAGCCCAACTGACGCAGGCACCCATCCACTTCGTCTTGGGCATCGGAGCTAACAGGTGGAAAAACTCGATTGCTTCGAAAGTCGTTCGTACAGCGATAAAGTCCACAGCTCTCCCGACCTAGTGTACGGACGCATCCCCAACGTCGCTGGAAGTAATGGACATCAAAGTGCGGCAGGCCCATGTTTCTGTCTACGCGTTTACTTCACACATCGACTCATCTAAAACATTCTGTCAAGCCATATGCCTGTTCCTACTTACATACTAACGCCACTTTCTACCTCTTACCACTTCGCAAGCTCGCCAAACGCTGGATGCACTCCGCTCACGCAGCAGCGCAGCACTTCGTCTTTCTTTTCCAAAACGTCCTCCTGGATCGGACGATACCCAGCGATGGTCATGGGGATGTCGAGGTCCGCGAAGAGGCTCCTCATGACGTTGACGGCACCCGTGGATGCTATGCGACATCCCCCACACCCACAAGCGCGGCCCGCCCAGCGCGACGGCCTTCAACAGGTCCGCGCCCATGCGCACCCCCCAGTCGAATATGACCGTCAAGTCTACCGCGAAAACCTCCCATCAGCCTTTGACAAGAGATCACAAGCTTCAGCTCACCTTCCCCTATCGCGTCCGCGATCTCGGGCAGGCCGTCCAAGCTCCCAACCGTACCGTCGACCCACCAGCCGGCGTGGTCCGTGACGACAACTGCAGCGCGGCCGGTCTCGTGCCCTTGTACACTGCACGCCCTTGTACACGAGCGGGCGCCCTCCCGAGGTGTAACCACTCCTGCACGATGAACGTGACTGGGCCCCAGCGCTGCCACTCATGGCACAATAGCCTCGAGGTAAACTCACCTGGGGAAGAGTGAACAGCACCCGCTTTGGGCACCACTCGAAACTGTGGGCCTTCGGTTGGAAGGGAGGCTTTGGACGACGACGGGACGTGGGTGAAGGTCGGGGGGAGGGGAGAATCGGCTGGCTATGCCACATCGGGGGAACACACAGCGAACGCGACGGCGGTCCCACTGGTGAGCGCGCGCAAGTAGAGTAGCTGATTTGAAGGTCACGGCATAGTGGTGAGAGCGGAGGAGGTCGAGGGGAGCGAGATCATGTATGCGATCGAGGGCAATGGAGGGCACGTGGTCTGACGCGCTAGCGACGCGTATACAGCTCATTACGCAGCACGCACGCGTCTTCTCACGCACGCGTCTTTCCTCCTTTCTGCCTTCCAAGTTCCAACTACCCCCAACCGTCTGCGTTACCTTCACCTCATTCGTCCTCCAACCCAGCCCGCAACCTCGGGCGCCTTCCTCGTTGCGTGAGCCCGTGGTGTGCACGACTTGAACCGCCATCATGCCCCTGAGCTCCTCCTCTCCAAACCCCGCGCTCCGCATGTAAATACATCATTGGCCTCATATATGGCTGCTTCCGCTCTGCGGTGATGTTTGTGAGGTACGTTCCGGTTCCCCTCTCGACTCCATTGGCGGCAGCCCTTCCGCGACCCTTCCGCAACATTCTGGTGAGCTTTATAAGTGCCGGCGAGTTTTTTGTGCCAGTATTGATTGTTCCGCCTGCCCTCTTTGTAGTGGTGCCTATACGATTGGGATTTAGACTGTCTGTTGGATATCCACCGCCTGCTGCGTGGCTGACAAGGTGCGCATCCTTCGTCTTCCTCATTCTGCCCACCGCTCAATCACACCCCTCTCACCAACTCCATGCCTGCATACTCAGAAAGCTCTGGTCGTCACGTCGACGCTCGCTCCACTCTTTACTCCAGTGGAACCAACCTTGGTCTCATCCCACCTGCGACCTCAAGTCGCGAAATGCTCCTGGAAAGGCCAGACGTTAGTGTGGTATGGCCCCTGGATCAGTTCATGGACCAGCTCAAACTGCGCGATGAGGCCGGTTTCTCTGCGACGTTTAGTGAAGCTCGCGTCAACCACATATTCTCGATGTTCAACTCGATATTCGTGGACGGGACTGGCAAGCCGAAGGAACATGTGGTGGAGAAGGATGTGAGCAACGCTTGGGTAAATTCTCTTTTGCGCCCGGTGCTTGCATATCAAATGACCTTGTATGTCACCTAGGAGAAAATCGACCAAGCCCAAGCCCAGGACTACGCGCCTCATGGCAACCTCTGTCCTGAATTCTTTCTTGGACTCTCCGAACACAGAGCCGACGAGGGAGACCCGTCTGGGTTGAAGTGCGACGGCTACTTTGCCAAGCGGGAAGACAAGAACAGCATCGTCACTGGGGTCCCCAATTGGCCCTATCAGTGGTTCACAGTCGAGTTCAAGAGCCGAAGCAACTCCAACGACCCCTTCCAGGACGACTCAGAGCAGCCTGAAGCTAGCGCCACCTCACGTCGGCTTGTCCGGGGTCAGCTGTTCTCCTACACCCATCTCGTCTTCCACAACCAGCACCGCCGCTTTCTGTACATGCTCCTCGTCATGGGCTCTCAGTTTCGCGCACTCCACTGGGATCCTTCAGGAATCATCGCCAGTAGTCTCACCAACTACGCCGACACTGTCGATGGGACGAGGACGCTACTCAAAGTACTCTATGGCCTCTCCATGATGAGCGACACCGCGGCTGATTTCGATCCTACGGCGATTCGACTTAGTCCGACGTCGCTTGGGTGGAAGCGTATGGATTTTCTAGGCCTTCCCAAGTCTCACGACGTCGTTGCCACCGAGGAGGTCTCCCCATCTCCTGATCCTATGAGGGATCGCTTTCCTGAGCATCTCTATCACCCTCTTTCCGCCTTGGCACCCGACTGCGAACCTTTCGCCCCCGGCGACACTTTTGGCGACCCCACAGCAGCGGCTCCGTGCGAGAACATGGACCCATCATGGGGTGACTGCAAGGGCCCCTCCACATTCACCTATATCCGCTCCATGTTCGAACAGTCCTGCCAGAGCGACCGTCTGCCCCGATATGCTATCACAGTACAGAACAAGTTCTACCTGGTTGGTCGCCCTGCTTTCAATGCGGTGTTCTCGTCTGGGAGAAATACCAGGGGATATCCCGCACTGGAGTGGCACACCCAGCGCCTCGTTTGGTTGAAAGATTTCATCGACCATATTACGAGGGCTCCGGTTCCGAGATTGAATTCCTCCACAAATTCAGCAAGACCAAGGGGATCCATAACGTTCCTACCCTAGTTGCGCCCAGGAGTATCCCGGACAAGTTAGCTTCCTGTCCTCACGCTTAGGTGCTCACAGGCCTCAACAGGATGAAGGCCAACTCAGCATGGACGTCCCTCATACTTTTCAGGTGGAGCCCTCGAACCAAACTGGTGCAGGCTCGCGGCACATGAAACACTGTCGCTCTGTGGTTGTGGAGGTGTGCCAGGCACTGCCGACATTCAGTTCATCGCAGCATCTGGTTGATTTGGTGCACTGTGCATACCGTGGTGAGTCTTGATATGACAACACTGGGCGCTACTTAGCTCAATGGGTCTGTGTTCTGACAGCGCATAAAGACGCGGCTGAAAAATGTGACACCCTCCACCGTGACATCAGCTCAGGCAACATCCTCATCTGGCCCACAGTATCTCACCAAGATGGTTGTTCGCAACTCCGTCGCGAAGCAATGCTATCTGATTGGGAGATGGCGAAGAACATGACTAACACCACTCGACTCAGCCCCCCGTTACGGTGAGGGATATCACATTGAATAGTTTAAGGTCACTGAATAGCCTGAGCAGGGTACATGGGCCTACGCGTCCTTATTCCTCCAAAAGCATCTCACGAGGGTCACAAACATCGGCGACGACTCTGAGTCCTTCTTGCACGTCCTAATTCACCAGAGTGTACGCTTCGTGAAGCACAACTGGTCGGAGGATGACGTCCGCGAATTTTGCTTCCGGTACTTCGACTCCTACGCAGGCACCTCAGCCGCCATCGGCCACAGCTCATTCAAGGAGGAATGCATTCGTGCGAAGGCTCTGGTCCACCCCACTGGCGGGGATGCACTGCACTTTCTCATGAAAGACGAAGCTGGCAACCTGGTATTGCACCCTCTCAACGCCTTGATCCATCAGTTGTTCGTGCTCTTCTCTGCCCGCCTCCTAGCACGCGACTTCGATGAGCAACAGGCTCGGAACAACAAAATGATCAAGATGGCTAGATTTCAGTCTCGCCAGTCCGCCCTCTAACTACTCAAGACCTCGAGAACGTCGCCCGACTCGACAACCATGCGTATATGGACAGTCTGCTGGAGGGTTTTAGCTCTTCTGGGAAGCTGGATGGTGATCGCAAGTGGAAATGGCCTGCACAGGACAAGAGATCGACAGATGCGTTGCAGCATTACAACCCTGAACAGCCTCTTGGTGGCAGAAGGTCGAAGTCGAAGGTGGCGAGGACTTCTGGAATGCAGTCTGTGGCCGATGTGGAGGAGCGTCGCTGAGTGTCGGGATACGTAGCCATACCACTTACTCTGTAACCGCGCACACGTTCCTTCTGTCATATCATTTGCGTCGAGCAGGACATGCTATCTCACCATGGAAGAGGGACCAATACTCCGCTTGAAGCTTGCTTAGTCACTAGTGGCAGATACCAGAGGGACGTCGCCGTCTGCCGTCTGCCCTCGCTTTCCTTGCACAGTTAAGACTTGTGGGCTGTCGTAGGCCCACGGACACAGGATGCATGTGCAGGAGGGTGCTTTCGGAAGAGGGAAAAGCGGCTCTGTTGAACTGTACTCTATTACATGCTCATGCTCAGACGGCTAGAGCGAGATCAAGAGGCAGGGTCCGCCGTCGTGGGTGGGGCAGAGTAGTGCGGCGTCGGCGCGACGATCGTGGAGCCCGTGCTGGCACTCCCGCCCCCACGTCCGCTGGTTGCGGCGATGCCGACGGCGCTGCCGGGGAGCGGGGAGCGGGGCATGAACGAACGGCGGTTGAGGACGAGGCCCTTGAGCGCGCGGATCTCGCGCCGGAGGTCGTCCTCGAGCGCCGGGGGTACGGTGGGGGCGGGGAGGGACGTGCGAAAGGGGAGCGTGGGGGCGTACACCTGCCGTGCGAGGTGGCCGGTGAACGCAACGAGCGCGTCGAGCGTGTGCCCGAACTTGGACGGGGGAGGGCTTGCGGGGACCGCAGGGAGGGCCGCGGAGAGCGCACTGAGGGAGGCGAGGAGCGGGGGTGCGGGCGCGGAAGGCGACGGGTTGTAGGTCCAGATCGTGTCTTGGGTGGGGGCCGCGGGTACGCTAGGGGTAGGCGGGGATGGGGATGGGGATGAGGACGTGGACATGGACGTGGACGAGGGAGTAGGCAGGAAGGCAGGAGTAGTAGTGAGTGTTTGCCAGAGGGAATCCTGGAGGCGAAGGTAGTACGTTAAATGGGACGAATTGCACACAAATGGATAACGCATTTTAAACGCGTACCTCGTAGTTCGCCCCCTCTTCAGGGATCCATGGGAGTTTGGTCACAAGGACGCGGAAGAGGTCTGCCGAGGTGGCATTCTGGCCCGTTTTTGAACACTCGGCAATGGCGCAACGAAGCAGCGACTGGGCGGAGATGTCCCTTGACCCCGCGCTGGCCTCCACGAGTTCGTCTAGAGTGGAACATATGGCATACTGTGGCGGCTCTCGCAAGAGCTCGGGCTGTGGCAGCACTGCGAACGTGGTTTTCTGGGTGGCCTTCAAGTCGTTCAGAGTTTTTGTCATGCGGTCAAGAAGTGCGCTACGATGCACGTGTAGTGAGACGCGTGCCTGATATGTTTGCGCAATCCTAGGATAGAGGAAACGCTGCAAAGTGTCGGTGTCATGCGAGTACGGGAACATCACAAGACTCACGAAGTACGCAAGCAGAAGAGCAGCAGAGCCACCAGCTACCCAAGTGAACGCGCGCAAGATGTTGAGCAGCATATATGGGACTTTAGAGGGAGGAGGCCGGGGATATGTCCGGGGAGGTACTGCTGGGGCAGGTTGTGGCTGATATTTGTGACATTGAATACGGGGTATGTGCAGGAGAACGAGGACTGCGCACCAATTCATAGAGCAGCACGCTAATCTCAGTATCCGTCAAGCCCTTTTCCGCTAGAAACCTCCGCTTGGCGGTATGGTCTTCGTGGCTAACCTGAGGCGAGGCCAGAAATGCCCGCGCTTGCTGTAGGAGTACGTTGCGGTCGACGGTGAGTGAGGGATTTGCTCCATGGGTCTGGGGGGAGGGAGCTCGGGGACAGCAGTCTCCACGGGAGGTTGGGCATCTTGAGATGGTGCTGGAGGGTCGGGTTTCGGTCGGTCGCTATCTCTCATGACGGAGGAGGAGGCGTCTACCCAACGTCCAGGCGCTGGAGCCGGTCTGGTTGGTTGCCGGACGCAATCTGAGCGCGAGCGTGTGCTCGGTGACAAAGCGGATGCCGGCAGGCGTCCAACTGCTTGAGCTCACTGGCCAGAAGATGTTCAGCCTGCGGGCCAAGATTGAAACGACCTCTGCTTCGCAACTGTCAGCATGGGTCGGATCAGGTGTATGTATATATCGCGCAAGATAGAGAGGTTTGAAGGAGTCGAAATGGAGGAACGTCCTCGGCCGCGGTTGCGCAAGAGCCATTCGCCCTATCGTCATACGGCATCCAGCACTATATAATCGCACCCTGTGCCTGTTCGCTTTCTCCCACCCTCTACTCTATCCTCGCTCCAGCCTGGCTAACATGAAGGGTCTCCAAGACGTGGAGAGCGCTCCCATCCTGGAGAAGACCACGCAGGACGATCTCCTTCAGCCATGGTATACCGTCCGCTCCGACTGGAAGAAGCTCAGGGTTGTCTGCGTCGCCCTCGTCGCCCTCTTCACCCTCAACGCCTCTACGCCGTCGGGAGCTCGGGCTGCGAGGGTGCTGGTGGTCATGGCAAGCACTGGGCTCTCCAGGCGTTCAGACAGCACCAGAGTCTGACTCCGGAGCAGGTGGAGGAACTCTATCTGTACGTTCTCCTTCCTTCTCAACATCGCGCCTCCCTCTACCACTCGTGTGCAACACGCATTTAATCATGTTGTTTTCTATAGCTCCGTTCCTGACCCTGCTTCCGCATTGGCCGCGTCGCGCGAGTATGCCACACACCCCCACATTGCCGGGGGCATCGAGGACTTCGCCGATGCCCAAGTCATCCTTAAGCTCTTCCAGAAGGAGTTCGGCATCCGCGACACTCCCGGAGTTCCTCTCTTCGATGCAGGCTCACCTGAGTCGCGGCGGCCATCGAGGACATCCACAAGCTCCGCAAGCCAATCGCGTGGATCGACAAGTACTTTCCAGTCATGAACACCCCGCTTGACCGCGCACTTTCAATTTTGGGTGAGGGTGGGAAACCCGTGTGGGAGGCAGATCTGGTAGAGGACGGCGACCCGCGCGACCCCGAGGCTGGAAAATACCGCGACGCGGTACCGACGTTCCACGGTCTCAGCGCGGACGGCGACGTCAAAGGCGAGATCGTCTACGTCAATTACGGGCGTAAGGAGGATTACGACGAGATTGTCGCCAAGGGCGGAAGCCTTGAGGGCAAGATCGCCCTGGCTCGCTATGGCGGAGTCTTCCGTGGCTGAAGGTGCGTCTGCCACTTCTCCTGCGCCTTAATCCGCAATGTGAACCAACCCCTGCTCCAGATCAAGGGCGCTCAAGAGCGTGGTGCGGTCGGTGTGCTCATTTATTCTGACCCTCGCGACGACGGCGTCGTGACCGAAGAGAACGGCTACGCCACCTACCCCGAAGGCCCCGCGCGCAACCCGACGTCCGTGCAACGCGGCAGCGTGCAGTTCATTTCGATGTACCCTGGCGACCCAACCACACCCGGTATCCCCGCTTATGAAAACGCGACGCGCACGGAGGGTGAGAACATCCCCAAGATCCCCAGTCTGCCCATCTCGTGGGCGAACGCCGAGGTTCTGCTCAAGGAGATCTCGGGGACCCAGGCCAAAGATGCGTTCAATATGATGGGCACGCCGAGTGAGAAGAAGGTCAGGCTGGTAAACCATGGTGAGCTCTACTTGGCTCTGTTGGATGCTGGATGCTAAGGTACCGTCCAGTCCACACGAGGGTCATCCCTATTTGGAACACCATGGCTGTTATCCCCGGGCATATCAAGAACGAGACCGTTCTCGTCGGCTGCCACCGTGATGCTTGGGTTATGGGTGCTGCTGACCCCACGTCTGGGACAGTGTCGATCCACGAGGTTGTCAAGGGCTTCGGTGAACTTCTCAGGAGTGGTTGGAAGCCGTTGCGTAACGTTGTAATTGCCAGCTGGGACGCCGAGGAGGTAGGTTATTCTACCAAAGCTGGTCCCCGCTAACGCCTTAGTAGTACGGACTGATTGGCAGTACCGAATGGGCCGAGGATTTCCCTGAGTGGATCCAACAAAACGTAGTGGCTTACATTAACCTTGGTATGCTACTCATGCACCCTGTTCTTTGGCCAGCTGATTGATTTGTCACGACTTTCAGACGTTTCTTCTATTGGAGCCCAATGGACCGCTTCTGCATCTCCTTCCCTAGTACACCTCATCAAGGGAGTCGCCCTTGACGTCCCTCACCCCAACGATACCGATAAGACTTTGTGGGATGCTCGTCAAGACAGCGGACCGTTCCACAGTGGGATGGATGGTATGGATATCAAGACTATGGATGCGTCCCTGGAGGGGCACTGGGACTATGTGGAATCCGAACTCAACATTCCTCCTCTTGGCTCTGGCAGCGACTACACGCCGTTCCTTCAGCGTCTTGGCGTGAGTGTCAGTGCTGTCAAGTTGTTACCCAAGTATTCAGCTCTGAATAGGTCGCAAGCATGGACCAAGGCTTCAGCGGAACATTGAACGATGCTCCTTACCACTACCACTCGGTTTACGACTCTCAAATGTGGATGGAGAGGTACGGTGACCCCGGCTTCGTACGCCACGTGCGTGTACACATCTTGAGCGACTCCGACATCTCGCTCACCTTTTCCTCAAACAGGTTGCCGTCGCGAAACACCTCGGTCTCGTCGTTCTCCGGCTGACAGACTCGATTATCCTCCCCCTCAACACCACACACTACACCACTGAGCTCGATGCCTATCTCGACAAAGTCGAGTCGATCGCTTCTTCCCTCGGCGCCGCCGCCGACTTCACCGACCTGCGCAAGTCGATCGCGGACCTGCAGGCGGCCAGCGCCGCGCTCGACGTCGAAAAGGTCGCCGCCGAGCGTCACTTCCGCGAGCTCCTCGACAAGCTGCCCGGCCGCCCCGCCCACGCGCAGGGGCTCCCGGGCTGGGTCAAGCGCGTGCTCCGCAAGATCCTCCGCCACGGCGTGCCCGCGCCGGTGCGCGAGTTCATCAAGGCGGCGAAGCGCGTACAGGCGGCGAACGCGAAGCTCGTCGCGTTCGAGCGCGGGTTCATCTCCGAGGAGGGCATCAAGGAGCGCGAGTGGTACAAGCACCTCGGCGTCGCGCCTGGCAAGTGGCTTGGTGAGCGTCTTCTTCTTCGTGCCGCCATCATCGTGGCCCCGTTGTCGCGTCGAGTCGGTTCTGTTCGTTCGTGACTCGTCTGTGTTGTTCGGCGACGGTATCCCCGTCTTGTGGCGCGCATCTGGAGGACGGTAGTGCTGACCCTGAGATTTCTCAGGCTATGGAGCGACGACGCTCCCGTCCGTCACCGAGGCGCTCACTTTCGAAGGGAACGCGACGCTGGCAGAGTTGGAAGCTGCTCGTGTCTCAGCGCTCCTCGACGAGCTCGCGAAGACGATCAAGCCGTAGTCTGTAATTGCTCCAAGACGGATCGCATATTCTGGGGCACTGGGATGCTCTACGTGTGGTTTTGTGTCTCTATCGTCGACATCTATCATGTGCGTGCCAGGGTCCTTAGAAGATATGCTTTATTCGCTGCCTCTTTGTAGACTTCAGCTGGTGATACGTCGGAAATCTCAGTAAGACCTGCCTGCCAATGGTCGGCTGCTGCGCGCATATGAAAGCTTCAAGTCCTTTCCCGTACATAACTCGCAGACGTAGCTAGCATGTCTTCGCCTATCGTTCTGCGCGATACGCACATCAAACGACTGTGTCGCTGCCGTTCTCCTCATCTACAGTCTCCGCAAAGGCCGCCACGACACTGCACGCCTCGACACCGGACTGTGCTTCTTCCATGTCCTCCTCGTCTCCTCCCAGAACCGTCGCCGCTCCGTCGCCCCCCTGCGCTCCTTCGTCAGGAACGGTCTCCGCGCCTTTCCGTCTCTTCGGCTCCCGTTTCTTCCACCCTCCCCGCGCTCGCCACCTTCTCCTCCCTCGACCGCATCGATGCCCTCAAGTCCCCGCCCCCGAGCCGCGGCCGCGGCGGGACGGCGACGGACACGCCCCCGCCGTGCTCCGCGAGGAGCCGCTCGAACGCGCGCCCGCGGAGCTCCGCGTGGACGACGCGCGTCGTGTGCGGCTCGTGCGGGCAGCGCGCGAACGAGAGCCGGACCGTGCGCGCGGGGGCGCCGAAGTCGCGCGTCCACCCGGGCCAGAAGTCGACGTGGTCGTCCGGGCAGACGTGCGCTTCGATGCGCGGCGAGCCGCGGTCTGCGGCGGACGGGGGTCGGAAGTGCGGGGGCGGGACGGCTGTGGGGAGCGGGGTGGGCGGACCGCGGGAAGCGAGGGATGGGAGTGGAGGTGTGGACCGACGGCTCGGCGGCCGACTCGATGGTGCCGTGCTGGCACCTGGAGGGCGACCACCAGCCTCGAAATCCGGCTTTTGACCGCTCGAGGATGTCGGCCATCGCGGTCTTGAGCCGCGTGCGCGTCGCCCCATCCTCCGACACGTCAATGCGTGGTCCAGTCCCGCTGACCTGCACGGTCGCCCAGTGTGCTGGCCTCCCGTCCAAAGAGTTTCGGTGGCACAGCCCAAGCACAAGGACGATCGTCTCGCCCACGACGTTGTTCATGTTGGCGAACATGACGACCTGCACCGGCAGCCCGGCGGCGCTGGAGGTGATCCCAGACCCCGGCCGGAGCCGGAGCCCCGTGAAGAGGCGGTAGAGCCAACGCGGAACACGGAACGGCGTGCCCGGGACGCTGTCGGGCACGAGGGTGAGGACGCTGCGGGCGGGCGCCACGGGCGGGGCGGTCGCGATGTAGAACTCGCGCCAGGAGGCTCGGAAGGTCGTGCCGCGGAAGGAGAGGTTGTGGAAGTCCGCCCCGAGGTGAACGACTCGGATGTAGCGCGTGGTGCCCTCGGAGCGGTCCTCGAAGCGCGCGCCGACGTGGTATGTCTGGTGCGAGCGCTCGGGGTCGGGCGCGACGGGATGGAGCAAGAGGCCAACGTGCTCTTCATCGGTCTCGCAAAAAAGGACGGCGATCGTGTGGTTCCCTATCTCTGCGAGGGGGAGGCGGCACTTCATCCCGATGTTGGTGGTCTCGAATGTTGGAAGATCGTAGCCTGGACCGAAAGGTCCAACCGCCTTCCGAGTCTGTCCCTGTGAGGGTGTTAGTCCCAGAGGGGGGAATAAACAATCCGCGACGCACATCCTTCCGACGCTTGCACTGGACGGCAGTGTAGGGCTGTAAAGCGGCCGAAGCAGAGAGCCGAGGCGTGTAAAACATCCGTGCGAGGAGAGCGTATCGAAAGTTGCGAGGCGAGGGTGCGAACAAGAAGTGTTTTGAGGTATCCTCCGATATACCGTCAATGCAGGAGGACTCCGCTTCATCGAAAACCAACGACTTTGAGCGTTCCGCGGAGTGCCGGTCGCCCCATGCGAAGAGAGTGGTGTCTGAGGACTGCTTCGCGATCTCTTGCTGGAGACGGTAGAACGCCCTGTACCCTCCCCGTATAGAGTCGGCATGTGGATGTCGAAGAGGCCTAGAAGACAGTAAGCCTCGTCTTCGAGGCGAGTCGTCGTGCGCTGAGCTGCCCAAGTCATGCGAGTCGCAACAGGGATGTTGGAGAAGGGAATCTGCCGTGTGAGGATCGAGGAAGGAATGGACGTGATCCCGGTGAGGTGGTCTGCAAGCTCGTTCTTGGTACCGAGTCTCTTCCAGTCACTGGAGAAGAAGACGACAAGCGCGGGGGCGAGGAGCTCTTGCAGCGTCCAGCCGCGTCTGTGCCAGCGGGCGCGGCAGAAGGCGGGGAGCCAGTCGCGCGCGCGTTCGCCCGACGGCACGTCGGACAAGTGAGCGTAGCACACCTCGGCGTGAAGATACCAGATGAACATGGAGTTGATCGCCTCGGAGAGCTCGGTGCTGGAGTCCTTGTCGATGCAGCAGGTGTCGATCCAGACCCATTCGTATCCATCCTTCTCCGCTTGGATGCAGCAGTCGCGGACCTTCGCCGATAAGTGATCGCGAGCGTCGAGACCCTCCGCACGGCATCTTCGAGTGATCTCTCGGACTTCTCGGAAAGACTGCTCTCCGAGTGGGTCCCAGGTATGGGAAAGGATGGCGTAGCCGCCTGGAACGGCGGATGTGTCAGCGAAATGCGTCAGAGTCGCGGTTGCTGCTTGAAGCAACCACATAGTCTCATCAGAAAGAAGTTGGGGGGTGGTGTGAACGAGGGGACGGACAAGATACGCACCCACCAAGGCCGTATATATGTCCACCGTCAGGCGGCTGGTGCCGCGCGGCACACATGACCGAGGAGGAGTCCCCCTCCTCCACAAACTACCCACGTTCTGTCGGTCTGAGTTCTTGATCCATCGGACACGGAACGGCGCAGTTCATGCTTTGTTTATTTGCTTCTTCGCAATTTCGTCCCGAAGAGGCATACCAGAAGCGCCCGTACTGCAAGCTCACGGCCAAACGGCGACGACTGGTCGCTGTCCACAAGCCATCCCCTGGAATGTATACAGCCCTCGGAACGGCCAAACATCTCGACTCAGATGGTTCATCATCACGGTACGGATCCTTCAATTTATCACACCTAACCAAAAGTAGCATAGTGAGTACTCGTCATTCTCCATCGCCGTCGCGGATAGGCTACGGAGTACATATCCTGTGGACTCTAGAAGTTATCCACGTGGCCAGTCGTGGTCGATATGATTGTACGTATGCGTGCGAGAGGTTAGGAGTCCGTCTATGTCCGGGCCGACGCGCGTGGACGCGTGGACGAGAGCCATACGACGTGTAAAGTAGGGAATTGCGAGAGAGGTGGGTCCGCTCTGCTGCGCAGAACGGGGCCCGAGCGACAGGGCGAGGGGAGCGCGTCGCCCACGGCGCGAACGCTGCTCCGCGCGGGGTCGGGCTTCTATAGATAGAGATGCCCATATGAGCGCGGCAACCACCAGCGCCCGACGTCGCCGTGTGGGTGGGGTTGCTGGGGATTGCGCGGAGATGAGCTGCGGCGTGCAAACACGGGGGGCGCTCGAGGCGCAGCGTCGGATACAACGCCGGCGCAGGGTGTGTGCGCGTAACAACGAGGGAGTCGTGGCGGGTGCATCGAGGATAAAGCGCGTTGCGGTGAGGGAGGATCATTGAGCGATGGATGCATCATCGGGATGTCTTCCACAAAACCGTCGTCCTCAAGCCCCCGGCAGACTCAGCATTCCCCAAGGAACGAGTTCTTTGGGAACGGCTGGTGGAAGTCGTCCACCCATGTGGTGAGGTTCCAATTTGAGTAGGCCTCGATGTACTGGTTGATGTAGGCCGCGGTGGGGTAGTCCGGGGGATCGCAGCCGATGTTGATCGCGTTCACAGGCTGATACACGCGAATGTAATCCACACGCATGTGCACGGGGAACGGCAAGTGAGAGAGGTCGACAGGGCCAAAGTTGAAGGACATGCCGAGGTTCATGATGATGTACTGAATGACGAGCGTGCGTCAGTGCTGCGCGCGTCCTGTATACCCCATTGGACGCACCATCGGCTCTCCGGGAACCGGTCGTTCTTGAATTTCCACGAGCGAGTCTGGGCCCATACCAGGGCCCATGAGCGTCCATGAGACCTTGTTGTTGGATATCCAAGTGATGTACTTGTGGGTAGCGTGAGCGTCGTTACACAGTTGGCACGATGCACACGGCCACTCACCCCGTCTTGGAAGCCAGGCTTGTACTCAAAACCGTATATGGAGAAGCATCCCAAATCTCCTTCATAACAGTTCGGATCTGTTTCGGTTACGACAGATGTGGCTTGTTGTGTTGCACTGCCGGTGAACGTGTTCTGAGATGAAATCGAGGGGTCGGTAATGATCTCGTTGGCGCTGGTGTTCAGCCACTGATAGGCGTGGTTGAACGGCTGAGGGCGACGAAACGGTAAGCTAGGGTCTATCGGAATTCGTCTTGACGGAACTCACCGCCCACTGCGCACTTTGAGAGACCTGTGCGATTAAAGTCCCTTCCGTAATTTGTGCCTCGAACATGTCAATCTCAGGCGCAGCTCTGCCAACGAAGGTTCCGTCCGAGTGCTTCGGTCCTGGATGGCTCTCGCCCGGGCAGGTGCATCTCGACAGTCGCTGCCCCGGTAGGAAGGAGAGGACTCCCCCTTTGCCAGTGTCGCCGTCCACGGTGGCGGCTTCCGGCTGCCCGTTGACAGTCTGGTTCTTGACCGTTCCCACATCGCACGTATCATATGTGTACGGCCACTGAGCGAGGCAACGATCGATCAGCAAGACGGCAAAAAGGCGAGTCCCAATAAGAGACGCACCATGCCTTCCAACGTCGCACCATACCCAGCCCGGCCCAAGTTCCCCATTGTCCAGATGGCAGGCCACAGGCCAAGAATGTTGTTCACGCCTGGTAGCGATACGTTCGCCTCGATGTATCCGCCTGTGTAACAGAACTTGTTCCACGTCGACATCATGCCTGCAGGCAAGAAGGACGGGTGAGCGGCACGCGCCACGGCTTGCGAGACAGATTGCACGAACCTCCTTGATAGTTCAAGCCATGGGTGTCCTTCTGCGAAAGGGTGATGACAAGGCTCCCGTCCTTTGTCGTGATCGCTGCAGGGTCGTACCATTCGAGGTTGTTCGTCGCCCAGTAATGAAGGTCGACAGCCTCCCAATACGGGTCGTCGCCGGGGTAGAAGGTGCGGCCGTCGGTGTTGAACTCGTCCGAGAAGACGAGCTCAAACTCCTCTCCGCTGTTTAGCCACGAGGTCGACTTCCGGGCTGAAGCCGGCGTGGCTGGGTCGATGGGGCCGCGGAGTCCTCGAATGTCGGGTACCTGATCAGGCGCGGCAGCAAGGTCAGCAAGGACATATGCGGTGCAGATCGGTGACTGTGGACGCACCTGCCCGGATCCGTTTGTTCCGCCGAGATTGAACGCGCCGAGGTTGCTGAGGGGAGGGGAGGTGACCGCAGTAATGACGGGATAGCCCGCGCTGGAGCCAAATGTTCAGGTTAGCGCTGGCGTGCGAGCCGGGGTGGATACCGCGGGGAAACCTGGGATGGATGCGGGGCCCGCTGCCGGTAAGAATACCTCCGCGCGGCAAGGGAAAGACGAGGATAGCCCCGAGACCGTGGGGATCCCGGAGGCGGGCCGGGCGCAGCGGACTGGGCGGGAGCGGGCGCTTCGCTTGCGCAGTAGGAAGGACGGGAATACAACACGCACAATAATGTGAGGATGCCGGTGACGATGACGAGAAGCGAGCCGAGGTTGATGATGCCTCGACGGTTGATGATGCCATCGTGGCTGGTGTACTCAACGAGGCGGCCGTTGACGACGGGCTCGGGCCGGTGCAGCTCGTCGTCGTCCTCCTTGTCCTCGGGGAGAATGTGCGTTCCCCATTTGACGGGGTCGGGGGAGAGCGTGTACTGAGCGTGGCAAGCGTGAGGCGGGGGTCGTGGACCGAAGCGGGGATACGCACCTGGTCTCCGAGCGAGAGAGGGCGGCTGCCGAGGTAGGGCGAATCGGAAGCGGTGGAGAGCTCTGGGGTGCTGGTGGCGGCAGCAAAGCGGTGGGATATGGAGGGATAGGAGACGAAGGCGGCGGAGGAGAGAAGGGCGCGGCGGGAGGAGGAGGTGCGGAGGGAGGGAGCGGCGGCAGACTCTATCGAGTTGCCGGAGTGGCGGTTGAGGTCGGGGACGGGGATGGGCTCTGGGGAGCCCTCGAAGGGGTTGGCCATGGGGACGGAAGGGTGGCGGGTCGGAGGAGGGAGAGAGAGGGTGGCGGGGGGAGGGAGGACTGGCGCAGAACCGAGCTGTGCGGAGAATAACAGCAGGCCATGATTTGAGAAAAGTGAGGGCGCGTCATGGGAGGGACGGTGAACTGGACGGACGGCGTGCTTCCCAGCCCATCTCCCACCCTCCAGCCAGTGGTGACGTCCGTCCCGTGACCGTCGCCAGCTTCTTTCGCGCTCCACTCTCCGTCCCGTGCGCCAGGCCCCCTCCGCCGATGGCGACGCTGCGGGCGACGAGCGGGCGAGCAGCCAGCTGGCGCGAACGAGCGCGACCTCCTTCCACCTGGGCGCGTCATCGTCTGCCACACCATCTAATCTCGATCGAGTGCCCGCCGGCTGTATCCGGCCCGCCGCTCTCTCCCCGCAAACGTCGACCACTCGGTGATTCGGGGTCGGATGGGTGGCCCCTCTCCGCTACGTCTGCCACCGCACACGTCCTCGGCGTCGAAAGCGTCTTTATGTTTCCCTCTAGACCCTCCCCTCCCCGTCATCCCACCTAACCATCGCCGCCACAACCGCCACCCCACGCTCGCCGGACCCCGTCTCTATCTCAACCCCGACCCGTGTCCGCAGCCCTTGCAAGGCCCGCAGCCAGATCCTCAGCCTCATCCGCAGTTTGTTCCTACTCACCCGTCCCCGCCTCCTCCTTCTCCTCTCACGTCGTTCCGCCCACCCTCGCCCTCTGTGGCCCCCTCCTCCCTGCCATCTGTCAAATTCCAGACAATTCATCTCCGCTCGCGACATGCCTCAAACTCGTGCTCGGGCACCGCGGGGGCGTCGGTCCCCGCCGGTCAGCCCAGGTCAGCCCGGGTTCCCAAGCAACTTGTCATTCTCCTGTCTCCCGATTCCCGCTCCCGTTAGCCCAGCTGCTCACGCACCATGACGACATCCGCCTCCTTTTCGACCGCTCTCGCCCCGGTGTTCTGATCACACCGAGCAGGCGGACGTCACGGCAATCCGACAGTCGCGAGTCTACGACGAACGGTCCAGGCTGATACCTCACCCATGCTTCTATACTCCGCTTCTCTCGCCTACTCGTAGCGCTCACTCACCACGCAGCTGAACCCAGAGTCTCGCTGAGAAAACGTGTGAGCAGTTGACTCGCCGACCGCACTGCGCTGATCGTCGCAATTCAAAGCTAAACGGTTGACCTGAAGGCACATTCGTGGACGACAACCGCGAAGGGGGCAGTCACCAAGCAGCTTCGACTTCCATTCTCGCAATCTCGTCGGTTTCCACTGCCATCCAGTGAGGTAAAGCTCAGTATCTATTTGGCCGTATCAAACTGATCAATCAATTTCAATCGGGGTGGTCGATTTGCAACCGGATGCCATTTGACTGCGCTCATGCGTCCACTGATCCAAGGCGCTGACCGCAAGGGCTGTTCTTACACTCGGGCAATACGATGATCATGCCGCCCACGCTTCCATCCTCAAGTCCTTGTTCTGGATCATATCAGTTCAGGCGGTGTACATATCGTCGCATCCTGCGGCCAAGATGAAATTCCTATATGTTGAGCACCGCCCATCCTCCCTATCCGATTTGCCAAAATGGCGCAGGCTGCTTAGACGCAGCAGAGGCCCGTCGGACATCATACCTTGTCTGCGTGGTTCCTCATCCACAAGTGCCCCTGGGCCTCAGCGGACATCGCAGCCCCAGATGTCTAGATGCCGACACGGTCCCCGGGTGCGATGACGTCAAGTACTGGCATTGTGATCGCCGACTGAAAGAGGGCCCGACTCAATAGATCCGAGGAAGTGGCCTGTATTCACCATTCGGATGAGATAAGCCTTCGCCGAACTTTCGCGGGCATCCAGTTCCCCCCTTGTGCGCATACCACCGCAACCGAGGTCACGCGCACCGTCTACTACTGCCTCCGTCGCCGTCGAAGCGGCTCGCAGTCTCGCACACACGCACCACCGTCACGCTCGACCCCCTCGGCGTACGGTACTTACGCGCCCCGGTCGGACGACGACGGCAGTCCGCGTCCGGGGCCGGCCGGGACCGGCCACCTCCCGCGGGTGTGCCTGTCGCGCGGGCGGGTGCTCGACGGGCCTGGGCGGAGGGGCAGCTGGGGACGAGACCAGCACGGGCCGCGCACGACGTTTCCCGGGGGGTGTCCACTGTCTACGATGCAATCAAAAGCTCGAGGGCGACCCCAGCCCCGTGCGGCGTGCGCGCGCGTCCAGTCGACGCGCCGCGCGCTCCACTCCCACTCGGGGAAGAGCCGGCTGCGTCGGCGTTTGTGAGACCTCGTCGTCGTCCGCGGCCTCCCCGCGTCGTGGAACGGCCAAGTATGCTTGGCCCGTCCGTCGACCGTCACGCCGGGGTGGGGGTCGGAGCCGAAACGGGATGCAACTGAGCACTGGCGTGCAGATCCCAGACGATACCGCGGTTTCGCTCCGCATATAGAGAGCTCGTGTGGTCGCGGGCCGCGGGTGAAGGAAAGAGCGCAACGGACGTCCGGGACGGGCTCAGACTCGTGGGCAAGTTCGTCCGGAGAAGTCTCGATCGAATTCTTGGGGGTGGGGACGGGATACGAAAAGGCGCAAAGTCCAGAGGAAAGTCGTGCGTGCACGATTTGTAAGGGCATGCGTACAGAAGCATAGCTCGGATACACGCTCAAGGGTACCGGACGGAAAATAGCTGGGACAGGCGGATTGTGGCGACGGTTGCCTCCGCTCCGCACTTTGAAGCCGAACCCAAGAACCGATGCATATGATATACGCGCTGTGGAGACGACTACGGATACAAATGGCGGCGCGCGCCGTGGAGATGTGCGGTGAGATACTACATGCATGCGTGTGCGGACGAGGTCGAGTGAGGGGATGCGGGACGGAGAGACGATGATGCGGGGGACGAGTGTCACGATGTAGTATGTACGGGTGAATGCGAGGGAGCCGGGGACGTCGGGATATGCGAGTCGTCCAACAGGTGATGCGCGAAGGGAATGGGGCGAAAGGGCAAGATGGAACAGATGGCAGATGGGCCCAGCAAAGTGAAGGGCAACGAAGAGATCGACGGACGTCAATGGAAAGGGAGTGGTAGACGTTTTCAGGAGATGATGAAACAAAGGAAGACATCGGGAATGTGTTGACTTTAGATCTAGAAGGATCGTCGAGAAGAGGTCATGGGCATGTGGCAAGGGCGTGGACGTGGGTCGCGATGGAGACATGGCGATCATGAACCTGTCGGAGGGCGTGTGGTTGGGGGTGTCGCAGGTTCAACGCCAACGCCGAACGTATTTTCCAAATGAATGCGTCACGGAGCGCAGAGATCAAACGTAAGACCCTGAGGATGGTCTCACCCGAGGACTTGATGAAGCATAGCAGAAGGAGCGCTCAGCATGAACGCAAGAGCGCCTGTGCTCGGTTGGCGTGGGCCTTGTCGACGAGGAGGTTTGCGTCTTGTACGTCGAACTGTACATGTGGTTGATCCGTTCTCCTCCAGCGTTCGGAGAAGCGATTCACCAGACCGTGTTTCTCTGCAGACATCATGTTGTAAGCGCCAGTGGACGACATGACCGATTACACGTGGGCACTCACCCAGACCGAATTTGCGCAGATCGATCTGCAAACACTTGAGCGAACCCGACGGAGGAGGCAGCTCTCCATCCGCGTTGTCATCGTCGTCGCCGTCCTGATCCTCTTCCGCCCACCGCTCCGGCGATGCGTTGCGCGAGTCGACGACGTCGAGCTCTTGGGAGCACATCACCATGTGCCGCTCGCTGGCTGGGAACAACGTCGCGAGCAGCGACACTGGCGCAGCGAGAGACGACCCCTCCTGCGTGCGCGTGAACGAGAAAAAGGGCACGAGCGGCTCCGGCTCCGAGATGCTCGACGATGTGGACGCGACCGACACCGAGCGCGACCGAAGTGACATCCCCCGCGCGGGCGGCCGCGCCGTTTGGACGGAGTCCAGGTGCCGTAAAGTCGGGCGCCCGCTCTCCTGCTCGTCATCGCCGTCGTCGTCGTCCGCCACGGAAGGGTCGACCGACGTGTCCTGTTCGGCGTCGAACGTCGGAGACGCGGAGCTCTCGCGGTCCGCCGGGTCCTTCTTGGAGACTCTGGCGCGACGCGTGTGGTGGTGTCGCTCCCACTCCCGGCCTCGTTTTCGCTCAGAGACAGCACCCGGAGGTGCTCCTCTGGGAGCGCTCGAGTAGCGCCGGGGAGGGTGTGCGCCGTCGTGACTGCCGCTGCGAGACGTACGCGGACGCCCTCGCGCTCCCCATGATGAGCTCCGGGAATGCGACGAGCTTGACGATTTTGAGTCCCCAGGTCTCGGCGCTGTCGTCGGACAGACCAACGTAGGTGATGTCGGGAGACAGCACCCGCACGTCGCACGCCGAGGGTGAATGCGAGTTCGAACGCGTGGAGTACGGCCGAGAGTCTGCCGTTGGCGAAGCGAGTGTGGGTACGGCGTCGTCGGAAACCAATGCAGGAAAGGCATCCTCCAATGGCGAAGTCATCCGCTGCGACAGGCCGCCTCGTGAACGCGAGCCTGAGCTGCTCGTGGTGCCGTTCGTGTTGCTTCTTGACCGGGTGAAGACGATGCCGCCGTCGGTGTCTAAGCTGTTCCTCCCCGAATGGCTGAAGTCGAAAGCCTGGTCTTCGATGCCTACGGGCGACATCAACGGTGAGGTGAATGCAGAGACTTGCGCGGTTAGGTGGGTAGGATCGGATAGGTATAGGTCGAATCCCGCCGATCCCAGAAGGGACATCACTTCCGTCAACCGCGCTTCCTTGACCTGTCAACGAAAGGCGTCTGTAAGTGTCATGGCGTAAATTGCACTTAGGTACACCATGAGAAGCGAAGCTTATAGGGCGCCGGGAAATGAATGCCGATAAGCACAGGCGTCCGGCACACAAGGCTCATTTACGTAGCAGGTGCGAGTGCCCTCTCGCAACCCTGCCCGACAGTGGACAAAATGCAATGGGTCGACTCACGAATATGAAATCGCTCATGTACGAGGACTGATAGAGGATGGAGATGCCGGCGGCGGCCAGAGGTGCAGAGAGCTCGTGCACTCGCGCGCCGGAAGAGTCTATACAGCATGCAGGCGTCTACGGATGAGTGGGGGCTGCTTGAAACGACGACAAGAGCAAGAGCTCACGCACCGAGTGTGTCCGAATGGGAGTCGATCTGGAGGACCTTCCACCGCTCCTGAGTGACCTCGACAGGCTCCCAGATCTCGCTCACCCGCTTTTGCGGGGGGCGCGGGGAGTGGGACCGTCCTGGCGGAGCTCGCGCTCACGCTTGCGCAGACGGCGTGCGTCCTTGCGTGCGGCGTCGTGGAACTCTTGGAGGGTGTCGTGCTCGGCGAAGAGGCTGACCTCGACTTCGTTGCAGGTGACTTGAGGAAGGTGGGGCTGGGGAGGAGGATTTGGCGGAGAACGTGGGAGGTGAAGTCCTGGAGGCGGGAACGGGGGAGATGGACAGAGAGAGGGAGACGGGTAGTAGAGAGATGGTGATGCTGTCGGCGTCGCCCATGCGGGAGGTCGGGTGCGAGAGAGGAGAGGGGTGTGGGCGGGGGAGGAGATGGGGGACGGGGAGGACGGGGAGTGGATGGGAGCGGTGGTGAAGCCGGGGAGGTGTATGCAAGCCGGGGAGGAGTTGGCGCATGGATCGCCGTCGGTGCCCAGCGCCTCGGGCAATATTCCGCGTCTACGGTCAATGCGGACGCGCCTTCCTCTTTCGGGGTTATCTACCCGACCGTCGTGGCCCCAGCGTTTCGCTTGCCTTATCGAGCCGCGGCCGAATGCCTCGCGGCCACCAGCCTCTCGAGCTCGCTCTCCACTCAATCCTCGTCCTCGCCGTGTCCTCGAAACGTCGAGGCCAACACCTCGGTGGGAAGGGTCGGGCGACGGACAGGATCTGATCGCGGCTCTGATCGACCAACAGAACGCCACGATGATAAAGGCAAGCAAGCAGCTCAACGTTCAAGTCTCTGCTACGCACCTGCGCAGCACATGGCGGCGGCCGCGTTTGCGCTGCTCGTCCACAACGCCGCGAGACCACAGCGGGCATCAGCCATCGATGGCTCCAGAACGTATGTTCCGACGAGGACATGAAGACCTGGCGACGACGGGTGGAGACATGTTGGAATACAACATGCTCGACGAGGGCGATCACGCTTCTCCTCTGGCTCCCTGCCGCCCGGCATCTGCTCGGCACGTCTTGTGCCCCTCCACTGGCCGACAACGTGCGCCAGCCCACGCTCATATTCGCCAGGATGTCCTGCTCTCCGATCTCCCACCGCGCACGCTCTCCCAGGCGCACGGACGCCCCGTCGCCCGTACCAGGAAACGCAACCCGCCATCGCAACACGTCGCCAGCTTGGGCTCCCATCGGGGCAGGAGCAGCCCCCTCTCGAGCGACGCGCGGCGCAGACCGTGCAGGGAGAGCGCGTTCGGTGGGAACGTTGTACACGGTGTGGGGGCGTCGTCTGCCTCTCTCGCATGCTCCGTCCCCCTGACCGCCCCGGACGCTCGCCGCCGGGCGTCGGGGGAGGGAGCCGGCGGCAGGCATGCGCTCGTACGCGCCACACACGCGCAAAGATTCGCACTCTAAATACGCTTCGTTCTGGACACGGGGCGCGGCGGGAGGGAGGCTGAAGTCGGCGGAATTCCGTGGAGGAAGGGGGTCGACCGCGCAGAAAGCCAGCTGGGAACAGGCCTGCGGGAGGAGGCTGTCGGTGAGCCTGAATCGCCCGCGGGCTGCGGCACGGGAGGCCGACGCCGAGGCAGCCCGAGGAGAGACATTGCCCATGTGAGTCGCTGCATGCCCCGTGCCTCGAAAGCCGTCTCGCCTGGCTGGTGTCTCACGGGCTGGACGTCAGAGTTGTGCGAAGCGGAAGTCCGTTCATAGTTCTGGTCACCGCAACGATCGTCGTCGCGCCCAAGGAGGTCAAAAGACTCACGCATAATTGACGACAGCACAGCCGAAACGTCCCTGTCAACTTCCTGGAAGCCGACCGTGCCCTCCACGCAGCTGGGAACTTCCCAAAAGGCTTCAAGAGGCCATCAGGTCCAGACGACGTCCTGGTCATGTGTGCTGCCGTGTCGCTCCTTCGGGGCACGTTGGTCAAAGAGACCCCGGAGGACCCGGAGAGCGTTGGACCGCCTGAACATGTAGGTCTTGGACTCTTTCCATGCGCTTGTATCTTGGACGAAGTAGTGGCAGCCCCTTGCGCCCACAGAATAAGCACTGAGGCCACTACGAATGGACTAGCGGCCGGCGCAGATGGTAGAAAATCCAACGAACGGCCAACGTTCGCGGGAGAAGACAGATGATAGCACCATCAGATACTACTTTTCCAGAATTCAGTCGTCGGGCACGCGCGTACCCATTTCTGGTTCACTGGGGAACGTGCTATTGGCACCTGACATGTGCGTGTGTGTCCTGAAGGAGGAAACCTACACCGCGTGAGGAACCAGCTGCGCATACCGGTCCTTTCGAACAGATCCTCTCACCTCTGTGACAACCGTCGACCGAGGTCACCGCTCATCGACATCCTGCGCCTCGTCAACCTCGTTCCCCAAAGGAGGCTCCTCTTCCCTCCCCCTCAAGAAATTGAGCCATACCCAGGACATCCCTCGGCTTTCCAGGTCGTACCAGTAGTTGACCGCCACTGTGAAGCCTTCCTGGCGAACGTAGTGCCACCAGCCCCCGGGCAGATACAGCGTCTCGCCTGCCTGCACTGTTATGTGGATCGGGTGCGCGTCCGGCGGAAGCGCAGCGGTGTCGGTCGGGTCAGCGACAGACGACCAACGCACGAGAGCCGTCGCAGGATCAGATGGGACGAGCTCCAGCTTTGACGTTCCAGGAACTCGTTGATAGGTTGCATGTGGGTAACGGCGCTCTGAAACCCGTCTCAGTAGATGGGTCCTTCGGATTCGGCGACGTACTCACCCTTCATACACCAGCCTTCTGTGGGCGGGAGAAGTGTGAAGTGCTTCGCTCCTCGGACGACAGTGTAGATGTTTTCATAGGGATCTTCAGAGGGAAGACTGTTCAGCCCACGCCTTTCCGCGCGCCAGTTCTCGAAACTCACCGCTGTGTATGCTCGTCACGCTCTTCTCGTCGCCTATCCACAGGTTCACCGCGTCCGGGGACCGGTCTGCTCCGCCGCGTACTGTGAGCGCACGTGGTCGGCAGAGTGAACGTGCTCACCCAAAGCGTCGCTGCACCAAGGAATCTCGCTGGGTACATGCTCTCGCAGCGGCTCGAACTCGGACGGGTCTTCCTCGCCACTCATGGCAAAATAACGACTGGTGAAGATGTTCCCGTTTTGAGACTGGAGGTAGTGTATCCCGTCGAGCGCCCCTTCCGGCGGGTTCCACTCTGTCGACCAGCGGTTACTGACTCCCGAAGCCGAGCGACAAAGAAACACCGCGTACCTGACGAGAGGGCGTCCAGGAACGTCCGCGTTGGCATCAGCTCCGTGTGCGGTTCCGCGAAGTACAGCCTGCCGTCCGGACCTCGAGTCACCGCGTCGGCGCGACTGGGAGCGAACGCGTGAGCTTGCTGGACCTCACAGATGATTGCGGGAGCAGAAACGGGCCCCACCCGTTCGGAGTGACGGCGACGGAGATCGGGCGGTCGCCCATGACCTGCGAGATCCACTCAGGAGACCACTTCTCGGGGCCGTCGGCATCGACGGGGAGGATGGCAGAAACTGGGATGTCCGACAGCGGTCTTCAGCGGGCTGCCTGCTGCCGTACGACGTGGCACGCGCGAGGATGGACGCCATGCCTTTGATGAGGACCGGTCTCGCGATGCGCACCAGTCTGGAAAACTCGAGTGGGCTCGGGGTCTCTGTGAGAATGTCGTAATGAGAGCCGTTGAGATCTGGTACGGGAGGATGTGAAGTGAGCAAAGCTTGTCATAGGGTTTCCCGTTGCAATTACCGTGGTACTCCTGGGACAGCCATTTCAACCCGTCCATGTTTTGGGGTAAAGAGCTCGTCGCTGAATGCCAGCCCGTCGAGCGTGCGGTGACAGGTTACGGGATCATCGATCAACATTAGATACTGAAGATTATGTAATACAATCGGCTAAGTGCGACTCGTTGAACACCTCAACGTTCAACAAGCAACCACGGACACCCTCAAAAGCTCACCGCGACATGTCGGCGTGGGCCTCGATTGACACGTACACCGCCTCGGGCTTCCACCGGGCAGCTCGTCCGAGGCTGGAGGGTGGACGTGCTTCCGACAAGGTATGCGCCATCCTCTGGAGACGGATCCACTAGGCCTAGGGCTCTGTCAGGTGTGGACGGGAGTAAATTGCTGTTACTCTTTGTGTCTTTGTATACCCCTGCGTACAGATCCTTCCACGCGCCGTCGATGCCGTCCTGGTGAGTGCAGGTAGCTGTCTTGAAAAGCGTCAGAGACGATGGCACAGGCGCATACTTAAGCGCTTGATATGCAAGTTGCCACGCTACCACTGTGAGTGCACCTGAGGCAGTCTGCGTGTTCCCTCTGCGACGTGCTGACACCTGTGGCTTCCAATTTCCAGCGGCCATATGAGGCAAGAACGAGAACTGCAGGCATGGCGCCGACCTTGGCCATTCGACATTCTTCTCGCTCTCGCCTCTTGTCTATCTTTCCATGACTCGCCGCTCATCTCCAGCCTTATGCGTACTTGCAAGTATATGTATCGCTACTGGTCAAGTACCTTCTCTGCGACGTCGTTGTCAAAAACACATACCATGTTCGCCTCTTCCTCCGATTCATGCGTGTCAGCCCCCATCAACGCTGGCGCCATCTGCGATCTCTGACTTTCGACGTCGCCTTCACATCTCTCAGAAGTCGCAAAATGACCCAGAATACCTCCTCAAAGCTTTCCGAACACTGAAGCAAGCGATACGTCTCAGAAGACTCGAGGTCTGCAACTCTGACATCATCTTCGACTACCCAGATCTCCTTCCCACATTGCACTCTCTCCCTTCCGTCAGCACATCGTCGTCCACGACGGGCTTCCGCGCACCATCGATCTGTTAGATCATCCCAGTTGGTCTCTTGAATTCGTTCATCTTCAGAATGGCCCCATGACGACAGACGAATTACTATCAGACACTGGTGTGGATCCGGAACGCCTACATCCCCTATCCCTTCTGCGCCACTCGCACACTTCTCTGCGCACACTCCATCTGTTCGCATGGCCTGGAAATCTTGCACCCCGATCCACCTCCCTGCCAGTGTACAGCGGGCTCTCCACGCTCATCTTCCATCCCGACATTATAAGCCTCCCAGTGATCACCGCACAAGACATCGCCATCTGGACGCACGCTTTCCCCGCCTTAGAGCGACTCGAACTCAGATACGGACATGGGCGCATCTTCCTCCGCGGAATGTCATCGCTCACCGTACCGGCAATCGGATCGCGTTTGGAGGACTGGGATCTGACTCTCGAGAAGGCACGAGGGGGTCATCAATGGCACAGGTTGAAGAGCTTCAAGGGGCATGACGGCGACATCCATCTGCTCGGTCCCACGAGCCGCCTGCTCGACCTCTCCCTCGTGGTCTCGCGCTACCTCATCAGCTTCCTCCCTGCCATCCTCGCCAAGAACCGGCCACTATCATGCTCGCTACAATTTCAGGCTCGAGTTGATTTTCTCGATATCGCGACTCTGCTACACCTCCCGGCATTGGACGACGTGCGCTCGCTGGACCTGCTCTTCCCCGTGTTTTCGTGGCCAAGTACTCCGACGAATAACCTCGCACCGGAATTCTACGCATTCCTCGTACGCGCGCTCCCGCTTCCATGCTAATGCTCCGCCTGACCACTTCCACCAGGACTCCGTTTTGGATGCCTTGAAAGCACGCACTGTCGAAGACCTCACCCTCAGAATGTTCCAATTACGTTGTGCACCTCCCCCGACCACACGCGTTCTCATCACGACCCCTCCCGCTCCCTTCGATCACGAGAAGTGTGAGCCGCTTTGCATTGCGCCGCATCTCTATAAAGACGATCCACATCTCGCCGAAAGCCTTTGTCGCAAAACCTTCGCCGGCGTTCCTTCCCTGCGTCGGGTCACCGTCGCTTTGGAGTGGCACCCGTTCGCGCGCATGCGCCGGCGTCCCGTAGACGGCGAACTTGAACGAATCGACGGCGACGGCCCACCGCCTCCTGTATCTGCACCTGTCGCTTGAAGTGGTTCATAATATAGTTTCGCATATAGTACCCTATGTCAGGCAAAGGCGACAGTGAGCTGAGGGCACTGGTTGGGTGAGAGGCGTTGTCACGGGGAGAGGACTCTAGGGTGGGCACGAGAGGGTGACTGCCAGAGGTGGGGAGCAGAAGCGGGGCCGTAGACGTTGCCGGAGAGAAGGTAGGGATGGACGAGGATGCCACAGTGGCTCCGAAGAGTAGAGTCGCGCACCTGCCTAAGTCAAGATTATCCGGAGCCCCGCAATCTAAGCCCCGTCGGCGAAGAACAATCGCAAATGGAGCCTTCCAAGGCTTGTTCCACATTATATGACGTATTGGTACTACTTGGGTGTACTTGTCTGATGGTCCTTCGTCACGAGAGGGTATCGTGCGCACATTCAGACAACTATCGTTGAGGCTCGCGCAAACGCCAGTAGCTATACTTGGAGAATGTGTGCAAGTCCGGTCGTCGCTGGAGCTCGGGGTCTTTCCCGGCCCGGAGCCACGTGCACAAGCGAACGTTTGTTCAAGGCAACCAACTCAGCTAAATACTACGTATACAGTCACTCTGTTGCCTGCCGCTGGGGCACCACTGGGCCTTACGAGTCCAACTCCTTCGTGATGCTTCTTCCCGTGCTGTCATTAGACCGGCACGGAGCTCTTGTCGGCATGACTGTACCATCACTCGGCAGTACGTCTCCTCCATAAATCCGTTCATCCGGTATACCCCGGTCAGGTCCGATGTATGTTCGCATTGCATCTGCTTGTCCGATTGAGCCCCGACGACTGATGGGCTTCCTTTGTAGGCAGACCGTTCAGGCTCTCCAAAGTCGATGCTATCAAGAGCATGAACAGACACGTTGCGCAGGTCCTCAGTCTCATCCCTAGATCACTGGCCCGGTTTCTCCCCGTGCAGTCCGAGGAGTCCCTGGTCCCACCAGCTTCAAAGCCGTCTACTTCCAATGTGAGATGCGCTTTGTCGCACATGGCCCACATACCGGTCGGTCACAACACCCGGCCCGTCCATTGAGGTGCGTTTCCCCTGCTTCCCGCCCAATATGCCTCGGGAATACCATGTGACATGTGTCTTCACGCAGGTTGAACTGCCATGGAGCATTTTCTTGTACGTCTTTGTGATCGTTTGTATGGAGAACACCCCGTCACTCACAAGGTCCGACATACAGCACAGCACCAGGTTAGCGTGCTTGGTTTGCGCGTGTTTTGTTTCTGGTGACTGACGTCACTTAGGATGTGCATACAAGCCGCTATCGCTGATATCATATATGGATCTGCATCGAGTTTTCGGGCCCCAGGAGAGACCTGAAGACCCGGTGCCATGGTCGGAAGAGTTTCGGCAGATCGCCTGTGGTCCCGTCCTATGCATGCCATTCACAAAGGACCCGTTCAAGTTCGTGGAAGACTTGCGCTCCTCCAATGGCGAGTCACTCCACTATTCCAATTCGACCCACCGTCTGTGAAGTGTGAATTTGTCGGTACTCTCCATGATCTACGCCAATTGCCATTCTGTCTGACGCTTCACATAGATAGCTGCGTTTCCGCTCCTCATCCCGCTGTATATCGCGCAATTTGAGCATGCCAAAGCTGAGGGCGGATCAATCACAGTGGTCATGGATGCCTCCTCATCGGAGGTAAGTCAAAGTCGGGATGCACTAGTGTGCACGCTCACCGATCTGCATGTGTCGACGCAGGGTTGCGTTTACGTGGAAAATCAGACGTACGAGCCTCCACGAGACACATCGGAGCCAGATTTTCCATTTTTCGTGTTTGGCAAGGGCGCGCATCTCACGTGGCGGCACCACCGCGTTCATATGACAGAAAATACGCTAGCGTCGGTTGTCGGGAGGCCGCCGGGGGAAAGAGCCAACATTCAGAAAAACTTACAGTACCGAGTTGGGGAGACTTTCGCTGCCAGACGGCACGGCTTTCTCACCGACGCGAGCGATGCTGGGGACGGCCAATCCGTCGACTGGGATGACTGGCGCATTCGCCCGTTTCAGACAATGGAGGGAAGGCGTGCTTCGAAATATACCCTTCTCCGGGCGGCAGGGAAAACACAGGTCCTCGATTTGAAGTTGCTACGATACCACATGGTACGCCTGGCTGTACCCCCACTTGCCGTCGCTGACACAGACCGGTAGAATCGTGGGTCGCAATCCAAATGGTCTGACCGTGTCCCTGTGCCCGATGGCGCGAATGAGAAGGTTGAAGCCAAGATACGTGACATTGAGCGAAAGGTTGCCGGGGATGCGCCGGAGTGGTGGAAATCCCATGTAGCTCTGGAGAGCCGTAAAACAAGAGCCCCGCCACCTAAGGTATCTGACCAGAGGGGTTGCAAATGACAGGAAGGCTTGCTTCGAGCTCGCTCTGTGGCTAGCATGTACTACACACAACGAATGAATGTATCATCTTGGGGCTGAGGGTTGTGTGAGTGCGCACGATGAAGCTCAAGGACTAGTGCGGTAGCCGGGCCGGAAGCGACTGAACTGGCAGATCTGGCCGCAGCGGCGCGTATCGCCCGAGTCGGCACTGAGCGCGTGTGCATACTCTCTTTCCTCCTGCCCACCACCATGAGCAACCTCGAGAGTGCGTCGTTTGCCGGCTGTTGCAGCTCTCCTCTGACGCTCTCCAGAGACCTTGTTCCAGCTGAAGGTCAGCAGGCGTCCGTTCGCACTTTGCATACGAGCTGTGCCGTCCTGACCGTTCGCCTTCGCAGTTCACGGCGAAGACGCTGAACAGGCAGGCTAAGAAGGCGCAGAAGGACGAGGGCACGGAGAAGGCCAAGCTGAAGAAGGTGCGCCGCGCGCGGCTGCCCACGCCCGCTCTGCGACTGACCCTCTACTATCCATTGCCTCTCACCCATCCGTCATGTCCTCGGATCTCCCTTCCTCGGATCTCCTTCCTTGGCTGTCCTCTATCCTCTCCGCCGCAGGCGCTCTCGCAAGGAAACAACGATGGCGCGCGGATATATGCCGCGAACGCGATCCGGAAGAAGAATGAGTCCCTGAACCTGCTCCGGCTCGCCAGCCGCGTCGACGCCGTCGCGAGCCGCGTCGAGACCGCGGTCACGATGCGGCAGGTGTCGGGGAACATGGCATCGGTGGTGAAGGGCATGGACAAGGCGATGGAGAGCATGAACCTCGAGCGGGTGCGTCGTCCCTTCCTTGTCTCGCGTCCCTTTCCCCGCCCGTCTGATGCTCCCTGCGTCCTCCTCTCCCCAATCTGTCGACCTGGCTCCCTGTTGGACGACCTGCGTACCCCTCCGGCGTTCCCGCGGGACTAAACGCCACAGATATCGGTAGTGATGGACAAGTTCGAGTCGCAGTTTTCGGACCTGGACGTCCAGACGTCCTACATGGAGGAGACAATGTCGGCGACAACCGCGACCTCGACCCCGCAGGACGAAGTCGACGCGCTGATGAAGCAGACCGCAGAGGAGGCCAACATCGAGCTCCAGCACGACCTCGCGTCGCGCGAGGCGCCGCCGACGATCGAGGTCCCGAAGGAGAAGATCGGCGAGGAGGACGACATGCTCGCCGCCCGCCTGCGCAAGCTGCGCCCAGCGACGTAGACCCCACCATTCCCTCCCATCGCTGCGCCAGCCGACGGCTGACTCCCTGTTACCCCTGCGCACACCCGGAACGGCGCCCTCGAAATGTGACTGTGCAATGCAGATTGTATACCATGTATAACTTGTATGGTGTCATGTCGGTATGTATCGACCACAGGAACCCATACTCATGCTCCGGGTAAATGTCACTCGGTAGACCACAGGCTGGAGGTGCGCGTGCACTGCGTCAAGTGTCATCTATCAAAGTTCCTCTTGCGTCCCTCGCTCTCAACAGGTTGCTCAGTATCGACTGCGAAAGTAGCAAGTGCACCTCTGGCGTCAGATTCAAACCGTCCTTCCAGATCGCACCTCCCTCCTTGGCCGCGTCCTCCACCTCGAACTCGTACTCCGTGGGGTCGTCGAGCACGTCCGTCACCGTCCGGTGCGAGGAGACCACGAACACCGTGATTTTCTCGCTCCAGGCCGGGAACTCTGCCGCCGCCTTGTAGAGCGCCTTGTTCCAGCCCGCCACGCGCTCGCGGACGGCGTGCGTATCGTGCGCGACTAATACTTGTTGACCAACCCCGACCATCAGAACACGGGGCGTGCGGGACCGTGAGAAGGGATCGACGGACGCACCTTCGGGGGAGCGCTCCAGCGGGGGCACGTCGACGAGCACGAAGTTGCGCGCCTGCGCCTTGACGTGCAGCTCGAGCATCGCGCCCACCACCCGCTCTGCCGCGCCGGGCGGCGCCGCGGTCGACCGCACGCAGTCCCCGGCCCCGAAGAACAGCACTGGTGGGCGGTCCGCAGTCGATCGGTCGCCGCGCGCCCGGAAAGGAGGTGCTCAACGGTTGAGCCGCGGTAACCACAACGCGAACGAACCCCGCTCACCGTACGTCGTCCGGCTCGGCTGCACGACCGGCGCGGGCCCCCAGGCGTCGGGAGGTAGGCGATCCCGTCGAGGTAGCGCGCGACCTGCGCCGCGAGCCCGTGCGCGGCGTCGTCCGCCGCGCGCGCGGACGCGGACGCGTAGTTGGCGACCTCGACGCGGCCCGCGACGGGCGGCCGCTTCAGCCGCTCCTCCAGTGGTCGACCTGCGGGGGGCGGCGGCGGGCGGGGCGGCGGCGTGCTCAGCGCGCGGTCTCGTCAAGGGCGGGCCCGCATGCACTCGCTGCTCAGCTGGCCGCGGACGTGCGCCGGACGTACCCACACGACTGGGGCTCCCTGCTCGCGCTCGCCCGTGCCGTCCCCTCCTTCGGGGACCTCGAGCGCGGCGCCGGCGCTGTACGAGTCGCCGCTGCGCCGGGAAGCGTGCACCGCGCGAGGTGGTTCAGTCCAGAGTGCGAGCGGGAGCCGAAAGGCGGTCTGGGACTCACAAGACGACGACGTTCTCGAGCGACCGCCGGCCGAACCACGACGTGCCGACGAGCGCGACGGGCACGTACGGGTCTGCAGCGCGCGACCATCGATGCAATCCAACAGTCTGAGGTCAGCATCTGCCGCAGGACCGTGCCCGGGACTGGGCCGCGCACCTTGCAGTCGCGGTATCTTCTCCAGATCCCGTCCGCTGATAGTCTGAGAGGCAGGGCTCCCGACTCGTTCTTTCGTCGCGTCGACGTCGGAAGGAAGGCGACTCCCGCTCACGGGGCGGTCGCGCGTGCGTGTCGTTCCTGGAGCAGGGTCTGAGCCTGTAGAGACGGACATAGCGGCAGTACGCGCCAGGAGGCTGCGAAGGGGCGAGCTGGGACGGGGAGCTGGACGGACTTGGGACGGGCGGCGGTATATAAGCTTATCAGAAGTCCTCCAGACGGCGGGATGGCCATGGGCTGCTGGGAGCGTGGACGTCCCCACCGCCCAGGCCACGATACGAAGCGGAGCGTGTACTCGCGTCTCCCGATCGACGTCCTTCTGCCATGCCACCCGGGTGGCCAGGCGGGGCTCGCTGCGTCCCAAGGCCACGCACGCCGACCGCGCCCGCCTCCGACGTGCACGGCGAATGCGCGCGCACAGACACTGAGCCCGCCCGCGTCCGACTCCGCCGGCGGTGAACAGGAGAGCCCCTTGACGTGGTAAGTGGGTGCGAAGTCGTCAAGAATTCGACTGCCCGGCGATCTCCGTTGGCGGAGGGCACGCATGGGGCGCTCCAGCTACATCACCGACCCAAACGACAGCGCGGAGAAGGGCGATAGTACACATGGTCCCAAGGGGGGTAGAAGGAGAACACGAAGAACTAGTAACCGCGGACCGCTAACGTAGCTAGCTAGCTATAGGTAGTACACGTGTGGAAAGCATGGCATGGCAGGGGCGAGGCGCGTGGGATGTGGTAGATCGAAAGCACAGACGTGAACGTGGGTGGACGTAGAAGAATGCGTGAGGGGGCAGCAAGTGCGAAGCGGCGTGTGGTATGATCGTGCGACAAGGGGTAAACAACGGACGGCTGGACAGGACATGAAGGTACACCGGGCACGGGGAAGCGGGGCAAGGGGGTCGTCAAAAACACGAGGCGTAAACACAGCGTGGCGCGTGAACGGACCAAGGGACAGAATAGGCTACGTATATATTATGAAAAGGCACGGGGCGGTCATGAGCGACGTGGGACGCAGGGAACCGGCATAGCGGAAATAAAGATCGTCACCTGGGGCAGGGCATAAGGCAAAAACATGCATGTCCGGTGTTCGAACCGAGGCTCAGGCAACGCCCTCCGCCTCCCGCACGACGCGCGCGAGCCGCTCGAGGAGGATCCGCTTCCGGCGGTGCTCCACACCGGCGTTGTCGAGCAGCCGTTCCACGTGTCCGAGCAGACCCAGCGGCCCGTCCAGCGGGATCGCATTCACGTCGAAGCGATGCACGTCTGTGACGAGATAAAAAAGGGTCAGCGATCTCACAACGGGTGATCGAAAGGCAAACTGACATGTTTTGAAGATCGAGAATCCCGAGTCCCCTAGCACCTCCTTGAACGCGTCCGCGACATCCGAGGCGACTCCCATCGGCATCAGTCGTCCTTGCTCATCCGCCGTTCCCCACCTTGACCGCGCCCTCATCGCCCCTGTCGTGTTCGCGTGCGTGCCGGTCCGGGGACCCACCCGCAGCAGCGCGTCCTCGCGCATCTTGGACGGAGCCCACGTCAGCCCGAGCCCGAGATCAAGCGACCGGCCCTTGCCATCCACACGCGCCTTCTGCGACCGCGACATGGTGGTCTCCGAAGGCGAATGGGGGGAGGGCGAGGTCGGACGCGAGACGCTGCGCGGTGGAATGGGAGATCGACGGTCGCGATTGGTGGGGGAGCGGGGTATGGGCGGGACGGCCGGCTCGAAGTTGAAGGCACCGTGGGCATGAAACGCGCGTCCTGCGGTGCGCTTCCCTCCGTTGCGGCTCCAGCTACCGTCTCGGGTTTCCCCGGAGTGACCGGAGGTGGACGAGAGCGGCGACCCTGGTATGCCGTCCAGACGATGCTGGCCGCTGGTCAGGTATTGGGGATCGCTGGTGCCGTTTCCACGAGAAGGATGAGAGTCGTGGTGCGAGCCGTGGTGACGGGAATCGGAGCGTGATGCGTGGTGAGGATGTGAGGACGTGGAGCGGGAACTGTGGTGTGGATGAGAGGAAGTTGGATGCGAGCCATGATGAGGATGAGAGGTAGGGTGTGCAGGGGTCGATGCAGAGGGGTCGAATTCACGTCGTCTGGAAGAGGTGTGAGTGGGGTGGCTGTCCGAGACAGACTTCCTCCCCTTGTCTGCGAGAACGCGCGAGCTGGGATGTGCGAAGCCGTTACTCGACTCGTCCGTCGTTTCTCTTCTCCCGGGGACCGCTCGCGTGCTGCTACTCCTCTGGAGATGTTGGCGTTCTGGCTCGCTGACGATGCCCATGTTCCGCAGTGCGCTCTTGAAACTCATGCCGACACCGGCCGCCGTGCCAGAGGAGATCGGCCGCTCAAAGTCAAAGCTGCCGTGCTTCGTGCGATTTGTGCGCGCCGCAAGGGCTTCGACTGCAAACCGAGGATGCCCGTTATGCTCCCTCACCGCACTCCGCTTGGACCCTGCACTGCGGTTGCTGGAAGACTTCTCCATCGGGACCGCCGAGACGACGACCGCCGAGGTGGACTCGCGCATGCGTTGCATCGGGGAGCCGACGCGTCGTGGATGGGTGATGAGCTCCTTCTCCCGGTCTCGTTCTCGTTCTCGTTCCCGCTCCTTCTCCTTCTCTCTGCGGTCCCAATCACGCTCGCCTGACCTTGATCTCGCGCGCGCCTTCCCTTTGTCAGGCGACGAGGAGCCGATCCCGCAGAACGGCGAACAACGGCCCTCGACGGACATCACCTCTTCCTCTTCGAAGTCGTCCGCTTCCGGCTTGCCGTGGTAAGGGGGTTGGCGAGGTGGGGAGTTGAGAATGAGGACCGGCGCATCACGATGTTCCGAAGACACTTGGCTGGGTAGCGTACCGCCTCTATTGCGTTGACTAGAGACCGCAGGGAATGTACTTGGCAGAGGGGGTTCCTCCATGTGAACGGAAAGGCCCTTCCGAGCGCTCCTCTGCGAACGTTGTGATCCGGACTTGTCCGTCCATGCGCCTTCGCTCGCTTCCCGCGACGAATAGTTTGGATCGGGGTGTGCGCTCGGTGTTGACGGGGTGGTAGGACGCGATCGAACGCGAATTGACTCGCTGAAGGAGCCTTTACGCGGGCTAGGGAGGAAGATTCCGAATATATTGATGCCTTTGCCTTTGCGCGAAGACGAGGTGGATGCCTTGTCTGCCGGTACCGCCGACGACGAGAGAGCCACGGCAGAGGGAGGGAACGCACTCGCCGGCGGGGCGACGAGGATCTGCTCTGGAGCCTTCTTTGCGCGCGGCTTCATCGTGCTGTTGGTTGCCGTGGTGGTATTAGATAACGGGCGCGAGGGTGACCTTGTTGTCGGGCGCGACGGACCAGCCACGCTTCTCCCGCCATCATGTTCCAGACTAGAATGACGCGTGTGGGCGTGCAGCGAGCCAGTGTGGACGACACCATTTGGCATGGGATCGACGGGGAAGGCATCGAGGGAGCGGGAACGACGCCTGTTCGAACGAGAGCGGGAACGGGAGCGACTGAGGAAGTTGACGATCTGCATTGCATTGTTGGGCGTAGCCATGTTGCAGGAGCATGGCGAGGCGCGTGTGGGTGAGGACAAGCGCAGGCGGAGACATTGAGACGGACGCACCCTTGCACCGAGACCTCTACCTGGCCGTTCTCCAGCAGAGCCATCCATGCTGCGTACTTCGAGGTCTACCAGGTGGGCCGAGTGCTTCGCATAGCTCGGATATACAAGAGGCTGGTGCTCGGAATCTTCCGCCTGGACGGCAACAGGACAAGGCGACGCGTGAGCAAGGCGGGGAAGCGGACAAGGTGTCGGCAACGGACCTGGGGAGACAACACGGGTAGGATGTGCTGCGACTTGCTGTTGGAGCGACGGAGGGGTTTGAACTGACGGGAAGAAAACGGGCGCAACACGTGTTAGGCACGACGCCCGTATGTATGCGGATGGGAACGAGGCGTGCTCGTCACTCACATCGAGAGAAAGGCGCATGCGGGCCGCGTCTATCAAACCTAGGCTAGCGCGGCGGCCGCCCTTTGCGCCTCGGTCCGAGGGAAGGTCATGGGTGGTGTCTATAGCGGAGTCGACGACGGAGTGGTTGGTTGTGGAGGTTGAGGGCGAGAGCGATGAGTCGGTGATGGATGATTCTGCGTCGGCCATGGTGATGGGATGGCGGACTTGGGCGGGGCGAGAGACATGCAAAACAGGGCGGGTGATGAGGAAGCGGACGTGGAGGACTGCGAAGAGGTCGGGCGAGCGGGGACCGGGCGAGGACGAGGACGGAACTGAGTGCGAGGACGCGGAGAGTGGGCTCGGGCTCGAAACCGTGCGAAAATTCATGATGGTTTCAGGGCGGGGCGTTTGACCGCTCGTCTGTGCACTCGCCCTCTTTTCAGCTCTCTCGACCGCAGACAGCAGTCGGGGTTGCGGGGACGTCGACGGCTCGTGCGGTGGACGGCATCTGCACGCGCTGGTGAGGATGGCCGATCGAGCCCAGTTGACATGGCGGACGCTAGTGGCCTGCATCTTGCCTTGCGCGCTCCCCCCGCATGTTTCCGGCCCTCCGCAGACGCCCCAACTTGCTTCCGCGCGAGCACAGGCCAAGTCCTCCGCAGCCAAGTCCTCTGTCCGCAGCCTGACTGCTCTCTCGTACCGCGCTGGAGACATGCTGCAGCCGTGCGCAAAGTCTTGCTCTAGTACATCGCCAGTCCTCTCCGCCCGCTTACCCATGAGATCGGGCACCCATTTGACACTCGGCCTCATACTTCATGATGCGCACAACCCCGCAACACACGTACGCCAGCCACACACCGGTAAGACGAATGCAAGGATCCCAGGGAACCGAGGAAATATTGAGGCACGAATGGAACTCGGGCGGTAGGGTGGCGTGCATCGAACACGCGCTGGTCATGCAGGCCAATCCGACTCCAGGGCCCAGGCTGACCTGAGATTCGCAAGCCCGCGGACATGCATGGCTGCAGGAACGACGAGGCGCGTCGCGGTGGGGTCGCGTCATATTGCGCAGAGCAACACGGTCACGTGCAGTGACGAATTCTGGCGCAATCCCCCTGCCATCACTTGCAAGCCTTCCTCCGACAACTCCCCCAGCCGCAATTTCCACCATGTCATATTCCTCCCTTGCAGTCTCGCTAAGCATCCTTCATCATCCTCGGTCTCTCGGGCCTCCCATATAACCTCTCCCATCCTCCGTCTCACCGTCAGCAGTTTTCCCATCCTCACCATGTCTTCCGTAGGCCGAATCGGCGCAAAATCCCTCAGGCTGGTCTCCAAAGCCCCCGTCCGCCCATCTATCCCTCCTCCCGTACGCGCTGCAACTCAATGCGCTGCCCCAGGTCCGTCCAGCGGCTCGCACGACCGACCGAACTTCCCCTGTGTCGACGCCCACGCCGTACGCGAGTCCCGCATCATCTCCTCACGCACCCTCTCCTCCTCCGCCTCCACGTCCTCGGGCCCCGAACCCCCGTACGCCCGTCCGAATCCCACGTCCTACGAGGTCTATCGCCACACCTCAGCCCTTCCCCTCGTCTACGCCGATGCCTTGCCGGCGTTCGAGATTGCCTACGAGACCTGGGGCACGCTTTCACCGAGGAAAGACAACGTCATCCTGCTCCACACCGGTCTCTCCGCCTCCTCGCATGCCGCCTCCACTGATCTCAACCCGGCCGACGGATGGTGGGAGAAGTTCATCGGCCCTGGCAAGGCGCTTGACACGAACCAGTTCTTCGTCATCTGCACAAACGTTCTCGGCGGATGCTACGGCTCGACAGGTCCTTCGTCCATCGACCCAAACACAGAGCAGCCCTATGCGACCCACTTTCCAGTCTTGTCTATATTCGACATGGTTCGGGCCCAGTTTTGCCTCCTGGACCACCTGGGTATCAACCGATTGTATGCAAGCGTAGGATCGTCCATGGGTGCGATGCAGAGCTTGGCTGCGGGCTGGCTGTTTCCGGAGAGGGTGGGGAAGGTCGTAAGCATCAGTGGCACTGCCCGTAGCAGTCCCAGCGCAATTGCCATGCGGTTTGCTCAAAGGAGTGGTGAGTATGGTTGCAATGTGTCCGCTCAACGCCGCTCATTCTGTTGTGCAGTTCTTATGGCGGATCCCAATTGGAAGAACGGGTTCTATTATGATGGACTACCACCACATGCAGGCATGAAACTGGCGCGACGTACGTCTCTTACGCTCTTCAAACATGCTCTTGATTCTGATTTGACACGTTTCCCTTCAGAAATTGCCACAATCACATACCGCTCCGGCCCGGAATGGGACTTGCGCTTCGGGCGTAAGTTCCGCCAGCTCCCAGACGGCTCGCCGCGGGATCCCAGCAAGCCGCGCACGCCCGCGCTCTGTCCCGACTTCCTGATCGAAACCTACCTCGACCACCAGGGCGAGGAGTTCTGCCTGAAGTACGACGCCAACTCGCTCATCTACATCTCCAAAGCGATGGACCTCTTCGACCTCACGGCGCCCGCGCTCGCCGAGCTCCGCCTCGACATCGCCGCCCCGCGCACGTCCCCGCCGCCGCTCCCGCCGAGCCTCACCGCGCACCCGCGGTCGCCGGCGCACGCGCACTACCACCAGACGCTCTCGCACTCGAAGCACCATCCGCCGCCGCCGAACCCACCGCTGCACTTGCCTGACCTCGCAGCGGGCCTGCGCCCGCTCGCGAACACGCCGACTCTCATACTCGGGGTCCAGAGCGACATTCTGTTCCCGGTCGAGCAGCAGCGCGAGGTCGCGGACGCGCTCCGGATCGCGGGGAACCAGATGGTGAGCTACTACGAGCTGGGCGGGGTGTGGGGCCACGACACGTTCCTGTGAGTGTGGTTTTTCTTGGCCGCTGCACTTGGACGGATCGCTCACCGCGTGGTGTACAGGCTCGACGTGCAGAACGTGGGAGGGGCCATCCGGGGTTTCTTGTCATGATATGTGCGGGGACTCGGGGCCGTTTGTCTGTATTCTAGAGCACTCACTATAGCATCAGTCTTCACACATGCATCTATAATTGGCCTAGTCTGTGACATCAATAACCCGCCGTTACTCCCGGGTCACACGGACCACAAACAATTTCATCAGGCGCCGGGATGGCCGATGCGTTTGTCGATCCCGGGGAAACCAGCCGAATCCCGATCCCCAATTACAAAATGCGCGCTACAGCCTACGCGCCTCGCAGTCCGCTGGATAGAAGCCTCGCCTCGAAACACAGGACCAGTCAGCATCTCTCGTCATCGCTGCCCGCAGGCTGTCCTCAAGCATGCGCCGGGTGCCGTGGGAGGACTGCGCGAGACCTATCACTGAGTACTGAGTGCCGATGCCTCGGTGGTGATATATGCAAAGTCCCTGGTGCGCCGGCGTTGATCGACATGTTGGGGGACGACTGGCATGGCCATAACGGCTCAGTGGCCAGGGCCGCATGGTCCAGGAACGGCGCAGCTGTAGATGGTTGACATACGCGGTACTCCCGCCACCAGTCGCCGTAAAGGTACGCCGATATGTCGCCGGAAGTATCGGACTCTGCAAACCGCACATGCCGCCGCGAAACTCAAGTCCAACTGTCCCCATTTTCCCCTCCTTTTGTGGAGAACTCCGGCTGCTATAATATGTGCCATACAATGACGGCACTGCAGCTTAAATCATGCCTTGGCCCTCCGTGTGGTTAATTTATACTGACTTACACAAGTGGGCTCCGCCCCCCACACACGAAACAGGCCCGTTGCCGATGACCGCAGCTGCGACGAACGCACCAGGTACTTCGTATGATGCAGCATCTCTCCCACACGCCCGTATGTGATGGATAAAGGATGCGCGGCCCGCTAAGTTTTGATCGTCCTTCTCTCGCAGTCGTGGTGTGACACACGCCAGAAACGCCAACTGCGCACGCCTCTGTCTGGATATGCGCCATAGGCTATCTGACACCGGTTTGGGCAGACCATCTGGCACGAGTCAAGACGACCCGAACGCTACTTGGCGTTTGGTGATGTCGATCGCGATCGCGTGTGCGTGTTCCTGCGTGCCGGCGAGGGCGTTCGATGGTGACAAAGTGAAGGCGGACTGCGACGGGGTTGGCTGAGGATGCGTTTACGATTACAACGAGCGTATGAGCAAGGAGGGTGTAGGTTTTACAATGCGCAAGTGTGATGCGACGTGGAAGAGTTCGTGCGATAAGTCCATCCGTTCGGAATAGTACGGAACATGTCAGGGTGCGACAGACGCTGGCGTATGCGGGCCAACGCGCATGGATGGTTACGAAATGTGTGTGTGGTAACCCGTTGAGTCCGACCATGAAGGACCGACAAATAGCAACCGACGGCAATGCGCCAACGAACGCCGACTGCGAGCGCAGCAGAGTTCGAGCGCAGCAGACCGGGGTCCACACGATGCTCGGGCCCTCCGATTCTCCGCCGCCCCCACTGCGCGCGTAGCGTCACGCCCACCGGGACGGGTGGGACGGTGGCGGGCGGGCGAGCGAGGTGCGCGCGTTCGTCCCGTCGAACGGGCTACCCAGCCCGTCGCGGTAGTGCCCCGGGTCCGTGAAGCCGGGCGGCGCACCCCAGTCGATCGAGTCCCCCGCGGGCGCGACGGCGTCGTACTCCGGCGCGGGCTCGTATCGCGGCGGGGGCGGGCGCCAGGTGGCGTGCAGCGAGCGCACGATGCGCCCGCGCTCGCTCTCCTCGACCTCCCGCTGGAGCGTGTGGCGGTCGACGAGGGCGGCGATGCGGTCCCGCGCGGGCGCGCGTCGGTACGAGTACACGCACCGGAAGAGTGCGCTCGCGAGCACGAGCCCGGTGAGGCCCGCGATGATCTCGAGCGCGACCGTGACCCTGGACTGGTGCCGCCCGCCGGGGGGACGCGCGCCGGCACCAGAGACGTGGGGGTGGGGGCGCGACTGCTCGGGGGCACCCGCGGAGGGCGTGGGCAGGATGGACCACTGCGCCGGGAAGGAGTGCGTGTGGGAGAAGGAGTGGGATGGGACGACGAAGTGGGAAGTGGCCTTGGTTGAGGAGGTGGAGGTGCCGAGTCGGGACGTGCCAGGCTGCCCATCGCTGGGCGAAGCTGGTGAGAGACGAGCAGTGCTCGTGTGCGAGGCGGAGGCGCTTGTAGGCGACGCGGAGGTGCTTGTGGGCGACGCGGGGACAGACGCCTGTGCGGTTTCGGCGGTGACAGGCACGGCACACGCGAGCCTAACGGCACACGAATGGGGATGAGACATGCGCAGAGAGCGAGTACGCCGTCGGACAGCGCATAGAGACGGGGCCGACGGACGTGTACGAACGCGTGAACTCACCGTGAAAAAATGACGAGAGCGCAAAGGCACCGGAGGCACAGTGACCAAGGCGGCATCTGCCTAGGGCAGGACCGTGGGGGCTGCGAACGTTGGCGGGGGACTGGGAGAGGGTAGAGCAGCGAGCGGGGAGGAAGGATGGGAAAGGGCGGCTGGGAGAGGAAGCATTATGTTGAAGAGGGCGGCGGAGGAAAGGCAAGCCGTGAATAGACGGCCTACACCCAAAATACCGCGCGTCGCTCCCCGCGTCACGTTCCCATCTAGTTCCCATCAAGGCGTTCCAGATGGCTGTGCCCTCCGGCTTATCCACCCCGGGCCCGCTTTCCCGTCCGTCCGCATGCCTCTGCCAATATTTGGTCGGCGCGAGCTCGGTTTCGCCACGCGCAGTCTCGAAGCTTGCGGCCATACCTCGCCGCGTCATGCCTGCATGTTCGGCGTCTGGTCGCATTCAATCATCATCCCTAGTAGCAATCTCGGAAGGCAAACACATGAGCCGTAACCGCTACGGCCAACTTCGGTAGTCGACAGCCTCCCTCTGGGTTCGTCTTGACCCGATCGCGGAGGAGATCATCGCCTGGTACTTCGTCAGATCGCTGGAGAATTCTCGTTGGCGAGTGCTTCCCGCTGCGGTAGCTTGACAGCGACTTGAGAATTACTGGAGCGTTCTGGGCCGAGTAGGTGCGTGTTTTCGTGTCTTTGAGCGAGTTGTGTGTATTCGCGGTCCCTCCACCCACGACTGAAAGCGACCACTAAAACAGCGATGAGATGATGCAAATTTGAGTTCTGTCCCGCTCTCACCGTGCCATGCCTCTGCCATCTGTCAACCTGGTGCAGCGAGTGGCAGGTGGCATGGTCTCAACCAAAAACTTGCATGTGCATGAAGCGGGGAACAAATACTAATCGATATTTCGCCAACTATGTCACTGTGGATATGCCGGAGCCCTCCGTGCTCTGACCACAAAACCTCACAATCAGAGGTCCGAGTGCTGTGACAGCAAGCAGCGAAATCGTTGCGATTACATTGAGGATGCCTCGGACACTGCATTCAGTGTGACAATCAATCTCTGTTACGAATGTGGACGAATATGATTTCGCCTCGGTCAATTGAAGCGCTCACCCATGTGGTGGCCGACAGCGAGCGCTACGAGCGCTACAAGGCTACAAGTATAGCTAGGAGCATCACGTACGACAAGATCTTCTCCATGTTCAATCGAAAATTGCCATGTGTTCGCCCAACGCCAAGGTGGTCCTCGTTCTTGCGCCCACACGTGAACATATATGGAGGTCACCTGCTGAACACGGCAGACCAGCACCCACACTAGCCTCGAGAAGCCGCCCGGTGACGCCATACGTTTGAGCGCACGTTTGAGTGAGGATGGGAGTCCGAGTGAGCTATTCTGGTTTCGTGAGCACTATCTGTAAGGACGGGGGAAGGCATGCACACCTGTATATCTTGCCTCCATGCAAACGATACACCGAACTTCAAACCACGGAGTTACTGGGTATATTGGACTACATAGCAGAGTAAGAACACGTACATCGCAATCATTTGAGGTCGCCACGCAATCGAATGAGTGTCCGTGAACAGGTGGAAACCCGTCAAGGTATTATCCGTAGGATGGGATGGCAGAATAAACCGCAGAGGAAACTCAGACCGAGTGCAAATTCTTGATGACAATGCTGGGTGCCGTTGAATGTCTGCCGGCACTGATCGGAGACTGGCCCTCGGGATTCAGCAGCAAATGTTTGAGGGTTCTTATGACCGAGATTGAGTGCCGAATCCAGTTGTCAGCAAGAGGGTCTGCGTAAGCAGCTGGCCGACGGCCTGAGGCCATCAGAGTTTGCCACCGGAGCGCTCCGGGCGTACTCCGACTTGCCCAGGCTGCAATGGTGGGGGTCCATGAACGAGAGGGAAACGTCGGCGGGAGTCCACGAACGAGAGGGAAGCGTCGATGCTACCGAAGGGGTGGTGGAGAAAGAGGGGAGGAGGATGGAGAGGTGGCGGTCGAAGGCGGGTGGTAGTACGAAAGCCGTTTGAGTCGGGCCGCCGGCGGGATGACATGTGAGGGGGCGCGTGATTATGTCAGTCGGCCGTAGGAATTGCCAAGACGAGGGCCCGAGACGGCGTCCTTTTTCAGCCAGAATGTACCACAACCACTGCGTCCCCCTTCCCCATCTCTTGCGCCCAGTGTGAGAGCTGACTTATATACGGCCCAGCTCCGCATCACTCTTCCCGCCCTCGCACTTTTTCCTCCTCCCCGCAGCCCCGGCCCTCTCCGCTCTAGACTAGCCTCCCTCCGGACCAGAACAGGACCCTTTCCCTGCAAGAGATGCCGTACCACAGCCGTCCTTCGTGCATCGAAGACTCGCTCGCGGATCTCGAACTATTGGACTCCCTTATCGCCCCGGACCTCCCTGACGCGGCAGACTTGCAGAAGAAGCACGGCTATAAGCGCCGAGACGCAGACCTCGACCCCCTCCTCCTCGGTGCCGCGGCCGCGTACGGGCACGTCACCCGCAACCACTACGCCCACGACCTTTTCCCCGGAGTAGGAGATCCTCGCTCGGAAGGGGCATACGACTGGACAAAATGGCAGCCAGAGAGCGCGGCCGCGCGGAGCGAACGCAGACCTCGTCTCAAGTATGTTAGCCGCCAGGGGCCACGCTCGCAGAAAGCGCAAACGGAGGCCGGGCGGACAGCGACGGAACCATTACGGTGCGCAGACAACTTGCCGTTACCTGTTCCCAAGTCGCCAGTCGCCTCCACGTCCAACGCCGCACCCTCCCACCTCCCGCCAACCCCAGCCCTTGAGGTGAAATGCATGGCGCGCACCCGTGTCCCCACCCCACACGGCCCCATCTTCCTCCACCTATACCACAACAACCGCGACAACAAGGAGCATCTGGCCATCGTTGTCGACCCCGCGCAGCTCCAGGATGAAACACCCATCGTTCCCCCCATTCGCAGTCGCACCCTGGACGCAATCTGGTCGGACTCGGAGACAGAGATGGACCGCATAACGCGCGGCGCGTACGTGGGCCGTCTCTCGGCCAGCTCCCAGCGACCATCGCGTCCACTCGCCGGAAACACCCCCGCGCAATCAAACACCATCCCTTCCCCGTTAATTCGCATACACTCGGAGTGCTTCACTGGCGAAACCATCGGCAGCATGCGCTGTGACTGCGGCGAGCAGCTCGACGAAGCCATCCGGCAGCTCGCCCAGCCCATCGCGCTCCCCTCGCCCGAAGATCCTGCCCGCACTATCTCCATCCCCGGGCGCGGCGCGGTCATCTACATGCGCCAGGAAGGCCGGGGCATTGGTCTGCTTTCCAAGATCCGCGCTTACAACCTCCAGGACCTCGGGCACGACACGGTCACTGCGAACCTCATGCTGGGCCACGGCGCGGACGAACGCGGGTACGCGATCGCGGGTGCCATCCTGCGCGACTTGGGCCTCGGGGCTGACGGGTCCGAGGGCGTGCGGATCTTGACGAACAACCCCGACAAGATGCGCGCGCTGGAGGGGGAGGGCATCCGGATCGTAGAGCGCGTCCCGATGGTCCCGCGCTCGTGGCAGCGTCGCCAGCAACACAAGCTGGGCGACCTGGCGGCGTCGCACGGGGACGAGGGGGAGCGCGGGATGGGTGCGACGATGATTGGCGCGGGCGAAGTGTATGGGGAGGACCTGGACAAGTATTTGCGGACGAAAGTACTGCGCATGGGGCACATGCTGCCTTTACTCTCGGATACCGCAGACGTATAACGTCGTCGGCTATTTATGGGTCCACGAGTAGACGTATACACCCTGATACTGTTGTAATTCCTGTCGCAAACAAACCACTAGATGTACCATTTGACATCACACGACTTCAGGCTTGTGAGGCGGCCGGAGATGGCGAGAACTGGCCCAACAAGAACAGATGATTTGGTCGAGCAGATGAGAAATTAAGTGGCCACCGAGCGTGATCTCGTGGATATTTACTTGTTAGAGTCATGGTCGTGGGGCGAAGGCATGATTGTCATATTCAGAGTAGACAGCAAAAATAACATTGCAAGGACAGTAGAAACGACATGAGCGGTGCGACATGACTGAGACATCTGGACAAAATAATCGCTCGACACTCTTGCCCCAAGAGCCAACCCATATTGGTGCTATCCATGGGTCCGACAGAATCTTCGCAGTCGTCCCACTTGACATAGAACTGGGTCTCGTCGTCTTCCGCGAGCGCCAGAACTCTCATCTTAGGTGCATCTTCTTCAGGCGGGTTTCAAGCTCAGTGAGAGTGGAACCTGGGGGGCGGGAGTGATTGTGTAGGGGCCCGAGGAGAACTATCTGGAGGGGTAATTGGCACATATGGCGTCCGCCACTGAGGCTTCTAGCGGGTGCGACATGCACAAGAAAGCCTTCAGTGCGTGGTCTGCAGCCAAGATGCGCTGGTGACTGGCCCTGAAGGCCTGGACCTTGCCGTCGCACTGCGTTGCAGAAACATTAGTTATGTCCACACCAGGATGATTGGGTGCCCAACCGTTTGCGCGCCAGCTTGCAGTTCTCCACCGGTGTCCCAAGAAGCTTTCGGAAAGGCTTTTCGATCTTGTACTCTTGAAGTATGAACATCGCGGATAGTGCGAAGTTGGCACGAAAAACGCGGCTCGACGGGCGTGAGGATCCCTACTGAACAAACAAATGGAAGTACTCCTTGATGGTCATCGTCCGGATCTCCGCGTTCATGACGCTCAGTTACCCGTCGTAATCTTGGGCCCGATAAATTGAAAAGAGCCTACGTCCTTTACCTTCGTTTGAACTGGTTCTTCATTAGCACTGTCGCGCTCGACGGGTTCCTTCCAGCACGCCCCACGATCGACGTCGGCGGTGTTCATGTATCGGTTTCACCATCAAACAGGCTCTTCACACTGCTGAAGGGTTGGGGGACGGAGGTGGAGATCATGAAGAAGATGCGGAGGAAGGTGATGTCGGACTCGCTTCAGGACTGTTGCTGGGCAGGCGCGCGGAGCGTCTCTGCCCCCGTGTACGGCTGCCGTGAACGTCCACCACCTCGCCGCACTGGACTCTGCCGCAAACCATGTCGATGTTCGACCCTCTCTCCGTCCCCAACTTCCCTCAAGAGGAGCCCCCGTGGCCCACCAGGCCGCACGACCCTAGCGACGTCATCCCCAACCTCCCTCGGCCTTCCCCAAATCACGAGTCGCGCGGTCCTCCTGCTGGCCTCTACGGCAAGGAGCCTCAGATCTACGGCCAGCCAGACTCAGGTCTCATTTCCCCCCGCATCAACCCTGCCTCCAATGGCACCAACTTCGAGAGGAAAGAGCCGTACTTGCGCGTGAGGATCACGACGCTGGACCGCAACAGGCGGGATGTCCTCATTAAATTCGACGCGCAGGTGCGTAATCCCCACCCCGGCCGGTTATCGCGACGCTGCTCGCAAGCCCGTGCTGACCATTGCCCACCCACTCCGGTCGCCACCGCCGCTGTCGCGCTACACTCGGACAGACGAACCTCTCAAACTTCACCGGGACGACGTACCGCAACGTCTCGCGCTCCTATTTCGAGTTCCAGCAGTTCTACGAAACCCTGATCCTGAACAACCCGCAGACGATCGTGCCCGCGCTGCCGCTCGCGCGCACGTCCGCGCCGACGGACGAGGAAGACGACCGGCTGGTGAAGATCATGCTTCAGCGCTGGTTCACGCGCGTGTGCGAGGACCCGATCCTGATACACGAAGAGGAGCTCCGGTCGTTCGTCGAGAGCGACTTCGGGTACCAGCCCACCCCCAGCACGCGCCGGAAGGCGTCGGGCGGGTTCAGCCTCATGCGCCGCGGCGTGCCAGACGAGGACGAGGAGCTGCAGCGGGCGAGGTTCGAGCTGACGAAGCTCGAGGGCCAGTTCTTCGAGTCGGCGAAGGCGATCGACAAGCTCGCGCGGGCGAGGAAGTGTACGTCGTCTTTTCCTTTTGGGCTTGTTGTTCAGGGCTTTGGCAGGCGCAGAACGAATGGGGCTGACGGTCGTGTGCACAGCGATTGCAGTGGTGAAGGCGGAGATGGGCAATAAGCTCGTGAACGTGTCGAGCACGGAGGCGCACCCGCCCCTCGGGAACGCGATGCAGAAGATTGGGAGGGTGTATCACAGTTTGGCGGATTTGGATCAGGCGCAGGGGATCAGCGAATGTGTTATCATTGGAGACTCTCTGGGCTACCAAGGTCTTAACGCCCGGTCTGCCAAGGAAACCCTGCAGCAACGGACGGCGGTTTTGGAGGAATACCAGGCAGCGGTCAAGGCCACCATATCCAAGCGGAGGAATATGGAGCGTTTGAAGAATAGCAGCAACATCAGCCCCCAGAGGGTAGACGAGGCACTGGAGGAAATGGAAGAGGTGCGTGACGGTAGTACCCTGAAAAGACCACCCACTGACTTTTGTTTAGGCGAACAAGTATGAGCAGATACTTGCGAGACGTGCTGAGGGCATATCCCAAAACCTTCATCGCGCTCTGGAACGTCACAGGCGTATAGTGACTGAAGACGTCACAGCTGCTTTGGTTGAACACGTCCGGTCGACCATCATGTACGAACGACAACATCTGCGCGAACTCGAAGCACTTCGACCCGAAGTGAGCGCCGCGGACAAGAAACATGTCCCCCAGAAGCCGGTAACCGCCCCTCGGCCTGCTTACGTCCCCCTCTCGAAGACTTCTCCAACCCACCCATCCAACGTCCCGCCTCGAACCCACCGGTAGAATCTCGTCGTCCTCCCCCGCTAGCCCCTCCTCTCAGCGTGACCTCTTCCATGATCGCACCTTCACATGCACCTGCTCCCTCGTCGCACACGAATGGTTTCCCTCAAGGACCATTGTCCGCCGGCCCAGCGCCGGGCCGCGCGCCCATCCCACCCCAATCCCCAGGAGCGGGTCCTTCCTCTGCTGCGACCACAAGCGGATCCTTCGCGCGTCCTACCTCAGATGGGCCGCCGCTCGGTGGAAGACTGGTGGACGGCACCAGGTCGATGTTTGTCAAGCCACCGATGTCGCCCCTTGCCTCCACCGGACCTCCGAAGCCTCCTGGAACCGGACTTCCTCCCGTGCCGCCATCCAACCAGTCGGCACCCATCTCGCCACTGCACGCGTCCGGCCCTCCATCGGGCTCTTCGCACCCTCTTGGCGGCGGCGGAGACCCGCTGTCAGCGTCCACGTTCGTATCGTCCGCCATCCCCGGCCGTTCAAACTCCGTCTCCGCGACACTTGCCAACGACCTCGACCCGCTCGGGATGGCGCGGCCCGCGTACATGTCCGCGACGGTGCGAACGCCGACACGCCCACGGCTCGACGCTCGCGAGGCGGCGAGCAAGCTCGCCAACATGTTCTAGTTCCGTATGTCCGGAAGACAGTCGCCATGTTGTAATGTCCATACACTAGCTTCGGTACACTGTGGATGGCGTTAACGGAGGATCTCGACTCGGCCCACTCTCCCCACGGCGCCCGCTCTCCTTAGGAGATTCCTGCTTGCACGTCCTTGTGCCCTCGCGAGAAATTATTGTGGTTGTACAACAAGCGCCGGTGGGCGAGGCTGGGAGACGGCAGCGGCCGTTGCGTTGACGAGGTGTAGCCTCTCCTGACGGCCCCAAACGAACTGCCAACGTTCTGTAGTCGCGTTCCAAAAAGCATTCTCTTCGACTCTGAAGCGCAGTGTCTCGTTGCGTTCGGGAACGAAGGAGGATGCGAAGAGCTCGATGCTGTAGTACGTGTTGGGTAATATGGCAAGCTCGCCCAGGATTGGGACATTCTCTGGCAGGTTGATGAACCCTGGACCCCACATCAGATGTACAAGAGCGAATACTAGGAACAGCTTGACGTACCCATAACAGCTCCTGGCGCGTGCCCCCAGTCTCCTATCGGATGGCAATAGATCTGGCCTTCTATACCTTCCAGCGTGGTCTGGTTCAGGCTCTCTTGAAGGACTTGATTCCCAGTCTTCCCGGCAACCATCTTGTCTAAAACAATTTCTTGCATGCGGTTGGCCTTCTTCAGACCTTCCTTGAGACCGACGGGAGCGTCTGTCTCGTTCACTGAGGTTCGCAGGACGTACGCCATATGCTGTACGTCAGTATTCATGCCCATGGCGGTGATGCCAAAGTCGACATGTAAGAGATCTCCCTCTTGAATGATGTCCTTGGTCCCAGACCATCCGGGGAACGACTCGGGTACGATCACCGACACGCGAGGGTGGTTCCACGTCGTCACATTCAGCAGCAGCATCTTTTCGCGGTACCACCACTCGACGTCCTGCGCACACCCTTCCAGTGAGCTTCGAGCGATGTCGCGCGCGCAGCCGGTGCGAGAAACCCACCTCAGTCGTCGTCACTCCCGGGACGACCACCCGCTCGCTGAACGCCTCTTCGATCAAGGCCCAGGTCGTCTCCTGCAGCTTCCGGTAGTACGCGAGCTGGCCTGGCACGCGCGCGGCGACGTACTCGATCGCGAGCATCGGCTCGTTCACCGTGCGCTCCATCCACCGCCCGCCGAGTCCGCCCGCGAGCGCCTCGTACTCGCCGACGTGCAGCCCCCCGGCGGCGCCGACGTCCCGGTCGGTGTTGAGCGCGATGCGGCGGGGCGCGAGCGCGGCCAGCACGGCGCGGAGCTCGGGCCAGACCACGCCCGTGTTGTCCACCCAGCGGAGCGGGTTCGTGTTCGGACGGCCAGGGACGAGCGCGGAGGAGGAGTTTCGGTGGAAGAGAAGGACGGTGCGGCGGTGGGCGGCGTACTCGGTCGCGTCCTTGACGGACCACCAGAGGGTGTCCTCTGCGAGCTCGCGCTGGCTCGTCTGCAGTCGGCACGGGGACGTGTGGGGTGGGCATGAGGGGGCGCAGGGAGAGGTGGAAGACGAGCTTACCAGCCAGACGCCGATGCCGTACTTGGTGAGCAGGGCGGGGATGTTGGCGAGGCGCGCGTCGCGCCAGCCGTCGAGAATCTTGGCCTGTTCGCGCAAGGAGGGCAGGCGGACATAACGCGAGGGGGCGCTGGGGTGGAATTGGGCGTGCGCTACGCCGGAGGTGAAGAGCAGTGTGGACACGAGCGTGCACCACAGCTTCATATCAAGGGTACTTACGAGAACTCGGAGCGGCGGGCTCGGAGTTTCGCAAGAGGTAGTGTTGCGTGCACGGTGTCGCGGACCTCTGTCGACTGGGAGGTCAGACAGTTGAAGAGGATGTGGTCGATTATAGTCGATGCCGTCAGTGGGACGCTGCAGCCCTCTTGAGGTTCTCAGCCGCACGGGTCATCCGCGGGCGGCTCTCTGCGGCCGGGAGTCCCCGGGAGCGCTAATGGAGGTCTGCCGGAACCACCACTCGCCGTACAAGATCAGCGCTCCGACTCATCACCTCTATCCTAGGCGGGCGCACTGTCCGACATAGTGAGCGCGACCCCCTGATGAACACGGAGTTGTATCAGCCGAGATGCCCGCGCCCTAGATCCACCGCTCCACGTCTGCAGATCTAGTGCGTATAGTTGGTCGTACTTGTGCTTGTATGCTCACTAGCCCGGGGCCACAGGTATATCAGCAGCACGAATACCTTTCCCACCGTTCGTATTGCTAAGGGAGAGGGGCGTGATAGTAATCGGCCATGTGAATCGGTCATGACTGCTGCATCGCCGCGGGTGCTCGTTTCATTATACCCGCAGTGCCAGCATGACCCCTAAACGAGAATGTCACAGGGCTGTGGTGCTGTCGCCGCCCAGGCCCCAAAGATCTTGGGCGGTGATATAGCGAAGGATTTGCGAAGCGTGCCCTTCACGTATATGGTCGTCGCTCCGGCAGCGACACCATGCTTTTCCCCCTTCCCCTCCCCTTTTTTTTTCTCTTCCTCGTTTTCTCCTCCTCTTGCTTTGTGAAAAGATATGCCGGGCAACACCATCATTGCGGACGACCAGGATCCTGCCGGGCCCGGGGCGATCAACTACACGTCGGGCAACTGGATTTCACAGAAGGCCCAGAACACCTGGCAGAATACCATTACAGCGGGATTTACAGGAGCAAACGCAACGTTCAGTTTCGACGGTGAGCCCTTCTTTACGCTTCGCCAAAACTCGTCATTGATGGCGGGTGTCCCGGAGGCGTCGCTGTCGCCGTTCTGGGTGTAGCCACCACAATTGCTGGCGTCGACCCTCCCCAAGTGCAATTCAGTCTGGACGGGCAGGACCTCGGGATTCTCTCAGTACCCAACAACGGCTCTACTTTTTACCCCGTTGTCTGGATCGACCTGGAGCCACTGAAATCAGGGACACACTTGCTGGAGATGGGCGTTGTTTTGGCCAACGACAACTATCCTTTCTACTTGGACGCGGTCGTATACAAACCAGCGGCAGGAGTCTCCGCCACCGGGGCTCAAGTCGCGACCTCGGCAGCTCTCCCACCGGCCATTACCACCGTCGTCACCACCCAATCCTCCAGCAGCTCTGGCACACCCGTCGGCGCCATCGTCGGCGGTGTTGTCGGCGGTGTCGCCGTGATCGCCTTGTCCGTCCTCGCCATCTGGTTCCTCTTCCTTCGTCACGGGCGACGCGGCGGCAAGCCATTCTTCTACGCCTCTCACGCCAATCCAGCAGACCTTCTTGAGGAGGATCATCACGGTAAGCCTCGTCTCCACTCTTCCCGTATCGTCCTTCTAACGCCCTGATCTCAGAGGCCAAGCCAGCTCCTTACCCCCAATCAACCGCCCCATTAACGTACACCAACATCACCCCCTCTCCCTCTCCCGACCCCCTCTCCGTCTTCAGCGCCTCCAGAGGGGAACAAGCACCCCTCGTGCGCCCGGGCACCTTCAGCGACGCCCGCCAGCCGCAAGCGTTCAGCGACTACTCCGCTTCTGAGGCCGGCGGTGGCCCGACGGTGAGCGACTGGAGCGCGAGCTCGTCCTCACGGCTTGGGCTCGCGGCGGGCTCTCGCGTACCGGCGCGCACGAGCCCGAACCAATCCGGGCGGAGCAAGGCAGCGGAGGCGGGGATGCTGAGCGTGCCACAGGAGGTGACGTACAACGCGGACTCGGGCGTCCGCTTCGACGCGAACGGGCGGCCGGTCCCCGTCGCGGGCTCGTCGTCGGCGGCGGCGACGGGGCAGGCGCTCGCAGCGCAGGAGCTGACGGACGTGCCGCCGTCGTACAGCGCTACATGAAGTTGGCGGTGGTTTGTTGTTGATCGCGCTATTTCTAGCGAGACGTTTAGTCGTTTTCATTAGCATGTCATTGCGGCACCACTAATATCCTCCTATGCAGCTCTACAGTCGCTGTATTGCTACATTTTTTATGTTTTTGGTTTGGAGCATTAACCCAGTCAGTCCTTACGCTAGCCACAATTCCGCATATTATGTATCCAATGGTTCGGAATCGACATTGCAAGCCTTGTCCTATCAGTGGCTGCCATCGGATCTTACAACAGTACAGGTTTACTTTGCGACTGCGTTAGACGTACATGGTTTTCACAACAGCCCCTTGAGGATCTCCACCACCTTGTCGCCCAGCTCCTTTGTCGAAACGCTACCACCCAGATCTGCCGTACGAAGCTCGAAGCCACCAGAGGGCTTGTCGTCGAGCGCCTTGCGCACAGACGTTTCAATAGCTTGTGCGTACTTTTCGAGACCGAGAGAGTAGCGGAGAAGCATGGCAGCACTGAGGATGGTGCCAATGGGGTTCGCGATCCCCTTGCCGGTAATGTCGGGTGCCGATCCGTGAATGGGCTCGTAGAGACCGGGAGTGGACTTGAAGTCCGGAGACAGGGCATCGGAAACCGAGGGCGCTCCGGCCAGGGAGGCCGAAGGGAGGAGGCCGAGTGATCCAGGAATGACGCTGGACTCGTCGGAAAGGCTGTCGCATCCGCCGTCAGCACCACCATCCGGGGACACGAACAGACGACGCACATGTCGCCGAACAGGTTCTCCGTGACGATCACGCCGTTGAGCTTTTTGGGGTTCGCGACGATGAGCATCGCGGCCGAGTCGACGAGCTGGTGCTCGAGCTGGAGCTGGGGGTACTCGGCCTGGAGGGTCTCGGAGACGACCTTGCGCCAGAGCCGGGAGCTCGCGAGCACGTTCGCCTTGTCGATCGACGTCACCGGCAGGGGCGGGTTCGCCTGCATCGCGATCTGCGCGGCGACGCGCGTGATCCGCTGCACCTCGCCCACGGAGTAGACCATGGTGTCCCAGGCGGAGTCGACGTCGGGGCCCGCGCCCGCGCCGAGCTCCTTGCGCGCGCCGAAGTACGCGCCGCCGATGAGCTCGCGGACGACGATGATGTCGACGCCCTCGGCGACGGACGGCTTGAGGGGCGAGTTCGCGAGGAGGGAGTCGGACGCGAAGTTGGCGGGCCGGATGTTGGCGTAGAGGCCGAGGGCTTTGCGGAGGGCGAGAAGGCCCTGCTCGGGGCGCACCTTGCTGTTCACGCCCCACTTGGGGCCGCCGATGGAACCTGGCGCGGAGCGTCAAGGGGGGTTGGGCGGAAAGGCGAGAAGGGGAGGACGGACCCATGAGGATCGCATCGGCCTCTTGGCAGGCCTTGAGCGTGGACGCGGGGAGGGGCTCGCCGGTCGCGTCGATGGCGCAGCCGCCGAACTGGTGGGTCTCGAGCTTGAGCTCGATGTCGCCCGAGGCAGCGGAGACGACCTCGAGCACGCGCACTGCTTCAGCGACGACCTCGGGGCCTGGCGCAGAGCTCGGTGAGCGCGGCGGGGGGTGATGAGCAGAAAAGGCGCACGCACCGATGCCATCTCCGGGGAGGACGACCACACGGAATCTGGGTGACATCAGCGCCTGGATCAGGGCGCGCGGCTCAGGCGGGCGCACGGACTCACGATTTCTTCGCCATCGCTGCCAGTCGGGGGGCGGGGTACTGGAGGTCGTTGAAGCAGACAACTTCCCCGGGCTGGTCGACGGCGAGGGTCGTCTTTCGGCGATCGACTCCTCCGTCGGCCCGCCTCGCCCGATCCAATGCACCGTCGTCCGCACGTGATCCGCTATTTTCTCTTCTCCCTCTCCGAATCTGTCGGGGTCGGCCCAATGACCATGGCTGCTCTCTCCTCCACCCCCACTGCTGCCCCGAGCACCTCAAAATTCGCCTGCAAGCAACTCGTGCTGGATGCAGGACCGCTTCTCTCGCTTTCGCCTTTGCGGGGGCTCGCGGAAACCTTCTACACCGTCCCCCAGGTCCTGGACGAGCTCAAGGACAAGCGAGCGCGCGAACACTTCGAACGGCTCGCGTTGTCCGCGGGGGTGAGAATAGAGATCAAGGCACCGCTGTCTACGTCGGTTGCCCATGGTGCGTCGTTCTGCGTGGTGGCCGGCAGGACGCTGAGATGCGATCCCAGTGATCCAATGGGCCAAGAAGACTGGAGACTACTCCGTGCTCTCCACGCCGGATCTGTGCGTCCTTGCTCTCACTTACGAGCTCGACGAAAAAGCGAAGGCATCCGCACCGGTCCCGGAGACGAAACCCGAGGTGACGCCATCGGAGGAGCTAGTCCCGGCTCCAGAGAGCTCACCGGTTCCGGTGGAGGCCCAGCCAGACGATAATGTGGAAAGTGCGCCTGAAGACTCTGCCGAGTCTGAGGCGGAGGAGCCCCCTCCGACCCCTACCGAAAATGGCGACTCTCAAGATGCGATCTCTGAGGACCTTGAGGAACGCGAACCTTTGAACGTCGAGCTCCAACCTATTCAGGACAACGATCCCACTACACCCGTTTCCACTCGTCCCCACCAACCTGAAGCTCCACCAGTAGAGTCACCAGCAGATGAAGCAGACGACGCAGAGGCGGAGCCCATCTATGATGACCCATCAGACGAAGACGACGGTGAAGGCGAGTGGATCACTCCTTCCAACGTTGGACTGCACAAGTCCCATGCGCTCGATCTCCTTCCTTCCGGGGGCAAAGGCGCAAAGGGCAAGGCGAAGGCGCAGGAGACGATCCCCGTGGGCTGCATGACCGCCGATTTCGCAATGCAAAACGTCCTGCTCCAAATGGGCCTTGGCCTCGTCGGCGTCGAGGGCAAGCGCATCGAACGCGTCAAGAGCTGGGTGCTCCGCTGCCACGCGTGCTTCAAGTACGTGCCCTCCCACCGTTTTAGAATCGTGAACTGAAACAAGACTTCTGCAGAATCTGCAAGGATAACTCTCGCAAATTCTGCCCCTCGTGCGGGAATCCGACTCTCCTCCGCGCATCAGTCACCATCTCCTCTCCCAACGCCGGTTCCAATACCCCTGCGCTCCAGGTCCACCTGAAGCGCAACTTCCAGTTCAAGACACGCGGGACGATCTATTCGATACCCGCACCCAAGGCAGGATCCGCCAAGACTGGCCCGGGCGAGGGCCTCATCTTGCGTGAGGACCAGTTGGGGTGGCAGCGCGCGAAGAAGCAGGCTGACGGAAAGCGCGAGCGCGAAGAGAAGCGGATGCTCAACGCTGCGAGCAAGAGCGCGGAGGCTGGCCAGGGAGGAACGGTGGTCAGCAGCTGGATGGACCCGGACTGGGTCCCAGAGATGCTGAGCGTGGGCGCGGGAGGAAAGGGGAGAAGCATCCGAGCGAGAGGATTCGACGGAGACATGCCCATCATCGGTCATGGGAGGAAGAACCCGAACGAGGGGAGGCGGAAGAAATAGGCGGTGGAAGGATCTGTGTGGGCATTGTATCGTTTCTTGGGTGTATGATTTGCAGTGGACGTGATCATGTAGATGGCGATTGCTCGAGAGTCCAGCAGAGAAGGAGCTTGTAATACACTGATGTTGTACGACGTGCCTTTGTATCCATCCATCCAGCTATCCTTCACGAACCCAGACTGCGGTTCATGAACCTCCTCTTCTGGAACGACATCCACCACTTGCTGGGCTTGCCAGTCCCGTCCGCATAGAGCTTCTCGACCAGCCGCGACGCAAGTTCTTGGCGAATTTGAGTGAGGTACCCCCGCAGGTAATCTGAGAGAGTAGCATGAAGGGTGCATCGACCATACATACTTGACGGGACTCACCAGCATCTGCCCTGCCCCCGGGGGCGCGTAGTGCGCGTTCAGAGCAAAGGTGGCATCTCCAGGGACAGGGAAGTTGTCCACGGCGAGGGTGTTAAGCAACTTTGTCGCCTCGAGCTGGTTCGGAACGGTCTTCGCAGCGCCAATCTTGGCAATGCAGTCCGAGACGAAGAGGATGAGAATAATGAGGAGACGATCAGCGGGGCCTTTGATCTCGAAGTTGCGGAAGAGGGAGTTGGCTCGGAAGAGGTCGAGGGTCTCATCGATAATGTCTGCTTCTGAGGGATCGGCTGGAAATGTGTATATACGTTGTAAGTATGGCACCGTTCGACGCGTGACGCTGAACATCTACCCACCCATAGGTGCAGGACCACGGTATTTGGACTTGATGGGGAGGACGGCGAGGTTGCCGACCTGGCGGACGTCGGGCACCTCGTTTAGGGCGGAGTGGTACGCCTGAAGAGACAGATGAGCAGTATGGACACGGAGCGGCGTGCATGGAACCCACTGGCATGGCGGTTCGCCCTTGCTGGAGAGACTGGTATGAGTGGACGGATCACTGGCTCGCAGTAGCTGAACAGGCGGCGTTTGCCGGGAGGTGCCGCGCGATGGCTGGGGCGGGCCGAGGCAGAGACGAAGCAAGCTGGGAAGACGTCATGAACGCGTCCTCGCGTGAGCGTGTCGTTCCTCCTCTCCTCCTCCCCTCGCTGTCGCAGGAAACCCCTCTCTACGCAACAGGGAAACCTACGCGTCGTGCTCAAGTCTGGCCAGGCTCAACGGCTTGACGAAGAGCTCACGGCCCACCATGCCTGCTCTCGAGGTCGCCGATGATCAGGTCTCCTCGTTCTCTGTGCAGTCGTTCGACCCTTCTCCAGACAGCATCACCAGTAAGTGGCGCATCCATTTTTTCTGGCTCAAAGCCGACTCGCTGAGTGGCATCAGGTCTCGCGAGACGCGTTCGTGCTCTCACTCTGAAGCTACTGCCCATCGAAGTATCCCCGGACAGTATCAGCGAGCCCACGAGTCGGATCATAACGTCTCGAGTCATCAATGCATATATTGCGGCTGCAGGAGACTTTGTGGAACCGGTGAGCAAACTTCGTTACCCTCTACGAACGAACTGTTTCCAACTTACACCTTTTAGCTCCCGTATTGTCTTCTCTTGGCTCGGAAACAGTTCATGCTCGACGCCAACAAGTATCCGGCGGATTATGAGGAGAACGAGGGAAGAGGTAAGTCATAGTTTCACTTGCTTTGAATCTGCTCTAAACAGTCTACAGCGGTGGCATGTGAAGTTCTCGCACGGAGGGTGATCCATTATGCTCCTCCTGAGAAGATCTCGACAATGATGACCGCTCGTTACCGGCATCGAGAACTAGATGGTGATGTCAGCGGGAGCTCCAGTGCTCTTGAGATGGCCATCGACGCTCACTGGTGAGCCTCCGAATGTCTTCTCATCTTGAACCACGCGTTGACGTCGTCTTAGTACTATATTCTTGTCCTCGAGCGAAGCGCAAGATGGTAAGTTCGACACGCACTTGTAAAAACTAGAGACCAACATGTGTGCAGTTGTCCAGGATATGTGGTGTGGCCGTATTGTACAACTGTACGATTCCGAGGGCGATGTCAGCTGTAGGTGCTCATGCTACATCAAGGCAGGATGGCATTTGATTTGCATCTCCCATCTGACAGTCGTCCCTCACCATGCTGCCGACTACCACGGCTTTTGGAGTCACCTCTCTCCCTCCAGGCTTGGAGTTCCGAGATACCAGAACGTCTTCCGCATTATCGTCTGGTTTATCTTCCTATTCACCTATTCACAAGCCGGTACGTTTTGGTTGGCGACAGTCTCCATTAATTCTAACAGTGGCAGTGCAGTACGCGAGCCTCTGGACAAGGTGCACAGGGATCACAATGACCTTGACAACTGGGAGATAGTGCTGTATGTGCTGGCTTTGGCCTTTGCCATCGAAAGTGAGTGGTGGACCTGTTGATGATATCACAATGTTGCTCACATTTTTACAGATCTTCACAAGGCAAGAGGTGTCTTCAACGTTTCATGCTTGTACTGACCGTCTCAAACTAGATCTTCAAACTTCTGGTGCTCGTCTCATGGCGAGCTTTTGGCTTCTGGAATGTGGTTTCCTTCATCACAGATTGCCTTTTGACGGCCGCATTCACCCTGCGCATGATTGGTATCGTGCGTCCGGGAAAACAAGAGGCCATGATACTATACAGCTTCCAGTGCCTTAGCTTCGCGGCTCCCTCTTGTGGTATGTATACATATCCTCTGACTTTTGTGTTTTTCCTCATCCCTTACGTTCACAGGATGAGTGAGTAGACCGTGATGGTCACATCGACGGCCTGTTGACTCGCACTTATACAGAGCTTATCCCCATCTTCGATGGCTATAAGTGGGTACTGCTCACTTATCGTACTCATCCCCTCTGTGTGCTGATTATGATGCACCAGATTCGTTGGGACGATGCAGATCTGTGTCGCTCGAATGCTCAAAGAATCGGGGTTCTTCTTCTGTGTATGTTGGCCGCACCTTTTCGGCCTCTATTACTTACCCAAGATCCTGCGATTAGCTTTTGGCTCTGCTCGGTATCGGATTTCTACAAGGCCTATACGCCCTCGATGCTGCAGATGGCCAGACTGATCACCCTACCAAGGTAAATGATCCAAACATGCTTACGACGATTGCGTCCTTTGTTTACTGATTTTGCACAGATATTACATGTTCTCATTCAATCTCTGCTCCAGTAAGCATCCCTTCGACCCATTGTGAGTATCACGTACTGAAGAACATTACAGGTCACCGAACTACGAAGCATTCCCATCCGCAGTCGGGCTGTCACTTTACTACCTGTATGGTCCCTGTTCACTCCACCTTGATAATTGCTCATATGTTTCTACGAAGCTGGAACGTTGCGACTGCTGTCATTCTCTTGAACGTCCTCATCTCTTTGTTCTCTTCGGCGTACGAAGATGTGAGTGGTGGTACTGTGGACCCCTACTTTGTGACTAATAGCTTTGCAGGTCATCGGAGATGCTGCTGCAGAGTACTTGACGTACTTCGCGGGGAAAGTAGTCAGCATGATTAGAGCTCCTGACGAGTTCATCTATCCTCCCCCGTTCAATCTCATCGAGATCTTCTTCGTTGCACCTTTCGAGTGAGTATTTACCCGCGGTTTGCAGACACGATCACTCATCATTGGGCTCAGATACTTCGTCAGTGAAAAAACGTACGGCAGGGTAAGTGCATATTTTCGTGGAGGTCACGGGAACTGACACTCCCCCAGATGAACCGTCGTATCATGAGCATCCTGTTCTTCGTTCCTCTGGTCACGATTGCGCTTTTCGAGGCACATTTCAACCCCGAGAAGCATCAATGGGTCAAAGATTGGTTCAGCTCCGCGGAGGAGGGAGGAGATGATGCACCGCAGTTCCAAGATCCTCAGGTCACCGGCCAAGATTCTGATCGTGGTCTTGTAATCAGCAAGGTTCCATTCAAGGACATCGTGGCAAAGTTCCCTGACGCTACCCATGTGCGCCGTGCTCATTCTGTGTGTTTAAGACTCAACTGACATGTCACAGTCCCCGGAGGCCGTGATGATGCAAGAAATGAAGACGCTGCGCGCCGAACTTGCTGAGATGAAAGAGCTTATCAAGCATATGGCGGCTGGAGGTGCCAAGGGGGGATGAGGTGTAAAGCAACCGGTGCCACGGACAATAACGGTTATCATGCAACGTTTCACAAGGGTGTATCCTCCATTCATGTACGCCAATGGCAATGATGTCATGCACTTCTAGGGTCAAGCTTCGGACATGACTACCCACTTGGTCACGTTCTTGGCATTCACCTCAACGCCCCATGCACACAGTCGTGTTCGTACCCGGCAACACCTCTCTCGGGATCAAAGAAGTCCCCAGGCCAAGCCGGGGCCGGGCTAGGTGCACCTAGTCGCAGCGACTGTCGTGTATCACTCGGACATAGCAATATTGTTGGAAGTCATCGAAGACACCGCACTTATACGTTCGGACACGAGAATGCCGTACCATATCTCCCCATTATACTTACAGGCACTGTGAGTCCGGGGCCTGGCGTTGATAATATTGCTATCGGTAAGCTGTAACACGAGTGTTGAAACCGCAGAGATTAAGACAGGCATGTGTAGAAGGGCCGAAGGACATATCCACGTTACAGATCGAGTTGAAAGCTGGAGTTAACACTCGCGATAAATGGGGGTCATACAACACTGTCGTGATATTCGTACGACTAGCAAAGCGACAAGCTACAGCTACAGGTGAACCGAGAATAACCTGCAAGCGAAGACATAGTAGTCAGTCACTGCACAACACAAAGAAACTAGTCGAGTTTAGATGAGGTTTATCAGGATTTTGGATAGATGTTACCCTTACAGATGCTCTCCACCGACGGAACCGGTTCCGTCATCCAAGAGCGCACAACGAAATGTTTACTCACTTAACGGTTCTTGAAGTAGTCGAGGAGGACGTGGAGGCCCTCTGACTCAACACCATAGTCCTTAACGACGACGCACGAGCAGCCGACGACCTTACGGGGGTTGCCCTCACGGTCGATCTTGCAAAGACCGGCCCAGGTACCAAGCACCTTCGCGTCTCCAACCTTGATGAGGTTGATCTTGTGCTCGGCACAGAGCGCCTCAATGAGCTTGATGTACTCTGCCTCCGTGCAGGTCTCGACAAGCACGCACAAGTGCGCCTGGCGCTTGTCAAGGGCCTTGGCGCACTCACGGAGACCGCGAGCGAGACCGTCGTGAACGAGGGCGTTTTTCAGAACTTGCTGTACGCGCACAGAAGGTATTGGGAAAAGGTGCAGTGCAAGAGTAGAAGCAATCACGCACCTGAAGCGCATCCTCAACAGAGAGCTTGCCCTTAGGAGCCTCAGTGGGGGCCTCGACCTCGGGGGCGGCGTCGACTTGGATTTCATCAGAAGCGTCAGACATCCTGACACTGCTCGTCAATGTCGCGCACGGCGTTTGAGCTCGAGGAACCACGCACTTTTTGGTTTGGGGGATGGAGCAGGGGAGCGATGTCTTCTTCCGCGTTCGTGGATGCTGGGAAAAATAGAGTTCGTCCTTGCTCAAGCCTATGAAGCAGGTTCAAAGTCCGCCGGCAATTTCCGGTATCTCACCGGACCCTCATCCACTGCTAGGTTCCCGCTTCAGCTGCCGTACACAACTCTTGTTGGGCCATTTTATCGCCGTAGTATTCTGTAAAACCTTCCCCGAGGCCTTATTGCGTGGCCTGGCTCCACGCAACAGATTAGCGCCTGGACCATGGGCGCTAGCTGGCATTGAGCGACGAGTACTACTACTAAGCGCTAAGCTCGGACCGCGTTCAGCTCAACTTCCAGTACTGACATCTCGCGTAACTTCCTCTTCGTCACCCCGCATCTCTCGATGGTGAATGGCCTGATATCACGACCCATATTGTCGCTCATCGTGTTGTCTCAGAGTCTGGCGTTCGTTCACGCGCATGACGGCGCAGAACGTACGTCTCATAGCGTATGTCTTCACCTAGCATATGCTAACTCGCTCTCCCTGCAGCTCATACCGACGCAGTGTGGGGCGTTAGCTGGACCAACGCGGACACCGTTCTAAGCATTTCTGCGGACGGTGCAATCAAACAATGGGACTCGATATCTGGACAAGTATCGCACTCAAGACCTCCACACACCCTTGGTCTTGTCTCTCTAAGCGTGGATCCAACTGGAAAACTTGCGCTCTACAACACGCTGGAAGGACTCACCTGTCTTTGGAGTCTTGAGGATGGAGATTTGAAAGGGTCGTATGAGAGCTTTGCGCGGACTGCAGGATCTGAGTCGAATGACCCTTGTACGTTCTCAATTATCAAGTTTTGGCATGGCCTCATCCATCGACCCTTGCATCCACGCGATTCGGAATGGGGTGATGCACACGCATATAGCGTGGTCTGTGTCCCTGAATCCCAAAGGAGGGACCTACGCTTCTACGGGAGGCTCTGGGAATGTCACAATTCACTCCGCTGAAACACCAACATTCGGCGAACGGCGGGCTACCCTGAAAAGTGGGCGCAGCAAATTCGGGATGTTTTGCAAACATGTGGGTTATTCGTGAGCCTGAGTTGGTGTCCAGTCCCTACCTGTCCTGCTTGCTTGTGTGCACGTTACAAATGACCTCTTGACTGACCTCCCAATTTTGTTGCAGAGCCCGGATGGGTCTCGGGTAGCTATGTCTTCTGAGAACGGCATCATTTACGTCTTCGACATCGTATCGGCCTCGATCCAGTCGATGTACTCCTCGCACGCAATGGCAGTGCGATCTCTAGCCTGGTCCCCAGATTCTAGCGTGAGCGCCCTATGCACATTGCCCAACACCCCACACTGAACTACCCTGTTCACAGCTCTTGCTCTCCGCCTCTGAAGATAAGCGCCTCATTCTACACGACCTTCGCACCTCGTCATCGGGGAAGCCTGGCTCCGGAGCGGTTGCCGCCTTCAGCGGTCACTCGTCGTGGGTGCTCAGCACGGACATCTCCCCAGATGGCAGGCTTGCGCTCTCCGGCTCGTCGGACAAGACCGTAAAAGTATGGGACATCGGCGCTCGGGCGGCGGTATCAACTGTTCAAGACCAAGGAGAGGTGTGGTCCGTGTCGTGGAGGCCGAGGCCGCCTGCCCACGGAACAGCAGGCGCGTACGTGACAGGCGGAGAGGAGGGCGTGGTGCGCTGGTGGCGGAGCGCTGGTGCTGGTTGAGTCTTGCGGACATGTGTACATATCTCAGAGTGCTGTCATTTTGTTGCCAGCGTCGAAGAATATGTGTTCTAAACATACCACCGCCGCCGGCCGAATTAGGGCTTCGGCTTCAGCCGTATCCCTTCACCACTGCTAACTTCAATGACCCCACATGCACGTCGAACCCCTCGAGAGCGCGCTCTTTTTACAGGACGATGAAGTACGTGTGCGCAAGTTGTTACGTGCAAGTCGCATTGATTGAAACAGCGTGCTAGGATCTTGGCGTTACACTGACTAGCCTCGTTACCACTGCGATGCACGACAAAGATCCAAAATGTACTTCATCCGCCGTTGTCGATGCAGTACAGCGCACAGGTAGTGTCCGCTCCTTCGCACGTGCTCCACAAGTTTACGGTGTTCGTGACCGCCTTAAACGTTGGCAGCTGAGGTGGTTTTGAGCACACGCGATGGTGTCGACGGACTCATAGACTTGATGGCAAACACTCATCGGCTTCTCTATCGCAACCCTGTGTTTGAACGCCAAACGGCTGGCACACGTATACACATTGTATATGTTTGTATGAGCTCAGAAAGTGAATCATTCCAACTATTTAAACATTGGTTATTGCCTTTGTTATGTTTCATCCATTTGGTTGGACGTGGGTGCTCGGGTGAGTTGGGTCAGAACGTTCATACCGCGCACGAAAAACGGTCGAATCTCGTTGATCTCCATGGCGCATAGATTCGGCAACTATACAAATGATGAGCGACGCCATTTGAATGGACAGCGCGAGTGCATACCGAAACTTCAATCCGACTAAGTTCAGTTAGACCCTCACGACTCTTGGCCTGTCGGGCTTCTCTGATATCTTTTAAGAGCGTCCTCAGTTTTTCTGGATTTTGCAGATCGTCCGATGCGCTAATGATTGCAGAAATGAGCAGCGATTCATGCCTCAGATCTGGAAATTTCCTACACATCCAGCAGAATCTTGGCAATTTCAGCGAAGCGGAATGGCATCTCGCTGAAGTCAGATGACGTTGTTTCTTGCGTTAGCCGGTCCTGTAGGAATTCTAAAAAAAGGCTAGTATATGAGCTAAGCTAATTGTTGGGAATATGTATTGTCCCAGACGTACCAACGTTGAGCCATGGTGGAGGGACGATATGACATTTCTTCTTCAGCTTGAGGTTAGATGCCATCCAAAATGGGACTTTGCATTTTGTAGGAGGCCGCAATGGACCGTACGCCCCCTGGGAGCTCGTGTAAATAGTCATTCTTACACTACCCATGGTATATTCACCGATATGAACGCGGTACGTTCCATCGAGACCAAAGGCACAATCTCGACCAGTTGCTCGGACGCAACAAGTTCGAGCTCTGGTGGTGTGATGGACGTCCTGAGCGAAGGTGGGAGTGCCATTTCAGCTATAGGTCAAACTTTGAGACAGAAAGACTAAAAAGTCACAAAGGCCGGACAAGCAGGCTCAGGAGGCGCCAGATGCGAGTCTTGAGCCGCGTCGATCGAAAATCACGATCACGTGGAACAACGCGTGTCGCGTACTATGCCACGGTTCAGATTGAGCCCATCTCCGACGATCCGTTCACTCCTCCCTCTCACCACCAGCCGCCGCACACGTACTGCTACTACCATTCTCGCCGATTAAGAACTTGCTCTGTGGACGGGGCTTTCGGTGGGGCTCTGCATCTTTATCCTTGTACACACAATGCTCGGCGCACGCACCAAGCAAATCTTTGCATACGGCAAACGGGGGCAACGCGTGGTCAATGCATACGATGAGCGCAAGTCAAGGCACTTGGATCTAGACTCGACGCAAGAGGGCCAAGCGGGAAGTGTGTCCGCTCACTCGTTCAAAGAAATATCTGTTGTATCTGGCCACCCCAGCAAGTCAATCCCATCAAGCTCCAACGCATCTGAGAACCACACATCTGTGCGAGCCAAACAGGTCAAAAGGTCCCCGAAGGTCGCAAAGGTCGGTGGAGCAGTTGCCGTTAAACCCGTTCGTCGACTTCCCCTTGGTTCCATCCCTCCCAATGCACCCTCCTCCCCAGCCGTGCCTCCAACCATGCGCAAGAAGCGTTGGCAGACAGTCATGAAGGCTTCTCCGCTGGTACCAAACAGTCTCGTAGTCGACATCGATATAGTGGTCCTCGATTCCCAGGGAATACGAGTCAGCCAGGAACATCGGATATCGAAGGGCAGTGTACAAACCAATGTTTATGTCGCGATGTCTCCCAAACGGCCCAGAGTAGTGGATCGGATGAAGCCCCGAGCTACCGGCAAGCGAGCGGATCCCATCTCTGTGTCGGACTCCGAGGATGGTAGACAAGTGCTAAAACACAATGTGCGGAATGCCCGAGCCAACGCGAAACCCATTGTCATATCCGACTCCGACGACGGCTCAGAAAGCGACTACACACCAACCAAGGACGGGCCGGCAGCGTATGACGAGTCTTCAGAAGAGGAACTCGTGCTCAAGGCACCACGATTTCGTCGTCGTGGACCATCCAGGGCAGTGATATCGCCCTCTCCAACCCCGTCGATTTTATCATTTCATGAATCGGTCGTCACTCTTCCTGCACCTGCACCTGCTCCCGGACCCCAACGATCGCGGCAAGCCCCTCCTTCCGAGCCTCCTAGACTACCCCCGGCGCCACCTCAGCCACTTCAGAGACATGTTACGCTCCCTCCGAAACAAGCTCGTCGAGATACCCTCGGGCCCTTCACATCCCTACCTTCCCTCGATGCAGCCGATCCTACTCGATCCAAACCAAGGCAGCTAACGCCCATTCGAAAACGTCCTGGACAGCCCTCATTCCCCGCTCCACCCTCACCCCCTTCCCCTACCACCCCATCCGATCTCAACTCCGATCTCGACTTCGACTTCGCCCAGCTTGCGCTTTCTCCGGGAGCCCTCGCGGAAGTCCAGCGGCTCGATTTCGGTGCTCCAGATCCCGGCCTCCCGGAGTACGTCGTACCGCTCCTGAACGAATGCTCTCAAACGACCGCGCACGAGTTCTCCGCATTCATCGACATGTTTCCGTTCGACCCTATCGTGCGCGAAGGACACGGGTCTAGCACACATGCGACCTTCCAGAAGATCGGCGAGGCCTGTTACTCTGAGGTCTTCGGGATTGGAGATGTCGTCCTCAAGATTATCCCGCTCCGTGACGAAGCACGCTCAGGTCTACCTGATGCCGCCTTTGCAACCAAGGACAGCCCCGAAGTCAGCGACGCGAAGGATGTTCTCAAGGAGATTCTCGTCACGAGGGCAATGGGTTCGTGTTGTGCGGGCTTCACGGAATTGCTGCGTGCGTACGTAGTACGCGGCAAGTATCCGTCGCTGCTACTCGACTTGTGGGATGATTATGACAAACAAAAAGGGAGCGAAAGCGTTCGTCCAGGTTAGTCTGCGTCTGATTGATTTTCTCAGTGTGACGTACTCATCTGCTGCGTACTAGACTCGTTCTCCGTCTCACAGCTCTACGCCATCATCGTTCTACCAAATGGTGGTCCCGATTTGGAGGCGTTCACCTTCAGTACACCCACCAAGACCGGTTGGAGACAGGCCTGCAGTCTCTTCTGGCAAGTCACGCGGACCCTCGCAGAAGCTGAAGAGCTCGTTCACTTCGAGGTATGTGCACACCCTGATTTGTCTCATGCTATGTTCACACCAGCCATCGCAGCATCGCGACCTCCACTGGGGCCAGATCCTTGTCAAGAACGTCCCCCTCCCCACCCCGCGCAAGTCCGACCCGAAGTCCTCTTCCTCGTCCACCACCACCGCCCCGCCGCTCTCGATGGACGACCCCGCGCATGGCGTCCTCGCCACCGTCATCGACCTCGGCCTCTCGCGCATGGACGACGGCTCGGGCACGGGCGCGCCGCACTGGACGCCGTTCGACCCCGAGATCTTCGCGGGCGAGGGCGACGAGCAGTTCGACGTCTACCGCCAGATGCGCGCCCACATCGCCTCCTTCCCCCCTCCCCACCCTGCGTCCCGCGGCGGCGGGGACGGGGACTGGGCGGCGTTCCACCCGCGGACGAACGCGATGTGGCTCGGGTACTTGGCCAGAAAGCTCTTGCACGCGAAGCGGCTGCGCGCGCCGCCGGCGACGCGCCCCGCGGAGCGTGCGGCGCACGAGTGCCTGCGCGAGGTCACGGCCGTGCTCCCCGTCGCGGCCGTGGGTGCGGGCGGGCGGCAGGAGGAGAAGGGGAAGCCGAGACGGGGCAGACCGCGCAAGACGCACGCGCCAGACGTGGCAGGCCCGGGGAGCGCGACGGAGTTGTGGGAAATGGGCCTAAAGAAGGGGTGGGTGTGGTAGTGGTACTTGGGAGAGCGAGACGTTTTCCCGGACTTGTTTGAGATGGGGGACTGGGGACGTGAAAATTCTGTTTTGGCTATGGTTGGATGTATTTTGTCGCGTCTGTAATCTTGATACCCAGACTATCTCGCCGTCGCGATGAGATGTGCACTCGCGCGTCAGATTCGGACATTGGGTTCAAGAAGGCAATGTGTAGGACGGAACAAATGCTCATTAAATCGTCGTAGTCGTCACAACTATGAGGGGCAGTACTGCTACAGGAGGCGGGTGGGTACGTACATACATGCGTGATTTGGTACTTCTCGGGCGAATAACAGACTGGTTGGGAGATGGTATCATGGTCCGCTAGCGATGCAGTAGAGGCGTGTAGTATGTACGAGTGCGTGTGGCGCGGCGTGTGTGGTGTGGATGTACTTCGGAGACTTCCCGTCAGAGCAAGGTAAGACAGCTATACAGGGTGCGGTGTGGGACAACAACGGAAGCGGGCATAACGATGATAGGAGAACAACCCTGGAGACATGGTGTGGGGGCGAAGATGTACAGGGCCGATGATAGAGAATAAGATAGCGTGGGCGGGGCACCTCTGAGGCGGACGCTCCGCCTCGATGCAATCGTGGATGGCGGCGAGATTGAGGACGGTTACTCCCCGTTGGCGCGGCGGCCTCGCGTGCTCCTGGGCTTCGAAGGAGACGGGGGCTTCTCCGCCGTGGCGACCTTCTGCTTCTTCTTCTGCGGCGCGGTGCCGTTGCCCGCGGTGTGGTGGCCGCGGCTCGACGATCGCGCCGAGGCGCGTGTGGACTTGCCATGAGAAGACGGGAGAGGAGGTGGGGGTGGTGCGCGGGAGCGGAAGTGGTACCTCGTCTGCGGCGCTGCCTCCACGGGGGTCATGTCCGAGTCGTCGTCGTCGTGGGAGCGTTTTCCGACAGACGACGGACTGCTTGAACCGCGATCAGACCCTTTCTCTGGCGACGTCGGCGGAGGTGAGACGGAGGGCGAGGTGGGGGTCGGACCACCGAAGACGGACATGGGCGGCATCTGGAGCGGCTGGGGGAGGCGCATCGAGGACAGCCCGGCGGCGGCGGGGTACGTCGAAGCCTGGCGTGCGAGCGGTGCTGGCTGCTGGGGGCGCTCGGGAGAAAAACCGAGGCCTTGGGTGGCGACCTGGGACCCCGGCCGGTCGAGGTTGCACAGTTGTGGGAGGACGGAGTCGATTTGAGAGAGTGGCAGCTCGGGATGTTGGCCATCCGGCCACTGGAACGAGCCGTTGGGCGTGACGAGAGGCGTGTCCACCCACATGTCGGTGTCCTGGGTGTCGGGCTGGAGGCTGGGTTGGGACTGCTGCGACGGAGGGATAGCGTTTGGACTGAGAGCGAGGAGCGGAGAGCCTCGCACGGGCCGCTGTCGTGGAAGGGTGTACGGCTGCGGCGCAGAGGCGTGTCCGTCCCCGGAAGGGAAGGTGCTTGGGTAGGGCAGGGTCCGATCGTGCAGGGGCCGTTCGTCCGGGACGTCGTTGTCGTCAATGGGCTCGGTGAGCGTCCGTTCCAAGTTCAGAGTCTGCGGAACCTTCTTGCGCCACCGACCAGCAGGGGTGGCGCCGGTGCCATTTGAGTCGATGTACCAAGTGCGGACGGCGTCGGGATGAAGCTCGTCTTCACTCTCCTCGCGCTCGAGACCGGGACGATCGAGCTTTATGCCGTTAGCATAGCCGCCAGTGCGTCGTAGAGGAACTGGGTGGCGGGGCCCTGGCTGAGTCTGGACTGCATAGCGTTTGACGACGGGGACTGGCGGAAGGTTGCTTTCGTGGAAGAAGTCGCGGACCTTGATGCCGAGGGTGGTTAGCGCCTCGCGGTGCTGGGCAGGGTCGTCGGGCATGGTGGCTGATGGGGGGTGCTGAGAAGCGATGGCGGCGTACTCAGCCTGCTGGCTCTATAAAAACCGCCGTCAATTACCTGAAGGAGAGAACAATGGGAGACGCAAGTGGACGCACCGAAGAGGGTGTGGCGAGGGACGAGTGGCCCAAGTCGGATGAAGGATCGTGCGGTGGCGATCGGAAAAGGCCATCAGGGGTTGATGCACGCATACGAGAAGCTGTAGAACGAGCCAGCCCGAAGGATTGGACTTGGGATGGGATGGTTGGAATCCGGGTTGTGCTGTGCGAGTGGTCGAGATTGCGGTGCGTTGATGTGGCTCAGACGGGCAGGCTTCAGACAGACGGATATTCAGCGTGAACGACAGGTGCACACACGGTGCTCGTGGTTGGAAAGCAAGCAGGGAAAGCACCAAGGAGCGGAGGCGAGCTTTTGAGAGGCGACGAGCAGGGCAGTGTGGGCGTGGCTGCCGAGTCAGATCTCGCACTGCCACGATTGCCGCCCACTCAACATTCCCACAGTCACGCGACCAGCCACCGCCTGCCACCCGCCACAGCTGACTCCACAGCTTTCAACCAGTGACATGAATTCACCTCTTCGCTCAATACCTATCTAGATACCCATGGTCGTCGCCGAAACTCCCCGGTTGGAAATAACACCCGGCTATGGCTGGCATGACATCCCGCGGGATATCGGGAGACCGACGTCCCTTCAAATTGAGCGCCCACGAAGTCTGTATGCATGTGTCGCTCAGGTGTTCCCGCCAGCTTCTTCACCTTCAGATCATCAGCAGCTTCCGGTCCTTGTCTCCGATATTCAGCGATCACGACAGTCCACAACACCAACCACGCTTGTATCCCGTACAGATAAACTGTCGAGTTGTGGCACACCCTTGATGATGGTGCGGCGGAGTTGGGCAGTACCGGCTCCGCAGGTCTCCGAGGCTATTTTCTCGTCTACAGGTAAACATGGCTGGCAGTCTCTCTCAGAACCATATGTAGCGGTCTTTGCGGTCACTTGTGCAGTGTATAGCAGTGAGCCTTATGGCGGTATTAGTAGGGCGGGCTTTGGGATCTGGTTCTTCCTCGTCAAGAAGCCAGGTAGAAGGCCTTGTTATCACGCATCCGCAGAGAGTATGCTCTGTCCAGGTGAGGTATCTAGCTTACGGTGCACATTCGACTGGCATCGAGCCGACTTGCAGAAACGAGGTGCGACGGGCCTTTTGTGGTGGTAGCTTCTGGGCGCGGTTCGCAGATGCCTTGGGACGTTCCGCCCGCGTACACCGCTGAGTAAATAACTCACGTGGTCTGGTGTGGCGGGGGTGATTCTGAGGGTATTTATACGGGGCCATGTCGCATACCGACACCCACTAAAGAATCGCCGTCTGGAATTGAATCTAGAGCTGTGGTTGTTACGCGGCGCTCATTTCTCGGGTGTCCGGAAGGAATGGCCACGTGTGAAAGGCTCGGTCGAGTCGGTGCCGCATCTCGCCTGCATGGCACTGTGATTATCTGTCACCGCCTACTTGGCAACACTATCCTGCCCATCGTACCCACGTTCGAATGTTCGCAGAAACTAGTTCGGGATCCGTGCGGCGTTGCCTGGTGATTGCTTGTAGGTGATCCCTCTACGTCCCATGACCCCTCGACAACGATGCTTCTTCTCAACACCTCGGCGAATGGTACAACGAAGGTATCGGAATTTGGCCACGCCCGCTGCGGAATATTAGCGCATCAAGACCTATGTGGTCTGACCTCCCCCTCTGCGTCAATACTCCTGGCGGGCCTTCTTTTCTTGCTACTGAGGAGCATTAATTCATGTACTGTACAGATCGTACGCCACCTGTTGCTCTAGGTGCGTTATCGTGGCAGACTAGGGCTGCTCAATATTCAATATTCAATTCTCAGCTCGAACAGCCAGCTCACATTTTGATGTACGTACAGTCATCGCCCCTGAATGACCGCCATCGGACGCGCCACCGAAGTCTGGTGTTGCGATCGGAGCGCCGCGCACCACATGATGATATGTCGAAGGGGATCAATATATCAACAACCGCAGAACGCAGCGACCCTCGGTAAGTACGCCGATCGAAGATGAGTGCGAGGAAAGGCAGACAAGCAAGTAAAGTGACAGGACGAGTCAGTCTAGGAGGCATATAAAAGAAATGATTAGACTCGTATCCTAGTCCGTTGGTCTTGACCGTGACCAGGGGCGGGAGAACGGTCCAACGGAACAGGCGAGGTCTTGAGCCACCGGACCAGTCGCATTGGGTAAAAAGGCTTTCAAGTGGCATTTGACCCTCTGGAGGAACGAGGTGTCCCCCCGTCAAGTGCACGTCCAAGCTCGATGGGCGTATATAGATAGATATGTGATACTCACATGGTAACTCACGAAGAGAGCTCATGAAGTGCCGCACGGACCGTTCGAAGGTCGTGGCAATCGGGGGCCGCGCCACTCTCCAGACGGTGGCAACGCTTCCGTCTTCGACTATCCCGCGTATTCAACAAGAACAACTTGATATGGTGCTGAACGCGTGCGCGTGGAGAAACGTGGACGCAAAAGCGCCCGGGGGTTTACATTCCAGCTAAGGCGAACTTGAGCCCGACCTGGTTCGCGCCGTTGGAGCGCATTTTGCGCGTAGAGGTGATCTTTACATAGCGAGAGTAGCGAGAGTGAGGCTGAAGATTTGGGCAGGGAAGGCGAGCAGGCGAGAGCTGAGAGCTGAGATGGCTGAGAGTCGAGGTGGGTCTCGGCGGCGCGGTCGTGTCAGGTGGACGTGTTGCAGATGGACGTGGAGGGTTCGAGATTACCTGTGTCAATGCTGTCGTCGCTCGTGTTCCTTTATGCTACTATATAGCCTCGAATGCAAACAGCTAGGGACAGGCGGGCAGAGGGAAGGCCGAATTATGCGCACGACTCTTGTCGCCGGTCGGAGCCCGCTAAGAGTGTGTCGGGGCCCAAGGGGCTGGTAGCGAGGGCAGAAATGATGCTGGTCGCGGCGGGTGGAAGGAGGCAGCGAATAAGGAGAGGGGAGAGCGGGCGTAGCGAAGGGGTGGGCGTGGCGGTGCCGGGTGAGGATCGTTATGGGGCGGTGATCATCAAGGAACGCTCCCTGTGTGGTCTGAGACCGCGGGCTCAGCCCGTCCGCGTGCGACCTGCCCGTCGCGGGTTGCGGCTCGTGCTCAAACACGTATATTGCTGCTCTGGCAGCGCCGACCCGCCACTTGCCCCCTTCTTCTTCCCCCCTTCGTCTCCCGCTTTCGAGCCTTCCTCGGCCGTCCGCCATGTCGGGCCTTACCATCTTCGCAGACGACCGAGATCTCAACTCTATCACGTACACGGGCTCCTGGTCTGGGGTCCAGGTCACAGGTGCATTCTCTGGTACTGTCACCGAAGGTCCCGAAGGTGCTGCAGCATCCTTCACATTCAACGGTGAGCGCAATAGACCCGTCTCAACAATCAGCCACTGATCATGACGGCTGCTCAGGCATTTCGGTTGCCGTCTATGCCTTGACCAACAGCGATCTCACTCTCCAGACTCCTGTGGTTAAGTTCAACATCGATGGGGTCCAAGTCGACGGAGAATACCCGTCCCTCAGAAATCAATCGCTGTTTTTCTATCAGGATAACCTGCTGCCCGCGTCTCATACTTTGACCTTGACCGTCATTTCCGCGGATCCCCTCTTCCCCTTGTATCTCGACGCATTTGGCTACACCCCTTCCCCCGGCGTCTCCGCTACCAACGGCCAGACCGCCGCCACGTCCCTCGCGCCTGTCACCGTCACTTTCACTCCCACTTCCTCCAGCACTTCGCCTCCCAGTAGCAGCTCGGCCGCCGCACCCGTCGGTGCCATTGTCGGCGGTGTCGTCGGCGGCCTCGCCTTCATCGGCTTGATCATCGCCGCCGTCTGGTTCACATGCTTCCGCCACCGGACAAACAGGCCATACTTCTACGCCTCCTCCGCCAAGGCCGCGGATCTGCTGCACGAAGAAGGTACGTCGGAGATCAGACTGCTTTCCGCGTCGCTCTGCTAAATCGTCGCCCACAGAAGCCAAGCCCACCCCGTTCCCTCACTCCGCCCCGACCACCGTCTACGCGCCCAGCGCCCCTCCCTCCCAAGGCCCCCAGTCTACATACGCCCCCTCGAGCGTCGGCTACGGCCAGCAAACGCAGTACCCCGCCGCGATGCCCAGCGCCTACTCCGCACCCTCGCACTACGCCCCCTCCGAGGGCCCGATGAGCGAGTACAGCTCCGGGTCGTCCGCGCTCGGCGGCTCGCAGCTCGGGCTCGCCTCAGGGTCGCGCCCGCAGCAGCCGCGCGCGAGCCCGAACCAGCCGGGGAGGAGCAAGGCGGCCGAGGCCGGGATGCTGAGCGTGCCCGAGGAGGTGATGTACAACGCGGACTCGGGCGTGCGCTTCGACGCGAACGGGCAGCCAGTGCCCGTCGCCGGCTCCTCATCGTCGGGCGCGGGTGCCGGTCCCGCGGCGCCGTTGACGGACGTGCCGCCGTCGTACAGCGCGACGTGAGAGGGGGGACGGGGAGGAGGCCTTGGGTATCGTGTCGGGCGCGTCCTCGCAGGACGGTTGGTTGCTGGGCATGAGCTCTTGCTGTCCCGTCATTTTCTTTGATCGCATGTCTTTCGTATCAGGTCTAAAACTTACGTCACAGTCTTGGGGGGGTGTTTACGAGATCCATCACTATTTACTGCCACTCCTTATGGCGATGTGTAGAACTTACGAATCGATTAATATCGAATGGCATGCATCGTATGAGTTGGAAGGGATGGAGGGACCTGACGGACTCGCTGGTGGGACACATTCTTGGCTTCAATTACTCCCATCTGCGTCGACTCCGCTGGCAGCCTCGTCGCGCATCTTGACTTTAGCCCCCTGCATCCAATTTCCGCGCTCACTAAGTACAATTGCTTAGTTCCGCTGTGCCGCGGGGCGGCACGCACGGGGCCCGGCACCATTCCGGCGCGCGGCCCTCTCAAGACCCCGCATCTGCATACACTGCGCCCTCTACCGTCGAACACGAGCAGCTCAGACGGGCGATGGTCTTCCAACAACCGCATCCTCTGCGCGAGCGAGAACAGCGGAGGCTTGTCCTCTGCCGTTGTATACGGTGATGTGAGCGTACTGGCCCCGACGGCTGTGCTCGGTGTATGGTTGGGGATCAGGGTCCTGGAGCTCGCCGGCCCTAGCTGTGCCGAGGAGGGTATTTGCAACGTCCTTACTTGTGTGGTAGTAGGCGTGATCGGCACGCGCGATCAGGAACAGGAGAGTCTGCGCGCACGCGTTTGCAAAAAGAAAGAGAAAACCGCCCCACGAAACCACATCGAGCGCACGACGTTATCAAACGGGGAGGGACGTGCTGACGCGACGCGCGCGCGCCGTTCGCCTTCTTCGTCACTCGGACCGTTACTAGCCGCTCCTTACCTTAGGTACCCTCCTGATATGTGTGCAGTTGGAGCATACTACGTACTAACCACCGTATTCATCTTCGTTCTGGCTCAGACCATGCTGCGCACCACGATGGCCGAAAAGCGTGGGCATGAGAAGGATGGTTCACTGCATCCCCAGCCCAAACCCAAAAGATATCAGCTGAACGTCAATTAAGCGCTCTTCAGGTCCGTGCGGCTGCGAAACCACGGCAGATTCAAACCACGGCAGATTCGGTAGACTACATTGCTCCACATTGACTATATGCCTTGAAGCTCATCGAGGGAAGCAAACCGCAGACGTAGCAGGCACTGACGTCACTCTCATCCCGTGCACCTGCCCAGTCCGCACTCGCACGCACCTGCGCCCTATTGTACTCCAGGACGTGTGGTCCCGCAGAGAGCCCACGCGCTACACAAGCCCGCTAACCCGTAACGAGAGAGCAGATGCGTGCCCGATCGTCGTCCCGTTCCCCAGGAGTGCTTCTCCGATTCCCCGAGGCCAGCAGTAGTACTAGCAGAAAGTTCAAGCACGCGCGCGCGGTGCCCCCCGAACCCTCTTCCATCCACCTCTACAGGCATCTCCAAAGGAACTCCCCAACGCGGTCTGTTCAGACCAGCCGGCAGCTCCAGGCCAAGTTGCATCATCGCGTAGCGCTCTCGCAGCTCCGAGGCTTATCGCGGGCGCCTCCCCTCTTCAAGCCCAACCACCAAGATCGCCCGCGGCCGCTGAGACTCTATCGTCCGTACGTGAGCACCTCTGCCCCCGCCCTTCCGCGGCGGATACCTCCTTCCTTGTGCTGACCGCCACCGGGCCCTCAGTCAGACGCACTTGCCATGCTCGTCCCGCCGACCTTCCGCCCGGCGCTGATCATCGTCGACGTCCAGGAAGACTTCTGCCCACCCGTACGTGCGTCCGACTCCCGAGTCTCCGCCCCCTTGGGCGACCATCACGCACTAACACACACGCCCTCCCTCCACCCGCTCGGGCAGGACGGCGCGCTCGCGGTCCCCGACGGCCGCGCCATCGTCCCGACCCTCCTCCGCCTCGCCGCGCTCCCGGGCTTCGCGCTCAAGGTCGCGACCAGAGACCACCACCCGCCCTCGCACGTCTCCTTCGCCGCGAACCACCCCGGGCGCACGCCCTTCGCGTCCACCACGACCGTCGTGAACCCCGCGAACCCCGCGGAGCGCTACGAGACGCGGCTGTGGCCCGTGCACTGCGTGCAGGGCACGCCGGGCAGCGAGCTCGTGCCCGAGCTGCGCGCGGCGGAGGCCGAGGGCCGGCTCGACGCCGTCGTGTGCAAGGGCACGGAGCCGCGCGTGGAGATGTACTCGGCGTTCCGCTCGCCGCTCCGCGCGCCGCCGCTCGCGAGCGCGGTGAGCGACCTGGAGGCGCGGCTGCGGCGGGCCGACGTCACCGACGTGTTCGTCGTCGGGCTCGCGGGGGACTACTGCGTGGCGAGCACCGCGCGGGACGCGCGCGAGCTCGGCTGGCGCACGTACGTCGTCCAGGAGGGCACGCGGTGCGTCGGGGGCGACGACGGGTGGGCGGACACGTGCAAGGTGCTCGTCGCAGAAGGCGTCCAGGTCGTCTCCGAGGACGGAGAGGAAGTGGGATGGGTCAAAGCGCTCGGGGGAGAGAGTTGATTGAAAGCAAGGTACTCAGATAACAGGACGGTCACGGAATGTAAGATACGCAGGAGATTGCTTCGATCGCATGGGTGGAGTGTAAGAGCGTGGTCGCGAGATCTATGGTTGGGAGTCAGACAGTATAAGCATACACAGAGCGATTTACGAGAGGCCACTTATCATGTGGGTACATAATGACGGTATCATACAAGGCGCGTGCTCTTAATTGGCTCGCCGAGATCATCGAGGTAGGCCGAAGTCATAAGCGGAGGCATGAGGTATCCAGGAGCATCTGGGTATCAAAGCATGAGAGGGAAGTGATGAAGCATGGGATGAACACGCTTGGCTGGTACTTTCTGAGGGCCGATACTGAGGGTTTGGCCACGTAACGTGGCGGGCGGTGTTCGTTGTGGTTGTTTTGCTTCCAATTTATATGAGGGGGTACTGTTTGCGGAAAGACCAGCTACGGTGTCATGGGTCGAGTGCTGAAGTCGATCACGCCGTCCCTAGAGGAAGGAAAGCAGTCAAAATCGACAGACCGAGTCACACGGGGGACAGATGATGCGCCGAGGGGACTGCACCCGCCCGCCGATCTCCTTCCCTCGACGCTCGACGTCTCCAAACCCCGCGCAAAAACAACAGGAAGCACTCACCATCTTGATAGCATCCCGACGTCCACGCTGGTCTCCCGCCCAAGAACCATCTCCGCGAGAACTCGGCCGGTGCCCAAGCTGAGCGTGATGCCCCACGGCCCGTGCCCCGTCGCGACGTACACCCCTCCAGCGACCCCATCGCCGTCCGCGGAAGGTAACCCCCGCGGCTTGGGCCCGTCCCCCAAGTCCGCCTCGTGCACGCGGGCAATGACCGGCCGCCCCGTCCCGGTCACAGGGCGGAAGCAAAGCGCCGCGTTGCGCACCTCGAAGTCCTCCCCGCACAGCTCGCGCGCAATGGCCTCCAGGCGTGCAATCTCGCCCGCCTCGATCACCGCGTCCGTGGGCAGCGCAGGCAGAGGCAGCATCGGCGGGTTCAAGCCCCCGACCCAGATGTCGCCTGTGGCACGAGAGAAGATCTCGGGCGCAAAGCCGTCTGCGTCCGTAAAGATCGCGTGGCACGTCCGGGGCGGGAGTGGGGTAGAAATCTCAGCGGTGGTATCACCGTCGTCCGAGGATGGGACAGATGGGGGGCCCGCTGGCCCTTCCTCCTGCGGCGTCGCCGAGGGGTCCGGCGGCGGAGGCGGCGGCATCCAGCGTTTTGACGCGAGAGTGAGGGAGTACCCGGCGAGGTGGGTGACGCGCGGCATGCGGCTCGCGTTCGGGAACAGCGTCCCGTATACCTGAGGCGACCAGCACCCCGCCGCAATCACCACGCTCTCGCAGGGGATGTCGACCGTCTGTGTGCCGCCCTCTGCCGTAGGGTACTCGATGCGGACGTGTGTGACGCCCGCCTCCTCCACAACGCGCGTCGCGCGAGCAGGTTGGTGCAGTGTGACACCTGCGGCTAGCACTGCTCGAGGAGGAATTCACCAAACTTGCGGGGGTGCCTGTGACAGAAGAACGGGGCGGAAAGAGAAGATAGGGAGATCGTAGGACGGCGCACATGCACGAAAAACGGACACGACGTACAATTGTGCGGTCGACTGGGAATCGGAGAGGACTTCGAGGGCCTCGGGGCGAGCGTTCAGCCATGGAGGTATCGCGTCGGGTGGCGGCCTGCTGCGACTGGAGTCGGCCGAGGACCTACGGCTGCTGCCGTCCATGAGCCAGTTGAGGCCGGTCGTGCTCCGCACGTCGGTGATGGTGGGTGTGTCAGATGAGTCCGAGGTCAAGGAATTGAGTGCCGGCCGGGAGCGTACTCCATGTGCTGCGGGCTCTTCCGTGGCTTGTGGCCAGGATCGCGTGGACGAGTTGGCGGCAGAGACATTGTCCGCGTCGCTCGTGTCGGATTCGGACTGGTAGGCATGGTCGAGGGAGTAAGAGACAGAGGGAGCGTAGCCCCAGCGTGCGGCGCCGTTGTGGTCACGGGCAAGGGCGGCGTGGAGGTCGAAGGAGAGGGCGCCGAGAGGCTGGGTGGCGGGGGCAAACCAATCGCGGGCAAGGAAGCCGGCGGCCTTCCCCGACGCGGAGGCAAAGAGTTCGGGGGCGGGGTCGACGAGATGGACGCGATGGGCGGGTGCAAGGGCGACGAGGGCGTGTGCGGAGGCGAGGCCAATGACGCCGGCGCCGAGGACGACGGTGGTGGGCATGTCGTGTATGCTGCCTTGACGGTCTCCTTGCGTCGGACGGGGCAGGGATTGTGCGCTGCCCCGCCGTATATCTCGGTGTGGAGAATGACCTCACTCTGCTCCCCCGGCATCGCTGCCATCGCGGCACGCCCGCCGGCCCCCGCCTTGCAGGCCTGGGCCCGCGCGACGTCAGTCTGCACACGCGCACGCAGCGGCCCGTGGTGGGCACGCACATGCATACAATCTGGTGGTCTTACAAGTTCGGCGCAAGCGATTCTGTTCTACCCATCGTCCGCACTCCGACCCTCCCGGCTTTCCCTCGAGGCGGCATGGTTCGTGCTGATTAGATACCTGAGGTCGACTTGCCCTTCGTGTCGATCGTGAACGAGCCCTTGGCCACGTTCGGGTTCCCAGACGACCTGAAGCCCTTCCCGGCCTCCTCCCTGCCCTTCTCTAGGATCGCCTTCACGACGTCCACATCCTTCGAAGATCCGAACACATTCTCCAGCTGCTGCTTCGACGGCCGGCCTAGGATCCCTTGCGATCCCTGGTTCGACCAAAACACCTCAAACGCTGCGCCACCCTCGCGTGAGCTCGCGATGACGCCAGGGAAGACAAACGCTTGACTCACAGTCGACTACCTCGGCTAATGGGATCGTGCTGTACGAAACCCGGGCATCCGGAGCGTCAGCGGGGACGGCAGGCGAGCAAGCGCGAACATAAGGTATTTACGTGTCTGTGGACGGGCAAAGAGCGTCAGTGGTAGCGTTGGACCGCGTAGGCGCGATCGACTCACCTCCCTCCTTCCACCGCTTGTACTGTGCGTTCGCCGGGGCTCTGTGAGCGTGTCATCCAGAGTAGATGATGCGTGGGGCACGCACCTCTTCGGGGTTCACAATGATCATAAAGTCCTCCGTGGACTCGGGCGAGGCCCTGTACACGATCTTCGTCAATTCGTGGGGCATGGTAGATATAGTAGGTGCGGTCAAAGCGGGTGGGTGCAGAGGGTTGTGCGATCGAGAGTAGAGAGTAGTACAAGGGGAGTGTCGCAGAGTGTCGCGTGCAAGTAGGGTTACGGCTCCGCGCCCGATGAGTATATGAGGAAGAGGTCGTGATGACGTCATCGGGCGGAGGCCACGTCGCGTGACATCATCCAGACCCGACCACTCCAGCGAGCCAGAGCGCCCTTGGCCAGAGCCATGTGCGACTCACTCCCAGTCACGCGGCAGGCGGACGGACAGACGTTCACTTCGGATTCACATCGACAGCCATACTACAACGCTGCACGGTGCGCGAACGCGGTCCAATCGATGGCCGGTATTTTCCCTGCGGACGAGTCGTGTCGATCCTCTATCCGCACGAGCGGTACGAGCGACGGCCTTGTCGCGGCCTGCGTATTAGCGCCTTGCAAATCAACACGAATCGAGGCCCAGGCCACTCACCGCCCGTGTGCGCACTGGAAGGGCAACGCCGTCTCTGACAGCCTGAACAGAAGCCCTCTGCATTGTTCTACTGTCAACGTGTCGTTGAACATGATGGCTCCTGTCGCCAGCCGCGAGACCGGGTCAATACAGACAAAGCAAAGCAAAGCGACACGCGCACCTCGACACGCCTTCGAGTTGATGAGATCGACGAGTTCCTGTGGGCACCACCGCAGTGCCTTCTGCCAGCCCACGTCTCGGGGTCCGGCTTGCCCTGCAAGCAGCACGCCCTCCGTGCCCTCGCACTCGAGCCTCGCCAAGTACCCGCTGACGAGACCCCGGAGCTCGTCGCCCGCGAGCAGCTAGCCAAAACGGCCCGTCAGCACACACGCGCGCACGACTCGGACGTAATACGCCCACAAAAAACCGGCCACGGACCCTATCCGCGACGACCTCGGGCACTGCGGCCACCTCGCACTGGACGTGTGTCACGGTGGCCGCGTCCTCGCCGTGTGTGGGCCAGGCACGCTTCCAAGGTGCCTGTCCGCGAAATCCACGCCCCAGCGCGCGAACGCGGCGCGCACATCCCCGCTCTGCACCCGCTCTGCCTCCGCCCGCGTCAACAGGACGGGCACGGGCGGCGCGAGCGTCCTCTTGCGCACACCGGTCTCCACCTCGTCTTCACCGCTTGACAGGTCGCGGCCGGTGCTCGTTTGAGGGTGCGTGGGAGCGGCGCGCAGGAAGCCTTCGCAGACGTCCCTGAGGAAGCGCTCGACGCGCACGCGCTCGTCCGCCGCGTGCTGGTCGACGAGCACAAGGGAGCTGCTTCTTTCTCCTCCTTCACCGCCGGCGAAAATGCATGCGATAAACTTGCGATCGATTTGCCCGAGGACGCGCGCCGAGCGAAGCGCAACGACGTTTAAATGGTGTTTGTCGGCGAGCCTTGCGTTCGTCGCGTCCCACGGGACGGGAGTGAAGAGCGGCCGTCCGGCGTGGATTGGTGGCGCACGACCACCGTCTGCGAGATTGGTGTGTATTGATAGAAGGGCGGGAACACGGCGCTCCGCCAGTTTGTAGGCGTCATTGCCTTCTAAAACGTCCGTAACCCAAGTTGGAGCGTCAGGCCTCGGAGAGTTGGTTGTGGCGTGAATGTTTCGCATGGAAAGACGCCGTCGCCCTGCCAGTGATCCAATCGAGGGTTTGTCGAGACTTGCCATGTGCCGAGGATAAGAGTTACCCGTACGGGGGTCGATAACGAAGGTTTCGCCAGTAACAGAGTCCTGCCATACGAGATCTCCATTTTCGTCGTGTCCAGAAATCACGACGCCGGTTTCCTCGGGAAGAAGTGTGGTCTCCCAAGCGCGGTGGACCTCGCTGGGCGGCGATAATTCCGTTTGAATTGACGAGCGGCGGAGGTGAGACGTCAAAGGCTCCAAGTCGTCTTGCAACCCGTGGGCACGTTTGCGCTTCTTGGTGGGAGATGCCCCAGGTGGGCGTTGCGTTCCCCGAATCAGGAATCCATTTCGTACGAGAAAAGATTCTACCACTGCCGACAACCAAGATGAGACTGAGGCAGGGTTCTAGCATGCATCAGTGATGTGTACGGGGACATTGACATGACCTCACCGACCCGCAGTTGCACAACAGTTTTTGACGGACTGACGTGGTTGTCCACATCTCGGGACGGGATTGTCAGGTTCAATACGTATATGGCCTTCTTTTCTGTCTTCCGCGGAGAACGACGACCTTTGGACATTGCTTCATCAGTCAAAACGGCATAGGACCTCATCGTGACACTCACCGGATTGAAGATGGTTAGGATGCTCGAACACATCGTATGCCTAGCGAAAATCAGTCGATGTAGATGCATGCAAGCTACATCTATACTCACATGCTGACCAAACGAACTACGACCAAACGTGAAGTCGATACGCATCTGAAGCTCGCCATGCTCAATCGGATGTTTGTTGATATCTAGAGACAGTGTATGAGCTGGAGCATAGCGGCCATCAGCAATTGACCCACACAGAAATTGATAGTTTTCGTGCTAGCACCATGCAAGGATAAGAATCCCTCTAGGTGCAGATCACCGAATGTCTCTTGGACGTGCTCGACGTGCTAAGTGCACTTCAACATACAACATGCATTCAAGCGATCACTGGCTCACATCAACAAAGTGTCGTCCGTGTATCTGACGAAACGCGGTGAGCGTTGATTGAGTCTGCACGCGATGTTCGAGACATGAGCCGCCTGTCAGGGAGGGTGAGAATATAGGCAACCATACCTTTGGCACGGCCAATATCCGAGAATGAGATGTCGAAAGGCCGACTTCCGTGCCTCTGGATGCCCTGTCGAGAGTAAAGGACACCTCGGGGAAAACAAGAGCGAAGGTAGCAATCTCTTTCTTGACAAGTTCTAGGGTACGTGACGCGCTGGGATGCGATCGTCGACGTACCGGCAGCTGTGGACATCCATTGGTGAGGAAGAATGAGAGGAAGGCGTTGTACACAAACGTTGTAGAAGGCGTCGCGCACGGAGACCGCAGTTCCGGGAGACTCTCTACGCCAACGAACAGACGGACCCGCATACAGCGCAGCACCGCCCTTGATAGGAGCAACTTAGAAGAGATGGAGGGAGGTGAGTAACTGGCCCTACTTTCAGTATTATAGACCAGCATTCGGAAGAGTGTCTCGTCCTTGAAGACATCTCCAGACAGCATAGATCGGCGATCGATGACAAAGCTAGTCATAGTCAGATATTGAGCTTCGTATCCCATATTACTGAGTAAGGGCGCTTGCCTTCCCCTCGAAAACCGAATGTTGCATCATCTAAGGAATTTGAAGCGTATGCTTTCGATGTATCTATCACGCAGTCAGCTGCCATATCATCCTTCTTGGTCCGTATATGCGCACTCACTGTATCTCCCACTCTCACCACTGCCAGCAAGCGTAGCAAGGCCTTCTCTTGAAATGCCGGCGCCGTCATCACGGACCCAACACGACCATTCTTCGGGATCTACGGAACAGATATGTTTCTGGCCCTGGCATCGAGAGAGTTCTGGACGAGTTCAGAGATGAGCTGCGGTAAAGAGGTCAAGATCTGCGTAGACCGCAACCTCGACCGAGTGGGAGGCGGAAGTGGGGTGATGTGGGCGTCCAAAGGATGTGTGGGAGCGTTCATCAGAGAAGAAAGCGTAAATGAGATTCAGGGCGCCCACAGCATGCACACTGAGAAGAGCGCTCAGGGGGACGAGCTGGCTGGGCGGCAAATGGGTGGAGCAGGGACGCCTGCGCGTGACGAAGCGTCTGCTTCTTCGGTGGGCACTTGTAGGCTGCCCTGGGATCCCTCTTGACTGCGTCGTCAATGTCGAAACTGCTCTCCCCGCGGGCGGGCGCGCGTGTCTTGGCCCCCGGCAGCAGCATTGCACCGCAGCCTCGTGAAACCCGCACTTCGGTAAAAGGGTTGAACAGGTGCATGAAGGCTTCAACGAGGCAGACCGCCACTCGCGTCGTGAGCACACCAGGCTGATACTCCAATCCAGCCAGATTCCTCAGTGCCGTACCTTAAACCTGGCCTACTGGAGCACAAGGCTGCGGCGGGATATCACATCACACGAGCCCGTTGTACTCTGCGAATGTTGCGACAACTTGCGAGGGACCTGGTAAGTCTCGACGCCTCGTCCAAATGATATCGCCTCATGGCCATGTTACGATAGGTAGCGGAAATCTTATGGTTCCGCTAACTTCTCAATATGTCCCAACTTCATCCGCAACAGAGGATCCACTTGCGCACACAAATGCTGTCATCGGCCGCCACTCAACGCATCCTCGACCCTGGGTTCGAGCACCTTCATCTGCGTCGGAAGAAAATCCATGGATGATTTAAAGCCACGTTTCTCGACCCACAAAACTGGGCGGCGAGCCATGCAAAACTCCCCTCATTCGCCCCCCTCTTTGTATTGCCCAGACTGACAAGAATGTCCTCTCCCCCCATGGCTCCGACCGGCTACCCTACCTTGCTCGGAGCTCCCGATTTCCCGAACAAGACGGAACGACCTCGCCCTTCTGCCAGCACTCCCCCAGCGTTCCCCCACAACTTCTCCGACCATGACGCCGTCATGTTTGTTGACAAATACCAACGATGGCTTGTCGACGAAACCCGGCAGCCAGTTGTCCAAGCCTCAAGCCTCGACAGACGCAGTGTCGCCCTGGAGTATGAAGCTCAGCGCAATAAGTTGCAGCAGCCCAGCGGCAGCGTCCGATGGTTCATGTCCATCGTTGGCGGTTCCAAGCACTCGAGCACGGTGCCTCTTGAGAATCTGATGCCGGGTGAGTTTTCGCCGATTCCCACCTTCACGCAAGTAAATCGATCCCATACAAAACATCCAGTTACATTGTCCGAAATGCGAATGCGAAGAGTTTATGCTGTATGCCCTCATGATTGAGAATACACCCCTTCTTCACTGACAGCCGGTACTTCGACAGGGCCGTTATCTGCTTTGTCGTGTTGTCGCTCCTGCCCGTACGTTCACCGTTTTTCAACGTCCAGAGACATTGCCCAACAACTTCCAACAGTTGTGATGAATGGCGTTCACCTTGCTGTTGAAGACGTTGAAGGCACTGTGCAAAAGCTGTCCATCTACAATTTCCCCTCCACCTACGACTGCACCTTCTCCCATCTCGACGCACTCTTCCCCATTGGCGGCATCATGATCATCCGTGAGCCGACGCTCAAGACGGCCACACAAGGCGCTTTTCCAGTGGTCCGCGTTGACAGTCCCACAGACGTGGGGCTCGTCACTCGAGGCCATGCGCTCGCACGCGGCGCAGTTTGGAAGGCGGGAGTGTCTATCCAGAGGTCCCAAACACTCCTGCACGACAGACGCATGGATCCAGCGGGGTAACGAGTATGCCAACATGTCGCAGTGGTTCCTGGCGGCGCACGCGTACTGCCATGCGCTTACCTTGGACCCTACGGCGCTGGCGGCTCGTCTCAATCGCGCGGAGGCGTATCTTCATCTAGGGTACTTCTCTGGTGCTCAGTGCGATGCACAGAGAGTACTTGACGTGAAGGGTCTCGATCGAGCCCGGGCCACCAAGGCGCGCTTCCGCTTGGCCCGAGCTCAGTACGGCCGGAAGCAGTTCGCGAACGCCGAGAAGTCCTTCTACCGCTTCGCTGAAGAGACACCCACCGAGCCGTCGGCTAGTCAATGGATCACACAGTGTCAGGCTCGCCGACGGGAAGCCTCGACCGGACTTTACGATTGGGCGACATTATACAGGACGGCATATTCACGAATCCGGTTGGACGTCGCGGAATACTGGGGCCCCATGAAGGTGAGCCGGATGCCTCATATGGGGGGTGGCCGCGGGGTTGTTACCGCTAGGGATGTGCAAGTTGGCGAACTGCTGGTAAGAATATTACGTGTGCTCTTACGGTGTGCTGCTAATCCCATGCTAGCTGGTTTCGAAGCCATTCGCGTCGGTGTACCACGAGGACCTCCCCAAGAACCGGGTCGTGCTCACCTTCGACCTCCTATCTGGCGGAGCGTTGGGCGACCAGAGCGGCGCTCTGCTTCTGTCTCGCATCGTCGAACGGCTCTATGGAAACCCTGATGTTCACGCCGAGGTGTACGAGCTATATGCCGGTAGCGGTTTCCCTTCGCCTCCTGATAACTATTCTCCTTCGTGCCTCCCACCTCAACCCGTTGACCTTCTCTCACCCATATGCAACATCGACGTCGCTCGACTGGAAGCGATTTGCAGCCACAACCTCTTCTGCCCTATCCGCCTCGAAGCCCACGGCGTTGACAGCAACCCCGGGAGCCGACCAGCGGGGCTTACCCGTCCGCCTCCCTCTTCAACCACGCCTGCTCCTCGACCGCGGTCTGGTACTGCATCGGCGACGTCCTCGCCGTCCGCGCCGCCTCCAACCTTCCTTCTGGGACCGAAGTCACGATCCCGTACACGGTCGAGCCCTCGTACCGCACCCGCCAGGCCGCGCTCCGTGCGCACATGGTCCACGCCTGCACATGCGCGCTGTGCGCCGCGGACCGCGGCGACGGGACGCGCGCCTCGAGGAGCGCGACCGCCTGGAGCACGAGCTCGCGCACTCGGCGGGGGCGTCGCTCGCCCAGATGCGCGAGCTCGAGGCGCGGATCGGCGCGACGTTCGCGTCCGCGCGGGGCCCCGTGCGCCCGCTGCACGCCCTCGCGCTGCACGCCCTCGCGGAGCGCCTCCGGCTGGAGGGCAGCCCGCGGTGCGCCGCGGAGGCGATCGGGGCGGACGTGCGCGCGCTGCGCTGCTTCGGGCTCACGGTGCGCTCTGGCGGCGGGCCCGGGCTGCCGATCGCGACGGACGGGCTGCCGGTGGGGACGACGTTCGAGCGGCCGGCGGAGGTGCTGCTCCGGATCGCGGGCACGCTCGTCGGGCTCGGGGAGCGCACGAACGCGGAGCCGTGGGTCCGCGCGGCGTTGTGGGGTGCGTCTTCCCTTCCTGCCCGTCGCCCGCGGCCTGGTGCTCACGTTCTCTCCTTCCGGTGCGGTCCCGCGCTGACCCACAGTGACGAACGCCTCGGTGGGCGGGGGCACGGCGCTCTTCATGGACCTTCACCGCAAGGCGCTGGACGAGATGGGGCTCGGCGCGTTCGCGGCGAACGTGCTGGCCTCGTGAGGTCGGAGCTCCGCCGTCTATTCCACAACGGAGCCTAGGCCCCAGGTCCCACACATGTAACGTCCGACGTCGGACCCTGTACGCCCACAGTCGAGCGCGAATCCTGTCTTCTTCGCCCCTCGCTCGACACAGACGCTCGCGTGCGGGTTCGCGCCCTCGGAGCGCGCCCCCGCGCCGAGCGACACAATCAACTAATGCCAGACTCGATCGGGTTGGCAGCAATCGCATGTCAGCCTGCACTCAATCGCGGCGCGCGAGGACCCCGTCGCCCATCGCCCACTGCAGCTGTGTACTGTGTGTATCGTCCGCCCATCTGCCTCCGCCGTCGACGAGCTCTGCTTGCGCGTACGCCAGGCTCGCGCCTCCCACACGCGCCTCCAGCTTGAGATCCTCCGCACAGCCCACGCCGAACCCGAACAGACCCGAACCCGCCCGCCCGCCTCCGCCTTATCGTCCTTCTCGCCGCGCGCATCGAACTCTCGCCCTACAGAGGCGCGCCCCCGGCGCTTCTCGACTGTCGCGCTCGCGTTGAGTTCAATTCAGGCCGGATGTGGGCACTCCGCCCGGATCGGAGGTGGGGGTGCGCGAGTCTCCCCAGGTGGTCTTAGTAGCCCCCCCGCGCTCGGGCGTAGGGACCACTAGTAGCGTGAAACTCTGGCGCCCCGAGCGCACGCACCGCGTCCCACACGGTACGCGGGTGCTTGGGGAGATATAGAGCGCTGGCTGGTCTTACGAATCGATGAGCAACGTCGGCGCCACGAGCGGATCTCCAGGGTCACTTGCATGACACTGCCCGAGTCCGATGGTGAGATCCCAGTCGCTGTACGTGCCATACAAATGCGCACTAGGGCGCGGACACGGGCGCGGCCAACCTCTCTTCCGGGCCAGCCACCGCATTCGTCATTGACGCCCCGGACGTGCACGAAAGTCCGAAGTGCTGACGCCACGCAGTCGCGAGGTTTCGCGACAATCAATCTCCCGCCCGGATCTGAAGCCACCACGCACATTGCACGCCAAAGACCGCATTACTTGTAAGGACCCGCTCCTTGTGGCCTGGGGTCCTCGGGCCACCGCTGCGCTGTTTCATTATTAGCCTGGATCGTGACTTGCGCGGCGCCGATCCATGCTCCGGCTTTACCAACGTCAGATAATATCCTGCGAGTCCGCGCTCGCTCGCCCCGACGGAGACGGACATGCCGCCACAAGCACGGCTTTCCACCGCCCCCAGTCTCTTCGCAGTTCGGCCTGACTCAGGCTCACGAAGTTGACGATTCGTCTGATCGACGCTTCGGTTTGAGTAAGAGGCCGCGTCATCTCATCGCAAAGACGGCGACATATCATGTGAATGTATTGAACACGGCGTACTGGCTACAGCGTCGCAAGCGACGGGCTACTACAGGCTCCTCGACTGAGATCCGGGCGCTAGGCGCCTACGGCGTACACCATCCAGACGGGGCAATAGATAGGGCACTGATTCAGTGATTCGAACACGTGAGACGTGCCACCGCGGTCCAGGCGGTGGCACTGGAGACGAACGCCCTTGAGGCGATAAATAGTGCAAATAACATAAGGTGCCTGACCGCGGAGAGCCGTGCATCACTCCGAACGAATTGGATCGAGAGCATGAGAGCGGAATAAATAGTGCGACGCGGGGCTTAGGTCGCGTTTAGTTGAGGGGGAGGTTGGCCCTGTGTGACGCGCACAGGTCAGGACCGGATGACCGGATTGCGTCACAAAGACACTGCTTACTTTTCTTCGCCGACAACATTCCCGACCGGATCGTAAAGGCAGACATGGTACGTGGCAGCTCCCTTCTTGGATGGGAAAAGCCCTGGGCAGCTCGCGACGCCGCAGCCGAGTTGGGTCGTGGACTTCCAAACGGCCTGGGTGAAGTGGCTCAAGGTCACCTGCTTCGCTTTGGCGTTGAACTTGTCTACGAGAAACAATAACATAAACAGCCTGACCAGCAGCATGGTCATCAATGTGAATCTGCTTACTCTGGTCCTGGAGGAACAGCCGAACGGCGGCCGACGCGTCAAAGGCACCGGTTGCGGCAGCGAGCGCCTCACCGAACGGCCCGATGGCTCCGTTCGAGTGCTGCAGCTGGCAGTTGTCTGCATAATCCTGGGCTTTGGCCGAGAGATCGTCTGACCAAGAGAGTGGAGGCATGTTGAACTGCATCCGGATGTTGTTGTGGCCACTCGTGTAGGCATCCTTATCCACGGGAAGCGACGTAGGTTGAGCAGCTGCCGAACTAGAGCTCGAGGTCGTGCTGGCAGCGGAAGACGAGACGACCGTGGTGGAAGAGGAAGCAACATCCGAAGTCGAGGTGAGGGCAGTGGAAGACGTGGAAGTGGCATTCGCATCCGACGTCGACGTGGACACGACGTCAGAGGTGGAAGATGCCTGCTCAGTCGTGGAGGACGGAACGTCGGTGGAACTGGACGCAACCGTCGAGGAAGCAACGCTCGAGGTTGACGTAGCCACTTCGGAAGTAGAGGTAAAGGCATCCGAGGTGGGGCTGGAAGTAACCGTCGAGGAAGCCGCGTTCGAAGTCGATGTAGCCGGGTTGGAGGTGGAGGTGGAGGCGTCCGAGGTGGAGGTCGACGTCGACGCATCGGTTGAGCTGGAATTTACATCAGTCAAGGTCGAAGTTGCCGACTCGGTGGAGGTCGGGGTCACATCTGACGCAGTCGAGGTAGCGGTGGAGGTGGAGGTCGAAGACACAGCCTCAGTCGAGGAGGTCGACATTCCGGTGGACGAGGAGGCGAACGAGGAGGTGGCCTCGGTGGAGGAGCTCGTGCTCGTCAGGACATCCGTGCTGGAACTTGAAGTGATGTCCGAGGCAATTGACGTCGAAGTGGAAGTCGTACTGTTGCTGGCCGATGATGATGAGGAAGCGCTCGACGGGTCGCTGGAGGCAGCGGACGAGCTCGAGGGGTTTACAGGCGGCGTGCCCGACGACAGGGAGGAGGAGGCAGGGTCCAACGGTCCGACGGAGGGCGAAGAGACTGGTGACGGTTGCGAGTCGCTTGTGAGGGGAGTGTCGCGTGCGACGCGGTTGCCTATGGCGTTCCACGACCAGTCTTCAGCCCTCCTGCACCCTTCTGCTCGCGCTAGCGGTGATATCCAAACGGACGCACCTTGCAAGAAGCCTGTGGTGTCCGCGGGAAAAGCGGCCGCAGCGGTGGCGAGAGCGAGGACAACGTATGCGATCGAGAACTTCATGGTGGCGTTAAAGAAGGAACGGGGAAAGAACACAGCCGGCTGGGAATCGAGCGAAAGAGTGAAAGCCCAGGGATCCGCAGCGACGGCAGAGGGGGCGGAGAAGGAAGGGAATGGGAGGAGGAAGAGAAAAGGCGCTTGTTGTCATGTCCACTCGTCGTTCCATTTCAGCGCATCAAACTCTGCACTGGCTGCGGCGAGCGAGGGCATCAGACCGAAGCGCGGGCGCAGTGCGGACGGCGGAGAGGGCGTCGAACATGGATGGAGGAAGCAACATGGACACATATGGGTCCACCAGGAGGGATCGCAAGCGGTCAGGCAGCACCTAGCCGATTCGCCTCTTCCGACGGCGGACCCTTTGATCTGACCGCGCCTAACAGCCACGCGCCACTTCTCCAAGACCACGTACAGACACCATACACATATGTATTTGCATGGCCAACAAGGGAATGATATGCATTGACAGAGGAGACTAATGTACAGTGTCAAAGGCACAGGAACCATCGCGGGTTCAGGGAGCAACGAGGTCCGGGGTACGTCGGCGCATTGATCCAAGGAGACCGACCAGGGGTCACCTCGCTCGCCATCACCACGCATCGATCCCCGCCCGCTCCGTGCTCCGTGCTGATCTACTTCTCAGCTTGCGGGCATGGGCCGAATGTTGAAGTCTCGCTTGAAAGTCTCAAATTCCTCTTCCTTGCCTTTGTACTGCTCCGTCAGACTCGCGATGAGTTTCTGGATCTGAAGAGACATTGAATGCGAAGGTATACGAGGGGCACGATCCTGCTTACCCCATCGCGATTGGTCTGGAGGGCCGGGACGACGTCCTGGACTGTGCGTTCAACAAGCACACCGCCCACTAGTCGGAAACACTTGCGATCCGGCTCCTCTGTCAGAGCTTCATCGAGAGTAGAAAGTACGAGACTATGGAGGTAGTTCAGACGCAAATAACGCACTTCTCAACAAGATATACGTACTTGTGTTCCTCAACTTCCTGCTCGAACTCGCCGATCTTGCTCGCTAGGGTCTGGAGGTCGCTTTGGTATCGATTATACTGCTGCTGGATGTCTGGCTAGTCGCCGGTACGGTTAACGAGACAGAACACGCGGCACGCATAGGAAGCGACGAACCCTGCGTGGAAGGCCTCTGCTGGACTGCCTTGGGTTGTGTTTTCGAGGAGGACATGGCGGCAGAGGAGGGAGGTAGCGCGTATGTCACGTTATCGGGTCAGCGATGGGGCCGTATCACATCCGCGGCCGCCGATTGGCGGAGCCTCACCCGGCAGCGCCCGGATGGCTCTGAGGTGGCCCCAACGCGGGAGCTCACCGTCCTCCACAACCCCGAGCAGGCGTCGTCCGTCGTCCAGCGCGTCGCGAACGCTCCCCACCATGTCTTTCGCGCGCGCACTTGTTGCCGCCGGTCCCTCCGCCAGGCTGGCTGCTGGCCGTATCACCGCCCCACGCTCTCTTGCTGTTGCCTTCCGCTCGCACTCGACCGCGCCTCGCCACGCCGAACACAAACCCCACCTGAACACCTACCAGTATGCGAAGCCTGTCCCCAACCCCTCCTCCTCTGCCACCGCGCACTACACCGCCGCCGACAAGCACGGCGAGGGGTTCGATCCTTACAAGGGCGGCCCCAGTGCGCTCGACAAGGCCGTACACCTGTTCTTCTTCACCGAGATCGTTCGAGGTACGTGCAGGCACAGTTCGCATGGAGCGGGGTCGCTCAAGGTCGCGGGACCTAGGCATGTGGCTGGTGTTGGAGCAGTTCTTCCGTCCGCCATACACGATCATGTACCCTTACGAGAAGGGCCCTCTTTCCCCTCGCTTCCGCGGAGAGCACGCTCTCCGCAGATACCCTAGCGGCGAAGAACGGTGCATCGGTGGGTGGCAAAACTTTGTTTTCACGCGTGCCTGCACTCACACATGATTTCATGTATGACGGGCAGCGTGCAAGCTCTGTGAGGCGATTTGCCCTGCGCAGGCCATTACCATCGAGAGCGAGGCCCGACTCGACGGCTCGCGGCGGACGACCCGCTATGGTTAGTTTTCAATCGCGGTCCCTGTCAGCCAGCGGCATTAAATGTCATTTTGCCTGCCAGATATCGACATGACCAAGTGCATTTACTGCGGGTTCTGCCAGGAAGCGTGTCCCGTGGACGCCATCGTCGAGAGTGAGTGGTCGTCTATTTTTTGCCGGCGCGCGTTTCGCACAATGGTCTGAGACCGTGCGATTGCAGCCCAAAACCAGGAGTTCTCAACCGAGACGCGTGAAGAGTTGCTGTACAACAAGGAGAAGCTTCTCGCGAACGGTGACCGGGCGGAGGCCGAGATTGCGGCGAACTTGCACGGTATGTCATGGCGAGCCCACGCGCATTCACTCGCTGATTATCGCGACACTGTAGCGGACCACGTCTACCGGTGACGGCACGTTGGTTTGGTATGTGGGAGACATGGAAGGACCTGTCACCACACACAGATGTGATATTGCCCCAGCCACGTAATTCGAAGTTGTCGCCTTCAGCCCAAAGCCTGGTGCTGCGCTTCTGACTGCAAAGTTGGGGAATGTTCGCGGCAGAAGCCGTAAGACTTGCCGGCGGCATGCAGACGGGTCACAACCGCAGGCCGGTGTCACGCCGCGCCGTCACTGGGATTGCGGAGTTTGCGCAAAGAGCGGTGAGGTTGTCGAGATACGGAAGATGGCAGGTGCGTCCCGGGTGTGTGTGGAGGCGCAAATCCGCCATTGAGCGTGAGAGCTCGGGCGAGAACGTCGGTGGCCATATCGAGCGTGCTCTCGCGGCGGGCTGGGGCTTCGCACGGCGCAGCGAATGCCCGCAGCCCTAGGGTGGTGCGGGGTGCGCGATTCTAGTTAGATTGATGGCCGACGATGTGGCTGATTCAGAGATGACGCAGGAGGGCGGTGTGGCCAGCGAGGCCGCCGTGGAACGTGCTACCAAACGAGAGTCGGTCGGTCGGTCGAAGAAGGGCGGAGCGCGCGTGCCCGTGATCCGCTCCCGGGACCTCGAACCCTCAGACTCGCCCCATGCCCGCACTCTCTGCCTGCGCACTCCCCGGACGCATGCGTCGCAAGCCCGAGCCCCCCGCGCATCCCACACCTTTCGACTCCGCGCACCGAGCGGTCGGGCGGCGCTGGGCGAAGCCTGCTCGGTGCGCATCGCATCCGCGCTCAGGAGACTCCGCCCAGTGCATACCCGTGCTCGCTCCTCCGGGCCTTATCTGTGCTATAGATGACCACCGCGCTCGGCACCCAGGTCGACCGGCCCGCACCGTCGCATGAGAGCACCAGAGGGCCCGCCCCTCTCTGCCCCTCGGAGCCAAATCGCGGTACCCGATCTCCCCCTGCGCTGCCTTTGCTCGCCCGACGCGCATCGACGCACGCCCAGAGCCCGGCCTTTCGCACCTTCTCCCGGGGCGCCCGCTGCGTCCGGCGAGAGAATTCGGAGGGGTCGAGAGGCCTGACGAGGAACGAGAAGGGCGGCGGGGACGGCGCGACGCGTGGGCCTCGTCCCCTCGCGCGCGCGCCCGGGCCCTCGCAGCCGTCTGCTTCCCGCCCAGCTGCGCCCATGCAGCGAACCCGCGCGAAGGGGCCCCCGGGGCCTCCGCCTCGCGTCTGCGCGACATTGACGGACCGCCCACCGCTATTTCCGGCGCCCCGAGGCCCCCCCCCTCCACCGCTCCCCGCGGGCGCAGGGGCGCCTGGATCCACGGCGCGGTACTCGGGACTTTCGGTGCACCATGCCATACGATGGGTACCTATCCACCCGCCCACCCCCGCGTTTCAGGCCCGGTCGGATGCGCTGTCCCGACCGCCGTCCCAGGGCGCTCGCCCTCCACTTCCAGCACCCTGGACGCAGCGGGCGTTCGGAGCGGGTGGCGCCTTCCCCTGCCCTCTGAAACTCCCGTGGACTCTGCAACCAATTGCAAGTAATTATCGCACCACCCCCGTCCTCGCGCCCCGACATGAGCTCGGGTGTGCGTACGCTTGGCCTTCGTCCGCTGCAAATGACGTACGTAAACCTTGCTTCCGCAGTCGTCGCGGAGCCCACACACGCACGACGGCGCACTTTGTACCCCAGGCCGTTCGCGCACTTCCCGGACCCACACGATGCCGTGATCGCCAAGCATGTGGCCGTAGCCCAACGCGAAAGTTCAGTAAGAGAGCGCGGATCTGGAGAGCGTCCGACAGGTGCGTTGCGCCACTAACCGACGCCCCGCCACCGACCGCGCCCTGGCCTGGACGCAGCGAGCGTGCCGGATGTTTTGAAGCGCGTTAATTATCTGACGCCACCCTCGTCATTATCGTCCTTCGTCCGTCCGGCGCTGCAGCAACCGATCCCTTCAGAAACAGGGACGGGGAGGCCTGCGGCGGACGGGGACGGACCGTGGCGTCCGCCGCGGCGCCCACAGATGCCGGCGTGCTCGGTCGGAAACAACATGCGCTCTCGGAGCCCGCTCGGCGATCGACGAGGCTCGTCGACCCCTCAGACCTGTGCGCATTCGTAAAACCGTACGCTTATGACAGAGGCGTCCGCCCGCGCGCGGCGTCTCATGAGCGAGACGATCATGCATGTGTCTCATTGGCAGGCCATCTGTGGAACAGAAACGCAAGCCCAGGACCTGCGCGTACTGCCTCTTGATGGGACCGCCGGACCTGGGGGTGACGTCCGCGGGACGCACCAGTCGTGACTTGCCAATAGTTGGCAGGCGCAGAGGTCTCGAATTCGGAGCCGGGACCACGAATCGCCCCAGGTGGTAGCCGCCTGCAGTCGTGGCGCCACCACGTCGCGTCGAGCTCGACATCCGTCTGTCGCTTTTGCTGTGCGGCGGACCTCCAGGCCGTGACTAGTGACTCTTGAGCTTGAGACCACGGCTCGGGAAACCGCGGGCACTGCGGTAGGGCCGCTGTCACCGCCGTGGACCCGCGGCGGGGATCCGACCGTACGCAGGCGAGGACATAGGTCTTCGAACAGGGTCCTCGCCGCCCCGCCGCAAACTGTGATTCGTACGCATGGCGGTGAACCGTGTTCCCAGCGTCGGGGTCCGTTCCTATTGTCCAGCGCCGCGGCGGAGTGCGGGGGCGGCCGCGGCCGCGTGCCTCTCTTCTGACGGCCGTATGCAGAGCTTCGCGGGTGGTTTGTTGGGCGCCGTGAGCCGTGTGCTGTCGAGCACCGCGGTGGGCGCGGTGGACCGCACACACCTTGCGAGCCGGTTGCGGGGACGGCTTGTGGAGCGGGCGCGGGTTCCATTTCGGACTGCCCGATTGGGCGTACTTGGCGGTCGCCTTCGCGAACCTACTTTCTCGTTCGGGAGTCATAAAAGCGTGCGTGTGAGCGCAGCGAGCTGGCGGGGGTCGGCTTGCGGGATGCCGATGATCAGTGCAACGCATGCTGCATATTAGGATATACATAACAGACATGTGCGAACCCACATACAGCCTGAAGCCTATCGGAGAACGGCGATACATATCACAACAGCGAGCACCGGCATGGTGCGCAAGCTGCGCTTGAGACACGGTCCAAGATACGTACGTGACGTTTGTTGCGGTCAACCTAGAGCAAACACCGGGTCAGCGAGGTTTGAACGGCGGCCGTCCACTGCGGAGACGACAACGGTGAAGTGAACGCCGTACCATCCACCCCCGTCCAATGTCCTGGAAGCATACGCTCTATCCGCGACCCTACGCCTCTTCCATCCTATCGTCGACCACACCCTCTCCGTTCCCAGACCCGGCGTGGCTTCCGTCGCCCTCTTCCTCCGAATGCGGCCGCTTCCCGCCCCGGCCGTTCGCCGCACTCCGGGCGCTCGCCCCACCTTCGCTCGCCGCGCCTTCGTACCGGTCGTCGACCTCCATTTCGTCCCGCGCACGCTTCCGCGACTCGCCCGAGGAACCCTCCCTGCCCGCGCCCCGGTCGCGAAGGCCGTTACGTTCGTCCGCGTCGCGGTCCATCAGGTGCGGCGCGTACCCGCGCGGGCCTCGCTCCCGATCGTGGTCGTGCGCGTGCCCGGACGGCGCGGGCAGTGGGCTCTCCCGGCTGCCCCCCGCCCGGGCGACCGAGCCCGGGGAGCCAGAGCGCGACACGCGCGCCCGCGCCTCCTGCTCGGCCCAGAGCGCCTGTTCCTCGCGCTCCTCCATCTCGAGCCGGTGCTTGAGCTCGACGGCGCGCTGGAGGTCGCGCTCGCGCTCGATTGAACGCTCGTACTCGAGCTGCTGGCGCCGCTCGTAGTCGCGCTCCGGGTCTACCTCCCGGTGGATGTTCGCCCCAGGCCCGATGCGCTGGTGGTTGTGCGGGCCGCGGCGGTGATGGCTGGTGGGTGACAGGATGGGGGGTGATTCCGGAATGCCTTGCTGTGGCACATGGATGGGCGGGCGCGGATGCGGATGTCCATGAGGTTGGGCGTGCTCGTGTATGTCGTGGCGGCGACTTCTGTGTTCCATCGGAGGCTCGCCCGGCATATTCGGGCTGCGACTGTGAACGGAGTATGAACTGGGCGGCGGACCTTCCATACGCGACGTTCCTCCAGGGACACTATCAAGATCCGGGCGCGCCGAAGACGACCGTGAACGGTGGGTTGAATTGCTGTGAGAATGCGAAGCGTGTGGGGGCGGGGGAGGTCGGGACTGCGGATACGGGTATTGATTCGCGTGGTGTTCGCTTGTCACAGAAGATTCTTGTCCAGCCGGCTCTTGATTGTGCTGGAGGAGGGGAATCATAGGAGGCGGTGGCGGGAGCTGTCGCGACGGGTCATAGCCCGGGCCAGAGTCATGTTGAAAACTTTGAACGAGAGGAATGCCGTGCGGAGGGGGAGGGCCGGCGGGGATAGGGACCCCGCGCGCATCCACGGTAGTTGACGCAGGAGTATCTTCGATCGCGACCACTCTCCCATCCGGACCCTCTACGAGCCGAGCATTCGGGCGTGCCCGCAGATACTCGGAAACGTCGCGGTCATTGGCTTTAATGACTCGAGCGTGTTCTGGGGGAGCCGGAGCCTTCGTTTGGAATATAGGGTCCGCATCTGAAGGCAGTTCTTGGGTCTGCCTGCCAGGGGTGGGAGGAACGGCTGCGAGACGTTCGTACAGGATACTGGGAACGCCGTGCAGTGCATAAGGATACGGGGTAGAGCACATAGGGTAACAGGAACGAGGACATACGCGCGTTCAAGGTTCATGCGACGAATGTTCTTTTTGGCAAGTAACAGCTTGAAGTACAACTTGTCATTGTCCTACAATATTGGAACAATTGGACCACAGTCCTGCGCAAGATGACGGGAGGTGACTCACCGACTCGATTTCCTTCACCTTCTTCTTCAGCTCCCTGTACTTGGCATGATACTTGACGTCCTCTGCGCCAGCTGTAATGCCCATCATGCGACTGTGCTTCGCCTTGCGGTCCTGCGTGGCAGAAATGGAAGGGTTGTAGTTGGGGGTATCGTGGGCGGAGGCCTTGGAGGGGCCATGAGGCGAGGGAGGACGGGGGTTCATGGTGGAGACGAGCAAAGGCGTGAGCGGGCGCAGTGCCTGCCGCGTCCGAGCCTAGCTGTCATGTTTGGCTCCCAGATGTCTCGTATGCACTTCCCATACCCGGACGCGCTGTTCGTCCGCTCGCCTTGTCTCCCAACCCGTCTTTATTCCATACATGCTACATTGCCGCAGCCGCTGGCATGCCCGTATGCTTGTTTTTATCTCTGCAGCTGTCGTATGCCGTGCGGCAACATACCAAGGCCTTTGTCGAACAAATCCAGAGCGCTCAGGACGCGCGGGAGCGCAAACACCACGTTCCCACGTGGCTGCGAGCCGCCACCAGCCCGCCTGCAGGTTTGCGCTTGCCTTCGACTCTCGTCATCCTCACTGTCCCCGCTTCACCCAGCTCGCGTCCTAGGTCTCCATACGTAGGAGCGTGGAACACGACTATAGACCGCATTTGACGTATCTCGAAGGATATCTTCGCCAGTGAGTCCTACGTGTCACGGCATCTGCCTGTATGCGCAAACTCTGACGCCTCGTCCGCTTCCCAGTGTCCACACCATACCGACAGTGAGCCATTGTTCGACTCTTTCGTCGAACGCTAAACGCGAACGTGTGTCGCGCGTCTGCGCGTGTGTATCACAGGGATATGCCTCCCCCTGGCGGGTTCGAGCCAGTCAAGTACAAGCGCAACCTTCCGATCCGGGGCCCGGGCGCCATGGCCATCCTCGGCGGTGTGACGGCGGTGTGTGCATACGGTTTCTATCGGGTTGGAAAGGGGAACCTTGAGCAGAGGTACGTGGAAAGTTTGCCCTCGGTTGGCGCGCTACGGACGGGGGTCAGGCGGACGTGGAACGTGGGCAGCCATGGGCCCGCCCAACGGGAAACGTGGCCTTCTGTTGGATCCGACCGCCCGAGGGCGCGTTATCATTGACATATCTGGATAGCGGAACGCGCCCTCCGCGACGAGCGTCCCGAGCTGATGCGACCTTCTTTCAGAGAGCTCCATAGGGAGAAGATCTGGTCACGGATTCATTTGGTGCCCCTTCTCATGGCTGAGGGTGACCGTGACACGTACCGCCGGCAGCAAGCTGCGCTTGAGCGGGAGAGGATGATCATGAAGGACGTGCCAGGCTGGGAGGTGAGTGGGACCTCGAACGGGGGCCTGTGCGCATGGTCATGTTCGCTGACGACATTGCTTCTCGCACCGCGCGCACCTCGGGGATGGTGTTGGTCGGCTGGGGATGGACGTCACAGGTCGGAAAGAGCGTGTACCACAACCCGGATCTGCAGACGGGGACGGAGAAGATCGTGGTTACATGATCACGGTAGCCGTCTTGCGCTGCATGATCTCATGTTGACGAGCCTGAGCAATCGGAATCAGAGGGTGATGGGTTGCACGCGCTTTCGCAGCTTCCGACGGTGTGGACGGGTGATGAGTGCGGGGGCGATATGTCCTGGCGTCGACGTCAGGGGACGGCGCGAATCCGGCGGGACCAAGCGCGGCGGGAGGGCCGGGCGCGCCGAGAAGCCATTGGCGGGCAGGGGAGGCGCTCGCAGGGGCGCCGGAGACAATGGCGGCGTGCGCCGGGGTGCGGGGACAGAGCTGCCGTGCGCGGGGGCGACCGGGGTCCCGCCGTATGCCCGATTGGGGGCATGAGGGCAGGTCCGGGAGACCGGGCAGTGCGGTGCGGGCGGCGTCGACGGTCTGGCGCGCGTCCGATCTCTCTTGCTGACAACGCAACGACGACGGCCGACTCGACCCCTCACAAAACGCTCGCCGGACGCCGCCCCACCGACCGACCGACAGGGCCCAGAGGACTGGACGCGCGCACCAGGCGCCACCGCGAGCTCTCAGATCTCGGCGCGCGCGTGCACCATCGCTGCCAGCGCATCACGCGGGGACGACGGCGAGGGAGGTGAGTACGCTCTGCTTCTGCCGACGATCCAAGCAACACCTTCCATACGCCCCCGCCGCCCGTGCTCGCATCTCCTGCACCTCCCGGATTAGGCGGGCGAATACTCCCCGGAAAGGCAACCGCTGAAACTCGGGATTCCAGTCCATCTCCAGATCCCGTCCGCAGGTTCTCACCGAGTCAGTCGCGCTAGGCCCCGCGGCCGACTGGATAGCCAATGCCTCAAATACCGCCACTTCGAATCCCGCCATCTCTCGCAAACATATCCCCCGTCCTCCGGTCTTGTCAGGCCCGCCCCAGGCGCGTTCTTCCCACCCTTCCCCCGACGTCCTCCGCCCGCCCGCCCGCGCGTACGCCATCCCTTATAAGGCGCTATCCAGGCGAGCCTTTTCCTCGAACCACGACGCCATTTCGCCCCGTCTCTATGCCTGCCTCGCCCTTCTACCACCACCGCGAGGTCGACCGCGACGCCGCCAAGCTCTCCCTCGCCGCCTCCGACATGTCCCTCCGCGACCACTCCCCCATGTACTCCTCCTTCGACGAGCCCATGCACTACGACCCATGATCTCCGAACCGGACAACATGATCTTCGGCCTCGACCTCGACGACGGTCTCCAGCACGAACAACCCAAGTCGCCCTTCTCGTGGGACGCGAACATGGTCCATACAACACCATGTCCTCCATCCCGTTCCCCGGCTCGCCCGAGTCGACAATATCCCAACTTGAGCCCGGCATCCCGGGCCACACGCGCCGCTTCGATTCCACGTTCTCGAACTCGTCCTCGAACTACTTCCCGCCCTCCTCGCCCGAGTTCAACGAGAGCACGCTCTACAGCAACTGGATCTCGGACCCCGACGCCTCGCACGCTTCGCCCTCGCTACCAATCCCCATTCCCGCCGGTCACGCGCACTCTGCGCAGTCGCCCATGTCGTCGTCCTTCGCCGCCTTCAGCGAGAACTCGTCCATCTTCCCTGACGTCAGCCCGTTCTCACCCACGACCGCCTACGCCGCACTACAGCCACTCCCCCTCTCGCCGCCGGAGGACACGGTGATGAGTGACCAGCTGCTGCGCGCGGACATGTCGGGCCCTCTTTCTCCGCACACACACATGTACGGCACGGAGGCACCCGCTGGGCGTCCCATCTGTGGGACCCGCCCTCTGCGCCCTCCGCCAGAATTCCGGTCGCGGCCCCGGCGATGTCAGACGACAACTTCGCGACTCAGCGGCCGCGGATGTCGCTGCGGCGTGGGACGCCGGTGTCACAGATGTTCCAGTCGTCGAGCGCGCCGGTGCCGGCCCGCGGCCGCTGCTGCAGGCGCGGTCGTACAGCTCGCGGCGGGCGGGGTCGATCAGCGAGTACGACGACCGGGACGGGACGTTGCGCAAGAAGCGACGTCCGGTGGAGGAGGAGGAGGTGGAGGTCCTGCCTGAGAAGCGATCTGAGAGCCGTGAGTGCCTCCGAATTCTGTCGCGTCCACACGTGATTCTGACATGTACACGTCAACGCAGCCCCGCTCAAGTCGGTCCTCCGCCCGCCCAAGCTCGCGCCGTCCGCCTGGCAGCTCTACTTCACAGACTGGATCCAACGCCACCAGGCGTCTAGCCACAAGAAGCTCAACGTCGCCCAGGCCGCGAAGGAGGCCGGCCAGGAGTACGCCAAACTGTCCGCGGACCAGAAGGAGGTACGCGCCCGTCCTTCTCAGACTGATCCTCGATAGATGTGACTGATCCCTCTGCCCGCTCAGCCGTACCGCCGTCGCTCTCAGGCCCTCAAGGACGCTCGCGAGCGCGACCTCAATGCGTACATGCGCACCCTCACGCCGGACGATATCAAGCGCGAGAACGCCTATCGGACGGCGCAGCGCAAGGCGGGCAAGTCGCGCAAGGGCAACATCAAGGACCCCAACGCTCCCAAGAAGCCGCTCAGCGCGTACTTCATGTTCCTCCAGCGCATCCGGTCCGACGAAGAGCTTGTCCGCGAGGTCTTTGGCGACGAAACCGAGACCACCAAGCAATCCGTCCTCGCTGCGGGCAAGTGGCGCTCCATGACCGATGACGAGCGCAAGGTACGTGCTGCTGCGGTTGGCGCCACCCACTGATTGGACTGCGTTTGCTGACCGCGTCTCGTGTTCCAGCCGTTCCTTGCGCAGGCCGAGCAGGAGAAGCTCGAGTACGAGGCCGCTCGCAAGATGTACGAGGAGGGCTCGACCGGTTACGGCAGCAGCAGCATCAACTTCAGCATCCTCCCCGGAGGACCGATCAACCTCATGCCGATCCCCCGCGCCTCTCAGCGCTCCATCAAGCAGGAGCCGCCCAGCTCGGAGAGCGAGAGTGACGGGTTCGACGACGACGGCGCCGACCATACCCGCACTTCGCGGCGCCGTTGAGCGCCTTCACCCTTCGACTGATTGCTATCTTGGCTTCGCTGACGTCTGGCGGTTTGCCGATGGACGCACATATGAACACTCTTCCTCTTCGCCTGCTTCCCTGCTCTCGTTGTCATTCGTTCCTCCCACGGGTTTCTCTATGGGCACATGTTGCCGTTCTTTCCGTCCCACGTCTATCGGTTTACAGGTTACGTTTGCGTCGTCTACAGTTCTGCTTGCAGCGCTTTACGACCGTGACGAACTCTCGATCCCGCATTGCTGTATACCACCACCGCTCCGCTCCGGGCACGCTCATCTGTATTGTTAGCTCCCTCTCCTCCCATCTCTGCTTCCCGCTGTACATACGTAACGACCCTTTACGACGGTTCCCGTTCCACCATACACATGGAGTCTCCTAATCGGACAGAGACAAGCGAGCGACCATCTTCTGGTGAGGCTCGCCTTCGTCGTCGTACTCGTCCCCCTGTAGAATTTTGTACCATCGCCCATCGTAATCAGAGCGTTATCAGTTTTCGCGCCGCGTCACGGCTCGGTGGGAACTGACCTCGGCGACGTAGCCGAATCTGTCGAGGTCACCGGGTTATCGGTCTGCGTTGACGGGCGAAGGCGGGCCCGAAAACGGAGCACGCACTTTGCATAAAATCCCTTGGCGGGCAGCTGAGAACTGCAGACGACCGTGACCGACGTGGGCTCCGGCGACCCTGCAGGGCCCGGTGCAGCAGCAGCAGCAGCACGCGCCCGGACGTCGGTGCGGATGTAATCGTGCAGGGCGAGGACGAGGGCGCGGCCGAAGCGGTGCTTGCGGAAGCCGTGGAGGATCGCGAGCCGGGTGAGCTTGTAGTAGGCGCCGTGCGGGCCGCGCACGCAGCGGATGGTGCCGATGGGCTGCATGGACGGCGTGAGCCGAAGAAGGAAGTGCGTCGCCGCGTCGTCGAACCTGGGTGTTCATCGTTCAGGCGGCGGTCAGCGGGCGGTCGGGCTTCAGGCGCGGTGGACGATAAAGAAGGAGGGAGACGACTTAGCGGATGGACGGCCCGGAGAGCGCGGCGGGGTGGGTGGGTGGGGCAGAGGGTAGTGGATGGAACGCACTCGTCGACCTCGGTTTCGAGCGGGAAGCCCTGCTCGCGGTGGAAGACCTCGATGCGGACGTCGTAGCACTGCTGCCGGAGCTCCTCGAACCCGGGCTGGCCAGGTGCGGGCACGATGATGATCTCGTGCTGGGGTGTGGCCATGCTTGACTCTTGGGCGAGCTGGGTGTTGGACGGTGCAGGGAAACCTCAGAGGTCGATGGCGTTGCGGCAAATGGGATCTTGAACCCGAGATGAATCATCTTCGTCAAACCACGACACGTGTGAAGGCGAATCTAGCGCGGATAGCCGCCGGCGGGAGGGATGGGCGCCTCCATCGACGCCTCCGGGCCTGGTCGCGCGGCAGGCGCCGAGGCTCGAGAGCGCCGGGCCAGACGCGTCCGTCGCAACTTTCTGCGCGCTGGACGGATACTCGACCGTGACCGGCCTACACGTCTCTCCTCTGTGCATGTTTCCCGCCGCCCCGCCGCCCTCCCGTTCCTGCCCCGCGCCGCCTCAGGTATGTCTACACCCACCCGCTTCTCCGCCTCTGGCTAACGCGGCGCAGGGAGCCGACCACCACTCGTCCCAGCGAGGCTGGTGATGTTGGAACCTCTCGCTGCCTCCGTCCGCCACTCCGTCCTCCCCACTCGCCCTCTCGTCTCTCACCTGCTCGTCTCTGCGTCTGCCGCTGGCATGCTCGCCCGCTCGGCCAGCCACCCGCTTGTCTCGGACTTCTTCACCCCGCATCCCAGGCGCGTCGACAAGAAGGGGAAGGGGAGGGCTCTACCGGATGAGGCGGACGAGGTGTGCAGCACCGCGCTTCCTCCAACTTGGATGCTCCCCGAGGGTGCGTTAGCTCCTTGGTTCTTGCTAGGCCCGAAGTCCTGACGCGTGTCACAGGGGGCCGGACAACACGTCACCCAGCACCATGTCCCGCCCGACCTAGAGCTCGCCGCTCCTCCTACCACAAGCCGATCGCCTCCGGAAGTCGCGCGCACCTGCACTCAGTATCCCACTGGACCACTCAGTTCGAAGTTCCGCAAAGACGGCACGCTTCAAGCGGGACCGCTGTCCAAGTGTCGGAATCACGACGACCCCCTTCGTCGCGGGACACGTCGCCGCTCAATCGCGTCATCCTCCCATTCATCTACCGGGATGACCCAGGCTCCCCGGACGATGCGTGGAAGGTATACCGGGCCTGTCGCGACCCGCTGCACTGGTCGCTTGCCCACAAGTTCATCGCGAAGCTCATAAACGAGGTCACTCGAGATCCGCACGGCACCCTTTCTCCTACCGTCCTTCGTCTCTGGGGCGAACGAATACAAGACGCTCTCTACCACATCGACCCTGGAATCCCAACCACGGATGCGGCACAAGCTCGCTGGCATGGGCTTCATGTCTGTGTTGCCGCGATGCAGGGGCAGCTCGCCGGTGCCATGGACGGCGCACGTCACATCTTGGACCTCGCTGGAGATGACGAAACACGACTGGCTCAAGCTCTTAACGTCTACACCGTGTTGACCCGATGCCTCCATCAATACGCGGGCCCAGAAGCCGTTCTAGACTTCTTACTGCAGGATGGCGATCTGGTGGGCCGCTTCTTCCTTTCTAACAGCTACGACCTCCCTGGTTTCCTCCGCACCGTTGCTCCCCGTTTCACGCACGCCATCTCGGAACTCCTTGGGTCCTTCCACGACTCGGTGGGGTGGCATCAACGAGCGCTACAGGAATGGACAGGGACGCAGGCTGCACTGGGAACCGTTGTGCTGCTCCGCTCGTTGATCCGGTCGGAACGACCACAAGAAGCCCTGGCGATTTTGAGGACAGCCCTAAGCGCCTCCCTCTCCATCCCTTCCTCCACCGCTCTCACTCTCGTCCGAGCGCTCACGCACGCGAAAGATTACGACGACGCCGCCCAAGTGCTCGCCATTCTCCCGGAGCCGGGTCTCGAACACTCCAAGCAGTTGTACGCAGATTACCACCGTCACGCCTTGTACCTCCACTCCCGCACGGGGGACGCTGCCTCCGCGAACAGACACTTCGATGCGCTAGCGCAGGCCTCTCTCATCACTCCTCAACTTCAAGGCAACCTCATGCACACCTACGCCGTCATCGGCGATGTGACCACCATCGTACAGCTCTTTAATCGCTTTTTCCATAACTCGTCTACCGATGACGTCAAGGAAAGGCCACGACCTGACCTTATACACTACACTACCGTCATCCACGCCCACGCACGAGCCGGCGATATTGAAGGCGTCAATACTTGGCTCAAAAGGCTTTCCGATGCAGGACTCAAACCAGGCTTGCACATCTATAGTATCGTGCTTCAAGGCTTCGCGTTGAAGGGGGACCACTCGTCTATGACAAAGCTTTTGGACAAGATGCGCGACAACGGTGTCACGCCCAATTGCGCCATCTGCACTACTGTCATCACCACGCTTGGGACCAAGCGGGACTCCGCTGGTGCGGAGCAGCTATACAACCGCGCAGTTGCCGAAGGTGTCGTTCCCGACAGCCTTATGACCGTCGCGCTCATGAACGCCCAAATCGAGTCCGGAGCTTGGAAGAATGCACTGCGCACCTACGACGAGGAAAGGAACCGCGGCCAGCCACTCAACATCAACACTTTCAACGCCCTCCTCAAGGCCAACGTGCTCGGGGCGTTCCCTTCCGAGTGCTCGCCAAGCAGATGAGCCAGCTGAACGGTACTCACGTCCGACCGAACTCGCACACTTTCGCGCTCCTCATCCGGTCTGCGTGCGACGCCGGAAACGCTCACATGGCGGTGCAACTGCACGACCAGATGCTGCGAATGTCGGAACAGGGTCGTCTCGAGTTCAGGCCGAACATTTACGTGTTCACCAACCTCCTCAAGTCGTACCTGAGCAAGGGCAAGACGAGGATGGCGCAGTGGGTCCTGGACAACATCAAGACGCACCACTGAATCCCACAGCGGTCACGTACTCTACCCTCCTAGGCGAGTATGCGCGAACCCAGGGCCCCCGGCCTGCCAAGGGTTTCCTCGACTCCCTCGTAGACGACCCTAGGAAGGAGGACTGGTTGCAGACGGTCGGCAAGCGGCGGCACAACCTCGACCTCATCTACTCCCCCCTCCTGCGCGCGAACGTGGAACGGATGTGGCACAGGGACGCGCAGAAGCTCCACGACGAGATGCTCTCCAAACACGGCCGGCCGACGATAGGCACCCTCACCCTCCTCCTCGACGTCTACCGCAACACGCGCAACATCGACGCCGTCGAGCTCGTCTGGCCCGAGATCCGCCGGCTCGCGGACGGGCTCGCGCGCGAGAGCGCCGCGCTCCTCCAGTCGACCGTGCGCCCCGCCCCGCGCGCCCGCGCCTCGGCGCCCTGCTCTGCATCCCGCTCTCGATCTACACGGAGGCGATGTCCCGCGCGGGCCGGCACGCGGCCGTCGCGCGCGCGTGGAAGGACGCGCAGGACGCCGGCGCGGTCTTCGACTCGCACAACTGGAACCACCTGGTGATCGCGCTCGTGCGCGCGGGCGAGCACGCGCGCGCGTTCGGCATCGTCGAGCACGTCCTCCTCCGCCACCGCCGCCACCGGAGCCACGACGAGTGGGACGCGCCGCAGCAGCAGCTCGCGGCCGGCGAGGAGCCGGAGCCCGCGCCCGAGGACGCCGTCGTAGCCGCGCCCGAGGCACCGCTCCGCCGCGTGGCGCGGCGCGCGGCGGCGCAGAAGATCGGCCGCAAGCACATGCGCCAGGACGTGCGGCTGCGCGCGGCGCTCCTGGACGACGAGCATCACCACCGTCGCTTCCGTCGCCCGACGCGGCGGTCGCGGAAGCAGACGACTTCGATGCGGACGAGGACGCGGGCGGACGGACGGCGGACGTCGCAAAGTCCCTCCGCTTCCTCGCCGACTTCGGGCTCGTGTGGGACGTGTGGCGGCCGCACCGGGTGACGCTGACGCTGCTCGCGCGCGCGCTCCTCCGCCTGCGCAGCGGGGTGCCCGTGCCCGCGCTGCCGCCAGACCAGGTGCGCGCGCGGAGCCAGTTCGACTTCGTCTCGTACGACCGCGGCGTGAAGGAGCGGGTGGGCCTGGAGGGGCGGATGGCGAGCCGGGAGGCGGCGAAGAAGCTCGCGCGCGAGATCGAGGAGCAGTTCCCGGAGGCGGCGCGGCTGGCGACCAAGTACGCGGAGCGCTTTCAGGCGTCGAAGCGGCGCACGGGCGTTGAGAATAGATGATGGCATTTTGGCATGGGCATGTGTGTGTGCAGCGTGCATCCGGACGCGGACGGGCAGGAGGACGTATTATGGTACGTACGACTACAGCTACTGTCGAGATTTGTGCTCTCGATATCTCTCTTCTCCATTGGACGAACAACACAACCGCGAGAACAAGCACTAGCAAATAGACGGACATCGCGACATGGACTACAAGCAGGAGCATACACCCCCCGCCTCTTCCGCGGCCGGGCGCAAGGGCGAGCGCGGAAATTGTGACGAGGGCGGGCACCGAAACTCTAAATGTACACTCGATCGCCGCGGCGGGGACAGGCCGGGGACGGGTCGGAGACTCACGCCTCGTCGGACTCGTCGCCGGAGCCGTCGGAGCCGTCGCGCCGCCGCTTGCGGCCCTGCTTGGTCGAACCATTGCGGTTCCGCTGTGCGGGAAGCGAAATGTGGGTCAGCTTGTGCCATCACACACGCTCGCGAACAGGCTGTAGGGGGCGCTGCGGAGATGGGTGTGGAGATGCGCAGTTGTAAAGGGCCGCAATGTGGGGAAGGGGACAGGAATAGACAGATGGACAGATGGGATGACGCACCAGGGGCAGCTTCTGGCCTTGGTTGCCAAGCGTGATAGACAGAGTGGTGGTGTCTGCACATTATGCGACGGACGGTCAGTGTATTGATCTCTTGCAGGCGAGGGTGGAAATGCGGCACGGTGCGACTTACCGGGGACGCCGGGGAAGCGCTTCGCGGAGAAGACGACAAAATTATCCGTAAATGTCTGGGCGAGAACAGGTGACATCTCCGTATGCACTCCAGACGCGCGGGGCTCTGGGGCTGGCGGTCTGTGGTAGATACGACGAGAAGTCAGCGCTCCGAGCCCGCTGTGACAGCACCCCTTTCATGACAGGAAGTAGGCAGGTATCGTTCAAACTATCACGGGGAGATTACTCACGCGCCGACGTTCATGAGTCGAAGGCGGAGGCGGAAAGTACCTGTGCATCACGACAGATAGTCAGCAAACGTGAATGCAGTGGCGGGACTAGGACCCTTATGGCATAGACCTACCTTCGGTCCTGATAGACAAGTCCTGAAATAGGAAGAATATCGCCGGTTTACGGTGCTCGTCCAACAGCCGACATGCATTGGACGCAAGCGGGCCGACCAACGTCCGTGTATACGTGTGGCGCGGCAAGGGCGGGATTGTCGAAGGCGGTGTCGGTTCTTGGTAAGACGGACCCTGGTTGTATGTCTGTGCGGCTTGCTGATGTTGCTGCTGCGCGTACGAGGCCGACGCATACATAGACGAGTCTAGTTGCTGCGCCTGTTGGGTCTGCTGCGCCTGCGCCTGCGCCTGCGCCTGCGTTGGGCTCGGCTGGACGGGCGTGTAGGGTTCCTGTGAGTAACGCGCCTGCTGGGGGTACGCGTCCGCGGCGGAGGCAGATGCACTTGCAGCAACGGTGCCGTAAGCTCCCTCACGCGGATCGGCGGTAGCGGCCGTAGTGGCCGAGGGTGCGGCCGGAACGTCCATGGGGGCCGGATACGCAGATTGCTGAGGCCATGTCCGATAGTCCACTGCTCCTCCCTGTTCTTCGCGCACGGGCGTTTGGATCTGCCAGTCTTGGCCAGCGCCCGGCGCGGGCTGGGCGGAGGCCCCGTACTCTGGTGCACTCGGTTCCGCGCTAACAGGGGACGTTGTCCGGTTGATGTTGTGGATGGAAGGCAGAGAAGGTGGACCATAGGTCTGACTTCGATCGACAGGAGCCGTCGAAGGAGGATAGCCCCAGGAGGGCGCACCGGATTCAGTGGGCGGCACATATGGATGGACTGGCTGGAACGAGTTGGACTCCGGGATGGGGGCCGCTTGCGGAGGGAAGGGGTAGCCTTGCGTCGAGTACGCCGTGCTAGACGGCTGCAGAGTGCGTCATTCCGTCGGGCGTCAACCAAAGACGATCCTCTCAACAGAACGCGCGTTCGCGCGGACCAAAGAACATACCTGGGGGTATTGTGACGTGTTCGGCGTGGGGGCAGACCGCTCTGGACTCTGACGGCTTGATCGTTGATTCGAGCTGCCCTGGGTGACGGTCCCTCTGCGCTTGCCCTTTGGAGTGTTTGCGGGAACATAGCGGTCGGCCGAGGTGGGATGTAGAACGAGATTCATCTCGTGTTTTCCATCAGCGGACCACAGATCGACAGTGACAAGGAAGAATGAACAGTCGATCTCGCTGCCGACGAGACGCGTGAGAACGAGGGGGGAGGGGAGGGGGCAGAAAAAAGCGTACTCGACGTCCACAAACGTCCCGTCCTCTCTCCTCACTATCATCTTGGCTACCGCTGCGGGTGCTAACGGTCGTCGATCCTGAAGAAGTCGACGGTGAAATGTGATGGGAGATTAGGAGAGGAGACTGCACACCTTGTCGCCAAAACCGCACATCCGGGCCCGAATGGGATGCTGGACGACCTCAAGGGAGTAGTGTCTGGTTGCAGAACATGATGGGGAGGTGACGAGGGAGCGGGACAATCAGTGGCATGCCCAGAAAACGCATACGATCGACTAACTTGCGCCCGACCCAGTGGCCCCAGGATTCTGGGCCATCGGAAGAAGCCTGACGGGTGGGGGCGACCTGGGTGGACCCAGAGCGCGGGTTTGTTTTCTGGATCATCGAGTGGTAGTAGAGAGGAAATGGTCGGGGACGACAGGAGGCGCGAGACGGGAGCGGTCAGCGAGCAGTGTGAGGGTCGTAGAAGAGCTCGGTGCTTGGGAACCGGTCGGGCGCGCTTCACACGAATTGGGCGTTGAGGCGGGATGCGGAGACGGAGACGTGGGCAAAGCTAATTGTGTGGGTGGGAGGCGTAGCCGCTGCGCTGGAGAGGGCCCGAGGGAGTGGAATGGGCGATATGCGAGGCGGGCGAGGCGGGCTTGTCGTCGTCGCCAGGCAACTTGAAGGGCGGCGTCCGAGAAGAGCGAAGGCGGGAGCAAAGCGAGGCCGAAGGCTGTCCGGCGGCGGGGGCGGGCAGTCGGGACGCTGTGGGACGGAGGAGGGCAGAGCAGCGTGAGGGAGAGCAGCCCGGGCCCGAGATGTCCACGGCCAGCCCGGCCACGGCGCCCCGCCCGCCCTGTCACGCCCCCTTGGCCGTCACGCCTGGCCATGGAATGCCCCTGCCGGACACTCCGCGCGCACGCCGCCGCCAGCGGCCACCACGCCGTTTCGCCGCACACCGAGCACTCTCTCGGAGCGGCAGACGCGCGCCGGCCGCCTCTCACAGTGCGAGTGGCCGGCAGACCGACAGCCTGGTAGGAGCGCAGAAGGCGCGCAGTACTGACGCCCCGCGCGAACCCGATATACAACACACGCATCCTCAGGTCACACACGACCAGTCTCGTTAACCTCTACGCGAACCTGGCACGACTGCTGCGAGACCAGGACCCGTAACGCGACGCACGTGGTCCGTGCTATGCGCGTCACGGCGGGCCCAGCTATTGATTGCGCCGCGGGACGCGTGCAATCAGCGCGCGCCTAGCTTCCTCGTCTCGCTGGACTCCCCTCCATCCCGAGGCCTCCGCTCGGCTCTCTCTCAACCATCGCTTTCTCCCCCTCGCCGCCGTCTTGAGTCCAATGGATCAAACCGCCGCCAAGAAGATCCTCAATGAGCTTATCAAGCGCGACGATCTCGAGAACAAGAAGTGCCTCGACTGCGGCAATCCTAATCCCCAGTGGGCTTCCGTGAGGTACAGTTATTCGTGCGCTCTTCCTCCTCTTGCCCAGCCAACACATTCTCGCAGCTTTGCTATTTTTTTCTGCCTGCAATGTGCAGGAGTCCACAGAGGCTTCGGCGTTCACATCAGGTACGCTCGCCTACAGCTTCGCTGCGTTTCCAATGTTCACCCACCCACTTTCGCAGTTTCGTGAGATCCGTCTCGATGGACACATGGCAGGAAGAGCAGATAAAGAGGATGCAGGTGAGCCCATTGGTCCATGGCAGCGTATGTCGCACGCGAACGCCCCGGCTCTCGCAGCTTGGCGGAAACGCTCCGTTCCGTGAATTCATCAAGTCCTATGATTCCCAAACCGGGGGCTACAAGGAGGGAATGTCCCCGTACGACACCTATCACAGCTGGGCCGCCTCGCAATACAAAGAGAAGGTGCGTGACCCATCTACTCCGCCCGCTTCCGTCGTCTTGACGTCCGCGATCAGCTCGACGCCATGTTAGCCGGCAGACCGTGGTCTCCCAAGGCTCCCCCCGAAGGCTTCGGTTCTCCCAGCAATTCTATGACACTCACAGATCGTCCCTCGTCCGCCCAGGGACTCCGCAAGTCGCGTGCGGCCACCGGACGCGCGCTCCGGAGCGATTCCGCCTCGCCCGCCTCCTTCAGTGGCCATAACTCCCCCGCCTTCGGTAGCAACAGCCCGAATCTGTCTGGGTCTGGCATTTACGACCAAAAGACGGCCAACGAATCGTACTTTGCGTCCTTGGGGCAGACGAACGCGTCCCGCTCTGCCGATCTCCCCCCTTCGCAAGGGGGCCGGTACCAGGGATTCGGGAACACACCCACCCCGCCTCCCGGGTCACATCATCCGTCATTTGCCCTCTCGTCCGCCAACGCCCCGACACTTTCCGAATTACAAGAAAACCCCACTGCTGCGCTCAGCAAAGGCTGGTCTCTGCTCTCCGCCGCCGTTGTCGCCACCTCGCGCGTCGTCTCGGAGAACGTCATCCAGCCAGGCATGGAGAAGGTCATGGACCCGAACTTCCAAGCGGGAGTGCGCGGCTATGTCTCGGAGGCCGGCAAGCGCGCCGGTGATGTGGGCCGTTCCGCGAACATATGGGGGAGAACGACTTTCGGGGTGGATGTCGCGGATACTGTGGGAGGACTGGCGAGCAATGTGAAGGACCGGGTGGGCGGTGGACCTCAGCAGCGGGGCTACGGCGCGCTCCAGGCCGAGTACGAGGAAGGCTCTGCGCTATATCATGACGATGAGGACGACTTCTTCACCTTCAACAATGGGGGGTCGTCGCAGCAGCCGGCCGCGCCAGCAGCTGCTCCGGCTCGGGCGTCCAGCGGCATTCAGCAGCGTACGCCTGCGAAGAAGGAAGATGACTGGGACGAGTGGAAAGACTTCTAGGATACCCGGTGGTGCTGGTACGACCGATGGACTGGCCCGATGCATACGAACATAACTTATTAGCATTAGGATGCCCTCATGTTCGCTAGATGTACACCGGAGGCCTGCAGTAATTTATTTGCTTGTGGGGTGGCCTTTGTATGCGTTTCGATGATCTCGCTCGCAACTCGGTCTGCTCTTGCATGTTGGCCGCGGCGAAGGATTCGCGACAGGACAGCGCCCATAGCAAGTCGACAGGAGTCAGGCACTGCGCACTGCCACCTGGCCATCCACTCGTGTCTTGGTCAGCGGGCGTCGCAATGAGTGCGCACGTCCTTGGGTTGCTCTCCATCGACCTTACCGTCCTCCATGTCTACATTTGAATCTCTGCCCGTTGAGCTCATCGCTGACATCCTTGGGGAGCTTGACCTCACATCGCTGGTGCTCGTTGCCTACCTCTCTCGCCGCCTGAAAGACATCGCGTCAGACCCCTCCCTGAACCCTTGGCGCCGTCCGATCCTCCGCGCTCTCCGCGCACCTACATCCGTCGACAACGAAGCTGAGTACGAGCCCGTTCTGCGCCAGCTTAGTGTGCGCCAGATTGTCCCGAGGCACAATTGGGTGGAAATCCTGAGTCTCGGCAAACCCGAATACCTCCTCTTTGAGATGACGCTGCCAAACCTGAAGGAGACCGAATGGGAGGAGTGCTTCCGTCGTAGGTTCCTACCCGGTTGGGTCAAGTGGAAGACGACGTCGTGGAAAGCCGCGTTTCTCAAGTGAGTTTTACCTCTACCGGCTTTAGTATTTGAGCGTAGGCGTGACGCGAACGCGTCTCAGGATCTTGCATCGTACATGGCACCGAAGCCATTCGTCTTGCACTGCTGATGAGGGTTGGACCAAGTACGTCTTTTCAGTAATCGAACGGCAGGGCATAGGGTATGCTCACACGGCCACCTAGGTACATTCTCCTCAACAGGAATGGCTCCGCCAACCTTCTCGAAGCCTCGTCTCGCAGCTACGGCCCTATGGCCGTCTTCCACGAAATCAAGTGAATCTCCCCAAAACATCTCTGTCTCGTCTGTCACTGAACTCTCCCCAGACTGCAAAACAACCTGGCACACTTGCCGACCCACGTTCGAGTACGTCCTTCCCCGCACCCCGCCTCTTGGCCAGAGCCCGCCTGATCCGTCTGCGTGTGCTCTCGCTTCTTCACAGCTCGTCGTTGAGTTCAGAGACGTGCGGATTATCGCGCTTGGAGTCCTGAGCAAGCCGCGTTCGTCTTTCTCCGTCAACCAGAACGCGCGTGCGTTCCTCCACCCCCCGGGAGTCACGAAAGGGGAAGACGAGGGCGCGTCCAGTTCCGCGCGAAGCATCTCGGAGGGCAGTGACGAGTCGTTCGCGCCGCCGGCTGCGGACCCCGGGCTTCCTGGAAGAGGCCCAGCAACACGTACGTCCGGTTCCCAGTCATCAAGCTTCTTCTCCCGGGCTCTCAGGCTCTCGGGGGCTCATTGCCGCGGGAGCTGATGAACCCATCTGCAGCGTTCATGTTGAGGGATGCGTATCGCCCGCTGATACACCCTCTCCCTTCGTCATGTCATGCAAATTATCCTCTTTATACCTCCGGCGGAGAAGACAAGAGGTGGATGGGGAACGGAGAGATGGAAGAGAACGGACGTCAGTGGGTGGGACCGATGTTGTGCGTTCCCTTTTATTGCTACTCCTGTCCTTCCCTCTGACCATGCTCGCATTCAGGATCACTGCACAACTGGTCGGGCCTCAAACCAAGCAGCAGCCTGCGGACATCTTCCTGCCTCTGCAGGACCTAGACCTCATAGCAGGACCGGGCCGGAACCAGTACGCGTCCCTCACCTGGGAGGACCTGACTGCGGTCGCGCCATGGCTCGAACTCACGAACATGATCAACGGCGCTGGCCTCGGACATTGACGTCTTTTGCAAACCTAGGTATGTATAACAGTGTACGATCATGAGATACCGAATCAGCGAAGTTTCTCTGTGTATGCTCCCAAATGCTCCACACTATGTTCCTATTGCGTCCGGTGTGTACGATACACTTCGAATTATCCTGCGCCCACATGGGATTTCCTCGTCAATGAATGAGTCGTTCTTTTAGGCTCACGTCCGCAAAAACCCGGAACCTCGTTGTTTCCGCCCAACCTAATTCCGCAAGCATGCGCCCCATCGTCGCTCCTCACGTCACGCGTTGTGCAGAGAAGACTGGGAAGACCGAATCCAAACCCCGACAAATGGCGCGCCCCGAATCACCGCGCTCACACCCGCGCTTCGCCACAAACTTTGCATCTACCGCTCGGTACTCAACATGACGTCTCGCCGCTTCTGCCGCCGGGATGCACGCCTGCCGAAAGCGCGAAGGAGGCACGAAGCCGTGGACCAACGGGCAGGCGCACCCCATTGCCACGGTTGTGGGAGCGTGTCTCACCGTGGCGGGAGCGGCGGGAGGCGCGCGCGCCCCCGGCCACTGGCATTGGCTCGTGGTGCAGGACCGGACGGAGGGGCGGGAACGGTCGAGGGTGAGGAGGGCAGAGGTGAGGGAATGCAGATCAACTCGCACCGTTGACGTTGAGGCACCGCTGGACGTGTAAAGCGTCGCGGGGCCTGTGTGGTGTGGAGAAGGGGCGGGGGACGAGGCCGCGTCGCACGCCGCGCCCGTTCTGGGCCCCTCGTCTTGGGGTGCGAGAAGTGCGCCCGGGGAACGGGTGGGTCCTTGTTGGTGGGCCCCGGGCCTTGACCGGCACCCGCGCCCGGTGCACGTCGGAACACCCGAGGGGAGGTCGCGGCTCGCCTTGTCCGCGTCCCGGAGAAGCACCACCGTCGCGGCTGTTCAGGAAGACGATGGGGAACGAGCGGCGGAGAACGCACGCGAGAATACGAACTGGTCACCGGGGAGGGCCGCCCGCCCGGCAGTGCTATCAAGTCACGTTGGGCCGGATGGCTGGAGTATGGATCAAGCCTGCGGGGTTCGCCTCATACCCCGCCGAGGCGAGGGCGTACGACGTGGTCGATGGAGCGCATTCCCGCGAGCGTCGAAGACCGTGCCATGCGTTGGCGATCTTGTACGCATCTGGTTAACATCTGGTATCCGTCGCTAGTGGGGAGGACAGATAATAGTCGCCGGAGGCTCACAATTACCTGCTCCCAGGACGAGAACTCGGGTTGCGTCGGCGACCACTTTAGCGGCCCCATGTCTCACATCTTGTCGACATTTAGGGGGACATCCAAGGTGGTCGAACAAAGGGCCTCAAAGTCGTCCGTGGGATCCTCCGTGAAGACCGCTCGTCCCGTGCCCTTGATGGAGGCCGCGCCTGTGCTTGATTATCCGCAATCGTTGTGCGTATACTTAATTGTGCCACCCGTTGCTGTAACCCACTGATAATCTGGAGTAGAAGCGTTCTAGTAAGCGGACGCAGGTCAAGAAGCCATGTGAGGGCGCTGAGTGGAGAAGGGCAAGACCACATCGTTATTGTCCTGGCCGGATCTGGAAGCCGCGTCTGATCCACGGCTCGCTCGCTCGCACGAGGCTACTGCTCGCTGGCGTCTCCGCTTAATTGTCTGCGCGCGGGAAGGGCCCCTCGGGAGCACTGCCGTGTTCCGCGTATGTTCCCGATTTTCAACATTAGCTTTCATTGGATGCGCCCCGCCCATCTATTGTCTCGCCCCGATTCTAGGCTGCGCTCCGCCCTTCGGCGCTCCCCACGATGGACACACAAAGGTGACGCTGGTCCGCATGGTTCGCGAGCGCTGGAGATCCCTCCACTGCGACAGTGTCGATCGAGTCTTGTTTGCAGATTGGAGCCCAACGCGCGTCGAGCAGAAAGGCAGCGGACAGGCACGCCGACCGCTACTCACCTTCTGGCCTTCTGGCGCACGCATAAAAGCGTCAATCGCGCGATAAGCTGGCCACCATTTTCCCCCTCCCGTCTACCCGGCCACCCCACCTCGATTCGGACCAGTTCCCGGCGTCGGCCACTCGGCTGCACCTCTCCGTCCCCTTCTCGTCCGCTATTTAATCCTAATAGCCGCGCTGAGCGCAGCTTTTTACGGACCCTCACGCCGCTTGCACCGTCGCTCCTGCACGACTCTCGACGTCCGCTCGATATACCTCGCCCATCCCGCGATACACCTCCACTTGTCGTCACACCTACACCACCCTAAACGCCCACATTCCACCATGACCCAACCCGTCACGTTGATTTACGCCGCGAACAAGGGGAAGAAACCGGTATGTTCATGTCTCCTCAGGACTCAGCTGGTTGACCAACAGACCCGGTGTTGCCCAGATGCAGCCAAAAGTTCATGCTTGCCCTATTCCCTCTTGCTACACTTCTTTCAGCCGTGTTCCGGATTTGAACCGGCACCTGAAGGGGGTTCATCATGGCATCAAGTGAGTGATCCGTGCTCGTGACCTTGATACCCGCTCATCAGGCCACCAGGGAGCACTTCTGCCGCGTCCCAGGATGCGGTAAGTCCTTCGCACAGAAGACCGGCCTGAAGACCCATATGAACACTCAGTATGTCTCCCGAAGATGCTTCGTCCATCAGCGTACTTACGACTCGCTAGCTCGGGGGACAAGCCCTACTGCTGCGGCTACTGCTCTCTTCGCTTCAGCGATCCTTCCTCCGGCCAACGCCACATCCGCGATCTGCACTCCGGCAGAAAGTATTTCTGCCCCTACTGCACCTCAGAGTACGTCGCGACATTATCCTTTTTCAAATCTCGCTCAATTCAACCCGTGCACCAGGTCGGCTCGCAAAGGACCCTTCGCCAAGCATATGGAGAAGCACGTCGTGCTCCCTTGCGAAAAGGCTAAACGCGACGAATACCTCGAGAAACTGTGGATCAAGGTCACCGACTCTTCGCCCGAGATTCTCAAGGAACTCCCGCAGTACACGGCTCCAGGTATGGAGGGCATTAAGATGCGGTTCAAGAAGCGCACGAGGACCCTGCATGAGACGAAGAGCAAGCATGCTCACATTCGCGTGTCTCGTTCGTCGAGTAGCATGTCTAGTGATCTCTACTCCATCAAGCAGGAGGGAGAGATCTCCCCTCCAAGTGAGCTGCCCAGTTTGAAATGATACAAAGGGTGCCTTACTTATCCATGGGTCACACAGTGTCATATCTTCAAGCCCACAGTGCAACGCCCAGCTACACAGGGTCTCCACTTCTGTCGCAGGCCAGCACCCCCTCTAGCAGCACCCCCTCTTCTGTCACCACACCTTCAGTCACCTCGAACGCGCTCTACGCCAACCAAGGCTACGACTACTACCCGCAAGATCCCCGCTCCTGCTACCCGACCTCGTCGATGCAGTCCGAGAGTATGTACCTTCGATGGGAGAGCAACGAGTTATGCGCTGAACGTAGTTTTGACGCAGGCGTCGATGTCAAGTTCACTTACGACCAGGGTGGAAGCCCCATGGATACCCTCTCGGCTCAGTGTAAGTCATGCGTTGTGTTGTGCGGCAGTTGATACTCATAACGTCGATACAGGCTGGATCTCTCAAGACGGGTTTGGAAGCTCGTACGGCACAACTTCCATGGACTTGTCACCCCTCCCGCTCCCAGCCGGGACGTCGAACTTTTCGGCTGTTGATCTTAGCGCTGCTCAGTCTATGGTTGCGTTCCAGAGCTTCGGATCCGCTGGTAGTCTGTCGCACCCCGCCTTTCCCGCCGCCCACACCGCCCACAGCCCTTCACCTCCGGTCGTCCAGGTCGCTGACAATGTTTCCGCGTACGGGAACTGGCATCCGCACGGGTACAACATGTCCTCTCAAGAGACTGTGCTGCGGATCTCGCGTTCTCAGGGTCGGTACCCCACCGTCTGAACACGGTCGCCGCTCCTCCCTCTCCCCTCATGACTTTGTCTCGGTTCTTTTTGTTGTCTCCTTGCCATTTTTGTTTGTTCATTGTTCCACACGGACTCCTGCACAGCTGCTGTCGCCCTCTCTGTACTATGTAGCGCTGTCGTGATGTGTCGCCCTGGTGGCACTTGTATACCTGTCCGGTGTGTTCGTGTATAATACTTGTTTACGCCGCTCCTGTGTATTATACATACAGCTGTATCACCTTGGACTTCGCGGGCTGGTTTTCTGTTTACTACATGTTTCCAATAGCATGGGGGTCTTGCTTGGGTCTTGCCGTCGGGAATTGATGTGCCGCGACAATTTGTCGGTCAAAGGAGACTGCGGTGGAAACCGACCCAATGCTAGTGAGCTTACAATGGAGAGCTGTATGTTTCTGTTCTGGCTAGTTTCCCTGGGCCAACCTTCTGAGTCCTATTATTATTATTATTTTCTTTCTATCCCTGTGGGTCACATATGCGCGTGTAAAACCTTCTGAGTCCTGACAAAGCCTGGCAGTGCTAAAAAGAGTACGCACGTGAGGAGACAAACAGGAGACAACAAGGCGATTGTGGCTGATGGCCGCGTTGAATGGAATGCGATACGCTTCGCAGCGTGCACCCGCCCATCCTCCTTTGACCGCTCCCCCTCCGACTCCTCCGATCTCCCCTCCACCACGCTCTCTCTTCGTGGCCGAGTCGTGCTCTCTGGTCACGCGTGCACTGTACAGCGGCCTCTGATCCCTCGCCCGTCACTCTACAAAATGCTGGCATCTCCTCTTCTTCCATCCGCTCGCTTCGCGGACGAAACCAGTTACCGCCCGGCCAAGGATCTGGACGCTTTCAACAAACTGCTTCCACCTCCAATCGAGTTTATTGAAGGCTCTTCTTCCGGCGTGCTTGCAGTAGCCGAGGGCAAGTATGAGCCTATCAACGAGGTGCCGAAGCAGGTCGATGGTCCGGCGAAGGTACGCCCCACCTTGTGCTTGGATAAATGCGGTTGTCCAACACGCGCAAAAACGTAGGAACCCAAGCCAGCTCCATCACCGATCCCCCAAAGCCACACTGGCCTCTCGCAAGACAGCCCGAGGCTCCCTAAAACGCTGTACACCGGCCCGATCGACACTCAGTGGCCCTATGGGTTTGCCATGGCAGGCGGTCTCAACAACACGGGCAACACATGCTTTCTCAACAGCGCATTACAATGTCTACTGCATACTCCGCCACTCTTGAACATTGCATTGAAACACTCTCAGCAGGGTAACCCTTGTGAGTTGTTAGTGTTATGAACCAACATTCTTGTTCACTTTGTCACCCAGGTGGATGTCCTAAAAGTCACCATTGCATGATCTGCGCCTTCCGTTATCTTATGATGGACGCGCATTCAAAGAAGTTCTCCACTACACCGAACCTCATCATTTCCAAGCTGTCCAGTATGTCCCAGTCGCGTTTAAACACACCCCTGTTACTCAATAAGCTCTGCAGTGATTGCAAAGCACATGCGTCGAGGAAGACAAGAAGACTCGCACGAATTTCTCCGATATTTTGTAGACTCCTTGCAACGCTCTACGCTAGCGGCAGTTCCTCAGTGGGTATATCCCTCCTCAAGGATCGCTCACAGGGATTTACCTTGCATGCAGGAAAGTCGACCAAAAGCTCGCTGAGAAAACATGGGTGTATGGCATTTTTGGTGGTATGCTCCGCTCCCGCGTCAAGTGCTTGTCCTGCGGCTACAACAGCGATACGTACGACCGGATGATGGACCTCAGCGTTGACATAGCCGGCGTCGGGACCCTTCGGGATGCGCTAAGAATGTTCACCGCTGTGGATCATCTGAAGGGTGCCAACAGGTACAAATGCGAGAAGTGCGTACCTCGCACCTCATACGCCGTTATGAAAATTGATCAACTTTGTTCCAGGTGCAAGAAACTCGTCAATGCGGACAAACAGTTCACCGTACATGAAGCGCCTTTGGTACTCACCATCCATCTTAAGCGGTTCTCGCCCATGGGCCGCAAGATCGGCCATCCCGTTCGCTACGAAGAGCGCATATCTTTGGACTCGCTCATGAGCGACAGTCAATTCGGCCCATCATACTCATTGTATGGCATTATCTCCCACGCCGGTGGTGGCCCCAACTCTGGCCATTACTACGCCCATGTCAAGAGCGCGGGTGGGCAGTGGTACGAGATGAATGACGACTCTGTCTCGCGCCATGCTGGTCCCCCGACTGGTCTCAAGAACGCATACGTCCTCTTCTATATGCGCGACAAGGGCCAGGCCCTTGAGGCTGCTGTTAACATCACTCCTTCCACTTCTGCTCACACACTCAAGCCGGGTTTGGTCGCGAACATGAAGAAGCGGAAAGCGTCGGAGGGCGGTCCCGACGGCGAAAGCTCATCGCCTCCAAAAAAGCCATTCATTGGACCTGTATTTCCTTCACACCCCCAGTCGCCGAAGAAGGCGCTTCCGGACGAAGTGCATCCTTCGACAGAGGCCCTGAAGAAAAAGATTGAAGGGCACAAAGCGCAACAAGAGACGAAAACCCTCGCTGCTCTTGTTGATTACGCCGACAACAGCGACGACGAGAATGACGTTGGTGAGAAGGTTAATCCAGCAGATGGCATGGACGACGGTACGCCTCCCGTCAATCCCCCAGCCCCTCCCACTTCTCCTCCCCCGACCTCAGCAGGGGTCGCGCCTCCTGCACCACCCTCTCCAGTGCCATCCTCAGCGAATCCTCCCCCGAAGGCTGCCTCCGAAATCCCACCATCATCATTCTACGGCACTAGTACACCTGCGTTGAAATTCAACAGTCGCAAGCGAAAAACTCCCGATGGTGACGACGAAGCAGCCTCAGTGCGGTCACCAAATCCCTCTTCCCGACCACCCAAACAGCGCTTCTCCGTCGCGAGTCCGTTTGGTCGCTTGACCGGAAGTAACAACTTGGACCAGCGGCGAGATTCCGGCGGGCCTCCGAAGAATCATGGACGACGTCGCAGAGTTTTCGGGATATAGAAGTCGGGACTTGGACTATGACTCGGTTGTACGCCTTTCGATCTTGTGTCGTATCTCATTATACTCTGCATTCACCTTCCCCAGCCCAACTCTCACTCCTTCGTTGCCCCCACACCCCCTGGGCCCTGGCTTCCTCGTTCTCCGGCCAACACCCCTCATCCTGCTGCAACTTAAACCTCCATCCTGCGTCTGCCACTGATGTCATATTTAGATCCACCGCGATTGATCTCTGTCCATCCTATTTCCCGCACCGAATAGGTACCGCCTCTTTGCAAAACCTTGCTGAGGGATCCTGGCGGACTTTGCCTTGTCGTTTACATCATGCGATACGCTTCTTGTCGTTTGCTTGGCACGCGTGTACGGCTTGTGCTTAATTATCGCCTATGAACGTCTGCATCGCTACCTACAGCACGCCCTTAGTGGGCCTGGTCGGCACCGCCTTGCTCAAAACCACCGCTGCCTCTCAGACCACCAACAATGGTGAAGTCGTTGATGGAGGAAAGGAGCTCGAAGGCGGCTACCGCGACGTCGATGTCGAAGGCCAAGTGTACGACGACAGACGGGGCGCGCGTGTGGCCTTCAGCGTTCCACTGTCCTTCACGCACGACGAATGGTGCTGTATGAACAGTACACATCAAGTGTCTCATCCGCGTTGTTGTGTGCGTGGACCCGAACCCAGAGCACCGCGACTTTCTTGACTCAGCAGACCGTCGTCATAGTAAAGGGCAAGTACGTTGCGTTCCCGAGCTCGTCCTAGCATCGTGTCGAAGCAGTCGCGGACTCCATGATTTACATGTGACTTTTCCGCAGACCTGTCTCTCGGGGCGCGCAACGTTGGGTCTCCATAGGTAGGCTCGCTAGACTCGAATTATCCGCATGTATCATACAATCCAACACGGTAACCATCATAACTTAGCCTTGACCTGCACCTGGTCCGTCTGCGCCGCCGCCTCCCGCCCGTCCTCCCACCAGACGACGGTGACGGTGATGTCGTCGCGGAACCGGCGCGAGTACGGCGCGGGGATGCTCGCGAGCTTGCGCAGGTGCTCGACGTCCCCGCCGCCGAGCGCGTTCCGGATGAGGTGCGTGCTGAGGTTGTCGTCCTCGAACGCCCACGCGCCGCGCGCGTCCTGCTGCCCGCGGAGGTGCGACTTGCCGTCGACGCCCGCGCTGCCCGCCGCGGTCGGGACGAGGCGCGCGAGGTCCGCCTTGGGCACGGTGCCGCGCAGGCCGGCGAGGTGCCCGCCGACGAGCGCGACGACCTCTTCGTTCGCGAGCTCGTCCCAGAGGCCGTCGGTCGCGAGCACGACGAAGCGCAGCGCGGACTTCGGCGCCGGGGCCGTCGGGTCCGCGGGCAGCGGGAGGAAGGCGAGCGGGCGGTGGGTGACGACGGGGCGCGCGGTGACGTACGGCGGAGTCTTGAGCGTCGGCGGGGCGGGCGGAGGGCCTCGCCCTTGGGCTCCATGAACGCCTTGCTGAGCACCTCCTGGACCTCGCGCGGCCACTTGTAGCGGGCGTCGCCGAACGCGCGCGAGGGCTCGAGGCCACCGAGGATGCGCCCGTTGCGGACGACGTTGTCCGCCTCGTCCGCAGGATGCTCGGATTGTAGCCTGTCATGGAGATGGTGAGTTTGAGGAGAAGGGCAGGCTTGGGGAGCGTACCTCTTCAGCTCGTTGGGGTTGCGGCCCGTCTGGTCCTCAGTCAGCGCCTCGACGCGCCACACGCCTTTGCCGTCCGCAGTCTCCTCGAACACGCCCGCGACGGCGCGGCTGTCGCCGGTGACGGCGACGTAGAGGTTGCGGTGCGCGGTATCGAACATGGCGAGCAGCGCGCAGCTCCCTGGACAAATATGAGACGCGCGCGAGGAGAGCGGCCGGGACGTGACTCACCTGACATGGCCGTTCTGATAGCCTCCGCTGCGAGTGGGTGCTGGCTGAGGTCCGGGACGAGCTTCTTCTTGAGCGACTCATCGTCCACGTTGTCCGCGAGGATCTCGAGCGGCCCGTTAACGATTTTAGAGTCGAGGTCGACGAACGCCTTCTCGATCGAGCGCGCGACATTCTCCGGGTTCGCGTCGTACGGGACGGCCTTCGCCGGCCATGGCCACAGCCGGACATGGCCTGCTGCACGAAGCCCGGCCGAACGCCGCCAGCCTGGGGCTCGTTGACGCACCTCGCGAGCTCCATGGTGACGACGGGGATGAGGACCTTGGCGAGCGTGCGCGACGTGCTGAAGCCGGCGTGGCCGTCCATGACGGCGAAGAAGAGGTAGTCGCCCGCGGGGGGCGCGGGGCCGTCGGCGGGGGCGGCGTTGCGCTCGACGAGGAGGTTCCCGTGCGCGTCCTCGATCGGGTCGTTGGACGCGAAGTGGGCGGTGGTGGACTTCCAGACGACGCCGCCGGGGCGGGCGACGGCCTGCGCGGTCGCGTGCTCGCGCAGGCGGGCGTCGACCTGCTCCTTGGAGAGCAGGGGATGGACTGGGTGACCATCTGGCGCTTTCCGTCGGGGCCGTGGCCTTGACGGAGATGTTGAAGGTGTCTCTGGGCTCCTGGCGGCGGCCGTTGTGATTGTAGTAGTAGTAGAGGGGGGCGCCGACGCAGAGGGTGGCAGCGGTGGCACCTAGTGCGGGTTTCCAGGCGCGCCGGAGCATGGGCGAAGGCGTGGAGTATAGAGACAGCGTAGAAGCGTCTCTGCTCAAGTTAGGTCCGAAGGCACGTCTATGGGGCAAGAAAGCATTGGAATGGGAGGAGGGGACGCGAGTGGCGGACGCACCAGAAGACCAAGCTGTCTCTTCAGTTCATTCGTCCTCCGACCTAGTCCCACAAACAGAATGTCCCCGCAGGAGAGTGCGCCTGACCGTACAGCTGCGCGAATGAGGAGGCCGGACGGCAAGTGAGGGAAGGAGGAGAAAGAGGATGTGCTGAGCGCTGCGAGCGTCGGTAGAGTGGCCGAGAGACGCGTCGCGTCGCGCGCTGGCCGATCGCGTGTCTTCGCGGATTCACGGCGCCTGTGTACTCTATGCACTGACATGCCAGCGGAAGTCGTCATAAGAACATCGGCTGTAGAGCTTGAATGCTACACCGAAGCTGCCCCCGAGTATAACTTTCCGTCGCAGCAACGAAGCCCATCATCATCCACGACATCCCTTACAATATTCGTGGCAAGCCTTCAAGCCTTCAAGCTCAGCGCCCAGTACTTACCGGCTTGCCTAAAGACAATCCCCGCAATGGTGAATGCCAACACAGCTCACCAAGTCCCTCGCGATCGCTGGCCACCCCAACGCCGCGTACCCGCGCTGCACCCGCCACGTCGTCCCCTCGCACGTTCACCCGCTGCTGAGATTACAATTACTGTATAGCCACTCGCGACGTGGATATCTTCAACGGTTAGAGGTATGTATATGAGTACTCATCGTGGTAACCAACTAAAGCAGGTGTTATCCAAACCGACGTCCGTCTATATCTATCGTGCACCCGCAGTCTCCGCCCACTCCTTGCTTCCCATCTGGACTAGACGGGAGCAGCACCGCGCGAAAGCGAACAGTTCTTCGTCCCCAGTGAACATGGAGCTCGACCCTACAAGGTCACTCGACAAGCCCTGCATCGTTCCTCGTGATCAGCGACCAGGAAACGCGTGGACAGTCAGTGTGTGCTCACGAGGTCGTCCATGACGCTGCGCATGTGGTCTGAAATCCCGCCCTTCTTGGCGTTCGGGTCGTCGGAGAAGATCTGGTATATGGGTACTTCCGACGACACGAGAAGCTTGGTCTGAGACAGAAGTGTGAGATGTCATCCATTACATATGGGACGGGCACAACCCACCTTGCTCTCGTAACACGCTGTGGGTAAAGGTGGTCAGCGACTGTCCGACACAAATATGAAGGAAATTAGCGAACCATCGACGAACGTGATGAACCTCCGAGCCTAGTTAAAGCGTCAGAGGGCGAAAGCTAAGTGGATCCGATGTCTCACTGACCATGTCCTTCTGGCCGAGTCCCATCTTAGGAACGTCCGTCACGAAGATGGTACCAAAGTTCTTGGTGATCTCAATGTAGTCCGCTGCGCTCATCGGCTTGCCGCATAGGTCAGTGAACTCGAACTTCGCCACGGTGGACGAGCTTTCAGGGACCCGAATCTCGCGACCCCACGTCATGAGTTTGCGGTTGTGCACCACAGGATCGGATGGGTCGGAGGTGAGAGCGTTGAAGACCTTGTCGACTTCGGCCTTGTTCTCTGGTGTCAATGGGTCGTAGTAGACATGGGAGAGCGATCGGGGCATCCGGCGGTAATCTGGAGGCAGGTATGGGAATACGTTGCATCAAGTGAAGGAATACCGCTCACCTGTCCCAGAGTCGAGGTCCGTCACCTCAAACCGCTCCTTCAGCAGTTCGATGCACGGCACGAAACTTGACCTCTGGATGCCGTTCTTGTACAGATCATCGGGATGACGACTGGAGCGAAGCGAAAGTGAGTTCGATTTCTGCGAGCCTCGCACGCCCACTCACTTTGACGTCATGACGCAGGTCACCCCGTAATTCAACAGCCTCTCAAACAGCTGCCGGAGGATCATGGCGTCCGCGATGTCCGTCACCTGAAGCGCAGAAGCGGCGCCGTTGAGCGTCCGGACGCGCAGCTGGGGCAGACGCGCTCACCGCACCTGGAACTCGTCGAAGCAGAGCACGTACGCGTCCTGCGCGAGGTCGCGCGCGACCGGGGGGATCGGGTCGCCGCCGCCGAGCCCGAGCTTGGTCTTCATCGAGTGTATGCGCTTGTGGACGTCGATCATGAACGCGTGGAAGTGCACGCGCCGCTTCCGGACGACGTTCGGCGGGAGGGTGTTGTAGAAGAGGTCCATGAGCATCGTCTTGCCGGTGCCGACGTCCCCGTAGAGATACAGGCCCTCGGGCAGGCCTGCTGGGGGCTCGGTGGGGGCAGAGTCTTCCTGTTTCGCGAAGAGGCGCGAGAGCTACGGGGGACGGGCGATTGGGAGGCAATCACGCGAGAGGTGGGTGGATGGAACGCACTAGGGAATGTGAGGGGGGCGCAATCGCGGGTGGGGAGTAGTGCACGAGGTCATCGTGCAGACGCTGCAGCTTCTCGATGATGCGAGTCTGGTGGTCGTCGGGACGAAGGACACCGGAGTCGACGAGCTCGAAGTACCGCTTCAGCGGCGTGGTGACGTCGGAGTCTGCGAGCGGGGGCGTGTGATGAGAGACGAGCGAGCGAGCGATTTAAGGTGCTGACCTGAGGTAGAGCTCGTTGGGGCCTTCAAACCCAGTACGTCCACACCCCCAATATCCCTGCCCTTCTCGAGCGCGAGGGTTGTATTATGGCGTATTCGGGCAACAGCCGCCGAGGCGAGAGCGACGGGCTGGGGGTGGATTGGATGGGCGCGTTTGAGGGTGGGGAGGGCTCGACGGTGGAAAGACGCAGCGGCGTGGCGGCCGACGCTGGACGGCCGCATTGAGAGGGTGGGGCGCCGCGCTGAATGGGACGTGGGACGCGAAGGGGGCGGGGCGGACTGAGAAAAGCAGCGGTGGCAGCGGGCGCAGTGGGCTGCAGTCTGCAGAACGCTCAGCCGAGAGACCCAGATCCGATCCGGGCGGCCGAATCTCCGACTTCCCCGCGGGGCACACCCGGCACCGGGACATCTCGTGAAATCGACAATCCGAAGGGCTCCGACCTGCTCCGACCCTCACACTGTGCTCTCAGGTGCTCTCTCACTGCTCAGGCGTGTTCTGTTTTCAGAGACTGCCGCATCTACTGCGGAGCCATTCAACACGCATCCGGTAATTGCCACACGATGTCTTTGAGACTGGATCCTCTGCCGATGAATATGGACAGCTGTCATGGTCGAGGTAACTACATGTCCTGACTGAACATGTTGATCGAAGAACGTGTCGCCCCGGAGGAGTCCACGAGGAGGTTGTCCTGCAAGAGCACCCGTCAGCGATTGATCAGGTTTTAACATGCTCGATCTCTGTTCTAACATACCGCGCAGCCGGAGCCCAAGTTGGCGTTGCCAATCCATCCGGGTTCCCAGTAGACTTGTCAGACAGAGAGCTGTCAGTCGCGTCAAGGCACCGGTGCCGCGGGAACACTCACAAATGCCCTGGCCTCTTCCACCGGGCAGACCCGCCAGAACATTCTTGATATCATTCACCCATGTCATCTGCCCGCTCGTCGACACCGCGATACTGGGTTCCGTGAGCGACGTTCCTGAGCAGCTCACGGGCCAGTCCGTCTCCGCGACAACAATCGGCTTCGCAAAGGTGTTTGCCGCATTAGTGAGAGATGACTTGAGTGCCGAAAGCTTCGCGCCGGCGTCGTAGAAGGGGTAGAACGAAACTCCGATGATGTCGACCTTGCTCGCGTCGAGCGCCCCGGGAATGTACACGTTGGAGAAGAACGAAGAGAGGCCGCTCCAGTTCCAGCCGTTCGCGAGGTGGATGAGGATCTTGGGGGACCCGACGGACTTGGCGCCGTTGACGGCCGAGTTGAGCAGCTCGGAGAGAGGGTGGTAGCCGCCCACGGAGATGCGGCCGGTAGGCCAGAGCATACCGTCGTTGATCTCGTTTCCGACTTGCAGGATGTCAATGGGCGTGCCCTGTTGGAGAAAGCTTGCACGACCTGTTGAGTGTAGCTGTAGAAAGTTCAGTAGCGGGCGTTGGAGCGGGAGGCAGCGGACTGACAGGTAGATCTGGGTGTTCAGACCGCTGAGGTCCGTGGGCCATCCGGAGGGAATAGCCTGGTGTGCCGGATCAGCCCCTTTGGAGGGATGGAGTTAGCGTGGAGACGATGGGTAAAAAGCAGGCGGACTCACATGTATCACTGAAATGAAGGTCGACGATCAACGTCATGCCCGCCGCTTTGACGCGCTTGCCAAGAGCGAGACCGTAGTTGAGGTTGTACTGGCCGGCTGTCCAGATGCGGACGCGTGCAGCGTTCATACCGTGGTTGTGGAGGATAGTTTCGAAAGGGGTGACGGAGCCCCCATCTCTGTACCTGACCCCAGCAGATTCAACGACCGCGAGGGAAGAAATGTCTGCGCCATGGTAGGTGAGGGCGTTGGCAAGCCAAGAAAGGCAGAGGAAGAGGAGAGGCAGTAGGACGACCATTGTGCCGTCGCCGACCTTGCCACTGAGCCGCTACTAGAGGGGTTTAAATACGACTAGCATCGGGTTCACGGAGCGGCTTGAGGATGCATGGAAGGGAGGAGACTCCGAACAAATCCCAGAGGGTGACCGGGTGCACGGGGTGAGAGTTTAGAGTGCGTAAGGAAGCTGGGACGGCACAGAGGGCGGAGGTGAGGAGATCACGCGGTGTGTTCCTTGAATAGAGAGCGCACGGGTAGCATCCGTGTGACCAGCGTAACCACTCACTGCAGCTGATGGGCGCGCAAGACCGCTGTGAGCAAACAGCGTGCGGTCCGGATCCGAGGGTTGCTCGTCCAGCTAGTGCTGCAATGGAGAGGTGCAATTGTGCGCAATTGCAATCCGTTGGAGCGCGGCATCGCTCATTGCAATTGTGCACATTGCAATTGCGCACAATTGCAATTTACCAAACCTCTCTAATGTATCCCAAGCGGGGGTGTGCATGGAAAACACCGCCGGCCGTCCGAGGATGGACCGGTCCACAAGGCCTCACGGCCAGTGCGCTCTCTCGTGAGCCCGCCATCTGTGCGGGCGGAAGGGTGCTCACGGGGGCGGGAGAGAGACCGGGTCGGCGGACAGCGGACTCCTCCGCAATTGGCGCCGCGATCGGATTGAGCTTGTTTCTCTGGCGCCCGATCGGCCTTGCCTCGCAACTCCTCGCCTGGACTGTTGTGCCGTGCGACCGCTCGCGTTGGCCTGGGACTCAGGAAGTTGGGACGGCTGCTTTGAGCTTACTTGACGGGTCGGAGCATGCCTGCGATAGTCAGAGGTGAGCGCTCTCTCCCAAGTCGCAGCTGCGAAATGACGATTCCGTAGATGTGCGACGGCTGGAGAGAGCGCGCTGCTTGGAATTTGACCTTGCAGCCAAGCTTGGCGCAGAGGCCCGGATCTCTCGCGGCGTCGGACAACAGAGCGGCGGTGGCGGGCCCTCGTCGCTTCCCAACCACTGTCTTCGCGGCGGGGCGACAGTGCGTGAACGTCCCTGGATGCAGACCTTCCTCTTCCCAACTAGTTCGTCCCCTGTCGTCAGGCATCCCCTCTCCGTCCTATATAGCCCACGCTCTCCACCCCTCGCTCATCCACCACCGCTCTCCTCACCGCTCTCCCTACGATGACCGCCTCCATCAACGACGTCAAGGACAAGGCTTTCGACTACATCATTTGCGGTACTTGTCCATCCTTTGCCCCGCCCATCTTCCAGGCCTCCTGATCCCCGCTCTTCCCCGTCCAGGCGGTGGCGTACGCGCTTGATTGCTTCCACTCCCGCCCGCACCACTGAATTCTCCCCAGACCGCAGGTCTCACCATCGCTGCTCGTCTCACCGAAGATCCCAACGTGTCCGTTCTCGTTCTCGAAGCGGGGCAGACCAACATCGGGGATGATGGCATCCGTGAGTGGTCGTTGCCTGCCTTGGATAACGCTCTCGCATCTCACCCTCGCCCTTCTCTAGTGCGACTCTCTTCTTACGGCAGTCACTTTGGGAACCCTAACTACGCCTGGGACTTTAAGACCGTACGGATGTCTTCGTGCCGTCCGGAATGTGTTCTCACATGTGTTCGTAGACCCCGCAAGCGAACACAGGGAACACCTGCCATGGATGGCAGAGGTGAGCCCGCTTCACGGACAAATCCATAACCTCAACTCATCGGTTTCTTCAGAGGCAAAGGGTTAGGAGGAAGCTCACAAATCAACTTCTTGGTGCACATCAAGCCTCCCGCCGAAGATGTAGACGGTGCGTCAGAACGCGTCTTTCGTGTTCATTCCACTGATCATCGCACACCAGCTATTGAGCGCCTTGGGAACCCTGGATGGAACTGGAAGAACCTCCAGAAATACATCCACCGCGCGGAAGGGTACGTGGTAGACGCGCATCCTTTTTCCTCTGACGGCTGACCGCATTCATCTACTAGATTCGTCCCTCCGGGCAAGGATTCCTGGGTCAACGATATCGTGGAGTTGAAGACCGCCGACATGGGTACGGATGGTACGCTTTTTTCAATCTGTTTCTCATCTGTCAGAGCGGCTCATCGCTGCAATTGCTTAGGTCCCCTTGCCATCGCATTCCCGGCGTTTGTCAACGAAGGCGAACTGAAGATACAACAAGCGCGTATATATCCCTTCTAATTGTGACATTTTGGTAACCTTGCTTTCGTAGACCTTCATCAACGCTGGTATACCCGTGGCCCCTCGTCCTGTAAGTCTCAGGCAGAAACACCGAAAATTTTGTCTAACCCGTTCTATCTGTAGTACAACGGACAGGTGAATACCGAATCTGGAAGCCAAGTCGGCCACGATTCAGCTCTGACTTCACTTCCGCATAGCCTCACGGTGCCTACCTTGCTCCTTCTACCATCGACCCGAAGACGCACACTCGTTCCTACGCTACCACGGTCAGCCCCAATGTTTTCAACACGCAGCTGTTGCTAATGAATTACGCAGGCCTACTACTTGCCAAACCGGCACCGGAGCAATCTCACTGTGCTAGTGATGGCACACGTCAACCGGGTGGTTCCAGCCACAGACGCAGCAGAATTTGTTGCCGAAGCTGTCGAGTTCGAGTACGAGGGACGCACTTACGTCGTCCCCGCGAAGAAAGAAGTCATCCTTTGTGCAGGGTATGGGTCCTGTTTTATTGAGTGATTACCTCAACTGATGGACATCGGAAGTACTCTCAAATCGCCTCATATTCTCGAATTGTCGGGCATCGGCAACCCCAACCTTCTCCGCAAGCTGGGTATCACCCCGAAGGTCGATCTTCCAGGGGTTGGTAGCAATGTGCAGGAACACATGGTCGCTACCATCAGCTTCGGTATGTATGATGCTCATAGCTGCACCATGGCGTTACTCAAGTGCTCTGCGAGTAGAAGTCAGAGATGACGTCGATTTCCAAACCCTCGATTGTCTCGCTGATCCCGCCATCGCTGCAAAGCACCTGGAACTCCGGTATGTTGTCTCGTCAACAGTCGTCGTCCAACTTTCTGAGTTTCGTTCTAGCGCATCTGGCAAGGGTCTCTTCACCAATGGGATCGTTAACTTCGCGTTCGCTACGTTGGGTCAAATTTCTTCCAAAGCCAACGCTATCATCGAGGCCACAGAAGACAAGGTGAACCGGATGTCGTGCGACTACCCGCCTGGGATCCTGGAGCAGCACAAGATCACCATCGAACGTTTGAAGAACGGCGTTGGTTGCGAGTTCATAGCGCTCCCTGCGATGGCTTCTCGTCCAAGTACGTGCCCAACTCTTCTATCACGCCCGCTTGGGGCTCATACGTGTACGGATAGACCCACCTGAAGCTGGGAAGCGCTACATCACCCTCTACTCTGCGATGAATCACACTATGTCGCGAGGCACTATCGTAAGGCCGATTTCCTTTCACTTGACCACGTGCTCAGCATTGTTGCAGCACACGGCATCGAAGGATGCCTCCGTCGAACCTCACTTCGATCCGCGGTACTTCGAGGAGGAAGTTGGTCAGTACACGTGAGTTAACATACGGCACAGCACTCATGTGGCCTGGCTGGCAGACCTGCAAGTTTTCTTGGAGATGGTCAAGTTCTCCAGGAGCCTGGCCTCGGTTGCACCCCTCAAGGACATGATCGGTAAGGTCCGCACTAGTCATCCTTTTCCTCTTCACTGACCGCTGTCTAAGTCAAGGAGCTCAACCCCGGTCCTGATGTACAAAGCGATGAAGCACTCGTTGGTCAGTATCTTGCGGGTACTCATCAATGAACGACGTGCTCACATTGAATGGATGGTGCACAGATTGGCTCAAGCAAACTTTCACAACGACGTGGCGTTAGTAGCTCTCGCCTTAAATTCTTCATACGCTGACCTGACTTCGCACAGATACGGCGGGTTCCTGCTCTATGCTCCCCAAAGTGAGCGGCGGTGTCGTAGATCCCGAGCTGAAAGTGAGTATCGTGATTCCGTAGTCCATAACTCCCCATTGACCCCAAATAGGTGTACGGTGCGAAGAATCTGAGGGTCGTCGACCTTTCTATCCTTCCTTTGCATGTGGCGTGTCACACCCAAGGTAGCGAATATTTGTTGACATTCGTGAACTGTTCTCACATCATTGCAATCCAGCCGTGGTGTATGGCATCGCGGAGCAAGGTATGTGACTATGGTGTCTGATATGCGAACAACTGACTCACTCGCGCATAGCATCCGACATTATCAAGGGGGCTTACAAGCCGTGAGGTCCGTCAGCCCTGTATTGAAGGATGGGACACCGTCGCAGTTGTACCCCTGAGTTTCCATGCGCCAATACTTGTTTACCTCGTGTCGTGGAATGTAGTATCTCACACCCTGTATGAATTTTCATGTGTCTATGATGAATAGTGTTACGACTGCGGATTACAAGTATGGACGGTGCAAGGATCACCTGACACACGCGCTTGAAGCAGAGGGAACGCGCTCGCGACATCCATATCCGTTCAACACCATCCATCACATCCGGCCCGTCCTCGCGCAAGGGCAACCACTGCAGGCGATAGAACCGCACCTACAGAATTTATATCCTTCCCCTCCGTGAGACATGTCCCTCCCCCCGGGCTCCAAGTACGTTTTTGTGTCTAAGCGCTCCAGGCCAGGCTGCTCACAGCACTTCACCGGATTCAGAGGAAAGAAACGCGCGGTCGAGGAGGACGATGTGCCCTCGAGCTCGGCATCTACATCCACCACGCCCGAACCGGAGAAGTCTGCTCGCGCTCTCGAGAAACAACCCGCCCCCGGACCAGCGAAGAAATGTGCGTGGGCCGCTGCCGTACTCGTCCGCAGACTGATGGCACCGTCCGTCCGTCCAGCCAAGCGCGCCGAGATCCGCCACTGTCCCGTTTGCGACGAGCCCATACCCATCCGTCTGCTGGGAAAGCACGCGCAGCTGGAGAACGAGAGGCTGGATGCGATCATAGGCAGCATAGGCAGCATGGAGGTGCTCGACGAGGCCGAGCCCGACGACGGGTGCGTGCTCCGTTCCTCTCTCCTTCCCTCCCCCTCCCCCTCCCCCTGCGCCCCGTCCCCCGGTCTCCTCTTTCCTCGCGACGAGACACGGCTGAGCGCAGAACGCGGCGCGTCGCAGGTTCACGGCGCGCACCCGCCGGTCCGCGCTGAAGGCGCGGCAGCACCTCCGCCCCGGCTCGTCGTCGTCGTCCGCACACCCCGCGCTCTCCTGGGCGGACGCGGCGTCGCTAGAGCGCACGGAGAAGACGCTGCGCGCGGTGAAGCGGAGCCGGAAGCAGCGGCACGCGCGCCTCCGCGAGCTCGCGCGCGAGGACGACGACGGCTGGGGCGCGGGGGTGGGGGCGGGGTGGTTCGAGGCGGGGGTGGCGGGGACGGCGTGTCCGGTGTGCGGCGTGGTCGTGCGCGGGGACGCGGACGTCGTGGAGGCGCACGTGGACGCGTGTCTCGCGCATGCGCGGCTGGTGGGCGAGATGGACGTCGACGCGGAGGAGGGCGGGGTGAGGGGGGCCATGGAAGGCGTGAGCTTTCGAGGTACGTGCGTGTTGTGTAGCGCGGTTGGCCTGTCTGGCTTGCACGCGGGGGCTCATGCGTTTGGGCTGCAGGGACGGGCTTCGACGTGCGGAATCGGGAGGAGCGGGACGTAGAGGACGAGGTGGACGTGGACGGTGAGGACGAGGCGACGTTCGGGGCTGCGCAGTTCTCGGAGCGGGACGTCCTCGCGCCGCCACTGGGCCCGGCGGATTCGCGCTCGGAGGCAGACACGGACGCGGACATCGACGTGGACGACGCGAACGGATCCGGGGAGGGCCCTTCGGGCAGCCGCACTGAGAGGGAGCCCAAGCAGGGAAAGAGCCTGCGGGACCTCGTCGCAGAAGGAAAAGTCATCCGCCCAACGGAGAACACGGAACAGACGGTGGAGGTCATGGGCTTGGCAGAGACAGACGAAGTGGACCTTGCGATAGAACTGGCGCGGCGTTCGGAGGATTCAGCTGCCCTCGTGCGCGCTCTGGAAAGCAAGGTCCGCCTTCTAGTAAGTGCCTGTAAACGTTGGATTGCTCTACCGCGTTCTGACGCTGCGCCCATGTACAGGAATCTGCCAAAGTTTCATCGTCCACATCCCTCCTCTGCCGCATATGCCTCGACCCTTATAACGACCCGACGGTCTCCACGGGTTGCTGGCATACTTGCTGTCGGGAGTGCTGGCTGCGCTGTCTTGGGTCTACAAAGTTGTGTCCCATCTGCAAGCGCATCACGGGGGCCACCGACTTGAGGAGGGTGTACTTGTGATGCAGTCGCTCTTGTCGTGAACTGCCGTCGTCCTGCTTTGTACAATGTAACCATCGCTATCGCTGCAAACAGATACCATGATGAGCCAGGAGCGGTTACAGTCGGGCGAGACTGGGGAAGGGAGTCATATCTGGCCTTGTCTTGACTTCAGTGTCACCCAGCCAATAAACCATACCTTAACAAAGGCAGGTTACAGAAGCCAGGGCGTTCAGAGCGCCATGTCGACGCCACCACGACATGTATAATCACGTAAAAAGCGGAAGGCAACGAGACTCACCAAGATCTCCGAATGATCCAATCCTGCGTTCATGCATTTGATAGCACACCACGGGGAGGGAGAAGGGAACGGGAGTGCAATTATGTCGTGTCGAGTACTATATATACAGAGGAGCGTGCAAGGTCATGCAAGGGGGCTAATGAGCCTGCGGGACAGGTCAGCGTGCAGGCAACGGACAAGGAAGATATACGAACTTGATAAGTGATGGTTGGGGGTTGCTCCTCGTGTAGCCAACGTAGATAATGAAAGGAATCCAGGCGTAGTGGACGGCAATCTAGAAGGTACGTGTTAGCACGGTTGACGAGGGCTGGTGGCTTGCTGGCAACGTACGCGTGCCATGTCGACGGCCTTGATAATTCGCTCCTACGCTCCTGCTGTTAGGATGGTCCAAGAAATATAGCAGATGCGAGACGCACCTTTGTCTCTTCAGAAGGCATTTTGGGATGAGGGAGGTGACGGTGGTGGAGGGAGGCGTAGAGAGCGCGCCGGACGTTGCCGACCGAGTTTTTGGCTCGCGCGGGCGCCTGCGCAGACGAAGATCCTGTCCCTCCTTCATCTACACCTCCTCCAAAATGCCGCTCAGCCCCCTCTCGTCCGCCGTGTTCCTTCAAAATGCGACGCCCGGCTTCACGACAACTCCTGGGTACGCGCGCTCCCTCGCCGTGAATGCATAATTCGCTGATCGCGCACTTTCATCTCCGGTCCTTGCGATCGCGTCCCACAGGCGCACTCCGACTTCGGTGACCGTCCACCCCGTCGCCCTCTTCTCGATATTGGACCACTACCTCCGCCGCACGGATGCGCAAGACCGCGTTATTGGGACGTTACTTGGCACGCGCTCGGACACCGGCGAGGTGGAGGTGCGCTCCTCGTTTGCGGTCCTCCACAGCGAGACCGCGGATCAGGTCGCGGTGGACATGGAGTACCACCGGACAATGTACGACCTCCACCACAAGGTCAGCCCGAAGGAGGTCATCGTTGGATGGTGCGTACGTCTTTGCCGCTTGGTTGCCGTTCCATGATGACGAGGGTTCGATCAGGTACTCGACTGGGTCGAATCTTAACACCTACTCTGCCCTTATCCAAAATTTTTACACGCAAGAAACCGCACCGCACCAGGCCATTCATCTCGCTCTGAACACTGGTGTACAGGAGGGACAGAAGGCTGGCGTTCAGGCATACGTCGGGTGCGTGCCATCCCTCGAAATGGTGATAGCTCTGATCTAAGCGAGATGTTCTTCCTCAGATCACCAGTGGGCGTGAGCCCCAAGCCCGAGAACTGTGTATTCGTCCCAATCCCCTGTGAACTCCGTTTCAACAACTCCGAGCGTAGCGGACGTAAGCGGTTGTTTCTTTCGTGCTCGACAAGTGGTGGTGATTGATCGTTTATGCGCCCCAGTTGACCTCCTCACCTCCGACCTCTCGAATTCTACCTCTGCATCCGCCACCTTCACCAACCCTTCCAGCGACCTTGAGCTATTGGAGCGCTCCCTCGTCACAGTATCGGAGATGCTCGACCGCGTTCTTTCATATGTCCAGTCCGTGCTCTCCGGCGAAGCGAAGGGCGATTCTGCCGTGGGTCGGTACCTGATGGATGCTCTCGGGCCTATTACCGAGGACCTTGAGAAGGGCGAGTTCAATACTCACCTTCAGGTACGTCCATACACTCCACGCGTGCATTCATGATCCTCAAGTGCTAATTGTCTTCCAGGATACCCTCTTGGTCTCGTATTTGGCCAACCTCGTGAGGTCACAAGCCGAAGTGTCCTCGCGGTTGGCGCTGGTAAAGGCATCGTAGTCGAGTCCTGGGGTGTTTGTATCCAGTGTATCCATAGCGGACGCGCTTGTACTCTCAGCTGTTGAAAATGCGCGAGTGTTGTAGATCGTGACGTGCGGCGAGGATTTCCCCGAGCGGCCAGGTCATTGCGGGACCACGGACGGTGTCCTCATCTTCTCCCTGTTGATCGGCTTGAGGCAACAGGCCAGTATAGAGACCTTTGGCTCGCGCGACTTCTGCATCGACAAGCGGGCGGACTGCATGTAGCAGCACTTGCTGAGCTGCATACGGCCCGATTGTGTTCAGACGGACAGATGAGGAGAGGAGGCTGCGAGCCTGTAGGAAAAGATGCAAATGTTGGCTGCGCTCTGTCCAAGCATGTCAGCGAAAGGAGGTCCAGTTCGTGATCGAAGCCCACTCATACCTGTAGATAGGCCTAATGATGCGGTCAGAATACCCCAACAGACTGGGAGATGGCCGTGTGTATCCTCGCGCCGGACGAGTAGCTTGAGCCGGTCCATGAGCGCGGTGGCGCTCGAGTCTCGCGCGGTGTCAGTGGTTCCGTCGGACGAGGATTCGAAGTGTCGCGGGAGCGTAGGCTTTGAGAATCCCTTCGAGAAGAGGGTGAGCAGCGCGACGCCCTGAGACTTGGAGGCGCGGCGCGCGATGTGGTTGAGGGTCATCGTTTCGTAAAGCTCGTCCAACTCCAGAATTTGCGCGATCGTGCTTTCCAGGCGGCTCGCATTGTCTTGTGCACTGAGCGGGGCGCTCGCGCGACCAAGGTATCGCTCGGTCACGCTATGCGCGTCCGTCACGAAAGGGAGTGCAGAGTGCGCGTAAGTTGAAAGACTGTCACGGAGGAAATTGACGGTGTAGTCCATCTTATCTGGAGGTGATGTCGATGTCGATGTCGATGAGATCGCTTCGGCGGGCGCAAGGTTCGAGAAGAAGCCGTGCGTGACATAGGACTCGAGGCCTGCGGACGCAACGAACGAGCCAGTGGGTAGATTGCTATCTGAGAGGAGGAGGAGGATGTAAGCTTCCTGGCCGTCCTCCATCTCGCGCGTGTGTGGCTAGCTTGAGGAGAAGAAAGTGGACGAAAGAGCGAAGGAGGCGATGAAGGCGCCCGGCGCGCTTCATCCCGAAGTTGCGCAGGGTCCAACTTCGGCTCACCTGCCTGCCACACCTTGTCTTGCACCTCCATCTGCATGAGCTACCCCCGCCACTGGCCTACGCGCCGATACAGACTACCCGAAAGCTAGAGCATATACTGGGGAGATAGTGGGTCAAAATGGGTGCGTTCAATAGTGTCCTTCGTCCGGGCCGAGGTTGACCGCCGCAAGTGCAGATTCAAGCATGTCGAAGCAGTTGGTGGATAAGATGTATGAGAAGCGGAAGGCTGCGGCGCTGGAGTTGCAGAAGTAAGTGGCCCTTTACACCCTTACCAATGTGCGTTCGGGGACGAACCAAAGGCCCCCAGGCAGATTCGGGAGTACCACCAGCAAGGAGACCAGCGGCGCATCAGCCAGATTGTGGACCAACTCGTGGAGATGTTCAGCAACCCCTCCAACCCTCTGCATGTACGCAACGGAGGACTGATTGGGTTGGCTGGAACTGCCATCGCGCTGGGAGCCGATATCGCGCCACACATGGAGAAGTTCGTCGAGCCTCTGCTCGTTTGTTTCTCGGACCCGGAGAACAGAGTGCGCTACTTCTCGGCGGAATGTCTCTACAACATCGCGAAGGTGTCCAAGGGTGAAATTCTCGTGTACTTCAACCCCATATTTGACGCTCTCAGCAAAGTGCGTACATGGTTCTCTATATCAGCGGCTGAAATGTCAATGTATATCAGCTTGCCGCAGATTCGGAGCTGTCTGTCAAGAACGGCGCGGAACTGCTTGACCGTTTGTTGAAGGACATCGTTGCGGAGACGGCCTCAGTGTACATCCCACAGTATCCGGAGACGGAAGCTGTCAGACGCAAAGCTGACGAAAGCAATGGGATCCTCGTCCCACATCCGGACGACATCGCCAATGGTGCCGATATCACGGGAGCTCGCAAAGCTTTCTCTCTGGCGCACTTCATCCCCTTGCTGTCCGACCGAATTTACGTCCTGAGTCCATTCACACGCAGTTACCTTGTGTCTTGGATTACCGTCCTCGACTCGGTCCCGGAGCTCGAGTTGATATCATACCTCCCAGAGTTCCTCGATGGACTGTTGTGCGTATCCTTTTACTAGACATCGTCTTGTCACCCACTTTTGAGCCTTTCCAGGAAGTACTTGTCCGACCCGACCGACGATGTACGAGTGGCTACAGAGGGTCTTCTGGCCGACTTCCTCCGTGAAATCAAGGATGTAACTCAGGTGCAGAAGCGACATCAGGAGATCCTCAGGTCAAAGCAGGCCGCCGCCGCCGCCGCATCTGCAGCCGCCAGCGAAACTGCACGTAGACTTGAATTCGAGGAAGACAAACTCCCGGACATAACTATGGACCATCCGGAGCGGGCTACTTTCATACCTGAGAACGACGAGGTGTTCGACAACGACCTAGAGACTCCTGACGAAAAACATGACGCCGAGCTTCGGGAAACGGGAGGTTCGCATACCCATTTTATACATGCCTTGGCGTTAAAAACTTACATCCTCCAAGCGTGGGCACCGGGCCAAGGCGTCAGAATCGATTACGCAGCTATCGTCGAGATCTTACTTCGACAATTGGACGATGAACGTGAGCCTAAAAGCCAATTCAATGTGGTGTACGGACTGACAATAAAATAGATGACGAGATTCAGCAGTCGACCTCCTTGCGGTGGCTCTCCGAGTTCTTAAACATCACTCAAGAAGTCATGATACCCTTCACCCCTCGACTTCTCCTCGCGATACTTCCCAACCTCGCCCATGACGTTCCAATGATTCAATCCGCAGCTATGCGAGCGAATCAAGCTCTTATGGACGTTATCCAGTCGCTTCCCTCGCCACCCGATCTTCCACCTGGCCGTCAGAGCACCGACAAGTCCTCCAATACCACACCTTCTTCTCCACCACCCTCATTGCCTCCCATCAAGCAACCGACGATGGGGAAGGAACAGACCTCACCGGCAGAACCGGCAGAACCTGGTCCCCAGCAAGTCACTCCAACACCATTCCCGACATCCCAGCAGATGAAGCGGCCTAGCACTGCTCCCGGAGATACTCCTCCACGTACTACTCCCGATAGCGCTCAAATTATGCACAGTCGACCTGCTTCGCCCGTTTCTGCGCGAAGCGTTCAGCCCGTGCACCAGTCACCTGAATCTTCTATGCTGCAAGAGAAGGAACAGATCGATTACCAAGCAACTGTAAACGCCCTCACGATTCAGTTCTTGAGTGAACATGAAGAGACTCGAGTTGCTGCTTTGAAGTGGCTCATCATGTTGCATCAGAAGGCGCCGAAGAAGATTCTGGCACTGGATGATGGGACGTTCCCTGCTTTGCTGAAGACGCTGTCGGATTCTTCTGAAGAGGTGCGTCTAGTTCGTGTGGATCCACGGCGTCCACTCACGGCGTCTCTCTAGGTCATCAAACAGGATCTGCAGCTCTTGGCTCAGATCTCGTCGAGCTCCGAGGAGGGATACTTTAAGTCTTTCATGAACAACCTGTTGGAGCTATTCAGCACCGACCGAGGGCTCTTGGATTCGCGGGGAAGCCTCATCATTCGTCAGCTTTGTTTGAACCTCAACACCGAGCGAATCTACAAGACGTTTGCCGAGATTTTGGAGAAAGAGGAGGATCTGGAGTTCGCCAGCGTCATGGTGCAGAAGCTGAACATGATCCTTATCACCTCGCCAGAACTGGCAGATTTCCGGAGACGATTGAAGAGCTTGGAGACTCGGGTGAGTCTGGCGATCATTGACATCCCCATTGTGCTGACGACCTATGTTCAGCAAGATGGCCAAGCACTGTTCACGACTTTGTACCGCTCTTGGTGTCATTCTGCAGTGGCAGTCTTCTCGCTTTGTCTTCTCGCTCAAGCGTATGAGCATGCATCGAATCTCTTGTATATCTTGTAAGTCCGGTTCTCGTGTTTCAATGCCCGCACGTACTTATGGTTATCACAGCGCCGATTTGGAGGTTACTGTGCAGCTGCTCGTGCAAGTCGACAAGCTAGTGCAGCTCATCGAATCTCCGGTGTTCACATGTAAGCGGCAGTCAATCGGCTGCCTACAAGTGTGTGGCCGTTGCTGACATGTTGCTAGATCTACGACTTCAGCTGCTGGAGCCGGAGAAATATCCCTTCCTCTTAAAGTGTCTCTACGGGCTCTTGATGGTTCTCCCGCAGAGCTCAGCCTTTTTATCCCTTCGCAATCGGCTGAATGCCGTAAACACAGCAAGTTTCCCGCAAATCACCCCGAAGTCGTACGTTGTAGTATCCTCATCATCTTGGATCTTGGATCTGCTTAACTCTGCAACCTTACCACAGCACCGTCGGAAATCTGTCTTCGACACGCTCAAAGCTTGGGCGTGAGGATATCAAGTGGCAAGAGCTCCTTCAACATTTCCGTACAGTCCAGATGAAGCATGAGAAGGCGCGTCGTCAGGCTCTTGGCACCGACGTCACCTCCTTTACCTCTTACTCGTATACGAACGGCATCGACGGCTCAAAGCCTTCTCCGCCAACTTCCGCCGGCACCACTGCATCACAACGACCCGGAGTGCGTCGGAAGATGACTGGCGAGGGCCCGGTTCGTCCACCCTCTCGGTCCGGAGGCGTGCTGTCTCCGCTCAACCCCAAGTCGAGAGTAGGCGCTGCTGCTGTCTTGCCGGGCCCGCAGCCGCCTGCGAGCCCAACTACGGCGGCAAGCCAGGCGCAAGCGCAAGCGAAGGTCAAGAGAGCGCTGAGTTTGAGCAGGAAATCATGAGGAAATGGTGTATGGGGGTGCCACAATCACACATGGACCATGCGTTTACCCACGATTGCAACGACCCTACGATACCCTCTTTTTAATTCGCATCCATGTTCAACGTTCATGTCTTGGGTCATCTTACAGACTATGCCGCGAGCCACCGAAAATGCGTCAGCAGGTTCTGAGCCATAGATGTTGTAATGGTACAACAATACTTGAAAACGACAGATAACTGATGACATCAAAAAGGGTTGGTCGTTCACGCAAACAGGAGGTGTCAGCGTGTCAACTCCGGCTCAGAGGAGTCGTAAGGTTCCTTCGTATGGTGGCTACGTCCTCGTCGGTCAGGCCGACGGTGTTCCTCAGATACACTTCAACTCCACCATAGCGATCCCGCAGCATTTGCAAGAATGCAACCATGGTTTCAGGCCTACTTGTGATCAGATGAGAACTTGCGAGTGAAAGGCATGCGTAACACGAACCGAGATGACAACATATTCATGGCACGCTCGGAATTGGTCGCGAAATACGGCATCTTCGCCAATCGTTCCATGATCATTGGACGGACTGGTTCTCGTCCTATTCGAGTGAGAGCATAATCCTCAACGATAGCGCCATCGTTGACACCAGCAAGCTACCGTTCTTGAGGTAAGTATAAGCCTGTAGAGGGGGCATGGGCTTACCTTGAGAAGGAGAGCGGCAAGTACTCCTGTCCGGTCTTTCCCCGCTGAGACATGGCATAAGCTCCATGAGTACTTTCTTCGTTTTAAAGTAGCCTACTAACCGGTACAATGGAAGAGGCAGCCTTGCTGTGGCAAATCTCTTATGTGACGGAGAACCACTCCGAAAGAAGGACCGGCGTGGTCTAGGATTTGAGAGTAGAGGGTCATGAAAGACTTGGTCGGTCGTCAACACACTCAGTCAAGGACAAAAACGAAGGCTTACTTCGATTTTGCCACTTGCATAGAGCTCGAATCGCCTGGTGCATAACATTGAGTTCGATTGTGCGGATCACTCAGGCACCTCATACAACGTACTGAGTCATCGCCTCGGGGCTGAATCTTCTTTCTGAAAGACGGGAATATGGCACACCTGTACGCCTTCGATAGTAGGGATAGGAGTCTCGTATTTCTCCATTTCCGTGTCAGAGCGTAGGTCATACACTGTAGTGATGCCAAGGTCACGTAGGCGCTGTTTTCCTGCTTCCTCGTAAGACCTAATGTTTACAAGAAGAGATATTAAGTATAAGAAAACGAACGTACCTTCTTCGGTTATGAACGATACTTCTCCAGAGCGATAGATGAGCCCGGGTTTCGTGATATATCCTGGACACTCCGTGGGGTAAGAGCCAAGATCCCGGACGTTGACCACACCAGGAAGGGTAACGAATGGTGGACGAGACAAGCGGTCCGATACGTAAGCAGGATCCAAAAGGTCTTCGTCCATGGCGAAGAGGCGCAGAAGGGGTATGAGACGGATGCACAGCGGCCTCAGTTGAGCTGAAAGTGGGATGTTACGGCCCGCTGTTCCCGGTAAGCGCTCTCTCAACGCGTGGGTTTAGGGCAGGCAGTCTCGTGTCTCATTTGCCACTGCCAGGACGCGTCCCTTCAAAGTCTCTCTCCACCGTTCCCTTCTAACGCCTTCGATCACCCGCTCACCATGGATGGAACATCGTCTCCTCCTCTGAGATACACATCTCTTCCCCCGAGTAGCCAGCAACTCGGCCGGTCCTCTCCCGCCCCAAACGGCTCCAGGGCTACACCTCAGCGAAGTCGCAACCAGTCAGACGCGCTCGGTCTACCTGACGATGAAGCTGCAGAGGTGGATGAGACTGGACCTTCTACCAGGCGCAGGGTTAGGCCGAGGAATCAAGCCAATGGAGATGTTCCTATCGTGAAGGATGCGGTGGGTGAGAGCGTCCAGGAAGCATTTGAAGCATTCCTCCGCACGTATGTTCTCATCACGTCTCTGCGTGCACAAACGATGATCTGAGCACAAGGCTGCAGCTTCACTGAAGAAATTGACTTGGCCATGACCCCTGGCTCGGAAGGCGGCGTCCCATCAGCTCCCGACGGCGAACTGATTTACATTGAGCAAATCCACACAATGCGCGAATACGAACTTACCACCCTATATGTCGATTATGGCCATTTGCTGCAAAAGGACGAAGTTCTTGCGGACGCCATCCAGAAACAATACTATCGATTCCTTCCCTACATCCGGCGAGCAGTTCAGAACCTCATCGCCGAGTTTGAGCCTGAATACCTCAAACTCAACCCCACCTCCGCTGCCACCGACTCCGTCAACCTCCAGTCCCGCGAATTCAATGTTGCATTTTACAAGCTCCCTCTCGTCTCCGGAATTCGCGAACTCAAGACAGAACGTATAGGCACTCTAATGAGCATTAGCGGCACAGTTACAAGGACGAGTGAAGTGCGACCAGAGCTTCTCTTTGGAAGTTTCATCTGCGAAGTATGCGGCGGTCTGGTCAATGACGTCGAGCAGCAATTCAAGTACACCGAGGTCTGTCTCTGTGATTCTACATGAGCATTATCTTCTAATGCCCACCCGACAGCCAAGTCTATGCCCTAATCCAACATGCGGAAACCGTATAGCCTGGCAACTCCAAATTGATACCTCCAAGTTCACCGATTGGCAAAAAGTCCGCATCCAAGAGAACCCCTCCGAGATTCCCACTGGTTCTATGCCACGCTCCCTCGATGTTATTCTCCGGTCTGAACTGGTTGAACGCGCGAAGGCCGGAGATAAGTGCGTTTTTACCGGATCGTTCATCGTCATCCCGGATGTCAGCCAGCTGGGTCTTCCCGGCGGCAACGAAGCAAAGCTCCAAAGAGAATCGCAACGTTCGCAGGGCGCGGGGTCTACTGCTGGCGGAACGGGCGTTACTGGACTGAAGACCTTGGGTGTGCGCGATCTTCAATACAAGACTGCGTTTTTGGCATGCATGGTCCATGACGCCGATGGTCGGGTACGTCCCCGCACTGGCTCCGCGATCATTCTTGAGTCTCACGTTTGTTTTTAGTCTGGTACCAACATCCGAGGTGAAGAAGACGGTGGAGAAAACGATAGCGAAGCCTTCGCTCGGTCACTCACCGAGCCCGAGTTCCAAGAGCTTAAGCACATGCTCGAGACCGACCACATCTACTCTCGGCTGGTTGAGAGTATTGCACCTACCGTCTACGGTCACGACATCGTCAAGAAAGGCCTCCTCCTCCAGTTGATGGGCGGTGTCCACAAGCAGACTCAAGAGGGGATGCACCTTCGCGGAGACATCAACATTTGCATTGTCGGCGACCCTTCTACTTCCAAGTCACAATTCCTGAAGTGAGAATCATACCGCATATATGCTTCAATTTCGCTGACACACATAATAGGTACATTTGCTCCTTCCTCCCGCGCGCGGTCTACACATCTGGCAAGGCATCTTCAGCCGCGGGTCTCACTGCCGCCGTGGTCAAGGACGAAGAGACTGGAGACTTCACAATCGAAGCGGGCGCGTTGATGCTAGCGGACAACGGCATCTGCGCGATTGATGAGTTTGACAAGATGGACATATCTGACCAAGTTGCAATTCACGAAGCCATGGAACAGCAGACGATATCCATCGCGAAGGCCGGCATTCACGCGACTCTGAATGCCCGTACTTCTATCCTCGCAGCTGCGAACCCAATCGGAGGTCGATACGACAGGAAGAAGAGCTTGCGCGCAAATGTAGCCATGACCGCTCCCATAATGAGTCGTTTCGACTTGTTCTTCGTCGTCCTAGACGAATGCGACGAGAAGAGCGACCTTAACATTGCCAAGCATATCGTGAACGTACATCGTTTCCAGGATGAGGCCATTCACCCCGAGTTCAGTACGGAGGCTCTGCAGAGATATATCCGCTATGCGCGGACATTCAACCCGAAGGTTCGTCTCTGCAACCCATCCAACTTTACCTTGTGTAATCTAATGCCCACGTTAGCTTACTCCAGAAGCGGCGGATGTCCTCGTGAGCAAGTACCGTGAGCTCAGACAAGATGATGCCACCGGAGCAGGGAGGAATTCGTACCGGATCACTGTGCGTCAACTGGAGAGTATGATTCGACTCAGTGAAGCGATCGCGCGCGCAAACTGTACAGCCGAAGTAAGTTTCCCTGAGTGCAGTATTTCCAGCTGGATTCTTATTACATGTGCGTCAGATCACGCCGGCTTTCGTTCGTGAAGCGTACACTCTTCTCCGACAATCTATCATCCATGTCGAACAAGATGACGTTGAACTAGACGAAGAGGAGCAAGAAGCAGGCGACCGTCCACAACGTGCCTCGTCTCATGTTAACGGAGATGACAGCCAGGACGTCAACGTGTCTGGCATGCAATCTGGTACCGATGATCTTTACCACGAATCTGGAGCGACTGGTGCCCGCGGTACTTCTTCCTCTGCTCCATCGCGAGCGGGGAGCATGGCTCCGGGTGCCGACGATCAACACGCCTTCGCCCAGCCCCCACCACAGCCGAGAAGACGGATGGTCATCAGCCACGACAAATTCATCACCATGCGGAGCCTCGTCGTGCTGCACGTATCACAAGTCGAGCGAGACACCGGGAAAGGAGTGGACAAGGACGAGCTCATCGACTGGTATCTTGAGCAAAAAGAATCCGACATTCAAGATGTGGACGAACTTGAATGGGAGAAGGAGCTTATCACCAAGGTGCTGAAGAAACTTGTCAAGGTATGTTGTCAAAGTACCACTTTGGAGTTGCTCGATGTCTGATAGCGTCCGTAGGAATCATTCTTGCTTGAGGTTCGTGGCGATGTCCAGGAATCTCTTCCACCCTCTATGGAGGACAGCAGTGGAAATCAAACTCTGGAGTCACAAGAAGGGGACTTCAAGGTGTATTATATGGTCCACCCAGCTGTGGACACGGACCTCTCATCCGCGCCATGATCGAGTCGTCCGAGTCTCGCGTTTCACTCGTCGCTTGAGTTACTATTGGTTCTGGCTCTGCTGTTGTCATGAAATACTGCTGTATCCACGCTGTCTGATTTGTTCCTGTATTGCCAATGTAATGTACGTTTCGATCTCGTTGCCGTCTGCACCTCAGTCAACCACAAGCCACCACAGCGCGTGCGCAGTCCCTGTGCAGCCGGGGCCGAAGCGGACGACGACAGAGCGCCAAAGGAGATACTGGGCGTCTTTGCGCCAGGCTTAGGGCGAGGAAGCAGAGTGGTCCCGTTCCCGTCTCGCCCATGGGCATTGGGCTCCACGCCTGCATATCCTTCCCAACCACCCGCGTTTGCGGCCTGCGCTACACACTGCTTCTCGGTCTCTCAGCTTAACTCCCCGCGCATCCCCCTTCCCTGACGCCTTAGATCTGGAGAACGCTCACGCGGCCGGTGGCCATCTCCGACGGAACTGCGAGACCCATGGCTAGCGATCCACTCATTGTCCCTACCATTGTCCCCGGTGGTTCGCTGCATTTTGCGACGATCAACGCCCAGGGCACCGTGCAGGACGTTCTCGATGCGCTCGTTTCGAACGAGGAGGTCATCTCAGAGGTACTCGGAGGTCTGGACCCGTACGGATGGGCCGTGCAGCGGATCAGACTTGAGCATCACGGCCGCCCTTGGGAGGAGGACGAACTCGAATCTCTTGGGAATGGTGAGTACATAGCAGAGAACGGATCTATGCCTCGAGTTACTGACATGAATCTTGTGCGCAGGCATACTCCCTCCTGCCACGGACGTCGCCCCGTTGCTAAATGCTCCATCTCTGACCGCCCGGTCTCAGCGACACTTCTCTGCATTCCCTCTCACATCTCATCTGCACACCCCCACACTACGCCTAGTGTCTCTCCATCCGTTCCTCTCCTTAACTTTGTCGTTCTTGCGCGTACCTGAGATCCACGACGGCTTCCTGTGGAAGCTCTTCATCTCCCGGGGAACGACTGTGCGCGTCGTTCTAGATGCGGTCATTGACGAACTCGGGCTCACGAAGACACTCCCCATTCCTGGAGGCGGCTCGTTGGAGTATGTCATCGAAGAAGTATGGTCAGACGGGCACTCGGAGAGTGAGTATACCGATTATCTCGTTCATACTGTTCCCATTACGGGCTGGATCATGAATATTCAACGTTCTTCTCCAGAGCCCGTTAGGCTACCCTTCGAAATCGAGCTCTCTCCCATCCTTGAGAACTCGTTTTCCCCAAATCCAATCGGTCGTAACGCAAGTCGCTCGTTCCGGTTCTGCGTCCCGGACGAGTGGTATCGACGATCCAAGTCACGCAGCGTCTCTCAGGCGTCGAATGTATCTCAAGACACGATAAGGAGACTCGCTGATTTGGAAGAGGAGGACGAAGACAATGAAGAGGGCGAAGAAGAGGACGAAGAGGGCGATGGTACGGCAAGGATACGTTCTCTCGATACACCACCGGCGTCGGAACCAGGAAGTGGTGGGTTCAAGGCTCCTATGGACTGGAGGAGTTCGATATCGCAGAACCGGTTCTCTAGCATATTGGACAGTTGGATGCGTCCTCAAAGCCCCACCAGTGAACGACCATCGACCCCCACGCAGGAGAAGAAGGTGGTTAGTGAACCTGTACTGGTGGAACAGCGCACCGGGGAGACTGCTCCCAGCAATGCCGGTATCGAGGTCGACGGTGTCGATCCTGAGGCGTTCGAGCAGATGCTGGTAGGCCGTTTCACCGCTTGTCCACGGTATCTTTGTTGACGCGGCTCAGGACGACATCGGACTCAAGGGACCAAAAAGAGAGGCGATGTACCGCTTACCGATGGAGCAGAAGCGCTATTTACTGCAGCAGAACCAAGCTTCGCGGGCAGGGACGATGACAAGGGCCGCTGCTGCGCGCACGAACAAGTCTCCGCAAGCTCCATCCACGTATGGTCCCGCGAGTGCTGCAGCGATGCTTCCCCGGCTTGTACCCCAGCTTACAGGCGACTCTGGCCTCATGAAACGCTTTTCCATCGCTGGATGGGGCGCTGGAGGGTCGTCTCAGCTGGAAACTCCTACCAGTCCTACTCAGCGATCCAGTGCTGACATGAGCCCAAATCGTCGAGACTCGATGGTTTCCATGGCCTCCACCAGGTCAACACCGGAGAAGAGGAGTCTGGAGACCGCATCCATGCAGCCCCAGGCCACTGGCGGTTTGTGGAACAGTTGGTGGGCGTCGTCTGGTGGTGCGAATGGTGCTCAAGCAAAGGAGACGGAGAAGACAGCAAACTGGTACGCGAATGGGATCCGCAATGGTCGCACCACGGACACAAAGCTCGTCAAGCATCTCATTTCTCTCCGGGTTCATCTGTCTACGGCCAACCTTGCTTGGATTGAAGATTTCGTCACTGCAGAGTCCGGCATGAATGTTCTTAGCGACATTTTGGCAAAACTCGTCAGCAAGGGAGGCAAACGGAAGAAACTCACCGAGGTCGAGGATACGGTGCTCATGGAAATCGTCAAGTGTTTGCGGGCACTGCTGAACACCGAGGTACGATTTAGACGCCTTTTGGGGACGCCGAGGTTGACCACAGATGTAGCCCGGTTTCCGTGAGGTCCTCGCACATCCCACACTTATTACTCATATTTCGTACTCCCTCCACGGTTCCTCTGCCAAATTGCGCACCCTCACTTCGGAAGTCCTCGCTGCGATTTGTGTTCTGTCCCTCAAGGAAGGCCATCGGGCCGTCCTCTCAGCCATGTCCGACTATCGGATTGAGTTCGAGGAAGCTTTCCGTTTCCAAGACCTCATCGCGTCCATGCGCTTGCTGGATATGTTAGACGAGGACGACCCACCCAGTGAAGGAGGATACGGTAACGAGGAGGAAGGCGTATGGGAAGCGCGAACAGCGTCTATGGCCCTCATCAACGCACTTACCAACTGCCCCGACTCACTGGAAGAACGCATTTTGCTCAGAGAAGAGTTCAGTCGAAGAGGTCTCAATGAGGTCATTGTGGTATGTCCTTACCACTTAGTATCTGCAGTCAATCTCCTGAACACACATCTCTACAGACGTTGCGATATATCAAGCCTCCAGAGTCATTGGTAACGCAGCTCGATGTCTACACCGAAGAGAAGTTTGAAGATGAAGAAGACATGCGAGAGCGTGCGCGTGACGTCATGTCAGAAGAACGACGCTCGCGTACGGAGTCTGGCGCTATCCTCGACGATCTCATGAAGACTGCCAAGGCACATGAGCACTTGTACCCAATGATGCTCGCTTTGTTGAAACGCTTTGGTGACATATTTGAACGGGACGTGGACAGGTGAGTTCTGGTTCTTCCTACCGTACCTTCCGCTCATAGCTTCTATGCAGGCAACTGAAGGCAGACCTATTCACCGTTCTCGATAAATTTGCTGAACAAGCAGCGACCCTGGAAGACTTGTTTGTGTCCTTGCTCTGTTATGCGATGCTATGCTCATTTTCCCGACATGTAGCGATGACCACTGGTGTGCATTCCTCAAACACTTCACCGACTCTGTCCAGTCTATCACAGGCCAAGTTGTGGACGTGAGGCTCGCCTCTGAGGCAGATCACTCTGTACTTCAAGATGAAATTGATCAACTTCGCGCGACAGTGGATCAGCTGAGTACAGAGGTACGTAGTGGTCCAACGAATATCCTAGGAAGTCCGTTAACCGTCGGATTACAGAGAATCGACCTTCGAAGCGAACTTGAGCAACAGACCGCAGAGCTCAATACGCTGAAGTCAATACCTCCTGTGTCAGCGTCGATCGGTCGTAAAGGCGGCGGTCGAGGAAACCCAGAGGTGAATATGCAAGAATACCATTATATCTTTGCTCTAACGTTCTGTGCAGTCAACACAGGGATTCCACGGTCTCGTTCAGCGCTTGGTCCAGAAGGAAAAACAAGTTCTTCAGCTCCAGAACGAGGTTGACCGTCTCCAGACGCAGAATCCTACCGAGACTCGCGAACAGGTATGCATTTTGCTCGAACCTAACATCCTTGTGCGACTCAATTGGGTTCAGGATGACCGAGCAAAGCGGGAACGTGACAGGGTTAAGTGGCATACTTTGAATGAAGAGATTGCCAACCTGAAGTCGCAGGCATGTCTCTGTGAGATTAACCTCCTTTTGTCAGCTAATGGCATACGTAGATTAATGATATGGAAACAACCATTGGGATCAAGAGCAAGGAGATCGTCTACCTCAAGCGTGCCCTTGAGTCAGTCTACTCCCGCTTCCAGTCACGGGAAGAGACCCGAGAGACAGACAATCGTGACGCGGAATTGGACGCGCAACTAATGGCCAGTCGTGCGATCGATAGTCTGACGCAGAAGGATGATGAAATTGTTGCTCTCCGAGTGGAAATTGAGTCCCTCAAGACCCAGCTGGCTGCGAAGCCGAAGTTCATTACAGAGAAAGATTTCAAGTCACAGGTCGCCCCTCCACCCCCGCCTCCTAACAAACCTCTCTCTCGTGCGAACAGCCTCGCAAATGGGAATGTACCTCCGCCTCCGCCTCCGCCCCCACCGCCCCCACCTCCAAGAGTTTCTACATCTCCTACAACGCCTACGGCTTCTACCGATGGTCCATCCATACTCCCACCCCCACCCCCGCCTCCGCCTCCGCCCCCGCCCCCTCCACCTGTGTCCTCCGGTCCTCCGCCCCCGCCCCCGCCTCCGCCTCCGCCTCCGCCTCCGCCTCCGCCTGTGCTTTCTGGTCCTCAGCCCCCGCCTCCACCCCCACCCCCGCCGCCTCCCGGAGGTTCGGGCGGGCCTCCTCCACCACCTCCACCTCCTCCAGTACCCGGGATGCCTCCACCCCCTCCCCGTCCTTCCGGTGGGGCGCCACCACCGCCGTCTGCGTGGAAAGCTGCTATCCCCAAGAAGCCTGGAAAGCGTCTCAAGCCGTTTTTCTGGAACAAACTCAACGCGCCTGCCCTTCCGGCCACTGTGTGGGGCGAGACCCCATCTGATTTCACACTTGACATGGAGGACCTCGAATCAACGTTCTCTATCGAGAGTTTGCCGTCAACGAGCTCCCAGATTAGCGCGTCGTCTCCCAAGAAGCAGAATGTGACTACACTGCTTGACATCACTCGCGCAAACCACGTTGGTTAGTTATTGATCTTCTTGCGAGTCTTCAGAAGTTACTGAGTTTCATTCCTAAGCGATCATGCTCTCGCGCATCAAGATCGGACTACCGGAGATCCGTAGGGCTCTGCTTGAGCTCAACGACCAGGTTCTTTCCGTAGATGACCTGCGCGCCATCAGCAAACAGCTACCTACCTCCGAAGAAGTTGTCCGGCTACAAGACTTCGGCGACGTCAGCAAGCTCGCCAAAGCGGATCAGTACTTTAGCCATATCATCACGTTGCCACGCTTGCCCGAGCGTTTGGAGTGCATGCTCTATCGCAGGAAACTGGAGCTGGAAGTCGAGGAGATTCGACCGGAGCTCAACATCGTGCACATGGCGGCAAAAGAGCTTCGGTCGTCGGCAAGGTTCCGGCGTGTCTTGCAGGCGAGTATGTTGCCAGTCGTCTGACACCTTGTACACTGACATTCGTTCAGGCTGTCCTCGCAGTTGGGAACGCTTTGAACGGCTCGACCTTCCGTGGAGGCGCTCGAGGTTTCCAACTGGAGGCTTTACTAAAGGTGTGTGTTACCTTTCTTTAGATTCAATTGTAATTCACTGATTTGCAACAGCTCAAGGAAACGAAGACGGTGAAGGCGACATCTGGCTGTCCCACTCTCCTTCATTACCTTGCCAAGGTTCTCCTGAAGAACGATCCTCAGCTGGTCACCTTCATCGAAGAGATGCCGCACGTTGAGGCTGCTGCTCGAGGTGAGCGTCTTGATACTTGAGCACCTAAGGGCGTCATTGTGATGATTTGCACAGTATCCGTCCAGATCATAACAGCTTCCGTCCAGGCTCTGGTTGGTGGACTCAAACTAGTTAGCGACGAGATCCGTCAGCTGCAGACGATCCGGACCCCTGAGGACCGCTTTGTGATCGTCATGCAGCCGTTTGTGCTGCAGATGACTCCCGTCGTTGATTCCTTGAAGAACATGGGTAAATCCCTGGACAACGACCTCCGCTCTCTTCTGGCATTCTTTGGAGAGTCTCCTGATTCCCCCGAAGCACCGAAACCCGATGATCTTTTTGGCCTCATCCTTTCGTTTTCCTCCGCCCTTCAGAAGGCTGGTCTGGAAGTGCACGACTCTATGCCCAAGGTAGCACCACCCTCTCTGGACATCACCGAAGAATCTCCCTCTCCAACCAACGAAGAAGGGGTAAGGTTACCTCAACGCTTATCAAACCGTTGCACTGACATCATTCACCAGACTGTCAAAGGCATCAGAGAGCCCAAAGATAAGAACAGCGACACTCTCCGGCCCGTTCCGAAGTCCCAAAGCCGCGCATCAGGACACTCCATCGGCCGAGGAGACCTCGATCAAGCTATCCGGAGCATGCGTTCTGGCCACAGACGGGATCGCAACCCTAATTCACGACCTCTCAGCAAGATTTTCGTCGACGGTGCTCGGGCGAGTCGCATCTACGACCAGTGAACGCTCTATCCATCCGGGTTCTTGTTATACACACCATGGACATGGGTTATTCGTTTGTATGCTTCATCTCCTGTAGCCGTTCCCTGTCTGTACGCATGCTATATCTATCGCCATCTGCCACGACACTAATGATCTATATACCTCACGCTCTCATACCTTTCCTCATCCCATAGTAATTGTGGGCATTCCTGATGTATCAGCTACTCTTCTATTGATTCAAGGGAGACACTTTGTCACATCTAGCTACGCAATCTAAGAACAGCTTGAAAAACCCGTCAACCTAGAGCGAGCAACGCAGGTCAACCACCAACGCGCATGTGAAACGCAGGACGGGATGCACTCGCCTCTAGCTTCTCCGCGACCATGCAGTTCTTGCCGTTGCGCCCCCACGAGTCGTCGCACTGGCGGTAGTTCCAGACGTCGACGACGGTCTCGCCCGCAGTGTGCGCGCCGGCGAGCTCGACATCAACCCGGTATCGGCGGCAGGCGAACAGCTCCGGACGGGCGACGTACGCGACCGTGAGCGCGTCGTGGAGCGGGGGGCCATCGACGAAGCCGAACGTGGACTTGTACGCGTCCGCGAAGAAGCCGATGAGTGTCGAGAGCATGTGCCGGAGCGGGGTCGACGCGCGGGGGAGCGTCGCGCCAGGCGCGGCGGGGCCGGGCGGCGCGACGATGCCGAAGGCGGGGGAGAGCAGGCGGGCGTGCACCGCGCGGGTGACGATCGCGGTGTGCGTCACGTTGAGCGGGATCATGGTCTTCTTGACGGGGGCGTCGAGGACGATTTGGGCGGCTTCGGCTAGATGAGCGTGAGGGTGAGGCGTAGAAGATGAGAGTGTACTGAGATGTGCGTACGGTCACAGAGGATGTTGAACTCTGCGGGCGAGGCGTCAGGATTTGACAGGCGATGCTTCGCAGATGAGCTTACCTGCTGCAGCCGACCGGTTTCCAATACCTACGCCTCCTCCCATGAACACGAATTCCTCTGTGATTCCTTAACAACCGCAACAGAAATGAAGCGGATGGTAAACATACCGATGCCATCCAGAAGCTCCGGGTATACGCTCACAAAGAGCCCTACATTCGTCATAGGACCTGAGGATATCATTGTAACCTTGTGCCCTTGGCCTTCCTTCCAAGTCTGGCGCACGGCATACGCCATGCCCTCCAAGGCGCGTATTGGCGCGCCGTGGTCGATGAGGCGTGTCTGCACGCCTGGATGCGAGGCATGTGGCAGACCCTCGACACCGCCGAGTCCGTCGATCCCGTGTATCTCGGGGTCGTGCCGTTCTGCTCGGATGAGCGGCTTGGTCGCGCCTGGGCAGACGCGAATATGGGAGGGGGCGGCGAAGGCGTATAGGCAACGGGCAGCGTTGTTGTTGGTATTTTCCGCGTTGGCGTTCCCGTGCACCTGCATATGTGCTCGTGTTGAAACGATGGTGCTTGTCTGTTATGGAGGGCCACGCACGGTGGACACTCCCAACAGGGTGATGCCGGGACATTGAATGGCGAGCAATATGGCCGTGGCATCATCGTGACCCTGTATTAAAAGTCAGATGGGATGTTGGAGCCACACATGAACTTACCGGGTCGCAATCCAGCCATATGTACTTCATCGCTCGCTGAACAGTTCGCCTGGCGACGATGGCGGAGCAAAGGACCTCGGCCACAGCGGGCGCGTGTCCTGCCCATATCTACCCGGATCGGGCCGGCGTCAGCGCCTGCCGAAGGCATTATCTCGCAAGGACCAACACTCTGACGAAAACCAACACCGCAATGTAAAGCGGGTGTGCCTACGTATTACAAGCCATGAATCACACCCGGACGAGCAGCGAACGGGTGGAATAACGCTGAGACACCGCAAGACTCTCCTATCCAACTCATTCACTGTTACCACGGATTGAACACTTTCCCTAGCTGCTGAACGTCAGCGATCCCTATGAATAAAACACTCGCTGAACGCAAGCACCTCGCCCTCTGGCCCAAGGCAATCCAACAACCATCATGTATCCTGGACGGAGACGATTTTACCCGTTTACTCCTCGAGCGCCCCGTCCTCGCGTGTGCAGCCGACGGAGTAGCGCGTGTTGGACGGACCGAGGGGCAGGTTGTGTCCGTGAACCGGGATTCACAGGGCTCAGATAACACCCTGACCAAGTCTTCGCTTTCGACCTCAAGGGGCTCGGTCCAGACGTGAATCTGAGTGACGGTGTTCTGAAATAATGTTTCCGCTTCGTTCGGAGAGTCGGAAAGATGACGACTTCCGGGCGCCTATATGTATTAAGTAAGCGGATTTTTGTGAAGAGCTACAAGCCGAGGACGCAAGTACTCAACGCACCAGTCGGCCATGGATCCCCACTCCCGCTTCTCCCACTTCAACTCTCGCCAGACGAGAACTGCCCCTGGTCCCTCCTCTTCTCGGTATATGGACCCTCGTCCAAAGCCGCGCATCAATCTCGAAGATCTACCTCCCAAGGCTTCCTCCAAGTTTCCCGCTTCACCCAAGACGTCCTCGTCCATCACTTCTCCATCCGCTCTCTACGCAGAGCGGCCAGTGGCTACGAACTCAAGGATAAAGCAAGGTCCGCTTTCCTGTTTCTTGTGTTTACCTTTCTTCTCATTCTAGTTTCAGACGAGCAATACCGTAAAGACATCCACCTTGCGTTCGTGAACAATGCTCTGCAGCTTAAAGCTCAGGTATGTGGTGTCATCTTTCCTCCCAACCATCCCAACCTTGATCTAACGTCATGTAGGGGCAAGGAGATGCGTTCGACGAGCTTGTCGATCAGTTCAACCCTCGCAAGATCGCTGCCATCAGACCGGATGCCCCTTCCCCCGCACCGCAGTTACGCCTATGGCTCATTGCCCTTTCGCATGTCATCTCTCGCATCGAACGCTCCCATCATGCGCTAGTTCAGTCCATCGTCAATATGCCTTGGACCACCATGGATACAACTTTCGTCCGCACATATACCAATTTCGTTGGTATGCTCTTGAGCGCCAGGCCGGAATATCTGTCGCTGGTGCTGGGAAGGATTGCGCAGAGTTTCACATACCGTACGTCATGCTGCTCATGTTTTCCATAGTCTCTAATGTGTGTGCAGAGTCCGGTTTGCAGGCAGTTGACACCGGCATGCCCGAGGGTTCTGCAAGACCGCTCACACGACGCGTCGTATATGACCGCGTACACTACCTCCTCCGTCACTTGACTTCGATTGTGCCCACATATCCGTCCACCCTTCAACCTTTACTCGCTCGCAATTTCCCCCACAAGCGACACAATCAAATCGCTCAAGTCACCTATATTCGCAATCTCCTCCGTGTAACCGACTACTGCCCGGAGATCGCCGACCGCATTCTAGCGTTGGTCATAGACCGCGCGATCCAGATAGACGTGAGTGGTGATGTACCTATGATTTTATGCTTTGCTTACGCGATTTGTAGGTTGAAATCCAGGTAGAGCTGGAGGAATTGGAGGAACAGCTAGAGTCTGAGGACCATGGCGAAATGTTCGACCTGGATCCTTTCGATACTGTTGTTGGTCAGGAGGGTGAGGAGAGCGATTCAGATGGAGAAGATAACGACGCGAACGAAGATGGTGACAACCTGAGCGACCTGTCCTCCGATGCTGGCGGAAGCCCTGATGATGATGAAGACGAAGCCGACGTAGAGACCGACTTCAAGCATATCCAGGGCATGGTGAACAAGCTGGATGCGATCCTGAAAGTGGTGTTCGACCACTTCAACAAGACGCACGCCGCGTCGGATCCTGCAGTGATCCCTCCAACCTCCCCACCTTCGCGCCTCGACTCGCCCCTCGCTCTCAATACCGACGTCGCCGCACTGCCTGCAATTTCGCCTGAAGAGGGCAAAGCCCGCCGACGGGCGCAGTTCCACACACTTCTTGCCATCTTCGACCGCACCATCCTCCGCACCTTCAAGTCCCGTTACACCCAATTCATCATCTTCTGGTACTCCTCCCTCGATCCAGAGTTCACGGACCTCTTCCAAGGTATGCTTGTCTCCAAGGCGCTCCTCGAGGAAGACCTGCCCCCCGTCACCCGCGCTGCTGCGGCCAGCTACATCGCCTCGTTCGTCTCTCGCGCCCAGTTTGTCGACCGTGAGGGCGCGCGTCGCGTCATCTCGGTGCTCTGTCTCTTCCTCCGCGCGCAGCTCGACGCGCTCGATGCCGCCGCCCAGCTCGGCTTCCCGTCCACCGCAGCGGCCGTCGCGCAGCACGGCGTGTTTTATGCCGCCGTGCAGGCCGTCTTCCTCATCTTCTGCTTCCGCTGGCGCGACCTGCTCGAGGAGCACTCGGAAGGCGAGGCGGACGCAGACGAGGAGGTGGACGAGTTCGCGGGCGCCGCCCGCCGCCCGCCTAAGAAGTGGATGGAGCACCTCGACGTCGTCCAGCGCGTCGTCACTTCGGAACTCAACCCGCTGAAGGTGTGTCCCGTTCCCTGCGCCTGTCCTCCGTTCGTCCCTGCCCCCTGTCCCCCATCTCACCCGTGCCCGCCTCCTCCCACCAGGTGTGCTCACCGAACGTCGTGATGCAGTTCGCGCGCGTCGCGCACGCGACCGGCTTCGTCTACTGCTACTCCATCCTCGACGCAAACCGCCGCTCGGACTACGCGCTCCCCGCGGCGACGGCCGCGGCCGCGCGGCCATCCAAGGCGCGCATCCACGCGCTCGAGCGCGCGATGACCTCGGAGCTCAACACGTTCTTCCCCTTCGACCCGTACAAGCTCCCGCGCTCGGGCGAGTATATCCAGGGCGTCTACCGCGAGTGGGCGTCGGTGGCCATCGACGACGATGACGATGACGAGGACGAGGACGAGGATGAAGAGGGAGAAGGCGTCACAGACGTGGAGGAGAGCGAGGAGCCAGCGGGTATCTTGGTCAACGGCGCACGGCAGGTGGAAGCGGATGGCACGGACGGGCTAGGGGAGTCGTTCGGCGGAATGAGCATCAGCCCTGCACGCCCTATGCCGCCTGTACAAAACTCGGTCGTCGTGGTATGACCAACTGTCCCATTGGCCACGTTTCTACGTCACATGTGTGTTATTAGGTGCTTTGTCGCTTTGTCGCCCTTGCTTTGAGAATCGATGTCTACGCTCTGGATCTATATCGCTTCAACGATCGCGTGCGTGTATTGTGGGTATCGAGAGTGTGTGCGACAACAGGGTGATATAGCGAGAAAACATGTTAAGACGGTATGCGATGCGCGCGAGCGTCCGTGCACATGCGAGTAAGTACGTATGTGTGTGTGCGAGCGGAACGCCGGATATTAGTACATTAAGACTATGGTTCTAGATGTAGTCAACGTTCTGCATCTCGCCGGCGGCGTCCAGAGCCTCGTCGAACGCCTCGTCCGGGACATCCTCCTCGTTCTCGCCCTCGTACCCGTCGTGGTCGTCCTCGTCGTCCTCGTCGCCGAACTCGATCTCGTCGTCTGAGCCGGGGTTCGAGCCCGGCAGCGACCCGGGCATGCTCGCGACGCTGCGGCGGCGCTCGCGGCGGCGGCGGGCCTTCTCGAGGTCATCGTCGCCTTCGTAGTCCGAGTCCTCAGAGTCGTGCAGCGTGGGCGAGCTAGAGCGCGGGGAGCCGACCGAGGACGAGGACGAGCCCGCAAACGTCGCCAGGGTGTTGCTGAGGCGCTCCAAGGAGGACATCTGGCGGAGGCGTGCCTCGTTCTCCTGCAGCGTCCCAGTGGCCTCGGTTGCGGGGGGCGGAAGCGCGAAGGACCGGGTGGGCTGTCGCGGGCCGACGAGACTGAAGTTGCGGAGGCGGGCGAGGGTGGACTGGTTGGAGGTGTCGGAGCGCGCGCTGAGCGCCGGGGAAGGGGGGGAGAGATCGGGAAGAGGGAAGTCCTGCATGGGGGGCTTCCAGTAGTTGAAGTCGGTGAACTCGGATACGAACTTCCGGTTGACGGGTGGGAACATCTGGTCGACGAGGTCGGTCATGTGGATATACGACGACTTGTAGCCGGCGAGCTCGAGAAGCTCCATCTTGACTTCACCCGTGGAGTCGATTGTGAATATGCGAGAGCTGGGGATGTTGACGCTTCGGTACGACAGTGCGTCGGTGATCCGGTTGCCAAAGCCAGCGTAGAACGGGTTATGGTTTGGTCCGCCAAACAGCTTCTGGATGTCCCTGAGACAGGCCATCTTGAAGACCTCTGGTTTCCGCATGATGACCTCTCTGTGAACAGCATCAGCAAGTAACAAGCCGATTTGTCTCGGATTCACTCGCCTATGAAGAGACGCCATCAGTCTGTCAGGACTCATAATGACTGGGCCTTCAGGCAGTTGGTAGTCATTCTGCTTGATACCCTTCAAGTAGTCTCGGGTGGAATCCGCTTGTCCAATGGCACGAGAAGTCAGATACATGATTTTGTATCCGTTGCGGCAGATGTCGGTGTAAAGCTTAGCAACACCGACGTGTGTCCAGTCACGACCAATCATCGTGAAGACGTGGCCCAAAGCGTCTGACCTACAAAGCTGACGATGAACACCGAGTCGCCTTAGAAGAGTACAGACACCCACTTGGTGATCGTGCCATCGATATCGGACACAACAACATGATCCGTGTGGTCCCACACAAACAGCCTGGCGGTACATGCTGCAACACCAGTTGACGATATGGAAAAGGTGATAGAGTTAGCACCGTGCTTGAGGTTCAGCGATTTCTGACACAGGCAAGCCACCAGTTAGGAGTGCTTGAATCCGGGTGAACAGTCTCAGCTCACCAGTTGGTCCGAGGTCAACCGAAGGGTCTTCGCAAACCTCTTTGGCTGCTCGAGATGGGTGGTGCCGAGTGAAGTTTTTGAAGCGTTGGTAGACACCAAAATGGGGAGAGGGGGTGCTGACGCAGACGTCGCAGTTCGATGCACGGACGTCCCCTTCGCTTGCTCCGCTTTCAGTTCCTGGTAGTCACCTTGAGCGTGTTGTATGCAGAACGACAGAGTAGAAGACATACCGCGCCACCTGACGGTTCTGAACTGGCGTGACTAAGCTCTGGTCGTGTACCCTCCGCGCGACGACTCCGGCTCCACCACCGAACCCAAGAAGACGACGTAGGTGTCCTAGTGACAGTCTCGTTGTTCAGCATCTTGCCAGTAGGAGTCGGTTTGGCGCGACGATTCCTTGGCTCGTCGCCATCTGATTTAACCGATTCATCTTCTGATAATGGTTGGGGAGACCCGGGTCGAGAGGATATTAAAGGCTGTTTATCCCGCAACGCCGATTCCCGCCAGGTGACCAGTGCATCCATGAGAGGGGATCCGTCTTGACGGCGAATATACCTGCCAGGCGTGATGTAAGTGGCGTTGAATGCCATGAGCTGAGCAGACAATACATACTGGTCACCTGCCCATCGGAGGACAAGATTTGGATCGGCGATGACAGTATCATCAAGCAGGAACTGGTGGAAGTCGATCTTGCTCTTCTCGAATCGCAGCTCATCGCTGACTTCGTCCTCACCACCTAATGGCCCTCCGTGAACGTTTCTCTCGTCCGACTCTTGCTGCGATGGTTCAGGTCCAGCCACCGCAAGCTCAAACTCGACTGTCCGACCCTCGATAAAGACCCTGTACCGGGTGGGATCCCTCTTGTCGACAGTCAACCGACCGCCAACTCCATACGAATTCACATCCTCTTCCTCCACGGCTCCTCGAAGAGAACTTGCAGCAACGCGAGTGCGAGCGTGATGGGCATCTGGCGTTTCAGACATTGTTCGACCCTTGCTTTTGCGTGCAGAAAGGTCCATCGAGGTTCCTGGGAAGTGGCCAGTTGGACCGAAGGTCGTGCGGATGGGAGTTTTTTGAGGAAAGTTCCCCCAATCCCAAGTGTACTCCTCAGTGTCTGACGCCTGTAAGGATGACAGTGACGGCAGGTGAGCGCGATCCGCTGCCGAGGGTGTGCGGGTCACGGAAGTCGACGCAGCATGACGAGAAGATGATACGGCGTCGTACTCGTCGAAATCGGGGGGCGGCTCCGAGGTTGCGCGAGGGAATGGCACCATTGACGAAGTTGCAGGTGGTGAGGGTGTTCCTAGACGTAGTTGTCTTCAGCGAACGTTCACCGGATACACTCATGCATACTCACTTGAAGGACCAGGTGTTCGATCTGCGCTTGAACCCGATGGCGAAGAGTCCTGCGGGCGAGAAGATCCCGAACGGATTGTCATGTCCGATGCATCTCGACCGTGGCTAGTCGAATGATACCCCTCCATATCGAAAACCACATCTGCCAGACACGACTCGCATCATACCACACAGAAAGAAGCGCATTGAACACGCACCATGAGTGTACCTGACTTCCGGCTCGTGAACTTGATTGAGATTTGGCAGGAACTCATCACCGTCGTCGGAACGCATCCCAGGAAACCGGATTCCGGCTGCGTGCTTCATACCGTCAATAATGGACTGGTCTCGTAGCTTGTCTGTTTCCGTGTTCCTCGTCTCACGAGCTACACCCATCATTGCCTTCCCCACCTCAGCGGTTCGTGCGATAAGAGACGGTCCATCGGAATCACCGTCTAATGTTTGTCGGGATGAGCTTGGACTACCAGAGTCGCCTTCCGGTTGTGCGTCGAGATCCAGAAAGTCCGGTTCTTGGCTACTTGCAGCAGAGTCCTTGACATCAGTACCAGCTCCGAAGCGGCCCGTGCCTTCGGGATGTGCATTTACTTCGCCCGGCTTGGTAGCTTGAAGGATAGGACTTGTAACGAGACTGTCCGGAATCTCCTCTTCTGTCTCGAAGACGAAGAAGGCTTCTCCTGCCTCTCCAATCTTCATGGAAAATGGGACGGGCTGTCCATTCACATATACATCCACCTGAGCGCAATGCACGTCAGTCGTGAGTGCATATGCAGACAGTGCATACACACCTTCTTGTCCTGTGGTCTCAACACCTGCCATTTTCCAAACCTGACGTGGAAAGGGGAGCATACGAGCTCTGTTTCCTCGTCTGTGAGTTGGCGGAGGCCATCATAGAGCGGATGTTCCGGGAGGTCCTTTGGTCTTCGGACAACGATGACGTCGATGGCGCCTGTCAGGGTAGAAGGGTTGATGTCCTTGTAGTACTGGTAGGGGGCGCTGATCGCGTTCACCGCGCCACGGAGGTAGTTCATGAAGGGAGACGGGAGGCTGGGGAGCGAGCGGCAGAGTCGCAGTCCTCTGGGGCACCCGCCGCCTCTCCAGGCACCCCAGCCAAATCCATCGGACGCTGGGCAGACGCTGCACACGTGATTCTACTCTCTGTGGCTTCCTTCCTCGAGCTCGACGTGACAGCATAGTGCTCGTCTTCTTCAGAACGGTGAGATTGAGGCCAGGAATTCACAGCTCAGTATCACAACAGGCCTAGGTGACACCGCCGCACAGGGCTTCAAATTCCCTCCTTTCAGGATCTCTGCCGCGTCTAGAATGGGAATCCCTGGATAACCATCTTGTTCCCATAGGCATGTGCAGCAATCAATGAGCGCGCATGACAAGCTTCTGTCCCATTAGGGTTCCTCGACCACGCCCTTGCCTCGCGCACTGCCCTCCTTGACCTCTCCTGCCTCCTTCCAATCGCTCCCTCTCGTCGTGAGTCTAGTTCTCAGTGCTCGATGCCACTCCTCCTCGCTGTAAGCTTACTCGATGTTTAGGACCTAAGCCCAGGCAGCGAAGATACACTCCCGATGGGGCCCGATCACGATGTCGGTGAGTCGCATCCCACTCGATGGCGAAGCAATGCCCATGAAGGGCCATAGAGATGACCGATGAAACTACGACCCGACGGGGGTCTCCAAAACGCAAGGGAACCTGGGGCACGATAGATCAGACGAACCCAAAACGTCTGCGATCGACTTCCGCTATTCCTTCTCTGGACAACATCTACACAACACCCGATACTCAGGGAGGTCCTTCCTACACAGAGCCCGATACTCAGGGAAGTCCTACCTACATCGTCGAAGATCCCAGCAATCTGGAAGAGTACGAGGAAAGCGAAGAGGCGGGCGAAATGGAGGAGCAAGACGACCAGGATGGGTCGGAGTCGGATGCGTTGAGTGCTTCAGAGGGCAGCTCCTCGCCTCGGTCTTCTCCGGCACCTTGCGAGGAGAAGAAACAACTCGTCAACGGTCAAGACCGCTACGCGCATGAGGGCTCTGTCACCGCCCTTGTATACTCTCCCGACGGCCGTTGGGCAGCCTCGGGAGGGGACGATGGCCGAATCGCCGTCTGGCATGTCCCTAATGGGACAATGATAACCCATTTAACATCTCACGAAGACATCATCTCCGCTTTGGTCTTTTCGACCGACAGTCGCTTGCTCGTCTCCGGTGCGCAGCTTCCCTCGATCATTATCTGGGAGGTCGGAACCTGGGCCGAGCTGGTGCACATAACCCCTCAGGCGGCCGCTCAGTGTCTGGCGTTTTCCCCCGACCCCGAACGGTCACTGCTGATTGCGGGAAACTCAAACGGAGAACTGGAGACATGGGACGCTCGCCCGGACCAGGGCTTCGCACCGGTTCATTGTCTCAAAAGCAATGCGGCCCCGATCATCCTCATGGAATTCTCTGTGGACGGGACTCGGATGGTCACTGGCGGCATGGAGCGCAACTGCGTCGTTTGGGACGTCGCGACTCTCATGCCGCCTCCGCCCCTCCCGCCCAAGGCCCCTACCCCACCGGCCGAGGTCTCCCCCGCGCGCATCGCAGACACTCCGCCGCTCATTAAAGGGGACTCAGTCGAGGATGCCACGTCTCCGATGGAAATCGAGCCCACGAGCCCACCCCCTCAGGCCCCCGCGTTCAGGACTCCGTACGAACCCATCGATCGCGCCCGCATCGCTCCCGTTGCATCCTGGCCAGTCGGCGACAATGGCTTCGTCTACAACGCGTCGCTTTCCCCCGACGGCGCCCGCATCGCACTCGCCTACGAGGACGGCGGGGTACAGATCTGGGACTGCGCCCCGGAGGCGCCGACCCGGCTGCTCACCGTCTGCGAGGGGCGCACGGGGCAGCCGGACGTCGTCTGGACGCTCGCGTTCTCCCCGGACGGCAGCCTACTCGCGACGGGGGCGGATAGCAGCGCCGTCGCGGTCTTCGACTCGTTCTCGGGGATGCGCAGGTACGACCTCGGCGGGCACAAGGGCGCGATCAACGTCGTGAACTGGGCGCCCGACGGACGGCACCTCGTCACCGCAGGGGCGGACAGCACGGCGCAGGTGTGGAGCATGGGCGATGGGGAGATGGTGCTGAAGTGCAACGAGCACGATGACGACGTGACCCACACGGTGTGGTCCCCGGACGGAATCACGATCGCCTCTGGCTCGTTGGATGGGGAGGTGCGCATTCGGCAATTCGTAGCACATAGGTAAGGCGACGTCGGACGAGCTTGGTTGCTGCGCGAACAGTACCCTCTATGTATCTGGCCTGTTTCTCCGTTATGTTGAACGTCTACGGACTGTATGATTGTGGCCTGTGCTAAGACATCCGTTCATGAATATCCCATATGTACTTCGTGGTCCATAATCCTATTCTTGCGGTTCGTTGATTGACTTGGATGTGCGAATTGCGCCCACGATGGAGATGCAGTGGCAAAGATACGTTACCTGCGTACTACAATTCCGAACAGCCTCATGCCCTAACGTGAACACAAACTCTGTGGTGTTAAGAACGATTTGCTGCAAACGAGCCTACGAGCAGAAGCCGCACAGAGGCAAGGGAAGATAGAGCGAAAGCATAGAGACATTTCCCGGTGATAAATTGCGAGAGCGAGAGCGTAGGTACAGCAGATACATGTCAAGCTCAATGAGCGTGCTCTGCGTTGTACTTCTCGTGGTCGAAGATGGGGCCGAGCGGGGGCTGTCGAACAAATTACGATGAGGGCTGAAAGCAGATGCACAGAATATACAACGTACAGGCAAGTTTCGCTCCCTGTGAGCCAGTTAGTCGAGTGCAGTAACGCGAAGACCAGGGAAACGCACCATTTAGTACCATCGGGTGCCGTGGAGGCTTTGACATGCACAGATTAACGGAGTAGCATAGTTGGGAGCAGTCTCCACTCACGACGGTATGGGTCAGGGTGCTTGCGCTCCTCGTAGTCCGCCTCTGCTTTGGCGAGAATGGCAGCAAGTGCACGAGGATCACGCACATTCCTACATAGCACATATCAGAGGGGGGGACACGGCATGGTTCCAAAGCAGAGAGTGCAATGTTGCCCATGAAAACAAGGTCTGAATAAGGATTGGATGGAGCACGCACCTGTTCGCATCGAACTCCGCCCGAATGGAGAGCGCCCTGGCTCTCCAGATATCCCGCTGCACAATCCAGTTCAGCTCATTCTTGAGGATACGTCGATAGAGGCCCTTGACGTAGGATTGGTGCGCCACGGTGAACGGCGTTGGAAGGGACATGGTGGTGGGGTTGGAGGCTCCGTGAGCTGCCGACGTTGCGGCGGACTGGCGCTTGTCGGTGTTCACACTGTGACTTGCCGTTACAGTCACAGCAGATGCATCACAGAGGACGCGGCCACGTGACGGCCACGACTTGTTTGGGCGCCTTTCTGACGCGCCTGGCGGTTATTTGCTTGTGTGGGCGTACCTTTGGACAGCCTGCCGACTCAGGATATTTACCACGGTTCGAAAGGCGGGAAGAGGACCGCGACGACCTTTTGGCAGCCTTCGTTCCTCTCCTCACGACCGCGACTTGTTCCCCGCTCGACGGTTCAACGAAGGCCCTACGCCAACGCGCTCAACGCACACGACATTCCCTCAAGACCCTCAAGACCCGGACAAGACTAACGCCAACATGTTCCCCCTCATCCCAACACTCGTCCTCGCATTCATCTCCTTCCTCAGCTCAGCGTTCGTCATTCTTCGCATTATCATCCCCATCCTTCCACCCCACCCCCTTAGCCGTCGAGTTCGCCCTGTGAGTACCCTCCTGTAGTGCGCCGTCCTCGCAAGCACTGATGTTCGACTCTCGCAGTCCGAATTTGGTCTTCCTAACTATCGGTCAATTTCCCCCGCAGATAAGAGCCACCTCTGGCTCGCTTGTTGCGACCTCCTCGCCCTTATCATTTTCACATGGCAGGCGGTCAACGAGTTCCTCGGCGGTCCAGGTGGTTACGCTCTCGTCAGTGATCCCAGCGCCGCCGCCAGGATTTGGTTCGCCGCGACGCTCAGGCAGACCTGCCTCCTGATCATCTCGGGCCTAACCCTCCTCCACGTCCGTATGGGTCGTTCCGTGTCCTTCGGCAACAAGCACTGGATGCTCTGGGCTCCTACCCTCGTCCTCATCATCACCTCCACTGCTATGGCAGGTGTGTTCGCCGCGACCAGTGTCCACACTTTCTTCGGAGGCCTCGTTGCCTACTCTGCCGTCGTCGCGCTCCTCAGCACCCTAGCCTTCAGCTGCCTGGTCGGCACGCTCGTTATCATCAAGCGCAACCTCGCTGCCCTTGACGACATTCGCCACCCGTGGCCCCCCGCCAAGGCCGTACAGATGGAAGAGAAGCCCCGCCCGAGTTTCGCGGTCGAGGATGTCGACGTCCTTAAGGACGGTTCATCGTGGATCACTTCCCGCGCCAGCTCCCGCGCCGAGAGCATTTCTGCGTTCTCCTTCTCTACGCACCACTCTCGCGTGCCGTCCAACGCCAGCGCGCGGATGCTCCCTCATCCTGCGACCGCGTCGTTCCCCTCGCTTGCGCCCAAGTCCTCGTTCTGGTTCAACCCTGCCTCACCGTTTGGTTCCCAAGAGACGGTGCCCCCTGTGCCTCCCCTTCCTGCTCCTTACCGTCCTTCGTCCACAACGTCGGCGCATATCAACAGCGATCCCGACCCGTTCAAGCGTCAGGCTCCCCGTAACGGCTCGCAGTCGTCTTGGCTCACGGAGCCCTCTCAATACCAGCCTACTCTATCCAACTGGTCGTTCCCTGCCACGCAGCCCCCTTCGCCCCCTCCGACAGCCGCTTCGTTGCCTGCTTTGGGCACCGACATGCTCCCTTCTACCGCTGTCTCCCGACCCATGACTCCTGCCATGGCCAGCGCTGAGGTGCTCGGAGGTTACGGATATACTCCTGAGGGCGCCGAGGCCGAGAAGGGTTTAAACAGCTTCTCCTCCACGGCCTCCAACGATCTCGATATGAGCATCTTCCGTACCGCCGGTTGGATGGTCTTGATTTGGGTCCCCCAGGTGAGTTGCACTTCATTGCAAACGGTTCTATGATTGCTTATGCACGTCGCCCAGGGTCTCGCGTTGCCTTTCATGTTCATGGCCTCGCCTTCCAGCCCTATGAGTACTGTCGGTTCCATCCTGTTCCTGCTGTCGGTTACCCTCTCTTCGCCGCTCCTCGCCGTCAACCTACTCTTCCGCTCGCCCATCCCGATCCCGTCTGAGCTTTTCGAGAGCTACAGCGAGCCTCCTTCTGCAGTCCTCCGTGCACCGTCCCCCCAGAGCACCGTTGCGTCTGCCTACAAGTATTCGCACGAGTACAAGCGCAGCGGCAGCGTCACCGTCGTTGAGTCTCGCCGTAGCACGGATGTCTGGCTCACTAACGGCGATGCCGTCGACGGCAGGGGCAAGATTGGTCGGGCTCTCGGACTCTTGCAAGCGAAGCCCAAGCTCGCCGTCCTCCCTTCCGAAGGCGAAAAAGTGCAATACCAGGAACCCCTTACGCCTCCTCTCCCGATCCAGGATGTTTGCGACCGTTCGCTTCCGCCGACCCCTGCGCAGAGCGTTCGCAGTGAAGAGTTTGGCAGGACTCCCGGCCGAAGCCGCAAACACAGCAAGGCTTCCTCTTACTACTCTGGTGCATCTGAAAGCCAGGTTTTCCAAACGCAGATCCTCATTGCCCAGCGCCACTACTCCGCCGTTGCACAGATGGTTGCTGTACCACCTTCCCCCACTGGTCTAACTCACGAAGCCGGTCAGGACACTAGGGCTACTGCTGCTACAGGTGTTGAGTCCAAGCGCACTTCGCGTCACTCGCACCTTCGGGTCCGCTCCGTGTCGTCCGTCACCGGTGGTAGCAGTGTGGACTCGCGCTTCCCCGTGAGCCCTCCTCCCGCGTCGCCTCTTCCGCCCACGCCTCCCTCCGTACGCGAGCGCAAGGCGCGCATGATGGCCCATCGCAAGACCCACTCGCAATCGTCATCTTCGGCCGGTTTCTCGTTTGGCCCCGTTGCTGGTGACGACATGGCGGAGATTGACGCGCTCTCGGCGAAGGTCCTTCCGCTCCTCGTTCCTGGGCTCAAGGTCGGCAATGACATCCGCGTGCGTGACGACTGGGAGTTCAGCCTGTCGTTCCGCAACCAGCACCACGCTTCGAACACTGGCACCGTCAAGAGTTCCAAGACCGTCCCGGCTGAACTTGGCGGATATTCCACGGACTTCTCTTCCCCCGTCGGGCACTCCACTCCTGCTGAGCAACCCAAGGCTGCCACGACCCGCGACCGCAAGGTGTCCGGCCATCGTCGCAACCACTTTAGCCTTCCCAGGTAAGTTTCAAAACATGCGTGATCTTGTCCGTTGGGCTAATTTAATTGCAGCCTCAGCCTCGGCAAGGATGGCATTCACGCTCTCTCGACCTGGAGGAATGACCTCAACCGCGCTCTGGAGACGAGGCTCGGACAGTTTGGTAACGGCAGCAACAGCGACCGTCGCAACACCGTCTATGGCTTCGAGGGCGAGCTCGTCCCCAACTCTGCCTCGCACCTCAATGTTGTCACTGAAGACGACGAGCTCCTCCGTCCTGCCTCGCCGATGACCGCCAACTCCGATCGACCTGTCTCCGCCCAGACCTTCGGCCACGATGCGCTTCCTCTCCCGTCCACCGAGGGCCCCTACGCCACGTCGACCAAGGCCTCCTCGCGCCAGTCCCGCAACTCCCTCGCGACGCTCATCAACGCTCTCGACCAGGAGCTCCGCATGCCGCTGCCCCCTCCCTCCGCCGCGTCCGAGGTGACGCTCTTCGACTTCGAGAACGGCCAGCCCTTCGACTTCGCGCCCGACAACGACGGCCCGCTCGCGTCGAGCACCCCACACGAGTCGCAGCGCACGCAGGCCAAGTCCAAGAGCCGCGCGCCGCCCGTGCCGAAGCTCCGCGAGATCGACACCGTCAAGGCCGCGCGCCGTTCAAGCATCCGCTACATCGTCTCCGACGAGAACGCGGCGCCCGCGTCGCCCCGTGTCGAGGTTGCCCGCTCCGAGTCGAGCGGGTCCGCGAAGAGCGTGGTCGCGCAGTGGGGCGCGCGCGCGATCCGTCCGCTCGTGCCCAAGTCGCCGAAGAAGGGAAAGAAGAAGGCGACGACGAAGATCGCGTCCCCGCCCGGCGGTGGCCTGCGCCCGCTTTCCCTGCTGCAGGACCGCGACGTGAACCAGGAGCGTGCCACAAAGCCGCTGAGCGTCGGGAAAAAGAGCAAGAACGGCGCAGACGAGAACGCGGACCCGTCGGGCGGCATTCAATCTATGGTCAAGGCTGGCTTCAAGCCGCTCAAGCTCTCGCGCTCTGAGACGACGAAGGAGCGCGCTATGCTCCGCCACAAGGAGGTCGTCCCCGATGTTGTCATCCGCCCTCCCTCCGAGGTTGACCGCGACGTCCTGCGTTACGGCTGGTGAAATCTTGAAGCCATCACGAACGGGGATCCGCATGGACACAAGTTCACGCCGAACTCTTCTGAAAAGGCACTGATTGCTTTGAATCCTCGAATTGCTGATTTTGTACGCTTTCCTACCACCGCTCCAGTCTGTCCCCCTCTGTCTTGAGAATGCTCATGCTACTGAACATTCCACCCTATGCCCTATGCCCCCTTTCCTCTCTGACTCTGCTGTCTCTATGTTCTACTGCTACATACGTCTCGTCTGCACGCTGTCCCATACGTACCAACATTGTTTCAGGCTCTCACGTCGCACGCTAGATACGTCGTCGCATTGCTCTCGCTCTCGATTACGTCCCAACGCTCTCACACGATTCTCGCACTGCTTTCCCGTACGCTACGCGTACTCGCCTAGTCGCGTTTTGTAGCTCTCCACGTCTGTCGTCTCGCTCTACTGCTGTCCGTCTGATGCTGCCGCGTCAGTTCATGTATATACCCCTCGTTCGTCCTCAGCACTCGCATAGCTAGTCTACTCGCGCTTTCTGACGCTTAGCATTACGCTTCTGCTCTCTCGCCAGCCTAGCGAGCTAGCACGCTGTCGTGTTACATATGCATCGCTTTTGAATCAAACATTGCTTTCGCTCTCACTGCCATCGTTCGTCGCAGCATCATTTGCGAATCGTTCAAAACGTGTTCGGGCTCGAAGAATGCCGCAGTAATGGCACGAGGTGATCGCAAGCTTCCCGGGTCAACTTGGCGTGCGCCAACTATACAGAGCAGGTGTGTAAGAATGTTCGAACGACCAAAACACTGTGAATCAAGATCCAGGGCCAAAAATTCCGATCCATGCCACCGGGGTGGGGTTCCCCTCCTTGGGTTTTGTTTGGCCGCAGTATGCGATGAGGTGCTTCGACGAGTGCCAGGTGACTGTCGCCACGGGGCCCAGCGTCGGGACACGGTGCAGCGGCATGCCGGTCTCCACCTCGCACTGCGCAACGTAACCACCATCTGATCAGGGCGCCGCACCACGCACACGAGCCGCCACGGGCCACTCACGATGTCGATGTAGTTCCCCTGGTTCGCGATCGCGATGAACTCGCCGTCGTGCGAGAAGCTGAGCGCGTTGATGCCGTGGCTGCGGGCGGGACCGGGGCGTCAGTGCGTTGAGTGCGTGGCGCGGGCTCGGGCGGGAGCGCACGCACTTGCAGACCGCGATCGTGCGCGCGCATATCCACGAGGAGACGTCAAACAAATTTACGATGGAGTCGTTGCCCCCGGACGCGAGGTACCTGGGCAGTCGGCAGTGTTAGGGCTCCGGCCTGGGGAAGGAAACAGACGCGCTCGCCTTCCGCGTGGGTCCAGGGCCGCGGCGGTCACGCCCTGCACATGGGCGGGCATGACGTGCAGGTTGTTCAGGCTCGGGTATTCCACGATGCGCACTTGTTGCTCCGCGTGTTGTGTCAGCACGAGCGCGTCGCCGGCGAAGTTGAATAGTGCGGTGGTGGCGGTCGACTGCGGCCTCTGAGGCGGGTGTTTCGTATGAAAAATTTGGCATGACTGACTCAGAAATGACATTACCTTGGTGTCAGGGTTGACAAACTCGTACCAAGCGTCTTTTGCACCCTCTCCTTGACTCCCAAACCGCAAAATCCCTATTTGTCTTGTGGTGGAACAGTACAAGATAGACTTCCCATCAGGCGCGTAGATGACTTGCGCAGGTGGGACCTTGAGCTGTATCGACTGCACAGACCGACTTTCTGCGCTCACAAGATGTCACACGCCTCATCCGGGGGGAGGACCGAAGTACTCACGTCGACCATCCCAGAACACGATCCTCCTATCCTTCTGACTGGATGTACAGAACAGCTCTGGGTGCACGGGACTCCATGCAATATAGTCGATGTCGTCGCTGTGACCGCCAGTGAAGTTGGTCGAGGTTCGTTGTTCGAGCTGTTCTCGTCCGTCAGCACGGGACGGTTCGCGCCAGAGCGGCGCATACACCCACACTCTTGTCGGACTGCCACACTCGCGCAATCTTGTCGATGCCCACAGCGCCGAGCTTTCTACCGTCGCAGCTCCAGGCGACATGGCTCATAGGCTGGAGCGTTGTGGCCCGGAAGAACTCGCGAGGCCGGAATGCGGAGAAGTTGGGGGCCTACGGCAATGCGTCCATTATCTCCCATTCGACGTTCAGCAAGACAGTGCGCGGCCAGGGGGCGTTCGTACATGGAGTCCTCGTACAGCGAGAGTGGTGTGCGGTGCGGGTGATGGCGGCCGCTCCGGGGGTGGAATCTCTTCCTCCTCCTCCTTCTTTGAGGTGGCTTGCGAATGTGACATTGAAGGGTCTTTCCGTCAACTGAACAGACGGAAGGAATGAGGAGCAGGAGAGCGACGGTAGCGGTAGCAGAAAGACGCGCTTCGGACGCGTCGCGCGGCGTCGAACCGGCGTGCTCCCCGCCGCTTGTGGCAACTCTCCTGGGCGCTGTTCCGTGAAAGTCGGAGAAAGCCGTCTTGTAATTTATTGGTTCATCTAACCATCATTCACGGCGAACGTCGTCCTGTCAAGCCTGGTCGCATCTCTTGGCCTGGATCAGGATGATATATCCGAAGGCCCGCGCCCAAACATGGAATGATAATTCGTAAAACCAGGGGTCATTCTATGTATCGTGACATGAGTCAGTGAATCAGTCAACCGTCCGTCCCAGTCGCAAGCGGCAGCAGTGGTTGACCCGTCCTCCGACTCCCGCCCCCCGCCCCTTCTGCTGCCACCCCTCGCGACCCTCCCGCATCATGCCCATCGGATCGTCTCTTTACTCTCGATGAGTTGGAGGCGCGGCGCGTCGAAACTGTTTCGGCCGTCCCCCACCGGTGATACCGCCGCGGACGCAACGCCAAGCGTGATTGCGGCAGGGTGAACGTCGTCGGTCCCCTCCACCGCCTGGCGCTCTGCGACGCGCTGCCATTGCCGTGCGGCCCGGGCCATTGCGTTCTCGGGTCCCTCCAAGCGGGCCTCCTCCCCCACCACGACAGATCGCCGGTTCGGACGAGGCGGTGGCAGTCCCGGCGCAGGGGCTCGTGCGTCGAAGCCGCGTTCGGGCTCAATTGAGGCCGACATTTCCCCGGAGCTCGCCGCATGAAGGTTGAGTTGCGTGATATAGGGGCCTTCGGAAAGATCGCGGGATCGGTTTGAATGCCCGTACCCGCCCGCTTGAAACGGCAGGGTTACGGGTCCGATGCGCTCCTTCGGGATGAAAGACTCGGAAGAGGATGCGAAGCTGAGCGGCTCGATGTCGTCCTTGCCGCCATACGGATGCAGGTCCCGATCAGCAAGGAGGTCTATGCGGTACGCGTTTCTTTGCATGACGCGTTGCCTGTGGTGGCGTAGTGTCAGATACACGGTGACCGCAGGGGCCGCCACTAAAACGAGGCCACCGAAAACTCCAATGAGGACGAGGACGACCAGGTTCGAGCTAGCGGGTGGCTGTGAGGCATGGGGGTCTTCGGAGACAGAGTCGGCCGCCCCCACAAGAGAGACTACTGGGGGCGCAGCATCTGCATCTGCTCTTTTCGAGAAGTCTTCGGAGCGGGTGCTGCAAACCGATGAGTAGGTAAAATCCGTACAAGTCGGAAGTCACATACCAATGCACTTTGCAGTCGATTGTTCCAGTTTGGTCATAGCACCTGATGCCCAGCGCATGGTTCCCACTAGGTGCGGAATCCCTACGGATGGCTATGTTGTCTTGAAGCTTCGTTTGATCTTTTAGCGGAGCGATGTCGGTCGAGGCAGTGGTTTCCGTGGCGAAAATGTGGGGATCGTGACCGCTGTTACTTTCAGGTTTGACGCAAAGGATCTTAATTTCTGCTCCACCAACGTGTCGTGAGTGTCCTACCATGCGGGGCTTCAATTAAGTGACACTCACCAGGAATTTTGTAATAGCGCACATTGGCGAAAGAACGGGTTCTGGAGAAGGCGAGGTGGGGAATATTACAGGTGGAGATGCCTTTAGTGATGGCCGCGACAGAGAGAAGGAGAAGCAGTGTACCAGGAACGACAAACCAGCCGTGCCTGGGCGTGGACGGTCGGAGAGGCGTCATACCGCTCACGCGTACTGGGACCTGAGACTCGGAGGGGGGGCAGAGAAGGCCGGGGGCAAAGTGTGCGCTCGATATGAGGGATACAAAAGTCGAAGGCGGTACCTGCTCTTGGCAAGCAACGGACAGACGTCAATCGAGAGTCAGGTCGATTGAGCGATCGAACGACAGCCACGTACAACTGACAGAGTCTAGGCCCCTCCGGTGTCAAGTAAAGGCGCCTATATACGGACATTACATTTCCGAAGAGCATGCAACTCGACCGCTCCTCATAAGCGCGATGCGGCAGCGAGAAAACTCAAAAAGCTAATATCAGCGCAGGACTGAGTAGCTGTGGGGAAGATCGGCGGAACCGAGAGACTAGGCGAATATCCCAAGAATATTCAAAACTTACAAAAACTCCGGAGGGATGTCGTCGGCCTCTCCTCAATATACGTTGGAAATGATGTCACTTGTGTGATGTCTGGGATAATAAATGAGATATGTTTTGTGCCCAGCGGACCAGTACCCTGGACACGCACCTTAAATGTCGGTCCCTTGCAGGTGCCGACAGAGCGACCTCAGCCAGATGTGATCACCCTGATAATGTGAGAGTCCGGAGAGGGTACTCCCGGTTTTTGTGGGCTAAAGCAGCGAATCGTCAGCGGATGGCCCTAAGGAAAGAACATTCCAACAGGTTCTCAGTATATCTCTGCTGCAGAGGTTTGGGACATACTTACAATCCAGCACGCCCGCATTCGACCCCATATCTCCCATCGAAAATGGTATTGCCTGTCGATTCGATAGCCACAGTAGGCTTGGCATCCCAGAGGGTCTTCGTTGTGTTGAATTCGCGTAAACCCCTGCGTTCCTGTGCTAAGGGCAGTATACGAGATGCCGCGACTAGAGAAGGTCCATGCACGTACCTAGGCCAAGGCGAGACTATATGTCGACGGCACAAGTTATTTCGCCCGCTCCGAGAGCGCGAACCGTCGCCCTAGTGCGGAAATTTGTGCAGCCCAAAAATCAAATGTGATTGTCGCGGGGCCCGTGAAGATGCAGGTGTGCTTCAACCGGCGATCAAACCACCGGAACGGATGGCTGGCCCGGGGTGGTGTTCTCGTCCTAGAAGCCGACAACAGAACCTCGTGCGGGAGTAAACGGGCCACGTCTTTTCCCCTGGGATGCTGGAAGCTCATTGAAGCTCACCTCGAACCGTCCCGTCGGCGCCTATGTTCGTTTGGGCTTCCATACAAACTGCACGAAGCTGACAAGCTCGAGACATTCAGGACTTTCCAAGACATCGAGCTGCGCGCCTGTCGGAGGGTTGTGTGAAAAGATTTGGATCAGCGTGAAACTCACGAGAAGCCGAAGTGTGGAGCGTACGCATCGAGACTAGAGCCAGGCGTGAGACATGTTCAACGAGCCGTGACATAGGGCGCACGCGAGTCGGGGATCACGCCTGCGCACATCTCGGTCGGGACCAGGCGGCAACTGCGTCCGGCGTGCACCGCAGATGTGCGATGCTCCGTGAACACATGAAGCTTGTGGCAACCCCATCGGGCGACGCATCTGAGACGGGAGCAGTCTGGACCTGGGATGGGGCAAGTAAGCACTCCCGGACTACAACGGACAGCCTGAAAACGCGTTTAGCCGTGGCAGCCGACGCTGGCGAGATCGGAGATTGAAGGCATGTGCCCGGGTGGGGTGACTCGGATGGGAGAGATTTGAAGCCCGACGCCGGAGATGGGGTCGGGCTGGGCGGCGCCCTGCGCGCCGGCTTTTGCCCGTCCGCGACAAATTCCGAGTCGCAGAGCACAGGTTCAGCCGCGGGGAGGGGCCCGCGTCCGACGCCGGACGACTGCGCGCCGGCCGGTCCAGACAGGGATGCGGAGCGGGCGCGGCAGCGCTGCAAGCAGCAGGGGCGGACGAGCGAGGGCAGCACACACGGCAGTGCACCGGAGTGAGACACGCGAGGCGAGCGCGCCCGACGTCTCGCGATCCCCGATTCCTCTTCCCGTCCAGGCGCGCGCCTCACCTGAGTTGCCGCGACAGTACACATCTCGCACCGCACGCTGGAAATCTACCCGTCTGATTGCGCCGACCTTTCTTCGGTCTTCCAATCTCCCGGCGTGGAAAAGCGCCGTATGTCATCCAGCCATATAACCAATCCCATTCCCTCCACCCAGACCACACAAACCTCCCCATCATGGACCCCACAAATCCCGCAAGCTTCAACCACCGCACCGAGCTCCTCTCCACCGGGCGCACCTACCATTTCGTGGACCAGCTCCCGGCCAACTATGACCCAGCCTCGACCATCACCCTGCTCTGTCTCCATGGTTTCCCTGACCTCTGGTGAGCACATCGCGGCGAATGCGCGACGCATAGCTTACCGGTTGGCGGTGCCTTCTAGGTATGGATGGCGCTACCTGATCAAGCCTTGGGTTAAGGCAGGCTATCGTGTCGTTGCGCCCGATCAACTCGGCTATGGAGGCTCGGACAAGCCAGAGCACGAGTCGGAGTATACGCCCAAGAAGATCGCGAACGACCATGCTGCCCTCCTCGACCTGCTCTGTATCCCCAAGGCAGTAAGTGCATCGTCAACCGTTTGTCATACGGCGTGGTACTTACCGCCGTTGTGTCCGCGCGTCCTCCACAGGTCGTGATTGGCCACGATTGGGGAAGCGTCATGGCATCGCGCCTGGCGCTCTGGCATCCAAATAGGTTGCTGGCACTGGTAATGTGAATACAAAGCGTTACAGTCGCTGTCATCGTTATGGTCTTACGCATACCTCTAGAATGTCGGTGCCATTCATTCCTCCGTCGAGACAGTACGTGTCTCTGGATCAGACTGTGGAGAAATACCCCAATTGGGGCTATCATCTCATGTTCCGAGAGCGGAGTACCAACGGCTTGGTGGAAGGAAGGGTAAGCCAGATTGAACTTCAAGTCCAACTTCATCGCTGATGCACCATTGGGGTCCTAGCTCTCTCAATTCTTCAAGCTGCTCTTTCGCAGCAAGAACGGCGACAGCAAACTAAAGGGCTGGACACTGCCTGGCGGCCTCCCTGACGTGCTGGCGACCTATGACTTTGGCGAAGACACTGGTTTCCTGACGCAGCAGGTGAGACAGCCGCGTGTATGCATCGGAGAACACGCTGCTAACCTGATTTAGGAACACAACTACTACCTCTCGCAGTATGAAAGGAGCATGAACGGTCCCTTCAACTATTATCGCACGTGGAGGCTGCGTTGGCAGGAAGAGCTAGGTAAGTGCATGTCGTTTCGTTGAACATTCGCACGCAGCTCAACTACGTTGGCCAGATGAAGCGATGCTTCGAGTTCCCCCACCAGACCTCCCGATCTTGTTGATCATCGGCGCATCGGACCCTACGTCGAACCAAGCGATTATAGGGTTCAACAAGCAACTGATGCCCCACATGCAGGTCGAACTCATCGAGCGCGTGGGGCACTGGGTTATGGTGCAGAGCAAGGACTTCATCGCAGCGGCGATTCCTCGGTTTTTGTCTGCCTCGAAACTCCGAGACCTATCGACGAAGTTGTGATTTTGAGATGTTAAAAGGGACATTGGCTGGTAGGAGGGCTCACCGATACCACGGACGGCTTGGACATGCTAGATACCTCTTTCTACCTTACAGTTGTATATTCTTGTGCTTCGGATGGGTCCCATCTCGATTGGCCTGAGCCGCTACCACTTGGCCGTACACCCTGGTGACACGTGCATGAAGTACAGTTGCGTTCGAGGTGAACTCCGACAGACGCGGTACCGAAGAAGAACAGTCATAGTGGCTGCGGTAGCCAGGATGCGGAGCGCGGAGAGCGGAGAAGCGATAGGGGGTTATCGGACATTCAACTTGGGCAGGGAAAATACAGGCGGCGACAGAAAAGTAAGAACGGACAAGGCCTGACTCGCCCTGAACAGGAGGCGCTGACAAATCGAGAGCCACTGTGTGACGGTACTGGAGTCGTGCTTGCTGTGTCTCTTGCTCTCCTCATCGCCCCTCACGACGACCAACGCATCTCCTCGCTTTCGCTGACGACCTCCTCATATCCATCTCCGTCTCTGCTGTCTTTGCAAGTCTCTCGCATCCATCGCACTCTTGTCTGTTATCTCTGTGGGTCTGATTTTCGGCAATACTGTGACTGCGCCCTGATCTCACCCACTCATCCCTGCCTTCACAGATCCCTAATATGCCTTCTGCCGTATCTGCCCCCAAGTCGTCCAAGCCCCTCGAGCGATCTTTCTCCAACCCTGTTCCCCGCCAACGTCGTGTTGTAAAGAGGAGAGGTCGGGTGAATGGCGAGTTTGGAAGCGACGATGAAATCGAGAGGGAGGTCAGGACCGACTCCGAGTCCGACGATGACCACTCCTCCGTTGATTCCGACTCAGAGTCAGAATCTTCTTCTTCCGAGCTCCGTGCCGACGCTCACTCCGAGGTCGTCACCCCAAGCACGACCCAGAGCCCCCCTCCCACCGAGCATGTCGCACCGAAAGACCCCTCTGGGAGTCACACAGGCATCTTCGCCGATGCTACGAACTGGGCCGAGATGGTAGCCGGGGAAGCTGAGAACGGCGCGGCGGACCTCCCCGTCATCGACTTTGCAGACATGGACCACAACCGCATCGAACCCCGGGCTCCATCTCCCACACCCCGCTCGAGAAAGAGCCAAAAGGCGGCGAAGAAGGCAGCAAATCGCGCGACATCCGTGCCTTCCCCTCCTGCCCCCGCTGTCAACGAACCCTATCCCGTGGCCGCTGACGACGTCGACTCGGGTGACGCTGTACCATCTGGCTCTCACGCTTCTCCCCGCTCTCCATTTCCTCCTCGCGGCCGCGGCCAGACCGCCCGCCAAGCGTACCAGCAGCGCCTTGAGACCGACCCCTCCTTTGTCCCGAGGGTGGGGGAGTTTTGGGGACACGACCACCGCCTGCTGGACAAGAATCTGCGCAGCATGAGCGGCTGGTGGCGTGGTCTGCGGGAGTCACGAGGACGAGGACGTGGTGGATTCGGCATGCGTGGCCGTGGACGCGGATTCTACCCTGGACCAGCTTCAATCAATCAGGGAGACGGTGCACCGCAGGAAGAGCAAGACGTCCCGCCCGTGGAGCGCCCCTGGACTCACGATGGATTCGAGGAGATGAAGCGGAGAGACGAGAGGCGACGTACCTTGCAAGAGCAACACTCCCAGCAGCCGCCTCACCCTGCACCGCAAAGGGGTTTCGGGTTCCGTGGCAGGGGCTTTGTCTCGGCACGCGGACGCGGTGGCTTTGCTCGCGGTGGCGGCGTCTCTCCGGGTACGTCGCAGCAACCACTCTCATCGGCCGTGTCGATGGGAGATCGTGTCTGGTACGCTCAAAAGCCGGACAAGATGTGGACCAAGCAGCACGACATTTTCCTCTACTCCGACGCTGCCACCAAGCCTCGTCCAGGCGTCGGTCCCGGAGTTCGGGTCAAGCTTCCAGGCGGCAGGGCGCCTCACATTGTTCGACTCCCTCCCCGTCCGAATGCACGGATTTCCGACCAGTCTGAGGAGCCACCCAAGGCGACGACCGATGCAGACAAGACCATCACGGTGCGGATCCCCGCCGCTGGTGGCAAGGAGAAGGCGCCCGAGCCGTTGTCAGCAATGTCGGTCGCGCGGAAGGAGCTCGCTACTACCGTCGAGGAGCTGTCAATCGAGGAAGTCTTCACTGTGCGGCCCAACGTGGTTCCGAACCGCCGCATAGACTTGTCGCTGCCCGTTGATGGCGCAGATTTGCTGACGGCGCCCACTATCCCTGTTGCCGCACCTCCCTCGATCCCCGAAGAGAGCCGGAATCCCATCGAGACGCTTACGACGCTTCCTGCCGCGGATGAGCGCTCATTGCCCAGTGCGCAGATCCAGGAGACCATTCTCCGGAACCCTCTTCCTGCCGATGAACAACCTGTGAGCTACAGCGCGGACCCCTCGCAAGAGGCTCCCCTGGTACCACCTGCTCTCCCCCCTCTGCAGACAAGTTTCTCTCCCGCTCCTCCACCGACTTCGCCGCCTTACGGTTCGCCGTACGCCTATGCCCCGGCACTGCCTCCAGGTGTAGGTTTCAACCACCAAGGCATGCCATACGAGTACGCCACTGGTCGCCCCGTATACATTCAGCCCACGCCTCCACCCATGTACACACCGCGTCCGATGATGCACGGCCATCACCCATCTCACAGCATCCCGTTCGTCCCTGCCCACCTCCGCCACCACTCCGGTGCATCTCCCGACTTCCACGCGCATCCACACACTCCTCAGACTCCGCCGATCTCCTCATTTGTGGATCCGGCGACCGGTGTTCCAATCTTCTCTCCCGCTCGCCAGACGAGCCGGGTCGAGATCCGGGCGCCGGCTGATGGTGCAGAGAGCAAGCGACCGGCATGGCCCATTCACCAGCGGAGCAACCTCTCCACGTCGGTCGCCATTGCTGCTGCCGAGGTCGCACAGCCGTTGGAGGGTCAATCCCGGCCGTCCGAGAACGCGGAGCAGCAACGCCCACCGCAGCCGCCTTCACAGCACCGTCCCACGCCCTCCATGGAGGGCCCGGTGGCCTATGCTCCGTATCCACAGCCATACTACTACCCTCCGGAGCAGTATGGCTACAACCCCTACGTGGATATGTCGCAGCCGGTCATGCATTACGACATGTATGCGCCCGAACAGCACCCTGGGCCTCCCCCACCCCCGCCCCCTCACCACCAGCATCACCCATCGCAGCCCATGGTCTTCTACTAGTCTCTCGCGCTCCCAACTTCTTGCGCCTCGTACTCGTTGGCCTCGCATCTTGCTTCATTCTGCTCTATCATGTTATGACTCGCTTGGACGGTTCACTGCCAAGTCTCTCACGTGCGCCGTTGTCACCATCCCCACTCTCACCCTCCCATCGTCTTTGCCCAATTCCTCATAGTAACATCCTCATCCCGCCATCGTTTCCCTCTCATTCTATCTCACGTTGTATCCTGTCGTCGCCGTCCACGCTCTTCTCTAGGTTTCATTATGCCCTATTGTGTTGTTTATGCCACTACTTTACTTGTGCTCTTGTCGTGTCACTATATCCTTCTCGTCGCTGCTCCCGTGACCTGCTCTCACATTCACGCTGAGTGTGCTTCGTGGCATTTGCTGGTTTATCCGTCGTAGACCACTATACATATTAGCTACCCTCGCCACGCGCCTGCGTCTTGTGGTGCTGCCAGGTACCTTGCTGTACTCACGTACGCTAGTTTATGTCTTGATCGACGATATTGCGCTCGAAGGGTGCGGAATTGGCCGACCGCTGCAAATACGAGGAGCATTGTCACCGCGAGCCGAGAGATGCGGATGGAATGCGAGCCAAGCCCATCGGAGCTCACAGGCGAGAACATGACAAGCAATTGGCCAACTGAGTATCATGCCGATTCATAAGCGTCTGAAATTCGGAAGATTACACTTGCTTCGACTAAAACACCGCCCAAGCCTGCAGCCGCGTCTTGCTCTGCCGGAGTCCTGTTGCCCGGTGGGAGCATACCTCAACCGCCCTTCGGGTCAACACGCCGGGCAGAGCACGCCGACGATCAAGCCGGAGAGAAGATCGGTCTAAGGAGGTTCCTGCGGATGTTCAGGTGGTATGGAAAGGCCAGCGGAGTAGAGGTCTCCGGCTGGGTGCTGCCAGTTGCTGCCCTTACCGCAGCTCCGAAGGCTTCGCAGAGATACTTGACGGGCGGCGAGCAGGCAATGCGGAATGCAGTGGGCGGTTGGCACCGGTCGTGCAGTGTTCCTTGTCCACTCCAGGCATTCCAGGAACAGTTTCTAGAAACCACAACAAGCGCTGTGAATACATCTAACAAGCGACGTCGAAGCCTAACGATTCGTTGACCACAGAGTTGGTTGTAAGTAGTCTATGGGTTGCACAAAAAAGTGCCAACGCCCATTCACCAGAGCCTTCGATCGGCTGAAATCGTCGTAAGAATGCAAGCGACATGGTTGATGACCGCAAGGGGAAAATGGTAGCCAGCGTTCGGATCTTGTACCATTACGTCGGTTGTGGTTGTCCGTACGTCTGAGAGCGGTTGAGAAGGGCCATTTTTCGTACCGTTGAGCGTCGGTCGGTCGGCACTACTTATACGGACAGTTCACGATTTAACATGCCATTCTAGGTAGATGGCGGTGTCGTTTGCACAAACGACGAAGGAAAATTGAGTCCGATGTGACCCGGTGTAGGAATTTGTAACTGGTGGGGCCACTCCGAACACGAGGTTGGAGGCTCTAGACGAAAAATCTGCATAGCATGGCAGTGCTGGTTAGCAATCATAGCGAGGAACAAGGAGACGCGAACAATGATTTCCGCAGCCAGCACAGTTCCCGGAGCGGAGCTGGCGCCGCGACGCCCGCACAGGTTTAACCCTCGAAAGAACGGTGGTGGACGATTAGCGCTGACCCAACGAGCTTCGGGTTCAGAACGCGCAGTGGACTTAGATACAAAGTCAGGCATCCAGACGCGGTGGGTGTCATTAATCCTATAATGTAGTGCGAAGAAGCATACAACTGTCAATACGCATGGGTACACCACCTCAACTGCTCTCGCCCGCACCGCCCTCACCATCGGGGCTTTTGGCGGCCCCCTTGTCGTCCGTGCGGTTGCGCTTGTTGATAAGGTTGTCGAAGAACGCCTTCAACGCCTGGTGTTGAGTCTGGTCGTCGGCGGAGCTGGGTGTCGCCGATAGCGGCGCGGGCGATGGTACTCCACCACGATTGAGTGCCAGTGCCGCAGCGGAGGAGGTGGGTACCGAGAGGTTGGTCGGGGCTTGCCGTGCTGGACGGGTAGTAGGGGCCTTCCTGGGAGCCGCGTCGCTGGATACGCTGGCGTTGAGCGGGTTGGCGGTCGCGGCGGTTGAACCTTCCATTTCTGTGAGCGCACGCTCGACGTTGGGCAGGTTGAAGCTGCTGCTCCCCATCGGTCCAACGATGCCCGCCATTGCGGTCTCTGCAGGATTCTTGAAGGCACCCCGAGGGTCGCGGTTTGGATTCTTCGCATTCTCGTCGTAATTTTTCGCCAGGAATGCCTGTTCTGGTGTCGGGTTGTTGAGGGGAGGGAGTGGTGGAGGCTGAAGAAGCAATAAGCCGAGATGCAAATTTCACAGCCAATTCCAACTTACTTTGCGACTGAGATCAGGAACCAGGCCAGCATACAGCGATGTTGCTCTGGGACCAGCGTCTTCGTCTGCACCGTCCAAGTCATTCTCCCAGGCCTCTCCCCACAACTTCGCGTCGAATCCTTCACGGAGAATTCCAATCTTCCCCCAACTGTCCCAGCCGGCCGGAATGACAATCCGGTCACGGTCGAGTGCATTGGGTTTGTGTTGGAAGGGGAAGGGATTGCGTGGAGGAGCGCTGACTTCACCAGCCATTGCCGGAGAAGGTGCAGGGGGTATGAACAAGCTATGCAAAGTGTATTGTCGTAGAACTTGCAGAGTAGCAGGTTGTGGCGTGGTGTAAAACAAGCTCGCCCCATCTGAGACCGACGATCAATCCAGGACACAAGGGCGAGGCATGGATCAGACGTACATTTCAAGCAGATTGCCCGGAGAACCTGCATGATACTGTCTGTGCGCTCTTCCCACTCTCCGCCTTTCCCTTTGACCATGCCACCCATACCGGAAGGCCCTGAGCCGATGACGTCGTTACCCTCGTCAATGAGGTCCGCCTTTGTGCACACGACGACGACGGGAACACCGGCGGAGTTGTGTGTAAGAGTGCCAGGACCTAAGGGTAAAACAGTGCTGGAAACAGCGGTCGTGGCAGGAATCTCTTCCGCGCTGGGCTCCGTATAATGCTGCCAGTACACCTGCACTGACATAGGGATATTCAGCTAGGACATACAGCAAGCATGAGAACAAACACTCACGTCGTTCACGATTATCTTCCTTAGCGATGTCTAATTCTCTTGAGCCATCTCCTTTGACCCACTTTTCAACCCACACAAGCCATGTCTCCAGTTCCTCTATAAATGACCAAGGTCGCGTCCAATCCAGCGTGATCATCACAAGACTGTGCGGCAAGGATGACCGTGGGGGCACAAAGTAAGGTAATAGCGCCGTGTACGCCGGGGAAGAGGATGGCACAGTGTATATAGATAATCGCGCCAGGGTATCTAAAAACGGAGATGTCTTAGGGCTTGAGGATCGTCGCAGCGTTGTGGTAGACAACATACCTTCATCTGCATCGTCCCGTACATCCGCCCAGTCGTATCCAATAGCGAAATCAGTACGCTGGTCCTCCTTAGTCTCGTCAGGTGGGGGTTTCTGCAGCAGGGCGGACACCAGGGATGATTTCCCAGACGAAGGCTCGCCGAGAAGGATCACTTGTTTGGAAGGGATGGAACGCGAAGACGAGACTGAGTCCAAGATGGACGACCAGAGATCTTGGGGAGGCGCGTCTGGAGATGAAGGTCGTGAGTTGTCCATGGCGACTTGAGATGAGAGCGCGGTGGCACGCGTTCTCCGGAAGAGAGGAGGAAAAGGGCGGACGAGAGTGGAGGTCGACGACAGCAGCGGAACTTCGGAAGTGGTCGTTGCGCGCAGGCGCCTGAGTGGCTCGCAGTACAGACCGTGTCCCGCGTCGCGTCCGCGCGTGCTTGTCCCCACCTACCGTCCACAACGGCCTGTTCAACGTGTTCTCGCTCCCACCCAGGGCGTCCGTGTGCCTTTGAGGTCATCATGGCTACTGCCGTCGCGCTTCCTGAACATCGTCTCCTCGAGTCTCCGAACTCTCGTGCTATCGAAATCGGCTGTTGGACCATCACGTCCTGTACAAATCCCATCTCGAACGCTGGCCAATGTGACGCACTACAAGCCGCGATCGGGGGCATCCCGCTCCCTGAAATGACTTTTGGAAGCAACTCGCTGGAGCTGGAACACCGCGAGAGTGGATGGAAGTACTCGTTCAGTACAGAAGAAGCACTGAGAAGCGTGCGGAATGGTGAGCTGCAGGAAGGAGATGGAGCCGTAAAGGTGGGGTACGCTGATGCATGGCTAAGGAGTCGGTGAGTCTTGAGCCACCTGCAATGGTTTCCTAACTCACGCTTTGACCAGAACGGGTGCTTTGAGCCAGATTCCGATGCCCAAGACTGTTCCCACCAAGGTGTTCGATTGGACATACACATCTCTATATCCTGGTCACGCACGTCTGTCATCCAGCAAGACGATTGTGTGGAACCCTGCGGAGCGTAATAATCCCAAGCATACCATACCCATGGCCGAATTGACTCGCCATGACCCCATCCTCTTCTATGCCGAGATCCCGTTGTATGAAGACGAGCTGCACGACAACGGCGCGGCACATCTCATTGTCCGAATCGTACGTTGTGTCACCAACTTGACGATGCGCGACTTACGACTAGTATTAGCGTGTTATGCCTACGTGCATATTCATACTCCAGCGATTCACTCTCCGGGTGGATGGCGTCCTGTTTCGAGCATACGATACCCGCATATATCATTCCTTTTCGTCGTCACCACCATTGGTTGTACGCGAGACGAGTGGATGGGAAGCCCCTTACGAACGCGTGAAAGTGGTACGTACTGGCTGTCACTTCCCTGACAAATTCCACTCATACAGACTGCCATATAGCGGCTGCCGACACGAGACGATCTGACACCATTGACCGATCCTATGTGGATCTCGAAAATCTTGTCTGAGATACCGAACGAAATCTCACAGGAGATCGGTGCGGGAACGAAATGGAAGGGTCTTAGAACTAGCACGGAGGTTGCGACACTGCTCTGACTGCAGCGCGATGGCAAGTAGTATTCTCCGCTCGCACGTATTGACTGATGCTTATGCTTCTACAGCTCCAGCGCTGAGAGTTGACTGTCAGAGACGAAATCAGTGCCGAGCATCAGTTAGATGTATTATCACGCACGCCTATGTATAGAACAGATCCAAGGAGCGCTTTTATGTGTTTGAGTGCCCAAGAGCAGTTGCTACTACATAACTCTAGATCTTTGCTCGAGGAGTACTACTAGTAGACGCCGCATGTGATCGAGATTCGAGAATTTGTGCGCACCGGCGCTTCCGCCACTTCGCCCATTACCTCTCCCTCCTTCTTTACCATTCATTCGTTCCCTCAGCATGGATGTATCCGACATCCTTGCAGCTCATGAAGCAAAAAAGTGCGCACCTCCGACTCTCACGACACTTCTGTGGCAACGCTCATTGTAACCTCCCCGCAGAAAAGCGGTAGTGGTGGAGAAGGACATTCCACTTGAGGTCGACACCGGCTTCTTGACAGTGACAGACACAAATCCTGTGGATTCGGAAAGTTACGAGTTAGTTCCCGACCATTTGAGATGCTCAAGTCCTGATCTCTCATGACACACCTATTCAGAGTAGACCTTGAGGAGTATCTCATGTCCACTGCGCGAGATGGTGCACAAACCCTTCTCGCGTCTCTTTTCTCTCTCCCGACAACATCCACGGACGATGGCCCCCTCGCACAACTTCCCCCGCCAACAACACAGTTGCCCCGAGCGAAACCACTGCCCAAGCCCAAGCCGCCCACCAAATGGGAGCAGTTCGCGAAGGCGAAGGGCATCCAAAAGACCCGCAGGGACAAGAAGGTCTGGGATGAGGAGAAGCAGGAGTGGGTCAACCGGTGGGGCTGGAAGGGCGCAAACAAGGACAAGGAGGTCCAGTGGGCTACCGAAGTCCCTGCAAATGCGGGTATGTCTTTCCCTGCACACCCTTTCTCGCACATCGTGCGGCCCATCCGGTGCAATTCATAATCCCGCCTAGATCCCGACTTCGATCCCGCAAAAATTGCTCGAACTGAGCGCAAGGCCCGGGTCGCGAAGAACGAGAGGCAGCACCTGCAGAACCTTGCCCGCACGGAGGCTCACGCGGGGGCTTCGAGCGCAAACGCCGCGGACAAGAAGCAATACATTGACCGGACGCTCGCCGTCACGCGGGCAAGTACCGCGAGCATGGGCAAATTTGATCGGACCCTCGAGGGCGAGAAGAAGCTGAAGGGGATCAAGCGGAAGGTACGCCTCTGCGAGCTCCGTCGTGGCTGCCGTCTGATGTTATTTCAGTTTGAGCCTACTGAAACTTCGGCGGAGAACGAGAAGTCACAAAACCTCGCGATTCTGTCCAAGTTGGACAAGAACCCATCCGCTAAGAAATCCCGCACGGGTGAATCTAGCGGCAACGATGTACTAAACGTGAGGAAAGCTATCCGGTCGGCCAGCAGGGGCAGGGGTAGCGCGGCTCTTGCGAGGGGAGGGTCGAAGTCGAGGGGTAAACGTTGACATACAACTGTAATGTTTTCCCTCTACACTCTGTTCGCCATTGGTCTGTTGACATCGTGTATCAACATTGTCCGAGTGATAATCCATAAGGCAATGTCATTGTGATCTACATAAACATACAACGAGTGAGGCATATTACGAGTCTTACGACCCGCGACAAAGTAGGTTACAGTAAATGTCCCAATCTACTTCGACCCACTCTCAACTGGCAGCCTGTCCAGCCTAGCCTTCCCGTCCTTGATCCACTCCTCCTTCACCAGCCTCACACGCTCAGCGTAGTACAACCGGTAAACCAGCTTAATCGTACCCTCGCTGACCCCTGCGACCTCACTGATCTGCCGTACAGTCTTCGGCTTGTCCAAGAGACAGCACGTGAAGTAGATCGCACCACCAGCGATGGAAACGGGAGAACGGCCATCGGCGATGCCTAGTTCGCGAGCCTTTATAATGATGTCGGCGCAGATGGGTTGCACGTTAACAGGGAGGTCGAGGTGGTTGCAGTACCGAACCAGAAGGTCCTCGGCACCGGTGGTGGCGTTGGGAGTGTGGGCATGGCGGGTGTCTTGGGACGCGCCTGGGGTCAAGTTGAAGGCTTGTTCAAGAGCCTTGTAGCACTGTCCAAGCGTCTTCTTGCTGACATGGGTGAGATTGCAAATCTCCCGGAAGGTACGGGGGACATGCGCCTGACGACAGGCGATGAAGATGCAAGCGGCGATGACTGCATCGAGGGGCTTCCCACGAAGGAGTTTCTCCTCATCGGAACGCTTGTAGAGCTGTTTCGCGATGTCGGAAATGGTTTTGGGGAGGGAGAATGTCTCACACCAGTGTGAGATCTGGCGGAAGGCCTCGAGGAGGTTGCGCTCGGCACTCGCACCCTTGGCACGGTGGTTCGCGCGCTGTAGCTCCTTCGCTAGACCTGAGCCACCATCCTTGAAGGAGATGTTCGTGTCCAGCTGCTCCATGCCATCCATGAGGGGATCCGATGCCGCACCCACACGGGATGGATCATCGCCCTCGTCGTTCGCGAACGTCTACATACGAGGTCAGGCGAGCACATTCACTGGGAAGTTAGGGAACGGGATGATGACAAGCGGACACTTACCCTCCACTCGCTCCTCGTGTCGACAATCCTATCGCCCAATACCAGCCCACATGTGCCACAGACAAGGTCGCCGCTGCTGAATTCCTCGACAATGTTGGGGTTTGGGTCCCTACACTCGGGGCAAATGAGACGAACAGCGAGATCGGGGCCGAAAGTAGGCGCGGCGACCTTTTGCAGAGGCTGGGCGAGAGGGAATGGCTGAGCGTATGCCATGGCAGATGTGGGCTATCGGCGCGATAGGAGTCGGTGAGGGTGGGGGGCTGGGTTCGGGGTAGAGAGGGGTGAATGAATTCAGAACACCGGATGGATGTCAACAGCCTAGTTGTCTGGAGCTCGCTAGAATCATCGTAGCCCTCGAAGGATGCGTAATAACGTACCGCTACTCAAAACCAAGCTCAGACGACGGGACGACCTTGGAGGTTCGATTCGGCGGTGAAGATGGTGATGGTAGACGACAAGGAGGGTTGGGCGTGTCCCACAGACACGGTGGGATATTATCCACAACTGGGTTTATTGGCGGAAAATATGAGTTAGAAATTGATCCAGCCAATCAAAAGCCACGTCGGCGTCTCTTAAGGTCTTATCCTCTCAGCCACCCTTGTAGTACTGTACCATTGTCTTCCTCCTTCATCACCATGGGCAAGTGGTCAGTTCAACTCGCACATCGCCCTCAGTTCTCCCAACGCACCGATTTCTTACCCAACCATCAGGACGCTCGAGTATCACGATGAAGTACTCCGGAATAAGGTCAAAAATATGGTGTATGTGCTTTCCTCACAGTTCCCGTGGCCCCTCTTTTCTAGTCTAATGAGCTCTTCCAGGCAGGGCGCCATACAACGCATGAAGGCCGAAAAGGAAGAAAACTTGATAACTTACGAAGCGTTTGTCGAAGATCTTGACGAGGGAGACTCCTTCACGACCTCTATGCTTGACATCCTCGTCAGGGTGAGTGGCCAGGTCTGCTGCTGCGTCTTTTTTGTCGAGCATGTCCAATCCAGGAGTTGGCGGAACGTCGGACGCGCCCGAACCCTCCAGATCGCCGTCTCATCTCCGAACGGACCGCGAAGACACTACGGATGCAGGCCGAACCTCACCAAGTCTACCGCGGTAGCTACAGTTCCGTGAGAAGTTCTCGTCGCTACGCCCCAATGCCCCGCTTGCGTCCATACAGCCCTTTCCGCGAAATTCTCTCGGAGTCCGAAGCAGACGAAGAGTATGGCACCATGCTGGGGAGTGGTGCGCCTCTCGAAGGCGCGCGGCTCAATACAGAGTTGTATGATGCCTACACGACCGCCTACGAGCCAACATCCTTTGTAGGACCAAGCGCAGACCGAGCAGGTGCCTCTCCACCATCCCCAGACCGTTGGCTAGGAAGCCCTCCCCCTAGACCGACTTCAGGCGGTCGCTCCTCCACGATATGGACTGGACTAGGTGGCCCCGGATCGACAACCTTGGCGAGAACTTCCACTCTACGCCGATCGGTCCGGCCACGTCCCGAACTTACGGAGTTCAGTTCCTTTACTAGTCGTCAACGCTCGTTGATTCGACAGAGGAATGCGGCGAGTGCCGCCGCAGAGTCCTCAGAGTCGGCAGGCCCCTCCCGGACCTCGGAAAATGCGAGGTCAACGGACAGCTCCGCAGAAACCACACTCGGACGGACCATCAATCTGCAATCATTTCTATCGCATCGCCATGCCACGCTTTCGGGCTCTCCCACCCCGCTACAATCCCACGAATCAAGCACTTCACGGCCAAGCTCGGCGCAGACGTGGTACTCCCTGACCGCGTCCGCTCAGCCCGAAACAATGTCCCTCAGTGCACTCTCTAGAAGATCGAGCACGACGGACCTCAACGATGACCGGCGGCAAGTCATAGCTCCCCGCCTGCGACGAGGCGGGTTGCGGCCACCTGAATGGCTTTCACTTCGCCCACGATCTCCGGGAGCTGAGGGCTCCTCGTTACGTCGCGCACTATCCACCGACGTTTCGCATGATACGCCTGCGTCTGTTTCTACCACGTCGTTGTCACCAAACACTCAGCCTCATCCAGATATACATACGTCACTTGTTGATGCCCGGCCATCATCCCCGCTGACTTAGTTAAGGACTCTTGGGTCTTGTAGATTATTGTCTTTGATACAGTAGCACTACGCAGATTGCCTTGTTTTATGCCATGCCATACCTGGTGGCCACCGCGCCGAGATATTCTGCTTGAAGTTTAGCCCGGTGACAGTTGAAGAGCTCCATGAATTGTACATGTGGGAACGAATCCCACATCCGGGCGTCTAACAGAGTGTCCGAGTAACTCGGGCTGGTGTCTGCTTGCCACAGCTTGACCCTCTCTCTCGCGCACCATGTTCAAAAAGCGTTCTCGCCCACAACCTCGCGCACGCAAAGCGCCGGCAGAAGACGACGAACATTCTGACTCTCGTGAAGAGGCTCAGCAAGAAGTGGAGAAGCTAGAGTGCGTCCTTGAAACTGCTCCGCTCGTGACCTTCCTGACCGAGGTTCCGTTTAGTGTAGCTGAGCTCATAGAACTGAGAAAGCTCCGGAAGGCGCGCGAGGGGATCAATGTAGCGAAGCTCTCGACAGGAGACACCAAGAAAAAGCGGAAACGTCCAAAGGAGGAGGAAGAGGTCGCGTACGGGCTGCAACCTGGCGCGCCCACGCACGACGATGACGACGAGTGAGCAGCGTCTTCGCTGAGATCCTCCTGCGACAGAGTCTCACATCTTCAGGGACGCGGAGGATGCGGAGACCAAGACGAGAAAGGTGGTGCGCGCGAACAACTTCACACAGCAGACGAACGCGCTGGATGTGGACAAGCATATGTGCGTGCGTTCCGTCTCGCGACGTTCCCCCTTCGTCTCAAGCGCGTACCAGGATGGCGTACATAGAGGAGAATATGAAGGCGCGAAGAGGTACTACAGAGAAGGAGGAAGAGGAGAGCGGACCGGCGGACCCGTACGCGGAGCTGTTCCGCCTGAACAAGACCGACAAGAAGGAAGAGGAGGGCAACGTGACGAACAGTCTCGCCATGTTGACCGCCATCCCAGAGGTGGATCTTGGTATGGAGTGAGTGAGCCTGTTGTCGGCGTACATTGCAGTAGTTGATCCCCTCTACCTCAGCACTCGTCTCAAGAATATCGAGGAGACCGAGAAGGCGAAGCGTCAAATGTCCGAGGCCCGGAGGGAGCGCACGGGGCATGCACACGATGAGGCACATCTGGCTGCGGCCCGCTGTGCGTTCTTTCGCGTGGAAAACAAGCTCACGAGCTGACTCCATACCCCAGTCTACAGGCCGAACCTCAAGGCAAAATCTGATGCAGATATCATACGGGACGCCAAGCTGGAGGCGATGGGTCTGCGCCCCGAAGACCACGAACATCGTCGGGGCAACTCAGAGAGGGCACAAATGGCCACGGACGAGATTGTGCGCCGCACTGTGTGTCTACTTTCACGAGAATCGTCTAATTTCTTTTCGCAGGTCATGGAGCGTTTCAAGAAGAGGATGCGGAAGTGAAAGCAGACGATGATTCCGTAACTTGATCCAGGATGTTTGTATACTACACGGAAGGGGGAACCCATTGCGTTTAAATATATGTGGTCTCGTGCGTCGTATGCTTGTCAAGTGCATATGCAAACTTCAGTAACTTTCCTGTTAGTTCTCGCAAAACAATCCGTCGAACCCGGCGTGCGTCCTAACCATATGTGGTGCGTTCCTACTCATCTTCCTTGCGGAAGGAAAAAGAGCATCCCCTGAACCAGGATCGAACTAGTGACCTTGAGATGATAGGTTTCCATTACAGTCTCACGCTCTTCCAACTGAGCTATCAGGGGATTTACCTTGAGGAGTGTCAGCAATTACTGACCCCCGCTACCCCAACGCGCCGGGGCCTTGCTCTTTTCGCCACCTTCCTCCTAACCAACGCGTTTCGTCCTCATCCCTCCGTCACCCGTTCAGGCCATGCACAAATACCCACTTCCTGACGACGCCCTCTCCTCACTCAATCACCACCTCGAGGAGTCGGGATGGACGTCGCTGGCCCCTCAAGTGGGCCGACCCTAGAGGAGCACGTCCTCTCTGTCTTTCTCTCCTCCATATATGCGTATGTATGTGCTCGAGATGACGTGACACAATTCTGTGCACTGTGTAAAATAGTATCCATCGCAGTCTCGCGCTCTTCCAACTGACCTATCAAAGGCTTGCGGTGCTCCACTCAAGTTTGTGTCATCAGAAAATGACCAACTGGAGTCGCACGCACCGTAGACGTTTGTACGGCGTGGACCCCCATGACCGCTATGGTTTTCAAGAGGCTCTGTCCGGCTCGTTGGTGAGTGTTCGATTCAAGTTGTCACAACCGTGAGGAAACCAAGCACTGTACCATACTGCTCTCCTGTGAACTCGGTCTGGTTCCGTTATGAAGCCGACAGAGAGCATAGTCGCATGAGCAGAATGACGGCCAAAATTTGCAATCTGAGCTTTCTAACCTCTGTGTATCTTCCGCGTGTTTAACTGACTCCTTCTGCCCAGATTTAATTGTGAAACGTTCCAAGTAGTTGTCGAGTTGAGTTTGACCGAGGTCATCGGGCTCTGCACACGATCGTGTTACACCAACGTGACCATTGCACTGAACTGAGTAATATACAAGAGCATGTGACAAGTCTCTGTGCTTAGCAGTGTGGCTACATTGCCTCCCAAGGCAGCCTAACAACAGCTCTGTGACTGGTTGTCCGCGCGGGAAGTAGCCTTGCTGTGTAGGTATTCCAAATGCTGCCCGGACAGAGCTTGAATCTTCGCGAGGGGCGATTGGCTGGCGGGGCGCTGCGTGACGTGCTGAATCATGCCCAAAGTCACTCGCCCGGCGTGATGATGTCGCGATGGTGTCGACCACTCTCCGTGCGCCCATTCCGCCTCCGCGGCCGTCTTATATCCTGCTCTCGCCCGCCATGCAACTCTGCACTTCACGCTCTCCTGCACGACCTCCGCACCTACCCTACCATCACCACAATGGCTCCCCCCGCCGCCGAGAAGCCCACATTCGAGAAGCCTCTTTCTCTCCCCATCGCTCCGGAAGAGCTCGAGCGGATAAACGCGTACCTTCGCGACCAGACACCTGAAGACATCCTCGCATGGGCCGTCGAGCACATCCCGGGTCTCTTCCAGACGACCGCGTTCGGTCTCACCGGGCTCGTCGCCATTGACATGCTCTCCAAAAGCACACAAAACCCTCCTCCCCTCATCTTCGTCGACACCCTCTATCACTTCCCGGAAACCTACGAGCTCGTGGAAGACGTCAAGAAGCAGTACAGTCGGGACGTTGCCGTCTACAAGCCCAAGGACTGCGAGACGGCCGCGGACTTCGAGAAGAAGTACGGGGAGAAGCTCTGGGAGGAGGACGAGACCACCTACGACTACCTCGTGAAGGTACGCCTCCCCGCGGCGTTTCCCTGGAAGCCCCAATGCTGACAGCCGTTCCCCACGACAGGTCGAGCCCGCGCGCCGGGCATACGAGGAGCTTGGGGTGAAGGCAGTCATCACCGGTCGCCGTGCATCGCAGGGTGCGGACCGTGCGAACCTGCAGCCGCTCGAGGTGGACAACACCGGGCTCGTAAAGCTCAACCCGCTCTTCGCGTGGACGTTCCCGTTCGTGGAGTGGTACGTCTCGAGCAACAAGGTGCCGCGCAACAAGCTCCTCGACCAGGGCTACCGGAGCATCGGCGACTGGCACTCGACCGTCAAGAGCGGGGAGGGCGACACCGGCGAGCGTGCGGGCCGCTGGGCGGGCAAAAAGGAGAAGACGGAGTGCGGTCTGCACGTCGACTACTTCAAGCTCAAGGAGGAGGCTGAGAAGAAGGTGTGCACGTTTCGTTCGCTCTCCCTATGACTGTTGCTCAATCTCGTCTTCCAGATTGCGGAGAAACAGGCTACGGAGGCCGCCCAGGCATCGACGGAGCCCGTGACAGCAGCTGCTGTGGTTGAGGCGACTGCATGAGTTCCTTTGGGCTTCTGAGCTGTGTCGTTAGAGGTAGAAGTCTCGGCCATGTATCAGTCTGTGTATCTTATGCTTATTACGAGTTCCCGGCTACGGTGCTGTTCCGGGTGTGTCGTCTCCACTCTTCCCTGCAGGCCCTTTTCATTGGCGGGCGGGTCATGTCGTAAGACAGGCACCGGTGCCGCGAAGGGACGTCGGATGGGGCAGAGACACAGCCGGCGCGGGTGGTGGGCGCGCCTCGTTGCCCGAAAGTTGTCTCTCAGCTCACGCTCAGCTTCTCTCTGCCGTGCCCATCCAAGTCCCGACGAAGCTCCGCCATATGTCGACTGCACCCATCTATATAGTCCTCGAGCGCGTGAGGAACGCAAGGCGGCGTCTTCCCCGCACCCCCCAGACTCGCCGTCTGCCTCATGCCAGACCCAGAGTTCAAAAGCAGGTTGTGAGTGCACCTCGAACCGCGCTCGCCGTCACGATCGTCCTGACACACGTCCCTACAGTCTCAAAGTGCGCGATGGTGCGCTGCAGAAGGCGCTGCCCAGTGGACGGGCCCCGCTGAAGTAGGTGCATGATCACTGGCCGTGCTGCCGTCTTGCTAAGCGTGGCTCCGCCAGGCCCAACTTCCCGGATGGATTCCCTGAGCTCCCGGAGATCCACTTGGAGGTGCTGCGAGCCCAGGTTTTCACCCACCGGAGCTTCTACGCGAGGCCGACCCATGTCTTCGAGGACTTACCCGACGACCCAAGTCCGGACAACGAGGTGTCCGTGTCCGTTTCTCAGACGTTTCGTCGTGATACCTGACATATGGTGTTCATTACAGGCTCGAGCATCTCGGCGACTCCGTTCTCAGTCTCTCGGTGACGGGCTTGATGAGAGAGGTGTTTCCCCGCGTGCGGGTCGGACCGTCTACTGTACGTAGCTATGGCCCTCGCAACCTTCTCCAGCTCACCAGCCGCAAACACCCAGAAAATCCGCGCCCTGGTTGTAGGAAACCCCACGCTTGCTTCCATGTGAGTACGTCCCTGTGACTCGGCCAAGACTCCTGTTCACTCAGCAATCCTGTCGTTGGCAGCTCCGTGATATATCGCCTGCCAGAACGCCTGCGAATGCATCCAGCGCAGGCGATGACCTTGCGTGCATCCATGAATGTCCAAGGTATGTACACACCGATACCTCGAATGTTGCATTTGACTGAACTACCACTCTTCATCCAGCCGATCTCTTCGAGGTAAGATTGTTCTCCTACTGTTGCCAATGTCCCAACCCCTCATCATCATTCGCTATAGTCGTTCGTCGGTGGCCTTTACCTGGACCGCGGCCTCGAGGTCGTCAGGTCCTGGCTGGACCCGCTGTTCCGCCCCTACATCGTCGAAGCTTACCGTGTCGTCCGGGTACAGCACGGCCTCTCTCCCGACCCCGCGCCCTACGTACCGCGGCCCCCTCCGACGCCCGGGTCCCCCTCCACCTCGGACATCAGTGATGCCGACCCAAGCCCTCAACCCGGAACGCCAGGGCCGTGGCCCAGCCCGCCCCCATCTGGCGGCATGGCGAACGTCGGGCACCTGTCGCTCTTCAACCAGTACATCCAGCAGCAGTACAAGAACGTGCAGTGGCTGTACTCCGACAGCGTCGGGGAGGGCACGCTCACGACCCCGATCTGGGTCGTGCGCGCGATGATCGACGGCGAGTGCGTCGGGCGCGGGCGCGGGAGCACGAAGAAGGCCGCGCGCAACGAGGCCGCGAAGGAGGGCCTGGTGTACCTTGGGGTGTATGTTCCGTACGTCGCCCAGCCTCTTTCTCCGACGCGGCTTGCGGCGGGACTCAAGACTGAAGTCCACAGACAGACCGAAGGGCAAGCTATCGCTTGAGCCCTGGCACCTTGTCTCCAGACTCGCGCTGGATGCGCGCAGCAGACTGTGCTCGCCATCCCGCTCAGGTGTGCAGTCGATGTGCCAGGTTTCGCTCGGGCGGATGTTCATCCCTAGGACTCGCAAGACACTACCCCACGGACAGAGGTGGTACGGCGTCGTCCACCTACTCGGATCTATATGCAAGCGCAGTGCCCACAGGCTGTGATCGGACTCACTGGATATGTATTGTTGCATCTTGCTCTCCCGTTTCGTAGTATTTGCTCTGTACATCACGTCGTTGAAGATCGAGAGTCGAATGTAGTGCATTATCCATGAGTACAATATGTAGAAAAGACCAAGAGAGTACTTTCGGAACCAGCAGCCTACTCGCCGCGCCTTTCCCCAAGCCACCCGATGTTGTCCACCGGGGGCGCGCCCCAGAGGAAGCTCCCGGTGCTTGGATCCAATATCCGTGGATGACGGTCCCCGAGCCACGCATAGAGCACCCCTCGCTTCTTCCCGACGATCGCAGGGGGAGAGGGGATAGATTTTGGTGACGATGGGGTCTCTTTGGGAGCGGCGGCCGCTACCGCGGAGCCCTCTCCTCCCGCCGCGTCCTGGGCTCTTGAGCCAGCGAGGAGGACGCGCGCCTCCTCGTCCACATCGTCGAATACGTCCTGCTTGACCGCGCTCATCGAGTAGGCGTACACGCCGACGGCGAAGCCGGTGAGCAAGAGGCCGGTGAGGGCGTTGCGCAGCCGGAAAGGCTCGCGCGCACGCTTGAGGCCCGGGGACATCAACTGCAGGCAGCCACATGGGGGCGCAGGGTGAGAGACCGGCCGAGGAACAGGACGCGGCGCACGTACGTTGTTCGGACGGTAGGACGCGCGGGCAGCTTTGGCATTGACGTACTGCGTCTCCTCCATAGTGGGCACGCGCAGGGACGGCGCAGGGATAGCGAGGGGACGGTGGCAGGAGGCAAGATGTGTGCTGCTCGCGTTCTCTCAGGCTCTCGGCGCGAAGTCGAGACTGGTCGGGCTCCTGCGGGCCGCCCGGACTGTGCGCACTCTGCCTGGCTCAGACCCTTGTGTGCGCACCGACATCGTGTACAGGCAGCGCAGCAAACAGCTATCAGGCCAATGGTAGGTATGCCATTTCGGCGGATGAGCTACAACCACACCATGCTGTCTAGAACGCCGGAAGATTTCGGAAGGGAGTCGGATGTTGGACACACTCTGGCCCCATGTCTTCAACTCTCGCATGATTCCTCCTGGCATGGTCTCAATCACTCCTGTAGTTTGTGGCCTTGCTATTACGGTCTTACTGGAAAACATTACGAAGTCTACAGCAATGCCGCTCCTGCAGCGTGACGTGTTTACTCCGAAGGCTTGCCCTGAAAGTGAAGAGACCATTAGGGTTCTGGACGATTTCTTAGATCCAATGACTGACCCTGATGAGCTGGTACACGCCGAGCGTGGTGCAAGCCATGCCAGCCGAGAAGAGGACGAGGTACGAGTCTTGCAGAGTGTACATAAGGGGACGGCGCAGGTAATGCTCACGGGTGTTACTCACTGACGTAGAGCTTCGAGCGAGGCAGGCGATAGTAGACAGGGACGTGCGCCTGGCGCTGCAACGCACAAGCATACCCTGGTTAGAGTTAAGCAGGAGGGTCCACGAAGATGCAAACACACCTGGACGAGCTTCTGCTTCTCCAGCACCCGGTTTTGCACTACGAAACAAGATAGCCGCGTCAGAACCGCACCAGGGTCGTCTCAGGGCACCGGCACTGACTGTTGTAGATGCCGCTGAGCATGGTGGGCGACGCGAGAGGAGGGCGAGTACTGAGGTGGTGTGGACGAGTGGTGGACGGAGAAGAGGCGGGCGGGCCAAGTCGCGCGGCGGAGTCTCAAACGCCAGAGCCGGCGCGACCTGCCTCGACCGCGTTCCGCCACCGTCATGGCCAACAACGACCGCGTTCGAGTCCGGGTGCGTGCCCGGCGCGCCCTCTCGCTCTCCGCTGGCCCGCTCACGATTGCGCGTAGGGCGTGACCATACACCGTCCGATCATCTACGGGAACACAGCGACGGTCCTGACCGAGAAGGAGAAGGAGACCCTCCCCACCGACCACACCCACCGATGGACCGTCGCCGTGAGGAGCGCGGCGTCCGCCCCGGACTCGGACATCGTCGGAGGGGCGGATGACTTGAGCTATTTCATCAAGCGGGTGACCTTCAAGCTGCACGAGACCTATCCAAACCCGAATCGAGGTGAGTGCCGCCTCTCTGAACCCGGTCCTGTGGCTCAACTCGCGTGGGCCTCTAGTCTTGGACAAACCTCCGTTTGAGGTCACAGAGACAGGGTGCGTCTCTCGTCCAACTCCGGCAGAGCATGGGGGGCTTATGCGCACGACAGATGGGGTGAGTTCGAAATTGCAATCAAAATCCTCTTCCTCTCCGACTCGGGTGAGAAGACCATGACTTTCTACCACCACTTGAAGCTACACCCGTGGACCCTCGTCACTGGGCCAGACGTCGAGATCCCCACTCCCGAGGTTGCGGCGAAGCTTGGGCCCGTGCATTCGTGGCAATACGATGAAATCGTCTTCAACGACCCTTTCCAGTCCTTCCTCAACCTTCTCACTGCCCACCCACCGACGTCACTACCGAAAATCAAACGCCGTCCAGTGCCCTTCCACACCGCCGATCCGTCTTCGCTTGAGGCGTCGAAGGGCGGTGTTCCGGAATTCCAGCAGGAAATGGAGAAAGAGGAGGGAGAACGGTTGGAGAAGGCCCTGAAGACGATTATCGAGGACACGCACAAGTGGCGGAACAAGCTCATTGAGTGCGAAAAGGAGGCTAACAGACTCAAGAAAGATTTGGACGCGTTTCAATCGTGAGACTGGTACGGGTATATACTACAGTGTACAATGTGTATGATACAACAATAATTGTCTATGAGAGCACATACGTTGCCAAGTCAATGTTCATCCTCTTGCCCTCACTGGAACGGTGCCCAACCGAAATACATGCGAGACTAGAAGCGCGTCAATCATCAAGTCTCTGGGCGACTGTGGTAATACGTACTAGATTCGAAACATCTGCTGCCTCGGTGATGAGAGCCTGGACATGGTTGATCACCGACAAATGCCTGGACGGGTGTTTGGACCTGCAAGGCTTGAACCTGCCTTCTAGCTTCTCTTCGATGGGTCCTAAAGCATGCATCGATAGGTCCCGCATATCGGCCACATTCGACACAGGGTTGACTTGCTGCCCGTGACGGCGCTCCCTTCGTCGCTTCTCGATCCATTCCAGGAGCGGGTCATGTACGAAGGCGTCCAGGACGTTGCGGAGACAGTCCTTGTTGTCGCGCAGTAGACGCAGCGTGACCTCGCAAGAGATGCGGAAGACGCCCTCTACGCCAGTCACTCCGAAGCCGTCGACGATGTTCTGTGTCAGGCGGAACGGGACAATCTCTGGAGTTTCGAGGAAGTGGCCCTAGATCACAAAACCATGGTCGATATAGGGCAATAGAGTCCGTGCAGGACCGACGAACTCACCTTTTCGAAGAGACAGTCGAAGTCAACATGGACAATCTCGCCTGATACGGTGTCCAAGAGGATGTTCTCCAAATGCCTATCGCCCAAGCTGATGGTCGACTGTTTGAGAGCCGCTGTGAAATCCATAGCTTGAGCCCACTCACCCAAGTATGTAGCCGACCATGGACATGACCGCGGCTGTTCGGCTATACGCTTTCCTGCTGGCCAACCACAGGGTCGGTTCGGAAAATGTCTCCACGAACCACTCGTGGAGTACGGGCTTGAAGCTGCACCACCGACCTCTCAGCGACGAAGTGCTAAGCCTTTCTTCGTGTTGACTTACCGTGGTAGGATATCTTCGACAAAAATCTTGCCGATTTCGTTCACAGATTCTGAAGCCCGAAGCTTCGCCGCCGACGTGCAGAACGTAGGGTCCTTCCACTGCCAGGGCAACGGGTGAAGTCATTGTGTGCGTATGAAACTCATTAAAACGTACCCATTCCGCCCAACCTCTGTTCGCGTAAAGTCGTTCGAGGATTGTCCTGATAGGCACGGTGTGGGGCACCCATTGAATCATACCACATTCTTCCGTAAGTGAGACTACGCTGTAGGTCCGGATCCCTGTGCGGAACTCATCGGTGAATGAACATAGGCTGAAAGCGGGGATATCTACTGAGCTGCCTTCGTCGTGCCTCAGAATCGGCTTTGAGGAGCTTGTTGAGGATAGCGTCGAAATCCATAAGCCTGCCATCCTTCCGGAGGTCGTCTTTCTTGGCTAAGAATGTGTACGTCCGTCCGTCGCTCCCGATGATCTCCAGCTTCTTTGGCTTGGCCATTGAGTTCATAACCGCAATTTCGTCGCAGACGCCTTGATGGACGTTGTGAGATACTTCATAAGACGCATGTAGAGAAGACTCACTGTGGAAGCGAGGGGGGTCGATCAAGAACGGCTTGTGTGTGCTTTCCATCGCCGAGGAAGGTGGAAGGTTAGCGGTCAACGACTCTTGCAACGGTATCAAGATGTTTTCTTTCTTGGCAATGTCGCGCAGCTCTCCGAAGTGGGTTTTCAGGGAGATCGTCTTGGATGTAGCGTTGTGGTGACAAAGCCTGATCAAGACATCCGCAAGATGGGTCATAGTTTGAATCACGGTAGGCAGACGGCGACGATTGGCCTACAGGCATATCAGTAGCTGTGAAATGGCATTGAAAATAGCTTACTTGGAGAGCCTGTATAATGATTTTGCTCCTTTTCTTGCGCATAGGATCGGCCTGACTCGTACTATGAACCACTGCAGTGAAAAGCCAGAACGCTTGCCTAGGATACTCGTGTAGAACTCTGGTGATCAGCTTTGCAAGCACGTTGTATGCGGTGTCATTCTGAACACTGATGCGAGAAACAATCTGAGGGAAGGCAGTGTACCACTGGCGAACACGGGGTAAGTATACGAGAAGGCGAATGCTTCTAGAAATAGGTCACCTTGTAAGCGGGAGAATTCTTGATGGCTTCGTCCACGGTAGAATTGATGGCGTTGAAAGTGGCATTGTCGCGATGTCGATCTTCACTCATATCGAGCCAAAGTGTGAGGACACGGGGGAGCGTCTGGTAGGTATACTTTGACCCCACAGCGATGGCCTTGGTGAAACACTGCACTGTCTTGAGATTGAGCCTCGGGCCACTGTGTCTCCTTTCAGTAAACGCCATTAACGCCATTCGGTCCTAACTGCGACACTAACCGGGTGCGCTTATCTTCGCCGCTCAGCGCTTTGAAGCACTCGTCGGAAAACTGGCCGAAGTGGAAGTACCCGCTCTCCCAGCTGGAATATGTTGATGAGTTTGCGGTAACATAGAACATGACGCTTACTCTTTACACATTTCCGAGGCAAGTTCAAGCGACTTAGCGACTTTGCCATCTTCGTAACGATCTGTGAAGCCCATCCATCGAGCAAGGATCATGTTCGCCTGCTCGTAAGAAGTAAGTCAGCGAATTGTTGCTTCATCTGGTAGCAAAATATGACCTTGGCCTTCCTCCTCTCTCCGGACATACCCACAGCGATCTCAAAAGGAGCCTTTTGACCCTTCTGCTTCTCGTTGAACAGACCCTTCCGGTGCAGATGCTTCTCCATCTCTTGCAGAGCCCGCATTGCGTCACCGGTAACTCGAACGAGCTTGGCGTTCTCGATGAAAGAGAAGGGCGCGTTGTAGCTTTGTGCTTGGAGGACGGCGCTGTAAGCGGTCTGAGTGTGCCCAGCTTTTCTGGCGATCTTCGCACTATGGAGCCATAGGTTGCCAATGGGCTCTTTCATGTCAGCATTGTCACCGCCGCTGAAAGAAGTGAGTTATTTCGAGCCCGTGGTCCACGATACTATGCCGACTCACCCAAGCTTCAACGCAGTCCGCCGCATGTTGAGGATAGGCTCTCGAATGCGGAAAGAGGGTAGAGTTGAGTCGAAACGTCCTTCCAAGCGAGAAGGAAGTTTGAGAAGATCGTTCTCCTCCACTTGACCTTTGACAGCGCCGTTGAGTAGCTCGAGCTCATGAACAAGGTGCAGATCCAGAACCGCGTCGTACGAACGATTGTAGTCAGTGGGTCCGGATGCGGTGATGGCGGAACCGAGGGTCAGTCGAGCTTTTGATAAAGAAGACGAGATGACTGCTGGATCCCCTGAGCGCATAGCAAGGAGAACCTGGGCGATCAACACTTGCGACGGATAGGCTTCGGTGTTCTCGACGAGATTCTGCACTTCATCCCAATGTCCTACCATCCACTCACTCTCGATTTGATACCCTATTAACTGTGGACCCCATTCGGGATTCCTCGTCAACACTCCCTTGACGTGAGTGCGGAGCGAATCTACAAAGACGATCAGTTTGACTTCGGGTAGGAACGTATCCTCGTCCATACCGTAGTGCCCAAGGTTGCGTAGACACCTCAGGAGGCCGAGGTGCGAGTCCAGGTTGTCCGGATCGTGCTGAAGCTGAACCTCCCAGCAGCTTTGGGCGGATGTCCATCTCCCAGTGCTCTCGTGTTCACGGATTTGATGCTCCAGAGACGGTGACAGAATCATGGGAGACACTCCTTCCATGCCATCCGGTTCTTCCAGACGAGCATACAACTCGTGCAAACGTTCGTAGTGACGCTGAAGATGCTTTGTCGATGTGCGGTTGACTCGCTGCTCCCTGATCTGATATTCCACGTTCATTAGAGCCCTCGGATACGCCTTGCATTGCGACGCGGCTTTGGCCATTAAGCCTTGATCAATATTTGACAGGATGGAGTCCACTCGAACGAGTCGTTCCTCAGCGGACGCTCTGGTGTTGGACCGCGCGGCTCGTTTCGATTCTCCCAGCAGTTCTTGGCGCGTGGTCCGAATCCAAAGATTGAGGTGGTCGAGAAGCATGAAAACCGTCTAGTAAGGTGGTCAGTGGCGTTTACAGCGACCTGGGCTGGTCTCTAACCTGTGCGCTGAGCAATTTCTTGTCGGGCGTGGAAGGACTCTGAGGATCAACTTGATCTTCTAATACGGCGAGCAGTTCTGCTCGGATCGCATCAGCGTTTTCGTCGCCTGAAGTGATGACATTGAGGACAAGGTAGGGCAGGAGGTGGTGAGCGACTCCGACATCCTTGTTGCGAACTACTGGCGCGAATATTTGAAAAATCTGCTCTGCGTATTTGCCTGATGCCTTGTTGATGAGGTCGCTCGTCCAGGCCTGTACCCATTGACGATAGGTGGGATGGGTTGGGTAGATCGGATAGTTCATCGGAATCTTGGGTGGAGCTGGGGCGTTGAAGCGAGATTCGAGCAGAGGTGTGACCGTCTCAAGGACCACCTTGGGTAAACTCTTCCAACGATTGCGAACCTTGACGGGTACCGGGTTTGAACCTCGTCCATTTTTGACCAGAGCAGGAGTAAACTGGCAGAACCGGAGGAGTTCTTGTATGGTGAACCCAAGGTAGCTTTGGTACTTGATGTCCCGAGTAGAACGATACGCCCCGACGAGCGCGTTCTGGATGATGTGTAGCGCAAAGCTGATGGCTTCGTCCTCGTCTACGAAGTTGTTCCCGACGATCATACGGGTCTCCTTCGTTGCCATTTCGAACCGGTCAGGGTCAATTGCTCCAACGATTCCGATGCACTCGAAGGCCAGGGAATGCAACGCTTCCGCCCCATCCCCATCGCGACAAGCTGCCCGGTATAGAACCGCCATCAGATCGCCGGCAAGAGCATAGAAGACATCCCCCGCTGTTAAGGAACGCAAGTAGTCCTCGCCATCTTCCAGCAAGAGCGTTTTGAGTTCGGATGTTGCTTGCACTGCGACAGTGAGGTTCTCGCTGTCTATACGGCTCAGTATAGCAGACAGTCGTTGTTGCGGCGTCCATTCCGATCGAAGGACGGTCAGTGCATGACTGGCTTCCAGCAGTTCCGGGATACCTCGAAGGTCGGCCACTTCGGCGACCATAGGCCCGAGTTCCCGTCCCCGATCGATGACCATGTACTTGATACACTCCTTCGCTACTTGCCGACCTTGATCGGAGAACGTTGTCCATGACGCGACGAAGGACGCCGTTGTAGGTCCGACGTGAGGGCCAATATCGCCAGGAAGCAAAGAGGAGATGAAGAGGAACCAACTTGAGAGTGCCGCATCCGAAAGCTGAGGTACAAGCAACATGGTCTGTAAAGTTGCCATGATCTAGACTAAAATTGAGAATCGACAGTAATGAAGGAAGTGATAACCACTTGCCTGAGGTGCCACGTTGCTGATGGAATGACCAACGAGTTTGCTGAACTGTCCAAAGCTCCGCAATATCCGTTGCTTCGTCTCTATGGTCAACTTGCCGTGCACTTGCAGAAGATCATTCAAGTTGGTGATGATGCCCAACATGTTCTCCTCCAACATGATCGCGAAGTCCGCGTTCTGGGAGCCCGTAGCGGCGTTCTCAAACACCCTGGCGACTTTCTGCAATCCCTGTTTGGCCTGCTTGGTATGAGTTCTCGGGCACTTCGGATACATGTTCGTGCAACTCACCTCTTCTGCGCTGTCTGGGTTCTCGTGACCAAGGCATGCAACGATCTCGGTCAAAGTAGGAAGCAGAGAACTGAACACGATGTTCGCTGCTCCAGGTGCGGCCGCAGCCTGAGTGTACATCTTGAGCATGTTCGAGATGAAAGAGAGCGTCTTTCCCGTCTGACCGACGCCGGTGAGCATGAAGGCATGGGAAAGGACATGATGCGCTTGATCGAGCATTAGGAGTGCGACGTTCGGCGAGTCGGGCGATATTATGGTTGCAACGCGTTTGAGGGCTGTCATATCACCATCTGCGAACAAAGGAGGGAGAGTATACTTAAGGCTTTGGTTAAGAAATGCCGGTGGATCAATTGTTGCGAATTCGCAGAAGTCCGTGATACCATCTGGTTCCTTCACGATTCGGCGGACGAGATACGGCGCGAAAGCTTCGAGGTAGGGCATGACTAGATTGTAGGGTGACTTGCTATAATGTCTTGCGAGCGCGTGTAGCTTGAATGGATTGTCAGTTAAGAATTAGATGACGGTGCGTGAAAAGTGACCGACTTGGAGGACCGCTGTGCCCTTCAACACAGGATTGGACTGGACCAGTTGACAGACGAGCGTGCACACGCTCTCTCGCAAGGGGAGGTCCGGAGACGTCCTGTGAAAATGCTTAATCCTACGCGAATAATCAAAATGCGGATGTTCACTCACTTTCCGATTAACCCTATGGTGATGATCGTCGTCTCCTTGACGGGGCTTTCAGGATGTCTCAAGAGCGGACTCAAGTGCCCAAAAACTGTCAAAATCCACTCGCTGGACCTGTGGCTCGGACGCAAGATCAGTTTGATGAGGTCCGTCAATGCTCGACTGTAAGGTAGCGTCAGGTGAGACAGATAAATAACAACACTGAGTGCTCACCCTGCCGCCAAGCGCACACCCCGCTCTTTGTCTTTCAGACCCCGGCTGATGAAGGTATATAGGTCGTCGCAGAGACGATCGTCGAGCGGGGAAGTCTGGTGACGAATTGACCGCGCAAGGGCATTGTAGAGGGCAATGTGAACTTTCGGAAGAGGTTTGCCGCCTTCACATTCCTGTATACAGAACGCAATCCTCATGTAGACAGGGATGAAGCATATGCCACTTTTGGATGCCTCGAACGCCAATGCGCATTGTCCGTCGCTGTGGAAGATCGAACACGTAAACTCTCCCAGCTTTTTGGCTAATCGCTCGAGACCTGTAGGTGTCGTGTTGTACAGACCACTGTAAAAATGTTATGAAGGGACACTAACAGACTCAACGCAAAATGATGACGTACTCTCGCTGGAACCGATGGTCAATTTCGTTCAAGCAGCGCCGAATATAGTCTGCGTCATTCATGCCCCCGTCGTCATCCATCCAATCCAGAACACGGGGCTCGATCAAAGTCTCCACGACTCGACGAGCGCTAATTCTCCAGGAGCCTATTGCAGGGGCATCACTCTGAGGCGGAGCTGCGAGAACTTGCATGCGCCTGCGCGAGAGTTGAAGGAAGGTATCATAAAACGGCTGTTTCTCCTCAGTGTCGAGCAGATCATGGACAACACGAAGCGTTTCCTCGTCCAGGGATGGTATAAAGAGCGTGATGTATGCTTCACATAGTGCCTGTATAGCTAATATTAGCTCTGTCTAACGCATGACCCAGAGGTATCTCACTCGCAAGGTCCGTCCATCTTCACCCCACTCTTCGGCTTTCAGTGAACGACAGATCATCGTAATATCGGACTGATTGCGAGGAACCAGTTTTGAGGTTCGAAGACTTTCTGCGAGACTTGATTCCGATGCATTCCAAGAGGCTTCGGGGCCTCTTTCCAAACGGAAGGACAGCATCCTGGTCCAGCAAATCTCTGCGGTCCTGGGAAAGCACGGAGTGGCAAACAACGATATAGCCTTGCATAGTCTTGACAGGGCGCGCGGCCTTATGGCTCCGGGACTGAAACAAGAAAGGAAGAGGTGATCGTAAATCCTCTGCGCATGCTGGCCAGTGTCCCGGACGAGGTCCATCATCAACCAGTAGTTGCAAGAAGTGGAGTCGAAGGCTTTCAAGCACATGTCCAGCAGCGAGCTGACTACGAGAGGGACTTGCTCAGGAGAGCGGATCTCGACACAGGTAGGCTGAGCAACCTTGTCTCAGTGCGTGAACGCGTTCGAGGGACGTTCCTGACTTACAGCTAATCTGGAATGTTCGCCAATATACTGGAGAACATCCGGGTCTGAGATGAGCTCCAGCGACATAGGGTACTCGCGGGTGTCGGGAGAAAACAAGAGGTCTAAAGTCATCTCAGCACACGCATACACGAGCTTTAGTAAAACGGTGACATACCGTCAACAACGTGTAAGCATCGAGTAACGAGCTCCCTCGTCTTCTGTTGAGATTTGGAACTTGCCTGGGGGCTCCCATCATCTCCGAGGGACCGCAGAACCGCAGACGCGGCGGAGGACACTGCGTCGTAGAGCGCGTCCGGTGCGAGGTATCTTGCATGTGGAAGGGGGTTCAGATCAATCCAGAGGTCCAAGATCGAGCAGAGATTCGCCAGAACAAGCAGCAGTGCTTGTGCAAGTCTCTCTTCTCCACAGAAAAGGGAAGGGACATGCTTCGCGGCGATCTCAATAACGGAGGATGCGGCCTCGATGTATGCGTCTTGCTCGTGCATTGCGTCCCATTCTGTGTCTAGTCCTTGGGGAGGGGAGATCGCGAGGATAGCTAGAAGACTTGCCACTGTCCTTATCCAATCTGAGCGTGTTTCCTTGGTCACATCTTCTAGAGTTCCGATGAGGTTGCTCTTCTGCCCCACCAGCCACTCAAGGAATTGGGCAGGAGCTCCATTCTCCTGGAATGTGGGTGGGATCAAAGTTGATGAAGGGGCTTGAGAACTCATGACCGTATCATTATAGACGCGATTGAGATGAAGGTACGGGTAGGCGGTGGATGAAAAAAGGAAAACCTTGACGGGAGTCAGGACGCGTCGGTGGCACCGTTGACGCGAGTCGCGACGCGTTCCACTAGCGCGCAGATCACGTTCCTCTCCGAGAGGGCTCATTGAAAGTTTGTTAAGTCACCAATGCAACGAAAATACAATCGCGACAACAATACGAAGCACAAGCTAGCACTACTTGCGTCCTCCCCGTCGCTTCTCCTTCGACTTCTCGCGCTCCATCGCTTTCTCCTCTGCCCGCTCGCTCTCCAAAGTGCCAAAGACGCGCTTCATGCTGTCGCGGTACACCTGATCCTTTGCCTTCTGCTTCTTCGACTGCTCCGTCGCGAGGAAGCGGGCGTCCTTGCGCAGCTCGCGGATCGCACCTTTGCGCTCCTGCTTGAGCTGTGCGCGCAACTTCGCCACCTCGTTGCGTTCGTGATCCGGATCGCGGTTGCGGAGATAGTTGGAACTTGTCTGCTCGAACTTGGGGACGTAAGTAGGGATCGGGATCGGTTTGTGCGCCTGCAACAGCAGTGGTTTGCGGGACTGAAGCGCAAATTTGAGCAGGCGACCAAGCGTGTCCCGCAAGGATTGTAGTCGTGTCTGGAAATGAAAATTAGTACGCTCCGTATCGGGAGTCCCGAAAGTGACAACACACCACTAGGTCTGACGGCAAACTGGCCTCCTTGACAGATTCCAAGATATTGTGAATGGGGGTGTATAGCTCAATGAAGCCGTCAAGACTCTTGTACTGGTCCGCGTATCTTCCCAGAAGCTCGAGTGTGAGACCAAGGAGGTCGACTTTCTCTTGTTCGCCCAGGTCATTGGCGCAGATGCATCGCGCAAGGTCCGGCTTGTTGGCAGACAATGTCTTCGCCTTCTTTCCCAAGGACAAAGGAATCGTCAACGATGTCTTGAAGTCCTGCGTCGAGAAGGTTCCAGGTATAGCAACTGCCGTGTCATAGGGATGTGGAGCAATTTGCAACAAGGAGTTCACCAGGAAATTCGTTGCTTCAGGAACAAATCGTTTCGAGAGCTTCTCGTATTGCAGGAATAGGCCACAGAGGAAGAGACCACTGGCGATGTCTTGCAAAGATCGAACACGAGCGAGCCCCAGATATGCACCCATCAATAATCTCGCTGGGGAGATGACCGGATGATTCATGTCACTGGTTGGCCAAATCCGACCGATCACGCGGAGGAGAGACAGCTCGGAGAGACCGGGCCATGTCTTGGCATCTTGTGAGTTAGGCCCTTTTGACAGTCCACGCTTGAGGTTCTTGTGCATCAACGCGAGCTTTTCGACGAAGGCTTCTGCGGACTGGATAGGATATGACTTGGTGAGGGCGGCGAGATGAGGAAGGAGCGACGTCAAAACATTGAAACGAGGAGTCGGAGGTGCGGTGATGTAGAGTATGTGCTCGATGAGAACGGTGTTCAGGTTCTGTGCGGGAAACGTCAACATATGCTCACCAGTAAACACGTGCAACTCACCTGGAGCTTGAACTTGTTGTCCTCTGCCAAACTAGGATGATGCAAGGCACGAATACGCTTGACAACAACAGGAATATCCTGATCGTCGACATTCTCCACGATTTCCAGAAATTCGTCGTGAGTTTCGGGGTAAGGGAAGGTGTATGGCAGTTCCTTCGTAGCGTTTGACGTTCGTACGGGGCGTTTGCGCCTACTTTGAACCAACGCGGTCGTGTCTCCTTCCTCGCCATCCTCTTCACCTGAATCCTCCTCCGCGCTCTCGAATTCTCCAGCAACTGATACGGCGTCTTCGTCTTCATCGTCATCCTCTCCTTCGGAATCGTCGTCGTCATCATCGTCTTCGCTCCCCTCGTCTTCTTCTGCCTCACCATCGTCTGAGGCATGGAGGCGCGCGTCTTGATCTCCAAGCCCTACTCCTAGACCATTCCACTCCTCCCTGTTTTGGAAGTCATCGTCGAGGTCATCGCCGCCGCGAGAACGAGCCTGTTGGCGCCTTCCTTTCCCCTCGTCGTCACTTTCGCTCTCTTCCCCGTTCATACGCCGAATGCGCCGTCTCTCGGCCTTCTCCAACGCCTCCTTCTCCTCGCGCGCAATCTCCTCCTCCGTTTTTGTCCGGTCCTTTGGCTTTGCTCGCCGGTCAAGGGCCAATTCACGAACATACTGATCGTATTGCTTGTCGTCGTCTTCCACAGGCACAGCGACAGGATGGGGGAGAGCTGGGGAGGAAGGTTGAACTTCCGTTGACGGAACGGCAGGGGTGGCGAAAAGCAAGGATCGGATTGAATCGAGCTCTTGGTCAAGCTCATGTCGCATATTCTCGTCCTCTTCTTGTTGCGTTTGCCGCATCATCTTGAGGCACGGCTTTAGATATACACATGAAAATACGAAGACACAGACGCACTTTATGCTCCTTGCTTTTTGCAATAACCTCTGCCATGACCTCCGATTTGGACTTCTTATGTGGTGGCTAGCGAAAATGATCAGAACATGTAGCAAGTTCCGGATTGCTGGAACCCACTCCATCCTCGTCCTCATCTTCTACCTCATCGTCAAAGCCGCCGAAGTGTGCTTTCGCGGCCTGAGGTCCAGCTGTATAGAGGGTTGGCCACCTTGCTTAGAATGACCCGTGCGCGACAGACGTACCATCGTCCTCTTCCTCATCGTCCAGACCAAGCCCGACATTGTCGAAGTCGTCCAGCTTAGATAGGTTTCGACCGTAATGGGTGAGTTCGTCCTCATCTTCTAGGTTGAACGCAACGCCTTTCGATGTACGCTGCCGCTCCCGGGTGAAACGCTCAAGCATACGCTCCTCCGGAGTCATGGTAGGGTTATTTTCACCGAACCGTCGGTCAATGATCCCGCCAGCACGGTCCCGCTGCTCGAACTCTTTCAACAGAGTCTTCTTCCTCTGTGACAAGCACATAAATTAGAGTCCCGTCCTCCTCCGAGCTTTAATGTGTACGTGCCTGCTCGATGCCTGCTTGTTTGCTTTGCGCAGGTCGGCCCGTAGTTCCAATGATTTTCCTGCCTCCGACGTCGTGCTTCAACTTCGTGACCTTCACATCGAATGGGTTGAGCTCTTGCTGGATCGCTTTGAGCTTCGTTGCCTTCTTCCGCTTGTCAACCTCAGTAGGAGCGGCACGCTTGCGCTTCTTCCCGGCCTGAGGTTGGTGTGTGAGGCCGGCCTGGTGGAGAGCGCTCTTGAGCTGCGTAAGCTGAGAGCCTTTGGCCATTCCGGAGTCGTACACAGAGCGCGAAGCAGAGAGAACCCAAGACTCAAGGGTGTGGAAGCGGGTGGGGGTGCGCGTGAGCGTCGGTCTAAAGACTGCACCCTTTCTCCATGCCCCCGGTCCAAGTCAAAATTGTGTTACAGTCACGGCTGCGTTCGGCCCGGAGCGTGAGCGTTTCCGGCACTGCTGTTACTTCCTTGTTCTCTACGGTCATGAATCGAGACCGTTTGCCTTCAGGTTGTCAGCAACGCCGCAACGACAACAAAGTTTGTTGCAGTATTATTCGCTCTTGACTATGTTGTCTCAACGATACTCTCCGCGACGTTGAAGCGCTGTAAAGCAACCAAATTACCCTCCAGACAAGTTGAGGGTTTGTCTCTTTTCCATGCACTCTTTAGTCTCGAAACAAAGGAAACGGGAACCTGTGGAAAGTATGCACGTGGTGATAAACCCTTACTGATATATGGAGTTGTCAACAGGCTTTGTGCTCTTGCCAGCCCTCGAGCACCGGCCTCATCCTATCCCTCCATTCTCCTTCACTCATAGGTACCTCCGAACCGAATGCTTCGAATACCCCGCCACCTATTCCGAGACAACGACCAACGCGCACGGGCACCCCAACATCGCCGTCGGCGGCCTTGGAATGGACATCCTAGGCCAGGATGCCCCTACGTCAATCCCCCTGTACTTCCTGTCGACCGACGCCCTGTATGTACCCTCAATCAAACGTTCATCCAGACTAATCGAACGTACAACCAGATGACTATATCAGTGTCACAGGGAATACCTCAACCAGTCGTGCTTGACGAAAAGGCTCTCCTCAACCCAGCTCTCCTCCCTCCATCGTCGATCCTGCGGCTGGGGTCATTGGCCACATCCCCTCACCCCGTCCCTCATTCCCCTCATCCTTCTCCTGGGCTCAAATCGTCGAGGGACCGGACGGACAGCCCGTTTGTGGACGCGGCGCGGATTTTGAGGAACCCGCAAAGCTCAGCTCGCCGAAGCTCACATTTGGGCCGTCCACGACCCCTTCGGCCCCACCGTCAGTATCGCCGCAGCTCTACACGCTCTTTCGAGGAGCAGCGACTTCCACCTCATGTTTGCCCCTCGTCATGCTCGTTCTGTGGACCAATAATCGCTATGTGACAAGACTCAATGGCCCGCGTTAGGCCATTCGTGGAGATTTCCAGCGTAGTGGTACGCTTGATGTCGATGATCAATTTCATTCACGTACTGGTGATCAAGTGCATTCATGTAGGATCATGTAGGATATATGTGCCTATGCTTCGGACGTTCCGAGTCGAGTTGTCGCAAGTGAAATTGAAGTGCTACGGCTTGTAGTCTAGATCAATTAAACTGGATTATTGTCCTCATCGTCTTGCCTGAATAATTGAGCGTTCCGGTTCCACTGGCAGGGCTCAAAAACGATGAGTCGTAGGTATTTTCTGCCAAGTCAGATCAATGTAGTAGTCGTCGAGGGCGTCGACATGCACACATGTTGATATATCATATGATATATGTATGCCATTGATTGTATTGCGTGGTCATTGGGGTTGCACTCATCCGAACCGGCGGCGAATGGCGGGACATGAGAAAACGGTGTGACATGAACATGGAGACAGCCGTTGCGCAGTGGATCGCCGCTGGCGGACAACGCCCGGAACCGCCACTGCGCGCCGAGCTCCGTGCAGGGCGCACCGCGCATTCTGCCCATGCTCCTTCTCCCTCATCCTCTTCACTCACAACCCCGACCCCATCGAACACCGATCGACCGAAACGTTTTGTCGCTGTGTAGGCCTTATGTCCGATTCCTACAACCTCCCTCCCGCTCCCGAACAAGACCAATCGGGTGCCGGGGACGCACTTCCGACATACGACGATCTCGCCGAACAGCACGGTCCAAACTCAAGGTATGTTTCGTGCCATCATGCAACTATACAGAAATGAATATTCCGGGCAGATTCGGCCGCTGGAGAGGATGGATAGAGAAGAGGTGCGTGTGATCACTCTGCCGAGCCGCCCGGCGCTGAACCAGTCTGCTCCTCTACTAGAGCTGCCGAACGATATAACGACATCACCCCAGCAGAGCGCGAACGGCGACGACTGCGCGGCTGGAATGTGAGTGACCGCACCACCGCCTCTTTGTTCCGCCCCAGTCTGACCTCGTTCCTGTAGATTGACCAGCCACCACCCGAGCCAGAAGACCAGAATGGACCTCCCTACTCGATGTTTTCCACGAACCCATCGGTGTCCGCGTCGTCGTACGGCGGGCCTTCAAATCCACCGTCAATATATGCATCTACCCACTCGTCGTTCATCCAAATCCCCCCTGGCCCAAGTCCGTACGCCTCTATGCTCTCTGTACCCTCGGGATATCCATCCTCCATGTATTCGTCCGCACCCTCCTCTTACCACATGCACCCGCAACTGCGCCTCCAGACCTCTTTTACAGACAGCATACCAGCATCGCCGTTCACGCACTCCAAGTACCCTGAGCCGCCTGCGTCGCTCATCCCTGAGTCTATACCACCTTCGCGTCTGAAGCTGTATAACTTTGGCTCGCGGTTTCTCCCTCATTCAACATCGCCCATCCGATGTCTGTTACCCATAACGAACCATCATTTGCTGCTCATAGGACACGATGACGGGCTGTCGGTCCTTGACATGTTTCCTCGCAGTGATAGTCCAGACGACTTCGACGGCGACGACAAGGGGCCCATGGATGCTGAGGCGAGAGTAATATGGGAGGGTGAAGGGTGAGTACGTCCCCCTGATGCAAACGTATTGGGTTGAGTTGTATCTTTCAGTGTGCATCAGATGACCATACTGGAGTCCGAGAGCACTGGAGAGGGTACTCCTCAGGGAGTTGTTCTTGTCCTAGTTGGCACCTCCGTGGATTCATCCAAAGATCAAGAAGAGCCCAGGATCTTACGGATGTATAATTTGGCGAGTCTGGTCAGTCTCGCGAAGTGGACTGTAGCGCAGAAGGTTAGTCCTTCATTCTATTTGTCCCGAACTTGGTCCAATGCTTTCTCGATGAAGCCAAAGAGCCATGATGACAGATTGTTGGTGTCCATCTAAACAGTCGCAGTCACCATTGAGCGTCGACGGAACAATGTGCACACCGTATTGCGACTCAATCATGCGTTCGAATTGACCAGCGTTCTGCTGGAGGAATTTGGACGAACCTTATGCTTTGCTTTGATGCATAGCTGACAGCTGCGTAATGATTAGGGTTCTGTGCGTCCTCTAGACATGCGAGGTGCTTCACAAAGCAAGAATTCTTATGGCCTGCCAAAGAAAATCCCTCGTTCTACCAGTTCGATCGCAAAGGGTCTGAAGAATCTGGTCCTCGACAACGGATCGCAGCTGAACACAACGTCGAAGCACGACTCACATGTGTCACACTCTTCTCTGTCCAGCATCTTCACTTCACCTACCAAGGGGAAAGGAAAGGCGCCACCACCGGTATCGCGCACAGATTCGGTCGATTCAGATTGGGACGTGGTCAACGAGCTACCGTTACGATGGGCTACAAACTATACACCACTAGCATCAACGGGGTCGCGTCTGCTCAACAATGCAGTCCTTGGCTACGACATATACCGAAATGAAGCACAGCGTGGCCCAGGTGGTGTCTTCCTTGCCATCGCCACGAAGTCGTCGGTTCTATTGTACGAAGCCCCGAAGGGCGAACGCGCTTTCCGCTTCACGAAGGTGCGTCTGGATGTCACCGTGGGCCGGCAGAGCCAGCTCCTCACGCCTGTCCTGTAGGAGTTTTACACCCCTCTACCACCGAAAAGCGTCATGTTCGTCCAACAGTCCGTCGCCGACAACATGTCCCGCAGCCCGTCCGACATCTACCCCCGCGCGACCGCGCTCGACTCCCATGTGGCGCGACACCAGCGCGTCGTCTCCTACAGCGCGGCGCAGTTGCGCACCAACTACCCAACACAGCTCACCCTCTTCGTCACCTTCGACAAGAAGGCAGGCACGATCCGTATCGCCGACTCCGCCGTCGGCGAGATCGAGCTCTACGAGGACAACTGGGCCGCACAGCAGTCCGCGCTCGGCGCCCAGTCCCCCTCGTCCGCGTCCTCCGCCGGCGGCGCCTCCGTCCGCCACTCACGCGCGTCCTGGGACGGCCGCGCGTTCGCGAAGGAGAAGGCGGCGTGGGCCCGCCCCGCGCACGTCCTTATCCCGCCGTCGACCGCGCGCGGGCGCTCGACGGAGATGTACCTCCTCACGCGCGGCCGCCAGTCGCACCTCGTGCCCTTCCCGCTCCCGTCCAGGCTCGCCGCGCTGCCGCCGTACCGCGTGCTCGTCTGGTCTGCGCCGCCGACGCACGTCGCCGTGCGCGTGTGCGCGCCCGAGGCGGACGACCCGGACGCGGTCGACCCGAACAGCATGGACGCGCCCTTCCTCCAGGTCGTCGCGTTCGGCGAGGACGGCGTGGAGGTGCAGGAGATCCCGCTCGCGCAGCTCTCGGAGCGCAAGGGCAAGGGGCGCGCGCAGGAGCCGCTCCGGGCGCAGGCGGACACGGGCGGGGCGGCGGGGCTGCTCCTGTCGGGGGGCCACTGGGACCAGCCGTTCATCCCTGGAGCGGGGCTGTCGCGCTCGTACTCGACCTCAAGTTACACCACGGATGAGTCGGAGGAAGGATATCCGCGACGTCCGCCCCAGGATGGGCTGTACGCTTGGGTCCAAAAGGGCGCCGAAGACTGGCGGGTGATCTGGCTCGGAGACGGGAGCGCCGACTTTGACGACGGCTTCGAAGATTTCGAGTAACGTGGACCTAGCCATTCGAGTGCTACAGGTACATGGACAGTGGTGGTGGCTACGGATTGTGGAGAGGAGGAAACAATGTATAGTTAATGTGCAAGTCCAAGGTGCACAGCGCGCACGAATGCTATAATGTCCCACATCTGGAAAGAGAGTCGGAGGGAGGGAAAACACGAACGTACGCTACGAGGCATATAGATAACCGGGCGGGGTAAGTAGCGGGAACGATAACAACGACAGCGAGGAGACAGAACCCATGTGGTAACGAGAGCCCGCTATGGGTGGGGAGTGGACGAGCTCGACTGCGCCGGGCCTCTCAGCACCGTGAACGATCGTCGGCCGTGTTCGTCCGCAGGACCGCCCATCGGTGCGCTCGTGGCGGAGTTCTGTGAGGGCACCCCCTGGCGCCCCTTGCGCACAACGACGAACGACCGCCCGGCGTCCTCCGCAGGGGGCGGTGCGGCGGGCGACGAGTCCAGCGCGACGTCGCTCTCGCTCAGCCTCCGGTTCTTCTTGCGGTTGTACCAGAACTTCTTCTTGGGCGGCGTCGCCGCGGCCACGGCCGCCGCGTTGAGGCCCGCCTGCGCCTCGGGCGCGAGCACCTCGATCACCGCCGTCTGGCTCTTCGTCCGCGTGTGCGCATGCGACGGCGGCATCGCGCCCGCGGGCAGCGCGCGGCCGCTGCCCACCATGGACGGCGTGCCCGGGGGCGAGTCGTCGGCGTGGGCGAACGCGCTCGACCCGGGCGCGCGCTGCTCGACCGAGGGGAACGTCTGCTGCGAGCCCGACGCGATCGCGTACGGGGTGTCGAAGTTCGCGCGCCCGCCCGCGACCCTGGAGAAGCCCGACTTGGGGGCCTCGGGGGCCGGGGAGGCGCGCTCCTCGTGCCAGGCGGCCATGATGAACCCGCCCTCGTCGTCGCTGTCCTCCTTGTACGGCTGCATCGCGTGCTCGGGGCGGAGCACCGACGGCGGACCCGACGATGGCGGCGTGTGGTCCTTGAACGGCGGCTGAGGCTTGGAGAGCGCAAGGCTGGAAGGTTGGCGGTTGCTCGTTGGGCGGTAGCCGCGGCTGGATCGTCGGCGTTGCCGGGGACCACAGCAGCCCATGAGTCCCATGGTCCCGAGTAAGCCACTATCGACAACATGTCGACTCTTCGTGAACCCTATTCCTCCGGCTATTCGCAGGACGGCCTCGAGAATCTTCATGACAAGCATCAGGAAGAACGCGAGGTATACAAGCCCCAGAATAAACAGAATAGCATACGCGACCCATTGAGCGGGCCCCGGACCGATGGAGACCTGTCGGAGACACCGTGAGCCGATGTAAAGCGGAGGAGGAAGGAAGAAGCTTACGACAGGGGTGAGGATAACGAGAAGGACCGCGATAACTATTCTGCCCACGCAGAAGAGGAAGCTGATCAAGCCCATGCTCGCGCCTTGGCCCCAAGGAAGCCAAATGCTGGTACCGAGGGCGGCGGCGACCTCGACCACGAGAATTATGACGGCTTGCGCGGTTCCACTCCTCTGGCCGAAGCCGATAGTGACGCCGAACGCGATGTTGATGGCGAAGAGGGTGCAGGCAAAGAGCTGGGAACCGTGCCTGTAGTGATTGTATAGCGGCCCGAGGGAAAGGAGAGTCCACGTTTCGTCGTACAGCTTGCTTGTCCTCGTGAACGTGAGACGAAGGACGAGAAGGGCTGGGAGGAGGACGGATAAGGACGCGAACGAGAGCGCAGCAAGGGCGAGGGAGGTGGTTGAGACTTGACCGTGGAGACTCAGGTGATAGCATGAGAAAATGGTAATAGGGAGGTGGAAGAGCATGAGAACTCGAATGAGGTTCCCTTGCAGTGCGCTCCCATGGAAGGAGGCGAAGTTGCCCCTGGAACGCCACCACGAACGGCCTGTCGGGAGCCTAGCTGAGCGGGAGAATAGAAAATGGCCGTTAAGGGACCGATTCTCGTCCACAGTCACATTGTTGCCGACACCATCGAGCACGTCCTTGCTGGCCGAGGAATAGCGGGGGCTACGGGAACCTCCGAGACCGGCAGCTGGTGGAGCACCTGCATTGGGATCGCTGAAGACGGACAAGAGCCAGTCCATCGCCGAAACCAATACACTGAGCACGATCGTCGCGGCCAGAATGGCCAAGAACAGCGACATGGATATGGGGAAGAGGTCTTGTGGGCGAAGACCAACCGAATAGGCAAAGGACGACATTCCAGAAGTGGCGTTGTCGGGCAATTGGAAGATCAAGTTCGGCGCATCGCTGTTGACATAGATTCCAGAAGAGGGGTTGGTCAATTGTGCAGCGAAATTGGAAGGTGGGTCGAACGACGGCACTGCAAGTGGGTTCCAGTGGAATTGATCTGAGTTTTTGCCTTGGGTGATCGTGATATCTGCATCGACGTTGAGTTACCATGCACCGGCTGACAAACGATAACCACTCACTGAAGGCAAGGGTTGACCATGCCGCCTGGGAGAGTATCGGGTCTGTATTCCGGTATAAGCAATGCATTATGTTTCAAGACCAGGCTACTCACATGCGAACATCGGCCACTGAACGGCCACCATGGACAAGGCAGCGCACCATTGCGTATGGAAAATGATGTCTCGCATGGACGGTGTGCCTACACAACGACATGAGAACGCGACTCTTGCGACGTAGAAGAAAAGCGCGACGAAGAAAGGGGGACGTACAGAATCGCATGAGAGCGGGGGCGCTCGCAAACTTCTCGCCACTCAATGCACTCGCCATAACGAACCCCACACTGTCGATCCTGGCCAACACTCCATTCCCTGCCGTCGCCGACCCACGTCCCCACGCGGCCACGATGCGCGCGACGCCCACGACGATCCAGTATCCGAGGGCGAGGGCGACGGTACACCAGAAGATTATATGCGCGTGTCCGTACACCGAGTTCACGGGGCCGGGGATGAGCATGGTCGTGTTCACATCGAGACATAGGAGCTCGTTCTGGAATGGATCGAGTGCGCGTAGTCGCGTGTCGTACGTGGCCAGCTCGTAGCCAGGCGCAATTTGGACGGCGGACGAGAACGCATAGGGCCCGGGGGCGAACGGGCAAAAGGCGGTGGAGTTCGCGGGAACTTGTGAGGCGTTTGTCGAACGTAAGGCCTCGCAGAAGAACGAACTGCTGTTTGCAACAGGTTCTTGGAAGGTGAGTAGTTCGGTTGTCGTGAATAGGGTCGCTAAGGAGGTGGCAAGTGTCAGAAACTACATTCCATAATGCATCAGTGGAGCAGACGTACTGGCAACGGGGTTTGGGCCATCCGACGACGAGATGATGGTCTCCGGATTCGTGCCGATTACTGTGAGGCTAAGATATGCGCCGCTGGCAGATTCGGGGAAGAATTGGGCGTAAACAGTGGAGACGGAGAGCTTCTGTGTGGTGTTCGCGTCGGAAAAGCAGTCTGAGAACTGGAGAACTGCAGGCTGGGCGGTGGCGCGCGAGAAGAGAGAAGTGAAGCAGGTGAGGAGGAGAAGTAGAGGCAGAGCCCTCCATGGCGAATGGGGCACCCGCAGGCCAGCCATGGCGGCGTCGAGGTGACGGGTGAAGATGTCGAGGTGGACGGCCGGACGGTGCACCCCGCGCCGCGTCTGCGCCAGGGACGAAACAGCCATCATCGTGGCGCTAGCTCGCAACAACCTCCGTAAACCAAGTTCTAGACCGCGACTATCCACTATAGCCCGTGTGGTAAGCGGAGGTTTCATGCCGATTACCTCTACTTCAGACTCCGAAAGCCTCGATTGAAACCCGCATCACCGGAGTTGATCAGGGAGCGTCATCGCTCTGTTCGCCGACAACCATCACATCCTGCGCGCGCACGACCTCCAGTCTTCGAGCACACAATCCGACAGAACGCAGTCGACAACGCCCATTCTTCTGCTGTCTGGGCCGTGCGGTTCAGTTCCAGCAGCCTGTCCTTCCAGCCCTCTGCCGTCCTCCGCCGGCAGCCGGTATGCCCTGACCTCTCCGTCTTCGGACTGGCGCTTTCTCACCGGGGGATCTATGCCGGCAATTTGGTACAAACGACCGTTGAGGGTCTCATTCGCAGGGTCTCCCCGGGAATTCAAAAGACGTTCGGAGATTGCTGCTGCACCATGACATACCGACATCGACGGCGACGCAAAGGTGAGGAACATGTATCTGCACGTCGGGATGCAGGTCCTCGGAACGCGCGGCGGGTCGGATGAAGAAGCTAAGACCGCCTCACTTGTCTATCACTGGCGAGACAGAATGCTGCACGGGGTCCTGTCATGAGAAGCTGACACGCTTGAGCTTGACAGGCTTTCGCTTTCTCGATGGTTGTCTACAGGTACAGCCTGACCAGCACGTCAGCTGCTGCGGCTACCTATCGGCAGCACGCGTTATGGGACCGCACCGGTGTATAGGCGAAGCCACTTGCCATCCATGGGGTGGTGCCACGCCGGCGCCGCAGAGAAGGCTACGAAAACGCTAACACTATCAATGTCGAGCGTATGGTAGCGGTCCCTGTCCGCGTGCAGGCCGAGCACCCACGCCGTCGGGCAGGGCACGCTTGCTCACGTCCGGGATCACTTCTTGACATCGAATCTCTCTGGCGGGGCAAACTCTAGATCTCGCCGCACTGCTCATGCTTCCGCGGCCCGCAACAGGCGGCAGAGAGTATCCCGGTACGCACTCCCGCACTCACGCTGTCTTCTATCAAGTACTGCCCGCCCCCATCTCACCAACGCGACATCTCTCGGACCACTGTGCGCGGGCCACCTGCGTCTCCAGTGCGCCCTCTCGTCTTCCTCAGCCGCTCAGGACTCAGAGTACACGACCACAGCATTCGAAAACCATCGCGGCGGGCGCGGTTTGCACCACCGACCATCAACGAACGAAGCCTGTTGGTACATCCTCCACAACACTGTTCATACTTCTCTCGGCTGCCGCTCACGGTCCCCACCCCCTCCTGACCACCCCAGCTTACGCTCAAACACGGAGTTGACGCATCGAGTACCGACGCCCAGACCGTCGCAGCCCGGCCGTCTGACTGAAACCCGACGCTTTCGCGCTGACGAAAACTACGCGCAGGCCGCAGCGGACAAATTGGCGTCAGACCACCCCTCAAAGCACTCACGCGGGACCAACGCACTGCGATGTGGGGTCGTCCCCGGTGACGAACTCCGGCCGGACGGATGAAATGGCCGTACGGATGCTTTCGGTGCCGCGCCGTCCGCTTCCCGTTGATGCTGCAACTGCGCAGGAGGACGAGGTCGCTCACCCGAGCGCCGCCGTGCGAAGGCAGCGAAGGAGAACGCCGGGGTGGGCCCGGCGGGACGACGGTGGTGCGCCAGGGGGCTGGCAGAGCACAGCTTGTGGCGATGCTCAGTTGTCTCACTCGCCCAGTGCCAACTTGTTTCAGAAGCGGGCGATAATATGTCCCACAAGTCCGGGTCCCTCAAGGTTCCTCAGCAGGAGCCAAGGCGCTCGGGGCCTATGGATGACACGCAACGAAACGAGGAACGACGGTCGCGGACTGCACTCGGTCTGGGCGCGGTGGGCGCGGACGCGGTTCGCGGCCCTGCACGTCCACGCACGCCTTCCCAAGTGGGGACGAGGCGGGCGGAAACCGTGTGTGAGTGCGGGTGCGGAATGTGTTTCCTGCAGCGTAGAGGCGCACTCCGGATCCTTGGACGGTTTGAGCGGCGTGCGCCGTCGTCCGACATGGATTCAGCGAAGGCGCCCCGCGCTCGTCGATGACTAACGGCGCGGTGGGCTCGCACGCACCCCACGGCGAGCTGCAAGGCGCGGACGCTGTGGGCCTCTTCGCTCGCCTGGCCCGGGAGGAGGGCGTCGGCAAGGCGCAAGCGGCGACGCTTCCGCGTATAGCTAAATGCCCACGTACGACGCCGACTCTCAGACTCCAGAGTCCAGTCGCTGTATGTATTGCGATGCTGCCGTGGAGCCAGCCCTGGCTGCGCTGTAGTGAGAGCCCGCGGCCGAGCGAGGCCAGGAAAAATGGAGACCTCGGCCGTGTCCCCGTGGTCGCAGCCCGCGGCTGGGGCCCCGGGGAGGAGGCGCGAGCGGTGGTGTGCGCGTGCATTCAGTCTCGCGACGTGACTTCGCGGGTCGGAGAGCGCGGTGCGGGAGGCGCGGCGTGACCGGCCCCGGGCTCTTCGTGTTTCACTTTGCCCCAGCCGGGCGGCGGCACGCCCATCGCGCCCACCAGTGCGCATCTGGCAGGCGCGCCCCCGCGCGCGTGCGCGACGCTCCCCGCGCAGGTTCACGAAGAGCCCGGAACTTGCCACGAACCCGACGCATGCCGTCGCGCCCCTCGTTATCGCGTCCCGCGAACCTTGCGTCTTCTCCCACCAGAAGCGCACCCGGCGCGGGCCCTTTGCCTCCTCCCGCCCCACGTCCATGACGAGAGCAGCCCGACGTGTGTCGTAACGACCCCTGCGGCCGGGCCCTGAAGCCTGAGGAATGCCCGGCGCACCAAACGCGACAGGAGCGCGCCCGCGAGACGGGGGGGGACGGCGTAGCTGGCAGCGCTCTCAGGCTCGTCCTGAGACTCCGTCGCCGCCGTCGGCGGACGAGCCCGTTCGGGAAGTCGCAGGGCTTCGCGCACACGGTGGCCCTGACGCAGCTCGTCGGGCGCATTCCACGCCCGCGACGGGCGAGGCACGCTGACTCTGTCGCCCTCCGGTTGCCGTCGCGACTCGCCGGCTCGGGCAGCTAGCAATGTCCGACCTGGCCGTGGGGGCCGACCGCGATGACGACACCTCTGACACTGGGTGCGCTCATTGCGGCCGTCGGTGGAAGGTCGTATGGGCCCGAGCGCACTCGAGGGCTCAGGGTCGCAAAAAGAACGTGCATGTGGTCATAGATAGAACGTACTCGAAGAAAATACCGCATCTGCGCAGCCCCATCCAGACTTGAGAGCGGCTGGCGCGAGCTGTCGAGAGGATGGTGCGTAAGACAGCCACAGTGTACGTACGCACGGCAGAGCAGAAAACATACGGACAGGCTTCCGGTGGGAACGGTTCCTGGTATGACACTCGCCGTCTGCGAACGGAGTGCGCTGGGCGGCCGGCGGCTTGTCTGAACGACGGCCTGTCCGGATCCGTCGTCCGGACAGACGCCACGAAGGGCCAAGATGTGGCAGGGCCCCCGCGCGTGAAAGGGTGGCCAGGTGGACGGGGGCGGAGTGCGGCACATTGCGCGAAGGCGCGAATGTGGCAACGCCCGCGGGTCAGGCGGGGGCTCGGGATGAGGGCAACGTCTGTGAGAACGTCGCGCGAGGGACGCCGCCGTTAGAAGCACAGGCTGCCCTCCTTCGCGCCCCCCTTCGCGTGCGGGCTGAGACAGGGCGGCAATAGGAGCTAGAAGGGCCGTGCGGTAGGTAACGTACTTACGCAACACTCAGGCTCCGCAGGGGGTTGGAGTGAAGACAGACAGGACGTACGTCCTGCGGTTGGTGGGAGGCCGCCGACGGGCGTGACACCTCTGCCCGCACGGCCGCCGCGCACCACACGAGCGGCCTCCAGCTTTGACGGGCCCGGAGCGGAGGCAGCGTATCCGAGCGGGTGTAGCGTCCCGGACGAAATCGCGAGGATGCGGACAAGGTGGGGGTCGGGCGACGGTGTCGGTAGGGCTCCGGATCCTACGGTCGTACAGTCATGCTTGGGCTGGGCCGTGGGGCGCGACAAATGAGAAAGGCAAGGCAAGGGAATCGCGACGGCGTGCGGCCGGCTGGAATACGAGGAGAGCGCGACCCTGCAGCGGCGCGAGCCTCGTGGACCGACGATATCCCGCAGAGGCCCAAGCGAGGGGTCCACATGGCACCCCCGCAAGAGCCTCTCGAGACCCGCGGATTGCCCCGCCCGCCCGTCCTCCCACGACCGTCGCTGCTACCGTCACAGGAACGTCGTTCGCATGTGACCCGCCCTGCCTCCCCGTGACCGGCCAGGCGCGCCGGCGACTAAACGCAGCGGGGGTGCGCGCCTCTGCTCTCTCCTCTTGTCGCCATCCGCGGTCGCAGGCTGGGATCTCTGATATTCCCGTCCCGCCCCTCCCCACCTCCATTCAGCTGCACCGCTTTCTCGGACTTGCAGCCCCATCGTCCGCGGAGCCAAGTGCGATCACTAAACTCCAGTCTACCGCCGTCCCCCAACACCAACCGCCACCCCACCGCGACTTGGCGCTATGAACGCTAACCTCGAGGAAGCCGCCAACGTCGCGACCGAGTACCTTTCCAGTGAGAACGCCTCCCTTCCGCCTCGTGCCCGCCGTCGTATTGCGATGGAGACTGCTGCCCTTGTCGATGCCCTCGGCTTCTCCGGGGCCGTGAGTCCGTTGCCACGCGCGCACGCGCCGATAGGACCACTCCGACCGTCTTATGTCGTGCTCCACGTTCCACGCTCAGGGCCAGCGTCACTAATCCGCTTCCGTCCAGGTCTAGAGAACCTGCCGCAGGAGACTGCTTTCATCCTAGGCGAGATTCGCTTCCTGGACGACCAAGTAAAAGGCGAGTGCCGAATGTGTGTGTATCGCCAATTGGCGGCTGACCCGAGCTACCATTCATTGCAGTCATCCATGACAGTCTCGCAAAGAAGACCCACCAGTACTTTTCTCACTCCCTCAAAGCACCCGGGCAAGCCCTGGGTGGCAAACAGGAGGCGATACCTGGCGCCGTCGCCGCGATGTACGCGGAACTAGGCGTTCTATCTAGGGAGAAAGTTGCGCTCGCCACGCGTCTCGTCAAGCTCTTCGAAAGGGCTATGGCGCGCCTACAGCATGATGTCCAGAAGATTTTGAAGCTCCAGGGTGACGAACCAGGACTGCCTCCCACCAAACACTTTTTGGCCACCGTCGACGACACCGTTCGGCAGCTGGAGAGCAGCTTGCGTGCCGCCGTGACTAGCGCTGTGGCGACTCCTGTTGAGACCCCACCAGCACTAGCGCCCACGGGCCCGCCGCCACCGAAGAGTAGGTGTTTTGTTCATCTTTAGCTCGACAGCTCATCGCCTCGGCTGCGACCACAGCCCTGCGTGCATAAAGGGTTTGTTCGTCTTTGCATCGAGCTCTTCCGAGGCAGGCAGCGCTCCACGCAGCCTCGTCCGACGTGTTTGCGCATGGCGATGTGTAAGAGTCTTGCTAATATCTTTGTTATTCAGAACAGCGCCGGCAGGCGACGACAGTACCGTCGTCGGCCGTCATCAAGCTGCCGAGCCCGGTGCCGGTCGCGGCGAGCGCGAACAACGGGAGCGCGTCGGGTGTGCAGCGTTCGGGGCTCTCTCGCCAAGTGCACCCGCGGCAGTCACCTGTGCACTCGCGTCGGAAGCATGCGTCAGCCGGGCCCGATGACGAGGACGCGGAAGGGGAGGACGACATGGAGGACGGCGGAGAGGACGGCGCGGACGCGGAAGACCAGGAGCTGTACTGCTACTGCCAGAAGCTCTCGTATGGCGAGGTGCGTCGCGTCGCTGGTCTCTGGAGCCCGACGGTGCCGCGGCTGCGGTCGCCGCTCCCCGCGAGGCGCGGTGGCCGTCCCCGGATTCGTCGGCTGCGCTCACCTCGGTGGTTCCTTCGCAGATGATCGCGTGCGACAACGAAAGCTGCCGGTACCAGTGGGTGAGTGCGCGTAGTTTCCTTTCTCTGCTGGCGGCAGCGCGGGGGGCGTGTGCCACGCGGGCGTCACAAAGGCAGTCGGGAGGCTGACGGGGGCCGCTTGGGTCATCTGCAGTTCCACCTCTCGTGCATCAACGTGAAGCCGGGGTCGTCGCTGCCCGACGAATGGTACTGCGAGGACTGCAGGGCAAAGCTCGGGATCCAAGACACGTTCACGCCGACGCCGCCAGCAGCGGCGGCCACGAGCGGCGGCCGGAAGGGGCGGAAGAAACAATGAGGTTGCATATGCGTGAAACGGACGAGCGTGAAACGGGCGGCGGTGCCCCTCGAGGGCGGGCCGGGGTGGGAGTCAGGCGTGGAGGGGGAAGCGAGGAAGCACAGCCTGTGGTAGCCAGGACGGGGAGGGCCATGGACGGGCGTACACAAACGGTCTGTGCGAGCATGAGCGTGATTGGGTTGAGCGCACGCGGTGACGGAGCACGGTGGCAGGAACGCGCGGGCGATAAGTAGAAGTAAGTCGCGAGCGCGGGGAGCGCCGGGGCAGAGGATCTTCGGCTGGGGATTCGGCCAGATCCCGAGGGCGAGATGAGGGCTGCCCTCAGTTCGGCTGCGAGCGACACCTGTGAACCTCCCCAGAAAGGCAGCCGCGCGCGCCGTCGGAGCTGCCCCGCGTCCCCCCGAGGCGCGCCCCCGCCGCGTTCCCGCTCGCGGCCGCGCACGTCTCTGCGCGGGGCGACGGGGGCAGGGCGCACGCCGCGGCGGGTTCAGCGGGTGCGCAGGGGGGCGGGGGCAGCGGGGGGCGGGGACGAGGAGAGCGCGTGGACGGCGGGGGGGCGCGCGGGCCAGGCTGGCGGTGCGATAGGTGGCCTGGGGCGTGGCAGGGCCGGTATCTCGGGACTGGGAGTGGGAAGAAGGGGCTAAGCCATTCGTAGCAGGCGCACAGGTTTGGGTGAGACCCCGGGAGTCGGTTCTCCCGCCCACTCCGTTCTCTTAACCGTCCAAGCGCGCCGGCTCGCCAGGCCTCATATTTCCAGCCCTCGAGCCCTCTCTTCCGTGGGATCGGCTTCCTCTTCCGCCAGAACCCTTCCAGACGCGCCCCATGGACCCCCTCGCCTTCGACTACACCTCCTACTCCGACGTCTCCACCCCCCGCACCCCCTCCCCCCGCTCCGACGACATGCACTTCCACCCCGTCGCGTCCTCCTACAAGGCCCTCGACGTGCACGCCTTCGCCCACCGCAACCTCTTCGACTCCCACCCCGACGACCTCGGCCCCGTCCTCGTCACCGACCACCAGTACCCGTCCATGGAGCCCCACGTCTGGTCCGGCTCCCACCCCCACCACCTCCCCACCCCGCCTGGCTCGCGCGGCTCCCTCCTCTCCGAACTCTTCGACCACGACATCCCCGAGCACTCTGCCCCCCACGACTCCTACCTCGATCACCGCCACCAGCAGTCTGCCGAGCCCGGCTTCCACGGAGGCAACTGGTCCGGCCTCTCCCAGTCCAACGGCGGCCCGCACCACTCCATGCACCCCATGCGCCACCCGCACGACGTCGCCATGACACGCCGCGCGACCTTCCCCTACGTCCGCCACGATCGCGGCGAGCCCGTCCCCTACGGCACCCCGCCCTACATGGGCAGCGACCACGACTCGGTGAGCTCTTTCGGCTCCCGCCCGAGCACCATGTACTCCGAGCCGCTCTCCCTCGACGGCTCCCCCCACATGCCCATGTGCGAGCCCATGCACCACCTCGACGAGCCCTTCGCGCACCAGGTGCCGATGAACGGCTCCCCGCACCCGCCCTACCACGACTTCCACCACCCGCTCGACGGCATCAAGTCCGAGGACACCCCCGTCATCGTCCCCTCCCAGAACGCGTGGAGTCGTCCGTCGTCCGCCGGCATGCCCCAGCTCCCCTGCCTCTCCCCGCACGCGGGGCTCATGGTCCAGCACACGGACGACGCGGCGTCCAAGGAGACCCAGTACCTCCGCCGCCGCTGCTTCAACTGCCACACAACCGAGCCCCCAGCTGGCGCCGGTCGACGCTCAACCCGGGCAAGATCGTCTGCAACAAGTGCGGCCTCTACGAGCGCACGCACCTGCGCCCGCGCCCGCTCCGCTTCGACGAGCTCCGCGCGGGGAGCAAGACGCGCAAGCAGCCCAAGGGTGCCGCGGGCTCGCCGAAGGTGGCCAAGGCGTCGCCGCAGGCGATCAAGAAGGAGCCGTCGGAGATGGACAACGTCATGCCCCGCCGGTCCTCCGTCTCGTCGTCCGCGTCCTCCGTGCACTCCGCGAGCAGCGACTGGGACGAGTCTGGTGAGTCCAGGCGCGCGCGACGGGGGCCGGCGAGCGGGCGCTGACTGCGTTGCCCTCGGCAGTGTCTGTGTACTCTGGATCGTCGAACCCGCCCTCCTCCTTCAACTCGCCCGCAGCCCCCACGTTCCCGATCCCCCGTGACCCCAACTCGCAATCCCCTCCTTTGGCTCCCTTCGAGGGCGGCATCCGGCTGCCCAACGCGCCGCTGTCCGACATCGCGTCGTTGTCCTCCGGCCCGACGCCGCCCACGCCGCGCAAAGCCGCGTCGATGCCCATTCCTTATTACTCCTCGTCGCCGGCCGCGCAGCAGCCCCAGCAAAGTGACTATTTTGTACGCAGAGGCTCCGTGCCCGCGCGGAACGTGGAGAGCCCACGGCCGGAGGTCACGGGCTGGCAGCAGGTGCCCATGAGCGAGATGGCGCCCGTCAAGAGCGCGCAGTCGTCGCCAGCGCCCGCGGCCAAGCCCATCCTCGCCGCATAGGTCTTGCGCTGCCTCCCGCCCCGTGCTGCCCCCCTCCCCCCGCATAGACTCCCCGATACCTTGGCCGTTGTGGCACTCCCCCGCGTCCGCGCGCTGGACGGGCGCGCATGTCCATACGCAAAATCCCGCTCCCGATACCACCTCCCCCCTCATACCACCCCGACCGCGGCGCCTGCCCTCAGCTTCGGTGACGCGTACAAAACGCACCCTTCCTGTGTACACTCTCCCCCGCACGCGCTCTGGTCCTCCCTGTCGTCGCACACTCTCCCCGCATTCCCCCCCACTGTATCACCGCAAGCTCACGTCGTCCGCCCCCCCACTGCATTTGTTCACTACTCTCCACTGGTCTTCTTGAAGGTATAATGCGCCGCACATGCACCTCCCCCGCCATCTGCGTATATTTTTTGTTACTTATTGGTCCCGTCCACCGTCCCCGCGCCCCCCAGCACCCTCCAACTACCCCCCACATTCGTTTCGCTCGGTCGCTTGGATTCGCGGGTGCGCGCCGCCTCGATAACTATTTATTTATTGCTCTGTGTGTCCCTACTACAGTCGTCATATCCCCCCACCTCGTGTAATCGTAGCCTATAGGAAGCAGCCGTATAACGCGCAAACACAATGCGAAACCCCACCTCGTGTGTGCCCGTGTGTCAGCGACCGCTCGGACTTATGACCTGCAGCACATGCTCTGCGCCACGAGCATGTCCGCGGAGTCGTAAGCAGGTCTCCGGGGACGACAGCGCCGCCACACGATCGAGGCACCACTTCGATCCTCTCGATCAGGACGACGACGACCGCTCTCGCGCCGCACAGGCCGTGCAAGCTGACGTAGTCCGTGGGCAATGCCTCCGCAAGAGACCTGGGCCGCGCCGTACACGCACACACGCACCTACGCCGGGTGCACAGAAGTGCTCGACAGCGCGTACGACGCGCTCGCGCTCGCCCCCGCCGCGACCGCGCCCAGGCCTGCGTGCCGGCGCGCGTCGGGGCGCGCTCGGAGCTCGGGTTCGACGGGGACGGGGACGGGGGAGTTGGCCCCCCGCGCTCGGAGCTCGGGGGCTCGGGAGCTCGGGACTGGGGGCCCTTGGGCGCGCCGGGCGCCGGCTCTACTTTCTTGCACGCAGCAGCAGCAGCAGCCGCCGCAGAGGCGCGGGGGGCGGGAGGAGGAGGAGCGCGGACCACATGGCGCGCGCGCCCCACGCTCAGGGCTGGCGCGGGTGATCGGATGAGCCCGTGCCTCCCTCTCCCCGCCCCGCCCGCTCGCCGTCCGCCGTGGCCCGTGCTCGTGCTCGTGCTCGCGTCACGGCCGACGGCGCACGGGCGTCGTCCGTTATCGGCGCGCGACGCTGGAGGCTCGCCGTCGCGCGAGACGTGAGACGCGAGACGCGACCCGTTTCCGCCCGCCTATGGTCGCTGTCGCCGCCGCGAGGTTTGAGAGGCGTGTCCGAGACTCGAGTACGGCGTTCGGACGGCGCGCGGCGCGCACGCGGGGGTGCGCTCCAGAGCGGGGCCCGTGTGCTGAGGCGAACGGCACGTGGTTGCACCCGGGGGGGGGAGCGCGAGCGGGAGCGCGAGCGACGCGTCCTCGAGGCTCGCGTACGCGGCGCGGCGACGGCGGCGGGCGTCGACGGGTGGGCCGTCCGCGCTATGTCCCTCACAGACGGGGCTCATTTGCACGCCGCGCACACGGAACCGGGAACACTCGCGCGCGCGCACGCAGAGGACGTACAGGTGCAGACGCGCACCCACGTTCGACGGCGGCCGCCGCGACCGCGACGACGACGTGCGCGCGCGGGTGGGCGCAGCGAGAGCGGCGATTGCCAATTTATCAACGCATTTCCGCGCCATTTGCGCCTGACCACCAGTGCGGGGCCAGCTGAGCTCCGCGTGCGCCCTCCCCCCCACGCGCCCCACGCCCCGATTTTTTTTCTGCGTACGCGTGCGTGCGTGCGTGCGTGCTCGACTCTAGAAGCGCTCAGCTTCGTAGCGGCGTGGCGACCCTGCGGATTCGCCCACTAATTCGCGCGATAATCCACGCTGGTGTCGTGACCTCGTCCTTATCCTGCCGTCCTCCTGCCACCGTCCGCCGTCGAAGTGGGCCGTCCTTCCGAAACAGCGGCGACGCCAAGCACGACCCGGTCGCTCAGTGCTCGCTGCGTGGATCGCCGCAGCCCGCCTCCCTCTGCGCAAGTCAGTCAGTCCCCCCGCCCGCAGGCGCGACTCTGAGACCCGAGTGTGCGACGCGCCCGGGCCCACGGGCCTGTGGGCTGGAGAGCACCGCCCGCGCGCGCGCGCACCGAGGCGGCTGCGGTTGCCCGTGCTACGCGTCGGGGTTTGTACCGCGGGCGCGATTCGATCCTCCTCCGTCGCGTAAGCACGCCGGCCGCGCTCCTCAGGCCTCAGGCTCGGGAAGGCGCGCCCGCGCCCGGGGTCGCTCGCGGTCGCGCAGCGCGCACGCTCGCGTGTGGGCGGACGCCGCCCCCGCGCGCAATAAGTACGTACGCGTGCGGGGCGTCGGCCTGAGACCGTGGGGGCTGGTCGCCGCGCCGGGCTTCGCTCGGGGCGCGGCGTCGAGTCGCTAGGGCCGGACGGGGGGGGGGGGGGGGGGGGGGGGGGGGGGGGGGGGGGGGGGGGGCGAGTCTAAAACGTTCGGGAACGCGCGGGGAGAAGGACGACGTCGAGTCTCGACGCGGGGGCGGGAGCTGGCCTGTGGGCCAGGGCGTGCCGCCGCGTGAAGCGGCGTCGCCGCGGGAAGGCGGCGTGGCCGTCGACTCCGGACCTCGACGCGCTGGGCGCGCGGGTGTGCGGGTGTGCGTGAGGCGGGCGGTCCGCCAGGCTCCAGCGGCCAGCACTTACGCGTTGCGCGTCGGCGTAAGTACGTGTGCGAGGACGGCAGGAGACGAGCTGGGCAAGTCCGAGGCTGCGTTCGGGGTTTCCCTCTGGACGTTCGCGGACCGCTCGTGCGGAGGGGACTCCGACGGCCGCGCAGGCGTGCGGCAGCAGCAGTCTCTGGAGCGTCGTGGGTGGGCAGCCGACGCCGTCTCGTCCCAGGTTGTCTCCCTCCGTTCCGCGGCGCGCGTCCTCGTCCGTCGAGAGGCGCGAGGTGAAAGGCGAGAGGCGGGACGCGAGCGGGGTGTGCCGGGGTCCCGGGGTCCTCCCCGGGTAAGCAGTCGGCCCGGTTCGCACGGGCCTGCCTGCAGGCCCACCCGCGACGCATCCCAGCCGCGCTCCCGTGAAGGCACTAGTTGAGGCCAGCCGCGCCCACGTGCGCGCGCGCGAGGCCGGCGAGACCTGCGCTAGGCTGGCGGCAGGGCGGGATCGTTCGACGGTCGAAGGTTCGTTCGAACGGGTTGGAGGTGCCCCGTTCGTGCATGCGAGATGACGGCAGGGCCGCTGCGGGTGTCTGGACTCGTCGGGGATGAGCTTGCCCAGGCAACGGAGTCTCAGGCGGCGGGCGACGTTCTGAGACAAGACGGAGGGCTGGCGTCGGCTGCAAGGGCCCCGCCGGTCGGACACGAGAACGAGTCGTGGGGGAGGAGAATCAGGTGAGCAAAGGGCGAGAGCTCTCCCGCGTCGCGTGTGGTGGTTGCAGCCGACTCTGCGTCACGGCAGCAGGCGGGCTCGGGCGGTGGCGGTACACGCGGATGACGCAACCGAGACGCGCGCCTCTGCCCCTGCTTTCTTCCTCAATCCACGCGCCGTCGACGCGCCAGTCCGCCTGGGTCGATTTGCGGCAACGAGGCCCTTTCGCGAGACCCACGGCCAACACGTTGTCTTTGTGGTCTTTGCATCTACGCGCAACAGGTAAAGCTTACGACCTTGCCCCCGCTCGGACCGGGGCACCCTGGAGCGCATTCCTCTCGACCCTGGACACGCTCTCCGAACAAGTTGCCGTCCACGACCCGCCGTTCGCAGCACGCCCGAAGCACCCCACCTCCGACGACCCGGCGAACGAGACTCGCGGCTGCCTCGACGCGGCCACCCCCGCGCCCATGGGCGTGACCGCGTTCTTGGACGTCCCCGCACGCGGCAACAGCACGGGCCCCGTGCCAGTTCTCTCACCCGCAGCAATATTCGGTCGGGGGGAAGAACGGTCCACGGACGCGGGAAGTGCTGCAGGCTGCTGCAGGGGGCAGCCGCCGAGACGCCGTCCCCACCCCCCGGCGACCTGGGAACCGACCGCCGTGGGTCTCGTGCGCGAAGCCATGCGGACATACGGCGCGGGACACGGCAAAAAGCCTGAAGCTCGAAGATTACCTAGTCCCGGGCGAACGTTCGGAGAGAAGCCCCGTGCCACGGGCGGACGCGCTGCGCACGGGAGCGGCCAGGGCGTCGAGGTTCGCGACGTCGACGCGTGCGGGGTGTACACCGCGTCGCTTTGGAGGCGTGGACGGCCTCGGCGCGTTTCGGTGGGCGTGCGTGCGTGGGCGCGCGCCGGTGCGCCCTGGTGGGTCCCAGCGGGGGCGCACGCACGCGTGGAGGACGAGGGTGATTGACGTTCGCAGGTTTGGCTCCAGCTGTTCATTATCCGGAGTCCGCGCTGCGTCGGACTGCAGAGGTGGCTCGTGGCAAGGCAAGTGCCGCGGGCGTGTCCGGGCCCTGGAAGGTGTCCGGCTCTGAGGGGACCCCTACGCCCTGCACACCGGAGGCTGTCGAGAGTTGAACGTGAACGACGCAGAGAATGTCGCCATACGGGGCCAAGGAGCCCCCCGCGGACGACGAGCGACCTGGAGGTTTACGTGTACATATGCGCCCGCAGGTTCGTACGCCGGTGAGTCGCCGCAGACCCTTCAGGCTCAGCAGCGACGCCCTCCTGAGCCCCTCGTCGACGCTTCCCCGCATCGCCACGGACCTCGCTCGCCTCCCCAGGCCGGCCAGCCCTCTCGAGCCACCGCGCGACGGTTTGGCCGGGGTGCGGGGAAGACAGCGGCTGGCTTGGCCAGCTGGGGCCGCGGGGCCGCGATGACGCGCAATATTTGCGCGCCCGCCCTGCGCCCGCC